GTGAGCGCGAATGCCAGATGGAACACTTGCCGATGACTTTGAAGCTGCAGAACCCCCCGCAGCTTCATCCCTCTCAAAACCGATGGCCTCTCCAGCTTGTACGATTTGAAGGCATTCTTCCGGAGTGAAGACGTCAAGAATCACGAACGCGCCGGGGAGGCCAGGGACGTCGACCCGGCTAGGACTCCGAGGCCGGCTGGTCGATAGCCTTATTGCACCTGGAGAAGACGCGTACACAGTCGAGTCGTAGACATTCGGTGGCTTGCGCAAATGCCCAGGGGTGTGTTGAACTGGGCGAAAATTGGGGAACGGAACGGGCGGAGGGGTATCTGCGGTTGTCAGACTTCCAGAGAGGCCTCAGGCTCACCAAACAGTCGTCCCTGCTGCAAGATTCCCCATATTGGTAGCTCTTCTGCCACAGGATCTCTCGCCCTCCAAACTGGTCTCCGTCGCATGACCAGATCGCCCGCCCCTTGTGATGAACCAGACACCATTTCTCGATCGGCGATGCGAAGGATCAGATCCAGGCATCGCATCGCGTCCGTATCGCGCACGAGACCATCCACAGAGAAGGTTGCATCACATTCTCGAACCCATCGCTGCAGTGAGCCCAGTTTCGGCGGCAGATCCCGAATGTACATCTCAAACAGCAGAACGAGAGCATCGATGAAGCGATAAGCTTGAAGCGCACTCGAGATCTTCGACGACAAGGACGTGCCTACGCTTAGCTCGTTTCCAGGGGTTTGGCCCACCTATAGGGGCCCCGTCTACCATGACACGATTCAGGGCGTGAACAGCTCTTTTGACACCCTTGACATCCTTTCGGCTCAGCTCGTCTGGGAATTCGCACAGGGTCTCGAGGGTCGAGATGGTGGTCTCAAGATCCTGCGCAGAGACGAGGGGCTCAATCTCAGTCGACGCTGTATCCGTGTTCTGCGTGGGAGGATGTTTCGCGTACTTTATCGAGCCGCTCATAGAGCTACCAAGCAGGCGCTTGCGCTTTTTGGCTTGTTCAGATCGTCTGCCCATGTCGTTGACGTCGAAAGGTTCGTTGGCTCATCTTGACAAAAGCGAGAGAAAACTGTTCGGTCCTGATAGGCTGACGTAATTAACTGGCTTTCCCAACTATTGCTCGGAACATCAATTAATACCGTTTCTGGAGACACGATCATGCTTGCATCAATATGCCGCTCGAGACGATGCATTCGACTTCCATCCCTCAGGCCCCTACTGTGGCAGCGTACTCTCTGCTGATCACGTTGTCGTACATACTCCTCACCGTCACTCCTTGCTGCCAGCTGGAATCGCCAGTCCAGTCGTTCCAAACCGTGAATTGGACCGTCCTCGACTCGCCCTGACCCAACCAGAATCCATTATCAGACCAATATCCGGAGACTTCATGCGACGAATAATCAAGGACCACCCATGCCGCCACAGCTGCCGGGGCGGTGACGGTGAATGAGTTGCTACCCGAATCGCACGAGATCGTGAGCTTAGGATCCATCAGTGTTGCGTTGTTCAGATATACTGGATGATACCAAGACTGGTGGGTGAAAGTCTGTCCGTTGCCGGTGACAGTCGTCGAAATCTTTGCAACTACATTGGTAGCATTTCCAATAGATTTGACGGCGTCTGATAACTCGTAGACTTTGCTTGAACTGACAGCTGAGACTGTGACCGGGAATGTCTGAACGCTCGAGACGGGTAGATGCAATGCTGAGGTAGCAGCCGCGGCAATACTTCCGATGACACTGGTTGCCGCTGCTGCGAGGCTGGACACGCCAGCCGCGACCCCGCTGACCTCCGATGCAAGTGCCGACGTGATAGCATTGACCGCCGATGGAAGCACATTGAGTTGGGAGAGGCTGGTTGAACTGTTCGCCGGAGCCAAGGTCGTGCTAGCAGTCACCGCGGCGAGACTCGTGGTGGGGATGGCAGAAGCCGAGCCGGAGCTGCTCGGCGCTGCGACCGGCTCTCCGGACCATGTCATCCATTCGATCTTCACATTTCCCGACACCGGGAAGAATTGATCCGACGTGACCCACACCTGAAGGTCACCCACGTCGACATCGTAGTACGGCCTGACAATCACGGGCGAGTAAATGTCACGCGAGGTATAGACCATCACTTTGGATTTCAAATTCGAAGTGACGGCTGACCACGTTGGCGCGACCCAGACATCATTGAACATCCAGTACAAGCTTCCCAGATTACGTTGAGATTGACCAGAGCCACGTCTATATACAGAGATTTGTGTGGCTAGATGGTCTGCTTGAAACACCTGAGAGCCGTAAATCCAAGCACTGAGGGTCAGCTTGGATACCGTGATGACTCACGTAAAGTTCGCAGCAGGATCTGAGAGCGTTGGGACGGGATAATACATCACTTGTCCACTCAACATCTGGTTGATTCCCGCCAGCGATTCTTGTTCGGGAGTCAGAACCTGGCCAAAGAAACCTCCTTCATGACGATTATGATAGATGACAACGGGATCATAGCACGAGTCGATCCCCTGCCCGATGTTGTCAAAGACTTCGGTCGTCGGGAAAGAATTCCAGCCTGTTCCGATTTAGGCCAAATCGGAATAGAGGACTCACCAAACTCGTCGACGAAACGACTGGACGGATAGAAGCTGATGTTGAAGCATTGATTGGTGAAAAGAACATAGCCCTCTGCATCATTGTAGAGATATTCAGGGCCACTAGTGTTCTTGTACCGTGGAACTTGGGGACGAACCGAGTCGAAATCCAGGGACAAGTATCCATTGTAGAGGGAGGAAGGAATATAACTTATCGACCGCGAGTTGGCGTAAACGCATTTGATCAAGAGCTCCTCCTGGATAGCTTGATAAGCTGCCATCTGGGGCGATGGAGAGTTGGGATTGAACCAGTACGCTAATTCGTCTGCCTCGAGTTCGTTTCCGCCAGCCCATAATGCCAAGCTAGGATGGTAGTTTACTCGTCGAATATTGTAATACGCCTCAGCCTCGTACAACGCCGGAAATTCTCCAGTGGCTTGATAGGCGCCGTCGGAGAATTCGAATTCGGACCACAGCAAGATGCCTGCCTTGTCGGCAATGCTGTAAATGTAATCGGCAAGATACGCTCCGGATGACCATACCCTCATCATGTTGAAGTTGGCCTGAACGGCAAGTTCGAACAATTGCTGAGCGTATGTTTCATTCACAGTCGCCCACACAGCGTTGAGAGGGACCAGATTGGCACCTTTGGCATACATAATCTCACCGTTGATCTCAAAGTGCCAGTTGCTACCCGGAGCAATTCCAAGGGCTTGATCGGCAGCCGAGATTGGCTGCCCATTCCATACAATTGTCCGAAAGCCGACGGTCCTCTCCACGGTAGCGATGCTATCACTGCTACGCCGATGCTTTTCGTGACGCCTGGCATTCGATCCACCTGGCGATGTGATTGCGATACTCGCTTGGTAAAGAGTTTGTGCCCCCATGCCATTTGGCCACCATAACTGAACTTGAGAGGCATCGATGGTCGTAGAGGCTGTGATGGTGCCGGACCCGTTTGACGCACCGATAGTAGCATCGGAAAGGGAGGTTGAGAGGACCGAGTTACCATTGGCATCTGTGAGTGATAAGGAGAGTCCTGATCCGGAGGGAAGGGAGCCGACGTAGTCAAGAGAAGCATTGAATATCCAGTTCTGATTTTGGTCCGGCGGCAGATTGTTCATTTGTCCTTGCCGGTAGATGTCTATCGCCACATTGTTGACGTATACCGCTGAACTATTGAGCTGGACGACACTGATTTCACGCCACGGCCCTGCTGGGACAATATGGGGTGCCCAATCCCACCCCCTGCTGGTCAACTCCAACCCAGACGAATACTCACATATCGCTTTGCTCCTTTCTTATGAATTCGCGACACGAGGGCTGGCTACCTTGACAACCGTCCGCCCATTTGATATTCGCTACGGGGTGAGACAGGCTCTTCGGGGCTGGACTCACGGTCGCCCTGCAGACCCATGTCGACGGAGATGTTGACAGCGGGACCAAAGTTAATGGACAAAGGGATTGGACTGGCTTTGCAGCTGGAGACGATATTGGTCACGTCAATGATATACTGTTGATATTGATCGTTGGTGGTGGCTACCTCTTCGTTGCAAAAGCTGATGGTTGTGAACGTGTCAAGGCCTTCAAAGACAAGGTGAGTCGAGAGACCTGGGGAAGTGTCCCTGAGGGTCAGCACACAGCGATTTGATTTCTCATACAATGTGACACCGGCATGATTGTAGCTCCAGTTGGAATTTTGCACCCAGACCTGCTCATCCTCCTGATACCCATACAGAATGTCTTGAGTTACTCCAGCGGCCTGAAGATCAACGTAGTTTTGTGATGGTACCTTGGCGGGAATTGACTTGAAGGAATCGTTGCCTGGCGATGTGAGAGTCCATTCATTCCCGTTGAGGCTGATGATGTTCTGAGCCGCAGCCACGCTAAGAAGCGCCAGAACGGAAAACATGTTTGCCCAGTCCCCGCGGATTCCTGTTATCCTTCGAAGCGATTTATATACAGTAAGGTTCTCATGTTCGACAACTCGCAATCAGCCTGTTTTCTTACTGTTACAAGTACGCTAAACATTCCGCAATTTGCTGCTACCCAGGGTGCCCCAAATCAAGATCAGACGGACGTTTCAGATCTGAGGATCAAGCTAGTGAGACAAAGTTTCGCGTTGTACGCCTGATTTTACTCATACATACAGTGGCGCGGGGTTCGAAGCGCCACGACACCAAAATAGCCCACAATGGCTCAGCAGGGATCCGTGCTGAGATTCAGAGCGTTCGATGTCAACATTAGGCTGCTTTTGGGCGGCTCGCCAGATCAACGCGGGTAGTGCAAAGGTCTGACGGGTAAATATGATGGCTACAGCATCTGTAAGGTGGTCCGGATGAGATGATTCCACCACTATTGAAGCATTCAGCCAAAATATCTGAGATCCAAGTTTGAGAGGTCTGTCGTACGTGGGTCGACGAGCGCATCACCGAGTTTCGGCTGACAGTCAGTCAAGAACTATCATTTTGTGTCCTTGACGCGTGGCGGAAAAAAGTGCCGGCTGACCGGTTGTAAACAAGACGAAAAGGTGAAGACCGTACTGAAGAATGGAGATATCTGCAAATGAGCATAATCTAATCGCTCTCTACACGTAGACGGCCGAGTTAGAACACATCTTGCTCAGGTACGCAAATTGCCTGCCACATAACGTGTATTTGCTCCCATAAGCTTGACGAAACCTGACCTCTTTGCACAGGCGAATGTTTCCGCGGATGGAACACGAGCGTGGGCTTAGCAACTCCTTGGGAAGCCTCGGCGTGAAGGGCGCCGGGGCCCGGCGCCCTTCCCCCACTCACTGGCCAGGATACCGGGCGACCGCCCGTGGAGCTGCGTCCGATCGGAGGTCCTCCCGAGATCCGAGATCCCTCTTTTCGCACCCCGCAAAGCGTATCGTGTGCCGCTACAAATTAATTCTGAAACGCCACTGAGATGACGACGCCATTCACACCTTCTGAATCGAATCGTGAGGGAACTTGAAAAGTGCGGTCCCAGATTGTCCAGTGTTTTCCAGCGCCCAATCGACGTTGCCTCGCGAACAGCTCATAGCCAACATGAGTCTCGAGAAGAACGACGACATTGTCCACATTGAAGGCGATGGCACTTCCCATCCGATCGATGCAGAGGAGGTACAGCGGCTGGGAGATCTCCTTGATGCTGCACGGAAAGCAACAGAGAGCGAACACAAAATGACTGTCTGGCAGGCAGTCAAACGATATCCAAAGGCCTCTGCTTGGTCCATCGCGATCAGCTTTGGCGTTGTCATGGAAGGTAAGCCTCTGTTCAAGGTCAAGCCTCATTCCCGTAGGCTTCGATGTCGTGCTTTTGGGCAACTTTTATGCGTATCCCGAATTTCAAAGAACTTTCGGCGTCTTGCAACCAAGCGGAGATTATCAGATTCCGGCGCCATGGCAAGCTGGCTTGAGCAATGCATCAGCATGTGGCTCAATCATTGGTCTCATGGTATGTTGCGTCAGTATAACAGCGGCTGACCAAGTTAGTTGAACGGCGTAGGTCTAACGACTCCTGTACCCCTTCTGACGCTGGAAAGTATCTGGCGGAGCGTATTGGGTATCGATACACCATGATCGCTTCCCTTGCTTGGCTTGCTTGCTTCATCTTTCTCTTCTTCTTCGCCAAGAGCCTCGGCATGCTGGTCGCTGCAGAAGTCTTGTGTGGAATACCATGGGGTAGGCCGGCGTTGAGTCTGACGTGCTAAACATCCAGGTATTTTACAGACATTGACCACATCCTATGCCTCCGAAGTTGCTCCTTTGGCACTTCGTGGATGTGAGTCCTCGTGTTAGGCATTTTCTGAGTCTTTAGTCTTGACGACTTGGGTCAATGCTTGCTGGGGAATCGGTCAACTCTTGTCCGTTGGCATCCTCAGAGGTCTACTGAGCAAGACCTATCTTGGTCAATGGGGATGGCGGATTCCCTATGCTTTGGTGAGAGCATCGCTGAGTGTCACTTCTGATATTCGGTAGCAATGGATCTGGCCGGTGCCATTGATTCTAGTGTCCATCTTTGCTCCCGAATCGCCATGGTGGTTGGTGCGGAAGGGACGTATCGACGAAGCCCGCCAAAGCCTTGCGCGACTCACCTCCAGAACCGTCAGCGGCCAGACTGATGACTTTGATATCGATCAAACAGTTGCCATGATGCAACACACGAATCTGTTGGAGCGAAGGGTGCGTAGACACAGGGGTCACTGCTAAGTCTCGAGCTCTACGCTGGTGCCTCCTACATCGACTGCTTCAAAGGAGTGAATCTACGTAGGACAGAGATAAGCGTCGGATGCTGGGCTGTGCAAGTCCTGTCAGGCGTCGGTGCGTTAACTCATTACAATTGCCTCTGATTCATCAGCTCTACCGGGCTCGGCCTATTTCCTTCAATCCGCCGGACTGCCCACCAAAGATGCTTTCACATTGACCATGTGCAATTTGTCAATCAATATCTTCGGTGTGATGATAGCTTGGGCATTGATGGGATGGGGCATCGGTCGGAGGTCGCTGTACCTCTACGGCTGCTTCGCCATGAACATTGTCCTCTGGATTGTTGGAGGTATCGGATTTATCGGAACTGAGGCGTCGCTTTGGGCGATAGGTGGTCTTCTGTTGGGTTGGCAGATTGGTTATCAGTTCACTCTCGGAACCGTTTGCTTCTCATTGATCACCGAGTTTCCTTCACGAAGACTGTTGATCAAGACAGTGAATATCGGCCGAGCTGCCTACAACCTGACGAACATCATTTTCGGTGAGCGACATGCGTAAATGTGATCTGATGCCTCAAAGGTTCATTCACACCTTTCATGATCAACCCAAGTGCCTGGGATTGGGGTACAAAGGCAAGTTCTCGAGACAATTGGTGCCTAACGCAGCCAGACCGCCTTCTTTGCAGCGGGAATGAACACCTTGGCTTTGATCTGGATATACTTCCGTCTGCCTGAACCTTCGGGTCTGTCGTATGCGGAGATTGACAAGCTGTTTGAGGAGAGGATTCCGGCGAGACAGTTCCAGAAACATCGCGTGGTAGCGGTCGAAGCGGAGGATGTTGGAGTTGTAGAAGCCAAGCATCCTTAGATATCCTCAAGATACTTCAAGTGCATTGCTTGAGAATTGAATGAGGCAGTCTCCCACATGCTTCACTTCAAAGCCGTGATGCCAAGATACAACGTGATGAGATCTCCATGGATCTAGGGCCGCAATTCTGGCGTCAGCGGCGTCTTCTTCATGTGATTCGGCAACTTGCGCGATAAAATCACAATGAGTTCCCCACCGCGGGGACTTCATGCTCTAGCAGCAAACGGGAATCATTTCTAGCAGCAAACGGGAATCTTCAAACAAATTGCAATCTAGCAGACAGGTCAACGTTGAACCCTATGGGATTATTCATTTCAGGCGGAGACTCCATGCGGATTGTGTGTATTTTAGGACGCTAACCACAATTTACCGGGTCTCGCCGAATTTCAATCGGGAAAAACGTTTGCCGACCTGAGGATATAAACTACTGACCGCTGCCAGTGTCTGCTTCTCGACCAGGAAACCATGCCTCTCCCTGTTCTGGTCCTCGCGACCGTGCTTGCCAAATTGGCGGCTGCTCACTCTTGCGACATCTACGCGGCTGGTGGCACACCCTGTGTTGCGGCTCATTCCTCCACAAGATCTTTGTATGGTTCGTACAACGGTCCCCTATATCAGGTCAAACGAAACTCAGATAATACTACGACCGATGTTCACCCATTGTTTCCCGGTGGAGTAGCCAATGCGGGCACTCAGGACAACTTCTGTGCTGGCACGACATGTCTCATCACTGAGATTTACGACCAATCTGGTCGAGGAAATCACCTCACAGCGGCTCCACCGGGAGGTGCGGCAACTGGTCCGGAGCCAGGTGGATACGACTTCGTTGCCGGGGCAACAGGTGCTGCAGTCACACTCAATGGTCTTAAAGCATACGGTGTCTTCACCACACAGTCTACAGGGTATCGAAACGATAACACGAACGGCGTGGCCACGGGCAATGAAGCAGAAGGGATCTATGCTGTGTTCGATGGAACGCACTACAACGGCGCTTGCTGTTGGGATTACGGAAACGCAGAGACTTCGAACACCGACACTGGCCAGGGATCCATGGAGGCTCTTTATTTTGGGACGTCCACGGCCAACGGCTGGGTGTCGGGTTCAGGTAGCGGTCCATGGATCCAGGCCGATCTGGAGAACGGTTTGTGGTCTGGAGGCGCGACATACCAGCCCGGAGATGTAAACCCCAACAATCCTTCAATCGACTACCGCTTCACAACGGGTATCGTCAAAGGAGACGACACTAATCTTTGGGCCATCCGTGGAGGGAACGCCCAATTCGGTCTCCTCGGCAACTTTTACTCGGGGCCCCGACCCACCCAGCCCGCAGGTCAGGATCAATACTATCCGATGCGTAAGCAGGGCGCCATCATCTTAGGCATTGGCGGTGACAACAGTGATGGGGCACAAGGTACCTTCTATGAGGGTGCTTTGACAATTGGATATCCCAGCGACGCGACTGAGGATCTTGTGCAGCTGGACATTCTCGCCGCGGGCTACGGCACTACCTCCCAGACAAGTGGTCCTCCCGTATTTGAGGGTCAGGTCATCACCTTGCAAGATGCACAGAGCGAAATGTACCTGGGACACGATGTGAATGATGTCTACGTCGTCCCGTCAGCCTCGGCATCCACACAATTCAAGGTGGTTGCACCAAACGCGCCAAATTCGGGCTGCTTCTCTTACGAGTCAGTGGACCAGCCTGGTACATTCTTGCGACACTTTGCATATCAGCTCTTCTGTGACAGTCCCAATAATTCGGACCGATCCCCTGGTACCTTCGCAGACGACTCGACATTCTGTCCCGAGACTGGCTTCGCCGCCTCGAGCGATAATGCTTTCCGCTCTTACAGCTACCCTACTCGGTTCTGGCGTCAAGTCGACGATGGCAACGTATACATCGGAACGCAGGGCGGACCTTTCGCTTGGGACAACTGGTACGAATTCACGACGCAGGCAAGCTGGAAAGTTAATACGGTAAGCCTGAGCTTCTAAAGTAGGCGTATAATGTGAGCGAGGGAGTAGGAAAAGCCGGTCATTGTGTTTATAAAAAGGAGATGCATACTGTATCAGGCCTCTTCGTTCAAAAGCGGGTATATCACTTGCTACCTCGATTACATTGCTTGCCTTCTCCCTCACCCGCATACTGGGGTTCTCGTCACATCACAGTAATTGGCGCAAGCCGGGACGATGGTCTGCCAATCTACCCAAGTCAGACGGCTGCAATGAGCCCAGACTCACCAAGTCTGGCGGGCTGTCCGACGTTATTACATTGTTGCAAAGTTGCCCCAACGCACTGGTACCTGCCATATGTGCAGGAACTTCCGACAGCAGCCTGAACGGCTGAACTGGAAACAGGAGCGGAGGCTACGATCTGAATGGAAGCAGAGCTAAGGCCTACGCTCGAGACTGGATCTGGGTTGTCGCCCGCGGGGCTGTCGGGCCTCCACTGCTTGATATTTGTATCCAAGACTTTATAGCTGATGCCAGACGGGTTATTGACGGTACATTCTCCACCAAGAGCTGACCAAGCCTCGGCTACTTTCTTAGCGGATCCTTTTTCACGCTTACCAGACAAGTCGATGTGGTCATCCTTGGCGCAATTTTCACATGAATCCCAGATGTAGAACGGACCGTCCGGTCCGTGAATCTCTTTACCAGAAGCGTCGAAGATCTGAACTCTTTTGGGGTCAGTGACAGGTCGTGTACGATGAGCTCACTGCTTTCCACACCATTTGGCTCGGTTTGCCCAGACTAAATCTTGGTTGAAGGCGACGATCGAATTGCTGCCGATTTGAGCAGGGGATCGGTACCCAGCGTTCGGCGCGCACTTGGTAGGCTGATTGTTAGGCCCCAAGGCCCATTGACCACCGCCCGTTATCGAGTCCTCAGAAGTGCAAAAGGAATTTGTTAAGTCGTAGTAGCTGGTTCCGGCTCGTCAGGGCTGATCAGCACGAAGAACGTACACAGTGGCAGACGTTCCCTGCTTCTCGAAGAGGACCGCCAGCGTCCCTCTGCTGAGTACAAGAAGTGGCAAGGTGATGGACAGACGGGCGGGCATGGCTTGACATTGTTCTACGCAGTGTCAGATGGTCTGCAATGGTATACATTGTCAAGCACCCTGATGATGCATGCATGCATGCTGCGTTCGTGTCATCACTTATTTCCCTTCATGTACTATCTTGGAGGTCGGGGCAGAGCGACAAAGGTTGGCTTTACTAACGCCAGACTCTGGCGTTGGAACAGCCAAAGAAATTTCGCCGAGTCCTTGGATTAGGCATTATAGGCGTGGGTCGGGTGAATCCCAAGGAGTTGAATTATCTACTGATGGTGAAACCCTTTTGAGGATCTTACGAAAGCCTGCAAAACGATGTACGATGGATCTGTAGTCTCACGGGGCTCTGAGAGAGCCATATCTTTGGAGAAACCATCCTCCAGACTGTCGTACTGAGACTCAATGCGTATGAACTGTACCGACTTGACTAAGACCGACTTTCGGTCGCGAAATTGAATAGCCTATACATCGCATATCGGGTGCCTTTTTTTCGGACTCCCACTCCCCAAGGCAATTACGTTGGGGCCGAATGGACCGGGCATGCTTACAGCCTATTCTTTCCGGACCCTACTTACCTGCTCGGCGCCCAAATTTCTCAATCCTCATTACGCGACCCTCATCTTCAGTTTTGATCTGTTGATAATGTCTGCTCCGCCTGCGATATGGACACAAGCGGCTCTGAGACCTTCGTGACCAACTCACATGGCAGCGAGTCCACCAAGTTCGGCTCCTGCACAAGATGCCGCACTGCCAAGGTGAAGTGCAGGCGACCAGGAAATGACAACTCGATTCCTTGCATTCGGTGTACCAGCTCGAACCTGACGTGTGAGACGATATCATACCGGTCAGGAAGGAAGCGAGGATCAAAAAAGTGAGCTGAAAGTCTGGGTGTCCGCGCTGAACCTGTCAGTCGCAGATCACGATCATCCGTCGTGGCCTCCCTTCGCCCTGGGGCTGACTTGGCGGAATCTTCCACACAGGCCATGGATGGTAGCCTATCAGATCCAATCGATGAGAACGCTGGCCAAGCAAGACCCTTGTCCAACGCTAAATTCTCCATACTCGACACAGAGACCTCTCTCAATCCTCTAGGGTACCTCACTAATGCCGTCGAAGAACTGCAAGTCGATGCATTCAGCTCGCGCGGTCCGCCTCGGGCTAATACACTCTTTTTCGGGCTACCGCGCAGCAGGCTGGACGTTGGTATGGACAAGGATCCAATTTCTACCGGAATTATACACTATACTGAGGCTGTCCGGCTGTTTGAATAGTAAGGGGCAGGAAGTGCGCGCAGTGCTGAGGAAGGGTAGCTATCGAGCTCATTTAACCGGAGTCCGTTTCGGACTTGATCCAGAAATCTATACTGTGAGATTACAGCTTTTCTGTGATGCTCATCCCGATCTCAGCTGGACTATATGCGATGTAGATCCGCGTTATTGTTCACAGCAAGCCTCGCAGGAGCAGCAAAGTTTATTCAAGGAGCTGCAGAACTATCGTCTCGATTGTCAGCTCACGTGCAATCACTTTTACAGCTCGTCTTGGAACAGGGTTACCGCTCGATAGAGATTGCATTCTCCTTTCTCTTCATTGCTCCTTGGCTGGCTCCCGGTGAACATATCTCCGATGATCCTACAGCACAGTATGTTGCACTCTGTATCAACATGGCTCTGGCACTGCACATGGACAAGAACACTACCACCGACGAGACGATCTCCGACGCTTCATCTCTGACTCTTAGTGTAGAGCAGATCTTGGCTATTGACGGCCTTGACGATATCTCCCTCGGTGACCCGATGATCAGAAGGCTGGTGAGATCACGGCAGAGGATGTGGTATTGCATGTACTTCTTTGACAGGGCGTGAGGACACTATACAAAGTGCAGCGGCTCATTGACTTGAAGTGTCGCAATGGCCAGAGGACGTCCCTATATTGCCCCCAGTGGGAAGATGCTGAGTGAATGTGGGTTTCGGATGGATCACTCAAGTCTTACGACTGTCTAGGTGAGACCTGGCATACGGATGAATCGAGTCTACCGCAAGACACAATCATCACTGCCATTGTGACTCTCTATCGGGATTACGGGACTCTCATAGAGGCGATACACCTTGCAGACGAGCGAGCGGCGGGAATAAATGTAGAAGCCAGGTAAGGGTCCACCATAACCCAAAAACTCATGATTTCAGCATCATAACACTCATTGATGATTATTTCTCCTCTTGGCACGCGCAGTGGGATCTGGCGCTTGCTGAAGGTAGGTCAAGCGCGGTGCATGTTCTGACTATGTCTAGCAGCCTCAAAGGCCGGTTCCACGTCTCCCTATCCGAGCATCATTGTGGCACAGATTCGACTGTCTGCTTATGCAATGTTGCTGGGCTCGAGGCGTATCCGTACAGCTTCTACCTTGCTCAGACAAGCTGGTCGTCAAGCAGCAATCGCCCTTTTAGAGCAAGTGGTAGCTCACAAGACTTGGATTCGATACGCAGTGGGTCCATGCGAAAGCAGTGATATTGAGTTTGATCCTAGCACAATCAAACGGTCATAATGATAGCTTTCGCCGTCTCCTGGGTCATTAAAGATCATCAGGAGGGTTATACGCCAGCGGTCGGGAATTCTGCTTGTTGCATTCCTCAGGATCATCTGGATCTCATAAACAAAGTACTCGATGTCTTATTCCTGATCGGGTCCCAACCGGAGCATCGCAATGGCTACGGCACGGTGTATAGCGCTCATCTTCGGGCACTCCTGTGGAGATTGAACACCGACAGAGTACTTGGGCCACCATTGAGAGACAGTCCTCTGCGGGAGCTTTTAGCGGACGCATCGGCGGTAGGTCCACAAACTCAGCACGAGTTGGATCTCGGCTGTTGGTTGGATTGGCTGCGGTGATCAGGTCGTTCGTTGCCTTTGGCAAACATCATGCATGCTCTCTGATCAGCCTGATCCTGCTTGGTATACCTTGCCGAACATCAATTGCTGGAATACATCGTAAAGCGTCAAAGCACCGGCCCCGGCAAAGCCACTTCGACGAACATCAGCCGATGGGCCTTTCGTTTGTCTACACTCACCGTAGGATATTGGCCCCTGCGCCGCGGAACATGCTGCTAGCACCCTCTGCAGCGATGACTTTGCGGAAGGCGTCCAGAGTGTTCTTGTATTTGACAGTATTGACTCCTTCCGCCGCGGAAGTCATCATCATTCTCCTCCGAATTGTGTCAAACGGATACCTGGACCTATTCAGTGCCTGCCCGTCGGTAGTCTGAGCGAGCTCACGCAGCTAAGCCAGCTAGAGTAGTGACACCATATCCAATGCAGAAGTTTACGGCAGGGTTCTGATAGCCTGCGGGCACGAGGGGCTTGATCGAGTCGTACAGCCCGAAGTATCCTCTGTGATGGTCAGAAGTCTTTTGTACACCCTACTGACCCTCTGTACACGATGATACCCATGACGGACGAATTGAAACCTCGATACAATCCGGCAACACCGTCTGTCTTCAATGTCTTCTTGCTGGGATGCGTCAGCGCTGGTTTCCACCTTTACGCACTAGACATCGATTAAGCCATCGAACTGTCTCTTGCCCCCGGACGACGCGTTTTTCGAGTCCACCGAAAGGCGAGTCCTAGCGTAGTCCAGCGAATAGACGAAGAGACCTGATGCATGAGCACCGAGACAGCTCGTGCCACTCACTGCCTGTGGCTCCCGCTGCTGCTCCAGAGGCAATGTTGCCGAGAAGGAATGGGACATATCCGTCAGACCTTTTCCGGCCGAAGAATGTCTTATAGTAGTCCTTGAAGGCAAAGTTCAAGGCTTGAGTGGGGAAGTACCGCAATACATTGGTTCCATTGCCCCGCCAGAATGATGCGAGCCCTTCTTCAGACTAGAGAGCGATGAGTTTTCCTCCACTGAAGCCAAGCAAACTCACATAGACCTTTCCTGTGACGTCAGCCAATGCACACGAGGAAAGACGTACCAAACGTCGTGATGATACCCTTGTACTCTTGAGGACGAATCTGGACCAATAGCTTTACTCGTTCCTGGCCATGTTTAGCATCGTGTCGGGCAACATCTTGTCACGCACAATCGGCGCTCCAACAGTCTTGGATATACTTGCTGCCACACCGCCCATCAGGAAATTGGTGAGCCATTCTGACCCCGTTCCTTCAGCTGTTGATGCTTTCGACATGATTGATATGGCATGGCAATATCGGTGGAATGTGATCAGGTCCAATATAAATACGGCGAGGCATGTGACGTAGATCCGACATCTCCCGAAAGGTCGTCCGCGACCGGAAGATTCATGGGGAAGTCAGGAGAGACCGATCTGCTGCAATGCGAGTCGTGCACACTGCTCAGCATCCCTCATGGACCGGAGAGTAGGCTCCGTTATGCGAGTAGAGCTGTTTCGTATCAAGATACTTGCTCTCGTTGGTTCCCAGTCCCCGTTTGTACGGTCCAGGGCATCGGACCAAGTCGTTGCACGGCATCCGCGACATTATGCCTCGGATTCCGATCACCTCAAAATTCCCGTTCAGTCTCTCGGTTGAGGCCGAAAGCGTGGCGTGCGGCCTTCCAGTGGCAGGAATAGACAGCTGCAATCTGAGGTGTGCCGATGAGATTGATGGGGGCTGACACGCTGATCGATAGTTCTCTACATCATGTACTCATCAGAATGCGGTGTTCCCTTGATGCCCCGCCGGTGTTCTCTTGATGCCCCGACCTTTGTAAGAAATAACTATTTGCCCCCATCTATACAATTGACAGCGCAAGGCTAGCCATCTCCCTAGGTCCATTGGTCCATACCAGATGCACAGCATACAGTGTCGGATGGTGGAGCGGGATAGGCAGGAAGCATACGCTTGTTGAGCGGGATACATTTCTGCGTCATGCATTTAGAAATAGAAGGCGCATAACGAAAAAAATAGTCCTTTTCCCGCAAAACAAGAAGGATGAATGGTAACCTCCCATAATTGTGCTGCCGCCACTTTCAACCCCTCGGCAGACGCCAGGCGTGTCTTTTTTGCGGTGGCGGCCAGCGTGAGCTGGCTCCTTTTTTTTTAGGGGAGCAGTCACAACCCCCAAGGAATATAAACAACGACGCAACCCGAATCGACGGAAATAGCTCGTACGCTTGGGGGGGACGCTGAGGGTCGAGCATGGATTTAGAGCGGATCAACCCTGTACTTTGTTTCCCTTTCGCGCTGTACCCTTTGTTTCAATCAAACAAAATCGTACACTGCCCATTCCCATATCTCTAAAAATAAGTCGCGAGTCTCGTCAGTTGTAGCAAGTTGCTGCCATTCACAGAACTGCGATGGAAAAAGGGTTCATACATGAATAGGTCCAAAAGAATAGACTGAGCGGCTCATCTCCTCAGTTTATAAAGGATGACCGTATAAGAATTGCTACCCCCTGTCTCTTCTCACACGCACAAAATTGATCATCATGCCTGGTCAACTCGAAAGGCTCCTGCGCCTGTCGGCGCCTTTGCTGTTGGCGACCATGGGGGAGGCGAAGTCTGTCGATGGCGGAGAATCATCAAAACGGGCGACAGGCAATGTTGTGGCGCCTTTGCAGTTCAATCAGGTCTCCGAGTCCATCGGAGTCAGCGCGCAGCAGGTCGGTCGTGGATACGCTCCCAAATGATCACACGCTGAGTGATGCGTCCAGATGTTTTTAGGTACCACATCCAAGGTTTATGTTTTGGACAAGACGGAACACAACCCTGTCAACATCACCAACGAGTGGGGGACACATCCCGCTTGGTCTGTCGAATACGACATAACAACCAATGACTGTAAGTGAGACCAGCAAGGCCATTACTCATCCTTCAGACCGTACCCTGGATGTTTGGTCCAACACATTTTGTGCCGGAGGTGGTGTCTTAGGCAACGGCAGTTGGGTTGTATTCGGTGGGAATCAACGTGAGTGTTGATCAGGTTTTCATTGCTGAGTGTGAATAGCCGTCACAGTCGGAGGGGCGGCCTCGAATGGAGTCGCTGGAGACTATGACGACACGGATGGAGGAACAGCCATTCGCATGATCGATCCTTGTAGTGACATGACTTGCGAATGGCAGCAAGGCTACACCAACTATTCCAATCATGGTGACTCTGGCGGATACCTGAGAATGTTGTCGCGTCGCTGGTATCCTACCGTTGAGGCCTTGGAGGACGGGACCATGATCGTCATCGGGGGAGACCAATGGGGTGGTTATGTCAATGGCGCCAATCAGGACAACCCCACTTACGAATTCTTCCCTCGAAACGGAAGCGACGAGACATACTACCTCCCTTTCCTGGCGGAGACTCTGCCTACCAATTTATTCCCCCTCACCTGGCTCATGCCATCCGGAAGGCTTTTCATGCAAGCTGCCAGGTCCTCCATCATGTACGACTGGAGAAGCAATACCACCACCCAATTACCGGACATGCCGTACGCGACACGAGTTTATCCTGCATCCGCTGCGTCTGCATTGCTACCTCTCATTCCGGACAACGATTACACACCTACGGTGCTCTTCTGTGGTGGGTCCAACCCGCCCACCTTTGGCGCGTCGACTGGACCAGGTTTCAACATCACCAACGTCACGGCCGACAACTCGTGTGTTCGCATAAACCCAGATGATCCAAACCCAACTTACACTGATGATGACTTCTTGGTGGGTTCTCCTCTAGCAGGACGACTTCAGCTGACATCAACAGTTTGAGGGCCGAAGTATGGGAGAGTTTGTTCACTTGCCTGACGGGACTATCTGGATGGGCAATGGTGTGGGCATGGGTACCGCCGGGTACGGCCCTCCTTTCTACTCAATTGGACGTGAGTGTGGCCGATCGTCGTCTAGGTAATGTGACCTGACGTTTTATCAGAGGGCTACGGCCAAGCTCCAACATACATGCCAGCAATCTACAACCATTCCGCCCCTCAAGGCTCCAGATGGAACAGAACAGGACTGGTGGCCTCCAGCAACGAGCGAATGTACCATTCATCCGCCATCCTCTTGCCGGATTCGTCCGTCCTCATCTCTGGTTCTAATCCCAATGCCGACTTCTCCGACCTGCAATGGCGCTCTCGTACCGACGCCGAGCTCTGGTATCCATGGTACTTCAACGAGCCTCGACCCTCTTTCGGTGATGATCTGCCAACGACCCTGGGCTATGGAGGAGACTACTGGAATGTGACCTTGAACACTACTGACGAGGGTGAGGTCTCAACTGCAAAAGTGGCTGTCCTTCGGGGAGGATTCCACACCCACGCTATCGGGTTTGGAATGCGATACCTTCAGCTCAACTCTACCTACACCATCGATGAAGAGAGTGGAACGTCGACGCTCCATGTCTCCCAGTTCCCTGGCTTCCCTGGACCCGCACTTTACCAACCTGGTCCGGCCATGATCTTCCTAGTCGTCAACGGTGTGCCGTCCATTGGAGAATTTATCATGGTCGGAAACGGGCAATTGGGTGTCCAGCCCACGGCGCCTGATGCAGAGCTCCCCGCTATCTCAACCATTGAGATTCAGAACACCACAAGCAGTGCAAACGACACGACCAGCTCGGAGTCAGCGTCATCCAGCAGCCACATTCACGTAGACAAATCTTCTGCTTCTCTCTCTATTATGCCGCGTACCAGTCACGCATGTGTAGCTGTATTAATCGGTCTGGCGACCTGGGCTGTGCTCTAGACTCGCAACAACAGACATGCATGGACAATTGTTTCTATGACTAACAAATCGGAAGAGATATCAAGCCCGGAGGCGTGAATTAAGGTTATTTCCACAAGTGGCAGCGCCGCATGACGAACGTGCACAAGGTCACCTGTCCAGGTCACACCGGGAGCTAGATGCTTAGGGACATACATCTATCCCCATGACTCGCGAGACTAAAGACGACAAGGACGTCGAGATCCAAGAAAATGCCGCCGCAAAGGGTGCCAGAGATGTAAGGCGAGATCTTACGTACGATGAGGCCAAGGAGATCGCCCGAGAGGAAGGCATGCGGCCGGCATTTTATGCCAAAGTGAACGTGCTGAACGATGCCATTTTCGAGATTGGCATGGGGAGGTACCAATTGGAACTCTTCATCACAGCCGGCTTTGGATGGATGGCAGATAACTTATGTGAGTCTCCTTGCTAGCTTCAGAGCTGACAGTGTCATCAGGGCTTCAAGCAATTGCGATTGTTATGCCCGCCGTGGCTAATGAGTGGGTCGGTTATCCCCATATCCGTTTGGCAACTCTGGCATTGTACGTGGGATTGATCTTCGGTGCCACTTTCTGGGGCATGTCGTGTGACGTGATCGGGTGGGTATTACGACTGTGCTGCATCGCTGAGGCCATCAGTCGCCGGCTTGCATGGAACTCTACCCTGCTGGTCTCCGGCATTTTCGGCGTCGCTGTTGGGGCGGCCCCGAATTATGTCGCCTTTGCCTCGTTGATCGCTTGTGTCGGTTAGTGAAAGGTGGATCAATATTACTCGGCATTGACAAATGTTGCAGGCTTTGGAGCCGGCGGAAACTTACCGGTCGACGGTACCATGTTCCTGGAATTCATTCCAGGTCCACATCAATACCTGTTGACATTCCTGTCGGTCTGGTGGGCGATAGGTCAAGTAATCGGAAGTTTGATCTCTGTGAGTGGATTCAACGCCAAATGCTGAACCAGTCAGTGGGTTTTCTTGGCACATTACGGATGTCCTACTCGTAAGATTTAGCACCCGCCAATGCGCTGACCTTGTTCCAGCTCCAGCAGGAGAGTTCTGCTCGAGGGAAAGCAACATGGGTTGGCGTTATGCCTATTTCTGCATGGGCGCTCTGATGATCTTTCTGTGGGCGATTCGATTCTTTGTATTGCCAGTGTATGAGAGTCCAAAATTCCTGGCTTCTGTGGGTAGAGACGAGGAGGCGGTCGCAGTGAGTCTCAGATACAGGTCTTAGGGAACTGACGGCGATTCGCAGGTGATTCATAAAATTGCCAAACGCAACGGAACCACTTCGTCTCTGACCATCGAGCATCTTCGAGACGCCGCACTCCCTTTCTTAAGTGATGAGACCGATCTATCGATCACCACCAAGTTCTCCACCTTGGAGTTGGTCAAGCATTCATTCGATAACATGAGTGCCGACCACATCACCGCTCTCTTCTCAACACGACGTCTCGCTTTGTCGACCTCCCTTGTCATATTCTGCTATGCGTCTCTTGGACTCGGATATCCTCTGTTCAACGCATTCCTTGGTACCTTTTTGGCAGAAAAGAATGCGAATCTGGGCAACGCTTCCCTAAATGCAACCTATTCGGCATACAGTGAGTGGCGCCGCCAAAAATGGGATGGCCTGACTTTGTCCAGCCTATCAGGCAGCGTGCGGAGTTCCTGGATCCATACTTGCCGCATTGCTCGTAAATTGGAGTCGTGGAGGCCGAAAATTCGCCATGTCCTTCTTCACCATAATGGCTGGCGCCTTTTTGTTCGCCTTGATTGCTAGCAAGACGACCACACAGACGAACGCACTGGTATCTGTTGCCTCATTTTGGGAAAACGCATTCTGTGAGTCGTCCCAACGAGCCGCCGGGCATGGCCTTACATTTGTCACAAGATGGTGTTCTCTATGGCTACGCACCTGAAGTCTTCCCCACGCCCTCCCGTGGCACTGGAGATGCGCTCGCATCTGCTGCTTCCCGGTTCACCGGTCTCTTCGCACCAATTATCGCCGCGTACATTCCCGACAGTGTCAATGGACCCGTCTATGCTTCTGCATCTATCTTTATGCTGTGGGTTCAGTGTCGAGTGTATAAGCTTTCGCTGAACGGTCTCAGAACTGGCATAGTAATGCTATTCCTGCCCATCGAGACGGTTGGAAAAACTGCACTGTGAAACCTTTCAATCGCGTTGTGGGTCGAAGATAGTCCAATGAGGCAAAGGATGCATAACTATGAAGCAAGATATTTCAAGCTCTTATCGGCATCGGCGTGCCCATTGCATTCTTCGCCTTGAAGGTGAAATCCTTTCCGAGGTGTGCGGTTTTGGCTCCCAGTTTCGCTTTGATCATAGTGAAGCTGGCTCGTGCATCGGCGTCGAGTAGGTCGTAGGTGCTCTGCGCATAGTGGAGAGATGGTGCAATGTTGAATCAAGTGGTTCTCCTGTAAGATTGGCTCTGTCAGCTGGAGTGGGTGTCAGTCACCAATGTTACATCGACTCCCCTTGAGCAGTTGTGCTGTATTCTTGTGCAAATGCGCGCGCTGAGTCCCCAACATGACACGGGTATACAGCTCTCGGACTGGTTCGTTTTCAGAGGTCACCCCTTCATGCGACTCAGGCGATTGTCGAGACATGATACCGTCTGCCACCTGCATGGGAGTTACGGTCCGTAGACAGCCGGGACTCTTTAGCAAGGATTAGTTGAGGAGTACGATTTGGGGAACTCGACCTATCCGCGGGCTAGGCGAGATCTTCTCACATAAGAAGGTCTCTTGGTGGACTTCCGTCGACCGCATCGCTGGCGAGCAAGTTGAACCAGGTATCTTATAGATTCACTGTGGGTTCGTGAAGAACCTCAAAAGCATGCAATGAAGCAGTCAGCATATGCTCATTATACAGAGACAGGCCGCTGAGTAGCCCTGACGCTGTATGTTTCTCCTCGTCCCAGAAAGACTACACGGTCCTTCAAGCCAGCCTTCTCCACCTCGATCCTAAAGTCGTCCAGTGGACTAGCAAAGACGTCATAATCGTCAAAGTGAATGGGAATTGTGATATCAGGATCTACTAGCTTGATCAAGTCTACGCCCATCTTGGCGTCCATCGTTACCATGAGCATGGGAAGACGGGGCGATGGGATGGTGGTGCCTCCCAAGTGCGCTAACATCAGATGAATTGGTCTGCCAGCTTTGGAGTATCGCTCTGGGATCTGCACCAGATCATCGATGAGAAGCGTGTCTCCAGTGATGTAGATTCGGACGAGGTCGGTAGTCGCGGCGGATGATGAGAGTTCGATGACCCAGCCGTTCACTGGTGGAACCGCGCCGAGCATGTCATTGATCTTTTCGAGGGCTCCAGGAGGAACGTGTTTCCCAGGCGCAGCTGTGATTTCGACATGCATGTCGTTGTCTTTGACGTTCACTCGGGCCGTGTCCCATGTATCCAGCTCCAGGACACTAGAGAACCTCTCAACCTCTGCCCGATTGTCGACAAGACAAGATTTGGCATGGGGAGTGGTGATGATCGGGATATCCCTCCTTAAAGCATCTTCCACTTGCTTGTCAAAGTGATCTTCATGATAGTGACTGAGAAGCACAAGGTCGATGTGGGGTAAGTGATCAAGGTCCATAGAGGGTTTAGTCGTTCGCGTCGCAGTGACCCCAGGTCCGAGATGGACGTGGTCTCCAGCATGGAGAAAGTTGGGATCGGTGAGTATCGTCAGGGGCCCATATTGTAGGAGAGTGGTCGCTGTGCCAATAAAAGTCAGAACGGCATGCTGTTCTGAGTCGTGGTCCACGAGCCCCCCGGAAGGCCGGAAACGTGTCGTGGGGGAGGTCTGTCGCGTCGAAGCCGGTCGCGTGTCGGAAGGATCAAGCAGGAGGTGCTTGCTGGTCATGGTATCAGTGACACTGCTCACAGCTACTATCGCAGCTGCATCTCCACTCCTGGTCTACCTCTAGATCATGTCATCTCAGCGTCATCAAGCGGTCCATTGTTCTGGTCATCACCCAAAGGGACAGACAGCTTCCGGCCAGCACCGAAATCTGGCCGAAGAGGGTGGAGGTGGAGGTCATCGTCCTTGGAATGCACCGAGTATAAGTAGGTAATCCCGCTTGCTTCACCTTGCTCGCATGTCATCGACGACCATGAGTCCAGTCAAGGTCGGGATCATAGGCTACGGCAACTCTGCACGTGTCTTTCATCTACCTCACATCCTCTCCGTTCCGGAGCTATCGCTCGTGGCCTTCTTCCAGCGAGCTCGAGCATCTAATGACGACAAGCCAAAGAGCTCGGACGATTACCCCAATTGCAAACACTATCACGACTTTGACAAGTTCCTGGCCGACGAGAACATCGAACTCGTGGTAGTGACCACGCGAGACGATTCGCATGCCGACTTATCCATAGCCGCACTTGAAGCAGGAAAGAATGGTTAGTCTCACTGATCTGAGTTGGACTGACCTCCAGTCGTTTGCGAAAAGCCACTCGGTCAGACATCGGAGCAAGTGTTACGAATGCTGGAGGCTCAGAAGAGGAGCGGCAAGATCTTATTCCCCTTTCAAAGCAAGCGGACACTCATGACAGAGGCTGATGCATAGACCGCCGATATGATTCGGATTTCCGCACTGTCCAGAGGGTCATCCAGAGCGGAGCTCTCGGTGACATTCACGAGATGGCGCTCCATTACGACTGGGACCTACCAGCATGGATAGCAGGCATGGGGGATAAGCCATACACTCCTGGAGCAGGAATGATGTTTGGTATCGGTTGCCACAAGCTGGACCAAGCTCTGGCACTGTTCGGTCGGCCGTCCACAGTCACCGGGTTTTATCGGGCCTTGCGACCGGGAGCTGGTGATTCCAAGATAGACGACACATTCACCATCGTCTTGCACTACCCAAAGAGCGGCCCGCATCGGAATCTCGAAGTAGTGGTCAAGTGCAATGTCATAAACAAAACGAAGCACCAGTTTGCATACTTCGTCCGTGGGACCAAGGGCAGTTTCCTCAAGTTGGGTGAAGATCCTCAGGAAGCTCAGGTTCAGAGCGGGATGAAGCCTTCTGACGAAGGGTACGGTGAAGAGGACGAAGACATATGGGGCGATCTCGCAAGTGAGGATCGAGCGAATGACTCTCAGGTCAAGCGGGGAAGCCTCTGGTGTGGGAAAGTCAAAAGCGAAAAGGGTAGCTGGGGAATGTACTACCGTGACGTCGCCAAGGCGGTTCGAGGCGATCCTGTCGTGGTCAAGGCAGAGACATCGGCAGATGGTATTCGTATCATTGAGCTTGCCCGCGAAAGTGCAGAGAAGGGGCGATCAATGGTCTTCGAGGCCTGAAGGACCTGAACGGTATTTCGCTGAGCATCAGAGTAGCTGGAAGTATCATGCATGGCTGTCCTGATTGTGCTGAACGTTCATGTGGGACGTCGTGTTTCTCGCTACCCTTAAAGCTCTGTCGTGGCAACCCTACCATCACCAGCAAGACAGCCGATCTCCGATACACAAGGACTCATGTCCAGGGGTGCAGGTCAGATGATATTGACGTGTCCAAGTTGTTCCAAGCTCGAGCCAACCTCTTCAAGCGGAAGAGGATCAACCACCATGCGCAAAGACGTAGAACAGCTGGATGGGTCTCCTTGTCGGAATATCTCCACAGCTTCTTTGCAACCGAAGCTTTCCAAGCACAAACCGTCCTGCGAAGGGATTTTCCAGTCAGGGGCAGCTGTGGAAGGCTTTTGACGCTGTGATCCTCCAGTCAGGTCAGGACGAACGACTAGATTTGCGTCCTCGATGTGCCACACCGCTGAGCGACTGCTAGCTCCTCGACCAGCTTTGTGGTGACATCCCGAGCCGGAAGGGAACGACAGGATTGTACGCCTTGTCCAGCCCAGAACGCCCCGAAGCCCGGATCGTCAGCCGCCTTCGCGGAGGTGTACAGAGCCTTTCCAGCATGGTAGGTAAGAGGGTAATCAGGAGGCCTGATCTGAGGATTCTCTTCCTCCATGCGGGTAAACTTGGTCGTCAAAGACCGCGCTGGACGGCCCGAGACGAAAGTGGTCATGCGCGTCGAGGTGATTATCTCAATCGCTACTCTATACGAGTCGTCTGCGGCCGACTCGGGACAGAGCAGGTAAGCAGTTCCTAGCTGAGCGGCTTCCGCACCGAGGGCCATCACCGCGGCGATGCCCTGACCGTCCATGATTCCTCCAGCTGCGACGACGGGTAGCTTTGTCGAGCGAGTCAAGAGACTGGTGAGGACAAGTGTCGATAACCGTTGGTCCTCTGCTTGAAGGTCAAATATGCCCCGATGTCCCCCCGCTTCATACCCTTGAGCGATGAGAATGTCTACTCCGGCATCCTCTGCGAGTTTCGCCTCGCTCAAGCAGGTGACGGACGCCATGAGAATGATGCCCCGGCGCTTGAGCCTGTGGATGATCTCAGGCGACGGCAAGCCAAAGTGGAAACTGAGGATGCGTACACCCTCATCGAGAATGGCTTGTAACTTTTCTGGATCGTGGTCAAAATCCTTGTAGATCACTTCCAGAGGTCCCGGGAAATGCGTGTTGGCTCCAGCAAAGTGTGGGCGAAGGATATCTATCCAGACAGATTCTCGAATGGGATCCTTCTGAGGAGGCTTGTTCGTGAAGACGTTCACATTGAATGGTTTGTCTGTCAAACGCTTGATCTCCCTGATCGCGGTCCGAGTCTGTTCATGATTCATCGCTCCGACGCCTATGGAGCCTAAGCCTCCAGTATTTGATACCGCAGCAGCCATAGCTGGGGTACTGACACCAGCCATTGGCGCTTGGATGATGGGGTGCAGTATGCCTAGACGTGAGAGCATGGTGTGGATCTAACCATCAGTATAAAATCACTCACGAGCAGCCGCAACGGGCGTCCTTTATCAGTCATGACGAGTGATCTTTATGCCACGTCACAATTTACGCCCTTCGCCGACGCCACCCTGTCCTCTTTCGATATCACCTTCTTCCTCTGCGGATGACATTCAGACGGTTGCTGCGTCTACTGCGAGATGATATCCAAGCACTGACTTGAAGGATTGGAGGTGGATGCAGCAACACGATCTGTGCTAGTATGAGGTGATCGACCAAAGGAGGACTCTGAATTCTGACCCCGGTGACATGCCATCCACCATGCGTCGGTCAGCCTCCGCCACCTCATCCCCTTCACGACCTCATCGCGCCATGCGCCGTACGCCATCCTCATCCTCGCAGTACCGGGAACCAGCTGTGGGGTCCGATGATCCATCTACGAAGTCCCAGATATATGTTCTTTCCGCAGACGGTTCCTCTCTATTCCTTTTGGATCCCAGCAAGCCTGATGGCAACGAAGAGCCTCCTCCCTATGCCCCATTTCGCATCACCCCTCCAGAAGTGAGACAGAGCGGTTCTGACGAGCCAACTGGCGGAATTAGAGCCATGAATCTTGCTCCCCCTGCCCCTGGAATTTCGAGTCCCCTGCGATCACCTCAATCAGGTCATGCTTTCCCTCCAGGCACAATCATTACCCCAGAGGCCAGAGCCCGAGCCGTGACTCTACCTGGGAGGTCAAGATCACCACACGAGACGCCTACCCGGTCCATCGTTCGAAACTCTTCATCTTTCACCTCGCCAAACAACACTCGATCTGCCCGTTCGACTCGGTCACTTCGTCCGCCAAATGATCGCACACGGTCCCAGCAGTCCATTGCTACGTCCATAGGCGCAACGTCCGTCCGAGTGCCAGATGAGAGGACGTCGCTGCTGAGTCCGGACGATTGGGTCGAGGTGAATTATTATAGAGGACGCGGACGATGGCGAGCTATATTCTGTGGAGAGGTCGAGGAAGGCGAGGAAGTGGTGACTTGGAGTGGAGGCTGGAAACGCTATTGGAGGACGCTCAGCGAGCGTCAAGCATGGAGAGGACTCGTGCATCTCATCCTCTTGACATTTCCGTTCGTGAGTGGTTCGCTCTGATGGCGAGCTTTGAGCTGAGTCGCCAGGCTCTCCTTGTTTGGCCATTCCTTCTTGCTGGTACTCTGGCGGGGACAGCTCTCCTTATCACGTTGCCTCTTGGTGCGGCAGTGTGGTGGTTGACTCTGTTCCTAGCACGGTCCGCTGCCCGTCTCGAGGTGAGTCTGCCAAGGCGCAGAAATTACGCTGATACTCCAAAGATCATCACCCAGCTGCACTACCACTCTCCCCTGAGCCCATCACGGCGACATCCAGCGTATCATCCCATTTTCCATCACCCGAAGGAGGTCCTATCGAGTCCTGACCCCCTCGAGACAGATCCTGACTGTGCAGATATCCACAGTGATGAGGAAGGCGGGACCGATGAAGTAGTCTGGGAGACGCGCTTCATCAAATGCTCCTATGCCATGGTAAGAGGTCAACGATGTGACAGTCATTCATTCTCCTTCAGTTCTGTGATCACTACTCTTACTCTGCTCTCGTCTATTTTCTCCTCATCAAGCCTCTGGTGGTCCTCTTCCCTACCATTTTCATCGTTGCATTGTTCCCCGTCTGTTTTCTGACCATCTTCGCGCTCCCAGTGTACCTGCGGGCTATGCGTCGTTGGGGCAAATGGCAGGCAGGTATAGCTGTAGAAAATCTATGAGAGCGGTTGGTTTTGTAGCATAGAGTCTAGTTGTATTCGAGTTTTGCATCGGCTGTTTCATCACAACTTGACGCGGCAAAATCGCTGCCGATCCCATTTCATCATTCATCAATATACTGTCTAGGCCAAAGATAGCTTCTATTGCCAGCTATGCTTGGTGGGTCGAGCTCTAGTGGATCTTCAGTGCGTTAAGCTGACGTGCTGTTGTCTGCCTTTCCTGCTTGTCTGCTCGACACTTTGCGCTGTCTACGCCTCCCATCAGTTGTCGGCTTGACAGGAGGTATCGCTTCAGGCAAATCCACCGTTTCATCCCTCTTGTCGAAGCGTCAAATCCCTATCATAGATGCCGATATTCTAGCTCGACAAGTCGTGGAGCCCGGTACAGGAGGATTTCGAGCCCTCGTAGATCATTTTGGAGCTGACCGGATACTCAACGAGGAAGGAGGTCTGGACAGGTCAGCATTGGGAGATATAGTCTTTCACGATGCGGATCAGAGACGTTGGTTAAATGGGGTGATTCACCCGAGAGTCCGGCGAGAGATGGTGAAAGGGTTGCTGAGGTGCTGGCTGAGGGGAGAGTGGGTTGTCGTGGTGGACGTACCCTTACTCATAGAAGCCGGGTTTTGGAAATGGGTCGGTGAAGTAGTCGTGGTATATGTGTGAGTTCGACTTGAGGGCGGCCCCAGCCCGTCTGTGCCTTGGGGTACGGAAGCGATCCTCTATACGGATATGAGGCTCATGCTGACGCACAGCAGCAATGAGAAATTACAGTTAACCCGACTCCTGGCTCGCCCCTCCAATCCCCCTTTGACGCAAAAACAGGCTTCAGCGCGGATATCCTCTCAGCTCGCCCTGTCCTCCAAACTCCCCTACGCATCTACTGTCCTCGACAACTCAGGGACGCTATCAGATCTCGAATCGCAAGTTGACCGGATGGTCCTCAGATGGAAAGTTCAGCAGGGAGGATCAAGCGGATGGTGGTGGCGGATATGCTGGTTCCTTCCTCCGGTAGGGTTGACTGCGGGGCTCATATGTCTCTTGCAAAAGTGGTGGAAGTTCCGCAGGGATGGTACAAGGAGGCGTGGTCGTGGTGAAATGGGTCATGGGCCTAAACAGGGAGGCGCGGAGAGTTACGAGATGCGGGATAGAGCGAGGAGGAGAGCTAGCAGTAATGGCGAAAGTATACTGGATGGATGATCGGACTGGGCTGATTCGGATGGGGACGTCTTGAGATGGACTCACAATCCCGTTGCATGTATAACCAGGTCACCAGTGACCGGAGTATCAACAGAAACCTGAGCCACTTGAGTATTATTATCTTGGCGTGGTCGTTTTTGACTTTGCACCAGTTGTCTGGATCTCGCTCGCACCTTTTGCGAATCATCTCGCGACATCCTCAACCGCTACGTCGCGGTGTCATGTCAAGATGACAGAGCACAACACGGGACAGTCATCGCACATCCCCTCAGCAGTGCTCGAAGGGACGAAGGAGGGACCTCTATCGGACTCTGCTTTGACCTCACCGTTTACCACCTCCCAGCAAGCGGATTCTATAAAGTCTCACTCTGCAAACGTTACAGCTTCTACTGTGTACAGTCCCACCTCACCGGAAACTCTTGAAGCGCTCGATCCGGCGCGCAACAATCGGCAAGTCAGAAGACCATTGACGTACCACTTACCGACAGCTTTATTTCACCCGCGGGCACATTCCCTACGTCCTCGAGCGAGGGTTGGGAGGAAGCATTCGAACGTCAACGCAGGCAGCGATGGGACGCAAAGGTGGAAGAAGATCTCAGAGGATGGAGAGGAGGTAATGGGTGAGCTGAATGTTCAGGCATGCGTAAAGACTCGAACATTCCCTCTCAGGACGGCCAGGTCATCTTATAGCAAAACTGCGGTACCTACCAACAGCTATTATGGTCAGTCAGCCTCGGGCGTCATTGGGACACACTTGCCCAAGGAGATTGTCCGTATTGAAAGGGACTGGTCAGATGGAGAGGTCTGCCAGTGAGTCGGCGGCGACTCGTCGTTCGACTGAGACGCATTAGGTTCGAAACGTCCTTTCCAATGGAGCTGGAAGGCAGAGTCAGTCCTCACGAACACTGAGCCCCTTTTCGACCTGACTGATACCGTTAAACAGGTACAGCCCAAAAAGTGGGCAGAATTTGTCTCCACCCTGAACAGACGTCTCTTGTCGGCCTATTCGATCCGTGGTGCTGTCATTGATAACCTGTTCGCCATAGCCACCTGGTGGACATCGCTTCTGTGGAGGACGTCACACTTCGAAAAGGTACAGCTTGCGATTCTTGTTATAGCTGACAGATCTCGACAGGAGCTTCGACGAGCTGAGCTCTACATATCGGATGCAAACAGAGACATCTTCAATCCTGTGGGGCTGAATGTTCTCAGCCCAAGGCATCTTGCTCTACAATTCGTAAGTCCTACTCAAGAGGTTCAGTATTCGAGTTGATGTCCTCGCAGTTTGAGATCGAGTGAGCTGTCTGTCCACTTCTCCTGAATTGACGGACTTCCCAGGTATTACTGAGGGGCCACCACTGTGTCGCACGGCCCATATTCACGACCCACAATGATCGCACGCTCTCTCATGACGACTTATTATATACATCGTGTTGTGCTTATGATACATGAAACGCCTCTATAATACAGCGAGAGCGGTTCATGGCTTGGGCAAGCTCGCGATAGCCTCTCGGATGATCCTATTTGTCTCCTCTGCATTGTCAAGGTAGACATGGTGGCCTGCCTTCTCGACGACGTGGACCGATCCATTCTTGTTGCCTGCCTTAGTCAGTGCTTCGACCGAGGCTTTGCCGCCGTCGACGTCCATCCCTACGATTATAGTCAGCATACCATCCTAGATAGTAGTCTAGTAGCCTCACAGTCGTTATCACCATCTAGATCACTGGTTAGCCACATCATTGCGAACGTGGAGTCTACTCACAGATAAAGGTCACTGGCACCTTGACGCGATTGATACGATCAACGATGGGGATCCTCGCATACGCTCCAGGCGCCAGAATGTGGGCTACAACCAATTCAGCGCTGTCGCGAGATCCGCGCTGCGTACTCACATATGCAATATTCTCCACTACCTTTCAGCACGCTGGTGTTGTACACGTAGGAATGGAGATCTCGCTTGTCGTCATCACTCAAGGAGGCGAATCGTCTTGTCGTATAGTTGGCAGCGAACATTGGTCCCCATGGTCCTATGGCGCGAAGCACTGAGAAGGGTGACATGCCCTTCTCCCAACCCCAAACGAAGACTGGGGGATCAGCCTGACTCGCCGGAGGGCGGCACCCACATTTCATCATACTTTTCCGGGCAAAAGAGGCCTTCTCTCTGTTCTCCCTCCACTGCTTAGCTTCGCCTTTCGGCTCGCTGTTGACCTCCATTTCCATCTGGGCAGCATCCACTGCGTCGTCCAGATCCCCTGCGTTCTTCTCTCCGCTTGGTTTGTAATATTTGTAACCCTCCCCATGAGGAACGCCAGCTGGAGAGACGAGGATCAAGCCGGATACTCTGTCAGGATATCGGACGGCATATGCCGAAGCAAGGTATCCACCGAGAGAGTGTCCGACCAGGACCATCTTGTCCAGTCCGACCCGCTCTCTCCAGGATTCCAGAGAAGAAAGGAAGAAATGCTCGGCACGAGCTACTCTGGCAGGCACAGGGGCATTGGCAGGCGATGACAATAGGTGAGGTTCCGGTCGGGAAGAGAGACCCATTCCGAGCCAATCAAGGAAGTAGGCGGGACGACCTGTCGAATTGGCAGACTGAGCAATGGAATCCCAGTTACGGAAGAAGAAGCTGAAGCAATTTTAGCACCCACAGCGACCATGACGACTCACCCCATCGCAGCGGCATAGCCGTGAAGCACAACGACCGCCTCTTTGCTATTCTGATTCTCCTTGGAGGAGATCTCCAACGTGTTGATGTAGTCTTTGTACTTTCCAGGCGTCTGAGCGTGCTTGGAGTGATGTTTGCGGCACTTGTCAGACCCACTGGCTATAGAACTCGCGGATGAAGACGCAGCCGGTACAGGATCGACGGGGTGTTGGGGAGCCACTGAGGGATCGGGAGTGGGGATGAAGACATCACGGAGTTTGGCGATGAGCCCGTGGGATCCGACTTGAGTTTCGACCCTCGTCAGGGACTCATCTACCACTTGAGCGGAAGAATCCAGGTGCTGAGCATCTGGTCGTCCTGATCCTCCTAATCCGAACCAACCCTTGGCTTGGGGTGGCGGCGCAGAAGGCTCAAACATGGACATGCGCCTCAGAAGCCTTTCCTCTGCATATCGAGCTTCTTTGTAGCTCGAATTGTACCACCAGGCGCTGAGTGAAGATCGAAAGTCTTGCGGAATCGGCTTAGAAGGAGGAGGTGGTGGTGGAGTGGATAAACGATGCGAGTCATAAGCTGGACTGGCGGATCGCGATCCTGGAAGAGACGTTGACACGGCTCCTGCCGTTGCTGCGGACCCGCTAACCGTTTCTGTGGCTGACATGATGCGGAGACCACGGATGGCTGAAGGCTGGAGGACTCGTTGAGCGGCTATGGTGATGTGCTGTGAGCTCTCCGTCGATGTATGTTGCAGAGGAATGAATGGATGGATGACCTCGCTTCTTAAATCCCTGCTGCTGGCTGCACACGTCATAACAAAAAATTTGGCCGATGACCGAAGGTTTTTTTGTTTCTTCGTGCCGAAGGTCATTCATCATCACTGCTCGCTCATATTCTGATATTCTGACCAGCCCTGTCAATACGGCGGACATCCTCATCGTCCAGTATCACATCCCCAGCCTGCATGTATCCTTGCATCCTCTCGTTGGAAGTGGAAGAGGTGAAAATGATAGCACTGCAGATGATAAGTGACGAGAATCCCGCATAAAGACCCACTCTTTGGCTCGAGCCCAGCTGAGGAGGATTTGATCTGCAGTCGCTTGGTATCGACCAGCGATGTCTTCCAGAGCCGGTAGCAGAGACGATTGAGAGTCCTGCCATAGCGGTTTACAGACAGAATAGGCGCCCAAGGCGATCCCATGTTGTTTCATACAGGCGAGTAGAGGTAGTGTATCCTTCAACACGTTTGGATGAAACAGGATCATGTTCACCGCCGGTTTGATACGACAATGCTGCAGGATTTCTCGAGTCTTCTCGAGTCCAAAGCTTTGTCCATTCAACATCGAACATCTCCCACGCCACTCACGCGGATAGACCAATGTTCCGGACCAATCCCTTTTCTGCAAGATCCTCCATTCGCCTCCAGGAGCCGGCAAAATCCCCTTGACAAGTCCACTCATGGTGAACGATATACAGATCTATGTAATCCAGCCCCAGCTTGGACAGACTCACTCGGCACGACTCTTCCGGCGACTTGTTGCCATCGCTCCATTTGGTCGTGATCCAAAGCTCGTGTCTGGGTAGCCCGCTGGCTTGGATTGCAGCCCCTACGAAATCCTCGTTGCCATACTCTGAGCCACGATAGTCAGGAACGTTCGCTCTTAGATTCATTCCACTCACGCTGGGCGGTGTCAATGTGCCGGAAGCCCGATCGGATCGCATGGGTCAGGTTGTCAACGCTTTTGACCTGAGCCCCTTCTGATCGTCTCGGGGCAGAGCCAAAAGCGATTTGAGGGATACTGGATCCGTTTGGTAGAGTGATTGATCTCCAAGGCATGGTCTGGAGAATGTCGAGCATGGTCAGCCTCGTATTCGTTTGAGCAAGTCACAGTTGGACTTCAATGCCGCCAAATCCGCGCATTGATCCTTCGAACGTGCAGGCTCTGATGCCTCGGGGTTGAAGCCGCAAGGAGCCTTCTGGAGGTCTGCAGCGATTCAGACTCTGCTTCGCTTGGCATCATGAACATGGAGACCATTCTGACAGTAGGAGATCCGTGGATCAACGAAGATGAGGTGAGTCCGTCACCCGGCTTGAATCGGATTTCACCGAGGCTTGTGATTCCAGGAACATGTACTGCGATCCTCCTTTTCTGGGACCGTCTTTCAGACCGTACATTGCGACCTGGATCTCAGCCAACCATTGACAGATGGTGAGGCATCCCTACCAGACTTTGTGCTGAGCCTAGTTCCCCGCGATATCGCTCGCACCGTCACTGGCATTTTCATCAACCGGCACTGGTTGACTGAAAAGTAGGCATCCATCCATCCATCCGACCATACGAAGCCTGACTGAACAGTGATATTTCTCACTTCCCTCGCCTCAAGGGTGTAGTCCGTATGGGCGTCGGATGGGATCGTATCGACCGTACAGCTCTTGCGAAACGCAATGTCACATTCTGCAATACGCCAGACTATGGAGTGACGGAAGTGGCCGATCATACTCTGGCTCTAGCTCTGAGTCTCCAGCGAGGCATCCTGCTGCATTACGTTTCGCAGCGTCAATCTGCGCCCGCTTGGGATCCTGTAGATCCAACACTATTACCAAGCTTTCGATCTCTATCACGTCGACCCAAGTCTCGGATCTGGGGCGCCATTGGATTCGGCAGAATCGGATCAGCAGCTGCATTACGTGCAAAGGCCTTCGGATGGAAGGTGAGCGATTCGTGGCGATCTAATTTAATGACCAAGGTGATATTTTGCGACCCATACTTGCCGACAGGATACGAGAAAGTTTTCGAGGCAGAGCGCACCAGGAGACCGGAAGAGGTGTTCAGCAGGGCGAACATCATCTCCTTGCATTGTCGGTTGACACCTGAGACAAGGCACATGGTCAATGATCAAACTCTACAATTGGTTCAGCCTGGCACTATCCTCATCAATACAGCACGTGGCGGACTAGTCGATCTCGATGCTGTAGAGAGGGCACTGGAGGACGGCCGGCTCTCAGGTGCTGGCCTCGATGTTCTAGAGACAGAGCCCCCCATGGAGCCCCTTCCGAATCTCTTGAAGGCCTACCGGGCGAAAGCGGCGTGTCTGGACGGGAAGCTGGTCATTACGCCGCATATAGCCTATTACTCCGAGGAGTCATTGGAGGATCGGAAAAGAAATTGTCTGGAGACTATGCGAGACGTCCTGTTGGACGGACTATCGACAAACGTCGTTCAAGGCACTGAGCAGTAAGTCCGCTTGCGATCCAAATGCATAAACTTTTACAATCTCTTTTCTGATGAAACAACTCGCGTCCGAATGCAGTCTGCCGCGACACTCAACGTCCTTCTGATTTCGTCGCTGCTAGACCTTGACTTAGGGCTTCGCAGACGTTCTTGGCATCTCCGAATAGCATCTTTGTATTATCATTGTAGAAGAGAGGGTTTGGTATATCTGCATAGCCTGTAATGACGCGGTCAATAAGCAGTCAGGATATACCTGACTCACCAGCTGCCAGACCTCGTTTCATCACGATGACATTTTTGCTCTTCCACACATTGAGCACCGGCATGCCTGCGATGGGCGAGCCAGGCTCCAAGGCGATTGGATTCACCGTATCGTTGGCGCCGATGACCAAGGTCAGATCAGTCTCGGCAAAGTCGTCGTTGATCTCGTCCATCTCAAGGACAACTTTGGCAGGGTCAGGCGGGTTCCCAGAGGAGGATAAGGGTACTGACCGTCGTATGGGACACCGGATTCTGCCAAGAGAATGTTGCATTGTCCTGCAACGAGATAAGTACATGAACAGCAACTCCACGGTTGACATACCAGGCATGCGCCCTGCAACGGGATGGATTCCGAAACGGCACTTTATGCCTCGAGCCTGGAGCGTTTTTACCATTTCGCTGATTGCGTATTGCGCCTTGGCCACGGCCATACCTTATTTTTGTTAGTCATGGATCAGACTCCTGTCCTTGCCAGAGCCTCACCATATCCAGGTACCTACAGCCGAGCATGAGTAATTGCTCATGCAAAGACAGGCATACTCACAATTATCACGCTCTCCGCATTGTTGAGCATCTCCACTGCTTCATCAACATTGGTCTGGGTCACCGTTAATCCTTTCGTCTTGTCTGCAAGATTTAGCTTCGATTTCCGGCATCAGCTTACCTTCGGACGCCGCTGCCGGGGCTATGCCACCAAAGATTACGTTGGTCAGAGATCGATTCATGGCGCGGCACTGTTTGTTAGCTGGTCCTTCCGCCGCCCTAGACTCACCATGATGTACGACAGGATGCTACCCGAAGCTCCGATGAGACTTCCAACGCTGACGAGTAATCCATTGTCCAACATGAATCCTTCCGCGACGAGCGCGAAACCAGAGTATGCGTTCAGGACCGTGACCAAGACGGGCATGTCGGCCCCTCCAATCGCCGCCGAAGTCGTCCAACCTTTCAGGAATGATAATGCGGTATTACCTGCCAGACATGCAGCTGCGATGGCGGGGGCCGTGGGTGCCATGGTGAGGAAGGCCCCCATGGTAGCAACATTGGCGGTCAAAAGACCGCCGTTGATGAAGTGTCTCCCCGGTAAGACCTTTGGCTTTGACGCCATCCGACCGGCGAGCTTCATGTACGCGACGATCGAGCCTGCTATCAGTCACAGCATCGGGTGCAGTACATACCTGTGAATGTGACACCGCCGATCAATACACCAAGATACGACATGACGAGATGCAATGCCCCGACAGAAGCAGCACCGTGTCCGAGAACGCTACCCGCGGAAGTCATAACAGCCGCGAGACCCACAACGCTGTGCAAAGCCGCGACAGTCTGAGGTAGCTGCATAGGACTGACGCGTCGTCCAATTGCCAGTCCCAGAACTCCTCCCGCGGCGGTCAAGGCGAGTGCCTGTGCCACGGTTTCCTTATCGAACCCGACAGCGAATAGACTCGCTACAACACCAATGAGGACACCAAGCATCCCCAAGGCATTGCCGACTCGCGCAGTCGACTGCGAGGAGAGTCCGGTGAGAGCTCCGATGGAAAGGAGGGTGCTTAGGAAGTATCCAGCCTGGACTAGACCGTCGAGACCGGTGGATGACGCGTAGACGAAACCTCCACCAAAGACGGCAGCAGGGATAGCGTAGAGCCACGAGTACTCTGGCGGGTCCGTAGGTCGTTTGAATAGATCCAGCATGCGCTTTGTGATCAGAAATCCGCCAAATATGTCTGACAGTGAGCTATGGAGACATGCCTGGACTCACTCAAATTGGCAAGGAAGACACTAGCTGCACCGAGGAATTGAGGAAGGGTCTGGGGGACAAATCCACCGCCCATTACGAACAAACCGCCTACTCCGACCAGTCCAGACAGGGCATTGGTGACGGCTGAGGGTGAGCCCAATTGTACTCGGCCGACACTCACACATCAACGGCGAATGTAGGGCTGGAGTCACACTCCATACAGCTCGGAAGCCGACAATACCTGCCAATCCGAGCGTGGTGAAGAGGTTCATAAATCCAGGCGTGGTAAGCTTTCCTACGACCAGCGAGGCACCAACACCGGTGGTCAAAAGCGAAACGGATCGGACGGTCTCTTGCCAAGGCGTCAACGCGGTGATCGGCTTTGCTTCAGCGATTGGTGGTGGTTTCGCAGGCGCAGCCGCGACGGCGGGCGGAGGAGCAGCGGGCGCTGGCCATAAGACTTGATGGTTCTGGGTGATGATTGATCGGCGGACCACTTCATCCTCGAGGTTGATGTTATATGACGACTTCTCGCCAATGGACAAGAGGAACTTTGTAATGTTGTTCGAGTAGAGCGTACTGGACTGGGTGGGGAGCCTCGAAGGGAGATCAGTGTAACCGATGATAGTGACTCCGTTGTAGACGATCTTCTCGCCTGGCTGTGTCAATTCACAGTTGCCTCCAGCTTCACCAGCGAGATCGACAATGACCGAACCGGGTTTCATGACATCGACGGCCTCTTTGAGGATGAGTTTTGGAGCCGGTTTGCCAGGAATCAGAGCGGTGGTGATAATGATGTCGACTTCTCTTGCCTGTTGCTTGAAGAGCGCCATCTCCGCGTCGATGAAAGCCTTGATCAGTCAGCTCAAACACTCGATGCTTCTCACTTTGCTCATTTCTTTCGCATATCCTCCTTGACCTGATCCGTCTTCCTGAATGTCCACTGTCAAGAATTCTGCTCCCAGACTCTCGACCTGTTCCTTAACTACTGGTCTCGTGTCGAACCCTCTGACGATGGCTCCCATCCGTTTCGCAGTCGTAATGGCACTGAGCCCAGCAACACCACCTCCGATGACGAGGACTTTGCCAGGCGGGATCTTACCAGCTGCAGTGACTTGACCAGTGAGGAAACGAGGGAAAGCATTGGACGCCTCCAACACGGCCCGGTAACCGGCGGTATTTGCCATGGACGAAAGAGCATCATAGACCTGAGCACGAGAGATTCGAGGTATACAGTCCATTCCAAAGGACGTGATGCCTCTCTTCTTGAGCTCCTCGACAATGGTGGGATTCTGAGCAGGGTACAGGAACGAGATCAGGGTTGAGCCCTCCTTCATCGCATCTAGTTCTCCGCTCTCCACGTTGGGAGGTCGAACCTTGAGCACGATATCTGCGCTGTAGGGATCGCTACCGATCTTGGCTCCAGCAGCGATATAATCCTCATCTCTGAAGGAAGCCTCGGCTCCGGCGTCGGGCGATACATAGACTTGCTTGAAGCCCTTCTTCAGGAGGGTTGCGACGCCGGCAGGCGTGATGGCAACCCGTCGTTCATTGGGGAATACTTCCTTCGGGATCCCAACCGTAAGTTCAGAGTATGGCGTACCAGGGACAGCAACCGAACTTGAGGCATTGCCAAAAGAGGGGTAGGAAGTACTAAATACCCTGCGATGGACTGAGATGACATGAACGATCGCGTGAGACGCGTGATGGCACGGCAGAGCTCACCTTTATTTATGGATCCAAGCTCAACTCTACATCCCTGCAGCCAGGCATATGGCACCCTCATCTTGACGGGCGCAGTGATCTAGTGTCGTCCCGTGACGACGTGGTACAACGTGACTATGCAAGTGATCGAGTCAAAGAACCTGATCTGTGAATAGCTGCTGTTGAGGGCCCCCGATACGGGGTAGCGGGGAAGCCGAGGCGGAATGTGCAAATGAGGCGAAGTGGCACTTTTCCATACGGCTACCGACCGGCTACATGCTATTCTTGACGACGACTGGATGTGCTACAGATCTAAGTACAGCTTGACGGTCACAAGTTCGAACGAGCCAAAAAGGAGATCTAAGTGATATCCATCACCCTCCTGGCGCAGGGGTACCTCGGCCAACTTCTCCTCCAAGATGTTTACTAGCTCAGCTTTGAGAACGCGAAGATTGGATCTGAAACGATTCAGCATGGATCACATGCTAAACCCACATCCTCAGCTTCGCTTTTGCATGCCCGCCAAATCTCTCATATAGCCTCATAATGATGGTGAAGGCTTCAGTGTGGTGGTCATCTTGCCCTCGCTTGACGGCGCTGATGGCGATGCTCTTTGAACTCTCCAACCTGATTGGCATCTCAAACGGCGGAGCGGCAAAAGAGGATCCGTCTGACATTGCTGATACGACTTCAACGTCAGCCTTCGTTGAGAATATACTCACCTCTCATAGGAGCGTTAAATGCCGCGGCCACATCAGCTACATCACTCTGGTGGTACAATCCAACGTGAGGATAAATGGCCCAGCTGAATTGATGATGGCCCATGTCACATTCCAAATCTGGTTCTGTTGGACCCCTCAGAAGACTCAGCCGCATGACATTGCCCCTGACCGTATATCCATATTTGCAGTCGTTAAGCAGTGCTACGCCATAACCGTACTCGGAGAGGTCAGCGAAAGTATGAGCACAGACTTCAAATTTCGCCGCGTCCCATGATGTGTTCCTATGTGTCGGCCGCTTGTTGAAACCAAATTGCGAATCATAAGTCGCGTAGTCGGAGTTGATGTTCAACGGTAGCGTGAAACACAAAAGCTGGTGATGATCGTGCCACTCCACTTCGGCATCAAAGCGGATCATGTGGCGGGCATCGGGGCGTGTAGAGGGAGCGATGTTATCGATACTGATTCGGCATGTCGCCGTTGAATGCTCGCCGACAGCAGCACGAGCAGTTATGACAGTACGCAGGGGGCTATTCTCCACTATCTCTAAGTCAGTGAACTCAAGCTGCTCCTCGTCATCCAGCGTATATGATTCAACCTCCCACGCGTCGTAATCGTGCGGGATATCAATATAGAGGGAAAGACCGCCACTTTGACCGGTCGGGATCAGCTCGCGCGCCTGAGCAATGTCTACAAGGCTGGTGATTCGCCCGCCCTGAAGGACGATTGCAATCGTGCTGGTCGAGATGGTGATTTCGTCTCCGGAATGAATAACAGTCGCAGGGAGGACCAAGTCTTGCCACTGTATTGGACGTGCCAGGATGTGACCGGATTCTGGGGTAGATGCAAACACCGTCTGATGACCGTCGTAGCTGCAGACTTCTCGACGGGACAGCCATGGTAGACTATTGAAGGCGACCATTACAGATTGTCCAGCCGAGATCGCTTTGCATGCTTGTTGCAAGATTTGGTCCAGTTCTTGAAATAGAGCCTCATTCATTTGTTCGACCTCGGTGTAAACTCTGCCGAATGCAGTCCCAGCAATGACGTCGTGGAACTGATTGAGGAGGATTCGCTCCCATATGGATTCCAGCGCCTGAGTCGTCAGATAAATCCCAGTCCTATGCTCACCGTTGCAGGATAATGAAAGTCAGTATCTCTAATAGAAGCCAGCGTGGCTAATAACTCCACTTCGCGAATCAGGATTTCCAACTTCCGATTTGATCTCTTGATACGCGCTTGGGAGGTCTGACAAGCGCGCTGTACCTGTCAATTACAGACCACACGCGACTTACATGACGTTCCAGATACATTTCACCGTGCCACGTCGGCAACGCCATACCATTGTTCGTCTTCTCCCGTAAGGTCTCGTAAAACTCGTCAAAGCTCCCGTCAATCTTAATAGTTGGCAGTAGACCACCGGCCTCGCAGCCTTCTGCGACGGCCTGTACGCGGCTCAATCGCTCCAGCATCCAGTTTATGGGACCGCCACCCCCGTCTCCATGACCAAACAGAAATATCGAGTCCGCAGCCACGTCGGCATTACCGTGGTTAGTGATGTTCATGCAGATCTCCGGGATGCTACATGTCGAGCTGTATAGCTCTGTGGGAGACATGTGAGAGAGTAACTGTGATCCATCTAGGCCTATCCAGTTGAACGAAGTATGTGGGAAGTGATTTGTCAGATTCCAGCTCATCTTCTGAGTGTAAAAGTTGGTGGCGCCGGACAACCTCGCAATCTGAGGCAGCTGTGAAGAGAATCCGACTGGTTGTCAGCTTGTCTTAACAAGCTCAAACTTACATGAATCTGGTAGCGCGAACGTGGTACAGCGTTGACCGAACCTGCTCTCAAAATATCGTTGACCGTGTAGGAACTGTCGACATAAGGATTCTCCAGACGGAATGTTGGTATCCATTTCGACCCATGTGGCTCCTATGACTTGAAAGCGACCTCTCAGAGCTTGGAGCTTCAGGCGATGAAAGAGCTCAGGATACAAGTTCTCGACCCATTTGAGCTGTTGAGCCTGAGTGACAGTGAAGTTATATGCTGGGAACTCTTCCATAAGGCGCAGCTGCGATGACCAGGATCTGGCCGACTTTTGCTGAGTCACGGAGTATGTCCATAAGTTCGCAGTATCTATATGGCTGACGATCAGCGATCAGTCACCTGTAACGCTTACCAATGGCCTAAAGCCCAGGTGCTGCTGTGCTCCGAAGATTTCGACCTGTGTCTGCCAGGCTGCATGATCCAATCGGAGATTGCCGTCCGAGCAGCTGCTATCTGCTCTGGCCGTCCACGCTTGAACGCCTTCATGGCTCTCGAAGCGATAGTGAGACACCGTTGTCCCAAGACCGTGTCCGGGCAGTACTCGTATATCTCCTTGAGGGTTTCGAAATCCCACTTCAGCCGCCATGCTTCCATGTTCGGCGCCACCAGGTCGGCCACGCGAAGTGAAAATCTGCCATTGTGCGTCTCTCCAACCATACCGCTGCAAGATGCCTCAATCAAATACGTGACCGACCCTGAGCAACGATGGCGTTGAGGTATGACAAACTCGTTCCGTTGAAATCGGGCGCTATCCCCGCTCAGACCTGATCATCAGCGTCCTCTTCCCGGAAGGGCTTCATGGCGTCAACCTTGTATGGCCTCTCCACTCTCGCTGTACACCAAAGCCTCTCCACTCGAGTCCCAGTCGAGCTGGACTCTTTCGAGCTCCCTCCACCCCGGCGGAATGTCCAAGGTCACGCGGAACCAATGATTGCTCCAGGCGGGACCAAAGCATTCCCCTTTAGCTGACGGTCGATACGTCTGCTTCGAAGCCTCTGCAAAAATTGGCTTCGTGAGACCCGGAGCGGACCATAATTCAATTCGGACGTGCTCCTTATCATCCAGACGATACAAATCAAGCTTTGACGTCAGATTGAAGGAAGAGTATTGGCCGTTGTACCCTCCGCCGAGGAATGTGTTGAGACGGAGAGCCACGTCAGGCAGATTTTTGTATCCTGACCAATCAGACATCCGCTCAGGTGGTCAACTCACTCGCTCCATATTCTGTGTCCGGGTATGTCGTCTCGCCCATCTCACTTCAGGCTAACTCGATGGATGATAGCATCTAAGCTGCCCCATCCTGTACGAGCGGCTCGTTGTTACGCTCAGGTGGGAGATGATGACGTAATCTATCTCGGCTATTCGGCTGCCGCGGCCGAGCCGAACTGCTTATCGCTCGCATCCACTATCATTATCTCGCTATCATTATACCTTCATTCACAGTTGGAAAGCCATGGCAACAGCGACCTTGTTCCAATACCATCCTCTGGGACTGCCTAGCAGTGCGAATCCTAAGTACCTCCAAAGTTTAGGTCGTCGAGTGGAAGGTGTCGATTTCGATCACCTGTCGCCACAGCAGACCGAAGAGATTGTGAACCAGCTTTATCGTCATTCTATCCTGCTGTTCAAGAACACCAAAATCACTCCCAAGCAGCAATTTGAGCTGACCAATGTGAGTCCCATACTATGAACTTAGGCCGACGCTTTAGGCCTTTGATCCCAAAGCTGGAGATTACGGTCACAAGACGCGTACCTCTAAGAAAGATCAGCAGTCCATCCTGCATCCTGACCTCAAAACCATCCCGCACCAGCCACAGGTACAGCTGATAGGAAACGGACCTGTACCAGGCAGATACGAGGGTCTGGAAAGCGTGAGTCACATTCTTCCGCTCACGTTGCTGACACGGCAGCCGCAACTCAAACACCCCCATCATAAGACCTTTCATAAGGAGCCAGTCTCGGACGCGGATGAGGCGGCGGGCATCACTAGATTTTACCGCTGGTAAGAATACTTTCCTGGCTCAGGCTGATCTCAAGGCATATCGATGCTGCACTGTACGATTTGAGCCCTCCAAAGGCCACTACTTTGTATGCTGTTCGCGTACCTCGAGGGGAGCCACAAACGCTACGATACGACGACGGAACGGGAGACGAGCTCAAAGTACCTCTGGGAGGAACCTGCTGTGAGATGACTTCCCTCCGCGATAAATTGCCCAGCTCAGATCCCGGCAGTCGTCAGTGGAAGGACTATGTTCGATGTCCTATCGCCCGAGCTCAAATCCCTCGCGGTGAGAACAAGGGTCGAATACGTGAGAGATTGTCTACCAAGGGCTAGACTGACGTCAGGCGCCTCATCCTTATGTTTGGATGTCGAAGGCGCATGCACTGCCGACCGGTCTAGGAATCGAGTCAGAGGGGCTCGAGTTGCCACTGGAGGATCTGCCGGATTGGGAAGAAGCAAAGATCAAGAAGTTCCCCGTCGTGAGTGGCCCCCTGGTATCGATTTCCTGACGCATTCAGTGCTGGAAGAATCCCGTGACTGGCGATCTCCACGTCCAAGTCCACCCATGCGGTGCTCGCAAGCTCCATATTGAACGTTTGCCAAGCGGCGCCCAGAAATCCGGCGCACTGTATCCTGAGGGTGGAGTCGTGGAGGATCTGAAGGAGGTCAGAGATATACTGTATCGAATCCAAAGGCCAGGCATAGCCCCGGAAGTGAGTGTGCAGGGCAATTCCTCAGCTAACGTGACAGCTGGTATACCCTGTAGATTGGGAGGAGGGAGATCTGGTAGTGTTCCACAATCGTGGCCTGCTGCATTCTGTAGTGGGAGCCTTCAAGCCTGATGAATTGAGAATGTTCCACCAGGTGCGTACAGACCGTTTGCCCAGCACTAAACACTCCAGTGTAATCTGGCATCCACAGATGAGCCAGAAGGACCCTCAGAAGCAGACATCCAGACATATGCTTAGCGTGTCCCTCCCGTGCGATGAGTATGCATACATTATGATATGACAACATGTTATCGTGATGCTGAAAAGCGACCAGTTGCTCGGAAACAACTAGTGTCATGGGCGACTCCCTCATTGTCCTTGAGGGTCTTATGCTGAGGACGGCTTGAATCCTTTAATTGATGGGCCTTTAATTGATGGGCCTGGCGGATTCACAACGGAGGACTCATCGTCGACAGGTGATTCCGGTCGTTCCAAGTCGATCCAATCTAAGACTTTTTTGGAACCTGTGCCGATCGCCGACGATTTTGACTCTTGGACGCAACGCTCGCCTTCCCGTCGCATGTTCCCGAGCAGCTCCTCTATCCTGCTCCAGCGCTCTTCCAACGCTGGGTCTGCAATTCCAGACTCGAGCTCGTCGTCATCCAGGTCATTGTCGAAGAGAACAGTCGTTGAGGACATGTCCAAGGATCCCGTAAGTGCCTCCTCCAGTAATCCTCGCAATCGTTGTATTTCGGCCCGTTGTTTCGCCTTGTTCGCTGGGAATAGTCAATGATGGCTATCAGAGCTCACTTACCCTCTAAAGACTTGTTGATGGCCAAAAGACTAGCGTTGGAAATCTCAAGGTCCGCGATCTTTCGATTGATTCGCGCTTCTTCCGCCTCTGCACTGAGGACAACCTCAACAGACCGTCTATTGTTGTGACTAGACGCGGACGGAGATGTCACAACATCCTCTGGGCCAGGCTTGGTCGGACTCTTCCAGCCATAAGAGTCAACAGAGGACCGATGACCCGAAGACGCATCGTCAAAGCTCATCTTGCGCAAGCCCAACTGCGGATGCTCAAGGTTTCGGGACGGCGTCACTATAGGAAGGATGATGGTGTCTGCGTCTGGGCTTGGCGTCCCAGGAGTGAGGGGATTGCGACCATTGCCGGGCAAAGCACGTGCAGAAGATCTAGAGGACGAAAGCGATGGATTTAGGGGCGGTGTAGGGGGCCTAGAGGTGGTGAGATAAGGGTTGAGACGGTGTATGTCGATTGGGGTCTTGGGAAATCGGGGATCTGACACCACTCCACCTGGTGAAGACCTGTTGGAATGTATGCTCGGGCGGCGCAGTTGGGGTGGACCGTTAGGAGTGCTCGGTCCGGAGCCATAATTAGGGGTGGAGAGCGTTCGATTTGGCAGAGGATGTAACGTTGCGTCGGGGAGTTTGACGCGAGCTCTGGCTTCTCCAATGACGGACTTTGCTCCTGCAGATTTCGTCCTAGTCATCTCGTGGCCCATGAAGCCTGTCGGTGTGGTCGACCCATTGGCTCGATCCAGTCGACTGACCCCATTCTCATATCCCACTGGTCGTAGAGCAGGAGATTTGGCGCGGGGCGGTAAACGTGATGAGGGTAAAGGTGGTTTTGCACTTGGCTCGGGAGGTATGGGAAGCTGGGGTGACTGGGATCGTTGCCGGACAAAAGCATTCACTTTTGCCCTGGCTTGGGGGAGGAATCCGGGAACTGGTGGAGGAGGGACGGGGGGCGTTGGTGAGACGGAAGTGTTGCGCAGTGATCCGCTAGACTTTGTAGCCCGTAGCACCGGACGGTCTTCCGTCACTCTGGCACGTATCCTAGGTTGGGAAGGATTGGAGGGACCTGCAGTCGCTGTCCACGTCGGTGTCACAAAGTGATTAGTCCCAGCGACCTGAAGATATTCGTTAGCGACATCACCGGGACGAGGAGACCAGAGGACCGAAGCAATCAAACATCCAACGCCGCTCCGACCTCTCGCTTACCTTTCGCTTGACGGGCTCGACACTCATAGTGAGAGTCCATCCACCTCATCCATGATCTGATCACAAGATCCACCTGTGATACTCTGTTGACCAGCTGGTGTTGGCCTTTGCAGCCGTCGTCGTAGTCGTCGTCGCTACCACTGCCGCCGTCGTCGTCGTTGATGATGATGATGATGATTTGATCGACTTTGCAGTAGTTCGCGGGTTTTCAGAAAACTCACAACGCGTGAAATATAACGGAAGCAAATCTTTTTTTCTGCCACGTGGTCATCATTGTTTGTGTGTGTGTGTAGGAGATCGACGTAGGCTTGCGGCAGTGACAAAGTTGGCATTGTGTGTGAACCGAACAGGGGATTAGCAGGAGGGTCGGGTCCTGTTGTTGATGGTGCTGGGTGGCCTTGAGAAGTCAAATATGTGTTGCGTGTGTCGGAACTCGCGCCGAGGCTCACGGAAGGCTGGCTCGAAGCAGCTCAAGTTTCCGTCAGAGCGGCAATGTATTTCCAAGAGAATGGGAAGAAGTGCCCACCCAGACCATGCATCGTCACATAACGGTAGACGTTGGACCGTCTCGCAAAAGCCATTCATCATCGAGATCCATCATGAATTCTCTGCGGGTGTCCCGACTGATCAGCTACTGGAGGACACCGTAACCCTTCTCCCCGGCCCTCAATCATTGCTGATCACGGGGCGGAGTGATCGCCGGCCGGACACGCGAGAGTTCAATTAGCGTCAATCACAAAGTATCTCTTTTTCACGCCAGCCTTCCGGTCCAAGAAATATCTCAGCAAGCCCCCACTCTCGTAGACGATGCTGACCATGCGGTACCTCTCCCCACTTGGCAGGCGCTCTCCTTCTCTGCGGAATCGGGAATTGGTGCGGAGTATCCCAGGTATAAACCCAGGCTAGGCGCCCTCTTGGCCAGTGGCCTCTGAGCATTGTCCATCTTAGCAGGGCTCGATCTTTGGGAGGGTGGCAAAGGTCCCACGATGGCCATGCTGAACTACTTATCAATTGTCCTTCCCGCTTTTCTCCTGATACCTCTGGTGCGGGGTCAGAATACGACAATCAACCTCTGGCCCGAGCCAAAAACATACACGGCAGGCAACACCCCCGTGTGCATCGCCGATGACTTCAAGATCAACATACCGGGAGACAATGTCCCTCAAGATCTATGGGATGCTGTTGGGCGAGCGTCTTCGCGAATCTGGAACACTAAACACGAATACCTATCAGTTAACTGGGGCGCAGAGTTCTTCAACGATTTTTCGAACCCATGTGAACATTATCTCCATTCCCTTGACCTAGTCTTTTCATCAGAGAATCGCAACTCGATACGATCAGTTGTCAAGCAGCAACCCGTCGAGCGCATGGCTTTGGAACAGTACAACCTGACTATCCCGCTCAATGGGAGTGCGACAGTCATCGCTACCAACGCTTTGGGTCTGTACAGAGGTTTGACATCCTTCGAGGGACTATGGTTTTACCTTGCTCCACCGGGACAAGGCGGCAACACTATGCGCAAACGGTGGTCTGGTGGAGAAGCTTTGTATGCGCCCTGGGCCCCCTATGAGATTCAGGATGCACCATCCTTCCCTTGGCGATCGGTTCTCTTGGACACGTCTAGGCATTTCTATCCATTGCAGGACTTGAGAAAGATGCTCGATACCATGGCGATGGTCAAGGTGGGCGAGGCGATGACACGCAAGGAAGGACTGCTGATCCTCGGCATAGATGTCAACGTTCCAATGGCATATCACAGATAGCCAATCTTTCCCTCTCGAGCTGTCTGACTACCCCGAACTGGCCAATAAAGGTGCATACAGTCCCGCTAGACACTACAGCGAGCAAGACGTCAAAGATCTCATCGCCTACGCTGCTGAACGAGGGATCGAAGCGTACCTTGAGATTGACAGTCCAGGTCACACGGCGTCCATCGGAGAATCACACCCAGAGTACATTGCCTGCTTCGATTATCCCGGATGGGCGACGAACGTAAGCTTCACATTAAATGGTACTCTCGCTGATTCCATACAGAACCTCGCCAATGAGCCTCCCCCGGGTCAACTCCGTTTCGCCGACCCCAGCGTGTCGAATTGGTTCAAGGGAGTTTTAGCAAATGCGGTTTCGCTCGTTGAAGGCAACTTCTTCAGTACCGGAGGAGACGAGATCAATCAGAATTGTATGGTGAGGCGTCTCGTTCAAGTGGCATGCTTACATCTGTGTAAGCTTAATGACTCGCTAACGATGGAGAAACTCAATGCGTTCAATTGGACGCTTGATCAAGCTTTGAACAACTTTACCGCCATCTCCCAAGAAGCCATCCACGCGGTCAACAAAACTGTGGTTGTCTGGGAAGAGATGGTAAGATCGCCACGCATGTGATGGGACTGATGGCACTCAGGTCGATGCGTTTGGCAACATCACTGCAATTCATCCCGACACTGTCGTCCTTGTCTGGATTGACTCGTCGCATAATCGAGAGGTCGCCAATCGCGGCTTCAGATTCGTACATGCTTCATCTGATTACTTCTATCTGGTGAGTCTGTCGCTCTGGCAGAGATCTTTGGGGGCTGGCTGACGTGACGCAGGACTGCGGACAAGGCGAATGGATAGGGGAAAATGGAGGTGGGAATAGCTGGTGTGACCCATTCAAAACTTGGGCACATATGTACTCGTGAGTAGGACCGCGCGCCCATTCTATGTGCTGAGACTACGGTGACTTGCCAGCTTCGATCCCTTTGGCAATTTGACCGAGGCGCAGGAATCCCAAGTCCTAGGCGGTCAAGCCTCGCTCTGGTCAGAGCAGGTGCGTCAAGTCCTCAAGGGATCAATCAGACTGACGTCCCCTTAGACCTCAAGTGCCAACATCGAGGTCGTCATGTGGCCCCGTACGGCTGCAGTTGCCGAATTGTTCTGGAGCGGTCCAGGATCTAATGGCTCGTATCCAAGACGTGCGTAGTGTCAGCTTTCGGTGAGGCTTGTGTACCTGACTCAATGAAACAGAGTCTGTTGAAGCGATCCCGCGGATGAATGATCTTCAAGCTCGAATGGTCGACCGTGGTGTCAAGTGAGCTCTTCGTCACACGCTCTGGCCCCAAATGTCAATCTGACCTTACTCAGCGCCGAGCCAATCCAGCCTACGTGGTGTGCCATCAGACCGGGTGCATGCAACTTTGACTCGTAATGGGGTATGTTGCATTGCAACAGTGGGAACCGGCCAAAAACAGAAAGGGATGAAAAAGAATCAAAATCAGGTCCAACGATTCATGCGTATAATGGCGGCGGTCGCAGAAGTATGAGCTGTACAGCATGCTAGAATACTCTGTTTGGTGTACTATGTATGCGGGCAATGATTCAGAAGGGGCCCAGCTCTGTGAGACGACACGGACAGCGACAGGGCGCGTTCGATCACCCCATTATGTTGACCTCTCAAGTGCTTTGGCATCTTGCTACGCGTTCCCTAGAAATGTGCCGACATCTCTGGCGAGACCATAGGACGTATACACACGAGCACAAGACATGCATGCGTTCCGACACCTTTGACATATCTGCTTTCAATACAAAGTCGTTTTTCTCTACCATGCCTGGGCACCTCCGCTTCAAACCAAGTCAGCGAAAAGTTGCGCTCGACAGTGGCCTGGCCAGTCACTCACTCCACAAAGTACTCTTGTCCAGTGCAGTAGCTCGAGAATTTGTTGTCCAATAGGAACAGGGCCATGTAAGCCTGTTCTTTAGGTTGCGAGAATCGTCCAAGAGGTACAAGCTCATCCTTTTGCCAGCTGAGCAGTTTGGGGTCCATGTGACTGGTCTGGTCGGTCTCAACATAGCCTGGGCAGAGAGCGTTTACGCGAATGTCCTTGTCCGCCCACTGCGAAGGAGCAGGAAAAACGTGAGTGGCACAGCCCAGACGTCAATCGGGTGAGAGTGGGACTCACTTCGACCGCTAGTTGCTTCACAATGGATGAAGCGGCGGCCTTGGATGAGTTGTACCATACTTGATGGATCTTCTTATTGACGATCTGGGAGCTCATTGAGCTCACAAAGACCACAGATCCTCCTTTGTATTGCTTTTCGATCCATAGAGAAGCAGCAGCCTGAGCACAGGCAAAAGGTCCAAAGACATTGGTCGAGTCTGAGGATATTAGAACGGACCCAAACGCTCGCACTCCTGACCTCGCCCGCCTGACGCTCTAGCTCAACTCACAGACAGAATTAAAGTCCTCCTTGGTCAAGTCAATGGCATCCTTGACTACAGAGATACCGGCGTTGGCGACGACACCGTCGACTTGTCCAAACTTCTCGTCAATCTCCTTGAAGGTCTTTTTGACCAATTCAGGGTCACCGACATCGCACTTCCAAGCTTCACACTTGACGTTGTACTTCTTTGCTATGCCAGCAGCGATATCAGGAGCGTCCTTGGCAGAGTGGTAGATGACTCCAACGTTTCCACCAGCTTCGGCGATGGCTTCCGAGATGGCGAGACCGATTCCTAAGGGTGCGGGGCGCGACGTCAGCAGGTGCCTGCCACAAGCGATTTCAACAACGACAGCATCTGGCAGCTGTCTTCTCTCTGTTGAGATGAACTAGCTGCGCGAGAAAGGCTACTCACCTCGGTTTCCACCCGTCACGATGTACGTCTTGCCCTGAACAGAAACATGGTCAGTGTTCGATTTTACCCGATCGAGGAGATGCCGCGCACAGAGAAATCAACTGGGATCATGTCAGCAGGTGATTGACGCGTGAGACTCAGCATCGTTCACTCACAGTTAATAGGCATGGTGAATGGGCTGGTGACTGATGCAGTGATAGAGCAGATTGGAGTCTCGAAAGCGGTCTGTGTCTGTTTGTTCCAAGGGACAAAGGGTTACGATGAGATGATCAGGATAGTTGATCCGCTCTTCGCTATATAGGAGGGACCCTTTGTGGATTCAGTGTGACCGTACACATCCTCATATTGTATTTTTACCGGAATCAAATGACGCAAGTGGCAGAGTGTGGCACACGAAGTGTCTAGACATGCATTCTCTCCCTCACAATGATCCCTATTTACATTTGAAAAGTAACACAGTCATGCTTCCATAGCGATCCAAGCAAGATGATGGACCGACCCTAATACGAGTACCTGAATTCGGGGTTCTCCAAATCAGTCCTGTCGGCGAAAGCCAGGTGATGGTGATTCTCCGTGTTGGTGGCTTCCAAGGCTCTGTCTCGCTTCTTGTTTCGAGAAACGCAAAGCATTCGAATGGCGAGGATGTCAGCGATGAAGAGAATGTAGCAACCGATGTGGATGTAGAGAGAGTTGAGGTATCGCGGAGCCCAGGCTGATTGGAAAAATTGGGGTCCAACGGCGTTTCCAGTGGCCCAAGCGATGACTGGTGATTGTCAGCACTCGCACGAGGAGGGGTTAAGAGATGCGTTAGTTTAACTCACAGAACGCGGCGTAGACGATCGACTTTTTGGTCTGTCCGGCAATGTTTCGAGAACACATGGACCAGATGGAAGGTGAGAGCGATTGGAAGCATTGGGCAGCGTAGCTGGCGAAAGATCAGAGCTGCCCCCCTCTCTTGGTGTAAGGGGATCGATCAACTCACAAGGCAAACAGCAATCCTCCCTTAGTCTTGTCCGAAGGCTTGACGACAATCAAGACGACAGTCATGGCAATATTGACGAGTGTGTAGGCGATCTGACAGTAGACAGTCTGGTTGGTTTTGGTGATGAGGAATCTGAAGGGATGATTAGGATCAAGGAAGATCTTCTTCTGCAGGACGACTCACCCAATGAGGATGTACAATATTCCTTGGAACCCAGCAAGAGCGCAAGAGAGCAATTGAGAGTTGAGAACGGTGAATCCAAAGGCCTTGTTGATGAGCAAACTGTTGAACGTGTTGAGACTTGTGCGATGTCAGCTAAAATTTACTCGCGATGATGAGAGCTCAACTCACCCTCCAACAACCAAGGTCTGGAGGAGCATCATTCCGAGCAAAAGGTAGACAAGGGGATCCTTGGCAGCTTCCCATGCTTGCTCAGATTTCCAAACCTTTTGCTTGATACCCTGATCGTTTTTTCGCACACGCTCGACAAACTTGACTTTCTCTTCGGGAGTGGCCCATCGGGCTTGGGGTGGCGAATCGGGCAACCAAATAAGAACGATGGCTGATGAGTTCAGCGCGATGCTCTATGCGTCTCGACGTACCTGAAGCAATGGTGGAGATGAAGGAGAGGCACAAAACGAGCCATTGCCATGCGTAGAGGCCGTGGTCTCGAGTCAATTCCGCTCCGTGAAGGTGATAGAATCCATAGGATAGGAGATTGGTGATGATTCCCCTGGTCAACTAGTCAACCTCGGCGGTTCTCGTGTTTATACATCTTCTACTTACGCCAAGACGAATTGCAGTTGCCAGATAGTGCTTAACAAGGTGTAAGCCGAGAAAGTCATGACCAACGTGCAAGCTGAAAAACCTACACAATTTTAACTTGTTCTTCGATCAAGAACCATTGGACGGTGACTGCGTTGATCTTTGTCAGTCCGAGACTCCCCGCGCGGCAAGTCGCCACACTCACTAGCTAGTAAACAGGGATTGAATGAAGATTCGAGAAGACCGAGCAGGAAACGGATGGCAAAGACAGCTTTGATATCGAGTGCGAACGTCAATCCGAACATCAACTATGGGAGGAGGAGGAGGATCAGGATTCGCATCTTGCCTGATTTCGAAGCTTTTTGATGACACTCACAGCTGACCAGCCGAACATGGAGAAGGCGAGGATCTTGGCCACAGGGGCTCTTCGGATGAATTGGTTGACCTAAGACAATGCACACGTCAGAGCTGAAAAAAGGCGGTGGGTGCCAAAATATCGCCACACTCACCAATGGCTCTCCGACGATAATTCCACAGTAGAAGATGGTGGACGTAAGAGCGTAATCTTGACCCACAGCGTGTACAGTTTCTCGCCAGCCCATGATGGAAGTGGCACCGAGTGCACCCTTGTCGAGACCTGCGCGAGAAAGGGCGGCGTGAGCTGGTGTCTCCCGTGCGTCGCGTGGGGTGGTGGCGACACTCACTTTGCGTGATGTAGCATACACACATGACGGGAAGGACACTGCGGTTTGGGTCAACCTCGTGATCGCTGCATATAATGTATCGTCCGCCTCACCGAGTGTAAATCTTCCATTTCAACCGTTTGTTCTCCTCTGGAGAAATGACGACTGATTCATCGACATACTGAGCAGCAAGGGTATCGGAGACAACCCCTTGCTTGTCTCCGGCTTCGCTGTAGGCGAGATCCTGTGCATGATCCGTGTGAGTGAGATCGACTTTCTCGTGCTCGGTCGACATGTCGAAAGGGGATATTGTGGATCGATGAGCGGCGAATAAGCGTGTGTATATACCAAGTCAGATGGACGAAGTTGGGGGCGAGGGGAAAGATGGGACCTTTGTACGGTTCGTTTGTTCGCCCTTTTCAATTGCCGGAGCGTGTGAGTTTCTTTATTGTCTTTTGCCAAGCACGGGATGACCGGCCCGAAGAAGAAGGGAAGGTGGAGGAGGGGTTATATGGGGCAACTTGCGGGGCAGGGACGAGTGCGGGATATACATCGGATATAGGAATATCAGTGGTGGCTGATGGCTGCTCAAACACGGGATACTCCGGGCCGGTGAGTGTATGTATGTGTGGGTTCAGTGCGATTTCATTCTTCCCGTTGGTTTCCATCGGATCTTCAAGCCACGAACGACCATGACCAAAGTGATCATCATTGGTGGCTCGGGTCATGTAGGTACATATCTGGTTCCTAGATTGGTCAAAGCTGGATACGATGTGACCAATGTCAGCCGAGGGACAGCCAAGCCTTACATCGATGATCCAGCATGGGACAAGGTCGATCACGTCAAGCTCGATCGAAAGGATCAGGACGCTGGGGAGAAGATTGCAGCGCTCAAGCCCGAGATCATCATTGATATGATGGGTTATGAACCTGATGAGGTGGAGCGATTGGTGGATGCTGTCCGGGGAAAAATTCAACACTATATCTTTTGCAGCACAGTCTGGGTCGGAGGGTACGCCACGGCGGTGCCGACGACAGAAGATCAAATGACCAACCCTATCGATTCATATGGCGAGAAAAAGCTGGCCATAGAGAGATACCTCTGGGATCAAGTCAAGACGCACAACTTCCCCGCGACGAGCTTCAGACCAGGTCATATCGTTGGACCATGGCCTTCGATCAATCCACAGGGGAATACCAATCTGGACATTTGGAAAATTCTGGCCAAGGGAGAAGAGTTGGAGCTACCTGACCATGGACTAGGAACCTTGCATCATATCCATGCGGATGACTGTGCCGGACTCGTCATGGCGATGATTGAGAATCGGGACAAGACCATCGGAGAAGCATTCAACAATGTCTCTCCTCAGGCCGTATCTCTGAGGTGGTACTCGGAGCAAATGTTCGAGTGGCTTGGGCATCAGCCAAACATCAGCTACAAGCCATTCGATCAGTGGAAACAAGGTAAACCCCAGTCAGACATTGATGCGACGTGGAGTCACATCGCGCATAGTCCTTGCGTGTCGGTGGAAAAGGCGAAAAGGGTGTTGGGATTTTACCCTCGATACTCGAGCATAGATGCCATCAAGGAGAGCGTCACGGCTCTCAGAGACAGTGGCAAGCTAGACATCTGATAATGCATGTATATGACATTGGCCACAGGACCTGCTAGACAGCTCTCAGCTGGTGCTGACGTGTAAGCACGGGTATGGCCGGTGCTGATGCAGGGGTCTAGCGGCGATCGCCGCTGGCGGTGAGCTGCAAAGCTTTGGTCAAAAGTTAGATTGTGCAGCCCTGCATTCAGAGTTGTTGACAACGTTGGCTGTGACTCGCAGCTGAGCTGAGATGGTGAGTCGTGTACCTGCTCGTCGGCGAGTTGAGGAGCTCATGATCACTTGACCAGTCCGTGACATTACATACGAACCTCGGGGATATCAAGGTATGCTTATTTCCAACTTGACATATTATCGACAGGGCTAAAAAGACTTGAAAAAGATTGAGATCTTTTGCGAGGCCGTACCAAGGACAGCAGAGGTGAGATGAGCGAGCGTTCAAGGGTGTCTTGAGTGTATCTCGCTGACGGTCTCATACAGAACTTCCTCGCCCTCGCTGCGAGCGGATATTACGATGGCACCTTATTTCATCGAAACATCAAGACCTTTATGATTCAGGGCGGGGATCCCAATGGTAAGTGATGGCCTGGTAAGCCTTTTCGAACCCTCTCCGAGCCTTGCCTCCAAGGGGAATAAAGCGCAGTCAATTCATGTTGCATAATGATGCTGACTGGATTCCTGCAGGGACTGGTAAAGGTGGACAGAGTATCTGGGGAAAACCATTTCCCGACGAGATTCGTCAAACATTGAGAGTAGGTCAAATGACCATCTTGAAAGTTTTCTTCCACTTTCTGACTTTTGTTGCGTTCCCCAGTTTAATGCGAGAGGAATCGTTGCAATGGCCAATGCTGGACCAGATACCAATAAATCTCAGGCAAGTCTGCTGGAGTCCGGTTGGGTGAAAAAATCCCCTCTGACGTCTTCTACAGTTCTTCATCACGTACGCCAAGCAATCGTCTCTCGATGGTAAATACACCATCTTTGGCAGGTGAGGGGGAGAACCGGATTCGCTAGACGCACGAGTCGAGATCTGATCATGGTGACACGCAGGGTCATCGACGGAGCCGACTCCACGCTAGACATGATGGAAAAAGTACCTGTCAATGAAAAAAATAGACCGTTGGAAGAGATCAAGTTGACCAATGTAGGCAAAACCATGGTCGGTCTTGGCCATCACTGACGACCCATGTCAGGTCACGATTCACGCAAACCCCATAGCACAAGCGCAAAAGTAGGAGAAATGGGACTTGGATCTCTCTGCATTGTTGTACTATTGAACAGAGGACGATACCCTGTATCTTACGAATTCACCTCGCTGGCATATAAAAGTCTCGTCTCCTCACGTGTACCATGCTCCAGCCGCGAGAGGGCCTTGCTCGGCATACTGTCGATGCGGTATGGTCCCCTTCGTGATGTCGAAAAGCGATTTGGCTTCCTGCAGAGAGATGAGCGACTTGTCGCGATTACCATACCCACTTCCCAGGTATCCATGTCGAGCTCAATGACAGCTTGATGAGTGGTGATATCCCCGTCGATATCAGGGTCCGCACCATTTTTCGAATCTGCAGCGCCATTTAAGACTAGTGCCAATAAGGCTCGGTCGACTCACAAATCATCACCTCCCCATCATCCATGACGTCTATACCTGCTTTCCCCTCTTTGATGAGGAACGAGAGGTAGAAGCAATTCTCTACACTCTGTCCGAAATCATCAGGGTCTATGACCAGCTTGAAAAAGTTGACGCCTTGGCCATGTGGGTCAGACTTTTCAAGGACCGCTTGAACCTGTAGATGTCAGATCTCACCCCAAAGTCACTCTAAACAGCTCACCTGCTTGACGAGTCCGACAGTATCTGCAGCTTGTTCACCGTTGGCAGATCTGGTTTGCGTGGAGATCTCCTGTGGTCGCGTTTCGGGCTCGACGACTTTTTCCCGTCGTTGTCGTTGCACGGGGGCTCGACGAGGAACCTTGAGAGGACCGTACCTGACAGAAAGTGTGGAACCATCAGTCAATATATACAGACGCCAGCCCTCTCCACTGACAAGACCTCGAGACCTGTGACTCGTCTAGATAAACCCGCGGCCATCCAACCGATCTTCTCCCAATCTCCCAAATGACCTTTTCGAAACGGTCGACGACGTCCAGCACCACCTCGTCCTCGATCAGACATTGACTCGTCAAGCTCATCTTCGTCCTCAGGGTCTTGCTCATCCAATTCTTGTCTGTCCAGTCCCAGAAGACTGCTCATCCTGAATAGTGAAAATGAAGCATGAGGTGTAGATCTCACGACCTCACGGCTGCCTCAAACTCACCGTAGCAGAAAGTCACTTGTATCGAACAGATTACCCTCCAACCTCATCTTTCTCGCGATCTCTAATGCAGTATCTGCTGTGGTGTTCATCAGACGAGCATCCGCCGTCGCCAACGAGGTATCTTTCACTGCGCAGAACCGTTAGACACCTCATTCAAGCGCGCAAAAGCTACCTTCTGAGAACAGCTTCGCCTGGTGTTTTATACTCTTCTTGAGCTGTTCAAGAGTCGTATTGGCCGAATTCGCCTTCATGTCTAGGGTAAATGGGATGAGTTTACGGTACACCAGGGAAAGAATCACCTACCGTCGGCCATGATCTGCATTTCCCGATATTCTCTGCCCAGTCTGGCTTTCGTTTCTCGAGGTTGCCTCTCAAAGACATCCTCAATGTTCAGTCGCATCCTCGTACTCTGCGACATTTCGGAATGTCGAGGTCCTCGTTGAGCATGGGTACCACCATTTTGAGTTGGTCGATGTCTCGATGGCCCAGCTTGGGGTATCTCCTCGTCAGAGTCGGGAAGCATCGAGGGAGGCAAGGTGAGGCAGAGGGTAGGTTCACGTATGCAATCCTCCCGATCTTGAGCTTCGCTGCTCTATACACGCAGGAGGAGAATGTTAATCGGAGTTGTACCAGGTAATGTTTCGTCGCGGGTGGCCATGCATCAACGCGTGTGATGGACCACGTGCAAACTCAATTGTGGGAAAGTTGACTCGATCACCACGCGATCGGCGTGCTCGGACATGCCAATTGACTTTTGAATATCATCTTCATATGATGAGCACAAATAGTCACTAATGGCATCTCAAGTAGCTTCAAGCTCGAGAGGCAGGACAGCAGCGTGAGGCATAAATTACAAGGACCTGACTGATCTGACCATCGTCAGAAATACGGTCGAGCCGCCAGATGCTACCCCCAGTATCGCGGCGAAAGGTGAGTGAGGTTTCCAACCTGGAAACCCCTCGTTGAAGAAGACATGCTTGATAGACTCGGACAAGTGAGTGAATGTGTCGACTTCAGGGTGGGCTACTATCGTGGAATGATCTGGCGTCAATACTGTCACGCCGCGCGCCGAGTCTGACATATGGGGCCTTAGCTGCTTTCGCATCCTCCTCGCTACGGACAATCATATAGGCTATGCCGAGAAGGATCCGATTCGAGGTCAAGACGCCATCAACACTTTCCGTGAGATCCTGGAGATCGCACGAGATGCGGAAGTGGACTTTATCCTCCTCGCGGGGGATCTGTTCCATGAGAATCGACCGAGTAGAGGGTGCATGCACCAGACCATAGCACTGTTGAGAGAGTACACTCTCGGGGACAGGCCAGTGTCGGTGAGCTTTTTCTGCGCTACTGTATAGATCCATCAGCTGACGTCCTATACTCAAGTTCGAACTTTTGAGCGATCCGATGGATGGATCCACGCCAGGCTTCTCGTCAGTCATTTTCATCTCGAACTGACAGCTGACCTACCAGATTTCCCGCTATCAATTATGAAGATCCAAACCTGAATATTGCCATTCCCACCTTTTCGATTCATGGCAATCACGATGATCCGCAAGGGACCGGCCCAGTAAGCGCCACACCCGGTGTGAATGTTTCCGGCGCTCACACACAACTCCAGGAAGGCGCCCTCTGTGCCCTAGATGTCTTGTCTGTTTCTGGAGTCCTCAACTACTTTGGCAAAGTGGACCTGATGGCCGACGAGACGACTGCAGAGTCTGCAGACAAGGGCATCCGGATCAAGCCTATCCTTCTGAGAAAAGGTGAGATGGTCGGTCCATGTACGAGTTTTCCGCGCGCCTGCTGACAACGAGTTCGGACACCAGGTAGCACACATCTGGCGATGTACGGCGTCGGTAACGTCAAAGACAATCGGATGCATTACGAGCTCAGGAGCAATCGCGTAAAAATGTTTATGCCGGAAGGAGGGGATGTCCCAGAGGAAGACTGGTTCAACATGCTGCTGGTACATCAGAACAGGTAAGGAGACGGACGCTATTGTTTGGCTTAAAGCGATCCCTTCAGAGTCAAACACGGCCCTCAGTCTTCTGTCCCTGAGGGGATGTTTGACGACTCCATCAAGCTCGTCGTGTGGGGTCACGAACACGATTGCCGGATCTGGCCAGAAAAGGTCGAAGGAAAGGATTACTACATTACTCAGCCAGGCAGTAGTGTCGCGACCAGTTTGGCACCCGGCGAGGCGTTGCCAAAGTGAGTCGCTTAGATGCTCCTCATTGGCCCTGGCTTTCTCTCACACACAGTCCAGACACGTCGGAATTCTCTCGATCCAAGGATCGCAATTCCAGATCACTGAGATCCCACTTAAGACTGTCCGACCGTTCGAGATGGACGAGGTGGTGCTCTCTGAAGCTGCATCCGACGAGTCCAACAAGATCAACCTAGAGGACAAGGACAGTATCGCAGTGTATCTGAGAAAGCAGGTGAGTAGCAGCGTGTTCCGTGCAAAGTGCCAACCGCACTTTAACACCTTGCCTGGCCCAGGTCGAAAGCTTGATCCGACGGGCGAAGCAAAATTGGAACGAGCGACATGCCGAGGATACTGAGCCTGTAGACATGATGTTGCCTCTCATCCGTCTCAAGGTAAATCTGGGTACGTTGTTGCTGTTGGTTGACGTGTCCAGGTTGAGACGTCTGACGCGAAAGAGATGACCAATCCTGTACGATTTGGACAAGATTTTGTTGGGCGAGTCGCGAACCCGAGGGACATTTTGCAGTACTATCGTCGAAAGAAGGCAGCCGAAAAGAGTGCGAGACCAAAAGCCTTATCAGCCTGTTGACACTCTTTCTCAGAGACCAAGAACGTGGCGGATGCACCGGACGGAGTGGATGACGAGTGGGGTCCTGAGACGGACGATCCGAATGCCATGACTGCGTCGGATCGATTGGCCAAACTCCGCATGTCAAACCTTGTCCGTCAGTATCTCCAAGCACAACAGCTCGAAGTCTTGGTGGAGAATGGGCTGGAGGATGCAGTGATGCGATTCGTGGACAAGGACGATAGGGATGCGATCAAAGAGTGTGTAGAACGTCAGGGAGTCCATGCTGATCGAGATAGCTTCGTAGCGGAGACTCTCAAATCTGTTGGGAAGGATATGAAAGGGCAGGAAGTGGTGGAAGAGGATGTCGAGGAGCATGTGAGTGTGGGCTGTGACGATTTGTGTACTGACGCCCGGAAGATGCTGCGCGCAAAGGAACAGTAGGTTCTCTCATCAGTCACATTTTCTCACCTGCCTCAGTGCGGCGTCGCAGTGGGCAGCGACGAATCACAGAGATGAAGCGCCAAAGGCAAAGAAGGGCAAGGCCAAGCAGGACTCTGATGTGGATAGCATGGGTGAGGTGAAATTTGCCTTGTGATTTACCGCTGACAAACAATCCCCAGTCGACGACGGAGATAGCATGTTAGGAACCCCTGCGTGTGCTTAACTGATGCATACAGGATGGAAGTCGAATCTGATGCCTCTTTGAAAGCCACCAAGAAAAAGAAAGGTAAGACTGCTTCGAGCGGGTCCAAGAGTCGGGGAAAAAAACTGGTGAGTTGAGCGAGAGTTTCACGCGAGGGACATGTGAGATAACCTTGATTCAAGTTTGCACCCTCTGCGTCTGAAGAGGAGGGGGAGGAGGAAGAGGAAGAAGAAGAACATGACGAGCCGGTGCCTAAGCCTACTACTGCCAGGTCCAAAAAGACTTTAACACCTGCCAATGTCCGCGCGAAACCGGCTCCGAAGCGAGGAGCAGCAGCATCCAAAAGTGGAGGTCAAACGCAATTAACGTGAGTGTCTCTCTCATATTATGCCGTTACCCCGACGATTGCAAAGGCGCGTTTTGATTCCCGTAATATGCAGATTCTCCAAGACCAAAGTCTCCAAACCTGTAGGTCGATGCGATTGCGCGAGACACCTTTGTCATATGGGCTGAATACCATTTATTATAGATTGAGCTGTCCGATGAAGACTAGCCTCGATACGCACACGACATGGTCGGGACACCCTCACGACCCAATCAACTTCGCTCTCTGTGTGTATATTTTCTGCCTGCTTTCCCACATACACCATCACCATGCATGGACACACGTAATCAAGTGACACGTTTGGCCCAAAACACCATGGGAACTGTCAGCACAGTTGGGGGTCCATGAGAGTGTGTCCAGACACTATCCAATAATCACATTGCGAGATTGAGCGGGTACCTTTGTGGTGGTGAGCCCAGTTTTTGGCTGACAGCAGCAGCTGCCAGCATGCGATCGACTGAACTTCAAATTTTCCTTTTGCTCTTCCCTTTCGTGTGTCTGCGGGTGACTTTTTGTGTGTGTGTGTGTGGTTCCCAGTTTTTAATTAAATTTCATCAAAATCATCTTTCATTCATTCAGTACGCAAGAGGTGGTGGGGCTGCAGCGACGGCGGCGGCGGCGCTAGAGAGGCGTCCAGATGCTTCCCAGGGCGCGCGGGGGAGCACGCAAGCTGGCAGCAGCAGCAGCGGAGGAGGCGTCGAAGATTATTATTATTATTACATGATGTGGAATCTGAGGAATTTTTATGGTTAGCGGCACTGAGATGGGAGGAGTAGGTGATGAAGGGGGGGCACAGTGTGTTGAAAGTACCGTGGAGAGCGATTGGGGAGGGGAAGATCCTCAAGCACATCAAGGCCTCGTCCTTCTGGCGCCCGAGAGCTTGCTGTAATCCGCCTATAAATCCGCGCAGAGAGAGAAGACAGGGAGAGGAAGGGCCGCCCTTCTCTGGACCTCTTGGTCGGGACTCTTTCGCTCGCTTTCCGTCCTTCTTTCTCTTTCACGTCCTCGTGTCTTTGTCTTTGTCTTGTCTTGTCTTTCTCGACTTTCGTCTTGTGACCAACTTGTGATCTGACTGTTGACGTCTTTATTGTCATTGTCCAAGTTTTTTAGCTCTTCGTCGTCTGCGAATCCAGGCGGGCAAAGCAGTGTTGTATCGTTGAACATCCCGACTGCCGCCCTTATTCAAGTTCGAGGTCCGATCCCGCATCTCTCTCTCTCTCGCTCTTCGCCCACATCTCTCCTTGTCACGCAAGCTTGACAGCCAGACGCGAAAGTTCACTTTGTGCTTCTCCCACCTTCCGGTACCTCGCACCATTCCAACAGACATCTGATACCGTTCCTCGATCCGAGACTAGGACCTAGGACCAAGACTGGGACTAGTCAAAGCGCACTCCCACCTTGGACGACACCGCCCGTATCACCATGTCGACGGATGAAGGGCCAAGCACTGGCACGATGCACGAGCTCAATGCAGAAGCATCGACCAGTAGTACGACTAGACTGTCTAACCTCGACGCTCCTCTTGGTCCCCTCTCATCTCTACCTGCCTCATCTACAGGTCTTCAAGAATGGAAGATTCTCCTCTTGTGCACCGCTGTCAACTCGTTTTCCCAACGTGTGATCACGTATTTCGATTTCCTTGGGCTGAAGAACGTCTCGGTCCAAATCGCCTCAAATGACGAGGCGATGATCTCGGCCTGCGAGGAATGGGATCCCGATATGGTCGTTTGCCCATTCTTGACCCGAGTCATTCCAGAACGTGTCTTTGGCAGGGTAAGTGGATACCCGAATTTACCTTGTTGGATCACTCACTAGATGCTGACATGTGTTCACTCAGTGGACCACACTCGTCGTTCACCCTGGTCCGCCCGGTGACGCTGGACCTTCATCCCTCGACTGGGTCTTACTGGGGGACAATGGTTCCGATGCCGACTCGACGTCCGCGCTCAACACACTGCTGAACACCTCGTCCACTTCCTGGTCCGGAGAACGACGCTCACACTGGGGAACGATCGTTTTTCAAGCCAACGAACACCTGGACGGAGGCGCCATATGGGCATGGGAGCAGTACGAGCTTCCGACCCTAGGAACTTTGACCAAGGCTCAGCTCTATCAAACATTGCACTCCCAAGGTGCCATTTCTGCCCTTATCACGGCCATGATTCGAGTCTATGAAACCACCTCGACTCTTCCCAAAGACCAGCGAGTCTCGGCTCGACCTCGCGAAGAGTGGCAGAAACTCAGTGTGACGTCTCAACTCACTTTCCAAGGTGGTTCAACACACGAACGACCCTTGATCCAATCAAAACTGAGGAAACCTGATTTTGCCATTCACACCGCCACGGATGTTCAGAGGATCATCTATGCCAGTGATTCTCAGCCGGGTGCGCAGCTCGCTCCGCTCACTGGCGATTCCAAGACCAGCTTGTTCGCCTACGGAGCTCATTTACACCTCGATGCGGCGACCGTCCCGAAGGAATTGTACACTTGTCTAGGCTACGAATCAATGGACCAAGTGCCTGATGGCCGTATCCTCGCTCATCGACACGGAGCGATATTCGTCAAGACCAGATCTACCGACCCAGAGGATGCTGCCGGAGTCTGGATAACCCACGGAAGAGTACCTAAGAAAGCTGGAACTCCGCTCGAGCCAAAGGTACCCATGGTACAAGCTATCGAATCCTCGGGCCATGCGTCAGCGTTGCAAGGTGTACAAGAATGGTCACAGGAGACGTTTGATCACGTCCCCGGGACCTGGCAGGAAGTTTATGTCAAGAGCATCCATCAAGGTGATCGATTGGCTCAGTGTGTTTATTGGAACTTTTACAATGGGGCTTTTTCGACGAGACAATGCCAACTTTTGTTGAAAGCGTGCCAGTGGGCCGTGGAACCGGAGAGAGGCAATGTCAAGGCTTTGGCATTGATGGTGAGTAACGCTCAGTGCTGCATCGGTGCGGTGCGGTCAAATGCTGACTTGTGACTCCAGGGCGGATCATACTTCTCAAATGGGATCGCACTCAACACCATCGAAGCGTCTGCGCATCCAGGTCAAGAGACATGGGCAAATATCTCCGCTATTGACGATATTGTCGAATTCCTGGTATCCGACACCTCGGCCGACAGATCTCCTTTTATGAGACATGTCGAACCGCTGTGCGAACGTGGCATCGTCACTGTCGCGTGCGTCAGAAGCAACGCAGCTGCCGGAGGTGTAGCGCTCGCTGCTGGATGCGATGTGGTCATGGCTGGTAGAGGAGTGGTCTTAAATCCCGCTTATCGAGCCATGGGTCTACATGGATCGGAATTCCATTCGTAAGTCCGCGTAGCTTATCATTGTCACTTCAGTCAGCTGACCTTGAGCGCCAGATACTCTTACCTCACTCGATGTGGTGAATCTCGCTCTGCGGCCATGCTACGCGATATGATGCCTCAATCATCGACTCAATCTCGCGAGACTGGCTTGGTGGATATCGAAATTGGATCTTGCACTTCCACCTCATCTGAGATCGAATCACTCTGTATCGAACAGATCAAAACACTCCTGCAATCCTCGTCGACACAGCCTCTACAATGTGCCCCGTGGTCAACGTTCACTTCCGACTCGACCCCTCCTTCCATCGCTCCTTCCGTTCACATCTCTCTGACCGACTGGATGTGTAAAGTCAAAAGGGACAAGTATCGACATCGCTCATTTCCTCCACTCGTACACTTCAGGACTGAAGAGTTATCTCAGATGCTATTGGACAGCTTCCACTCGATTCGATCGAAAAGATATCACGAAAGACGATACAAGTTCATCCGCAAGGTCAAGTCGGACGCCACGCCCTCTCGGTACATTCGACATCGGCAAGTCGAGCAAGATGAAGAGGAACGAGAGGAGTTTGACGATGCACCCGGTTGGACAAGAGGCGAAGAGTGGTCTTGGGCGGATTTACCGATCCCAGCGTCTCTCGCGACGTCGGAGAAGACCAGAGTTCCACTGTACTCTGCCGACGATAATGCGCCTCGAAAAGCGAGCATCGTCGTCTCTCACGTCGAATCCGATACCTGTACGGCTGTCGAATCGTCACCGAATCTCGAGGCTGAAGCCGGCACTCCTGATAAATCCCTCTTACGACCTATCGAACCCATGTCTACACCTTCGACTGAGAATGTCTCATTTACGGCTCTATCTTCTCCTGGATCCATGAACCAGAGTCTCCCCTCCGACGAAGATGACACTGTTCGCACGCCATCTCCTCGACAAAGTACCTTCTTCAAAAAGCAAGGAAGGCGAATTTCATCGTCTTCTCAGTTCGCAAGTATGGTCAACACCCCTCTGTCGACTCCGGCCGTCACACCTGATGGGCCCCTGTCAGGATCCAAGTCCAAAGCGTCAGGCCGATTCAAGAGCTTCTCAAAGAGACTCTCTGGAGCATTCACGCTTAAACCTCCTCCGCCTTCTCGACCTTCCATCTTGCCTCCTGCACAGACATTCAAGACCCAAGCGGTCCAGAACGGACCGAAATTGCAAAATGTGACTGCTGCGACGAGAGCCTCCATGACGGTCGTGAGAAGTCCCAAGCCTACTATACCTGGGCACCGTGCGACCTTGTCGACGTCGCTGCCCCCGTCGTCGACGACGACCAAGTCGACATACCAGTCACCCAAAATCAAAGGGGCGGAGCAATGCGATTTCCCTTGCTTGTATGAGCCGACAGAAGTGAAGAAGACGACCAACCACGCAGTCAATGAGCCCATCATCGAAGAAGTCGCTGGGCAAGCTTGATCAAGTTGGACGTTGTTGTTCATTGTCTCTCGACGATATGGCGGGACACTAGAAGGAGGGATGGGGAGGGGATGAGTAGTGGGGAGGGGATGAGTAGGGGGGAGGATCTACGACCGAGGTATCACCATTTTACGACGCACACATGACTGTCAGTTCCATCTACTACGCTACCTATGACACCTTTTGGACATCTATTTTTTGTTTCTATGATCTATACCTTTGTATCTCCAGGTTGAGCCTTCCATCTATGCCCTTATGCAATGCCTTTAACGACAACCACAATCGGAGGATGAAGGTGCCACTTTCAGAGAAGGCTACAATTAAAGGACGACGACAATGAAACACGTACTTTGTCAACATTATTGGTCTCGTCCTCGACTTGTTTTCTATCCTGTTCACCAGGTCTGGACAGCCTATCTGCCATGTCTCAGCAGGCCAATCGGCATACTGGTGCAGGGTCCTCCGCAAAGGGTGGCAATATGTCGCGGTCGCATATGGAGAAGGAACGATTGGCGAGAGTTGAATCCGGAGCGAACAAGACGAGTGAGTCCTTGAGCTTTTGGCGTGACGACACTGGGCACTGCAGACACGTTGCTGCCATGATTACCATCTGTGATCATCTTGACCGCATAAAACGAGATTTTCCACGCTTATGCACTCGGGTCTCGTCGCGTCACTGACGGCCATTCAGGCTCTTCCAACTCTTTGACACCCATCAAAGCTTACCTCGTCCTGTACAACCTCATCTCAACCCTACTCTGGGGATACATTCTCGTGCTCACCATCACCCACTTTACGGCCGTTCCACCTTCTGAACGACACGCCAAGCGAGGTCCTCTATCTCTCAGTCGGATACTTCAAACGACCACCGCGACACTCCCACACACTGTATCTGGGTACATTGCTCGACTCTCTAACGCTGGGTCCGACCGGCATTTGAAAGAATGGACGATTTGGGTCCAGACATTAGCTGCGTTGGAAGTAGTCCATGCTTTACTTGGCTGGGTCAGGAGCGGTGTCGGCATCACTGCGGCGCAGGTCGCCAGTCGTCTGTGGACAGTTTGGGTCGTCATGGCGAGGTCGCCAAAAGTGAGCTAGCTAGGGAGCGAGCGAGCGAGCACGCCTGCAGGACCTGCGAGCAGATCCCGAATTGCCAAGTTTCAAAGTTCTAACTTGCGCGCGTAGGTAGCTGAGAACCCCTTGTTCTCCACCATGGTCTTCGCTTGGTCCCTTGCAGAAGTCATCCGATACTCGTTTTATGCAACTCAACTCCTCGGTTTCAGGATCCCAGGGCACAACTATCTCAGGTGAGGCGTACCTGCCAGCAGCTGAGAGGGATCAACTGACACTCTTTTGGTCAAGATATACCCTCTTCATTGTCCTGTACCCTCTCGGAGCCTCATCTGAGGCCCTGTTATCCTTCTCCACTCTTCCTCCCCTTTTCACTTGTCCCCTGATTCCCAATTGGGTCAAGGAGCTCTCTCCCATGGGATACATCTACTCTCGACTGCCTACCAGTCTCGCGACTCGAGCGCTGAAAAGCCCTCTGGGAAGGCGATTGATTTGGAACATGGCAAAAGCCAAGACAAAGGCCAAGGTCTTTGGAACGGCTCAATGGGGGACGCTGGACTATGCATGCCTCGTTTTGTTTTTCGTTTGGTGGCCGAGTGAGTCAGAAGCCAAGGAGCGCCGAACTGACGATGCTTTAGGTCTATACGTACTCATGAGTCACATGTTCGTGCAACGTCGCAAGGTCCTTGGACCGGGAAGACGCGTCGGAGAGCCAGTCAAGGTCAAGGTCACTTGAGAAGGAATGTGCTTCACTGAACGGGTAGTGGTCCTGTGTCTGGAACAGTGCGTGTCCGACGAAAGATGGGCATGAATCACAACAAGTCTATATGTCTCTCCAGCTCTCTATGATCTGCGGCCTCGCTTCGCCCCCACAGCTCTACAACTTTGTGTTCTCCGACCTCATCGCATCGTGCTCTTCGATATCTCCATCGCATTCCCAAGGATAAGCCAGCCAAACGTCTGGCGTGTCCACCGCTGAAAAGTACTTGACGGATGAAGGTATCTCGCCAGCTTTCTGCTTGAGTCTGAGAGATACCGAGGTCAGCTAGACTTGGCGGCGACAAAGGTTTGAAAGACGGATACACACTTGTTATGCACGACAAAGACGCCAAGTTTGGTCGACTCCCTCAGCTTTTCACGTTCATCAGCGTCGGAGACGGCTTCGAGCTGCTTGTCGATATCAGATTGCAGTTCTTTGATGAGGTATCTAAAAGTCGAGTAAGGCAACGTTCCTATGAAGCAGTCAAGGAGGTTGGTTGCCCTTACGTCAAGGTCGTGCGGGTATCATCGACTTCGTCGACGATCAATATACGTCGGCCGAGCAATCCACCGTGGGTCAAGTCCTTTCCGAGCTGTCGAAGGTATCAGCCACGGAAGAGTTCCACATCCCTCGGGCGGACAGAGACAGACATGACTCACCGTTGAGAAGTCGAGCCATTGAGTGCGAACGACCTCGGTCCCTGCAGATTCTGCAATCTGCCCCACCAACATTTCAGCATATGAGAAGCTTTCCAAAAGGGAGAGAAGATCCAACCCACCCCGCCCATCGACTCGTACAAGACCAAACCGACAGCTTGGATTGGGATATTCCGTTTGACACCGTCCGAATCGACCTTGCAGAAGGTCCTGAGGATTCGAGCGGGAATGAAACCTCCTCCACCTATAGCAATGAAGAGCGTGGGAGCTGAGCGAGCGAGCAAGACGTGTCAGTTCTTTGAATCCTACCGCCAAAGGGCAAGGCAAGTCAAGGGGACGTACCAAACTCATCCTTGATTCGCTTGGCCGTGCTCTGGATGGCCTTATGGACGTCGTTATAGCTGATCCGAATCCTTATGATCGAGTCAACAAACACTCTCGGCCCGACACCCAGATCGCTGGTAGCTGTTCCGACCACAGTACAGTGCACACGACTCACATTGGGACATCAGAACCTCCGTGACCCATGATGAAAGAGGACGCGAGAGAGAGAGAGAGAGAGATATAAACGGATCCGAGCAAGGACGTCGCAAGAGGGCCTAGAGTATGATGAGATAGATTGCAGAGGCAACGATGTTGATGAGAAGCACAGAGCACTCGGACGTCGATAAGGATCTCTCAAGTGGAAGAGATGATAAACTCTTTTGAACTTTTGGAAAATTGAAATTTTGGGCGTCTAATAAAAAGTCCCGAAAGTGATCGATGGCAATCTCGGACTCGACCTCCAACCTGCTCCCTTACTGCTTCAAGTTCCTGCAACCGCTGCGTCAAATACAGCTCCAGGGACTAGTCTGGAATAGATCACACTATGAATGCCGTCGCATCCTCTTCCACCACTAGGGAGCTCTACCGCTCCTTACTACGGGAAGTCCGGCTCGCCGTGAGTCTCACTGTCCCATTCACTCGACCATGCTGATCGCTTACGCTGACACAGGCAAAGAAGCCGAGGAGACAACGAGGCTCTGGGACAGAAAAACAATTCAGGACGATGATCTCAGCATCTTCTTTGGAAGGACAGACTGGAAAGGTCGACAAAATGTTGATCGAAGCGAGAGATTATCTGCGATCATCACGGATTCACGCGGTAGGTCACCTCAGAGGGGTCACGGGGTTTTGGGAGCTCTGATTGAGCTTGCTGTTCATAGGAGCTGCTGAAACGATACAATCCTACACTTGGAATGACGGACGCGGAGAAGGTTCACGCTGCTGCTAGAAGGGTCGGACTGGATACTCCGATCAAGTACAAGCCGGAATAGAGGATGTATCATGAGAAGATGTAGCGTTATTCATCTGTCAGCCTGTGGGACGAATTATGAGCTGTATATGTGTGTGTGTGTGTGTGTGCGTATGTGTGGAGGGTCGTATCATTCAGCTTGTGTGTGCTGATTCTCCAAGCCATTACTAATCCCACTGATGGACGTGTTCTGATCACGGAAGAACTTGTCAACCAGTCCTGTGACTTCCTCGCTGATCCCTTTGCTCGTTTGGTATCTGCGTTGACGAGTCATGAGCGGTCACCTTCCGACTCAATCGCCCCCCCTTCGAACCTACCCTGCTGGTCCAATACCGTACGCATGGACCACGCCCACCTCTCGTCCGACATTCTCCTCCGACCTGATGTTGTGCGGTGTCAAACCCCTTTGCTCCCCCAACCTTCTGTATTCCAACTCTACCCTTGCTCCGCCTTTTCGAGCAGGTCTCAGGCCCGCATTACAACTGATCACATCGATTGCTTCCCATCCTTTCCCACCGCTCAGCTCGGGACATACAGCGTACGCGTCTCTCAAGATCCTCTTGGCGGTCTCGGGTCTAGGCAGTGTATCCCAATCGTTGTCCAGCTCCGTCCCGCCCAATATCACTCGATCTCCTGGTCCAGGTCTAGGAATGATATAGAATCGTTTCCCAAGTTGCTGATCTTGTGGCGAATTCGGGTCCAAGACTTTCATAGTGGTTTTGATGCCTGGTGCTCGGATGAGGACCGTATCCCCTCGAATCGGATAGACCAGCTCGTCCTCGACCCCCAGGAGTGATCGACTTCCTAGGCCCGTAGCGTTGATAACGAGGTCCACGGGGCCAATATCCTCCATAGAGTAAGCTTCGTCAAGAGAAGATACGCGGCGTCGGATCAACGGGACGCTGTAAGATCTCAATTCTTCCGCAAGGTAACCAAGGTATGCAGGCGGTGACATTGTATAACATTCGTATCCTTGACCATATTTGTATCCTGGGGCCAACTCGTCTTGTTCAAGCGAGCGGAACTGGGGAATCAAACCAATCAGCTATACAAACCCGACATTGGCATGTCGGGACAGGACTCTCACACCAAAGACCAGATCCTTAAACCATGGATCCGGGTACCCTCCCTCCTTATTCCAGAACCGCTTGAATGGCCTCCTCTCGACGACATGTGGATGACTCTGGGATAGTTGAGCATAGTGATGGAATGTGACGGTATCCCAGTGAGCTTCACGAGACCCCTCCGCAGCGAAAGAGCTCCAGTTAGCGCCCTGCCGCCAGACTATCAGCCCGAACGAGACTCTATAAGAGAAGCTTGTCGACTTACAGCCCATGGACTGGCAAATTGACCCGATTCGAGATCCTCAGGCAGGTCTCGAGCGACGACAGCGCAGGATACGCCCTTCTCCGCTAGCTCCTTAGCAATAGAGAGGCCGAGCACTGCAACATCATGAGCTACAAGTCGCTGAGATACAGCGTGAGGTCCCGCGTAGAATAAGCCCACTCACCGCCAGCACCCAGTACTATGACCTTGACCTTGGTCTCGGCGCTCATTCCGTGCCTCAGACTGGTTACACCCCGCAGGTTTGCATAAGATGATGAAGACAGACTCTTCCTTCCGTAGGTCGATCCGGTGACTACCCGAAGATTCTTTATCGGACCTGCCCGAACATGACGGCGATCCGCAATTAGAGCCTCAACAGCAGCGCACAATTTGGTCGCGATACGCAGAGATACGGAAACATATCCCATGACAGAAATGGAGATACATGTCAAGCCTGTTGTATGAAAGAAGGACGCCATGGTCACTTGGTATTCTCCTAGGAAAGTACAATCATAGCCGGAGAAGACGCTTGGTCAGATTATTGGATGGGTAACGAGCTCCAAAAGATTGTGAGACGTAAAAGAGTGCGATGATGCTAGAGAAAGGGGGGGGGGGGGGGGACCTTATCCTAAGATTAATGCTTGGATGGATTCGCGATCTGTGCCGAGTCAGGTCATCCCTTGAAGGAAACCGGCAAAGACTTACATGAAGGGGATCACTCCTCTCATTTTGTGGTGTTCCTACTCCACTGTTGTCACCTGAATACCCACCATACGGATCGTCATATGTCTGCGCGTGGTACTGATTTGGATCTTGTTCATGCTCGTCCGCGTAATAGTCCGCATCGCGCGGATCAAAGTAATACCCCTGTTGACCCTGGTGCATGCCTTCGTATCCTCCAGCACCAGCACCAGCTGCCGCACCAGCAGCAGCAGCAGCACCGCCAGCGTACGCACCGGCGTGATCCGAGTATCCGCCATGCGGATCAGCATAGCCGTGTTCATGGTAGCCAATGGGTGTGTCAAACGGTCCTTGACCCGGATGGTCTCGGTAAGGCTGTTGAGCATAGGGATCATACCCGCCAGCAGGGGCATACGAGGCTCCATAATTGGCGTATTGAGCCATCGGCGCGCTGACCGTAGAAGGATACGAGTCGCTGTTATGATGGCTGGAGGATGGGCCCATGCCGTCACCTTCGTCCAGCGGCGATCGGTGAGCTCCGGACGAGGCGGCTACAGCAGCAGCGGTAACCTCTCGATCCAGTCTCTGCCTTCGTCTACGGCGGAAGAATAGCAGACCAAGGGCGGCGAGGACACCAACGGCGACTAGACCAACCACAACGAATGTTCCTGCGACGGCTCCGGTATTGCTGAAGAACGCGTTCGAGGATCCTCCACTGCTGCCTTGGTCCAGAGCCCCGGTGGGATTGTGAACAACTAGAGTGACGGTGGTAGGCTGACCATTTGACTCGGTTGTGAAAACAGAGGTGAATTGCGCAGGCGTGGTAGTGATCAAGTGACCACTGGCATCGGTTGTCGTCACACCTTGGGCTGACGTCAGGGTGCTCTCGATGGCTTTGCCGGAGGATGATGGTGTCACCACGACGAGGGTGGTGGAGGTGGACTGAGCCGCGGCCGAAGTGGTTTGGCCAGCTGAAGTTGTGGGGGTGGCAGAGGTGGTCGGTTCTGTAGATGACGAGGTAGGAGTACTGCTGGTCGGTGTTATAGATGGTGAAGTCGTTACTTGAGACCTGAGAGCTTCAGCAAGGCTAAAAATATGTGGAGACTCACGATTGAGCAGGTGGCGGGGATGAAGAGGAGGTGGGTGCTTGAGTAGTCGTGGAGGATGAAGTTGGAGTTGGAGAAGGAGACTGTGATGTAGTTGTCTGGGTAGAGCTAGATGAAGGCGGAGGCTGCTCAGATGAGCTAGGGGTAGTGCTGGTCGTAGTAGTGGTGGAACTTGATGAAGGCGGTGGGGGAGAATCTGAAGAAGAGGGGGGAGGTCGTGTGGTCGTTGTGGTCGTAGATGTCGTGGAAGGCGATGCAGATGGTGATAGTGATGGTGTCGTAGAAGTCGTCGTCGTCGTGGCGGTGGAAGATGAAGGGACGTTAGAAGTTGGAGGGATCGCTGCGAATCAGATCAGCCGTACAGGAAAGACGTCCAAAGGTAGACTCACTGGAAGTGGTCGTCGTAGAAGGGGAGGCGGAGGAGGAGGGAGCTGCTTCAGCTTCAGTGGAGCCAGAACTTTCAGCAGCAGCTTGGCGTTGACGGAGGATAGGTCCTCGTCTCCTAGCTGGTGGGATTCTAGCCTCCATCGTCGTATCCAAAAAGTGTGCAGTCGAGAGAGACAGAGCAAGCAAAGAAGGCCTCTTCTGGAGGAGGGTTGAGAACCCCAGAAAAAGAGGCGCCAATTAGAGGTCGGACTTTTTGGCCTATCAAAGGATCTTCATCGAAGGGTTTCTCAGTGCTCGCCGTCCTCGCAGTCTAGCTCTTAACTCTCCATCCAGGTCAATCGTCAGACGCTCATCAATGGTCGTTGACGGATTGTGTGCGAGCACAGTGGATTGACAATGATGAGAACGAGAACAAGAACAAGAATGGAATGACGGACGAAAGAAGAAATTTTTAAAGAAGAGCAGCTGCACCGCCGCGGGCGGCCGATTACATCACGTGACCTTATCACACATATATCTACAACCCACGTCACGCTCATCCGTCCACCAACATTCCACCTCTCTCCTCCCTCATTCTCAGCAGCTCGCTCAACAACCACGAATCCTTCTCCATCGCACGGACAAGATTGGGACCAAATTGTGAATCTGCCTGATCCAAATCGACTGTACCGACCCATCCTTCCGGTTTTGACCCGACCATCCTGGACAATGCCACAACCGTGGCTTTGCTCAACGGGACAGCCTTGGTGCTCTTGCGCGCTTCCTGCGCAGGGTAAAGAGAGGAGCATAGCCCATCGATGCGTTGCAGTACATTCGGATCATTCAGAAGGGATTGCCGTATCGCTGATGGTCCAAGTGCCGAGATACCCAGGATGGCACCTTCATAACGACCGGAAGGTGGCACTCCGCCTCCAAGTGGTGATGGAAATGGGGGAAGGTTGAGAGTTTTGAGGAGCGTCGAGGTAATACGCGGGACGAGACCGGGATACCTTGAGCCGTATACGGTGACGATCTTTTGTAGTATACTGGCGGCTTTGCATCGAAGTTCGTAGGATGGGTTGTTGGTCAACGAGCTGGAGGATTGGGAGGACAGGGGTACGGTGAGAAGGACAGACATGATGGGAGCGAGGACTTGGTGAAGCTAAACTATCGGCAAAAGGCTGCTTATGTCGCACTTACATAAGGTTCCACAAATATGGCTCGATTGTCGAGTATGCCAGAGACAGCATCTAGCAGTGCGCTCAAGACAGACGGATGAGACAGTAAACACTTGTTGATACTTTCCACCATCCACTTGATGAGATATACTAGTATACCGTTGACTGCGGCATCCGAGCTGATTGATGCCAACGCAGCAGTACGATGACGTTCACTGTCGTCGAGGCCTGCACCGTCAGCACTGAAAGGATCTGAGAGCATTTACCTGGTGCCTGATCCGGAGCGCCTGGTGCCGGCGGAACCAGAGCGGTGGTTAGGCGAGTGAAGTAGAGCTGGAGTTCTTCAGGAAGTTGAGACTTTGCAGAGGATTTCAGAGCGGCATTGCCAGTGCTCGGCAAAGGATGTGAGGCTACCCAGTCAGCAAGCGAGACGGCACAGCCCACTCACGGCCTGCTTTGGATGATGGCGGAGGATTCTCCGGGATGGCGGGCTGAACTCCTTCCACCGCTAACCAGTGAGCTTTCCACTTCACACCCGCGCTATTTGCCAGTCCTGAGGGAAGTGGTTCTTTGAGATACGTCGCAAAGTCGATTTCGTCATCAGGGACGTGGTATAATGTCGTTGTGATTCCCGGAGCTGTTGGTACGGTGATAGGGGCGAAAGATCGTTGTGGAAGTGGGCGTGGCGGGATCAGAACGGGCTACAGCCGTCAGTGAGATCCTAAACTGCATCTTACCTCCACATTTAACGCCTCCATGGCATGCTCTACATCTTCTGGTAAAAGCGTACTTCGCTTGCCGTGGACCATGAACTTTTTGGCCTCTTGGAGTATCAAATGAATCCTGTACTCCACGTCCCCGGCCAAGGTTTCCGCTGCGCCCGAGGTCACTGGATCTAGAGGCAGGGACTGTGCTACCTCCTAGTGAGGCGTCAGCATGCTAATGACCGTCTCCAAGGCATGATGAAGGCTTACAGACACACTGTCCGCAGGGTAGATGCCCATGACTTTTGGAGCCGGCATCGCGTCGACAGAACGTCCCGGGGATCACAAGTGCAAGTGTTCGTCCGCCCTACTCCCCGGCTGCTGCTAATTGATGTCGCTGACTCGCTTGCTCGCTTCCAAGGACCTCTACGGTGCTCGATTGAGACAGTCTTGTTGTTGAAATGGTGGTTGAGCATTTCAATCGACCCGAGGGTCGTGGGATTCGTGGCGGAAGCAATTTTCGTGGCACCCTCTGTCATGGTTGGTTGCAAGCTCAGGAATCAGGGTTGCAGAGGCATGCATTGTCGCATTCTTGAGTAACATCATTATGCACATGAGTCGCAGAGACTAGATACATGCGAGAGCCCGCGGAGATGAGTCGTTCAGATTGCATGCTAGGATGCTCATTTGTCGCCAGTCTTGATGCGAGAAACTTCAGACTTTATTCCGTGGCTGATCTGCTCTGCCGTGATCAGGCGCATCACACGGTGCAGATTCTCAGGTGTTCAAAGGCAGCAACTGGGCGCAAAGATCTCACTGCTCTGTTCCCGATAGATTGAGTCTGTGACACACATAAAGGTGGCATACATCTCCCAGCATGCACTTGTTTCTGGTCGTACCCCTTCTCCAAAAATAGCTCTATTTCGTGATCTCGCCGTGAGGGTTGAAAGGTCATTCGGACGTATCGTTCCGAACATCCGAGACGACCGCCTTGCTCGACCTCGTACATCAAAGTGCAGATTCACTGATGGAAAGGTGATCTCCGCCTGACGGCAAAGTCCGGCCCGCCAAGATGAGCTAAAGGCTTTCGGCCCGAATGTTCTGACCTTCGGGAGCTATTAAAAGCACAAGTCTGGAATGCATGTGTCTCCATCGATGCCCCACTTCATCACTCAGGCGACAAGATGGAGAGCGACAAGCTAGAGCATACCGTTTCTGAGCATATCGAACAGGACGCTCCGGCGACGAAACAAGACGCGCATGTGGACGTTGGGCAGATCCAACAGCAGAATGCCGATCTCTTCTATGAAGCACTTGAGCGTTTCGGGAACGATGGAGATATCGATCCAGAGGTGGAGAAGAAGCTTGTAAGGTGAGAACAAGAGATCGTTCACTTTTTGAATATCGACTGATGAGCTGGCAGGAGGCTCGACTGGAAGATCCTGATTCCCATTGGTATCTGTTACTTTTACTACTACGTTGGTGAGTGACACAAAAAGTCAGGTCGAAAGCCGCTCTGATCAGGTCACAGATAAAGTGAGATCGAAATGTCCGCCCATCTGACCAAGTTAGACCACGTTGTCATATGCGGCCATTTTCGGGATCAAGGACTCGTTGCATCTGCACGGAACACAATACAGCTGGCTTTCGAGGTATGTTGCTCTGCGGTTACACGCTTGCTCACCATGTAGCATCTTCTACTTTGGATGGCTAGTCTGGGCAATACCCTCAAATCTCATCATGCAAAAGTCTCCACCGGCCTACTATCTTGCCGCCAATATTTTCATGTGGGGTGTGTTACTTATGTGTCAAGCTGCATCAAAGAACTTTGCGACGCTCGCTGCCCTTCGAGTCCTGGGAGGCGCCTTTGAAGCTATCGCCGATCCAGCCTTCATGTTGATAATCAGCATGTTCTATACTCGAGAAGAGCAGCCGTGGCGGATCTCAATCTACTACGCCTTCAATGGGGTCGGTGTAGCAGGTGGTGGATTGATTGGTCAGTGAAAGATGTGGCTTATTGACGTTGACATCGATCAGGCTACGGGATCGGTCATATCAAGGGCGCTCTCGAATCCTGGCGATACGAATTCCTGATTGTCGGCGCTTCATGCTGCGTCTGGGCTATTGTCATTGCTATCTGTCTACCCAACTCGCCGGCGACTTTCCGCGGATTTTCTCACGACGAAAAACTGATGATGATCGCGAGGATGCGTAAGAACCAGACCGGTATTCAGCATCGAGTCATCAAGTGGGATCAGGTCAAAGAGACTGTGACAGACTACAAATCATACCTGTTCTTCCTCTTGGGCTTCTTTGCCAACATCCCAAATGGTGGCATTAGCAACGTGAGCTTCGAAGCCATCTATGTGGCCAGGGTTTTCCGAGCTGAGTGACTCAGTTCTCCACACTTGTCATCGAGGGACTCGGCTTCAACAGACTCAAGACTTCTCTCTTGGGTATCCCTCAAGGTGCCCAGGTGGTCCTCTGGATCCTCGGTGGCGCATACCTCAACGGGCGACTCCCGAAAAATAGTCGAACAATCGTCTGCGCCCTTTGCATGCTTCCAACCATTGCCGGCGGGATAGGATTCATCGCAGCACCTGAACATGCTTATATCGGTCGCCTGATCTGCTTGTGGGTGCTCTAACCTTCAGCCAGTGCACGAAGAACTCACCAACGATCATGTTCCAGCTGGTTGACAAACTCCTACCAAGCCAGCTTTGTTCTATGCCTTTCTTTGATCACTTCGAACACTGGAGGCCAAACCAAGCGTTTCTTGGTGTCAGGCTTGATCTGGGCAGGAGCTTGCGTGGGGAATATCTCAAGCGTTCGTAAAACAAGTCCTCAGGCGGGCACTGACAAACACAGCCCTTCTTCTACAAAGCAAGTCAAGCACCGAAATACAGTCTCGGCATCGGATCCCTCCTAGTTGCCAATTGCGTCGAGCTTTTGCTCTTTATTGTCTTCCGCTACGCCTTCATTTGGGAGAACAAGAAGAAAGCCAAGCAGAGGGAGGGTCTCAATATCACTGAAGCTGAGAAAAACGCCACAGCCTTTCAAGACCTTACGGACGGTCAGAATGTCAAGTGAGTGCCGTTCTAGAGTCGAAAAACCTCGCTTATCATCTTTCCAGCTTTGAGTATGTATACTGAGAGTCTGGAGTTGTGTACAATGAGCTTTGGGAGAATCACTGGTTGTATGACTTGAAAGTTGCAAGGTTTGGTCTTTGGGATATGGAACACAGCGGTATTGGCGATGTCAATGCCTCCGCCAATAACTTCCATCACCGACCGATGATCACTCTTCAGGCAGAGAAGTCTGGTCTCTGAACACGATCGTATAGGGTGGATCTGATCGTGTTGCCAACCTTGTCGCAATCTGATGTGCATGTACAGTACAGTATGCAACCTCTGGGATCTTGTTGCGGATTCGATTCCGGGCCGAGGTCGGCGTGCTCGAGTCATCTCCATGTTTGGTGACTTTCGACTTTTCCTTCTCTCTCCGCTGGAAACGAACAGGCTGACATCCCTGATCTCGCCGCTTGAATACGTGTCAATGAGTGAGCTGGGGATTGCCCCACCTTCGGTCATGAATTGTCAAATTGAAAGAGGCGTTTTCGCCCCACAATGTCGGGTTCACACGGCGACGCCGGGGATCTTGGTATGTACAGTACAGGATGTAGGTTTCGCGTATCTTTTTGAGGGTAACTGACAAGCAAGGGGCTCCGGCGCCGTGACAACCGGGTTCCCGCCTTTGTGTGCTCAGCGCCCATGACCGTTGTTTCTGGGACGACTTGTGCCCTCTCCAGCCATCCGCCCCGCTAGAGGTTAGCGCGTGCGACTCTTAGTGTGGTATTTCACATGCAGGTCGGATGTCGGCACGTTTTCTGGGACTGTTATTAAATCCGCACTGGCTATTCCGCTGTTGCTGTTCTGCGATGACTTGTGCTCTCGTCCCTTCACACGCCGGGAAGGTCGGCCGAGTGCTGGACTGACCGCTGGACGGTGCAGCATCAATACATGCCGATGCAGTTGAATATGTGCCCTATCTTGTCTTCCCCAGTATTCACTTTCGTACTGTAGTACCGTGATTGATATGGAGAAATACGAAGCTGACCGAATCGAGGTGGAGGCAATCCCTCCCCTTCCTACCGATGACCTTGTCAAGACGGATCAGAATGCTCAAGCTGCTCGAGCCGCCGCCGATGTCGAGCATCGTATGGGGCTCATCGAGTCCGCTCGCATGTATCCTAAAGCCATCCTGTTCTCCGTGATCATGTCCCTGGGTATCGTCATGGAAGGGTACGACACCGCTCTCCTTGGTAACTTCTTCGCTCAGCCCGCATTCCAGCTCAAGTTTGGCCACTTGGCTGACAACGGCACGCATCAAGTATCCGCACCTTGGCAAGCAGGACTCGGTAACGGCGCTGCCATCGGGGAGATCTGCGGTCTATGGGCTGCAGGTCTCTTGGCTGACAAGTACGGCTACAAGAGGACTTTGATGGGAGCCATGGTCTTCCTCATTGGAGCCATCTTCATCTGCTTCTTTGCAGTCAATATACCGATGCTCTTTGTCGGTGAAATCCTCTGCGGTCTACCCTGGGGAGCTTTGCAGACCTTGACGACCACCTACGCTGCCGATGTCACCCCTATCCACCTGAGACATGTCATGACCAGTTATGTGAATCTCTGTTGGGTAGCCGGACAGCTCATCTCTTCGGGTGTCCTGAGAGCTTTCGTCGACAACACGACCCAGTGGGGGTGGAAGGTGAGTCTGCAGGTCGAGGTCGCAAACTTACGTTAGATTCCCTACGCTATTCAATGGGTGTGGCCAGTTCCAATCCTCATCGGTATCGCGTTCGCTCCCGAATCTCCTTACTGGCTCGTTCGTCAGGGCCGAGAGAATGATGCGAGAAAGGCTCTTTTGGCACTCACGTCCGAGAAGAATATCCACTTCAATGTCGATGATACCGTTGCCATGATGATTCACACCAACGAGCACGAACGACAGATCAGCGAAGGAACTTCCTACTTGGACTGCTTCAAGGGAGTCGACGGACGGAGAACGGAAATTGCCTGCATGGCCTGGATCTCCCAGGTGACTTGTGGTATCTGGTTCGGTGGAAATATCACCTACTTCCGTGAGCTCATACCAGCCTGACACACACACTGATAGTCAGTCGAGCAAGCTGGATTCGATCCTAAAAAGTCATTCGACTTCGGTGTCGGCGAGAACGCTCTCGGATTTTGCGCCACAATCCTCTCTTGGTACGTCATGACTCGGATCGGTCGTCGAACGCTCTTCGTCACCGGAATCTGGACTCTGTTCACTATCCTCTGTCTCGTCGGGTTCCTTGGTATCCCAAAGCTCTCTCCAGCCATTGGATACTCTCAGGGAGCCCTCATGTGCCTTTACGTCTTGACTTATGACCTCACGGTGGGTCCGACAGTCTACACCATCGTATCGGAAATTCCATCCTCTAGGCTTCGTATCAAGACTGTGGTCATCGCTAGGAACGCCTACAATGTCGCGTCAATCGTCGCAAACGAACTCAACGCGCCAATCTTGAACCCGACGGCCTGGAATCTTCGAGGGAAAGGTGGATTTGTGTGGTGCGGCTTTTGCTTGATCAGTGCTGTATGGGCGTATTTCCGTTTACCGGAGACGAAAGGCTTGTCGTACGAGGAATTAGACATTCTTTTCGAGAATAAGGTGCCTGCAAAGAGCTTCAAGTCATCGCACGTCGAGGCTTATCAGCCTGGAGAAGTCGTGAGGGGCTAGAGGTGGAAAACGGTGACGCTAGAGATCAGGGATTAGCGGGAATGCAGCGGAGATGCCTATGCATTTTCCAGAGTACAAGCAAGCAGAAGGGGTTTCGCATTTGCTTTGATCCTGCTTTTGCTGTCGATGCCGTGCGTAGACGTGCATGAGCATCGTTCCTTCGTGGAACATCCATCCGAAGATCAGCTGAATGAATCCGCCACACTGCCACGCGATGACGAGTTATCATTTCATAATGCATCAGTATTATGGATTATTGACCTTCTTCGTCTTGTCCCATCTAGCCCAGCGTCAAATTCCGTTCGAGATGGTCCCATGGAACGGTGCTAGAACAAAGGTGAGTCACGGAGCTCTAGAGCTGGCCTCAGATGCAATCCAGTCGCTGATCTTGCTCAGGTCCAGATCCGTCTATCTATTCAGCGCTTGCGAACGCTTCAGGAGAAGAAGCTTGCCCTCGCCAAGAAGTCTCGACGGGAGATCGCGGATCTCTTGCTGAAAGGAAGAGTGGAGACCGCCAAGCTCAGAGTTGAGGGTTTGATACAGGATGACATTTACGTCGAGTTATTGGAGATCTTAGAGGTAAGTCGTACAGAGGCGTATGTCGAGGCGAATGCTGAAGTCGCCTCTAGCTGTATTCTGAGAAGCTACAAGCTAGGTTTGGGCTCCTGGATGCCTCGACGTGAGTGTCTCACGTGCCGTAAGGTACCTGTCGCTGATCGCGCTTTATTTAGCGGGGAAGAGCCAGAGTCCTCCATCGCCGATGCAGTCTGCGCCATAGTCTATGCTGCGCCGCGGACAGAGCTGAAGGAGTTGCAAGTATTGAGAGAGATGTTGATGCACAAAGTGAGCTCATAAGCGAGGCTCTGAATTGATATACTTCAGTATGGCCGAAACTTTTCCCTCACACTCGTCTCCTCCGATCCTCCACCTTCGTCTGTGCCTCCGCGTGTGCTGTCAAAGCTGGCATTGTTTACGCCGGCACAGGAACTGGTCGACGCTTACTTATATGAGATCGCGAAGGGCTACGGTGTCGATTGGGCACCAGATGGGCCCATTGAAGAGGTTGATGGCAAGGTGCCATCTGCCGCTTTAAATGACGGGACAGAGGGAGGAGACGACGATGAACACAATGGTCACGGTGGTGGTACCAAGGAGGCCGAGAAAGCTGCAGTACCAGTCGCCAATGAGTCGGGGAAGAAGTCTCCATCACCGTTACCCAGAGACAAGGAAGATGATCGGGCAGAAGCTCCCGCATCTCAGCAGCCGGAGCCGAAGAAAAAGGTCAACGACGATGATGAGCTCGCCAAGCGGTTTGAACGATTGAAGAATCTGAAGTAAGAAAAATGTTGTATGCATCTTGGGTGGAGTGTCAAGGCTCTGAATCATCGCCATTCTCCCAGATCACGGTCCTCTCCCCCTTCTGCACTCTCTCCACCTTACGCCACATACTTATACCGATCTTGCCTTGCTCGTCGCCCGGACTCAAGACCACCCCGTTGGAAGAGACGAAAACGGGGATGCCTGCTTGGATTACTTTCTCGAGGTCGAGGTAGATCAGCAATGTCGAATTGTTCCGTGGAGTGATCTGGTGGTCTGTCAAAGCTGGTGCTAGGTGGATGTGTTGACGAGCCATGCGAGATAAGCCGGTAGAGCCTGATCAAGGTCAGGTGCTGCGTCCAAAAGAAAGGTTTGCGCTCACGGATAGTATCGTACAACTCCCACTTGGTTCCATGGACCATTTCCCCCACCTTTTGACGGCCTGCTTCGTCATTCTTCACGGTTTCAAGATGCGCCTCTCCATCTAGCTTGATCGAGTGTCCTTGCGTAGCCCGTATAAAGTATTCTCCGAGGGCAGTATCCCCTCCTTCTGTTGGTCCGTGATCCTCACTGGACAATGCTTCCGGCGAAATAGGCTGTGGGGAGGCTACACTGACCATGGGCAGTTCCGTCGAAACATGCGCTGCTTCCAGGTCATGTCGCAAGTCGTCGAGGACCGCTGCATCCCCATTCTCCGCTCCTTCCGGTAGAGACTTGTTCTTCGGCTTCTGCTGCCCTTTCTTTGGCTTGATGACTGGAGGACTTGGATCATATCCGTAGAATAGCTCGAATCGCTGTTTGGCGTTCTCAGCCACGATTCTCAGGATCATCTCCACATCCACACCGCGCATCTTGGGTCGTGCGAGCTTGATTTACATATATCAGCGACAGTCCATGGACATCTGGTCCGGTGTTCATAACACATACCACATCGTTGAGCTTGACATACCCGTCAGACCTCATGTGCAGACTCTCCTTCTCCGCTCCGTGCCGCAGGAGATAAGCTAGCGTTTTCGAGGCTGCGACATCGGGTGAATCCTTAGGTCGTGGCATTGCTCTGGAATGAAAGTATAGAGTCCTGTGAATCAGTCTGTTCACTACTCGCGACGTGTTCATGTACGAGTGCAATGCAAATGAATCCCATCCCATCAAGATGGGCACTGGGCCACTATTTTTCTGAAACAAGGTCACGTGATTTCAGGATTTTTCGGCGCATCGAGTCTCCAGTCATATCTTCAACCTTGTACCGACGACTACAACGAAGACCCCGCTCGACCATGTCAGAGCCTTCCAAGACAAAGAAGCGGTCCATGCTGGTCGCTGCGGCCCGTCAGGCTCCGGTCGCATCATCTGCCTCCGCCCCCGCCTCTACTCCCACTGGCAACCCTCCTGTTCCTCGAAATCCCCTCAACCTCAGTGGAAAAGGGACCTCTGTAAATGGTTTGCCGACCAAGCAGGAGACGAGCGATAGACAGACAGTCGCTGAGCCTCAGATCATCGAGACGAAGCCGGATATCGCGTCTGTGACGGAGGCGGAAAGCTCTACTGCCTCTGGGATTCCCTCACCTGACAAATCCCAATCTCTAGGCGAGCCCCTCTCCCGGGCCAGCTCAATATCTGGCTCGTCGACACCTCAACTTGGATCAACATCGGGATTTGGGGGACAATCAGCGATTCAAAAGATGAAATTCAAGCCTCGAGTACCGATCAGATCAAGAGTGAAACAGTGAGTGAGGTTGACCGTTCAAGCTGACATGGTCTTCTTCAGGGAAGTCGATGTAAAGCCAGAGATATCCGCCAGTCCGTCCCGTGGAATCGCCCGAGGTAGAGGGAGAGGTGGTGGTCAGAGGGGAGGCCGAGGATCGTATCAGTCCGTTTCGGTCGCTGCTGGTCCCTTTGGAGCTCCGCGAACTCAGATCAAGCGTAAGCTTGCTCCTAAAGACTGTCACTGACCGTCACAGAATCGTCACGACGGGTTGCTCCTGCACCGGCGCCACGTCACTTTGACCTGACAGATATCGACATGTATTCAGATAATGACTCTGATCATCCCATGACCAAGAATCGCGTCGTTGACATCGATCGCGTTTCGTCACTGCATGAATCCGCCCCTACCAGTTTACATCGAAGTCGCAAAGATGGAAGCAAAGGCAAATCGAGGTCACAGTCACGGGGTACGAGCTCAAGAGGACAGACGAAGATGGACGTAGATAGTGTGCCTTCGCTCGTCAAGGCTGAGCCGATGTCACCGGAAAAGAGGGACGTCAAGTCACTGGCGGATGAGAGTGCGTCGAGTCGATCTCGATCAGATCGAGTCAGGTCATTTGCAAGGACAGGCGGGGATGATGAGGAGGATGAGGCGGATGTGAATGAAGCGAACAGGGTCGATCTGAGTGAGAGTGAGAGTGAAGAGGAGGATGAGGATCTGAGGGATGACTTTGTCCCCGATGAGAGCGTGAGTCAGCAGTCAGCACAAGCAGATGGGAGCGCTGGGAGTTGACAGGCAGACGCAGGACGAGGCCAACAAGCTTTACATATTCCAATTCCCGCATTTGTTCCCTCATTTCATACCACCTGGACCTGTTGACATGACGGCAGAGGAGGACGTGAAACCTGATGTCAAGACTACCCAAACCAAGGGGAAGAAGCGAGGTCCAGCGCCGCCACCTCCGGAAGGACGGATAGGCACGTTGGTGGTGATGAAGAGTGGGCGAGTCAAGATGGTTCTCGGAAAGGACATTGTGATGGATGTGGGTGACCTGATCGAAAACTCACCTGACTTTGCAGGTCAATTCTGGTGTACAAGCCAATTTCCTCCAACAGATTGTCCACCTCGATCCACTGCAAAAGGCAGCGACGGTTCTTGGAGAAGTCCACAAGCAGTACACTGTCACGCCAGATATCGATCGACTCCTCAATGAGCTATACATCCAAGGCGGACAGACTCCAGCAGACAGAGAAGCAGATAGAAGACGATTGGCAAAGGACGTCAAGATGGAGAAGGGACTCGTCAAGTTGGAAGTTGAGTGAGCCGTACATATGCTACAGGTGGTTTGGTTCTACTCGGCGTTACAGATGTATTATACAGTCTCCGCCCAGGCTGTGAGCGACTTCATGATGCGCAGGGCACCCTCTTTATACATTGTTCCGAACATGAGAGTATGCTGAGAAAGGATGAGCGTGTTACTCGAGGATTTTTAACTCACATTCAGATGGTGATACAGTTCATACAGCTGGATCAGTTGGTCGTATCGTTCAGATCGTGGATGAATCTCGTGGTAAGCGTCGTAAAAGTCGTTGGTGAAGCCTAGCCCCTGTCAGAAATGATTCCAAAGTCGACGACATTCACCTCCAAACATCTTGGTCATACCTAGTTCGGCCTCATTGTGTCCCCAGAAAGACGACGGGTCAAAGATGACCGGCACCTGTGTGGTCTGATCGTAGCCTGTGTTCCCGTACCATAGGTCGCCATGTATGATGACAGGCTGAGGCTGGGGTTGGATCGAATCGAGGAGGAGAGGAACCGCCCTTAGAGAATTTGAGCTCCCTGGCCGCTGGTTCACTTACTTGTCAAGTAACCCATCCCATGCTTTCGCCAAGTCTGTGTCCTCAATTCTCCTGATCATGTCTCCCAATCTTCTGTCTCGCCAGAAGGTCTTCCAATCTCCTTCCCATGTATTGTCCTGCTGTGTGACTCCACAGAATGTAGGCACCTCGAAGCCATATCTCCCAGTGTACCCTTCTGTGTCCTTTGGAGGCAATCGGTGCATCTCTGCAAGCTTTCGTCCGAGCTCGCGCTGGTATGATCCTCCATGCAAGGGCTGCAAGTCAAAGTACTGAGTCACCATGGCGCATTCGTTTCCATCTGCTGATTCTGCATAGCCATAGAGACGCGGTATGAGTGACTCGGGAGCCGTTGCTGACATGGCCTTGAGTGATGCTGCTTCGCCACGCATCTGGGGTACCGCTCGACCGGAAGCCGTGGGGACCAGATAGGCTATCCCAGAATCATCGCGAGCAATAGTCTGAGGGCCATGTTCTACGACCTGCACCGTCTCAGGGTCAATGCCAGCCTGTCTGAAGCACTGGATCGTCAATGGATGCAGCTTCTGAGTCCTTGATGTCATGTCATTTGTGGATGTAGTAGGCTACAGCTACAGCCTACTATTTATTGACAGGTCGCACGTGCGAGGAACTTTTGTCGTTCAACCCAAAATATTTCCATCCACATCTCACATCCAATATCCATCTTCCATCTCATTCTGGTACGGCAGCGACAAGGAACATGACTCGGAGCATACAGAGCAGTATCATCAGCCTCATATAACAGCATAACAGAGGGATAGACGGCGTTTCGAGGCCGAGATAAGCCGCCATCCATCCATCCACCATCCATCATGAAGGTGAGGCTTTCCCTTTCTCTAGTCCAAAACTTGATCCTGACACGGTTTCTCCAGTTCGGCAAGACTATACAATCGCAACAAGTGCCTGGCTGGGGCGAGTACTACCTCAACTACAAGGTGAGGTTCGACTTCTGGACCCCGCTGACTATGTCAGGCCCTCAAAAAGATCATCAACTCGTACGCTGCTGGTAGACCCGCTTCCGATGCGTCCCTTCTCTCCCTCGGTTTGAGACCATCCAAACGGTCTTTGTCGACCTCTGAACGTACAGATTTTGACTCACCTTCGTCTGACATCTCTCCGCCTCTGCAAGATGCGCCCTCGGGGTTCACCTCGCTTACCTCCGCACCTTCGTTGAACGGCGGATCATCCAGGATCGATCTGGGCAGCGGAAGTACCGGTATCGGACATCGATCCTCCGGCGCACAAGAGCGAAGTGAGAGCTTCAAAGCGCATCGAGATGTCTTCTTCTTCACCCTTCAGCGAGAGCTCGAAAAGGTGAGCTAGGATGCACTTCGCATCGCTGACGCCAGATCAACGCCTTTTACCTCATCAAAGAGCGTGACCTCCGCCTACGTCTTTTAACCCTCCTCATCAATAGAAAACGTCTCCTCCAACACGCTCCACGGATAGCTACACCTCCGACCGAGACGCATGATGGAGCTCTCTCAACAGAACAGCGGTCCAATGAATGGCTGAGCTTGGAAGAAGGTTGGCGTCTTTTCGAGCGGGATTTGGGCAAGCTCCAAGGATTCATCGAGATCAACGCAACGGGTTTCAGAAAAATCCTGAAAAAGTGGGACAAACGTAGCAAGAGCAATACCAAGGAGCTATATCTCGAACGTCAAGTCGAAGTACAACCGTGTTTCAACCGCGAATTTATCGCAAAGTTATCAGACGTCGTCGCTGCCAACTTATTGGACCTGGAGAATGGCTCGGAGAATCTTCCCAAAGCTATCTTTGCGGATTTACCAGAGTCGCTGGGAGCGGATGGACTGGCTTTCGATAGACAGGTCGACTTTGACGTTGACGCTGGGCAGGCAATGGCGGCGGAGAGTTTGGTCAATCTCGAGGCGAGTTTGCACAAGGCCATGGACAGTGGACCAGAGGGGATCAAAGAGTGGCTCAGGATGGCCAGATCGAGACAGAAGCGAGGGAATGATAAGCAGGTCATGAGGATACTGTGGCGAGCAGCGCTGCAAGTCCCAGTGGACGATCTCGAGTTGGTCTTGTCAACCGTGGACCTCGACTTGACCTATGTGGACGATATCAATGGCAGAAGTCCCCTGCACCAAGCCTGCATCGCCGGTTCCCTCCCTCTGGTGCATCTCTGCATGGATAGAATGCCTAACCTGCTCGAGAAGCCCGATTCGTACTATCGAACTCCCCTGCACTACGCCACGATGCACGGTCACGCGGACATCGTGTCTTTCCTCCTGGGTCGTTCGGCCAACCCCGCTGCGACTGATATGGATGGCTACACTCCGCTCATGCACGCCATCGTCAAAGGTCACTTGGAAGTTGTCCAGCTTTTTGTCCGCGATCGCATCACCCTCGAACCCACCCACATCTCTCACGATCTCATTCCCTTGTCACTGGCTTGTCAATTTGGTCACGTCGAAGTGGCTCGACTCTTGCTGCAGTGTGGAGCCAAGGTACTGCCAAATTCTGAAGGCATGTATCCGCAACACTTTGCAGCTAAAGCGGGTCATGAGGCGATCTGCCAGCTGTTGGTCGATGAAGGTGGACCTAACGGAGGAGGCAAGGATAGACAGGACAAATACAATCTCTGGACGCCGATGCACCACGCAGCGATTGGTGGAGGCCCTCGACACCTGGCCTGTATCAAAATCCTCATCTCTGCGGGATGCGATGTCAACGCGACGGACGAGTATGGCAAGTCGCCAGGATGGTACGCCGCCTGGTTTGGACATGTCGAGAGCTTGAAGTTCCTCTTGGCGTCGGGTGCGAAGTTGTCGGGACAGCAACAGACCTTGTCGGGAATGGAGAATTTGGGTCTGTCAGCTGACCCACAGATGGATTCCATGTCACCGGGCTCGGATCTGGACTTGGATCAATCGGGACATGCAGGGGAAGAGTTTGAGTTGATTCCTTCGTTGTCGCTTCCTCCGCCTATCATCCCGTGAGTCGAGCCGCGATGATTGCGCTGAATGCCAGGCTACGTGTGTATGGACACGAATTCCTTGCAAACCGATGTTTGGTGCAGCTGTCCCTAGGTCACCGTCTCAAGTCGTCCGCCCGAGTTCCCGCCGTCAAGCTGTATTCTCGATCCAGTAAAGACTCTCTTCACCTCTGGTCATCGCTGAAACTCGTCATGACTTCCAAGTCAGATATCACTGCTGTCCCCCACAGTGTCATTCTTCCCCTTGCAGATGACCGCGAAGTCTTTTCCTTTCAGGTCAAAAGCCTCGAACATTTCACCCTTGAGCTCTCCCTCTACCCAACATTTGGCTCCAAAGTCATCGGCCGGGCCGTCATTCTTCCGTCGACATTCCTCGACATTCGTTACCACAAAGGGTTCATCGTCCCATTGCTCGATCATCAGATCAAGACGATTGGCGAGGTGGCGTTCGAAGTCAGCTGTATCAAGCCATTTGAAGAGGCTCAGTTGGAGATTGGGGGAAGAGTCGAGACGTATTGGAAGAGCAAGATCACCCCTTCTACGCCGTCTCAAGACCACGCGCACCTTCCCACATCACATCGTCCGCTCAGCGTGTCCACCTCGTCACCCTCTCTCGCTCCGCCAGTAGCTTCCAGCAGCACGACCAAAGAGTCTGCCCTAGTCACCGCTTCGTCACTCTCTGGCGAGTACGTCGAGGTGATTGTCCAAGTGACAGAGGATGGTGTCCCCATCGCGTACCCTCACACTGCTCTGCCCATCACCGACATTGACATTGCGGTCCCCGAGGTCACTTTTGCCGAATTTGCAGCCCTGGCCTCGAGGCAAGGCAGGGCTGACCCAAGCTGGAACTTTGGCAATGCTACAGAGTTGCATGGTATCCTCTCACAAGCGATGGTCCCGCTCGAACAGGTTTTACGGCATGTCTCCCCAGACGTGGGTCTCAATATCCAATTGAGGTATTCCAAATCGTCCGTCAAGAGCCATACTCGAAGTCTCGAAGTGAATCAATTCGTCGACGCTGTGCTGCACGAGATATATGACGCAGGCAAGGTTAGCCCAGGGCGCAAGATCATCTTCTCCAGTTTTGATCCGACAGTGTGCACGGCGTTGAACTGGAAACAACCGAATTGTAGGTGCTATCGTCGAGGTCTCGCTAACGCTCAGATGCCGTCTTTTTCGCTTCGTACTGTGGGATCTCTCGCACAAGACAGGATCGAGACCTCGAACCCGCCTCTCTCGATGAAGAGTCAGATCCAAGATGCCTCAGCGTCAGGGAAGCGGTCAACTTTGCAAAGACGACGAATCTGCTCGGAGTGATACTCGAGGCGACTACATTGGTGAGATTGGTTGTACAGTGGGCCTCGCTGACATTCCAGGCTGCGGTCCCCTCACTTGTAGCGTCTGTCAAGGACGCAGGACTGCTCTTGGCAACCTTTGGAGACCCGACTCACGTGGCTGCTTTGAGAGCTGGTGCAGCAGATGGAAGAACAGTAGATGCATTCGTGGCAGAAGGGTGAGGCCATGCTTTCAGATAATTTGGCTGACGTTCAGGTCGATGACACTGACTATATAGATGTATACTAGTTGAAGCTGAGAACCCTGAAGCGTCAGCCATGCACTGCGCGTGTGACTCACTGGACACTGATATCGTCTCGGAACATCCTGGCTTCTTCGGACAAGACACTGAGCATGCTTCGACCTAGCATCTCATTGCTCCCGCCATAAACGTTCCGGATGAGATGTGTTGCGGCGTTGGCGTCATCTCCAACGATGAAGTCATGATCAGATTCATTGTGCTTGGCCTCATTATCCATTGGATATGTTTTGACGAGCTCTTGACGCGTGATCTCCTTCTCGCCGTCACTCCTAGCGGCCATGAGTTGAACCGATTGTTCAGATGTCAATCGGTCCCACACTGATGTCAGTTCGGTACAACAGATCCCACTCACGTCCATCGCTTGCAAGGACGATAAATTTGAGGGTCTCTTCGCCTTGCTTGAAAGACCGGACGGCGATCTCGGGCTTGTTCGAGACGTACGGAGGGGTCTTGACGGGTCGTTTGGGTTCCTTTTGAACGACATTGAATGCAGATTTGAGACTGGCAGCTTCAGCGATGTCTAACACGAGCGACCTGCCTCTTGTATTCGTCACTCGGCATCTTGAACAAGAAATCGCCAAACGCTCGGCTGACCATGATAGTCGCGAGGACCCTATGGGTATCTGTCTTGACGACAATATCATCACGCTCTTCTTCAGGATGCTCGGCTCTCATCCTGGGACCGTCAGCATGACATCTCAACATCCATGTCTACCTCACCGTTCGACTTCATTCGGATTGTTCGCGTTCAAATCCTCTGTGAGTGGATCGCACTTCCATCCATTTGGACCGTGCCACCCTGCCACAGCTCGACAGTCCCCAAGGTTGATGGCGTAGATTCGGTCGTGTGACTTGTCGACAATGACGGTAAGCGCGCAAGAGCCTGAGAATCCCGCCATACCGCCCATGGCACCAGCAAGGGTGGAAGGAGAAGCCGAAGACTCGCTGAGAGCGGCTCGAAGAGTCTTCATGAGGTCTTCATCCCATGCTGCGTATCTAAGACTTTTTAGCTGCTGGGACCGATCAACCACTCACGTCTCCTCAATCACCGCCTTGACTTCAGCTTCGTCGTCGAGTCCCGAAGCCAACAACGCCTTGGCGAGACATGCATGCAAAGTCTTGCTGAGCAATTCGCTCGTGGCTGATCCAGCATGACCATCGAATACGGAGGCAAAGATTAAATCGCCATCTTCGGTCGATTTGGTACCTGACCATGCTGGCCAGAATGCGCCGTCCAGCTTGGTGGTTGACGAAATGACATCTGACGCGATCCGATCCTCGTTTCCGATAGCAGCGGGACTGTATCCGAGGCAGTTCCCTTGAATGGTCACGCTCGATGCTGTCTTATTCACCTCTCCTCGCTTCAAGGTCGCGTTGAACTGCTCCTTGGACACGAGGATATGCTTTGAAGGTGGAGGTGCAGGATACCCTTCTTCCGCAATGGTGAACTTGAACTCGACAAGATCGTCAGACAAAGGGATGAACTCTGCAGTGTTATCTTCTCGGTCAGTCAGAATACAGGACGACGGCATATTGGGTGGGCGGGCTGTGCAGGACAAAGTGGGTCCCGTGTATTCATATATATATATATACATAGGTGCGTCTGGTCTGGACGAAGGATGATGAAAAAGCCATTTTTTAACATTTCATTTATCATCGGGAAGCCCCGAACAAAACCGCCTTTTCCATTCGGTCTCAGGCACACAAAAGAGGTTCCAGAAGTTGTCGGATACTGGGAGAGAGTCGGGGCTAGAAGGGGTAGATGATCTCGATAGAGCAGCTATCGAGGGCTAGGGCGAAGGAGAGAGAGAGAGAGAGCGACAGGGGTCGAGGGCTCACTCCATAGCATGATAGGAGAATCAACATGGGTTCCCACAGCCCGCATGGTGCTATCTTCCAACCATATGTCCCATCCGCACATAGCGCCTCGGTTCCCTCCCCCCTTTTTCACTCTGGACCAGGAACAGCTCCACGAGACGAACGAACGCCACGCCTAAAAATGAACGGGGCAGAGATGTATATGCCGTCGTACAACAGGGATGGGAAGCCGACGGAAAGAGTGAATCAAACATGAATATATTCACAAATTTTCTGGCTGAAAAGATCAGTTCCTGTGGTCAAGTGGTATGACGAAACGTTGTGGAGCGTGCTGTCTGAGAAAACTTCGGCGTATAGCGCCGTTTCGGCCCGTGTTCGATTCACGGCGGGGACATCTCTTTTTTGTCTTTTTTGGTTGTGTTCACTTGGGATTTCATTCCGCCATGTTCATGAATCTGGCAAAGTTCCTCTCCAGTGTCCTGACTGCCCAGACTTCATCTCGTTCCTCAGTCCTGGCCCCCTCCTGCTCCTCCTGTTCCTCCTTCGCGATGACTTCGTCCAAGGTCCAGGCGGGCGTGTTCTCATCCTCCAACTTCCATCCCCTACACCTAGCTATCCACTCTGTGGCGCCCCATACAGCCCTGGTGCACAATGTCAGGTCATGCGAATCAGATTCTACCAGCATCCGATCTTTTGATATGGTTCTAATGAGCTCTGCGGCGTGACTTGATCGAGACGTGACGAAGATGGACGGAGAAGCGTAGACGTTGAGCAGGTTCCGCTGCGATGATCAGCGACCAGCACCATGTGAGATCTCACTTCTGTCTGTTTCCAATGATCTGGTGAAAACCCTCCGCCTGAATGTATGTCCACGTTGATTCTGTTTGTGAATCGATTCCTGTGTCTATCCCTCATCTTGACGAGTGTGTCGAATGTGGGCCCTGAAAAATCAGCTTGGGCGAGGCGATGCGATGCGAGAGGATCCTACCAACTCACCAGCTGCAGCGACAGAATGCAATGATACATTGACGCCATGCTGTATAGCCACCTCGAATTGACGTTCCAGTATGGCAATCTGATGCGCCATTGACGTTTTGAAGGGCGTCAACACGTTCCAGTTGTCGCCTTCTCGATCATCAGTCTCTGCATCGGGATGTAGGTGTCTTGCAGAGGTCGGCCAACGTAGCCTGGCACCTCCATCGAGACCCACTTCGCCGAGCATCGTAAGATTACCAGCAGAGACTGAGTCTCTTATATCTGAGGATAGTTGAGAGATCAAGGGTCCAAATTCGATGGGGTCGGGAAGAAATGGTAGAAGGAGTCCCAGGAGCTGACCTTTCTTGGTTGGGGGAGGTGTTGATGAATCATGTTGAGGAAAGAAAAGTGACGTGTAGTGCTCCTCTTTCGACGGTGGAGGTGATTGGAGCGTGTATCGATGAGAGAACCATGGGTGATAGCCTGAGCGTAAGCGAAGAAGATGTCCTGAAACTCACCAAAACATGCAATGATTCTCGAGCCAGAGGATGAAGGTTTCGTATCGCCCTTCTTCCATGGTCTAGCCAATGCGACGGACCTGACTTTTGGTTGGTTTTCGGGCTCCGTAGCCATCGCCGCTACCGCCCCAAGGGATGTGGCATCGTACGCTGAGGCAGGTTGATCCAGGTCCGTAGGGTGACAGTGGGCGTCAGTGACTGTGAATCAGCGAGGGCAGCAAGAGATGGGACGTACGATGTGAGAGTATATGAGCTGGAGGTAATTTCAACGTCATCCAGTTGGGTGGATCGTGATCCGGTGTCTGTGTCGGTGTCGGTGTCGGTGTCTGGCGACTTGGTTGATTCTGACTTGACGAGCTCATCCTGAGACTTCGTATCGCTTTGTGCGTGCTCAACCTCGTCGCCTTGGTCAGATACCAAAATCTCATTGAATGGACATGCATCAACAAGGTCACTTGCTTAACTTGCGCGACTGTCTTTTTGAATATTCGACGGTTGGGTTGCTGACGGCCATTCCTACTTTCTACATTATTCCACTTCTACACCTTCGTCGACGAGCCCAATCCAGTACTTGACATGACAGCACTTGGAAGCGCCACGATGACGGCAACTGTAAGTGCTTCAAGTCGTGCGGGCTCATAAGTCAGCCCAAAGTCCCCTATGCAGAACGAGCAGCAGAGCTCGAAAAGGAGATCGAGCGATTAGAAGCTGAGCTAAGGTGAGTTCAGAGCTCGATTGTACATGCCTAATGAACAGCGGTGAGGATCCTCAAGCCATCATCAACAGGCATATCCGCCGGCTTCATCGCTACAATGAGATCAAAGATGGGACGCAATCACTCATCGCAAAGGTGCTTCTCTATCAACCCCTTTTTTTTTTGACAGCCGCTGATTCGCGCAAGTATGCTGTGATGACGAATCAGACCGTCCGACAGGTTCACGAAGAGCTCGAACTCCCTCTCAAGGACTAGACGACGAAGGATGGGTGAAGACAGCAGACCTCCTGAATAGACAACGCTGCTACATGGCCAGCATCGACAACGCTCCATAAAATTGATGACAGATTCACGCTCTCTTCACGGCGATACGACCACTTTTCATGCATTCGATCCATTCACTACTTCACTCTACATGGAAGCAGACGAAATGAAGAAGCTCTTGGAAACTAGACTGTCAGCTCGAGCCCCCTCCGGTATGACTCACTCGAAGGGTCAATAGGCGCAGGAGGCTTTCTCGAGTCCGCAGGAATGGAGGTGTACGCCGCGTCCGAAGTTGAGACGAGACCTCGAGATCCCTTGACTTGAGTGTTGTGCCTGAAAATTCAGCCTATGTTACCCGCAAACCACTCACAAAGAGATTCCGCCAGGGTTCGTTTCTCCAGTGATGAGTTTCTTCCAAGCCTCGTGACACTCGAGAATGATTTCGACGGCGTATTTCTTGCTCTTTGCCTCGCCAGAAAAGGCAAAGACGTTCTGATCGTTTCAGTACGTGTCCGCTCAGGTGTATCCCACCTCTGGCTTTCCATCGGGAATCTTGTAGATCCTGAACCACTCGTTGGTAGCTCGGATCAAGCCCGGCAGGTGTCTCTCGACATCTTCGATATCGTTCAATCGAGGAGCCAAAGGGTCATTGACATCCACAACCAAGACTTTCCAGTCGGTTTCTCCCTCGTCGAGCAAGGCCATGATACCGAGTACTTTGACCTGCTTGACTTGACCAGTGTATCCAACGGCTTCTCCGATCTCGCAGACGTCGAGCGGGTCGTCGTCTCCGTTGGCACCGGTCTCAGGGTGCTTGGCGTTTGGGTCTTCCCAAGTTTGAGGGAAAGCTCCATAGTTCCAGAGGTAACCTTGGAAGAGTCAATGATACCCCAGAGAAGGGTCAGCCCACCGTGATGAGGAAAGCAATTTCGAACGTATCGAAGCTTTCCCTTCTTAATGTCTACATTCTGTCAGAAACAGGCTCAGCCAAGTGTCCCTCATGCTCACCCTGCTTGATGGGATTGAATCCCTCTTCCTTGGAGATCTCCATCTTGGCGTTGGTCCATCGAGGCACCTCGACAATCACTGTGAAGGTGAGTATAGTCTATGGCCTGGATGCACTCACTGTTGAGGATATTCTTCGACTCGTCGGCAAAGAGGGGAATGTCGCTGTAGAGATGAGTGATGAGGAGATCGACGACGATCTCAAAGGCACTCACTGAAAGGGAGAGATGACCTTGCCATCCTTTTCAAGGTAGACTCGGTGCTCTGATTCGACTCAGCATGACCTTCCGCATTCTCTAACCCACCGAGGGTGTTCGCAGCCTGTTCAACCCAACAACATTCAGCGAGCCGCCCCACCGAAACGTGCAATGGACTCACCCCGATCTGCCTGGTAGAGTATTCAGATTTACCCGCCATGATACCTAATGTCTTGAATGGTGAGAGGTGATAGAGTGTTGTAGATAATCTTCTGAGCGCTGTTATGCTCATGCAAGTATAAAGCTTGCCTGCTCAACGAGTCAAGTGTCGAGCTCACCATCCTGCCCCAAATTCCAGATAATCTTTCCCTGACGTGCGAGGAAAACGGAAGCAATCACACGTGGCGATCTGAGGCGTTGCGAGATGGGGCACCACATCCCTATGTCTGCTCTGCCTGTTGGTTGCGAAAGCAAGCTGCACCTCGTCGATTGACATTCAACTCGGCGGCCTCGACATGGACGACCACGATACGGTCTTTGGGGAGGCTGGGCCGTCAAAGGCAGCTTTCAACGATGCTAAAGCATCAACCGAGTCGCTCGGCGCGATCGATCCTGACTCATTCGATACCATGGTATATGAAGGGACATATAAGGGTGAGTCAACGCGAGTTTGACGCCCATCCATACCTGACATGACCTATCCAAGGCCGAGCCCTGATCACTCGATACCTACACATGTCAAAGGTTTCCTCGAGGCAACCTTCGCATCCAGCGCTCGCCAAGATCGCTTGCCTCAAACTATACCCAATGATCAAGGATCAAACGTTGGACCATAAATCGTATCTGAACGTGATGACCAAGCTGCACGGTATCTGCGCAGGACGGTCATCAGCAGGCACGGGGGCCGGGATGGAGGTGGATGGTGGATCTGGCCAGAGTGAAGAGATGGGCGTACCTGATATGGAGTGGGTTGAAGAGACGATGGAGAAGGAAAGGAAGGAAGCAGCGGTATTAGACGTTGATCTCCGAGGATACATGAGCAACTTGATCAAAGAGTCAATCAGGGTGAGCCGATGGAAGAAGCTACTTAGGCTGACTTTCGCAGCTCACATACCTCGCTACTGCCGAGCTCGCCATCAAGGCCGGAAACTTCAATGGCGCGATCATGAATTATACTGCGTCAAGAGAATACAGCACATCTCCTCAACACCATCTGGATTTAGGTCTAGGCATTCTCGAGGTGAGTGAGCAGCTTGAGCGATTCTGAATTGTCTCCAGACCTCACTGTCATTCAATTATCTGTCCTCTCTCCCCGGTCAGATTCCACGCCTTGAAACATACCTTGACAGGTTATACCCCGCCGCTGGATCTTCGACGACGCGAACCGGCGCCGACCCGTCCATCATTACTGCTGGTGAAGTCCGCGAGAATAGAGAACGAGAGGCCAGAGGCATGTCCACAAGACGGAAGATCGGCGTCAAAATTCGAGTCGCCAAAGGACTTGTGGCTCTTGGCAACAAGGATTATGACAGAACAGGGAGGGAGTTTAGTCAAGTTGGAGAAGATGGAGGTTTGGGCGACTGGGAGGGTCAGGTGGGTCTCGCATCTCACTCCCTCGCTTAATGTCCAGGTGATATCGACTTCTGACATGTGTCTCGTCACTGCTCTCTGTGTACTTGCGACGGGATCCCGCGACCGTATCCGCCAAGAGCTTTTAGACCGGTCATCCTTCAGGATCGGCCTGGACGACACTCAAGGTTGGATCCTAGACCTCGTTCGCGCATTCATGGATGCGCAGTATGGTCAGGTGTCGAGTACACTGGCGAAACATGAAGTGAGTCCCGTACTAGACGTCGTGACGCTGATCGCCCAGCCATTCTTCCTTCTCACGCCCTTCCTCTACCCTCATACTCAAATTCTCATCAATCTCATCAAGAGCCGTTCGATCGTCCAGTATATCGAGCCGTTCTCCTCCATCCGGATTGACACTATGGCCACGGCCTTTGGACTCAGCGTAGCCAACACGTTGGAGACAATAGAGAGTTTGATCAAGGATGGCAAAGTTCGAGGAAGGATAGATCTCATCGACATGGCAGGTGCAATCTTTATTGTGATTCCGAACAGATTCTGATGCCTCTCTAGGTGCTCACTATCTCTTCTGTTGATCTCCGAGCCCAGGTCTACGATCGAGCCTTTGCAGTTGGCAAGACTATTCTTCCTCAAACGCACGGCGCGTTGATTAGGATGAAGTTGTTAGTCTGATCATGCTCAAACCCTCGCTGAGATTTGTCAGGCACGAAGCAGGCATCAATGTCGACCCTCGCGTGCATTCGAACGAGTCAAAGTCCCCTTCGGCGCCTCTTACCGCGCCACTGATGGGCCCGACAGACTCTACTGATAATCTTGAGACTGCCGAAGGGTTTCACGATGCTCCGGAGCAGTTCGGATTTCAGGATGATGACACTATGAAGGATCTAAGCTCCGATGGCGAAGTGGCGTGACGCTACCTTCTCGAAGTACCATGTACATAGCCACATCATGCACTGTAATATACATGCCGGTTCGTCAGAGATCGTGGATGGCACATTATCCGATTGCGAGGATTCGACTCCTCCCCTTACACTTTGATCCCCAAGTTGGAACCATTCCCAATTGTCTTCCACCGCCCAACGCCTTGCCCACGTGTGGGCTTTCCAGCCTCGTGCTCCCACTGCTCATCACCGTAGAATGCCTCTAGAGCTCTATCCTCTCTATTCGCCGGTTCTCGCAGAGCCTTCTTACCAGATCCACCGGCGTCATTCTCCCCCTCGAACGACTCATCTAATAAACCATCTTCCTCTTCTAGCTCACTCAGTCCCATGTACGCTTGCCCTACGCCCGGGTCGATAGTCTTGGTCAAGAGTTGAAATCGTTTGACAGCTCGTTCTCTCTCCCTCTTGTCATCTTCTGTCTGTTCTGCTACACCTAAGCCCGAATCGAATACAAGTGGATCACCACCATTTGCGAGTTTAGATTTTGGGATTTGACGTCGGGAGATGATGAGTGTTTGACGAGTGCGGAGGAGATGAGGTTGACTGGAGAGGACAGCAGGGGGTAGATCGTTCAAGGCAACGATCTCATGTGGCTGAGATAGAGTGTCAATGGGCGGGTGAACCACGGCAGTCCGCCTACTCACATCAACAGCATAGCGTCTAGCAATGAAGAGAAGGGTATCGGATTTAGAGACTGGGTGCCTGATCTCGACGGTCTCCATCTCCTCTTCCGACAGGGAGCCTACATGGGCATGATCCCCGCTCGGCTCTGCCGACCTCTCCGGCTGACAATCGATCGGCGCATCATCGTATGCGGGGGGATCATCCTCATCGTCTCCGATCGTGAACATGTCGCTCTCTTCCATCTGTGCTCTCGGATCCCTCATGGCTCTCCTCGACCGCGCCGCTCTCTCCCCTTCCAACGTCTTCACATCACCACATTTCAGACATGGGATGTAATCTTTCAATCTCGGGTTACGCGAAAGGCATGAGGAACATATCGGCGTAGAGCAGCAGGGTGTGAGCCAGGGCGATCGTTCGAGAGCTAATTCAGATGAGCATGTGAGGCAGAATGAGGACGAGGCCATGATCTGTCAGAAGATGCCGCAAATGATAGTACTGGACCAAGGGAGGCACAAGCAGCAGCCAATGACCAAAAGGGTGGAGGCTTGGAGACCGGTGATCGAGAGTGGCAAATGAAGGCCATTTGGCGGTCATCACCGCTCATTCAAGGCAAAGAAGGGTTCATAGGGACTAGAGCCGCAACAGCTGGTGAGAAAGTACACAGTACTGCGTACCTCACACACCATTCCAATCTCCGGGAATCTAGACCCACATACATACATCTTTGCCCTGACTCACAATGCAAGCAAACGATAGTATCACTGCCTCGTCGGCCAACTTACCGCTCCACCACTCGAAATTGGCCAAGCTCAAAAGGCGTTCAAGCGGCGTCGCAACACACGCATTCCAGGCGTTCGGGCAAGAACAACGACCAGTCAGATGTCTGCAAGGCCCAAGTGCAATGCGACGATAACGGAGTGGAGGGCGTCATATGGCCTCCCCCTTTTTTTTCGACTATGTGCCTTTTGCTTCGATCGAGGACGCTAGTGAAAAGAAGTATGCAGGGATGGCGCTCATTGCCGGACGATACAAGAGCTGTACATTGCCCGCCGAAGCCAGCCAGGCCCCCTCCCTCATCGTTGGATGCACAATCTGGATTTGTACCAGCCTGAGACAAATGACGCTGAAAAAAACCGCCACAAAGCCAAAAGCGAATAAAAAGAAAAAACGCCACAATGGTCTGCCACCTCCACCCAACTGCCACTTTCGTTGTCTTACACTCTAAATCATATACCTCTTGCATCCTCGTCGAGATATCTTCTCAATGTCCACAGACAGAGAGAGAAAGAGAGCAAGCATGGGCAAGCAAGAATGTACCTCCTCACAGGGCCTCGTCAGGCGGCGTTATTGAGAGGCACGTAACAGCTGATTGGGCGTTCATGGAGGCGGCGTCGACATGAGATCCAAAGCATTATAAAGAAACCGTACTGATTGTGGAGAAGGATGTCTTCTTCCCTTTACTCACTCGTTTGTCTTCACTCACGTTCATTTTCACAGGATCCGTTGATCGGACTCGACTCGAAAAAGCTGCAGGTTCAGCGATCACATATACGCAGGGCGGCACAATGCCCAACACTCTTTTCACCCCTTCGACTTTGCTCTCCCTCATTCTCCTTTTCAGCCATGTTGCCCACGGGTTCAACTGGCACAGCGCCGCCAACACTCTGGTCGTTGAACGACTGGATCCCATCGTGTCGCCTAACAGCGTCTCGAGCCACATGCACCGTGTGATCGGTGGCTCAGCTTTCGGCGCAGCGTACAACTACGCTGATCAGGTCGCTTCCCAATGTACGAGTTTCATCGTCTCGGCAGACAAGTCGAATTACTGGATGCCAACCATCTACTGGATCAACTCTAATGGTACATTCACTCCGATCCCTTCAACTCATGAGCTTTACTACTTTCACAATCAGAATTCTCCTAATGAGGTCGTCCAGCCCTTCCCAGAGGGATTGAGAATGATCGCTGGAAGTCCCATGGCCAAGTCGGCGGCCCCGGGATACCTCGTCTCAAAGTTTCATTGCAGGGTCAATGCGAACGAGAACGACGACGTATACTCGGACAACTTCAATTACGAGCAGCCTTGTCCTAACGGTCTGACTGCTGAAATCCATTTCCCATCGTGCTGGGATGGGGTGAGTCCGATCCCCACAGCAGCTGCATTGCTGACCAGTCTCCTCAGGTCAATCTGTACCTGCCAGACTCGTCGCACATGGCCTACCCTACCCAAGGGTCCTTCTTTGGTACCTGCCCTTGGTCTCACCCCATCCGACTTCCCGGTATCATGATTGAGCTCTTGGCCAATACCTTCCTCGTGGCACCATCGCCCAACACGACATTTGCAGGCAACCTCGCATGGGCTAATGGAGACACGACAGGATACGGTATCCATGGAGACTTTACAAACGGTTGGGAGACGGAGGTCCTTGCCGCGGCCCTCAACAGTTCAGCCTGTAACACTGGTGATATGGAATGGACAGACTGTCCAGTCTTCCAACCTTATCTTCAGAACTACAATTCTGGATGTCAACCCCAACATGGAGTCATGCTCGAGTCGTATGGAAATGCCGATGGCGTCGCTATCCCTTATCTCCCAGGATGTAATCCTCTTTGGGGAGCCTCGGGCCCCAAGCCGACTTGCTCCACAAACCCACCTCAGCCAAATGTCACTCCTCAGTTGGGTACGAACGGGCCTCTCGTCGCTGCTGCGCCTGCTGTGCAACCTCTGCCCAAGACTCCTGGTTGGAGCAACATTGGTTGTATTGCCGACGGAGATAATGTGGACGGATTGTTGGACAACTCGACTCGATTCTATGACAGTAGTATGACACAGGAAATCTGCTTGGATTCGTGTCTCCGATCAGGGTACAATTTCGGTGCGATCGGATATGCCTGGGGCGAATCTTGGGTGAGTCAAGACTAGATCGGATTCAAGCTCACTTTTCTCCTCAGGCCTGCACCTGCGGTTCGCAAGTCGACCCCAATGCTTGGATGTATCAAGGCATGTGCAATATGACTTGTCCCGGAAACAAGACCGAGAACTGTGGTGGTTCTGGAGCTCACTCGGTCTTCTACGCGCCACCCGGGACACCCATCTCAGGCAGCTACACCACCGACCTCGGCTGTTATCAAGATCCTCAGAGCTCGTCCGCGCCAAACCTTGAGAGCACTTCCTCTTGGAACTATACCAACTGGGACACTATGACTCAGGAACTCTGCCTTCAATCATGTGCCAATAGAGGATATGATTGGGCAGGTATCAAGAACGGAGCTACTTGTTTCTGTGGTTCTCAATCAACTTTCTCACTCGGCGCTGGCAGCTGGGTCGGATCCAACATTTGCTCTGCCAAATGTACTGGAAATTCAACACAGTCTTGTGGAACTTGGAACGGATTGAGCGTCTGGAACGTCACAACTTCAGGTTACACCAAAGCTGTTCCGAACAAACCTGCGGGTTACATTGGTGAGGCTCACGATCAAGCGCGGAAGAACTGATCGGGTTGCAGAATGCTACTCGGATGGTGGCGGAAATGCCCTCAATGGCCCTCGCTGGAACGACGGTTCGAACACCCCACAGAGATGTCAGATGGGTTGTGCAGAGCTTGGCTACTCTTACGCCTCGGTCTGGAACAGCAATGGTGAGCTGACCCACACATCGTTTCAGCGAGCTGACTCTTGTAGTGTGCATGTGCGGTAACACGTTTGACAAGGGCAGCTACTCTAGTCTTCCAGTCGGGATGTGTTCATCTACTTGTCCTGGATCCAGCAATGTCACCTGCGGTGGACCAGGTAATGGTGAAATCTACAGCACGAACGTCATGGCCGCTGCTGTGGCTCAGGAGAAAGCGTCGAGGCCTGCCAATTGGTTGGGTTGTTTCCCTAACAATAACGGCAACTTCCCTTCGAACCTGACCTCGGGAAGCGGTTCACAATCTCCTCAGAACTGTATCGCAACTTGTAACGGTGCTGGATACCCCTACGCAGCAGTCAACAATGGATGGCGTGAGTGGGACCCGTCTAGATTGATACAGATTTTCCAACTCTTCTGACACACTTGCAGAATGTCGATGCTCCAAGACCAACCCCAGCGTTGGACTTTCACCTCAACCAGCCAGTATCATGTGCACGGTCGGATGTAACGGCGCTTCGAACGAAATGTGCGGTGGACCCAACAGTGTCGACCTTTATGGACCGGCTGCTGGTTCAGTCGTCTCCAGCTCTTCTGTCGCTTCGAGCCTCGCTAGCAGTACGATCAAATCGTCTGCGTCTTCCGCCGCGACGTCCTCAACATCCTCCATCAAGACCACCCCATTGAGCAGCGCGATCAGCTCCAGTGTGATCAGCAAGAGTACCAGCACAGCTGCCAGTAGCAGCACGACCAAGACCACAGTCGCCGCTTCTTCAGCCACTGTCAGCTCTGCAAAGGCTTCCGTTGCGTCCTCATCCGCTGCATTCCCAAATACACCGGCCGCCAGTGCGTCAAAGTCATCCACCATGGCCTCCTCCGCTCGATCTACATCGGGTTCATTATCGTCGACCTCGGCAGCACGATCATCTTCGTCGAGCACGTCCACCAGGTCTACCACGTCTACCACGTCGACGACGTCTACGACGTCTACCGCTTCCTCGACCCGTGCATCCTCGTCGACTACCTCGACCACCTCGACCATTTCGACCACAGCACGCAGCTCGACATCATCTTCCCCAGCCTCCAGCTCGTCGTCCTCTGTGCCAGCTTCCAGTACCTCTACCGCTCCTACCACCGCCATCACGTGTGCTGCCGACTTCCACAATTTGAATGGACCCATGTACTACAGCAATTTCATGACCAATGACGTGTGCGTGTTCTGGTGTAAGAACCAGAACCAAGCGTACGCCGCTACGCAAGGCAGTGAGTCCCTCCTTGATTGAGTTGTGCCGAGCATCCGAGCTGACTCTCTTCGTAGCGGCGTGTATCTGTGGAAACACCGCACCGGTTGTTCCTTCGACAAGATGCGACTGGACATGCTCTGGCAACTCGGCGCAATCATGTGGTGGACAATACGCCGGCACCGTTTTCTCGACTGCGGACAGTGCAAACTTTGTCAATCCCCAGGTTTCTCAGTACAATGATGGGTACCTCGGTTGTTGGTCCGATTCGGGCTCGTCTAGACTGTTGTCCAACATGGTCTCCTGGACGGGTACCAACACGGTCGAGTCATGTCTCAATCAATGTCACAGTGCAGGCTATCAATTTGCGGCTATGGAAATTGGATCTCAGTGCTGGTGCGGAAACGATATAAGCAATAAAATGTACATGAAGCCCGACTCGGAATGCTCGATGACTTGTTCTGGAAACTCGGCTGAACAATGTGGAGGATCATGGCGAGCTTCTCTTTACCAAGTCGGTCAACCGGGACCGAGTAAGCGACAGGTCGAGGAACCCGTTCGAGTCAAGAGGTCTTACCCTCCGCCGATGAGGCGATTTCGTTTCTAGTCTGCATCTTGATGATGATGCGACTTGATCGCTTGTACACTATACATGTTTATAATGCACCTATGTATTACTTTGAACGGGGACATCCGCGATCCTTCAATCCGCACAGAACTGCAATGTGTACAAGCTCTCGGCCGGAAGCTCAAAGTTGACCACTCCATTGGTTATTTCCGGTCTCGGCTCGACTTCCTCCCAATCGGTCGACGGATCGGTCTTGACCACATGATAGAGGTGAGAAATGGCAGCTGGAGCTTCCAGAGTCATGTTGAAGCTCGTGCTCTGGTTGTTGAAGAACAACACGTTCCAAGTCTGCGCCCAATTCCTCTCCTCCACGGCCGATCGCTTGATAGTATAAACCCCATTTTTCGTGGCGAAGGCGTTCACGCCGTAAGGTAGTTGTGTCGACGGGACGTCATACCTTACACTTCCCGGTCGGTGAAAGTAGGCAAAGTGCTTCATCATGAAGGCTCGCTTGGTGAAGTAGAGATTGTAGTCATGGGTCTGATTGTAATTTGGATCAATGTAGATCAATCCAGAGTTGTATCCCGCGGTGTTGTTCACAGCGGTCGCGCATTGTTCTCCGTCGATGGAAGGCGAGCAAGGAAGGTCGGCCACTGCCGTCCACCAGTCGAATGACTGAGCATTGGCAATGGTAAGGAATTGCCAAACGTATCGAGCGACAATAAGCGCATTGGTCATGGTTGGATCGTTCTGCGATGCGAATGCCGAGGGACCATTTCCGGACGAGTTGGAACAGCAAATCTCGGTAAACTTGATAGGTGGTGGACTACCTCCAGTCAAGTTGAGGACCTGCTGGTAATACTGGGCAAGTTGATCATCGGTCACATAATCGTAGTCGTGTACAGCGGTATTTGACATGCACTTGTAAGCTTCAGGGAGCCAATGAGGATTCTCAGGGATCCCTTGAAGGTACGGTCGACTTGTCTCATCCGCAATGACCCCAACGCACGAGGCCGAAGAGTTGTCTAGGCTGTCTCGGAGAGTGTTGATAATGGGTGCCCGGAGAGCAGGGACCACAGACATGCCTTCTTGTCCACAATCAGATCGATTGTTATCCGGTTCGTTCATCGGTGAAATGTATTTGATGTCAATACCATGGTCCACCCAGTGGGACAAGACAGTGGTCATGTAGTCGGCGTATTCATCCGTCTTGTTCGCTGTAAAGTTCCAACCACAGGCGGCGCCATTGGTTGCAATGTGTGATGGCGCAGCATTGATGAAGAAGGTAACGTAGGGTACACTGTAGTTTTGAGCCTCTTTGAGGAAATGCACACCGGCATGATCTCGAGACCAGTCGTACGTCCCGTTCCGAAGTAAAAAGGATTCGACACGAGAGCCGTTAGTCGTGACTTGGTGAGTATCGTTGCCGCCTGATATCAGTCAGCCTTTTTGGTTGGGCCACGGATACTCACCATCACCTCCCATGTTGTATCTATACGACGACAGATACAAACCATCCTCCGAGAAGAGCCAGTGGCTCAGATTGTTCTGCTGTTCCACGGGAAAATGAATCAGATCGTTCGGCCACCTAAAAGGTCAGAAGAGTGTTGTTGCTCTCATGCCCTCACCATGCACCAGATGCGCCAAAGCTGGAGATCTCTTGCTGAGGACAAGAATCAATCTTGACTGTATGATCATCAGCAATGACGTCGATGCCACATTCCACCCACCGTTGACCACCTCGCCTCGAGTCGAGCTGACGAGACCGAGAGCAAGCAGTATGGCGGAGATCATCTTGGACGTGTGAAGAGAGACTGCTGAGAATGGGAAGAGATCCATATCCAGTCTGAAGTCCGTTCCCGGAGTCAAGGTATATATATATTCATATATCGAAATAGGTCTAGCGTCTATCCGGACCGTCGAATCGTTCCTCCGCTATGGAGTTTCCCCCTTACCACAGGGCAGCATGTCGGCGAAATGAACCTCCCTCTGTAGTTTCTATACGAGCTCGGGAGATTCTCGCCGACTTGGTGATCCCCCAAAACGGGAACGATGACCTCACTAGTGACTAGTGGATTGTCTCGATGACCGGAGGGGCCACCGGAGTCCCCACTCTTTGGACACATGCCGGTGGCTAAAAATAAACTCAACATCGGATCCGAAGTGTGATGGATCTATATGAACGACGAAAGCAACATTCACGTAGAGATTTCGTGCACAGTCAGGCCGATATCTGCACCTGGAAGGTCCAAGCCATAAGTTCAAAAGAATGGCCGTCAATGCCCACTTACCCACGCTGGAGGACCTGGATCACGATCCTCGACTGTGGCTTGAAGAGATCGACGGCGAGCAAGTATCGGCTTGGACCGAAGAGGAAAATGCAAGGACATTGGCCTATCTGGATGGTCCTGCGCTGCAGAAAGACGTTGAGAGAATCAAGGCTGCCTTGAATCAGCCTGATCGGATCCCTCATGTCCGACGAAGAGGTGATTATCTATACAATCACTGGACCGACGCAGAGCACAAGAAGGGTCTTTGGAGGAGGACGACGTTGGATAGTTTTAAAAGCTCAGCGACGGTATGGGAAACCATTCTCGACATTGATGCACTAGCCAAGGAAGAAGGCAAAGAATGGGTATGGGCAGGTGCCGTCAGTTGTCCGCCGCAACATGAACGAGTCGCTCTCAGGCTCTCACCTGGCGGTGGGGACGCAGTTGTCCTACGCGAATTCGACATAACCACCAAGACATTCGTCAAAAATGGGTTCGAGCTTCCGGAAATGAAGACACAGGTCGCTTGGCTGGATGAAGATACGCTTACATTGACGGCGCCAAGCAGTGCCGAGCTATCTACTAGTTCTGGATATGCCAGTGCTGTGAGGCTCTGGAGGCGAGGGACCGATCCCAACGACGCCCCGATCATCTTTGAAGTGGACAAAGATCATATCGCTGCCGGAGTGGCAGTCGACCACTCCGTATCACCCCCTCGTCTCATCTTTCACGATGTGCAAACTTTCTTTAGTAGCACTGTGTCTTTGGGGGATCATACTGGTCCAAAACATCAGATCGACATCCCGCGAGATGCTCACATATCTCAAAAGGGAAACTACTTTTTGATCCGACTACGAACGAAATGGGACCTGCATGGCCAGACCTTCAAGCCAGATACAGTCATCTCTCTCCGTATAGATGAGATCCTACAAGGAGTCACGGATCCTACGGTCTTGTTCGAGCCAAGCGAGCGAAAGATCAGCAGAAGCATGGAATTGATCGACAACCATGCTGTCTTACTGGTGCTCGACAATCTCGCCCCCGTTATCCAAAGCATTGACCTAGCCGCGACGAGACCCGGTGTCAAACCCGATGTCAAGACAATACCGGGGCTAGCGGATATCTGTGACATTGTTGTCGAAGCTCTGGACGACCATACAGCAAAGAGTGACGGCACATTGCTCATCACATTCGAGAATCCTATCACACCTGTCACGCTCTACCTGTCTTCGGTCCATGACCCCTCTCTCCAGCTCCTTCGTCAAGTGTCTCCCATGTTTGACGCCAAAGGGCTCGTCACGAAGCGGCTCGAGGCGATCGCAGACGATGGCGAAAAGATCCCATATGTCATCACTGGGCCTTCTACCCCACCCGATGGCAAGGCGTACGTCCATCTGACTGGTTATGGTGGGTTCGGAATCAATCCGATGCCAATCTATGACAGTCGGTCAGGTGTCTTATGGCTGGCTCAAGGTGGGACATGTGTTCTTGCCGCTCTGCGTGGCGGCGGAGAATTCGGAACACGCTGGCATGAAGCTGGCCGTGGCAAGCTCAAGATTGTTGCCCAGGACGACTTGGCTGCCGTCTCAAAAGATTTGGTCAAACGCGGAATTACGACTGTGGATCGCATAGCTGGAGATGGCAAATCCAACGGCGGGTTACTGATCGCCAATATGATGACTCGTCAACCGGATCACTTCAAAACACTCTTGTGCCGAGTACCATTGGTCGATATGTACCGTTACGCTCAGCTCCTCGCGGGCGCCTCGTGGCGTAGCGAGTATGGAGATCCGGCGATTCCTCAGGACTGGGAATATCTGCAAAAGATTTCAGCTTACCACACCTTGGGCATTAGGATCGATTCCAAGAAGTATCCACCCATCCTCATTACGACGAGCCGAAAAGACGATCGAGTGCATCCAGGACACGCCAGAAAGTTTGCAGCCAAATTGAGAGATTTAGGGTACGACTGTTACTTTTACGAGTTGACAGGAGGTGGACATGGAGCTGGAGCAGATGCAGATGAAGCTGCCTTCTCGTTGGCTCTGGGAATGTACTTTCTGAAGCGGAACCTCGGTTGGATCGAGTGATGATGTGGAATGCCACCTAGTGGGGTCATTGGCCCGTGCAAATGTACAATATGACCAGATTCTGGCTTCTCGGGTTCGGGGATACAGCTGGACTGAGTGGTGTAGCATCATCGCACAACTCATGCTATGAGCGGATGTTCGCGAGTAATGTTCCCGGTGACGTTGCCAGTAACGTCCACGGTGACCCATCGAAGTTCAATCCTAATGAGGAAGGGAGAGATCAGTCTAGGGCAAACAGCATTCTTCTGGGGTTTGAGCGCTCCGGTCAGGCACCCAGTCAATTTGACGGTCAAAGGAGGCTGCTTATTCGTCGTCTCACAACGCACATAGGCCAGTGCCTGCCGAAGCACGCGGCTCACGGGACTGCCCGGTCCCAATGCCATGCAGACGTTCACGTATCGCGTACTGTCCAAGGTCGACACCTTTCGTACAGCTCCTTCAGGCCGGGTAATTCGATCACGAATCGATCGTAGATCGACATATCTGCCACTCGGAGGAACTGCAGCTGCGCCACGATGATAAAGTCGGCGTACGATACTGTAGCACAGATCCGATCAGCCCCTGAGAGGCTCTCGAAAAGGCCAGACGAAGACGGAAGCACGACCGTCACTCACCTCGATCACCAAGGACAAATGGTCCCTCGTGCCGCTTCAAGACCTCTCCCAACCGTTGGAAATACCCACTCGCGATTTTCCAGGCTTCCTCCTGATCCGCTTTCTCTCTTGCCAAAGCGAGCTTTCTGGAACTGAACCTCTCAGCGGATCTGGGCGTTAACAACGCCAGCATAGCAGGCATCCAGATGGGTCGTAGGGTCTCCATGATTTGATGGGTAAAGGAGGTGACCTCTTCGAGTTCTGGTGATTCTAGATAGAGCTTTTTCTCCTGCACAAGAGCTTGAAGAGCCGCTGCGACTTCGTCCTTCGAAGTTCCTTCGCCCATCGCGTGTACTGGCTCGGAAGTGTCGGGTGACAGGATGGTGATGGCTGGGACGGCGTATCTCTGACCTTGTGCACTGGGAGGGAGGCCCCTATGATGGGCGGTATGGTCTCAATCAAAATCGACAGCACCTTTCCCCCGCACTCACAGATCCATCAGCGTCGATTCGACGTCTGGAAAGTCAAGGAATCTTGTTTCGTACTCGAGCTCAAGGAAATTGAGTACTAGCCGAGCTGAGATAGAAGCGCAGATTAGGTTTCATGTTTGGACTTCCAGGAAAGACTTACACTTCCATGCATTCATTACCCATGCATGGACAGGGTCCTTCTTGGTGAGATCGTAGAAGATGATGTGCCGCTCCATGCTGGACTCTGCGGACGCAAACTGAATGAGGCATGAATCTGTAATCAGCTTACGCGGGTTTAGCAGATCTCGAGATCTGATTATGGCGATGACAATGCCGCACCTCGGAGCTCCGTGAGACCGGAACAACTTCAGACCCGACCCATGGAAAGGGTCAGACTCTGGAGATACATGATGGCTGCAAGATTTTTGCACGCATGTGCTTCAAGCCATTGTATCTCTGCTCTCTCTGGAAAGTCTTCTTGCTTCTCTGCCCGAGCCAACGCTCATTTGATCGGCCCAAGAAAGATCTCGCTCTCCTACTATCTCTTGCTCTGGGTCACATCCATCTCTACAGATCCATTGATTCCCAGCGTTTGACTCTGTGTGATTGCCGCCCCGACCTGTGGAGGATGCCGAGGCACTTACATCTACAAGCTGCAATTCTGCTCTGTCCTTTTCCTTCCCACAGAAATAACACCACTCCACGACCAATTCGTCAACCTTCACGGGGGGAGGAACGACAGTCTCCATACTGAGACTCTGACGGTGCCCCAAGGCAGAGAGAACAAGATTGTATTCGTAGAGCTGTCTGTGGTGTCCTAGAGTATCGGGCTTGATAGTCGTCAATGAATGACTGCCACTGGGGGAATAGGACCGCAGCGCGGTCTGCGATGGGTCAGGTAAGACGGACCGGGGTCTGGCGGTGAGCGTCTGGTCTCCCTCCAGCAGGCCAGAATCATCTTCGTTATCCAATACGAGCCTCGCCGGATGGTCTGTAGCCACAGGAGCGATGCGAATAGGTGTCAATGGTGTCAGCTTTGATCGCAAGTCTGGAGCATGATTCAGTGATATCGATGGGATTTTTGAAATGGATCGAGGTAAAGAAGCAACAATAGGATCGATTGCACGATCACCATGGTCATCGACTTGACTCCCTTGGTGCCCCATGAGCGGTACAGCACGGATGGGTTTACCGCCCATGGATGAGGGGTGCTGATCTATCGAGTGGAGGACCCGATGTTCAGCAAGCGTTTCAGAGAGCGAGGTGATGGTGTGGGTGATCCGACGCTGATAGGTATCGGGTACGCCTCTAGTTGCACCTTTGACGAGAACAGGTTTGGGGAGGTCTAGGGAGGAGACTGTAGAGATGTCATGGCTCGAAGGCCGGACATTCTGGGCTGAGAGAGACAGTGCTGAGTCCATGTCGTTTCTGATGCTTATGCGGTCGGTCCCAGGTGCGGCGACCAGTGCAGAGACAGATGATGCTCTCGGAGACTCACAGACACGTTTGACAGCTGATCGACCTTTTTGAAAACGGGGCGAGGTGCTTGACTTCTGTCAGGCAAAGAGTAAATCTCTGAGAGGCCAGTCTTCTGACTTATCCTCCACAAGGGGGGAGGTAGACCTAAAGGCATGAGCTACTGGCCTTTTGTCAGCTACCTGAAGAAAACGATCGTCAAGGATCAGCCAACCAAAGGAGGTATACGAGGACGCCCGTTTCAGCTCGCAACAGAAAGGATGCGTGCTTCAACGCCACACTCTCATTGTTATCCAATGCATTCTCTTTTTGATCCCTAACTGACTTGCGCCAGTCGTCTGCATCTATAGAGCAGAAGCACCCTGTAGCCAGAATGTCAGCTACCGGTACGCGAGCGCGCGTACTCCTCCCACTCACAGTGATAATATCGATCAATTCGTTGGTAATAACGGCTTGACGACCACGGTTGTATTGCAATTGAAGAGAGGAGATCATGTCGTTGGCGTTCTGGGAAGGTCGTGTCAGCATTGACCGAGTCGATTGGGGGCGCGAACACGAGGGGGACCGACTGAACCGGGCAGACCAACGACACTCCTGAGATGAAGGAACGCGGGCCCGCATGGCCGACCACCCCACCTCGCTTCTCCGCTCGCCCAGTGCCACTCACGTTGGAAGCATTCTCCATAGCTGTCCTCCTTGCTGAGATCTCAGCAGCATGGCCTTCGACAAGAGCGGTGTAAATGGCGTTGGCAAGAGCGAAATCGGCCAAGTCTTTGGCGGTGTCATCCTCGACTTCGTAAGCTTGGAAACCGGCAGATTGGGTCATGGCCTTGGAGGAGATGATAGAGGTAGGTCGAGCTTCGTAAGAGAGAGCAGAGAGGTAGTGGTTAGAGATGATTCGGATCTGTAAAAACGGGTGTCAGCGAGGGATACAGGAGAAAGAAGAGAGAGTTGAGGAGGAATGTGGGGCGACATATCGGTGTCGCTAGATCGCTGAACTCACCTCATCCCAGCCTCCTTCAATCTTTCCAATCTCATCGGCGATCGCACAAGCCTCTGCGAATGTCGGAACATCTTTACCAACCCCGTTGAAGGTGACTTTGATGTTTTGACCCATGACTCGAGCGAGTTGAGCTTTGGGCTTGTCACCCAGAATGATGAGATCCTGAGGGTTTCCACCGAGTTCTCTTTTAATGTATCGCGAGATGGAAGAGTGAATACCTCCACACAATCCACCGTCGGAGGACATGGCGAGATAGACGACTTTGGGGTTGGAAACGTCTTCGAGTTTGGCGTGTTCAAAGAGCTCTGCGAGAGGAGATTTGTCAGTCAGCATGAACGAGTCTCGCCGGTCAGAACGGTGACAGGACAGACGGCTGAGAGGATGAAGAACAGGAAGGGCGATAGCTATCGAGGCGGATAGAATGACCTGGTCCGCATCTAGTCTTCTCCACTCTCCAATGCAGTCCGCTTCCCATGGAAACCCCTTCCCCCTCTTTTCTTCACTCACCCTTGTTGGCAGCTCCGTACTTCTTCGCCTCCCTCATCGCTCTCTCAGCTCTAGTCAACTTTGTCGAAGCGACGACTTTCATTGACTATTATGACAAGCGTCAGCGGTGGTTCAAAACGTTTATCAGAGAAATGCAGACTGACCTTTGTGATCTTTTCAATGTTCTTGACAGATTTTAATCTATACGTCTTGGATCAGCCAGCAGCTCTGGATATAGTCCCAATGAAGCGATGTGTCATGCCAGAGTCGTTCTCCTTCCTACCAGCATGACACCCAGCAATCGCATCCCCTCTGACAACGCATTCTCCACCGGATCCCATCCGCCCCGCCCCGCCCTGACCACTCACCGCTGTTCAATTTCTCTCAACGTCGCCATGCCTCTCTGTTGCTCAGCTGCCTGGGTCATAGCCCTGAGGGCGGCGACCGCTGGTCGAGTAGCAGCCGTGCGGATCATACTGCTGGTGATGAATGAGGTAAGAATGAAGCGAGAGGAGGAGGATTGCTGAGGACAAGAATCGAGGGGGTTGCTGATGGGGGGAGGGCCAAAAGTCAAAAGTGCCACATATGGTTCAAGAGGCTGATAACGCCGAATAACGCCGCGGAGGTGGAGGAGTTCACAATGGGATTTTCTGGATTTCAAGGCCGTCGCGACTCGATATCGTTGGCGACAGTCATCTCACCTCACAGCGGTGGACATCTTTTAGCAGACAAAGAACGGATCACAGAGGGAGAGAGAGCGGTCTTCGACGTTCAGCCCACTTACTAGCTATCAACAGTGAGCTTTTTCGTCACGACCTTGCAGGTTTGGCCCAAGCTAACCCTCTCACGCCAGTGGCGGATCCTGAAGTCGACCTGTTCGCAGGAATGAAGAAGAAGAAGAAGAAGCAGGTCGTCTTGGACGAGGTGGAAGACGCACCACAGGCACCAGTAGAGCCTATATCTGCTCCGGCGAAAGCTGAAGAGTCTGCACCTGCCGTGGAAGAGGAGGCTATCCCTGAGGCCACTGGATCGGGAGCAGCGACCCCGGCAGAGGATGCTTCGGGTGCACCGGCAGTGGACGATGGGGATCTGTTCGCGGATATGAAGAAGAAGAAGAAAAAGAAGAAGGAGATCCCGCTGGACTTGGTGAGTGTGTATATGGTGTGGATTCGAGAGTCGGTCATCGGATCCAGAAGTCGGATCTGTGGCGTCAGACAGAGGAATAGGTGCACCCGCCCGCCGCCATCCCGGCTCAGCGTGATTCTTCCAGTCTGCAAGCTCACTGACGCTCGTTTGTGCTCTCGAAGGATTCTGCCGCTGTCCCTGATGGTCTCGACGTCCCGATCAAGAAGAAAAAATCTAGGAAACCAGCAGAGGATTTCGCCAAAGAGTTGGATGAGCTGGAAGCTGAGAATGAGGATGGAGCCGCCGGTGGAGAGGACGGAGATCTAGGGGACGATGTGTTTGAAAAGGCGAATGGGGATGGAGAGGCGGGTAAAGAAGCATGGGTGCTGGAAGGTCGTGATCCAACTTATCCAGAGGTGAGTGCTCCTCTGCTCGATCGCCACTTCCAGTCAGGGTGCTGGCGCAGGACGTCGACGTTGACGTGTACTTGAACCCGCAGCTGCTCAACCGCTTCTTCTCTCTCCTCCACGCCCATAACCCTGAACTCGCTGGAGAGAAGCGAAAATACACCATTGTTCCTCCTCAAGTCGCTCGAGAAGGAACAAAGAAGACCGTCTTCTCCAACTTGACGGATATTTGTCGAAGAATGCACAGACAGCCAGAACATGTCATTCAGTTCCTGTACTCTGAACTGGGTACTCAGGGATCCATCGACGGGGCTCAGAGATTAGTTATGAAGGGAAGGTATACGCAGAAACAGATTGAAAATGTGTTGAGAAAGTATATTGGTGAGTGTCTGTCGCCGGGTGACACGAAGCGAAGCCAGTGCTGCGAGAATGTCTTTTACTCCTCGCCAGGGGAGGAGGTGGACTTTCTCTTCATTGGCTTGCTGCTGCACTCTCTCATTGCTGAACACCGCGCTGACCGATCCCTCAGTCGAATACGTCACATGCAAGATCTGCAAGTCTGCCGACACACTTCTAGGCAAGGAGAACAGACTGTACTTTATGACATGTGAAACGTGCGGATCGAGTGAGTACGCTCTGGCCACATTTATGACGTTGCTCAAGCCTTGGCCCAGGACGTTCCGTATCAGCCATCAAGGCAGGTTATCAAGCTCAAGGCAAGCGTATCAAGCCAACTGCTTAGAACGTCCCAGTACCGGCAGTGCCTTTGTCTCGTTTTCATGCCATATTTTACCAGTTCACTTGCATGTATCATACACTCTGCATGCTAATCTCCAGGAATCAGTTGGGCTTGACAGCGTCCTCATTTGCAGCACTGAGCATCCCTCTCGTCAAAGTCGCTCGCTCTATCTCATCTCCACGTCCTCACTGGAATCTTCGATGCGTCATCGCCACGGCAAAATGTAATTATATAACATTTCGCGAAATACCTCTGGGTCGAGCGCAGTTTGCTTTCTTGACTTGCTACATTACAACTATACAAAGCCAACTTGGACGGAAGAGCAAGTCCTGATATCTAGCGAACAAGCTACTAGATACATCCCAAGCAGATCTTATCACGCTCTAGAGTCGTCGGAAAGACAGACTACTTCAGACCAACTCATCCCCAAGCTCTCCGCCACCCATGCCGACTGAATTACCTTACGCTGCAGAGGCAGAGTCGTCTTTGTCCTTTGAGGAACTGGATGTGAGTCGATCGTGGTCTGGTAGAGAATCAGGATGGCTAGGCCTTGATAAATCGCTGCCGGGAATTGGGTCATGCAGTCTCGCCGGACCGATCCGACAAGGTGCTTGACACAAAAGTCCAGTAAAGCTGGGAGCTGCTGGATCGTGATTTTTCAATGATATACTCTCTCGCCGAAGAGCCCGCGAGCTGCCTGATCAGTCTCAGACGTATAAGTGCTCATTCTACCCCTCTCCTCAGGTCCTCAAACGACAGTATTACAAGGAAATCGAAGACGGACACGTTACGACCCAATCCAAATTCAACTATGGTGGGTGAACCCAAAAAGACTGTCTGTCGAGAGGAGATCGTGCTGAGATGAGCGTGACAGGCTGGGGCTTGATCAAGACGCAGAACAATGAGATGCAGACGGAGGGTATCAAATTGTTACAGGGTGAGTCGTGGGTTTCCTGCTTTGTGTGTCCTGTGACGGATCTGGGGTGAGGCCCTTATATCGTCAACGTCCGTGGAACGTCAGGTGGGAAATGGGATCGCGGAATCCTGCCACTTCGAGAAGCTTTCCTTGCACTCCTCAATCGCGGTGTTCCTCGATGCCGCCCCGCTGAGGTAGCTGACACTGTGCCACTTCAGAGATATACTCTGCCTCTCCACCTCATCGTCGAGAATGTAGTTATTACATCGCTGTAGGGTACTACAAGTTAAAGAACTACGCCAACGCGAAGAAGTTCAACGGTACGTAGTATGACCTCAGTAGACTTGAACAAAATGCTGATCTGATCATGCTTCACAGACCTCCTACTGCAACATGAACCGGGCAACATGCAAGCTCAATCATTGAGAGTATTGATAGAACGAGGCGTCACACGCGATGGATACATTGGTGAGCCTCGCTTATGGCCGGACTTTCCCCCCCTTATCCCTTTGCTTCAAAAGCATTGACCCTTAACCTCCCATAGGACTTGGTATAGTAGCGGGTGCAGCTGCTGTAGCTGGAGTTGTCCTTGCCAGTGTGATCAAACGAACCAAAAAGTGATGATTGTTTACGCCAAATCGTGTGCCTCTCATGGATGGTCGATCGAAAGCTTTTGCTACTCGATGTATCTTCTTGTATCTGATCCCTTGAACCACATGTATATCCGCTCTCTCTCTCTCTCTGTCTGTGACCCTCACAGGGATACTCCATCGATATAGGGCTGTCACTACTCACTACTCATCCCCCGCCTACCATCCCATCCGCCAGCTGACGGAACCAAATTTTCCCAGAAAATTCAATTGCCGGGACGAGACGATTCGTTGCGATCCCAAACTGCTTCATCGTCGTCTTCGTCTTTTTGCTTTTCTTCATTCCAACGATCTCCCTCACGTCGGCAAGAACAGTCAGTCACCGAAGCTGGGTCTACGAATCTCTTAGGCAACATCAGTACTGTAGCCACCAAGCTTGGACCTCTGTCTCGCCGTATAAATCTTCCCCTTGCTCAACCTGGCCATCGGCCGAAAAACACAAAAAAGTTTCATCGACGGTGAGTGGTGAAGAGTGGTGAAGGGTTTTAGAGGGGGATGTGGGCGTGCTGGACAGCTTTCATCGATGTGTGCAGCCAGATCTGATCATCCATCGCTATCTACTCGTCCCGACCAGAGGGTCAGACATTAGGCAGGGATCTTGCAAGCGCTTCCTCCTTGATCAACTGTTACTCCCTCACAACCAACCCTCTTTCTCGCCATTTCAGCCAGATGTTGATCGTCCTCATCCGGCACACTGTACTGAACTTGAGCTGATCATGTTGTTTGACCTGACAGATTTGGACAATTTCTCTGTTCCCTTGTTCCTCCTGACCGATACCCAGCGTCTCGCTTGTCCGACGATACCTTGGTCGATCCTTACAGGCTCAACTCATCGTCATTATTGAACCTGGACCGTTGAATCGAGCAATCTCATGGTCACTCGTACAACGGATGATGCATCCATAGGTCCATCATCTACAACCTCCCAATATGCTTCCTCGTCGTCTACCAACCTTTTAGGTTCTGCATCGACACTTCATGTTACTCCTCACGGAGCTCATGTCCATCCTGGATCGGCTGGACCGTCAACTGGGGCAGTCATCGACCCTGAAGAGCATGAATATGAGGCTCTGCCTCTAGGTTCAGGATGGGCGGTCAATATGGCTGCGGGTGCGATGGTGTGTCTCGTCTCACGCAGGGGAAAAAAAGGAAAACGGAACGAGACGCTCATACTGTTCTTTTAGGCAGGAATTTCTGAACATTCAGTCATATTCCCAATAGATTCCATCAAGGTGAGCCGTCTGCTCTGTCTCTCTTTACCTTGCGCCAGTGCTGATTGTCTGCAGACACGAATGCAAATCCTCCCTTCGACCGCTTCTTCCCTCTTAGCCACCGCCACTTCGTCAACCTCATCTGCTTCCTCTTCCTCTTCCTCCACACCTCGCCCTGCACTCCCTCATCGACCTCATCATACCCTTCCGCAAGTCGCTACGATCGGTCAACATCTCCGACTTGTCAGTACGACAGATGGGCTCAGATCCCTATGGCGAGGTGTAGCAAGCGTCATCATGGGCGCTGGACCCGCCCACGCTGCGCATTTTGGAATGTACGAGTTTGTAAGGGAGATCAGCGGGGGTAGAGGTGAAGGCTGGTGGGGTGTAGGAGGAACAGGTGGGTCAAGGCAGATGCCATCTTGCGGCCATGACTTCTCGAGGCATTCACCTGATTTGTTTCTACAGCTCTTGCTGGTGCCGCCGCTACGATCTCGTCTGATGCCCTTATGAACCCTTTTGATGGTGAGTCAGGAGTGTAGGAGCAACGGCGCGACGAGTTCCTAGTCACTGATGCTTTACGTCTCTGCAGTCATCAAGCAACGTATGCAAGTTCAAAATTCGCCTTATCGATCCGTCATTTCATGTGCCAAATCCGTTTACACAACCGAAGGACTTGCGGCGTTCTACGTCTCTTACCCTACGACCTTGACCATGTCTGTTCCCTTCACCGCCGTTCAGTTTTCGGTCTACGAAAGTCTCAAGTCTCTCTTGAACCCAGATGGTAGTTACAGCCCGTTGACTCACGTCACGGCTGGTGGATTTGCTGGAGCTGTCGCGGCTGCCGTGACTACTCCATTGGACGTGGCAAAGGTGAGTCAAGGATGGAAATCGGAGCTCGAGGCAGCGTGTGTCCCGAAGCTCAAGGAAAGATCGCTCCGCTCGTCCCTTCTGGCATCGAGCTTGGTCGCTGACTCGTCTCGTTCCCCAGACCCTTCTCCAAACTCGTGGATCTTCGTCCGATCCTCAGATTCGCCAAGCCAGAGGCATGTTAGAAGCACTGCGGCTGATCCGGGAACGAGATGGCGTCAAGGGATTGAGAAGAGGTTGGATACCTAGAGTTTTGACGGTTGCACCGAGTACGGCCATCAGTTGGATGAGTTACGAGTTTTTCAGTGAGTCGTCGGACCCGAGAACGAGAACAAAGCTAGTTTGTCGAGAGCGACGAATTTGACTCCGCTCTTGGAGTCCGATCTTCCTGTGCCTAGCTACCGCAACTGTTCGAACGCTGACTCCCCCTTGTAGAGGTCCTGATTCGACAACGCGGAACCCTGCCTGAAACTGGTCAGGCTTTGTAAGGATTTGAATGCGATTATGGAACTCAGAAGACGTATCGACATGTGAAAAACGATGGCAGAATCTCTGCGAGACATAGCGTGTAGATTTAGGTGTAAAGCCAGCGGGCTATAGGAGTCGGGTCGCCTCGGCACCATCAAATGGGGCGTGGCGAATCGAGGCTGGAGTGGCGGTGTGGAGGTTCAGATAGTCGGGATTAGAATGAAGCGAATTGTACCATATCACATTGCATCTGATGATCTCTGGGTCTGGATCCATGGGTAGACTCAAGACTGGTCCGTACCGCAACGAGCCAGCCCCCCATTTCCATCATGCACAACGCCAACCGTACTCATGGGACAGACTCTTGATCAGTTGAGTAGAAAGCCACGTCATGTAGAATCGAGCCGCGAGCCGGGTTTGGTTCGAACACCTTTCTTCGAGGAGGCACAACCTGATTTTCCTCGCGCTTCAAGCCTCAACCGACGACGAGTGGAGAAGCAAAGACTTTCGGCACAATGGACATGGAAGATGATGATGCCTTCCTGTATGGAGAGGAAGCCACTTCTTCGGCTGCTCCACAAGCCTCCCTTCCGAGCACGTCGACGACGGCCGCGGCGGCCGCTTCGAGCTCAAAAACGAATGGTATCTCTGGCAGTGCCGCCGGAGCAAGTTCAAGTGGACTGTCTGCGTCTATGGCAGCGTGAGTGGAGCAGCTTGAGTCACACGGAAGATCTACTTCTTCTTTTCCCTCTCTCTCTCTCTCTCACCAGAGGGATGTCTGATTCTTGTATTCAAGAGTGAACGTTTGCTCGATATAACAAAGATGGGCTCTATGCCTTGCATTCCAGCATTACTGCGCGACGTTCAAGCCGGAGTTAACTGACAGGCCTTTCATAGATCCCTCGCAGCGTACGGTATAGATCCGACTGAGGCGCAAGCCGCTGCGCAGCCTGAAAATACCGAAGACGGCGGAGTGGAAGAAGAGGATGTGGATGGGGAAGACGAGGACAGTGATGATGAAGATGATGTCAAATTGGTCTTTGGGAATCAAGCTTCGCATTTGGATCTGAGGTGAGTGGGTGCATCGAGCTACCTACCCTTCGTATCTCGAAGTCGGAATGTTGACGTGGAAAATCCCCTCTGTTCAGACGACCGCAAGCGCAAGCCAGCAATGTCATTGGAATTGGCAAATGGGCTCACGGAGCTACGGGGACATCTGCACCGGTCGGCTTGTCTATGCCACCTCCCAAGCGTAAGTCTCGCGGTGTCGTGGAGGTGTCTCTTTTTCTGAACTTGCCCGTCTTCCTTCCAGCTCAACCCGTTTCTATGCCTACGGTGAACCAAACCACCGAGTACACTCCAGCGTCACGTCCAGGAGCGCAACCCTCAACCTCAACACCCAACACCTCTCATCCCCCGGTCCAGAATCCGCTCACTCAGCTCCCTCTACCGTCCGGGACAACTCCCGATTCGTCCGTTATCCCAACGTCTAACCCCAATCTGCCACCGTCTTCCCTTCCTCCCGTGGCTGCTCCTGCTTCTCACCCCAAAATCGACCTTTCCAATAACACGGGAATGATCCCTTCCACCGGTACTTCAGTGTACGACCTCGACATGTCTCAATTCGAAGGCACTGGTCAACCGTGGCGGAGACCAGGAAGCAACCTTAGTGATTGGTTCAATTTCGGTTTCGACGAAATATCTTATCCGAAGTATCTCAGATTCAGGCAAGAGATGGAAGCAGGGCGGATAGCCATGGTGAGTTGGGCTATGAGCCTACACTGGCGCGGGGTATCTGCTGATTGCAGCGCAGATGAACCTGCCGATGGGCCAAATGAACCCTGATGTGGCCAATCTTCTCCATTTGCCAAACATGATGCCTCAGATGAACGGCATGAACCCGCAAATGCCATTCAACCCCCAACAGATGCAAGCTATGCAACAGGCCATGGGACTGGGAGGGATGCCAGATCCAAACATGATGATGGCTATGCAGGGGATGGGCAACATGCAGGGTATGCAAGGTATGCAAGGTATGCAAGGTATGCAAGGCATGCAAGGTATGCAAGGCATGCAAGGCATGGGCAACATGGGGGGCATGGGGAGCGGTCCTGGGAATGGGAATATGGGAATGCAACGACTGAATCAAGGTGGGCGGCTTTGACACCTCAGTGCGGTGCGGGGCTGAATTTTGCTCCCAGCCCAGCGACCCTCCGCAACGCCTGCTCGTGCGGGTGAGGGAGCCGAAGACGTGAAGCAGGAAGAGGATTCTGAACCAGTAAGCGGACTCTGTCCCACCCTCAATTCGCTGACACATTATCAGGGCCAGATGTCCGAATCTATTGCTCCTGATTCGGCCGCGGGAGCCTTCCGCGGTCGAGGCATGGCTCGCGGCGTTGTACCAGGTCGAGGAACCGCCACACGTGGTCGAGGATCTGGTCTGCCCGCTGGCCCTCGTGCTGGCGCGGGCCTGCCAGCAAATATCCCAACTGGCCCCAAGGCGGGTCGATTCAAGGATAAGGATCGTGTGGATATGACGTCTTCGTCGAATGCGCTGGATTACGGCGATGATGGAACGGATCCGCAAGGCCGAGGTGATGATGAGTCGAGGAATGGGTCGATCAGTCCGGTGAAAAATGCCTCCAGACGACGGAGAGAGAGGAGCTTTGACGACGGTGATGACGATGACCGCGATGATTATCGCTCTCAATCTCGATCAAGATCCCGGACGCCAGTCCCCAGAACTCGGAGTGTGACACCGAGAGACAACGACAGGAGTCTGAGCCCAGTCAGGGGTAACAAGCGAAGTGGACGGTCCGACAAAGATAGGGACAGGGAGAGGGAGAGGGACAGAGATAGAGATAGGACGAGCCGGAGACGCGGTGGGGGCGGGGATGAAGATGAGTATGGATCTACAGATAAACGGAGAGAAAAGCGGAAGAGGGATGATGGATCTGGTGGGACCGCGCTACTTGGTCCAGGGGGGTGGGAAGAGGAAGAGGGCGATGAGGAGAAGAGGTCAGGGTGAGTCAGCCGTACGCATGCTGTGAACTGTGCTGATAACGAATCAATCTGCAGGCGTAGACGGAGAAGTGTCTCTGAAGATGATAGTGACAGGTATTCTAGGCGTAGTCGAAGACGGTAGGGTAGGCGAGGGAGAAGGCTTCGATCGAGAATTTATTGTCGGCGAGCTGCGTCAGACCTTTGCTCGTTCATGCAGCAGTGCTTGTCATCTCTCTTGAATCCCGAGACCAGGACCCTTACGCACTCACTGCATGGCTCAGACGAGCTCTTCATGGTCATGATAGCAGCAGCCTTGGATCCCGTACACAGCGGCCCCACTTTCTGTGCACCCAAAAAGCTGCTGCCACGTGGTTGACTCCGACGCGCGCTCCAACGGCGGAACTTCGTCAAAAGGTCGAAAGGATCTCTCTCATGTCCTTGTGTAAACGGGCTTCAGACACAATCTCGACTCATCACTATACTGCAGATCTGAATTCGTACGCAAGCAGCCTCAAACTGGTCAGCTCAAAACATCGCCCATCTCAACACCGCGGAAGACCTAGATTGAACAGCTTCACGTCATTCCACTCTGTTGAACCGCTCAATTCCGCCTCTGCAACCGAGCCTCGTCATCATACCATACCCTTTTGTTTCGCTTTGGTCAGTGCTCCATCTCCCGTTAGCGACTTGTGATCAGAATCACACACCCTCCAAATCCGGCCAGCTGCTATAAGCAAGGCTTATCATTGCTTGCTTCGAACCAGTAACATCATAACCATGTCTTCTCAACCCATTTCTGTCCCTGGATCATCCCCCTCAACGCCGTTAGACCCTTCCAAATTGAATCAGACACCCGTCACTCTCCCATCTGAACCTCGATCCAGTAATGCCAATACACAAACCCTTCGATCGCCCGAACAGGAACCATCTGCATACCTCGATGGCGCATCAGGCCACGGAAGTGAACAAGCTTCCCACCCGACGATTGCAGAGACTGGACTCGCTACGTCTTTACCGGACGATGGGAGCGGTATGAGCGGACCGGGACCCAAAAGTGGTCAATTGAAACGTGTGCCCGGGGGCGAGAAACCTGAACAAGAGGTTATTTCGCTAGGAAGCTTTGGAGGGGACGGATTGAAAGCGAAGCCTCCTCCACCTGTGGGCGTACAGCCAAAGAGCCCAGAGATCGCTACTTTCGATGTGGTTGGATAGAGTCGTACGGTGTCGTACATTCTGCGACGAGAAGAATCAGTGTATTTAAAAGGATCTGTTGGCAATGGCTTCAGAAGACCACGACACGGCTGGTGGATCGAGACCGTACGAAAGGTTTGTAGAGGATCTCTCCAGGTCCGCAATGTACATGATTTATTCACATGCGCAAAATGTGATGCAGAAGATGTCAGTACATAAGATATGAGAAACCTCCGAATGAAGGTGTTGTTGATATAGACAAGTAGGGCGAATTGCCAGTTGCCAGGGAGACGCCTTCACAGACACAATACGGCTGGCTAAAAGTCCCGCTTCTGATCATAGACGTGCTTCAGTCGAGGAAATCGAAGTGACCTCTCTTCTGGACGCTTTTGGTTTTGGGACTCGGAAAAATATGCCACGCAAATCTGCTTGCCAATCTGAAACGGTCGAGGGCGTCAGGAAGAGTGTTTGTGTGCTTCTGTGTGACATCGCCGGCGGGCCACGTCGAGTCGACTCACAATGGAGGAAGGGTCTTTGGCCCATTGGTTCCTTTGCTCGTGATTCAGACCAGATCCAACGTAGACTTCATTCCCCTTGTGCTTAATGACGAGGCTGCCCACAGCTCCATAGTTATTTGGTACACCGTCGACGAACAATCGCATACTCTTCTCGATTATGACACCCTGGACGATGTATTCCGCGTCGCTTTCCTGCTTGAGCTTGAGGATGTCCTTGCTGCGGGAGGGAGAATTAAGATCAGAATCGGTATTACGGGATAGCCCAACTTACGTTCTCGAGCCCCGGTAATGCTTGTCGACTCGAAGCATGAGGCCTTCCCAACCTTCTTCATCTGATTGCTTGATCATCGCCTCTAGATTTGAGGCGTTCACCTGGATCTGGGGAATAGGCAGAGTTGTGAAGTGCGAGGGAGGATTTTGTGGATCTGCGGCACATGCGGTATTCATCGCCTTGATGAAATCGGCCAAGTCAGTCACCCGCTTGCCAAATGGATCACTGAGTCCATCTATCGCTTGATGCGCGTCGAATTCTCCGCCGTGGAGCAGATCAAACACGTAATACCGAGGAAGTTCGATGGCTGTCGACCCCTTGATGCGACTGACAGTCTGCGAAAAGTTCTCTTTCAATGGTACGTCATCACCTTTCCCAAAAAGCGACCCGTGGAGTCGATACGGATCGAAAGTGTCATGAGTAGGAGGTAGGGAATGCCCCAAGTCGGCTTCCATGACGCAGATTTCTCCATCTAGGACCAGGCGCTTACTGTTCGTGTTGGAGGGAGATTCGGGTGGGACGAAGCTATCGTTCTCGAGCCAAGCTCGTAGACCTGGAACTTCCGTCATGAACCTGAGCTGCTCCTGAACCTTTCCAAGAGTTCTGAAATCTCGGCCAAGTCGAGACTTGCATTTGATGTCCAGTATTTTCGGTGTGCTGCCATCGGTACCCAAGTCGAAGTCGATGTATGTGATACATCGGACCCCGTCCAGCTTCCGAGAGGCGTACCAATTGTGCTTCGAATCGAGACGCTCAAAGGGATCAACATCTTTTGGGATGCCTCGACCAAGGGCGACTTGAAATCCACGAGACGAGGCAGCAGCCTTCTGAGTTGCTGACGGAGCCTCACCGTTCCCACCAGATGAAGCCGAAGTCGAGTCACCCCAGTCTATATTGGCCAATACCTTTGGACCCAATCCTGGAACGGGCTTGCGGTCCAAGAGACGGCCAAACGCTTCGACTAGGCTTTCATCGTGTAAGACTTGATGGTCGTAGAGAAAAGTCTTAATGTAGACTTTCGCACGCGTGCCCGTGACCTTGCGTTCAGCTAGTGCGTTCAACAGATCGATGAGAGTCCATGGCGTCTCATCCAAAAATGAACTCGGTTCATCTGTCCGCCCGAGCCAATTTCGAAAGCTCTCGAACGTCAGATTGAATCGGATGTCGGCCTGAAGTACACTATATAGGTTAAGCTCGTCAGCCGTTCAGAAAATGCATGCAACGTGTCTCACGTCTCGAGAAGCTCTCTGACTTGTGGATAATCCTGAAGACTATCCTGTAGATTTTCATGACCATGTAGAGTCGAAACCCGATGGTGCAGGTCACGGATCGCTTCGAGTTGTTCACGGACCTCCGGGTTGGGGAGCTTTGATCGATTGGAGGTCGTCGAGTATTTTCGGTTCAGGGTCGGCGTGCTCATCGACCTTGTCCAAGACCCTGGCTTGCTCATTTCGTGCTTATTCTCGCCAGTAGAAGCCGAGGCCGGCTGGTCCCATTTGATGCTGGCCAAAGTTGCTCGTGAGATATTCGAGGAGATTTGGCGATTCAAGAGACATCCAAATGTTAAGGTTTCCTCCTTTGGGATTTGGTGGGCTTTCAGAAAAGCATGGATGAGCTTTTTCGCAGCATTGCCCTTGACTTTCTGTTCAGATAGCGTCTTCAGCATGTCGATGAGAGTCGAGGGCGGAGGAGTGGTACTGTGCAGGTTTTGGGCTTGATTGACATAGGTTCCATAACCTTCGAAAGTCAACCCAAATCGAGTATCGGGTCGAGTGACGCTGAACAGAGAGAGACTGATTAGCACAAGGCTTGCGGTGTCTTCAACACTCACAAGTCGAGCTCATCAAAGACTTGAGGGTAGTCCTTCAGGATTCGGCGTCGCTCACTGGATTTGGTCTTGCTTTCGATTTTGTCTCTCAGATCGCGAATGGCGGAAAGTTGTGCGAACACCTCTGGATTTGGATACTCCATCCGATTTGGTGTGGTCGAATAACTTCGAGTCCCAGTCGAGCTAGGTGGAGGCGTTGATCGAGCTGGTTTCTTTGCTTTGCCAGGGGCGAGCTCCAATATGCGGTCTTTGGGAATCCGGGTGTTCGTCAGGAAATTTCCAAATATGAGCTGAAGCAAGATGTTCCCTTTAGGACTCGACAGTTCGATCTTTTCCTTTCGGATAAAAGACCAAATTCGCTCGTGGCTCTCTATCCGATCAACTCCGGGACGGCCAAGAGTCTCAATGAGCGCGAGTACACTTCTCGGTGCTCTGTACTTGGTACTTTTCCCAATGGGCAGGTTTCGGGGTCGACCGCCCTTAGATCTGGGCTCGTGAGTTTTGATCCGGAATGCGGATTCGAGGGCGGCGGGCTTGACGCATCCTTGGTACTCCTTGCCATATCGACTGTACTGCATGTCAATGGATGGGATAGGTGTAACAAGTTGGTAGCGAATACTTACACATTTAGTATTTTCAAGACCTCTGGATATTCAGCGGCGGCCTCGACCTTGTCAGAGAATTTCGCAGCGCCTTCGAGTCTGGCCTTGAGCTCGAGTGCGTCTGCAAGGACCTTTTGGATCTTGATTGAGTCTGAGGTCGTGGAATTCGCAGCGTATCCCCTGAGACTTTCGACAAGAGTAGATCCTGAAGGGATGCGGCGCGTCGATGGCAGCAGGTCCGAGTTCCATTTAGCCGTCAATGCGAGCGTGGATACCTGCCTTTTCGCGAACAAGAGACGAGGTACATTGGTGACTTGTCGTGTTCGGACAATCATGCCTCGTGAAATGGATATCATGATCAAGGAAGGCATCACCAGATTGGAAAGGTAAGATGGGCATGTCTCCGAACAGAGAAACTCTCCTTTTATATGTCTGCGCTTTCCATCAGCACCCCCATCTACTGTATCAGAATGATGAGGCTTTGATGGGTTCAATGGAGCGTGAGGGTGTTTGTGAGAACAATTGGTGAATGGATGATGAAGTAGTAGTTGGTCGAGTGGAAGGTGACATGATGGAAAGTGTGGGGCTCCAGTGAACAGGTCACGTGTTTTCATCGGACTGTCCAACCGCCGACATCCGAAAGAACGAAACCATTTCAAGATGTAAATGATGTCCAACCACGATTGAGTAGTGAGCACGTATCTGGAGATTGCGATTAGCATCTAGGCTGCTGGCAGCATCCGTGGGCTCATTGGCATTGATCTATCCTGAGTTTGCGCTTTGTAATTGGCCGCACCGATCCGCCCGCTGTATCAAACCATTGTCTCGACCGGGCCTTACCAATCAATTCACCATGTCTCTTCCCTCGGCCGCCTCCAGCTCATCGACGACTTTGCTACAACCTCCGTCCCCATTTCAATTCGATCCTGTCACCGATGCCATCGAGGCGATCGCCCGCGGAGAATTTGTCGTCATCATGGATGACGAGAGTAGAGAGAACGAAGGCGATATAGTATGTGCCGCTGGAAAGTTGACAACAGAAGGCATGGCTTGGATGATTCACTGGACGAGGTGGGTTAAAAAAAAGGGGGGATAATTCCATGTAGAGTCATTCGCTGAGCCGCTTTTCAGCGGCTTCATCTGCGTCTCATTACCACCTGACCGACTACAAGCTCTCAACCTACCGCCCCTCCTCCCTCCCTCCGGTAAATCTCAAGATCCAAAAGGAACAGCTTATCACTTGACGATTGATTCAAATGCTGCGAAGCATCCAACGACGACGGGTATCTCAGCGCACGATCGGGCGCATACCATCCGCTTATTGAGTGATCCTTTGACCTCTGAAGAAGACTTTACGAGGCCAGGTCATGTCGTCCCTCTGAGGTATACGACGGGAGGCGTGAGCAAGCGTAGAGGCCATACAGAGGCCACAGTGGGTGAGCCAGTCGCTTTCAAAGGCACAAAAGAGGGATCACTTACGCACTCTCTCTCTCTCAGACCTGTGCTACCTTGCTGGATTGGAACCTGCTGGAGTTTTATGCGAGTTGGTCAATCCAGACGATCCTGCTGGGTCCATGGCAAAACGGGACGATTGTTGGCGATTCGCCAGGAACTGGGGACTCAAATTGATCAGTATAGAAGACTTGTCGGAATACGTCAAGATGCATGGGGCAGGCAGAATACCAGGGGTGGATGGATCAAAGCGGGCGAACGGTGTATAGTGTCATGTTGCGGCTCTGCTAGCAATTTCATGAAGGGGGCAAGGGTATATATCACCTTATATGCATGGTCTGACGTGGCCGGCAATGGTCATTACTGGAGCAGGTGACCTCCCTATCGAACTACAACGTTACGTCGTCTCTGCCACATTGAAGTGCTGCGCTTTCGGGACTGCCCTTTGAGTCGATACTACGGCCATGCAAGGCACTGAAATTCTGACCAAGATACGCAGGCAAGTCACTCAAAGTCCAGATCTGGATGACTCTTCCTATCAGCTCAGGGATTGTTTCGATACTGTTTGTGTCATATATAAGGAGGAGGATCTTCAGAGGGTGAGGTCGAACTATGGATCGATTCAGAGGCTATGTATGAAGGAGATCTCAGGCAGCGTGCCCTGTCTTGGAGACTGAAGATGTCTTCTGCACTATTACATGAATTCATGCATTTTGTAGCTGCTTTGTGACTCTTGACTTCTGACGTACACGAAGCCTCCTTCAAATACCCAGGATTCTCCCCTACAGAATAATTGTCACCGGACCGTTGCTTGTCGTCCTACGCCAATGTCATGATGAGCAATGGGGTGACGTATTGGTTATCGTTGTCATATTTGACATTTTGAGTGTAGGTGAGGTAGATCTGATTCGAAGGGAGATTACCGCTCATCTCAGGGTGCGCCGCAAGACTGTAGGAGTAGTCTGGATCGATTTGATATTGATTCGATTGAGCACTCCACGGTCCTTCAGGTGAGCTAGCAGTGGCAGCTGCGATCAACATTTCCCCGTCGATGGTTCCGAGTTGACCGACGTAGACGTATCTTCCATAGTATGAAGAGTAGAAGAAAGTGCCCTGACCAAAGATGCCATCAATGTTGACATTGGCAGATGCATCATAGATGTTAGGTTGAACGGAAGACCAGGTGGAAGTTGAAGGGTAATAGTATTGATAGTCGTTGATGTTGGTGATTGAGCCAACGGGGACTCGAGCAAGACCGACCGTTTGATTGTTGTTGAAGACGCCAAAATCATAGGTCACTCCCCACAGGTACAGGTATCCATCATCAATGATACCTCCCATGGCTCCGTAATTCCATGCGAACCGAGGGAAGAACTCTTCGGCGATCATGGTCGCCGTTGGCAAAGCGAGAGGATCATCTCCGGGGGTGTAAGTGACCTCGTACAGGGTTGTGGCGGGTTGATTGTCCCCAGTGACACCACGAGTAGAGTACATGTAACCGGTGACAGTACCGTCAGAAGCGGTGTTGGTGATGTATAAAGGGGCATCCGGCCACTCGACATTCCTGACTGCTCCCGGTCCGTCACACTGACCAGATGAAGGGCATTGATCCGCAGCATAATAGAGGAATGGAGATGACTCGTTTTGTCCGTACAAGGTAAGTTGTTTCGAGAACGGCTGAGTGATAGGTTTATCACCTTGATCCGCGGGGATGGGAACCAACAAGGGGCTACCGTTGGACATGTCGGACCAACCGACGGTAGACGACACGGGCAAATCTTGGTAGTCGTTCAATGTCTCGTCCTCTAGAATCAAGGTATCTCGGCAGAGCCAGAGGACTCGATCATTGATGAGTTCAGATGCGCTGATACACGAGTCTCGCTGGAGATGTGGGTTGAGGGTGATCGCCACAGTCTCGACAGAGGCGATACTGGGAGAAGCGGCACTCCGTCGGTTCTCAGTCTTGGTGGGTGCCGCCAAGGTGAGCGCACTGGTGGCAAGCGCAACGAGGACTTGAGCGAGCATGGTAAAGGACTGTAGTGCTTTTGTGGTGTTTTGTCGAGGGAGTCAGCCTCTCCTGTCAGGCCGCACCTCTACTTTATATATCCATGGCCAGATTGGATAGGCGACAGACAACAGAATGGGCCTGTGCGCATAATTTCGTATATCAGCCTACGTCTCAGGACATTCCACAGGAAAGTCCGGTATTATTAGCTCGGCAGCCAGACAGAGTTAGCGATTGGCATTTGGAGAGATCCATCAGTCCCGCTGATACTCAAATGTCGAGGACCGAATGATCCGAATTTAGATCAACTAATGTAATACAATCGGCCCCGAGGGGGACCAGCGCTGCCCCGCACACACAGGTTACATACTGTATAAATCTGCCTCTTTTTAGAGAGGTATTTGGATCGAATTGTAATAAGATCTCGTACCTTTCGAAAACCTGAGAGCCTGCAGTCTGGACAGGAGGAGCAAGAAGACTGGTATACGGACCTGTCCGGCCTTCGGCGGCCTTCGGGGCCGCTCGAGGGCGTCCAGAAACTACGCCAGAGGCGCCGCCCTTCAAGCGGCAGTCTCACGAAAATGAGGCGCTTTATGGGTTTTGGTGGAGGGATGCGAAAAAGGGTGTTGTTCGAGGAATGCCAACTTGGGTGGGGTCGAGGAGCGTCCTGATCGCAGATTCATTTATGAAGAAAAAATGGACGCTAGCGGGTCCGCCGGAAGCGAATGGGGCATGGCTATGGCTCGAGTGAGTGCATGCACTCGTCCTTGGACCTGTGCGAGAGACGCCACGGTCGGCAAATTTGTGCGTTGAATGCTCTGCCTGAGAATGCCTGAACAAAAGGATTCTGGCAAGCAGATATCCTCTATCCGGATACAGCTCGTTTACAGCGTCAGGTCCGACACGGACAACTCTGCCCGTTATCGGAAATGGGCCAAACTCCTGTCACGGAGTACCTTGACGCCGCCTAACACATATGGCTGTGCTCAGCTCAATCGAGCGCCGTTCATTCAGAGCACCATTGTTGCTATTACTCACGTTGCATACATGTGCGATGCTATGTAGACGTCGAGTCAAACTACAAACACAAAACCACGGATGAAGAGGAATTGAACGAAACACGCCGACACGCCCACTTTCCCCCCTTTTACATGTTGGTGGTGACTGGTGATCTACCATCTTCGTACTTTTCGTTGAAGTGCTCGACCTGTTCCAACTGTTGCTTGTTGGAGTCCTGGAAGTGTGTACGAGCGACGATGGCATTCTCTTGACCATCGAACAAGGCGGCGATTTCTGCGAGGATAAAAATATCAGCTCTGGACCTAGACAGTAGCGATGTGGCCCTTGACTCACCTTCCAAGGACAATGGTCCGTTCTTGCCCTTTGTCTCGAGCATGAACATCCAGACGTAACCGAACTCAAAGACGAGCCAGACACAGTAGAAGATGTAGTACTTCCATCCGAGCTTCTCGAGAGCGATAGGGTTGACGTATTGGTTGAAGATGAGGGAAAGATCAATGGCAAAGGAGAAAATGATGAATCCCTTGGCTCGGATCAAGAATGGCAAGATTTCAACAGTGTAAGAGACCAGGAGACCGTTGAGAGCAGCGTTGTAGGACATGTAGTAGAGGAAGATGAAGGCGATGACGGCGTGACCTGCGGATTTGTTGGGGTGGATGGGGTCACCAGCGGCGTTGACATCCTTGGCAGACTCGGCGTAAAGAGCAGAGCAGATGGTCTGAAGAGTGAAGAAAACGATCATGCAACCAATGCCACCGAGACACAAGACTCGTCGACCGAGTTTGTCGATAAGCAATGCGAAAGTGATCGAGGTGATGTAGTTGAAGATTTGGAGCACACCATTGATCAAAGTCTGATCAAATGGATTGGTGATACCGACGGCTTTGAGGACCTTGCTGAGGTAGTAAGAGACGAGACCGTTACCTGACCACTGAGAGAAGAAGGCGAGACCGATGATGATTCGCATTCGCTTCAAGTTGCCCGGGTCCCTGAAGAGCGAGATCCAGGTGACAGACCTGGCCTGTTGTTCAAGCTCGATTGCGGCCTCGATTTCGTCAATTTCGAATTGGATCAGAGGGTCGGACATGTCTCCGCCGCAGTGGTATTGCCCGATGACTCGTCGAGCCTGGTCCTCCCTGCCTTTGCTGACGAGCCATCGAGGAGATTCGGGGATGAAGAAGATGAACAGCATCTGAATGATAGAGGGAAGACCTTGGAGGACAGAGGGGATTCGCCAAGACCAGTTGTTGGTCAATTGGAAGGTACCGAAAGTTGCCCAAGCAGCCACGATAGATCCAAGGTACCAGGTCGTGTTGTACAGTGAGGTGATGGGAGCTCGATGGACAGGGAAAGCGATCTCAGTGATGAGCAGCGGAGCAGCAGTGGCAGCAATACCCAAACCGAATCCGATCAAAGCACGAGCGCCGATGAACATGCCGATGTCCTGAGCGGCGGTCTGGATAGCTACTGCGATGATCATGATAGTGCAACCGATGAAGATTCCCATTCGACGACCGAATCGATCGGCGATTCCTCCAGCAATGGGGAGGGAGGCGAAACCTCCAATGGATTGAATGGCATTAAAGAGCTGGTTGGGACGAAAGGGTCAGTGGCGATTTCGATTTCTGGACTTCCACTGATACTCACACCGAGGAGACCACCTTGAGGGTTGTGGAAATAATCTTCCCAGTACGGCAACGATTGCAATCCGTTCATCATGGATCCATCGTATCCGTTTGTCATGGATGTGATGAGGATTAAGAACTGGCCGGAGGAAGAGTGTCAGTGGCGATTAATTGTCACCAGGCTCTTTCCACCACAAAGATGGACTCACACAGATCATCGTGAGCTTGAGCAGGTGACCACGGTACCATCTAGTGTCCCTTCCGGACATCATGACGGCCATGGCGTCCATCGTGTTACCGGCCTCCATTGTAGGCTATGTGGATGTTGGGGTGTAAGGCTGTAGCCGCCGAGAGGTTGTGATATGCTGGTGCTGATGATGGATGACCAGTTGACAGAGAAGGACGGTCGTATCCGAGGGGTAGAGAGAAAGAGAGCTTCTCGCGTGTCTTGTCTTATTATAATAAGAAGGTTCGGATTCGAGAGCTAGCTGAAGCGGACGTCGCAAGTTTTTTTTTTACCCTTCTTCTCCATTACATACTGTCTTTGTTGCTCCGGTCAACTGGGCGCTGCGGGGCTGCAGACTACTGTCAGGGGGGCGTCACGTCAGGTCAGGTCCAGGCGAAAGGCAAGGCGCAGCGGAACGTCGATGCGGGGGGGAAACCATTTCATGAGGAATACCCCGATCAACTGTACGTTGACTGACCAATTGCTCCATGCAGTAAAAGATTCACATGAGACCACCCCCGCCGTAGATTGATTTATTTTTAAAAAAAGCCTGGGGAGGGCGGGGAGGCAATCCAATGCTTCCGGTGAAAACTGCGGTATCCTCCGTAGATGAACAGGGCTGCTTTGCTGCTCCCCCCCAGCGGAGGATTAGGTCGGTGGAATAATGACTTGAATGGCGACGAAATGTATAGGGTTTCGAGAAGGAAAGAGGGGATCTGGACCCGGGAGGCGGACAAGGAAGGTAGGTCGTCATGTGGCAGATCTGTCCCTGTGGCGGGACTATGGTGCGGGATCAATGGGAAAAATCTCTTTTTGCCACTGTGACCCGGTAACCCGCAATCATTGACCCGCAGCGCAACGAACTCGCCGCACAATCAGTTTATCCGAGATCAAAGGGTTGTTGGGTGGTACCTGTCAAACAAAACATTCCTCCTTCCTGTATGAACGAGAGGTACAGGCAGTCAGTGCCTTTCTTTCCCCCATCGTTGATTCGTCAAATCACACGACGACGACGACGACGACGAAGACGGGCTCGAGTGTCGACGCCGGGCCACGAACACGCCACTCGGTGAATTCAACGGGCCTTTTCTTCATGATCATGGCTCCGTGAACGGTGTTATCGTGGATGAATATGTATCCGGAGACCCACATTCCCAAATCCCGGACTTGGATCGGTCGGTCGGTCGGTCGGTCGGCCTATCTCCTTGGCGGGGTACAAGTCCCCCCGTCGGCGAGTAACTGATCGACAGGTTCCATCTAGAGAGACCAAAAGAGAGGGCGGCGTAATCGAAATATGCACCGAAATGGACCTCAAAAGTAACCGATGATAACGAAGGATTGTCTCCGAGCTGTTGACAGGTGTGGACTGCTGATCTGAACAGGTTGAGACAAGTCCCCTTTGACAGTCGCGCGTCGAACACATCCTCGCCCGCTGAGACCGCTCACAGTATCTCGTTGCAATACGATGAATCGACTGAAGGATCCTCGAGCTCCGGGTGGTGCAATCCTTGGAATTCAATCCAAGTTTACGAGGACGCACGCGACACCTTGACCGCTGCCAATCGAGGTCCCTCATCAAGGCACTATCTATGACTCAGGCACAGTTAGACCGGATAATACATCACAACAACACACAATACACAGAGATGTGATGAATATGACTTCTGACCAAGAGCTAAGAATGGCAGATACACACCGTCTCCTCCACAAAGGGAATCACGCTGCCTCCTCATCCTCCTCACCAACTGCACGTAGTGACATCAGCACAGGTCTTTATGTCACACCATCACGCCATGCCCGCTCCACTCAAACTCACCAAAAGCCAGGGGCTCGCCATGCTTGTATCGTGCAGGACTAGGCTCCCTTCCAGGCGTCAGATCAAAAATGACTCCGGGCGGTTTCATCTCGTCATTGGCAATGCCAGCAGCAGTGACATCGGGCGGTGTGAGTCGATCAGGGTCATACGCTTGAAATCGAGAGGCGGCAGCATGAGGTGGAAGATCATGCTCATCGGCTTGACTCTCTCCTCCCTCGTGCCCATAGTCATATTCTCTCCTTGAAGGCGAATCACCGTATTCCAACGAAGATGCAGGCTCGAAATCGCTCGAAGCCGTCGATGCTCGACTATAGCCATCGACTATGCGGTGGATGGTATCGCGATCTCTAGGCCGAGTAGGAGAAGGAGACAAGATCTGAACGGGATTTTGGTCTGCTGAAGCTGTGGATACTCGCGGAGGCGTCAAGTCGCTTAGGTCATTTGATTTGGGAGGGACCACGGGCGGTCCATCTGCTTCGGCCGACTCGAGTGTCTCCATTAAGGGTGGTACAGGTTTTCGTTTCCAACTTGGGAACCTTGCCAGATCGGCTCCCTCCTCGGGCGTCATAGGGTCATGCTCGTGCGCGTCTGTCGAACCGGAGGTTTCGGGACTGTGCGAAGCATATAGAGCAGCTTGGTCTGATAGACCACCGTACCCTCGTCCAGCTCCATTCCGGTGATCTTCATCGCACGACGCGTCATCAAAGGATCGATGTGCCGCATATGGGTCAAAGTCGGCTGGTAATGCCTGAGGATGGGGCGAGTATTGTCTGGGTGGATGAGGAGAGACTGGTAGACCGCCAATTTGACTCGTCTTGAGGTGCTTGGCGATAGGAGGAGGAGCATCTTGACGATCCATCCGCCGGGCTCCATTCGCGATGAGAATGTCTGATTTGTCAGCAGGCCATCCCAAGAACAGTGCCTACCCATCCATTTATCATCGTCTGGATCTCTGACTCGCCCACTGACACCCTTTGACGGTTTGATCACCACCTCCTTGGCATCGTCAGGACTGCTGAGCCCACTTGCAGACTGAATCTCGAAATCGACCTCTTTCGCCCTCTGCCTCTCTGGGTCTCGCTTGTACTTGTCCCTCATGGCCTCATCCATCTTAGACGCCTTCAACGACCTATCCCGGTTCTTGATATTGCTGAAGAATGAAGCCTTGCCTTCGTTCACCTTGGCTTCTTCGACTGGATCGGAAGGTTTACCAGATGATCGAGTGCGACTTCGTGACATGTCTCGCTTGGTAGGAGACACCGATGCACCGGCTGGGGAGCGTGGAAGGACCGACTTGATATTGACATCGGGAGTAATGTGCCAGATGGCAGTATGAGGAGCTTCGGCCTTGGACGAGAGGGTGAGCTTCTTGGTCCGATCTCGATGGATCAACATTCGATCAAAGTCGGTGTTCTCCCATTGCGAGGCGGCGCGAGGTGAGCGCGATGTGGCGCCGGATCCACCTGTCCGCTTCTTCTTAGTTCCAAACAGGCCAAATGTCTTCTTCTGCTTAGGATCCGCAATGGCAACTTGGTAGTCCTGCGGGATTGCTCAGCTCTGCACACGAAGATTTCCCTGAGCTAACCGTCGGCACTCGCTCCTCGAATAAGAAGCACAATTCAGAACTCCTAGGATCTGCCAGGGGGTCCGCGCCATTGCAATCCTCGTTCCGCGAAGGCCGAGCCTTGTATTCGATCTGCAGACTCATCAGCAGCATTTCATTGCAATGTCGGGAGCTCTCACCAAGACCCAATTAGCCTCTTTAAACGTCAACTCTTCCCTATCTGCCCAACCTCCACCCATCATCCAATCGGCCCAGCAATCAAGAAACGCCTCTTCAAGGTACACTCTTCCCTTCCCATCGGCTCTCGAACCAGGATCTTGACTGACGCTTGCCCCGACTCTAGGTGTCGTATCGTAGTTGAAGGGCACGGCCTCCTTTTGGCTCTTTTGAAGACGCTTATGCAGCTCATCTCGCTCTTTTGGCCAGTCCGTGATGGATTCAGAGAGTGGGGCCGAGAAGGTGAGGGAGGCGTCAAGTAGTGGATCTGTCCGTTGGAAACCACCAGAATCCGAGGCAAATTCTGACCAGTCCATCGTTCGCCGTCTTTCTGAAATCCCCTTGAAAGTCATCAGTATCAAATACCACATCGAAAACTCGCTCGACTCACCTGCTTGGCACTTTCCGTCAGGTCGAATTGTAGTTTCGTTCGAAGCTCCTCCCTGCTTCTTAAAGGACTATCAAATCCTCCTTCTTCGAACATGCTCCATTCTTTCCCGGCCAAACTTGCCCAACGCGCTTCATCCTCACTTTCTCCCTCTGCTCGCCTCTCTCGACGATTCTGAGGAGGTGAAACACCAGGCTTCTGAGCCCGACCGTACGACATTTTCCTCGCGAGATCAGCAGAAGAAGTGCTCGTCGAAGCAGATAAGGGCAGCATCTCCTTGATTGCCATTCTGCGTCTCCAAGCGGAGGTAAATTTGGGTCGACCAGACTCCCCTCGACGACCGCGGAGAATGACTCTATCCCAGGCGTCCCATGAACCTACCACGTCCCCTGCCCAAGACTCGGTCTGAAGAACAAGATCTTTTGAATAAGATCTCACAGTCCGACTTGCTCGCTCGCAGCGGACTACGCGGGCACCTTTACGTGGATTGGCTCGAGCGAGATCGCCATCAGACGCAACCATCGAGGGATAACCCGCCACCCAGTCCTTCAATCTCGATGGCAGGTCCGTCAATCCTAGTCCGCCTTGCTTGGACGAGGATCGAACGTAGGCGAGAAGCAAATGCTCAGTCGCCGAGGCTGCCCGAACGAACATCGTATGCGCGGACATACAGGGAGATGAAGAGGGAATGTCGAACAGGAGGGGAGCGAATAATGAAGAGAGGGTATGAGGAGTAAGTCCAGAGATGTGCGAATAAGCGGCGAACTTGGACAAGAGAGAGAAGAGGGGAGTGAGGATTTGGTGAAAGACAGGTGCGGGGACAATGGCAGAAAGGTAAGGGAAGGCGTCCAGAGGGTAACTCGAGGCTAGAATCAAATCAGCTCAGCTCGGGCTCAGTAGGTCTCAGATGATTTACCCCTCTCTCGCCCCCTCCACTCTTCGTAGGCGTCCCAATCAAGCACTCCGTGACAAATTTCCCGCGATCCTTCCCTGATTCGAGTGATCCGACTGAGAGCCCATCTGAACAACCAAGCCAGCTCGTAATCCCTCGCAAACTGAAGATCCTGGGACCATGCATCGACTTTGCGAGAACTTGAGCTGCTGCGAGAGGGATATCAGCGCACAGCTCTCAGTACTGTCACTCACCTGATTGACTCTATGTAACCTTGTATCAAGGCTCGGGTCCGAGTGGGATTCAGGTCCAAAGCTTGATTTGAGAATAACATGGGAGTGGTGACGCCTGAGATGTCATCAAGCGGTCTCTATACGCCAAGAAGATGGCATTCTCGCTCACCTCGCCTACCCAGCTCTCGGCCCACATCATGTATAACCTTGCTGACATCCTCCAGACCCACCACAACCTTGGAGCCTACGCCACCTAAGAATCCATACGGTCGGATGCCAACGACATCTTCTGCAGAATAGAGGAAGGAGTCTAGCGAGACGGAATGTGACATGGATGAGACACGAGTAGGGAGGAAAGTGTATCTCTGATCCAGGAGAGCTTTAGGCGAAGCCGGCGGTGTGAGAGGGGCAGTAGTGGTGGATGGCAGCGTCCTGTCGTCGCAGGTCAGACATCACTAGCTATCGGTAGAAGTCCGAAGACTCACTTTGCCACCGCACCACCTGAACCCTGCATTGCCCCGAACTCGTCTGTCCCACTGCCTATACTGGAACGTTGAGCCTGATCGAACGACATGTATCCTTGTGCCGGGCCATTCCCAGATGATGTTGATGATGAGGACGGCGACTGGATGCCTAGCCCATGGATTCGCCCTCCTAGAGGCTTCAGCGGGGCCCGAGCAGAGTCTACTACCCCTTCAGTGCTGTGGGGAGTATCACGCCATTTCACTGGCATGGTTTGCGAATGATTGGATGAAGATGAAGACTTGTCTCTCCAAGGATGAGAGGCGGATCGACCGAACAGAGTCGGCATGATGATAGTGTTACAGTGGTGTTTCTGCTGTATGATTGTGTCTCCTGTATGATTTCAAGGAACGAATGCCCCGTCGTTTCCAGGCACACCTTGTCGCCGACTGAGGCAATGTTACGTGAGCGGAGGCGTGTACGGCTTGGAATGAAGGCCTCTGATGGTTTGAAACGGTGAAGTAGACCAAGATAAGGATATACTATTGTCTGTGTGAGTGAAACGTGACGACCGATGACGAGTTGTGACAAGTCGGTGGAGGACGAGAAGCGAGTGGTATTTCCGGCCAGAAGGAAACGAGGGTAGTGACGGGAGGAGGAGATGGGAGACGGTGCTGCGCAACAGCGATGCAGTCGGTGGTGTCCAGCTTGACCAGCAAGGCGGTCGGTGAGGTCTCGTGTACCAGTCGACGATATAGTGTCGCTCAAAGACAGCTAGCTATGTACCTCCTGAAGCTTGAGACGAGTGTCCGAGCGGACGAATGGGTTCCCTTTGGCCCCAGGCGACGATGTGAACCGACCTTGACGGAATTGGCCAGCACTTCTGATTTCGATGCGCTGTCCACAATCGTACGCTCTCGCCGCTGCTGCTGCTGCTACTCGTCGCCAACAACAACAATGACAACGAACAACAACAATAGACTCGAAGTTATCCGCGCTCTCACCTCCTTCCGACAAACGCACCCGACAACCCGGTTTCAAATTTTCCTGACGTTTCATCATGATACCGTACCACGTGGTGAGGGTGGGGTTGTGGCATTGGCCAAAATGGTGCGTGACAGTTGTTCTGGCGATGGCAAGGAGGCATGTATGGGCGGGGTGGATGGATTGAGTCAGCCAGAAGCTCTTAAAGATGCATTTAATCACGCGAGAATCCTAATTCCAGCATATACCAGAAAACAAACACACGACGACCTGCTCACACCTCAAGGGGAAAGACTCTAATCTCCAGCGTGGCGCCACTGTTACCATGGCTGAGTGTCATCTGCCCTGACGACCTTGCCTTCATCTCCATCCCTGTCGCCATGTACGACGGACGCGACGAGCTCGCCTCCCTTCTCGGGTTCGATGGCTCCCATCTGCTTCATTTTCTCCTTCCCGACGCCTCCTAGATCCGTAGCGAGCCATCCAGGACTGACGGTCAATACTTTGATCTTGTCATTTCCTAAGATCCTATAGAATTCCCTATACATCATATTGAGACCTGTCTTGGCCGATCGATATGCTGGAACTTGGAATATTTTCCCTTTCGGCCAGCCTGCATCGGGACTCTTGTTGACCATGAGTCCCTCGTTCTCCGTCTCGGCAACGGACGAGGTACCGGAAGTGATAAAAATCACGCGGGGGGATTCCGACTTGAACAGAAGAGGCATAAAGGCCTGGGTGACAAGCCAAGTCGAAGTGACGTTGACGTTCCAAGTCTTGTTCCACATGTCTCGTTCGGTCAACTGGTCTCCGACCAAAGCATCGAATTGTGCTCCTGCGTGACCGACATTCAGTCATGTCACCTCACCCCTCACACATCCTCTACCCCGTCCTTGACTCACCCGCATTGTTCACCAAGACATCGAGACGTCCTATATTCTTCTCAATCTGCTCGGCAACAGACGCAATCTCCTTATCATTCTCAATATCAAGCTGAATAGGTGAAGCGTCACTTTTGGAGTTAAAATATTCCTTTTTGACTTTTTCAATCGCCTCTTTGGCATTCGCGATAGATCTTCCACAGACGAGAACATGGTAAGGTTTGGAAGCGCGGAAGAGGGCTCGAACAGTCTCGAATCCGAGTCCTTTGTTCGCTCCGGTGATAAGAACGACTGGGAGGGATGACATGGTGGCTTCTCAGTCCTTCGGCGGAGAGTGAAGAAGAAGAACGAAGTCAGATCCTAGCCTATCGACACCAAGACTCATGAGCTATGTCTCTTCTTATGACGTTCTGCATCGTCAGGATCCATCCCTATTGCGTGAGTCTTCCGTTCATATAAACCTCTCGCCTCGCCCTTCAGCCATGCTTTGGAAATTCGGGTATGTAGTTTGACGTCACTCATGCCAATTTTACGCGAGCGGACTTTCTTTCTTTGTTTATTATAGTAGATCTGGTCGTGCTTTGCATTCGTTGGGGAGTCCTCTTGCCTGCTTGCCACTGTCAATCCAACCTGCCATCTTCATTCTGGGCTGCGAAGCGGCTCTGGGGATAGCTCGGGGATTCGCAAACCTTAGTAACCTGAGCGCTCCGAAAAAAGTTTGAATGGCATAAGCCGGGATCACCGAGAGTGACACAAAAACATCCGCGCCAAGGCATCCGTCGTGGCATCCCGAACCACCATGACCATCTCGCTCTTCATCCATACCGTCGAAGAGCTTCCTGTCCACAGCGACTGACTCTTCTCATCGGCTCGTGTCACTCTTCCGTCTGTCCCTAACGGGAGAAGGAACATTCCCATCCATCGTGGCAGAATCAACCCACTGGCGGACCACCCTAGCGCTTCGAGTGACATCAAGGCGAGTGTGCAAATCTGATTTGTCGCAATCGTTTGACATTCAGCCCATTCGAACGTGGGAACGTGGAGACTGAGATCTCATTTAGATAGACTATATCCCACTGTCTGAGGACATCAAGAAGTAAGCAATCTCTGGTACTCAAAGGTGAGATATGATGCACACAGGTCCAGGTCCAGCTCCGGAGCCTTCGTAATCGATACAGGATTAGTCTAAGGTGTGTTTACATCCCATCGAGGAGCAGGTGCCTTGATAGGGTAGCTGTTACGAGCAGGTTAGTGCTCAATCCTATATCAGACAGATGATGTACCCACCTGACGGTCTCACCGGCGCCTCGAGATTTTTCAACTTTGAAGTCGAATTGAAGTTCCCCACTTTCCAAGTAGTCGACAGATGCGTAGTTACGTCGCGGCTGACACAGCTGGAAAGACAGTCAACGATAGTGTGTCTCAGCTCTGACTCACCTTTCGCTTCATGACGCTTCCATCAGTATCCTTGTCAAAGAGTGGAATCATCTTCTCGTCCGTGCCTTTTGCTAGAATTTCATTAGCATACCGGGTGAATGCCACCCGGCCAATAGCTCACTATCTGTAGGCTCGGTCAGCACAGTTCAACGGCGCCTACTCATAACTCACGTAAAGTCCGATGCTTGTGTCCTCCTAGTATGGAGACCATCTTGGCCGCTCCAGGCGGTGGAGGCGTATTGACAATCGCACTCGTAATGACATTGAGCATATATCGATGGTCCTTCGCCGGTTCGAGCTTTTTTCTTCCGGCATGTTTGGAGAAGAGACATCCAACCGCTGCAAGATGAACATCACCAGATAAGAAAGTGATTCTCGCCCCCATCTCCAACGCCAGGTTCTGCGTCTCAAGGACGAGCCAATTGCGTTCCTTCTTGTGATAATTAGCGCACCAATGATCGTTCAGGTCGTCGAGGAGCTCCGAAGCTTGGTTGAATTTGTTGACCATGCCCCCCAAGCCCAAGGCGTTGTGTCGAGCTAGCACGTTGATGGGGTTATACTTGAGATCAAGGAAGTGCTCAAGGAAGGACATTCGGGGGTATGCTGACAGAGAGTGAGTTTCTGACCCGAAGGTTGGCAAGGTCATGGAGTATCTCACCGATAGGGACTCCAAGGAGGATGACAACTTGCTCCACACCAGCATACTTCTTGAGCTCGTTAAATGTCTTGTTGTACGTGTCCATCGTACAAATTTGTTTCTGCTTGCGCTCTGCACGACAATCCAGAGCCAGCATGACGACCTTCGGTCCAAGATACACCAGTAAAGAGTGCGATGGGAAAGGGATCCAAGCGCCAGGTTCTCCAATGATCATCGATTTGATAGGATGGGTTCCGGGGGTAGGGTTCGTCCCGTCAACCTCATCTGGGGCGTGTTAGGGAATTTCGTCTCAAGAGCAAGCTTACCATTGACGAAGAGCTGAAAGATCAGAAACCACTAGAGAGACGATGAGTAAAGCTGACCTCTGCGTTGAAGGGCTCACAAAGTATCCTCGACTGCCAACATATGACATGACGGGAGCAGCTTGAGTCTCATCATCATACGTGCCGAAGCCGTCTGAGGATTGTCAGCCTAAGACCTAATGAGCATGTAGCCTAGGCTCACCAATCAGGTCATGATCATCCAGCATATTGACCCTGGAAGCATGAGCGGCACGTCCCCAGGTCTTACAGAATCGGAGCTCACATCGGGATAGACGAGTTTGCTCGACCAAAAGCGTTGGACCGGAAGATCTTGCAATAGTGATTGAAGCTGGACACCGTCAGCTGTGGCTTCAGAAGTCAGGAGACTCCTCACTAGAACCGGTCAACAGCCGCTTTCTGGGGTTATCTATAAGCTGGGTTCACGCATCAGAAGCATCCAGCTCACGATTTCATCAGTGAGAGGGTGGGCCAGTTTTGATTTTCTGTCAGGCTCGTTGATCCAAGCTATAGCCATTCAGCAAAATGAAGAGGCTATTTTGCTAGACTCACGCTGAAGCTCTGGCTCTCGGATCAAAGCATCACAATAGATCTGATCACCTCCACCGACCATGCAGTGGAACGCCCTCTCGTGGTGTTTCAAGAGCAAATCTTCCCAGACTGGATCATATCCAGAATGATAGTCTCCTTTGAATTCGTCAGGGTTGACACCTGTTGAGAAGCCTGGGGATGAATCAGTGCTGTATATTGCTGGGATGCTATGGTGGACAATCACCCACCGTTACAGCTGTGCGCTGCCCAGTGCAGATTCTGACCGATATGAGGCAAGACAAAGTTGAGCTCTGCTCCCCCGTTCAACGTGTATTTCACAGTCATCTCGACCGATTGGAGTGGGATCTCGATGATGAATCGCCAAAAGCTGAATGAACCATTGTGTCCGGAAAAGGAGTGGAATTTTGTCGCTCGGAGGGTGACTGGTTCAAGGAGAGTCTGAGAAGAATCGTGCAACGTGGGCTTGATCTCGGAAGGGGAACTATATGGATGAAAGTTGAGATATAGCGACGGAGCCGGCTCGTATATGCTTCCTCTGGCCATACCATCAGTGAAACGGTCCTCCTGCAAGACTGAGAGGCAGCTCACTCGTCCGCCGTTACGACCATGGCGCCTCCTTGCCAGACATCTTTGATCGTCGTGTAGTAAGAGATAAGAGGTCCACACCTGTATATCTGTCAATCTTCAGCATCTTCACCTGCCACTCACATCAATTGCAGATGCGGTTCCATACCCTGCACGGCACTCCAATGCCTGGTAAGACCTGGCTTGTCCGACTCCGCACCATTTGGCGCTTTCAGGCCCTCCTCGACTACCCGAGTTGATCCAACTCCGGCCTCGACGTGATTCGTCCAACTCGATTGTGTCTCCTTGAATCGTTGTACTTCCTGAGCCGTAGGTCCGGGCGAAGTATGGGTTCCGCCCGCTTCTCCATTATGTTCCAAAGCACCTTGATCCATTCCACTGGGCTTGCCAGCATTCTCTTTCCCACCTTCTTCTTCCCTCGTACCCTTCGTACCTTCACCTTCCGGGACTTTATCATCGGGATCGCCGTTGATGGCAGAAGGGGCCGGACCGTTCATTGCTTCGAGCACTTTTCCATCCTGTAATGCGTCCGGTAAAACGTTCCCTGATAGAGAGCGTCGGGGGAGGTAGGTATGGAGATGTAGTGAAGGATGAGCGTAATACGACGCGTGAGCTGCTGCCGCGGCCTGACGAGACAGGTGTTCTGCTCGATGGTGAGTTCGCACGGATGTGTAGTCCCTGTGTGAAGTCAATCAGGAGCAACAAGTCAGCGCGACAGGACCTACATGCTGGCAGGGATCTAGTCTCGAGACCTATTGGGACCGATCAAAGAGAGTGAGGGAGAACGTCACGATCCGACGTATGGCAGACGCTGGGGATAGCGATGGCTGGCTGACCTTTGTCCAAGTGCTGCCGAGCGGTGGTGGTGAAGGGATAGGTGTATGGATGTCTGGCTTGGCGAGTATACTCTTATGATTTCGATCTGACTCGCCCTAGTCCCTCGCTCCGTGTATGCGCTACAGCTTACTGCTACAATACTCCGCCGATGTCCTAGGCGACGCTGCTCGTTGTCGTCCTTGTCGATGGTGCAGATGCGAAAAAGGTGCTGAACATTTATTGGGTTGAACGTCATTTAGTCTTGGCACATGTTGACAACGGAAGCAAAATACAGTAGTTTGAAGGATCCATACGTGCATTGAGGTCTACCAACGCACATGTATTTTTCTGTACCACCTGAGAGATCTCTCTCTCTGTACTCGAAAGTCGCTTTGTCCCATATGATGTATGACCTGAGCCAGCCACATGTGCAAAGACAGGGAGCCAATGAGAGACCCCACGTTCCTCTCTCTCTCTCTCACATGCAAGCTCCCGCATGGCATCCGTGTACTGTGAGTGAGGCACCCGTCTAGTGCATACATGTACTGATGTATCGAAGCACTCATGGGAGGGCGTGCTAGAGAGGCGGCGTATTGGGTGTTAAGAAGGTTCAGTATGAGTGACGGTCTCGGAGGGATATCAGAGGCCGGTATGATCTCGGAGCGAGAGCGTGGCATACTGAGTCTTCCCTGATACCCCTGGCGTGATTAGCTACTGAGCACCCTTAATAAGAATGCCACCCTTCTCAAGAGAAAGACACTGAATGGATAAGATGGCCGTTTCTAGAAGGACAATGACCGAGTCTTGCCCTTTACGGATGAACAATTGCCATGAATCACTTCGCGACCGATACAAGTACAGTACAGTATGTGCCAATGATCCATTCGTGTACATTCGGCCCGATCTCAGGTTCGATACCTTGAACAGACGTAGAAAAAGGCACTCCTCGCCCCTGCATACATTATAGCGTAAATTGCCTCACTCGATTATACGATACCGAGTGTGTCGCCAGCAAGATCCCAGTCTAGTACTTGTAGACGTATAGTTGAGCTTTGGGAGTACTGTCCACAACCCCCGTCACCAGATTCTTCCCGCAGTACGTGCTTCCTCCCTCGTTCTCCTCTACAAGAGTTCCATAACAACCGTTGGTTGCGTTGGTGCCCATGACTATGGATGACACAGAGGCTCCGTCTAAATCAACATGTACCTTTTGAGGTGTCCAGGAGATATTGCTTGCCAACCATGCTTGAGTCCAGGAAGAGCCGTTCGCGAAATTGAAAGTAACTTCAAGAGGTCCATCCATTTTATACCCAGCGTTTGATGTGGGACCAAGGTTGTCTGTTCTCTGGAAGACGGGGAACTCCATCTCAGTGACGTTCTTTGGATGATCAAAAGTCACGGTGATATTTTGCCAATTGCGGATCCGACAATCAGGCTGGTACTGCTTTGGAGGGCTGGGAGTTTCTGTAATGTTCGGAGCCAGAGGTAATTGAAAGCTCGCCTCGCATTCCAATGGCAGAAGTAGACCGTCTGAACTGTATTTGAAAGGATAGTAGTTCGCACTCGCAATTGCCTGGCTGTTGTCGGCGTGCCAGATAGAGGCATTGTAGACGAGATCCGTCGCGCTGGTTCGATACAGGAGATTGCCGGCGTAGAAGCCTGTCAATTGTCAGAGCGAGGCTCGCAAACATGACGGATAAACTCACTGCTACCGCCGACTGATGGCAGCTGCATTACGCCTTTGTTCTGCCCTCCACATCCGTCACCTGAGATGTATCCACCGTCTTCGTAGGGCCCAAAAGGACCATTCTTGGAGTACAGATAATAGATGTAGCCGTCGCAATTCTGACACGTCTTCCCGGCGATAATGTACCACATGTCGAAATCCTCATTGTAGAAGAACCCGATAGCTTCCAATGAAAGGCCCTGAGAGCCGCCGTCCGTGTTGTTGAGTAGCTGAGCAGCTGTGCGTACGAGTTGCACCGTAGAATTCGTTCCCACTGTCGATGTCAAATTTGGAGCCAATTCCTGGACCCAAATCGGCCAGACGGGCACCGCGAGCACACCGGTCGGTGTGAGATCAATGCCCTCAAAAATGTCCGATACGATGTAATGGGTCCCATTCGCATCTTGGGCGATATCAAAATCGTGGCTCAGATGTTCTCCTTGCAGGAGAGAGGGAGGATCAGCCCAGGGCCCCGCCGGAGATGGACCAGTAGTGACGTAGAACGAGGTAGCAGGCCCTCCCATGAACATGACATATTGTCCAGTGGCTGCTGAGTACCGAACAAGGGGTTTGGTCACATTGGCCGACTCTGGCTGGTAGAAGTTTTCTAGTGTCCAATTGGTCATATCGGGCGAAGAGAATGTCTTGACTCCGCAGTTTCCATCTTCCCCTATGAGAATCGTCAACACAGAGCTCTGAGACGAAGCTCGTCTACATGTACATACCGTAGTCACCAGGTGCTTGAGGGGTGACGATGGGATAAGACGAGTTCGGGGGAGGGGCAGCGTAGACCCACACTTTTCCACATCCCCAAGTCGCCGCATGAAGCCAGTATCGTCCTTCGTAGTAGCTCAGATGACCCTCAAACTGTTCCCGCCCATTACCATCAACCGTTATGGGATATAGCGGTTGACCGTACAGAAATGGCTGGGTCGGGTGGGGAGTCAGACCATCGTGTCCGTCGAGTAAATCTTCTCCGAAGTTGAGCCAAGTAGCATATTTCTGAGTCCCTGCGTCACTTCGAGGCACGCTAGCACATTTGACGACGAGCGATAAAGAGGCAACTGCGATTAATTTGTTCAGCATGGCGAGTGGATTGCAAGCCGATTCGACACCTGCAGGAGCTGGATGCAGCTATATTCATATAGGAGTCGAACCCCCATTTATAGATGAACTCTCCGTAACGGATACATAGGGATCTACCGGGTACTTGGCAGTCCAAATGACTCGTACCACGGAGTCGCTTCGATGCCTACCATCTATACAGTAGGATCCAATTGCCACAGCGGCTTCGGTTCGAGTCCGTATGCCGATCGGGGGTCTCCGCTATGTCTCCGACACGATTCTGAGGGGCAATAGCGGGGGGCCAAAGTCAGAATTGGACTCGTCGCTGTCAAAAGGCTTCTGCAGCGACTCCTGCGAAAGGTACGAGATGTTCTTAAACTGACCCGGTCGGCGTCTCCGAAGATTATCATTGGGGGATTCGCATCGACGCCGAAACAAAACGGTGCCATCGGATCAAAGACAAACACACCTCTGAGCAGATGATACCGTTTGTATCAGGCTTCTGGCCAACGCAAGCCTCCACTGTCGAAGCCTCCATTCTCACTCAGGGAGCAGAGGAAGAAGCGACGAAGGATGCGGATCCCCAACCCAGGCGCATTAGAACCGGTGAGGAGGCACCGAATTTCGTACGGTGGCTGACAAATTTTGCGTGTAGGATGCAAAAGTTGTCGTCGAAGACGGGTGAGTCAAACGGTGGCCTGATTGATCTTGATCACTTATGGCAGGTCAAATGTGGAGGAGGGCCAGGAGACTGTTTGAATTGTCGAAAGCGAAAGCTAGAGTGTGAATACGATGTTGTCACCGTGTCCAAACGTGCGACATCGTGCGCTGCTTGTCGGATTTCCAAGGCCAAATGTTCACGGGACCTTCCTGCATGTTCGAGATGCACCAAAAAGCTCGTGACTTGCACTTACGATAATGTCAAGCCGCTCGGCGACGAAGAAGTGGTCTACTCGGCTACTTCTACCAGAAGTCCATTATCAGTGTGAGCGGATCCGTTGTGGCCCGACTGATCCCCCGGCAAGTCCTGTCGCGTCTGAAAGCTGGTTATCCCAGTCGGTCATCGAGCAACACATCGAAGCGTTCTTCACCTTCTGTTACCCGAATCAGGTCAATGCGTTTTTGCGCCGACCGCAGGTGATTCGCGGGGCGAAAGACGGTTCCATCCAGCCCTTACTCGCAAAGGCGATCTGCATGATATCTGCCCGGTTCCTCGTCCCGCAGACGTCCCATCCGGAGGGAGGCGATCACGTCGCCAACTGGTCGACGGAGATCAGGATGCATATCCTGAATTCATTCAATCAATTTTCAACCACAACGTTGGCTATCGTATTACTCCTCATTCAGCATGAGTATAACAGCGGTATATACGGCAGCAGCTGGGTCATGGTGGCCCTAGCATCTCGCATAGCTTTTGGATTGAATCTTCGAGTCGAAAGCGGCTCATCTTGGGCGGAAGCGGAGTACAGACGTCGTCTCATGTGGGCCGTATTCTATTGGGACTCGTACGCGGGGGCCGGGTTGGCCGAATATATCACTTGTCCACTGGAGAAAATCAGCTTGCCTTTACCCAGCAACGATAGGAATTTCGGGCTGTCGATTCCAGTGTACTCACAATCCTTTGACCTCGATACGCATCGTCCACAGACCGGTTGTGATGGCATCCTCTCTCGCCTCGTATGGATCATGTCTATAAGGGCCCGAATCATCTCGTGAGTGCGCCTGTCGTTTCGGAGTTTGCTGAAGTTGCAGTTTCGTCAAAAACCCGCTCACAAGCCTTCGACCTTGGGAGGAAGGTTCGAGCTACCAAGCTGCTATCGAGGCTCTGGCACACTGGCTAGCTACTCTACCACCTGAATTAGCCCTGACTGCCGACAATATCCACGCGAGGGATACAACGAATCAACTCGGGGGGTTTATAGCTCTTCATCTTTGGCACGCACAGCTACACTGCGATTTGTATCGGTTGGCAATGCCAGATCTAGCAGAGTCTGCTCCGCCTTCTTACTTTGATGATGCGCCCCCATCATGGAAGACCGATGCACGAGCTCTCTGCTTTGTGTACGCTCAGCAAATAGGTCAAATACTATCCCTCGTGCGCGATGCAATCCCAACCTTTGTCCCGCATGACATGTTTTTCCCCATCTTTGTTTACGAATCTTGCCGGAATCAGATCCAGTATCTCAAATCGATCGGCGAGACAATACAGACTGATAATGGGACTCGCATCTTCGAAGAGATGATGTCAATGGTTCGAGCCATGATAGCAGTCTTCCCGACTGCGCGTAACCTTGTGAGAGCATTCATGACTCAAGCTTATGAGGGAATCGCTCATGATCCAGCTATTCGAAATCCATGGCTTATTCTTTCAGAGTGGTGTGGTCTTAAATTTCGCGTGGGAGGACTGCAGCCCAATGTGAGCGTAGAGATCCTCTGATTTGACATGGGGCTGAGCAGTGCAGTACGACGATTGGTCCTCACGCTCTACAGCATGGTACGATCCTCAGCCAGATGCACCCTTTGCGTTGGCATCAACCCGACTCATAGGAAATCCCTGGCCTGGGGCGTGGTCTGGCATGTGGCCAGCAAGCCGAATCGATACTCTGGAATGATCTTGTGATTGACTCAGATTAGAGCTGAACAAGCCAGACATCTATGGTTTGCACAGAATTGGCAGAGCTTGGAGGACGCGTGTTGGACTGCATTCGTGGGCCGAGACAAAGATAAGCTCTCAAGGCATTGAGCAATTCGCTCATCCAATGATAATTCACGCATGCATATGACCGAGGGTGCTGTTACACTACATCGTGACTCGAATTAAGTCGCTAGGGCTTGATTCTCAAAGATATCCGCGCACACTTTGACTAATGGACCCCGGGTACCGGGCTCCTCAGGGTTCATGTCGAATCGATCAGGCACCTGGAGTCCGTCCCGCTCGTATCTGATGAGCGCTTGAATCGATGCGCCGTCCCTGTAAAGAAACAGATCCCTAGTCGTTTGCTGCCACTTCTCTAGCGCCGTCCTCATTTCCTTCAACGTTTCAGCGTACTCAAGATTGTCGACCAGGTTGTCAACTTCCAATGGGTCTGCCTCGATGTCATACAGCTCTTCGGCACTGCGCCGTATGTAATTCTTGAACGGTCGCCGACCCAGCATGACAGGTGGCGGAAGATTCCGTATGCCTTCAAAGCTAAGACTCGCGTAAAGATCCGTGGCAAATGGGAAGTCGAGCTGCCACGCAATGTTTCGATGGTACTTGAATCGTCTGGTCCTCATGATCCTTGTAGGCCAATAGTTCTGAAACTCATGAAAGGTGTGAGAGCCAAATACTGCATCTTGCCAGTCAGGGCTAGGGACGACGGTATGATCGGATAGAATGGAAAGGAGGGAACGCCCTCGGCGAGGCGATGGGCTGGCTTTGAAGAGGTGAATCTCTGTATCCTGATCGCTCATCTTGGGGCGGATTTGTGCCCAATCGAGCATGGTGGGAAGCAAATCGGTGAAAGATACCATGTTGGGATTGACGATGCCTTTTGGCCCTCCGGGCCGTCTGATCAGGAGTGGAAGATCGATACCAGCCTCATATAGCGTAGTCTTTGAATTGATGAACGGAGGCCCATTGTCGCTTGTGATCATGACGAGTGTCGAGTCTGCCAGGCCAGAATCCGCCAAAGCCTGCAAGACCATTCCGACTCCTTGGTCAAATCGATGAATCGCCTTGTAGTACTCGACGAGCTCCTGCCTTGTTTCCGCACAGTCGGTGAGCCAGGGCGGCACCTCGACTTGGCTCTCTTTGACGTCCAATAATTCTACTCTCGGATCATACTTCCAGTCATTGGCAAATCCTCCGCGAGATTTGACATCCCGATGAGGATCGTGAAAAGCGACAGTCAGGTGAAATGCGTCGGAGCCTGCCTCTTGAAAGAATTCCTTCGCCTGATCGGCAATCCAGGCAACATCTCTGCTTTCGCTCTCGCGCATCCATTTCCAAGGATAAACGGCTGGTGGTCCGACGTGTACCTTCCCCAGAACACCAGTCAAGTAGCCGGCTTCATTGAAAAGTCGTGGCATCGATTCAACATGTTCGTAGGTTTGAAAATGACCGTGTGGGCCCCAAGCGAGTCCGTATTGTCCATTCTCGTGAGTGTGTAGTCCCGTAAAGATGGTGGAACGGGATCCAGAGCACGACGGAGTGCAAGCAAAAGCGTGAGTGAATCGCACGGCCTCATCAGTGAATTTGGTGAGGTTCGGAGTCGTCACGCTCTGACACCCATACGAGTTGATATACTTTCCGAGATCGTCTGCGATGATGAGGAGGACATTTTGAGGCATTATGGACAAGTGTCACAACGGGGTATGATGACTCTGATCCAAATTTGACTCTCGTATTGTACAATATGCAAATGTTGGACGGACGGACGGACGGAGATGGGATGGGATGGATGTTGGACAGAAACATGACCGGATCTCCTCCCGAATTGGACGCCGGCTATCGGAGTCGAAGCGAGTCCGCACCGGTGTCGGGCGTATCCATCACGGATTCGGAGCGAGCTCGAGTGATGGCCCCAGTGTCCTCCAATGCCCGCTGCCGGAGTCGAGACGAGAATCGGTGTTGTATTTGTCTGTGGAGGGGATGCGCTGATCCACTTTGGATGTATTTAAAAGTCACTCTTCGACTTGTTGAAATCTTGGCAGGTCTCGCCATCCATTCTTCTCCGCAAGGCGATCGCACTCGAATATGCCACAGTTCAGCAAACATCTGACTCCCTACTTGCTTTTCTGTGCGATAGTATTCTCTCAGGGAGCTATTTTGTTTGGGCTGTGAGTACGGGTGCATACTCTCTACTTCATCGCCGTCAAATGATAATTTGCGCTGACTTTGTCAGCGACACTGGTTCTTTCGGGTCTCTACAGGCTCTGCCTTCATTCTTGGCACGATTTGGAGTTCCTGCTGCTAAAGGCAAACATGTTCTGCCTGCTACCAGGAAATCATTGATGAACAGGTGCGTTTTCGAATCTGAGCGAGTTTTATCGGCCATGGAAAGGCAGCCTGTCTGTCCATTCTCAACTGATCTCTGTGCTTAGTCTGCCATGGATCGGTAAGATCTCTGGCTGCTTCCTCTCCGAGCCTATCATAGAACGCCTGGGATTCAAGCGCACCATGTACACGGTGGCCACGATTCAATGTGTAGCCTTGATCAGTCAGTGGAATGCTCGCTGGAGTGGATAACTCGTTTCAGGGCTGACCTATCTCTGCAGTCGAAATGTCTGCACATGTGTGGTCACAATTCACTATCGGCCGAATCCTGGCTTACTTGGCGGTTGGTATCGTTGAGAACGGTGAGTTGGAACAGAAAGATGTTGTACGATCGGTTCTGTTTGGCCGCTGAATCCAGTGTGCCAGCCACACCATCCTACAACTCTGAGATCGCTCCAGCGGAGATGCGAGGTATCATCGGTGGATCCATCATCGTCTTTTCGTCCCTCGGTAACCTGTGGGGAGCTGGCATGTCGCGTGCCTATGCAACTGGTCTTGAGGATAAGAATTGGATGATCCCTACAGCGATGCAATTCATTCCGGCAGTTTTGCTCGCCAGCTTGGTCCCCTTCACGGTCGAATCCCCCCGATGGCTCATATCTAAAGGCCGCCGAGAAGAAGCACAGAGGAATCTAGACAAATTGAGACGACCTGGGGAAGTTCAGGATGGTTCGACCGCTGCGGAGCTCGACATCATTGAGAATCTCGTGCAAGAGAGCAGAACGAACAAAGAAGGATCCTGGTTGGATTTATTCCGTGGCAATTACCTGCGAAGGACATGGATCGCCGCATCACTGTTCATCTTTGAGCAGACAAATGGCAATCAGTTCACTCAAAGTTACAGCGCCACATTCTATGTCCAAGAAGGATTAGGCTCCATGTCATTCACGTACTCAACATTGGGTCAAGTCGTTGGTCTCATCGGAGCCGCCGGAGGCATCTTCATCATGGACCTGTTAGGCCGGCGCACGGCATTTATCGGAGGAAGCGCTGTCACTGCCATGTTCCTCTTGCTCGCCGCTGGCTTGGGTCTAAAGGAGCACAAAAGCCAGTCTACAGCCAACTTCATCATTGCCTCCTTCATCATCGTCCCAGCCACAACCCGAATCTCTGCTAGTAATTGTGCATTCTTGACAGGTGCCGAAATCGGAGGATTGAAGATGAGAAAGAAAATCATGGCATTCGGCACTGCTTGCGATGTCTTAGCGGCGTGAGTCATGTGTCTTCGTCACCATCAGGCGCAGAGCAGAATTTGACTGGTGTTCACAGGTTTTTGGTCACATTTGTTACTCCCTACATCCTTCCAGCGCTTGGCGTAAATATTGGATGGATATTTGGCGGAGTCGCCATTCTCTGTGTCCCTTGGGGCTATCTGTTCTTCCCAGAACTCAAGGTGAGTCCGATCGATGCTTTGAACTCGATTCCCCACCAGAAATGGATGGTCGTTGATACTGGTGGTAGGGCCGTTCGCTGGAAGAAGTCGACGAGCTCTTCGAGGCTAATTTGCGTGCATGGCAATTCTCCAAGTATCAGACTACAGGAGAGGCGTCCACTCTGCGAGCGCTAGAGAATCAAGATCACTCGCCTGATACAAGCAAACGACCTGAAACGGCGGAATACCTGGAAGATTCAGGAGTGAGTGAAGCTCGTCGATCACCTAGTGTAACAGACGTTGACGAGTCGCAGAGTGTCAAAGTGTAGTTTTGAGTTGGTCTGGATTTTCCGTACAGCATGGAGACAGGGTTACACGCATCGCAGTGCATGTATGAGTACCATCATATACCTCCATTTCCAAGTATGGCCACATGGAGCAATTGTGTCATAAGACTTTGCAGAAGCAAGCTCAGGGCCAGATCTCAATTCGAAGGTTGTGAATCGTAAGAACAAATGTGGCATACAGTACCTCGTCCTCCGATAGTGATACAGGTGCATTTACAGCTCGCTCCGACGACGACGTTTACAGAACCTTCTCAATCTCCGGTTTGAGCTGTTCCGGTGTCACAGCAGACGGAAATCGACCGACGAGTTTGCCTTCACGGTCTACGAGGAATTTGGTAAAGTTCCTGTGGAGGGGCGAGCGAGAAGCATCAGCCATTCTTTCTGTTGGACCATGATTCATCGCTACTGAATCTACGCACCACTTGATGGGCCCGCTGGAACCGGTCTTGCCATCTATCGGTTGAGCTTTGAGCCAGGCGAAGACTTCGTTCATGCCTTTACCGTTGACTTCAGACTAAAAGAGAGCGAATAGGTCAGCCCGAATTCGCCAGCGGGGAAGCAGAGAAGATGAAGCCCGCTGGTAGATAGCCTAGCAGCGCAAAAGTCACCGCGTGACCACTCACTTTGGCCATCAGAGGGAAGGTGACACCGTGATTCTTCTACATGACTCGTCAGCGAATGAAAATAAACAGGACAGGACACTCGGAATGACTCACCAGGCAGACCTGCGCTCCCTCTTCATCGCTCTCTGGTGACTGTCCCGCGAACTCATTGCTAGGAAATCCAAGGACTTGAAGTCCACGATCACCATAGATTTTGTTGAGCTCTTCAAGGCCGGTGAACTGTGGTACGAGGGTCAGAATGGTGAATCGATTGCAAACTGGAGTGAGGAAGAAAAGAGCATCGGGCGAGTATGATTGGTCAAGACTATGAGGTCGGGAATGCGGAGTTCCGATTTCCGCTGTCTCACTCAATCACACTCATCACAGAAGGGAATCCTTCGGAACGGGGAGACAGGCCATGTAGCTAGAGAAAGATCGTATGGAGGGAGCGAGAAAGGTCGTGAGACTCACTTGAACTGTATATCCGCTGACGACAGATATCAGCACGCACCCAAAGTATACCAGCGACCGGATCCTCGGATGAAAATCCTCCACAACCGGTGACTCACCACCTAGTAGCGGTATTGACGATCAGAACAGGTTTTCCTTTGAGCTCGTTCTAGCAAGGGATTGTAGCGTCAGCGACCGCACTACACTCTATAATCTCGTAGCTGAGACGTCCAGTTGCTTCGCATTCATGCCTGTTGGTTGGTTTGGTCCACTCACAAAGCTATATTCTTTACCTTTTGGTAGAGGTGCTACGAGGTCATAGAACGATTTGCTGCCCGCGTTTTTCGGTAATGATTCAGGCAAGAACCCCGAGACTGTACTGAGGAGACCCATGGTGCGGCGGGGGATGAAAGAAGCTCGGAGGGGTATGTTTGGAGCGGTTTGGTGCGGAGATACAGGCAACGACTAGTGATGACAAAGGTCAGTGTCGCTGGCCGGTTGGCTTATTATATATCTATACTCACTCTCTCACTGCTTGGCCACAATGGCCGCCGTCGCTGCCTATGTATGCCAACGCCCAAGGTTTTTTTTTCTCTTATGGTAACTCTTTTTTTTTCTCTTTTCAATCCCCGGTAACTCTGTGCAACTTCTGTACCCGTCAATCATCATGACAATAATGTCATCGCATCGAGGCCGAACACCGGGACATAGGGGGGTAAGGGGGGAACTCGATCGAACTCGATCGTACGAGGCAGAAGCAGAGCGAGTGGAGAGAAGTGGGAAAAAAGGAACGCCACCCGGCGAACGAGAAAGGGGCAAGCAATAACCATAATGACATACACTCTCTTATCTAATATCTAATCTTTAGAGCGTTGTCTTGTCTCCGTCGATACTGGAAGGATCTAGTCGAACTTGATCTTGGTAGGTGCAGGTGCATCCGAAATATTTTTGTAAAATGCACCGTATGATCCGTGCTCTGTGGTGCCGATAGCCTTAGCCCAGGTCAACATTGCCTCGGCCGACTCACCCTTCTTCTTGATGGTCGTTGGGAATCGATTCATCTCTTGAGGGATCTGGAATTGAGGCGTCGTCAATCATCGCGGAACACTGGTGATTCATGCTCGACGCACCTCTGCTCCTGCGTCTCTCAGCACCCGCATCAACTCTCCAGCTAGTGCCTTCTCATGCCCTTCGCCAGTGAAAAACGTCACAGCTCGTCCAGATTTACCAGCACGACCTGTTCGACCACACCGATGGACAAAGTCCTCTACGGCACACGGGTCAACACACGAGCCTCCGCCCAAAAATCAGCTTTAAAACTCACCCGTCGTCAATGGGAAAGTGACATTGAGCACCAATCCGACATCAGGGATATCCAACCCTCTCGCCGCTACGTCTGTAGCCACCAAGACATTCACTTGACCCGATTTGAATTTGTCAAGCGCTTTAAACCTTGCATCCTGGCTCAAATCACCATGTAGCCCGGCGATGGTATACCCCGCACGACCGATAGTGTATTCGAGACGCTGAGCTTCTTTCTTGTAAAGAGCAAAGACGAGAATGCGTGTGGGAGAAGCAGCAGAGGAAGGATGGGCTTTGAGATGCGCTTTGAGGTGATGGAGCATTCGAGCGCTGTGCAACTCCCGTCAGAGCGATCTTTCAATCATCGCGTCGCTAAGATCTTGACTCACTCTTTCTGCCTGTTGTCATCGAGCACCTCGACTATCTGCTCTATGCGCTTGTTGGCACTGAGCTCATCACTTCCAACAGTGACTCGAATGGGATCTCGCAAGAAGGAACTGGCGAGTCGACGGACAGATTCGGGCCACGTAGCGGAAACTGACATGAGTCAATACATGCCAAATCGAGATCCCGATCAAGATCAACTCACACATGACTGTCTGTCTCGACTCGCTGCCCGGGCAATGGGCGATGATTCTCCTGATGTCATTTTCGAATCCTTGGTCGAGCATACGATCAGCCTCATCAAGGACGAGGTAATTGACGCTAGAAACAGATCAGCGAGCGAGCGATATCGAGGATGAAACAATCCGATACCCACTTGGATAAATCCAGATCCCCAGCATCCGCCAGGTCCAGTGTTCTTCCTGGCGTTCCGACTACCACTCTGACATTTGGGTCACGCAAATCCTTGTATTGCCCATCCTTGCCTACTCCACCGAAGATACACGTGCTCTTGATATTGACTTTGGCGCCAGCCTCGAGGAAAGTCTCGTGGGATTGTTGAGCAAGTTCACGAGTTGGCGCAAGGACAAGTACTTGAATCTTGCCTCCTTCTCCTGATCCACTGATTTTCCCTTTACCTTTGCCTTTGGCGGAAGCAGTGGACGTTCCTGATGATCCCGATGAAGATGAAGAGGAGGCGAGACGATGGAGCGCAGGTATGGCGAATGATAATGTCTTCCCACTGCCCGTCTCGGCGATCCCCACGACGTCTCTTCCATCGAGCAAAGCTGACCAAGTACAAGCTTGAATAGGCGTCGGACGCTCAAATTTGCTCAAGAAATTGAGAAGCGAGGAGTTGATCGGGAGCGAAGGGATCGAGAGTGCAGGAGGGTAAAGAGGTGGAAGCAGAGTGATAGAGTTCTCGGAGAGGTACTTTTTATCTTGAGCCGTGAGAGGAGATGGGCCAGTAGATGATGAGGGGCCAGGGCCGGCGGTTTTCTTGTCTCCCTTGCCGCCCGTAACATCTTTGCCATCTTGGCTATGCTTGTCCAGCTTTTCCTTCTTCATCTTCTTCTTGGAGGGCTCCGTCACAGCCGCAGCGCCCGCACCATTGACAGCACTGCCCTCGTTCGCCTCCGCCTCCGCCTCCACCTTCACATCTCCCCGTTCCTCCTCCTCCTCCTCCCTCGCTCTCTTCGCCTTTTTCTCGGCTTTTCGAGCCTTGCGTTGCTCCTTTAACCGTTTCTTCTCCTCTTTAGCTAGACGAGATGTCTCGATATCCTCCCCCTCGGCGGCCGCAGCTTCCTGGGTGGTGGCAGTATCGACCATCTGCACATCTCCTTCTGCATCCTTCTTCTTCTTCTTGTTGTTGTTCTTTTGGTCTTTCTTCTCCTTCTTAGACTTCTTCTCGCTGACTGTTACCTCATCAGCTGGATCCGCCTGCGTTGAGGGAACTGCGGCTGAGCCAGTCTCGGCGGCTGCTTTGGCCAGCTTCGCAGCTCTTTTAGCTTCCTTCTTCGCTGCCTTCTTATCGTCTTGCACGATCGACATGATGTTTCGAAGTGAAAGGTGTTCGTTGTATTGACGAGCCAAGCTTCACCAAAACTTTTTCAGCCGGACTCTTTGAACTTTTTTTTTTTTTGGGAGAATGATTTTCGCGGCGATCGCCGAAGAATTTTGATGGTCAGCGAGCAAAAAAGATGCATTTTTGGGTGGTTTTTAGCTGAGTCAAAGGTGTATAAATCTATCAATCGCTGACAGCGTGCGGGATCGAGTGAGACAGCGCGACAGACGTCGAAACGTAGGAGCCTGCTGTTCAAATTCTCACTCTCCCCCTTCACCCCGACCGACTCGATGCGCGCCGCCTTGCGCTTACTCCTTTGTGGACCTGGTCGCACGCTTCTTGACTGTCGTCTCATCATCTGACTTCTCAGCAATGGCGGAAGCGGTGGCAGTGGCTTTCTCTTTGAGTTCAGTGGCCTTCTCCTTGGCCTCGTTGGTCTTCTCCACGACCTTGGCTTTGGCCTGTTTGACCTGCTTGGTGTGAGCTGATAGCCTTACTCAGTGAAAAAAAGAACCACTCACAACTGTTGGCTTGGAGCCGATGAAACCGAACAATCCGAGCAGCATGCCAATAGCGGTGAAGGCAACAGCAGCGAGACCAGCAGCGACATCAGGCATTGTCTTGATGGCGTGCATGTAGTCGGATTGAGCAAGATCTACTAGATTGAGCTCTACAACACTCGAAGAGTATCGATACTCACGGAGGAATTCGTACACTCTCAGACGGATCTTGTCCACGAGTCCTGATGGCTCCTCGTCCTCATCAACGGATCCTTCAGCAGCCTGCTCGATAGGCTTCTTGACGTGGTAGGTTGTCTTGGCAAACTCCTTGGCGTCCTCCTCGCTGTGTCCGACGTAAATGTTGTCAACTGCGAGGGAGTTAGAGCATGTTGCGGGCGGTTCGACATTATGTATGCTCACAGAGAATGTCCTCAGTCATGGTCCACAGCTCGATACCAATACCAGCAATCTTTGTAAAGTCAGATGGCGAGTTGTCCTCGAAGAATGATGGGTTGGCGATTTGTTTAGGAGCCCAGACACCCTTGTACTCGGGGTTAGGAATTCGAGGCGCGGTCCATTTGCCCTAATACACGAGTCAGCGCAAAACTCGTTGCCCACATGAGAAACTCACCTTGTATTCGGGATTCCTGATCTTGGGGGCAGACCACGGTCCGCAACCAGAAACTTCGTCGCATTTGGGGTTGGAGACTAGGGGGGCGAGCCAATCACCATCCTCCTCGTCCTGGGTGGTGTCAGTTGTTGGCGGATATATCCAAGACGCGACTCACATCCCACTCCTCGGGCTTTTCGGCGTCTGGGTCAGGGACCATGTCGGGCTCGTTCTCCAACCAGTCAGATGGCATGGTTGCCGCGGCGTCGGTGATCATCAATGGGGCCTCCTCATCCCAGTCGTCGGGCTGTAGGAGGGGTCAACTACGATTGACCAGTGAAAGACGCCCATCTCACCTTGGTGGCGTCAGGGTCCTCAATCTCGGCAATGTCGACCCAGTCTGAGGGCTTAGAATCGGTGGGGTCGTCTATATAGGGTCAGCTAAGCCATACGCCAAAATTTAGCAGCTAACCGATCTCCTTGGCGGGGTTGACGGCGGGAGTGAAGTCCTCCAATAAGCTACCTTCACGGGCAACTTCGTCATTAATAAGGATCTTGAAAGTCTGGTCAGGGCTACGCAGTGTCAGCGCTGGTATCAAATCTATGGTCAAATCCGCTCACTTGACAATCAATGTGTACAAAGCGGTCGTCTTGGTGATCTTGGGGGCTGGTGGTCTCTCCAAGTGTTTCTCCTCCCATTCGCCAGTGACTGGGTTTTGGTGACGGAAGATAAAGTGAACCTTGTTAGTCGCCCCGCACTTGTCTGGGCCGAACATGATGGTGAATGGGGTCTGCGGTGTATCAGCCTCTGTCTCGGGACTGTCCATGGCAACTACTCACCGCATCGGTGTACTCCTCGCCTGCACGAAGACCTTGTCCCTGTTCATCCGTGAGGAGCTTGATGTACGCTCCACCACACTCTAGACCCTTTTGCAATTTGACTTCGTATTGGACGACCAAGGGCTTTCCCTTGGGGTCAAGAGGTTCAGGGAACAATGTGGAGATGGCATGGTGAGCAGCTTTGGATTCTGAGAAGAGGAAGAAGCAGATCGCTTCAGTATGACAGATACGGGCAAGAGGGTATGAGCCAACTCACTCAGAACCAGACCCAAATCTCCTCGGATACCCGGATAGACCTCTGGCTCCTCTACTGCCCAAGTACCAACATAGGACATGATCTCATCTCCGACTGGTGTTTGCTTGGTAGCTTTGGATACTGTCCATCGAGATTGAGGAATGTCGCTGGTGAATTGCTCGATGAAGGGAGCTTTGATGTTGGTGGCCTAAGAACCGCGCCAGGGTGTAGAGCGAGGTGATCGTTGATGCGAGGATGAGTGGAGGAATCAAGAGGGTGGGAGAGTTATGTGAAGATACGAGAGGGTATAGAAGCGGGCACAGATAGGATGGATCGAAAGGGACAAAGGGTGATGAACAGGCATGGTCAGCTCGGTGTTACGACAGGATCGGTCAGGCCGTGAGCAGAGAAGCACGTAGAAAGAGCCAAGTGCTGAATGGATGCCCGATGGCCACCATTTACCCTCCCATCCAAGGGCCCGGGGCCTCTATTACGCGCTCCACTCACCTGAAAGACTGCCTGTTCAGCAGCAGCCGAAGCAGCGAGCATCAGAGCTCCAGTGCCGGCCATCGTGACCATATTGTGGGCTCTCATATTGTCAGATGAATCGTTTTCGTTTGTGCTATCTATATGTCGCTGAGGATGATTCCCTTCCTTGTGACCTCGAATGTGCACCTCCAGAAACACGAACTCCAAAAGATGTCGAAAGTCACCAGGGGATCTAAAGGAAAGTTCCACCGTGGCAACGTGGAACTGAAGTCACGTGGCAGCTTTTAGAGGAGGGATCAGATAAGGCTTATGAGGAGGGATTTGATTCCGTTTTTGCCATGCGGGGTGACGGAATAAGCGTCATTTCCCAATCTCATTTCATTTCATCCACTCGACCGCCATCCCATGGGGCAAGTTTAGCCAGCCAGCCAGCCATACATACAGGACGAACCTCTTCTGAATCGATCTTGCCTCCTGCTCAAGTGTCTCTGCCCCCCCCTCCCCCCCTCTCATCGCATCTTGTTGCTCTCACGCAATGGACGCCGATAAACCATCATACGCTTCTACCCACTCACACCCGACTCACATTGACATTCCAGCTCCTGAACCTACGGCCTTGGCCCCAGAAGACGATGCTGAGAATCTGTCGCCCTTTCCTGGTCCTTCAGGGACCAGACCACCTCCCGCGAGAGGCATTCTGAAGAACGGTTTCAGGAGACCGTCTGCTGTACTGGAGGATATGAGCCCTGCAACGGATGCTCAGCGGAATGCGGAGCAGTGAGTGGCGCGGCGGATCCTCATCGACCGACCGACCGAGCGACCGTGCGAGCGACGCGAGAGGAGTAGGGAGGGCGTGTCATACAGTCATAAAGTCAAGCGATATCGCTCGCTGTCTATTCAAAGATCACGTCCTCTCGTCCTATCGTTCTATCGTCCACTCAACTGGGTCCAGATGATAATGCTTGCTACGATCTGTCTCTCAGCGTCCCCCGACTCGCTTGCATTGGAGTGCCGCCCCAGGCCTCTGACTGCTCGACGTTCCTTCGCACCAAAGCTGACACCTCTCGCAGTCTCAAATGGGACGAGCAGAATATTCAAGAAACGGAAGTTCAGAAAGACTCGTTGATGTAAGTGATGCCAGACCTTGGTCCGAGTACTCTTACGCTAATCAGCGCTTCTCAGGAAGATCACCGAGCCAAAGACACCGTACGTCCGATACGATGCAGAGAACGATCTCGTCTTGGGTGGTGAGTTTCTCTTCGTCGGATCTACCTCTCGTTCTGCATCTCTGATTGACTCTCCCATTTTTTTCTCTCGTCACCACCAGACGTTCCTGCATTTGATCTTTCTCAAGATGGCCCTCAATCACCTCAATCGTCCACTCACTCCAACAATCTCACCCCTGCATCTCCCTCTACGGCCCGTAACACCGATGTCAATGCCCGTCGGTCATCCTCTTCCACTTCCTCTTCACGTTCCGCTTCATTCTCCCTCCCTACGAAAGATCATCCTGTCCGACCTGGCGGAGGAAGAAGTCCTTCGCCTCATGGCTCCATTGCCTCGTTAAGATCCAACAGCTCGAGCGGACATCAACCGAATGGCGCCGGTGGTGATGCGTCGACTGGGGCTCATTCTCAGTCGAGTAGCGGAGGAGGAGGAGTAGGCGGAGGCGGAGGCGGGTTAAACGCCCTTGGGATCGGGGGTGTACCTGAGCCCATTGCGATGGGAGCGACTCAGATGAATACCGCTGCGAATGCCGGAGAAGTCTTTTCAGACTCTGATGAAGACATGGACGAAGAGACGAGAGCGAGACACAAGGAATTTGAACGAAAACGTGGGGCTCATTATTCCAAAGAAGCGGCATTCGCGATGCGCAAAGCAAAGGAATTGTTAGCAAAGGAAGATGATGAGGAGGAAGAGGAAGACGCTGAGGGCGAAGCCCAAGGCGGCGAAACAGCTCGAGAAGCGGAAGAAGCGGATGACGATGAAGATATGGAGGAAGTCGGTCGAGAGGAGAACAGAGCAGCAGCAGCAGCAGGAGCAGGTGGCGGACCTTCGCTGGCTAATGGTGATGCCCATCGAGGTCCCAATGGCGATACGGGGGCGTGAATGTGAGGTTTGGCCTCGAGGACGAGCGAAACAGCGGTTCTTCACTGTCCGCTGGGTGACAACCCTTGTCCTTGCCCTGCTTTTCTCTGCTCTAGCTTTGATATAAACAGTTCCGCTATAGCTTCAGGATCGTTTTCAGCCTTCGCATGTTGTGTATTCCTTGTGTTTGTTCCCAAAAGTGACGAAAAAGACCAACCAGAAATGTATGGAGATGAATGAAAATGATTTGAGAGACATGAATGAGGTTGGGATGAATGCATCAGGTGCGCTCTTCTCCCTCGAGCGAGCGAGAGACTACCCTATCGCCCTTCGTCGTCCTCGTCTCCTAACGCGAATACCGTCTGTCCACCATGACTCGAGGTCGGGCTATCTGTCTCTACGGATCTATGACCTGCTCGGGTACTCTTGCCTTTGCCCTTTCGACTGGATCCGCCTCCACTTCCCGAAGTACTGTGCCCACCGTTCCGCCTCGGTGTCCTTCTCTTTCTCTCGCCGCCGGGAGAATCTGTATATTCGTACCCTTCTGCCCTTTCTATATCTTCCAATTCGACTCGTTCGCCTGACCCTAATGGGATTCTCTCGTCGTAATCATCTCCATCTCCATTCATATCGTCTTTCGAGAGACTCATCATGCCTCGACGTCGAAGTTGACCTTTACGACGGAAGTAGAAATAAATAGCGACGATCGATAAGAGGATCAGTAAGATGAGTATGGCGGATCCGGCATTGTACCAAGCTACGCGCAACAAGGCGAAGAAGAAGGGTCAGCATGTTGGGTATTCTTAACTATTGTCATAGCCGCAAGTGCAAAAAACTCACCCTCCCACTCCGAATCACCACCTTTGAGTAATGGAATCCCAGCGGCGGCGGTACTCATCGTCCCAATGGCAAGACGATTCTTCGTCCCGATTTTTGAGCTGGATGAAGCCAGCATGCCAGGAAGCAGACTAAAATCAACCTTCATGAATCGCGTGATCATGTCATTCGTTACGTGGGGTTTATCGAATCCAACCATATGGGAGGAGTCGAGGATCTATAGTCAAGGCTGTCAGCAAGACATCTCATCACGACTTCCGGTTTGAATCACCTTGGCGTAAGTGAGATTTCTTGTGTTGACCCATTGTCCAACTTTCGTCCCGTTCATTGACCAGTCCATAAAGGTAGAGTTCTGCAAATTATGTCAGACCCCAGGCGCAAGCAACCTTGCACTACACTTGACTCACGCCCCATCCATCGACGCCCTTCCATCGCATATTCTGGATCATCTCTTCTTGGCCTTTATAATTGCAGATCAGATCGTCCGCCCCCGCAAATATCAGAACTTCTACGCCGGCCTCTAGAATCGTAGGAAGATACACGACAGACGCAGTCGATGTGCGCAACCGCAATTCGGCGCCGACTCGACCACTACACTCCGTCCAAGCTGTATCCTTCTTTTCAGCGTGAAGGCTGCGAATGACTTCGGGGCTCTAACAGGGCCAGTGATCAGCAACCTTTCATTGGAGAAAAATCAAGGACCACACGTCAATCGCTACTCACACGCAAGAACGAATACACCTCTGTCAGATCAGGTGGCCAATTCATACCGCAAGCAGGATATTCGTCCTGTAACCGGACATCGTAAATGTTCATACACATCCGCTTGCCATTGAGCCTGGGGCGACGTGTCAGTCAAAGAAGCATGCCAGGAACAGCGGTCCACTGAAACGTAAACACATCACTCACTCCTGAGTGAAGGGCTCAGTCACAGCATCCATGACCGACTGACAAACGCCAATGTTGATGGGGGTGTTCATCGGATCAGTGTATCTTTCCATTTCCTCCATGCAACGCGACAGGCGCTCTTCGAGCTTTTCAGCGTCCTACGGGGAACAATCAATTTTGACTATACGATCACATGGTCGAGGCGTGTTGCTCACCTTGGATCCCTCTTTCAGGAGCCCCTTTTCATAAGCGAAATGGGCGTAAGCTGGATATTGTCGTATTGGGTCTATCCATCCGTTCCCAATGGCTATGCCTTTCATGTTGAAGCCCTGTGGAGGGTTCTTGATGAGCGCGTCGGCTATGAGCGTCGTCAGCGGGGCAATACTCAACGAGCATAGCGTTTGTTCGTGCGGAATGAGCCCCGCACTTGCATGGCTGGTCGAGGAAACGGCGCCAGGGCGAGGGAGGGCGAAGCTGCTTGAGACTTACCAAAGTACGGGATGTATTGGCCAGCGAATGACTCTCCGCAGAGATACGTCTGCGGAGTTGGTCTGTCAACGGCATGCGCGCATGCTGCGGTATCAAAAGCGAAGCGGAAAAGCTTACATCTAGTCCTTTGAGCTCTGGGAAGACTTTATACAGGTTTTTGAGAAACGTTATGAGGTGTTGAGAACCCTACGAGGTAGAAGCGTGGTCAATTTCTTCTGCACGGATGGAATGTTACGCGTTTGAAGAAGAGTAAAAATTCACTTGGTCCAGCTCGTGCAGATATCCATTGGTCGGAACGTATGAGAAGCCCGTACCGGGCGGTTGGTCGACTGGTAAATGAGTCAAAGTCAGCCCGTGGGCTCAGAGACTGAGAGAGACGAAGTGTCTCGCTGTGCTTGCCATCGTAAGGTAAGTGCACGGCGACTCACTAAACACAACCGTTGCGAATTCCTCCCATCCTCCTTCCACAAGTTTTAACTCGACTTTCCCCGAAGTTGTCTGATCGGCAGGTACCGTCCTGAATGGACCTATCTCCATCAAAGCGCCATCGAAAGATGAGCATCCCGGTCCACCCTGAAGCCGTGGCATATTTTATCAATATGGCCCACACCTTCGATAGACAGGTAAATAACGCCTCACATTGAACCACAAGACCAGACGTTGTCTACCGGCTGATCGTCTCGCTTTAACCATCAAGAAGCTTTTGAACCCTATCAGCAAGTCCTTCCGTATATTTGGGAAACAGCGGCTCACTATAGCTCTGCATCGCGTCCTGTACTCCCCTCTCCTCCTCCACCTGCTTCACCAGGATCGGACGGTAATAAACCGGCATAGAGGTTGACGGGGTGTCTAAGAAGGAGGGGCGAGGCGTCAGCGCACATCCAGGCGGTTTGGAACTTGAGATGTGAAGCGGATTGAGGGCCGAGAGCAGCGTTACATAGCGCTGAAGCAGCTCATTGATATGAGGCCCATCCCGAGCTCTGACACCTGTTCGAGGCGCGGTAGAGCTTTCGAAGTGCACGCCAAGAAGGCGAAGGAGGCTGCTTTTTGATGTCATCTTTCCACTCACGTCGGGTGCGTCGCTAGATTCGGAAGACCAGGTAAAGAAGGGACGAAGAAATCCGCTGCGGAGGGAAGGTCTGAGAGAGAGCACAAGAACAGAAGAGAGAGAGAGAGTCAGCGCTGGGGAACTCATGATGAGATTCTGAACTGAGGAATGCGAGTCGGAACCGAGCGGTGGGCATGGACGAGAAGTGAGGTGGTTGGAATTAGTTGCCAGAGCAAACGTACTGTTTCCCTGTCTGGCCTCGAATGCTCTAGACGATGATCCTTCGTCCGATCTACTCGTTTGGCTGTCATCCTCTGCGTAAACATTAGAGAGCTGGACACGAGCTCTTGATTCCATAATGGCTGGATTTTGCGAGATTCGCAGGGGAAGAATATCCAGAGGTGCGGGGGATCGGGAGTGATCTTATATTGCTTCCCGTACTGAGAGCAATCTGATAAGCACGCTTTTACGGCCTATCGTCTTTCTGGCAAACCCACACCAGCTGATGGAAGAGAGGCTGATGGGCTGGTGAGATGGAGTAGCACCCGTTCATAACCTGGAAGTGGAGGGGAAGGGGGTTGACGCGCGGAGATTTGCCAGTTCGAAGGCTACCACGTGACATGGACGAGTCTTCGTCTACTAAACTCTCCAGCTGGGGGAGGGGGTGCTTCTCACTCTGCATTGGCTTGACGGCGTTGACTCGAGGAGACGACGATGGGGGCGGGACCTCTGTGACGACTCATTCATCGCCTCCATTGAAACATACATGCATCGAGACGGATTAGCAAAAGCGTCCGTTGGTCCACGCCAACCCCGGCCAAAAGCTAAAGAAACTTTTGCAGCGAAACTCGCTTCTTCGCTTTGAACAAACGAAGGAACGAACGATTCGCCTGTTCATCGCACACACCTGCACGTACAGAGATACAGACGCCTTTTGAGGTCAAGCACCAACCTGACCAAGCATACATATGGGGAAATACAAACTTGTATCGAGATCGTGAGCACCCGATCCTCGTAGGATATATACTGAGGTCGAGTTTCCTATATGATCAACGAGACATTAATCCTTTCGTCTAGTGTGAATACCTCCCAGGACACAAGTGTAGTCATGGCCATTTCAATGAATGGCTCTAGATTGCGTGGCAGTGGGATGGTCCATTATATTTTTGATCAAAGAAAGAAAGAAGAAGAAGAAGAAGAGGTGGGCGTGCTGTTATATACCACCAACAATTTGGAGCGGAATCAAATAAAATGTTCGAACGAGAAGAGAGTGGAGGTAGTTCAGATTTTTGTTCTGTTCTGAGATACCGACTATTATCCATATCTTTGCATGTCCAGATGACATACAGGTCAAGGTCAGGCGGACCGAACCACAAGCCTAAAGCCAGTAGATCCAAGGGGAAGAAGAAGCTACATCATCCGCCCGCCGCCGAACGACCGGTGTCTCTCAAAGATGAAGAGGACATCGAACACGAGGGGGCGTCGTCGTCGTCGTCGTCGGATGAAGTGTTCGAGTCGCAGCTCAGGATCTCCGAACGACAAGTGTTGGACCTAGTACGGACTGCTTTGGAAGCTACAGTGACGTCGTCTGACTTTGCTGAATCTTGTCAACGGATCAAGAGCCTCCTGTATGATCGACAATGGTTAGCGGTGTTTACGGACCCGGAGCTGGTCAAAGTATACGCTGGGAAATGGGTACCGAGTCGAGCGTTGTGTTATCGCGATTTATTCTGGAGCCTGAAGCAGATCAGGAAGTCAGTAAGAGGTCGATGTGGGGTGCAGTTGCCTCACGATCAGGAAGGCAGAGGAGGGACTGCTGGGATTGAGAGGGGACTAGCTGGTATATCTATGGAAGAGGGATCAGGCCAAGCTTGGCATTACCACGTCTTGTCCCTTGGAGGTGGAGCAGGATCAGAGCTACTGGCTCTTGCTGCGGTCCTGGACCCGAGTATGGAGGAAGTCGATCATCACGGGCATGCATCGAGGCAAGAAGGACACGAGGATGATCGTGAGGCTGTTGAGGCAAACGACGAGCCGGGTGAAAGTGGGAGCGACGACGACGACGACGACGACGAGGAGGAGGAGGAGGAGGAGGAGGAGGAGGAGGCGGCGGAGAAGGATACAAATGCTCTTGACGACCGCTCTATACCACCGAGCAATGAAAACTTCGTCTCGCCTGGATCAATCGACAAGAGCGCCGCCGAGGCCCAAGCCGCCTTATCACCTATGACCTCCGTCATTCCTCCTTCGGTGCCCACGGTCAAATGGACAGGTGTAGATATTGGACCGTGGTCAAGCGTCTTACAAGCCTTCCACACCGCCATCAAGTCACATTGGAAGGTCCCGATCGAGATCGAGTATATCGAGTTGAACATCCTAGAGGATACGAGGAACATTGTCAATGGCAGTGGCAACACCGCACATCCATCATCATCATCATCATCATCATCATCACCACCACCACACCCACCACCCTCATCGTCGTCGTCGTCATCGCCTCTTTCAGACTTGCTCGAGTCTTCTTCTGCCTCACTACCCCCTCACCTCATCACCCTCCTATTCACCATCACTGAACTCTTTACGCAATCTAGACAACGCACGCTGGCTCTCTTACGATCTCTCTCGGCTTGTCCATCTGGGACGTTGTTCCTAGTGTGCGATTCAGCCTCCGACTTGGCCGATTTTGAATTAGGCACTCAGGGAAGAAAATGGCCAGTCTATATGATATTAGATATGATCATGGGTGTCAAGTCGAGTCAAGGGACCAAAGCGACATCATCATCTTCCTCCTCCACCACCACCACCACCACCACCACCTCCTCCTCCTCCGCCTCCTCCTCTCCCTCGGTCTCTGCCTCGTCTGAGCCCACCTGGGAGCTCATTCACTCTGAAAACAGCCGATGGTATCGATTACCAGATGGATTGGGAACCCATTGGCCAGTCAAGTTGGAAAATACGAGGTATTGGTCGAGGTTGTACAGGCGGGTCTGAGCCGGAGGGTTAGAACCGAAGGATGAGAGACTAGTCAGGGCATAGTGTAACAGTAGCCATCATCACCTCACGAATCATGATCATGTGAAAAGAACATCATTTCTGTCGAAGTATCTTTCTTCATTTCAGTCTATATTCATTCAGCTTTTGAATCTGCTGCTGCTGAGAAGAAGACTTGGCATGGAACCGCAGCGATGACGTTTTGATTCTGGAACCGCTGGGCTTAGACGGACTTGCTGTACCATGCGTGTATGAAAACATGTATATGTGCACGAATATGTCACGCTAAAGCTCTACAACAGTTGAAACAAACTATGGAGTGAACAGCGTTTAGAACGGGAAAAAATGTATGTCGTCCTTTTTTTCAATATCTCGCGCCTCTCAGCTCTTATCGAGCTTGACATCACCTTCTGCGGTGGGTGAGAGCGCTCCCACTCAACTTGCTATCCCCATGCCTCGTGTATCGCTCAACCCGAACCCCACTCTCTCATTTCTTCCTTCTCTTCCTGGACTCCTAGCCGGTGAATGTCGAGACGATGGACCCATGTACCGAGGCAGAGGTAATGTCCGACTGACAGGATCAAAAGCAGCCGCCGACGGTTGCTGTTGCCCGGGTCCAGTCCCAGATCCAGCACTGGCGGGATACGATCGAGGTTGATGATATTCTCCCCTTTCATTCCGAAGGATCTCTACACTTTGTCGTGGATAATCTCCGGGCGGGCCGCCCGATCGACGATCATAGGAGCCTGAACCAGACCTCGAACCTCTCATTTGGTGGCTCGACAGACCGTGATCGAATGGGGAAGCTCTATCTCCATTCCCTAGAATCTCAGGTGCAGGTGCGTCTGAACCGGGAGTCACGGGTAGTTTCCCGCCTGCTGAAACATCTGGATGTCCATCGGGTTCTAGGGCCCTCGCGCGGTACTCGGCGTGCTCGTATTCGCCTTTGGAGGGCTCATGAACGTGGATGGTGGAAGTAGGTGACGGCGCAGTGGAACCGATTGATTCGCGGCGCATAATATTTTGCAAGAGCTGTGAAGATCGTCAGCACCTTGTGCTGCAGACTCTTTGGGAATTCCAATCTCACCTTGACAAATTCCTCCACGCTCAAAGCCCCACTCGCTGCCCATCGGCCTTGAAAGACGAAGAATGGGATACCAGTGACGCCTAGCCGCCGTGCGACGCCGTAAGCCCGGTTGACTTCGTGATCATATTCGTCCCCTGCGAGCCAAGTGAGAGCCTCTGAAGTGGTTCCAAATAGGCCATGCTTGACGCCGAGCTCAGCCAAGAACGCGCGATTTGACGTATCGACTGGTGTCGTATGGTACGCGAGCATGAGGTCGAGACAGAGTTCGAGATGATGTGAGGGGTGTCGTAAGAGTGCGAAAGTTTGAAGGCGATGTGATAGGTGAGTAGAGGATACGAGACCTTCTCGGCACCTTGAGAGAGGGACAAGAGACATCAATCATTTGGGTCTGATGGATCGGGGAGACTCACGGTGTGATGCCAACTTGTCTCAATTTTTCCTCGGTCCTATCCATGAAAGCCTCTGCATTCTCTCTTGAGCCGTACTTTGCTTCACGATAGAGTGATCTCTGCATTGGCTTTTCAGTCAGGTGAGGGTTGAGTTGATATGGTAACATTCGGATCAATGGGTGAATAGGTGCCATCGGTCGATGATGATTGTAGATCTCGATGGCGAGGAGCAATTGGCGCATCCCAATGAGAGAATGTTGACATATCGGATCGGACTGGAGGGATGTATCAGCGGGATGAACGTCTGGGTCAAGGCGAGGTGAAGATGGCACGATCACGCAGCAAGCGATAGCAGCGGCGGCAGCAGCAGCAGCAGCCGCCATCATATGAAGTCGGACCGCGGTCGACCGGAAATCTTTTTTGATGGGCGAAGGCGAAATGTCTACGCCAAGCCAAAACGTCCCACCCAGCTACATCACGGAATAGGGAACATAAAGAGAGAAGGAAAGGGTATGTCACTCACCGTCACGTCGATCCTCAAGTATTTAGGCCCTGGGCTTTCGGCCTCAATGCTGCTGTAGACACTACTGCTGCTCCCTCCAGAATCATGCCGTCGCATCTCCGTGTGCATCATCGACATGTCGGATGAGTCAAGCGGATGGGAGGATGATGAAGAAGATGACGAGGATGTGGAGTGAAGTTCCGGGTCCTTTTTCTGTTCTCTTTTGAGTGGCGAGGTGTCTATGTGATTCAATCACGCTCGCTCACTCGCTGCTGCTCTTTGGTCTCAAGTGACCTATGCTGAAGGATATTGGTATCGGGCCTAGATCTATGCTGTGTACGTCGTTCCGCTGACTGTGTAAGATTTTATTTTTCCCCTTCCCCCCCCCCGGGTCGCAGCTGACCCAGCGTGGCGTTTGACGAGGGGCCGAACAAGATCTGCCGCTTTGGTGCAAGTAGGTGTTGGTGTTGGGGCTACAGGTTCCCGAGAGAACGGATGGATCGGTGTCGTTTTTAATGGCCGATCTTGATGTGCGTGTTGCAGATGATGTACAAGTTACAGATGAGATGGGGTGGGTGCTTTGTGACTTGCAACTGAGCCAAGCAAAGAACCAAGGGGGGGGATAGTCACCGCCCAACCAAAAATCCCGGGCTTACGGCTCTCTCTTTCCCACTTTTTTGTGTTTTGAATTTGAATTTGATTATAACGATCCCAAAGGGAAAAAAAGGAGAGTAGACTGAGAGATGCCCGTAGTCCGGATGAAGGGGGGGAGATATAGCCGATTATAGAGGATGATAAAGTGATAATAACAAGCAGCGCAGTCGGCAGTGGAGGTGGAGGTGGTGGTGGTGGTGGTGACAGCGACCAGTGAGCGAGTGGGCCAGTGGCTTAGTTTCTGTAGTGCTGTATGTACACTTTGAGCTACAAGTGTGTGAAGAGTGGGAGGTGAACGAGAGGTAGGTGGGCTGTATCTCCCTTTTGACTCCGACGGAAGAATATTTCACTTGGCACCCAAGAAAACCTTTTCGGTGAAGGGCAGTGAATCGGCGATGTCTCGGTGTGCGTCGGTCTTCGCCGTGATAACCAGAGCGAGTGTGTTTGGGGGTGGTGTGTGGTGTGATGAGCGGCTGCTGATGATGATGATGATGATGATGATGAGCAGCAGTCTAGATTCCGAGTGGATCAAGTCCGGTGATGGAGAATGAAAGAGAGAGAGAGAAGAGAAGTGTTCGAAATACTCCCTCTGTCGGCCGGGTCCGCGGGCGTAGCCAGTTCAAGTCAAAAAAGCAGTGTCTAACCCCCTCGCTCCTGGCCAAGGCCCAAAACCTATGATGTATGATGTATGTATGTATCTATGTAATGGAAAAAGGTGCGATCGGGCAAACACCCGTTCGTCTTTTTTGTACTGTCTGGCGTCCTGCTGTTCTTGCCCGGGTGGCGCTGGAGAGGCAATCTTGCAGTGGCGGCGACGACGGGTTCTGATTTTTCGGGCAGAAGGGGATGATGGGAAATGTATCGGGTTCTTAGCGTGGGGTGATGCAGTGTTGTTGGGTTGGTGGTGGGTTAGTTGGTAGGGGCTAGATCCCGGATATCCTCAGCTACAAACTACGGCTGTTCAATAGCGAGCTAATACAAGAAGATCGGGCGGCCCGCTTGGTATTTTTGGGTTCATAGAACCTCCCATCCCATTTGGTGAATGACGCAAGTCCAGGCCCAAAAATCCAAATCATCTCGGTCTCCGGTTTTTACGGGATGGAACTCGGGGCTGAACTTCTCCGATCGCAGTCCCACCACAACAGCCTATGTGACGGAATCAAAAACAAACTACAGCGTACGTTGTCCTTCCCTTCGGAGGCAATTTAGAACAGAACAGCCCGTGGTCATAGGCCACATCTCATTTCGTCATTCCATACATACATGAACATATATCATCTATCATCCGTATAGTCATGGATGCAAGGAGTGCCGCGGATAGACCGATGCACCCACACACACACACACACACACTCTCTCTCTCTCTGTGGGCATGGCGTGATTTGGATCTTCATATTAGGGAACAACACCACGGAACGGCTCTGAAGCGATTAAAATCATCATCATCCATTATCTGGAATAGTTTGTAAAATAAGATTCAAGAGGAGAAGCGGGGATCGCCGCTTTGGTCCCTGTGATGAGGTGATATGATGCCCGGGGGTGGGATCCCCTTCCCCGGTGTCGTTCGTTTGGGCAAGCAAGTTCGGAGATGAGAGAGACAAGGTCAGGTCCTGCCCGCGCTGGCTCCAGCTGCTGCTCAACAACATCATCATCACATGGGCGGGCGCCTACTTGCCACCATCAACCTATCGGCATTCCATCGGAGTAGTGGGTGAGCAAAGGAGACCGAGAAGACGATCTCATCTCGGAGAGACGGAAGGAGACGGTTAAATCGGCTCAATTCCGTTCCATCGAGCAGCAGATCTAGCACCTCGGTGCACTCCGCCATTGCAAGCACACCCGCGGCCGCCGGACGGTTCACATTCCCGGGCATGGGCTTTTAGTTTTTTCGGGCATCAGATCCCCAGATCCTTTTTCCCAAAAGATATGTCATGATGAGAGGGGTGTGTTGTCAAGTAGCCTAATTTATAGGGAGGCTTTGTTCTGAGTGAACCGACGACGGAGAGATGGGCGAAAGGCGACGGAACTGATCTCACAAGGTTTCGCAGACGGGTGGTGCGCCACGATAACGGGATCAAAAGACTGACGGTGTCCGTTCCGTCGAAGCGGGAGGAGATATATACAGCGTTTGCGGGCATTCGTAGTTTCCGCACATCAGAATAATAATGGGGCGTGAGAGCGGAAAGATGGGGGCCATCAGATCAGTGTCTCAGCGGATCGATCAGAGGCCCGCAGGGATGGCGAGGCTTGTCCGTGCGCAGTGCTCCTAGTGGTGTGAAGCCAAATCAACCAGCGGTCAGTCGGTGGTCTCGCATCATTCACGTCAATCGAGACAATACATCCAAAGGTCTGATGGCGATGAAATGCAAAATGATGCAATGAAATTCCCAAAAAAGAAACACAACCAATCGAGATGCTCAGTGGACCCTCCCAATGTCCCTCGCCTCCTCCCTCAATCCACTTCGTCTCCCCCTCCTTCTTCCCGGGTGATCCTCGGCGCTGCGACGGTGATACCGCGCGGTCGACCCTGTCCTTCGTCCGTATTCGCGGGATCGTCATCTCCCCGAGGTAGGTCTCCTAGAGCGATCGTAGCTCGTCGCTCGGGTCCCGTCTCACCGATGCGAGCAAGAGGCGATGTAGATGTGGATACTCTAGACGACGGAGAGATCAGAGTCATAGGCGTACCATTCTCGTCTGGTGTTCCGCCTGCGGATGTACCAGTCGCAGGAGACGACGGCCGCGATTTCTTCCCGAACCACCCGTGTCTCTCCTTTGACGAGGTATCCGCGTTCAATCCCTCCTCATCCGGGACGGTCGAGCCATTCATCTTGGGTGAACCGGCCTCGGATGATTCAGAGGGCGACGAGTGAACATGGACAATTTGACCGTCTGAATCGCGCTTCATACCTGAGACTGCCATGGGGATAGCCAGGGCGTCTCGCAGTTTGTCCTCAACAGAGATTGTCTTTTTGGTGCGTTTTGATCTGAAACGTGGGTGACAAGGTCAGTCGGGCTTAAAAGTGCGAGTCTGCGAGCCTCACCCCTGCCAGATAAGCACAGCGGCACTGAAAGAAGCAGGTCAGCGGGGCAATAGGTGGGAAAACTCGGTCCAAAACCCACCCGATACCGCAGAGAAAGGAACACGGGATCAATGTACCGGTAGTCCAAGGTGGACGAATGTGCCAGTCTAGACATATGAGCACAATGTACGATTCGTACGGGGTCTGGCTCACTCAATCCCCACATGCAGCCGCTGAGTAGACGTCCGTCAGCTGTGAGTCTAGGACCTTCACTAGACCACTCACCAAAGCAATGCTTGGAAGAACGAATTCCCGTCCATCAACTAGCGAGCCGGGACGTCAGCCAAAATGTTAAGGATGCGGTTCAGATGCCTCACTATCGTATTCCATAATGCCCACTTGATAGGGAAAGCCGTATGCGTAGCAGTCGCGTGAGGTCTGTACCACGTCTGGAGAGACATATCTTAGGAAGTAACACAGGTGTAAATGCAGCTTGGCTCACCTGAGATTTGCTAAATTTCACTTGTTGATATTGTAGTTCCTCTTGCTCTTTGTCAGACAAGACCTAATGGGTGTGTCAACCACGAGTTCACTCGATGATGATGAGGATGACAGAAGAAGTGCCCGCTGACTCACCGAGACGTAATCCTTGGCTTCCTTTGGATCTGGAAGATCATCCGGATCGTCAATGGGAGGTAGACCTTGAGCTTTTCGTCGTTTGTGCGTTTCCACACGGAGGTGCCAGATTTTTGCCATTCCTGAAACAGTCATTAGGAGAATGAAACAGAATCCCTGGGCTCCGAAGAGCTAGCTACAATGATTTTCATACTCACGATACGTGTCGATGACTCGCCACGGGACTAAGCCAATACCAGTGAGGGTGAACAATCCATTCTCGATTTGACTGCAGCGTTCTGAACCGGTTACGTATCAGTCTTAGGACGTACCTAACAACGTAGCGTTTGATCACTTACCGACCCATAGATCTTGCACGTATTTTGAGCTCGTAGGTATCCAACCGAGCAAGAACAAGACGATACCTGCTCCCCAGAACGCGACGAGGAAACCATAGATGGCTGTAAAAGCGCCCATGGGAGTTTTCAAAAACGTCCATAGACCTTTACCGAATCGACGAAGTTTATCACGTTTCGAAGATGAAATCAAGACGTGCTTGACGTGCGCGTCGAGTAAATGATCCGATTTGACCTCTTCTTCTATCCTCTTCATCTGTTGATTCAATTCTGACGTGAGTCCGGATCTCGTCTCTTCTTCGTTGTCATCTTCGTCCGTCGTCAAAGATGAATGGACAGGTCTGCCAGTCTTCGAAGTGGTGGTCGATGGATCTGTAGGTGACGATGGAGCTTCTGGGATCCGTCTGAAGCCTGAAGCGGAAGGAGGGAAGAGCTTCGAAACGGTGGATCCTCTATGTCGACGGGTTGATCGGCGAGATCCTGCACCCGCTTTGCCTTCTTCAGCCGTGCTAGAGCTGTAGGGTGTCAGCGGGATGGGACTTTCTACCCAGACGGAAGAGACTCGCCTCGGTACATTATCCGTTTGGTCTGGTAGGATGACTTCGGGTCGTCGTGACCACAAGCCCGGCAGGTTTGGAAAGATCAATCCGTTCGACATGTTTTGGAGGTGATTCACTTGGAGAGCAGAGTCAGCATAACGAGCCTGGTATGGAGCCTCTCAGAGGCATCTATCTCACTGACCTGTTGCGACTTCATCGTCAATGACGTCCAGGACGCCCACCACTTCATCGTGTAATTCCTCTGGCTCTCCTCCATCCTCACGCTCGATCTCCACACTCGCAGGTGTACCTGCTCTTTCATCCCCTCTACCACCTTCCAAGCTTTGTCGTATACTATCCAACACACCCCTTCTCGCTGAACTTGCTGATCGACGTCGTTTGCCATCGATACCACTGCTTGATCTACGCCTTCGTTCTGAAGCTGTTCCTGTCCGTCTATCCTCTGGTGTCTCGACCCGAGGGGATGGTAAGGATGGAGACGGATCGATATCCTCCGATACACTTTTAGATCCCGTTCCAAACTCCTTTGTTAGGCCGCTGAGTAAGCCTCCTGAGGTAGCAGAGGAAGAAGTAGTGTCCCTAGGAAACGTCCCTGTCGCTCTGGCTGAACCCCGACGAGGAGCTCCTGGAGGTCTAAAGCTGACGGATACGGTGTGCGCTCTATGTCTCGATGAGGTACTTGCAAGGTGTGCAGATGATACAGGTGAAGGGGAGACGGGTGATGGGGAAGCTGGTGAACGAGTCGAAGATGGAGGTAGACCATCAGCTAGAGGAACGAGGGGCTGAGAACGAGTGCGAGTGGGACCGGCGGGAGGAAAGTTGATGGTGCCGTTTGGAGAAGTGGAAGTGGTTGGGTCGGCCGATGATTCTGTCGGCATGCTGGGCGAAGACGATCACACAGATTGCTTTGAAGTTTGTAGAATGGCGAGCCAAAGTGTTTGCATGCGTCCGATGGGACCTTCTGATGCCCTTCACGAGGAGAGTGTCTAGGTTTTGAGATCTGGTAAGAAGAAAAACAGATTATTGTCCTTCACAAGGGGCGAGACGGCGAGATCCCGGATGGAATTCGTGCTTCAAGCGTCCGTACAAACCTCCAAAGAGGGATCCAAGATGCGAGAAAGAACGCTCTCGTGCACCTCCACGATGCTGAAAGGCGATGGGGATATATATGGATCGACAGTGATGAAAGGATGCTTGAATTGTTGTTGATGCGGCTGGACAGATTATTGAAAAAAGAAATGTTTCCAGCGGTGGCAGTTTGAGGCGCCGTAGATGTCAAGGGTGCCGGGGGTGCTTTAAAGGCGAATCTTGGGGGTTTCAATTCGAGTGAAGGCTAGTCAGGTGGGCTACAAGTTGCCGCGAGAGTATCATGCAGAGCTATCTGTGATAGAGTGTCTGACGTTTCAAGCCCAGAAGATGGTATATTCGAATCATGAGTATCACTGATTTGCCACGATGGCGGTTCTCGCTCCCGATGTCGGTATCACGGTGTGATTCTCAACGGCATCAAAGTATTCATGGGCATATGAGCTATAGGGCCAAAAGATGGGGAGGCGTGGCTCGCTGGCCGTATACGAACCGTCCCTGATCATGGTTCTCGTCGTCGTAAATGTGAAAGCATCATGTTCGTTGATGCATCTTCTGGCGCACATCTTATCGCTACGCCCTTGACGAGTCAAGCGGTCTCTTCACTCGTTTCGCGTGGGCATCTAGAGCACGCACAGGATGATGGTGGCGGTGGTGCGGAGGGGCAGGGATCCCGATATCGTTTGACGGTCGATCTGAAGGGGTGTGTTGGGGTTCCTTCCCGACGAGATTATGAGGATATGACAACTCGACAACACCCATTATGAAGCAATGTTGAAAGGAGTGGTTTTCGCAAGCTGTTCGACGATCATGCAGTGCATGGCTCTCTGACGACGCTCGAGGATCACCTTGGGGATCAGTTAATGTACACACGCCTGCCACACTCATCTCAATTCATCGCTGGTGCAGGTATCTGTGGTATGTGCCTAAGCTTTTACCCTAGGTCACTTTGTCTGCATATCGCAGATCGGTCCAAGTGATCTTTAATGCTTTGTCTATGCGCTCTGAACGCCAGACTTGCTGCTTCCATCGCCATGAGATTATTCGCCACCCATTCCAACCGGTCGCCACGTGGCCGAGTCGCGTCCTAATATGAAACACATTGTCGAGGTCATGTGGACCAATTCATCCATCTGGGACTCGCCATCTCTCTCTTGCGACTATCAGCTGACCAAAGTTCGATGCACAACTGTCACATGATAAGAGAGAGGAGAGCGAAGAGTTCCCTTCTCACGGTAGTCATTGCTGACCCCGGGTCCCTCTTCTTCCCTTCGCGTCTTCGCGTCTCTTCCTGACATTCTACCATACCATCTCATCTGTCACGAGAATCCAGCGAAGCTTATTGACCTGCTATTGACTAGTCAGCCCGCTTTGCTTGCTTGGTATTCTCTGCGAGAGATCCGCGTTCTCGAGCCACTAGCTGTCTCTCTTACGCGATGCTCTTCCTCCCTATCCCTTCCCACTCCTTATCCCTCGCCACCGTTCTCCTCCTCCTTCTCCTCCTCCTCCTCCTCTCCACCACCATCCTCTCTGCCTTCCTCATCGCCATCGGAGTGTTGATACCTGGTGTATCGACCTTCCTACGTGACCTCTTCCATCGAATCATCATCCGATGTATCGGTGATCGAGAAGACAACGGCTTCAGATGGTTCGGGCCAATGCCCAATAATCTTGAACCTCCCAAGACGGTAAGTTTTTCCAGACCGCGCCAACGACCATCTCGTTGTTGTTGTTGGTGGTGGTGGTAAAGAAAAACGCGAACCACGCTGAAGAAGCGCCTCGTCATTCTTAGCTCAATCCACTACCTCCTTGTTGTCCCAAGATCAACTCGCTTTGCATCAACAACAACTGTTGGGCAAACCCCACCGGTATCCCATCTCGACACTGGGCACAATCGCCTTCTCCAAAGCTTCCTCACCTCGCCTATGTCAAGCACACAGACGATGACGAGTGGTCACCTGGTTTCTTCCCAAGTGAGGAAGATGCTCAGTACATCCTCATTCAATCTTTTATTGCGCATCATTACCGCCTCGAGCGGGACTCGAGAATGGATATGGTACCGCCGCCCATCGAAGATGTTGAAGAGGTCTCAGAGACCGCGACGGTGCCATCCACGACCGAGGCTGGATTGAAAGACGAAGAAGAGCAAGATGCTCCCCCTGTTGTTGTTGAAGGAAACGAATCCGAGGCGAAAATCGAAGGACAGGCCACCACCTCGACCGAGGAAAACTCTGACCATCTCTTGGACGTCAAAACTGCTCCTGGTGAGCCTCTGACCAAGGAATCCTCGTCGACCGCCGTCAGATCGTCCGACGTCTCCTCGCCCCGTTCACTCATCACTGGTCCAAACACCAGACCTGCGAGTCACTCGCGTCTCTTAAACATTCCCAAGATCATCATCACCCCTCCAGATCTCAAGCAGGAGTTGGCGATTGAAATGGCTCTCGATACGCAGGCTCGACTCTACCTCTCTACTGCCATCATCACGCCTACTTCTCCTTCTACTTCTACAGAATGCAAAGAAAAGCCGGCCTTTCCAAACTTTGCAGCGCCCGTACTCATTCCTGTTGAGAAGATTGTCATCTTGCCCTTTGGCCACGGATCCAGCATTCCTCATTCGGCGAACAAGGAAGATGTCAAGGTCCTGACTCGAGGTGCCGAACCCCAGCCTACCCCAGCGCCTGTCAACGTCTCGCCCGTACCACCTCCTTCAAACTCTCAACCCCCCGCTCAACCTCCAGCCGCGTGTAGCCCAGTGCCGACTGTCGTCCAAGCCGAGACCGCACGCGCTACCCAGCCGAATGCGCCTGCTATTGCTCCTGCTCGTCCTGTTCCGCCACCCATCCAGGTCTACCCCATGGCAACTCCCACCGTCTCGACTCAAATCGTTCAAGGGCATCATCAGTCTGTCCCCTCGATCGACAGTGTGAATAGCTTCACACTCGTCACTCCACCTCTGATCCTTCCTCCCACGCTTCCCGATCCTCTCCCCGTCCCTCGAGTCTTCAATCCGGACCCATTGAGAGCCATCCCGCAGCCTGATTTCTCCAATCCAGCCTTCCATCACGTCCAAGCTCCCCCACAGGATGATGGTATGGAGATTGACGACGACAAGAGGATGGATACCTATCCTCCCGCTTGGTGTCAATACCCGGTCCTGGAAGACCCTGACGTGCAAATGGTTCTTGATGAACCATTTTACGCGAGCCACATTGACACCAAGGTGAGGTTTGTCGAGCTCGACCACGATACCGAGATGCAAGACGCTCCTCGATCTGAAGGACAGTACATCTCCAACGAGCGGTCATTCACACCGATCGTCATGAATACAGATCAGCCTATGGACGACCCGCCTAGAAATACGATTCCTCCAGCCTTTGGACACCCTGGTATTGAGGCGCAAAGGGAGCCATACTCAACCTATGAGCCCATCCGGATCGTCAACCCATACCAAGGTTCCTCAAAGAGCATATACACTCCCATAAATGATTACTACCGTCATCCCAGCCGTGCAGCAGAGTTCTATGAGTCAGCCTTTCAACACACTGAGCCGTACGTGACCACGACTCCTCCCGCCTTCATCCAGCCCCATCTTCCTGATCGAGCGGTCCAACATGAACGCTCGTCTGGAGACCAATGTCGTTCTTTTGTCCCTCAACAGGAACAAGTCGACCACTTCTATCCTCTACCTGCGTCCCAAGAACGGACAAACCACTCACCCAGGCGACAAGGCTCCTTTGGTGTCTCTCAAGTAGATGCGACTTACCCTGCTGAATCCGTTGAGCCGGTCGCATCAGTCTCGTCCACTGAATGGCCCTTGACTCTGCCTTACGATCCCGTCGAATCGATCACACCTGCATCCGCACCGGCTGCTGTTGCTCTTGCCACACCAGGGACTTTGAACGAGGTCATCAATCCTTATGGAGCTCCCGTGGCAGCGGAGCCACAAGCCCCCGGTACTCCCGAATGGTCTCCCTCGAGCCCACCCGTCGCATCCGCCACCGCCACATTGTTGCCCGTCGAGACCCTCAACCCGTACGCTGCACCAGTTGTATCCGCGGAGCTAAAAGCCCCCGACTCCCCGGAATGGTCACCGTCAAGCCCACCAGCGGCGTATACTGAGCTATTGGCGTCGAACGATGCCCAGGTAACACTTTCGCCCCCGGCGTCCCACGCAAATTTGAATTTCTGCGACTTGTTCGACAAAGCGCATCGAGCCGAATCGATGGCACAACCTTCACAGCCCGACGAAGTCGCCTCGACAGAGATCCTCGAACCTATCCCTCCGCCTTGGTCCCCTGTCGTCCCGGCCGTCGACCCATCTCCACCACCTTACGTCTCATTGAAGCGCAGGGTCAGCGATTCTGAATTTGAGCCTCAGGCTCGAGCCGACCCTGCGCCCACCCAAACCCTCAACACTGCACCTCGAAAGATCAGGTCTATCCCATCGTCTTTCTTTAATCGTATTGGCAGACCCGATTTGAAAGGTGATCCAACAGCTTCCTTCACCCCTCCGACCGTATCTGAGGTCTCTGAGATCACTCCCTACGTCGAGGATCCGCCTTCAGTGTCCTTCTTCGACAGAGTGAATACTTCCAAACCGAAGTCCAGGTCTGTCGATGGCTCGGATCGGCCAGATGGATCGTTCTTCGGACGAAAAGGAAAGAAGATGAGGACGAATGGTATCAAGCCGGAGAAGGAAGCAATTCAGTTCAATCTCTTCCTCACGGATCCGCCTGTAGAGGGAACTCAAAGCGGAACGGGTGTCGCTGAGAAGAAAGCTCAGACAGATTGCAATGTCAAGGTACCTGAGCCCGATCTGTCAGGCTCAGGACCCATCGCCAGATTGGAGATGCTACTTTCTGCCATGGTCCCCTTCAGTAAGGATACGGACGACAAACCCGTGGCTGGATCACCTTCACCCCGAAAAAAGGAGACTCCCACTCATATCGCTCCTCCTGATCTGGAGTTGACACCATTAGGAGGAAAGAAATACGGCAATCCTCCATCAGGTTCTACTAGATTGAAGTGTCGACCTTTGATCAGGTCAGATGTCGACCTCTCTTCAGTTCCCGAAGAGATGCCAACCACCTCTGGAGGCAATGGCAAAAAGAAGCGAATTGCCGAGGTTGATATTGAGGAACTCGACCCCTTGCCAGTCCTTGAGAAGGTCATCAAGGCTACTCCTGCTCCTGCCGAGAAGAAGAAGGACGACGTGGTCAAGGCACCAACCGCGCTGGTCGCGAAGAAGCCCAACACCGTCTCGAGGACGGCGAGATCGACCAAGCGAAAGCCAGCCAAGCCCCAAGATTCGGCCAATGGTGAATTGCTTATGGGTCAGAAACAAAGGAGACGTCGCAAAGCCGAGAGCTGTAAGTGTACATGCCTGGATTCAGCAGGTCGCAGGTAGCTGACCCGCCCATGTTCACAGTCATTTGATTGACGATTTTCACGATTTGGATGACCCCTGACGAAGACAAACCTGTATCGATTAGCTGCATAGTAACCTGTCTTGGAAAAGTTTGTGTGATTTTATTGTCAGATTGATAAATTGTAGCCCTCTTTTGCATTGTCAGCATCAGCATCCTTGCATGTATGCGAAGTCTGAAGCATCTGTAGGAACGTCGTTTCACTGGCTGGAGCCGGACACGGTGTGTTAACGTATTCAACGCCACTATGCCACTCGGTTGGACGAAAACACAAAAATACTGATCGGATGCATGCTTCGAACGAATGCTTGTGTGTTTTGGCTGCATCATCATCATTTGGCTCTCTTCTGACTCGAATCATCTCCTGGCCACGACTTAAGTGCAAACCGTGACAATGGACAGCTACGGTCTCCCTATGAGCTTTGGCAAGAAATCCAAGACAGGTCCAGTCAATCTTCAGTCCAAAGTAGAGAAGACGAAGAGAGATGTGAGCAGTTGGTAAAAAGAGAAGAGAAGCAAAGTTGACAATGACCGGTTAGAGTGCACCTGTGGCTCCTTCTCCTGCTACGCCGGTGGTCAAGGTTGAGGAGGATTCTTCACCTGAACCTGGACCATCTGTTCCTAAGGCACACCTTACTGTGCAGCCTAGCGTCGCGGGAGTTGAGGAGGAGGGAGGAGAAGAAGGAGAACAAGAAGAACAGGGGGAAGACATTGGACCTCTCCCGCCTACCAATGGAGAGAAGAGGAAAGCCGACGGAGCTCCTGAGGAGGAGGTTGGAGAAGAAAACAGTGATGAAGATGAAGATGAGGATGATGATGGAGATGAGGGCGATCCAATACCAATCTCACATGAGATCGTACTGAAGGACCATAAAAAGGTAAATGCAACATGACACTGATCTCCGGCTCATGTCTCGGTACAGGTGGTCTCTGCCATCGCTGTAGACCCATCAGGTGCTAGGATAGCTTCTGGCTCTCATGATTACGATACCAAGTTGTGGGACTTTGGGGGTATGGACGCTCGCTTAAGACCGTTCAAGACCTTTGAAGCCAATGGAAACTATCATGTGAGTGAGGGGAGGGGGAGGGGAGAGTGAGAGATGCCTCGAATGAGACCCTGATAATGGGTCTGATAGGTCCATGATATCGATTTCTCACCTGATGGTCAGCACATACTTGTCATATCAGGAACTGTTCAGCCGAAAGTATTCGACAAGAATGGTGAGAACGAGTGAGTCTCAAGGGATATCTTTTGCTGGACTAACTCAATTTAAGGATAGAGTTCGTCAAGGGAGATGTCTACTTGCGCGACATGAATCATACAAAGTGATTCACTGGTATCGGCTCGTCATGCAGAGCTGACAAAGGGTACAGAGGGCATACGGCTGAGATCAACGGCGGCTCATGGCATCCAACGGACAAAAATAGATTCTTAACATGTTCAAATGACTCGACGTTGAGGTAGGTGTGGTACAGGGATGCGGTGCACCTGTCTGAGGCCTTTCAAGGATATGGGACGTGACGGACAAATGGAAGCAGAAGCAAGTCATCGTCGTCAAATCTAAAGAACGTGGAGCGAGGACTCGAGTCACGGCCTGTGCCTGGAGCTCGGATGGGAAGTACATCGCCGGAGGTGCGTAGTAGTTTTCGAGATCTGGCATGAGTGCGCAGAGCTGATTGTGGGCACAGCTTGCCTTGACGGATCTATACACGTCTGGGACACCACCAAGAACTTTGCCCGCCCTGATCGGTCTGGGGAGAATGCCCATGGCAAGAATACAGAGACGACTGGTATAGTGTTTAGTCGGGACGGTCAGAGGTTAGCAACGAGAGGAGGAGATGATACTGTGAAATGTGGGTCAAGCTTGCTCCTTATCTCTATTTTTTCTCTCTTGGTGCTGACGTCCGACAGTATGGGATCCTCGAAATCTTCGTAAACCGTTGGCTGTGGCTTCAAACCTTGCCAACAGATACCCTGAGACCAACCTCATATACTCGCCCGACGGCAGATATATTTTGACGGGAGTCCCGCCCGCCAGCAAGGGAGAAAAGGGGGCGATCGTCTTCCTCAATGCTGAGGATTTACAAGAAGAGAGAAGAGTACCGGTGGGAGAGGGTACTGTGGTCAGAATATTGTGGCATTCGAGGATGAACCAGGTGGGCTGCTAAATCTCACCACGTCCGAGCAGAGTATGTTTGCTGATTCATCTATAAAGATCCTCGCCACGTTGTCCACCGGTGCGATCTACGTCCTCTACTCGCCTAGATTATCGATCCACGGAGCTCTACTGCCACTCGCCAAGATGCCTCGAACGGCTCCTCGAGACCTTTCGTTCTCCGTCGCAGATCTCAAACCTGTCATTTACGCTCCAGACGCGTTGCCAGTGTTTGCAGATCAAAAGTATGGCGAGTCACTGCATCAAAGAGAGAAACGAGCCAAGAAGATGAAACCCACGGAACCCATCACTGGTGTAGGAAGAGGAGGACGAGTCGGACAGAGCGCTACGGCTACGATGGTTCAGGCCCTGTTTCCGTGAGTCGACTCTCAGTCCTTTATGGCGTGGCTGACGCCCGAGCTATAGTAATCGTATTGATCTCAATGAGGATGTGAGTTGTGGTGGTGTTGTCGCTAGGAGGAATGTAACGCTGATGCCTTTTGCTAGCCTCGAGAGGCGTTGCTCAAGTATGCCACGAAGAAAGACGAGGAGAAGAAGAAGGACTAGAGGTCTCCGTGATCACTTGTATAGGACGGGCACCGATGAGTTCGCAGTGTTATGCCATCTCATGCATGATGTCCTCCCTTGGACAGAGCGAGTGACTAGAGCTCTCTGATAATCGTTGGGTTATGACGTTATTATTATTATTGTTATTTGTCCAAAGATTGAGGCAATAGTCGATTTTTCGCCATCGTACATGGTTCCAACGACCACCGACAATGACCACCCCGACTCCCGTGACGCTTATCGGAGCAACAGGTCTGACAGGGTCAGCGACTCTTCAATCGCTGCTACGATCTTCACATCCATTTGCGATCACGACCATTGCCCGTAAAGCCATACCCTCTCAGACTGCCTCGAGCACACAGACAACATTCACCCATACCATCGTCTCGGACCTGTTTGACGCTCCAAACTCACCCGTAGGAACTAGCGGGGGAGTATACGTCAGCTGTCTAGGGACCACGAGGGCTCAAGCTGGCAGTTTGAAAGAACAGGAGAAGATTGATGTCCATCTCAATAGGGATTTGGCAAAACGAGCCAAGGCTGACGGGTGTGATACGGTACGTTTTTTGGCAAACCCGGAATGTCCGCCAGCTTGTGGTGGAACGAAGCTGCTGATCGTTGTGGTGTGACACACTCAGTTGATCCTGGTCTCGTCTGCTGGAACTTCTGCCGACTCGTACTTTCCTTATGGACGTATGAAAGGGACTTTGGAGAACCTGGTCAAGGAGATGGACTTTAAATCATGTGTCATTTTGAGGCCCGGTCTGTTGATGGGTTCGAGGTGAGTCTTTTCCTCGGTTCCCGAGAAGGTTCCATCATGCACACTCCTGATACTGTGACACAGGCAAGACTCTCGTTTGGCGGAACGCACTACTCAGCTATTGTTCAGAGGTCTAGGATCTATCGGTTTACCTATGGGTAAACTTTCTGCCGAAGCCACAGAGTGAGTTATGATCGTGCTGGCTCCGGGAATATTGAGTGTGTGTGTGTGTGCGTGCGGGGGGCTGAGACGTCTCTTGGTCTTTCAGCATTGGTCAATGCATAGCTCATGTAGCTGCTCATCCACCGAGTGAGAAGGTCACCATCCTTGGAAACGATGATATCCCTCGGTTGGCCAAATTGTGGAGAGAGGAGAACCCAGATACCACCAAGCAATAGACCATTTGGTAAGCGCCCTTGAACTGCACCTGTGATCGATTTTGATGTGCCGCAGTCACAAGGACACACGTATAGAGTGTTATGTATGCAGGGTAATGTGAAAACGGTATCTATCTCTCGTTGGCAGTCATCTCGCGTGCAACATCCTTTCCTTCGCTAACCCCTTGCATTTCTTTAATCGACCCTGATCGACGTATACAGTCTGCGGATGGCAAAGTATGCTGAAATGTATCCTATAGCGCCACCGAGCAGGAAGTCGAGCAGAGCGACGATGAATCTGAGAATGAGTTGCCGTCAGCTGGAGGGAACCGAATGGGAAGGAACCACACTCACAAGTATCCAAAGTATAAGACGACACTTGTAAAGTTGTCAAAGCTCAATCTACTGGCCCAATACCACAACCCATACGCGAAGAGCCAGAATGCCTGACCTCCACCAATCATGAAAGCTCGCCAGTGCCATCTGTATTCTTCCGCACACAGAATAAAGTATGTGAATAGGACAGTTACCGTGGCGGTGGTCAAAACCAAGACCACAAACGTGAGGAAGAGGAAGCCAAACGCGTAGTAAGCTCGATTGCCAAACAAGCTGGAGAGGACAAAGTATAGCTCGACGAAAGCCGCTCCAAAGGGAAGAATTCCGCCTAGTATGGCGGCTTGGAGCGTGTTGAGGTACCATGGCTTGGGGGGGATCTGACGCGGGATTGGGTTGACTCGGACTGGATGAGGGAAGGGACCGTGCTTTAGACCGTAAAAGTAGCCTGCGACGGAAAGAGGGATGGAGATAACGAACCAGAGGAGGAGAATGGCGAGAATAGTTCCAAACGGCACAGCACCTGATGCGGATGAACCGATGAGGAAGAGATTGAGGAGACCGATGGTGGCGAAAACGACTGTGGGAACGAGAATAGCTGTGAGTACCAGATTCGGCTTCCACTGTTCTCCGCCGAGTGTTGAATACGTCCTCGCTGAGACGTATCCTGATACGCATCCGAAAAAGGTCCAGCAGATCAAGAGGACGGTAGCTAGAGATCCTCGGTTGGATGGTGACAAGAATCCGAATAGGGCAAAGATGAGTGTCACTCCCGCCATAATAAGGAGGTGGATACCGTTGCCGACGAAAACGGACAGTACCATGGGTCTATCTGGGACTCGGAAGACCTCTCCATGAACCAGTTTCCAGCCATAGTCCTCCTGCACGTCTTCAGAGAGATCAATGGCGTTGTATCTTGAGATGTCCTTTGTTATTGTTCTGTACAGGACCATGGCGACCATGAATACAAGGAAGGAGGCGATGATGAGCGAGTTGATGAGGGAGAACCAGTGGATTTTTGGGTCGAAGACGTGAAGGTAAGCGTCCCATCGAAGACCCCAAGGTATGTCGGATGGGATAAAGTTGACAGAGTAGGTGTAGTAGATGTCATTATCGTTGGTTTCAGAGAGGAAGAGAGGTCGATCTGTTTTGCAATTGGCTGCTGATGAGCCATCTACAGGTGATGAATCCCTAGAAGAAGGATATACCATGACTCCAACGACCCGATACTGGGCGTTGTCTTTGACATGGTACTGGATCCAAATGTCATAGTGGTTATTGAGAGCGACTTGTTGCGTCTGAGGGTCGGCTTTGCCGAGGTTGAAGCCTTGTGCATCCAAGAAGATTTCTCCCGTCTTGACATCCTGTCGCATCTCGCTGGACGGTAAACCATCGATGATGAAGTTGACTCCGTAATCTTCCTTGATCCTATCATTGATGAATTTCGCATCGTCCTTGGGCACATGTGAACGACATAATGTATTACACGAGGTATTATACATCATGTCGACCTGGTACGGTGATGAGAGGATCCTATCGCCAAAGAGAATGGATCCGAGAGATTCAGGTTGCTTGACTGGTCCTCCATCCGGTTGACAGAAGTGAAAGACTTGGTCATAGTAGTCGTAGGAGATGAGTGATCTCAACTTTGAGTTGAGCATGGGTGTCAGTGAATTGACGTAGACTTCGATAGAGTCTCCATAACGATAATCTCTCGGCGCTGTCCCTGGAAGATAGAATGCTGTTGATAGTGGTATGAACGCTATAGCCAGAGCTAGCAGCCGACCACGACCACGATGCCGCCCCATGCTGTGATACTTTTGTGTGAGCGTGTCGATGGATTGAAGAATGGACAGTGTCACAAACCACCCGGTATGCGTCAAGTCATTCTGCGCCTATTTCTCACACACGTGACTTTATAAAGATAGGCGCAATTGCCACCACCCTCCATTCCCCGGTATGGGGTGATGCCGTAATCTTTTGGCAGGTGGCGGTTGACTGGACTCCCTTGGAACATGGAGTTCAAAAGGATTTTTTCGGGAGAGAGAGGTTGCTGCTGATCATTCATCTTTCATTCGCAACAATTCTCAAAAGACAGCAGCGCTGCATGGCGAGGATGATATAGAGGCACATAGACCGGTCGATAGATAGTATAGTATAGTACCTCTCAATTGCCCCCAGTGGCTCCCTGTCGATCCACCCCGATCTCTGCAAACTCACGACCGAACCACCTGCCTCCACCATGCCTCCGCGCCGACCGCGTCCATCGGCCCCACCAATAATGACTCCAGCTGCGTCGATCAAGTCAGAGTCTGGAGCATCCACACCAGGCACAGAAACATCGTCAAGAGTCAAGATCACGACGCGTAGTCGAAAGGTCAAGAACACTGGTCTCGTCACTCCCATCAGCGTAGGAGATGAGCAGGAAATGAAGTCTGTAAAAGTTGAAGTTCAGGAATTGGAAGTCGAGGTATCTCCGACGAGTGGTGAGCTATCATTCTTCCACAGCAAACGTGGCTTCTGACCTAGTCGCCATCTCCCAGCCCCTTCCACCCCTGCCCAGACTTCAGCCGAGACATCTCCCACCCCATCCTCACGCACTTCCACTCGCATTCGATACAAGCTCGACTCTGTTCAAATACCATCATCCAACAAGCGTTCACGACTCGGAGTGGAGAAGACCACTAGCGCAGACAACCTCACCCTCACTTCCACCACACGTGCCAGTCGCTCGAGAGCATCCGACCCGCACAGCGATCCGATCGACAGTCTCGTGAGTCCTGAATGACGCTCAATCAACGCTGATCCAGCCTTGTTCAGTCTGCTGCCAATCCGTCTGACGACGCTAAGCCTTCACTCCAGCCAGACCTCTTCTCCATCAGGGATGAGGTCGCATCCTCCTCAGCCTCTACCACAAACGGTCCACGACCCGCCCATCAACCATTCAACATTGGCAAGTTCTCCAGAGTGCAGAAAGCTAGCGCTGCGTCACTTGCCCTTGATGTACCCCCGAAACGACGTGCTTCAGCTCGGGGTAAGGGCAAAGCAGCTATCAAGAAGGGACCAGAATCTTTCTCGGACACCGAGAGCGAAGCAGAGGGAGAGCAAGTCGGAGATGACTTTGCCATGGACAGCGAAGAGGAAACGGCTCAGCTCAAACGAGCCTTGAAAGCCTCAAAGTCCAGCGGCAAAGCTGAATCCAGCTCGAAAGCCGCGCCTCGTGGAACAGCCAAGGCGACTCGTGGTCCAGCGCTCAATGGTCCTGCGCTAAGACGTGCGGCTGCCAAAGCTGCTGAGAGTGAGTGAGAGCCGTTGCTTCCAGGATACGATCTCACCAGAATCTTTGTGTAGGCCGAGCGAAAGCAAATGACGACGCCGGCTCTGGTTCTGGGCTTGAACTCTCCACACGCGACGACACCCCCGCAAGTGATGCCGAATCGGAGTTTGAGCTTTCTGAAGGGGCGGAGTCTGAGCTGTCCGATTTATCGGATTCGGACTCGGCTTCGGACTCAATGTCGAGCTCCAATGCGAGCTCACTTGGCGAGCCGCTGAGCAAGCAGCGCAGAACCAAGGCCAAGTCTAAGACCGCCCGAAAATCATGGGGTAAAGGGAAGCGCCTTGGAGACGGCGAGTCTGTCGAAGACGCTGCTTCTACCCCGCTGTCTGTCAATTCAGAGGAGGACCCCAAGGTGGCACCCCGATGGGTGCGCGAAGTCCTGGCAGCCAAAGAAAAGAGGAGAGTGGAACGAAAAAAGCACGAGGAAATCATGAAACCGATTCGCAAAGCGGAGGCTGCGCTTAAGAAGAAACTGGGACGAAAGTTGACCAATGGGGAGAAGAACTTTATCCGGCTGTCTCATGTGAGTCCACCCGGAGCGTTGGGGCGGTTAGGCTCATCGATCCAACAGCATCACGAGGAACTTGTCAATGTCTGGGGCGACTTGCAAGAGACCGTAGTCCCGATCAAACCTGTCACTATGGAGGCACATCCCTCTCTCAAAATCAAACTTTTGCCGTTCCAAAAGGAATCCCTGTACTGGATGAAAGAGCAAGAGAAAGGTCCCTGGGCAGGTGGAATGCTCGCCGATGAGATGGGAATGGGCAAGACGTGGGCATCTGAAAATGGCATACATCAGCTGATCGAGTCGCAGCATTCAGACGATTGCGTTGTTGCTTTCTGAACCTCGTCAGAAGCCCAGTCTGGTCGTGGCGCCAGTCGTAGCTTTGATGCAGTGGAAGCACGAGATCGAGGACAATACCGATAACTTTACTGTCTGTGTCTGGCACGGTCAGGGCAGGATGAAGGCTGCGGAGCTGAAGAAATACGACGTTGTGAGATGACATCGGTCCGCTGAGCGCAAAAGTCAGCTGACCATTCTGATACAGGTCCTTTCTTCGTACGGGACGCTCGAAGCTTCTTTCAGGAGACAGCAAAGAGGCTTCAAACGTGGCAATTTGATGATCAAGGAGAAGTCACCTCTCCACACATTTCAGTGGCATAGGTGAGCATACTCTGCCATGCTCCTGTTCGCCCTCTCATTCCGCGCAGAGTTATTCTGGACGAAGCGCATAATATCAAGGAACGGTCTACAAACGCTGCTAAAGCTGCTTTTGCTCTCGATGCCAAATATAGATGGTGCCTCTCTGGAACACCGCTGCAGAACCGAGTTGGTGAACTGTACTCGCTAGTCCGCTTCTTGGGCGCAGACCCATTCAGGTCAGTGCCAAAACGACGTGTGGTCTCGGCATACTCATCCATTGAACAGTCATTATTTCTGCAAGAAGTGTGATTGCAAATCCCTTCATTGGCAGTTCAAAGACAAGCGACACTGCGACGAGTGTGGTCACAAGCCAATGGAACACGTCTGCTTCTGGGTGGGTGGTTGATCCCCTATCCCATAAGTCCAATGCTGAAGTTTGACAGAACACCGAAATTCTCACGCCAATTGCTCGATACGGTATCGAACCTGGTAATCCGGGTCACGAAGCGTTCAAGAAGCTCAAAATTTTGCTTGATCGAATGATGCTTCGGTGAGTTCAATCTATCCTCCCGGCATTCAACGGAGCTCACCCTTGACTAGCCGAACCAAACTGGAAAGAGCGGATGATCTTGGGCTTCCACCGAGGACGATAGTCGTTCGGCGCGATTATTTCTCCCCGGAGGAGAGAGAGCTGTACATGTCTCTGTTCACTGGAGCGAAGAGGCAATTCGCTACGTACGTGGATCAGGGTACGGTTTTGAACAGTAAGCTAGACTCCTCCTTTTTCAACCATTCACGCTCACTCGGACTAGATTATTCAAACATCTTCTCCTTGATAACACGGAGTGAGTTGCGGGAGGCGGCGGACCAATCCGGTACTGACCATCCATACAGTGCGACAAATGGCGTGTCACCCTGACTTGGTCCTAAAGAGCAAGACGAGCAAACTTGCCCAGGATGTTTCCGAGGGAGTCGTTTGCAGAATCTGCAGTGATCAAGCGGAAGACGCCATTGTTTCTGCGTGCAAGCATGTGTTTGACCGAGAGTGTATCAAGCAATACCTCGAGGTGCAACAGTTGCGTGGTCACAAGGTGCGTCCAGGTCGATCTTTGTATTTGCTGCTGACGAGGCTCTCTCCAGCCTGAATGCCCAGTCTGCCACATCGAGATCTCCATCGACCTCGAAGCGGAAGCCATTGATCTGACGGAAGGTCAAGGCGCCAAAGCTAGACAGGGTATTTTGTCGAGGCTGAATCTCGATGTGAGCGATACAGGGACTATCAGGGACTATCCAATGTGGTCGTATCTAATGATCCTCCCACCAGAATTGGCGATCGTCGACCAAACTTGAAGCGCTTGTGGAAGAACTGCAAAAGCTGCGAGAACAAGATTCAACCATCAAATCACTCGTCTTGTGAGTCTGCTACATCATTTCCTCGACGAGGCTTATCCAGTCTTTAGCTCGCAATTCGTATCTTTCCTTGATCTATGCGCTTTCCGATTACAGCGCGCTGGATTCACCGTGAGCTTTCTTTCGAGGCGACATTTCCCTCAAAGCTGACGATGTCGGACAGATTTGTCGGCTGGAGGGCGGTATGACGCCTCAACAACGAGATGCTACGATTCAACACTTCAGTGAGCTTTTCTATTGCCCTCATGCTCGGCCTCAGCTCATCAAATTGACAGTGAAAAACACCAACGTTTCCGTCTTTCTGATCTCGCTCAAAGCTGGAGGTGTGGCGCTCAACTTGACCGAGGCATCCATGGTCTTCATGATGGACTCATGGTGGAACCCATCTGTCGAGTATCAAGCCATGGACCGAATACATCGACTTGGCCAACATCGACCCGTCAAGGTTGTCAAATTGGTTGTCCAGGATTCGATCGAAGATCAGATTGTCCAGCTGCAGAGCAAAAAGCTGGCCATGACCGAAGCTGCTCTGTCCAGAGATCCCGATGCTGCATTGGGTAAACTCACAGTAGAGGATGTAAGTTTATCGCCTGACTTGTCAAACTTTGGGCTGACGAGATTGACAGCTCGGTTTCCTCTTCAAAATGTGATGTCATCAGCATCACTTTGCCATGCTTTCATGTTTCATTTCATGTTCACGATTGAGGCCCATCGGATATCGAAAAGCCTCATGTTCTAATGTACGCTATGACTCATGATGTGACACGGGATCACTTTTGTAAGTGCTCTTCATGAGCTCTGTTGCATGTATATATGTTTCATGCCGTCCATTTGTGTTTGCTACAGCGTATGGCGTGCACATTGGCGCTTCTAAGGTCTAGACAAGACATCTTCGGTATGTCCCCTCTCCCCCCACAACACAACAAAAACATCATTACGCCATCCCCTTGTCCAACAGGTCAAATGGCGATTCTTCCGTGAACGGATTGGTGTCCATGTCTGTTAATCCAGCGAAGAATGAGGGCCAATCCATCTCCGCGTTTGGATTACCTGAACCAGCTTCATGTCCCGTCCCCACTGATGACAAGTCACCCAGCGGATCGGATGGTGAAAGCTGAGACACCGACAATCCATGAAGAAGCTTGTTCTTTGCATTTTGAAATGAAGCGGCCATTTGAACAGCCGTATCGGACACGGGCTCATGTTTTCTCACTAGATCTATACCGATCGACAGTAAATCTCTCGCTTCGGTCGGATGGAGATGTCCTTCTGCACAGGTCAGAATGACCAACTGAATGCAAGTTGTGATGCGTCGAAGTTGGGGCCAACATGGCTCCAATTTCCCAATGAGCGTCAGATCCCAATATACTCTCAGTACCGTCGAAGCGCTTCTGGCAACGATGGACAAGGACGAAGACCCGAGGGTCTCATGGTAGAGTAAAGGTGATCGGAGCATGATACTGAGCCTGGTGTTGAATTCAGTTTGTGCGTGCTGTAGCGCGCCTGGAAAAAACTCACATGCTGACTCGGATCAATGCCCAACCGAGAAAAGAATGCCTCATGCCTTCCTTTTCCGTCGTATGCTGTATATGAACTGATTTCAGAAAACTCGACCAGTTGCTTTCGGTCCGAAGGACGAGATGGACATCGTTTTGGAAATCAATCTTGGTTGACAGGTCGAGGAAGTCAGCTTCGAGCCGCATGACTTTTAAAGAGGTGGCCGAAATGGGAGGTGGAGTATCGATACTGGGATCCCAGTCGAGCTCCGAGGTGAGGATCTGGGATGAGAGATCCAGTAGGATACCGCATTGACTGATGTGAGGAGTCAGTAAAACTTAGGGGAATTTCCAAGCCTATGCATGGGAACTGCTCACGAATCCATGTAAAGCACAGATGCCAAGAGTTGTCCGGCTCCATCCGAAAGATCGTATAGATTCGCCGTAGCCTTTTTGCACAACCCAAGTTGGTGCACTTGCCATCCCATCTTTTGTAACAGATTCATAGTCTGTGTTCTGCTGCCGCGAGCAGCAGCAAACGTCGTCAAGTATTGTAACGCAGCTGACGAGTGGCATTCAGCGATTTATCTAGGCTGACAGTGTCGCTTTAACCACTCACACAGTGTCAAGATACTGGGGATGCTAGCTTGGCCTACGGCCTCACAAGCCAAATGATAATACCCAATGGCGAGATCCTGAAACTGTTTCCTATCCGACTCGGGTATATCTGTCCCGCTCCATCGTTCCTGAACACGCATGTCTGCCGCTTTGCATAGACAAGCAAAGACATAAGCCGTTTCGTCATCCATGAGGCTCTCTGGAAGGGTTGCGAATCGGGGGAAGAGGTTTCTCGCCTTTTCACGATCAAAGATGTCCGTATGGGTGGGCACTGTTCCGAGATAGAAAGATATGAGATTGGTCTCGACAGCGGAGTTGCGGTAGAAAGAAGCTTGTTTGATGACACGACTGCTGTCATGGAACACGATCCCAGTGGGGTCTAGACCTGCGGGTTATGCGTTAGGGGCTGTCGGTGACGAAAGACGAGTAGAAACACCGAGACCAGCCAGACGAACCATTAAAAGCTGCCCATTGCTTCACTGCATCCTCGATGAATGTGATTGGCCGCAATGGGCTGACATGGGACATCCGGAATGGCGAACTGTCATCATTCAGCGCGTGACGAGATGTTGAAGCGACAGGAGAGATAGACTCGGTCGTAAGACGGTCTTCTAACTCGTTGAATTTGCTGGACCTGGATCTAGTCGCATACGTGATCAGCTGTTTGACTGCTACACATTTGTTGCCATCTTCACTGACCTGTTGGGCCTCGCTTTGGTCCGAAATAGACACCGTGATGGTAGTCCCGATTGTTGACAGGCTGAACAAGGATGCTCTCCATCACATTTGACTCTCCTCAATCGACATGGTTCACACGCTCTAGCTGCTCTCAATCGAGATTTCTGGCCCTTGTCTCCGCCGGCTGGCAGATCGTCATTCGACCTTGGCATGGTCGATCTTGCGAACAAAAGTATATACCAAAAGATAATGGTTGTACCTCGGCTGGAGATGCTCACTTCTCCGGAGATGACCGGCCCGGGAATATCCGTATTTCCCGGTCGAGTGGTGAGCCGGGAAACGTTATCATCCTAGCTTTCTGAGTGTTGAGCATGAAGGATGTGGATTGGAACCGTGAGAGCTCGTCCTCGATCAGACTGGAAGCGGATCATGGATGCTGTTTGAACCCCCCCACACTCCGTCGTCAGAAGCCGACGCAATCTATTGGAGTATTTCTGTACCAGCTGCCGAGGCCCGACAAATGAGCACGAAAACGATGACAAGCAGGAACACACCGAGCACAGTCTATCATGGCTCCGTCCAAATTGAGTATGGTAACGCGTGGCATACTGCAGAGATTTGTTGGGCGACACACCAAGAGTCGCAATAAATGAATAATGACACCTTCGCTACAGTACTTCCCTTTGGAATCTGCATGGAGAACAAGAGTGTTTCGGGATCAGGTTCCAATGACTGAGCAGACAGAATATACCATAACCATTGATCGCAACGAGTCGTTCACGGGTGAATCGCGCCGGATCATGCTCGGCAAGGGACGCGCCGGACTGTCTAGCGGACTGTCGATCCAAAAAGCATGTGCTGGACACGTCTTTTGGGTTCTGGGTTCAATCAACTTGTACACTAGTGAATCACGTAGATAACGACTGTCGTGACGGAAAAACTTAACAACAATATAAGGAGGCATCCTCGTGATTCGTAGCGAATAGTAAGAGCAACACTGGCACTGTGTGACAGCAGCAGGGCTTGAGTGGAACGTGGGTTCCGCGGTCACATCCGCAGGTGTCTTCGATTCATTGTAGTATTATTTATTATTAGAACAAAAGTTGGGAGTGGAGCGTTTTTCTCATTGGAGCGGCAAGCAAAAAGGGGAGGAGGCGAAAATGCGCGAAAGGGCAAGTAGTATATATGCATATATCTGGGAACCCGCTCAGGTTCATTCATTACTCCGCGACACGAACCATCGTGGCAGAAGGGCAGCGTGGAGAGCTCAGGACCGAGACACCTCGAAGACATATCGATGGGACCCTGATTTTAACTGAACTCTGAAACAGAGTTGCCGGGATCTCCTTTGATTAAGGCGCGACAGACGCCATCCCGCCCCTCGTAGGGGACCGAAGCGCAAGGCGCCGGGGAGCGCAATCGTTTCGTGAACGAGCAAGGCGAGACCGTCATGAACCAATCTCGAGGTGAAACGAAGTATCCGCTCCGGCTCCTCGACATGATTTCCTGCATCAAAGGCGGAGGGAGCCAGTGAGATGCGCATAGTCTAGACCTGCAACGATGGAATCTCATGTCATGTCAGGGATCTCATTCTGGCTCTTCCGCGTCTGTCTATACGTGAACATGTTGAGTGTTGGATTCTAGGGTAGACAGTGCGCGTTGAGAATGTTATAAAGCTCACGATTGGAACGTCTTTCTGACCTGTTCATCTCGTGTCCATATCTCCCTCAACCGGTTCGCAAAAGAAGAAAAAGATTCACTCAGTCGTCGGCCTCAACGATACTCACAGTCCTTACTTGACTTATTGTACCAAGACTCCATCGCTCAACCTCCCATCCTCCCAGTATGCTGTTCAGCCTTGCTCTCGCCGGCTCGCTCGCCCTCACGGCCAGTGGGATGCCCACCTCTGCCTTCGAACGAAGTACAGGTCAATGTGGCTCCAAAGGCTGTGTCATCAACGGGATCAGTATCTTGGACTGTACCACCATTACCCTCGGCTCGCTCGCTGCTGGTGATACGTGTACACCCTGTCCCAACGCTTGCGACTCCAACTCGAACCAATCTTGTACAGTCAATGGAATCGGTATTTTGGATTGCGCCAACATTGACATTGGGAACATTCTCAACCAACTCACATTAGGTCTCTTAAAGCGTGACGAGTCGCCTGCCGACTCGAGGGATAGGAAGCGCGATTCAACATCCTGCGCTATCAACGGCATTTCCATCCTCGACTGTACGACGATCAACTTGTTTGATATCCTTGGTGGTGGTGGCGGTGGCGGTGGAAGTAGTGGATCCAACACTTGTCCTTCGAGTTCGAGCAGTCAATTGCCTCCATCATCATCTTCGCAAGCTGTCCCCTCCTCGTCCAAGGCTCCTCCTCCTCCTCCTCCTCCTTCATCATCTTCAAAAGCTGCTCCATCCTCTTCGAAGGCGCCTCCTTCTTCTTCTTCGACAGCCGCTCCTTCCTCATCAAAGGTCGCACCGTCTACCTCAAAGGTAGCCCCCGTCTCTTCTTCCAGTAAAGCACCACCTCCTTCTTCTTCGAGCAAAGCGCCTCAGTCATCCAGCAAGGCTGCACCACCCTCTTCCAGCAAAGCCGCACCCTCTTCCAGCAAGGCTGCACCGTCAAGCTCCAGTAAAGCTCCTCTCTCATCAAGCAAAGCGCCGGCTTCATCGAGCAAAGCCGCTCCTGCCAGCAGCAGTAGATCGCCTGTACCATCTTCTTCTTCTTCCAGCAAGGCACCAGTTCACTCGTCCTCCTCATCGCTCAGACCATCCACGAGCAAAGAAGCACCTGTGTCATCCAGCAAAGCTCACTCATCTTCGTCCCACTCTACTCCTTGTTCCACGAACACAGCCATGCCTTCGTCGAGTAAACCTGCCCCTCAACCTTCGTCCAGCAGCAAAAAGCCCAAACCATCCACTAGCAAAGCTGGAGCCGTCTCATCGAGCAAGGCCCCCGGCACTTGTACGCCAAAGCCAAAGTGCACCCCGACCACCATCACTGTCGTCCCGCCGGCGGTCACTGTCACTGTATCCACCACAATTACGGTGACTGTCTAGGGAAGGTCTGAGTCATACGGGGAGAGTGTTGGGGCTCGGTCTGCATGGATAGGACACACTTGGGATTGAATGAACGAATGGTTTCTTTCATTTTCGGATAGACAGGTCGCTGCATGTGCCCCAATGTGCTAGTCGCGGGGGAACTGTAGATGCTGATCATGTTTCGCTGTATCGTAACGGACTCTGGATAGAATGCATAGCATAGCGTTCTGAAGACTTTGGGAACGGGCACGACTTGGCATAGGGCACAGACGGGCAAAGATTCATTGCAGTGACTCAGAACACGGGAGCGGGAGTCACAAATTACACCGAGGCCCCACGGTACAAGAGAGCGTATCCGCCTCGATACGGGAGCGGAACATGCCACATACGCAAACGGCGCGACACCCGTTCAAACGTATGGAGCGGAAAGGCAGAGCGAAAGCAGACAGAGTGGGCTCGTACGAATGTACAAAGTTCCTCCACGTTCTCTTCTCTGCTCGCTTCCGAGACGCACTTTGTCTGGTGGGCGATGTCCGACCCCCTTGTGACCTGTTTGCCTAAAGTGGCAGTCAGTGTAATGTCTTTTCCTCAGCGGCGACAGCCATCCGTCCTTCACGAGGGGCGAAGTCGGCCTCTGACATGACGAAGAGCATGAGTGCCCCTCCGCATTGCGGGCCTTCGTGGAGCACTAATCCTCTCACTTTGCAGAAAGAATGCACCGGGAGAAATTCAAGGTTTTTTTGAACTGAAAAGGTCCGTCACCCGTCCTCCCTCTCCCGGCTCCCGCATTAATTTTACCCTACTTTTGTCATTTCTGACTGAGACCATGAGGAGGTGTGGATGGCGAGGAGCCGAGGAACTGTAAAACTGCCAAGGATCAGGGCACGAGGTGTGACGAGGTGTGGTCTGATCGACACTTTCCACCCAGAAATATAATATGATCAGTCTCACTTCCCGGGTCTCGGCCGCCCCGCCGTGGAATGTGAACGAGATGAATTTAAATAATCATATGAAAATGTCTCACTCAACTCTCTTTTAATTCTCTCCAATTGCCTCTTTCTTTCTTTTTTATTCTTGCCATTCACGGTAAATTGACGACGACGGGGGGCTCAGCAGCAGCAACGGTGGCATTCTGAGCGATCGAGCCGTCTGGCCGGACTCGAGGGTCCGGCGCGTCTGCCCTGCCCCTTTTCCCCCTCGCGACGTGGGGGGCTGACAATATGCTCTAGTCGACCCGTACACTCCACGAAAGTTACCGTTGCAAAGTGTAGAAGTGCAGATACAACGCTATGTATGGTAATCTCTTGGGAGCTGTTGTTCGGATCACATTTCGCTCGACAGTCATACCACCTCTTTGTCTTACCGTAAGATTGTCATCTTTCCTCTCGCCTTTCGGGGACGGGAGGAGGCCTTGCTTGGGGCCCTCGGAGCGAGCGGCTCGGAGATGTCACAGTATGCTCGCTCTCACACTAGACAAGGTTTCGAGAATATGAAAGTGTCCATATGGAAATGGATCGCTTCATAGTCTATGATTGAATGAGATCGACAAAGCTCCACTAGCCATCCTGGGCATTCTGTTCATGAGAAAGTGGGGATTTGTGGGCATGGTTTGACTCGGTGTCGACCGACTCGAACGACCCCCCAACAGACCGACTTGAAGGATATATAAAGCCTCGCTCTCTCGACGATTTTTGAAAGTCCATCCAACACATCTTCCTCTCACAACTCTTACCAACAAAACATCTTCACACACACAAAGCTATCGCTTTCAAAAAGACAACCACAAAAACTCCATCATCATCACAATGAAATTCTCCCTTGCCGTCCTTGCTACAATGGCCTCCGCTGCCATGGCTGCTCCCTTCGTCGAACGAGGAGACTCTCAATGCGGACCCAACACGTGTATCATCAACGGAGTCAGCGTCCTCGACTGTTCCACAGTTAACATCGCCTCTCTCGTCGTCGGAGATACTTTCCAGCCTTGCTCCGGCTGTGACAATGGTCAGACTTGTGTCGTCAACGGACTTGGAGTCCTTGATTGCTCCAACATCAACATCGCCAGCATCCTCAACGAACTAGGACTCGGAGGTAGCGGAGGTGGTCTCTTGGGAGGCCTCCTCAAGCGAGACGAAATTGAGGAACGAGGCAACACTTGCTACATCAATGGAATCAGCGTCGGTGACTGCACCGACATCAACGTCCTCTCGCTCTTGTTCGGAAACAATGTTCCTTCCAACTGCTGCCCTCCCCACTCGAAGCCCACGACGAGCACCAAACCGGCACACACCTCGTCGACCTCGACAAAGAAGTGGGGACACACCTCCACCTCTACAAAGTCATGGGGACACTCAACCACAACTCCCAAGCCATCTAAGACCACAAGTGCTTGCGCTACCGAGACGGTCACTGTCACCCACTGGCAATGCAACAAGTAAACTGGGGAAGCGAGCCTCCCAAGCTCTACCCAATTGTCAAGGTTAGGATATTGTAAATCGAGTATTATTAGCTTTGTTCGTTTGTCATTTAATCAGTATGAATAGCTCTGCGCAGAGAGTCATCGACAGCCCATTGACTGGCAACGAAGACAATAAGAAACAGCCACATCTGCACTTTCTGCCACTTTTCTCCCCTGAATTCTGAAACTCGAGTGGCGTCATGTATGATTTCGTAAGCATATCTGCCACGCGACACGTCAGGGAAACGCGGAGAGGAGCAGCGGGTCGATCTATATACAACAACTCAGCATCCACTCGACTCTTATTGTTGTTCCAACTTGTATAGGTTTGCGAGGCACTGGTGTCTAAGATCCTAGCACGAGGACCTGGTAACGTTACGGCCTAGAGAATTGGAACGAAACAATAAAGAACAGCTCACCATCCATTTCCCAAAGTCACCCGTGCATTCCCCCTTCTCTCATCACTTTGCAACCGCCATAAGCAAGTTTCATTGGTGATATTAATCATCGCTTCGTCCAATCGACCGTATCTTAGCATCAAACATGGGAGAAGAGGAGGATCAATATGAGGGACCATCCTTCGACCTGAACAATATCCCATTCAACGTTTCAGAAAACTATGATGTGCACAGTATAGTCGGAGAAGGAGCTTATGGAGTCGTTGTGTGAGTCAGGGACGCTCGCGGATCAATGAGATGCGAGTGTGTGCTATGTCTCGAAGGCGGAGCAGAATGACTGGTGGACCACTCTCTGCGTCTCGCTAAGCGTCTCGAGGGATACGCTGCCCGGACTGGAGTGCAGTTCCGCATGCTGACGTTGTCCTCAGTGGTGCAGTGCACATAGCCAGCGACACCAAAGTTGCCATCAAGCGGATCACTCCGTTCGACCATGCCATGTTCTGTCAGAGAACGTTGCGGGAGATCAGGCTCCTGAGGCATTTCAGGTAAATACCGATTAAATTGCCCCTTCAACATCACACATGGTGATCGAGGTTTCTTCTGACATTCCACCGTCAGACACGAGAACATCATTTCTATCCTCGATATAATCCCTCCCATGTCCTACGAGTCATTCACAGAAGTCTACCTAGTCCAGGAGCTGATGGAGACGGACTTGTGAGTGGTGCTCCAGACACTATGATCCAAGGGTTTCTGAGTCTTTCAGGCATCGTGTGATTCGGACACAGGAGCTTTCCGATGACCACTGCCAATACTTCATCTATCAGGTCAGCTCATACCCGCCGAATGACCCCTATCTAGCTGAGACCTTTGTAGACCATCCGAGGTCTGAAAGCCTTACATACTGCCGATGTTTTGCACCGTGACCTGAAGCCCTCAAACTTGCTCCTGAATGCCAATTGTGACCTGAAAGTGAGCCAAGTCCCCTCTAATCCGAGATGCTTGCAGCTACTGACCAACGCAGATCTGCGATTTTGGTCTCGCTCGTTCAGCCGCTGCGCCGGTCAGAGATGGGAACGGCGGAAATGGATTCATGACTGAATACGTGGCCACCAGATGGTATCGTGCTCCCGAGGTCATGCTGTGTGAGCCAAACGCCAGTCTGGAGAAGGAAGACTAAGCGCACCAGCTTTTCAAGAATACACTAAGGCCATCGACATGTGGTCTGTTGGCTGCATTCTCGCTGAAATGAGTGGGTCGTCCAGTCACGGGTTCGCTTTCCCAAAATGGCTAATGACCGCATAGTCAACGGCAAGCCCTTATTCCCTGGTACTGGCAAGTCATATGTGATTGACTTGTTGAAATCTGCTGACCGTTCTTCCAGATTATCACGACCGTGAGGTCGCCCTCCCCGTAGCTCAAACCCTTTCTGACAGCCTCTGCAGAACTCGCCCTGATACTGGATGTCGTGGGCACACCAACGGTAAGCAGTCCGGTTCCAGCTAGTTCTCGCTGACGCTGCATTCAGATGGATGACTTCAACGAGATCACCTCTGACAAGTCAAAGTGAGTGCAAGCCTGACAGACAACTATCAAAGACGGCGCTGACTCGCCTACAGAGATTATCTGGTCAGTCGGCAGATCTCTCCACCATGACTTTGGCTGACTGACTGTCACGTAGCGGAGTCTGCCATTCACTCGACGCCGTAATTTGGCATTACTATGTCCCAAGGCAAAGCCATACGCCTTGGACCTCATGAAGAAGACCTTGACGTAAGATGCGGTCCGCTCTCGCCAAATCGCTCGTTGACCACAACACAGGTTCTCACCCACGAAACGCTGGACCGTGGAAGAGGCCTTGAACCATCCTTATTTGGAAGTACGCACAGCCTGGATCTGATTTGGCATTCTCTGATGCGCTGCACGTTTAGCCATACCACGACCCCAATGACGAGCCTGGCGCTCCTCCCCTAGCCTATGACTTTTTCAACTTTGACGACCGGGCCGACCAGCTCGATAGGCATATGCTGAAGCGTGAGCGCAGCGAGATCATGCACATTGGCGCTGTGGTTATTGATGATCATCATAGGTTTGATCTACGCCGAAGTCTTGAAGCCGCTGTACGATTCAAATGGTCAGGCCTATTAGCGGCCGGGGAGTGTGTATATGACATGTCTAGTGAAGATCATGAGCATGAATGTACATGCCACACCTTCATATCGGCGCCCTTGTGAACTTGGACATGGATCCTTCTGGGGCTGGGAAGGATGTATGACCTTTCAGGTCAAGGCTCTCGACTCCCGTGCACGCGACTGGTCGGTGGCGCAGAGCTCATTGCTTTAGATCATAGAACATTGGTGCAGCTGAGAAGGTGAAAATCTCGTAGGAGCCACATGCTCAGGCCAGCTGCTCCTACTTTGACTCTTGACATCTTGTCAGGATTCTCCTCTCAGCAGGTGTATACGTTCCGGCAGGTGATCGCGGCCGACTGAGCGCATCAGTCAGCTTCGGAGCCACTAGCTGCCGATGTGGGCAGAAGGTGGCCATAGGATAGGTTGAAACTCGGGGCGAGCCCTTGAAGCTCCCTGCCTTCCTGACGCTATCCGGTAACCAATGGGAATGTAGAACATCTGGTTCCGTCCACCACTCGGGCTCCGCCTCATTGGAACGCAAGTGACGTTGAGTCCTTACGGCTCGCCTCGGGGCTCTCGCTCTACTATCTCACTCTCCAATAAGAAGGTTACTTGGACGTTTCATCAAATGAAAGGTCTGCGCGAGCCTCCGTGTATCAATCTTCAGGATTCTGCTCTTCTACCCAAGCAAACATTCCTTTCATACCAAGGGTTGTCTCAAGGCTCTGTGCTTCGGGCGATGTGTCGAGGTCACATGGAAGGCGCTGACGGCGGTGTCTTCTCATATCTGTTTGTTTTCAACCCACATCAACGCAAACTTGACGACACATTACGGACCACACTTTTCAAATTTAACATCACGGACAAGTCATTTAAGTCAAATCCCAGCGAAATGACCACACGAGCGTGGTCGGAACACGACCCAAAGGCTTGTATTTGCCCGCCCGGCTCGGAGAGCGTCACCGATGCGGACATTATGAGACGTTTCGATGACCACTATTCTGAATACGAGTCGGCTCGAAAAGAGGGGAAAACCGATATGGAGGCTAGTCAGACGCTGACAGTCTCAGTCTGGCGATCTATTGCGAAAGATTTCATGTGCAAGCAGGGTCATTGTACCCGAAGGCGGGGTACTGTAGCAACCTGGAACCTCTGCTCGAGTACTTGGGCAAAGTCAGCCGTTGACAAGTACTCTCCATCTCAGAGCGAAGGCAGTCATGACCAGTGAGGCCTGATCTCGCTTCCCCCCTAGATCGTGTCACACACCCCTTGGAGCTTTAGAGTCGGCATCCCGCTCGAGGTGACAGTATCTATGCATGATGTGCTTGAGGAGTTCAAAATGTGCCACCAAGCCGCCGTTGCCACGAGGTTCTCTGATTCTCTCTCTCGGCGATATTTAGACTCATCCGAGGATGTGGCACTTTTTGGACCAGGGCTGCCCCCCCTGTAGCTCTCACCGCGAACAATGAAGTTAACCAAAATTTCTAATAAAGGCTTTGGAACAGACATTGTGATCGCGTCGAGCATCACTGTGATAGTGTAGGAGAGTGGTTCAGTCGACACCAACTACTCATTCACACAGCTCGGAGCTACATATCACTCGAGTTCGATCATGTCGTTCTTTGCAAAATTGGGGAGCAGTGGCTCCGACACTGACTCGAGTTCGGATGAAGAAGAGATCCTGTCTGGATCCGAAGGAGAGGAGCAGGATGAAAAGCTCAAGGCGTCTTCCAAGAAGACTAACAATAAAGCGAGCATGTTCTTGAGGAGTGACGCAGAGGACAGCAGCGATGAGGATGATAGCGATGAGGACAGCGATGAGGATGAGGACATGAGTGATGAGAGCGGGGATGGCAGACAGGTAAGTGGCCATACCGGCGACGAAACAAGGCTTTGCCGCTGATGATGGGTACAGCGTCTAGCGAATAGGTTCTTGAGGGGGGCGGTGTCAAGTGATGAGGATGAGGAGGATGAAGAGGACAGGACAGTCGTCATGAGTGCCAAAGACAAGCGGTGAGATCTGATGCCGGTCTGTCTTTGCGTTTCAGCTGACATGGGTGTAAGATTCGCGGAAATGGAGCAGGCCATCCACAACATACAAAATGCCACCAAGTCGGCTGATGGAGCTGCGAATGACTGGGTCCTTGCAAGCAGCGGTATGTGGCTTGATTGGCAAGCTCTTTGAACCCCGCTGACCTCTTTGCAGAGCTCGACAAGTTGAATCGATTCATTGCTCGGCACCAAACTGCCATGGTCGCATCTCCTATCCCCGCCGCCGGTCACATTCCTCCTGCGTTCCTTCGGACTCTGGTGGAGCTTGAGACGGCAGTCACATCGACCATCTCCGCGGAGAAGGGTGCGACAAAAAAGATGGCACCTGTCAAGGCGAAGGCTTTGAGCGGGATGAAACAAACTCTGAAGAAGAAGGCAAAGGAGTTTGAACTTACCCTGGGCCAGTATGCCGCAGTGAGTTGGCTGTGACACCTTGCGCGCGCCGAGCTCGTCTGACATGTCGTCAGGACCCCGCTGAGTACACCGCGGCGTACGAGGCCGCCAACGTCGCGCCTTCCGCTCCAAAAGCACCTAAACGTCCAGTGGGTGCCCCGCAAGAGGGACAACCGGACGATGGCGATTTCATGACCATTGGTCGTGGTGGTCGTGCGCTCAATCTCACCGCCGATGGCGTCTTGCGTACTTTACGCGAAATCGTTGAGCAGCGAGGCAAAAAGGTGCGCTCAAAAATCCAGGAGCCGTCAGATCGCTTGCTGATACCAAGCAGAACACCGACCGTGCCGAGACGATCAAGATCCTCTCCAAGCTCCTTGAAGTATCAGCTACTACCTACCAACGCATTCGGGTATACCTCGCTTTGATACCTGCTCGACTCGACTACTCTCAGAACCTTTCGCACATGCCTTTCGATTCTCAGGTTGCTTGCCGTACCGAACTGCAAGCTTTGATCACACTCCTCCTCAACGAGAAGGACTACGTTGTGCAAGACACCGTAGAGGAGTACGATGACACCGTGGAGAGAGAGCCTGAGATTAAGGATGGAAAGACTCAGCGATTGGGCGTGCGAGGCAATCTGATCGGCATGCTGGAGAATCTCGACAATGAGGTGAGGCACCACGCAGATGATAGCGGCCCGAGCACTGACAATCACAGTTCACCAAAACTCTTCAACACACTGATGCTCACGAGAAGGGAGCCGATTACATTGAGAGATTGAGGGAAGAGGTACCAATCTACACCACCATTGTCAAAGCTCAGATACTGTTTGAGAGGGAAGGATGGTCCGACGCGGTGGCTCGTGCCATCATGAGGAGATTGGAACACATCTACGCCAAGGTCAGCGAGCGCCTAAATCAGCGCTATCATGCTAATTGCGTCTTCAGCCCGATGCCATTGTCGACCACTTTGAGAAGGCGGTCAACCAGGATACCAACGGCCTCACATCTTCCATCACACCACTGCACTCTCAAAGAGACGCTAGCGCTTTGGTCCACTCACTCGCAGTCTTCATTTACCAGTCTGAGGAGCCTCTTCTTCGTGCTCGTGCCATTCTCGCCCACATTTTCAGCCACGCCACGCACGGCCGATACCACCAGGCTCGAGATTTGTTGCTCATGTCACATCTCCAAGACACAGTCTCACATGCCGACGTCCCTACACAGATCCTTTACAACCGAGCTGTCATGCAGCTTGGATTGGCCGCGTTCAGGCGTGGATACATCTCCGAGTGTCAGACTATCCTCTCTGAAATGTTTTCCACCATGCGTCAAAAGGAACTCTTGGCTCAAGCCGTTCAACGTTATGGATCTCAGCTCACCCCGGAGCAAGAATTGGTCGAGAAGCGACGTCTCTTGCCCTTCCACTTGCACCTCAACATTGAGCTCCTGGAAGCTGCCTACTTGACGAGCTGCATGTTGGTCGAGGTGCCTCTCTTGGCTTCCGTGGACACTGAGGAACAGAAGCGAAGGGTGTCGAGCAAGTCATTCAAGAGACTGTTGGATATGGCTGAGAAGCAGGCTTTCATGGGACCTCCTGAGAACACGAGGGATCACATTGTTAAAGCTAGCAAGGCTTTGCAAGCTGGAGATTGGGAGCGTGCGAAGGAGTTGATCTTGACAATCAAGGTCTGGACGTTGCTTGACAATGCAGCAGAGGTCAAGGAGATGCTTGGACAGTGAGTCATCAAGCCCTTGCAGCCCGCGAGGCTAGCCAGCCAGCCCTTGTTTCATGCTGACGCTGTGTAAGAAAAATCCAAGAGGAGGGCCTGCGGACTTACCTCTTCACCTACTCTCCTCATTACGCCTCACTCTCCCTCGACTCCCTCGCCACTACCTTTTCCCTCTCACGTCAACGTGTCGTTTCCATCATTTCTCGCATGATCTACACCGACGAGCTGCAAGCGTCCTTGGATTCGATCGGCGGAGTCGTCATTTTCCATCGGGTCGAACAGACCGAAGTTCAAAGATTAGCCCAACAGCTCGCAGAGAAAACTGTCAGCATAGTGGAGCAGAATGAAAAGACTCTCGATATCAAACTTGGTACTATGGGTCAAGAGCGTGGAGCGGAACGGACAGGAGCTGGTGGAGATGGCGCTGGCGGTCGAGGTAAAGGTGAGCGAAGAGGTGGAACTAGAGGAAGCTATAGAGGTGGAGGCAGAGGCAGAGGTCGTGGATTCCAATCTGGTCTCGGAGGTGCCATGTCGACGAGAAGGGTGCCAGCTTGATTGTGTTTATAGTCAAGAGATGATGCCATGCAGAGCAGTGATTAGCAGAGCAGATCGAGTGAAACGAAGCCACCACCAAAGTTATACATAGTGCGAAATATCTTTTCGTATCTTACTGTACAACAAGCACAACGTTTGATACGAGGACTGATCCTCACAGGGGTCCCGTAGTCCCATCCATCAATCTCACTGCAGTCTATGCCCGAATCAAAGCCCGAAGATCTAGAGCAGCTTGCCGAAAACACCTTTAGCTGTGCTCTTCGCCGCCTCTTTCATCTGCGAAGCTCGTCAGTCGTAATATCTAGGACAAGGAATGATGCCCCGACTCACCGCTGCATTCCGAGCAGACGTGAGATAATTGCCCGCAGATACCTGAACATTGTTCATGGAATCATTCAGACCATCTAAAAAGGTGCCCCGTTCTTCAGCTGCGCGGCGCATTTCAGAATACCTTGAGGCAGCTCAGCGCAACTGTACATGCGGATGGAACGGAGGCGAAACTCACGCATCTTCTCGCTCCCGGGCATCTAAGATCGGATTCTTCGTCTTCGTCACGGCCGTTCGCTTCGGCAGAGTATTAGATGGTAATGATGGCGTCGGCTCGGGTTTCGGCACGGCTTTAGCTGGCGGTTCGCCCCATGATATCAGAGGTCTCCGAGGAGCTGGAGGTGGAGGCGGTGGTGGTGGTCTAGCTGGTCCAGCGACTGTACACGGGATCAATGGGATCAGCTGATGTGATAGACCCGCAGCAGTCATCTCTTCCGTACTCACCTATACTATCGAGTTGAGCGCCAGTCAGAGGTCCGGCGCCCCACATCCAGCCAAAGTAACTCGCCGAAAGGGGTTGAGGTTGAGCCGGGATAGCGTGCTTGACGGCGCATGGGTCTATACGCGGCGGGAAGGGTTTGCGGAAGTGGAAAAGGGTTCGAAGATTGATATCGAGCGGCGAGGAGTGCTCTATGAAGTCTCCTGATCGATCGTCCATAACAATACGACCGATGGATCGGCTAGGACGAACATTCTCAGCTATTGGAGGCCAAGGTGCTAAATATGTGGCACTTACGGGTTATGACCATAGTACAGATCCAATCGAGTGACGAACTCTAAGAATGGGAGGCTGTAGAATAATGCCGTACCTTTTGTAGTAAGTCCTACGAGGATCTTTTTGCCTGAGAAGTCATGTTAGACCAAGTGAACTGGTCGACGGGACGCGGAGGCGCTCACCATGCCGAGTGATGTAAAACGCCTCTGACAACTCTTCGTCATCCAATTCAACCTTTCCAACTTTGTCACCATTGAAGTTGACAGCCACTCGAATACTCTTTCGCGATACCGCGATCCAAAGGCAATGCGGGGGCACATCTTTGGCTTTACCCTCTGGCCCGGGACTCTGAGCGGCCTTCATGGCGTTGGATAGCGCTTCGGCAGTAGCTGACATTTCATTTCCGGTTAGTGGATCGACCACAAAGGACGCGATGGGGTTGGCGAGCGAATCGTTGGTGAAAGTTGGTGGCTTGGCTTCGACCATCCATTCACCGAGGACATTGACCAATGTGTAAATCTTGGTCATTCTGGGGATTCGAGGGTCAGCGGGCACTGTCGAGGGGAAAGAAAGATGCGATAACTGACCCCTTGGCATACGATACCACCAACCTAGGTCTTGGTGTTGAATCTGTCCAGAGGTTCGATGAGCTGGACCCAAATAATGTATCTTTCCAACCCACCTGTGCCTAGACCAGCCACGACCCACTTCAACGCCGCGACAGGCGACGATTCTCCAGGTACATTCTGCACGTTGCCCTTCTTTTTCTTCTTCTTCATCGTTACTCCTTCGCTGTCAAAGCCTTCTCGCAGGATGACATCCGGCCCGCGCATATCCACGATGGCGAGTGAGTTGTTCTCGTATGACACTGCGATAAATCCTGGAGCGAGACTAAGCACGAAGCAAAACCAGACCCCATCACACTCACCTATATCAGACACTGCACATTTCCTGGCTTCGCCCCGTTTGAGAGTAATGATAGCGACTGGTCGGAAACCATCCATTGAAGTCTTTGCAAGATGTCCTATCTCTGTGATCTCTTCCACGTAGCCTTCTTCTTCTGCCGAGTCTGGCAGATTCATCCTGGGGAAGTATCCTCGCTCCTCGTCGTCATTCAGGTCCTCTGTGTCTCCAGCATTCTCATCCCCGTCCTGAAATTTCGTGACAATGACTTCACCGGTCGTCATGGTGATGGTGCATTCCAAAGCTTCACGAGCCAAGTGGACCGAGGCAATTCTAACTTTGGCTCGATCGGTTTTCCATAATTTGGCAATCGGTAAATGGGCGACGTCCGAGTGCTGTAGGATGGACCCAAGGGAGATTGTCAAATGAGGTAAAGGTCCAGGGTATTCGAAACGTAATGGTGTAGGTAACAGGAGCAGATGAGGTGAAATGTCCCAGAATCGGACGGTGGCATCCGGATGCCAAGTCATGAGGACACGGTAGTTCTCCATCTTGGCCACTTTGACTTCGGGAGCTCCGTGAGATTGCAGATCAGGAACTGCCATGCCTCCGCGCAAAGGCAGCCTGGGAACAAGCTCGTCGCCCATTTGCTCAATCGTCCACGCGATAAACCGTTTGAACACGGGCGTTGGCAACGAATGGAGCTCGCAGCCCATGACTGTCATGTTACCTGACCAAAGGGAGGATGGATTTCTATAACGTTTCCGCTCCTTGACCTTTCGCGGTCCTAGAGCTGAACTACCCCTAGACATGAACGAGTCGGGCGTCGGAACTCTGAGCATAGGAGACGCCGCGCGAGCAGATTGACCAGACGGAGTTCGAGCCATATTGGGAGTAGTCGGAGATAGGTTTGGTGATGACGGCGCGGAAGATGACCAGGGAAGCTTCCAGCCGCCAAGACTGGGGGAAGCTGACCTCGGACTGGCGGATCCAGCGCGAGTCATGGGAGCAGGTGTCATCGCTACCAATCGCTCTCCTTCACCGGGTTGTACATAATTCTTCCTACCAGGTGACGGAGGCACGATACCAGATCTCGGTGGTGGGAATTTGTAGCATTCGATACCTCGTTCAGCGGTTGGACCTGTAGTTCTGGAGAGCTTCGGATCGGGTGTCAGAGAAATTATGAGTGCGATTGGGTCGTGTGAAAGGGCAAAGTAAGGTGACGATCTAGGCAAGAGGACGAAATCCTCAGGAGGTGTACGCGTGACGAAGTTGGATGTCCCGGTTGCCGCTAGCGAATCCCGGAAGGCGTACCTGTCTTGTAAGGGAAGACTTTCGGACTGCATGACGCCCTTGATCTTTGGTGGGGGAGGAGGGGGAATATACGCTGGGAATTGGATGATATTGATTCCAGGTGGTTCTCCAGGACTTTGACCTCCAAGTATAAGCAAAAGGGTCTCTCCTCTTTCAGCATAATCGACCGTAGCGTTGGATAGCGGCTCGCCAGCGGCCTCGGTACCCTGAGCGGCGATCAGAGCCTTGAGTGAAGGTTGGTCGGGGAAGGATGCCCATGCGAGCTTGAAGATTGGTTCTCGATTCGCCGAAACTGCTGAACCCTTCTCTTGTCGTTCTTCTTTCGACCTGATCTGGCTGTCTAAAACGCCAGCAGAGAAGAGCTCATCGGCATCGGTCACGTTGACGTCTTCATGGGTGATGGTCCGGACCATGAGCGGTTTGTCAGGTTCCGCGTAGGCCCAAAAGGCCATACAGCCATCCGAGTGACCGACAGCGAATAGCAGTCCGTCGGGTCGCCATGCGATACAGGTGACGCTTGGTGCGCGTTCGGTCCAGAGTTGCTGGAGAGTTGTTCGTTAGAGCTCGGTTCTGAAAGAAGATGAAACGCTCACATCCGCATCATTATACGTCCCGCCTCCTGGGGCTCCTGGGGGCAGAATCATTTCGAATGTCTTCTCTACGACCGCCTTTTGGATGTTCCACGCCACTACGCCTCCTTCATAGCCTATGAGCAAGATATTGAGATCCCTGGGGTTCATAGCCATACAGGTACCCATAGGACTGGGGTGCCAGGGTAACAACGATCAGTCTTCATGCTTGTGGGGTGATGTTGCACAACTCACTGGGGGGCATTTATTCCTCGCCTGCTTGGAATACCACTCCTTATCATCCTCTGCTCATGTTGCATCCAGCAATTCTCAATCTTCCAATTACCCAATATTCTCCTACTCAAATCCCACGACAAGGTCGTCCCGTCCTTCATCGTGACGAAGAGATGAGTATAGCTCGGCGAAGGCTGTTCGACAGCTGTGATGGTGCCCCAGAGCGTGTAAGAACCCTCTTTGACCGGCAATGGAGGGTTCGTCAATGGATTGGTGTGATCGCTGATGTGTGAGAGGGAAAACGTATGCAGCGTATTCGCTTCGTCAATGACGATCAACCTATGATGACCTGGATGGAAGAGTAAGAATTTGACAGGAGCACAAGCCCTTCCAGATTCCACAGGAAGACTGAACTGAAAGGCAGAGTTCCCATAAACGTGGACGATACCAGAAGAGGTTCCCACGCCGAACAAGCTGAGGACAGGGTCGATAGCGATAGCCGTGACTTCGCCAGTGAGACCAAGGGTCCGTAAGTGTCCATAACGATAGAAAGAGATCTCTCGCAGGTTCTGTGTAAAGTCCCTATCGGGCGGCAGAACTGGAGCCTTCTTGAACATGGTAGATAGTTTATCAGTGGTCCAGGACGGTCAAGATTGTCGGGGGCTATATTTGGACGGGATTGAAAGGTGTCATCTAGGCTGGGCGATCCCCCAGTGCCGTAATTGAGCTGCCTAGAGAGTGAGTGTGAGGGACAGTCGCTGCTCCCTTGATGTTGAGACTGTCTTATGTGGTCGTGAAAGTATCCAGAGAGAGTTTAGTACGAACGATCTGGACAGGTGAGTCCACCGAATTTGAACATTTTCTTGGTAGGCTATTTTCGAGATTCTGAGAGACGCGCCCTTGGATTGGCGCGGGACCCGAGACACACACGAGAGATGGTGGGGGGCAGCTATGAATGGGACATGCATGGGTCATCTCGAAGCTTACGTGCACATACAGTCCAGTACATAGGGGAGGTCTAGTGATACAGAGCTTTATGGACCTATATGGACAAAATCGATCCCCTCTGATTGAGGGAGCCTGGCCTCGCATAGCTTTCACCGCCACCGCCACTTGACCCACTCGCAAGTGATAATCGCTTCATCTCAGTGCCAGCTTGAGAAGCAACGGCCGTAGTTCCCTCGCTCGATTCACCGTATGGCCCACTGACTGCGGTGGTAATGGTATCACTACCACTTCTCAAGTTCGTCAAAAGAGCTGACTTTGGAGAGGGTCAGTCGCACTCACAACCAAGGTGATCGTCTCCAGAGCGCTCGCTTGCGCATGAACACCTCGAGCAGGACTAGACCGGTGATACCGAGAACGAGGAGACCTCCTATCTGTGGAGTCGAAATCAGATTCAAAGGCATGTGATGTGCGGCAGGATAAAGTGAGGCGGGCGGAATGATGTGATGCTGGAGAAGGCAAGTCCTCTCTATCACTCACCACTGAGCCTGCAGCGACTGCTGCTTGGTTGCTACCACCGATCCGGGGCTTGGAATCGGGGCTAATCAGAGGTATGGCAGGGCTGCTGATGCTGTTGATAGGCGTTTGGGAGATTGGCCGGAGCACAAGCTGTGAAGTAGACTCATAGGTGGCAGGCGAGGTCGCCGACATGCTGGCGAACTACCTCACCCGTCGATTGACACCTTGACGGTCGAGTCATCAGAGAGTGACAGACTGCGCTTGGTTTTTCGAGTTTGCTTCCCAAGAAGGGAGTGATCGCCGCTCGCTTAGCCAACCTCATTGTATCCTCAGAATGATGAGAGTCAAAGGCCAAGTGCCACACTCTCCGTTGTTGGCCACAATACCATACTGTACAGTATACTCCAGTATCGGTTTACCATGCGACCCGATCGACCGATTCTCACGATAAACTTCCCCTGATTCGGGCTCTTGCTCGACCAAGTCGTTGGGTGTGGGAAACACTGGGTCGATGTATTGGAGGTTGACCATGATTTGAAACTCTAAATATCGTGGCTCGGGTCTGTGGCTCCCACGCCTGAGACGAGGATGTCTGATCAAGAGCTAAAGACCCTTCCTTTGAACTTTTGAAGAGCTCAAGGTGGCATGTCCATTCAGCTGATATCCCTTATAAGACACTCCGGCCATGGCGGATTGAAGAACAGACTGTCACAGCTTCCCACACCCTTGAAGCTGAGAAATCGTCCGTGATCCTAGCTCGACCATGAATGGTATAAAATGCTCGGTCTCATGTCCTGTCCTGGGTGTGTTTCTTGCCACACACTCATTCTCGCGTATTACTGAACGATATCAGCTAAGAGCAACTCAGGTGAGCGAGAGAAGAAGTCTGTATTTCACATCGTTCCACTCCTCTTGGAGCTATTCAGCACGGTGTCTATCGTAACGACTGGCATTCCCAGGCTGACAAAATCTGTGTTGCTCTGTGGGCATTGCCACACTTCAGCCCAGAAACACTTACAGGCAGCCAAATACTCACCACATCATTTCGCACAGGAAGAACACGGGAGCGATGTCAGAAGGCTCATCAGACGAGGAGGCGCAGCGTTTCGTTGCCAATTATCCGCTCGGATCCTCTCCAGGTCTTGGACCGGTCACGAATGAAAGCTCCGTTGGGGCGTCTCCGGCGACCTCTGAAGGTGAGTAAGACGTCAGGGCCTCGGTTTTGTCATCAATAGCTAAGCACTCGCGCTTGCAGTCGGAGAACGTGCCAGTGAAGCTTCTGAAACTTCGGACGTACCGGTAACTCGATCGACGGTGCAGATCACGGAACCCGAACAAGGATACACCTCGAGTGCCAGCAGCAACCAAGCATCTCACCAAGGTGACGAAGAAGCTCTCCTGTCTCGAAGCAGACGGGGCCAAGACGAAAATGTCTTGAGCCCTCTCGCCGCCCATGGGTGCGCCTCTCAAGCAGTCTCTCAAGGCGACGATTCCGAGACGGATGGATCCTATGCCAGCGGTGTCGACAATCGGTTCTCAGTCGTTCGTGAGGGACGAACCCAGGTTGCAAAGCCAAGTCCTTCAAATGGTGCGTTAATTGCTGTGCTGTGATGTCTTTGTTTTGCTGACCTCAGCTGTAGTCCGTAAAACGCCAAGGGGTACACGACTATCAGCTTTGAGTCAGGTCGAATATGCCGACGCACGTGAGAATCCCGGATCAGATTCTGAATCAGGCCATGAGCATTTCGAAGACGCTCACGAACAGCTTGTAAGTCGACCTGAATACGGAAAGAGAAGGGGATCGAGCGTGTCGTTGCTGACTAACTCCACAAGCCGTCTTCTGAAGGCGAGGAGACCAAGTGAACGTTCATTGCTCACAGATTCGCGCTCAGCATGAGCTTGGCCCTTCTAGATTCACTAGGCTTCGCGTCCATTCCTTGGATCGACCATAAGGTATGCCATTATCATACACGTCAGCCCAGCACATGCATCGTGTTGCCGGTTTTTGAGAGACGAAGAGTCTGGGGTGGAGAGAGAAGATCTTTGAGCATCTGGCCTCTCGTCCCGGACGACTCTTCAGTCGCTCGTACTTATTATACATCTGCTATTTCGTCGGCTGATTCCTTTGTCCGGCGTGTCACGACCGATCAAAGAATTCCGACGCCGTAGTCCCGTGCACAGCTCTCCAAAAAAGGTCGGTTTCATGAGTCGGTTCCCAGGCTGGTTCTTAGTGCTTTTCCATGTCAACCGGTTTTGGGGGCCGTTGCCGCTGCAGCTTCTCCATTCACAGCCTTGTTGCCTAGTGGCCATCTTCCAGCTGTGTGCCCCTCGACAGGTCCGTCAATAGGACTGGGATCCCAACTGTGTCCTGTAGACGACGGTGAGACGGGATGATCGTGTATCTTCGCCAAGCGGGACAAGACGGCTGTGGAAGTGGGCGAAGGGTTGAATCGAAGGAATTGGGATGAAGTCTGGACGGGAGGCGTAGTATGAGAATTTTCCGCGGACGGCACAGCTACGTCGGGATGCGAGTGATCCGCCTGGTCAGGCGTATCAAATATCCCTCTTTGGACGGCATGCCGTGGTAGTGTCTTTGGCGTGGAAGGTGTAGTCTCCGGTGTACCGGGCATTGGTAGCGGTGAAGGTTCGAGGACAGCTACCTGAGGAAAAGAGTCAGCCTGGTATTCCAGATGACGCATCGTTCGGAAACCCACCCCGTGGGTGTAGATCGAATCTGCATCATCATCCACTTTGGTAGTCTCAGATCCATCGCTCTCTCTTCGCCGCCCTGGGAATATGAGGGATCAGTCTGTGAGAAGGCTGAATGGGTCTTCATAGACTCACAATCGCCCATTCCTCCCATTGCAAATTCTACTCCTTCTTTGCCCCCTTGCATAGGTCCACCTTTACCATATGCCCCTTCTTGTCCGAAACTTGGATACACATCTGCCAAGGTCCCTCGACGTCTCTCAAAGAACCTCCTTCGCTTTCGTCTCCATCGGATCAAAGCCCAGATCACGGCTCCGAGAACGGCAAACGCAACGAGGGTTCCGATCTGGCAAGCGACAGCGAGGGGAGCGACGGTCGATGAACATTTCAAGAATGGATGTCAGGTGATAGAGAGCAGGTTTGACACGTATGGACAGCGAGAGCGCACAGGTGAAGAAGATACAGCAGTCAGCGCAGCTCCTTCCTCATACACGCGCCGACGGCGAGCGGCCGACGCCGCTAGCCACGACGTCGCATACCATACTCACAATGATCCCGACGGTCGCTCCGGTCGTCAATGTCGTGGTGACCGTAGCACTGCTCCCACCCCATGTGGGTGGTGAGAACATTTCATTGCCTGTATCTGTGGATCCCCCTTGCGTTTCCAATGATTCTGTGTCGACAGGCGATCGGTTGGCATCCGTAGCGATGCCCACAGTTCGGCGAGTCGGCCGGGAGCTCGAGGTGCCGATCTCAAGAGGGGAAAGGAACATGATAGATACAGGCGCAGTAGGAATTTTTGACCCCACAAAGATGTCGGACGAAGGTTGAGATGGATGATAGACCGTTGAATTGAAATGAGTTGATCCAGATCCTTCGTCCAATCGAGTCTATATGCCAATGCCAGAATTGCAACTGCCGCTGAATCTTTCTAAGGGGCTCTTTGCAAGCACCGACTCCCCGCCTGTATCAAGCTAAAGAAAGCAGAGCACGCCAGTGTATGTCACCTTTTTTGCTTCTCCCGAACCGCTAGTTGGCTGATGAGGGCTTCTCGCCTAGTAAAGGTTTGTGCTCGCTTCCAAAGGAGGATTGATTCCCTTGCTTTTTGGAAGGACTGACCCTCGAGATGCTTCTAGCTGTCAGGCACTGTGATTCGTCCGCTGTGGATGAAGGATATCAAGTGTGCCAGTGTGCCAGTTCAGCCAGGATCGACAAAAGCCCATGGAAGAATGCTTGGTGCTGCCTGCTGCTGCCTGGTCTGATGTAGTTCATTTGGGCTGGAACTGGGAACTGCCACATTTGTGTCCGCCACTAGCGTCTTTTTTTTTTTTTTTTTTTTTTGGTTCTAACCTATTTAGAGTTGTTTACATTTTAGACTTTTTTTATATTTTTTCTGCAGTGGCACCTTTTTTTTTCTTCTCTATCCGCTCTAAGGCCATCCTTTGTGGCGGGGGCATGGTGGCACCAACCCTCTGGCGTCTGGCGATTGGCATCTTCGCTGCACCTATCAGGGCCGCGCAAGAGGTAGAGAGGTTCATTAGCGACCCTCGGTCTAGCATGGATTATCAGCTACCCGGTTCCTGGCAGACTTGCACACGGAACTTACAACCTGAACTTCTTGGTCGTGATTTCATTCCCATGTAATGTGTGAGTGGCGTTCACAGAGGCAGACAGACGATTTGATTTCATTAAGGCTGAATCGAGGAGCATAATCGCAGCAAAAGCGTAGCAAGCGGGAAAGTCACTTGCTCGCTCGCTCGCTCGCCCGGATCATGGTCATGTCATGAGGTTTCTTTCCAACGGCTACAGACGGCGATGACCATGACTCTCAAAGTCCAACTGCTTCACCGCCGGCCACACCTGAAATTACGAGTTTAGGGTCCAATTTGAGGCATGTACAACGCGTAGACGGCAAGGAGGAGGGCAAAGGCGTAAATGTCGCTCGGTGGAATACATTGTATTTCCTCCGCTAGAGGCACGATGATTTACACAGGGGGCCTTCTCATGCAGAAGCACATGATATAGTTGGCTGGACGTGCAGAGGTACACGAGTCCGTGCTTCGAGCTCCGTTTCTCGACGTTTCGCCGTTTGGGCGCCCGGCGTTTGGCGTTTTGGCGTCATCTCCTCCTCGCCCGTCTTCACGATAGCTGCCCCTTTGACCGCGTGGTCATTCCTGCCTCGTCGGTAGCGAAATCGTTAAACGTCGTGACGACATTTCTACGCCTCAGCTGATTTGAAAAGGCCTCAGCCTCCTCGCCTTGCCAGAGTGTCCAGCACGTCTTTCTCCAACATCCGACAGTTTATTCCCATCCGCCTGCCTTTCTCCATAGCTGGGGTCTTGGCTCGGCTTGCGCTGAGCCAATGGGTTACGCAACCGCACTGCGCGCATCGGCAGAACTCGATACGGTGATGAGACCATGTATACGATTGACATCCAGGTCCACGGCCGTATCGAGCCTCAGAGTCTGCAGGCTCCGCGCCAGTAGCGATATGCTTTGCTTCGGTCTCTTTGCGTTTTCTCTTTTGACCCGATGACTGGAATGTCGGCGTTGGGTCATCCGCCCCGCTGTGCCCTTCGATCGTATGCTCGGGCTCAAGTATCTGACCTGACTTGTCCCTTGTCCTGCCCTCCTTAATCTCCACTTTCACATCCCCTTGCAGATGATATGTCCAGAGACAACCATATCGATAACAGATGGAACATTCACACGGGTTTAGAGGCACAGTGGGTCGAGGAAAGGAGAGTCGGATTGAACCACAGTGGCATGAGGCAGTCACGAGTGGGGCTTCGGGATCGTTACGTTCGGATGGCATGGAGCAGTGAGGGTCGATCAGAGTGTATCAGAGCGATCACAGAATCGAATTTCGTGCGCAGGACGCGAGTCAAGTTGACTCGACGCGAGGCGTTTTGAGGGCGTAGCGGGACACCGAGGAGGAAATTTACGACGCCAGGCTGGCTATCACGCGAATGACCAAGGGAAGGCTCCAGTCGACAATTGAAGAGCGTGCAGTCGGTGAATGTGACTTTGCATGAACCCTCTGACTCACTGTCGCTCGTGGAGCCGCACTGACAGGAGGACATCACATGAGGACCACTTTGGTCCTACTTGACGTCCGTCAGGCATGGTGGCGGGGAACGGCGGGAACCTGTCGAATAATCCGTCAAGTGGAAGTACACGGAGTCTAAGATCAATCGAGTCGACGAGAGACTTGACCCAGAAGACTTCCATGTCTGATCTGGGGAAGTGACCTCGGTGAACGCATGCCTTCGCCCCCTTTCCACCCGCTCATCCGCTAGCCTGCCTCTGGCTTTTCTAAGTCTACCTCATCAATACTGCGAGTCAATTATGAGCGTGCATGAGATCTTTACAACACTACGGTGGGATCATTTATGCCTGACAATGTCCGATGATATGAAAATCATGTGGTGAAGCTGGCTTATTGCCCTGTTTGGCCCTCGCCTCCCTGCCCATCTTCTCCATTCTGCCTTGACCAAGTCGGGTCGTAGCTTGGTGGTAACCTCTCCACCTCATCTGACACTCTACCGGCATCCACTTCTTGAACGAGACCTCGATCACCTGCTCCAAGGGGAGCTCGTCGACGTCGCCGATTGGGAGGAACGGAGGACGATCCGACGGACCCGGCAGGTTTCTGCTCGTCTGATGCGACATTTGAAGTGTCAGATTCCGGTGACGTCGGCGCATCAAAGGCATTGGCAAGACGGAGTGGGCCGTTTTGGGCTGGTGCTGCAATCATAGGTGCCAGGGCAGGCGGTGATTGACGAGTATTGAGAGAGGTGCGAGATGTTTGCCCCTGTACAACAGTGTTCACCGGAGACGAACCCGGTGAAGAAGTGTTGGCGCGGCTGGACTCGATCTCTGCGAATAATGCTGCCTGCTTCTCAGTCATGGCTGCCAGTGTACTCGTGTCTGTACCACTTGAACTTGAGCCGATTGGTGTCATGTCTGTCGCTGCATCTGCGGACAAGTCAGAAGGAAGGAGGGAACGCCCCTTGAAGATTCGACTCACTAGAATGTGGCACTTCGGTCAATTGATATGTCCTCAAGTCAGATTCCTGGCTTGAGTAGCCTCCCCTGTTATCATCGACCTCAAAAGCGTCCGCGCCAGCTTTATGTCTAAAGTGTTGTCAGCCTCAAGTGAAAAGATAGCAACATCCGTCGAACACTAGACTCACTCGGTCAGAGGCGTTGGCTGAATTTCCTCTTGGCGATGTCTTCGTTTTCGATCGAAGTACCAGAATAGTCCAGCAATCAAGGCCAAAGCGGCCACCCCGCCGGCCTGTGTGATCATCAGCACGATACTTATGGCACACAAGCGAAGATTGGATTCACCATCCCACCGACAATCGCGCCAACATGTGATTTCGACCCTGTCTGATGTCCCGCGCCGGATCCGGAATCATTCACATTGCCTCCGGACGTGCTACTCGTACTATTTGAGCCTGAATTGATGGTACCGGAAGAGAGAGTGGTACTGCTACATTCAAATCAGCCTGGCAGACTGTCTAGGCGTGAACTCACTCGGCAGAGATGAATGTCGCGTAATTGAGCCCGTAGATGAAGCCACGCGGGGAGAGTTTCTCTACCGTAATGGTGTGATCGGTGTCGGGGTCGAGTATCCTGACGTATTGAATAACGTTGAGTCCATACCACGGTGATAAGCCTTCGCTTGGCTGAACGATCGACTGGTTAGCTGGAGGGTAGGCATTCGAATCCGCCGTATTCTGAGCTGCAGGTGACGAAAGCGAGACGGAGTAATTGCCATCTACTGGTGAAGCGTTGCCATATAGGATGACGACGGAAGTGTTGGTTGGCACTTGGAAGGAAAGCGTCGCATATTGTTCAGTCGTCGCCACTTCGATGCCAGCTTTGAGACACCACAATCAGTCGAGTACGTTATGGGCATGATGGCCACTCACGCTCAGTATAAGAGATATTAGTGACACCCCAGGAATCCGTAGTTGTACTTATAGCTTGATTGATAGAGAAAGGCCCATTGGAGCCGTTGACGAGGAGCTGGGACGTCTTGATACTGCCACTACGGCCAGCACAGGTCAGCAAGATCGAGCAACCGCCTGATGGGCTCACTTCAAAGGCATTGAGACTGTGAAACCCTCAAATGTGAACCTTCCACTTCCCTTGTAGGCCAGCTCGGCACTGTGCCAACCTGTTCCCAGATTCTCCGCCACGTTAAGGTAATCCTGAGAAATGTCCGACCCGCCCTCTGCGTACTCGTCAAAGTACGAAGAATTGTAAGGGCCGTAATTCTGTCCATTCACCGTGAGTTGAGTGGATCCATAACCTCCGACGGGTGGATCGTTGGGATTTGCGCGACCTCCTCCAGTAGGTCCAATGTAACCCAACGCATAGATTGCATCTCCTTGAAATTGGAAAGAGACGAGTGCTGATTCTTGTTCTGTCCAATGAGACGAAACGCCCTTTCCGACGATCAGATCGCCCTTTTTCAATGAGTTGAGAGAGGTATTGGTGTATTCGCATGTCCACGACGTGGTGTTATCGAGGCTGGTCCCATTCTCATCGTAGAAAGGTCCAACCTCGATGGGATCTTCATAAACTATCAAACGAGATTGGTCGGTGTAAGTGAGGTTGTAGAGGGCCAAGGCAGGGTGAAGGAGGAGGAGTGAGACGAAAGTCAATGATGGAAGTGAGCTCATGGGAGGCGATAGGCCCGGTCGCCTCGTGTTGAACAGTCGGAACGCGAATCTTCGAGGCGATGTTTCGAGACCACGAGCCAGCTAAATTGATCGGATCGCGAGTTGAGACGCTGTTCCTAAATCTACAGATGAAATGCTGATGATCTTGGACTTGTACTGATTCTCGCCCTTGGGTTCACACCTCCATTGAATGTTCGAGAGTCAATAGACCAATTATCACCCACTGAGGGGAGATCATCCACCAGATCCCATTTAGCAGGCGAGTTTCAAAAATAAACTTTTCAGGATTCGGTTCCATCGGCGATGACGGCGGTGCGGGCGACGAGCGACAGTGGAGGGCAAGTGGAGCGTGGCGGGCAGAAGACAGAGAGGCAAGCGGTACATGCATCGAATGGCTACATGAAAGATGGGTACGTCCGACTCATCACGTGTGACAGAGGGGTTAGATGCTAGTAATGGCAATTTAAGGGATCCTCAGTGTAACGTTCGCATGCTACCCCCTCGCGCTGTATGGCAAATCCATGAATTCGCCAAAGGGACTGATAGTGAATTCTGCTACGATATCCGATCGAGGACTGTGACTGGGTCCGAAGCTAGCACGGGGTCTGTCCCAAGAGTCGGGCGAAGAAAGGAGGGGCAATGGCGGAGGGAGATCCAGATCAACATGACTTGGAGGCCTCTGAGGTGGAGGTCGGTCCAGTCGCTGTCGTCTTTCCCACCCTAGACTCATGGAGATACGTCGAAGCGTCCCTTGGATGGTCGGTTGTCTTCTCAGCGTTTGAGAAGGGGCGTGGCGATACCTACCTTCACCTGAGATCTGGGGAGACGCTATGGCTCGTAGAGGTGATGGAGTCGGCTGACTAGGAATTAAGGACGCGAATGTCCCTCGCGCCAATCGTAATTGGCTTATCCTGGTGGCTTTGCCGATGCTCGTTGGATGATGCCCTTGACCAAATGGTAGAGAAGGATTGAGCAAAGTTTCAGACTGCAGCGAATCGTAGCTTGATCCTGAGGATAATGATAATCGAAGATTGGTAGAACCCTTTTCATCAACACTTGCTCGGATTGGCGGAAGAGGTCGAATCCAGGCGATAGGGTTTGGGGACGCAAACGAAGAGCTAGATGAGATGGTGCTGATGGGACGAATGACCAGTCGGTTCTTCTCGCTGTAGGAAGGCGTTAGGCTCTGATCGGAGCGCGGGCTCAAACCGCATGGCTTACAGGTCAGATCTCCGGGATCGGCGCCGCCTTTTGATCATGTAGACGCCTGAGAATAGTAGGACAACAAGGATGAACCAGGCGAACTGCAGCGATGCCAATTTCAGTCTGAGGCCCCGGCTGAAGACGAAGGCGAGGGAATGAGACGACGAAACGACTCACGGCTACCCCGACGATTACCTCTACGTGCTCCTGTGCCCATGTCACGGCAGTCTCGCTATGCGGCAACGTGGTTGTCGCCGTAGGTGGTTGAAGCCTGGGAGCTGACAGGGTCGGCGATCGTCCGGAAGCGGACGTGGACAGGGGATGGGAAGCAATGGTACTTGATGTTCGCTCCGCGGTGTATGCCTCGATCCCTCCGATGAAAACCAGTCGCGTACGCCCAGCTTCGGTATTCATGGAGAATAGATCTGAGAAGACAGTGTCGACCGGGCTCCCGAGCAAGGTCTTCTGAAGTCTTGACCTTTTCAGAAGGATCAAATCACATTAGTGGCATTCGGTGGATTACCATATATGCACCTCGCCTCTCTTCCCCCTAAGGCAATTCAGTTCGGAGTGAACTCTCACCGTCCATTACATTCGCTGATCCCATCGAACAGTGATGAAAGGTGCTGTGAGGGATGAATCGCCATTCATCAATTTCCATCCTTCGGTCTGGGCTGGGTGTGTCCGCCAAGCCGGTACAAGTGATCGGCATGAAATCGAGGAGTTGAATGGATCAGCATTAGTGGTTGATTATTAGTGGTCAGAAAGGTTATCCTTGTGTTGCCTGAAGCGGGTTTGGAGTGAAGCAGATGAGGCAATCTGAAAGCAGATAGCGTTTAAGATACGTGAATGGCCAGGGGCAGTCAAAGACGACCGGTTCGCCAGTCACTGCCTTTGGCCAGCACCTGTCGAATGCATCCTTTTGCGTGGATCTGAGTGCTAGTCCAGCTTCGACTTGGCGTATGGCAGCTGCGCAGCGATACGGACTTGACTGTCGCCAAAGCAATGATGCGACCTCATCTCAAGTTCCCGAGCTCATGCTTCGAACCGTTCTGAGATGTGCCAAAGGATCCTCTGGACGTTTCCGATGGGTTGATCCAACAGGACAAGCTTGATGCCCTCCTTCTCCTTGCATCTACGTAAGCAGTAAGTGAGTGGCTCTCAGGGCCGACTCGTGCCAATTCCAGCTCACCAAGTAAGGCCAATGAGTCCCCCAATGCCTGTAGGGTGCGCTTTCGCCCGCTGCAGTGATTCGATCGATATGCTGTGACGACAAAGGAGGTATGGTAGTGGTCGTCCAGAATGGGGCTGCTTGTTCCTCCATGCGGTAGTCTTTGGTTGTGGTGCTAGCGCGAATCCATCTCAGCTGGACTATCGACGAGGGCTAAACGGTGAAGATGTACTATACTCACGTTATGACGATCCCATTCGTGACCTGTCGGTTCCACATCAATAGTATCTGGCCCTCTGTCTCGCCTTTTACGTCTCGCTCTCGGAGCACACTTTGGACCGCCTCGTCCACAGGTCCACCTGTATGTCGGATGAGAGGGACCAAAGGGCCGAACGACTCAATCTTGATATCGTTTGCTTCGCACAGAGGTAAAAGGGACGGCATGTAATGGGGTCGAGAGTAGGGATGAAACTCGGCCTGATTCACGGCTGGTTTGATCTGTCGGTCCGGGTGAGCTGAAGAAGTTGAACACCTCAAAATGGACAGACCCACCTCGCAGTGATTCAGAATGATCTGCAAGGATTTTGAGCTAAAGTTTGATACGCCGATGGACTTGGCCAATCCCTCTCGCTTGATTTGCTCCATCTGTTTCCACGGTTTCATGACGTCCTCTGGAACAAGGATATCGGCGTGCAGCTGGCATCCTGCATCAGCAAGCCTAAGATATCTTCCCAAAGAACACACCAGGAACATGTCCACATGGGGAACATCTAGCTATGAGCCCATCAGTCTCGCTCGCCCAGAAGATGTCGTCTCCTGTCTCTTGACTCACGTCTCTGAGACAGACCTCCAAGAATCCCCTGGCGTCAAAATTTTCTGGATCACCATGAAAGTCTCCCCCTTTACTCGATAGATATATTTCTTCTCTCTTCTTCCCACTGGCCTTGATACCTTGAGCAGTAAAGGATTGGTTCTTATACCACCAAGCACAATCGAGATGGACAAGATCCTTGTCTAAAGCTCGTTGAACGACATTCGAGGTATCACCAAATGCTTGAGCTGTACCTGGAATCCCAGAGAGTCAGTCATACAGTGATCGGTTCACATCCGCGTATGCGATACATAACGCCTGCTGCAAGCCATCCTGGAGGAAGAACTCCCTTCGCACAGAGAGTATCAAACGGTTTCAATATCGAACAGCACAACCGAGAGACCCGAAATGACTTGCGGTGCCCGAATGACCGGGAATTCAAAGCCAGGACTCACCCGTTCCAAAGGCCAACACAGGTACCTCAGAGCCGTCATTCAGCGTGACCCGTTGCAGGACCCTCATGGGTACTCCGTCGCTGCCCATGTCCAGCATTCTTGCTCACTTGTGCAGGAAGAGAAGCAAGGATATTCCACAGCAGCCTCAGGTCCTTTGGACGGCCGAGGAGACCTCGCTAGTTCGTTTAGCGGCTTCAGACCCATGTGACGCGTAGCTCATACTCGATGCCTTAATGCAATGGATGTGACTATGATACAACACGACAATATAGCATGATTGCAGATGCGTATCATCCTCTCTAGTCATCGAAAAATGCCTCGAACTGGAAAACAGCGTCAGATCAGACCACTCTTATCCAACTCACCTCGCCATGTCCAGACTTCCTCTGGCTCTGTGTGCTCATAAGTGCCTCGTCATCTTCGTCAGTTCCCTGCCGTTGCTCTTCTTCCCGCATGATCTCCTGGAAAATCCCTTGGGCCGGCTCGAATGCCGTGATCTCTTGAGCACCTGCTTGCGATCCACCTTGCCGCCGGTCTTGCTGGTGCTCGTTGGCGGCATATGGACCATTTTGTCGGACTTGCTGGCTCATCGTCAACTCCTCTTCGAAATCTTCATCCTCTGCCTGATCTAGTTCCTGCGCCAGGGTATCCATATCGCCAAGGCCAGATATCTCTAGTAACTCCTGTTGACTCATGACTACTCTTTGACTTCCTGGCAATTGTGATCCTCCAGATTGATCTCTATCTCCATCTCGCTGAAAGGACATTGGATCTCGCATGGAATTAAAGACCACGGAGACATCTTCAGCTCGCTGTCCAGAAGACATTTCCAGTCTGCTTCGTTTCGTCTTCTGCTGCGATACCGAATTTGAGCGTGACGGAGCGTCTGTAGCCGTCCCGTTGACTCCTCGACTGTGACCCATCTCGAGGCCACTGGCTGATGACGAGGTTCGGGCCGGAGGTTGACTGGGCGTCGTGGAGGGCTTGCGATCACCATCTGTACCGGATGTGGCGACGTCCTTGAATGCCTCGCAAGTTGTTGTGGCAATCGCGCAGAAGATCGAGAAATCCCCCTGTGATCCCTGATCGTCACTGAAAGCGGAATTGAGAGTGACCGGTTGACTAGCTTCAGAGAATGCGATATTGAGGCTGATATTAAGCTGTTCGGCGAGATTGAGGGTAGCCTATCCCGGTGAGTCGTGACATCGACCATCAGAACTCACTCGAAACTCCTTCATTGGGATTGTCAGATCCACCCTGTCATACTCAACATAATAGCCTTCCTCAAATTCTCCAGGATCGATTTTGATCTCTGTCATGAGCGTTTGTTGACCCGTATCCCAGCTTTTGATCCTGACTTGGTTCCTCGTGAACATCCATCCGAGCTGGTTCTCGCTTCTTACGCTCAAACCTCCTGCTGAGCCCATGCCTGTAGGCGCAACGATAGCAAAGTGATCCAGCATGTCTCGGAGACTCTTGGCGGAGATGACGAAAAAAGAAGGCGTCGTGTCCGGGTTGACTTCGGCACGTTCAAAATCAGTTGCCGCGAGATGCAGAGAGTGTTTCTTCGTGACACCTGGAGTGACAGTCAGCCGACTCCCGCAAATTTCGTCTTGTCTATCTCACCGTGCTTGCAAACCAGCTTCATGATCAACTTCGCTTCGATTGCCCCAGCTTCGGCCTCTTCCTCATCTTCATAGTCTGCATCATCTTGGGTCTGTGTCCCATTCTCACGGCTTGCGGTAGACCTAGATCGCTGTCTCTTCCGGACGTGTAATGACTGATCAGGATCCACAATCTTGAGGTCGACCCGGTCCACATTGATCATGGAACCGCTCTTCCCGAGTACCGCGAGGACAGACTGCAGAATCCTGTCAGCAGCCCTTGTCGAGCACAATCCATCTTCAGCACTGACCTTTACCAGAAGCTGGCATGTTACTCCCTTTCTCTGCTCAGAAGGAGCTCCTAAAGCCTTGTATCTACAGAAAAAGGATGGACGAAGCTTGAATAGACAGAAAGCGGAACGCGTCGAGTTGGTCACCGCAAGCTCCCACTGATTCGTCAGAGGGTCAACGTCGCTCTTCATTGGCTGCTGAACTCTGATCAGACTTACAAGATCCTTATTGGCATGGATATTGAGGTCATCGCCAAACTTGGCTGCACATTGCAACAACCGGATAAAGTCTGGTCAGGATCAGTGAGTCAGCCCATTAGATGGGGGCATGGTGAACATACTTCTCAAGTTTGGCTCTCTGATGGAGGCCTCCATGGTGAGCAGAGCCCTGGTGTCCACATCTGAAGGATGAGGAGGTCGAGCTGGAAGTGGGAGGAAGGGTGAGATGGGTTGGTGAGCAATGGAATTCCAGCAATGTTGATGAATCAACCAGGAACGTGGCAGTGTGGCGATTTTGACCCGGATTGTGCTCAATTACAGCATAATACTGTACGTCAGATCGATGCACCTTGCCTATCTGAGCTCGCTAGAAACAGTAATCATGGTGGAGATGGTGCTGCGCCCGTCATTTGGCGCCCTCTCTAGCTCCCACTCTGCCGCTAGGATTTCGTGAGGTTGCCAGATCAAAACTCTGTCCCTCAACTTTGTAGCGGTGACCGACCTTAGTAGTAATAGATCTGGGACGACGGTAGTATGTCGAGCTCACGAAGAGATGATAAGGACACAACCTTGACAGCGAGCAACTACTGGTTGATACAATGGTAAGCGAGAAGAGAGAGCTGCTAGAGTGATCGGCTACGACACGAAAGGTGCATGCTGTGAGCTCTCAACTTTACAGACTAGTAGGTGCATTTTGACTACAAAGCTTTTGAGGCTGACATGATGAATCAGCAATAGCGAGCTTTGTATCACCAGCACTTGAAGCACGATGGGATCGCTTCATCCCGAGAATGTTCTTGATATCCTCCCTTCAACTCCTGCGCTGCCATCTGGTCAAAAGTAACCTCCCATTGATCATTCTCAGACCTCGTTACTCGAAACGGGAGGTTCGCGATGCCGGAGGACCCGGCCTGGAACCGATACAGCAAGGCCAAAGTCTTCTCAGAGGTTTCGTATCTATAAAGTTTGACCGATTTGATCCCCCTGTAAATCATGGTGAGCGCTAATTCACCAGACTCAGGAAATCTCTTCGAATGGCGTTCGGAAATTTGCCTCTTGAAAGATTTCAGGTAAAGATCAACCTCCTTGTTGAGCGATTCGGCAGCTCTACTCGCTGCCTCGTCAGTCAGGTTCCATTCCTCCTTCATCAACTCGGCAGCTTCTCCCTTAAAGTCACTCGACTCCTCGAGCTCTCTGTAACGGAGTTGGATATTCGATTCGACACTGCCAGTGACGGATGGGTCCGTTGGGTCCGTCCCAGTGACTTGCAGAGATTTGTGTTGGGGTGGCACACTGTATTGGCTCATAGTATGTGAAGAGTGTTCCTCCTCCTTGACTTGAGAGCTCATGAAGCCTGCTGCAGTGAAGTGTTGACTGTGAGTGACCTGTTCACAGTGAGTTCGTAGTTGGTGGACACGAGCAAGATACAGTACGAGCGAAGTTGTTCGTGTGTTGTATGTACACTCCCAGCTGCGCCTTCCTTTGCTGTCGGAGAGCATCACAACCGACCCAAAGGAGTGGATCATTGATTCTGGGACGGAGGAGGGGCAAGCGGGGAGCGTGGCAGGGAAGCTCGAGAACATCTGCCGCCTTCTTTGGAAGGGCGTGACGATATCGGCTGTACTCACTGTAGGGACGTTCGCCTTGCCGCCCTCGCTGAGTATCCAACAACGATTACAGTCAAGTGAGCATATTCTAGACACTCTGTACGACAGCTCCTAACCTAGTAAGAGGACATGGACCTTTGCAAAGGAGATGAGCTTCAGTCATGAATCAATGCTCTGTTCAGGATCATCCACTGAGGCTGGGGTTTTCGAACGTGTGCGGATCTGTCCTGCCGGTCGTAACTCGGGCTCGCCTCATCGTTGCATCTCACCCCAGAACACGCTACAAACTTGGACCTTCGCAAGTCAGCCCGCTAGCCTTTGCCTCTCCTGCACTGCAAAATGGTCGCTAATTGGGTTTCTCGGGTTCATCGTGCACCGTAGTTGCAGGTGCAGTGCCTCGAGAGTCGTCATTCTGATCGCTGCTGAGCTTTCCTTGAATGGGACCAAAGGACGGGACCACCCAGGTCTTGTCTCCTTCCTTGTCGCTCCAGTAAGCGTCAAAGGTGCTTATACCACCCTGACCGTCTTCACGCTCGGTCAAAAGCAGACTCAAGCCGTTCAAATCTTCTTTACCGGATTTTGGAAGTTCCTTACAGCCATAAAAGTGCCACTGATCCAAGTAAGTATCATCTGCGGAAGCAAACAGATTCTCCTTCAGCGGCTCTAGGGCCTCACGGGCCGTGTCGGCATCCAATCCCCACGACATTGTCATGATTGTTTCCACCTCCTCGTTAAACTTCTCTTCCGTCTCGCATCGGGTGTAGCTCAAAAGCGTATTCGACGCAGCGCCGTCTTCTGAGGCCGAAACATCGGTGACCACGATGTCGGGTATCGGGCGGGCTTGTTGTGACATGTTCGAGTTGCTGCTCATTTGTGATCGCTTCTGAGGCTCGGTATATCACTGAGACACGATCTGGACTGTAAGGTGCAGAAACTACGTTTGCGCCATCAAAAGACAGCTTGGAGTGTCTCTTAATATAAGAAACCCTTGACTCTGGAACTCGGTCGCCACCCAATCACAAAATGCTCCGAGATTGAGTGGTCGATCTCGACTACACTGAAAGGGGTTCTCTAGAACCGATTGAAAGCCTCTGAGATATTGACATTGAATTTGAAAGGAGGATGCTAGGATGGATTGGTCAGTAATTGACGGAGCAACGATCGGGATCATATCATCCAACTATACGTCGGTAGCTCGCGCTTTGTAATTGAGGTTTGATTGGCAAGATTGCCTATGAGTCTTGCACGAAGGCCTGAGTAAGTCTCGTTCGTCAAAATGCCACTGAGCACGAGCGTCAGTCGACTATAGTCATCCCCTATCCGCTGGGCGATAGCAGTGCTTGCTAGTTACCGGTGCACTGGTGTGGGCGAAAAGGATGCATACTGTACGTCCTGAGCTATCTCCCTGACGCCAAACACCGTGCGTATATTGTAATGTAGCACTCTTCTGGCTGCAATGATGTCTACAACTTCTGCGACGACCGCGGCTGACATCCTTCCCACAGATGATGACATACTGGCTCACGCAAGTGCGATTGAAGTCCCTCACCATGATCTAGAACGTGGGAGAACACTCTCAAAGCAAGCCCCGGTTCGATGCCAGATTCCCTGAGAGATCCCCGATGAATCTCAACGAATTCGACGTGCTCAACTGAGGGATCCTGGAGATAGTCCTGCTGAGGCGGCAAGAAGAAAATCTGTTCCAATCTTGGAGCTGCCATTATCCGTGCTACTAGAGATGAGGGGATCGTTCTCGAGGTGATGCCGTCAGACAGATCAACTCGTGCTCGTTGACAGCCATGAAGGAGCTTATGTTGTAGTCCTTGGATGGCTTCGAAAGTCAGAGATTCGAGCATGGGAAGCGGCGGCACGCAGATATCCTGCACCCATCAGAATGACGATCGACGGAGGTCTTCCTCACCTGCAATAATGGAAACCAGCAATCATCATAGTCCCACCTTAGGGTCAATTCTTTGACGTGAAGAAATCCTCCTCGTGCGTCAAAATCCCACATTGAGCTGAAGCCGACTTGCAATGATTGAATGGCTCTCGGTCTGAGATGTTCGACTACTGGTAACCAGAGCTTCGAATCATGCAGCATGGTGATGGAGCTGAGAGAGAGAGCCTCCAACGAAGGGAGCAGCCTCAGCAGGTCAACTACTACCATGAGATTACTCTTGCTCATCTTTTCCGCTTTGAAGTTCTTCAAGTGGGGGAGGACAAGAGTCGTATCTAGTCCAAATGGCCTGGGGTCAAAATGTGGCAAGCTTGGTCGGCGGAAGGTCAAGGAAGAAAGCTGTGGTGCAAGTTTAAGCAGCTGATTCAGCAATGGCGTGACCATGAAAGAGAGAGTGAGCTCCAAATGGGTCAAATGAGGGAGAGGGGCGAGGTTCTGGAAGGTGATGTTGAGATCTGATAGGATCGGTGGTGGGAAGCACGTCGCCGTCTGTTCTAGGCGGAGACTTCTCAGACTTCCAGCTGTGAGTTTCAAAGTCTTCGCAATGGGTTCTTGGACAACAAAAGGATAAAGGGTGACGGAGAGCGTCTTCACATAGGCTCGTCGATGATCGCATCCCTTGAGACTCGACAACAACTTCGCATGTTTCGCTCGGAGTCCTCGTTCATGATCGAACTGTCGATGGGCGCAGAAGAAGCTGTCTGCTAGGCTGCAATATAGCTCTTCTTCGGCGAGATACTGTAAAGGACGACTTGTCTGTGCCAGCACGAGCTGAGAGACCTGATCAAGTTGACGGACGACATTTCGAAGAATCTCATCTGGCAGAGACATCAAGCTCATTGAAGATGGGTCGATGGCGCAAAGTCGTGGACGGTGAATGTGTTTCAGTTTGACAGTGTAGAGGCAGGAGCAAGGGCGGCCAAGCGTGGTGCAGTATGAAAGGATCACATCTCCGAGAGTCGCTTTCCTTTTATGGTGTCCAGCAGAAAGAGCATCCAGCAACATGTGACAGCAAAGCTCCTCCTTTTTGACGACATCCTGGTGCTACAGTTAGCCTCAACATGAATAAGTCTTAGTGAGCCGTGTCGCAATCCAAACACTTGCCCTTGAGTCAGCCAGTCTAAGATGGGAGGCCCATTCAGGGACCGAATGCTGCAAACATATGTTTTAGCCTTCGACCTGTCTGAACCCATGCAGCGATACATCACTGCCACCAAAGGACTCATGTAGCGTCCTCCTTTCGGCGTCTCTCCCCATCCTTCTTCTTCTTACGCTTCACCTTTACTACCTGTATGTCCTTGACCGGTTCGTCTGCCACCGCTTTCTCTGCTTCGTCCGCTCTGTATTCCTCGGATCTCCCAGAGCTGACAACCGGCGCGCCGCTCTGAACCGACAGGTCCACAGCTGCGAGCCCGGATTTCGGAGCTGTTCCATCGTTGCCGTTCTGTATTCTTGCCCGATCGACATTCTCGGGCATTTCTCCGTGTCGGTCAAGATCAATCACAGGCGTTCTGGATTTAGCCTGATGCCTTTCAAGATGTGGAATGGATTGATCTGCATGGTGTGCGGTTATATCAGCCCATAGCAGCAAACTCAACTCATTCCAACTGACCTGTTGTGCCCATCTCTGTATCATCTAAATGGACAATCGGTATCTCATCAATGTCGTCATCATTGTCGTCCTTGTCGTCCTTGTCGTCCCTTTCATCATGGAGATAATATGGGTCATCTTTCGCTTTGGCCTTTCGAGCAGCTTTCCGCTGATAAGGATCAGCGCAATGAGAATCCTATCAACTCACCTTGGCCTTCTCGGCTTTCTCCTCCGCCGTAAGGACCGCACTGTCAGACTTCTTTCCCTTCCCTTTGAGCTTCTGCCCTTTCCGCCTTTGCTGATCTTCAAGCTCTTGCTGTCGGATGATCTTGCGCAGATCCTCCATACCTTTGCTGCCTCCTTCACCCAGATCAACTGTCGATCGTTCCTCTTCACTCTCTTCGTCCATATCGTATGACTCTAAGTCTGTCGGGAAGCCACCTCCTGGCACGATATCCAGGTCAATATTTAGTCCTTCTGGCGGCGAGATGAAAGCTTGAGCTTCAACAGCTACTGCATTGAGCTCGTGGGATGAGTAGAGGGGAGATAAAAGGAACAAGGATTTGGGGTAGGTTGGCTGATCTGAGGAACTGGTGTCGAAACCGCCGGAGACTCCTGGAATTTCGCTTTTCGTACTTGTGGCCGGAGGGCGATAAGAAGCAAGGTCCGCATCGATGAAGTCGAGCAGATGCGAGAGCTCGATGGCTCGTTCTTGAACTTCGTTACCAGAATGACTGTGCAACGACTCTACACCGCTGCGTATAGACAATGATAGACTGCGGGTTTCGGAGCTTGTGCTTGCAGACCAGCTTGATGACGCGGCAACGCAATACGAGGCAAAGATTTTGGCGACGGATTGGACGATGATGGAGACGAGGGAAGATGGTGCAATATGCGAGACGTGGAGGAGGATGGAGGAGATCACTGTGAGCGGTGAGGACAAGAAGCTAGCCAGGATATGTGAGTACTAAACTCGGGCGCAAGGCGGACTGCCTCACCTTGAATACTCGCCGCAGATCCAGATTGACGCCTCCAGCAGTCCCGCCTCAGCCTCATCTCCCACGCTCAATTCAGAAAGCCGATCATCATTCAGGCACCGCTCAAGAGCGCTGACAGCAAAAGGGCGGACACTCTTGACTCGTCCAACGATGTCAAACAGCAGATCGCGCACGTCCGCGCCGACACCTACGCGGCTCACAAAGGCTACGTCCACAAGGACGGATACAGCCCACTCGAAATCGGTCACATTCGCATAAGTGTCATGTGCGATGATTCCCAGAAGTCGCTGGGCCAGTAAAAGCCGATAGGCGGGGGAAAGAGTAATACGGGCTGAGGTCGCGGACGGGTCCTGTGATGATGACGCGAATGACGGACCCGCGAATGCAGCGAGGGTTGCTGCAGCGGTCGGCAAGCCTTCAGTGGCCCCGGAAGGAGCGAGATGAGCAAGAAGGCGATCCACTATCGACCGAATATTTTCTCGGTCCACCTGAGAGCAGGTCAGCAGCATTCTTCTGCCTGCGCATGACCACACACCATTGAGGAGACCAATTCTAGGGCTCTCATGCGGATTGAAATATCGGGATCGTCCAGGCTCTGTAGAATCTCATCTTGATACTCGACGATCATGTGCGGATGGGTCGGTATGATTTTGACCATGGCCAGGAGGGCGATATAGCGGACTAAACCGATCAGAGGTCCCGCCTTGTTCTCTTGCGGACTCAATCTCACGATTCTGATCCCCTCCTTCATCCCGCAGATACCCTCCGAGCTTCTCGACACAGACTCGAGCCAGTGGTTCAGCTTCGGCTCTGTCTGGATCCAACATCCCCCCAACGATACATGTTCGAACACATTCGTACAGCAAGGAGATGGCAGATGTAGACGAGATGAGGGATGTGATTGGAGGCAAAAGTTTGCGAACAAGTCGAGGCTCCAGAGGTGTAAGGATGGCGAACTGCCCTTATAAGCGGAGGCTAGGATAGTGTGACTCACCAATTTGACGACTTTGATGAGAATCCAATTGTTACTGCTGCCCGTTAAGATCCCGAACAGCTCAGGAGCCAAGGGCAGGTAATTCTTACCGCCCTGCCGCCTAGCAAGCTCCATGACGACCCCAACGGCGGCTCCGACAACACCAGAGTCATCGTCCGACAGCCTCTCTCTCAGTCTCGGGAATCCCTCACGCAAACCTTCGGGGAATGCCTCCCAGCAAGGTAGTAAACAGAGTACAGCTCGTTTCCGAACTCTCGGTGATGAATGTGTGAGGAGATGCAGCAGATCGGGATGGAGGGTGTGGGACAATGATGGAGAGAAAGCTAGCAAATGAGGGAGCGCAGTGAGGGGCAAAGGCGGCAGGGCAAGATGGGAGGACATGAGATCCTGTCTCGATAGTCAGAAAGGATTACTTGTCGGCCGTCTTACGACCGTACCTTTTTGATACCATTCACAGTCAGCACGACCTCCTCAGTGTCTCCTGTGAAAGCCATGGGAGCTGCAAGATATCCAAGCTCTGACAAGACCGTCAGACGGGCTCCACTGCGCCAGACTCGGAGGACTCACGTTTTAGATGGAACCTTGGCGAACTCATCACTTCAACGACGTGAAATGCGAATCCAACCGGAGGCGGGATAGGATACAGCATCATTAGCTGAGATCACACTCGATAAGCATTGATCCAACTGGAGAGACGCCAGCTCACATAGCACACTTTCAAAATGCCTTCTGCCTTGAGGGCCATGTCCTTCCCCTTGAGCTCGTCCCGGATCTCATTCATTGCCTCTGCGAGAAAAGCCTCCTCCTGAGCTTTGGAGGAGGCTTTATGGGCTCTCAAGCCTCGGATGAGGTCTTGTAGAGTCCTCTCGAACATGTCGGATCGCAGCAAGAGGCTGCCTTCGGCCCTCGAGATATGGTACAGTTGATCATCTTGCACTGTATATAGTGATTGATCACCACCGCGAGTGACGTCGAGCGGAGGTCGCCGAAAAAATGTTGGTGAGCGAATCGAAAAGTTGGCAGCAAGCTAGTTTACCAGTTCCACGTCCAGCTCAAGAGCACAGATAGGGTGTATCACTCTCCAAGAGCTGCTAGGTATCGACTGAGCTGCTCAATTAAGCACTCTAGAGGCTCCGAGGCTCTGATACCCCACCATGACCTCTCAGGATGTAGATCGCATCTGCCGCACTCACGTTTCGACTGGAGACTTGGACCCCCCCGCTGATCTGCTGCTCGGTGAGCGGTCCGTCTGCAAGCTCGTTTCAGCTCATCCTTGACCATGAATAGCTCTCAACGATGGATCAATCATCTTGTCCTCCGTCGTCAAAGCTCTCGGCGAATTCCTGACATCCGAGGAAAATGCTGTCCGGTTGAAAGGTATTATCTGACTAATGAATCGGGATGCTCACATACTCAGGTCTGACCTTCCTATCGAACATTGTCAAACAGATGTCGCCCGGAAAGATAAATAGGGCTGCAAGTGAGCTGGAAGCTTTTAAATCACGCTGAACATGTTCTCACAGCACAAACCCTGACCAACTTCTACACTTCGAAGCTGGACGAGTTCGACGCACTTGTGCCGACACTGGAGACGCTGATTGTGCTTTCGAAACTGCCAACTTTTGACGATGAGACAGCGATCACCGTGTACAAAGCGTGAGCGCCCCGGACTTTCCTACTAGCCCAAGGTCTGATCGTGCCTGAAGGATCTCCGAGCAACTGAATATGAAGGCATATGTTCAAGCTGTACGCCACGCCGTATACTCTGTCTTGGACTCGCTGATCGCTCTTCATCGTAAAGGTCAGTCCCTGGACTCCCTTCTTGCCGTGTACTCACGCTCCTTAGCCCTGAAGAATCTCGGCGCGGAGTTCCTAGAAAATTATGTCAAGCTAGTAGATGGAGAGAAGGACCCCCGCAACCTGATGATGCTTTTTGCAATGGACAGGGTCATTCTCCTCGAATTTGATGTCGAGCCGATGATTGAGGTGCGCCACACATTGGATGTTAGACACTCATACAGCTAGGAATTCTTCGACATCACCTTTTGCTATTTTCCCATATCATTCCGACCACCGCCGAACGACCCTTATGGCATCACCGCAGATGATCTCAAGCTGTCTCTGCGGAGGTGTATCTCTGCCTCGCCACATTTCGCCAAAATGGCCATACCGCTATTCTTAGAGAAATTCTCTACTTCCACTGGGCCGACAATGGTATGATCCTGTTGAACATTGCTCGATTGCTGACTGGTTTATAGAAGGATCTGATGCTGTCAATCGCGGCTTGTCTGCCGACTTATGGCGCAGCGGCCGTTCAACAACGGGGAAATGAGCTTTGGGAAGGCATCAAGGTGGAAGTGCTGTACTCCTCTGACACGTCAATCGAGGCTGCTGGATACCAAGCACTAGAGGCATTGATCGCCACTATATATCCTACAGCTCAAGATGTCCCATCAGGATTAGCTCAAGATGTTATCAAGCAGTGCATCGAATTTATGGAGGATCCTGAGAAGAGTCAGGCGATCGCAGCAGTCAAGGCTCTTGCTGCTGTTGTGCGAGCGTCCCGTGAGTTTAGGTTTCGAGTGTCGACCACTCCCTCACAAAGAATGTCTCAGCTTCCGCCGGTCCATACGCCCTCTCTCAAGTCTTGCCCTATCTGTTCACGAAATTCAATCGACCTGCTGTACCGTCTAGTCGAGGCTCCATCCTCGCTGCCATCAGTTCACTGCTCGCCGCCGCTCGATCAGTGTATGGAGCTCCCAAAGCTAAACGGCATCAGTCAGACGAACGCAGTCTATCGCCGTTCCGAGAAACACTGGTCGATGTACTACGAGAGGGGCTGAGAACAGAGGACCTCAAGCTGCCCGCGGCCAAAGGGACAGTATCCCTGGTCGAGATTCCTGGTCTGATCGGGCGATCAGAGGTGGAAGATCTAGTGCGGAGTTTGAATGACGCCCTTCTGAATGACAGAGACGAACAAGTCAGGTAAGCCATGTCACCATAACAGAGCTAACGCAGCTCAGATCGTCAGTCGTCCAGAGCTTGCTCAGCATATCCAACTCATATTCCGATATTGTTGAAAGTACGACACTGCCACTCCTGTTTCACAATCTTCCCGATCGAGCACCCAGCACGTCAGATTCCGACACCAGAGATCGATACCGTCGTACACTGAAGTCTCTGACGAGACTGTGTGTGTCCCCGTCCTTTTCTGAAACCCTCTTCATCCGGATCCTTACCAAGTTGGAGCTTTTGTCAACGGCACCGATGATTGAGAACTCAGACGGTGATGATGTTATGAATGGCGAAGACGGTGTCGACGAGAGGGAGTGTAATGTCGCATACTCTTTCGAGCTACTGATGTGCCTGGTGGAAGTAGTGGAAGAAAAGATCGCATCAAAACATGCCGAAATCGCGAAATACTTTGACAAGATCATTCCACGGCTTCATGGTCTCCTAGTCGGGGCTGCAGCTCCAAGAATAGGTCTTTCACAGCCTCTGTTTCGGAACCGCCGGATCTTGTCGCTGGTAGCGGATCTGACAGAGACATTGACGCGGGAGCTGAGCATCGAGTAAGTGGAACTCTTGTGATGGAGTTTATGCTGAACGGACCAAGGCGCCAATCAAAACAATTCCTAGACTTTTATTCCGCTTTTGAGAAGGGCCAAATAGTCACTATATGTCACGATCCCACTCAGGCCAGAGGTCTGAATGGATCACCCTTGAGAGTGAGTGGTCACGGCTCTGGACCGTTTTCTTTTTGCTGACGAAGTATCAGCATGGTGCTGCAAGTGCTGAGGGAGATTTGATTGCCCTATACGCTTCCACCGTCTGTAGCCTCAAGGCGGATGTCAGTTCGGTTGAAATCCCATCGCACACACCACTAACGCCAATCAGGCCGCTGCACCTTACCCTTCTGCCGATGCCTTCTTCTCCTCCAAAATACACTGGGCGGTACACGAGGCAAATAATAATTGGCAGCTGAGATTCGCTCTGTGGATGATAACATTCTTCGTCAACAAGCGAGAAAAGGGTCGGTACCTTTTGTTGTACCTAGCTGACGACTTCCCCAGAGCTTGGAGACTCTCTTGATAGCATCTTGGAAGCTGTATGGGTGAAGGAGGTCGTCGAAACTTCGCTGCCGCTAGAGACGCGATGTCGAGCCCTGTCCGTTTATCTTCACGTGAGGCGCGCTCGCTACCCATTGATGTCATTCTAAATTTACTACAGACAATCAAAGGTCTGGTCGTGCTGCGCAGTTCCGTAGCATACGCTGCGCTCGAACGGGTGATTGATGTCCTGAAACTCTCAAGCTTTGATCCAGCGTTTGTCAACGAGGCGGCGGCATCATTCGGTATCTTATCAAGCACCGAAAGCCGAGACAAATCTAGAGAGAAGCACTTATCCACGAAGGTAGGTAGTGTCAGTTTTGTGACAAGCTCGTAATCTGATTTGATGTAGTTGTTACACGCACAGAAGTTATGGAACTACTTGCTGCCGAGGTTGATAGAAGGTGACCAAGACGCAAAAGGTGCGTGAGCGTTCCAGTCTCAGAGCTGAGCCTTTATCTTAGGCCGTGATCGATTGCCATACCTCGTAGCCATATCCTCCCTCCTTCCTCTAGTCCCAGCCTCACTCTATCTCTCAGACTTCCCTCGCGTGAGTCAATGCCCGAGCTCGTATTTCTAGGCCTAACTCATGTTGTCACCCAGATATTCTCTCTTATCCTCCGATCACTACAACTCTCGGAGCCGCGCCAGCGTACTAACGCTGTCTCCGCCCTTATTGCCATCCTCGAAACACCAAATCACTCGACGGCAGTTGACCAAATTCTGCATGAGAGAGCGGGAGACATGGTGACAAGCCTCTTACAGTGTAGCATAAGGGATGGGGAAAGCTCAAAGTCATCGGGAGTGAGTTTAAAGTTTTATTCCTGCCTACCAGAAAGTTGACGGGGAATAGATCCTGCGATCCACAGCTTTAAGATGTTTGGCGATGATACCGGATGTGATCCGTTTCGATATCCTACGGTCGCAGAAGGCGGTGGTCATACGAGATCTGGGTCGGACATTAGATGATCCTGTGCGTGCGGTCAGAAAGGAGGCGGTCGAGTGCAGAGCCAAGTGGTATGTGCATTAGCTCGGTCTGCGTTGCGTGCTGAACATTGCTTAGGTTCCGCTACGGTGCAGGTGCATGAGGACCTGTGAGCCGAAAACTGATGACTGTATGATTGAACACACCCTGCATGCATGAGCGCATAGTTCATCGATCGATGTGTGCGGTACCAGATCTCCCAGCAGAGGGATAGAAATGAGAGGAATTGATCAAAATTCACAGCATTGGCAGCTGAACGAGCATTGTATACCGTCAACGTCCCCTCAGCGGGCTCCTGATTCTCTACACCGAGCTCATGCGACCTGACTGCACTGCTCATCAGGTCTTGCTCGTTGGCCATCATGCAAGTAGATTTTAGATTCCATCTTACAGCGGAGAGGGGCCGCCACAAACAGATGCAGTTGCAAAACGCCACCAAGCTTCCGTCGCTGTCAACCGTCTGTCAATAATCATCAGAATACCTTCATCTGTTCGAAAGAACAAGGGTGAAATCATGTCTCATTGTGAGCAGACAGGACTATGCTCTTGATCCTTGCTTGTGCTGATGTCTGCAGTCCGCCGCAATCAGGGTCGTTTCTCTGCCAATACGGCTTCGGAGGCGTATCAGCGTCAACTCGCGACGCCGTGAGCCATGCAATGTGAACGTAGTACATCTTTCCTAACGATTCATGTCAGTGTACACAAGTGGAAGAAAGCATGGGTATCCCCAACGGGGCTACAGCCAGAAAGCTCTTACAAGGTGAATACCTAGCTAGGGAGATGCGGTCTGAAAAATTGACGCGTTGCTAGATCTGCAAATGGGTCAGAGTGCCGAAGGTGAGATCACCTTGCGCCCATCCGTTTGTACGAGATTTTAGCTAAAAACTACCCAGGATGAACAGGATGGGCATGAAGATGAGGGCGAGGAGGCGCTCGACGAAGATGACGAGATGAATGAAGGGGATGACAATGAGAATGAGGATGAGGAAGGGGAAGGGGAGGATCAAGGAGAAGGCGACGGTGATGGTGATGGGGACGGTGAAGGCGATGGCGACGGCGATGGCGATGGTGACGATGAAGGGGACGGAGAAGGTGAAGGTGATGATGACGGGGATGAGGGCGGAATGGACGCAGAAGATTCCCAGCAAGCAGAAGTTCCAGCACAGGCCACTCAACTGGACCAAAACCAAGCGATAGCCTCCGCCTCTGGCGAGACCAACCAAGCACCGCTGGAGACATTGACTGAGCTTCCTGAGCCTTCAAATGTCCCATCAACTCTCAAGCCTGATACGGTGGACTCTGAAGGTCGAAGTCTCGCGGATGCCTCTACACCACTCGAACCTGCTGGCTCTGCGGCTATTACGCACACTGAGATCCCCAGCAACGCCATGGAAATATCAAACGTCGCTCCTGGTCACACTGAAGAAGGTCAAGGTGATCTAGGAACATCCGACGCAGGTATCGCTGTCAAATTGCCTGAGCCTGCGACCGGAGACGTTGAGATGGGAGAGGCTCCAGCCAACGCCGAGGTGGCCGATAGTGCGCCTAGGGTGGATGAGGGACTTGTACATGGAGAATCCAACCTACCAGAGGGCTTAGGCGATGGTGCTCCTCCCCCTGAAGTTGAAAAGCAGCCCTAGTCGCTGCCTGATCTGCATGCATAGCCTCTGAGAACACCATGCCCCCCCTCCGTCCTTCAAAGGTGCGCTTGCGCTATTTGAAAATTTGCTTCCGCCTCACCGCAGGGGCAGAATTTGTGCTCGTCTCTCGTTCCAGGTAGCATTCGCTAGCCAGAGCGTTTGAATCCATTGTCATCGTTCTAGGACCTCACACACGAGTCACCTGCAGAGCTCATCACAGAGTGCTCTCTTACCTAGCTCGACTCCTTGTACTCGCCTCAGGTACGCCGACTAACAGCGACACCTGTTCAGATCAACTGCAACTCCCTTGTCCAAAACCCCTCTCTCGCTAGCACAGCAGCCATGAGTTGGCAGCCTCAGCAAGAGGGCCTCAATGAGGTCCTCGCGATGCTGAGGCAGACGTCAAGTGGGAATACAGAGGTGCAGAAAGCGGTCGCTCAGGTGAGTCCAAGTCTCTTGAGACCCATATACCCTAGTCCTGCCCACCGATCATCCTCGTTACTTATTTGCTGACCATTCCCGGGCACACAGCGGTTAGAACAACTTCGATTTGTCCCCGATTTCCTCGCTTATCTTGCTCATGTCCTCATCTTTGCGACGGGTGAAGAGGACTCGCATCGAGCCATTGCTGGACTCTTGTTGAAAAACTCAGTCAATCAACGAACGGGTCCTACCTCTGGAGAAGCAGACGAGAGAGCTATGGCATATGTCAAAGCTACTATACTGAGAGGTTTAGAAGATGGGGATACAATGATCAGACAGACGGTCGGAACGGTCATCTGCAGTTTGCTGAGCAATGAGGAAGCTGGAGCATGGCCAGAGGCTCTGGATGCTGTGACAAAGGGAATGTCTGCGCAGGATATCAATGTCGTCGAGGTGGGTCATGTCTGAGGGACGCACTCTCTGACTTCTCGATCAGGGGTCCTTCAATACCCTGGAAAAGATCTGCGAGGATTGCCCACACAAACTCGACTTTACGATCCAAGGCAGAAACTTGCTGGATCACCTCGTTCCAGAGTTCATCAAATTCACATCCCATTCTCATGCCAAAATCCGAATTTATTGCCTCGAGATCATGCAGGCGCTATGCGTCATTCGTGTACCTGCCGTCACCGCCAACATCGACCTTTACATCCAATCCTTGTTCGAACGGGCCGCAGACGATAACTCGGACGTACGCCGCCTGGTATGCGCCGCTCTCGGACTCATCCTCAATACGCGTGCCGACAAGTTGGTCCCAGAGATGAACAATGTGGTCAACTATATCGCCTACTGTACAAAGGATGCCGACGAAACGGTAGCCTTGGAGGCTTGCGAGTTTTGGCTCACTTTTGCGGAAGATCAAAATCTGAAGGACCAGCTCAGACCACACTTGGCGAAGATTGCACCGTTGCTTCTACAGGGAATGGTCTACTCAGAGTACGATTTACTCTACCTCGATGTCGACGAGGACGATGAAGCTGTACCGGACAAGGAGACAGACATCAAGCCCAAGACTTACTCGTCAAAAGTCCATGCCTCGCACGAAACCAACGACCCATCATCATCCGCCACTGGAGGTGCTGGAAAGTCGAGAGAAGCTGGCGACAAGGCCCTCGAGGACGAAGATGATGAGGAAGACGAGGATTATGATTCGGATGAAGAGGACGATTCAGCTGGAGAGTGGAATATCCGAAAGTGTTCAGCCGCCGCTCTTGATGTCATGGCGGTATCGTTTGGAAATGATCTACTGGAGATTTTGTTGCCGTACCTTAAGGAGAGGCTTTTCAGCGAGACTTGGACAGAGCGGGAGTGCGGAATCTTGGCTCTGGGCGCAATAGCGGAGGGTGAGCTGGTGGACCTGTAGCAACATATCTACCACTGTGCTGACTGTGCCACAGGTTGCATTGATGGCCTGGAGCCGCATCTGCCCCAGCTAGTGCCCTGGCTGATCCAGTCTTTGAAAGACACCAAGGTGAGGCTGACCATTCAGATCTGCCCTGACGTACAAGGCTCTCATCCGCTCGATCACCTGCTGGTCGCTTGGCCGATACTCCAGCTGGTGTGTCCAGACTTCTCCAGAGGACAAAACACGCTTTTTCATCCCGGCGATGGAAGGACTCCTGCAAATGGTGCTTGACGGGAATAAGCGTGTGCAAGAAGCCGGATGCAGTGCATTTGCAACCTTGGAGGAAGAAGCCGGAGCGCAAATTGTTCCATATCTCGAACCCATCCTCCGCAATCTCACCTTTGCATTCAACAAGTACCAGCAGAAGAATTTGCTTATCCTGTACGACGCCTTGGGAACGCTTGCCGACTCGGTCGGATCTGCTCTTGGCGCACCATTGTACCTTGAGATTCTGATGCCACCGCTCATTGAAAGATGGGTCAAGTTGAGCGACAACGATAATGATTTGGTTCCCCTTCTCGAGGTGAGCAAGAGCTACTGTATTTGAATCTTGACTCAATTTGTCATCAGTGCCTATCATCCGTTTCGATCGCCGCTGGACCAGCATTTGCGCCCTATACGCAGCCAGTCTACCAGCGTTGTCTGACCATCATTCAGACATGCCTCCAGCAGTTCCAGGTTTTCCAGCAAGACCCTGACAACAACGAGGAGCCAGATCACACGTTTATCGTCGTCGCCCTGGACCTGCTCTCTGGTTTGACACAAGGTCTAGGAGACCACATGCATCAGCTCATCGCCACGACCGAGCCCCCTCTGCTCAATTTGCTGGCCTCGTGTCTTACGGTGAGCGCTTGCATTGACGCATGCTCAGCGGCTGACGCTTTGCAGCACTGGGAGCCTCCGATCCGCCAGTCAGCGCATGCTCTTCTCGGTGACATGGCCATCTCCTGTTTCCCCATTCTCAAACCAGCGATCTCAACCCTCATGCCTTTTGTCACCGAGCAGATCGTGGTTGACCCCATGCCTGACTGCGTTTCAGTCTGCAACAACGCAGCTTGGGCGACTGGAGAGATCGCTCTCCAGTACAACGGCGATTCCGCTGCCCTGGATCCCTTCATTCCAGGCTTGATACAGCGTTTAGTCCCTATCTTACTGAATCCGAAAGCCCCGAAATCACTTGCAGAAAATGCAGCAGTGACCATCGGTCGTCTGGGTCTGGTCGCTCCTGCTACCGTTGCTCCTGGTCTCCCTACATTCGCTCAGGCTTGGTGCACCGCTTTGTGGGAGATCAAGGACAACGAAGAAAAAGATTCGGCGTTCCGTGGATTCTGCATGATGATCAGTGCCAATCCATCAGGTATAGAGCAGGTGAGTGGCGCACTTTGTATTAAGCAGCGGACTTAAGTCATTACAGAGCTTTGTCTGGTTCTGCAACGCTGTCTGTAAATGGCAGCATCCCTCAGCCCAGTTAGATGGCATGTTCCGCACCGTGAGTATTATCCTTAGCACGCTCGACAGCCAATGACGGGGATCTCAGATACTTCAAGGCTTCAAGAACGGTCTCGGACCCACTTGGGACCAGACCGTCGTCTCGTTCCCGCCAGTCATCCGTCAAAGATTAGCCGAGCGATATGAGGTTTGATTCCGACATCCGTCAACATGGACCTCACGATACACGGCCCATACAAGCATCCTATACCCTTTGAGATATCTCGCAACATACCCAGCCGCCATCTATACCCCAAGCTCCAGACGTCCAGGACATTTCTTGTAGGCAACACCAGCATCGATACCCCGCGTTCCGGCTCTTCTCCCATCGTAGCATTGTTTCTCTCGTACGTAGCATCTTCTTCCATAGCAAAGACTGGATCAGGCAAGCAGCATGGCGGCTGCACATGAAGTACGGTAGATAGCATCGTAGAGTAGATCATATAGATAGGTCTGGACAGACTCATTCACTGGAAGTCAGAGGGTCACACAGCTGGATGTAAGATACTCTTCGTGTACAAATTGATGACGTAATCATTCTCATCGTTGAGACGCGTCGGGTGACAAAATCAACAAACCGCCATTATATTGACACGAAGTTATCGTCTAGTATTCACCTAGGATCTGCTCTCCCAGCTGGTTCACTAGGGTTTGAACGGCACAAGATGCCGCCGAGAAGATCAGCAAGGACTTCGACGGCTTCTGCGTCGACGAAGGCCCCGGTCTCGACACGTACAACGGCCGCTGCGCCTCCTCGACGAACTAAACGGGTCGTCTCACCTACACCTTCTGCGTCCGATGATGAATTGGCTGGAGGTCTGGAGGACGAGGAGGACGAGCAGGTACCAGCGACATTAAAGAAATCTGCATCCAGACAGGCTGTTGCGATGGTCGGGAGAGGAAAACCGCCGAAGGCCATTGCTAAGCCGGTGGCTGCTACGGGCCGTCGAAGAAGTACAAGGATATCGTCTGCAGCTTCTATCTCCTCGAACGCTTCTGAGATGGAGTCTGCGGATGGAGATACGACAGCAAAGTCTGTATTGGAGGAGGACGAAGACGAAGAAGAAGTAGAGGTCAATGAGGAGGAAGAAGAGGAAGAAGAGGAGGTGATTGCAGCGCCAAAGGCTCGAGGTCGTAGGGTGGTGTCGGGCGCCAAGAATCAGACCAAAGCTGGAAAGGCGAAGAAGATTGTGCACTCCGAAGAAGACGAGGAAGAAGAGCCAATCGAAGGCGGCGAGCCATCGTCTCAACATGGAGCTGCGATGCCTCCAAATGCGAGTGAGGCATTGGCAGACATGACCGACAATGAAAAAACTCCAGCACCTCCAAGAGCAGTCTCTGGTGCTGTTCGACAACCTATCTCCCCAATTAACGGTGAAGATGACGAGCCTGCTGAAGATGCTATGCTGGCGCCTGCCCCTATATCTGAAACCCAAGTCCCAATCGAGATGAAAGGTAGACCTCCCATACCAAGGTTGCGACTCGATACAGACTCGGAAATGGACGTCGAGGAGGCGGAACGTACTATCAGACTAGACTCGACGTCTGGCTCACCTCCACCTCTCGTCAACATTCCACCACCTACGCCGGGTCGTACGCCCTCTGCATCTCGCCTTGGGCCGCCGCCGACCCCGGGACCAAGTCAAAATCAATCGCAGCCTCAGCCCTCGGCCAAACCTAAACCGCGATTGACCATTCACAAATTGGTCCTGGTCAACTTTAAGAGTTATGCTGGAAGACAGGAAATCGGACCGTTCCACAAATCTTTCAGTGCGATCGTCGGACCGAACGGAAGTGGGAAGAGTAACACTATCGACGCTCTTTTGTTTGTCTTCGGATACAGAGCGAGCAAAATGCGTCAAGGAAAGCTCAGCGAATTGATACACAACTCAGCGGGCAAAGAAGGACTCGAGTCATGCTCGGTGGAAGTTTGGTTCAGGGAGATTGTTGATCTGGTGGGAACAGAATGACGGCCGGACTGACCTGAGCTAACCCCCGACAGCCCGGAGTGAACGATTTCCTTCTAGTGCCAAACTCACAGCTGGTTGTCACCCGGACTGCGTATCGCAACAACTCATCAAAGTACACCATCAACGATAGGACAAGCTCTTTCGGCGAAGTCACGGCATTGCTCAAGGGCAAAGGCATAGACTTGGACCACAATCGATTCTTGATTCTCCAAGTGCGTAGCTGAGAAAAAACCATAGGAAAAATCATCTGACGTCGTCCAGGGAGAAGTCGAATCTATCGCGCAGATGAAGGCAAAAGCGCAGAATGAGCACGAAGACGGACTGCTTGAGTACCTCGAGGACATCATCGGAACAACGCGATACAAGGAACCGATTGAACAGGCAAATGCAGAGGTGGAGACATTAAACGAGGAAAGAGGAGAGAAGATGAACCGTTTACGAGTCGTTGAAAGAGAAAAGGCCGCTCTAGAGGTGGGTTTCGAGCGGTCTCGCTCTCCGAAAAGGACTGACACTGCAACAGGAAAAGAAGCAAGAGGCCGAAGGCTTTCTTCGCGACTCGAACGAGCTCACGAGGAAGAAGTCTTTGCTTTGGCAATTTCACATGTACACTCTGCAGAACAACCTTGACATCACTTCCAGCGCGATCGTGAGTGACCAATTTATGATCACCAGCACACGATCTTATGCGGCGTAGCAATCTTTGACGGCTCAACTGGCCGAGGAGCAGCAGAAGAATGCCGGTCATCTAACCGAGATTGACGACCTGCAGAAAGGCTATGATGAGAAGCTGGCAGCGTTCGAAGTGCGTACTTGTGGATGATACTGCTCCCCGGCAAGGCTGACACCAAAATCAGGACGTCAAACGTCTTACGGACGCACTCGTTAAGGACTCCAAGAAATTCGAGAAGGAAGAAGTCGGGCTCCAGGAGAAGAAGAAGCACTTGTCCACGAAGCAGAAAAAATTGAAGAAGACGATTGCAGAGGTGAGACTACAGCTTGAACGGAATTTCAGTCATGCTTACGACCTCTGGAGGATGGTCACGCACGGTCCGAAGCTCAGGCGACGATCGATAATTTGACCTCTGAGCTGGAGGCGAATCGTAATAAGGTGACGACTCTCGAGACCAAATTGGCCGCAGAAGAAGCGGAGCTAGAAGAGGTCAGAGACAGCCTGAAAGGTGATCGAACCGACCCATAATGTCACCAGCCTCCACTGACCCGTGTTTCTAGACAAAACGGACGAGTTCACCGATAAGATCGAAGTCAAGCAACGCGAGCTAGAGCCTTGGACAGCGAAAATAAGCGAGAAGCAGTCTGCCATCGACGTAGCTCAATCTGAGCGGGACATGCTAGTCGAGAAGGCGTCGAGCGCTGCAGCAGCTCTGGATGAAGCTCGAAGAAATCTGGAATCCCTCAGAAAAGGGGACGGAAGCAAGCATGAGGAGTATGAGGAGCTCAAGAAAGAAGCCGTCAAGGTCAAAAAGGCCCTCGCAGGTGGCGAGCAGGGTATAGAGGTGTGTCTCGCCGTTTTTGCGAACAAGGATCCCAGATGACCATCATCTCAGTCGATGACGGCTCAAGGCGAGCAATTGCGCGCCAAACTTTCATCCGCGAGACAGAAGATGGACGATGCCAGGGCTTCGCTCGCAGAGGACAAATCGGAGAACGCCGTGTTGAGCGGTTTGAACAAGCTCAAGGACCAGGGCAGGATCAAGGGCTTCCACGTGAGTGCCGGGATAGTCCCATCGGCGTCCGCTGACTTGCATCAGGGCCGCCTGGGGGACCTCGGTGTCATTGATGACAAATACGACGTGGCGGTGACGACCGCGTGTGGAGCACTGAACAACTTGGTGGTCGACACTGTGGAGCAGGGTCAAGCCTGCATCGAACATCTGCGGAAAGGCAATATTGGTCGTGCCTCTTTCATGGTTCTGGAGAAATTGCCACCGAGAGATCTGTCAAGGATAGAAACACCTGAAAACGTTCCGAGACTGTTCGATCTCATCAAGCCCAAAGATCCCAGATTTGCTCCTGCCTTCTTCAAAGGTGTCTCAAACACTCTGGTGGCGGAGGATCTCGCCCAAGCTCAGCGAATCGGGTACGGCAAGAAACGTTGGCGAGTAGTTACTTTGGCTGGCCAGCTCATCGATCCCTCTGGTACAATGTCTGGAGGTGGTAACAAGGTCTCCCGTGGTGGAATGAGCAGTAAATTTACCGCAGACAAAGTGGCTCCGGAGGTGGTAGCTCGGTATGAAAGGGAGTTCGCGGCGGCGGAGCAGGAGCTGGCTGCATTCCAAGGCGGCAGAAAGTCTGCAGAAGCGGAACTCAACGGATTCAGAAGGCGTCTGCCGGAAATTGAGATTGCCATGGAGAAGATTGAGCTAGATGTTCAGACCGCCACGAAGAGAATTGCGGAGGCAGAGAAACGACTGAAAGAGTTGCAGTGAGTTCTGACTCGGACAATGATTTCGGAGGCTTATCTCTGGTACAGATCCGACAGTGAGCCGGACGCTGCAGATGAGGCCCGTGTCAAGATTTTGGACAAGCAGATCGCATCGCTCACTGGAGAGGCAGACAAGCTTCGCGAGGAAGCCGCAGTGATCCAGTCACAAATTAAAGATCTTCAAGAGAAGATCATGGAAGTAGGCGGCGTCCGATTACGGTCATGTCAATCCAAGGTGTCCACCACTAAAGGTCTCCTCGATCTCGCCAACGAGAGTATCACTAAGGCCGAAGTGGGTCAGACTAAGGCCGAGCGGGATATCGTCAAGCTTGCGAAAGCCTTGGAGGCGAACGGTACCAAGCTGGCAGAAGCAGACGGAGAGCTTGAGGTCGTGGAAAGAGATCTTCAAGCGTGTACCGCCGATCTTACCGTCTTGCGTGAAAAGGTGCAAGAGGCTCAGGACGCGAGTACCGATGTCCAGGAGGACCTGGCTCAAAGCAAGACCGAGCTGGATGAGAAATTGGCAGATATCAATGCTTTCCGGAAACTGGAGGTGGGCCCGGCTCGAGGCAAGTAGGCGGATCGCAGCTGATACGGAAACGCAGATGGACATCAAACAGAAAATTGAGGATAGTCAACGGGTACAAAAGGACAGTAGTGATAAGCTCAAACACTGGAAGAAGCGTCACGCCGAACTCGAGCTGGCGTATATAGAGTAAGCACTGAATCTAGGGTCAGAGTCGACGCTCATACCACTGCAGTGAGGAGGACGAAGACGAGGAAGAGGAGCCTGTCGAGGATCCCGCTCGACAAGCGAGTGTGGATGGAGGTCCTGCTGGCGAAGACGAACGGCCTGCTCCCAAACAGAAGCGTGAAAAAGAATCCCACGAGCTGGCCGAGTACAGTCCTGATGAGCTCCGGGCCGTTGACAAGGAGATGCTGAACGCGGAAATCACTCAGCTTGAAGGCGAGTACATGCTTGGCTCAAGCAACTTCCGCTGACACCGTCATAGAGGAAATCGGCAAAGCCAAGCCTAATCTCACCGTCCTTGCGGAATACAGGAGGCGGGAAGCCGAATTCTTGGATCGAGCAAGGGATATGGAAGCGGTCACGTCGCAACGAGATGCTGCGAAGAAACGATACGATGACTTGCGCAAAGTCAGACTAGACGAATTCATGGCTGGCTTCTCGGCGATCAGTATCAAGCTCAAGGAGATGTATCAGGTGGGCCCGTATCCGCGTCAGCATGGAATAATGCAGCTAACTCACAATTAGATGATTACAATGGGTGGAAATGCAGAGATCGAGTTGATAGATTCTATGGACCCTTTCTCCGAAGGTGTGTTTATAGCCTTCTACTCCGAACCGCCTCACCATGCTGACTCATGCCAGGTGTCGTGCTGTCCATCATGCCCCCAAAGAAGTCTTGGCGTGCCATTGCCAACTTGTCAGGTGGTGAAAAGACCCTCGCTTCACTAGCGCTGGTCTTCGCCCTACATGTCTTCAAAGTGAGTTTTGGGCAGTCGCCTCGGCAAACATGCTTATGAGCTACATAGCCCACTCCTCTGTACTTTATGGACGAAATTGACGCAGCTTTGGACTTCAAGAATGTGTCCATTGTCGCCAACTACATCCAGTCCAAAACGCAGGCTGCTCAATTGTGAGTTGCCAGAATCTCATGACGTTCCCTAGCTGAGTGTTTTCGCAGTATTGTTATCTCTCTGCGAAATGACATGTTCGAGCTTGCGCATCGTCTCGTAGGCATCTACAAGACCTCAAATGTGGGTCCGCAACGATCGGTCATCCCTTGGCATGCTGACACTCTTTAGTGCACGAAATCAATTGCTATTGACAACAAGGATCTCACCACTCAAGCAGTTCCCAGACGAGACCCTGCCATGTCACCGTCAAAGCGTATAGCAAGGTCACCGTTGCCTGGCGCACCGGGGACAGCACGAAAATTGCCGCCAGGCACTCCCATGACGCTGAGCGCAACGTCATTATCTGAGGCTACGCCTCGCGTGGGAGCATGATCAGGACCTTGTTGAGTAGAGATTATCACCTTGTAAATAATTTGTACTGTCAATCTGCCCTATCTTTGGTTTTTATGTCTCGAGCGATGCAAAGGAAATCTGCGCCTGTTGACGTCTAGCATTATGCATCGGATCTCGCCAAGAAGAGTGAGGAGCTTCTCCATGTTGCTGTACGAATTGGTTGTGTCGTCACATGTTGCCCAAGATCTATGCCCATTCCCTGGGCTTTTTCAGAACGTCTATCAATTCGCCTTCCTTCGTACCCGGTTTGCCCATATCAGATTGGTACTCCCATCTAGCCGTCTCTGGTAAACTGCACAAGTGTCAGTAGAGATTTGCCGTGACAGCGCCACTCAAATCCCCTCACCTCATCAAGATACTTTCTATTCTCGCTCCGGGAGTGGCCAAGCCAAACTTTGTACCTCGATCATATCCCAAGTTGAACTCAACATATCTACCCCTTCTGAGAAGCTGCCACCTCCTCTCCTCATCCGTCCAAGCTTTGTCTTTGTTCTTGAGGACGATGGGCAGGTACGCTGGCAAGAAGGCTCCCGACATGGTTTTGACAAAGTCGAACAACTCGTCCTGAGTTGGCTTGGCTGATCCATTCAAAGGGCTGCTCGTATTAAGGTCATCGAAAAAGATACCGCCTACACCTCTTGATTCTTGTCGATGTGGAATGTAAAAGTATTTATCGCACCAGTCTTTGAATTTCGGCCAATACTTTGTGTTGTGAGCGTCGCAAGCTGATTTCAACGTCTTGTGAAAGTATTTCACGTCGTCAGTATCGAGGTAGGAAGGGGTCAAATCTGTGCCTCCTCCAAACCACCATGCCAGAGGTTCGTCCGATCCATCATCCCGCTCCAATTCAAAGTATCGAATGTTTAGATGGATGGTTGGTACATGAGGATTTCTGGGGTGAATGACGATTGACAACCCTGTGGCCCAGAATGGTATCGGTTTCTCAGAGATGGGTATATCGGCATGTTCAGATTTCATAGCTTTCTGAGCTGGAGTGGGCAGCTTGCCATGAACGATCGAAATGTTGACGCCTGCTTTCTCAAACACACGACCACCGCTCAAGACGCAGGATGAGCCTTCACCTCCTTCAGGTCTGATCCAGGCATCTCGGAAAAACTTTTTGGGTCCAGTGGTCGATGGCGAGACTTCCAGAGGTCCTGGAGGATGTGATGACTCGATGGCCTCGAGAGAAGTGACAATGTGATCCTGTAGAGCTTTGACCCAGAGAGCCATCCGGATCCGCATGACATTCTGCAGTGTGTTCACTTGAGCCGATCCACCCGCTACGTCTACGTCCGAAGCTCACTTTCGGATCATCTTGCTCTAGAGCATCGACGGGTTTCCAAGGTCTCCCGTAGCTATCCACAACGGAAAGAGCTGGCGCGCCATCGCAATGTGCCACCTATTGAGTCGATGAGCTTAATGTTGATACGAATAGTACTTACGCTATTGCTCTGCGAATAAACCAGAGCAGCTCCGAGACCTGCAATGATACTAGCAGAGAGCACTACTCCTGACCGTAGACCCCCGCCTGCTCGACCGGACGTGCCGCTGCCAAAGCTCCTCGCACCTCGCCGAATGGCTAAAGTGGACCATTGAGTGAGCTCGCCGTGACTTCGACCGAGAGCTATGAAGTGCTTACTTGAAGAGAGCTGAACATTGGAACAGACCTCTCGACTACTCAGAGTTCTGAGTCTGCTCATACTACTCCTCAATTGACTCATGGTTGATATTGTCGTTGAACAGCAGGTACAGCTGCCATCTGCTGCATTTTGCCCCGCGTTGCCGGAATAAATTTGCTTCCGTCCCGACTTGTCCGATCGATCCAATGTTTCGAGACGAAATGCCATTCCAGTGAACCTATATCCTCAGTTCACCGTGTGGAAATCGCGCTCAGATGCTGTCGGCTCTGATAAGAGTAGCTGTGAGGACAGCTCAGATCCAACTGGAGGAAGCCGCAGCTTCCTCTTCGCTTCGGACAGCTAGTAAAGGGAAAGCAAGGGCTGAGGATGTTGATGGACAACTGCGTCAGAGCACGGCGCTGGACGCTAAGCGGGAAGGTACTCTGGGAGCTCAGCAACGGACAGTAGAGCCGCCTGGGAGGTCTATGGGATCTATCATGACAGGTGTATCTGCCAAAGACCTTGAATCGCCTTCGGGGGGCGTCGCTCCCTCACGAGCACCTGCTGTGGCGTTACCGCCAGTCCCGACAGGCTCAGGTTCAACGGCCAAAGTCAAAAGCAGCGCGAAGGAGGCATCAAGCTCGCCCAGTGGGAATGACGTGAAGATCGTCTCAAAGAAATCACCTTCCCTTCCATCCGCATCCACGGCAACGCATGCTACACTGGAGAGTCCTTCCAGAATCCAGCCATCGCCGTTAGACGAAGGCATCAGTACACCTGGAGCAGGACCCTCGAAAGCCTATGCACGCCCGACTTCAGTGCCGAAAACATTTCAGGCGGATGCATTCAAGGACGAGCCTACACCCTCACTGCCAAGCCCAATTGTTCCTGCGACCAACATGGAGGATCACATGAAAGTCGTCGGTATGAAACCAGCACCCTCCTCAGACGTCACCACAACGGCGGAGGATACCACCTTGGTCGATACAGAAGACGATGAGGTAAGTGGGGCATTGTTTTTGATCGGATGAAGCTGAAATACACAGCCTCCGGTCGTCATGAGGGCATCCAAGGTACCCTCGTCCAGAATAGGCAGACTGTTGCACTATGGATGTAAGCAGAGCTGTGTTTCCCTAATCCTCTGCGAGCTGATTGCCCCCGGTAGCACTTGCCGCATCGATGTCGCTCGGCGCAGCGAGTGAATCGATCCGTCGCACGGCGGGAGGCAATGCTGGTAAAGGCAGTGTTTTCATGAGCGATGCAAACATCAGACGGCTCGTAGCCTCGTTAGGTCGCATGCGAGGCGCTGCGTTGAAGCTGGGGCAATTCATGAGTATACAAGGTGAGACGGACCCACGCGGCTTTTCCACACAAGATTGACAGCTACCAGACAACCACTTGCTACCGCCCGAAATTGAGCAAGTCCTACAGCAAGTGCAGGCACATGCCAATTATATGCCAGAATGGCAGATGGACGTGAGTTACACGATAACAAGAAAGCAGCAGCCGACTGATCCAATCCTCAGCAAGTCATGTCTTCCGAGCTCGGATCAGAATGGCAATCCCTTTTCTCCTCCTTCGACCGTACACCCATCGCATCAGCATCAATAGGTCAAGTCCACCGTGGCGTCCTGGCTTCGTCAGGTCAACCGATAGCTGTCAAGATTCAGTTCCCAGGTATCGCCTCATCCATTCATTCTGACTTGAATAATCTGTCCGTTCTCCTTCGAACATCATCACTACTACCGAAGGGAATGTACCTCCAAAACACGATTGCCGTTATGCGCCGAGAGCTGGAAGACGAATGCGATTACGTTCGTGAAGGCGCTGCAGGCCGACGGTTCGGCAAGCTGCTGGCTAATGACGATTTCTTCGTTATCCCTCAAGTTGTTGACGAGGCGACTACCGGAAAGGTATTGACGACGGAATGGGCAAAGGGCAAACCCCTCAGTCGGATGAAAGGCATGTCACAGGAAACCAGGGACAAGGTGATTAGTTACGGTCAGACCTGTTAACAGTCATGACTGACCCTTGCCAGATCGGGGAGAATATCCTTCGCCTATGCCTGCAGGAACTTTTCCATTTCCGGTTCATGCAGACCGACCCTAACTGGGCCAACTTCCTGTACGACTCCTCTGCTGGCAAAATCACTTTGATCGACTTTGGCGCATCGAGAGAGTACACCAAGGAGTTCATGGACGGGTGGTTTCGTCTTCTAGATGCGGCGCTGAGAGGAGATCGGACAGCCATGAAAGATGAGAGTGAGAATTTGGGATATCTCACGGGCGAAGAGAACGAGGTGAGTACACTGATCCTCTTGGACCTAGCACAAGCTGCTGATGCGACTCAAGGAAATGCTCAAAGCGCATCTCGATTCAATGGCTCTCATCGCATCTCCATTCTCGACTAGGGGTGCATACGCCTTTGCGAATCAGACCATCACCGATTCCGTCCGAGCGCTCATTCCGGTCATGCTCAAATATCGACTGACCCCTCCTCCATCCGAGACATACTCCCTGAACCGTAAACTCAGTGGAGCGTTCCTCATGTGCGCGAGGCTCGGTGCCAATGTCGACTGCGGTAAGCTGTGGAACGAATACGTTGGAGGCTATAAACAGGGCTAGTGGCAACCACGAGTTTCATCTTATATGCATTATTGCTTCCGTATATGATCGTGCTGCATCTACAGTACATATGACAGCACCACTCGCGGCTTCGTTTCTTCGAAGAGTTTTGCTTGTTTGTTTACAAGGCCACATGTGAATAAAATATAGACCGAGCAGACGACTCAAAGGGGGGCGAAGCGAAGCAGCTCAGCGTATCTTCCTCTTTCTTCTTCTCTTGCTGACAGGGTGGGGCGAATGACATCTCTCTGACTTTTGTTCGTCGTCGTCCAGATCCTCGTAATCCGAGTCGTCATAGCATTGATGCTTGGTCTGCAGGAAAATCAGCCCAATGACAGAGCTGCAGCCTCACATGATACATTCCCCAGTGCTGCCAACGGGAGGGATCTTCGGCATAAGCTGCACAGTCACTCCATTTGGCCCTCTTCTGTCCATCCACAATACAAGAATACTGGAAACATTCCGTTGCTGCATTCTTGGCCGACACCGTATCTTTCCAAGCTGCGTAGATACAGAATCTGAGCATGAAAAGTTCTTCACGACCTTGAAAGCGTTTCAGCTTGTCGAGGAGGTCCAGGGATTCCTCTACGATCTGAAGACTGTCAACCTTGTCCGCGACAAACTCGAACAGTGCGTCGTCGTTGGAGGCTGCAAACTTCCATTGGGCACACAAGTCTCTGTATCGCTTCAGAGCGGTGTCTCTATCGTGCAGAGCACATGCGTCGCATGCGCAGTCGAAACCAAAGTTATTTCTCAGTTTGTCCCTCCGCCAGTCGCGTGACTGACGAAGTTCAGGCGGATCCAAGTACGATGCGGTAATCTCCTGACCTGCTTCAATGTCTCGATGAGCCACAAGCGCTGAGAAGAGTCAGTCGATCTGCGTGTCTTGTGTCATTCTCGACACTTGCCGAGTTGGCCCTGGTCTTCATGCCATCGCCATCCTGCATTAGGCGCACACGAATGACAAGCCATCGAGATATACTTGAATAAGCCAAATTTGGAGAAGGTCTTGGCATCCAGGAGTCGATCAACTTCGTCTGTCGTATCGTCACTGAACATGTGGGATTCTTCTCCTTCATCTTCTTTAGGACTAGGCCGTTCCTCACAGACGATCTCGTTGGTCTCCAATATGCGCTCGACCAGATCATCAATTCCTGGCACAGTCCCAGTGAAGCTTAAGAACAGGATTAGCCGTGCGGCTCTAGTCGGGTCTTCGTCATCCATTGAAGAATCATTCAGCCAAGCCTTTACCGTGTCATGACCCTCCTCCGCGGTGTAGGACAAGAATGGCGCTTCCTGAACAATGACTGAGCCGATTGAGATGTCTCTTGTCGCGCGTAGACCAAAGCCTTTTGAAGGGATGAAGACGACTTCGAAAGGCTGATCTGGCGGATCATCGAGGAACAAGGACGTCGCATCTGATGATGTTCGCTTTCTCGGGAGGATTGTGACTGATCGCGCTCGATGACGTTGAGGCAGGTTCGCAAGAACGCGATTAGAAAAGGACTCCGGAGCAGATTCGAGAAGTTCAATGTCACTATCGTCGTTGTCGTCATTACTTGGAGCTGGAGCTGGAGCGGATCGTAGCGTCTTGTAATCTTTTGCATAGGAGGCTGATTCGACTTTGACTTTTGTTTCCAGGAGGGCAGTAAGGGAGGACGGGGTGCGGAAACATGATTTGTTGTCGGCCGTTATTGCGGTAAAACATGGCTTTCCACTGAGAGAATGATATGATCGGCGAGCTTTCCTCTTCTCTCGCTTGATTTTCAATTCAAGAACCAGCGGGTCTTCAGTCTCCAGGTCAAAGTCGGCTTCCCGATTTCTGACCATCTTTATATTCGACCACCACGGGAGCGGGTCCACGGGAAATATGGATGGATCGGGGGTCTCGGACTGCTGCGACAAGGGATCGAGGCGGACAGAGACAGAGTCCTCGGAAGTCGCGTCCATCGGAGCAGCGGAGAGGTCAGGCGACCTCTAGCATCTCTGACCTCTGGATCCGTCTCCCTTCAAGTAAGTGAGCAGTGAAATGAGCTTGACTCATAGAGAAGAGTGAGTGACCGTTCTGTCAGTACCCAATCCAACATTGACAGTGGCGAAACCCTGTCAAGATGCGAGCGTGGGGAAGAAGAACGCTCGGACCTCCACGTCATATCACCATAGATCCATTCATAGCTTGGATCTGAGTCTGCCAGCGTCCACACGCTTTCGCTTCTCCCAAGCTTCGACCAGCATGGGCCTCAGGTCTCGTTTGACCACTTTACCATTGACATTGTGCGCTAACCACATCAGCATCTGGAACCACGAGAGGGGTGAGAAGACGACCTCACGCAATGGATCATTCGAAATGAGAATTATAGATGGCCAAGCGGGCTTGCCGAGTCTGACACAATAGACATGAGCTTCGGGCCATTGACGCTGTCTACCAGGGCTCACCGGCTCTTGACGTCCTCTAACAAGCTCTCCTCGGTGACTCGACCCGTCCAGTCGCTGCGGACCGACACGATAGCACCAACTTTCTCGCCCAGTCGCTTGTCAGGAACACTTATCGCGGCTGCCTCGAGCACTCCGGGATGAGCGTAGAGTGCGTTTTCAACATCACTTGACGCGATCTGGCGGAAGGGGGGTTTCAACAGGGTTGCAATGCTAGACTGTGACCTTGGCTCACATTTTCTCCGCCACGGATGATGATATCCTTCGCTACAGGTGTGTGAGCCTTTTCGCCATCCTGCCTCACTTTGCTCCTGACTCACCCCTATCTTTAATGTATATGAACCCTTCGTGATCCAGCACAGCGATATCGCCCGTATCTAGCCACCCATCCTGGTCGATCACTTTGGAGGTGGCCTCTGACATCTGCGTCAGATAGAGCTATCTCATCAGACCAGAAGTCACAGACTCACTCGGGTCATTGTAGTAGCCTTTCATGACTTGTGGACCGTGCACCATCAAAAGGCCAGGAGATCCAGGCGGCAAAGCTCTGCCTGTTCTTGGATCTGCTATCCGTACGTCGCAGACTGGAACGGCTGGGCCTCTGCGAGGCAATGAGCGACCGGATTAATCTGGAAGTACCTACGTGGTATCAGGCTGAAAGTAATTTGTCAGCCAAGCTCAATAGACTGCAGATCGTGATAACTCACTCGGAGAACGTAATCTGCTCCAGCAACCGAACAGACATAGGCGTTCGTTTCTGTCATACCGTAGCCTTGCACTCTGGTTTGTTCTCAGCCTTCCCTCCTCTACGCCTAGGATATTGTAGCTCACAATCCAGTCTTTGGCCATCGCCTTTTGACCTCATTCGCGAGCTCCCTACTTGGCGGAGCACCACCATAGAACACAGTTTCGAACGAATAATTTTTGTCCAACGCAGGACTCTCTAGGATCTCCGAGACGATAGCAGGCACACTTGGAAACTTCGCGTCAGCGATCTTCCTGTGCATGCAGTTTCTGCACGTCTCACCCTCCGATTACAGTGACTTTCTGACTCTGTATCAAGCTCACAGCTTCATGGATGCTCCATCGAGACATCATAATCATCTTATTGCCGGTGAAGAACGCCCGCATCAACCACGATAAGCAGCCAGTGACGTGGAAGAGTGGGACCGCGAGTAAGACGATCTTCTGAGGGTCCGTCGGCTTGGGCATTGGCGGTGGGGTGACGCCGGCTCGCAATGCGGCTCTTATCGGTGCTGCGTGGACATGAACTCGATACGTAGAGAATCCCATTGGCTTACAAGGGGACTCACCGACCAGACCGGACCATAGATTCGTCAATGCCATGCGCTGAGTGCTCAGTACAGCTTTGGGTCGGCCTCCAGTGCTAGAGGACGATCAGCATTGGGCAGCAGGTTCTGTATGAGATGAGAATTGACCCAGATGTAAAGAAAATGATTGCATCAGACTCTGGATTCAGGTCATCCAGTGATGTGCCATCTTTGATCTGCCGAAGCTGCTCCGGAGAGCAACTCATCTTTGCACTCAGGCTCTGAATGTGATCAGCCAATCAATTCACTAATCCTACATGCCTGTATACGTTTTAGACGCTTGGCGAGATGCGTTGTATCTGACCAGCAGTACACCTGACGCTCATCAATACAGGCGAACAGTCGACCATTGAGTCTCACCTCCCCCATGCCTTTTCTGCGCAGGGTCAAAACGGCAGGGTCAAGCAACTCTGCCAGTCTGGCGTCGACCAGGACCAAAGCGGGCTTTGTTAATTCCAGGCAATAGACCAACGAGTCCAAAGGTCTTGAAGCGGACGTGAGCCGAGGTACCCGGGGGCTATTCGCAACCAATACACTTACAACCAGGCGTTAAGAGCTACGGCTATACCTCCGATGAGATGGACGGCGACGAATGCAATGATCCAGCTGTGGGCAAAGGGCTCGTTAGTGAGGAGAAATTACAAGGCAAAGATGTCCATCATTCAGACTTAGGCCCGCCTGCACTCACCCCGCGCTGTTCCCTCCTCCAATGGCTATCCGACTACCTATCCCTAGACCTCGAGACTTCATCCATCCTGCTAATTTCAGACTTTCCTCGACGACCTGTCCAAATGTCCATTCTTGACGTCCGGAGGGCTCTACAGGGGAAGACAAGAAAGTCCGGGACGTATACTTGGTACAGCTCTCAAGGAAATACGATCGGAATGTTGGCGGACACTGGTATAGGACGTCAGTGAAGGAGGAATAGTTGGCTTCAATTCAGAGCCAGCCCTCTTTGAGTAGGCAGGGAAAGCTAAGCTAGCACTGTACCGCCTGGTGTTCTCGCTTCCTCACTCACATGCTTCCATGTCCTGACTTTTCTACCGTGCAAGATACGTTCTTCCATCTCCAAAACGGACCCAGGAGCGGTCAATATCCGGTCGCCTATATAGATGCAGTAAGCGACAAGCGTTACTGAGCGTTTTAATAGGAGCGTCTCACATTCCAAAACGGAGAGCTGCGATTTGCTCATCTTTACTCCGAGCTCTCAACGAGTAGCTGCAGTTCTCAGGAGCCGGAGCTCTGATCAGCAGATGACAGATCTATCTCCACATCAAAGAATACGACCCCAACCTCGTTGTCGGTCTAGTCCGGATTCACCGGTAACCCGGCTAATAGAGGCCTGTGATCATAAACTCTACATTCATCTCTCGTTATTGGACACAGTCTCAGTCTCTGGCACCTGGCCAATCCGCTAAACGCCATCGTCCTCATCTCGATCTCCCTTCTAGATCTGCTATGGCTTGACTGACCGATCCGCCGGTCTTATGCACTCTCGTCCCGCGTTTAAGCCCGCCCACAGTTGCTGCACCATTCCCGGTGGCTGCCCCTGACGCCGCGGTACCGGACAGTGCCGCTTCCACATCTGAGTGTCCATCTGCGCTGTTACCTGCGCTATGAGATCCCGCTACTGGCGTGATGCCGGCTACTTGAGCCCCGCTGACCACTCTGCCAGGTGCAGGTCTGGGTCCGCGAGCACCGCGGGGCCCACGAAGTCTGGACGATGCTTCACCTGAAGTGGCTCTTTTGAGCCCGGATGCACCGCCTGGACTTTCCGTTACGAAAGCAGCCTCGGAAGGGGACGATAGGACCTCTTTGTCGTCAGGTGCCGGAACAGAAGGTGGTTCCTGTTGATCTTGATAGGTCGGATGAGAAGGCGGGACGAAGGGCTCTTCTGTCGTCGGTGAGTCTGGTGGACTTGGCATCTCCACAGGTGCAGGAGGACGAGCCTGAGTCCCGATCTTTGATGGTGTTGTCGCCTGACTCGAGCTGTAATCTCGAGTGACTATAGGAGCGGGCTTGGCGGTCATCGGCGGAGAAGGTCCTTCCTCGCTAGGCTCCTCCATTACTGCACCTCCAAGGCCCAAGGACAGAGACGGCCCTGAGGTGCCGCCCATGGACGATCTTGACATCCGTTGATCCACGAGAGCAGTCCTCTTTCGCACCGGCATGATGCGTTCCGAGTCCTTCTTCTTTTTGTCAACAAGGGGCGGGAGAAGGATAGTGTAGTTTTTGATCAAATCAGCGAGGAATAGAGATGGTGTTCGATCGCCAAAGGTCAACTCCGTTTCGTATTGTGGGCGCAGAATACCTGTGATGATAATCGTGTTAGCGGAGAATCTCAAACTCATGATCCCGCTTACATCTTCCGACAGACAGAGACAACTTGGTGATGTAATTATCAGTCGGCTCGTCTGATTTCGTGTTGGCGATGAGGCTAGGGACAGGATCAATATCTCATCTGAGAAACCGATCTAACTCACTCTACAAAGTGCTTGACGATAGCATTGAGAACATAGAGGTGAATGCCAGGAAGGCGAGTGAGGACAGAAGTCAAAGCGCTAGTGACGTCTCGCTCTTGGTCCGCTCCGACTAGCAATTCCCATCAGCTGATGATGGCTTACACGCGAAGCTGCTGCTCACTTTGAGGATACACCGCCTTGGCATCTTCCCAACCCTCCCATCCCATGACTGGTGGGTTCAATTCAAGGAGATACAACTTGATGGTCCCTGCGATGACAGGTACGTTGAACTGCTTAATAGAGGCCTCGATTTCTTCGCGAGAAGCGTGAGCGCTATTGATTCGACTTCGAAGAGCATGAGTCTCGACCAGTGGGACCTCATAAATCCACGATTTGCGGCGCTCTAAAATATCTATCAGCACCTTGACCTGATACCGAGTCTAATTGCCCACCATCATCTGGTAGAGACTCGTACGTCTCCCCCAGACACCTGAGTAATATCTCCAAGACTTCCGGTATGGAACCTTTTGGTCTTTGAGGCGCATTCATCATGCCCTTCCAACCGAGTTCCCCTGACCACTTTCGGAGGTCGATACCGAAATTGACATCGGGAACGTCGATCGAATCGTACGTGTGAGGCTGAGGTCTGAAAGGTCCAGTACGGTTTCCTTCGATGAGAGCTTTGAGGTCTGCATCTGGGTTAAATGCTTCAACTGAGAGGGCGGTTGAGTCTGTAAGTGCTGAGATCCGGGGGGCGTGACGGGCAATGGCCTCGCCGTACTGCTTCAGGACTGGACAAGTATGAGCTGAGCCTCTCGCCCGATGAGTGGTAGTGGCTCACCCGACTTGACGATTGCTAGTCTTTCTCTCTCCCATCGTTCCCAGGTCCTCAGACCCCTCTCGATTCTTTCTTCCATTTCGAGCCTTCTCTCCTCAACCACCGCTACACCCTCGCGGTAAGCTTCATCGGCTTTCGTCGCTTCTCGCCGGAGCTTGACATGTTGAGGTTCATCGTCACCTGCCAAAGCCCCGGGTATCAGATGCTTCATCATACTTTGAATGTTGGCGTTTGTCGTAGGCGAGAGAGCCGATGTCAATACGTTTCCCGACTGAGCTTTGGTCTTGAGCGTGTAGTACGTATCGTATCCGGGGTCGAATCCTCTCCCGACCCCTATGCGAACGACGTGACCCATCCGATAGAGCTCTTCAGCTGCGTCGAGGGACCGATCATAGTCGCCTCCAAAGCCTTCTACATTGTCTCTTAACCATTGAACCATTTCTTCCCCATTGAAAGTCTTTTCGTGCGTGCCGAGCAGATTGGTTCGTTGGCGACTCAATCTGGCGGCGTTGGACTTGGGATACTGGGAGGTGTCGGAAAGAGGAGCAGGGTTTGTCAAAAGGTACGCGGAGAATCGATTGAAGAGGTCATGAAGGGCTTGAAAAGGTAAAGCAAGACCAGACAAGAGAATAGGAGGTTGAGGAATGTCTGGCTCTTTGTCTCTCTCTGACGAGCCCTTGCCAGCCGTTCCACTCCCACCATTGATCATGGGTTTACCGTTAGGGTCCGAAGGTGGAATGAACGGTTCTTCTCGGGTAGGTGATCCAGGACTGGCAAATTCCGAAGGAGGCGGGGGCAGCTCTTTACCGTCAATCGAGGTAATTCTGTTCGACGAGACGTTGGCATCTCGGAGTTTGGCATTGATCCGGTCTGCCACTGTGCCGGATCGACGAAGGACGCTATTGACACCACTTGTATAAGTTGTGGGTGATGTCTCTTTCAAGGAGGGATCAGACGGAGCAGACGTTGAAGTAGATGACGAGGGAGTCATGGTGGACGGAGCAAATTTGGCACTGCATCACCGTCAGCAGAAGAAGTCAAACAGAATACACGAGAACTTACTCATCCTCGCTATCGTCTGCGGCGCGAGATTTGACCCAGTGAGTCTGTCGCAACTGGATTCAAGTAAGCCTCATCGTTTCAAACTCTTCCTTTCATTTCGGTCGGGCACGTACCGTCATCAACCTTTGAACGTCCTTCTCCCAAATCGCAATGATACCACTCCGACTGAGTAGCTCTTCTTTTCCTATCCCGACCCTACTCTCATGCTTGTCTTTCCACTGTTTGAATCCTGATACTTTGCTCCCCAGCTCCTCGGCGAGATCTTGGTGGACTTGACCTCGAGCCGCCGAAGCACCACGTAGGGAGAGTAAGGAATGCTGAAGGGAAGATGTCGTGTTGGTATGTGATAAAGGAGGTGTAGAGAGCGTATCTGCAAGAGCCTGATGACCTTTGGCTTGGGACTGCAAGGCAAAGATCAAGCATCAGTATTGTTCCGCCAAGGGACCGAGCTAGCCGCGAATCGCTTGATGCACACTCGGGCTCTTCGAGGTTGGAACCGGAGGTGAGGTGCTGACTGACTGACTGACCTCGATGAACGCCACAATGTCATTGTTCTCTGTACATCCCTGATCCAGCTGCTTGAACAACACTTCCAGACCAGTCCGATAGTCTGGTGACCAGAACGAGTTGAAGAATGATGGTGGGAGAGTGACCGGTGCCATGACAGCGAGGTCCTCAAAGGTAGCCAAGGTGCGGTCGATTCACCGAGCTTCCGACTCAATCGCCAATCTCACGGATAGGTCGTGCAATGAGCAAGTCTCCTTCCTACTCTCGTCGTCGCCGTTTTCTGTCGCCTCGACGCTTCACAGTCAGAAGGTAGATGTATGAAACTGCACGCTCCCTACCCTCATCGCACCGCAACTCGTTCGCGGTGCGCGGGGTCTCGCCAGAAAATGATGCCGTCACTGCGGAAGCAAATCAGAAAAGTGCTGCCTGTCTGCAGCATTCTCGACATCATCATCATTGCATGGCGTCTTGTACATCCTTCCCTCGACACACAGGCGCTGAGCATCTTTTCTGCTCGCACTGAACTGCGCCCTTTCTCCACTGTTCCGGCCGTGCCTCTCTGTCCCTGCCTCGACTGCACCGCGGCCGCCCCGCTCACCCTTATCGCCTCGCAGGTGGCGTATCGTCGTCCCGCCTCGAACGTCTTGGTGGACTATCATCGTCCCGATATCGGCGTCGAGGAGGCGACTCATCACGACTGTCTCGTCTACGGGGAGGTGGAGGTGATCGAGAATCGTCATCACTGTATCGTCGAGCTCGTCGAGGGGGCGGGGGCGAGTCATCCCTTGCTGCTCGACGAGGTGGGCTGCGTCGAGGAGGTGAATCGTCCCGTCGTCGAGGCGGAGGCGGGTCATCCCGCCTGCGAGGAGGAGATGAGATGTCCCGTTCTCGCGGTGGAAGAGAATCACCTCTCCGTGGACGAGGTGGCGAGTCATCAGAATACCTCCTCCTCCTCGGCGGAGGTGACCTATCATCCGAAGGTGAGTTCGGACCTCTCCTTCGAGGCGGTGGAGGAGAAACATCATCATCCTCATCACTGCTGTACCTCCTCCTCCTGGTACTCGTCCGTGGCGGTGGACTATATCTCCTTCGACGCGATCGATATCTCGAATCGTCACTATCATCATCGTCCTCTGAATCCGATAAATCGCTGGAATCGTCATCTGAACTCGACAACTCTGAACTTGAATCCGAATCGGAACTATCGTCACCTCCAGCAGCTTGAAGCGCAGCGTGTTGAGCAGCGAGCATTTTCGGCGCGTTCTGAAGATACGTCCTCATTTCTTCCGTGATTTTTCCCATACCTATCGAGGTAAAGTAGTTGATTGCGAATCGAGTGTTCTTCGGGTTATCCATGGGGAACATGCCTGCAAAGGCGGGTTTCAAATCGGCTATCTGAAATCTTTCGGCCATTTTATCGATTCCCATATCCTCAATCATCTCTTGCATCATGATTTTGACAAAGATACGCGAAGACGAGGTGGTCTCATCTTCGTTCATGTGAACCACGGTGAGAACAGCCCAGGATATTCCGTCAGAAGCGAGCAGGTGGCCAAAGAATCGACCAATGTTTCGAAGTTTATTCGTCTCGTATCGGTGAATGGTGTCGTAGTAAGTCGCAAAGGCCTCTTGGAAAGAATCGGTCCAAACGCGATTCAGCTTGCAAAAACGTTCACCAATCAGACCGTAAAAATTGTTATAGGATCGTTCCTGGGAACAACACTCGACAATCATCTTGCACATTTCGATCTGGGCGGGGACGTAAGCTTGCATGTACCAAAGACAGCGAACTTGAAGAAGCTCACCTCTCGTCCCTCGGGAATATTAATCTTCATGAGTTTGTGCACAGCTTCCTCAAAGTTGAGCTGAACAGTGGGTGAGCTGATGCAGACTCCAGCAGCAACTAGCTCACCGAGTTCATGATCGTCAAATAGATTGTTCGCCTCAGATTGATGAGATTCGTCTCCGTCATGTCGGCGATTCCAGCCTTTTCCGGAGCGACCTCTTCTTCCTCCGAATCATAGTCCGATCCACTGGCATCGCTGCCGGATTCGTCGTCCGAATCGCCCAAAATCTCTTTTTTGATCTCCTCGTATCGCGCTTCATTGTCGAGGAATTTGGGATCGACCTTGAACAGATCTGTAGGCACGGTCAGCGTCAGCGACGTACGGCCATCTCGTTGTATAGCCTACTCACTCAGACTCTCCTGCACTTGCAGCTCATCATCTAGGGTGATCCGATGCGTGATCTGCTCTTCCTCCTCAACAAGATCCAAGCCCTCGGGAATCGCAGGATTGTCCTTGTACCTGTCTTTTCTGACCTGGAACAAGACTTCGATCATGTACTGGCATCGTTTGCTGATAGCGCCTTCATGCAGAACAGCCCGGAATCTTTCGTATACTGCATTATTGGCTTTTGGCGAGTTCTCAGAAAGGAACAAGCCGACTTCTCGCATGAACCCGACGGCTACTTCGATAGAATCGTCTGTAGGTCGGTCGAGGCAGAGAAGAAGGATTTGAAGGGCGACAATCTCATGAGCGACGTATTGGTTGACAAGGTGAGCGATGAAAGTGGATGTAGCGTGGCAGATGGTCTAAGTATCCCATTATCAACACCGGGTTTCCTTGACGGTAGAGCTGAATACTCACCTTGTCGTTCCGCTTGTATGCTCTTCGAAATTGACTGATGAGTCTGACCAAGACCAATTCACCGACTTGAGGTAGTTTAGTGTTGATGATGGCGACCAATGCGGCGAAAATGGGCGTAAAGGGGAGAGATGAAGCTTGTGCCCTCATCATGGATCGAGCGAAGAGACCTTTTCCACGAATGAGGTTTTCACCAAACAATTCAGGAACGACATTCTTGATGTTCGATACGTTGACCTAAGAAGGGAAAGAAGGGGTATCATCAGCGACATTTCTTCAGCATAAGACGATTTTCAAGGTCGACTCGCCTTGTTGATCATACCGTTTATACTCTTTCTCAAGGCATCCCAGCTGAGTCTCTGGTATTCTGCACTCGTCTTGTCCTTTGCAGCTTCAGCTTGCATGGCTCGAAGTCTCGCTGGAGGGATGTAGGCTCCTCCAGATCTTGATCCCAGGAGCTTTGCAAATTCCGCTTTAGCCCCTGCGTCCCCATTGTTCTTCACTAGAGCTCCTGAATCGCCATTGGCGTTTCCCATTTGAGCTTTTCCACTCTCCGCGTTGATCTGAGCTTCCAGAAGGGCAGCTTCACGCGCTCGACGACGATAAGGATCGACATCCACCACTTGGGGTGCAGCACCTTCGTTGTCTCCATTTCGATCTCCATTGCGGTCCCCTCTTGATGGCGGGAGCGCAGGAGGAAGTGATTCGGATGAACGTCGACGAAGAGGTGGAGACGCAGGACGATCATCTGGCGATGCGGCTCTGGACACAAGCGGCTCAGAATGGTGGACTTGTCAGGAAGCAATTGACTTGACTTACCGTTTTCTTTTAGACGCAGGTGCATCTTCTAGATCCTCCAAAGGTGAACGACGCCGCGCTGCTGGAGCGGGGGATGGAGACCTAGGAGAAGGCGATCGTGACATGGTCGGGAACCACTGAGCACCTCGAGTTGTCCTCTGTAATATAGATCAACAGGCCTCTCGTGTTCGCCGCTGAACTGACCAAAAAACCAAGTTGTAGACCATCCGAGCGATGACGTGGCGATACAGACAACTTGGACAATTGATAAGCTCATGACGTGTTTGTAGGCGCGTTGAACCAGCCTGGACTTGCAGAGCCTTCTTCTTCTTCTTCATCATCATCGGTCGTTGTTGTTGTCCTTGTTGCTGAAGTCTAGCATTGGATCGACGGACGAGTCGCAGCTGTCTGAAGCGTAACCGGACTGCTGCTCAGGTCATCTAGAGTTCAGACACCTTCCCATCATGTCTGCCGCGGCTGATCCACCTCATCAACATGCCGAGCTGCTTTCATCTTTGGGCTCAGCAGCTGACAAGTATCCAAAGCCAGAAGGAGTGGTCTTCTCCTACGGGACGGCTGGTTTCAGGACGCTGTAAGTGGTACGGACGGACTCGAGAGTGGTATGACAAGAGACATCCTGACCTCTATGCACCAGAGCCAATCGACTCCCATCGGTCGTCTTCAGAGCCGCCTTGCTCGCCGTACTCAGGTCCAAGCGATTAGAAGGCGCGGCCATTGGAATCATGATTACAGCTTCGCATAACCCGGAACCGGTGAGCTTGTGAACACCTCTATCATTGCTATTGCTATATCTGGCGCTTGGCCAAGCTCACACCCTGCTCAGGACAACGGCGTCAAGCTCGTCGATCCAGCTGGAGAAATGCTCGACCAATCATGGGAAGCTCATGCTACGGCCCTCGCCAATTGCCCTTCTACAGACTCACTCATATCCACATTCACAACCCTCGCCGCTCATCTTCACGTGGACCTGAGCAAACCAGCTAGTATCATTTATGCGCGTGACACTCGACCCTCTGGGCCTGCTCTGATCGAAGCACTCCGTGGAGCTTTGAGCGTGTTCAAGGGGAATCTCAAGGTTGTGGATCTGGACGTCACCACAACGCCGGTACTACATTACGTTGTGAAAGCTACGAATGATAAGAGCGGGACGTATGGGGCACCAACGGAAGATGGCTATATGGAGAAAATGGCAGAGGCGTTCAAGGTGTTGATGGTCAGCTTGAACCCGGTCATCTGTCTTGAGTCGTAAACTGACCTTTGAGTTTCAGGGAAGCCGAGGACCCCTTCAACCCTTATTTGTAGACTGTGCCAACGGCGTTGGCGCTCTCGGCCTGGCAAAGCTGTCCAAACATATCGCTTCGACGCTCCCGCTCACGCCACTGAACGATGCTATCGGAACCGCAGGTGCGCTGAACTCCCAGTGCGGCGCAGATTTCGTCAAGACCAAGCAGGCTTTACCCCCCTCCATTGCATCGTCGGGCATTTTGGCTCAAGACGGTGCACGAGCGTGCAGCTTGGATGGAGATGCTGATCGATTGGTGTACTACTACTTACAGGATAAGAAAAAGTTTAGATTGCTGGACGGAGACAAGATTGCAGTGATGGTTGCAATGTTCATTCGAGATCTGTTGAAGAAGGCCAAGTTGGTGGAAGGGGATGATGCGCTCGAGGTGGGAGCGGTGCAGACTGCTTATGCCAACGGTAGCTCCACAAAGTACCTCAATGCGGTGAGTGATGTGGACGAAGCGAAAAAAAAAAATGAACCAGTCTGACGTGTGGGTTCAGCGTGGGGTTCCTGTTCGATGTGTACCGACCGGCGTCAAATACCTCCACCACGCTGCCCAAAATTTTGACATTGGAGTCTATTTCGAAGCCAACGGTCACGGCACTGTCCTCTTCTCCCCATCTACCATTTCGGCCCTTCAATCCGCCACACCTCATTCGCCCGATGAGGCGAATGCGATCAAGAACCTTCTCGCCTTGTCCAACCTGATCAACCAAGCTGTCGGAGATGCGCTCTCTGACATGTTACTTGTCGAAGTTGTGCTGGCTCATCGTGGCTGGGGTGCACCGGAATGGGATGCGGGTTACGAAGATCTTCCGAATCGATTATTAAAAGTCGAAGTACCGGATCGGATGATGTTCCAAACGACTGACGCTGAACGGAAATTGAGTCATCCGGCTGGACTCCAAGATCTGATCGACGATGCCGTACGAAAAGTCGATATGGGTCGATCTTTCGTCAGACCTAGCGGGACAGAAGATTGTGTGAGGGTGTATGCGGAGGCGAAGACGAGTCCCGAGGTTGAATGTGGGTCACACATTGTGGGATGGGTGACATGTAGCTGATGCGACTCCAGCCCTCGCCAGTAACGTATCTGATCTGGTGAAGCATGCTTCAGGCATGACGTCGCAGTAGAGCAAGGAGGGCTGAATGGCGACAGCATCAGAGAAGAACACTGCAACACGGGCAACGAAATGCCAAAGGATCACCCACGAATCCTTTTGCGCTCGTACCCGCTCCCATGTATGGCAGAGATAATGGAATTGAGACTAGAGTAGAGCATGTTGAAATGTAACCACGATCACTCAGCTGTGAGGCTACTTGTCGCTGCCTGAACGGTGACATTCGATCAAACATTGAACTCAGAGCGGGTCGCTTTGTACCTGCATGACGAATCAATATGACGCAAACAATGTGGGAGGAGGGATTGAAGCGCCACATTGCCACATCGTTTCCTCCTAAAGATAGAAGGGGGTTGCTGCGTTTGAGACGCACAGAGGTCATAGTTGGCCTCTCTCACTACTGCTCTTTGGTCAGGCAGAGACCACACTCTATCCAGTTCCACTCGCAGCACGGAACTTACTCCCCCCTCCCTCTACATACTCAAGCCAGCATGGGCAGGATGAGTGAATCTCAAAAGTGAGTCTCGCGTTCATCTCACGGTCATTTTCTCGGTTGCTGACGAACGACTAAAGTATTCGGAAAGCTACACATGCAGGAAGCTGGTACAGTGCGAGTGGTGGGTCCGACCGTTCCAGGCATCTGCTGTGACAGGGGGTTCGACGCGTGGGACTCGCTCATGCCCCAATCACTCCCTTCAGGCAAACGACTGCGCGAAGAACTGCAGAACAATCTAGACAGAGTCGAACCGATCATTGAATTAGATTATCAACCACCAGTACAGAATGCCAAAGCTATCATTGCGCCGTGAGTAGAGAATCTGACTCAGTCATTGGCTCCTCTTCGGCTTCAGCAATGCGTCCTTACCCTGGCCATTGGGTCGAGCGACTCCGACCTCGACTCGCATCCCCGACCCAGCGGCCCATGCTCATTCTTGTCGTTCCGGGAGATTGGCTGACATGTCATCCTGTCCTCCCACAGACACGCAGGGTATGCCTACTCTGGTCCAGCAGCAGCTTGGGCCTATGCGGCCATCCCAACGGACAGGATGTAAGCTATCTATCTACCATGTGCCAGCTCGTCTGTCTCACTCACTCGCTCGTTTCCAGCAAACGGATCGTCCTCCTTGGACCGTCACATCATGCCTACTTTGAAGGTATCGCTTTGAGTCCCTTTGCGAGCTATGATACGCCCCTTGGTCAGATTCCTTTGGATACGCAGGGTGAGTACATAGAGAGTCTCGATTGGAAAAGTGTCATTGATTCCCGGACGCTGCCCAGCACTTGAGGACCTTGAGGCGACCAAATTGTTTCACCCAATTCGACCTGGGACAGATGAAGATGAACATTCATTGGAGATGCACTTGCCTTATATACGTCATATCTTTGGAGAGTGAGCGTTCGCAGCAGTCAGATACGGAAAACGCTGATCAGACTCGTCGTCTTTTTCGCTTCAGTCGCGAAGACCTTCGACTCATCCCTATGATTGTGGGTCAACCAGGTCGTGATCCCAAAGGAATGAGCAAGACGCTTGCGAAATACTGGGAGGATCCCGAAACGTTCTTCATCATCTCTACAGACTTTTGTCATTGGGGGACAAGGTTCAGACATACACCCTACTATCCCGATGCTCCGCTCCCTTTGCTCCCTGTCCCACCTGTAGAAGGGTTACCTCCCTCCTCCTCCTTCTCTTCTTCTTCTTCGTATCCAACTTCCTCGCCGCCGTCATCCAACCTCACACTTCAAAAACAGCTCAGTCGGATCAACTCTGATACGCCCATCTGGCGTTCCATCCAGTACATGGATCACGAGGGGATAGATATCTTACGGAAGCCAGCTGAGCAGTCTACCGCGGAGAATTGGCACCGGTATCTTGAACGGACAGGGGTGAGTGAGGGCTGGGCAGCCGAAAGATCTCGTTTGAGGCTAACGCTGCGCTCCAGAATACCATCTGTGGTCGGAATCCCATCTTCGTCCTCATCAACCTTCTCACCCACGTTTACGCCGACACTGATTCCGAAAATCGACCCATTTTCTCGTTTGTCAGATACGAACAGAGTGAAAAGGTGGTCGATCCGCGTGGAAGTAGCGTCAGCTACGTCAGCGGGATCTTGCGAGTCCCTCAGTAGGCATCAAGCTATGGCCGACCTGAGTGCCAGGAGGAGAAGCGGATCCAGCTGTGCGTTTCTCTGTTCACACATCATCATCATTATGTTTTTTATAACGACCGAAAGTTTATCACGAAACGAAGAAAAGGGGAATAATGGAATGTCTCCGGGGAGAGAGTTGCGGATAGCAGGTGCCAGGGGAGATTGCTTGGGGGAGGATAAGCACGGCTCGTGTATCGGCGAGACAGAGGGACAAACCTTCATGTCGATCCATCTTGGGTCTCGGATCATACTTGGGGTCAGGCAAGTCCAGCGACGACGCGCGAAGCGATCATGTGAAGAAGCATAAGAGAGTGGAGACGACTCTCAACGACGAAGGAGATCATGTAGATGACAAATAGAACGCATTGTACATATTGGGAATCTGCGTGCCACCAGTCATTCAGTCAGTCAAACAGACAGACATGACTTTTGAATCAGTCATTCAAAATAGGATATCTGTCAATCCGTCAAGTGACTTTCAGGAACCCAGGATTGTCAGCATGGCGATGCGACCACTTCCTGAATCTTCTAGGATCGACAACCTCTTGCCTAACAATGTCCTAAAAGCTTCATACATTTGACCCCTCTTTCGACCTTGTAGTGTGCGCATCGATCTGTGCCATGTTCAAAACCTCCTCTTATCGGCTGGAGCGACAAAGGCGCCTTCCGGCTGATGGGAGAGGGAAGAGACAGCGTCAGCTCGACAGTGTAAAGGTGCAGCAAAAGTGAGACAGAGAGAGGGAGGAAGGGAGGGAGGGATGAAGAGACGAGTGTATCAACGTATACGGAGTGATGTCTGGGAGTTGTGGACGGAACTGGTATCAAGGGGAGCATGCGTCCCCTTCTCGCCGGTTTCCAACCCATAGATGGTCCAATTCTTACTCACCCTGCTCTTCCTCAACATCTTCAAATATCTATCTGCCAATTCTGCACAATTCTGCTTGTGGTTCACCCCTTCATGTCGATAACATTTTGCCAACTCTTCTCCGACTATCCGGACTTCCATCGTCCTGACCCAGACTTCACGGATGAATTTCTCACGGTGCTCGAGATTATCTGCATTGGTGTTCACGCGGCGAGACGGTCGGAGGGGGCGGAGGCGTGGTAGGCAACATGGGTCAGGGCAAAGTGAAAATACGAGCTGTCAGTATAGGGTTTACCGACGCTTTGCGGAAAACCCACCCAGTGATCGCTCTGCGATGGCATCTGCACTGATATCCAGGGGTTGTTTGGACTCGTTCGAGTCGGTCGACATGGTGGGAAGTCGGCAGTGAGTGGTGAGTGGTGAGTGGTGAGGATCGTAGGCAAGACGGTATGGGATGAGTGAGAGTGTATCGTAGCTGGCTATTGGCTAGAAAGCGTGAACGGAAGCAAAAACAAGTCCCCGCCGGAGGGGGTTATTAGAAAATGGTTTCTAGTGGTTGTAGTGAAGCATTACAAACTTTTCCTAATGGGACCCCCTGGCCCCAGGGGACCGCCGCGAGTGACTTTTAGAGCGACAGAGGTCAGCTGGACATCTCGTCTCTTGCTCACCATCTCATATATATATATATTGCATTTGACCTGGCATAGGAGCGGATGACTCTTGATGTTCACACCACATCTTCCATCTTCCAACGACCACACTCACACTGACTTGACTGGCTTTGCCTCTTAACTACCTGCTGATCCCATCTCACACTCTCCAAAGCTCCTTACCATCTTACCTCGCCCCCCCAAGCTTTTATCACTTCCCGTCTCTCTCCCCCCTCCCACTCCACCCGTCTTCACCTCACCTTCACACCCGCTCATGTTCATCTCCATTCCATAGACACATTCACATCGAGGTAGATCATTCCATCCTCCTCCACAATCCTCATCCATCCTCTCTCACTCGTCATCCCACCATCCCACGATCACCACCACATTCCTCATCCCACCACATTCACCCACCCACACCATGTCCATCCCACCCTTCAACCCTACGACCGTCCCCTTCCACTCATCCTTCCTCAGCTCAGGGACCACCATCGATCTGCCCTCCGTCGCCGGGGCCTCCCCCTTCTCACCATTCACTGCCATCCCATCACCCGATCTCACCGTGAACAAGCATTCTCGAAGCCATTTTCCACCTCCCTCTTCTTCTTCCCCATCTACAGCCTCATCCCGCCCTCAATCTCAACCTCAACCTCTCACCACTCCCCTCCCGATCCTTCCCGCTCTGGAAGGTTCCCTCAACTCCAATACGCCATCTCCCGAATCACCATCCCTCCCCACTCCCGGTACCAATCCTCGTGCTCTCCCCTGGACGGGAATCATCTCTGGGTCCACCATCGCTTCGCGAATGGCCAGTGTAGAGCCTCCTTCATCCATCGCTCCTCGATCCACTCGTCCCGAATACAGCTTCGGACCTCCTCTCGTCCCTCGATATTCGACCTCAGATCAGACCGGACCAAGATCACTTGGTAATGAGAATCACCTCGTCACGAGTCGAGAAAATGAGAGGCGCCAGAGCTACAGCTGGCAAAGCTCTGGGCCTAGGGAAGGTCTAGCAGCATTCATCGGCTCGACGGTCAATCGACACCCCCCTTCACTATCCAACAGACCAGCGGTGAGCCCTACTGTTACTCATTGATGCTAAGGCTGACTGTCCCCCTCTCCAGCTCGGCGATCTCAACCTAAATCTTGGTCCTACGGCGACCCCATCACTCGGACTCGCCTCGCCTTTCGTGCCCGCCGATCCTGGTGGCGTGTGGGGACCACCTCCTCCTTCAATGGTGTCCCAAGTGGCCGCACAGACTGTCAGCGTGGAGGAGGTGAGTGACAAGCTGTCAACCTGATTCTCGGCCCATTTCGCTCACCAAACCTAGCGCCTCGCTCAAGCAGAGGAGAAGATACGCAGCCTCACTCTCGAGAACCAGCAGCTCAGAGGTTCTCGTCAGATTCAGCCTCACTCGGTGGGCCTACACCTGGCTGAATCTGCATCGCTGACTTGAGCCCAGAATCTGAGCCCACAAACTTCTCTCTCTCCCACGCTCTATTCCTCTTCTTTCGCCGACTCCGTCACTCAGCCAGGCTATGGTACTTATGCTCCTCCTCGCATGCGCCAAGATGATTTTGAATCTTTCGGCACAAGAAGCACATTTGGTGCTGACAGGGTGGGTGAAGTCCAACTTTGCGTGGGAGTCTCATTGCCTCTTATACAGTCTGACCCTTCGATGGATTCCGTGCCCAGCATGGCCTTGGTCAACAGCGTCTTGCAAGGCACTTTTGATTACTCCCAAATGCACCATGCTTACATTCGACCGATCGTTTGGGTGGTAGCTCATCGACAGCCGCGCAACAATTCTGAGAGGTGAGATGAGCCTTTTACGGTGAGTAAATCCAGCTGACCAGTCGCAGCGGCGGATTGAAAGCTGCCGTGAATGCCCTAGCGGTAAGCTTGCCGCTTTCATGTTACAGCAAAATGATGCTCATCCGAACAGACCCGCCTGACCCTACCGCGAGAGTCTGAAGCCGTGATCGTGCTCATTGATGCCATCTTGGAATGGGCAAAAGCCCTCTGCTTTACCTCGTGCGGCAATTACCTCTGCCAGCAACTTCTTGAGAAAGGCGAAGCGGATGACAAGAGGAAGTTTATCCAGGAGATCCAGTGAGTCCGGCTTGCCTGGGCCACATGTCAGGCCTATTCACCTTTCACAGGGAGGATCTGGTGCCGATTGCGAGCGACAAATTCGGCACTCATGTCTTGTGCAAGGCTGTTGCAGTCAAGGAATTAGAGGTCAGCTCCACCATTCTTTCTCGGTCGCGAGCTGATCTCTGTGCAGGAATCCATTGCGGATGCCTTGATCAAACATGGTATTTTTGAGTCTTTCAAGACGGGCGCCAGGCGGCTCTGGCGAGAAGTGAGCGGACGAGTGCCTTGCCAACAGCCGCTGAACCCATACAGTACCTTGAAAAGTGCAGACAGTGCAGAAACTTTGACATCTTTGTCAAGTGAGTTTTGGTGACTCGACGGATCCAGTGTTGATGACTGTCCAGGATCAACGATGAGATGGAAGGCAGGTGGGCAGAACTTGCTTGCGCCAATGAGGTAAGCATATGGCAGATCATGGCATCATTTCCTGGCAGCTCACGAAGCGACAGCACGGATCGATTGCCGTTCAGCAAGTGTTTGAAGTATTTGGATCTCATGAATTGATGGTCAGTTTGATCCAGAGTTCTTATGAGATACAACTGATACGATGACAGGAGCCGTGCTTCCGAGAGGTATGATGTTGGCACAGGCCGAAGAAGTGTATTGACCATAGGCCAGCTTCTCAACGAGATTTCTCGGGTAGCCAACAATCAATTCGGACAGTACGTGATGCTTTGCTAATCAAGAACCCACTCTGACTGAGGAGCACAGCTTTGTGGTGACAAAGCTCATCGGCTACCCACCCCTCTACAGACCAGCTTGCGATGCCATTCTTGGTGCCTACCCTCCTGTTGCCACCTCACATCATGGTGTCAACTTTGCCAAGATCGCTTTGACTGAGGGTGGCCGTGCAAGTATCGTCAAGTATGTCGAAGCGATCTGCAACACGGACGACGGGTGCGTCGCCTTGAGAGATACAGGCTGAGAGACCACAGTAAGACCCCGGGTATCGTCGCCATCGCAACGTCCTCCATCGGAAAGGCTCACCTGAGTGAGCGATTCACAATACCGTCTCATGTATTGACTTACTGAATCTCACGATGAAGCTTTCGTCTTGTCCTGCGTGGGTGTTCCCGCGTCCTTCTCGACGCATCGCTGACGCTCTACAGTTGACCCCTGGCGAGCATGTGCGAGTGCGACAAGTCTGCCGAGCATTCAGTACTACCTTGCGAAACAGTCAGAGCGGGAACGACCTACTGCGATCGCTGTGAGCCGCACTTGTGGGATCTGTTGTGCCCGCTGATGGACGACACAGTGGTCTCATCCATGCTGTCGGTGGCCGACATCGCCACGGCATCTAAACACAATACGCAGATTGGCGATAATTCTGCTTCCCCAAGGTCCCGTATTTCGCTTTCCGATTCACAACTTTGATCAACACCGATTCTGATTTTCAAGCTTTAGCACTCGACATGTCTTTGAGTCCTCATTGGCCTCGCATTTAGACCTTTCACATTTCAACAATCACAAACACATTCAGTCAATCCATCATCATACATCCCATCACGCCTCATTAACGTCTGACACGGACCACTCAAGCCTTCAGAGTGGGCTCCCTAGTGGCCTTGGCGCGCTTGAGCATTTCACCATTTTTTTCACGTCATTCACGCCAACACATCCCGAAAGAGACTGGGAGCAATCTTTATGTTTAGTAGAATAGTCTGTGGAGTCAGGAGCTAGGAAAGAGGAGGAAGATCTGTAGATATAGCCGCTCGACTGAAGGGAGGAAAGCACCGGTTCCTGCATTTAGCATACATGTATTGGCAGGAAGGAAGGTTAGGTTGGTGTAGAGAATGGTCAAGCGCATCGATCAATCATGTGGCCCGTTATCATATGTATCATGTTCCATGTTACAGGGTGGTGGTGATAGCTACAACAGGTGATGATTGGGTGTTCGACGTGAGCCATTGTTTCAAGTCTCAAGTGAGGACTCGAATGATTCGTTTGAACCCCTCTGACTACAGTTGATTCCTCTTCCTGGCTGTTCTCATGTATGGCCTCAATAACCACTCGACATCGGCCTCGGCTTGATCTATTGTCCCTTGGCGGATCTCGTATGCTGAGAGCACCTTGTTAGTGAGGCTAAAAGGCAGACGGAGAAACGGCTCACGCTTAGCTTCGAATCTCGGCCCCACTTCTGCCAGCTGGACATCCTTGTGCGAAGTCTTCGCGAAGACGTGATGTCTGAACAATTTCATCAGCACAGGGACAGTCGAACGATTCAGATATGGTGTGATCTGCCCGCCGCCTACCTGAAGGATATGAAATCTGACTCATTTGCAAACGTCATGACTCTCCTCGCATCGTCCTTTGGAACAGGGAATAAAGCTTTGAGTATCCCTGCGACTCGTTCGCCCAACCTCGTGGAGAACCCTTCGAATATCAAATGAGGATACTGTTCTGATACTGTACTGTTGGCGTTCGAACTGACATCGTGTCGAAGCGTAACGTTGTGGAGCGTTAAAGAGAGTGTGGGACCATGAGGAAGATGAGAGATGATCATGGCGTCTGGTCGACCTCGCGTCTCATGGAGTAGTATGAGGTCCGTCACGTTTTGCGAGATACAAGCTGGAACGAGTTGAGAGATGACGTTGTTTCCTCTATTTAAACGATAGGCGTTGGGGAAAACGAGCCGAAGTTCCTGGATCCAACGAACGAGCGTCAGTGAGGGAGCCCACTAAAAAGGCGAGAGTGGAATTGTCCGGTGAAACGGTAATCAAGACCAAGAGCTCACCTTGGAGAACTGCAGTAGACGACTCGAAGGTGATCTCGACGTCGTAATGACGACTTTCGGATCATACGTCCCAACCTTAGCATACTCATCATCGATATGACTCCGCGGCTCTGCCAAGTGGTGTGTGTCAGTGGGTCGCATCTCCTTCAATTGGGCATTTCATGCAGAGACACGTACCCGCTTGCGCCTCGTCCAGGACCAAATCTTTCCCTCCTAGCAACTTTGCTTCATTCCTCAGATCCGTAGGTAACGGTTTCCCAGCCGCTAAGAGCTCTTTGATCCTCTGTTTCCGCTCATAGATAGCTCGTTCTTGAGATTCTTGAGACTTTTTGAAAATGTATTCTCGACGCTCTCGCGTCTGTCGTCGGTTCTGCATGGATAAATAATGTCTCAGCGAGAGCCGATCTTCGAGCTAGACTAGCGTAGCATGGCTCTTTGAGCTCATCCACTTACCATGATTATGCGATGCGCCACGTACAAGACATATAAGCTGCTCAATCTGAAGTGGACAGGACAACTCACAAAAAATCTTGCTAGCCGAAGATCGACACACCACGTGGCTTTCATTTCCCACGGTAGTTTCTGGCTCCGACTTCGGAACAACAAACGTTTGTCACCTGAGGAGCATCATCGAATAAAGCTTGAGAATCATCAGATCATCATCCATTCCCCACACAGCGACGAGACGAGTGCGAAGGGCTACCTATAATAGATTGGTCAGTAGGAGGTCTTCGAGCAGCAGCCTGGTATGGCTGCTTAAGATCGAGCTATCGGCGCCAGCATAATCCTACACTTCACATTCCATCATGAAGCATGCTACGGTTCTCACCGTTTTATCGTTAGTTGCTCAGGTGACAAGCAACCAAGCACCATATCGAGTCTCAGACATATCAGCGACGAAGAAGAGGCAGCGTGAGTGGCTTCCCTAGCTCCAGCAACATATACTGATGCTGCATCACGCCTTTCAGCCCTGACTGGCCGATTCATCCACATCACCGATTTCCATCCGGATATCCTTTACAAAGAAGGTGCCACTATCGAAAGCGGATGTCACGAGCTACCAAAAGGCAAGGATCATGATGAGGAGGGATCAAGGTTGGCAAGTTCGAGCAATATCAGCATCGCTGGGAATACACGCACGGCAGGTTTAGCTGGGAAATGGGGGACTGGCGTTTCGTGAGTCAGCGGACTGGGGGCTCGGAGCCCGACCTCGAGATGTGCTGACATTTCTTCGTTGCGTCACAGTGATTGTGATTCGCCAATGTCGTTGGTCAACATGACTATAGATTGGCTAGCGAAAGAATGGGCTCACGAGATCGACTTTATTGTGTGGACAGGCGATTCAGCTAGGTGTGTGAAAGCGTTCCTCCCTTGGTAAAGTGGCGCCGTACTCATACAACCATTCATACCAGACACGACTTGGACCGAAACTTTCCTCGAACGCCCAATGAGATCTTCCAGTCGAATCGCATGATGGTCCAACAGATGCAACAGGCCTTCCCTCATATTCCCATCGTCCCGAGTTTGGGCAACAACGACATTTATCCTCATAATGTCCTCGCGCCGGGCCCCAACAATATCATCTCGCAGTACACCAAGTGAGTCTTGCGTGATGCTCCTTGTCTTCTTCAGCTGATCCTCTGTAGGATATGGAGCGACATCATCCCAAATGATTACGAGCATATTTTCGAACGAGGCGGATATTTTTCGCTCGAAGTGATACCGGATCGTTTGGCCGTCATTTCCCTTAACACGCTGTATTGGTACAAAGCGAACACTCGTGAGTCAGAGAAGGACGGTATCTTTGATCTCCTGTGTTCACGACGTGGTTTCAATAGTTGCCGATGGCTGTCTTGATCGGAATAAGGATCCGGGAGCTTTCGAACTGGAATGGCTGGAAGTCCAGCTCGATCAATTCCGAGGGCGCGGCATGCAGGTCTGGCTTTCAGGTCACATTCCACCGCATCTCGGCATGTACTTTGACAATTGCTGTGAGTGTTAATCTCGGCGGCTGATCGCTGATCCTTATTACAGATCTCAAATACGGAGATCTCGCACTTAGATTCCAAGACACTATCGTGGGTCACCTATACGGGCACATGTAAGTCGATCGGGCATGTTCTTCTCGCTCCGCTAAGGTGTCGTCAGGAACGTGGATCATTTCTTCTTCATTGACGTGCAAGAGCTAGAAGCGCCGATGCCTGATGCGCCACACATCTCAGAAGCGAACCTGACATCTCCCGAATCTCTCGTCGACGGACCTCCTCCTCGCATCGGACCCCTGCTGGAGGGTTCGGGGCGATACCGCACTATGGGTCGAGCTGCCAACAACTTTTTGCAAGAAGAGCTGAGGAAAGATTTCGGCGAGATGCCCGGTCCAGCCAAAATAAAACTGAAGGACTACGCCGTGGTGAACGTTGCACCGAGTGTCATTCCAACATATTACCCAGGCGTCAGAGTATTCTCGTGAGTCATCTTTCCAGCGGGTGTGCCCACGTGCTGATCCTTGCGATCCAGGTACAACATCAGCAATATGGAGGACGAAGATTTCTGGTCCGATATGAAGAAGAAGCGTCGGACCGGTCATCGACATCGTAAAAAGAAGGCCAAGCACGACTGTCGTAGACCCGAAAATCGAGATCGGCCACATTGTGTTTTTGCCCGTTTACCTCGCCATTACGACAAGGCATCGCCTTCTCGAAGTAATGGTCCTCTCAGTCCGTTAGGCTACACTCAATTTTTCTTGCCCGATGTGGACAGTACCCGTGATATCGCTCCAGACTGGAAAATCGAGTATAGCACTTTCCATCCGAGAAAGCTCGTCCCGCAATCATCGGGCTTAACAGAGACTCAGCCTCCACCTGTCCCTCTTCACCTGTTACCAGGATACGATCCGACCATCGTCTCACTCTACGCTGCGAATGACGTTCCAGCTGATGAGGGACAACGATCCAAATTGGTCAGGTTTGAGGAGGACATGAAGCATATCACGCCGTGGAAGCTCAAAGACCTGACGATCAAAAATTGGGTCAAGCTTGCAAGAAAGGTCGTGACGCGGAAAAAGTCTTGGAAAAAGTTCCAAGAGATCATGTGGGTTACTACTTTTGCCTCGAGGATAACCTCACTGACGCTATGAAATAGGTACGTCTCGAGTGATAATTGAGAGGGTACTGGTTGCTTCCGCATGGATCATGGGATTACACGTCAGTTGTATTTTATGTCTTCGGTCAGGTACAGTATACATGTCATTAGTGGATCATGACGAGCTTGGGGTCTCTTCGCCATCTCAGACCTGCAGGCACAGCCTTACCATCTCATTACCATGACATCTGAAGGCTATCCTACATCTCGCTCGTTCCTCATTCAAGACGTTACGACCAGAGTTCTCGCCCGCCTATCGCTCTCCGTAACGTCAGCAAAACACATCCTGTCACCAAGCTCTCGGGCTCTTCTTGACGGGAAGAAGTGTGTGAGACCGTGATCCATGAGACTTGCCGCTTCGGACGACCTCTCGTGTTGAAGGCGAAGCCTACTGTTGGCTTCCAGAGCGCCATGGGCCAGCCAGTGCAATTCTACGGTGTGCAGTAACGCCAAATCTTCACTTGGCAGCCAAATATGCGGGAAATACATCGCTCACATCTCCATCCTGTAATCTGAACATGCTCGCATACTCGCTGTTTATACTTGTAGACGACTCCCACCTATCTACATTACGACGGATCCTCCTCAGCCACACAAATAGCCTACAGCTGATCGCAAAAACTCCCACGCAGCGTCTCAGAGGGTTCGAGGCATGTCCCTTTGACTCCGTGCCAGCAACGACTTGAAAATTCGGCTCAACCGTTCCATACAAGCTGGACAAACCGGGGGCGTATGCGTACTGAACAAGCTCACCACCGTTGCTCGAAACGCCTTACGGATCTTGGCGGGGCTGCTTATATGCATCCGTTCAATCTCAGGCCACGCGTTGTTGCCTACGACACGTCGAAACTTCGACCAATCTCCATTCATGGCACGGTATGCTGAACATCCGCCATGATTGCGACATCCGCGATTGAATGCATGACCGTGACCGTACTTGAACTCAAGGAGGAGGCTTCGCCAAGTGTCTTCTCGCATGACGAGGACATCTCTGATTCGCGCGTACTCCTTCGGAGCGAACACGAGCAGAACGTCTCTTTCGAGTTGAGGTAGTTCGAAATCCGTGAAGGCATGTAAGAGCTGCTTGAACATGCCTTGCGCCCGGTCGTCTTGTCCAGCCTCGAGAGCCATGGCGATTTCGGTGAATGGGCCAAGTTTGTATCGCCTGAACAAGAGAAGCAACATTTTATCGACTTGGTATCGATGTGCGAAACGGAAGAGTTCGTCGAGGATTGAAGGATTCAGCGATGGCAGCTTCCTGTCTTCCCATGAGCCAGGTACACGAGGAGCGATCATTCGAAGGAAGTAGTATGCTGCTTGAGGACTGACTGCAGGCAGCGGAATCTCTTCTAGGTCTTCCTTCGCGGTTGAATCCATGGCCTTGAAGGTTCCGGTCGGGATATTGAGAAGATGATGGAAGCAATTGGAGTGATGCGCCAAGGCATTCATATCGAAAATGAATCGAACACCCTCGTCGAGAACCAGGATCACCGGTCGTGTGAAATGAGGAGGGGTACTGCCGAAGTCCGGGTGGAAAGAAGTCTCCTGTTTGGGGAAGGTTCCAGGCATATCTTGCTTGGTGGTCGAAAAGTCATACGCTGCGATCTCTGGAGAGAGCTCGAAAGGTTCATCTTCGATGGGCATTCTTTGAGCGGGCAAAGCGTCGACATGCTGACTGCGGTCACCGTATCTCCCAGGAGTGACGCAGGTGACCAACGTGTGAATGTTCAAACTTTGTTGTGACATCTTGAGATCCTTATGGTCGCTTGACGCCAGTTTGCTATGTACGATGGAGAATCAAGATTCAAGCGGAGCTGTGAAGATTAGAGGTCCAAACGTAGGTTGCCGGCTGTCGGTGATCTGAGATCTGCAGATCCAATCAGACCAGGACGTTGGAGGGAGTACAAAGCCAAGAACGATCACGATGGATGAGGGTAAAATGCTCGACGCTAAGACGAGTAGGCTCAGCTCGCTTAAAATGGAGGGCTTTTGATGCGTCTGCACGACACTCGACGCACCTGCTACCAACAGCATCGATTTACATCCTTGGTCCCGATTCGCCGCATGCCGTTGCGTCCGCTCGATGAGGAAGCAGAGGCAGTGACACACGGTGATCTTGCTCAGCTGAGATGCGTATCAAGTTCGGGCATCTGCTTATCGCAAACGGGCACTGTGTCGATATATACCTGTACCTTAGTGTGGCAGTGCCACAAATGTATCGGGCAAGGCTTCCATACATCGCTGCGTTCGTTTACAACTTGGCACGCAGTGCGTCGCCCGGATCACCTCCTCGCAGCTCGTGTTGATATCTCAGCCACCATTCAATGCCCCTACGCTTCGTATGGTCCGACAGGTCACGCATGATCGTATTGAACAACGCTCTTACCAATTCAGAGCGTTCATGGTCCGCGGGGGGCAAAGCCAAGATGACATCTCTAATAGCGTCTAGATGCGCGTCGAGCGAGTCTACTGGCATACCGATCGAGACAGCAATTCTCAGTAATCGGAGCGTATGATCGAACGGACTGGCGGCATCAATCGCTGCGAGGTCCAAGAGAGCCACACAATGGTCCAGTATCGCGGGATCATACCTCGCGGCGGCCACACAGACAGTAGAGAAAGACCTCACGAGCTCAGAGTCCGTCAAATGGCCTCGTTTGCTTTGCTACCAGGAGATCAGATTGGTCTCAGACTCTATGTCTTACCTCGAGCAGCAGTTCCGCATGATCCGGCGCCAAATGAGAGACCATGTTCATCCGTCCGTCGAATTCCTCAGCACCCTCTTTCTGCAAAGCTTCGAAAACTGCGACCATGTAGGCATGAGCGGCTTCGAAAGACTGTGGATATTCGGGCTTTTGGATGTATCTATGGTTCTTGTCAATCAAAGACCCGTTTAACGAACCTACAGATTACATAGAGGAAGAAGAATTTTCCGAAAGGTTCGCTCAGATATTTGATGAATCAGTTGTTGTGCGACCACAAGCACGAATGCTCCTCGATCCGGGTTCTCGTCGCCGTGGAGTATTCTCGAGAAGAGGTTATGTACCTCGCTCGTGTTCGCCTTGGCGGAGACTACGTCCAGAATCTGAAGGATCGTCGTGTCGAGGCTGTACCTGGATTCTTTACGCCCAGTTGACGAAATATCGGACAATATTACAAGTATATCCGCCATTGTTTGGACTGTAGGATCAGGCGATGTCTGATCATCTAGTAGAGGCTTGGATCTCTGTACAGAGTCGAGGACGGATTGGGAGATGTGGACAAATGCCTCCAATGTCTCTGAATTGAAGGGCGCTGCTAACGTCAGTACGGGGAGAATGCATAACCCACTTTTGCGCTCCGAATCGCTCGAGATGCTAATCAGATCGCTTAGTAGAGTTCTGATCTCCCCCCACGCATACTCTCGACTCGAAGGCCCCCCGTGATCCAATATCGTGAAACATCTTGAGATGATCTTGCCTCGGGCGATTGTGTCGGCCCCAGACGGGGCTTGAGACCCTATATCTCGTAGCCAGCTCTGACGTTGTTCTGTCAGAATGCCCTGTGAACAGTCAAGATATGGACTCGACACGACTTGATGTCTTACTCTCGGATTCAATGCCTTGAGGCGCTCCGAACGCAGAATGTCGACCACTTCTCCCAGATCTGACACGAACAAGTTTGCATCCTCCGAAGGATCCGCGCCCATTTTTGCCAGAAGCAGAACGATTTCTTCCTCGATTTGAGTTCTACACGAGCTCTCACTGAAGACCTCACACACTTCGTCCCCATCGAAACCTCGCAGAAGTCCAATCATGCACTGTGTTCTTCGTTCTGTCGAGCTCGCCTCGAGTAAGCAATGAGCCAGCGTGTCACCCCATTGCCGTAGCTGTCGATTGATGCGAGCTTGCTTGAGCCATGCAGACGAGAATGATTGCTTCAGTGCCAACAGCTTCGCGGCAGACGCCAGTCGAAATGCCTCTCTGATACCAGACGGATCATTGGCATTCCACAACTTGTCAGACTGTACTAGAGTGTCAACGAACTCGAGGAGATTGTCATTAGACAAAGTGGTGAGATAATGATTGATGGCGCCATAAAGGGTCTCCGAAGGTATGGTCAACTTCTCCGGACCCTTCAGAGCAGCGATGAATCGATGATACGTCTCTCGATCATTCTCCTCCATCGTCTTCGAGGACACTGTCGGGATGCAACTCCAGGTTAACCGGTTACCGGCGAAGCTCAAAATCATTATCTAACCGGGAGGGTCATTTAAACGTTTGCTCGCCTCCGAATGGGCATGGCATCTATGTATCATCGACCATCTAACGCCAGCGTGAGCAGGGCTGCTCATCAGGCAAGATGACGTCCCGGCTAAAGCACAAACTGGAGCTGGAAAATATCAACTTGAAGAGTGCTTACTTGAACGAGTCATTCGTCTACGTAAGTCAGGCCCAGCACCCTGCGGCTCCGATGTAAACTATCACTGATACTCAAGTATTCAGATTGGCACGCCTTTGCCTGCCTTGGCAGAAACCAGAAAGGACAAGTTGGAATATGTACCAGAATGGCAGCAGGAAGCCAGAGATGAGAAAGGTCGTCGACGTTTCCATGGAGCCTTCACAGGCGGTTGGTCCGCTGGGTATGGCAACACTGTCGGGAGTAAGGAGGGTGAGTCGAGGTGCTTGAGAGCAGGCGCAATGTGCTCAAATCGACATCTACAGGATGGGCGCCATCGACATTCAAGTCATCGAGGAATAATCGAGCGTCCGCATCCCAGAGACCGGAAGATTTCATGGACGAGGAGGATCTGCAACAGATGAACGATGATAGGAAGTTGGAGAATACGGATACATTCAAGAATGATGGCTTTGCAGGCACGCGTGAAGAGTTGGCAAACAAGGGGTCAGTCGAGGATGGTTTTGAAGTCCTGCGTCGCTGACCTCTGCTTCAGTCTTCCATCGAGTCTGGAATCCCTCATCGCTCCAGCGACTACTTCCATCGGACAGAAGCTGTTGACTAAACTCGGATGGAGGCCTGGTCAAGGGATAGGACCGCGGATATCCCTACGGAAGAGGAGAATACAAGAAGGCAAGCTCGGTCGTCTAGGTACCGAAGTACCAGAGGACGATTTGGACGATGCCGAAGCTGGGAAACACACATTTGCACCTCGGGACGTTAAATTGTTGGTTTTCGATCCGAAGGATGATAGACAAGGACTCGGCTATCAAAGGGGCAGTGGGTTGGGGAGGCTAGCAGGAAGTAGCTCTAGGAGTGGGTGTCACTCTTTCTCCCTTTTGCGAGCCTCGCGCTGATGTTCTCACCAGCGGCCGCATTTGGTGCTGCCCGTCGTCCGGAGATGGACGAAGATGAGGATCCTTATGCTGAGACGTCCACATCCAACCAACGTTTCGTCTTGGATCAAGGTGGTGACGACGAAGGAGACATCATCATGGTCGGTGGGCATGCGGACCGCACAAAGAATTCGAGGGACACGACCAGTGGGCCCGATCGCACAGATCGGTGGCATGACGGCAGACCAATCCTGCCGGGCTTCACACTCGACCCCAAAGGTGTGCCACCTGACAAGTGGTGAGTCTATCTGCGACTGAGTCTGCCGATCTAACCTCTCATCCAGGTTCGAAATGCCGGATATACCGCCTGATTGGAGACCTAGACCAGCTCGAGTATGGGGTACGACGCGGAAGTGGGATGAGACATCCGCAACTGTCAAAGAGGAGAAGGAGGTGATCAGGGGCGCACCGGGCAAGCCCTTATCTTTTGAGGAGGTGAGTTTACGAATGCAACTTCGCTGCAATGCTGACTCTCATTCAGCGAGGCGCAGCACTTGGCGAAGAACAACGCATATCAAAAGCCAAGTCGGTCTTCGAGTACATGTCGGAAAAGGATCGCGAACGACTTGCCAGCATTGCAGCAGCAGCGAAGACGTCGGCTCCACTGCCGCTCGCCATGGATCAGCCAGAAGCCGAAGAAGTCGAAGCTCGTCCGCCCGCGGAAGATGTGGTGATACCTCCATTATCTCCTCGCACAGCCTCTGCAGCCCTAAAAGGCTTCATCCCTTACGGTGATGATCCGTCGAAGCAAGACCGATACAGATCATATCTTCAGTCTCAAACACTCCATACAACTCAACCTGATCCAGTCCTCCGGTCAGGGACGTTCGACGAGATCAACAAAGAACTGGAGGACTTCGCATCTTCTGCCAGAATCTTCAAGCCTATGAGCTTTGCCATGTCTTCTCGTTTCACATCCGGTTCAGCTTCACTGGCAGCCACGGATCTCAAGCAGGCAAAACCTGGTCTGCATCTCTACGATGCCGAAAAAGCCAAAGCAGAGGCTGCCAAACCGAAAGTCGTGGAAGTTGAGGTGAAAAAAGCCTTGACCCCTCGAGAGCAAGCGGCAGCCAACGGAATGTACGGCCAGATGACCCGAGTCATCAAGGAATTCTACCCCGTTAAGCTGTTATGTAAACGGTTCGGAGTGGCCGATCCCCATCCCGAAGGAGATCCAGGTAAAGGAGAAGGAGGGAATGACAATTCGGTGGACAATACCTTTGAGCACGCTCCTCTTCCAACGAACGACGCCTCTTGGGAAGACAAATTCATTCATCAAGAAGCATCGGCTTCGGAGCCTTCGAACGCAAATCTGGCGACTGAAGAGCGCAAACCCAGGACGATCGGAGAAGTTGGAATGGCGGACGATGCCAACCAAGGACGTGATACCCTCAGTTACATAAAACCCAGCATTGACATTTTCAAAGCGATTTTTGCATCCGACGACGAGGATGAGGAGGAAGCAGAAGAAGCTCCGAGTACAAAGCAGGCAATACAAGCTGTGAATGGAGTTGGAGCTGGAGATGATAAACTCGCTCGACGGGCAGATCCTTTTCCTGTCAAAGAGGAGGGCCCGGTGGACCTTGCAGTCTTCAAACCCGTATTCAAGATTCGGAAGGACGAGCCTGAATCTGCCGCTGCCAAGGAAGAAAAGAAGAAAGCGAAGAAGGATAAAAAGAAGCGTAAGGGTGTGCTGTCCTTCGACGTCGGTGAGGATGGCGACGATGATGAGCCTGCCAAGAAAAAGGTAGACAAGAAAAGACTGAAGACGGGAGAAGGTGAGAAGGAGGAAGGTGGAGGTGACGAAGGTGTATGGGTGGAGAAACCCGAGATCAAGCCGCGATTGGTTGGCCGCAAAGGAGCGGCAGATTACATGTAAAAAAAGATTTGCATACGAAGCATACGAGAGAGGCGACGGTCTATTGGTTGATTTGTTGTAAATTCTATAGCATTGCATTGCGAACATCAGTGTTAGAATATCCAATCAGCTTAGTTTTCTCTTGTCAGCTTGTCAGCTAGAGGTCCAGCGCAGCAGCTGACTCTTCAGCGAGCGAGGTCAACTGTCGGTATTCCTCTTGACCGGCAGCTTGACAAAGGCTTTGAAACTTGCCAGACTGTTTTATGAGCTCGAAGGGCGAACCTTGTTGGATGAGTCGACCTTGATCCATAACAATGACCTTGGAGCAAGGCATAATAGTCTGAAGCCACCGTCAGCAAAACCATGCGAGGTAAGGAGTTGACTCCAAAGCTCACCCTCAGACGATGCGCGATGATCAGGATCGTCACCCCTTGAAATTCTTCGTGAACGACGCGACTGATCTCACCATCCGTGGCAGAATCAATGCTGGCAGTAGCTTCGTCCAGAATCAAGACTTTGTGTCGCTGAAGCAGGGGCCTAGCAAGTACGACCAGCTGTTTCTGTCCGGCTGAGAGGCTGGATGCCCGTTAGCCCGGTACAGTGATCAGACCCGGTCCAGAAAACAAAAGAAAACACAACCTACTTCTCTCCACCTGACTTGATCTCCGTATTGAGGTTGGCAAAAATATTCAGTTGATCTTCTTCACTTTCGACTGCCGTCGCACTGCTGCTGTCAGAGGTCTCGGAGATTTCTGACTGGTCTGGAGAATCTTTGAGAAGCTGGACGTTGTGCAAAGCGCCGTACAGCTCAGCGTCGGTGAATTGGCCATAAACGTCCAGGTTGAGTCTCAGCGTCCCACTGAGCAAGATCGGATCTTGAGAAATGATACCTAATCGTGATCTCACGAGACCGACTGGGAGATCGTAGATGTCTGAGTATAGTCAGCGTATCCCATTCGAACGATATACTTACTCTTCCCGTCGATCTCGATCTTGCCTTTGGGCACATCCACGAATGAGAAAAATGACTAGGCCAGCGTGGACTTGCCGCTTCCCGTGGCACCTACGATACCGATCCGTTCTCCTCCTCGAACTTCGAACGAGACATCGTGCAGAATGTCCGGCATGTCGGCACCATACCGCGCACAGAGGTCCTTTATGTGGATGGCACCGACGTCCGGCCAATATGCTAGCTCCGATCCCCCGGCGTATTGCCCGTCAGGTCGAGAATCCTCAGGTCGAGAATCTCCATCCTGCTCCAGAGAGTCGATGTCTTCGGTGTCCAAATTCTCGTACTCCGCGACTCTTTCCAGACTGACACCATGGAGCTCAAATGACCGAAGATTCATCATGATCCACTGAACGCTGTATGTGATGCCGCTCGCGAAAATGAGAATGAAACCTGCCCTGGAACCAGTCATATCAGACGAAGTGATAATGAGACCGAGGGCAGAGGACATGGTAACAATGTCCATCAAGCGCAAGTTGACTGTTCGAATCAGCATGAAAGTGAAGCAATCAACTTACTCGCGAGCCATCTCCCAATGTACCAACTCCAAGCGTTGACGTTGATCTTCATATTTAGCATTTGCAGCAGCTCTGAGGGTTTGTCAGTCGATCTCAAAAACAGCAAAACTCGCCATTGACGAAAATGGACTGAACGCCGAAGGCGCGGATGACTGCTGCCCCGGCAACGGATTCACCATAGTGCGCGTTGATAGGTCCTGGTATGACTGATTGAAGTCGTCGGATCTGTCGGGAAGAGGATCGATACCATGTGCTCTATGGCAGATATACGTCAGTCGAAGTTCTCCACAGCCAGTGGCTCCAACTTACCGGTTTCCAAACAATCATAAAGAGCAGGAGGATAGACACGGCGAATGACCATCCGGCAGCAAGTGTAATTGAGGCAGTACTGATAATGACTAGTAGACGTTTGTGAGACCGTGGTTTCTAGACGACATTGCTCACTCCCGAGGATGATCTCAGCGGTCTCTCCCATTAATTCAGAACACGATGTGATGTCAAACTGAGGGCAGAACTTCAGCAACGAATGAAGAACAGATGTGGCGCTCTACTCACTAAATCGGTCCCGAATCGCTGAATGATAGATCCTGCTCTGGTCTTAGAGAAGAACGTCATTTTCGCTCGAAGCATCTTGTCGAGCATCGTTGAGTGGATCTGCAAGGGTGAATATCAGGTGACGTCCGGTATCAACACTCACCTTCCTCAGGGCATGCATTCCGCCATAGAAGCGGAATAGCCCGAATAGAGTCTCCAGGAGGACTTTCGACAAAGAGAGCTGAATCGATGAGACAATGTATGGAGCGATCCTCAAGACTTACAGCGGTATAAAGGGAGACCCAGAACACGAGCGTGTGCGTCTCGTTTAGATTTTTCGCCCCATTCGTCCACCGTCTGAGATTCACGTCTTTCAGCTCATTTTCACGTACGTGCGCAAAATTATCCTCACTCCAGGACACCTCGTTCCGCCACGGGGGCGAGACCACTGACAAGCAATAAAACCGTCATCATGGTCCAGAAAACATTGCCTCCATTTGCCCGCTTGAGTTTCCACCAATGTTCCACGCCGACATTTCCTTTCGATCGCTGCTCTTCGATGACTAGTTCTTTTGGAGTCTTTGCATTACGCGGCTTGACAACGTACTCGGTACATGTCCCGAAAAGGGTCGAGGTGGTTTCATCGATGATTGTCTCTTCAGGAGTGGCTTCAGCGGCTCCCGAGGTCTTGAGATGGAGCATGTGCTCTGATTTGAGCAGCTCTGGACCGGTACCTTGCCAGCTGGCCTTGCCTTCGTGCAAGAAGATCGCATTCTCAGCCAGTGGCGCAATCGACTCGACTGCATGGGATGCCAAGATGATAGTACGACCTGCTGTCAAATCAGACTGGAAGCATTCCTGAATGATATGTTTCGAGGTTTGGGCGTCCACAGCTGATATGATATCGTCAAGGACCAGGATCGAAGCTCTGGAGTAGATCGCTCGAGCGAGGGATACTGAGAAGATCGGTAAGCCCATCAGTCAAGGCCGAGAGCGATACACCTACCTCTAGCTTTCTGACCGCCGGAAAGGATTTTGCCCCTGTCTGAGCTTTATGACAGTGGCTAACTAGCGGTCAATAGACGCACCGTTCACCAATCTCGGTCAGATCTCCATCATCAAGCAGAGCGAGGTCCGGCAAGAGACCTACAGCCTTTTGGAAGAAATCAGGGTGAACGCTTTGAAGAGAGCGACGCGAGTGACTTACGAACACAACTGCTTTGTATCTTTCTTCCTTCATGGGCAAACCGAAGAGAATATTGTCTCTGATACTCTGACTCTGCAGCCATGCAGTCTCCCCGGGTCAACTCCAGCCAGATGACAGCGACTCACCCGAGGGACATAGGCGACTCCTCCAAGCACAAGTGACCAATCTTGCTCCCCATCATTGAGAGGATCCATCAAGGGAGAGACAGCATAGGAGATCTCGCCGTTCAGAAGTCTGACTTCACCCAGAAGCGAGAGCAAGAGCAGAGTCTTTCCTGAGCCAAACTTGCCAGCTATCAATGTCATTTCACCTCGAGGAAACTTCACGTCGAGGTCGCGTAGCTGAAAGGGTGGCGTAGGAGCTAACGAATCCGCATCCGGTTGAAGTGCTGTCGATGCGGGGACATCCCAAGTGATGGTGCCTCTAACGAACAGAGACTTTGCTTGAGGTACTGGCTGACCATCTGCTGGCGAATCAAGCATGTACTCTATATCCTGCGTGCCTAGAAAGGTTGCGATTCGCTTCGCCGAGAGAATCTCCTGTAGCAGAACGGCAATATTTGTAGGGAGTTGAACCAAAGCGGGGCGGAGCTCTGAGGGCAAGTGAGCTTGAATGTTCCTGCAGCGCATTCATCGGAAGGCCGACTCACCGTCGAAGACACCAATGGAGGTCTATGCGGTTCAAGCATACATCTTTAAGTAGATGGATCACTCACGAAAGCAATGGAAGCCGTGAGAGTCTTCTTAGCGACTAGAGTGTAATGAGCGAATGCCACCAAGACAACCAATGTCGGCGAGATATCACTTCGCATATCAGTGAGACCGCACCGGTCACCAAGACTTATGCGAAACTCACTAAAGTATTCCCGAGAGATAGCCAACCAATCGGGCTTGAGTGATCTTTGCAATTTCTCTCTCACGAACAGACATGATGCGGCGGTACCAGACGATTTCGGTCGCTGTCATCTTGATCATGGAGATGGCTTGTATAGCTTCTTGCATTAGTGACACCTTCTCATCCTTGATCTCCAACTGTGTTTCGTAGATTCGATATTGGAGCTTGGTCAGAAAGTAAGCCGGAGGATAGGTCAATAAGAGTGTCAGAAGACCCCAAAGTCCGGACGGTCCTAGATTCATATGTTAGACAAAATGCTTTCATACGGGATGATTAAAACTCACCAAGGAGGTACCACACAAACAGACAGCCGATCACCATCTCCACTTGAAACTTTATCATTCGTGCAACTGTCCAGCCTAGCCTGGCCAGTGCCGAACTGTCAGAGGAGATGAGATTGAGGATGTCCGCCTTTTTGTGTACAGATTTGATCTTGCTGTCCAAGGTAGGCGAGGGCGAGGCATATGTATTGCGTGTGAGCAGTTTCCTTGAGCAAACGAGCCCTCAGTGCCAATTCCCGAGAGAGAAATTTGAAGGAATAGGACCCACTGGTATAGCAGAAAAGCCGAATGACAATTGATCCTCGGACTCGCATAGAGTGTGGAGCTGGAGTTGCTCAGCGGACATGCACAGTGACTGACTCTTCGTGTGCTCACTAGTTGTACGCTTTGTACTGGAGAATGGACAATAACAGTCTTGAGGCAGTGAACAGTCCGGCGTAAGCGTAGAGATTAGACCGTATGGAGCCGTTATCGATGAGCCACAAAATTTGCTGCGTACAAAGGTGAGGAAGGTAATAGATCGGTCCAAGGATGACTTCGATGAGGAGTACTGTTGGGACGTGTGAGCTTTATGGTCAATCATCCAAAAGAAAACGTGCCTCCAAACATTCTTGCCCTCTCAGGACGCCACACTGTCCAGAGGAGTCCGAGAGTCGGGTACTTGCTCAGCCTCACTCCACTCTGGTCATTGACGACGACCGATTCATGCAGAACATTCTGGGTCCTGAAGTAAGCATGAGCAGCTGGTAAATCTTGTAAATCCGCTTGATCCATCTTCGAAGTCTTGGCTATGGTTGGGTAGACGAAATGGAAAATGGCTTTGCTCAAAATCGAAGCATTTGCCTCTGCATTGACGTTGGGGATTTTGGGATCGTTAATTCCAGTCTCGTGGATCTTTTCGGTGACTGCTTTGGTGTATAGTTTCGACAGGTCCTGGTAGAGAGGCGGGCCGGTGGGGACTATGATTATACTGACAGCAATCGCGATCCCGAACGCCAGTGAGGTATATTGATGCCAGGTGATGTCGCGCTCGTGACCAACAGCGAGATCTTGTCCTAGGGAAGCAAAGTACCAATAGACAGAATAGACACCGCTCAGATTGGCAATGTGATAGGTAAGTGACTTGTGATTTGCGATCGATCTCGTGAAGGCATAAGCAAGGCAAAGAGCGAGGATAAATATTGCGGCCATCAGCTCGGTGATGATGAAGAGGTCGAATTGCTTTGGCTGCCTGACGAACAGGACAAGACGGTACGTTTGGAAAGCAGCGTTTGCAGTCGCCAGGAAAAGAACCAGACAACGATGCAGCCTGATCTGATTCATTTCATTGGTCAGCCGTGATCAATCTTCTTTATGCGCCACTCACAGAACCCCAAAAACGCATCGTGTCCACGGGCTGGCCATCACCCTTCAAATCTGACTCCACATTGGCCAATAGCCAACCATGAAAAGCGCCCTTTCTGGTCGTCAATCGAGATGTAGGCTCATCGGAGAGCCTGATTCGGGTATTGAGGAAGCGATCGCATAGTAGTCGATATACAATGAGAACGAGGGAAACGATCAAGGAGCCTAAAAGAGCGACGGCGCAGGCCCACTCGATGGCAGCAAGCCAGAAGGGCTTCTGGTGGCGTAGCTTGATTGGCATCGCGAGTGGATTGCAGCTTAATACGGGCAGGATGAGTAACAACACTGATAAGAGGGGCTCTAAGAGCAGCCTTATACAGTAGGTTAGCTTAAGGCTGCGAACATCGCACCTAAGCAAGCAGCGGTGAAAGGATGTCCCGTCGGAGGGTGAAAGGTAGCGCCTTGATCGTCGAGGAGACTCTTCCCTTCACCACCAGTTGTTGTACTGGATCAGCACCGGTGGCGGACTCGACCACAAGCTATCCGGGTGTATAGTCAGTTCGTTTGTGAGTGTAGTGTCAGCTGTACCGACGAAGAGCGAATGGTTATGCATCACTCAACATCCCACTCCGACGCGCCGGTTGAGCGACACGACGGCCATTCTGCCTGCCACTCCTCACCTTCCTCCCCGTCGATCTCTCCCGCCGAATAGCTTTATTCCCCCCCCCCCCCCCCCCCCCCTCGGGCCATTGGGCTCGTACTCTCGATTTGAGTCATGGATGGCGGCATGACCCGGGATGATAGGATTCCAGTGATCCAACGGATAGAAGATGATCATCCGAAAGCACGGACGCCTGATGTTATTGAATCGAGTTGAAAGAGAGTTGTTGTCGAATTGGCTCCTACAGGTCATTTACAAGATACTTATACAACGGCAAGCTCAGGCGTATACAGCGAATGTTGATATACATCGCGCGTCTCCGCTGGATGTCAAAAATCTTCCAGATCGGGTTTCGGCAGGCTGGCCGCGTGAGGAGAGTTGTGGAATGTCGGACCTGCATATTTGATGCCCTGTACTGGCCCTCCTGCGGGATTGCTTTTGGGGACGAGACCGCCAAGAGGTCCCTTTGAGCCATGTTTGAGGCGTGGAAAGTCGCCCTGGAGAATAGGTAGATCTGATGCGGCGCTCTGAGACGTGGGGAGTCTGATGGGTGTCTGTGGTGCGCGATTTACATTGAAGCCAGTGTGATATGGAATAGTGTGATCAAATGCTGACAACGGTACTGAGCCGTCTAGGGAGCGTCTTCTGGTTTGAGTCGGCTTGTTGACCAAAGGATACGATATTGGAGGGTTTGGTATGTTAGCGGGATGCGAGCTCTTGGGTCGAGCGCGAGGCTTTGGGTCAGAGGCATGATTGAGAGATTTAGTCGAAGTGTGAAGGGATTTGTCGCGCCTCGGCGTGCTTGACAACTCGGTGGCCTGCAGTTGCTGCTGCCACTAGTTGCCCACGTCAGTGCCAGATTGTCACGCGCAGCAAGTCAGACTCACCGTAAGTGTCTGAGCTCCCCCTGGGCCAGACATGTCAGGCATGTCCCATACGGAAGATTCGTCGTTACCAGAAGCGGCCACCTTGCGACTCTTCTTCTCCTTCTTTTTCTTCGCAGATGTGGGTGGCGGCATCTCCAGGCCAGATACTGACGGGAGACTCTGGCTCAGCGAGTGAAGATCAAACGACTGTGACGATTCCATAGCGGTCTGGTCAACTTTTTGTGAAGCTGGCCGGCCTTTGCCTTTCCGTATAATGGCAGATGACGAGGTGTCAGCGGGAGGCAGGGTGAAAGCGTCCTCAGATTGAATATCACTGTCAGGTTGGAACAGCTTGCCTTTGCGAGCAGAGACCGGGCGAGTGAAAGCCTCGCTGTCGGACATGCTGCCACGAGGTTTCCTTCGACCTTTGCCTCTCGGTGGTACGGCCTCACCGTCTCTCCCACTCGGTGTCCGTCCGGAATCATGAGCATTCTCCTGACGCTTCGTGGATCTGGTGTTCGAAGACTTCATCTGATCCTTGGTAATGGGAAGGAGACCTGGGACAGCAGTATTGGCTTTTGCCGGTGTCGGAACACCCAGAAGGTCAAACAGCAACTCGTCGTCCTCGGATGAACGCTCATTGTCGGGCCCGACATCGTCACCGGACGCATTGAAGTTATTCTGAGATTTTCGTTGAACAGATTGCTTTCCATTTGCTCTCCTACGCCTCGCCCCTTTGTGTGGTGTTGGAGTAGTCGGCTGGACAGCATCCAGCTGAGGTGACCTTGATTGGGACATATCGATAACAGGAGAAGAAACCGGGGATCTTCTAGGAGATAAGGCTATATCGCCTCTGATAGAGGTCCTGGAAGGAGACTGGGGAGGTCTGTTAATCGGCTTGGACGACTTGTGATTCTGTGATGTCGGTAAGGAAGTCGATGGTGGCGTGTTTCTTGATGGATGAGACCAGCGGATCGGGGCATGCTGCAAGGGTAAGCAACACTGAACAAAATCTTTTAGACATCGTATCACTCACACAATGAGAGAAGGGTGTATGAACGTATAGATTGCATGAAGCAGACCTCGTCAATAAGTAAATTCCTAGTCGATGATCCACTGAGAAGCAAGGGACGTGTGTGGCCTCTACGGTGTCGTCCACCCGCGGCGAATAATAGAGCACAGTCCTGGGTCTCGTCAGAGCAGATCTCCAGAGTAGGAATACACTGAACGCGAGATGTTCAAATCGATACAGTCACCGTCAAGGAACACAGTGCGATGAATGAGACTTTGGATGTTGATAGATTCATGTACAATGGGTGGGGCCCTGAATACCGAGAGTCTGTCGATCGATGAATTGCTGTTGACACATCACGTGACCATATTTGGGGGAACGAACCGCCATGCTTTTCTCCTCGTTGAACATCATGACATTGTTATTAGCATCTGTTCTTGATCATCAGCACTCACTCGGGAGAAGATTCACAGTCTGGGGCAGTCTTTGGATGTATGTATGAGGCTCATCGGTGAGTGTCTGATCCTCAACATGCTCTGAACATGTAATTCTAGCCTTGGGCTCTCATCATGTACCCAGCAAGGGCACGATTAAAAGTTTCCGGCCAAATGTCGGGGTGCCGAAGATGCTGCCCATCTCGAGTGCAGGCGAGGCAAGCATCCTCTGCAACTCAGGAGGCACTGCAGGAGCAAGAGGATCCTTTGGTCGAGCCTGTCTGGGTACAAGCAGGTCCTTCCCGGCGTGGACGTTACCCAAGATTCAGCCGATCGAATAATTACTCTGACGACGCTTCAAACACTCGAGGTCAAGCAAGCTCGTTTGCTGAATACCCTACGGTCAGACGTCCCCAGCTTCACTCGAGGGGAGCCATTTCACGAGCTAGGAATCGGTCACTCCGAGATTACCTGGATCGATTGGCCTGGGAGGAGATGGGGCGAACCAAAGATTTCCTAAAACGACATCCTACTGTCGCTGGACCATCATTCGACTCTCTTTCTCGACTAGACACCCATACAATCGTCCATCACTGCATCAGGACTGGGAGACCATGGATGGCAGTTGAGCTCATGATAGCAGCTATTGATTTTGGTCTGGCCCAAGAACCTAAACGGAAAGGGCGATTCTCATCGAGAACACTATCTCTCTTATTTTCGGAATGTGCAGCACGATTGCAAGCCGGGATTCCACCGGTTTTACCACGTCCAGACGATGTTCCAGACTCTCAGGCAGACGTAGATCCAACTCCTGTCGATTTCATCTCTCACTACAGCCGCATCATTGGTTCGATAAAACGTGCTCGATCGATCCAGAAGCTGCAAAACCTATTGGCCCTGCTTGGTCGACTCCAGGACTTGCGACATCATAGACCCATCGAAGTTTACGAAGCGCTCATATCTTCCTGCGTGGAGCTTGCGAGACCAGACTTGGCAGCTGGAGTCTACGTCGGCATGGTGGAGGAGTGGATTATGGAAGGGCGTATAGCGATCGGCGCTCAAATCGAACATTTCTACGACGGGGGCGGCCCACCGGAACAGGGTCGTCACGAGCTGGAGCTCGCCTCCGACTTGCTCAAGACATGGTGGCAAGGTATACGATCTTGGTCTCTACCTGGAGAGGTCTTGTCTCCCCATGGCCGCATCGACCTCTGGCATCCCCGCAAATTGGCACTGAGCGAGAAGATGCGAAATTTTCCACTGCCGAACCCTACTTCCCCGCCAACGCTCGTGCCTGCACCAGCTGAGAATCTACTTGAAATGATCGTTTCTAACCTCCATCTGGATCCAGATATCGTGTCTTACGAGGAGTTTGCGATCTCTATGCGGGCCTGCGCAACCCTAGCCAACACTATCCATTCTCGTACATTACCGTTGCTATCGAAAGGCACGCTCATGCGAGCTCTGGGTCGTACACCATTCATGCCCAAAGTATATCCGGAAGGAATCGATCCGAGAAGTCTTTCGGCGCGAGACGAATGGGCCTATACGGCGTATACGCATATCCACTTGGCCCTTCAATCTCTCTGCTGGCGACCTCCGATATCTTCAGTCTCTTTGGAAAGAACTCGACAGATCCAACAGGCCGCAACGCAGGAAGGAGGTGTGACACCTACGAAGCCTTCTGTCATTGCGTTGTATGGGATGGCTCCTCTCAGTATTCCGGCTTGTCGAGCTCTGCTCAAGTATGGCTTCAGAAGGCTTAAAGATCTATCTGCTGCAAAGCCTTTGTTGAGATATGTCTCTTCTCGATTTGCTCGTCCTCGTCTATCGGGCATCATCACGGATCTTTTCTATCATGCAGTAGGCACCTCGGATGAGAAATTGATGCACGAGACCAAGGAGTTGGTATTCTCAACGCCAGAATCGCACAGACTCACAGGAGGACAACAACCCGCGCAAGGCACAAACCCCGATTCAGTCACCGCCAAGGAGGATGTCTTTGTGGATACCATCAAGAGGTCTACTGCAGCTGATGTCGCCAAGATTGGTTCAACCATGTCTCTCGATGAGCCTCAAGAACGATTTATTATCTTATTCGTGTACTACGTCCGGACCCATCAACCTGAACGGATCAGGCAGCTCGTTCATGAGCTGATCCCGAGTCTCGGTAAAGAGGAGGCAGATATCGTCAGGCGGCGAAGAGAGCGAGGGCAGAAAGATCCTTATCTTCGTCCTCGACTATACAAGAAGATGTTGTGGGCTCTCCGGATGGTGCGTGAAACGCGACTCGCACAGCAAGTCTTTCACGAGGCATTGCAAGCGGATCGATTTTGGAAGCAGCGTCACGGACTCTGGGGCGAAGATCGGGATGATCATCGGATCCTCATCCACACCTACACTGCCATGTTAGACGTTTGGAGAGACGTCGCCCTGTTCTCAAAGCGGGAGCGTCATGTCAGACGGAGGCCTGACATCTCCGGTCTCGAGCGATTCTCCGGACCATATGGCTACGACTATCTTCCTGTTCCGAGGCAACCGACTCGAATGATCTTGCACATATACGGCCTCGCTAGGTCATCATGGCTCGAAGCTGCTTGGGATCCGGAGACTGGTGTAATTCATCGGGATCGGGCGCGGGGGATCGCCCCGGATGCCTTGTTACTCTCGACTATGGTGGATGCTTGTGGCGCACGATGGGGTTTGGACCTCCGGTCGAACAAGTTCATCAGCCCTCGTGGGCGACAGGCTTTCGATGTATCGCCCCGTGTCCGACAGGAGATTCGCAACTTCATCATTGACATGGAACAATTTGGTCTGGAGATTCCCCGAATCTTGCGATTGCGCGCTATGGACCCTGCGGAAGCCGCTCGTCAGAGAGACATGCTTAACAAGATCCCGGGACGGCGTGATTTCAAGAATATGAAGCGTCGTATGAAGCATCGCGAGACGCAAGATGTGAAAGGCCGGATTATTCAAACTACTACCAGAGAGGAAAAATCTTTGCGGGACAAGGACATGGCGGCGGAATTGTGGTCATGGCAAACAAGAGGTGGTGGACGCATGTCGAGTCAAGCAGCACAACGATCTCAGAGTAAATGGGAGAAAGATCAGTCCAGACGACAATCGCTTGAGGATTCAGGCCCCATCGAGTTGAGTCAGGAGGATTACTCTAGGTGGAGTCTAGGTTCATCAGATTAAAGCAATTGCACATTGTTTGTATTCAGCATTCGTTCATTGCATCAATATTGTGTCTTAGGCCCCTGTGGGCGAGTAAAGCCTTTGGTCCTTGATGTAAGCCGCTATTTCTGGCGTCACTAGCCGGTCCACTCCGTCCCAGTCACCTCTCTGAACCGCTTTCCGTACATCAGTACTGCTCACTCCTGCCCAGTCTTCACTGCCGTCCGCGAAGAATCGCACTTGACCGTTGTCTACCCTCTGACGGATCTCCTCTCGCTTCAGTAATGCAGCTTCCACTTCTTCCTCGCCTTTCCGTCGGCCACACACTAGACTCGAGCCTTCCTCTACGAAGAATCTGTCCAAAGCTTGATTCATACCACCGGGTACTGCGCCATAATATCGGGGATCGAAGAAACGAGTGAGCGTGTCGGTGCCGACTATGAATGTCAGATGAGGTCTCTCTTTGAATCCTCTTGTCAGGAGGTAGGAATGGATGATCCGACTTTTGCCAACGAAAGTAGGCTCGTTGATCAATCCCACTGCTGCTGGAGATTTCGATTCCGGGCCGCCCACATTCGACGCGAGCATTTTGATCATCTCCACACGCTGCTCCAACGTCGGATCACCTGATGCTGGCTTTTTGTCGACATTCGTGGTCGAGAACACGAGCAGGCGATGGGTATAGGCTGAAGGCAAATCTTCGGACACGGATCTTGGCGGGAAAGGTTCAGACGCCAAAGCTAGATGGGCATTGTGTGGTGGATTGAAGGACGAGTCTAAGATGGAGATGTGGATGAAGCTGGATCCAGAGAGACGTTCTGAGCTCTGGAGCCATGTCTGATGGTCAGACCCCACAAGGCGGAACTCCCCAGGTCTCAATGGAGTGATATCGTCGCTTTCCGCAGATTTGTCTATCATGGCATATCGCTTGTGTGACGGCGCTTCGCCTCTATTCACAACAACAGAATAGCCACGAGCAGACCCGCTGCACCTCAGACTGCGGGAGACTCGTAGGAAGCGGACCAGTCTGAAATTCACTTCTTCGACCGAATGGAAGCTGCTCTGCAACCTCCTCCTGCTGCTGCTGCTGCTGATGCTCGCCCAGCTCTCGAAGAAGGGATATTCGCTGGAACCAATTCGGACATTTTGGGTTCTTTACGTCATTCATCAGCGATCGAGAGATTCAGCGGCGAGCTGAGGCATTCGAGTAGCAGCGAGCATCTTGTTAGCAACAAATCATATACATACAAGGAAGGAAGGAAGCTGCAGAGAGCCTGTTCACAGCATGTCCAGCAGCTCGGGAGAAGTATCAGTATCGCCTACGGCAAAATTACCCCTGCAAGAATGGCTCAAGTTGTTATCCTCTCGAGGTGTTGACATGAGAGTCGCCATGGCCCTCGCTGCAAAGATGTAAGCTAGACCTGGCAGAGGGGTCGGGTGTCGACATGTCTCGAGATTGATGATTTCACCAGATATAACAGTCATAATACGAGGGAACGACTGAGCCAGCTGACCGCTCAGAAGCTCGCTAATTTGCTGCCCGACAAAGAAGGGCGGAAGTCGGTTCTCAACGCCGTCAAGGGGATTGCAGATAATCAGGTTTGTGAAGCGAAAGAGCGTCTAAGATCTGAGCTGAATGATGTCTAGCCGATGAAAAAGAAGCGCGGACGAGATTCAGACCTGCTTGAGCCACTGCAGTCCGAAGAAGACAGGGCAAAGCTGCCAAAGACTTTGGAATTCCATGAGATTATCGATCCAGAGGTGAGGACCCCCTCAGACCATCCGAGTGTTCGCCATGCCTTGCGTTGATGGAATCAACCATTTTTCTCATAGAAACTCATTCCAGTCTCTATAACTGTCAACCGAGCCCCTCTAAAAACAGCTTGGGCCTATACCGTGGCTCTCCGACTAGGCTTCGATATAGAAGAGGCTTTATCAATAGCCCACGTCTACGTTCACCTTTCCTCTTTGAGGCATGCGTTGATGTTAGGAAACATTCTGAACAAGCAAGAAACAAAGGAGGCCGAAGAGGAGCTTGCTGAGTTGCCGGGCGGAGATGATCAGAAGTGGAGTCTGAAGCGGAAAAAGGTCCATGACACCAATAGTCGTGATTGGAGAAACAAGGGCAAGGAGAAAAGCGTCAGCGAGATCGTCGGCAGCTCTCAGCCTTGGGTTCAGATCTTGCGAGCGAAGTGAGTCGGACCTGAGGCCCATCTATCTGGCTGCCACCTTCGAGCTGACGCATGGCTGCAGAATGTAAGCTCACCAGATTCTTTTCGATCTAACGATCGCAGACCAGTCATCGAGCGTCCGGACGGTACCTGGCGGGCGATACAGAAAGGGGTTCCTGTCCCGCCGTCAACAGTGAGTCACGCACTCAGATGCTGGCGAGAAGACTCATCCGTCTCCTTCAGGCTTATCTATATATCACTCGAGCGTTCAAAGACTACTGCCCTCATATCATGGGCTCACTCAAGCTGCTCGCAGACAGTTGGACACCAGACGAGCTGAATCGTCTTGGAATGCACATGTATGTGAGTATGATCGCAATATTGGATACCATCGGTCTTGTCTGACGGTCCGTTTCAAGAATCAGTTCAAACCCGATACTGTGGAATGGGGTCAACGTGCTATACTGGAATGCGCCAAGATTCTAGATCAGATGAAAGGTCCTGTGACGGCTGACGACGAGGATGGTCCAGAAGTGCCTGAAGATTTGGCCGCAGCTGAGCAATTGTCGCCTGCAAGTGGTGCAGCCGAAGAAGTTGATCCGGAGTTCCCAGTCGCCAAACGACCACGAATGACCGTGGAGGAATACGAGGCTATGTTGGACGCTGAAAATCTCGGCGGTGGATTTGTCGAAGGTGGCGACATCGCCGGGGCAGAGCGCCAAGATGCATGACGGCATTACAAGATGTTGACGCTACATCGACAATATGCTGCTTTAGAAACCCCTAACGGAATGTAAGGGGCGGAACGAGCCTCGATACGTCATGAGGCCTCGACGATCCGACTCAGTAGAGCCAGGCGTACGACAAAGAGGCAGACGAGCGGGTCAGAATGCCCATTCGATTAATCTTCCGCAGATCATGAGGTGACCGTATCGTGGAGATGCCAGGAAGGCGCGATGACGGTACCACTTCGGAGCGGATGATGGCGGACGGTTCTCACTGTCAGAATCCGTACGAGAGAGTCGGGCCGAACATCAGTAGCGTCTCAACATACCTCAATCGCGTCTAGGTCGACAGGCAGCATCATGCATGGCGCGTGAGTACTGTTTACCTGCTATATCCGGGTCCGTCCCGGAGGAAAGTGGCGAGATCCGGGCGCAAATCGATTCTGGCCAAGCCAGCTATCTGCTCGAAAGGTGTCAGCTGCTAGCACCAGTAACGAGCGATCTACGCACCTTCTCGGCCATCTCCTTCCCGCCTCCTTCCCAGGTCTTGGTCAGGACTGGTCGAAGCACTTCGCCGACTAAAAGATTGACCAAATCTTGGACTTCGCGAGTGGAACAACGGCGCCAGAAGACGATATTGCGAAGGAGTTTGATACATTTCCGAGCGAATCGTTGGGTGGCAAATCGGGATGCCGGGTCGAAAGCGGGAGGAGGGATGGCATCCGGTCTGGAACAAGCTGTTATCAGATCCGAAAGGTTGGTGATGCTTTGTGTGAATACGCCAAAGACAGCGCTCAGCAGGGACTATCGATCGTTGTCAGCCTCTTGATTCACCATCCATCCCAGAGTAAGGCTTACCAGGTATTTCTTGTTCTCCGGCCCTACGAGATCTCGGACGACTTCGACGAGGTCCAGGGCTTTTCGTGTCTGCATCGATGAATATGCGTCGTATCCTCCACTTTGTATGATCTTGTTTAACAAGGGTACCACAGCTTTTGCAACCATATCCACAACGAGATCGCCTTCTGGGCTTAGGGGAGGGTCGCCTTCCATGTCAATATCGCCATTCATCCCGTTCGTCTCTCGCGGATGGCAGTACTCATGCAAAGCGGTGAACCAAGTGAATGACTCGAGGGACGTAGAGTCCTGCCATTTTTCAGCAACGCTCTCCGGCGATTTACGACTCACCCTGAATGGCTCCCATCCGATCAATTCGCCTCTGACCCAAAACTCCCAAGCTTGGACCAAAGCCAGACCACCGAAAGCCTGTAGATACTCTTCCTCGTACCGCTTCCTCCAATCTCCAAACCGCTTGGCTAACCCCAGTGTCGGATCACGGAAATCTTCTGCTTTGACATCCTCAAGTAGACCCTGTACACTCCTTGATAGATTTCTCTGGGCTACTCGATAATCCTCGGCATCGCCTTGAGCCAGGCTGGAATCGGTAGAATATCCTTCGTCTTCCTGAGCCGGCCGAGTTGTGCGACGCCGTGATCTTCTCGCTTCCCTGTCTGACCGTCTGGACCGCCTTACGGCACTGCTGGGACCAGCTTCGGATTCTCGAGACCGCCCCATCTCATCCACGTCTTCTGGGTCTGGCATCGGTGACCCGAGGAATAACGAAAGGTCATCCGAGATATCGGCATAACGACGCTTGTTCACCAAATCTTGACGTTCCGTCAAATGATGTAAAGCATCTTTCTCGATCTCTTCCAAGCGCGGGATCTGCTGCAATGTCAGTGTGTATAGAGAAGAACGAGCCAGAGGGTCCACTCGCCTTTTCTTCCAAAAACTTGCCCAAAGTGTCGACCCATATCCGAAACTCCTCAACCCACTCCCTCTTCCCCTCCATCCGTTCAACCTCTAAACGCAGCTGCTTCTCTTGCTCTTCGAGCATTGCAAGCTCTTTGGCGGTGCCCTCTAAATTGTGCGTGGCTTCGGCTTGATTCAGTCGGAGTTCGGTCAAGGATTTGGCCAAACGAGCTTGTGCGGGCCCAAGTGTTGGGACTGGACGTGAAGCTGGGACTGGCGTGATGTCAGTGATGTCGATAGCTCAGCGGGGAGTCTGGCGGCTCCGGGGCCATCCACTCACTCGGTGCGGGAATGTATCCTCGGTTCAGTATCCTCTCAAGTTCCATATCTTCGACTCGTCCAGCTCTTCTGGCCTGGGCCTCTTCCCATTCCTTTGTATCCTCGTCACTCTCCGAGTCGGCCTCACTAAGGAATGGTGAGCCAACAGAATGATGCTTGACGGGAAACGCACCGATCTTCTATCATGTCTCCGATGTCGCCTCGAAGTCTGCGGGCAGCAGCCTTGTTGGCTTTTTTTCCCAGGAAGATTTTGTCGTTGACTTCTGTGTAATCTGCGAGATCTGGGGACAGCGTCAAAGGGCATCCAGCCTTCCACAGGTATCTGTCGAGACCCACCTTCATCGCCCTCCTCCCCCTCATCGTCCTCGCGCATCAACCTGCTCTCGGGGTGGGGTCCCTTCTCGCCATCGTACACCGCCAGCTGACCGCCACCGAGTGCAATATAGTCCTCCCCAAGATCGTGTTTGGCGCTCTCTACCGCGGCTTGACGCTTCATCTTGGCAGCAGCTACAGCCGCAGGGTCCGGGATCCCAGCCGAAACGTCTTCTGAGAATTGTGTGGCGTATTTGTGCTGAGCCAAGGAAGATATCCCACACTCATCCTCTTCACCGTCCTCCATTGCGACTCTCTGAGGCGCTTTCGAAGGTGTAGCAGCCTTTAGCTCTGACAAGTACTCGCTAGAGTACGTTCGACTGCTAGAACTCGCCACAGGTGAATCCGTTGTTGGGAGCTTGAACGATTGCGATAAGAGCGACTTTTTCGCCTTAAAGGGTGTTCCCTCTCGACTGGACACATCTTCGGAGGCATCACCACCAAAGCTCAATCTTGATCCTTTCCCCGAACTCTTCTTCTCCTTTGCTTTTGCTTTTATCCTCTCCATCACACTTCCTCCATCTTCGGGTGCATCTCCTGTCACGCTTCCATCCTCTCGCCCAGTACTCGACTTTGCGAGCGGTGAGCCAGCCGACACATCATCATCATCATCTGTGTCCCTTGCTCTCAGCGATGGCCTCGACTTGTTCCGCTTGACAAACATGGCCCCGAGTTCGAGGTACAGCGAAGCTCTAGAGCAACAACACCCTTTGACCGAGTTTTGGAACGGCGACACATACGATTTTGCTTCCGTTGATTGATCGCGGCGGCGTGCTCCGCCTCCACCCGGATCGGATTTGACCTAATTCGGCCAATGTCCAACCTTCAAAGAGGACAGCCAGCAGCCAAAATCGAGGGCACCTCTCTCACAAGTCACCTCGAAGACGATCTGCTACGTGGGCCAAAAACTCGACGACAGCTATAAAGTGTTCAGCTTCACATCATCATCTATCACCTACGATGCAGAAGATCACATCCGCTCTCGGCTCATTCGAGATTCTCGACAAAGATGAGTCTCTGAAGTCCAGCCACAAAGATTCGCCATATGACTGGGACCCACCTTACTGGTTGCCCAATCCACCACCAAAAGATGTCGACGTTGAAGCGACTCCCTGGATCAGGCCACCTCAAGCTGCTATGAGTATCGTCGGTAGGTCGGGAACAGCTTTCATCCGACCGCTACTTATGTCACTTCGTTAGGTGTCAATGTCATCGACGTCGAGAATAGCAAAGTTCTCGAGAAGATGACAGTCAAAATCAAGGATGGAAATATCATCTCTATTGCAAAGTCTCAAACAAAAGATATGCAGGAAGATGGATACGCCAGCGTGGATGCTTCTGGACTGTACATGTGTCCTGGTCTCATCGATTGTGAGTCAACACAGGAGCATGACTCCCGGATGACAGCTCATTGTAACGGTAACAGGCCACACTCATCTTACGGCGACTCCCGGTGGGACTGTGAGCGATCCACCTGTCAACGCAGGTGTAGTGCTGACCACCTACGTCAAGGCCGCAGGAGGTTTACGACCACACTCCGAAACTCTGACTGCTTTACAGTCCACTTGGGTGCTCAAGGGTAAGTCGAAGCCACCAAAGCCCAGCAAGACTCTTCTGAAGCCATTGAACCTACAGGAATGCTCGCTCGAGGTTTCACGACCATCAGAGATGTTGGGGGAGCCAACAGACATTACAAGGACGCTACTGCTCAGTGGCTAATACCTGGGCCGCGAATCTTGCAAGGAGGGCCAGTAGTCTCGCAGAGCGGTGGTCATGGTCAGTAAAAGGCCCCGTGTCTCTCTCAACTCGACTGACACACTGCTCAGGAGACGAAGGGAATCCAGATGATGACATCCCGTGCTGCCCTATTAATCCTACCCGAGCTTCCAACACTGTCGGTATTGTAGCTGATGGTTGTGAGTTGCTCCACTTGCGCAAGCGTGATCTTGCATCTCATCGTTGTTGCTTCAGACGACGCATGTCTCAAGGTGGCCCGAAAACTCATGATGGCAGGAGCAGACCATATCAAAATTTGCTCGTCTGGTGGGGTGGCATCGCTCACCGACAAGCTCGAATCGAGTCAATTCACTGTTGCTGAGATCAAAGCCATCTGCGACACATGCCGAATGATGGTGCGGCTCTCGTTGGCTTGCGAGTAGTCGCTCACACTCTTACAGGGAGGCACTCTCGTCACAGCTCACTGCTTCACCTCTGAGGGCGCCAGGAACGCCATTGAGGGAGGTATAGGGGGCATCGAGCATGGTAATCTCATCGATGAGGACACCCTTCGACTGATGGCGAAGAAGGGTATCCATTATACCCCAACTCTGATCGTCTGCGACGTGAGGGGCCATTTTATGCTCGTCTCTCGCTAATCCTATGCCAGCTCCTGTCGCGACCTCCCTTTAACAGCATCATTCCTCCAGTGTCGAGGGAGAAATTGACTCACGTTCAGAAAATGGGTTTTGTCACGCTAAAAAAGGCGCACGAAGTCGGCGTCAACATTGCTTATGGTGAGCTGAGCTGAGATTGCAGGCGGTTAACAAGACCCTAGGTACCGACTGCTTCTCCAACATGCAACCGGTGCAGCTGTCCGAGTTCGATCTGAGAGCGTCAGTACTTCCTTCTCCGGTTGTCCTCAAGCACGCCACATGCAATGCTGGTGAGTAATCTTTCTAGACCGAGTCGGGCAGCCACTCATTCACCACTTCCTCAGCCAAGGTGATCAAGATGGAGGGCAAAGTTGGGTGCCTGAAACAAGGATCATTCGCAGACTTCTTGCTCCTCTCGTCGAACCCGCTGGAAGACGTCACTATCCTCAGCAAGCCGAAGGAATACCTTCAGGGCATCGTCAAGGACGGACGATGCGTTCACAGTCGTGTCAAGGGGTTGAGAGTCGAGGTATCGCTCGTGTAATGTTTCGGATTACCATGTTCCGGTTGTCTTGCAATTCAGTTATCAAGTCAGAAAAAGCTTAGCAGTCAGTTTTTCCAGTCAAATCCCTCCATCTCCAGGTATGCATGCTATTGTAACCCAATGCAATCGGTCAAAACCCTGCACCGCCATATCTTCCTGCTCTCTGTTGAATCTTGTTCCAATCTAATGTCTTCCACCAATCACGAGCATAGGCGGCTCTTGACCAAACGCCATACTTATTGCCAAGGTAGGCGTGCTCAAACAAGTTCAGCACGGCCAAAGGTGCAGGGAAGGAAGTATAGTCCACTCCTCCACTCATTAAGCGATTGGTGTTGACAGATCTGTTGGGAGCAGATCCAGCACCCAGACCAGCCTGAGCAGGTCGGTCGTCTCGTCTCGCCGCACCCTCAGTATCCGTGGAGTTGTAAGGTGTTCCGAATACGGGCAAATCTTCTCGACCTCGTTGCGCACGGTTGGAAACCAGGAAGGTGCCGCTGCCGAATGTTGGAACGATATCGACATCGTAGGACTTATCACCGGCTTTGACCAGCTGCATCCACGATCAGTCCTACGCTCCCCAGGCTCTTAGGCCGTTGACAACCCACCCATAACCAGCAACCTCCAACAATGCCATCTGCGTACGCAGAGACTTTATCCAGGAGAGGTTCGTACATGTGCGGCACTTCTTGCGGTTCGTAGGCGTTCTATGTCGGATGCAAGCTCAGCGAGGCAGACGTGCCGTGCCGTCTCAAATCAAAGCTCACAATGTTCTCGAGGAAGAATGAGTTGTTCAATAATAAAGCTGACCAGTTGTATGCCAATGCTGTGGACTGATTCTTCGCAGTCTGAGAGACCATATAAGTCATGTCAAGTCCTGATTTGTCCCATTTCTGCTTTACTTCGAGCAGTTCAGGGTTATCTAGGAGAAGAAGATGAGTGTCTGATGTGTGGCTGATCTCTTCAACGAGCCCGATGGTTTGACTCACTCCGGACCTCCTCCTGCAGTCTAGACCAGAGCCCCCTCTGCCAATCACAAATGACCTCCATGTTCCGCTGCGGTATGAATCCATCGACGCCCTCCAACACTCGTTTGTCAACGGAAGAGACCTGACCAGACATGGGCTTCGCCTGGGAGGCGAACGACCGGCGAGGCAGGCATGTCGGAGCGGCATAGATCCTGGAAGATGAGGAGACAGCCAGACTCCTCAGAGTCGATGATGATGCTCTGGACATGGCGAGAAGCAGGGAGTTCAAGTCTATGGACCGGATGCTTCATCACAATTCTATTGATCGATGAAATTTCAGCCGTAGGTCATTGATCAACCGTGGGAAAATGCTCGGATGAAGATACGGAGCGATTCCGCGCAACGATCACTGGTTGAAATAGGTCATGTCGTGCCCTGCCATACAGTAGCTGAGAGCCAGCAGCGCTGTTCGCACTGGCAGGTGGCATCTTCTTGATCTAAGATGCAGCAATCTTTGAGAAACGTCTTACCGCCAAGGACGAAAGTCTCGTGAGTACATTGCAACAGCATACAATAAATTGAGCTAACGAGCAGTTTGCGTTTCATTCGTGCGACTTGATCATGTCGATTGCCTATTGAACACTGACTTGCTGTATCAAGACTTTCCGGAGCATCGTCATCATCACTACGGAAATCCCTCATCGACTCACAGAATGAGACCCCTTGGACGGCCCCATCTCTACCTGCATCGATACATCTCAGGTTCAGTGAACCCACAGATTCCGCAACCCATATAGCATTGACATTCCAGGGTAGCTTTGAGACCATGCGCATTCTGACGTGTGCTGAGCTATCTTTCTGACAGGTGGTTTTGTCGGAACCAAAGCTTCATTATATCTCGCGAGCAGAGGGCAGGACGGACGACAGGCAGACCAGCCAGGTCTAGAGTTGGGCGGAAAGATATACCCAGAAGACAAGAACAAGCGGCAGATCTTCCAGTGGGGTTGCAGCCTGATAGTCTCTCAAAAGAATAAGGCTGATAGGTTCATTCAGGATCCCTTACCTATCAACGACAAACAATACAACCTCGTTGACAGAGCTAAAAATCGAATTCGAGACGTCGAGCGATCAATATGGGAGAATAACACTGTACTCGGTAGAGCTATTGGGGTGAATACGTAGAGCATCAGCAACATCAAGTATAATGTATCGGTGTGCCCCTGCAGCGACTAGCAGAGGAAGTAATGAACAACGCTGGACTGGCCGTACACGATGCCTGCGCCCTCCAAAAAGCAAAAAGAAACGCGAGGAGAACCCGATTTGAACGGATGACTTTTTGATATCGAAATCAACTTGTATCAGAGGATATAAGCGTCCAGATTTGGAATCAAACTATCTAACCAACTGATATACCCCCCCTGCGCTACAGTGAAGCTGTGCCAACACGTGCGAGGAGCTGGCTGGAAATGACAGTATATAAAGTCACAAAAAATGTTGATGGGTGATCATGAGCCCTATCGCTGCTTCTGTGGGCTAGTCAAACTATCCACATGCGACCTCAGTCACCCCATGTCAATGGTCTGTCATTTCTAGTATCGCTCTCATCCTAGTCGGCCCGACCACTATGCTGAAGGACAGATACCGCACCGTGGGAAAGTCCGTCCTTCGGCGTTGTATATTTTTTCTGGCAAGCATCTCGAAGTGCTTTTTGAAAACCTACATCGTGTCGCCTGCTTGTTCGCGCGAAATGGAGCAACAAGGAGGCTCAACCCCAGTGATCATGCGGGCGCCTGAAGGATCAGTCCATAGCCTGGGCGCTCGTAACGAATCTCATGAGAGCCCATTGATCCCAGAAGATCAACCAGCTTCAATCACGCAAGGGTCTAGTCATGTCCGTCTCAGTCACCCTACATCGACTGCTGCTCCGTCGTTCAAGCTGCCTCCTAACCCTTCGATCCCTCAAGATGTCTCGCTGATCATGGAGATGGTTGCGTCCAACCAGGTCGTCGGATCCTTGCCTCCTTTGGCTATGTCAGCAGCTGCGAAGCGGAAACTCGTCGAGGAGTCCATAGCAAAGGCCAAATTGAAGGGCAAGGCGAAAGACACGGCTCCCTTGCCTGTCGACTCAGATGAGAGCTCCAGCGAAGAGGAGTCTAGCTCTGAGGAAGAATCAGAAGCTGGGGACCACGGGGAAGTTGCACAGAGTGGCACCATTGAGCGGTCCCACGAGGAGATGAAGAAGGAGCTCGACGAGTTGATCGGAGAAGGGCCTCAGGCGCTTGCAGAAACCAGTGGCGACGAGGATGAGGAGTTATCTTCGAGTGAAGCTGAGGATATGGACGAAGGTTTCGACATGTCGACTTCACCAGGAGCGAGCCGTCGACGTCATAGAATGGTACTCGATTTAATGGACGAAGAGGAACCGACCCCTTCTGGACCCATCACGTCAGTCCACGAAGAGGCTTTACCGCCCGTTGCTCAGCCTCTCATTTCGCATCTGCCTGACGGTGAGAGAGTCCGCCTGGCAGGCGAGGTCATCAGCTGGATGAAGGAGAAGAAAGTCGAGCTCTGGCTCTCCAAGGAGCAAGCGAGATTGGAAGCTGAGAAGGCTCTGCAGGCGGACGAGCTCATGGTGGAGGAGGATCTCGCCTCTGGCGCAGATGCCGATGCTGACACCCGAGTCGCAGAGACGAATCAAGCAGATCAAGCAGAGCCAACTGGGGAGAACCGTCAACCGTCCGGCGAAAGAGAGTCTGAACAGACTAGAAGCCAGGAGTCTGTGAAGGAGCTGCCGATAAGCACTGCAGCACCTGGGGAGAGCTCCAAGGTGCCACGGTTCCTATCCGCCGGAACAATCGTCGTCAAGGCTATGCAATCGGAGCCTGGCTCAGCTGAAGACGGATGGTTGGAAGAAGGAAGTGTGGTATGTTGGGAAGACGGACGGGTAGTAGGCACAGTAAGCGATTGCAAAGGGTGACGAAACAGCAGCTGATCCTTGCAGATTGCAGAGACTTTCGGACCTCTTACCACTCCGTTTTACTCTATCCGCCTTCCTCCTCCGCCCTATCCCTATCCTTCGATCGATTCTTTGTCTAGCGGTACTCGGCTATTCTACCCTGTCAATCCGACCTACCGCGCCTTTGTGAATATGCACGCAGTCCGAGATCCTCGTTTCAAAGGCTCAGACGCATCCAACATATATGATGAGGAAGTAGGCGAGGATGAGCAAGAATGGTCAGACGATGAAGCGGAGGCCGAGGCTAAGAGGAGACGGAAACTCGCTCGAGGGAGTCGAGCACCGTCTCAGGGCGCCAGGAGAGACTCCAGTTCCTCCAGCACCTATGCGATCGGCTCAGGTCATTCTAGTCTGCCACAACGACCTCATTTCGATTATCAACCTGATGATGCGTCGGAGACGGCGAGTCTGTACGGGGATGGAGATACGGGTTCCATCTACGGATCTGAAGACGGCTCCATGATGAGCGCTGGCCGACCACTTCCAGGGCCTTACGACGATATCTTACCGTCTGATATACCTCAAGGTCGATCAAGGGGTCGGGGAAGGGATAGGAGGGGCGGAGGTGCCGGGGGTAAATCCCGTGGAGGTGATCGTGGAGGAAGAGGCGGACGTGGCAGAGGAGGGCGAGGGCGAGGGCGAGGAAACGGATATCAATCGCAAGGCAGTGACAATCGAGGAGCAGGGCGTCCCGTTCAACCTCAAGACTATCCACGACCGATCCATCAAGAGCATTGGCACCCGCCGACTGCGAATGGGTATCCTCAACCTATCTCGAACGGATTCAATGCAGCTTACGTCCCTGAAGAAAGCTATCGACCTCAACCTCACAACTATACCTCGCCTCAAATGCCCATGCCCATGGCGTATTTACCGTCAGGCCAACAATACGGCCTCTCTAACGGCTCAACGTTTCAAATGGCGTATCAAGGCTGGCAGGGTGGGGGATCTTCCAACGCTGCTCCGGTGAATGGACAATCTGGCGGTGTGCCCGCAATTAACCCACGATTCAATGGACAGTACGATCCCTCGACCCAGTATGCCAATTCGTGGCAGAATCACTTTCCTGGGGAATAGACAATGGACCCGATTCCGCATCGAGCACCCTTAGACCCCCATCTTGACATGCATGTAGCGTACATATCGGAATAATGTCCCCAAAGTACTGTCCAAAATCCAAATACATGTGTACATGATCCAGTGATCATTCGTCGCTCGTGACGTTTTTCAATCTAATCCTTTCCGACTGAGAACAGAGCTGATCTCCCGATGATACGTCAACCACGCTGGGAAATCAGTCTCTTCTAACGTTGTGCCCTTTTCCTTCATCTCTAAGAGGAAATTGGCAAATACGATCAATGTGCCGTCTAGAAGTGCTGGATCAACATCTGTAATGAAAGAGTAAGCAACTCACATCTGTACAAGTAATTTGTCGCTTGTTTCATCAACGCTGAATATTTAGCGGATCCAATTTCAGCAGCATCAACTTTGAGCTTGAAACTGCATGGATAGTTGAGCTCGTGGTGAACTGTCTTGACAGAAGGGCATTTTGTCACGCACTCGTAGACCGCTCGCCTCAGATTTTGGACACCTTCCATGAGATTGATCACCTTGTCCGTGATTCTTTTAGCCTCTGCACGAAGTCAGACGGAGAGCCGATATTTCTTCAATTGCAAAGGGGGACTCACGCTTTCCATGGCTTAATACAGTAACCAGCTGGAGTATCGTTTTATATTCTCCTGGAAAGCAGCTTCCGTGAACTGGATCCCGACAAGGCTTGATGCGTTTATTTGCTCACCATTCAAGTATTGGGTGGATTCTGAAGCCAAGCCATCTTCGCCATGACTCGCGAATTCTTCGAGATCGGTGACACTTTCCAGCGTCATATCCTCCATGGTGATCGTAGCGATCAGAGAAGCCGTCACCATACCGGTTGTCGTCCTTCCCCGACCCATCTGGCAGTTGAAACTGGAGCAGACGATTAGCGAATGCGCGCCGCGCCCAAGCTTCCACGCGAGACTGACACAAAGTCACAGCCCGTCTCGAGACCCCTGGCCACTCGTCCAACGATAAATTGCAAAGACGCCGGCAAAGGGGCCTGCTCGTCGGTCTGAAGCGAGATCAGTTGAGACTTAACAGGCAGCTGGACTCACTATCGCCACACGAGCATAATCGACTTTGTACCCCTCTTGGATGACCTTCTCATACAGCTCTCTGGGAGTCGTGACCTCTTCCGGTTCAACATTCTCCCAGATGGGAATGACCTCGTAGTCGCCTGGCTTGACCTCCTGTTCGTCATGAAGAAGCATGCGACCTTGAGACTTTTTGAGTTCTCTCAGGACATCTTCCCTTAGGGTTGTTTCCATTCTTTCAACAACGGATGCAGTCACTCCAGTCGTCCTGCGTGGCCGAGTCAGCAACCACTGCGCAGAGAATATCCCGAGCCTACTCACTCGACATTGGTCAGGGGCCGATCCACCAGACGCAAGACAAATGGCTTTCCCTTGACGTACTTTCATCCTCGTCAGCAATGCTAGCCACGATCAGATATCAATCAACGCTCACGAGCACCGGCTCCTCACGAAGGGAGGTCCAAGTGACCCTTCGAGAGCCATTGGGACCTGCACCCATCTTTTCGAGTGCCTTACGAAGTCTGGAGGAGCATGAGCAAGGGGAGGATTAATGCTCCCGTACGCACCCTGTATCATTTGGCATACTATACAAGAGTCAGCTCGCGTTGAGGACAATTTTCAGCAAGCTCACCCAGTCCCATAGACGTGACGATCAAGCAAGCCATTCGCCTCGCCTCCCTCGTCGAAAGCGTCGAGCTGAGGAATGATAGGTAGTTTGCGATAGTTGGCAGCGCCGTCAACTCGCCTGTCCCGCAGTTAGCAAGGGCGCAGTGGAAGTCGAAATGAATACTCACTCCGGCAGAGACTGCTTCTGCAGGCCGGAGAAGAAATCTGATTTGAGGATCTGAGGCTCGTCAGGGCTGATACTCCGGAAAACTCACCGTTTGAGCGGATAGGATAACCCCCGACCGATTGGCAACCACTTTCGACACTTCGTCGGGTAGCTGAGAGATGGTCAGACAGGTAAAGACGAGAGCACAAAGACCCACCGCCATTCCGGCCGCAGGCTCCATTCGATCAATAGGTGTAAGCGCTTCGATCCCGCCTTCCTCGAGTTCATTCTCGAGAGTCTTGAACACTGCTGAGAGTCAGTAGACAAGCGACCACAGTACGGGAAGACTGACCAGGTCGATGTCGTACAAAGGACTCGAAAGAATAAGGATGATCCTCATCAGGCGAGGTGTCATCAAGATAAGCCTGGAAGACGATGAGGTGGTAATATCGCCGAAGACTGTTGAGCCCTACAGCCAGCTCAATACAAACCTCCTCTGATCGACCTCTCACCTCGTTCGACTAGATGATGCTTCTCATCTGGCGTCTTGCATTGCAATGCCTTCATGCGCAGATCCTCAATCTCATCGCGTAGATTGAATTGAGCGGAAGTAGCATCAATGGCTTCGTCCACAATCTGTGGAAGTAAGCGAACGGTTCAAAGAGTCAACATGCTTGACTCACCCTCTTGACCCTCAGGCCGTTTCGGATGATTCTCAGACAACTGTTAATTATTTGCCAGCTGGATCGCGGCGTCGAATGTATAGGTGTTCGATCCCGCGTCCTCGACATGCTCTTCAAAGGACTGGCATCCGTTCCCCTATTTCTTCTTGGTGTAGAGTTCTCATCACTCTCCTCACCGGGAAAAAGAATCTCGTATTGAATGGTTCTATGATCTCCCTTCCGCGTACGACTGCCGCGACTCAACCATCGCTCGATGAGGAGAACGATGATGGCTGCGTTGGATGATCGGCCTCGACCCAATTGATCGTTCAGCACAAAGGCAGTACTGCTCAGATCTGTGCGAACACAGAGCTCCAGCAATTCCGTCACATCGTGGAACTAGTCACATTGGCAGCTCAGCGTTGGTTCATGTGACGCTCTGAGCATCCGACTTACATCTGGCGAGGATTCAGATGTGATGGGAACTCTGACAAATTCCAATTGCACGTCCTTGGTGTGAGCCGCCACATCATCCATGACCTCTCTGACGGAGGCTACGTCCAGCTTATCGACGCTCTCCCAGACCGGCACCACTTCGCCGTCGGCGGTCTCTGTATGAAGCAAGATCCGACCTTGGAATTCGTCTAATTCTGAGCAGACATCCGATTTCAGACGGTCTTCGAGCATCTCCAGACGGGATGCCGAAACGCCAGAGTAGTCTCGCATGTTTCTGAGAGCAAAACTGGTCTTTCGGAGACAATACGGAGAGCCTTCGAATTTCGCATCAGCCCGCTGATACAGCCCTGACTTTACAGTGAGATCTCACCATTGATCATCACCAAAGGCTCCTCCCTCAGGCAAACCCATACGACTCGGTCAACTTTATCGCACCGCTCGTGAACCGCCTTGAGGATGGTTTGAATGGCTTCCTGGGTGGGCTGACCTGTCGCAAAGATAGGGGCCCCGCGAACTTGTCTGAAGCCAACGGCGCCTCGAACGCCTTCGGCGGACGAAGCGGATTCGGTGAGCCACAAATCGGATTTCTGATCATCAGTGCGAGTCAAGACGATACGATGCCCACAAGTAGCGTCCTGATGTGGTCAGCTTAGACCCTACCGCTCATGGCTGACTCACGAAGACCGAAGCATGATCCCCGTCCTGTTCGTAACGACATGCTCTGCCCACTCATCGCCCAGTATTTTGCCACCTTGGACGCTCAGACCCCCCTTTCTGGACTTTTGTCCGGACAATGAAGAATGTTCAGCGACATCGGCGGACCGAGAGATCAAGCTGAGATCGTTTGCAGGTGCAAATGACATTAGACGGTGACCACCTCGCCTGCGTAAGATCTTGATCTGACTGCAGCACAATCAGCCTGAAATCGAAGACATGCGTCTTGTAGCTCACTTCCAAATCTCCGGACGTCCCTTTTCAGAAGCGTCAGTACCTAAACCTTAGTCTGATCGTGATCCACTAACCATTAGCCACTGTGAAAAGCTTTTCCCAGTATCACCAGCATCCTCTTCTTCGACATAAGCAGAAAAGACGATCAAATCGAAATACTGCTCAAGCTGAAGCAGAGTCAATCAAACGGCCTGGACCTCAGCGAACTCACCGATCGAAGTGCCTTTTCCAAGATTGCTTGACGATTTCTGTCTTCCATGGTGGACACACTGTACTTGATCCGATGCTCTATCACGCTTTCTCTAAGGTTCACCACAGCATCGCCTGGAAGACATAAGCGCAATCTTCCTCCGCAAGGGGAAATTTCTTACAGGAATCGATGATCTGATCCACGAGCTGTTTCATTTGCCTCCCATGGTCTAAACTTGAGAGGAGGGACAAGACGATCTGGTAGTTGCCCATGTGGGCTCTCCTAAGTTGCTCTAAAAGCTGAGGATGAGCCGATAGGAGGTCTATGGCTGTCGAAGGGTGGACAGAAGGTAGGTCTGAGACGGAAAGTGTCAGTCGCTTTCTGAATCCTCGTTACATTTGTAACGTACTCCGCTCCAGAACTCGAGTCAAACGAAGAAGAGCCTTGTTCAGGATTTGCTGGTGAGTGGCCTGTTCAAGCTGCTGAGCTGCTTGAGGCACCGCGACCGGCTTTGACCTACGTCAGCATGAACGCTGACAAGGTTCTTTCCGCCTGCTGCACCCACTGTGGAGACACCAGATCCACCTGTCGCACTTGGAAACGGGTCGTCGAGTCCCCGTAAGATCATTTGCCTTCGACGAACCAGCAGGGCAGCAATCATTGCGAACGTGGCTATGACAAGCGTGAACGCCTTTCCGATGTGATCAATCGCTACACTGACTTCTTACCACTCCCATGCCGCAATTGAATACCAGAGACGTAGTGAGAGGGTCGACCTTTTGCAGCACATTAACATAGGCATCTAGATAATTGTCCTGAGGTCGGATCAGCATGGATGGGAGCGGGTACGGGAGAAGTCGCTCACTTCGATCGGCGTATCCGGAGCTATCGGGATCCGCCAGTATTCGACCCTCCAGCCTGCTTCCTTGTACTGATTCCAGACTTCTTTCGGTGTCTTGATGGTGCGGTCCTCGACGCTGACCCAAGTGGGAATAAGAGCTCCCCCGCTCACTTCATCGTGCGTGAGGATCATCCCGCCATATCGCCGAGCTTCATCGAGAATGTCAAGTTTGAGTCGACGTTCAATGTCTTCAATGTTAGCTGCGCGTTCGGAGAATGCCAAAGTTTTGAATGGTGATGCGGCGTCTCGGAGGACGTAGGGCCGGCCGTTGCTGCGAGAGTCAGACCGTGGACTACCCATTTCGCTCACCAATATACTGGAAAGAGTCATCGTGCGTCAGCTATGCGCCCCTCTAGGACGCCAGGTGAGACATACTGAGCGTCTCCTCCCTTGTACTGAACCACACTGCCTGACCCTCCGCATCGTCGTACTTCTCGTCCAACAGAATACTCGTCGAACTCGGGGTCGATTTCACTTTGGACAGGGCAGCACCATCAAGGCTAGGGTTAACAATAGGCTTGTCAGCTTGGACGCCTGAGCCTCGTCTAGATATGGTTGTAGGCGGAGGGAGTAGATGCACGGGCTGACAGCCGAGAATAGTGAGGATAGATTGTAGTCCAACAGTCGTGGGTTGAGCGACCTGCAGGGGCGAATTTTAGCACCAAAGCTGGCAACGTTGATATCTGGCTTACGCCAAAAACGTTGAGACCTTCTTCTAGCGGGGCACGAAAGTTAGGGGCGCCCTGTATGGTGAGGTCAAGATCCATGGCTCGTCCGGTTGGGTAGTGATCTGTTTATTAGGTCAGTGTCCGGGCATCAAGGTACGATGGCGCATACCGGTCTTGAGTATGTATCTGCAGGATATCAGTCCATTGCCTTTGAGAAACGTTCAAGCCTTACCCTCGCCCGAGCACACTCCCTGTCCTCCGCTTGACGACACCTTCAGTCTCTTTCCGCAACCTATCTTGTATACCTAAAATCTCCCTGCTGACCTTTTGCCCACCTCCAAGTCCATACAGCCCAGTGTGCGTCGACGCTCGAGGCGGTATAGTCCCAGGGAGACTGACGACTGAGCCTCGAGGCGACAAGACACCAGGTCGAGTTGGTCCTAGACGCGGCGATGGCCCTGATCCAGATGCTTGAGGCATATTGGTCGGCGGGTTGGAGACCGTTCGAGATAGGGCGGATCCGGCTCCGAGTGGAGATGGACGAGATGGTAGATGGGTCATGAATGTTTGCGGAGGTGATCTACTGAGGTTAGTAGAGCTCGCAGGCGGGGGAGAAGTAGACATGGGGATGAACTGGCCGGAGAGCCCTTGACCTTCAGACGGTGATGAATGCCCAGACGACATTCTGCGAGAATCCCTTGGTGGCGGTGAAGTTGACTGTGCGGGACTGATAGAGCCCATCATGGTGAATTATTGGTAGTGTGAAAGTGAAAAGGCTTGATCGAGCACAGAGAGTCACGTCAAGCAAGTCGCCAAGAGGGTCGCCAGCAGAATAGTACCGATTTGTAGTTACTGGACGAGGGTTTCCCAAGCACTTTGAATCGGCGCCTTCCACGACAAGTGAGTCTTCCGTGAAAGGGTACTGAACTTCTATCAGAAGGCCCAATCTTGACCAAGCTTTGTTCTGAAACTCGTCGCTGGCCGGCTCCTCCTAGATCAGAGTCTTGCCTTCTTATCTACGGCTCCCTTCCCGAGGTCGAGCCGTTCGTCAGAGGTGCTTGACGACCGGTATGGGATACGGGTCTGCGGCGATACCGTGTCAAGTGAGTACCGATCAATCTTGAAGGTATTATCGCTTCGCCCTGGCCTACCCCCGATGCTGCTGCTGACCCAACGCGTATCGCTCCTCCAGACAGTTTGATCTCTATGAATGACGAGCCGTACAGGACGACACAATCCCGGTCGATCGCTTTCCGCGCGCGGTTCCTAGGCGGTCATCGCCGCCTGAACAATTTCATGGCAATGCACGTTTCAGATTTGGGACTGAGGCAAGAGGCGATCAATACGTAAAGAGTGTACGATGAGCCACTGGCTCGATGCATCGCAAAGGGACAGGACCACCAGGATCCTGGAGACGAATCAGACGGACCAAGAGGGACCGCCTGGAGATGTACCAGACCGGAGCATCTCTATGAAGCTACAAATTCGTGACTTTGTCGCCTGATCAGGTATCAACCTGGTCAGACGGCAGGCAGCATGGAGAGGAGGGGCAAAAGGTGAGACGTGGGTCCACCCAGACTATGGGAGCATTAGAATATCGCTAGAATATCGTTATTGCAGAAGAGAAACCATGAAAGAGCGGATCTTGTGGTGATGTATATGAAAAGGCCCAAAGGAGAATCACATCCGGCGGCAGTTTTGGAGGGCTGATCAGGAGATCGAAACCATGTTGGCAATGAGGCTTTGAGCGTTCTGAACAGGTCAGTCCTCGCTCGGCATTCGGCTTCGGCTGATACAACCCACTTGGACACCTTCCCATTCCCAGAACATGACTCCGCCATTCCACCCTTGATTCACGGCTTGGGAGACACATGTGGCTAAATCGTCGGGTGACATGTATCTGTCAAGCATCAGCTACGTTCTCTTATGAAAAATCAAGAGGGAGAACTCACCCATTGTCTGCGGCATTCGGGCTATTCGGCTTGCCAATGACGATTTTGTCCAGTGGCACCCCCGCGTAAGAATTGATCTGCATGACACTGGTATCTGGCCAATCGCTGCCAGAGTCAAAGATAAGAGACTGGCAGTCTGTGTAGATGTCGCCTTGGTTATAGAATTGTAAATTCAGGAAATCTGCAGGCATCAACGCAGCTCTTAGAGCTTAGAGGCCAGTCTGAGGGGCCGCGACTTACCGATCGTGTCTCCCACAGTCTGCCAGATGTTGACATAGGCTCCGGCGGCGTAAACGTTGGCCGAAGTGAACCAAGGAGCAACTGGCGCATGAGAGATCAGGTATCCATCTCCCAGTTGCTGTCTCAATGTCTGTTGGAAGGTGATGATCCAGCTTTCGGCTTGGTCATTGTTCATCGCCGACATGTCCTCATAATCAATGTCTACCCCATCCAAACCGTACTGCTGGACCCAATTGGCCAGATCTGTGGCACACTGAGTGGGATCCACACCCCAGGAGGTAGGCGCATCAGTGGATCCAAAGGCAGACACCATGAGGGCGATGCCAGCTGCGTGATACTCATCGAGCACTTGTTGTCGGTACGAATCGCTAAATTGCTCCCAGGCTTGTGCGTCATCAACGGCGCCTTGATCAGACATCCAGAAAGCGAGAATGAATCGGTTATAGTTGCCAATGTCACTCGCAGAGGGCATTTGATCGAGCCAGTCTGATGAAAGTCAGCTCTGATCTAGCTCGGCGCGAACTTGACTCACCATCCGCGTATATGACGTAGTGGGGTGCTGCGAACTTGCCGTTGGATCCTCCACCGCCAGATGTGCCATTACCGTATCCAGTGGGAGAAGGTGATGCGGTCGAGGTCGATTTGTGTCCATGGCCACGAAGGGTTGTCGTGGAAGCAGATGCGGAGTCTGTCGTAGAGGCGCCCCAGGAGTCATCGGAAGCAGACGCTGAGGCCGACTCAGACTCAGAAGCAGATGCTGACCAGTTGCTGTCATCTTGAGATTTCGATTTGTGGTGATGACCGTGATGCGAGGTGGCCGAGGGCGCGTCGCCTTCGGATTCTGAGGCAGACGCACTTGCTCCAGCCCAAAGGTTGCCGCCAATGTGTGAAGCAGATGGAGCGACGGTGATGGTAGCGGAGGCCGCGGAGCTCGCGCTTGTGGAAACCGGCGTGTCGTCGTCGCTGGGTCCGAGTCAGTCCGTGCGCATGTGATGGAGATGCCAAGAGCTCCGTCGCCAAGACCACGCAGTGGAAGATAAGATAAGGGTAATGACTCACTCATCACAATCTCCCTCATCGTCATCGTCATCGTCATCATCGTCGCCATCGTTGTTGGTGTTGGTGTTGCTGTTGGTGTTGCTGTTGGTGTTGGTGTTCGACGAGCTGCCTGATTGAGCATGGGTTGCGCTTGGTGAGGGTGTTCCTGAAGGGCTGCCGGAGACCGTCGAGGTGTTCGTGGAGATCGTGCTATTGGAAAGATCCCATGACCAGACACATCCAACGAGATGAGGCGCAGCGCTGTGGTCGAGTCAGCGTATGCACGATGTGGATCGTCGGAGTGCAGGAGGAAAGGGTCGGCCATTCGGCCTGCCAGCAACACGAATGGCATGCGAAAGCAAGATCTAGACTCACGAACAGACCAGGTTATCACCAGCGCATTCCGCGATAGTCACCCAGGTGGTGTGGTTGCAACCTGAGAGGCATCGATTCAGACAAGACCTGTGAGAGTATGACGGTCGACGCATGCACTTACGGAGGAGATTTTTGCCCTGACACATCCATTCTCCGTTCGTGGCACAAGTTGCGATCGTGTCGTTCGTGTCAGTGGTTCCGACCATTGTCTTTCCGATAGGGTCGTGAGCGGCGTGTTCTGAGCCAGCAGAACCGCTCGAATTGTCATCATTATCGTTGGTTTCATCATCATCATCATCATCATCATCATCATCATCGCAATCGTCTTCGTCATTTAGATTCGCGTTGGTGGTCGAGTTTACGGCTCGGATAATTCTTCGGCGGATCGGTTCATCACGTTCCGTTTGAGAGGCGAGCCTGGCCAATCGAGCAGGGGAATCTCTCGGTTGTCCAGCGGGTTGAGCGAATGCTTTGGCTGCTCGTTGATGATGCCGTCGATGGAATGCTGTTCCGTGACTTGGACCGGCCAATGTCAGGGAAGCGGAAAGCGCGAGCGTGAATGCGAGATAGCCAGCGTGCATGGTGAGGGGGGTGGATTGACCTAAACGAAGGGCGGCGTGATGTCGTGAATCGTTGCTGTTGGTGTCGTCGATGACGATTGACACGACGTCGAGTCGATGCCAATCGAAGTCGAAATGGATGATAAAAAAGATCGTGAGCTTTAGAGTCACGTTGTCCGCTGGGTAGAGATGGTCGTTCAACGCGAGACCAAAGGGGTTGTTAGGTGTGGGTCCGTTGTCGCCAGCGACTCGTGAAGGAATATGTTGTAGGGCTTGTGAGATGTTGTTCGTATGAATCAGAGGATGGAGAACTTGAAGAGGAGGGGATGGGATGGGAATGGGGGATTGTGGATTGGATGAGACGGGTAATGTGCGAATGAGAAGGGGGAAGGAGAAAAACCTTTCGGTCAAACCGAAAAAAGGTTTGGGTCACGATTCGGTCACGTCGAGGAAGAATGAATGAATGACTCATGGGGGCGCTAATACTATCGGATTGGAATGGGAAGAAACTGGGACTGCATGACGTTCACTTTGAGACCTGTGTTGAGCACAATTGCATGCTCTTCCTGGCCGAATTAACCTCGCCGTTCGAGACCTGACACGCAGTATCCCATCCGTCGTGGCACTTTCATGTTCAGCTCTTTTAATTAGCGTGGTTCCTCTCTCGGGTATCGCTGTTCCGCCAGAATGAGAACATTCTTGTGCGGAATGGCAGACAGAGTACAGATTCTTTCGGTTGCACGAGTCTCCGCAGTCCATGTTGGAGCTGCTGACCTTTGAACTAGCGTAATGGTGGTACCTTTTTCTGGGTGGTGATCACGCTCCACATGGAATGAAGAAATGAATGGGCTTGGATATTTCTACCGCACCAATATCCGTCTATTGGGAGCTCATCGTCCACTACTGCCACCACGGACACATAGTCCACGGCATGCTACATGGAGGATCGAGCTGCCCCATTCTCAGCATCGTTCCAGATGAATTCCTTATGATAGATGGAATCTCACGCGTATTTCGCTGGGTAATGAATTTAAAATAATTCCGAGACGCGTCTTGGCTGGGGACCCCATATCGGGCCTGGGCTCTCGTGCCTTTGTGCGCATCCGAAGGGCTATATAGCTCCACGTGTAGATGCAGCAAGGAGCGTGGCAGCTAGCTGTTGTGCATCATTGAGCCGTATCGTGAGGTGATCTAGTATAGGTAGGAGTCTCCACTGCAGACAGTCACTGATGCAAGTTCGCCAACAAACGCCTCCCCTGCACCATTCTGGCAGGTTGTGGCGAGAAACGTAACCAAACCCGAAATCAAGCCCGTGCATAGCCCCTCCCACTCCTGTGCCACTTGATCTGCCCACGCAAGCCTCACAGTCTTATGAGGCCCCTAGCTCCCCCATTTGAGCGGGGGCAACTCATAGCAGATCCGATCCCGTACCAAGTGGAGGTTTGACTATCGGCCTCGGCCTAATCCGAACGAACCTATTGCCATTGGCGATTTTCGGCGATTGGGCCGCCACAAGGGGCGCCTCGCGCCAGAGGGACGAGAGTGGCCCGCATACTTCTACAGTGGGGTATACAAAGCCTTTAGGTATATATACCTCCACACTCGTCCTCAACTCGCTGGGTCAGGCTGATTTCTTGCTCAAGCGGACTCTTGCTCTCTATACATCCACCGTAGAAGCTACCAACGATCAGAAGACACCAATATGGCGAAGAAGTACAAGTTCCTCACGGGCAAGTCCAACCAAGATCCCTCGTGTCGATGACTCACGCTTATCGCTTTTCTTCCGGCAGACGAGCAAGTTGAGTCTTTCATGCGAGATGGGTACATCAAGCTGGAAGGTGCATTCTCCAAGGAGAAAGCAGAAGCATGGAAACAAGATGCTTGGATCAGATTGGATATGGACCCAAATGATATGAGTACCTGGAACAGGGAATGGATCAACATGCCTGGTGAGTGTTGGGGCGATACTCGAGAGGCCCATACGGACAGGTCGTGCCGCATTTTGGTCTGGCTGACCTACGTGTGGCTTTGCAGTCATTCGCTCGGAGAAGATTGAAGACTTTTCTCCCGTCGCCTGGGGAGCTATGCTCGAATTAATTGGCGGTATTGAGCGTCTTCGGATGGATCGTGATAGCTGGGGGTGAGGGCTACCGTCTTTAATGGTATTGGGCTTTATCTGATGTCCTCTTTGGCCTTTAGTGACAACTTCATCGTCAACCTCGGCACTCCCGAAACCCATAACGCTGAACCTCCTCATCCAAGAGACCTGGACGCATGGCACTGTGACGGAGACGTGAGTGTGATATGTCTATCATATGGACAGTGCTTATGTTTGTTTGTATCGTAGTCATACAAGCACGTGAGATCCACAGAATAGCCCTGCGTTGCTCGACGTCCTGACCATATCTCTAGTTCCTCGATAGCCCCGAAGTAGCTCTCCTCATGATCCCCTTGTTCTCTAAAGTCGAATCCAAAGGTGGATGCACCTTCATTTCGCCCGACGCAACGACCAAGATCATTGAATTCTTGCGAGACCACCCTGAAGGTGTCGGTGGAGGTGACGGAGCGCCTTGGAAGCCCACTCCAGGGGAGATGGTCAAGGCCAGCCATCAATTCATCGAATGCACTGGCGAACCAGGCGATGTGAGTTTGATCCTATCCTTTCCATCGCGGTGGCATGTCGCTTAAGATCCCCCCCTCCTCAGGTCTTCCTGTGCCATCCTTTGATGATGCACACCAAGTCTCAGAACAACACTCGTGTCCCTCGATTCATGATCAATCCTTGGGCGGCACTCAATGAACCTCATAAATTCAAGAGGGACAATACCGACGACTACTCGTTGGTAGAGCTCAAGACGCTCAAAGAATTGGGGCGAACGCCTGAAGAAGGATATGATTTCCGTGCTACGACAGAGAGAAAGGCTGCGCCGTCGAAGCGACATGGGATTCAAGCAGAATGGAAGCGGCAAGAGCTGGAGAGGTTGGCGCGCGCAGGAATTGTCCCAAGGGTTATTTCTACCTTGGTCTCATAGGCTCCGCCTTGACTCAAGTGCAGGGTGTTCCAGGGCGAGAAAGGAAGTGAGGTCGTTCTTGCGAATCAAGATCATGCATCACTGGACTGCACGGGCGCTCACTTGGGTACGCTGTGTATCGAAAGATTTGCGCGCGAGTTGCACCACGCGTCCGGAATATCTAACCTCCTTTCTTCTCGCTGTTCAGGTTGCCGGTTGCCGACATGATTATGAGGAAGAGCAGCAGACCTAGTGCTGGGAGGCAGAAAAAGGCCAGAACTACTATTTTATCTTCTCTTTCCTTTCTCCTCGTACCTGGAGATGGGCAAAATGGAGTATCTTAAGCTCAGGCAGACAAAGAATGGCAGACCTCAGGGGCTGCACTCCACTCACGTTCTTCAAGGTCACCAGGACCATCTATCACTTGTACTTTGAGTCTTGCAGGAGGATTTGTTTCAATGCCATGCCAGGCTTCATCGAGGATCTGACTCCACTGGGTGATATTATCGATCTGGGTCTCCGGAGTAGATGGTGCCAAGAATTCGATCCTATCTGGCGAATATTCTGCTAGAACAGGGAAAGCTCGTCGAACCAGATCGATAGTATCCTGAGGTTTGATCAGTATGAACGTTTGGGTCATGACTGAAGAAAGTGGGATCCTTGCGAATGGAGCCAGATGGGTTTTCACAGGGTGCCAAAAACACTCACGTCTTTACCCGCTGCGACGCCCAAGACGCTCTTCTGCTCTCCTTTGACTGGCCATCTCGGTACGAACACGTATGTCACATTGGGTCTGTGAGCTTGAGATCCGCTTGCCTGAGGTGGATACGAAGGAGGGGGTGGCGATGAACTTCGATCGTTATCCTTCCATGAGGTGAGCGGCTGTCGTTCCTCATCGTTGATGTCGGAGTCTGAGGCCTTGGTGTGGTACTGAGGTAGTAGGCTAGACATGGTGGGTACGTGTGATAGGTCCGCAACGTGATGGACAAGGGGCGAAGACAGAAACGTCGGGAGAAGCTCAAGGAATGCAAGAATGTGGAGCCTAGACAAGCTTCGGCTAATTTTAGCCACCACACATGTCATGATAATTAATATCTGGTACAGAACTATCGAGCGAAAGGTCACGTCCCGTCCAATTCTGACCATCGAGAGCATTCAGGGGACGGAGAATGATGGCATACTCGTCCTATCAAAGCTGCCGACCAGACGGGGGGAAGCAGGTACTGTTCCCTCGAATGCTACAACGAGGTGTCTTCAGCCGCTACAGTCCTCTACTCGTGCGGACCTGACTTCGTGCCGGAGAGCCATCTGCGAGTGAGCGGAAGGTTCAGGCCGTATGCAGGTCTGATGAAGGATATGAAGCTTGGACTGGTCCCCGTTGCAGAGCAACAGTCAATTTTCGGGAGAGCCTGTGTTCATACCGAGGCTCGCCGCATATCGGATATTCCTGGGGGCTCATTAGCTGCACTCAGCCATAGATAAGATTGAAGTCGTGGGAACGGATTCTCCTTTCGATAGAATAGCCATATAGCCAGCCAGAGCCAAAGACCGGTGAGTCCAAGCCCGAAGAGTCTCCTGAGAGCTTCTGAAATGATCCTTCGCTCCCACTGATGTCTGTCACCTGGACATCCCGACAGGATTGTATCAGTAAGCGTTCTGTTACATCCCCACTTATACAGATACTGAGGGACTCACGCTCTTCCGCCTGGCCCGGCAGGTCGACGATATGTACTTTGATATGGCTCGGCGGACTAGAAGGAAACCAGGCCATGCTTCATCGAGGATTCGAGACCAACCCTCCTCTCGAGCTGGGTCACTGGTCGGCGAACACGCCATCAGTATTTCTATCCTATCCGAGGATACCCAGCTAGAATAGGGATCGCTCGCTGGATCATAGCGATAGTGTCCTAATAGAAACGTCAGGCTGTCAATCACCACATGCCTAGGAGACTTGACTTCCAAGTACAGAGAGCCGGGGAGATCTGTCTCACTCACAGTTTTATTGCCGATACGTCCAACGACGCTCTCTTGCCGGGCCTTGACGGGCCATCTGGGAACAAACGTGAAAGTGGCGTTGGGTCCGCAGGAGGCTGTCCCAGATCCATCAAGCAATCACGTCGATCCACCAGAAGCATAAGATGGTGGCGGATCTATTGCTGCACTTTCGAAGTGCGGTCCAGAAGGTAAAAGAGGTTGGTTCTCATCAGATTTACTGGACGAAGACTGATACTGGACCAGTATAGGTGAGATCCTGGGCGGTCGGACCAGAGGGTGGCGAACAGATCGTTGGGCAAGATTATTTGAATTTGCCCGTTGCCGCTCACGGCGGAGGTTGGCAGATCCAATAGCCTCATGAGAACCGTATATTCCCATCGGCCTCTTACGCTCGCATCACGCACGGCACGCACAACATACAACCACTCCGCGGATGTGCCAACGACCCCATTGACCTCGGTACTCGTGCATAATATCAACGTATATATACCGCATCTACAACATGAAAACCTAATGCAAGCGTAATATTAGATCAACCCGCCTTGTATAATCCCGGGTGTAATCTGCCCTCAGTGCTCGGCACTACACCGTCCCTGCCCGACAATTGTCCAAACCAAAACGTGATCTCTCAGGGAGATCCGACATTCAGGTAGATGATGAGTATGAACAGGGCAAAAACGGCGAAGGGCGAGCAGGCTGCTAGGGTAATGAAGGCACAAGTTCGGATTTCGCCTATGTCGTCCGCAATCTCAGCAAAAGGACTGAGTCACAAAGGATGAGAGTGTAAACTCACGCCGCCTCGCTTGACCAGGAAGATCAGCGACTTGAATTTTGAGTCTTGACGGAGCATCGGTGGTGAATTCGTCCCAAGCTTCATCCATGATTCGACTCCAGCCATGCACGTCTTCCAATTTGGTTTCAGGCGAGACAGCTGCCAAGAACTCGATACGCCCAGGCGGGTAGTTGTTGAGGACAGGGAACGCTCTCAGAACCATCTCCAGTGTAGCCTAAACATCATAGCGTACGTTAGCCCACAGAAACCGCCTATGTCGATGCGTCAAGCGGCGACCTGTTTTTCGCACTTACATCCTTGCCGCCCGCTAGGCCCAGTACACTCTCCGTCTTTCCCTTGACTGGCCACCGGGGCACGAACGTATACGTGATCGTCTTGTTCTTGGAGCCCGATCCACTGGCGTGATCTCGTCCGGGGGGATAAGACGGAGGTGGTGGCGAGGACATCGCTCGATCATCATCTTTCCATGAATTCAGAGGTCGCTGTTCCTCCTCGTCGGACACTCGTCGTGTATTGTACTGAGGCAAGAGGGACGACATGGTGCTCGATAGATCAGTTGAAAGTGCAAATGCAAGACGCTACGTTCCACATGCTGTGGAGTGACCAAATGGTCAAGTGGCAACGGGAGCAAATTTGCTATGTGGCACGGACCTAGGCGGCGGTTGCACAATGCCCACAGTAGGTGATTATTGTGTCGGTGGGCTTGGATGCACGCAACGCAAGACATCGAATACAGATATACTGTAAGCTGCGTTGGCAGCCCAGAGCAGCTATATGGCTCGGCCGACTCGCAAGAGTCTCTCGCCCATGGAAAGACCTTGGTGGCACTCCCAGACCCAAGGTTGAAGTGTCTTGCCGCAGGCTCTGGTACAGCTTCGCCTTGTAGGAGATGTTGGGTCGAGGTCCGCAATGGCATCCTATGGCTTCTGACTACCATTTACGACGAGAACAGACCTCGAGTTTGGCCGTTTGATGGAGTATCCCCGAGTTTCCAGTATCGGTCGAATCGCGGTATACTCCGAGGAGCTGCGAGTCGGAGAGTTGAGCCCATAACGAGATTCTCATTCTCCGACGCAAGGGAGACGTCAGGGATCTCCTCATTCTCAGGATAGACTCGATACATCTCCATGCGTAAGGGCTGGGGCCCCAGACCACTGGCCCTGTGGCTGGAGCTGGATCTGCGAGTCAGATATCGTATAAGTATCATGGAGACGAGCTCACCCTGAATCTGAATCGGAATATGGATATGATTCTGAAGTGCTTAAGATCGTCCGATACTCCTTCAACAAGTTCCAACTTGGTCCGAAAAGGTCCCATAGCCCGATCCGTATAGGATCCATGAATACAGTTATCCAGGCGCTTCCAGACGACGACTGTGTCGCTGATCCAAGAGAAGAATCCCGTTCCGGTAAAGTGTGTCCTGTGATTGGCAGATCAAGCTCCTCCACCAGGTCCGATCTGGAACCATGATGGACAATGACGATGGACGGTAAGGGAGTTTCATCGGTTTCATCCATGTCTGTCGACGTTCTCGAGACTGTTGTAGTTGGTTTGGCGGGATACTGAAACGGTTTGCGGAAGAGACTAGAGTTGAAGAGGTAAGGCCCTGGCGATGGGGCGAAAAGACTGGACGAGGTATCGCTCGGGCTGCCGTCATATCTGCAGGACGAAGTGGAATCGGGAGCATCATCCGGGGATGCAGATTTGAATGCCTTGAGTGAGATTGATCCTTCGCCTCCTCGCTTCTCTATATAAGGATTTTGTGTCAATTGATCGCAGCTGTTGACCTGCTGCACGGTCTCCAAGGAGAACATTGATCGTACGTCGGAGTCATCCTTATCGTCCGACTTCCCCAGATTCAACACAGTTCCCCTCGCGGACACTCTTGACCTCACAGACACCACGTCTTTACCATCTTCAGCAGTATAAAAGCTCGACATGGAGTTCCAGGTCCCGAACGAGCCACGTCTAGATGTAGATGCCGGCGCGTAGGTCGTCTCTCCAACCGGATCGCATGATCTTTCGCCTAAGCCTGTTCCGTTTGGTCCTGTTACCGTCATCCAAGTGGCTGTAGTACGGTATGACGTGCCCATACTGTATTCGCTCTCAGACGGCGCCCCCTTCTGAGGTTGTTGATAATGGTGGTGACGACTGCCGATAGGTTGAGGTGGTACTTGAAGCGGACTCGCCTCCATATCGCCGTCATCTAGTAACAAGCCATCCAGTGTCTTGAGCGACACGTCGTACGGCATCTCTCGGAACGAATAAGGTGTGACAAGGCTTGAACGGAATGTCTCAGGTCGTGTCTCAATGGAAGATGAATCGTTCCAGGGCTCGCTGGGATCGCCCATGGTGTCGGGCATTTTCGGTATGTATGTAAGTTGTGACACGCCAGTCGCAGATGAGATGGCAAGACTTGGTCCCATCAAGTTCAACAGGAGCCTTTGAAAATGATCCAAGGTCGACGAGTGTAGAGCGGTTCGGAGTGTGAGTCTCATACGGCAAAAAAAAAAAGAGGGGGGGTTTCATTTGGGGATGAACGACCCCTTGCGTTTCATCTTGGTTCCTTGGTTTCACCCTTATCTGTATCTTCTTTTCCGGCCCCGCGAAGTTGAAGGGAGAATGCAGCACTATGTAACCACTGCAACAGCACGACAAGAGTAGATGCATACAGCTGGCAGAGCATGCCAATATCTATATAGAAGTACACGCGGGTCAAGTACCAGCTAGAATAGATCCCCACACACAGCCTCGAAGCCGCCGACTAACAGAATTCTCTCGCTCTTGACCTCCAAAAATCCGGTCGACTCTACGGTTCTTCGGGACCTTCCAGACCCCTTGAGTTCTCGCCTCTGGCCTCTAGCCCCTAGCCTCTCGCCCAAACCCTATCGCAACCTCCTCTTTGGGGGGTCCTCCAATACAAAGCTCCTAGAGCTCGCGAAACTGTCACTCGTCGTCATACCTTGCATGACTCCGACTCCCACTTCCGAGGGGACAGGTTTCCTCTTGATACCAGGGGATTCCGGTAAAGTCTTGTGCGTCGAATTCATAGGTGAAGAAGAAGAGGCAGTAGTCTTTGCGGGAGACCGATAAGGCAGTTCAGTGCTCATACCTGAGCCTTGTGATTGGAACGAAAAAGCCGTGAAAGGGGGAGAATCGAGGACGATCCCGTTGGAAGGTGATGATGATGGACCTCGAGGATGAGTGACCCCTCCAGCACTCATTAAATGCGGAGAGGTCCCCTCGACCTGGCGAAAGGTCGAGACGATTGGCGAGCCGATAGAGGCTGAATCTATAGATGGGTTGCGACGACCTTGTGAACCTGATCCATTGGGATGTGGAATTCGACCTCTACCCGTGCTGAGATTTCGCGCATGACCGTCACTGACACTGCGCCCTGCCGGGCCATTGGAGCCTGGACCAAAGCCTGCCTGTTCGCGCAAAGCCGATACACTAGCTTTCTTGCCAAACGTAAAGCCATTGACGCTGCCCAGCCATTTCGAGGCGACGCCCTGAGGACCCTTTTGACTGGAGATACCAACCGAATGGCTGTTGGGTTCACGCGATTGCAGTGGTGATTGCGTATGAGGAACATGATTCGCCTTGAGAGCCGAGGGGAAGACGACGACGTTGTTGGAAGAAAAAGTATGCGTTGGTGGTGAGGGAACATCAGCCAGATCCCAGTCGCCCATTTGTATCGGCGGGCTGAGGTCTCCGCCGGTATACACTTTGCGAGGTAGAGAATCTTTAGACGGTGGAGCTGGGGCTCCGGCCGGGGCGGCGGCGCCGTTCAAACTCGCAAACGAAGACGTGGTCTGATGGTCGAGTGATGGTCCAGACCGGCTGAAAAGACCAAGCGTCTCTGTCTGTCGACTTCCAGACTCCGCAGGCAGTGCAGGCGAGGAATGTTGAGAATTCATTTCGGGGGAGGGCGTAGATGGCTGCTTTGGACCCCATTGTATATTGAGATTTCTCGCCGAGATCTGATTTTTGAGCCCCTTGAACGCGTTGCTTCCTCGACGACCCTTGTCTCGAGGGACGGGTGGTGGCGATCGAGGAGATTCGCCGATGCCTGCCAGTCCTCCCGTTGCAAGTCCCAGTTCAGTGCTAGACGTGCGATTGCGAAGGATATGTGGTGGCGGCTTGGCAGGGGATGTCGAGGGTTGGGTACTGGTACCGGGCAACGGATTCGACACTTGGCGCAACTGATCAACGTGAGTCTGCGGAAGCGTGTATGACGGTGTTCTTCGATGGGTCTGTTCCAATCCCGGAGAAGTGGGCCTCTGCGGTCGTCTAGGTCTCCACTCCGCATACCTCGATTCCACCTCTGCCGTTGTTGTTGTGAGGGCGGCGTGCGAGGACTGTTGGGCACGTTGCAGCGTCTCCGCCGATCGAGGACTCGGCGTGTCATCTCCAGATTGAGGGGCAGCTTTCGCTTGGAAATATTCTGTAATTCGAGATGATTCGGGAGACTCGGAATGAGGAACTGCCGGCCAAGCCACACGACGAGACCCGCTGGCGCTGGTAGCATTCGTACTGTCCGTTGAGGATTTTGGGACACGAGGGAGCGATTCTGGAGTAGCCTTTGATGGAGCTGTAAACGTGGATGCCAGAGGCGAAGGAAGCAACGAGCTGTGCGCTTGACCATTTGGATTTGGGCTCAGTGTAAGTTTTGTCAAACCTTCCGCTTGTATCTTTGCAGCCGCTATTTTGGCCGCCATGCGAGGTGTCAACATTCTCGGTGAAGTCACTCGAATCTCGCGAGGTGATAATGTGCGCATGACTGAGAGGAGGTCAAAGTGAGCTAAACACCATGGCTGATGGGGAATTTGTCAACTTACGCTGCTCCAGCTTGTCCAACTCGTCCGACATGACCAATCCGCTACCTCGCTTATCCATGATGACCTCTTGGACAACTTCTCGAACCCGTTGCAGCTCCAACTGTGTTTTGTCCAACGCTATCGGGCTAGCAAGTAAGTCGTCGACCACCTCCATAGGGGGATCGGAAGACGACAGGTCGTCCACGCGGGAGCTTTCATTCGTCGCCGGTCCAAGTAATCCACTGACATCTGTGCGGTCGCTTCCAGAGATAATGATGGCGTGTTCCAATGGTAGTGGATCAACCCTCGCATCTCGAGCAGCGGCGCCGCTAGCCGCTGAAAGTGACATTGACCGAGGCTTATCCATACCGAGGTATGGCGGCCGATTCGATTCAACATCACGCAGAAATCTAGCCATGCCACGACTATCGTTGACTTTGCGTACCAGCTTTAATTGTCTAATACCTCCTGAGGACGCTGGACCTGGGGACAGCAAAGGTGCACTGACATGACCGAGTCCGGAATCGGAGACGCTACTGATTTTCCGGCTATGTGAAGGTCTAGTTCGAGCTGATTTTCGCCAGTCTTGATACCATGTGGCTGAATCGATGTCGACATCGAATTCAATGGTTCCGACAATGGGATTGACCTGAGGAGCCAGATGAGGTGACTGGTGCTGATTGAGGGAGAATGGCGTCGGAGGGAGTGGGTCGACACCGTTGGTGTCGGGCGATGAAGCCAGGGAGGTGGGTGAGAGTTTATCGGGACGAATACCTGTAGACTCGGAAGCAACGGCGGCACTCGGGATGGGGTGTTCGACGAGAGACAATGGCGAAGGTGGAAAGGCTATATCTCTACCGAGAGGTCCTGACGATTTGAGTGGTGTGTTGGCCGGTGTCGAAGCGCGAGAAGAAGAGGCGGATGAGACGAGATACGATGCGAACAAGGTGGACCACGTCTGGGCCGAGATCTGAGGGCCGGTCGCTTCCTCAAAAGAAGACCCAAAGGACCCAGTGGAAGATATAGAAGCGGAGTGAGAATGGGTAGGAAGAGGAGCGGCCGTGGTGAGATGGGTCGGTGGGGGTTGATATACCAAGTAGAGGTTGACACCTTGTGTACTGGGTAGACCGTATTCCCTCGCTATGCTCAACAACATGGAACCCATCGTCGGTTGTAAGGGTAAGAGTCTACCTCGCTTCCATTTCCGTCTCCTTTCTTTCAGTTTCGAAGATTCGGGGGGTGTGCCGAGCACGACAGCGGATGAGGGTGCATCGACAGAGTCGCCGGATGAACCCAATGGCAGGGGTAAGAGTATGGAGAATGGCGGGATGACGGTAATCAACCAAGGTGTCCCTCTCATTGTTTGATGTGTCATGGCATTCGGACTGCGAGTGATAGCTTGAAGAGGGGAGAGCGAGAGGGAAGTCGGTGAAGGGTGAGGTAAAGAGGGAATGACGATACCGAATGATTGAGCGATTCGACCCAATTGACCCGGTGTCAGTGGTTTCCTAGGTGGAGCATAGGCTCTTGTTGAACTGCTGCAACCTCCTCCTCCTCTTGCGCTGCCATGTCCTGGACTGTATCCATTCGACGATCCTTCCCCTTGTCTTGACTGGCTGTGATCATCTTCATCCGTATCCCGACTGCCTTTGACGACACGGAGTCGAGGCGGAGGTGTCTGGACGAGTTTGGCCAGGCGTGAAGTGGCGGCGAGATCAGGAATCTGATCGTTGACGTTGGCTTGGTTGATCGGCGCATGGTCAGAGTTGGAACTGGAAAGGTCCTTGGCTGCTGCTTGGACCGCTGCCGTTGAACTTTCACCAAAGGTCATGGTACTGGACACCACGGATACGCTTGATGGATCTCTCAATGTCCATGCGGTCGTGGACGATCCCACGGAATAATCTTCGGTCGTGGTCTGGAGGGAAGATGTGCTGGATACCTTTGAGGAAAGGGGAGAGGCGCGAGGGAAAGGTCTAGCTGGCCACGCTTCAAGAGGAGAAGTGATCACCGGTGCGGTTGACCGCGACATGGCGTGTGAGTGGTCAAAGTGAGGGGAACTCCTGTGTTCAAGTGTCAGTCCAGTGGTCGTGACTTGCAAACGTGAACAGGCATTGGCTTTCGCTTCACTCACAGTTGCTCCTGTCACCTCAATAGCCTTTGAGTTGGAAAATGGACCGTGACACGTGCGGGTGTCTCATGAACAATAATGGTCGAGCCAGTGTCGCTGCTGCTGCTGCTGCTGCACTCCTCCCATCCGATTGTGATGCCCTCCAGCTAGCTTAGATTGTTCCCGATGTAATGTTCTCCTCAACGAGGTCAAGAGTATAGCAAAGCAGCCGCCCCAGGGTCGATTGTCCACCACCACCACCACACCTTATAGAGATGCGTTAAGGGAAAAAGGGAGAGAAAATTGGGCGAGAGATCCGGAAATTATTCTTATTCAGACGCGTCGAACGTCGTTCATGCCCTAAGCGTCCACAAGATGGTCACAACGAGAGACGAGATATGATACGAACAAAAGGCATGCAATGGTCGCCCTCCTCCCGGTCTCAATCTATATCCCGTTGTCGCTGTCGCTGTAGCTGCTGCTGCTGCTGCATCTGCATGGTCCCGTTTGTGAGACATCGGGCGGACAACGGGCAAAAATCATTCAAAAACGCCACACTTGAGACCACGCGGCGAGGAGGGGAGGGATTAGGAAAAAGGAGCTAATCAATCCCAGCTTTGATTAGTAAATTTCTCTCGGGATCCTTGCTCATCCTGATCCTAATGCCCTTCCGTAATCGCCACCACGCACCGTCCCGCTTCCCGCCATATTTTTGCTATTATCCATACATACCTTACTCGGGTTTCAGACAGACACATTTTCTGACTCACCGGGCTGCATCTGGGCATATCACCCTCGAGCACCACAAATGCCAGGTCTATCCAGGACACCGAGACTGTTCCTGATCCTCCTGGTGATTATCATCGTCCCCACGCTGTACCTCTTACATCCATCCACTTCACCAACACCATTATCATCGTGGACGAAGACGACGACGCCGACGACGACGGGGGGAGATGCGATTCACCATGTGGAGATAGAATCGGGTGGAATAGATTCAGATCACTGGCGGGATCCGATCAGACCACAGACAGGGAATGGGCTGGCCAATGAGGAGGATACGAGGGGAGCGGATGATGAGGAAGACGAGCTCGTATTGATGGGGACCCATTCGTCGGATCGTCCCAAGCAGCAAGAGGAGGACTTGTACGACATGACAGCTTTCACCTCACCTTCCGCACCCATTCTCGGCACACATGGCGGAGTGATCATGCCCAAGATGGAGAATGCGACGGCCAAGTGAGTTTGCAGAAGAAGTATCCTTCGTTCGTTGCCATTGACACTAATCGCAACCGTACACAGAGCTGAACTTGGTCGATCAGCTTGGAAAGTTTTACATCTCATGACTTTGAGGTATCCTGATGTGAGTGGGAGTCACCACCTCTTTTCACACACCGTCTTCTCACTTGGCGTCACTTGTCATAGACTCCAACGCAAGACGACAGGGATGCTCTCAAATCCTACTTTCACCTCTTTGCCCGGTTATATCCCTGTGGTGAATGCGCAGAGGAGTTTCAAGCATTATTAAAGGAGTACCCGCCACAGGTGAGTATGCCCAACTCGTCTCTGGAGGCTCGTTCCCCGCCGTGCTGCATACTGATCATCTCGCGCCCTCAAGACGTCCTCACGAAAAGCCGCTTCCATGTGGCTCTGCCACGTCCACAACATGATCAACGAACGATTAGGCAAGCCTGAATTCGATTGTCTGACCCTGGACGAAAAGTACGACTGTGGGTGTGGAGAGGACCCAGGAGCGAGTGGCGTCCCTGGGGGACAGGACGCTGCGACAGATGTCTGAGATCAGCACAGCATTTCACCTTCATCGGCCAGGGACATTTAGTTGTATGGTTATACTTAGCATATTGCATATGTTGCATTGTCATTTTAATGAATTCCAAAAGCGCATGTCCCTCCGCTCTCTGAGAAGTGTGGACTCCCAGCGGATCTCTTCGTGCTGTAGTGGCTCAGGACAAACCTCACACCTCGCGCTGCTGACTCGGCGCTCATACCGAGACCAACTCTGCCAATCGCTTGTTATCCTTGACTTCCTCCTTCTCCCTGATCTCTTTACCCGTCTTGGCAATCTTCGCTGTGAGGTCATCGAATGCCGGGAGAGAAGGTCCCCAGACGACGACCTTTTGCGTCTCAAGAGAGACGGAGAAGGCGTTGGCTACGAGGGAAGGAATGAAGCCAATTCAGGTCGGACCGGTACCAAATGAAGGAAAGATGAGAATAGAACCAACGAACAAGTCAGCAGCCTTCGAACGTACTAGAAATGCCCCAGTGAGACTCACGGGCCTCAACGTTCTTCGTGAGGACTCTATTGATGGCTCCGCTGCAGCCACCACATGTCATTTTTACGTCGTAGACGTACGCTGGAGCGGTAGCTTGAGCAGCAGAGTCGGCCTGGAGAAGATGTGGAGTGTCAATACATCTCGCTGAGGGAGAAATGGTAGAAGTGACAGGGGGGCGATCGAGGTGAATGAGAGACAGAGACAGGGAGGACTTCATGGTAGACCTTTGAGAGCATGACTGGTCACTGTTCCATGAACAGGTCAAGTCTCGAGCATCTCGCTGCCCAATGGCGTCGTTCGTGGAAGACCACGCAGTGTACTCGCAAAAGTCCCGCAGACTCACCATTCTCGATGGGTTGAAGGTAGAAGATCGTCGTAGTCTCAGGGGGCTTGCTTGGCAGTGGGGATTGAGAGCGCTTCTGAGTCCGCAAGGAGTGCTTCTCTTTGCCTTGGAGAGCAGTTGAAGTGATCAGTTAGGTGGGTAAACGACAACGAGTCCTCCCAAGTTGACGTGCTTTATAATTCAGCGAACCACCGGCCGGGAGAGCGCGGTGTCCGTCGGCGGGCGCCGTGTTTCAGATTAAGGACTCATTTTTTGATTCCGTTATCCTCGTTGAGCGAGGCATTGTGCGAGCAGCACCACGCTAGACAAAGCAGATCATGGTAAGCAGGACCCCAATCCGCCACGATTTGGCATGTTATACAATATGATTACCCCTTCGCTGTCGACGTCTACGCCACTTCCACCTCCATTGCACCATTATCCGGGTGTAACCCGTTTAATCCTCCGTCTCCTCCTTCAGTACCTGCCAATTTGGCCTGCCACGCATCGAGATGAGTCTCTTTCTCTCTACTCAGCCGTTCATTCTCTTCTTCCAAAGCTTTCACTTTGGCTTCTAAACTTTCTCCATCGGTTCCTAGACCTAACCATGCGTCACCGATTGACAACGGTATATTCTCTGGACGGACGGAAAGGGGGGACCATCAGCCAAACAGTCTCCCTTTCTGAAAATGACTCGTCGGGGACTCACTGATCGGATCTGGACTGAAAATTTCCGTCATGACCTCTTGTCTAGCACGAAATCTCGCCATGGCCAATTCCTTTGGATCCACTTCATCCACTAGATCCGTCCATGGTTCGACGAGATCCGCGGGGTTCGGTATAGAAGGTCCAGGTGCTGATCCGGGGGGGACAGGTCCCGTGTGTGGAGGTTGGCCGTGGACGCTAGAAGGCGCGGCCATGGCTTGTTGTCTGTAGATATCGGAGGAATGAGCTGGAGGTCGATGAGGGGGAATCATTTGATGAGCTGGAGACGGGCGATGCTGTGGGGGATCGAGCCGACGAGTGGAGACGCGATGAGGCGAGCCGAGATAGGGCAGCGTAGCGAGTTGGTCAGACGCCGTGAGAAGAGCATCGTAAGGAGGGATGCCATAATCAGCCATCACGATTCTTACACACGTCATTCTGACACTCACCTTTTTCTTCTTTGACCCCGAGCCATGCTGTTGTAGCTGTGCCTGTTGTTGCTGATGCAATTGCAATTGCTGTTGTTGTTGTTGCTGTTGTTGCTGTTGTTGCTGCTGCTGCATCATCATCGCCTGAAGCATGGCCTGATTCGCAGGAGGTCGTCCAAGCCCACTCCCTCCTGGGCCTGCCGCGCCCGTACCCTGCTGCACAGGGTTCTGTCCCTGTCCTCCAACGCCGCCCATACCACCACCAGGTGCATTGTTCGCAGCTGCTTGCCTAGCTTGAATGGCCATCTGAACAGCTTGAATCTGTTGAAGATTCATACCCTGCATCCCAGGCACGCCTTGTAATCCTTGCATTGATGATCCTCCAGGACCTCCTGCGTTCGGATTGAGCGCTCCTCCACCTCCACCCCCTTGCAGCCCTTGCATCTGCATACTCTGTTGCATCTGCTGCATCTGCATCTGTTGGATCTGCATTGCCTGAAGGTTCTGTTGTTGAGCAGCAGCAGCCGTCCCGCCAGCGCCTCCAGACGGTCCTCCAGCGGTGTTCGGTACGTGGTGTTGGCCCGGGTGATTAGGATTCCAAGATGGACCAGGAGCAAATTGTCCGCCCATGGCTGGTGTGGATGGTGCACCTTGAGGTGGTCTAGCTGTACTGGGTGACCCTTGACCGGGTACACCTTGACCCTGTTGAGCAGCCTGTTGCATCTGAGCCAAACGTGCACGTTGCTGAGCATAACCCTGTTGAGCCATAGCTGCCAGATTTGCAGGCATCATGACGTTTGAGCCGGGCTGTGAAGGTGCATGTGGGTGCTGCAGCAGCTGCTGCTGTTGTTGTTGTTGTCCTCCGACTCCTCCTGGAAGGGCAGTCGAAGGTTGCCCTTGTTGAGCGAGGAATTGGGGATTCATGAACTGAGGTGTCTGCTGCTGCTGCATGGTGGCGAGCAACTTGATAGATCCCAAGCTCTCCGGACCGTGTTGCCAGCCGTCCAAGGAAGGAACGTAGTTGATATGGGGTGAATATTCAAAGCAGAGCCAGAGAAGAAATGAATGGACGCGAGTGATGAATTTGGTTCCGTCTCCGCCGAAAAGGTCATTACAGCAAGAAGGTCGTGATATCAGAGAAGTGGTTGAGAGAATGGCAGTCCAGGCAGCTCTTGTGCTGCCACTACAGTGTGGAAGGGACGCTGTCCCCATGCGTGTGATGGTGATGAGCAGCCAAGTGCCCTCGCTCTCTCGCCCCTCAGGTCCCCCAGCCGCCCCTCCCCCCGCTGCCCGACACCAAAATCGCCACGGTGCCACGAAAAAACGTGGACTCCTTGATGAAGGTGGGAAACCCAAAAAACGGAGAGTGCAACCCTCATCCATCTCTCTCTCACATTGTGTTCTCAACTGTATTTTGCGAACAGAGTGGATCAACATCTCCACTTGAGCTTCTCGGACTGCAGCTAAAAGACTTACCTCATCGAAAGCCGAACACCACGATGCCTCCTCCCACTACTGCCAATAAACCCAACTCCAAACTCACGGCTGCTCCGAAGAAATCCACCAATGGGACAGCCAATGGAAATGCGTCGGCCTCGACGGCACCTGCGGATGCCGGGACCAGCGATAAGACGACAAGTGCTGGAAAGCCTGATCAGGCGAAATACAACAGCGAGCAGGATGCGTTGAACAAGGAAATTGCAGATGTCAAGGCGAAGCTGGTGAGTGGGGGGACGCAAAGGGATTTCAGGGAGAGTCACGCGGCTTGATGTGCAGTCTCGTCAAGGACGCAAAGCGGACCCTTTCAATCCACAAGCGTTCCCTGTCCTACCTCTTGCTGTTCTATTCCTGACGCTTCGACTTCTGCCAGGACGCCGTACGATCCCGTATCTCTCTATCCCAAGCACCGGGATCATCTGATCGTCGAAGTGTCCTGAAGACCGAGATGGACGCTCTCCGAGGCGAGCAGGGCAAATACAAGGCTGATCGATCAAAAATCTTGGACGAAGTCAAGAGGCTTCAAGAAAGTGTCGGAAAGAAGATCAAAGACGCTCAGGCTCAGAGAGGAAAACAGCAGTTTAAGAATGTAGGAGAGATTGACCAGAGAATCAAGTGAGTGGAAGGCACAGAGGGTCTGGGCTGTGGGATGGCTGCCAATGCTGGCAGTGGTGTCAGAGCCCGTCAGTTCGAGTCACCGAGTCTTCATACTGCTGCAAGCCCGTGCTCAGGCGGCCTCGAAGCTTCCTTCGCTGACGCTGACGCTGCACTCTCTCTCCCACTCTCAGCGCACTCAACTCTCAGATCGAGTCCGGTAGTATGAAGCTAGTTGACGAGAAGAAAGCCCTGGCCGAGATCAGCTCGCTCCGACGTTCACGCAAAACCCTCGAGTCCTCCGGATCGATAGATGACTCCATTGCGGCGGATCGAGCAAAGATTGACGAGTTGAAAAAGCTTTTGGACGATCCGGAATCCAAGAAGGTCTCAGACAAATTTGATCAGCTCAAGAAGGAGATGGACGGACTGAGGGAAGAGGGAAACAAGGCATATGAGGAAAGGAACAAGTTGTTCGATGAGAGGAATGCGCTGTCCGCCAAAATGGTGAATCGAGAACAAAATTCTTTTGCACCCCATACTGACGATCTTCAGGACGAGTTGTACGGCAAGAAACGAGACTCTGCTCAACAGTACCGTGAAGAGAAGGACAGGTGCGTTGATTCCCGTTCTGTAGGTCGCTGACGTCCCTAGATACTGGACCAAGGTTCAGGCCGACCGTCAAGCCCGTCAGGACCGATTCAAAGCTGAGAAAGCCAAAGAGGACGCAGCGAGGCAGGTGGAAGAGATTTCTCGCCTACGAGAAGAGGCCAAGATGCCAGCTTATGCCGGAGAGATCGAAGATTGCAACGTCCTCGTCGGATGGTTCAAAGGCAAATACGGAGGCGGTGAAGTTCCTTCGACCAATGCCGGTGGAAAAGGCACTACAGCTCAGGTCCAAGGCGTTAAAGAGCTCGAGATCCGTAAAGTGGAGAACGATTTCGCAGGCATGACGTTGAAGAAGAAGGGCGGTGATGAAGAGCTCGATGGTATGTTTGGAGGAAGTCAAAAGGGAAAGAAGAAGGGGAAGAAGGCAGCATCATCAGCTGTCAATGGATCTTCTGGAGTCGCTACGCCAGCTTCGGAATCCGCTACAAGCGCTGCGGCTGGTGGTGTCAACCTTCCCATGAGCCTCCTGAGCGCCTTGTTGGCTCTGGGAATCCCACCGCCAAGTAGCAAGGACGATGTGCAGAGGACCGTGGATGACCTGGAGACGAAGAAGGCGTGGTTCGAGGCAAACTCTCAGGCAAAGACCAAGGCAAGTCCTTCCTTGATCAAGGAGATCCCAAGCTGATCCGTTTCAACAGGCTGAGATTGAGCGGGTCGAGAAGCTAGTCACAAAGATGCAGAAGAAGAACGCACTGTTGGCCGAGGGAGGAGAGGCGAATGACGATGAAATCGATGAGGAGGCAGTCGCCGATGCTGAAGAGCACGGTGGAAGGAAGGAGCCTTTGCACAGTGAGCTCGCTGCAGATGTGTGTCAGGTTTGGAGCTCATGTTTTCGCGCGCAGCTGTTGCCGTTGGCGGGGAAGCTAGAGGTGAAGATATCGTTGAGGAGAACGGAGAACAGGTGAGCAGAGGCCAAGATGAATCTCTTGTGTGATTATATAGCTCACGCAACCTGACCCAGCTGCCATCTGATGCCAAGGAGTCTGGCGAGTTGAAAAAGGTCGATTCAGAATTGGAAGAAGTCAAGGAGGCTCAGAGCTAGAAGGAACGCCCGGGGGTCTTTGCTATCCTTTGTCTCTGTCAATACAGGTCGTCCGCCCTCTTCTTGCTATGCTTGCGCATCTATCCACTCCATCCGATATAGTCTCTATGATGCATATTGTTTGTGCACACACCCGGGATCCCCGAAGCCCCCAACACACTTCGGGAACGAACGATCGAAGAAATAACCGGACTACCGGCTCGAACACTGTCCTTCGTCGCATACATTCCACCATCTTTTTCTCTTTGTGGGGTTCTTTGAGTGTCTGCTCGGCGCCCATCAACATGATTCCTCGTCCATTGACCAACCGAAATACCGTGCTGCTGATCTGTGACATTCAGGAAAAGTTTCGTAGGTCGTCGTCGTCAAACTAAAGTTGCCCCAGACGTTGGCTCAATCGCAAGGAATAGGTCATGCGATATATGGTTTCGACAGCGTCGTCCATACGACTTTAAAAGTTCTGAAATGTGCCAAAGTGAGTCCTTGACCCCCCGCTTTCATATATCGAGCTCTTCCTCAGCTGACCGATTACGGATCCTTTTGGGTGACAGCTTCTCGAAGTGAGTTATCGCTTAACTTTTGCTTCCCTGCTTGTCCCCGCGGCGCGGGCGCAAGTGGCTCAGCGCACAATCTTGGCTGAAATGGGGAGTATCAGATCCCTGCGATTGTATCGGAACAGAATCCAAAAGGTGAGTGCGCGTTTCGTTTCGCCTCCCCCTTGACACACCCCAACTACGAATGAAGTAAAAGCACTGTAGTGAATACGCTGACGCGACAGATCCCTCTAGCACTCGGCTCAACGGTCGATACACTCGTTTCTGAGATTCAAGCCTTACCATCTCACTCTACATTCTCAAAGACCAAAGTGAGCCGGTCCCGCCTTCCCTTGAGATCGTCAAGTGCCAATTCAAACCTATTATTTGGTCGAACACCTGACAGATTTTCCTAGTTCTCCATGATCATCCCTGAAGTGGAGGAAGAGCTCAAGAAAGCGAAATACGAGAACGCCATCATCCTGGGTATAGAAGTGAGTCAGCTGAGACGTATAGGGGACGTCGCTCGCAGTTGCTGATCAGTGCGCGTGTTTCCAAGTCTCACGTCTGTGTCCTCCAGACGACATTGGACCTCCTTCGATCCAATATCTCCGTTTACGTCTTAGCGGACGGTATCTCATCATGTAATCGACAAGAAGTCCCCATTGCAATGGATCGAATGAGACAGGCCGGAGCATACATAACAACTTCAGAATCCATCCTGTTTGAACTCATGAGTGGGTTCCTGCTGCGGACTCCCTGGCTCCGAGGGCATTCGTGGAGATATCGCGCTGATTTCCCCAAACTACCTAGATGACGCCAAGACATCAGTATTCAAACCGCTCTCCGCAATCGCGTTTAACAAGGACGAAAAGGCCACTACGAGGGAGACTCTTGAGACCTTGTTAGATGGAGGAGCCGTTCCGAAGTCGAGCCTATAGCAACGATCACAGAACCTGACAGAACCATGCATTTGTTCTGTTCTTCCGTATGTATGGTTTGGTATGCTTTCTTATTACTCTACTCATAGCTCATCGTGCTCAATATCGACTGGCTCATCTCCCTGAGCGCCTCCTTCCTTGCCCTTTTCCAAATCCGCTTTGAATTGATGCCAATCTAGCCACTCCTCCACCTGTTCGCCGCCGCTCCCAGCTCCAGCTCCAAAGGCTCCACCACCTCCAAATATGTCCTCGTCTTCTTCACCATCTACCAGATTGATCTTCACACCTTCTTCCTCTAACGGACCCATGGCGGTAGGAGGAGCAGGCCTGACGACAGTACTCGCCTTAGCGGATGTAGACACACCAAGCGCTCGTCGGAGAAGCGCTTCGACTCGTTCAAAGTAGCTATAGTCAAAGTCAGCCTGCCATTCGGATGAGCGAGCGAATCACTCACGTGCTCGGATCCGCGACGGAGAAGCCACTCCTGACCAGAGTAGTATCCACCAAAACCTTGACCGCCTCTCTGAGCTCGATTTCTTCAGCGGAATTGCTATCCTCATCCTCCCCAGGCAGTTCCAAAACGTGTTCCAGTAATCCTTCTATCAATGGTGACTTTGGGTTGATTTCCAAGACTTTAGGCAGATTCTTCATCATCTCGAACATTGGATCATTCTCCGCTTCGGCTTGTGCAGCCATTATTCGAGCCATATTGGCAGACCATCCGAAGGAGTCAACCACAATGGTACATGGCGACGTGACGAGTCGGTTGGTCACGACGACATCGCTGATTTGGCCGGCCAGCTCCTTTTTCAACCAATTGATCAAGGGTGAAAAGGCTATTTTCTGCCCCTCCAGTTCCTTCTTTTCTGCCTCGTTCTCCTCTTCATCCCCGTACTTGAGACCCTTTTTGGACACATCTTGCACAGTCATGCCCCTATTCAATGTGGTCAGCTGTCGCTCATTATGCTTTCTTCAGCTTACATGAAATTGCCCAAGGTCGCCATCATCGGCTCATCGGAGGGCAGATTCAATAGCAGGACTTCGTAGCCTCTCGCGTCGAGCTTTTCGACAAACGGCGATTTCTTGAGGTCTTCAGCCTTTTCTCCCGCACCAGCCATGAAATAGATCTGTTTCTGGCCCTCTTTCCGGTTGTCGACATACTGAACGTGCGTCAGATCAGAGATTCCTTCATGCCCACCTCTTCCAGCGATGTGTAGTCAGATCTGGTAGACTCAAATCGGAGCAATTTGGCGAGCTTGACCTTGTCTTTATGGGACTCCATCATACCGATTCGCAGAGCGTTGCCGTACAACTTTGAAATTTCTTTGTACTTTTCTGGCTGTTCCGAAGCAATGTGAGAAAAGAGGTCCAGAGCCTTTCGAATGAGGATGCGTTGGAGCTGCTGTAGAAATCGGTGGTTCTGCAGAGTCTCACGTGAGACATTCAATCTGTGACGGTTAGCGACGAAGCCCCCGTCGTGTGATAAGGCTCTCTCACGGTAGATCATCGGCTAGACAGGTAGATGGTGAGCCATCGGACGTCGACACATCCGGACCCTACAACTCACCATCCACCGTGACTTTCAAAAAGCTCAACCACCTCGGCATGTATTCTTTTCCTAGATCATCGGTGATGAATACCCTCTTGACCATCAGTCGGACACTGTTGAGACCGCTTGAGATGTTTTGCCAGAAGTCTTTAGGGAGCTTCGCAGGAATATACATGATGGCCCGATAAGCGACTCCAGAGGCAGTGTCGCCCTGGTGAAGAAAGGCGTCAGGCGCTGGTCTGACCAAACGACACAAAACGCGTACCTTGAAATGTGACCATCCAAGCGTTTCAGCGGATGGGTCCTTGGCGACTGCCTTGTAGAATTCCTCGTATTCGATATCCGTAACGTCCTTGGGTTCTCTGTACAGCATTAGACCGGCTATTCCATCGACTCGCCAGACGACTCACCGCATCCAAAGTGGAGCCTTGTCGTTGACCCGGACCCATTTCTCCTCCTTGACAAGATCAAATTCAGGCTCTTTCGCACTTTCCTCATCTAAATCCGCGTCATATGTAAAGTCGTCGTCGTCTTTCGGCACTCGGGTGGTGGTTCTTTCCTTTATGTAGATAGGGAAAGTGGTTGAGAACGTTGAATGTTTGTCGCTAACAGGACGGTGAGCTCCAATCTTCCGTCTGAAAATTCTCTCATCTCACATCAATGCCTTGAGGTTTGACGTGCTGAGGAACTCTCCCGAATCTTCACCGATACTCAAGACAATTTCGGTCCCTCGACCTAGTGTGTTGCCCCGAGGATCGGGTTGGATCTCGAACGAGTCACCAGACGATGAAGAGATAAAAACGTGTTGAACAGGATCAGGATTGGCAGACGTCGGCGGGGGTAGAGATGCTACCCGAACTGTGGGCGAGACGAGGAAACTAAGGGAATGGAGGGTCAGAGACGAGTGTATAGGTTTTAGCAGATCCCAGACTGACCAACTATAGAATCCAAGCCCTATCCAGAGTGAGTGAGAATTTCCAGGACCGCAGAAGTGTTGGATAGCTCACCAAACTGTCCTATGAGATTACTGTCGGCTCCGGTCCCCTCCTCTGCTTTCTTTAAGAATTCCGTGGTTCCACTTCTAGCGATGGTTCCGAGATTTCTGGCAAGTTCGTCCTTGGTCATGCCAATCCCGGTATCTATGATTAGAGCCTCAGCCACTGAGACTTTCCATCCACTGCCTCTCCTTGATTGGGTCGACGACGGGACAACTCTCAAGCTGAAGCGCACCAACGCCAGAGCGCGGGGCTGGTGCAGCTCCGCGTTTCACTCACCTCGGATAATCAATTCCCCAGTCGCACCTCCTTCATCAAGATTCACCTCAATAGTCACGTTGGCTTCGCCTCCGCTCATGACATGTCGGTCTGTCAAGGCTGTCAAACGTAATTTCTCCAACGCATCATTGGCGTTGGATAGTAATTCTCGTAAAAAGACATCCTTGTGGGAGTATAAAGAATGAATGACAAGAGATCGGAGACGGGTGATGTCGGACTGACCAGTAGATTTTAAGACGTCAGCAAGTAGCTCAGGCTGTGTGGCCCCAAGGACAGGTTGCGTGCAGCGACCGTTGCATCTGGACCCGAGCACATTCCAGAGTGCAATGGACGAGCCGGGCTCACCTCGTATTTAAAGGTTTCGGCGGCTTGGTCTCCTAGGACAAACGGCAAGAAGAAGCACAAGGCTCCTAGAAATGAGCCCAGTAGCCTCATTTTGTAGCTGCTCTTCAGTGAGCTTTGATCCAGCACAAACCGCTCGCTGTGTATGTATAATAATGAATGGAGCGAGCGGATCGAGAGCATTTGGCGCGACTTTCTTTTTGAAACGGATCCCGAAGCGTGTGACGTGGAACTTTTCCTCCGGTGAGTGTTGCCGCTCTCCCAATGCATGACTGTGTAAGGGCTATATGAACTTGCAGCAAGCATGCTTCATTCCTCTCCCTCCTAAGACAGTGCTTCAGAATTCGTCATCATCCATGGCGATGGCATCTGGATTGGCACCACCCTCTCCCATATCCACTTCGACATTACTCGCTTCAATGTTCCCATTGGTCAAGGTACTAGCCACAAAGCTAGGTCCCTTCTTGCCTGGTGCCGGTGCAGCTTTGCTAGAGGCAGGCATGTTGCGTTCCATAGCTGCCATGGGATCCGCTGCGTCTCTTGCAGCTTGATCAGCCTGATCAGTAGGCTTTTCCGTGCCCTTGGCCGCTGCTGCCGCTTGTGCCGCCACGAAAGAAGCTTCAGTGTTGAAGGAAGCTTGAACGGCTCGTTTGATCCGTAACATCTCTCGGAACGTTTCTTCGGATCCAGTGTCAACTATGCGCATACCAGTCAGTGATTTGATTCCCATCCCATGCGCATTTTCGTCAGACTCACTCTCAAAGTTGTTCCATTCCTCCCAGAAGTCTGGGTGGACTCTCGGATCACAGAATTGACTGGCGTGGGCGTAAACCGCTCTTGCTCGGTCAATCTCACCAAGCTTCCTCTCCATGGCCGCGAATCGACGACACATCAGAGCCGTCTCCCTATCTGGGAGACTCTCGATCGCTCGTTCGTAGATCGGTCTGGTGGCAGGTAGACCAAAGTTGGCAGTCGCTTTAGCAATGTAGATGGTGTACATTTCGAATTTGTCCGAGTCCTGAACGGTCGACGCCGCGCGATCGTAGATTCCCATGGCACGTTTGGCGAGTCCGTGGTCTTCCTCCAACTTGGCGTACATAAGGTATAGCGGTTTGCAGAACTTCGGAGGACAATTCTCCAAAGCCTGCTCGCACAAGTCACGCGCACGTTCCAGCTTTTTGCCTCCGTATCGCTTGACGAATTTGGACAGGTAAATATTCCATATCTCAAAGGCAATCGGGAAATGAAAGACTTCAATCCCACGCTCATACACCTTGAAAGCACGATTAGCCAGATACACGTTGGGGATCTGGCTGACCCACCTTGAAGCTCTCCTCAAAGTACTTGTTCTCTTCCAGGAATGCGGCATAATTCACAATAGTCTGAGCATTGGCGATCTTCAACTCCATGATCTTGTCATAAACAGCTTTTGTAGATTCGACAGTACCGATGGATTCCTCCAGGTCGCTGTAGAATGACCAGATCTTGAGTGATTTGAAGAGACGTTGCTGCGGAGATAGACTCTGTAGTGGTGTGAGCGATTGGAGCGTTTAGGAAAAGCAGCATGATCACTCACATCATCATAGTAATCGATCTTTGTGTTCTTTGGTATGGTCGTCGCTCGCTGCATCAAGCGGACAGCTTCGTCATAGTTTCTGAGACCCCCGTCAGCAATGCCTCCCCGCAACCAAAGTCCACTGACTCATTCCTCAGCTCCATCTCTGCCCATTCGCACCACACTTCCGCCAGCTCATCAACTGATTTGAAGGGCACCTTCGTACCCTTTTCATATATCTGTCTGGCTTGCTCGAGATCTGGTTCGTTCCTCGGTTCTCCATTTTCGTCTTTTGATCCTCCTTCTTCGTAGAATTTGGCGAAATTGACGTAGAGAGGATACAATGGGCCGGTAGCCTTCCTCGGGGCGATAGTCTCAAGAGCTTTGAGATACGTCTCGACCACCTTTTCATCATTGTCTGCCCATAATGCCACTCGTTTCTCCCATTCGACGACCTCGTTCGGATTCCGCCGTAATAAAACCTCGTTCACCAAAAACGGTCTCCTGTCCATGAGCTCCTCAAAGTCTTTCATACGCGTGTCAAGCTCCGCTTCTGTCTCCTCCAGGTCGAACTCTTCATCCGCTAGATTATCCTCGTCGGCGACGGCGTCCATCAAGGTCGAAATCATGGTCTCCGAAAATTCGGCGTAGGCATCAAAGATTTGGGTGAAATCTCTGATAGTGACGACGGCGGCGAGACCCTTCTCAAATGTCGCACTGGCACGTTCGAACTCTCCACGCTTGATCCAATACGTAGCCAGACCGGTCCATAACCTTCCAGCTTGATCCTTGTACACATGTAGTCCGTCCTTATGGACGATACCCTCCACATCAAGCAATCGAGAGCTGGATGGATCGGTGTCTTCATCGTAAACCTCGGTCTCGGGTTCCGCTGCAGACTTTCCAGCCTTCTTCTGGTCCAATGGTCGCATGTCTGGAGCTGGCTGGTCCGCAAGGGGCACTGGCGGTCCCGCTATACGCATAAGCCGGCCGTCTACACTAGCCGGTTCGATAGCTGTGCTCTTGGGTGCTCCATCCTCTGCATCACCGTCTTGCCCGGCGTCCTTTGCCGCATGACCGTTCGCAGATGCTTGCGATTCACGTAAAGCCAGCGTCTGCTCCTCGTCCATTCCAACGTCCTCAGCGTTGTTTTCCACTAGTTCCAGAAAATCGACAAATAGCTGATACGGTGATTTACCATCGGCAGCGTAATAGAGGTTCCTAGCTGCTCTGCGAGCGATAGACAATAAGTATTTGGCCGCAACAAGAGGTTGAGGTGGCTCAGATTCGAGGAGATAGGTGATGTGTCGCTCAGTCAGGGACGAATCGACCTAGAAGCAAGGTAGTCAGTGTTTGGGAGCTTGAAGCCTCTGTTTCATGCTCAGCTCACCTTGAGGAACCTTCTCCACACTCTTTCACCAATCTCTCCGCCGACAAGCTCTGCCCACTTGAGATACATGCCCCATATCCTTCCGTGTAAACTCGGCGGCAACGTCCTAAGAGCTCTGTCGAATGCCTTCCTCGCATAAGTCCTCTTGAAAGCTGAAGGACATTCCGGATGAAACACCATGGATAAATGGATCAACCACGGTACTGGCAGATGAGACAACCATCCTAGCATCCTTTCTCCAGTCGCAAACAAGCTCTTCCATTCTTCGAATCCCATCACTCCGTCCAGACCATTCTTCCACTCGTTCGCCGACTCCGCGCCATCAATTTGATCCGTCACGTTGGTCTTCCAAGCTGCACCACGTTTGATCTGCTCCGCTCTAGCCTTTTTGGCACCTTCGGTCAACTCCCCAAGGACATAACTCTGCCTCATGAGGATGTACGATTTCCATAACTTGAAGCTTGTCGGGAAGATGGCTAAAGCTCGCTCGTAGATGCAGACGAGATGCTGTAAACCCTCTCGAGCGGCATGCGACGCCAACGGTCCGAGGAGTCGCTCTTCAGGCGAGGGGGAATCCGACCTCTCCGGGACAGTCTTTTCTAATCTCGTCTTGATTTGATCAATGTACGAGAGCCATGACCTGAGATTGTCCGGATTGTTTAAAAGATCTTCTTCAGTTGCTAGGTCGGCGGACGAAATGAGGTGAGGATGTGTGAGAGGGGTGGGTAGAGGAGTGGTGAGAGGAAAGCGGGAGGAGAGTTCGGTGATTAGAGAAGACGAAGAAGCCACCATGTTGTAGCAGCAGCCGCTCAGCAGCGACCCCTCTCAATACGACAATCCTTCGTACAATGTATTCCAGTAGCTGTCCCATCCCAAAGTTCTGAAATCAAGCTCGAGATTTTAATTCGGTTACCCGTTAATGACGACGCCCTCCACCCAACAGGTCCACCGATAACCTGGTCAAGGGAGTCTGTCTGAACGACTTGCAGACGCTCAGAACCCTAGACACAAGACTCATAGAACTTCAAGCTGATATCATTCAACATCTTGCGCAGCTCGATCCAGAGCACAGTCGGCAAGGCTGCGTATTCGACCACTCTCAGGATGGCCTCGCGGTACATCGGTGAGGGCCGTCTAGGATTGGTGAGAGACCACATACTAATGTGCTACAGACATCGCTGTCAATTTGACTGATCCACAATGGTCCGGAAGCTATCATGGCAAGCAGAGGCACCCTTCAGACATCGAACAAGTGTTGTCAAGGGCCAAAAGAGCAGGAGTACAGAGGATCCTGATCACTGGCACGTCGTTAGAAGAGTCGAAGATCGCTCTGGAGCTCGCAAAGAAATTCAGTGAGCGATCGAACAGTCTTGCACTGCTAATTTCCCGAGGCTTGCATTGCACTGCGGGGTGTCATCCGACCCAGACGAATGAGCTGGACCAGTTTGAAGCTGGACCGTCAGGATATATCGACGGTCTGAGAGCATTGATTGAAACAGATCAAGCGGAAGGAGGTTCAAAGAGGATAGTCTCAGTCGGGGAAATCGGTCTAGGTAGGCTTGTTCACAACAAAGTAGGACCTGGGTTCCGGCTGACAGCGAGTCAGACTATGACAGACTGCATTTCTGCTCTAAAGAAACTCAACAGAAACATCTTCCAGCGTTGTTAGGACTTGGCAAGCAATTTCGACTCCCAATGTTTCTGCATTCTAGGACTTCAGAAGCGCATCATGATTTCGTCAAGATACTTCGGGAGGCTGGATGGGGGACGAAGGGAGAATCATGGGCCGGAGGCGTGGTACACTCGTTCACGGGTACGAAAGAAGAGGTGGAAGAGCTGGTGAGATTTTACCCGTCGCCAGGATTTAGGCGCTCACAGTCTGGCTTGACAACGCTAGGTCGACATGGGCTTGTACATCGGTATCAACGGATGTTCCCTTAAGACGGAGCAGAATCTAGAAGTCGTCAAGCACATTCCGATAGATCGACTGTTGCTCGAGACTGGTCAGTCGGCGCTCTTCCTGCGGTACACAGGCTGATTTCTTCGGTTCTCCAGATTCACCATGGTGCTCCATCACTTCTACTCACGCCTCGTATGCCCTCTTTCCTGAAGGGCTACCTCAAATTGTAGAGAAAGTCAAGCAACAGAAGTTCGACATAAAGAGTGACCACGGTATCAAAGGTCGGATGGAGCCAGCGGAAGTAGTCGTTATAGCCCATCTCGTTGCGAAATTGAAAGGCATGGACGTCGAGGAGCTGTCCAGAATAGTTTGGGATAACACAATGCGCCTCTTTCCAGGCATGCAATAGCGTATAGTAGTATCTTACAACAGTGATAAGACTATCTAAGTCTCAAACGTGAGGGCCGTCTCTCGTATCATGACTCTGGCCTGTCGTTCGCCCAACCATTCCACTTTGATATCGCTCAAAGCGCTGATTTCCTCCAATGGTCCATCATCAGCCCGGATAAAGGAAATCCTTTTGAAAGGTCCTTTCCCCATAGAACCCACACCGCCTTGTCTAGGAGGTCCACCGACATTGAAAAAGCCACTGAGGCTGCTTCCGACTTTCCAAATCGTGACATTGCCTTCATCCAAAGACACAGTCAAAAGTCTCCGGCCATCCGAAGAGAAATTGACCGACGAAGTAGGCGCTTGATGAGCTTCGAGGACATACAGACGGGATGCGGATTTTAGATCGTACATAATCACTGCGCCTTCGTGCGTACCGACGGCAAGACGTTGAGTGGCGCTGTGAAAGTCGATCGTGGTGTATCTGCAGCTTGTCAGCGGACCTCCAACAGGAGCCACAGTTTGACCTACGCCAAGACAAGTTCGTTCAAGATCACCGTTGCTGCTTCTCTGACCTCTTCCCTCATCTTGCTTATATTCGGATCGAGACTCTTGACGATGGCTTCGGCGATTCTAGGAAGACCATTCTCCAGCACGCTGGGGTTCTTTCGAGCCATGTACACGCAGAGCTTCATGATGCTCGTTCGGCCCTCCGTAGTCTTGGCGTCGAGAATGTCCATAGACAAAGTGGACATGAACAGGCCGGGATTTACAGAGGCAATGTGAAGGACTGCAAGTCTAGCCTGGGCAGAGACGGCTGCAGGTGGAGGGGTATGAGTGGAGAGATAAAATAGTACGCGGAGTAGCTCCATTGGGTCAATGTAAGTTTGCCAAGTTGTAAAGGCCCTCGAAGCCAGTTCAATTGCCAGACCGATGTGAGGACATGAGAAGTCTTCCAGATATAAGAAGATGGATTCGGCCGTGGCTTTGAGGACGCTGGTGCGGACAATCAGCGGACGCAGCTGGGTCAACCGCATACCTAGCACTGAGAGCCTGATAACGGTGTATCGCGATTCCTCCAATCAGTGTGAGCGCCCTCACAGTGTCTGCAGACAGTCGTGTCCGCGGCGCAACGTTCTGAGGTACTATTAAATACATATTAGCTCGTACTGCCCCCCAATGATGACTCACGTAGAGGTACGTGAGCCTGTACCAATTTTTCTATCTGAGACTCTGACATGTTTTCCAAGGTTGAAGCAAAGAGGAGCCTTGCTGACTGCTGCACGATAGCTTTTGGACGTGAGTATATGATAGCCAGTCAGGCAACGGACATACCCGCCGGATCCATATAATGCGCCGCGAAGAAGTCGAGATCAGGTCTTTTGGTAGATTCCGGCAGACCAGCAGAGTAGTAGCCGATGGCCTCCGCAGCTGCCTGCTCATTCTCTGGGATAACTTCAGCTCGAGGATGAGATCTGATTGACTCACCCTGAGAAATGAGGAAGACACGAAGGAGGGTGACAATTGCTAATTGACGCAGGCCGGTGGCCTCAGATGAGATTTGCCATGCAGTGGACCCCTTAGAAGCCATGAACAAGGGAGCACCTCTGTCCTCTTTCAGCAACGCCCAGAATTGCGTAAAGCACTCTTCACGACATACCTTGTTGAACTCAACCCAACGTTACGTTCAGGCTTTGAAACACCCAGCTCACGACGACACATGTCGTCCGTAGCCGCATCTACACTCCATGCGAGGACCAGAGACAACAACGAGCGAGCCAAGGCGAGAGCAGAATCTGAACCTTTTCGCTGCAAGTATTGGTCGAAAGCATGTAAATCGAGCTGCAGCATTCGACCTAGATCGGATTTAAGAGGCGCTTGACTGGAAGTCGAGACCAATGGCAAGGCAGACGTAGTTGCCGTGTCAGAAATCAAACTGGAATTGCCATCAGCAGCACTCTGCATCGCAGTCTGTCATAGTCTCACATCTCTGTCCAATCGCCCGACTGTAACATGTCTCCGGCAGCGTCCAGGCCGGTAGATCGGCGGAATTCGCATGTCTTCAGGTTCCATACCCTTGCTTTGCCACTGGCATAAGTCAATAGAAGATCATGATCGCTCATAAAGATCCTGCGAAGAGGTGCTCTGGCGGCTGGAACGAGGAAGAGGCTGGGGAATTTTCAGCGTTTGTGCTTCGGCCGGTACGTACGACTCCATGATATCTAGCGCTATAAAGCATATCGCGCCATTCTGCGAAGTGCATAAGATGCCCGGGGGTATCGACGCGACCGGTGGATCGTCGAGCAATATGACGCTTTCCACAGGGTCGGCAAAACAAGTCCATGATCCCAGGAGCTCGAATGGTCTCGAGCGTCAAGTTTTTGCCACGAAGAGGAGAACTTACTCGACTGACCAGATCCGCACAACGCCGTCTTCATCGCCCGCGACGAAGAGATCCTTTGGGGATGACAATGTCTTGGCTACAGTCACCCTGGAGGCCGCACGATCTGCCGCGATACCGACATCTTGTGCAATACGGCTTGCAAGGACGTCCTGCAGCGATTGTTTGATTGCGTTGCCATTGGCTGAACTATGAGCAATAGCGACAGTAAGTCACTCACAATCGAGGACCAGGACTTGATCGCTACCGAGAGGCACGATCTGATCTGGCATAGTCTCTGCAACGCAACGGCATAAGGGAGCGATTTTTTCCACGGATGAGACATCTGCGTTAGCCGCTGGCATGATAGCCAACGACTTTTCGAATGCCAACAACAAGAATGCGCTGCGCTGATCTAGCACTACAGCAGTGGAGCGAGGTAGAGATTGGGACATGGAAAAGCTGTTTGACGTTTTAAGGGGCATGCTCTCTCTCTCTCTGTGGATGGCCGACTCACTTGATATTTCTCATTGCAGACGAAGCAGATTGGTCCCGCCGATAAAGAAGTGTGTCTTGCTGCGATGAGGAAACATCAGCCAGTTGTGCTGACCTTGAGAAGGACTTACCTCGCGGCTGATCACAACAGATCTCCAGGCAGGCGTAAAAAGCACATCACGTACCCGCTCTCGAGCAGAGATGGTGATACTCCCCTGAACTTTGAGCTTCAAGCCGTCGCAAGTGAACACCTAGTAGTGACCTGCATCAGCAAAAACTCCTGCGAGACGAGACTTCGTCCTCGCCGTTCAAAATGCACAGCTCACATCGACGGCGTCATCTGTCCACCCTAAACCTTCTCCATCACTCGACATCTTGATTCCTACCCACTCGCCAAACCCATCCCTCTCTACTTCTTTTCCTTCTCCGATACTGAGCGGTGCGTCGTCCTGAGCCTTGGCAGATGATACCTTTGGAGCCTTGCGACGCCCCAACAAACCCGATAGACCTCGATCTGTTTCTGATTTGTCTGCACGGACAGGCGTGGCATCCTCGGTCTCAGGTCGCAACGCGACGTAAGACTTGTTCTTCCGTAATGGCGGATCGTCTCTGCGAGATGAAGTGCTTGGATTCGGCGTTGCTGATCTGAGGATAGAGAGACTTGGAGTGGTGAGCACGGCGGGGACTGCTCGGGGGAATGGAGAGCTCTGACGGTCAGGCTCCTGAGAAGATTGCACAGCCATACTGGGTGATTGAATAGGGTACGACATTAGAGATAGCGATAGGAAATGTAGAAGCTGAGGATCTGAGATTTGATGATCAGCTTTATCTCGCCTGGTGTTACCTACGACCCGAGCTATCGCTGGTAACAGCGATATGGCCGACTCCAGGCAAATCGAGGTGCGACACCTTTTCATTCTTGTGTGGACCAATAGGTACAATCACGACGTGTGTGACATCTCCATTTGGACTCGGGATCCCGCAAGGCCAAGGGATGCCATCGACGAATAGATAGGGCGATTGCGCCTCTTTCACGAAATGGCAAGACCTCCAGTACCAGGAAGGTGAGAGTGACAGTCTTGTCTTTGAGGACGACGCAGTGGATCCAGGGCTATTTTCGAGGTCTAAAGAGGTGACGATGCTCAGATCCGACAGCGAGTAGATATCCAGCAGTCTAAGCACAGTCAGGCATGTCCGAAAGATATCAACTCACCCGACGTCTCGCAGGACTACCAAGCCAACGTCCTCGACCACAGTCATGCAGACGATCGCACCTCTTTCGAAGAGGGGCAGAACCAGCCGATGTATACTCTTCTGTACCGTCTTTGACTCCTCCTCGATAGTGGTAGCCGATCGTCTGGGCTTTGGCCCCCTCTCAGGACGCCGCTGAGCAGCTTCGATGGCTCTAGCTTCTTGCTTTTCCCTCTCGCCCTCTCTGGTCTCCTTCTCCATCTCTCGTTGAACATCAACTTCTTCAATCTTTTCCTTGATCTCCCTAGTCTTTCTTTCCTCCTCTTCTTCCGCCCTCTTCCAACTGAACATGTCCGTGAATGTTCTCTGTGAATCGATGGAGACGGTCGAGCGGGGCGACATTGATCCGTCGACAAAATCATAATCTTCTTTCCCATGTACACCTGGTAGACCTCTCCTAGCCAGAGCCGATAGACGGGTGAAAGTACTATCCTCCTCTTCTTGATCTTTGGCCTGTTCTCGTAAGTGTTCAAGAAGCTCTGCACGTTCGGACAAACTCGTCCGACGATGGCCATGTTCATCATGAGCGTTCAAGGTCGCAGTAGCGGCAGTAAGAGAGGTCGTTGGGAGATGTGTAGCCGATAAAGTTGGAGAGAAACCAGAAGCTAGTCGGATCTTGCTTGAACGAGTCAAACCTGATGAAGTCGATGACGCTGCTCTGGAGCGATGAACGGCGTTGCGAGAGGCATCAGAGCCTTGCAAAGTGGCAGAACCGAACGGAGAGCTCGTAATGATGGATGGCAGGGGTTGAGCAGGAGCTGGAGGGGAAGCATCTTCAGCGGGAAGGAGCGAAGACGTGTGAACCCAGATGGTATTGTCCGATGAAGCCAGAGCTACTCTTCGACATGTCCCGGCCGTCCATGTCGCCAGCCGCGTGGGTTGTACTGGTAAAGCATGATCTGTAGATAGAGGATCCACAATCAGTGGTATAGTCAGCGGAGCGTTGACCATGCTATGTGCGTGTCATATGCTCATGACTGATTGGAATGTTGAACAACCGTGAACCCGATGAGCGGGTCATCGGCAAATATATGAGACCGCTCGAACTTCCGCCGTTGTCAAGATTGATTCTCAGACCTTTCCAGGCGCTAACACTCATGCATGGCCAAATACGGCTACAGAGGCACGTCAAGCTACACATCCCTACAAGCTCAGAGCCTCATCGCCAACAGCACCCGCTACTGGCCTGTCGACGTCCACTGTCTCCAAGCTTTGCCTGAATCCAATTGGAATGGAGCATATCCACCTACAATATGCGCCTCAAACGCCCCGCACAATTGCTCTCGGCTCATTCCTTTGGGCAGGGTGAGTCGGTACACCGCATCTACCCAGTGATCTCCGAAGTAGACTTGTTGGGCGACGGTCATACCTGAGCAATACCACTTCGGTCCAGTTCTCTCGAACCTCCTCCTCCAGCGTCGAGAATGTGCCTTCTTCTCTTTCATGTGTTGGACGAATTTGGCGAGATACTCGTCAAAGTCATGTTCCTTGGTGGTCTCATCTCCGTTGAAGAGGAACGAAACAGGATGAACCCTGCCAAATTGTCCACTGGCCGTCATCCTCATACCCTGGATAGGCAGTTGCTTTGGCAAGAAGGGAAGATCATACGTTTCTAGAGGCCATCGGGAGAGGATCTTTTCGATTCGACTTCCCTCAGGTGTCCAATCCCCCATACCGCGATCGTAGCCATGTCGAAAATGGGCTGTTGGGCATTGGCACCGAAAGCCACAAAACTTGCAAGGTTGCGGTTTAAGCGCCATCATTTGGATAAATCTGACATGTCGAGCTGAGCAGAGGGAAAATATACCTTCAATGACAGGCCAGAAAATCGATCCGACGGGAAGATTCTTGCCCCTCGGTCCAAGAATTGTCTCCTCGTAGTGTTTGACGGTGAGATGAAATGTCTCGAGGTGAGCAAAGAGGGGCATCCTGTTGGATTCTTCTTCCCATGCAATGAGGGAGTTTCGAAAATCGTCCAAAGAGGTATCGTTCTGTGACTCCAGGGAGATGACCACGTCAAGATGTCGTATCAGCTGTCCGATTGCCAGAGCACATCATCGGCGTTCATGCAAAGGAGTCCGTGAAAGGCAAAGTAGCTCTTGAGCTTCTCGAGACTCTTAATCGCGAGAGTATCGGAAGCATACTTCATGCGCGTTTTCGCCATCGCGTTGAAACTTTGACTGACGCGTCCGAGTTTAGCCAACACGTCGAGTCCTTCGGATTCAGAGACGGCGTCGAAGATCATCTCGAAGAGTCGATGAGGCAGCCGAGGAGTGACGGGCTGGGAAGGGCGGGTCACGTATTGACCCATATCGACCAAGTCCCTATTGACGTCGTTGAAGGCAAACATGTTGGCAAGCTGGAGGCCAATCAGCGAAGCATCGTGCAGGGAAACGATACTCACGCACAGGCAATGCGTGACGAGGATGTATCTGTGGGTCAAGGATCTCGTGGCGATGAGCCCGATTAGGTTGACGTTAGAGACGTTAGAGGCTCAGCGTAAGCGCCTGTCTGCAAAAATAGCAATGGAAACTGGCGGGGAACGACGCGTGAAGAATAGGATGATGAAGACGAAGGGAGAGAAGACATATGTATGTGCAATCCTATGCCAGGCAACCCTTATCCCATTCACGCTTGGATGGGATGGAAAATCAGCACCAAGACAAAAATGGGGCACGTGAGATGCAGCATGCGGCATCTCGCGCATCTCCGGGAGAGATGATATCGGCGGCATCGTTTGGTCGAGAATGTCAGTTAGCGTAGTGGGTAACGAGATTAGGAGCATCGTCCCAATTCATTGCCCCTTATCTCTGTCCCCCTTGATAATACTTACATGCATGTGTTGAGAAAAGGAGACCTTCTTTACGTTTTTTGCCTAGTGATGCGCATCATGCGAATCTGAACCTGACGAGCCGCTCGGTGGCTGGGACGTGTGTCAGCAGGGACGGATAACACGAGATGACAAGGAAGGTGGTCTGGACGTAGGGACAAGCTCTGAAACTCACTGGCAGATTTCTCTCCCTGATCGAGTGAGACGGGATGGTCAGCATCCAGCAAACAACAGACAGAGCAGCATGGCCGCTTGACAGCTACACTCACCATTTCGAACCATCGGGATCTGTCGGGTCTGATGGACAAGTCAGTGCCGGTAGCTTCTGTCGCTATGTATCTCCACTTACGGATGTATGGTGAAGGATGAGCCAAATCGGCTAATCTCTGCTCAGCCTGCTCAAGGACAATAGCGAGAGCTCGAGGGTCGGTGATGTTCCTAGGCACAGAGAGGTCAGTCAGGCTCTCTCCCCTTCTCTTTGGTCGAGCGGGCGAACCAGACTCGCCCCGGAACAAGAACGAGGTCGATCTTTCCGCTAAGATTCCCTACTCACCGGTTCCTCTCAAATTCCGCCCTTATCTCCACGCATCTTCTCCTCCACAGCGGTCTATCAACTATCCAGTCCCGAGCATTGACAAGGTACGCCTTGTATAAGGATTTGACATAGGATCTGCGGGGTTCCAAAGCAGAGCGCAACCATGTCAGGGAGAAGGAATGAATGAGTGAGGAGCATGGATGGAAAAGGGGGTCACATTACGATCAGCAATGTCCACCTCGTGAAGTCCATGATCTCCTCTCGCAACTCACCTATGAGCCGCTGAGAAAGACTGTACTGCTCCTGACATTGTTGACAGCCAGACCCTCGATGTCCCAAGAAGCTGTAAGGAATTCTACCAACTCTCGATGCCCCCCAGCCGTCGTCCGTCACCTGCGCAGGAGGGTCAGAGTCTAGGAGTGCAGCGAATGTGGCACTTTCAAGCTGACGTAAAGAATAGGCGGGCCCCAATCTCGTCACGTGATTTAAGCTGTTCTACTCGGGATTATCGTCGGCGTTTTGGGAGAATTCTGATGTCATGTGATGAGTTATGTTGTTGTTTTTGCTTCCGCTTTTGTTGTTTATGTGTGGAGGTTGTCCAGGGATATATAAACACTTGAACAGACACGTCTTCTCTTTCTATCTCAACCCATTCTCACATCACCCAGTCTCTTGTGCTACACTCGACCACTCCAGTCACCTAGCCACCTTCAACTCACTTCACAATGGCCCGAACCAAGCAGACTGCCCGAAAGTCCACCGGTGGAAAAGCTCCCCGAAAGCAGCGTGAGTAGCGAGCAAAGAGGCTCTGGAAACCTGTGAACTCGGCTGATCACCCCCCACAGTCGCCACCAAGGCTGCTCGAAAGTCCGCCCCCACTACTGGAGGAGTCAAGAAGCCTCACAGGTACAGGCCCGGAACCGTCGCTCTTCGAGAAATCCGACGATACCAGAAGTGAGTAGGGTTTGCTTCTCTCAACCAGACCTTGCTGACATTGTCTCGCCCTTAGATCCACTGAGCTCTTGATTCGAAAACTCCCCTTCCAGCGACTAGTCCGAGAAATCGCTCAGGACTTCAAGACCGACCTCCGATTCCAATCCTCCGCCGTCATGGCTCTCCAGGAGGCTTCCGAGGCCTACCTTGTCTCCTTGTTTGAGGACAGTGAGTCGAGTTCAGGGTCTCTTCCCTTTCACCTCACTCCCCTCTCGGCGTACACTTTCTTTTCTGTTGATCTCACCGCCGTTGAATCATGCTGATCCCGCTTAGCTAACCTCGCCGCCATCCACGCCAAGCGTGTCACCATCCAACCCAAAGATCTCCAACTCGCTCGACGACTCCGTGGAGAGCGATCTTAGACGGTTTGATCTTCGTCGTATGGTCATTCGGTATCCTTCGCGTCACGATGCTCTGCTCGAGGCGCTCTTTTAGCTTTTTGTTTTTTTGGTTTCTTTATAGTGCAGGTTGAGCCAAACCCCTTTTCGCATGCATTCTAGCTCCCTGTCGATGTGATGCGAGAGAAAGCCATTGTGTTCAGGTCTTGCAGAGCTCAAACGTCACTCATTCAGACAGCAGCGCCTGCCCATAACAAGGAGAACCCTCCTCAAGTTTGCATGCACATGGTCATTCATGCGATCATCTCTTCGGCGCTCGCCGCCAGATCTTCGCTCGAAAACGTGGCGGCATAGCACTTTTCTTCGTCTTCGTCGTTCAAGGTCACCTTGCAGTCTTGCTCTTGTAGGCCGCAGAGAGAACCTGGTCGCTCGTAATGGTGTCGGCTTAGGCCAAGCTCATCAGAATCGGTCCTATTGAGCCGGCCGCGGGGACGATTGCCCGATTCATCGTCTCAAGATGAACATTGTCGTGCTTTTAATAGCCTGCTTTGCGTTGGGTCTCATCACAGTGAGTTGGAGCGTCGCTGTACGTCTTGCGGCTGCTCATCTCTGACCCTCCGACAGATCCACTTTCTCCTCATGCTCTTCACACCACATCCTATTCCTATCACAGAGGAAGAAAAGACCTATACCACCCTGCCCGACTCGGCCCCTCAGCATCTACCAGCCTTGTCCGATCCAGCGAGCATAGCCCTCAGTATCGTCGTGCCAGCCTACAATGAGGAACTCAGACTGGGAACGATGTTAGATGAGGTGGTAGAATATCTGACCCATCACAAGAGGCATCACCCGAGACAGCCTGAGAACAGTGGAACGCCAAAATTCAAAGATGGAGCAGAAATCATTGTGGTGGATGATGGATCGAGCGACTCGACCACCAAAGTCGCTGAGAGGCTCGCGGCCAGCTGGGCGAAGTATATCGACGGAAAGGGTATCGATATCAGAGTTGTCACCCTGCGGACGAACCGAGGTAAGGGCGGAGCCGTTCAGCATGTGAGTGGAATGATTCCTCTCCATGGACTGCGGGGGTAACTGACGAGATGCTCAAGGGCGTCGTGCACGCTCGCGGACGATTGATCCTATTCGCCGATGCGGACGGAGCTACTCGCTTCGCCGACCTCGACAACCTTCTAGAGGCGATGGAAAAGATAAAGGATAAGGACGGTCATGGCATCGTCATCGGTAGCAGAGCTCATCTAGTGAAGAGCGAGGCAGTGGTCAAGGTAAGCTTGGCTGTCGCCTCGCGTTCGGATCAACGGCTCACATTGCAATCTACAGCGGAGCAAAGTACGCAATGCCTTGATGCACGGCTTCCATCTCTTCCTTCGGACCATCGGAGTCGGAGGGATCAGAGATACGCAGTGCGGTTTCAAGGTGAGCTTTAGTCCTCGTTCCATTCGTTGAAGGACATCGCTCACCACCCTGTAGCTTTTCACCCGCCCCACTGCGCAACTCTTATTCCCAACGCTTCACCTGCACCGATGGGCGTTCGACGTCGAGCTTCTACTTCTCGCCTCGCTCGTTGTTCCGCCTATACCAGTTGTAGAGATTCCCGTCGCTTGGGAAGAGGTGGACGGCAGTAAGATTCGACTGGGATGGGATTCGATTGGCATGGCGAGGGATCTGTTGGTCCTACGTGGGAACCTGCTCTTCGGGAAATGGATCGTTCCAGGCCGGGCAAAGGTGGAAAGTGGGAAAGTCAATGGGCACGCAGAGGTTACCAACGGTATATAGATGAAGATACAGCATATAGCATCGTTCATGACATCATGCCCCAACCTGCAGCATACCTGTATCCTGCTCAAAGCTGCAGTATTCGAGACGAATGGCCTTCGGCTGAATAGTTGGCACATCCCGTCTACATGAAGCGGTGTTTGCAAGAGCTTCTCCACGTCCGGAGAATGTGGCGTTTCAGTCCATGGGGCTGGACGCCTCCTGTATCAGAAGATCATGTATCTTATATGCATCGAGCTGTCTAGGGACGTATGACCCTCTTCGATTTGTTGAATCGGCCTCTACATGAGAATTCCAGATACTCCACACATCATCCTCTCTGGAGCTGCACCAAAGCTTTCTATACTCATTTCAACCCTCTGTGGTCCATGCTCTGTCGTCGCCCGGTCACCATCCCTCTGCCTTCAGGCTTGTGTTCGTCTATTCATAGTAAGTCTTCTCCAGACCTTGCTTTTCACAGCCCTTCCACTCTCCACTCCATAGTCATAGTTCCATCCTCCCCAAATTCCCGACTCCCCTCTGCGATCTCCACTCTCACCGGGTCTTCTCTTCCATTGGCCCGCTGTAAAGTACCACTGAAGGCATAGTTACTTGGAGGTGTCTCCGTCTGATTGCGTTGAGAAGATACCATGCTCAGCACAGATTCGGAAGATTTCTTCGACATTCGTGTTGATCCCTCTCTTGAACGCGGCGAACTCCTGAGCTTCATCCATGCGTTTCCCACTATCTATCGCTTCCTGAGTCATCAGTTTCGCTCTCAACCCCAAGATGGGGTTGTTGATGAGAGCATGGAAGATAGCGAGGTGATCTGGTTGTCTTATATGCGCATCACCTTGACCAGCATCGAAGAGTCTGACCGCAACCCCATTGGAAGGGGAGACCAGCAGAGTAAGAGTTTTGGTCTTCATGATCACAACGTCTCCTTCCTGAGTCTCTGTTTCAAGTGCCAATCGTCGGTTCAAGGCCTTCGGGCCAGTCATGGCGCTTCGCTCAGTTCCCTCCTGCGTATGAGCGGGCCATCCATCTGATCCATCTGAGTGGCCAGTCTGCGACTGGCAGGGCTGCATTGGGCTGGTACTGCCTTGGGAAGGTAGCAAGCTCAACCACTTGGTGACGAGCATTTTTTGGTCACTTGTGAGTGGGACGTCACAGAACTGTCGGAATCTCTTGAATTTTGCTTGGGCGAGTCCTGGGAGTCCCAGTTGATGAGCCGCTTCCGTCATGCGAATGTACAGTCTTCGAGACTGTGCGGTGCTGAGTATGCTCTTGCCCTTCATCTGTCGCGAGTCCTCGATCATGAGACACTCTCTCAAAACTTGCCCATATCGGTGTAAATGGGAGAGAACAAGTATGCGATTGAGTCGAAGTGAAACTTCCAGGTCCATCGATAGTTTGTGCCTCGGGAATTGGAGAGCAAGGGCGTATAATTGCTCCGCGTCCTTCGTGCCTGTCAGCTAGGTCTTCTGTCACCACCAGCCCAGAGTTTCGCTCACCTCGTACTTTCCAGCCGAATACAGCTCGTTGGCAGTTTCTTTCAACTGCAGCGGTCCCAGATCATTGTATCTCCAAACAAACTACCGTCAAGTCAGCTTGGTCGCTCCACAACTGGCCATAAGACTTGACCAACGGGACAGCGGAATGCCCAATTCATTACCACTTCCCCCGGAAGGATGACGACATCTGTCAAAACTGCCACTTGAATTTCTGGGAGACCCGTAGTCAGACTGTAATGGACGTATGGCTCCTTGATGGCCAGGGTCGAGCCCCAAGGGAAGAGATTGCAACATTCTTTGAATGGCTTGGTCAAAGCTGGACTGTCAAACGGGGCTTGGAGCGAGACCACGAGAGCATCACCGGAGATATCCTCAATGGCGCTGGTCATAGTGGCATCAGGAAGGGTCCATCAATCTCGATCTCGATTCTCACAATGCTATGCCAATACCGAGCTTGGGTAGCGTCAAGACGCGACAGTATAACACTCTCCCTGAAAGATCGTTAATGAGATTACATAGCTCAAGTTCCTCACCGTCGTGTCGTTTCGGACATTGCAAGTGCGCGATTGGAATGATCTCGAGAGAGCTGATCGATGTGTTGCCAGCGCTCTCCACCCCGTCTCCAAGACAGGTGACCATCGTCACATTGGCTCCTGCGTACGTGGGACTGACATGGGGTCTAACAGGGTGGTCTTGATAGTACTTGACGACTTCGCATCTCTTGTACGGGATGACGTTGGAGGGCGTCTTGCGCTCCTGGAGATTTCGCTTATCCTTGCCGTCGGCTCCCACCTTCCAATATTGAGACCATCCGCTCACCTTGACTGCGTTCAGAGATCGGTCTTTCTCCTCCAGGAACAACCGTTGTTTCTCACTGAGAACGCCGTCCAAGACATGCTGAGCGACGGTGTCCTGCGCCCCATGGAACGTCCGTCAAAAGTTCGCTTAGAATAGTCAAAGCTCTCTCACCTCGAAGACAGTCTCGCGGGCCAGGATATCCTGCGTCACAGGTGTTTCTGACAGAACAAGATCCAGGGTCATCCTGAGATGCTATGTCCTTACAAGGAGTACAAGTGAAATGAGACACAACGTAGCACTGAAGAACGAGATGCACCGACTCTGTAGTTTGACCCAAGTCGTTGCCAGGTACCATCAAGTGGCACCTTGGATAACGGGACGCGGTACAGCCATTCGCTCTTTCGAGCTTGGACGGGCTCCGCTGCTTACGACGAGACCCAGCGACTAGCACAACATGCTACTGCATAATCCAAGCAGGACAACTCACTGGTAACTCGTACAAGCAGTGATGTGCATGCCAGCATCGTCTCATAGCCGCCTGCAAAGTGGTGCACTATGTGGCCATTGTATTACCCCTGATGTTTCATGTTGAACATTTGCAGCGTTGACTCAATGAGCAGCACATTTGGATGATATTTGATGTTGACATCCAACTTGACAGCTTGCGACATATCTGGACATGTCACAGGATCCTGATGATACTACAGAGACGCTGACAGAGGTACAATCGAGTGAGTCGATACTCCTTGGTCCCCACCTCTTCTCCAAGCTGAATTTCCACGAGTTGCTCTAAGGGCATCCCCATCAATACCTCGTCAAAAGCTCCCACTCGATGTCCTAATCTATACAGCGGCATTTCTATGGACAAAACCAGAAGGCTCAAAAGTCCCTATCCTCCCTATCTCAAGCCAACAAAGGTCTCAACGACAAGCTCGTCAGCAAGCTCTATCACAAAGTCGACCTTCACTCCATTGAGGCGTTCAAGAAATTCTTCAAATACTTTACTCGATCCCAATTGGCGGTCAAGAAACGAGATCTTCAGTCTCCACCTGTAGAGGCTCAATACCAATATGGCAAGCGTCACGCATACCTTACTGGATTGATCGAGCATATGGACGTACGGCTGAGCCACAAAAACACTTCTCAAGCTCTGCGCTGGATCAAGCGTTTGAAAAAGGAATGGGCTCGAAGACCAAACACGACGTTGGTTCCTCTGTCACACGTCATTCGACTAAGCACTCACTCGAGGAGACAGACAGTCTATGCCCTTGCTACATCCACCAGCCACTATCACCGGAAGCACCTCGGCCTACCCCATTGGGCTTATTGCTGCAATGCGTTCATCCCAAATGGCTTTCACTCGGTTGCGAGCTGAAGATGGATGAGTTCAGGCGTGTCAACAACCTCGATAAGTGTCAGACAGAGAGACGCTATGGAACAGGATACTGGAATCTCACCTATTCTACCCTGGACATTGAGTCATACATGAGGGCAATGTCTTCGAAGTCCCTCAATTTCTTCTCGCATGCCCCAATTGTGATGATGGATGCGAGAAGCTATGTGTTTAAAGCATGCCTTCCCGAATTCAGCTCTGCGTTCTACAATCTCCCATCTCGATCTCCTGCAGAAAACAGACCACTCTTCATCCTCTCGCCTCTTTCTCATTGGACGACACAACATCCAAAATATGAATCACTCGCTTTCAGACTCCGCGCTCAACAAAAGTACCGACAAATCCGATTGCTGATCAACAAGAAACCTCCCATCACGAAGGGAGATGAATGGCTTGACTGGATCACTACCAAAGGTGCCTGGCTGCAGAAATTGCCAGGGACTTGGGAATCGTGGCCTCTGTCAAAACAAGAGATTTTTACCGCTCGACTCGCTGAAAAGATGGATCCATTGCTATTCTTGCTTGGCGCAGTCGACCTTGGCGGCCTCGAAAACTTTTCACCACAGGCGATTGAGGATATCATCGATATGAAGTGATGACTATATATCGCGGGACTCGGGAGAGCGGTTTTTAGAGACCGATGTCTATAGCTTGCCAGACGCACGCCGTGAAGGGGTAGGATGACTTCCAAAGGCGGCCGAGCCGTCATCTGAGACTTTGTATACAGTATACATACATTTTCAACATCCTTGAACTGTCTTCACATCATGCTGATTCTGCTCCAACCAAAGACTAAACGAAGTCTTTCTCTACAGTCTCCCTGCCGCTACATTGATGTCTACAGGAACGTTTATCGAAGTCTACATTGACGACCCAATCTAGACGTACAAAGCCAGTGTGAGCGAGTTGACCGCAAGCCAGTTCTTAACCGGAAAGTCAGTGTTATCTTGGCCATGCTGAAATAACGCGAGCTTACTCCTTCAGTCAACTGCTTCTCCTCCTACGAGAACCATTTCAGCAAGTATCCACTCCAAAGGCCCCACGATACTCACAATCAAGAACTCGATGGGCATATCAACGAGGTGACCTTTAATTTTGGACAACTCTCCCTTGATCTGCTGCAAGGAGAGATCTTTGTTAGACACATGGCCAGTCTAGCAGACAGCGTTCAGCTTGTGTCGCTACGCTTCGTTGCCGACTTACCGAGATCCCAGCCGAAGGGGCAATGTACGATACATAGTCGTTCCAGTTCCTGATATCGTCATTGGGGACGGGTCTAAAGACCCTTTCGAACGCCGCGCGGTTACTTCTTCCAGTCTCGGTCCACAATCGTTCGAAACTGTCTGATAAGACATCCTCCACGGCTTTGTCCTCTTCCGAACCCCAATCATACTCCAAAGGCGAAGGAGCGGGATGCATAGCAGCGTTAGGCTGAGAATCGCGATCGAAAGCAGGTTGAGGGGGGAGCAGACCAAGGTGTTCTGTCCATGGTCAGGATAGTCATCGGCGGATAAACCCACCTCTCATCAATGTTCTACGCCAAGTCGTCGCGACCCTCGATGCCATGTATTTCTTCCCGTCCATCATTGATTCTACCATGTCTTGATCTTCAATGACGACAGCAATCTCCGAATCGTGATCTCCATTCTGACTTCTATCGTTCAGGTTGGCACTGCCACAGATGACCCGGCGATCGTCGACAATCATGAGTTTGCTGTGAATGTAGCAGAGCTGGACGAACAATCAGACGCAGACCCCGGATGTGACTCACCTCCGTCACAAAGCATTCCCTTTCTGTCGCCTCCGTACCTGCCCACTTCTCATCCATCAAGCTTGTCTTGGTTTGGAAGGCGTGTTGACACACATTGTCAGATACTTGGGCATCTGTTCTTCCGAGAGCGCTCTCGAATCGATGAATGATATCTCTGGCCTCATCGACCGTCTTGGGCAGCTTGACAGCCTTTTCTACCGTGTCGGCCTTTCCAATCTGGTCAACTCGGGTTGTCTGGTCGTGAGGCTTCTCGATATTGACGACCTCGTCAGCATCTCCGGTCACGTCGTCGGAGCCAACGTAGATCTTGGCTAGGGCAACCTGAGCCTCGTGGAAGGACACCCCAGACTGGGAGGCACTGTCAGTACGATAACGATGGTCGACTTACAATCCTTTCCATCTCCGCTAGATGATTAAATGGCGAATTGATACGATCATAGCTACGCAGATTCCAGAACGTGATGTATTCCATCGGTTCGAAGCCCTCTTTTCGCACCACTTCAAAGATTGAAGCGCCACCTCGGTTGATGATCCGATATTGCGCTTCCATAATCGCCTTGAGCCCCGATTGAGATTTGATATCACCGGGGAAAGCTGGGACTGCAGGAATGAGGACAATGATCTTGAATTTCCGGCCTTCTTTCGCGGCGGAAATGATTCGCTCTGCTAAGGCGGCACCAATTTGATTCTTGACGGGGTCCCCAGTATGTGTGGCGGAGATGCTTGACATCAGCGCCGATTTCCGACTAGGAGCCTCACACTATCTATGATCAGCTTGGCCCCTGCCCCGCTCGACAGATACTCACAGAATTGGTTCTCAATGTAAATACAATGATTGGCTTCACGAATCAGACCGATGTATGCCTCTTGGACCGTCAGTCGACCGATATACTCGACGGCTCACGTTGTATGCTATCTTCCAGAAGGGTACCGTGACTCCAGTCTGCAGCAGATCTGAGGACCTGCACTCGGCAATGTCCATTAGGAACATCCTCCTTTGCGCGAGGAGCCTCAGACGGCGGCCAATGATACGGATGCGCAAATTGTCGACCTTTCTGCGTGGGCCTTAGCTTGTCTTTCGCCGCAAAGTTCCCACCTCTTTCCATTCTGCCAGGTGTGGATGATGTTTTCGGAACTCGTTGTCCTTGATCTTCTTCTCTTCAGCTTCCTTTGCTTCGACTGAGTCCCACGCTAAATTGATATCAGCTTCCTTCGCCCAAGAAGAGACGTGTGAGCTGACGGAGGGGCAATGCAAGCCATTCGAAGTGATGATCGTGCTTGTACCTAGAGTCATTAGCAGTAGCCCAATCGTCGAGTGACCACGTACTTAATGGACTTGACCTATGATGATGAATGAGCGGGATCCATCGCAGCAGACTCACAAAATTCCAACGCTCGCAGAAGTGTTGGAACAGGTCGACTACACTTGGTCCTACCATCGTCAAAGAAGTGTCATGCCATGCTGAGAGATTCTCAGTGAGGCACCGAAGTCCGACCAGTTGGGCTCACGCATTCGCGGCGCCTCCTGTATCGCGAGGGCATTGGATGTGAATTTATCGACAGTCTGACGTTGGTGAGCTGAGAACCATCACCTGATGTTGCATTCACCTGGAAGTCCATGATACGAGAATTATTGTAATCTGAAGACGTTTCAGCAAATCACTTTGGCAGGCAAGGGTAGCCGACCTTGACCGGGAAACAAGCTTTTGGAGAATTCCGTGGGATGTACATCGGCCAATGGATGGTTGCGCGTATCCCAACGTCCGTAACAAGCATCAAGACCACCCATGGCGGCATACGTGCAGTCGACGACACAGAGCTTCTCATGGTGGGAGAAATAGTATACGAGCTCGCCTACGAGCTCGGTTAGCGTATCTCGAACGCATATGAGTTCAAGAGCTTACCTCCTGAGTGATCTGGATGTCTCATACAGGCGATATTCTCATGCAGATCCTCTAGAGCATGTTTGGTGTGTTTCGAAGACAAGGCCATGGATGCTGTGACCTGTCAAAGTGAGCTGTGATGTCAGTCATCAGATCGACGCACCTCTTTATACACCATCACGTAAATCCTAACCCCTTCCTCTGCTTTGCGTTTCAAAAGACGGTCAAGGCGCCATTCAGGGAACAAAGCGGCAGGCCGACGAAGCTTTGATCTGGTAAGTTTGGCGAACAAGCTGGACTGCCACGAGTCTCACCTGTAGCTCTGGCGAGAGCCACCAATCGAGAATCATAATGGACTGCGCGGACATTCAGCTTCAATAGGAGATCACTCGCACCTCCTTCGCGCCGTCGATGAGTTCAGACAAAGCCCAAAAATAGTCTAGGTGATTTCTCAGCTAGGCAATCTTTTGCTCATTTGTGCAGCTCACCATGCCCGTCTACATGCCATTTCACGATATTGCCTGTAAGCGCCTGTATTTAGCTCGTGATCCACCTTTGCCAAGCTCAAGACGTACCATCTCGCTCTCCTGCGAAACTCCTGAATCGATGACCATCCCGTATAGCTTCCAATTTTGCATCTCTTTCCTGCTCCCACGCCTCATCATGTCGATGATTCGGGTTCAACGTTGTCGATATGGCCACTCCTAATTTTGAGAAATCACTCCCAATCTCGTCAATCTTGTTCCGGAACCTCCTCAATGGATTATGCGTCTTGGAGTCTGGATCAGGAGCTTTGGGATGACTCGCTGCTACCGCTGCTGGGTTCGACATGGTGTCAGAGAGGAAGTTGAATCGGTCGTGTGCCCAGGACAATGCAAGGCATGGAGGTGGTGCATTGCACCCGTTACATTGTTCCGGGTTTGCGTCATCAATCTCGGATCCGAAGTTGTCGTTACGTAATAATATGGGACGGTCGCGAATGCTGGACGCGTCTCAAAAGTCAATGTTCAATAATAATCTTGTCAGCAGCGAGCGAATTGCGCAGATTAGACAGCAGAAAGCCGTCTGACCTCAGCAAACCAGCATGCCCCTCATACAACCGCCTGCTCCGGATCTGCGGTCCACAGATCTAACTTATGTTCACGCCTACACCAACATCGTCTCAAGAGTGAGAAGACGGACAGGATCTGGATCTGGCGGAGTTGTGATTATTGTCGGTATAGACCTGGTGAGTTTTGAGGATTGTGCCCGTATGAATCATACTTGACAGGCTATAGGATGGGCTTCTTGCCGCTCGAATTCTAGCTTCGATGTTCAGGCAAGACGATGTGCCGTATAGGATAGTTCCGGTCGGAGGATATGAAGAGCTCGAGGCGAGGAGAGACGAGGCATTGCAATCAGAAGAGGTAAGACGATGAATTGGTAGACGCTGACACAGCTCAGCTGCATACACTGATCCTACTATCACTTGGCTCACTTCTCCCTCTGTCGTCTTATTTTGAACTCCCACCCGGATGTCAACTTCACATCATCGACTCGCACCGTCCGTGGAACCTCCAGAATCTTTTCGGCCTGGATTTGGATGATGAAAGCGGCGAAACGAATATTGCCGGTCCATCAAGCGGGGGCAAGATATGGGTATGGGGTGATGGAGAAGAGAATGAGCTTGACGGCGTCAAACGGTCCTGGGAGGCTCTCGAGGTGAGACGAGTTTGAGCTGCCAAATACACATGGATTTTGATGGTTGTGTCTCAGTACGAACCATCCGACAGCGAATCTGATTCGGACGAGGAAGATGATGATGAAGGAGCAGAGGAGAATCAGGAGGACGAAGCTAGTGAAGGCGAGGAGGAAGATGGTTCTGAAGAGGAACGCTACCCGGAGCAGAATGGTGGGCCAAGCCGGAAGAGACGGGCGAACAAAGGCGATGGCGCATCTCGGAAAAAGCAGAAAGACGAGGATGATGACAGGGTGAGTAGCGCCAGAACACGAGCTTTCATCTGACTTTTATCAGCCTAGGAGACTCCCTGAGGCGATCCGAGAGGCGCATTACGATCGAGTACAGCGATACTATGACTCGGGAACTTCTTCCGGGATGTCCGTCTCTCAGTCTCTCTACTTGCTGGCAACCGTCCTGGAAAGAGCCGATAATGATCTTTTGTGGCTCGCTATCTTGTCTGTCACTTATCAATACACCTCATCAAAGATCGATCGAGACCGCTACGAAGCATACCATGAGCTGTTCTCTGATGAAGTGGTTCGTCTGAATGCCATACCAGATGGAGTCCGACAACCCAACCCGGACGACAGGAGCATCACTCGGAGTGAAGAATTGCGATTCACAATGTTTCGACATTGGAACCTGTACGACTCAATGCTGCATTCGGGCTATGTTGCTGGTAGACTGGGTATTTGGAAAGAAAAGGGTCGGAAGAGGCTACAAGGCTTGCTGGCGAAGATGGGGTGAGTCAATCGCTCGCTGAACCCAATTTTTGACTCTGATACCCGACTCAGATTCTCACTTCAACAATGCCAACAAGCCTGGGCCCACATGGATATGGATCTCAAAAAGCAACTTCCGGACCGGCTCGAATCCATCGCACCAGAGTATGGCCTCGTAGAATTGTCCTATCCATCGTTCAATCGCCATTTCGGATTCGTTCTCTCCTCTCTTTCAGCTGCGGATGCCGTTGAGGGCATCTCCTCTTTACTCGAAGCTGCGAAAGGTGTGCGTTTAGAGATCGACAAGGAGGGTGGTCGAAACGGCGGAGAGTGGTTTGGAGGGACGCGCACTTGGAATGTGGGTCGGAGGGAGGATGAAGATAAGGAGAATATCGATCCGAGAAGAAAGAAGGATGACGAGGCCAGGGAGGATGGAGAAAAAGGAGATGGCAAAAAGGCGCAAGCCTGGAATGTCGCCAATTTCTGGATCGCGTACGATGCTCTGGACGAGTGAGTGGCGCACGCGTTGGAGATACCGATATCTTGAAGGCTGATCTTGTGACAAAGTATCACCCTACTCCGTCGATCACTGCCATTGGCCATGTCATTACACCGCTCTATCATTCGCCAAGGGTCTTCACTCCTTGAGAAGGCCGCCATCCGCCCGCTTCGCACTTTCCGTTTCTGCGCTATTAAAGAAGGACCTGATCTTAGGCTATTCTCTCATCCATCGACACTGTCTCGTCTAGCTCTCTGGCTAGTAGACGCCACTCGTGATCGATGGGCTGAGAAGGATTCAAAGCAGGGGAAGACAGTCAAGAGCCTGCCGTTCGTAGTCGCTTGCTTGAACGACGAGAAAGGGACGTATCTCGTCGTTGGCGTGACTGGCGCCCCTGACTTTGGCGACGTCAGGAAAAAGTGAGTGATCCATGCCCGTGCATGAGATGGAAGTTTGATGTTCTGCTTAGCAAATTTGGCTTGGCTTTCCAGGAGGCGGCGGAGGAAAGCGGAGCAGGTGCCAAACATGACATGTTTGAAACCAGCGTGGTAGAAGTTCGACAGTCTGACCTGACAACCTTCATCGAGAAGCTACATTTGAAGTCTGCATGATGACATGGTATGCACAGGATTTCATCGTCTCCCATGTACAGACTCACATCTAAATTCATGTCTACATGGCCTTCGTAATGATGACGAATACATCTGCCACCTTGAGTGTGGTCTCGTGCTTCGTCAGCATATGACTCGTCTATGCGATCAACTGCAACATCTCTTAGCATGTTCAGGAAGAAATGGGACATCGCTTCAGGGTTTTTGGAGACAGATCTGAAGGTTACCGGGGCATATCAGCTGCTTTGAGAGAGGTCGAGTCACGGAGGCAGAAATCTGACCGCCGTCGCTCTCTATCGGCTGTTGACACGGATGACGAGTGTCCTCCAAGCTCCGTACGGGATACGCTAAATCGATGGAGCCTGATATGGGTTCTGACGGCGAGAGCTGTCTCGTCATCAGCGAGCGAGGTGGGAGTCTATGCCCCTCGGAGGAGGGAGCCTTATGCTCAAAGGTTTATTAGTGAATCTGCCCCTGAATTCATCATCTGCACAACCTTGGCTTACGCAAAGTGCTCTGTGGAAGGTTGCTATGAGCGGAATCTTTAGGCGATGTCCTTGTCGACTTGCATCATCTAAGTCCGGACGAGTGATGATGTGCTGCAATCCAAGCTCCTGCCCCATCTGCCACCCCGCTTTCGATACTCGTCGCAAAGCTCATATTCCATGGCGGAGGAATGCATTATGTGAGCATGCTTCTTCTTCAAGTCATGCATGCATGGACATTGACGCAAATCCGCGCAAATGCTCTATAGTAAAAGATGATACATACAATCACATCAGATCGTACATCACTCGCCGAGCTCCCTCCGTATTCTCTCTCTAACTTGCCTCAAGCCACCATACCGGTGCACACGACCAGGGCTGGCAGCGCCAGCAAGCAATGCCTTACTTGCAGAATGTGGAGATGAGCCTGTCATCGAATACTGGTTGAATATCGGTGACACCGGAGGACGCGGAGCCATAGTCTGACCTCGTTCGTGAGGGGGAGGGGTGACCGCTCGATATGGACGAGATGTCGGAGAGGTAGGCGATTGGGGGTCCATTGTGGTTCTGCTTCCGGGACTAGGTGATACAGGTTCAGCCGTCTTGATGGGTCGACGGTGACTTGGCGAGGTCGGAGCATCCGGTGTACGACTGGATGGGCTCGGAAAGGCTTGCTTGCTGAATCTAGATAACGAGCTCGACCCAGGGGAAGCAGGACAAGTAGCTAAGAATGCACTTGGCATTTCCACCCAGTCCTGCTTCGCGACGACCTTGATGGTCAAGAAGAACGGGCAGAGCTCGGTGAGCATCTTGATAGAGTCCTGCGCCTCTGCTTGGGAGATGGGCGTCTTGGAGGATTTCACTATGACGTCTGCGACCTCTAGCATCGGTATAGCTTTCCGTCTCCCTCGAGGCGGCGTTGGTAAGGTGTTGGGTCCAGGAGATGGAGCAGAGAACATCATCCAGACTCCCTCAGCTACGCTCTCGAGCCGACTTAGGGTACTTCGACGTTTGAGCTCTTCGATCTGAGCGAGAGGTGTGGCTCGGGGTCGGATACTGTTGAGCTGTCCGACGGATGATCCTAAAGTTGGTTGACGACCCGTGCCGGCACGAGCTTTGATCCTATCCATCATTGCTTTACGACGTTCCTCGACAGATCCATTCCGTACAACTTTGGTCTTCTTGTCCGTGTCATCGATGACAAAGGGATCCGCGAGTCCGGACGGCATTGGCGCGGGCGCTCGGGAAGAGGAGGTGGAAGGTACCGGCGTATTTGCAAATAGATTGGCAGCTGGTAGAAGGGTAGCAGTGGGTAGTTTAGGTAAAGGGAGCAGAGGTATCGGAGGGATGCTTGAGCGCTGATTAGAGGTAGTCTGAGGTGTTGGCAGGTCGGCCTGAGCAGGCGACTGAATCGTATTGTCAGAACAATCGAATATCCGTGCAGACTCACCTCGTATCCTCCGTGCAAATCTACCCATTTTTCTAGCCTCCTTCGAACCTCCTTCTCCCTCACGTCTCCACTACCATTCCATCGACTTATGGCTCCCGCGCCACCGCCTTGCCCTCGAGATCCCGACCCTTCAAGTTCACTCAGCAGATTTCGAGTCTCGCCAGGTTTCAAATCCAACTCGATTCCAATACCATACGTGTGAACTCTGCGTCCACTACTTGGGTCGAGGGTGCGTGTCGGTGTAATGAGGTAGCTGAGCCCTGAGATGGTTTGTCTGTCTTCCGCTTCAGGATCTGAGACGAGGAAAGGATTCTCAGAATCCTTCTTTGATGATCTCGGCTCTTGAGCTTCCCTCGCTTCTCGCTCTTTAACGGAGACTAGATCTTTCCCTGGAATCTGATCTCCGTCCCACGTCCAAAGCCACGCAAGTCTGCCGAGCTCAGGCAGGCCGAAACGTCTGCCCCCTGTACGCTCTACTGTCCCTTTTATGGCCAAGAAATTGGTCAGGTTGGGCAACTCGAGCTTCGTTGCAGATACCGAATGGGGCGGAAGGACCGGAGGATGAGTTGCAAAGTGAAGAGAAAGGGCTAGGTTGAACGCATGATGGAGCTTCATCAAAGTTTCTAAGGAGGGCGGAAGGATTTTATGCTGCTCGATGATGTCCTGAGCGGGTGTCGAGGCAGACAGGCTCGGCTCAGGAGGGTGGAAGAAATGCTCGTTCGAAGGAAGAGGGATATCATCGGTTCTTTGACGGCTCGAAGGTGGGGTAGGAAACGGCGCAAGAGGGGGGTTGGGAGTCGGCGGACTGCGTGTGAGTCAGTGAAGGCTCCCCTGTGATGGGAACAAATGTTCTGCCTACCCTCTGGCCTTGCCTTTTCCTCGAGTCTCTGGCGTTGGTGCATCTTCCGTGCCCGTCTTTCGTTTGCGAGGGGTTACAGGCTGCGCAGCAGCTCCTCTAGCTTTGGCGATAGGCATAGTGTTGACTTATGTATATATTCGATGTACACGATGTATGCGTAGCAGGTAACCCAGGGCACCAGATCCAGCTGGTGGAAAACCGACGGGGGATGAAGGATGACTTTGAAATGTCGTTGTGGCTCACTCTGCCGAGTCACTGATGCACACGCACTTCCCAAGATACCAGAGTCTGCAGGGTTACACCCTTGATTTATCCAGTATCGAGCTTGAGCACCCCCTCAAACGCCAACCTACGTTAAACTTGAGCCTGACAGAAGAAAGAGACGTACTTATTAAAGGTATTGAACATTGCGAGTTCAGGGTCTTTTTAAACTCGCGAATGGCTGGAGGTGAGATTGTACGCGAAATCACGGAGATCAGATGGGATGTCCGCCGCATTTCAGGTTCAAGTTGAGAATTTTCAGTTTGCGATACAAGTGTCTGTCCCTTGCCATACGTTGACAGATCTCTTGCATCGAAGCACCGACACGAGCGCCATCATGGAAGTTGACAACCCTTCTGCCGGCCCATCAGCACCCGTGCGATCTCTTGCCGCATCGAAGAATGGTCGGACGGCCGGAAAAGCCCATAAAGAGAGTAAATCCGCAGCTCGCCGTTCGTACCTCTCTCGAGCGTCAAAACAAGGGTTCGAGCATCGCAAGGAGCTGGAATCAAAGAGACAAGCTATGAAAGGAGTAGAAAAGGAGATGAAGGAGGAGAAGGAGGCGGAACAGGAGAGGTGAGTGTTGGGGTCGGAAGGCAGGTATCAACAGAGTCATTCCTTCTTCCTACTGGAACCCCCCCCCCCCCCCCCCCCCGGACGATGACCTTGGGCCGTTTGTGGGCGGTGCTCACCACTGGTGAACGTAGGAAACGCACAGCGATCAAGGAACGACGCGAAAGACAAGAAGAGAAACAGAGATTGGAGTTGGTTAAGGCGAAAATGTCTGCTAAGAAGTTGCAACGGATGAAAAAGGTAAGCCTGCCTAGCTTTCATTCGTCGTAATATGGCGGCTTCGACAGATCATCGCCGCACGTATGGACAGCCCCTCAACTCGATCTTGCTGACTTCTTGACTCGCAGAGACAGGGCCGAACGAAGAAGATCAATGGATGATTTGATGGCTTTGTGCCTCCGTCCACCTTTCTGATTATTATAATGACCTTGACGACTCTATGCAGCTTCATTCCTCCTTCTCTAGATCTCTTCGATCGCCAGGCATGACAATTGATGTGATTGACATGTTGTGACTATGTAATCGGACAGTAAGTATCAGCCAGCTATATGGGGGGTATCCATCCATCTTGCTTCTGCCGAAAATCCACGTCTCATGGTTGCATGTCTCAAGTCTTTTCCCATTGCACTGTATCAGGCTATCCGGCCTTGCGAGTGTGTGGATATAGGCCCCTCTGCGTGCTGTCTATACCACCGCCGGTCTGACGCTTCATAGACCGAGTTGAGCAATGCATGGCGCACCAAAGGAGTGAATCACCTGCTCGCCAGCTGGCCCGAGATCGGATCCGGGATCGGCAGGATTTCGCCAATCAATAAATCAATGGAATGCTTTCTCTTCCAGCAATCTGCCATTAAGATTCGCCAGAGACGCCAGTAGACGACTGATCTTTATTCTACCGGGCAGTCACTGTCACCATGATGGACTGGTCAAAGTACACTATTACTCGCTGTAATGACGAGCAAACGCTTCGCTCCCGTTCTTTCCACTTGGAAAAATGGGGAGTCAGATCCCATGGGTATACGCCAGAGCAATACTACCGCAAATTCGAGGTTATGGATGAAGAAGAGTGGGCAGTGAATGATGGGATCGTACATTGGTGAGGGGGTTCATTTTTCCGCTTGATTGAATCTCTTGCGCTAAAGGTGTGAACCCCCCCCCCCCCCCCCCCTTATCCCAGGGCTCTCGTACCCAGGTCCGAGACGTCCACCCTTGACCTCTTATCTCACGTCGAGACGTGGCGCCGGAAGAGTCTGATCAAGCGACCTGGCCAGACAGCACCCGAAGAGGTCGTATCGTACGGTATAGCCTATGTGTATACACCAGAAAAGCATCAAGGACACGGGTACGGTCGACACCTTCTCCAACTCTTACACTACATCCTCGCTCCGTTACCTACATTACCTTCGTTCCCGACGACATGGGGTGATCAGCCTTCTCTCGAAGGATTCAACGACGCCGCATTCAGCTTCTTGTTCAGTGGTGTTGGCGATAAGTTCTACGCCTCCTGTCGGAGAGGTGAAGGAGATGATAGTCTGGTTGGATGGGTTCCCATCCCATTGACGAATCGTCACTGGGACTTGAGCAAGGTGGCACAGGAGGCACAGGAGACACACGAGGCAGATCAAACTGGCTGGAAGTGGCTGACAGTGGAAGACCTGACCGCTGTGGAGGAGGAGGCCATTGAAGACATGAAGCTGGAATTGGGAAAAGACACATCCGACAGGATCCAGCTTGCCATCTCCCCCGAACAGTGAGCCAGATATCATCGTCCATTTTTGAAAGTCCTGCCTGATATCCTGAAAATGTAGAGGCTGCTTCCGTCAACATGCTCTCCGCAATACCCTCACTCCATCGGGTATCGCTAATCCTTCCCCACCGAGACACTATGGACTCTCCCTTCCTCCCGATCCCCACACCAACAAGAGACCGTACATCATCTATACATTCCCCGAAAGTGCCACGGAGACCCAAGCCCTAAGGATATGCTACATCAGCCATCCATTCCCTTGGTCTGCCGTCGTGGCGGCTGCGAAGAAGGAGAATTGCACCCTTATCCGATGTTGGGGTCCAAGAGCTGGTTGGGATGATCACGGCGCGGAACTCAAACCCAGTGGAGGGGTTCCGGGACTGGCGGTGTATGGGCACAACGAGGAAGAATGTGATTGGCGATGGCTAGAGTTGTGAGTGAGCCAGGCAGTGATGGTGAGTGCTTGTGCTGAAGCTGGTGGCAGGTACACTTTCTGCTGATGGCGGTGAGGGCAATGTGCTGTATGAGAGAAAAAGGAGAGAAAACTGGAAGCGGTGTCCGGAGCACCCTGAAGCGGCACAGATACATGCTGCTGTATACGCTCAGCAGAAATTGGATATCGCACAGCTCCCGTCTCTATACATCGGCTCACAAGTACCATGAATCTGAGCGATGAGGCAGTAGAGGAAGCCACCATTTCTCGACCCGTGATTCCTACAAGCCCCGACGGCTCTTTACATTCGAGCTGCATGACTAGCATGAGAAGCTGATGCCGCCTCTCAGCCGGTACTCAGCATATGCGTGCTAATTTGCCTGAACATTGCGGAGAGCGAGTATCTGACGCTTTTCTGAAGTCAGGGGGCATTCGCGTACGTGGACACGTGATGGAACCCCAGTTTTGCATTGCGACTCAGTATGGTGCCGTTTGAGATCATGAGACCTGTGTTGTAGAGTGTCAGAAAGACAGGAAGTTTTCCGGCCCTCATCACTACGAATGCCCCTGAAGCGGTGATTCACGCAATGAAAGGCTTTGAGCAAAGCTGTGGTTAGCCGCAGTGGACGGCACGAGACATGCAGCCTCTGTTCACCGTCTCCCCCGCTCGTCATCTGTTTCATTATAGTCACGAACAAATCGCCTAGGCACGAACGAATCGTCCTTCATCTCTGGGATCCAATTGCCAACGCCACCATTGCCGCCATCAGATCCTTCCTTTCCACTATACTGCACGGCATTCTCAAGATGGGGACTTGGGAATTGATAGCAGGACAGATACGATTCGATGAGAGATGCATTCTCGCAAGATGTCACAGTGCCCAAAGCTCTGCTCCGCTACCAGAGCGGGTAAAGCACGTCCTCATTTACCAACGAGAGCCATGTGTCCCTCAGCGTACCTGTTTGCAGATTCAGGCATCGTCAGCATATAAGGCGTACAGCGGAAAAGAGATGCCCCTCACCTATCACCCACAGGCTCATTCTCCTGGATGACTTTCCTGATCTCCTTCAACTCGCCTTCCGTCAACGTCACCTTGTTGGCGCCCCAATTCTCCTTGACTCTATCTGCATTCTTGGTACCGGGAATAGGTATAGCACCTTGAGCGGCGACCCAGGCCAAACTCAGTTGACCAGGGGTACATCCTTTCGACTTTGCAAGACGTTCGAATTCGTCGACCAGTGCCAAGTTCTTGTCAAAGTTCTCACCAGTATATCGAGGAGCTGTCCCTCGGATATCCTTTGAGAAAGCCGATGCGTCTCGATGTTTACCAGTCAAGAGACCTTTTCCGAGTGGAGAATAGGCGACTATACTGACGCCCAATTCTCTAGCTGCGTCGATAAGACCATCTCGCTCGTGATCAATGAACCAGGGAGAGTACTCGATCTGAATAGCGTCGATATGGGCGACTACGTTCCCTGTCAGCAGACTATCCAAATAAACGACGACAGGAACGAAGGGGGGGGGGGGACCTCCAAGCTCACCCTCACAAGCCTTGCGTAGTGTCCGCGCACTCGGTTCGCTCAATCCGATATACTTGCATTTACCCGCCTTTTTCAAGCCGTCCAGTGCTGCGATACTCTCTGACAATGGCGTTTCCTCAGGTTTCATTCGGTGAAGATAGTATAGATCCGGGGTGGTACCTAATCGTTTGATAGTTCCTTGGATGTATTCTTGAATGTGAGCGACTTTATTGGTCACTCCGTGATTCTCTTTCTTCTCAAAGTCGAGCTGAGATGGGATCATCCTATCAGGTATACGAACCTAGTAGGTTTGGGAAACCGAAAGTTGGACTCACATCCCAACCACATTTACTCGCTATGAAGAGTTTCTCCCTTGCGTCAGGATTCTCTTTCAGGAACCGACCGATGAGTGATTCGTTATGCCCCATTCCGTATACCACGGCAGTATCCCAGAAGGTACATCCCGAGTCGAGAGCCGTCTTGAGCACTCGTATACTCTCATCATCATCCGCTGGCCCGTAGGCGTGTGAGAGCGACATGGCTCCGTAGCCGGGCGAAGGGACGTGAATGTTTTGGAATGCGAGAGTGGTCATGGCGTGCGTGATGAGGGTATCTCAGCGATAGGGAATTTATTGCAATGTGATGATGCGGTGATGAGCTCGGGTGAGTGTGAAGAAGCAACGAATAGGTTAGGTGGGAATGCTCCCTTCACTTCATTCGGCCTCACATCAACTATTTATACCTCCTACACCGGTGATCGCCCTCCACTTGTCGTCCATGACGCCACATACCCTCCACCGCCGCGTGCGAGAGGCACGCCGCCCGGATGGAATGAGTGGAGGGCGAAGGCGTTGTGAGAAAGTGGAGTGGATGGAGATCGCAGACTGGACGGGTGGATGGACCATGCATTTCACCTCCACTAGGCAGCAAGACGCATCCTCTTGCAGACCTGAGCGGGACTACAGACATCTACTGCGAGAGAGCTGAGGGGCTGACTGACCCCCCGCCAAGTCTCTCCGGCAAAAACCCAGCTGAATTTGAATTTCATCCGAAAATGCAATGTAATGATTTGAGGGGGTGACTGATTTTCTCTCGCCTTGCTTTTTGATGAACACACTCGCATGTCACGCTCGACCTTTTGCCACCCATGTCACCTCTGGATCCCTTCAGAGCAGTGCTAAAGCACTACTGGGATCTCGGTCTGACGTCCTGCGGAGGTCCAGCGGTGCACGTTATCATCCTTCGGAAACGGTTTGTCGAATCTCTCAAATGGCTAGATGAACAAACGTTTCTAGATCTCTTTGCTCTGGGAAACGCTCTTCCTGGACCTGGTTCGACTCAATTGGCATTTTCCATAGCAGTCATCACTCATGGTGTCTTTCCTGGAGTATTCGCCTTCTTTCTCTGGTCTATCCCCGGAGCGATCGGTATGGCAGGTATAGGCGCTGGCGTATCGAGAATCCCTTCCGAGTTACCTGGGATCGTCTTGGCCTTTTTGACAGGTTTGAACGCCGCGGCGGTAGGTCTGATCGCTCTCGCGGCTTGGCAACTCGGTTCAGCCGCCAGCACAGATAGGTTATCGACGTTACTCGTTTGGCTCGGAGCTTCGTTTGGAATATGCTATCATGCGCCTTGGATGTATCCCGTGTTGATCGTCGCTGGAGGTTTAGCGACCCTGATATGGGATCATAGGCGGCGGATCAGGGCGAGCGTGAAGAGAGTGGTGATTGGAGAGAGAAGGGATCGTAGGACGAGACCGAGAGGAAACAGGGAGGAATCAGGGATGGAGTTGAGGCCGAGGGAGACCTCGACCGCGAGAGATGGTGGCCAAGAGGGTGAAGAAGAAGAAGTGGCGGAACCACCATCAAGACAGAGTAGTGCAAGGGGAGATCATCAGCCTTCTGGCAATAGTATTGCAGAATCTCAGGCATCACCCACGGCACCACCTATGGACCCGACGGAAGCTGGACGACTCGATGTCGTCTCCACTCGGACTGCATGCCTCATCATTTTTGGGTTCGTCCTACTGCTCACTGGTCCATTAGCAGCCAGAGCTGGGCTGAGGAATGCAGGCAAAGCAGTACCCAGAGGTCTCGATGTGAGTGCGATATACTTGCCAGAGGGGGATGGCGGTCAACCATCTTATGGCGCGATTTAATCAGTTCTTTGGCAATATGCTCATTGCCGGTACGATCATCTTTGGAGGTGGACCCGTTGTGATTCCTCTACTGAGAGATTATGTCGTGGCGGAAGGTGGGGTAACAGGAAAACGAAATAGGTGATCAAGTGGCTGACCAAGTGTGAGCAGGATGGGTCAGCTCGAGAGACTTTCTATTGGTCTTTGCGATCCTGTGAGATGGACTCGTCTGAGATGTTTGCATCAAACGCACTGACACGCTTCGCCTCGCCTCGCTTTGCCTTGTGGTGTTCCGATCTCCCAGGCAAGCCTTCCCAGGACCCAATTTCAACTACGCCGTTGCCCTTGGCGTTCTCGCCAACCCTTCGAACCGTGCGCTCGGTGCGCTCCTAGGATATCTTGGGATCTTCTCACCTGGAATCATTCTGAAACTGGGTCTCCTCCCACTCTACGCCTCGTGGAGAGGAAAACCGATATCTCGATCGATCCTACGCGGTCTCAATTCCGTCGCTTCGGGTCTGGTCTTCACAGCCGTTTGGCAGTTGTTCCTCATCGGGTATATTTACACCTCTCCAAGTGGCCGTGACCAGGGAGGCGAAACCGGTGGACAGGGACAGGGACAGGGACAAGGTAGACAGACCGTTTCAGGTCCATTGACCCTCGATCCATTTTGGGCCGTCGTCAGTTCTGGCGCTTTGGTAGCTTGTAAATGGTTCGCGGCGCCACCTTGGCTAAGTATCATATTGGGCGCTTTGGCAGGTTTGGCATGGCACGGTGTTCAAGTGAAGTAGCGGAACGCAAACGGGGGATGTGTGTGTGTGTGGGAGGGATTTGGCTGGTCCTCCATGTCCCGCATCAAGAGCATGATAGAGTTGAAACTATAGATGACTAGTCGATGTACAGTGCGGACCACCAAAGAAAAAAGGTACCATACTGTACCAAAGAGAAGGATTCGACTACCCCACTTGGACCTGTTAGGGTCCAATTCCAAGGTGGGATATGGACGATCCGCCTGCCCGAACCAAGTTTAGACTGGAAATCCCCACGGGGTTAGGCCTAGCAGGGGCCTGGACAACGCATCCAAGGGGCTTAGATCCGCTTCCTTCCTCTTGATGGACTTGACCCGGTTCGATCATGGAGGCACCCGATGTCAGCGAAGACCCGCTGATTCCGTTCCTATCTGTTTGTTCATTATTCATTTCGATCGGAGCTCCAAAATTCCACCTCAATACGGGATGGATATCTGGATGGATGACTGTTGATGACTCCCCGCGCTACGAATAAGCGGAAACAAGCCGCTGCCAGTGGGCCCAAAATCCAGCGATCGAGGATCGTGATCGTTGTCCAGACCTCGATCTCGTTTGCTTCCATTTTGGCAGCGACCCCGCGGGGTGGGGGGCAAGCAAGCGCGGAACAGACAGGAAATACCAGAACCTAACCTCCCCTTGCCCCCTTGCCCCCTTGCCCCCTTGCCCCCTTGCCCCCTTGCCCCCTTGCCCCCTGCCCCCTCTCCCCTGCCGAACCTTCTACCTCGGAAATGTATAGACAACCTTGTTCCGTAAGGAAAACTCCCCGTAATTTGGAACCTAGTCAAGAAACATCCAAGCTTTTTCTTCATCTTTGAGCTGGAAAACTGCGCACTCGGAAGGAAGAATCACGTTGTTGAGCCTACACTCTGCCATGTGTCGTGCCTCGGCCGGGCAACCGGCCGGCCTGTGTCGGACCGAATGTTCGTCACCTCGACTGAAAATGGCATTCGTCGCTCCGGTAGTATCCATATGCTCGCAACGCCTTCAGATGACAGTCAGCTGGGTTGGCTGGCTGGCTGAGAAGTGAGAGGTGACCGAGACGGCCGAGAGGAAAGGTCAAGAGGCGCAGGGGCACACCTATAGGGGGCAGGACCAAAGGCACACGATGGACAAGGGGGGCATGCCCATGGACACACGCCTCTTTTCGTTCGGACAAGACCGGATACATGATGATGATGATGCACGATATGCATACTTGCACAGGCAGTCGTGATTGAAATTCCACACGAAAAATTTCAATCACCCGGGAGAAAAAACCGCCCACTTGCCAAAGTAAATGAACAGTGGCACCTCTCTCCTGAGCCTGGGCTGAAGGCTACTGCTGACGAGAGGACACAAGAGAAGTGAGATGATGAAGGAGCTGAGTTTCATGTCCGGCTTTTTACCCGATCGATACGAAATTATGGTTCATGAGATTTCTGTTGAGAGAATAACGAGATCTCTCTGGTCCAAAAAACAGCAAAGATGATCTACATCCGATGGAATGGAGGGGATGTTTCAACCGGGGGGTCGTGTCCAAAAGTATTCAAGTCCTTACGGCAATGATCACATATTTGATCGACTGTCGTATATCACTTCGGGACTGTCCGATAGAACATCGTATCATTATTGTCAGGTCAGATCCCTTTCATTAGCCTTCCCGCATCACGACTGTCTGATCAGACAATTGTTTATTGAAAACTTATCAGTGAGACGAACCAGGGGGGACGATGCTCGTAACGAACGGTTCATGAGAGCGGTGTAGCGGTGTCCTGTCGTTTCTAATCATGGCCACGTCGGGGTTGCACTGCGTTCACTCGTTGCGTAACGTGACTGGGTGGAGGGGTGTCCGGGAATAGCGAGGTGTAGCCATAGATCCCTGAAGATGAACCTTTTCATCATGAGATTGATGCATACGTCGTGCGAACACCGGCCTTAGGGCTGTCAACTATTGCCCCCCCGTTCACATGGACTATTCCCCACTAAGAAAATGATGCTCATCGTCTGGAAACATACCAAACGCGTCATCTTCTCACGAAAATGGAGCCGCAGTGTTTGATGAAGCTTCGCTCTGACCAGTACCGACGGGAAGAGCAGTTGCCATACGATGATCCATTGACCCTCCTGTTAGGATTCAGACTAAAGCCATAACCACAGATCACATCATTTTCGTTTTCACACACACGCTGCTGCTGCTGTCTTGGCCCGGCTGTGAAAGTGCTCGGGCTGAACTGCGCTAGAACTGTCTTGGGCCACTTCTCACTTTCGCCGTGGGAAAGGGCCTTTTCATGTGAGAAGAATAACAACACTCTGTTGATCTCTGTTGGAGTGGGAAAATAAAAAGATAAAAAAAAAAGATGTCCATCCCGTAAGTAGGCAGATGATAGTGCTTCAATTGCGTGAGAGGGGCTGATATCCCGGTTTGAGGTGCCGAGAATGGGATCTGATAGAGTGGGGATAGTTTAGAACGTTTGCGAGATAAGGATTGAGACAGTCCCGCGGTACCTTGTCATCAGTAGATGTCGTGGCACTGGACCTATGTCTGGAGCTGATCGGAGCAAGGGACCTGTGTGAGCGTTCTTCTGGGTATCATGCCATGGAGCTTGTAACTTGTGCTTTACCACGCCGTGGGCCCCTTCCATCCGACATCCATGCCCTTCCACCACCATTCATGTCACGCAATTGAAAGTCCAAAAAAAATCCCAGTATTGCTGTGAGAAATTTTTCCACTCCAACGCCACGAGAAATTATTCAAAGTTTCATCATCTTGACACACACGCGCGCGCGGCGCGAGAGACGACGGTGCGAGTGGCGGATCGAACGGAAAATTGAGGTTCGCCACGCCTTCACTTTGGAGGTTTTTAACTACTTCGTGAGAGAAATCTGATGTACTGCAGCCAGGTCCTTGGGATCGGACTTGAGTAAGAGCCAGGGAGAGCCAGCGAATAGAGTTCATGATCATCATGAGAAAAGCAGAAACTGGGTGTGTAGAATTTTAACCAACATTTTCCGTGGACCATAGACAACTTCCTTCCGCCTTCTTTTCCTTTTCCCTGGACCTGGTCTCCACACTTTCATACCCTTTCAGAGCCCCGCTGAAGAGGCTTGGTCAGGAGCGTCTTGTACTTGTGGACGACGTCTTTTGCTCAACAACAATCACAACATACACTTGCGGACGAGGACCGTTGGTGACACAGGTTCCAAAAAAAGTCACTGTAGTCAGGACGGAAGCCGTCGTACGGAGGAAGCTATCAAACACATAAAGAGATAAGGATCAAAGAGGTCGAAGATCTGCAGAGTCGGGCAGTAGGATCTTGAAAGCGGATCGATTTGGATAAAGCTTGCAGAGCGGTGAGGCTCGAGTGGAGATCGTCGGCTTGAGCCTCATCAGCACCTGAGACTTCCTTGCGGACTACCATCCATGTGAGTCATTCAACACAATGACTCTGGTATTTTTTTTTACTCCCCTGGTCAAGTGATCAACTCTTTGCTCTTCCCTATTGTCACATTTTCACACAGCCCTGAGCACGGCACCTCGCTCTCGTCTATCACCTCGTAATCCTGTTCATACCGAGAGAGCTCGTCTCTCTTCTGTCCACCATTCATCTGCTCTCTGCCTCCCAATCAGCGTCAGACATATTCCTACGAGAACCTCTTTGTCTGACTCTCTCTCTTTCAGCCGGAATCAGTTCGAGTCTCGTCTCAGACATCTGGCAGCTCTTCACCACTTTTTCATCCCCCCCAAGGGTCTCACTTCAGTGTCGGCCAGTCTCATCGTCACAGTCGTATCGTTTTGGAATTGGAGTGATCACTGAACATCCTCGATACCGAACCAGTCGTCTCGCTCCCATACACCCCAAGTGTGGCACCATTCGGACGACGACCCCTTGGGGCTCACCTTCACCCTCCACGGACACAAGGAGGAGAAAAAGAGATAGAGATAGACTTGGGGGTCAAAATTCAAGGTCACGAGGACAACGAACGGGTCGCAGGCATCACGAGGAACCGAGTCTGCCCCAAGGGAAAAAAAAGGTTGCCCAGCGGTGATCTGACCAAAGAAGGAGACGAAGGAGCAACACCAGAGTCCCACTTCCAACATCACGCGGACAGGTCCTCGGGCACCACCATCGCCGTTTGAGCTAAGGCTTTAGTTGAACTAGCACCACCCTCCCCTTCTTTTTGACGCGCCGCCGAATTCCTCGCCCATCATCGAAGCCAAGCTGTTGGACGATCAATCATACTTTCAATTTCACTCTGAGAAAGGCTTGTCAACCGCATCGACCTTTTCGACAGGAGAAATCTGGACCTTGACGTCCGACCGCCATCAGACCGTGTTGCTTGGTAAGTTCTGGCCGCTCCGATCTAATTCCCCACGCTTTTGTGAACCCCATCTCGTCTTCGTTCTCGCACACACACACACGCACACACCCGCTACACCCACATCCACACACAAACACATCACGTCAGTGCTGGTTGTAGCCATTATTTGGCCTGTGCAACCTCCATCTGACCGATCCAACCCCTTCTTCACCCGCAGAGGCTCCATTTTTCTTGGTGTAACGACGCCCACAATATCTTGCATTCCATTCACTCCCTTTCCTCCCCTGACGATCATTTCTCCACGTTCTCCTTCTCCACATACGAGTCCATCGTTTCTCATTCGCTCATCTTACCGTTGTACAGCGTGTGCTACTGTATCGTCGACGACGACGGCGGCGGCTTAAGCCAGCGAATCAAGCTCATAGTCTCTGAGCTCTTTGTTGTCCAGGTGAGTGAATCTTTTGATTCAGTGATCCACCACTATATCTCCCCCTCGCTCGCCTCTCGACACTTTTTGCCTTGGTACACTGCATCCCACAACCCTTCCTTTCACTTGCACAAAAGACGACAACGACGACAACAACGCGTCCACGTCCACTGTCATCCCACCGTAACCTTCCTTTCAACCCCGTGCATCCTTCGACCCTCCTTCGTATCAATCACACACACACATACACACAGGCGCTGACTTCTTCGGTCTTTCTTTATCACTCCACTCTCCATTTCTTGTCAACTTCATCTGTTGGATCTGCTCATATAATCCCTTGGTTCCTATCACTGTCTGTCGCCATCGCCATCGTCCTTGTCCTCACCATCACTCATCGTGAACCACCCCCTTGTCTTTCCCCTCCTTGTCTGTTATGGCTGCTCGTTTCACTCTGTAGCCCGCTCAAGCTCACTTGGATCATCCATACAGCTCCACTCCCCCTGTTCAGTATACTCATTGGTAAGTGCTATCATCTCTGTTTCGATCTCTGCCACACATCCACCGAACCGTTCTCGTTATCCTTCATTGGGCTCTGGGCTACTCTCTATAGTCGCTGCTGCTGCTACTAGTTCCAGACCCAATCTTCTTATTTTTAAAATTCACTCCTCTCGGACGTGGGCGGCGGCGGCGGCGGCAGCAACAGGGTTTTTGGGTTATCTTTTTGACTTTTTATTTTATCCGCTGCTTCCTCCTCCATCATCCTGTGTCTCTTCATCCCATCTCCTCTATACCTAACCACCATCCCAATCCATCCTCTCACCTACAAACACACACTTGTGGTCGATCCACGCCCCCTCCTATCTATCTACACTTTCACTTTTGCTGGATTTCTTACTCACTACGCCTGTACGTCATCTCGCGCGTTTCTCTCTTGCGTCTTTTTTTCCACCCAAGAGCCAGAAAAAAAAAACAGCCCAGTTGCCGCGTTTGGGCATCCACCACCCTCTCTCTCTTTTTTGTCTCTTTCGCTTTGCTCATCATCGACCTTCAACCTCGACACCTTTCTCTCTCGTCTCGTACTCTGTTGGGCAGCAGCAGCAGCAGCAGCAACGACGACGACGACGGAGGCTGCTGCCACCCACCACCACTCCTTCATTCATTCATCCGGTTTACCCTTCCCTTACCCTTTTGCCCTCGTCGCCTCATCCATCATGTCTCGGTTCTCACCTTGACCTCGCTGCTGCCGCTTTGCTTCCTCCTCCTCCTCCGTCATCTTTGCTTGTAGCCCATCTCCGACTTTTGTCATTCACCACCCACTTCGACACGACACTGACTCGGACTTCTGTAGCTAGCTAGGACCCCCTTCTTTGGAACCTGTATCGAATCAACCTTTAACCCCCCCCCTCCCTACCTCTCACCATGCCATACTCAAATCCCACCTCACCCGTCCCCTCACCCGTCAAAGAGACCGTCGTTCACGGTCACAATTCATGGTTACATCACTACTATGATCAAGACCCCTACCGTGACAGGAAATCAGTTCTTCACACCCCTATGCCAATCCCTAGACGATCATCAAGCGGTCAGAGAATGCCAAATGGGAGGACGAGATCACCCGCGGCGTCTAGGACATCGAGTTATAGTAATCACGCCGGACCCTCGTCAGCAGCCAATGCGGAAAACGTGTCTGGTCCTTCCACTCCAGTCGATGGATTGCCCAGTCGACGCAGTGCTTCGACACCACCCGCGTCGACGCCCAAAACCGCTCTTGGCGTCACTGGTCTGCCTTCTCGACCCGAATTACAGGCAGACACAACGACGAGTGAGAGTACTGGCTTGGGACTGAAACTTGAACCTTCGCCCGAGAAGCCGATCCCGGGTTTAACGAGAACGTTGAAGGACTCAATGGACTCTACATCGACCATCGAATCGTCACTTCCTCCCACGCCTGCCGACGAACCGCGATCACTTCCCATCTCATCCTCACCCGAAGGATCACCCACCAAAGTCGCGTCAATCAAAAAGGAAGAGGATGACAAGGAAAATGCAATCGCGACAATTCCTTTCCCTCCATTCGAGCCCCCACCCAGTCATCGCACCATTCATCTGTCGTCACCTCGAACATTCTCTGACACGCCCTCACGTCCCACCATGATGGGCAGACGTGGATCTCACAATGGTCAACGGACCGTCTCGGCACATGCATCTTCCCTCTCGATCGACCTTCCTTCTTCTTCTTCGAACAATGGAAGGGGTCAATCGCTCGAACCACCTGCTCGTCCTTCATCCATGATCCGAAAGAAGTCTGGTGAAGTCGTCAAGCCCTCCCTCAAAGTCCGATCCATGTCTACACCTGACTTGTCGAGACAGCCCGAAGAAGAGCACGATGATCCTTCCGATCACGAAGGAGGACGCCCTTTTGGCGAAGAGCGATCGAAATCAGTACGATTCGCCGGCGACGATGATGACGAACCTGGAACGCTGGAGAATGTCATCACCTTCCTCAAGGAACAGCGACCTGTCCAATTAGGACAGGAAAACATGACCGAGACCGAGACGGAGAATGATACAGATGCTTCTGACTTTGTTCAGTTCCGAACGCGACGAAATGCCGCTGCGAGGGCTATTGATGAGGCCGAACGCATCGTCATGGAAGGCGGCAGTCGCGTCCCTCGAATCCGCGTAGACTTTTCACCAGACGCCAGGAGTGTCTTGGGAAGCGAGCATGTGGTGCTAGAACGCGTCGACATGGCCACGCCGGGCCCTTTGGCGCTAAAAGGAACTGCTGTCGTTCGAAATGTATCCTTCAACAAATGGGTCGCTGTGAGGTTCACCCTTGACCACTGGCAGTGAGTTGCTCACCGGAGGTAGGGGGTGTCGTCGTGCTGACCCTGTCCAGAACCGTCTCCGAGGTCTCTGCCAACCATGTCTGTCATATTCCCTCGAGCACTACTGGAGACGAAGGATGGGATCGTTTCAGCTTCTCCATCAAGCTTGACGATTACAAACGCAAGCTTGAAGAACGCCAGTTGATCCTTTGTGTCCGATTCTCAGTCGACGGCAAAGAATGGTGGGATTCCAACAATGGAATCAACTACAACTTCACCTTCAAAAAGGCTCCTCCGCGCCGTGCTGTGCGAAACTCTACGCCACCTTCACTAGGCGCCAACTTTGCCTCGGGATTGCATGGAGCTCGTCATCGTGCCGCCTCACCTCTGGGGTCCAGTGGAGCTGATATGAATAAGGCTTTCGGTGTTCCTCCTCGATCCCAACACTCGACTGGTCCTCGTGATTGGGTGTTTCCTCGTTTCTCTGCGAATCTGATGGATGAAACTCCATCTCGAGTCGACTCGCCCAGTCTATCTCCACCTCCTGCCGCTTCCTTCAAAGCTCCAGGCCCACCTGACGTCCACACCCATCTCTCGCTCTCAAAGTACTGTGCACCCTCTACACCTGTTCACTCGCCCGAAGTTCGGACTACTCGCCCGCTGGAAGAGGTCACGACACCTGAGATGCGCTCGACAATGAACGTCATGGGCGGTCAATTGGCGACTTTGGCTCCGCCTGAAGCTGATTCGGATCACATTCGATCAGCTAGCTGGAGCGGCAGCAAGACTGGATCATGGGAGTCGTTCAGCAAGGCAGTCGAGAAGCTGGACACGGACGGCGCACCTGGAGCGCCTGCTGCGTCCTCGGATGACACATCGGACATGAGCGGATACGAGAGTCCCGATACTACGCGAGTGGCATCCGATGGAGATTCGACACCGCTAGCTGGATCAAGGTCTCCCGTCGGTCTACCAGAGGATGGGAGCGAGGGTGAAGGATCCGGCGGATCATCTCCTGTCTCCCGGCCATTAACACTCAAACGATCCACTGGGAATCTACAAGCTTTGAGAGACGCCGCGGAGCAGGACAGCACTGAGACTGAGGAGGAGAGCACACCTTTGTCCTCCAATCTGTCTTCGCCGCCTTCTCCTCGAATGGGTTTGCCAAATACTCTTGAGCTCGGCTCGCCATCGCCTAGCGCTTCGACAGGCGACTCTAGTCCTGTCAACACCATGTCCATGGATAGCAGTGTAGCGGATTTGACGAACCTCGATCATGACAATGATCCTTCGGTCGAGAGAGGCAGGTCATTGGACCTAGATCAGAGGTATCAGGAGCTAGTGAGTCACGGAAGTCATGTCATCGAATTGCGCTGAGGGACGGACCACCCATCAGATTGAAAAGTTCTGCTTTTTCCGATCCCCTGGCGCCACCCCAATGGAAGAGAATGCCTACAATCAGCCATTCCGTAACCCTCGGACTCAATTCTCCACCAGTGGAAGCAATAGCCCGTCTGGATACTTTTATCCTGGGAATGGAGGTCCTAACCGTAACCGATCACCTCGGTCGACTCCCACGCCTCAAGAATACAATCACGAAGCCGATGCTTTCAGATTCTTGACCAATATCAGGGATGAGGAGGAGACGTTTGAACCTCGTCTAAGGTCTCCCGGAGCGATCAAAATTCCACCTGGTATCGTGGAAGGAGACGGAGGACCTGGAAATCTCACGCCTAGAGCCTCACCCCCTTCGACCACTGGTGCTGGAGGTATCTGGAGAGCCCATGATGTTCAGCAGACGCCTTCGCCCGGACTCGCAAACTAGGCAGTGCATCCGTTCACAATTTGCTCGACACGCCAAAACCCCCTTTTACGATACATCAAGTCGACCGAACCCTTTCACTTTTCTTGTTGTGACAAACTCTTGTCACCTGTTTTCATATCGCCTTTCGTTTCGCTAGCGTATACACTCGACAAACAACCTCTTGACGCCTTGAGACGCCACGGATCGGATACTGGATCCACCAACAACAAGTGTATCGCCTTTTCTCACCTTTGGTTTTTACTTTTCTTCAACGACTTTACTGTGTCCACCAATCACTCTCACACCTACAACTCCAAACCACTCGCCTGTAGCCGCTTTTTTCAGACTTTGGGAGTCTCTTTTGTGTTGGAACCCACTAGCGTCTCTCTTTCTCTCTTTCACTCCACAACTGTGTCGCTTTCTTTTTCTCACTATTATTTCGCTCGACTGGGAAGAATTCAATATAAACACCCTCCAACTGCATCGATATATCAAAGAACGCACCCTCTGCACTGTACGAATAGAAACTCCTCGTTTCGACAAACAACGTCTGGACTTGGAACCTGTACGATTTACCCGATCAACCTTTCCCCACACCTGCCGCTTCCCTTATCTCGCCCGCTCCCCGCATGACATTTCAACCATACACGTCGAAACGTTTTCAAGGCGCTGTACGCCGGACCGTTTTCGGAATTGATAGACTTTGGGTTTCTTTCTTTGCACCTCCCCACCCCCCTCCCCCTCTACCCATATATATATTACGTCTCTGACCACGCTGGAGATCGCTTGGTCGAGGACAATCAAGCTCGATGCTTGATGATCCCTCTGTTTTCATACCTGTTCATACCGTTTCATGCATCACAGTGTAACAATGGCTTACGTCTGGGGTGGGTGGGTCGCCAGTGAATCGATCAAGCTTGCCAATCATAGGAGAGCCATCCGTTCTTTATACAGTAACCGAGGATTACAATGAGACGATGAGAGATTGTGCATTGTCACGATGCGAAAGTGCGACGCCGCCCTATTATCCCAGAAAGGTGCGTTCGTTGTGTGGCGTGGCGACACTTGAACCAACAACAATTCACTAGCTCGTCGGTCGTCAACTTGGCGTTGCCATCGATACCGTCTCCTACATACTCACTCTCTCACTCTCTCACTCTCCTTCCTTCTTCGTCTATTCTGGCCCTACAGGACCATCTCATGTGAGGATGCCGAAGAAACCAATCACCCCCTCCACCGAACCAGGTTGGCGAAGGCTCACCATCCCACGTAAACGCCCCCGCTCACCAAATCCTCCACTCTCAACGCCTCGACCATTCAACGCGGAGATCTTCGGTAACATTGCGAGGATTCTGATCGATGAGGGAGACACCACCGACACTGAGTCCTTCGCCCTCGCCAACAGCACCTGCTTCCACGCCGTCGTTCCAAGGCGATGGCATTGTGTGAAACTCAGATCGCCAGAAGCGGTGCTCGCGCTCCTATCTGGTCTACAGGCGGTCTCTCAAAAGCGAGAGTCCTCATCAGATGCTGGGCAGAATTGTGCCAAGAGCCAGCGGTACGAGTTCTACCTCGCTTGCATGCGACATCTTGACATTGATCTAGAATCCTGGTATCACACATCGGCAGAAAAGAAAGGACCTTCCGAGTTGGAGTATTGGCAGCCCCTCACTGACAATCCTCCTGAGTTAAGGGAGCTGATCGCACTCGACACACTTCGAGTTGAAACGATCGACATTTATGATGGCTCCGTTATCTGGCTAAACATGGTGTTCAGCTGCTTCCAAGCGCGCCATCTGCAATGGCAGGCTCAAAATCTTGCTGAAGAGTGGTACGACTGGGGTATCTGGGGCGAGTCCAGAGATAAGATCGTGGAGACTCTTTCTCTACGATGGGATACGGAACGTCTCGAAAGCTACGACGTTCCAATCCCTTGCCCTTTGTTGCCAAGCGAAAAATTCCGAATGGTCATCTCGGGTCGAATTGTGTGGGACCTACCATCGGTACTGAGGAGCGTGTGGTGGAAGGAGGTAGGATACGAGATAATCTCAGCGTATATGACCGACAAGGGATGCAATCACAAGGTTTCACTTCGAGGACCCGTGTGGCTTGTCCTCAGTCCTCTGGAAAATTTCAGAAACATAACAAACTACTTCCCTACCGAGCCTGTCTCGGTAGATCAACTCGAAAGCGTTCCAGAGGAATGGTTCGAATTCGTGCATGTCCCCTTCGACACCTTCGAGGACCTCGGAGACTTATGGAGAGCCTGTGTCAAGTTGGACATCTGGAGTGAGGCACAAGCTGAGGACAGGGAGGAAGATTTCATGAGATTGGTGTGTCCTGAGGAGGCAGACTGAAGCGAGGCAGTGCCGGTTCTGGAAGGATGTCGTTCCGCTGTTGTGCATATTCACTATCAGACATTCAGAGAGCAGATCAGAGCCTCTCAAGTCTGGATTCTTGCAAACACGAGAGTCTCAACAGCATGCATGGGTTTCTCAAACGCAGCGTGGGTACAAAACCTTCCGGCCCTCCCATCATGAACCAACAGCCTCACCGTCCTGTCCATTTCTGTCTTGATTATACGCTCTGTTACAGTTACAGGGAAGAAAATGCATCGATCTCGCTAGACCTGCAGTCCCTCTATATACGATCCTGGCTTGGTCGAAGGTCCATGCTTATGGACATTGGTGCTTATTGTTCTCTAGACCTTGCCAAGACCATTTTCGGCCGGGACAGAGCTTCTTATCCGTCCCTCGTAACACTCCCTCTCGAGATAGATGCTTTTACCACTAGATACTGCTTTCCCTCGTTGTGACAGATGCTGTGTCGTCCCAACTGGGTATAGTACTCAAACCTTCGATCCACTCGATCCCTAAGTCTCCTAGATCCATCTGGGAACTGTTCCCATTGCCATTCGAGCCTTCCGGAGGTGTCATCTGGCCTCACTGTCGATGCAGGTCGTATAGAGTAGTCCAATATCAATGGAAGTCGACGATGAGTAGATCCGCCACGATCGTCCATATTCGGTGATATATATAACGCCGATCGATCGTTCTTGGCGCTTGACGACGGTCTTGCCACCGTCATCCTTGACCTTTCTTCATCTTTCTTTCGATCGTGAGCTCGCTTTTGATCCCTCTCACGCTCCTCAGCATAGAACCGACGCTCCAGATCTCTTCTACGCTCTTCTGTGACCGTTTTGGTACCTCTAGCGTCTTCAGAGACCGATTTTGGTGGGTGGCGACATTGTGCACGGTCGTTCTTCCGTCTCGTCACCATACCAGCCATATATACCTCTCTGGACTCTTCTCCACTGACTTTTCCAGCCTCAGGAGGTCTCCTGAGGCCTATCCCCTTCACATTCGCAAGATGGCGGGGTGTAGGTAGTGGTTTGGTGAGCATATCCGCTAGTTGATGGTCTGTACTGACGTATCCAAGGTAAATGGTCCCAATGTCCACCAGTTCCCTTAGCATATGGTGCTTTACATCGATGTGCTTTGTCCTCTGGTGAGTCGAGGGCTTGTTCGCGAGCGATATTGACCCCATATTGTCGCACCATAGAGACGTCGCTCCCTTCGACGGTCGGTTCAATTCTGCCATGATTGATCGGAGCCATTTCGCTTCTCTAGCAGCTTCCGATGCTGCAATATACTCCGCTTCGACCGTCGATGTGGATTCCGTGGCTTGTCTTTTGCTAGACCATATCACCGGTGAGTTATTGATCTTGAATACGTATCCGGTGGTCGATCGTCGAGTGTCCTGACAACCTGCATAGTCCGAATCGACCCAGCCCTCAAGATCCTTGGTTTCTCCTCCCAGCTCTATACCGACAGTTCTAGTCGTGGCTAGGTAAGCAATCACCTTCATCGCCAGTTCCCAATGTTTCTCGGTTGGTGCTGATAGATACCTCGCTAGGTATGACGAAGCGAACGATGTGTCCGGTCTAGTGCTTGACGACAGCCATTGGAGGCATCCAATGACCTCTTGATATGGTGTGAGTGGATCCATCACTGTTTCCTTATCACTCTTGTCCTTTTCTACTGGCAACGGTGTCTGTCGTGATCGCTTGCCACCGGGAAACCTATCAATGATATCATCGATGTATCCTGGTTGGCTCAGCCATATCTTCCTTTGCCTTCGGTCGCGAGTGACTTTCATCCCTAGGATAGTGCTGACTTCTCCTAGTTTGGTGATGGTCCATTCTTTTCCGATCTCGTCCATCGCTTGGTCTGCAACTCCATTCCCTTTTGCTGCGACCACGAAGTCGTCCACATACACCAATACGATCACCGGTGACGCTCCCTCTCGAATGTACACACCCCAGTCCGGATTGAGCCTTCTATATCCAAGTACCTCGAGCCTCTTCTTTACTTCTTGCCACCAGTTATGAGCTGACTGTTTTAGTCCATATAGTGGTCGAAGCATTCGAAGCTCCGCACTAGGTACCTCGAATTTGACACCCTTCGGCTTCCGCACATATATTTCCTTGGTGATGTGTCCATTGAGGTAAGCTGTCTCCACGTCACCTTGGACTAGGTCCATGTCCTCGCTGGCAGCCAAAGCCAATATGATCCTGAGTGACGCTAACCTTCCTACAGGTGCAAAAGTGTTCTCGAAGTCGACACCTGGTACCTGTGTAAAGCCCTGGGCTCCCAGCCTTGCTTTATACTTGGTTGGTTTTCCATTGGCGTCCCTTTTCAGCTTGAACACCCATTTACAGCCTATAGCCTTTCGTCCTTGGGGTATGACTTCTTCTCTCCAGGTCCCCTTCTTCCTTAGTGAGTCCAATTCAGCATCCATTGCGGCTTTCCATTGACTCCAATCAGGTCTTCCTTGGGCTTCTATCACTGATAAGGGATCTCGTTTGACACCATCACTCATGGTCGCCATTGCCATCTCGGATGATATCATGGCAGTCCTTTGACTTCGAAGTGATCTTGGCTCATTGACATCCACGACTATATCCTCGAATACCCTCTTCTCTGGTATATGCTCGTATGTCCAAGATGGTTTGACTTTGTACTTATTGTCCACAGGTTCCTCTTTGTCCTCAAGTACAGGCTCAGGGGTCTCGATCGGGATATCGATTGGACTTTCTATCACACCTTGGCTCGCCGGCTCATATGGTTCGATGGGCCTTCTGATATCTTGTTTGACCTTTGGGGCCTGGACTGCTATCATACCGTCCCGGCTGCTCTTGACGTCTCGTGAGCGTACCAGTTCCCCTGAATGATCCAGCCTGACGATCCATCCACTAGACCAGTGTTCTTGACCTAGCAAGACGCCCGATGCTCCCTTGTCGACGTCGAAGGTCGATCTAGGTCTTGCACCTCTGGCTCCCTTTGGTATTTGGACGAAGCATCTTTCACCAAAACGTCTGATGGTGTCGATCCCTTCTCTCCGACCTGTCAACCTAGTCCATGCTGGTATGCCGTCCCTTCCATTGGTCTTCATCAAGACAACTCCGGCATACCTTGCGGCATACGACCAGTGATCGTGAGGGAGGTTCGAGTCCATCAGCATACAGGACATCATATCCTTTATGGTGCGTATGGTTCTTTCGGCCGCTCCATTGAGTTCCTGAGTGTACCTAGGGCTGACATATCTCTGTATTCCAGAGGCCTCGTAGTATTCTTTGGCTCTATCACTCTCGAACTCCGGAGCTCCATCGGATCGAATAACCCTCACTCGAACACCAAGTTGCTTTTCGACTTTGGCTACTGTACCAATGATAGCGTCCATGGCATCCTTTCGACTGGATATTGGTATAGGGAACACCAGCTTCGACCATCGTTCGATACAGACGAGCAAGTATTCCATACCGTCCACGGATCGGTCAAGAGGTCCGGCCACATCCACATCGATAGCAACACCCTCGATATCACCGATCAGTAATGGACTCGATCCCGGCTTGGGATCTCGAATGATCTTCTTTGTCATGCAGACTTTACAGTCCGTCATCTTAAAGCCGTCCTTCTCTAGGTCCTTTATGTCATATCGAAGCTTCCCTTCTTTTCCCAATGTGAGCAATTTGCCGATCCCTATATGTCCAAGTCGCTTATGTTCTTCCTCCAGGGGTGATACACCAACCGTGGCCATAGCGTATGGTGATGTAATGACGATCGAAGGTGACATCCTTCCCAAAGTCGTGGTCCACAGTGATCCAGTCTTCGTGAGTGGGATACTATTCCCTTGTCGATCGATCGTCCCTCCTGCTTGAGTGAGATTGGTTCTCCATCCATGCTTTATGAGTCTTGACATTGACAGTAGGCTAACCCTTGCTCCAGGTATATGGTATACCTCTCGCATTACTATCTTTCGTCCTCTATTCATCCTTACTTCAATGTCACCGACCTCACAGGCCCGCATTGATCCTCTTCTGTTGGCTAGGCCAAACTCGATCGGAGCTGCCAGCTTCCTGACATTCTTAAGAAGGGCTCGGTGTGGTGTAAGATGGTGAGTAGCTCCACTGTCCAATATCCATTGGGTGTCTACCCTTTCCCCTTCTACTGTTATGTCATCCATTAACAGACATGCTGAGTGCTCTGTCCAGGGATTATGCTCCAGGTCGTCATCACCAGTCCATGGTATCACCTCATCGGGCCAGTCCATCGGCTCGTCATTGGACAGGTCGGCCCAATGTAATGCTGGATCCTCCGCAATGGTGATCATGGCCCAAGCATCCTCAATATCATTAAGCGATGTGGTGAGTAACCCTGTGGCTATCTCTCCTACACCCTTGTCCTTGGAGTCATTCTTTCTATCGTATCCTTGCTTGGCTGGCTTCGGACAGTCTCTCTTTAAGTGTCCTGACTCTCCACAGTTATAGCATCGAGCCTTCAAGATGTCAGAGCCACTCCGCTTCCCTTTCGGTGCCTGCATCCCCTTCGAGTTCGCTTCTCGACCTTTACTATACTTTGATCGATCATTCTTCGTCTTGGGGTTGTCACCAGGTACACTTTGCGTCATCAAAGCATAACCTCCTCGTCGATCTCGATGGACCGGTCTAGCCCTTCGTCTTGCACTTTTGGCATTATACTTGGACAATACCCAAGCCCATGATCGATCCTCCGAAAGTCGCTGGTTGATCTCGGAGATGACTGGACGAAATGACTCCGCTAGGAAGGTCTCAGTAAAGGTTGCAGCCCTGTCCAAGTCTGTGAGTTCCATCCCAACCAGCTTCGCTTCCATGACGACCCTTGAGAAGGCTTCCACATGCTTGGCCATCTCTTTGGAGGTTGCATCGTTCCTGAGATCGAACGAATAGAGCTTCTTCTTGATCATCCTTTGGTTCTCCACAATACTGAGCTGATGTATCCCTAGACAGTATATCCACATATCATGTGCCGAATACAGATCCTCAATGTCCAACTGGATGGCCATGGACACCGATCCCTTCAATATGGCCTGTGCTTTGTTCTCCCTAGCACGCCACTGGATCCATTCCCTCCTTTGATCCGAAGTAAGAGGTTGATCTGCTTGTCCTTGTGTACGCTGATGGGGCTCCAGGGACAATGCTCGATTGGGTTGTTGTACTCTGGTTTGCCTCGGGAGGCCTGGTAACAGCCCGTCTTGCCCTGTGGATCTTGTCCTTGTCATCCCTATGGTCGACGGTGTCGGGTATCCCCTTTGGGGTACTACCCCTGGTGGAGGTCTGGACCCGGGTGAGTCACTCTCACCCGTTCCTAGGTCGGCCGAGCGGTCGGCCGAGCTCTCCGCTATGATATTTCCTTCCCTTCCACCATGCGCCGTCGCTGACGATGGTGCAGAGCTCGGTGATGTCTCCCAACCTTCTACTCCTCTTACTGGCTCCACATCCTTCCCTTCGACCGTATTCCAACAGTCACTCAGCTGGAATTGGATTGTTACTGCAGATCTCCATGCAGCAAAGGTCTGTGGTTCATGTGTGAGCTTCGGGATGTCCTCAAGGTTGATTCTCAACATTGTGAGTTCTCCTTTCTACTTGGTGGTAAAGTTCGACTGTTAATCTGTTACAGTTACAGGGAAGAAAATGCATCGATCTCGCTAGACCTGCAGTCCCTCTATATACGATCCTGGCTCGGTCGAAGGTCCATGCTTATGGACATTGGTGCTTATTGTTCTCTAGACCTTGCCAAGACCATCCTCGGCCGGGACAGAGCTTCTTATCCGTCCCTCGTAACACGCTCCTTTTGATTCGACGAGACCACTTTGATCCATCATCTAGAGATGAATGCTTCATCATCGGCACCCGAATGGATGTAGAGGTATGCTGTTTTTGAAAGACCCTAATCCAACCGTATCATTGCCTTCAGTGGGCCACAGGAGCTCTTCAACGCCAACAGTAGGATTGGCAAAGACAGATACAGTACGATCATGCCTCACAATCTCACCATCCTGTAATCTTCGCGATTGTTTTCTCCGGCCCAAGCGATCGTCGGGGATGTGTGGTGAAGATGGCTACAGTAGAGCGAGACGCTTGGAAGGGGATATCGGGGTCCACGATGCAATCAGCAAGAATGGAAGAACTTCCCCCCTTCTTGATCCGAGTACATGGCAAATTGGCTCCGAGTTTAGCAACGTCTGGGATGATGATCGCGAGGATGAAACTGCCAATCGGTGACTGCAGAACGGACGATGCTTCAGATGGCGAGAGCTTTGCAATTAGCGCCACAACGGACCGTCAATCTGAAGACGATGTGTGGTTTCATCATCTCCGTCCCATCGGCCAAGGGATCGGGAAGACCGGGCCGATATTCATCCGAGAGTCCGCACTCAAAAGCCAAGATGGGAGACAGCCTGCTCAGTCTCTCATCCCGACCTCCCACTACCATGGCAGTCTCAATCACCCCAGAAGGAAGCAGAAAGCTCAAAGAGCTACTAAATGAGCAGACGAAGTATATCCCAGGATCGTACTTGAGCATCGCCTCTCCCAACGAGCTCATCTTCAATGAATGTGCTGGAAAGCTAGACATGCTGGAGAAGGGCGACGATGCCAAGCAAGTCTCATGGGGAGATGTGAATTGGTTTGCAAGCACTAGCAAGCTTCTGACTTCAACCTGTGAGCCGTTCACTGCCCTTTCAAAACGGTCAGCTTAAGAATGATGCAGGCTACCTCATGTTGGTGGATGAGGGCCTCATCTCGCTTGACACCGACATGCGCAAGCTGTACCCTGCGCTGGACAAAGCTGCGGCTCGGATCTTCAAGGGTCTGGACCAAGAGCAGAAGCCTATCTTTGAGACCAATGACAAGCCGGTTACACTTGGTCAGATGCTCAATCAATCTAGCGGGTTCGGTATGGAGTTTGGCGACAAGGTGCCTGAATGGAAGAAAATTACGGAGAAGGGCAAGGGATTCGTGAACAGCTGTAAAGTGGTCAGTCTGTTCCTTGTCCTTCCGAATGGTCTGTACCTGACAGTACTACTAGGAAAACCTCATTCACACGCCAATCACCTTCTCTCCGGGCACGCATTACGAATATGGCAATTCAGCCGAGTGGTTGGCCTTGATGTTTCCGACCATCTCTCAAGGTAGAGAATATGAAGAGTTCCTTCAGGACCGCTTGTGCGGGCCTCTGGGTATGAAGGGCACGACATTCTTCCCCTTCGGAAAGGCTTGGGACGATCGACTGAGAGTCCTGAGATATGCCCGAGATGCTGGCGGACGACCAGGTGGGGCCGCCGCACCGGGAGAAACAGTCAAGGAACCCAAAGACTGGACTTGGGAGAAATTGGATGGCCAGTTGGACCTTCTGACTTTACCAAGAAAGTGAGGCCAGCTGCTCTAGCTAGGATCTGAATCAGACTGATACCGACATCCTCAGACGAGAGGAGATAGAATACCCAGCAGGAGGTGGCGGAGTCTACTCGCGAACGTGTGACTACGTCTTGTTACTTCAACATCTGATGCGACACTACCTCTCATTGGATTCCTCGTCCAATGTGACACCTCCCGCACACCCATTGCTATCTGACTCCTCGGTCAAATCCCTTTTCTATGGCACTCTCAGCCAAGAAGCCAGACCCGCCATGGAAAAGATGTTGTCCTGGTACTTGGATACCGACATCAGCAGTGGAGAAGCAGATTGGACCACCGGTATGTCCCTCTATGCTCCCAGAGAAGGGAACACAACGAGAACGTGGGGCAGAAAGCGTGGCAGTGTTGGCTGGGGGGGTGCAGCGGGAACCATGTACTGGATCGACCCTACAAGTCAAATTGCGGTGAGTCCTTAGACATCTCAAGACTTGTGGCTATCGCTGAATTCCTTTCAAGGTCGTTTGGACGACGCAAATGCTCCCCGGTCAACCGGACTACATCAGACAGGGAAAGAAGGATATCGAGCGCCTCATCTACGAAAGCTTGGAGTCACGATGAGAGATCTGACTACGTGTCATGCATCCACTGTATCTGTAGTCTTGGAGACCCGGGACTGGGCGAGGCAAATCAATCTGAAAGTGGTAGTAGAGGCCAGAACCTCCCAGATACAGGGGAGAGCCCAGTGCATGGGATCAGTGACCGCGGAGGGCCAGTTTTCGTCATCATGGCACGCTTGTTGCTCAGAGATAGATTGCCATTCTTGTCGAGCTTGGCATCAAAAGCTGCATCTGACCATCGGTACCCGGCAGACATTCGCCGGATTGCCAACACCTCATGTGATCCGCCCAGAGCCTCAGAGTCCAAAGTGACGTAGTATTGCGGGTCCATGTCCATTCCATGAACACTCCTTGTCTGTCCGACACGCATGTCGCCGGTGACCGTCACTGGAGCGGTGACAACCCTCATACACAATGATCCGGGATCCAGCGAATCGGGGCATTGCTCTTCGGTAGAGAAAGTCGCCGTCCCTGAGAAGCTTTCCCTCTTGCATTTCTTCAAGAACTCGGGGTCTGCCAGTTCTGCATCAGTCAGCGGCACTAAGTCGTCCAAAGTAACGATCACTCGGAAAATCAGAGTGGGTGCCGCCCTTGTCATCAGTGATGTCCAGGTTGGGGATGAATGAGATTCCGACCCGATTGAAACTCCTATCATCAGCGATGAAGAGAAAGTCGGCATCAGTTGCCATGTCGCCCTCAGTATTGTACTTGTCACGGTACTGATTAGGGTGATGGTATATTCCAGTGAGTTGCTCGCCATTGTCCTCCGCATTCCGTAGCTCGGCGTATGCGTTGCCAGCGCCGGACAACAATTGATAGAGCTGGCTTGAGATCTGTTAGGGCGGCCCATCGCTAGCAGTGGTACAAAGCGATCGCTGAGACCCTTTATCACTGCTAGCAGCTCGCCCGACCACAATAGGGCCGCTGCCAACCACGGTAGAGAGGGCTGCGAGAGATGCAAAGGCTTTGTAAGGTCGCATGATGGGCAAATGATCTTGGTAGTCCAAGACTACTGGTCAGGAAGAGTATAGTGGCCCAGCAGTGGGCAGGCCGTAGGTGGGAAACACAGCCTTTCATATACCTTGGGGTGTGTGCCGCTAGCGAAGCTTGTGATTCGCTTACACGGGATGCACTCAATCCGTGAATGATCCATGAAAAGAGCGTAACGAGGGAAGCCAATCAAATGGGGCGAATGCTTGACACGCATCATTTCGACATACGCTTCTTTGAGACGATCAATTTCCATTCTCTCCTTGATGCTGGGATGGTCGTAAGTGGTGGTCAGGCAGTTCAGCACTATGTTGAGACCACCTTTCATCCAGCATGCGTGAAGGAGAGCGCCATTTTATAGCTCACGAGGATAAGACAAGGGGTTGCATCTGAATTGCACTGAACTGTTATAATGTTTGATTAGCCCAGGCAGTGTCTATCAAAGGATGTCAATACAATGAAGGTTTCATTCACCAGGTATACAAGATCTTACTGTACAATGGATGATTGCAGAATGCATTGTCACTCTGCTTTGGCGCGTCCTTGATTTGGACTTGCGCCGCCCCATCCGAACCAGCTACCCCGTCGCTTGTCAGTCATCGCAGGTCTTCCAGTAGGCGTGCCCTGCCCGAATTCGGACTGGGAGATATTTCGTACTTCGTCTCGGTTGACGTGCTCATAGCTCTCTCCGCCAAACCGGCTAGCACTAGTTGATGCACTTGCTCGTCCGAGGCTCTCCTGGGACGAGTGCGCAGACAGCCCATCGCTACCGTCCCTACTTCCCGGGAGGCTCATTCCAGGTCGATGGGGTGATCCACCGGGAAATTGGCTGTTTCCAAAAGACGGCGGAGTAGGTAGAGGACTGCGGCTCCATGAAGAGTTGTGATCATCACGCGGGTCATGTGAACCGGACTGAGATTGCGGAGCGCTTGCTTGTTGGTATGTCCTAGAACGTAGCGACCCAGTGTGGTCCGCTTGATTCACTCGAGGGGTGGGCATGGCCATGGATTCTGGGACTTGCATGGCCACGGGTGTCGAATCTCGATCTTGACGAGACCGATTGGATGCCGCAGCGGCTTGAAGAGCAGATAGCGCCACGGGGAGGTATCTGAACCACTCAGCGGCTGATGGACACTTGTCGACTCACTGGCCAGCATATCTGCTCAATAACCCGTAGAGTTGCAGAGCGGGTCCAGATGCCGGATCCTGCATGCTCGGTGGTTGATGCGTTGGGACCGCAGGCTGATGACTGCCCGTATTCTCAGAATTCGGCGAGACCTGGACACGATCAGCATGCCGCCGTGAAGCGGTGTTTGTTCCTCACGTTCAGTTGCGTCTTGGCTTTGTTCCAAGCCCATTGTATTGCCTCGGAGACAGCGGTACCCGCCCGGCCTTTCAGAGATGTTAAGAAGCCGTCGATATCTGTCTCATGATCACGAAAAAAGGGAGCCAATTGTGTTCGATAGATCCAAGACGATCCCTATGGTCGTGTGAGCAGAAACAAAACCAGATGAGTACTGTCGACGCACTCCTGACTGCGGTGATGAGAGATATATGAAGACGACGGCTTTGATGACAGAGTAGAACGGTAGCCTATAGCGATCCCTGTTAGCTTATATCCGTAAACTTACGGATGTCCATGCTCTTTCCTCACCACGTAAACGTCCATCCGACCGCGGCCTCCACTGCAGTCCAAGTTCCGACGACAGACCAATACATCAACCACTTCTCGACCTGTGCCATGGCTTCCGGGCTTGACTCAGGGGTCATAGACAAGGCCTTATAAGAGGCATATGCAGGGTATAAGAAGCAACAGACATTGCTAACCATTGCAAGTCATTAGCATCCGCTCATTGCCATCGGAGAAAGGAAAGGCTGGTGGCGGCGAGCCAGTTGAGTGGTAGTATTCATCAGGCCATTTCGCCACTCACGAGCTTAATCTTGCCAACATTCCAAGGACCATCCTGTCCTGCGCTCGTGCTGTCCTCGCACAGTCTGTGATATGTACAACGCTCGATTGGACGAGTCTATGCGGATGATGGACAGCGGACAGCGGCAAAGCTGGCGCGTTCGTCAGCCGAAAGACCGGAAAGCGGAGTCCGCCGAATGTGGCTATCAGCAGTGAGACGTGGCATGTGAGGGCTTCTTGCCATGGAGACCATATGAGCGAGATGATGTGAACGCTCCTATGTCTGCAAGATGAACATTTCATAGCAAGCGTTGACCCGAGGCTTATGAGGCTCAAAACGTTTAATCAAATTCTACAGAGATGCAGGGCACATACATGTCCAACCAAGGAGCGCACACAAAGCTTTACGTTCCAGAACACAATCGATTCTCAATCTCAAGCCTCGTGGGCTTTGCCGAGATAAGCATCCCCCATCGCGGTCTTCGTCATAGCATCGTGATCCATGCGAGCTTGCCCAGCGACGACTTTGGCGAGATTCGGAGCGTCGGAATGCTTGCTACCCTCGAAGATTTCGTCAATCTCCTCGAGGGTTTTCCCTTTGGTCTCCACCCAGGTGAAGATCTGGTGAGACGTGAAGGAGAATCAGATATGTGAGAGAGAGTGTGTGTGTGAATCAAACTCACAATGACGATGAAAATAAGGACATCCCAGCTGGCATTGACGAAATACATCTTCCAGCCAATGTTTGCCAGTCCAATGGGCATGAGGTAGATCAGGACAAGACTGAAACGGTCAGCTCCCAGAGCATGGCCTAGGAGACCCACGCTGGGAGAGCATTGCAATATTGCTTCAAGGTGTAGCCGTTGGCGCGAATGGAATAGTTGAGAATCTCAGGCGGGTACAAGGTCATCCTGGCCTGTCAGTCATAACGCTTCGAGATCCTGGATGGACTCACAAAGGTGTCCAAGCGATGGAGTATGCACCCTGGAAGAGGAAAATACAGGCAACATCGCCATAAACAAGGGCCTGTGAGGCGCCTTGGGGATTGCTCGCGTACATTTTCGACAATCCACCAATGATAAAGAGGAAAGTCGTGAGACTGAATTGACATAGGAGGGCAGTAGGCTTCCTACCCCAACTGACGGCCAATTGAGTCCCTGTGAGGCAAGTGACGAGGCACCAGACGTTTAAAACGACGTTCTATGCGTATTTCGCGTCAGCGGTCGGCGTGAACCCCTTTCCCATTGACGGAGACCCCGACTCACTGCTTTCAATTGATCCTCTCTGTTCGTAATACCAGCGGTTTTTAACTCGTCCCCTAGATAATAGGATGCAATGATGTTGCCCACGATGCAGCTCATCCAACCTGGGCTCGTCCCAATGAAGAGTCGACGTCTAGACACCTTACTCTTGAACATTTCGAGGGGTGACATGGTCGAGTGGCTCTTTTCGTATGCCAACGTGTCGACAATCTCTTTAAACTGAACGAGAACGATCTGCGAGTTCATATCTCCGTCTGCGTTGACCGAAGCGAGTACTTGATGTGCATCGTCGTGCAGTCCTTGTGCTGCAAGCCATCGAGGAGACTCAGGTCTACATGAGATCTGAGCCACAAAGTCTCTTTGCACTCACATGAATGGGAGTAGGACGATGCAGATGATCGCAAAGATCCCTTGGAACAAGCACGGTGCTCTCCAAGCCCATGTAGATTGCCATTTGGATGTACCGAGTGTGACGCCAGCCGCGATGAGTGCGCCCACACTGGTGGGATGGACCGTCAGCGAATCGCCTCAAGATGAGGAGCGGTGTCGCTTGCTAATAAAAGTTGTTCAAGATGCCCACTCCCCAGGATCTCCATCTCGCTGCGAATGTCTCTGAGAGATAGACTGCTCCAGCCACACTTGCCCAGCTGGAGAACAGACCCAGGATCGCCCGACCGGCTACGAACATACCGATGTTCTGAGCGGCCGCCATGATGATGACTCCGATGATTGAGCCCAAGGAGGACCAAAATATGACCGGTCGTCTCCCAAGTCGATCACATAGGAGCCCTGAAGCCCACAAACCGAGGATCTTGCCGATGTACACGGACGCAGTGTTCAGGCCTGTTGTTGCCGGGGTGAGATTGAAATAGTCCTTATATACGGGCAGGATGCTGAGCATTGGTCAGCTTGGACTCGCGCAGACACCCAACTTGAGACCGTTCAACAAGGAGCCATCGAATCCGTTGGTCTTTGAAGCCTCTTCAGCGCTGTCCGTGTCATTGTGAGACTCACCGCACTCTCCACCATCGCACAGAATAACAGAATGAAGGCCAAGATGCCGCTGGTTTGTGGCACCCATGCCGGGAGCCACGTTCCCGTGTTGATCTTGGTCAACATGGTCTCAGGAAGGAATATAGACAGGAGAGGTATCGCAGAGTACAGAACACGGGAAGAGCGATGTTGCCCCCCTCTAGTTGATAGGCCTTTATTAATACCCACGGCCAGGGCATTGCCAAGCGGAATGGATGCATGCGGACTCATCCGAGAGTGGGGTCAAGGTTTGATGGAGACTAACTCAGGTGGGGCCGTTATCGGACCGTCTACGCCCGCTCGGAATCTTATCGCGCCCAGTCTTGCTCCTCGTTGTCTTGAGAGACGACGGCGCTTATCTTCTCGGCTTTCAGAGAGCATATCAGAAGCCACCCAGCAATCTTAGGAGTCGACGTCGTGGGGGCCTGTTGATAAACGCAACTAATGAACCGATTCGCCTCGTCTGTTCGTTGCACAATGTAAGCAGGAGACACTCCACGATAATAACATGTGACCAAAATGATTGGACAGAGCGATCGTGAGCAGCCAGATCCCAGAGAATGAGATCCGTTGTCTTCCAATTTCGTTCTACCTTTCATGAGAATCAGTTCCGGTCGACTGAGAACACATGCTTATGGTACATATATCAATAGGGAGACTAGGTCCCATCCATTATTCCAATCGCCTTCGTTCAGCCAAAAGACCTCAAACATGACATCAGCCACGACGTCTCATGGGAAGTGGACCGTAAACGCTCAACAGCTGGTCACTTCGAGTGCGGATATTGAGCACCGAGCCTGGAGTGTCGGGCAGCAAGAGCCTCAAACAGAGACCTTCGATCTGGACTCTGGTTCTCAGGCGAAAGGCGAGTCACTGGGACTGCAAAAGAAAGGCAATACCATTTGGAGGGAAGCTGGGACCTTTGGCATGAGCCTCAGTGGCTTTGCCTTGGAGGACGATATTGAACAAGGCGCTCGTAAAGCATGGGCTCTGGTCAGAATACCGCCGGTGGATCCCGATAATCTCGCAGAGGAAGGCACGATCGACACAGCCCAGCTTACTTTGTTTTTTGGGACCCCGAAGGATGGCGGAAGATTTCTTCAAGATAGCAATGCAAGAATCTCTTCACGTTCGCTATACTCCATCTCCCTAGGGAATCGAAACGGTGAGGATCCAGAATTGATCAAGTTCAATCTGGGCATTCAATCGTCTCTCATGAAGGACGGACAGCAGACTGTCGCTGCCGAGTATTACCCCGGTCTACACATGTTCCAGCTGGCAAGTGCGAGCGCCTCAGATGGTCTGAGCCACATTAGGGCCGTCTACGTTCGTCCCAGATTGGGGTCTGGAGCGGACAATCGAATCCGAGTCCTGCAGTACGCAGAGGATGGGAGCACTACAGGAAGCTGGCTCAATGTGGGCCAGATTCACAGGAACAATCCCACTCAGCCAGTCGACACAGAAACGGAAGCTGATACACAGCCCGAGGCCACGTCCCGAGTGTTCGTTGATTTCAAGCTGGAGTATTCGGTATCCCCGCCAGAAGACCGAAGCAAAGATGAGGATTCCCCAGGTCCTTACAATACCCATGGAGGGAATCTTTCTGACCTGCTCGAAAGCCTCTCTATCATCACAGCGCACTAGGAAAGCAAGCAGGTAGTTGGAGATGCCGCGCATGAGTACACTGGCAACGTAGACACGAATCACATATCCCTAGCCAGAAACTCATACGTGACTTTGATCTCTACAGGATCTACATTAGCAATCTCCAACTTCAAAGGAATATGGCACGAGGTGACTGTCACGAACACGCACTATTGAGTATGCGGCTTAACGTCCTTTCCGACAAGGCTTAAGACCATGCTACCCTTGATGCTGTCGGGTCTTAAACGAAACCTGGCCACTAAAGTATTTCAGACGAAGTTGTGGCACTTGAGAGTCGTCAGTATATATGTAGTTTCCGACTTCGAACCTGTGAATAACGCTGTCGCCCCCTCTACTGCCCCCTCCCCGCATCCTGGCTTGTACTAAGGCTGTGAGGCGAGAAGAGGATCTTCATGATGATGTGAGGCTTAGCCAAGTAATTCAATCTCATAGACCTGCATGATGCCCATGGGTACATACCGTCAATTTCGGCTGGACCCGAGCGCCAGACTTGACCTACTCTGAGAGGATCCGAACCGTGACACTGTAATGTACAGTCTGTATCAGTCAGAAAGTGCTGCCGATCATGCAGATGGGAGCTCGACGCAACGCAAGAGGGACGACGTATGCAGGCTGTCCTCATGCCGATGACTGTCGAAGGCATCCTTTATCTGGAATTTCCTTCACCCAAGTCATGTTCTGAACTCCGACAGAATGAGCCTTACTAGAGCAAGCGTGGACATCGGACAATACAGACACCCGTCCACACATTGTGCTTTGTCATTGCCACTTGCTCGACTTTCTGTCTCACCATTGTCATCATGATGAACCCGGACGTGCCCTCTGAATCCATCCAAAGCGGGTAATACTCCGTCCACAGCGCGGATATTCAGGTCACTACCATCGCCACCGAACCGACAAGCATGTCGTTGAAGGAGATCACAAGCGAGAAGATAAATATTCATCCTGAATCAACAACAGCGGCATCGACTTTTGGCTTGGAAAGCCCAGTAAATATCCTCTATGCCCCTTCATCTTTTTGGGTATCGATCTCCAATCTCGAGCTGAGCCAGCGGGGCCGTGCTTCCGGGCAAACCGGCCAGGTTTTGGCACTGCTCACCTTGCCGGACCTCGTGGAAGATTTAGTGGACGAGGAGGGCAATCATGAAGCGTCTCTACTCCTCTTGTTCCCTTCTGGAGATGAGGAGTGGAAAGACGAGACCCGATACGACGGGGCCTTCCTCTTCGATCCTTCCGCTCGAGTGGCAGCGGATATCTTCTCCCACGTACAGGACGAATCGAGGAAAGCCGGAGTGGAGCAAGTCGACTTCGAAATGGGCGTCAAATCGCGCCTGTTCGCCGTGACAGATGAAATTGACTTGAGCCTATCGCTTTTCCCCAACCTCCGCGCCTTCGACCTTAGCGAGCCTCAGAGGGACCCTCTTTCCGATAACTACCTGTACCGAGCATTCCTTCTGCCCTCCACCATCGATGACGAAGGACGAAGAAGAGTGACTGAAATTACAGGCGACGCCACTTCAGTGACAATCAGGCCAGTGTGGCACAGAGCTGACGGTAGCGTTGAATGTCGTGAAGAGAATTCCGACACTGAAGACACGTCTCCTCAAGCTACTCACGAATCACTCAGCGTCAAGCCGACTCTACAGTCCGAAAGTAGACACAGCCGTCGAGGATTGTTCAAGCTGACATTGGAACCTGCGGAACAGCCCCCAGACTGGAAGCTAAACAAATCTGCCAAGTCGAGCGGGAGCGATGAAGCCGTCAACCGCGGGTCAGGACAGGTCACAAGAAAGTATACATTTGGACTTGACAGTGCTCGCCGGGCTAAGATCAGCGTCAGATCTTGATCAAAGAGCTTCATCTACGTATGACTTGTGACTGTCAGTGCCAAAGCAAATGTCTGTGTTCAATGCATTAGTCCCTAAAGCGATGGTCACGACTCTGGGACCACTGTTGTGTTGGTTCGATCCAGCATGAATGTAGTTCGATCTATAATTGATACAGGTGGAGCCACTATCCCTCGCCTTCCCACAGCAGGACTCCGAATCCTAAGCAGATCATGGCGACTCCAACCAAGGTCTGAAAGTCAGGGATGCTGCCACCCCATACAGCATCAAAGACAGCGACGAGTCCAATAGTCAAGAGATTGGCAACGGATGAAGTCGTTGGTCCCCAAATACCAATGAGGATCATCAGGCCAGCATTGTAGATGGCCCCACCCCACGATACGATGTTGAGGTCGGTCCAGATTTCCATGGCGGATTCTCCTCGACTCCCTGGCCAATGAAATGTTTCCCAGCCAAGCCAGTGTAGGATTGGCAAAGGCATCCAGAGGAAGAAAATCGTAGTGAGACCGATACTGCTCGTGAGAAAGTTGGCCAGAAGTGCAGGGGGCAGCTGGAGGGAGTCGGCTTCGATGAGCTTGGAAGGGAGATTGCGAGAAGAAGAGTCTGACGAGGCTGGTGAGGACGGACGACTGGTTTTCGGAGCAGCATCAGTGCCTGCAGGAAAGCGAGCAGCAGTCGGAGAAACGCGAAGTGGAATGTCATCGCTTCTAACAGTCTGGGAACGGCCTTGGGGTCGGGGTCGACTAGGCGGAGGGGTACCTGCCCGAGATACAGGCGGGGACTGATCAAATTCGGCAGCCTGCGTAGCGTGTACAGGCAGCTCAGAGTATGCAGCAGTAGGAGGACGTGATGCAGTCTCTGGTGGTTCCTCCGGAAGAGCTAGCTTGTAAACCACCTCGTATAGTCCAAGAAAGATGGCACCTGCAACGCCATGCGTCAGCATAGTCTGGCAACGTGACGGCACACTCACCACCAGTCATGATGATATCTCCCAGCACCCTGTTCTTCGGGCCATTATCCACTGACGTCCCATTTGACTTGGACGAGCCCGCGAAAACAATGACCAAAACTCCGGCAAAGGCCATGCAGATGCTTCCGATGGTAATCCGTGATAAGGGTTGCTTGAGCAACAACATGGAGAAGAAGTAGGCGTAGAAGGTACTCGTGGCGTATATCGTAGTGACATCCATTGCAGTCGTGAAGACTACAGCGATAAACCATGATAGCGCAGGTAGGGAGATGAGCACGGTCATCCCGATAGACTTCTTGACCCAACCAGGGGCTATTTCTCGCCATGTTGCCTCATGACCTGAGTGCGTGAGATCCATTTGGTCGCCGATGACATTTCTTAAGCCTTCTAAGTATACTGCAGGTCTTATCGATGGCCGAAAGATCCATAGGATGAGGATATGGAGAGGAAAGACAGCGATGAAACTGACATGGGTGAGAAAGAATGCGAAGTATGATCTGCGCATGTCAGTCAAATTTAGAATTGGAACTTACTGATTGTAGTTGAGCTCCACAAGGAGATAATGTGCAGCCTCAGTCTGACTCGCGGATGCAAGAGAGATGGACAATAGGATCACAAGAGGGATGATGAGTCTCCTCAACAAGTTGCGCCCAGAGACAGATTTGACCGATATAATCGAATCGAGAGAGCCATTGGAGGTTGAGCGTCGATGTGATACTCTATCAGAGGAAGGTCCAGTGAGCGCACTCATGCTGGTGTCCACTATTATAGCTGAACGGCTGATTTCTCGTGGCAGTGGTTCGTCATGATACTCTCCTGTCGTTTGGTCGTCGAGACGAGACTTGAAGGGTTGATTCATGTCTCTCCTAAGCTTGATGAGGACCCTGAGACGTAGGGAAGACCAGGGAATACAGAGTAGACTTTTGGGGGCATTCGTGAGGACAAGCAGCAAGACTGAGGAGCAATGTGATGCGTCGTTGTGATTCGAGCACGACGACAGGCGAAAGAAAGATGGTAGAACTCAAGATGAAACAGACATTGAATGCTAGATTTCGGCTCTAATAATCCGGCAGACGGTGGGCGCATGTCTAGGAGCAAACCTCCTGCAAGGGTCTGTGGCTGCCCAAGCATACATGGTCATATACGAATGCAAACCCGTGTTTCGAAGCGGTCCAAGTGAAACCCAATCCTCAAGAAGTACTCTTCTAATTCCTTACTCCCACCACCATCTCCTAGAAGTCTCCACCACCACCGTCAAAGTCCCCACCTCCTGTGGTTGCCTGGTCAGCCAAGGGAGTGAATCAAAGAGTTGGGAAGCTCACCACCACCATCATCCATAGCACCATCTTGGAATCCGTCTTGGTAGGCGTCCATTTGTTGCTGTATCGAGTAAGCTGCCATCTGACAAGGTTGCACTGCAAGCTCACATCTGCCATCATGTCCCCGATGAGCATACCACCTAACAGACCACCACCGACTCCGAGAGCGGCCTGAAAGCGGTCAGCGACGTTCAAGCATGTGTGCACCGGTGGCAGTTGAACACCTACCGCTCCTCCCGCACCCATTCCCTGTCGTCTTGGCGGTCCGTATCCGCCACCGTATCCTCCCCCATATCCTCCACCATAGCCTCCACCATAGCCTCCACCATATCCTTGCTGCATCATGGGCTGTTGAGCGTACATGGGCTGCTGCTGGTACCCTCCACCATACTGCTGTTGTTGGTACCCTCCATATTGCTGTTGCTGTGGGTATCCGCCACCATATTGACCAGAAGGTGCATGTCCTTGGTTACCGCTGACCTTGTTCAATAGTTTACCGAATAATCCACCACCGCTTCTCTGTTGTTGTTGCGGTGGCTGTTGCTGCTGTTGATACGGCGATGACGATGCGTTGTTCTGGTTGTTGTAGTATGAATCGGCCTGTCCATCCCGCTTCTCTTCGGTCGGAGCAGGTGACTTGCCCGGCGGAGGACCAGCTGGCGGTGCATAGGATTGGGGTTGATCATCGGCGGGGCTAAATCTCAGGTGAGCAAAACGTGCAACTTACAAGATTTGCTGCTGCTGGACTCACTGTGTCCATTGACTCTTTGGACCTCCAGGTGCATTCTTGTTGACATAAAACCATGTTTTGTGGTCTTCGTTGAATCTGATAAATCCATGATCAGTGTCGCTGGATCCCCACACCGTGTTCAGGGGGGGCCAAATCTGCCAAGCTTCCCCCGCGACTGTTATACTCACTGTGTGATCCAGCCGTCTGGCAATGGCCTCGAGTCTGGGTTACTCTGTGTAACCATTTGGTCAAGGGGCAAGCCAGCTCAAGCTACGATCGGATCCTCAACCTATGAATGTGATCGCCACCGAGTGATTGCTGATAGCGACGTTCAAAGATGATCAAGGACCATGGGATGAATGGAATATGCCAAGACGTCACCGGTAAAGCGGGATTTACAACCGTGGGAGAATGGTGCCACGTGGCAGCCATGGCACCGCTTTTCAATCCCCCTCCCCCGGCCGCGGATCGGAGGTGTGAATGAGTGAATTCTTAATGTTCCTGGCTGGTGGCCGGTCTGTACTGTTCACTGTTGACGATAATGGGCGCATCGACCTGTGCATAATAATCACCCAGATCCGAATATTCCACAGGGCGTCATATAAGGGCTCGAAGCTAGGAGTAGAGGCGACTATGTTCATGGACAACATCCCCCGCTGATCCCATCGATGCACCAACTCTTCCACCACCTCCTCTTGGCGACGTCGCTCGTGGCGATCGCGAGTGGCAATGTCATTCGAGGTGTCAATCTAGGCGGTTGGTTACTGGTGGAGCAATGGTATGTGAAACAATCCCTGTGTGCGCAGCTGATCAAGGCAGGATGACGCCTTCCCTGTTTTATGACACTACCGCTGCGGATGAATGGCATCTCTGTAATCAGTTGGGCAAGGAAGCGTGCTTGGGTTTATTACAAGATCATTGGAGGTGAGTCATGGGAGACGGCACTGTCGCTTATCTCTGCGTCAGTACATTCTATACTCGGGACGACCTTGTGGCCATCCAAGCTGCAGGACTGAATGCAGTGAGGATCCCGATCGGGTACTGGGCCGTCGATCTGCTGGACTACGAGCCATATGTCTCTGGTCAAGTAAGTTTGCAGTTTTGTAGACGATTCTGACCCATCTCACAGTTCCCGTATCTCATCCAAGCGGTCAACTGGGCCCAAGAACTAGGCCTGACAGTCCTTATCGACCTACATGGTGCACCTGGGTCTCAGAATGGTCAGGACAACTCTGGACTCATCGGCCCTGTGCTATTTGCGACCAATTCTTCAAATATAGATCGTAGTCTCAACGTCATCCGAAATTTGACGCAGGAATTCTCGCAATCCCAATATGGAGGCGTAGTGACCTGTAAGCGATGTTCAAGGCAACACAAGGCTGATATATGCAGCTATCGAGCTATTAAATGAGCCCAGATTAGGCAACACTTTCAACATGTCTCAGCTCAAATCGTTCTATTCCGGCGGCATGTCTAACATGACGTCTGTGTCGCATGGTCAGATGAACATGACCATACACGGTGAGTGCCCTCCAGCGGGAGATCGACTGACAAACACCAGACGCATTCTGGGGGCCTCAATACTGGGCAGGCTATGATCCATCCAGCTCTGGAGAGTCCTCTATCCCGACTGTCATCGACACTCATCAATACTATGCGTTCCCACCTCTTGGAAACCTGACTCATCATGCCATACTCCAGTCCATCTGTAACATTTCGTATCTCCTCAAATCTACCGATCTGAATCTCTTACCTACCGTGGTGGGCGAGTGGAGTTTGGAGTCTGGTAAGCAATGTGGCACTCGATCGACATTGACCTCGATCCAGGCAACCCACCCAATACCTCGAGCTCAGACCAGAACGATGGCGATGATACGGCCAAGCGCACATGGCTCAGGCTCATGTTTGAGGCGCAATTGGCTGCTTACGAGCCAAATGGCCCGGGTCAGCCTTCACTTGGGTGGTATTTCTGGAGCTGTGAGTCTCGGAGGTACCATTTTTCTTCCCAAACTGAAGCGAGTCACAGGGAAGCAGGAGTGGGACATCGATACCTGGTCATACCGCATGGGCATTGGAGACGGTTGGATCCCTTCAGACGTCAGCAACATGTCGCAACGTGTCTATCCGCTCCTTTCTAACGGTTGTGTGGACGCCGGTTTCAACTATACAGCTCCCCCTCTGTCCAGTGGTTCCTCGAGTGGTGGTGGTAATGGGGGTGGAGGGTATGGGGGTTATCCACCCTATTATTATGGTTCATCTCCAGCCAAATCTGCGCCATTTCTTCTCTCGTTCCTCTTGGTCATGCTCACTCTGTACCTGACGCTTTAGATAAACATATATAACGAAGATAGATGTCTAGAGTAGTAGTATCTTTGTAGCGCTATTTTTCTTTCATGGGATGTCCATTGGTGCCACTCGCTACCGTGGAAAAGATGACTGTTGATGCCTTTACGTAAAGGCGGATCCGTGACGATCGTACCGAGACATTTCATTAGTCGCAACTTCTAGCTGCTGTTTTCGTCAAGATCAAGGTAGCCAGTAGCCACGGCTGGCTTCCGTCAGCGAGCGACAAGCATTTGGAATTCAGCAGGAGTCAATCAATCAGGAAAGCCAGACACGGGTGCTTAGCAGGCAGTCGTTCTGATCTTCGGAACGACCTTGGCTGGTATCATATCTCTATTAACTTCGATCGGCAATGTCTTTACTCGCCTCTACCATAAATGGAGCAGGGTATGTCTTGACCAATGGAGAGGATAAGGATGTCGGTAATGGCTTCGAGGTATGGGGACTTAGACATGTCTATCAAACCTCACTGACCCTCCTGAACAGTTCACTCGTCGCAAGAGGTGGCCTCAACTGTTGATGCAGGAGTTGGTTGGGTCCGCCTTGTTTTGCATCAAGCCAGTCGTCAAGCCGAGTACATCCGGAGATGCTGGAGGAGTGCAGTACACCTGGAAGGTGATTGAGCGAGCTCCTTCGGCACAGCTGACAGCTCAGATCATGTTCGTCTCGCCCTCAGTGGAGGAAATGATCGGTCAAAGTCCAGCCGCATTGGAGGGGAAAGACTTTCTGGAGATCGTCCATTGTACGTTTTTTCCGCTAGCCTCATATGTCCGAAGCTGACTGGCAAATACTCCAGCTCCCGATCGTCCTCAGTTGAAGAAGTTCTTTGTCCACCTACTGGCTCCCAACCCCAGTCCACAGAATTCCGATTCATCCACTACGACCATGACTTCCCTCAACACCCCGTCTGGACCTGCGCTGCCTATCGGGACCAGTACAAAGTCCGAAACCACATTCATCCGTGTTGAGACCGTCCCCAACACCTCGAAGAAGGCGTCTAGCAAAGATTCTGTACCCAAGAAGCCTGGCCAGGTCGTGTGGGAGGTTAGAGCACACGCTACAGGGGTGGAGAATCCAGGTGAAATTGAAGAGCGAACCATGCAGCTTGGTACGGGGATGAATGGGACCGTCAGTCAAGTAGAAGGGAAGAATGGCGTGGATCTTAAAGGCAAAGCCATATGGGTCATGGGGCGGAGTACCGCGGAACCTACGGGAGAATCTGATGGAAATGCGCAATCGTCAGTTTTATCGCCTTTCCCCTCAGCTGAGACAGGAGCAGCCTTGATGCGTTTCTCGAGCTCAAATTAGAGAACGAGAAGCTAAGAGAAGAGCTCAGAGAGTTGCAACAGGAATATGGCGAGGACGATATGCGTGGGTGGAGTTCTCGACTGATCAAGGAACTTGACTAACCTTTCTCTGCAGCGATACCATCCTATCTCGATGCATCTCCCTCTCGCCCCTCGGCGAACTTACAAACACCTTCCTCTTCGGCATCAGACGACGAAGACGATTCTTCCCTCGATTCGTCTTCGCCATCATCACCTGACTACGCTAATGCGACGAAACCGAGTGTCGCTGGCAAAGTGGGTCGTCCGCCTAAAGACCCAGCGGCTAGAGAGAAGAAAAAGGCGAAGAAAGCCGCGAATGCTCAGACTGCGAGAGTGCAGGCAACGGGGGTAGAGGGTGGAGAGGGTATGCACGTCTGTGTGACCTGCGGGTGAGTCCCGGCCAGGTACAGCTGGTGCAGAACCCTATTGATGTCATTGCCCTTGTAGACGGACAGATAGTCCCGAATGGCGCAAGGGACCGTTGGGTCCGAAAACTTTGTGCAACGTCAGTCTTCACTTTTGAGAGAGCTTTGACAGGCAATATGACTGACCTGCTGGACTCCAGGCTTGCGGATTGCGATGGGCAAAGAGAAATTCTTCAGCACCGACTCGGAAAGAACGCAAGGCAAAGTAGGGATATCCAATGTCGCCAGGATCGAGTCTTGACACAGCATGGCAGTCTGGCCGCAATGTATGTATATGTATTAGTCCTACCAGGATTGTGTCACCTGAGCGGGGACGGCGATGCCCTTGCATTCTCTGACCGGAAGATCAAGCAGAAGGCATGACAGCAATCACGAGTCACGCCGGTCGTTGCATTCTCAGTGCATTCTCAGAAATTCATATCTCGTCTTTAAATGATCATGTAGCCCGATTATTGAGTGCGGACATTCTCGGACTAATTATCGATACTGATTCCTCCACCTTGGATCGTCTCAATGTCTGAAGTGTCGAGCATCCGGCCAGTGAGATCGAGCGGTACACGGAAGCTCTGGGTATCACTATCCGTATCCGGGTCGACGAGCCTGAGAAAGTGAGCTAAACTCTGCCAGTATATACTCACCTGAGGCTTCTAAGGCTTACTGCGCCCCTATCCGTTGTAGGAATTCTGTAAATCTCTCAGCTAGCTGATAGTGCCGTCATGTTCTTACGGAAAGACTCACACGATGGGCAATTCCTTTGTTCGTTCAAAGGCAGATCGGAGCCAGTTGGCAGTCTCAGAGTAGTCGTTCATGAAAGCCGACGCGCTAAAAATTTGCTCAGAGCCTTCTTTGGTAGGAGGTATGATGACTGCGAAGGCTTCGGCCACGTCAGATGTAGAGTCAGTGACCACTCCGACCTTGGTCCCCGGGATGGGACATTTACTGGCCAAGTCTTTGCAGATCTCGTACTGTTTGGACATTCGGCAATCGATCGCTGCCGTTCGAGTTTCCTGATCGAGTCGCGCCTCGAGGTCCTCTATACTTTCAACGCCATAAGGACCTGACCAGCCTCGCTCTTTGTTGAAGAATGAACACCTGGAGAGATTCTTGAGCAAGTCGTCATAATTGACGCCATCTTTGCTTCCCCCAGAATACAGATCCGCAAGATCATACCTGTTGCCGTGCGTGATTGTTCCGTCGGCGAGCGAGTTCTGATAGCCTTCGAGGCGGCTGAGGTTTGTCTCATACTGAGCCTGATTTTTGGTTCGAGCGAGACTGACAATCTTGCCATTGATCAGGTGTTGTCCCGTCAGACCTTTCAGACTTTCATCATCCCATTTGAATTCAGACATATTTGAGCAACGTGATCTCGATTGTAAAGATTGACAGAGTAAGTAGGCGTTGGCGAAGTCAGATATGATATGAGAGAGCGGTGGCGAATGGAGAACATGTAGGGCCTTTATATAGAGCAATGTTTACTGTCAGAAGAGAAAGGACTGACTATCTGAAAGGGTATGCAGAAGTCTCCACCCTTCTATCTCTCGCGGCCTTCTGAGGGTCCGGCCCTACTTCGCCCGAAGTGGGTGTCATCCCCTAGTCCGGTCGATTACGTGGCCGAATTTGAGCTTGGAGATTCATGAAAGGATTGCCAAGGGATGGGTCTGCAAAGGTATAGGCATTCGACACAGTGGCGACGCTTGATTACACTCCTCGAGTCCAATCGTCTATGACGCTGTCTCTCCAACCTCGTTTCCGCCTCAGGTACTCGTTCTCCCTCTTGACATCGTTCACAGCTTCGCCGGGTCTCAATTCGTCGAGGCTGAGACCAAACGAGGCGGCCAGTTCGGCTCTTGTCTCTTCCAATTCTTGGCGATATACTTGACCGCGAGACGCCGAGGTAGACAGTCTCGTCTCGTAGTCTTCCAAAAGCATCGCAGGCCCTGAGGTTTTGAGAACTCTGCGACGTGATGAGTTTGATCTCTCTGTTCAAGGACTTACCCGGCCAGCGACGCGCCTACCCAGCTGAGGAGTCCAGGCGTCCACTTAGGTGCTACGCCAGCATTCTTGAGCGCTCCTTCGCCTTCCATTGGCGATGGATCATTGAGGATTGCCAGCTTCGACGCCAAGGGATACAAAGAGCTATACGGCTCGAGGTTGCGCCTACGGCCGCGTATCGAGTCCACCTTCGGGCTCTCAGTCCCGGCTATTGAATCTAAGCGTAGCGGATTCACTGGCTGGTCAACTTCCATGTTATCGGTTCTCGACGAATCTGGTGGCGGTCGAAGCAAGCTGAGCAGAGATATCCTGAGCCGTTGTATCAATCCTGATAGTGATGATGTGCCCCCCGCCACGAGTATCGTGGATATGAGCAAAGGCCGGAGATCGACAGGTAGCTACTCCAAAGTCAGTCGTCACTTATGGGCACTTAGATTCACCTTCAGAATGGACTGCAGGACGATAGTTGCCAGCCCGTCTGATTCTCCCTCATCATCGTCATCAAATAGAACCTCAGCTGCCCGTTCTCTGATCCAGCCAGGTACCACCAGCTCCCCCGGAGGGAGCCCGGAGCTGCCCGCAGGGACAGAGAATGTCAGATCTTTGGCGACGGAGGCCATCTGATAGCGAGACTTGAGACTGTCCATTAATAACACATCGTCCATCTCCTCGACTGGTGGATCGCTGGGTCGGTCGGTCGGTCTGGATGGGCCCAAACGGGCAAGGGCAGGTACAACAAAGCATGCCTCCGTGATGATACGTTCTATCAGCTGATCTTTGAGGACATCGCGTGATGGCCGGACTGGATGTGGTCTTGCGGATGATGATGACGGAGAGGGAGGATAATACGAACCATGATGGTGAAGAAGTGCCCTGAGACGCCTATGTAACGCGCGTCCAGCAAGTGGCGTTGACCGTGCGAGGTGACAGAGGGGTCGAGAATAATACACCTGTATCCTGTGATCAGCTTGACATGGTATCCGCATGGCTCACTGGTGTCACTGTCGTCTCTAACCATCCGATGTCAATTACAAGGCCGGTGATTCGTCCGCTTGCAGCGAGCGAAAGTAGACTAGACGATGTGAAAGCTAGTGAGGGAATCTGTCGCTCGTGGTCAGGCCTCTCCAACCTCGTCCCAGGAAGAATCGTACCTTTAAATTCTCGAACAGAGCCTGAGCAATCATCTCTTTCACCGCAATGGGCAGAAAGGTATTCTCTACAACGATGACTTTTCTCAATTTTGGATCGGACATGAGGTGTCTGCTGATACGCATCAGAATGACCCGATCGTCGCACTGACTTGTTGAATACATCCCGTAGCTTTCTCACCAGCCTCACGCCGACCAGCCTTCGACCCTCTCGCCTGTCTCCTCTACATCCCTGTAATTTGCTCATGTCGAGATCCCAAATCTCAGAACCGTCCTCATCTCGGTCACCTTGAGCCCAGAAGACTGCTCGGGGTTCAGTCTCCCCTGAGAATCCCACTTTCCATACACGTGAGCCCAGGCTGCGCACAGATGAGCTGGATGTAGAAGTACCTCATATTCTTCATAGCTCACTCTAATACCACTCGATCCTCTATACCATACAGCGAGTGCTTGCGTGAGCTCTGAAACAAGCTTCAGTAGCGTCCGACTTCCGAGCTCACATAGGCCGGAGAAGCGCCCGACGGTCTTGATCTACCCGGTGTGTCGACGAAAGTAGGTCTCTTGACAGGTGTCAACGTCGATGGACCTCCTTCAGACAGTCTCGGTGGTACTGCTGAAGCCGCCATCGCGAGCGATATATGTATATGGACATCTTTCTACGCGCTCAGCTAGCAACGACCCGAAGCTGAAACATCGGACATTGCGCTGACGTAAGCCGGCATCGGCTTCAAGATTTTTTTCTGAACGAGCTCGTCCACTTTTGACCAGTCTTGTACAACTTGTAACATTGACAGTCGTTTCCACAGCGATGGCAGTGACGGTTGAGAAGAGCAAGAAGTCTGGGAAGGATTTCAAGAAGTCTGGCAGATCTGACAAGTCTCAAGCTGTTGGCACTGGCATTCGAGACGAGCGCAAGCCCACACATGCTCCTAACCCAGCCCCTGCTTTCTTGTCTGCTTTGAAGGAGGAAGAGGTCGATTTCCCTCGTGGAGGTGGTTCCAGCTTGACAGCATTGGAGCTGAAGCAGGCTAGAGATGAAGGAAAAAGAGAGGCTGATGCCGAGGCTGCTCAGGTGAGTCATACAGCTCCATGAGCAGCGTCACTGACTCGTCATGTAGGCCGTAAATAATGGCAAGAGACGGAAGGGAGGAGATGATAGACGAGCGAAACGGTCAAGAACCGAGGCAGAAGATGCAAAGAGGAGAGAAAAAGAGAAGGATACGATCAGGGTAGAAGAACTGAGTTACAAGGTGGGCATGAAAGTCTATCTCAATCTCACATCGCTGAAATCCCATTACAGCGACTTTTACCCGGCACGAGAGTACTCACTCGAATCCACACTGTCCTTCCCTTGCATCTCATTCTATCACTGCCGAACAACCTTCTGGCACACGTTCCAATAACAGAGGTCAGCTCGACACTGACTTCACTCCTTGCCGCGGAGGAGGGGTCCGACGAAGATGAGGACGAAGCGGAATCTTCATCCTCGACCTCATCGTCGTCTCCGCCCGATCTAGGCCAGCTCTTCACACCTGGCCAATACTTCCCTGCTAAAGTGCTCAACACCTACCCTACAGCCAGTCAATCTTTCATCTCTCAATACCCTATGTCCGAGACCACTCGATTAGCAGCAAAGACGGAGCTCACTTTGGTACCCGAAAAGGTCAATCTTGACATCGCGGTGGAGGATCTGAGGCAGGGCTATCAGATCACGGGAGAGATTCTGAGTGAAGAGGACAAGGGCTGGCGAGTCGGTTTGGGCCTCAACCCGGATGGACCCGGTGGCCAGAAAGAAGGGTGGATCCGGAAGGCTGGAGCGGTCGGTGAAGGTCAGTTTGTTCATCGCGGATGACTGTGTACATATAACTGATATCGCTCAGGAACGGCCCTCATTCCTGGCCAAATAGTCAACTGCACCGTCTTAGAGGCACCGAAAGGCGCTCGTGTAGTGCAGTTGGGCACAGATCCGGCCGACTTGACGAAATCTCTACTGCACGAGGTCTCTGATGTCGGCTCAATCCTCCCCGGGCACTTGACCTCTGTTCTCGTCACTGCTGTAATCCCCACTGGACTTAACGTTAAAGTCTGTGGTTTCTTCGACGGCACTATCGATATGACCCATTTGGGCCTCAAGGGAGAAGACATTGACGAGCGATTCAAGATCGGTAAAAAGGTAAACTTTATCGCCAGGAGTGCGAGCCCTAAGACTGATCTCCCTTTCTCTAGATACGCGCCAGAGTCATCTACGATCAGATCACTTCCACACCTCGTCATTTCAGTCTGTCAGTCCTACCGCATGTTCTCACGTTCAGCAGCCCGCAGACAGCGGAAGGGATAGCGCAAGAAAATGCCATTGAGATCGGAAGGGTCCTCGACAATGTCACCATCCGACGAGTCATCCCAGAGTGGGGTATAATTTGCGAGACTAGTGATGGTCTAGAAGGCTTCGTACACGTGGGTGCCTCACACAGGAATGCCGCTGAAAGTCTTCCAGATCAGTCATGCCTCCGATGATCGAGTGCCGCTTCTCACTGGCTCCGCCGGAGAGTTTAAGATTGGCTCAAAGCATCGTGCTAGAGTGATCGGTCATTCTCCACTCGATGGCGTCTTGCTTCTGAGCTTCGAGCGTAAAGTCTTGGATCAAGTGTTTATGCAGGTTGGCGAGCTAGCTGTCGGTCAGATCTTGAAGGTGAGTCACCAACGCTCGACTCCTACTCACGCATCTAGGGTACAATCCGTCGCCTGACCGACAAGGGTATCTTTTTAAATATTCATGGCTCTGTCGACGGAGTTGTTTGGCCTTTACACTATGCTGATATCCGGTTGAAGCATCCCGAAAAGCGATTCAAGGTCGGTTCGACAGTGAAAGCTCGGGTCTTCGCGCTTGAGCCCGAGAGGAATAGAGTGGTCCTGACATTGAAGAAAACGTTTGTGGAATCGGACCTCAAAATCCCAACGGGCCGGACAGACGTGAATCCTGGGAATATAGTCAATGCAGTGGTATCGAGAATCATGGACAAGGGCTGTATTGTCGACTTGTTCGGCGGTGCACGAGCCTTTGTACCTCAATCCGAGGCCAGGTGAGATTCGTGCAGACATCCAAGTCTGTAAAGCTCATATCTCGCTAGCCAATCATTCGTCACAGACTTGTCAGAAATCTTCTTTGTCGGCAAGCCCGTCATCGTCAAAGTCACAGAGGTGGACTTGGCATCTGGACGTACCATAGCTTCTGTCCGTCAAGCTCAAGCATCATCGCTATCAGACCAGACGTTTGACATCGGCGACACCGTTAGTGGTGTCGTGGCTCAAATCCACCCGGAACAAGTGGTCCTTAAGCTCCAGCCCTCTCAAGCCAGCGCACTTCTCTCTCTCAGCAGCTTGTCCAATCATCGTGCCGTCACAATCGAGCAGATACGCACATCTCTAAAGGCTGGTGATCTCTTGGACGATCTAGTTGTCGTTTCGAAGAACGCTACCAGTGGACTGGTCATCGTCGCGTATCGCAAACCCAGTATGGCCGCCTCAAAAGCTGGTACAAGCTCCAGCGGAGTCTCCAAACCAGCTCGGGAGATCGACGCTTTCAGTCCTGGGCAAATTGTTTCGGGTCAAATCATCTCCTACACCCATCAGGGGGCCATGGTGCAGCTCACATCGCACTTGCGGGGAAGGATACATCCTTGTGATGCTGTGGACGACTTTTCAATGGTATCCGGCGAGAAGGTGCATCAAGTCCTGGAGCTTGACAAGGATGTTTCTGCCTACGTGCTCAAAGTCAACAAGTCAAACAGGACTATCGAGCTCAGCACCCGACCGTCACGACTCGGCACAGGCAACAGCGCCAAAATCGTGGACAAAGAGGTTGAATCTCTCGGCGATCTAAAGGTTGGCGACAAGATCCGAGGTCTGGTCAAGAATATCTCCAGTCATGGTCTTTTTGTCTGCCTCGGTCGGGAGGTGGTAGCTCGTGTGATGATCAAGGAGCTCTTCGACGAGGTGAGCCACGCCTCAACACTACATGGACTCGCTGACAGTTGTGCAGTACGTCAAAGACTGGCAGTCCAGGTTCGAGCCGAATCAACTTGTTTCCGGCACGATCACCTCGTGAGTCCTGCATCGTATGGAGAATCAGTACTGAGAACATTTCAGGCTCGATGAGAAGAAGAAGCTCGTTGAGATGTCGCTTAAAAAGAGAGCGGCCAAGCCGGCAAAGGCGTCTGCCAAGCTTAGCTTCTCAGACTTTGTCGAGGGTCAAAAGGTGGAGGCCAGTGTTAAAAAGGTGAGCATATCTCCAGAGAGCGGAGCTGACAAGTTAGGTCGAAACCTACGGTCTATTCCTGCAGATCCACGACAGTGATGTCAGTGGATTATGTCACCGGTCAGAGGTGAGTCTGAGACTCGTTCCTCGAGATGCCAATGTGCTAATTACCCTCAGCTCTCGGACAAGAATAAGCAAGATGTCACCAAGGCTCTTAATGGCTTCCGAGAGGGAGATCGAGTTAAAGCCGTTATCGTTGGCATGGACACCGAGAAGCGCCGCATCAATTTTTCAATCAAGCCTAGCCGATTCGAGGCGGAGGATTTCGATGGCGACGGGCTTGACGACGAGGACGGTGTTGAGCTCGGAGAAGATAGCGAGGACTCTGAGGAGCTGGACTTGGAAGGTCTCGTCGACGACGACGAGGACAGCAATGAGGATATGCTGGAGGCAGATGAGGACCACATCGACGACGCAGACGAAGAAGAAGCTGAAGACCTTGTTGACCACGGAGTGGGGAACCAGGAGGGAGCAGACTCAAAACAGGTGTCCAGGGCTTCTAACGACTCCGGCAAGGCCGGTAACGGGCTTACTGTGAGGGGCGGTTTCGACTGGTCTGACGCCTCCGACAACGAAGGTGCCGAATCCTCGGATTCTGAATCTGAAAATGACGAAGAACCGATCCAGAGTATCAAATCGAAAGGCAAAGGCAAAGCTTCCTATGATCTGACTGGAACGGCCACCGATGCTCGACCAGAATCTGCCAATGAGTTCGAGCGAGCCTTGCTGGCTTCGCCCAACTCATCTTTTCTCTGGATACAATACATGTCGTTCCTTCTACAGCTCCACGAGGTAGACAAGGCTCGTAAAATTGGACGGCAGGCCTTGCAACGTATAGGATTCAGGGAAGAAGATGAAAAGCTCAATGTGTGGATGGCTTTGATCAATATTGAGATCGGCTTTGGGACGACCGAAAGCGCGGACAAAGTGTTCAAAGAGGCGGCGGAATATAATGACAAGAAGACAGTGTGTCTGAGGTACGCCGAGGCCTTGAACGAAGCTGGGAAAGACGAGGTGAGCAATCGGAACGAAACGAGAGGTTCATGCTCATACAATTCAGGCAACCGAAGAGATCTACAACAAGACTGTGAAGAAGTTTTCTCAACAGACTGATGTATGGGTCCGCTTCGCGGAGTGGTTCTTCCGCAAGTCTAGGCTCGAGCACGCCAGAGGGCTCCTGCCGAGAAGCATGAAGAGCCTGGACAAGTCGAAGCGTGGGTCGGCAACTGTTTCGTTGACAAGATGCTGACAGCATGCCTTTCTCAGACGTCGAGATCATCGAAAAATTTGCCATCATGGAATTCAAACACGGTGATGCTGAACGTGGCAAGACGCTCTTCGAAGAATTGGTGGAGCGATACAAGCGTAGACTAGACCTTTGGTCTGTATATATCGATCAATTGGCTACGACGGGTGACATTCAGGGCGTTCGGTAAGTCTGTGGAAAGCGCAACCCTCGGATCGATTCTGATGCGGAGCACAGGGGACTATTCGAACGTGCTTTGGACCAAAAGCTTACGAGTAAGAAGGCCAAGTGAGTCGATTCTGACATGGTCGCCATCTCACGTTGGCTGACGTGTGGCAGATTCTTGTTCAAAAAGTGGTTGGCAGTGGAGAACCGTATTGGCGATGAAGCTGGACAAGACGCAGCCAAAGAGAAAGCCAGAGCTTGGGTTTCTGCGAATGTACAGGTCGACGCTGCGGCTGAGGCCGAGGAATAGATCTTCCATATTGTATGCATTCTTACATCTGCCATTCCCTTCATCCTACGAATGTGCGAAACGAGCGGGGCTCCTGAAATCTTTTGCGCGTCAATCGGAATGCTTCGAGCGTTTTATGACATTGGGCCTGTCAGGCTTTACATCGCAGCGGCATACATAGATGTCCTCAGCAAAAGGCTCGCATTCGATCTCGCATGAGACTCTGTTCAATGCGTGCTCTATCAGCCTTTACATACCTGACGCCTCAGAGCTGCCAGCAGAGGGAGACGAACCAGACAGTGAATGGCCAAATGATCTTTCCAAGACTACAGCTCGCAAAGTCGCTTTCCTAGGTACGTCGCGGTTTCCAATGTATGATCTGCTGATGACTGTACAGATGAGAAGCTTCTGTATTTTGTGACTTTGACTGTCCTTTCTCATCATCTCCCATCCAGCTCGACATCTCCACCGCCAGAGCTGCTTCGTTTCCTATCTTGTCTTCAGGTCAGCCTAGTCTTGCATTCGTCTGCCTACATATAGCTGACCTCTAGCAGTTGAATCTCAACTCTTCCTTTATTCCGCCGTTGCCCGCCAAACCGACCTCTTTACGGGAGCAACAAAATGCCCCTCCATCCTCAGTGCCAGGAACCTCAATGCTCGCACCGGGGGCTGGCGATGATACGGTCTCTGGGGCTACTACGCCTATCGCCAGCACCTCGGGTCACCTACCATACACTCCTAACCCATTCCCTGTGATGAAGGAAGGCGAAGGGCAGTATGCGACGAGCGAAGGCGCGACTGTCTGGGAGGGCCCGGTTGAAATGTCGGGGAGCGTTATGAGAAAGGTCGCTAGAAGAGATAAGGTCTGGGAAGCAACATGGAAGGGCGAGGTACCTGTCGGTGGGTAAATATCCTTGACAGCTTGCGCACATACTTAGACTCCCTAAGCCTATGTTAGGACTCAAATCCAGGATCCTTTACTGAGTGTCACTGTTTCCGTGACTTTGCGCGACACACCTCAACGTTCGCCGAACGATTTGGATGAAGGGCCAGCCGAGATCGAGCATCACGGAGATGATGCAGACATCTTAGCTGGAATGCAAGACATCGATTTGCTTGGTGGTCTGACGGACGGTAAGTATGGTCTTGTTCACGCCTGGATCCACTTGCTAACGGATCTCAAGGTGGCATCGTACCTAGTTCTCGCTTAGCACATAGTATACAGCAAGACCTATCACTCCCAATCGATATATCTCATCAACCGCATACCTCGATTTCTATCCCATCGAATGGATCAACAAATGCAGCTCCTTCCACTTCCAAAATCACACCACCTACATCCGGCCTGAACCGCCAACGCGGGCTATCCATCTCGATCAAACCAACTTCCACACCTATTATTTCGTCTGTCCTCCGCAAGTCCTTCCGACGGGTTCTGACTCTCTCGTCTGGTCTTCGCGTTCGTATGCGGACATTGTTCCTCCCACAACTTCTGGCTCCCGTGACGCACGCCGATGCCGCTCACGAAGACACGCACGAGGGCGAGGGAGAGCGCCGCGTGGCCCTCTGTGTAGAGGTCGAGAACCCTCCAGAATCGTCTTTGGATTTCTCTTTCGATATTGAGACAGTATCTGTGGAGGTTGGCGGCAAAGGAGGCAAAGCCACCGCGGAGCTGGTCTGTCAACCCGAGCAAATTGACCCGGCGTCTCCACAAACATCATCTGGATCCGTTTTCCCGCTCAAATTAGATCCGGTGGAGCAATACAATCTTCTGTACAGCGTGTCCATCTCATCGGCGCCAGAAGATCGAAGCGGACAAGATATAGAGGAGGCATTGGCAAGGGACCTCGGTAAAGGGGATGAACAGCGACCTGTAGCGATCATAGTCACTGGTCGACCGTTCTCCGGTACGATTTACCCCACCAAGTCCTTTCAATCTCGGTGGAACTGTACCCTTGATCTCACTCCCTTTTACGCATCGACCTCCGCGGGATCACTCCCTGTCCCGAGTATTCCTGATGTCGAATCGAGAAATCGCAATTCCAAAACTATCGCCTCGCCACCTAATGCACTTGTAGGAGACAAGAGGTATTCTCTAGCTACACTCGCGTCGAATCGTGCTCCACCCACCCGTCAACCATTGCCTCGAGTGCCTTCGATGGCTGTGACCTCCCATCCCGCTTCGAGGGTAGCGTCTGTTGCCTCGGCTCCGAGAGAGCATCAAGGTTTGATGGTTTCCGTCAAGGTCTTGGCTCCTGAAACGCACGGCAAAGTGGTACCTCTCGAGCCTTTCAGTCTGGAAATATTCGTACACAACCGAACCGACGATGTCAGAAGGTTCAGGTTGAGTATGCCTGGACGAGATCTCGGTAATCGCGTTCGCGAGGTGTGGGAAAAGCGAAGAGTCCGTGGGCATGAAGAGCCCAGCTGGGGCGTCGACGACCCAAGTGAGTGCCTTGACAGGCTTCAAATTGGCGTACCGCAAGACGAGGCGGCGCTGACAATTGACAGTCCTGCGTCAAATCCTACTGCAACACTTGTCTTCTTCGCCCGCGTTGATCCCGTTGGAGAATGATGTTCGTTGTGGACCCCTCTTTCCTGGCGCGAGCATGTCTGCTCGTGTCCGCTTCATGGCCCTCAGGGAGGGTGTACATAAGCTAGAAAAGATGCGAGTTACAGGAATCAATGAAGATCTAGATTTTGTCATGAGGTGAGTGGCCTTGTGTCAGACTGAGCAAAGCCTGATATGATTCTCACAGTCCCGTTATCGATGTTGTTGTTGGGCGGGCAGCTTGAGTTTCTATGAGGCGCGATTAGCAGTCAAGATGCATGCGCTTGATGACTAAAATAGATATGTATCCGGGCCGGTCGAATCACGCTCCGCTCTATGGAGTCGCTCGTCCCATGTATCTAGGATACAATGAGCATTCTCTAACAGTATATCGCTTCAACAGCCAGGCGAGCAAACGCTAGAAATCGGTCAGCCAGATCTCACTCAAAATCATCACTCACCTCTACACCCAGTCCGTAGCCACCGTGTTCAGTCGTACCGTATTTTCTCTGGTCCGTGAACCAATAGTAGGGCTCCATCGGGATTCCTTCTCGCTTGTATCCAGCAATCAACTCGTCCAGATCTGCGATTCTCATACTTCCTCCAACGACCTCTCCAACACCCGGGACAAGTACGTCGACACTTTCCGTAAATTCCGGAGCGGAAGGTAAAGCCTTCATATAGAAACTCTTGAGAGCTTTAGGGAAGTGCATCAACATGATGGGTTTCCCGATCTGATCTGTCATTTTGCGTTCCGCAGCCTCAGCGATATCGTCTCCGACGACATGGTGCGAGCCGTCCTCCTTGAGAATGTTGTGCTCGTTGAGGTATTTGATGGCATCGCGGTAGTCGAGTCGCAGGAAAGGTCGAGCGGGGGCCTGGAATTCGGGGTGGAGAGTTTTGATGATCTCCGAGGCGATGGGATCGGCAAGCAGGGTGTCGACGACTTCGCAGATCTGTGAATGGTCAGCGGATGCTAAACTGCTGGAACTGACCAAGGATTCGAGGTGGTCAAGGAGATCCTTGAACTCGATGAAGACCAGTTCCGCCTCCAAGTGCGTGTATTCCGACAAGTGTCTGCGGACGAGTCAACGGGTTCCACCTCAGTGATGATCTCACCTCCTGGTCAAACTCTTCTCAGCACGGAAAGACTCCTGAATGCAATAGACATCTCCAAGCGCAGGCAAGGCGGTCTCTAGATACAGTTGAGAGCTTTGAGTGAGGTAGGCCTTGGATCCGTAGTAGTCGAATTCGAATAAGGTCGATCCTCCTTCAACGGATGTTTGAACCATGCAAGGAGGAGTGACTTCAATGATTCGACGCTTCTCGAAACCCTCTCGGAATGCTCGAAGCATCTTCGCTCGGAATAGCATGACGGAAGCGGCAGTCTGACCTCGGAGCTCAAGGTGTCGCAAGTCGGCACGGATGGATGGTTCGGTTTTCTGAGGGATTTGTTCAGTCTCTATCATAGATAGCGAAGGGGTTTCTCACCGCAGTAAGTCTGCCTTCAAACGCGTCGATACCACCAGGGGCTTTGCCAAGAATTTTCCACCAATCTACAACCACCTCGACACCCCCAGGAGCTGATTGCCCTTCTTTGACCTTTTCAACAATGCCCACAACTTCGACGGTGGACTCGACCGTAAGATCAATAGCGTCCAAGGTGCGGATACAATCCCCTGTCAGGATAGTTTGCACAAATGCAGTTCCGTCACGCAAGACCAAGAAGTAATGCTTAGATTGAGGTCTGTATCGGTGAACCCAAGCTTGGATTCGAACACGCTGTCCGACCATATCCGCAACCTGGTAGACTTTGACCTGACGAAAGGATCAGCAAGCAGCAATGAGTCTACCTCGGTGTCACTCACCCTGGTAGCCTTGCCTTTGCTCTCGTCATCTACAAGAACCACACCTGCAGCTTCTTCTCTCCTCTTTGCGTCTCTCTCCTCCTGCTCTTTTCTCGCAAGAGCCAGCTTTTCTCCCTCCTGAGCAGCTTTCAATTCCTTCTTTCGCCATCCTTCGATACCCTTGACGAGCTTCTTCTTGGCACTGGCGCTCATCTCAACCCATTCAGATGGCCCGTCCGCATCGGTCTTGCGGACCATGAGAGTAGCTAGACCACCTGGGTTGGTGTCGTGTTCTGGACTCGGGGACAGAGATTGATAGGCTGCCAAGGCCGTCGCAAAGGGCGCAGATTCAGATCCGTTGCCAGTGCTGTCTGACCCAGTCTTTTCGTCGATGTACACTGTGGAGGAGCCTTTCATGTTGTCAGGTTCACTGTCAGAAGCATATGGACAAGTGGCCTGGTACGCACCGGAAGTTGCACCAGTTGTTCCGCCAATGTTGAGCTTATCGCTCACTGCGCCTGCCAGTTTGGTGGCAGCCGCTTGAGCTTGCTCAACGATCGTCGGTTGGCTAGACTCAGCCATGCTGCGTGATAGGAGGCGTGGATATTATTCTCGTGTAGTAAATGCCTGTGATGACAAGGGCGCTCTATACTGAGCTCGTCGTTGGATGTACAGTTGATAACGGGTCGAGTCGAGTGCGGAATTCAATTCGAGCTCATGGGATTTTTGAAACGCGGCGCCGTGTCACAAGGTTCATAATGACGTGGCATGTTCAGATCGAGCTTATCAAAGAGCGGTCACCTCCGCTTTCTGATTGACGTCACATGATCAAAAGTGATCGACGAATGCGTCCAACCAAGCTGATACTTACAGACACACTTCAACCATCCACGATGAGCTCTCCAAAAGCTCAGCTATCCTCTAAAGACTTGGCCAAGGGCTTCGGGACTCTGTCTGTCGCTGCCGCCACGACACCAACGGTCATCTCCACATTCTTCTCGCATATCTTCGCTCGTCGAAGACGGAAAAAGGATTCCAAAAAGTCCATAGCGGCTGGTGGACCAGGTGGAGGACCAGAAAACCAACTGAGCTATGAAGAGGGTCTCAAAGTCGTCAGGAGGTTCTTGGAATTCGCAAGTCGTCATGGCGTCGACGAGGTCCAAAGCTTCACGGCTATGCCTGTCCCGGTCCCTCGTGAGTGATTCAGTGTAGGGGTCTCGGATTACTGAGGTGCGTGCACTCGTAGACTGGGTTCGACGCAAAGTAGTCACTATCCCAGAAGCCACTCTTATCAAAGCGGGAGACATCTTAGCAGAACATCTATCAAGCTATGGGACCGATGGAAGATCTGGCGGGGGTTTGAAGATCGTCGGAGGCTCGCGATGGTGGAGGATACGTGGTCGAGAGCTAGAAGGCGAATGGATAGAGGTGAGGCAGGTCATGGTGGAGCGCTATGCTGAGGGCACAACTCACAGATGCAAAAAGATTATCTCTTACGGCATGCAAAGCAAGGGACATCTAGTCCCGCTTCGCAGTCTGGTGGTGTACATTCTGCTGGGTCCAGTGTCCCGCCAAGTCCGGGGACTAAAAGTCACGACCACCACTATCACATGCCGAGGCGGTCTGCGACGCTAGGGAGTGTCAGGGATAATGCGGGTGGTGAAGTGCTGGGCGATAGGGTCATCCTCTACATTCACGGTGGAGCGTTTTTCTTTTCGTCCTTGGACACACATGTGAGATGGGATCATGGTACGGTTGTCCAGCCAGCTAGCTGAAACGATCTCCTCTTACAGAGATATCAGATCCAACGACATGCTAGAAAAGCAGGTGCCAGAGCTTTTGCGCCCTCTTACCGGCTCGCCCCTCAATATCCATTCGTCAGATATCCTTTGCTTCACATTGCCGAAAAGAACTGACTTGACTATTCAGCCATGCGGACTTATGGACGCTCTAGCCTCGTACCTATACTTGCTCGACCCTCCGCCTGGCACTCATGGCCCGATCCTGCCCTCTTCCATAATTTTCATGGGGGACTCGGCCGGCGCTGGGCTGGTCATTTCGCTCTTGATCGTCATTCGGGAGATGGGTCTACCGATGCCAGCCGGTGCCAGTCTCGTCAGCCCATGGGTTGACTTGACACACAGTATGCCAAGTATCAACGGAGCTGATGAAGGAGACTATATTCCCTCGTATGGGTGAGCTATCCTCCTACGAGCTGAGACCTGGCTCATGACGTGTCGCAGTTTCCATTACAGGCCTGGAGTTGCTTGGCCGCCCCTTCCTGGGGGTGGCGTCAAGGTCACAAGTGCCGATGGTGAAGAGATAAACCTGGACGACCAAATTCAGATGTATTGGTGAGCTACTGGTTTATTTTCATCGCCAATCGCTCACTCAATATCCTCTTGTCAGCCCGAACAATCTTCTCACACATCCTCTCGTCTCCCCGGTGAATGCTGGTTCGTTGGGAGGCCTTTGTCCCCTGCTCATCGTGAGTCGACAAGAATCTGTATGAATGGACCGCTCAGATTGATTGCTTCCTAGGTCGGAGGCGGCGGAGAGCTGCTGCGAGACGAGATCACGTATCTCGCTTACAAGGCGTCTGCTCCTACCACATATCAACCGTCATCAAGACTACTGACCCAGTACCCTGATCAAGCTGCCCAAGTCAGCAAATATCCTCCGACCAAGGTACATTTGCAGATCTACGAAGGATGCTGTCACGTTGTCACCACCTTGAGCTGGACGCGAAGCTCGAAGTATATGTACAGGGCTTGTGCGAAGTGAGGGCTACTTGCCGGGACTTACTGTCGCTGACAGTTCTCAGCTTCAACATCTGGGCATACAAAGCTGCGGCAAAGGCTGTCGAGCGACACTTGCGGCATGAGAGATCGCATTCTAAGCTCAAGCACGACGCCGCACCGGGAAAGACGCATGAAGAGGGCTTGCCGCGAGCGTCCATAGAATCCTCGACCTCTCAGACGCCATCGTCAACAGCCCCGCCTAGCCGAGTCCCCTCCGTTCTGGACATGACAAGACCACTCATCACCCCTACATCGGCTAGGCTCGCCAATGCGGACGAGATTGAGGCGGCTGACCTTGAATCAGAGGCCTCTACATCTGACACATCAGAGTCGGACAGTGCTGCGGGAGACACGGATGACCAGAGTACTCCAACTGGAGTAGTCACCGTCAGAGGCACGGAGCCCCTCTTCGGCCAAGGCAATAATATCGTTGCGGAACGCGTATCGACCCACGGCAATATCCGGCCGTTCGAAGCTGTCGAAGCGATCCCTGCTCTGCACCCAGATTTGAGAGAACAGATTGGTCAAATTCATGCCGACGGAGCCGTTCAGAGATGGTTGGCTAAACGGCGCGAATGGGATGAAAAGTACTCGTCTCAATTGGCACGTTGGAGAAAGATCAAGGAAGAGGACAACGCGGCGGGCTTGCAAAATGGGTTCTTAACAGGAGATTTGCAGGATGAGAATCCACCTTTATGCGCGCTCGTTCGATGGTCAGATGGGACGTTGGCAAGGAGAGCAGGCAGATCAGTAGATGAATTCGGAACGAAGGAGAACAAGGCGATTGGCATGTGGACCAGGATATCTTCCAAGGTGAGCTATGTTTCTCTCGGCAAGTACAACGCGCGAATCTAGCTGACGTCTTCATGCAGGCGGACGAGGAGCACGCTGGTGGAGAGAATATGGAGGAGATTCGACAGACTGTGGCGGAAGAATTGCACGCTGAGGGCCTAGCTCAACCACTTGCTCATCCTATAGAAACGACAGGGTCACAACACTGACCTCTAGAAGCCAGAAAATACACAGTTCGTGGCGTGTATTCTATAATTCTCGAGTGTTACTAGCCGTATAGAATGCAAGATACACACATAACCAGATCCGGGGTGACTCCAATTGAGAAACAATGAGGACGTGTGGCTAGGTGTGTGGGTTCGCTTGAATCTTGCGCAGTGATTTGAAGCGACTGTAGCGAATGGCAGGTCATCTACACCCGTTCTTCTTCTTGGTACATACTACGACCGAATTTGCATCATGGCCTTCCCATTTGAGAGGCCATGCACATTTGCAGATTGCGGTCGTTTGACTCGAGGTCCCGCATCGATGTGTATGAGAGCTTGCCAAGGATTTCTTTGCCCATTGCATCGTTCGCCACCTTTTCATTCCTGTCGCGCGCTCGACGTAAGTTTAGACTGGGCCGATGAAGTGACATGATGCCTGATCGGAGCATCAGAGATCGAAACCTGAAGATGCCTTTAAGATCGCGGAGATCCGCTTGACCGAAGATGCCAAGATGGGAGCTTGGCCGTTGCCACGAGCTGAATCGCCGACTGATACCCCCGCTTCTGACCAGTGGACAAAGTTTCACCAACACCTCGATAAGGCCCTGATCGAAGCGCAAGCTACGTCCTTGAGACCAGGCCATGCGTGTGTACTTAACGCCTCGGGACATGAAGATCTTGACAAGCTTTCCTTGGAACAGACACGGGCATTGATGGAGGAATCAGGCGACATGCGATTCTACAACCACCACTTTCCATTGATCTTCGATGACGGGGTCAAATGGATCGTTCGGTGTCGACGACTACGGCGAGATAGACCGTCGTACGGTGTCATGCGATACGTTCTCGATTCGGAGATCATCACTATGGAAGAACTGAGGAACGCTGGAGTCTGTGTACCGAGAGCGTACCGAGCGCTAGGCCAGGACGAAGATACTGGTTAGTGTCAGACATCATCGGCTGCCAGAACCTCCATCGTGCTCAGCAATATGCAGCACAGGGCCCGAATAAGAGGCGCTTCGACCTCTACTTTTTCGTCGAGTATGTTGACGCAATGGAGTTTCCTCTAGCATTTCTGGGGCCGCAAAAGAACATCCTAAACCAGATGCTCAATTCTGGACGATTGACTTGCCTCATTATTCGTACATTCGTCTCCTCGTACGCCGAGCAGATGATAAAGCTCAGTCGGATCCACTTTGACGCTATCGGAAGTTTGCATCACTGTCCCAACCGAGGAACTATCGTTGGCCCCATGATTGACAAAATGGTCGGGTCGCACTCTAAGCCCTACTTCCACGGACCATTCCGTACAGCGTACGAGCGTTGGACCAACACCATCGATTACCAATTGGATCTTGTGCTCCATCATGAAGGCTATGATGGGGATCCAATCACCTGCTATCTGAGTTTGCTGGATTTACGGGACCTTGTCGAAGGCTGGCAAGAACTCAAAAACCCAGAAGAAGAATTCTACATCCGCCACTGCGATTCCAAAGCCGACCAGTGTTTCACAGATCCCGCAGGGAACATCATCGCTTGGATCGATTGGGAATGGTAGGTCGGCGGGAATATAATGGTAGTCCCTTGACCATGCTCATTTTTCTTAAGGGCTGCAGTGACGACCAAAGCCGAGGCTTTCGCCAGTCCGCTTGCTTTCCGAGGTGAAGGTATAAGCGACAAAATGACGGAGTGGGAAACGCTCCTAGCGGAGGCGTATGTCGCACTCGGGCGCAAAGACCTTGCGGAATGCGTACGAAATGCTCGCAGGTATCATTGGTTGGAGAAGCTGGCGGATCCCGCTTCGGGCCAGATATGTCCACCTCAAGATTTCCACGCGTTTCGAATGTATTGAGGGATCGCCGGTCAACAAGCGACTGCGGGGCGCCAAGCTCAACGAGTGGATGGAAAGTCTGCAGTCCAAGTATGCCGTACATTCGGGAGTGAAAGAACTTCGAGCAAAAGCCTAGAAGAGCGGTAGGCGATGTGAGAGGTAGGCGATTTGTCGATCACTTGGCTCCCTAACACATGATCTTACTTTACAGTGTTGTACATGTATTGTATTTCGGTGTCGCCAGGCCGACATATGCTCATGATGCAACAGATCGATTCAAATTCGGCATTCGATATTGATTTTCGGAAATCGAGGCTTTCGTGAGATGGGCCGGACCCGCTCAGAGCCCTGGTCGATATGAGGAACCTTCCATGAGCTTCTGCTCCAGCTTGTGATCCGTAGGTCGCGCAGCGCTCTCATAAAGGATAATGCCGGGACGCTGAGGCAGCTGTTGGATCTTGTCAGCGTGATGGACGGAGGGAAAATACCTCTTTAACGCACAGGCGCGGACTTCCCCCTCAGGCCAATGTAGTACACTCTTGTCGTGTCCTCTTCTCCATCCGAGGTGTTGCCGGGGAAATAGAGAGTCAAAGATGTAATCCCGGCGAATTTAGCCGCCCTTGAATGATCATCAGTATCATGGGCGAGCACGGTTCGATGTGATTCCTGGTTGCACGCAGCAGTCATACCGTTCTTGAATCCAACTTACTTGACTTGGTACTCGACACATTCAGTACTCTCCACCATTTCCAGCATTTGAGCCGGCTCAGCAGCCTCTGCATCACTGAAGTCCATCCCCGCAGCATCTTTGAACTGAAAGGTGTATCTATCAGTGCGTGCGCCACATCACTTCATCATCGGGATGACGAGGCGGACTCACTAATCTCATCTCAGACGGTGTCTGTCCCCCAGGACCAGCTTTGATACTGATAGATCGGAGGGAGACCGAAGCATTGAACGGTACTGAAAGCCGTGAGCTCCTTATTTCAAAGGAATGTCTCCAAAACTGTAGCTCACTCTTGATGATGAGACTGTCGTCCGCATCACTCTCGCAATACTGCAGCTCCTTTCAGAGCTTGTTCGCCGGGACCCTCAATGCAAACTACTCACCTTGCCTTCGTCCTCTTTCTCATGCCAAGGTCTGAATCTCATGTAAGCTGAGAGACAACGACCTCACTCGGAAGGGACTCACTTGATTGCCCGTTGCCCAGCTTCCCCGCCGTCCATGGCATTCAGAGCCACCACATTGGGTGTATCGACGACCCCATACAGCGAGTCGTTGGGGCCAGCAGAGAGGGGTACTTCATGCGAATGTCCATGGTGATCTCCATGATCATGTCCATGTCCATGATGGTCCCCATGCTCTTCTGCGCAGGACATGTCGTAGTGTAGAATGTTTAAACGTAATGGTGAAGAAGAGTAGAAAGGTCATCGATGGGCTATGAGACACGTGGGGCTCCATCTTCCCCTCCATCCTGAATATTTACCTCACCCTGATTTTTTGAACATTTTATCCCGGACCTCGAGGAACGATTTTCCAGCTCAACTCTGGCTCTTGCAACGTATCGTCACCAACAACAACATCATCTGTCAGCCATCATGTCCGCTCCTCAGCCCGTGAACCCGCTCTACCTTGGCTCATCAAAACGTCCAGCTCAATCTGGAAACCCACTAGCCGACTTCTGGAGGACACAGGTCGTCGCACCAGAATACAGAGCAGAGAATCTCAGGTGAGGGACGACCGAGGTTCCACCACAGAACTACCAGTTGACAACATTTAGGATACTTCGAGCTGCTACTGTCTTCATCGTTGGTGTCGCTTTCGTTCGATCAAATCTAAGCTCGGCGCTCGTGCCGGTATTCTAGACGGTTGAGTGATCGGTGAGTCGTTCTCACTGGAGAAAACGATAAGCTCATGACCGTGCAGTGCAGACGGCTGTAATATCAGTGTATCAATATGACATGCATTCACATCTCAAATTCGAGCTCTCGAACTTCGTTTGTCATGAAGCCATCATCAGAGCGTCATTTCTCAAGAAAGAAAAAGCCCGGTCACAAGTCCTTCGTGTGTCTTGGCTATTAGACCTGCCTAGTTCTGCTCGATGATCGCCACCAGAGCCTTTTCATACTTCCCAGTTGTCTCGCCTTCTACGCGGTGTCTGAGCGATCGATGATGAGTAGTCTGGTACTGATTCTTGATGGCATTGAAACGTGGTCGGTTCCAGTGATTCCGAACAATCCGGTAGATCCTGGTGCAATATTATTAGCTTCACATTTCAATGGGACAAGAGTCTTCTCACATTCGCTCATCCTTGGTGCCTGCGCCGGCCATTGATGCTTCGAGGAGCTCGGCGTCGCGAGAAACGCCTTGTCCGTCCATCTCGGCTCCTCGTGCAATGTAGTGCAGCGCGTCGCGCATGTGTCCGGAGAACTCAGACGATATCCTGAAGAACGAATCAGCTTGCAGTGGTTGGTCATTAGGTACTTCAGACTCGCATGTGAGATAGGCTGACACGATGCTGTTGAGGAAATGCCGTTGCGATAGCCTGAAGATGTGCATCGGATCTTGAAAGGAGAATGCCGCAAATGGCTATCTCATCCTACACCGTCAGCTTGAACAATATCGAAGACAGCTCACCGTGCCAATCTTGCCTGGGCCTGCGCGGTACAATGTTTGTACATCATCTTGAACCAATTGGTGATTAACATATGGGTTCTCGTCCCTTTGTCCGCTAAGAGCCATGTTGAACATCCTGCATGGCGTAAGATTGGTCATGCTGCATGATATATGCTCACCTCTCAGTCTTCATACTGAGCTCTCCCCTAACCTCTTGAGTAAGATCCTTTTGGTGAACCCGTTGGTATTCCTGCTTCAAGAGGAACATCTCCTCATTTGAGCGGCCCAGCAGAATCTCGTTCAACAGATCTTCATGAGTTCCAGCTCCTTGGCACGCTCTATGCAAGAGATGTACATCACCCCCGAGTGGCCCCATCGACAGCAGAACAAGGGTGTATTCAAGCCTGGGAACATATTGGCTGTAGCCGGCACAGTGGCTTTGGTGACTCACCATCCGGACAATTCCTTCTCCAAGGTTTTCTGCAACGATCGACCAATCGTCTGCTCGTATGTCCGGACCAGAAGATCCATCTGGAACGCATCCAATGGGGCCATAGTGTCGATAATGGTCCTTTCGTCTGTCCCAAAGCCCTTCACAACTCCTCAGCCCATGACGCTTGGCAATTTTTCTCGACATACCTTTGTAGCCTTTCGAATTCTCTCGGCGTCAAATCGTGGATCATACCCTTGTAAATTACCGAGAGGGGGAGCGGGCGGAGGAGCAGGAATACTGACTCCAAGATACCTCGACCCATTGGCTGGAGGAGCTGGTCCTGGAGCTCCAAATTGAGATCCACTGAAATTCTGGGGAGGAGCTGGAGCCATAGCGGGAGGTACACCGTAGGACTGATTTTGGTTTGGAGGTGGTCCACCATACGGACCTTGATTCGGCGGTCCAGCGTTATACTGCGGCGTTGTGTAATGACTGTCTTGATGAGATGGAGGACCATGATAAGGTGTAGGTGCAGGAGCACCGTAGCTTTGTGGGGGTGGACCTCCATATTGGCCTTGCGGAGGCTGCTGATCATAGCTCTGATACGAAGCACCGTATGGCTGCTGCTGTTGCTGCGAGGGCGCTCCCCATTGACCTCCATTTTGCGGTGGTGGACCACCATATCCCTGCTGAAATGGAGCGCCGTACCCTTGCTGAGGTGGTGTAGCACCCCATTGCTGCTGCTGCTGCTGCTGCTGCTGCTGCTGAGGTGGTTGATTCCACTGTTGTTGTGGCGGTGGAGTTTGGTCATTGTTCCAGGACATCGTGTACGAGAGATGAGCCAAGGTCGGCTGCTGTCAAAGTAAGTGACCAACCTTCGATTCTGATGACTGACCGATTGAGCTGTCCTATATGGACACTAGAGATGGTGAGACCAAGCTATGCTGCTCACCAGCAGCAAGGTGTGGAATTCGAGGAATGGCGGTGAAGGCGAAAATGACGTATAATAGGCGGCAATATCCGCCCGAAACACGTGACTTTGAACGGGATGTGCGTGCGCTCTGAAATCTTGGTCCATATACCTATCTTGAGCACTCCACTGCGGCAGAGCGATTGCAACGAGCTCAAGCATAAGCACCATCCGGGCCACGAGCTGCTATAGCCCTTCGGAAGCTCCTTCAAGAAGTCAACCCAACTCTGCTGGTCTTGGGAGTTATCGTTTCGCCTACCTTAGCTCGGCGGCCCGACAAAATCTTTCTACCATGGCAAGTGGTCAAGGCAAAGACAGGCCAGAGATCCAGGCAGCGGTCAGTACCCTCGACCTCACAACATCTAGGAATGTTGTAAAACTGACCTGTGATGCTCAGGCCAAGTCGATACTTCAGGACATGATGGACGACCTGATCTTGACCGTGGCTATCTCGGCACATCGAGAGATCAAACGGAGCAAAGTGCCTTGTGGGGTGTGTCACACGCAGTGGGTTGTATATCACTTCTTCCGGAGTCCGACTGACTTGACCCATCAGCTGTCGCGGGCACTCGGCACTATCTTCCGCTCATTTTGGCTCGTCATCCTCTGCCGGTCCCTCAACGTCTCGAGCTCCTGGAGGAGCTTATGCCGTCGGACCGGAGAAAGGTACAGGCGGAAACACTGGCATAGGGAGTGGGAGCGGGAAACCAGATGGGAATGGGAATGTCTTTTTCGACTGTCTAGTCTGTGGGCGAGGGGTGAGTCCATCTCCCGTCTGGTCATCATCAAAGTTAACTCTATCACTTTTAGATCGCCTCGAGCCGGTATGCGCCTCACTTGTCATCCTGTCTCGGGATGAATGGAGGCACTCGACGCAAAGCGGCTCGAGCAGCTATCAACAAGAATCGCCTCGGTGCGAACGATCGTTCGAGCCCTTCACCTTATTATCAAGCTAGCGATAATGGTGATTCTGATACGGAAAGTACAGCGACGGCATCAAAGAAAAGCAAGAGTGAGCCATTTTCTGATCGCCAAATGCGATAGAAGGCGCGCTGATCATCGGTAGAAATCAACGGAAATGGGAAGCGAGCTCGATCTCCGGGATCTGTTCCTAGGTCCAAAGCCTCTTCCGGTATCTCGACACCAAATACCGTTCCTCCACGTACAGCCCTACCGCCCTCCAAACTTGGTCGACCACCTACGTCACGAGAAACGTTAGATCTGACCTCACCCGATCGACAGCCCATAGGTCCAGGCAGACCCGGTGCCAAGACTCTACCAGGTGCATCCGCGGACATGCCCGTGGTCATAGACGGTATGGACGGTGAGTTGATTCGAACCTCACCTCAACGCTAAACGGCTGACTTTCCTATGTAGTCGATAAGGGGGACGATACAAGCGACGACGCTGATGATTATTGATGACAATCCCGGCACTCAGTATTAGCACATACCACACGATTGATCATGATGTAACATGTACTGGATGCGAGTCGACCAAATGCGTTCGAGATGAACTGGCATGCGCTGGCGGCGGTCACTCTAGGCTTGTCCATAGCCGATGATTGCTGCGCGAAGCAAGACGCTAGTCACAAATCGCTCCTCTGACCTCTTCTGAGCGGCACAAGCGACAGCTGACAATGTCACTGCGCCTTGAGGTTTTGACATTCTCCTTACGGGTCGGCAGTGTCAGAGATCCCAAATGACTGATGTGTGTTGGTGCTCGTGCCCTAAATGGCCCAAAAATATCTTTTGAACGGGACACATGACACTACGTTCATGACTTTTGACGCTGAACAGACCATTCTGCCAAAGTGAAGGTTCCGTTCAAGCGAGACAGGATGAGATGAAACACCGAGCAACATTCTTGGATAATTGTCTTTGAAGCAGCGAAGCCGAGGCCTGCTTCTACATCCATCGAGTCATACGATGAGCAGTATTCGTCTCTTGAAAACCCTCATAGGAACATGAGAGGAGGTCGGATATACTCTACAGCTAACCTACCGCCACTTGACGTGACCGGAGGCGGTCAGCTCCGCCGCCTCGTTGCATTTCAGCTTGCAAGTTGTTCGTGACTGGCTTTTCGTATTGCTTGCTGGCGAAAGCTATACGATATGAGCACAGGCAAGACAGTACCACTGACTCATCGATCGCTAGCCTCTCATTCTATATTTAGTCCTCCCGACCATGACTCTAGCTCCTCAGGAGATGTCGGGCCATCCCGAAGTAATGCCAGTCCCAATATTGCTCCGAAAGTCAGGCGAATGGTCATTCGAGACAAAGATCTCCTAGTGGCCTTTGGCAGAGAGCTGAGGATGACCCACATTGGAGATAAGGACCTGAGATTTGAGAATGAGAGAGTTGGCACCTATGCGGTCAGTGTATTGCAAAGCGTGAGACACGTTGCACTAATGGCACGCCCGTCCCACAGATTGTCGATTCCCCTCATTTGACTTTCGACATTCAGCAGCTTTGGTTGAATCCTACAGGTAGACTTCTGGCGGTTGTCGGACAACATCGGATCGTGGTGATAGCATTGCCAACATTGCACTCCGCAGAACCGGGGAAACGCATGAGCTGCAGGTGGGCCCCACCATAGCAAGATCGGCACGTCTTTTGACACATTATCTCTCAGGTCGGTCGCCATCGATGAACAGTCTTTTGGGCTGTGCCCCTCTGCCAATATCACCAAGGCCCAATGGCATCCATGGGGTCAGGACGGAAAGTCGCTGTGGATCCTGACCTCTGATGGCAAATTGAGGTTGGCTTGAAATCCTCAAAAAAAGGCTGACATCACTCCTAGCGAATACAACATCTCTCAACCAGACGATCCTACTCAGACTTTCTCCTTCCTTTCGACTACGAGCGCCTCCTCCAGCTCTCGATATTCCGCCGTTGATCCCCTTTCTCGATACGCTACATCTTTCGCCTTCTCTCTTCCAAACTCGGTGCACGGAAGTACGATGGTCCACGTCTTAGCTGCTAACGGGGACGCATACGCCATGGGTCCTATATTGCCTTTCAAGGCTGTCGTGCCCTCTGAGTCGCTAGAAAGACTCAGGGCTCAACTCCACAACTCATCGCAGACCGTAAGACGATATGGCTTGTACTGGGTGGAGGATCTATTGCGGCAGGCCAAGAGTTCCAGTTCCGCAAGAGGTACCGGCGCTGAGAGTTTTCCCGAATCCCCAAGAGGGTTCGGCGACCGCGCGAATGAGTCCGCGGATACAGCCTTACCTATGGGCTACGTTCGTGTTCATCCCCCTCATCTATCTCCTTCTGGAGGTCCTGCTTCTGGCAGCCACGAATCCCTGCGTCTACAAGGTCCGATTGACCTAACGATGCCCTCAAATGATGAAGACGAAGATGATATTTCGGCTAATGACCTTATGTGGATTGACGCTGCCATCGAAGGCGGAAGCTGCGACCCTCAATTGATCGTCACATGGTCAAATGGGGTCGTTCTTGTCGGCTATGAGGCAGTTCCGGTCACCCCTCGGTGGTCATCATCTGCAGTGAGTCTGACGGTTTGGCGAATATCTGTGTGAGCTGACAAATAGCAGTACGACCCCGACGGCCCGCCGTCCTTCCGAATCTGCGGCGCAGTCAGATTGTGCCATGCACCGAAGGAGATTGAGTCGTCTCCTTACATTTTGCCAGATGCCCTGAATGATACAGGCATTTGCGTCCAATCGAGTAGGAGCGTGGATTATTTCCAGATTGACCTGGAGTCGATCAAATCCGGCGATGCGTCTAACGTCATTTCCAACCCTTCCTGCCTGGTCCAAAGCTCTGGGTGAGTGCATCAGCAGAGAAAGGTCGCTGACCAGTTCCCAAGCACTAGCGCGGAGCAAATTGTCGCCTCCTCCATTTTGACCGATGCCAACCTTGGCACTACCCTTCTCGCCATGACAGCCTCCGGGAAAGCTGTAGCAATCGACATGGACCAAAATATTGCCATACAACAGGATGAAATACCAGCACATCACTCGACTGAATCGGAGAGCATTGATCTCGTAGACGCGTCACTGCTTCAGGAAACATTCGAATTCGACAGACTTCGCCAGTCTATACCATCAACGCATGAAGGTTTGGCTTCTACCGCGAAGTCCATCTTCCCCAACAAGGCCGAACAAACTGCTTCGGCAAGTCAGCTTCAGCGAGCGGGAGCCATGATGGCGAAGCTTCAGGAGCAGACACGAGCCCTTCAAGTGGCTTCTCAGGCTCTGGAAGAACGATTTGATCTCTGCGTCAAGGAGTCACTCAGACAGCTTCAGCAGCTGAAGAACTGCCGGGATGATGTGGAAAAATTGAAGGACAGCAAGGCTAGTCCACGAGTGGTAAAGATGCTCGATACTCAGTCCGACTTGTCAACGAGGCTGGAGAAAGTACTGCGATCATTAGCGGACGAGCAAAGAGCTACCAGCTTGGAAGGAGATCGCCAGTGGGCTGAGGGTCTAATCTCGATAAAAGCGCGACTTGGTACAGCCGAGGACGGCTTGGAGGATCGGTTTGACAAGGTGGGTACTGCTTGATGAAGGATACGCCTCTGACTTGATCGTCAGCTGCGCGACGAGTTCCGGCGTGTCAAGGCTGAGCTTGATGTGACATCCTCACCACCGAAAGATTCTGAGGATGCCGAGAAGTTGGACATTGACATCAAGCAGACGTCTGAAGAGATTCGCCGGTTGATGCGGAAGATGGAAGGACTGTCTTTGCGCGTGCAGACTACCTCAGCTTGACCCAGGTAGCATTGTCGCATTGCATCCGTCGCGTTCCATGAAGCTTCATTATTGGCCGAATCCATCCATTCATTGACGCGAGACGCGAGACGCGACGATTGGATTTTTGGCCGAAATGACTTGCATGACTTCTTTATCTCATTCTGTCTTTAGGTCTGTATCCGCCCCCGGCCCTATTCCAGCCTGAAAGATGCTCGCCGAAGTTCTCTTAGTCCTGTCAGGCCACCCATCTTCCTTCTTTGTTTCCCACCCCTCGAGTTCCTCATCCATACGCTCCCTCACAGTCTCACCGAAGCTTGAAGAATACCTTCATCCAGGCGAGGTATCTGTCCTGAATGCTTTGGCCGACTTGGCGCGCCAGAGCTACAACGTGCGATTATGGGCGCACAGTATTCAAAGACGGGGTAGAGCAGCAATGCTTAATATCTCCGCGAAGGGGAAGCAGAAAGAACATGTTGAATCAGTTCCTAATCAATACCTGTCAACATTGGCCAGTTCAATCTTGGATGTCCTGACGGAATGGGATGCCTTGATCGTGGAGCTGGAGAGCCGTATCCTATCACTCGACCCTGAAGTGGTACAAGATCAAGCTGGACACGTGCCTCTGTCCGTCTTGCTGGCCATGGTCTCACCATGGCAGGCCCCACTCGGCGAGCTCTCAGGGCTGATCAAAACTGTGGACTCGACCAGGAACATCACGCCTGGCCAACTGTTACAGCTCGTGGAGGATCGCTCACAGACTGGGAACCCGAGGATCCGCAAGATCCTCACCACGTTATCCGGAGCTCTCATCAGGTTGTTCCTCGCGCATCTGTGCGCCTTTATTCTGGATGGTCTGACATCAACGGAGTCCAACCCAGTATTGCCATCGCTTGGCTTGGACAGAGGTCCAGATCCTCTCTCTCCAAAACATAGACTGTACGCGCTTAATGGAGAGCTATGTCCGCCAAGCTTGTCCGGATCGACTAAGGAGAGTATACTGTACATCGGCAGAGTGACGGCCACTCTGCGATCCAAGAATACGGCGTTGCCGAAAGGGACGACAAAGGATCTCCGAGAAGTCATCATGTCGGTCAAATCGTTGGAAGACGGGTCTTTGGACAAGGAGATCAGCCGTACGCGATCTGAAGTCGGCGAGTGAGTGAAGGCTGTCATGATAGTCGTCGGCGTCCATTGACATCCGCACAGATGGCTGTGGAGGAATGTACTCACTGGAGGTCAGGTTGTTCAGGCTTTGAGGTATTTGTGAGTGATACCCGGCGACGCGAATCAAGATGGGTCTGACTTGGACCTCAGTGGTGACTACTTCCTGACAAGAAATGCCGAGCTAGCCACTGGAACGATACGGGAAATACATGCCTTGCGACTCGACAAGCTCATTACCGCCGACCCGCATTCTTCCTCCTCAGTCATCAGGGAACAGGACCTGCGCCATGCTTTGCTCAAAGCCAGTGTTGGGACATCGGCAGAGAACGACAAAGCGTTGGACAATGTCAGATTCAGATTGGAACGTGGGCCTATCCGACCGCTTCTGACCCATTTGTCACCTGTAAAGATGCGTAAAGTGGACGCAAACAGAAAAGACCCAGATTCTCAAAAGCTTTACGATGACGAAGATTCAACCAACGACCTATTTTCCTCATTCTTGCTTGGCTCACCGCTCACTCTCGAAGCCTCGATCAGTTGGCCATTGGACCTGTTCATGACTCCCAAAGCTCGCGAGACATATACGGACATACATTCTTACCTCTTCGCTCTTCGAGATGCACATCTACGAATCTCCGATTGCTGGAAATCTCTCTCTGCCGCACAACGACGCCGAAGGAAATGGACCTCTACGACTGAAGGGGGCACTCGATCAGAAGTCAGGGCTCGGCTGGAACTCGCGCGCGCCGCATGGGGCACAGTTCGAATCATGCTATTCTTCCTGGATCAATTAATTGGGCACTTCATGACTGACATCATCGAGGTCCAGCACCAGCACTTGTTGGATGAGCTAGAGTCTATGACAAATGGCCATCAATCTATGTCAAGGGCAGTATCCACGAGGGGCTCGATGAGGGCATCGCGTTCTGTCAGGTCAATTAGCGGGAGCATTGCCGGTTCCACAATCGATCACGATACCGTCTGGAACAAGAAAACGCTTACACAGGGCAATACCACAGAGCACCTTGATTTTATCACATTGCGGTGAGTTGACTGGCGCCCCTCGGTCTGCAGTCTCTGACGACTTTTGCAGCGCTATGCATTCTCGCCACCTCTTCTTTCTCCGCCAAGGGTTACTACTCGCGGACCGCAGCATAGCAGTAGTTACTCGGGACATTTTGGAGATTTGCATTCGGTTCACTGGTCTTGTGGAGCGATGGGAAGGAGACGTGGTCCCAGAACTGCTTCTTGAGGGATCGGACGGGGAGCAAGTCGGTCAATTGGTAGCGGAGAGATCAGAAGCCATTGCAGAAGTCAACGGTGTGAGTATGCGACATTGTACAAAAGCAAGCGAGCGTCTATGCTGACGAGTCTCGGCAGGAACTTCGAGACCAGATCCTCACCTTATTTCACGCCCTCTTGTTGACGCAGAACCCGAACCCCACCAACGCCAACGGAGAAGTCTCCACCATCACTGCCGGGGCGTCAATGTCCCGCACGGCCAGAGCTGCGCAGATCATCCAGTCTTCCAGAATGCTCGTCTCACGACAGATGAGCTTCAGCAAAAACGCCAACGGGCTAAAGGCAGGAGCGAAGGCACAGGCTTCAGACCGGTCGTCACGGAGCGCCGAAGCCGAAGCCCTCATGGCTCGACACATAGAGCAGTGTAAGCAATACTTTGGCTCGTCCCTTCTCCCCATACACTGATCGCTCGATCCACAGTGTTGCTCCGTCTCGACTTCAATGGCGTTCTGACGGAATGGCTGGAAGCTGACATGGATGCTGGCAATGACGAAGTCTTGGCCGAAGGCGGGTTCAATGAGGGCAGAGGCGAGGGCCCACATACAACCCAAGATGATTCTTGATGCATCATCGTGTCAATTCTACTGGTTTCTCCTCTCCCAAGCTCTCCAAGAGCTGTAAAAGATCAGCATGGCTTCTCACACTGGAGATCACTCACATTCGTGCCGTTGATGATTCCAGTAGTAGCGATCAAAAATCGTCTTCCCCTGGTCTGCTTTGCCATCCATCTCAACGCTGCTATCTCCGTATATGTGCATCCTCCGAGGAAGAAGACCACGGTGGTCACAATCTGGTTCTGATCCTGCTCGAACCTGACTTCTGCTCGACCTGAAACACCAGGTGCTCGCTGCCGGACATCTACGGTCGCCCCAGGAATGGCACCCAAGACATCCTCAAAGCCCTTCCACCCTAACAGAGGGTGGGCTTTCGGCAATTCCTTCTTCCCTCGCCCGTCGAGCTCGGCCGCAATGTCTACATTAGCCGGTGAAGCGACAGCGTTCTTTTGGGCGATACATTGGACCAACCGGATCGACAATGGGGCATACCCAGAGTAGACATATGATATATCGTTCGGCGCACCGTCATCGACGTCATCAACAACTAGCCGTAGAGGTTTCCGGAGATTGGCGAATGGCAGGGACGTGGCAGGCGGAGACTTGACCAGGAGTCCGAGATTTTGCAAGTTGATAAGGAGCGGCAGGTGATGGTATCCATAAACTTGGAGAAAGTCCCGCTTGAAAGCTTCCAACGGCTTCGGTTTTATGCCACCACTTGTCAGGCTCATCAGAATCGCCAACCGTAAGACTGTTGCCCATGCCGACTCTTGATACATCAGATCCTCGATAATGGTCATCTGGGCAGTTGGGTCGTATCCCGCCAAAAGATTCTGTTGTGCTTCTAATACGCGGTTGAATTCATCGGTCCGCGTTATTGGCATGATCATCTCTGTCAAGCCAGTATCTGAGGAAGGCGTCAGGATCTTACTGGTCTCGAGCGAGTCACTGGCCACTTACGCAAACGCAGACTTTGCTGCTCAGAATGCAGTCCGCCCAACTTGCCAACAAAGGACTTCATTTCGGATACGCTTTTCAGGTTCTTTGCCCCTCCATAATCTCCTTCTAGCCTTCTAGCAATCTTGGACAGCCTCGAACCGATCACAGCGAAATTCTGGTCCCTCAAATCCACTAAGAGAGTGTCTTTCGAGCCGTTGAGATGGTGTTTCCTTTTCTTCATCGAACCGGCGGCTTGGTTCTCGGCAGCCTGACCATCCAGAAGGCCAGTGTCCACTTCGATATGTGCTACAACAGTGATCAGTCTGTAGGATCGCCCATGGACCGCTTACCATTTTTGATGCCTACATATTCGTCTAGCATGCCTTCGTAGGTCAATTGGGTGCACATCGGTGTGACCCAGTCCACCGAGCGGTCCACAATGATCAGACCGTCCACCTGATCTGAGACTTCCAGATCCGCATATAGTGAGTCACCTGAAGAATGATGCCGCTCCAAGAGATTAGTAAGGCGCTAGCAGAGTCAGAGAGCAACACAATCAAATTATAGGGACGCGGTCATACCTTCGCAGCGTCGCCTTTGCCATAGATTTTCGGAAACAAGCCGAAAGCACGCTGAAAAGTCATCAAAGCCAGTGAAGAGTAATAGAGAGGTGTGTCGTCTCCGTTCTAAGCGTTACTTCAGCCACATCCAACAAATCATCTACCTACCAGGTACACATCGCGGGCTGTATCGCTCATCTCCAATGACAGCAAATCGTCTTCTAGCGGGATAAACTCCATTTTAAACTGATTGGATCAGCTCCCATCTTGCCAGGTGAAATTCGACGCCAGACTGACAGGTAAGACATTGACATCTCCTGCAACACCCTCATCCTCGAGGACTTTGCGACATAGCTCTGTTACCCTCGGCACCAGTAGCAAGGTGAAGACGAGGCCACTGGACTTGCTGTCATTTTGAGCTGCCCTTACTTGCTCTACCGATCACGTCAGCAAGACTCAGCAGTGTACTGATAGTCTCTCATACCTGCTATGATCCGGATATGCTTGATCTTGGGGCGACAAAGCCATACTACGTTCCGAGTTGCTACATTCAACGGGCCCGCCTCGAACCAGAAGATCTTGTCGACTGCTTGATGCTGCTATAGGATCAGAACCTACACAGGAAGCACCGAAGCGAGGCAACTTGCCTTCAGCAACGCTATGTCCGTCACTAAGCCCAGGGGTCCGGCAACGTCCGGATCAAGTATCAAGGTCTTCGCACCCGGTATCTGTAATATGATCAATTCCTGGAGACAATAGCTGAGTCAATCCTACCTACCTCATTGAGGGTCTCGACAAGCGTTGTTCTCATTAGCTCTCGAAAAATCCCTGTCTCAAGGCCCTTTTCAACGGGCCGCGGTGCTGTAGATTCCGAGTCTCCGGACGTCGATGGTGCAGGAGGCGCATTGGAGTAGGTGGGAGCTTTCGAGGGTCCAGCTCCGGGTGTCGAAGTTCTCACGACAGGACTGCTCATCGTAATCGTCCTGCCCAAGTGCGTCTGCCAACTCTCCGGACCTTCGCAGTGTAGGTCGTCATCAACATTGGAAAGAGCACTCGCGCGTGTGCTCAGTCTCGGGAATTGATTCCGTTCATTCGGGTATGACTTTTGGTTTCAAGAGAGCCCTTCATTCGCACTTGAACTGTCACTCCATCGTCTTGAGGCGATATAGAGCGTACGCAGGCTAAGAGGACACAGCCTTGGAGCGACTGAGATCTTTGTGACGGAGCACAACTCAGACCAGGCAAACTCAAGGTCCCTGGCCGGGTGCGGCTCAGCCAAAATCAGTGCTATCATGGAGGAGTTATCCACGGGATCCGAGAGTGACTATGCGAACTCGTGAGAACGTGTCCACATGTGTGATCTCATGCTCATCGGTACCTCCAGCTGGATTTCGTGGTTTCTATCGACCAAAGGAAATGTCAGTAGCGTGCTCTATGCTTCGAACCCAGTGTTGACTTATGGCAGGAGTATTTCGCGGAAGTCGATGAGGATTATATTCTGGATCGCTTCAACCTCACTGGACTGAACAGCGAGGTCGTTCAGGATTATAACAGAGCACTGGATCTTATCACAGACTCCCTAGGTTGGTCAGGCAAAATGCCTCCGGAGGCCGCATATTGATGTCGTTCTTCAGATGAAGAGGCATTAGATGAGGAAGGCCGGGAGGTGGTCGAGACATCCGCGCGATTCTTGTATGGGCTGATACACGCGCGATACATTGTGACATCGAGGGGTCTAGCAAAGATGGTGAGGGGTGGTCTTCTGACTGCTCGAGCATTTTGGAGCCTGACACATTATTGCCTTCAGCTGTCGAAGTATCGAAAGGGTGATTTCGGACGGTGTCCGCGAGTCTACTGCTATCATCAACCCCTCCTTCCTGTCGGGCTCTCCGACATACCGTATCAAAAAGCCGTCAAGCTCTATTGTCCGAAATGCGAGGACATCTACTCTCCAAAATCAAATCGACATGGCTGTATTGATGGAGCGTACTTTGGCACAACCTTCCCCCACATGTTATTCATGGTGTACCCTCAAATGGTACCGACGAAGGGTCAACCAGTCGGAGGAGCAGGAGGTAGCGTTGCGGAAGTCAGTCGGAACATGATGGCAATCGCGAACTCAAATCGGGATGGAGGGGCGCCGAGTGCCATCGGAAGCGTCAGTACGGCCAGTTCAGCGCTGCAAGCCGAGCGGTATGAGCCGAGGATGTTTGGATTTAGAATGCACGAGGAGGCGAGATTAGCGAGATGGAGAGGAGCTAAACGTGAAGAGTGGGTCGGACGCTGTCCATGGGATGCTGATTTCGGCGCAGGCAAATTGCGCGCTTAGAGAATCTGGAAAAGATTCAGAGCCAGCAGCATCTCTGATGTCATCCAGGACTTCTCTTCTCGACTCTCAAACGTTACAACGTCGATTCGCAATGTCGCGTAATAGCCTTTAGATATACCTCTCTGTTGGACACCATATTGTTGTGCATCTACTTCAGGTTTCGCCGCACTCGCGATGTTTTATCTGGCGACTAAAAGACGGGCCAAAGCATCGCCGGAGCGTACACTGGCAATCAGGGCCGGACCTCAAGATCCTCTGCTCTGCAACTGACATCGCAAACTGCACAGCCTGTACTGAAAACGAAGATCAGCTTACCCAGACCCCGCGGCCCTCGCCACATCGCCGGAACACACTTGCCTGTCCATCTTGATCTTACGAGCGGGACGTGCGCCATAACAAGTCATGGGAATTGTGCAAATCTGGATGTTTTCTGAATGAGGGGAGATCCAGGTGCTTTTATTCCGAATCAATGATACGGCCGGGCAGCTAAGTGAAGTGATCTAAGCCGTATCACCCCCTGGGAAGTCGAGCGGCGACTCTCATGGCATTAGACGACGCTGGAACCTGCGAACAGAGTGCATCTACTCATTCATCTCGGTTTGGAGACATGCACGTAGTGATGCTGATCCCTAGGAGGTGGAGTATCAAGGTGGATCAAAGACGTCGAGAAATCAAGGATCTCGACATCCTCGACATGTAGCTCTGCACGGTGGCAAGTCGTCCTATGGCGGGCACAGGTGTATGGGAGCTGGCAGCAATGACGAATCCTCGTTGGCCTTCTTCTTCCTCCACTTCTGAGCGTTCCTTTCAACTCTTTCAGTCTACCCTGAAACGCTTTCGCGCATATTCTCCCTCTGCGCTTGAATTGTCGATCGTTCGGCGGACGGTATGGCTCTCGCCGGAGCCTTCAAACCTCTGTGTGGAGGCTCCGATGCCAACTCCACCAGACTGAAGGGAATAGCCATGTTGAAAGGATTCAGCGACCCAACTCACAGACTATAAAACGTCATAGCTTTAGTACCTCCTCACACTGTTCACGATCGACTTGACGAATTGTCCTGTATTTGCTCCCCACTTCCATAGACAACCGGTCTGTCTTGTTTCCCAGATACGATATCTACACAGATCTCATTCACAAAAATGCCGGCTGAGAAGAAAGAGACATCCTATGAAAAAATCTCCTCAGTCGGGACGGTGAATGCCGACAACAGCATCACATGGACAGGTATGTGTCTTTCTGCCTAGGCTTGAGGTCACCCCCATGTGTCATCCGGCTGATGTGGCGGGTCATATGCAGATACTGGCCCAACGGGCAGCCGGGTCCAATCAACCTTGGTGGCTGATATACCGCCCGGAGATGGAGAGCGGCGGATGGTCCTCTGCCCGGTGTTCAGCCATCGCAACGTTCCCAATGCTCAATGGGTGAAATCACAGGATACAGGTTCAGAAGCGACTAATGATCAATGGACTGCCAAACTCAGCATAAGATCAGTCGTGAATGCGCTACACTACTATTCCTATGACTCCCATGTATACGCAGACAGAGTAAGTTACATACGCCCTACGCATGGCCAGTCCTGCCACATCCACAGACGCTCGCCGCTGACCCTGAGTTCCTGACAGCTTCAATTAGCTACAGGTCGAGAGTCAAGTAGTACTGGTCACGCCTGGACAGAGACTCAGAATGGAAACACAACTCTCGTGCTGGATGCCACGGAGGGAGGATTGAAACCCTGTGCGGACCTTCACTCAAGAGCCCCTGTCAGATCATACAAGGTACCCCTCTCAGAGTGGTCCAACTTCATCGCTCCTGCGTTGGGTGGCTCTAAAGAGGAGCTCGAGTCAATCGCTAAGTATCAGTACGAGTGATCCACCACGACGTCTAAGGCGAAGGTCTCCGGAGGTTGGGCGCCACCGTACTTGAAACATGCTGAGTAGAGACACTAATCTATGAGGCAGTAGCAGTCAGTGAACGTATACACGAGTATGTCACGGCTTCTCCCAAATCAGGACTCAAGGCACACGTATTCAGTCATTCTTAGAGGGCCATGTTCAGGTGGCAGTCCTCGCTGAATGTGGCAGATTGAAGTGTGAATGCCTCGCAAATTCAAGATGCCTTGGGAGAAATCAACTTTATAACCTTTACCGTATAGGGTACATCGCCATGCGAAGATTCGTTCTAGGATAACAACTACGATGCGTCTTGCTGAGGTGGACTATACACGATTGAGCCTGTTTCGCTCCTGCTACCAGAGTTGGTGGATGGCATACTGGTATCTCCCTCCCCTTCCCCCTCCTCCACGGACGAAGGCTCATCTGCGATAGCGCTTTCTCCGTTGAGGACACCGGTAGAGAACCTAGGCGTGCCGGCACCGTTTTCTCCACTGAGATGAGCGAGATCGCCTTCTTCGTCTGAATCCGAGTCGGAAGCGTTCCCAAACCATCGGGAAATGCTCATTTGCGATTTCCTCGGCTGAGGGTCGACTTGATCAGCTTTGGTTGATCGGGTAGATGGGCTACGAAAGGGCGATGTGATTGCCGCCATTGACTGAGTGCGGACGTGCCGAAGAGTGTCTGTGAACGAGCTGGGGCGCTCCGTGGCCATGGGTATAGGTGGACCATCTTGAGTTGTCGAAGTGGCTTTGGTGGCTGTTGCCAGAGTCGGCGGCGGTTCAGAAACCGATTCGTTGTTCTCGCGAATCCCATTTGGCCGCCTCTTCCTGATACTTGGTATCTCCTCCAAGGTCCGTCCAGTCGAAATGACCGGTCGAGCGGCTCTCGCCTTGCGTGTCCGGTGCAAGAAGCCAGCGTCGGCATCTGATTCGATAGGCACATAGGCTGAAGAAGGGAGGCCGTCAAGATTGATATTGGTAAGGTGGCTCGAGTCAGTCGTGGGTCGCTCGCGATGAACCGCAACTCGAACTTCCGCACGGCCGCGTAAGATCGCTCGCTGTTGGGGGACATCAGCCGTGGTGAAGGATTGGCCTAGATTTAAGTCGCTCACCTCAATGTGTAGTCGATTACTAACCATGTGCAAGGCGGGCCAGGAGACTCGTTGACCGACCTGGATCATTCTAGCGAGCTGTTCACGATTCGGATCGGACAGGATCCTAGCCCAATCCTAGGTGATACCGGTCAGTCAATGATTTACGGGCTGAGAGGCTACTCACGCCTATCGTGCTTCTCGGGGTCAGCGTCAAGTCTCCTGAGAATCGCTGGAGGAAGACGCCACTCCAGTCACTTTGCAACAATTGCGGCAGGAGGTCTAAATCCCTGATGACCTGGACGTCAGGGTCAGTTAATAGCTCGGCTGGGATCTAAAGGAAAACTCGCTTTGAAATGCTTGGTGAGATCCAACTTGATATACGATTCAAGGGCAGACAAGATGAAACCACCTCGCCAGCCTGCGCACGCATCAGTAGACGAAGTCTCTCAGGACCAAATAAACCCACCCTTGCCTTTACGATGAGCGACGGGGCGTCCTGAACCGGGAGCCATCAATCTCAAGGCCAGTTCGGACGCCAAGTAGACTCACCGACAGACCCTCGAGGGGCAAAGAAGAAGAGATGAATGTGTGGATTCGTCTGTGAGACAATTGAGAAGTTACAATTGAATTGAGTGTGAAGGCTTCCAAGAGGGATATCTTCTCTGAGACTTCCATCCTTGAATCTTGAACCGCCGAGATTGTGAGGCTTCACATTGCCATTACGGTCTTTAGCCATGAGAACAACCTGCGCTGAGTGAGCGCCAGTTCGGGATAGGTAGCAGTGGAATCGACGTACGGGGTTCAAAATGCCAGGGACAGCTGCGGAAGCCAGGATCGCAGACCAGATCAGACAGTTTGGCGCTGTGAGATGATTTAACAAGATTGTGGGCCTATAGCTTGTCAGCTAGAAGCTTGTGCACTCAAGGAGCGGACCCACGAGTGACGATCTGAAGGGACGACCGATACGTTCAAGGCTCGTCCAGTCCTCTCGTACGCTTCCTTGAAGGTCAGAGAGCCTCCTGTAAAGAACATGGCCTGAGACTCCGAGTCAGTACCTGTGGGGCAATATCTCCCATCTGTGTGCTCACCTTCTTCGCCCATTCGACACTGTCGAATCTCGCTCCAGTTTTCCTGAATCGCCGGAACCACACCGTAAAAGGCTCAGAACAAGCTGTAATCTTATCTGCGAGTCGAGGTACGAGCAGAACTTTCAGCTCTTCGTCGGTCCGAGTACATAGGAGTGCGGCGGCAAGAGCTCCAGCCGAAGTTCCAGTGACAACGCGAGGCAGTAGATCAGCCTCGAGGAAAGCCCGGATTACGCCAAAGCTGTGAATGGGGTTGGAAAGGCTTTACAGAGAAGGGGAACACAACTCACTGGTAGTAACCGAAAGAGGCTCCTCCTGAGAGACACAAAGCGCTAGAGCCATAATTCTTGTTGATAGCCCTGAAGAAAGCCCGTTTCTCTTCCAATGAAACGTCCGTTGCTGTTCTGATAAAGTCTAGAGACGTAGCAACCTCTCGAATATGCTGCTCGACCATAGTCTTGGTGCCGTAGAAGGTCTGCAATGGCCGTAAGTTGTCAAGCAGAAGTGATTTGGGGAAAGGTCACCCACCTCACTATACATCTTCACACCCTCTGTGCCCGCGAAATTGCTTCTCACACAAACGGCGAGAGCATCCATCAAGGCGCGAGTATCTTTTGCCATCCTTAGCCGTGTTAGCGTCCGCCTGACCCGTTTGACCTGTATGCGTCGTCAGTGTCGTTGAGTTGCGTTTCAGGCCAGAAGGTGCACACACGAGGACGTAGTCAAAATACGGATCCTCGTCCGCCTCTTTCCACTGATCGAAGCCTAGGTATCGATCCAACTTCCTAGCGCTGGCCGTCCACTCATCGTACGTCTTGGATTTACGCATTTCCTGTCTCAATCTCGCCTTGTGCCCCCACCATGCGACGGAGTATTCAAAGACATTGACTATTTGGCGGGTAATCACATAGGCTGAGAATTCAAGCCAGATGATGGTGAAGAAGAAGCCCTGAGAGTTTGTGTGAGCAGTGTCGCATTGGTGCCTGCCTGCGTGAAGCTTACCAACAGAGGCCACCTCATGAGATGATAGGTCATGCCTTGTTGAACTGATTTGCCCTTGCGTCTGCAATGGCTCTCAGCGTGATCTCGCCAAGATATGCTGAGGGCTGAGGCTCACCGTGAGACGCGCTGATGGATTGGCTGATCGTGTTGGTCAGAGAACAGACTATGATAGCTGGTATGGACTCTACGGACTCACGGCAAAGTCCGACGTCGCAGTGAGCTTCTCGACCCTTTCGCCCTTGTTACTGGAGAAAGCTCCATTATCCGGTCCATACTTGAATGTCGATAATTTGTCTTCACTCTGTGCATTTGGCGGAGTCGCACCCAATGGTGGAGATTTGGGCGAAGATGGAGTAAGATCGCCCTCTATAGGTGCTGTATCGGAGATATCTAATGCCCTCGCAAAGGCTTGAACGTGGCTGAAAGAGTGAGTGTGGAGAGAGAGAGAGAGAGACAGCGAGAGGGGGATCAGTCAGCACAGCGATTGAGGGTGTATGGGAGCCATGAGAAGTCAATTGATCTCACCTCTCATTCACATAATTGATCTCCCATGGATCCTGAGCTGCCGCCATCGCTGGTAGGGATATCGAGGACGTCGAAGTAGACATGACGTCAAAATGGTCTGGGGGGATTGATTGCTCGACCGGAGACAATCCAGATGATCAGAGGACCGGCGAGTCGTCTTCTCTAAGGATGGAGCATCGCCTCAAGGCCGTATGGGCTAGATTTGACTTGGGTCAAGCATGAAAGTATGGAGCTCAGCTCGCCATCTGAAGCATCGTTCACGCTAGATCCCGTGGCCACCACTTAACAAAATCCCATTCATGGGTCAAAATCGACGGAAGCAAATTTCAGTCGTCACATCTTGTCACATGCCGTGACGACCTTCAACAACGAGTCGTCCTTGTGCCATCTTTCTCGTCTGCAATCGCGCCCAGAACAGAGAGCAACCGTCGAACGTAAAGCTCTTGAGCATCTTCTGAAGCCCATATACCGACGATCGGCTGCCATGTCTACCCCTTTGCTCCAGCAATTCCCATCCCTTGCTCACTATCCCTCGTCATTCCTCAAGGACCTATTATCCTCTCCTCAACTGACTGAAGCTTTCCTTTATACTCTGCCAGAAGTGCAGCAGCTAGCTGAGGAAGTTGAAAAACTAGGAAGGGAGAATGAGGAGATAGCACGTGGGTCTTTGACTTGCAGCTCGGCCCAGCGACGGCATGCGATCCAACTGCTTGGGTCTCGCGTGTAAGTATGTGGGGCGGACTCTGATGCTCGCGTCAGATCGCAATTTGGAGCTACGGGACGAGCTGATTGCTCTTCGTGACGCTACTGCTCAATCTTACGCACATGCGGAGGGTCAAAAAGCGAGATGGGCAGATATCGAAAAGGCTCAGACGGCCCTGTATCAAGTGAGTGATTGTTTCATAGACTCTTCAAGGTCTCCACAATCGGCTTTGATCTTGACTGAGCGTGTCATCCCAGCGCCATCGCCCTTCATTTCTGCATCTCCGCCTGAAACACTCCATCACTGCTCAGGATGATCTCTCCGAAAGAATCGCATCAAGCTTCATCGAAGGCAAGAATGGCGGAAGCCAACGAACGACACCCGTTGGTGGCGCTGCAGATGGTTGTGGACCTGGGTCAAGAGTCGATTCCCCAGCTTTCGGACATGGAGATGCTTCGACTCCAAACGGAGTGAGTCGTTCTGTCTGAGTAGTCATATCGAGGACGCTGACGAAGCGGTGCTAATCGCTGCTGCAGACCAAATCCATCGAAGACTTTATCCAAGACTTCAAAGCTGCTAGAAAAGTGTATCATAAACGGGCCATATGGGCTGAGAGATGGACGAGGGGTGAAGTTGCTTGGCGTGATGACTGAACAGGAGAGGGGGGCTTTAAAGCGGGGGGATGTTGACGAAGGTATGACATTTGCTATGTAGACTGTCTGGAAGCATTGATAAGGCCTCCAGTTGCTCCTGGTCAGCACTCTTCGCTACACACCCCAACTCATATAGACTCGATCTTAGCTCTTGCAGCGGGGCGATTGAGTGCAGATCATTTTCGAAATTAAACTCCGAAACTCAACTCCGGTCATTCGGGCTTCTCGCCCGTTCTCCGGGGCAAACTTGTTATTTCCATGCGAGCAACGGTCTGCACACACACACTCTTGATCCTCTCATATGCTGGCATTAAACAACGAGGAATCTACATTGATCGAGACGACTTTGGCGCGCTCATCACTCCTGGACTTCGCTCGTCCATAGGCGCCATGTTCGGACTCATCCTCTATCCTCACCGTCCGACCATCTTGGACTTTATCATATGCCTGGGGAATATGGTCATAGTACCCTTACTCATGATCACTCCATTGACGCCTGGTTGGCGATTCATTCGTGGAGCCATCTTTGCCCCTCTCACCTCGTCCATCTTCCTCTATGTTTCCACCTGCATCGCCCAATACAATCTTGCAGATAGATGGGGGGTGCCCGTTTTGATGGGGTATTTTTTCGCTCAATGTTGGTCAATCTTCCTCTTTTGGCCTCCCGAGGACAATGTGTATCGTCTTATACCGAGGATTACGGGCCAGACGCATCTTCACAACGGTCATGAAGGGCACGATAGGCATAATGGTAACCCCCACGGTCACTCCAAGTCGACGACAGTGGACCTCGTCGCCGAACCCGTCCCTGAACCATGGACACTGGCCAAATTCTACTGGGCAAACTCCAGATGGTGGTCTTGGCGCTGTATAGGCTGGTCCGACTCGTGTCCTTTACCTCAATCTGCGCAGCGTCATCCTTACACCCATCAATCTTCTCGTAAGGACTACCTGATAGCGAGGTTCAAATACCTCATCTTGACTGTTATCGTTGGAGACTTTATCCACAGCTACATCAGGCTCTCATCCCAAGCACCCTTCTTCCAGAACCTTCCTGGAGCCCAGACTTATGATGAGATGTCTACTTGGGAACGGGCCAAGTGTAGTCTCATCACTGTGGGGTGGATATGGTTCAGCCTCGAACTTCCGCAAGTACAGTGCAGTATCTTTTTCGTCGGAGCTGGTGGTATTCTAGGCTGGGAAGGAGAGATATGGTCGCCTTGGGGCTGGCCTCCAATGTTTGCGAGTTCGGGTAACTTCTTCCGACGACCGACTTTGGCATATACTTGGTCCACTGTGAGTTTGTTCAGAGCTGAACTGCTTGAATCAAGCTTATCATTCCACTCGCTCAGTCCTGGCATCAATACAATCGAAGTATTCTCTACAGCTACGGTTGGCGAGGGATCGGAGAGACCATCCTTCGTCTACCGCCGACAGGTCTATCCGTCAAACTGGCACAAGGTCGCGCTCAGACCTCTCTGTCAAACTCCAAAGTCAAGTCCGAGCTCTCGCCGCAAATCCCTCATACGTCCGCTAGCAGCTCCACAGTCAGCTCTGGTCGTACGTCACCCACTCATCCCATCCCAACAGCACCATCTCAGTCGATACGATCCCTTCACACACCAGACCTCATCAACAACCTCATCAAATCCGCCATCGTCTTCTTCCTCACTGGCGTCCTGCACGATCAATCCACGTACTTCATGTTGAAGGACTACTTCTATCCAGGATCTTCATGGCTTGCAACGTCAAAGTCTATGCCTTCAATACACGTGAGCCCTGGTCGAAATCCAAACTTCCATTGGACAGACGCCATCGTAACCACTCCTTTCTTTGCGATTCAACCGCTAGCACTGGCATTTGAGGCCCTCGTGAAACGTCAGTGGAGAGCTTACAAGGTCAGACATCATCCTGAATGGCTGCAAGCATCACGAGAGCCACCTTGGCTCGTGTATGCCGAAAGAGCCACCAGCTTCACCTTTACGTGGGTGTGGCTCGGGTGGTCTGCCCACTGGTTCGTAGCGGGCATCCCGAGGACTGGGGCGTATGCCAAGATGGTAGATGAGTCAGCCTCTTGGAGTCCAGTCAGTGGTCTGATATGGGGTGTGTGGTACCGTTAGTTAGGCCCTGGTGGTCTGCAATTTACATGCATGTAGCAGCATCCAGTATGATCGGACATGGGACATGCCACTATGTGCCATATGAGAGACTGCCACATGTATACTTTGCCCCGTTGCCACTATCGGCGTTATAAATCTCCTGAGCTGCTTCTGCTTTCTGCAGTGGTCGGTCTAGCCACGAATCATCATTGACTTGGAGGTCAGACCGGTTGATCGTCTAGTCCAATCGCTCACCTCTTCTCTCTTCCTTCTTCTTCTTCTTCCACTTTTTCTCCCCAGCCCCCCCTTCCTTCACCATGGCTCTCCGTGCACCTCTCGGACCGGCAGTCAACATCACTCGTCAAACCCTCTTGCCAGCCTCGAGAACTTTGCCAAATGGAGTTCCTGCTTCCATGGGATTGAACAGGAATCTTCCTTCCATGGCCGGTCACGATGGACATTCACACGGACATGGATCTGAGAGGAGTGACCTACCTCCTGCTTGGGCTGGAAAGACCGGAGCGTTCAGCTCCGTCACAAGGGTTGCAGGTGAGTTGAACCGTATGTCGCCGATCGGGGGAGAAACAGCCATGGAATAGGGGATGGTTGCTGTGACATCTTGATTGAATGGACAGAGCAGCTGTAGCGACTTGCCCTCATGGTCCGGCGTATGGTGTGGACAAGCATATCATCTCCGTGTCGTCTCGCTCCGTGCCTTTCAATATACTCTGCTTTGGAAAACATTTTGCTCCTATAGCCTCCTGACACACCACAGCCTACCCGACCACCAAAATCAACTTCCGAGCTCTTCACACTACCCCTGCCCGCCCAGCTGGCAGCTCGATTCACCCCCTATCAGGTGGCGTCAACCACATGGCTTCTCCCGAAAGTCAAACTGCATCTACTGGTGTACCAGACTTTTCAGCGTACAAGGCTTCCAACTCTGGACGTAATCGAACATTGTCATACTTCATGGTCGGATCCTTGGGTGTCCTCGCCGCATCAGGAGCAAAGAGCACAGTAACGGATCTTCTGAGTGGTATGGCTGCTAGTGCCGATGTCTTGGCTTTGGCCAAGATTGAAGTCGAAATGAGTGCTATTCCAGAGGGTGAGTCAACTAGGCACATTATCCGCCTTTTGTTGGCCATCCATTGATGGATCAAATTTCTCAGGCAAGAACCTCATCGTCAAGTGGCGTGGAAAGCCAGTGTTCATCCGACACCGAACCGCAGACGAAATTGAAGAGGCCAACGCTGTCGACATTAAGACATTGCGTGACCCTCAAACCGACGAAGAGAGGACAAAGAAGCCAGAGTGGTGCGTTAAGTCACTCTCACTCTCTCTCTCTCTCTCTCTCTTGAGTCGCTGCACCCCCTGCTGACACTTTCTCGCAGGCTCGTCATGCTTGGTGTCTGTACCCATCTCGGATGTGTACCCATTGGAGAAGCTGGAGACTACGGTGGATGGTTCTGCCCTTGCCACGGATCCCATTATGACATTTCCGGACGTGTGCGACGTGGACCTGCTCCTCTCAACTTGGAAGTCCCGGCTTACGACTTCAACGAGGAGGAGGAAAAGATCATTGTCGGATAGACTTCAGGCATGTCGGATGTATGTGGGTGGGGTAGACGAGATCATGTTGCGGACCCTTTCTTCTATATATATATATATATATATATATATAGCAAAAGGTGCAGCAGTATGCAAAAGCCTAGATCAAAAGGGTGTCAGAGATCATGGTAGCTCTGGATATTTGTGTCCTCAGTCATGCCAATTGTTGAACGCTGGAAGGTAAGATCCACTCCTGTCGTAATGATGCAATGCAAATGGAGGAGCATTAGACTCTGAGAGTCAGGCTCTAGGTATTACAGTATACGTTCTTGTTCTTCATCTTTTAACCCATTGCGAACCTTTTCTCCATGACATACTCTTCCTCTTCGAGTTCGGCCGCCACGTCTGAGCCATCGGGGGCAGTCGTTCCACCAGCCAGCATCGACATAGGATGGCTCTGAGCCGGAGCCGGAGCCGAAGCCGAAGCCGAAGCCCTATTGAGCCCCTCTGAAGGGATCAAGAATCCTCCTTTGCATTCGACCTTGATTTGTTCCTTGAGCGCCGTGATCTTTTCCCTCAAGTATGGGTCTGCGAACAACTTCGCATCGGCATCGACAAGTTTCGGAAGCACACGTGAATGGAACAATCTTTGAGCGGCTGGTGATCCAAACTCGGAAAAGACTGCGCCAACAATGGCTTCGACCACTGATCCTTGAATGGTTTGGAATGAGGTTGAAATGGCGTTCTAAGAGGGGCAAAAACAGTGAGTATATTGACAAGGGATTGTGAAATGGATGACTATCTCACCTGATTGAGATCAGATCGCATGACCTGTCTGATATTCCAACTTTCTCCCACAAACCTTCCAAGATTCGCCGTCTCTCGGATATCGTCGATTCTTCGAGCTAGTGTTTTTTTACCCAGGAGATCGAGATCCCCAAGACGCATTCCTCCGTGTCTCAAGCTCGAGTGGATGAACAGTGGGAGATATGTCGCTATAGCTCTCCTGCCAAGAAATTGAAGTCGACCATTATGCGCAGCATACCAAGCACCGTCGTCGTCTAGTGGTGCCGAGCCAAAGGGGTGTTCGAAAGGTTTCGATCTTCCACTAAGATTGAGGATCTGTGCTGAAGTCGATCTGTCTCGCGGATAGTGCTGGGGTCGAGGTGCCGATCTCATGTTCGTCCATTGATATGATTTATGAGTGACGATCTGGATACTGAGGGACGGTGAGAATTGACGATCGGGAGGAAGGGATAGTAAATCTTTCAAGAATTTTTGTGCAGCCTCGGGCGTTGTGGTTTGATTGGCTGAAGTCGTAAGGGGGGTAGCGTGATTTGAGCCCTTGGGTGTGTGGGTTCTGCGCTGGAAACTTTCGGCCCCAGTAGCAGAAGAGGATCCAGGGGAAAACAGTCGTTCGACAGCGGGGGGAGAAGGTTGTGCTGAAGAACTTGCCAATGGGGATTCTGGTGTGTCGTGTGAGAGAAATCGGGATGTAGATTGTTGTCGATGACAGGAGATGGTGACGGGTCGACAGGCTAAGTTGGAAAACATCAGTCAGTCTGGATTCACATCTTCCTGGAGCTGAATGCCTGTACACACCAGGTATCGGTCGATGAGAAGTACTGCTACTACCTGCCTGAGCGAAATATCCTCGACATTGTGGACGGAGAGCGGTGGATGAACTAGAGGCAAAGAGCGAAGCAGCGCTGCGAGACATGTTGAGAATAGACCTAGTGATGACGAACAATCCCCTTTTCACGATGAATCTTCGTCAACTCTTCGCTTCTCCTCCTCCAAATGTCACTGCTGTACTGCTGTGATGAGATTGCCTAGGTATTGAAGATGTTGCCCTCACAGGCTGGTCGTTTTGAAATTTCAACTCATTAAGGATCATCCGGGAAAATGCCACAAAAGTGGCATCGGCGTTTTTGTTTTCCTTTTGGGCCTGTGGGTGGCAGTCCCTCAAAAGGCACACTCATGAATGCATGACAGAATGTCGAGGAGCACTGCGGTCGATTGCTAATGATGCTAGCTGCTATAGGAGGGGGCGAAACGAAAAGCTTATGAGAAAGGCGTTTATTATGTATGCTAGAGCTGAGATGACGGGAGGTTCTATGCACAAATTTTGGGAGGGAAGGGTAATGAGGGATGTTCGTCAAGTTAATAGAGAGTGTTCGTGTTGTGTCATAGCTGGGAGTTCGTAAAGGTGAATGAGACATTCGAGATCCGGGTGTATATGCGACGTCTAGGCCCGGTGACGAGGTCATATTATGACCGAGCGAGAACGACGGTCCTCCCCGGTGAGGACCTCTAGGCTGGTGATGATGGGAGGACGAGCCCCATCAGGAGTGGGCTCATTCGATTGGCCAGTCGCACAGCATAGCTACCCATTTGGTCATATTAACTCTCTTGGCGTGGCTGATCGTGATGAAGCTATGTTTCAGCAGCTCCCATGGGTAAGGGCGCCTGTTCCGGTCACGAATAAGGCTGCCGTGCGTTTCAGTCAGTATGCCTTCGCAAGCGGATAATGTGGCACTCTTGACTCACCACAATCTCATGAAGTCTTTAATGTTGTCTGACCAGATCCGTCCGACGCTTGGGTCGTCCTGCATTTCAGGGATACTGCCATGAATGATATGCGTTACCAGCTCAATTGGAGCTAATAATCTTCCCCCGTCATCGGATACGAAAGGAAATCGGAGATGAGCAGTCTCGTGTAGTGAGACACCGAGGGACCACACGTCTGCTTTGATAGAATACTCATGGCCTTGAATTCGTTCAGGCTGGACAGGTTGATTAGCTCGTCGCTAAAATGCGTACACAATCCACGCTCACCGCCATGTAATAGCTTGTGCCTGTGAATGTTCCGGCATATGAGTTGATGGTCTCCCCGCTGACACCAAAGTCACATAGCTTCACATGACCCTCGCGAGTGAGGACAATGTTGCTGGGCTTTATGTCACGGTGGACAATATGTCGTTTGTGAAGATAATCCAATCCGCGAAGGACCTAAGCAGATCAATCAGTATTACTGCGGTCACCTTCGGCGCTTCATCCTCACGGCTCCAGCTATCCTCCCCAAAACATGTTCCGAGCACTGCATATTTTTCTTCCTCATTTTGTTGATCAGTCCGTCCAGACTACCTCCTTCACAGTATTCCATGAGGATCCCGATCTCTGACGTCCGCTCATTGAAGAAGGCTCCAAAATGCTGAACGATCTGTGGGCAAGAAAATTCGTCCAGGAATTTCAGCTCTCTGAGAAGCTGCTTGTGTAACGCCGGGTCAGGTGAGGATGTGAGGACCTGGAGATCCTTGTCAGCTTATGCTCTATCCTCCGTTCGCGCACCTTTTTCGCCATGATATTCCCTGTATGACAGTCCTTGACGAGGTCTACCACACCTCCTGTCCCTTCTCCCAATCTCCGTATGAACACCAGCTCGTTTGGATTGAACCTCTGCGCAGCTTCACCATGATCACTCTCGCTCTCTTCCGAGCTTCTTCTCCTAATATCACTCATGCCGAGGGCGTCGAAGGAGCGATTAAGCTGATTGACCGATAGCTCGTCCTCTACCAAGTCTACACGACTGCCTCGCCTAGATCCATGGTACGAATTGCTGACAGAGCTCGCGCGTGATCGGTTTGATGGATTTGGCGAAGCGTCGTACCGAGATCTCGAGACTGCCGCTCTGATTGCCGCATTGCGGGCAGATGAAGTATCGTCCTTCAAGCCATTGTTAACTCTTCCATATCCATATGCGCTTTCACCATCATCATGGCCTAAAGCACGAATGGTAGGATTCATATCTTCGCCAGTGGTGGGTGTCCGCAATGCTGAATGGAGGGCGTCGTGATCAGGTTCCAGCTGATTAGAGACGAAGCGGGGAGAAGAGGAAGTGGAAATGGCGGACGACTGGACACCTACAGGCATGGCGATCTTGAGGGATGGTGTGGCTCGTCGTTGAATATGGGCATCTGATGAAGACGGGGCGTTGAGTAAAGGAGGACGGGACGATGAAAAGGATGATGTTGCAACTGCTGGAGATTCATTCCAGGAAGTCACAGAGTGAGCAAGGGGTGATGTCGTGGTAGATTGAGCGGCAGGGGTTGGGAGTGGAGAAAGTGACAATTTGGGCTTATTCCAAGCGAGGGACGGTGTTGCTCGACCATGACGAGCGAGCGAAGGGGTGAGTTGAGGATATGGGGAGGACGATGGTGGTGGTGGTTCGATGATCTTAGACGGTGTTGCAGCTGGGTGTGCATGAGCATACAGATGTGAGGTAGTACATGGAGATAAACGACTCACCAAAGTCCCCATTTCTAGGTGTCAGACGTAGAGGTGCAATGTCGGCTCTTGGATCCATTGATGGAGCGATGACAGGAGGGGAAGCGTTGACTTGGGAGGACGATGGAGTCGGTGGGGTGCCACCAGTTGAGTCTCGAAGGGGCAGTGGACTTGATCGACTTAATGGTGTTCCAGCATGACTGGAAGATGATGGATTAGGTCTCGCTCCTCCTGGTCGTCTAGGAGGTGGTGGTGGAGTGGACATGGCATGGAAGGATAGGCCGGGGCAGCGGCTACAATGTGGCCCAAGGTGTATCCGGGAGGATTTCGACGGCAGGGGAGGAGGGGGAAGCGGAGGCCGTCTGTCTCGAAACTTCCCGTTCGAGCTGATAGAGACCTGTGTAACGAGATGAAAGGATAGATGTGGTGGGAAAAGTGTCGACTTGCTAGTCAGAGTCGAGAGTCGCGCGGACGAGACCATCCGTCGGATCGCCCGCGCCCGTAGGTGACCGCGTGGGTCAAATTAGTCCCCGTTTGGTGACCGTCGAATATTCAGTAGACTCCAAGCTTCTCCCTTATGCGACTGAGGACAGTATCGTAGGTTTCCCGACAGACAGTCAGGTCCTCTTCGAGGTGGTGATCACAAGGCGTCTCGGGAGTTGTCCCCATCCCATCCTCTTTTTTCTTTAATAATTCCAACGATTCAATTCAATTCAATTTACGAGAGAGAAAGTCATCATCGACGTCAGTCGTGGTGTCGCTCTATTTATACATTGCATCTCATCACAGGGCGACATGTCATGGCGAGCAGCGATCGCTGATGTAAGCTGGACTACTAGAGCAGCAGGAGTGAGAGTTGCAAGCTCGTCAAGGACAACGACACTGCGTTTCACCACCCGAACACTTCACACTGGTCGTCGCTGTCAGTCTCATGAAAATCCACTGGTGGGAGTTCCAACCCGACCTCCATGAGAGTCACTCGCAAGCTGACACTCCCGTCTTGTGCATGCAGGGAATACCGCGTAACGATGTCCGTATACCACCCACTCTACCGCGAAGAGGGGCAGGCCCACCACAAAAGAGCAAGATAAGAGGTGTCAAACAAGTCCTTGTGGTGGCTAGTGGGAAAGGGGGAGTGGGTAAATCAACCGTTGCGGGTCAGTGCCTTCCTTGTCCCTCAGCCGATGACTCCATATTCCGCCAGAATCAAGGCTGACGAATCACTGGCAAGAATAGCAAATATAGCTCTATCTCTTCTGTCTACCTCTTCGTCGTCCTCCCGACCGAGGATAGGTCTACTGGATCTCGACATTTTCGGACCAAGCGTGCCCAAGTTGATGGGTCTGGAGAATGCGGGCGATGTCGAGCTTACGGACGGTGCGTAGTGACTTGTCTTTTGGAGAGAATCAGACCTGATACTGTCTATCAGCGAGCCGATTGATACCGCTCCAAAATCATGGAATTCAGACCATGTCTATAGGATACCTTCTTCGTGAGTCTCCATCGCCCTTGCTCAAAGGGCTTGGCACCATGGCTGATGTTTGAATTCAGCCCCGAATCCAGCGAACGACTCGCCAGTCGTCTGGAGAGGAATGATGGTAATGAAGGCTGTCCAGCAGGTTAGAGCAGCTTCACAGTGTCGTGAGAACCTGGCTGAATCCGCTCAGCTCCTGTTCGACGTAGACTGGACATCAGGAGGCAACGATCTCGATGTCCTCGTCATAGACATGCCGCCGGGGACTGGAGACGTTCAGCTCAGTCTGGGACAGTTGGTTGTCGTCGATGGTCAGCACACTCGTTCTCTTGTCTTGTTAACCACCTGGCTGACATCCTACACAGGCGCCATCATCGTTTCCACGCCTCAGGACGTGGCGCTCATTGACGCGAGAAAAGGAGTGGGCATGTTCAGGAAAGTCGACATACCTGTCAGTTTTGAGGCTCCATCTCGCGCACACCAGCTTCTGCTTGATTCGCTGACATGCTCTCAGATCATCGGGCTGCTTCTCAACATGTCACATTTCACCTGCGGAAGCTGCACAACACAGCACGAACTCTTTGGCAGCGCTGCAAAATTTGAATCGGCTGCGCTAGATCTCGGTCTCCCCATATTAGGTAAGTGCCATTCTCTCGATTCCTCCCAATTCATACAGACTGACATCTGCTAAAACAGGACGCATACCGCTAGTACCGTCAGTCAGCGATGGTGGAGATGCAGGTCGCCCCATCATGGTTCAATCTTCACCAGATGGCGAAGAAGTCCGAGAGTGTATGGGAAACATCGGATCAACGGTATGGCATTGGCTTGCTCGACAACCTGCCTCTCAGGCAGGCACGAGAGGGTAATGCAAATTTGTGCTTGGAACTCTGTGGCACTTCCATGATCGCCACCCTACGCCTGGCACTCTCACTCCTTTGCCGACCTCCTTTCAGTCTGAATTAAAGAGTACAATGGTCGCCTTGGGGTCTTCTCTCACCTTGGCATTCTCACTAGCACAGACGACTTAAAAAGCTCGTCGATCGAGAATTGCATTCCACTTCCCACATTCCATGACCACATTCCATGATGTCTGCTGATACCAGTGTTCTTCCTGCACTGCATGTTGACCTTATCTTCTCCTTCGATCGTGGTGCGGAAGATGTCACGTGGCGAATTACCGATGACTCTGCGTCCGTTCCTAATTCTCTCAAATGGAGGATGGAGGAGTTCACAAACAGACTCGCCAACGACATTGGAGTGAGTTGTCATTCTCCTTCTATCACATCGTTGACGGTTGTTCTTTCTAGTCCATGATGCGTGTAGAGCCACCGTTTTTGGAGTCTCGCGCTGCGGAAGCCGGGTGGACCCTCATTTCCGTGCCGTCGATGACGTCGATGACAACAGTCGGCTCAGCAACAGCGATGATTCCTCTGGAACAGTGCTGGTCACGAATGGGACCCTGACCAACGGACATTGAGAGAGAGGTGGCTATGCGCGCAAAAGTGCTCTGGACACTTTAAGACTATCTCCTAGCTCCAGAGGCGCTGCCTATCTGATCCTGCTGACTGCCGCTCCACACCCTGTTCGTTCTGAAACTCATATGCATAGGACCTCTTGGACTGCAAAATGCCCTTCCTTTGTGGTTGTGGACAGACCAGTGTCCCCTATTTCGCACAGAGCTAACTGGGTTGTTGTGATCGGGGATGGAATTTTGTCACTCAGACTCACGCATTTGCAGCCTGGAGTCGTCACTCAGCATATCTTAGCGTCCTATCCCGTCTTTAGGCGCTCAACCATTTCTCAGCTCCGAATGCCCGCTTTGCGACACTCAGATCAGCCGTCTCTTCCGTCGCGCTCTCGCCTCCTCTCCAGTCACCAAGACTGTACCCAGCTAACCGTGGCATCAGTATCCTTTGATACCCCTCTCTTCGCCGACTGCGCATATCTCGGTCTATCACGGGCCATTTTTGGCTCCTTGTGCCCTTTGAGAGGGATCTGCCTTGCGTCGTCATCATGTCTCTTGAACGTGCTCATCCTCATTGTCAATTCCCTCACTAGGCAAATCAACGATATACTCAATAGTCAACCTATTCACGACAAAGATGTCAGGACGAATCGATTCTCCGGTCATACGTGACTTGGACATAGATCTTACCATCTCGCTGCGACAGGGGGAGGAAACCGTCGGATGGAGGCCTTCGAGTGAGGTAGACTGGCCTAGAACAAACGGTGTGCTCGATAGCGCCCTCAGTGACTTTACGCATAGTCTCGGGGACAAGTTGAAAGTGAGTTGAACCACCTAGGTCATTAAGATGTCTAGCTAAGACCGGTGCTAGGAATGGATGGCGACCCAGCGGCTCAGCGTGGATTCGGCTGCTGCAAGCACAGACCGACGAATCATCTTTCGTGCTCGAGATGCAGCGGACTCTGGCTCAGAGTCGGATGCTCCTTCGTCAAGTGGAGCCTCGGAGGCACCGAGGGGAAGATCGCGAGCGGTGTTATCCTCTCCAGAGGATTCGGATGAGGATGCCAACAGTGATGGCGAGTGAGTGGTCGCTGATGCAGTGATTGCCTCAGGAGCTTGAGAGGACTCAAGACACTCGGTCTAGGTCATAATTGGTTCTACCACTCGTTAGCTTGCACTGATCTCAGAGAATCACGCAATCATGCATCCCTTGGGAAGACCCGTGACGGGCAGCCAGGCTGATCACCTCTAAGCTGAGGTGCCTGCAAGGGTTTCGTCAATGCTCGAAGCTGATGTCAGCCATCGAAGTCATTCTTTCTTCAAACCTCCAAAGATTGTCGGTGCTGACGAGGTTCGGACCGAGCCTTCGCTCCATTACTGTCCTTCCTTGGCTCACGAAAGACCCTTTGATGCTGCTGAGTTAAGAACCAGATAGCATTCCTTTATGGTAGCAGGAGATCAAGAGGGCCTTAAGAGCTCTTATATGCTAATACACGTACATCGTTTCCTATCACGGACATTTACTTACCCAGCTATCGCCTTGATCGATCAAGCTCTCATCAACTGAAGCTCTCCCAATAGTTTTCAAAGACCAGCAATGCCGATCAATGGATTCAATGCCGAAGCCCTGAACATCAATGTCCAACTCTCCCTTGATCCAGGGACTGCATTGCTTACATGGCAGCTTCAGCATGGCACAGACTGGGACAAGGTCAGTGAAGGCCTCACTGACGCCCTGGGCACATTTATAAGCTCCGTGGCCAGTGATCTTCAGGTCAGTATTTCCGTATCTACTCTTCTGCTGATCCGTCCGCTACAGACCAGTCTGGAAACTCATCGTCCCTCCCTCGACACGGAGGCCAGCAAGACCAACCAGACCATTGTTCTGCACTCTACCGTGTTCAAGGACTGACTCGACAGTCAGGCCTCGAGAGCGGCACCGAGGTGATTATGGAGACAGTGGGATGAGCGAGTCTTGTCTCTCAGCTTTTCCAGATGATCCCGAGATATGGGAGCAGATAGTATGACTCTTTATGCACGGTTGGTTCTTTCTTACTCTCTCTGTCTCTTTCTCTCCTCCTTTGCACACGACGTGAGCAGTGAGGGGGAGACGATCACCCTCCAGCTATCTATATGCAATTCGCTGCCTTCATACGGACAGAACAGACCCTCGCGCATCCTCTGCAAACGCTGTGAATGCCACATTGAGGTAGCGCGCTGCCACTTGGGTGTGGTGATCCTTTATCATCTCTCTCCTCTCACCGGTCGAGTCAGAGAGCTCGTTACAAGATGAGCTGCACCTTTCAAGCACTGACAACAGAGCTTGCTAGCTTTGAACTCCTTTCCCAGTTACAACCTTTCAAAGCTCCATTATTCCCCGACACAGAGGAAGTCGATGTTGCCTTCTTTCTCTGAGAAAAGTTGATGGGCCTAGGCCGGTCCCCATGGCCGGTAGAGATAAGCAAGTTATCTGGAATCTGAGTATAAATAGAGTCAGTACCGTCTCGCCACTTTGTATCGCTCATAACATCCTCTAAACAAGAGAGCCATCCATCTCAAGTCCACTCACTTCTAGTTGTCCGTTCCAGAAACCCATTCTCAATATGTCTGATTGGGAAATCCAAGTTACTGTATCTATCCAGAACGAGCGTGTCGAATGGGAAGATACAGGGGAGTGGGAGAACAATCAGGTCCACACGAACGAACAACTCGTGTCGGCGATGGCAAACTTCACTGATCAGCTTGAAACTGTCATCAAAGACGAGAAGGGGACCGATGCAGACTTGACGTGGCATAAACTGTCAACGTCGGCAGCTTGGACATCCAAAGTCACTGAAGGTAAAGCCGCGCTAGAAGGAACTACTCCCCAGACTATCAACTTGACATGGGTGGAGGAAGAATAGTCTGCCTGACAGGTCCAGCGCTCACCAAAGGGGACCCATCAGTCGTCATCGTAGCCTCAGCGTGTGTGAGTGGTCTCCAGAGTTGGTCGTACAGTAGGAATTGGATGCATGGTGGTGCTGTCGGTGTCGCAGTCTGTCCTTCGTTTGCACAGCTGGTGAGCCAGACTTGGAGGTCAAAGATCTTCGCCATGCACGCTGCTCTGGGATGATTAAACCATGGGAGGAGACATGAAACGGAAGCACATCCCAAAAGCTCAAGGAATCTGTCCAAAGCGAGGCTCCGAGCCGCATCAGGCAGAGGTCGACCTTTCGTCGGCCACGTGAATACTCGAGTCGAAGTGCTTTGCCTCATGTCATGGCGGCGTCTGCTACCCTCTGCCGTACCAAGCGGAACGCATGATAGAGATTAGTGCCTCCCCCGTAAAAATATCAATACACCACTTCGTCCACTGGCAATGGATGCATCCCTAATGAGAGCAGACTACACCCAGAACCCTCCACAAATGTTACACAGCCTAGTCCTTTCCAGCAATCGCACGGGTGTAAATGAGCTGAGCGTTGTGGTGAGTGACCCGCTTGATCTGTCCCTCCTTCTCCAGGTGAGCAATGGCTTTACGGGCCAAAGATCCGTTGACCTTCAGTCGATCGATGAGGGTAGAGACAGTGATAACTCGGAAAGTGGGGACCTCCTTGTTGATTCGGTCACTGAGAGTGTGCGTAGAGAAAAGACGAGGCGAAAGGGGGAAAAAAAATGAGAAGAGGACAGACATGATCAGCGAAGATCGAAGATAATTCGAACCCATGAGACTCACAAGAGGGTCTTGTCGAGAACGACGGCGTTGTTGGCCTTGTCCTTAACCTTTCCCTTGGACCACTTCTTCTTCTTTCTGTGAGAAGAGACGGTATCAGCGCCTGCACAAGATACCATGATTTCGCAGTTCCACGATCCCATTCTCATCCCGCCGCTTCGCTGCTAAACTCCCCAGGCCACGCCCAGATCGCAAAGATCTCAACCAAAAACACCTCTCCCATCAAGATCGAGCAGTCCGCCGCGAAGATGACATCCTCTGGACCAGACACTTTACTCCCGAATCGTTCCCCTCCCATCTTCCCCTCAAATCGTCTTTCTCTCACACTCACCCTGCTTTTGAACCGGCCTGGGCGGCGGCGGCCTTCTGAGCTGGAGCATAAGTCAGCACATGCTTTCCCAATCGCCCATCGCAGACATTCTACTCACCCTTTGACTTGACCTGAGGAGGCATGGTGACGGCTATATGCTGAAAGAGAGGAAAAGAATCGCCGTTGAAAGAAATATGGCAGGATGAGTTTCGCGGGATAAAATGATAGAAATTGAATATTTTCGAGCGGTGATAGAAATTGCCACGTCACTTTGGATGATAAGGGTGGCGAAAACGATCGGCGTCCGGTGACCAGCTGAAATGCCAAAAGGCACACTGAATGAGCAGGAGCGGTTATCACATCCTTGGACTTGGAGCTCGAAGATGACCGGGGAGTCATCGAGCCAGCGTAGGCGATCCATGTCACCTGCCAGCGGGTGGAGTTTGGATCCTCAGCTTCAGACAACGATGCGGTCCAAGGGCAAAGCCCGTGGGGATGATGGACCAGCTCCTCCTTTTGGTGATTTGTTCAGTTATCAAGAGATCTTCTTGCGTATCTTGTCGTTCCTATCGCCTGAAGATCTGGCTCACGTACAAGGAGTGAGCAAGTACTGGTCAAGGATGACCTTGGATCCTCAGGTGAGTCTCGTTCCCGTCTCTTCATCACCAATGAGCGAAAATAGGACTGAACATTTTGTCTTCAATCTTTTTTATCCATAGCTATGGAGAAGACTGTATCTGTGTAAGCGGAGTCCTCGGTTGATAGGGTAAAGATTGACCTAGACTAGCGAGATATCCTCATCCACATCATTCTCGTCTGATCTACCGTGATCAGAGTGGCTCGAGTCGTGGCTCAGCAGGGTTGCGGACGCTCCGACCGATTTCTCGCCTGCCCTCTAGAGCTTTCCCGCCACCTTCGCCATCTAGGACCCCGTCAAGATCGTCAATAGTGTCGTCACCAGATATCAAGATACCGAAGAACCTCGTTTCACCCGTCAAAGCTCCTGAGTCTTTGGGTCTCATAGACGAGATCGGCTGGGGAATACGAAACGATGGACTGGATTGGAAGATGATGCTCCGTCTGGAAACAAACTGGTGTGTCCGCCTTACCTGACTCGGCACTTCAGGTCGACTGACGAATTCGGCAGGTCCAATGGAAATGCATTGTCAGAAACTACACTATCCCTCCCGCCGTCTCCAGCTCCAACCATTTCATCGGAGGTCTCACGTCCTTCGGATCCCTCCTCTTCCATTGTTTCGAGCGAGCAACATATAGCTTTGTCTCCATCGTTCATTTTTACGTCAAGTCCGCAATCGCCATTAGTACAGGTCCACCTCGCATCGAATAGCGCATCGAATCCTCCGACCCCGCCGACAGCGCCTGACCAGCGATCCGTACCCCTCGGCATCATACCACCGCCACCGGGATGGTCATCACCTCACAGACCCGATAACATCACATGTATTTGCTCCGACCAATCTGTCTCGCTACCTGACGAACCATCAACGAATCATAATGCTGCAATTAACAATATGAAGCCAGGACTACCAACACGACTGGCCATCTTTTATCAAAGTGGAGGTTTCGTCGTTCTACATGTCCAACTAATTGCCTCCCGCCTGATCTGGAAACGAGAATCCATCAGTCCTCCAACCGTTCGTCCGCGATCGCTTAGGCGACGCACAACATTCGTGCAGGATTCCGGGGATCCGATTGTGCTCGCAGCGATGCACTACCCTGTCGTCGTCTCGTGCTCTCTATCTTTTCACTTGTCGATATACACAATCCCTCCGACCAATTTCGATAATCCGAATCGACCACGGCATCTATCGACCATGCACTCCGACGTGTCTTTCCACCCTGCCGCTTTGTCCCTTTTTCCTATCGACTCAGAGACCCCCTTGGGGTTAGAACCGCAAGCAGCGGATGCACCCCATCGGTTCCGCGCGGGGCTCACATACTGCTCTCCGCTCTATCCCTCGTCGTGGACTATCGCGGTACAAGAGTTTGCAATTGATCTCGATGGAGACTTCGTCGGCGGGTCTGCCGAGCGAGGTGATTGCTTCACTGTCGTAACCCCTGACGATGAATTGTCTGACGAGATCGTCTGGCCTAGACGTATCAAGCCAGTCATCGGTGTCAAAGGGCGTCGAGCTGTTGGAGTGGGAACGGACGGCAGGTGGTGCGTCCTCGCTGGGGATGACAACCAGATACAAGTTTATTCACTGCCCTCTTCGTCTCCAATGCTTCTCGACAGGTCGACTCATGGAATACTTCACTCGCAGACTCTTTTGGCCCACTCTTCCTCTGTGACCTCCATAGCTCTTCTATCCGGTCGCTGTGTCTCGGGTGGGAAAGACGGCCGTGTCCTCGTCTGGGAGCTCAACGATGATCCCGAAATTATCAACAAGCGGCCTCGTACGATAGGATACGTTGAGGTCAAGCCTGGTGGAAGGAAATGGAAGGGCCCTTCGGGGCCACTCCCTCGACAGTCTATACTAGCTGACTCGAACCAAGAGCCATTACCTCCAGAGGGCTACGAGCTGCCTCACCCAGCGTCTATATCTTCCGCTGCGAGGTCATTCTTCCTTCCTCGGCCACCCGAGGATCTTCGACCGAAAGATGATCGACCTCCTCCAATACAGCACTTGGCATTTGATGAGGAGAAGATCGTAGGAATTGTGAGGTCTAGATCAGATTCGAGTGGGAGATTAGAGGAAACGATGAAGATCTGGAGCTTCAACGTGTAGCCATCGATGACGTTGGAAGCTCGAGCATGCAATATCGTATATGAGTCTACATACGCCCAATCGTCGCACGACTGCAGCATGGAATACTTGCCCTGCTGCTGGACAGTACCAGCGCTTTGGTCATGTACTTTCGTAAGGAGGCAATCCACTTGATGTCGTCGCCAGGACTCACATCATGCCACCTATCTTTGAGGGTCAAAGGTCAATCGGTTCAGTGTCAAGGTGTCCTTTGAATGCGTCATTCGTCCGATCAGAACCAATCTTCAAGTGGAGTGGATTGTCGATGAATTCTCTAGACCGCCATGAAAGGAAGATCCAATCTCGATCGATATGAGGCTCTACCTTCGATTTCCGTCTCAAGCGACACTCTGTCTGATAATGCCCCCTGCCTCATATAAACAGAGCACATAACTGCTCAGTGCGATCATCTTTTACTCAACTCAACATGGTTTCAGCTTGGCAGACCAATCATCAAAGCGAGCATTGTGATACTGATGTGGCTTCCACTGACAGTTGGTGGACGAGAGCTAGGAGGCACTTGGCGGGCCGAGGGGACATTGGATCCATCGACTCTGAAAAACTAGGTGGTGAAGCCACAACTCTTCCTTTGGATGTACATGACATCGATTACAATACCATCTCTAGGTCCTCGAATTCCATGACTGCGACTCAACAGATGGAATCGGCAGAAGTGACGCCGGAAAGGCAGACGACGCGATCAACCTGCGATTGGAAGCTCATCGCTGGGTTGCTCGCAGCCTCGTTCGGGCCAGCGATGCTCGTCGGATCGCTCTACTATTCAACCTGTGAGGAAGAAAGGTGTTCGAACCTTTCAAACTTGTTGAATAATCCTTTGGGTCCGCAGTATTAGGGAAGCCCTGGAGCTACAAGAGCGTTCGCTAGGACAAAAGTTAGGCTCTCCCTTTTTCACCCGAATACTATACATGCACACATCCCCATACTTGCTCCCGCGATAGTCAGAGACAACTCAGCAGGGAGAACATTGTCGACCGCTCGAGAGCATCACACATGCATGATCTGACTTCACCGAGTTTTCGACTCTGCCAGCACCTTAGGGATTCCGCAAGTAAGGCGCACACTGCCACTAAATGCTTCGTAGTGGAAGTTCGGTCGAACGATGATACAAGATTGCCATCTCATCGATTGATTATGACACCTGAAAGGAGGGCTCTTCTCTCTGATATGAGCCGTTTCGAAAGCCCTCTGCATTGGATGCACGATTCTTACGATGTGTGATGCCCTCTTGGTGTCATCATCTTAACCAAGCACGACTGAGGACGGAGGTTCCAGAGATTCCAATATCCTCACACTTACGAGTCCCCATCGCAATCAGAGGATCTGACAGCTTATTGGCAAGTTGGCATCGTCTTCAAATCACGTTCCGGGACTCGCTATTTATCTCTCAACAACCTGCTATCAAAGCTCAGGCGATTCTGGATTCTGTAAGCCTACCCGCTGCCACTATTGATCGCAATCGAGTCGTAGCATGCCAAGCACTTCTGGACAAGCAGCAGGCCATCAGACAGATTCATCAGCCATGCACCTGTCTATGGAGCAGGAGCAACTGGCGTGGCGAACAGCTCGACATGGCTCACGACAACAGCTGATTTGCGCCACGTTGGTCCTTCTCGCAGTTTTGTTTGTTCTGATATTTCTGTGCAGTTATCTGCTATAGATCTAGACCGTGCTCATCGATGTGCATCACATTTATACCAGTAGTCCCGATCTCACCTCCAATAGCTGAGCTCAAGCGGTGGATAGGAGGACAGAGAGGCTAGTAGTAAATGGATGTGGGCGCCTGTTCTTACAGTACAGAATTACAGTTGGCAAGGGTGAAAGTGGCATTTCCGTTGTAACTGCCACCGGTCCTCCCTTGATCCCTCGAATCGATAATCAATTCAGTGGTCCATTCTGGATGCTCTCCAACGATGCCTCATATTTCAGATGACACCTCAGAAGCCTTCTGAAAGAGTATGCTATACATGTTGACATCGAGTGTCAAGCTCGCTTTGGACCCTTTGCCAATCCTTCTCTCCGAGTCGAGCCAGTCTCTTTCAACCACAGATGAGTGAATCACAGAGGGCTCTTCCGCACACGACCAGTGAGATTATCGAAACAGTCGCAGACGACGAAGAACCCTTGAACTGGGACGACGTCTTTCGCCGACCCAGAAACACATCGGCTACCGATCTCGAAGTCGGGCGGACTGCGGAGCAGCTGACACGGTCGCAAAATGAATCATCCCTCGACGCGGAGTTCTCCGGACAGGCTTGCAATGTTGGTCCGTCCGAAACCGACGGGTGCTCAGCGCAGCAAGAGGAGGCGGGCTGGCCCATTGGAGAGACTGTCTATACCGGTCTGGCCCTGACGACGATCGCCGGGTTGGGTTGGTTTGCTTTCAAGTACCCTACTGAACTCTCTTATTGGCCCTTTCCCTCTTGCAGAGAGCAGTGCTGAGCATGAGTACTAAATCAGGGCTATCATAGCGGGATCCTGCCCTAGTCGTCTGACCTGGGAACTCATTTCTTCGAAGAGACCCATACATGACCTTACATACAATACAGTGCGATACAGTCCAGTCCACAACCCGTATTTCACCCCATGCGCCTCAGTTTTGACGGTGTAGTATACAAAGAGGGCTTGGACGGCGAAGGCGGTAATTCGCCAGGAATGTCGAATCTCGACTTTGTCATATTGACCTTGTGTGATTCTGATCTCGAGATGTCAATTCTTGTACTCCTCGATACAATTATCACTCACCGCCCAAAGTTTCGATATCATGCTCAATAGTGATTCGTCTGCCTTTTCTCGCTGAAGAATTACTCTGCTGAGCTGGGTGGGCCGGAAGTGGAGTAGGAGCACTCGGAAGAGCGAGATTAAAAGCGGTGAATGTCGACGGCAGAGACGATTTGAGTCCGCCACCGCTACCCTTGGTAGATCGTGAACTAGGCGAAGTGATCGACTTGAAGGTGGACGTGTCAATCTCTTCTCCAGTAAGCATCTCCACGATCTTCTTCTGCTTCTCCATCGCCTAGTACATCGTCAGGACCTTTGCCATCCTAGGCCACTCACGTCTGCCCAGTACTTTATCTTCTCCCTCTGCTCGTCTATCAGACCCTTCTGGAGCTCAACAATCTTCTCCAATCGATCAATCTCCTCCCGTTCCATTGTCCTTAGTCTGTTGTCCTCGTTACCGGTGGAAGTCTGCCGAATGGCCTGGGTGCGCAAAGACTCTATGAGGTCCAGATTGGCCAACCGAGGTTCCGACGCGGACGACAGGTGCCCACGTCGAGCCTGCAAAGTCTCCTCTCGAGCCTTGTCCAGAGCCCGTTGCAGTCCAGCGTTGTCCAACGTCAAATTGGAGATCGTCTTTGAATCGGTCTTCAGCTGTTCATCCTTCTCGACTATCCGCAGCTGGAGGACTTCGATCTCTTGATCGTATCTCTCCCTCAGTGCGTCATATTTCGTTTGAGACTCAGCTGCCCGCAACTCGAGAGTCTTGTAATCAGAGCCAAGCCGATCGTAGTCACCACGCGCAGAGGTCAGTCGAGCTTCCGTGTCCAAGGCTTGTGCCGTCGCAGCCTCGTGCGCTACCCTAGACTTCTCCAAGCGATCGGCAATCTCTTGATTCAAATTGGCCAAGTGAGCGGCGTGATCGGCTTTCATTGATTCCGCCTCGCTCTGTACAGCATTGAGACGCCTTTGCAGCTTTTCGATCTCGTCTTGGTCAGCCATGACCAACTGTTGCCGTGACGATCTGAGCTCGGAGATGATCATCTCCAATTCTTCAATCCTGGCGACTTTTTCGTTCACTTTATTGAGAAGGTCATTACGCGAAGTCTCTAGCTGCTCATGAGAGTCCCTTAGGCGTGTGTCGAGCTCGGACCCAAGATACGCGTTGGCTTTCGTTAGAGCCGTGTTCTCATCGGTCAAGTCGCGAATCTGTAATTCGAGCGTCTGAATTTTGTTGGCAGCCTCCTCGACAGATCGAGACAGCGTTTCCAGCTGAGTCTGGACAGTCGCAAGTTCGCCTTCTTTTACAACGAGCGTCCGACGTAGTGTGGCAACTGTCTTCTCGACGTCGAAAGGCTGTAAAACGTCAGATCACGTTCGGACCATCGGAACCTACATCAGTGTTGGCGTTAAAGGAGATCAGGCCTTCACCCTCTTCAGGAACACGAATCATGCTACTGACAGCTCGCCTGTCATGTGTGCCCTGGCGAGGGCTCATGAGGTGCTTGTAATTGTCACTGATCCGGCGACGTTGAGGTACGGTCTGAGGCTGATGAGCCTCGGAAGTGAGAATCTGGGCATTGAGCTTGGCGAGCTGTTCAGCAAGTTTTGCTTTGCGAGCTTCCATTGCAGCAACGGATTCGGCAAGCTATACCGCATCAGCCAAGGATTATCAGGCATTGAATCGAAGCCCACCTCTGCCCCGATCGCGCTCTGTGAAGACCCATCCGAGGTAGCTATTCGACTAACAGAATCATTCATGACCTCTTCCAGTCGACGTTTTAGATCCTCGATCTCCTTGTCCTTGGCTCGGATCAGAGCCTTCTCATCCGACATGAGCTACAGCTTGGTGTCAGCAAGTAGACAGCCATGAACTTCGACACTTACAATGTTTTTCTTGGCCTTTGTCTCGACCTGCGAACAGCGACCAGCAAATTTGAGAGTTTCCAGTGTCTCCGAAGCGTGCTCTTGGTCTGCTGATATCGTACAGATGACGCAGATGTTGGATTCTCCACCGAGGGCGTTCTCAAGCAAATGAGTGAGCTTGGAGTCTCGATACGGGATGTGAGGTCTGTCAACGGAGATCAGCTGATGGGACGAGGATGCCAGGGATCCACTTACCGCTTTTTGTCGGAGAGCTTGTTGATGACTTCCCGTAAAGCCAACAAGCTGGATAGAGAATCAGCATCCCGGAAGCGAGCTGGTCTAGCTGCTGACCTCTGATTGATATGCTTTCCCTCGCTACGGCGCTGTGTGTCTGACACTGCCTTCTCCGACCCCGCCAGATCCTGAGGGGAGGGTCAGCTAGCTTGAGGGAGACGTCAGCAACGCTACCCACAATTAAGCTCTAATGGAGTCATTAGCTGTCGATCGAGGGCGGGAGATCTCAAGTAGACTCACCAATCTAGAACGGCGGACATCCCCTGCGCCAGTCTGGGGCCTCGATTCAATGGTGATCGTGAAAACGCTGTGAGAGCGAGAGGATCGTTCATTCTGCCGACTGTCAATTCAATGGCCTCGAGCCGTTCTTGAGGGACCAAAGTGCTCACCCAGTCGGTCTGCCCAACTTTCCTCGACGCATTGCCTCGTTCAAGCAGCTCCATAATTTCATGCGGCGTCGAGACCACCTTCTCAATCAATGGCTCCACATAGACTTGCCCCTGGAATTTGCTGAGCACGTTGTTCACTCGTGGTGCTCACCTTGGAGGAGGAGATAACCGGCTTGCCAGATCTACCGTCAAAGTCCAGCAGGTCACGCAGAGTCTCGTTGTAGATCTCAACGTAGGAGACTCGAAGGAGATATGCTCGGTCGAGCTCCTGTAAATGTGTCAAAGAGTGTACGCTCTGGCCGTTTCGCAGTACCCACCTCATTGATGGCGTCGAACACTCCATCCACGGCGCAGGGAATGATGCCAAGCTCCGTAGGGACTCCGGTCTGTCTCATGAGCTCTCGGCGAGTTCAATCAAGATAACTCACCATAGTGTACGATTTGCCGGATCCGGTTTGACCGTACCTGAGGTGGTTGTCAGTGGAGATGAAATAGAGCTCGATCGGTTGGACTTACGCAAAGACCGTAGCGTTGAAACCCGACATTGCCTTGTCGACCAACGGAGAGACATTGGATCGATACAGCTCTTCGGTAGTTGAAGGGTGCTCAATCAAATTGTCTGGGACGATCAGCCTCTCATATCCGGCAAGACCGTCAACTTACCAAACATGTAGATATATTCATCCTCTCTTCCCATTGCTTTGCCTCCTCTTCGAATGACATTTGGGTGAGACTCGGTGAGTGTGAGGGAATTGGATGTGAGATTGTAGGCCGTTTTGGAGAATGAAGACTGAGTGGGCTTAACCCTGAGCCAGGAAAAGTGTGAGCAGTCGCAGCACAGCCAGTCATCAGACCTACCTGACGCAGACATTGACCTTATCGTCTTTGACATCGCCGATCTTGACTCTCGGTTTCAAGCCTGTAGAAGGCGACATGACAGACAGACCCTTGTACTGAATCTCCTGGATCTTTCTCGTCCTAGCTCCCGTTGATACAGGAAGCATTGAACCGACAACCTTTCGTTTGGGAGTTGCCATCGCCGTTGCTGCTCTTTTGGGTGTCATATCTCCATCCCCTTCGTCAGAAGATGATGTGGCCGAGGAGGACACATCGCCTCGATGTATACGTGGCTGAGATCTCGGTCTCTTGAGAGTCCTGAAAGCGGGTGAGGAGGGGATCATGATGGTTGATTCGGGGAGAGGGGGAGGGAGGCCGACACTCAATGAAGGCGATGATTTTGGTCGGGTGAGTGCCCGATGGGGTTTCTGTGGGGTGAGCATTAGTGGCGTATGTCTGGATCTGAGAGACAAGAGCCAATTACCAGATGTCTTTCAATGTCAACCTCGTGTGTTCCTCATTGCCATCCAAGTGCCCTTTCGACATCGACTGCAGAGTGAGGGGGGGTTGAATTCAACATTAGAACATTTGTTGATCAAAAGATTGGCGAAAAGTCAAGCGCGTCAGATAGTCACGTGGTGTCCCCTCCCCTTAACCTTGGCGACCGCTGGTCATGGAGAGCGATGTGTTCATGAAGGATATCTGGAGGAGATAGGATGCCAGTCAGGAGACTGCAGCATGTCCTAAGACCTCGACATGTGCAGCCTTTGATCCCGGTACCTCGGCGCCTGCCGGTTCGTTTACTGTCGAGTACGACATTGCGAGCCAACGTTCCGACATGGCCTCAACCGTTGGGTCAACCTCAGACTCCGGTGAACCCTTCAGACGATGCGATTCAACAAGTCATGTCGGAGAAGAACAAGTCGACAGAAGGGAGATCGAAATCGTTTCTGGAAACATGGTCGTCCAGTCCGAGCTTTCAAGCGGCTCTCACGACAGTGGTAGGACTCATGATGGTGTTTGTAGGTGGTGTAGGGTATTTGAGCTGGTACAAAAGTCATGTGCTCCACAGGGTGAGTTGAGGCTAAAAAGGTCAAGGAGAGGGAGTCCAGCTGAGACATGACCAATTTAGATGGAAAGAGCCTTTGCTCCTGGTTTCGACCCGGCTTTAGAGATGCATTCTGAAGAATCACTGCATATCGAAAGGGACGAACAACCTTTGATAGATAGTATCGTCAGAGGGGAACATGCGGGATCCTATTATCTCATGATTGGGCCGAACGGTACGGGCAAGGGGTGAGCACAGTAGACAGTCGAGTGCTTCATCTAAAGCTGACAGCTATTCAGTACCCTCATCCTCAAGTAAGCTTACATGCCAGAGCCAACACTCATAATCTCCAGTGCGATGCGAAAGATACAGGCGGATGGAGCGGCTATACTGGAGGGTGAGGTGATGTTCGAAATTCAGGTACTGACTGTTCAGGCCATCCTGACCTCGAAGTGGTTCGCTTGAGGCTCGGAAAGAGCTTAGATTTCGATTACTTTGAGGACTGGCAAGGATCTCTTTTTTCCCGAGCGGATCCTCGATCGGCCGGGCCCGCGTTAGACATTGAGCGAGCTTTGAATAAGCTTGAAAAGGTGGCTTTGAGATACAAAGCGAAGAAGGGTCGGCCGATCGTTTTGGTTTTCAATGGTCAGTCTGTCGGGAGGCAGTAGGATAGCGCTGAAGGAAGGTGGTAGAGATTCACCTTATCCCGAATTCTCCGGAAGGGCATGCATTACTGCATCAACTCCAGCAGCGAGCAGAAGCGTGGGCAGAGGGGGTGAGAGGACTAGACCTTTGACTCCCGTGCCACGAACGCTGATTGGGTGATTGAAACAGGGAATCTGCACAATGGTATTTTCAACGGACGATTTCTGTAAGTTCTCAGCCAGGGGTTTGGGCTAACCGATAGGGTGTCTCGATATGATGAAGAAGAATGCTTCTCGGATGCAGGTCTTATCAGTCTACGATCTACCTCCACACGAAGCCATCAGTGCTCTTCGTAGAATCCGGACTTCGACATTGCGACATCGATATGGACCTGACGCCAAAGTGGAAAATGATGCGATTCTGAGACAGGTATACGATCTCGTTGGTGGTCGGATGAGCCACCTCACACGGGTATCGAGAGCTGGCGACATGCTGAGTGAGCCAGATCCGCTCAACAAGTAGCTGACGGCGTCAGAGCGAGCCGAACAAATGGTTGAGGACGAGATGCACTGGCTGCAGTCAAAGTAAGTGCCAAATAGCGTTCAAAGTCTGTGTCTGGACCTGACCGAGTGTCACAGAATCGGGCTCATTCCAGACCATGACGACGATGTGATGTGAGTTCATCTGTCAGCTTTGGATCTTGAAGAGCCTCAAATCTGACTCCTTGCTCCCCAGGGACGAGCAGAAATGGGCAAGTTGCTCTTGGCTTCTTTTACGACACCTTGCCAAGCTGCCAGAAGACGAGCAATACGTGTCATATGGTGAAGCCAGACGGATCATGACAAGGACAGATTTCATAGAACCCCTAGATGCGTATCAGGTGAGTAGGCTGGGAGCCACTGATCATCAGGCCACAGTACTGATCGTCGCGACAGGTCATCGCCATAGACGTGAGAAGCAGCTTGTACGGTACCAGTATGAGGATGTTGACGACTTTTCAGCGGCGTCATAGAATACGCCTCGACTCCACCCTCATGCTTCGTGCAGTCGAGCGAGCAATTGCAGAAGAAGGCTTCGATGATCTCTTAGATCAGACTCGTGCTCGCGTGGACGAGATTGAAGGTGAGACGCTGAGCCCCGCGGCTGGCCGAAAGCTTTGCGTGCTAAATCCACTTTTCCAGGACTTCACCGACAAAATGAACTGACGATCAAAGAACCCTTCAAGATCGTCGTGGATAAGGGAGGGAGACAATTTGATGTGATCGGCTTGGGGGACAGCTTCAATCCACCCGATGAGCCCTCCTGACATGCATGCACCCTGCTGGAGAGAGATCACGCCTGTTGCCACCACAGCCGCCGCCGCCACTCGCCACCAAGCCAATTGATGATTTAAGCATAAAAAAACTAGACTTCTGAACGTCGTCGCTGTTGTTCCACCCACGTCATTTTTCGCTGCTTTTATTTACTCTAACATTACTCCTATCTCCATAATCCTGTGACCTCGACCAACAAGGTGGCGAGGAGCACATCTATATCTCCTGAGGCTTCAAGCTATACCAAGCAGTGGACAGCTCATCGCTGGGTTCCTACCTGCTGATCATCTCACTATCCTTGGCTGTCACCCCTCCCCAAACATCCTTTGTTCCCCCCCACATACGATGGACTCGGCCGAAAACCCAAGATGACATTGGCATCTCACCATCACCTCGACGTACCGTCGACTAGTACTCGTAGCCATCTGAGGCGCAGAGAAGCGCCACGAAGACCATCATTGACTCCTTCATCCGATTCCTCTCGACCAGCATCGGTCGACGATATCGACACCATGTTAACCGTCAATGACACTCTGCCGAGGGACCACGACGATTTCTCCATCGATAAATTATGGAAGAATGATCCATTACCTGAGGAGATTTATCCTCGAGTCATTGAGAAGCATATCCCAGAACGAGGGTACTACATCGCTCTAGGTCTCATCATGTCCATATGGATGATCACCCCTTTAAGCTGGTACGATCACACCTTGATTTCTCTCAGCACAGCCCTTAGCTAATGTCTATCTTTTCTCCTTAGCGCCTATCTCATCTGGTTCGTGCTCCTCGGTCAAGGTCTCCGGGGAGGTCTGGGCCTCACATCGACCCTTTTCGCCGCATACGCATTGACCGAAGTAGTCTTTGCAATCTACACTTCTTACCTCGTCCGATGGGTTCAAACGCCAACTCCAGCCTCTGTCTTACCTCTTGAAGCGCGAAACGAGCTTTTCCGTCGAGTTCTTACTTCAGATCTGGGTTACAGCGTTCCTGAAAGACCTGCTGAATCGGACGATCCGGAGAAACAGATGGATATGGAGCTCTGGAACCTGTATCGATCCGGCCATCTATCTGAAGCAAGGTATCATCATGCGAAAGATCGAAAGTATGAGATGATACATGGGATACAGGCGCCTGGACCGAGAGTCGGAAAAATGAGCGAAGGGCAGAAGGACCTCATCGGATCATTCGTCGAGGATCATCCCGGAGAACGAGAGCAGAGGCTGAGGGATCAAGTGGAGAAGGATGTGGGGTTCGGACAGGATGATTTTGATGATGGCATCATGGACAAACATGGAAAATTGATCCATCTTCACCCGATGGACAGGCGAGCGGTCGAGTTCAGAGAGAGACTTCGGACATGGTAAGCGTTCGGCCTGTGCTGATGCAACGCACTGACCCCCGTTCGTTCGCAGGTTCAACCACGCTCCATGGGAAAGTCTACGTCGGCAGAACGTTATCATCTGGCTCTCGTGGTCATGCTTCAACTTGCCATACGAGGATGTTCAGAACAATAAGAAATGGCTCGACTTTCTGGATGCCTCTCTAAAAATGCTTGAAGCGAGGACTGGAACCCGATTCCCCGATGGCTTTGATCCAAACGTTGAAATGCTGAGATTGACCTTGGATCCCGTCAACGTGAGCTAGGTGCTCATTGACTATTCAAAGCATTGACACTGGCCTAGGCCAAGGGGAGACCCCTGATTCTCTACGCAGTGACGAACACCATCAATTGGTTTCTTCGAGAGATCGTATACCCTTACCAGGGGATGGGGCTGGTGAGTGGGGGTGCCAACCTCTGAATGAGCTCGGCTAATCCCTACCAGTATCGCGAAGGCGGAATCGACTACTTGATCCGCATCCCAGCCCACTGGACACCAGAGAAGGGGCGAACAGAGCCCAATGCTATGCCTATCATCTATTTCCACGGACTTGGCTTTGGTCTGCTCCAAAACCACTTATTGATCAAGCACCTCCTGGAATCACTCCCCACTCATCCTATTTGCGTGCCCTTGGCTGTGCATACCTCTCAATCTATATTCCACGAACGGCACCTGCGCCCCTGGACCAGGCGAGAGCTCGTGCCCGCGATCAAGAACATATGCAAAAAGTGGGGATTCTGGGAACAAGGCGTGGAAGAGTGGGGTGTGAGGAAAGATAGATCGGCTGGAGGGGTCAGTCTGATGAGTCACTCCAATGGGAGTACGGCACATGGATGGAGTGAGTAGGATTGTGCCTTTCTGAAGGATGATGATGTTGACCGAATGTAGTCCTCAAAGACTGTCCAGAGTTGAGTCGTCGGAATACTTTCGTCGACCCTGTTGTCTTCTGTCTGTGGGAAGGAGGCGAGTCTCGCGCTGGGTGAGGCGGTGGCAAAGCTGACTAGCGTAGATATCTGTCACTCGTTTTGTTATCGCAAGCCTAGTACGGTGAGTCTGACTCTGAGCCTCGATCAGGCAGGTTTTGACCCGGTCACCAGGCATTAGAACTGCTACTGTATTACTTTATAGCATCGGAGGTGGGCATAGCAAACTATATCCAGAGGGTGAGTCCGGCGATAGTCCTAGGTCAGTTTCATTCATTGACGCCACGCGTATCAGCATTTCGACTGGGCCGACAACAACCTCTGGTTCGATGAGATTCCCAACGTCACAGATCCCCGCAAGACGGCCTTTTTCCTAGGTGGGAAAGACATCATCATAGATACTGCTCGGGCTAGAAAGTATCTCGAAAGGCGTGAGTCCCGCAAGCCTGGCCGATGTGCTCCATTATGACAACTCATGTTGCACACGACAGATGGTGCTGGGAAATGTATCTATTGGGCGTCTCAAGCTGGACATGGTGATGGTCTTTCGGGGGAATCGAGAGATCGAGTCGTCATGTTTGTTGGGACTGGCTCGACTCGCGGATGGCAAGGTTGGTTGACAAGAGGGAGGAGAACGCATAGTCTGGGAAGGGACGATTGGCAGAGACTCAAGAGAAATCTCAAAGCGTCATCTACAGCGGCTGCGAGTGGGTCAAGTGATGACGACGAGCCTCTGAGAAGAGGTTCGGAAATGTCGAGTGCGAGTATGGAGAGCGATGCGACGAGGGTTGAGGATGTCGTTGTGAAGTAGTATACCTAGCCAATGGTTTGGGCATAGAGGGATTAGAAGGGCATGTGACATACTTTGCATTGGGACATTGACGGTTTACTGTCTCATCGGAGTCGTATCCAGATCATGAAGGAAAAAACATGGCATTCACCATCACTTGGCCGTGCTGAATAATCTATCTCCTGCGTCTCCTAGACCAGGCGAAATGTAACCTTTCGACGTGAGCTCTTGGTCCACAGCTCCAATGTATATCTAGAGGAGTCAGGGTCAGTCACACCCTTTTCCCAAGGCTGACAGAACGACGCTGCACGGGCATGACGGGGCCTCACGCCCCACTCACCTCGACACCAGGGTACTCGCTGACTACTTTCTCGACGCCTTGGCTACTTCCCAACACGGAGATGATCTTGATTTGGGATTGTGATAGACCCCATTCCGTCAACATGGCAAGAGCTGCGATGGCTGTTCCTCCCGTCGCGATGAGAGCTGTGTCAAATTCACTGTTTCAGCAAGTTGTTCCAAGAGGGTGTATTAGGAGAACCTTACGGTCAAGGACAAAGACAAGGTCTGCGGATACCTCAGTCGGTAGTTTGGAATAATACCTGCAAGAATCACGGGTATTATAAGTCCGATCGAAGCTCAGGAATTGTACAAAGATGCCACGCCACACCATGAGGACACTCACTCGATAGCTTGTAAGGTCGCTTTGTCCCTGAACAAACCGAGGTGCAGAACAGTAGCATCGGGGAACATGTCCAAAGCGGCTGGACCAAGGGAGTCAGCAAGCGTTTTCGAATGGCAGGACACGTGAGAATAAAGCACGCACCATCGGTCAATCCGATTCCTGCTCGAAGGATGGGCGAGAGCCCAATGCTGAGGGGTACAGCGTGTCCTGTGAACGGCGCAATGGGAGATTGCAGCTGAAGAGGGAGCCGCGTTAACGTACAGTGCAGGACGTAGATGTTTGGTGGTGTAGCGAGGCTTGAACTCGGCACTCATGACCCGAGGAAAGACTTACATCTGGGACTGGAGCCAGGGGAAGATTCCTCGAGGCTTCATAGACCAGCATGGATCTGAGACGATTGTCAGTCATCAGCCAGAAACGGAGAACAAGAATCCGCGCGGTTGCTAGTGAGTTTGATAGGGCTGGGAATAGTAGTGCCGGTGAACTCTCTTTGTGTGCATCGCTGATTCTCTACCACTGGCTATCGCTCTCGCTCTCGCTTCGCCCCAGACTCACCCGATAGCCTTGACGCCCTCTCTGAAATCCTTCGCAGGTAAATCATGCAACCTCAACTGGGTCAACTTGCACAGTACAAGTGGATGCGTACAGACATGTACGTTTGGTGATGACGACGATGACGATGACGGATGTGACGTGGACTGACTCATAGTGACTTTGACCGTTTGTGCGTCGGTCGATATGTGGGGATGCTCAATTGATACCTTGTTATCGCTTCTCGGGTTCGCGGCGGCGGCGGCGGGCGGTTACGGTTATTATTAACGATGCGCGTCTACCGATGGGATTGTGAACACCTTGTACTGTTCACCGTGGTGTGGACTAGGGGCTAGGGTCTCGAGAGAAGTAGGGCGAGCAGAGTGAAGTCAGAGTAGGATATCAAGAAGATCGTGACTTGAAGAGCGAGCGACAGGCAAGAGACGATCGAAGGCGAGGCGAAAGCCAGCCCCTACCCAGTATCGCTCTTCCGTTGATCCGCTGAAACGGGGTTTACGGCAGTCAGAAAGGATCGAGGGGAAAGTGGCGAACGGTGGCGACGACTGGAATGATGGCTTGGCCTGGCCTTCAAGAGAGATCCAGAGCAGGCTGGTTTTGATTCAGCGCAAATGTCAAGCCGCACAAGGGTTCTCATCACCTGATACTACCATGTCACGTTGATGCATAGTACAAGCGACCGCAAGGATGGAAATCCCCTAAAATATATGACCAGTAAGAATACAATTGCCCCCCAAAAATGAAATGCCCATGTCGTTATACGCCCTCCGTATCGTTTGAGCTGAGTAACCCTGCCACCTTCCAGTGTCTCCTCCTTCTTTGCTCTTCTCGATCGTCTCAGACCTGACTGGTCTCCTCTACCACTTTCAAACTCCTATCGCTGAGTGGCGCCTGATCACTTCTCCACCTCTCAGGCCTCTGATAGTCCATCGAAGTGACCTCGTCCGTCACCCCTTCCAGCTGTAGTCCAGAGACTTCGCCAAACGTTCGTGGACTTCGAATTTCAACAGACTCGCAGCCCTCCGTGATACTTGACGTTCGGGGAAACTTTCTTACACTGAGCTCTGTATCTGTGAAGAGCGATCGGGGCTCGGTGTAGTTTCGTCGGCCTTGATCAGGATCGATGGGAGCGGGCAGATCGGCCGTCATAGGGATGGAGAGATGTGCTCGACGAAGGACCTTCTGTCGCGGAGCGGGAATGTCATGGGTCTGGCGAGGGAGAATCCACGAAGCGAGCAGGGTCAACGAATAGACCTTGGAAATGAAAATGGTCGGGAAGTCGGACCATGCAGAGTCGCTGTGGCGATGAGTGTCCATTTCCAGTTTCTTTCATTAGGTGACACGTACGACTGGAAGTAGGTGACTAGGATTGCCACTTGAAGCAGGGTCAAGACGAGCCCCCCGTGGATCATGACCGTCATCATGGAGCTCAACATTCGGCTTTTGATGAGCTTCTTCTTATCGTGCTGGGGGTTGGTGAGCTCCACTGGCCGGTGATAATTACGACAGTATAGCTCACGATGGCGTTCCACAGCTGATAGATGATCACGCTCGAGATGAGAATGTCCGTGGCCTGCGAGCTGTCAGCTTCCATCTCGCTGACAAGCAAAGGCGAGCTGACAGCAGAGGCACTGAGCCAGATCGTGGCTAGTGTCGGAAACGTCCCAGTGGGATTGAAGCCTCGAAACGCTTGGAGACTGATGCCTATCAGCTGGGTGGTTCATGTGACTATGTCAGTTGAACTGACAAGCTGTCCAGGTCCTGCCAGATGTCAGCTTTACCGTGGATCTCAGTCGCTGGCTCACGTGCAATGCAATAGCTGTTCCCAGTCCTCCAGCAAAGCTCAACGCAACGCCGATGCAGAGAAGCCCTCCCATGAGCCAGATAGAGAGCTTGGCGTGAGGCGACGTACGCTCTAGGGGAACTTGATTGATACGGGTGAAGAGTAGACATCGATCGACGAGGAAGAGCTGAACGATGGTGCAAATCAAGATGGACAGCACGGGACTGATGATTTCCTCTGGGCGGGTCCGAAGATCGAGAAACTGAAGAGCGTGATTGAGATGAAGAGCTTTCTGAGCGGACTTACGTAGCGCAGGTTCGGGTAATACACCAGTATTTTGAGCACTCGGGAACAGTCAGAGGCGCTCTGGGCGATATTGAGGAGAGTCACCACCTAGAGAAAGAATTAGTATGAGTAGTGGCAGTGAGCTGGGTAGACGACTGACGATGAGCTGCGAGTTATACAGTCAGTCAGTCAGTCTTAGCCTGCATGTGCCACAACAGCTGACGTACCAAGCTCTTACTGAACCATGAGGACTGGCGATATCGATCCAGGTACATGAATGTCTGGAGTCAAAATATCAGCCGAGCAGTGTGTGCCTCGAGTCTGAAAAGCCTACACCAAGCTAGGACAATGTCAGCAGATTTGGAATGAATCGGGAGACGCTCACCACGACTGCTCCGCAACCAAAGACGCCGAGGAATGTGCCGATGAGAATGGGTCCATACTGCGATCGAGGGGTCCATTATCAGCTTAACCAGGATCAGAAACCAACGCTGATTCCCTGTGAGGGTGTCGTCGATGTCGGGGGGAGGCTATGGCCGAGGGAGATGAATGCAGGCCACTCACGATCTCAAAGTTGGAGTATCCAATAGCTCTCGCCAGCATGGCGTGCTCAATAGGTCTTGTCATTGACACAGACACTGTCATCGTGTAGCAATCACAAGGTTCTTTTCAGAACAAGGCGGAATCTCACTTAGTGTGTTGACCAGGATGAGAACGTCCGACTCGTGGCTTTCGCAGCTGTGAGATATCTAGGAAGCGCCAGAGAGGAGTGCAGAACGTTGAGACATGGAGTGACGATGATGGGTTTGTATGAGGAAGAGATGGGAAGAAAGAAGGAGAGAGAGCGATAGATGGATGGTTCCTGTGAGAGTCGACAGGTGGCACATGACATGCAATTAGATGAAACACTCACTCACTCACTCACTCAGCCCTGCCACACCACAGGTTGACTCCTCAACGCGAGATCGTTAAGACCTGCCTGCTCAGCCGATGAGAGGTGATGAAGATGATGATGAGCAAAGCGGAGTTCAGTGGACGCTCAGCGTGGGTCTTCGTCGTCAAGGGTGGATGAAATGAAAGGATGCTTTCCATTTGATCGGATCATCCGCAATCAGTCCATAATGCGTTTCTATCGCCACCAGCGGGACAGACTGAATACATACATACATTGTTGTCCTCTTAGTGCTGATACTACGTGGACCCAGATTTCTCATCTGATCCACCTTCACCCAAACGACCTTGAGAGATGACCTGACCATCTAGCTCTTTGACGACCTGTCCAAGATGTCAGTCAAATGCTAAGCGAGTGAGAGGGAGAATTGATCCGCATGGAACCACTCCTCCCTTTGACTCTCAGCCCGGCTTACCTCTTGACCCAACTCCTTGACCCGCTCTACATCGTGACCTATGAGACTGACATGGACTCCAGAGTACAGGTATGGGTCTGCAACGATGATCTCCTCCTTCAGCTTTGATTGGAGCATTTGTGCGCGAGCACATCACTCACACGATCCCACTCTGATGCCCTCCTTTTTGACACGTGCCTGGAGTTCAGTGAGGAATGGTGCGATCACCGATTCTGGTTGTCTGGTGATAGATGAGCATCGATCCTAAATGTGATCGACCCTTTCTGACTCACTTTGTATAGATGAGGTGACGGAAAGGCTTGGACGAAGCAGGTGGTAGCGGTAGATAAGGAGTCAAACCGAGTAAGAGCTGTTGGAACAGGGACGGAATGCCCGGGAAAATGCAGAGCTGTAGCAGGAGCGTCAGTCCGCATCCACAGTACAAACGTGAGTGCTCTGGTGGTCGAACCCGCTCACCTTCCCTCCCAGCCTGACCACTGGGACCCACTTATCTTCCTCTACAAATATTACTTCGCTCTTTGAACCACCACTTCCATCACTCCCATGACCCCCTTTAGCTGTCGGAAACAAGGCCATCCGATCCCTGGCTTCTTTTTGCGCGGGAGTGGCCTTCGATAACTGTTCTTTCCTTTCTGGTGAGGCTAGAGCCCACATACGGCGACCAGTCTCTTCGTGATATTCGAGAGGTAGGGAGAAAGCAGTAGCAAGAGAGGGGTAGGTGATGTCTGGCTTCGTGTCAGTGGGGAGACCTACATCACGGAAGCAGCAAGAAGTGACCAAGTCCTGCTGGTCACTCGAAATTACACTCACCATCATGTGTCGGACCAATACCACCTGAAGTAACCACAAAATCGTACTTGTCCGTCATACGCCGAGCAGCCTCCACGCTGATCAGATCATCAGCATGACAGGTGTCGCCAACTAACTAAAAAGACCGCTCACATCTCCTCTTCGTCATCTGCAATCACCTCTATGCGTTTTCTGCAAGCGTCCGATCAGCTTGACTGGCGTTTAGCAAATGTCACTGTCACCCACAGCTCTATACCCAGATCAAAGCAATATTGGGCGAAGAAACTGTAAGGATATCAACATATGAGAGAAGATGCAACAGTTAGCTGGACATCGACCCACTTGCTATTCGTGTCCTTGGTCTTGCCATTCAGAACCTCGTCCCTATCCCGACTTGAGCAATGATCTCTCCGACCCAAAACATAGTTTCACTGACCCGATGATGATACAGCCCGCAGTCTGGATATACTTGCCCTCCCCCAATGGGCTCTTCACACTTGCTGGATCAGTCTTCTCCAGCTTGGAAAGTTGCTCAGTCGATGAAGAGGCCATGGTGCGTCGAGCGATCGGGACGTATAGTGAATGCGAGATGGGCCGAGATGAGGATAAACCGATACGCCTAGTCTGCGCTCTGAACAAGGTCTGTTGTTTGGGTATGTATCTCGCACAGGTCCGCCAGAGATACATCAGTCTAAATGGTGCCCGTTGATCTCAGTGAAGTCCCGGTAGGCGCTATGACACACCCTCCATTCCCCAGATATAATGATCGCCCGGCAGCTCGATCCGCGATGACGCTGCAGATCACTAAAAGTCACGTGATGGATCTCATCTCGCGGTGGCCATTCTTCTTGCTGTTTTCGGCAAAAAAATTCACTGCAGAAAGGTCGTCAACAGCAGCGATAGCTTGATCCCCTCAGTGCCTCGAGTTCAGCTTTTGCTATCCATCTCTCACTTTACGTCGGCATCATTCCCGCATTAGTTCTGTTCTCTTTGTCATCTACTGTCTCTTGGCTACTCGTACATGTTCTCTTTGACCCATTTGGACGACTTTCGGCGATAGTGATACCGCTTGCAAACTCCTATCTTTGCGACTTTTCAATTTTGACGATCCACCTGGGGAGTATCCCAAGTGACCCAGCTGGTGGTCCTGTAGTATAATCGATCAACCACGGTCTGACCGTCTTGAGAGGACCGTGGGGGCTCTTGAGCTTTCCACAACATGTCGGAGAAACCAGAGAAGGATGCAAATGAGAGCATGGATGGGATCATTGGCCTGGGTGAGATTCAACAACATGCCGAAGAGCTGGAAAATCAATTGCATCAAGAGGACCAACCCGAGGCTGTTGGATCAATACATGGCGATGAGGGTGTAGAAGTGGAAGCTGGACATGTCATCGGTCCTGAGGAGGGCGACACGGATGCTCAGATAGGCCTCGAGAACATGGTCGAGGATAGCGAGGGGTTTGACCCAGATACACTGGCGAACCTCGCTGCGTTATCCAGGATCGACGAAGTGACAGGAGAGGAGATTGTAAACTACCTACGATCGCAACCTGGTTTATCGCCCTTGATAGATCAAGATGAGGAGGAAGAAAGAGGAGGACAAGACAGAGACGAGACATCAGCGGACGATCAACAAAGTGGACAGGATGACCCGCAGGCGGTAGGACAAGTCCAAGTCAAGAGAAAACGGAAACGATCCGTAAAGTTCTCAGAATCTGGAGACGGGACAGAGGGTAGTGATGATGGGGAAGAGGAACTACGGAAAGTCGATCTCGATGGAGAAGATGGTGATGGGGATGGAGCGTTCATGGATCCAAAGTATGTATTTGAGGACGGTAAATTGAAGAGGAAGAGGAATAGAACGGTATTGTGAGTTGCAATGTTTGACCGAACGGAGCTTTCTGACAGTGATCCTCTAGAAGCTGTACAGGTGGGGGCTTGACAAGACTCTTACTTGGGGCAGCACGCTGATGGTCAATCTCATGCGCACAGAGTGCCACCGCAGAGTGAGTGATGTCTGTGCTTAAGGCCGTTTCACCTTATGAATGCTGATCATGTCCTACAGAAACGTAAGTTCGAAGTTCAATCATCGCGGCTAGACGATGATGTTGACGATGCTGCCTTTCTCGTTTTCAGAGCATGTGAGTGTTTCCAGACTTCTCAAGGCAGCAAGTATCAGCGTTGATGTTGTTCAGTGCGATAGAAATATCCCGTGTAATAGATGGTGTGTCCTAATTGCCTGTTCATCTTGGTCATGAATCTGATAACTTTGCGTCTCAGTATCAAACGTGGCGTTCCCGGCATGTGCAGAATGGAGGCACCAGTGTTACCGGAGAGAAAGAAGAAAGGGTGGGTCATTTCCCATCCTCCACCCATAGGCAGTTGAGGCCCTTCTGACCCTTCCCTCTAGCTCTCTGAAGGACATTCCTATAGATCAAGAGCTTGGACTTCGGATCCAAGCATTGGAGTCACTCATTCGATCTGGATCCTCTTTGGATCCCGATTCCGCCTCCACTGCGGCTATGGAAACGATCCTGCACGCCACTCGAGCCGCTAACTCTGGGAGCCAGGACGCTACGACTGCCCTGGCTCAGCTGACCGAGAGTGCGATGAGTGGCGGAGGGATCAACGGGATGACTCTGGATGCTCAAAACAGTCTACTGATGGATGTTCTGCAGCAGGTGAGTGGAGTAATCTGGCACTGTCATGAGGTACGGAAGCCGACAGTCTTCCCAGCTCTCATCTGCAAGCCAAGGTCGAGGCACCGGCGAAGGAGAAGCCACTGACCCGCGTGATATTTGGTCCGCATTGCCGACGGCTCGACCTGATCCGTAAGTGATACTAATCTCAAATGTAGAGCCATTCTTATGACCTAAACAGAGCCAGTCGAGTTTCTGCAGCGTATAATGCAGATGCGTCATCGTCCAAAATCGACCTGTCACTTCCTGGTTTCAGGGAAGACTCCGGTAAACCTTTCTTGCCTCCAACGGTCCGACATGCGGAAAAACAGCTCCGCAATGCTGAACTATTCAATCGAGATGCCTTGCCCGTCTGGGGAGACGAGCGTTTTCTCGCTGAGGGGATCAAATTTGCTTATGGCAGTGATCATGCCAAGTTGAAACTGGAGAATGCGAGTTGATCTGCTACTACACAGCATGTGCGTCCTTATCTAACATGTTTCATAGATCGCCGCGATTCAAGCGAGCACTTTGACGGGCGCTTTGCGACTTGCAGGGACTTTCTTGTCCCGGTTTTCTGGTCCTTCTAGTCGGTCAATATACCTTCCCAGTCCCACGACGGAAGAGGACACCTCTACATTGCGCGATGCCGGGCTAGATATACGACACTATCGATATTTGGATCGGAAGACTGGAGCTGTAGATTTTGATGGACTGCAGGCGGATCTACAGGTCAGCTTGACTGAATCCTCCGGCACGCAGACAACTGACGACGGTACAGGCTGCTCCTGCTCGCTCCGTGGTGATGTTGTATGTCAGTGGAAGCGTTCCGACCGGTGTCGACCTATCGGATGCGCAGTGGCGCATGATCACCACGATCTTGCAGGTGTGCAGAGCCACTCTGAATCATGATCGGCATGACTGATGCCTGGCAGGAACGATCACTCATTCCTCTTGTCGTGCTCGCTTTCCAGGGTTTGGCGACCGGTGATGCTGTCAAGGATGCCCAGCCACTTAGACTCATGGCTCAGGAGGGTCTTCCGGTTGTTTTGTGTCAAAGCTTTGATGCTGTAAGTCGTTCAAGGGGCTTCAACACATGAACCTGATACTTCCCTTTTACAGATGATGGGTCTCTACTCCGACTCCCCCTCTATATTGTCTGTCGTCTCTCAGTCTCCAGAAACCAAGTCCCGCGTCGATTCTCAACTACGAGCAGTCGCTCGAGGGATGCATGTCCATCCTTCGCCATGGGGTGCTCATATTGCCCATGTCATCCTGTCTGACGCTAAATTGCATCCTGCATGGTGGGTAGCCTCGTTCTGACACTTGCGACATCCGCTGATGCTGTGTCAAGGCTCAACGAGATCAAAGCCATGTCGGGTCGATTACGGAGTGTCCGTGACAAGTTGTATGACCTCCTCGCGAACAAATTCAAGACGCCTGGTAATTGGATACATATCAAGCGTTCTGTGGGTTTGTACTGGTGAGCCGTTCATATGGGTCGTCTTTCGCTCGTGGATGCTTATCTTCTGCTTTTCAGCACAACCCTGCTGTCTCCGATCATCAACGATATCCTCGGTACCAAACGACATATATACCTACTACCCCATGGATCCTTCTCGTTAGGCTCGCTCAATTCTCTCAAAATCGAACAACTCGCACGATCTATCGACTCTGCCGTCCTAGCCTCAATCCACGAAGCCGAACAAGTCCAGGCTCAACAACTCGCAATGGAACTCGCATTGGCAGCTGCAAAGGAAGCTGCGGCTAGAGAAGAAGCAGAAGCTCTGGCAGCTGATCAAGCGAGAGAGGAAGATAGAATGTTGATGGAGAACAGTATCGCAAGTGCGATCGAAGCTCAGCGGAGAGCAGAAGAGGAAGAAAGGGACAGAGAGGAAGAAGAGAGAAGGAGGATGGAAGAGGATTTGGAGTTGGATCAAGCGGTCAGAAAGGCTGCAGAGAGAGCTCAAATTGCAAGGCAAGCGGAGGCCATCTTGGCGAGCATTGGGGCGGGCATGGGGTAAGCGCTTTCCCCCCCCCGCAACGAGAGCCATCGAAATGCGGGCGACTCTTCCCGAAGGACGACAACGTTGCTCTCAGGAAGGGTTGCTCGCAGATTAGAATATCAAACGTTTTTGGGATCTGATAGGAATGCTTTTACCACCCATCAATCTGTACTCTTATCATGGCGCTGTTGTTGTACTTATTTCTGAGTTTCAATATCATGACCAATGCAGTCTGCTCCGTTTTGGGCAAAGTCTCATGCAATACATCAAATATCCCTAGTACACCACCTTAGTACTTGATGCCCGCTGAGAAGTCGAGCTTTTTGACCTCTGCCAGACACTCGTCGAGACCTGACTTCCATTCTGCAATATCCTCTGCGGACGGAGCTGGCTTTCCTCCTTCTTTCGGCGTGCGCTTTTGCTGAATCGATCTGGTGGCAGACCAACGTCAGCGAGGACAAGGCAATAGTTATGGAAGAACGGGAAGTAAATCCTACACTCACGATATCAATACGACAGACGTGGCTCGCTTCGTTCCGCTGGCTGCGCCGAGCTCTTCCCTGATGCACAAGAATATCAGTCATCTAGATCCAAGCCAGCAGGAAGCGCAATCCGACTCACTTGCTCAGAACCCAACAATACTCTACACCTTTAGCTTCCTCCGCCATCAACGGTAAATGAGAGACGACGTCGACCGGAGTGATATTGGAAGCCAGGAGCAAGAGACCCTGATCGCCTTTCCGTAAGGCTTTGACTACCTCTTTGACTCCTCGACGAAGTTGACGGAGTTTGGAAGATCGCTTGACGGTCCGGAACAGCTTTTTGGAGAGCTTCTTATTGGCCAAGGGGGAAGCGATGGGTGATATAGCATCGAGAGGGACATGGAACTCGGACTGGGGCGAGTGAAGCGAGGCAAAGAGGCCAGAACAGAGTGCAGTGTAGTAGCGAACGAGGACATGAGGAGTCGCAAGACCGAAAGAGATACAGCCAGCGAGAGATAGGGTGGTTGTGGTGGTGGTGGAGTTGATGGGGAGCAGAAAATTCCAGGTAGGGTTCATAATTGTCAGCTTCGATGAAACGTTGTGTGATTCCTTCAATTCCCCCCTTCTCACCTTCTTCTCATCTCCTCCCTCGCCATCCTCTCCACCTTCTCCAGCTGCTCCTCCTACGCTCTTCCTCTTCTCCTTTTTCTCCTTTTTAGCCTTCTTCAAAGCCTTTTCACCATCCACTTGCATCTCCAACGCTTCGGCACTGGCACTTTCTGCTGGAGGAGCTACAGGCGTAATCTCAGCGGCTTCAGACTTTCGTTTCTTGTCCTTCTTCTCCTTCTTGGGTGTAGCAGCTTCGGACATGGTGACGAGTGTACCCCTGTAGATGACCACTGATGAATCGACGTTGAGGATACCACCACCACCTGCGGGCCAGAAGCATGATCGAATGAAAATTCTCAGGTGGGTCACGTGGCATTGACCTGATCGCCGGCCGCGGCTGAAGCGAGCGAGTTCAACCGGTATGTTCTCTCTGTCTTTGGTCATCTCGACAGTGTGACAGTATAGATCATAGTCGCTCTCGCCACTGATCAGACATCACCTACAACATGCCCAACACATCTATTCAGACCACCATCTCTCCCTATACGCAAAAGCCCTTGCTCACACGACCACTGCTCAGCGAGCAAGAACTCGAGAATGTCATTGGCGAATCTGTCAAAGCTCAAAAGGCTTGGAGGAAAGTCTCATTGGACGATCGTCTGGACATAGCCGACAAATGGACGGTCAGTTCCAATCCTTTCTGTTGTATTTGACTTACTGATCTGTGCAAAGACTGAGTTTGAAAAGCTCACTGACCTTATGGCGGAGGATATCTCCTCGCAGATGGGCAGGTGGGACCTGTTCCGTGAAACAGAGGATCATCACTCATCGCATGTTACAGACCCATCTCGAGCTGTAAAGGCGAGATATCCGGCACTCTTTATCGTGCACGACATTTGATGAAAATCGCCAAGGACTGCTTGAAGCCGGTCCCACAGGACAAGCCAGGTTCAGGCAACTTTGACATGAGCATCGTTCGAGAACCTTTAGGCGTAGTGGCGTGAGCGACGAACTAGTCTCTGCGATGAGGCTTCTGCTAAATTTTGATGTCAGTGCTATCACTCCTTGGAATTTTCCTTTCCTCACCATGATCAACTCTGTTCTCCCTTCCATTCTCAGTGGGAACAGTGTCATCATTAAACCCGCGCCTCAGACCCCTGTCCCAGCCGAACGACTCCTTTCCACTTTCATCTCCGCTGGACTCCCTCAGAACGTTATTCAAGTCATTCATTTATCTCAGGAAATGACACTCCAGAAGTTTGTCACGGATCCAAGGATAGATTTTGTCTGTTTCACAGGAAGTGTCGTCGGTGGTAGAGCAGTCCAGGAAGCGGCTAGTCGAGGTCAAGGCTTCAAAGGTATCGGTCTGGAGCTCGGGGGTAAAGATCCTGCATACGTCAGGGAAGATGCGGATGTTGCGTACACGGCGGAGAATCTCGTCGATGGTGGGTTGGCAAGAAACGCTCAATGCTTGGCTTACCCCTGCTCCCCAGGTGCCATGTTCAACTCTGGTCAATCTTGTGAGGTCGCCTCAGGTCCACCGAGGCGGATGGCGGGCTGATTCAAGCTGCAGGCTGCGCTGTCGAGCGTATCTACGTCCACTCCTCGATATACGATGAATTTGTCAAGAAATTTGTCGAAGTCGCCAAGCAATATAAGCTTGGAGATCCGAGTCTACCAGAGACGACCCTCGGACCCGTCGTCAGTCCAGCGAGCGCTTCGAGAATCAGGAAGCAAGTCAACGATGCAGGCGAGTCCAATGTCCTCCATACCGATAATGACGCGTGCTAAATTTTCTTCCTTCAGTCGCCGCTGGAGCCGAGTTGGTCTTGGCTGAATCAGAATTCGCAGAAGCGAAAGAAGGCACATCGATGGTTGGTCCTCAGGTCCTGGTGAATGTCACGCATGGTGAGCAGAGCGTACCACCCAATGGGACGACAGCTGATCCTGGTAGAAATGGAAATCATGATGGAAGAGACATTTGGACCAGTCGTGGGAATTATGAAGGTAGAGTCGGACGAAGAGGCATTGGGTTTGATGAATGACTCGCCATATGGTCTTGTAAGCTATTTCCTGGCTGTCCTAGGCAGCTTCCCTCCTAATGTCCCACCTTCAGACCGCCTCCATCTGGACATCTCCTTCTAATCCCGAGTCCATAAACGCATTCAATCATTTTGTGGAGGATTTGGAATGTGGGATGGTCTATCTCAATCGTGCGGACGCGCCTGAGCCAGCTCTCCCATGGACCGGAGTCAAGAATTCAGGTCGGGGCATTACACTCTCTACGCTGGGATACGACCAATTGACACGAGCAAAAGGCGTCTGCCGTCGATTACCATGAGTGGGAGGTTGCGAAGGCTTACCATGCATGTATAGAGTATACAACCTTTGTGACAAGATGAGATAGAACGTATCAACAATACAACAGTGTCCAATCTAAGCCTTTAGCCAGTTTTCGTAAAATTGCGTGTTGGCCTTGACCACATCTTCACTGTCAAGGTTCGTAATTATCGGGACCGGTGCAGGATTCGTCTCAATATTCGTCAACATCTGATCTACACCGTCCCCATCGGCTATTCTGGCTGCTCGGATATACAGCTGCAGATCCTTTTCTTCACCAAGGGTGTGTGACGTGAGGTCATCGACGGGGTAGTGGGTGTACCTGTTGGACAAGGATCGCGTGAGCTTTCTTGCTAGCTAGCTTTGAAATGAACTCACCAATCATATTCTTGGATTCGTTGTTCGATGTCTGGTGGATCGAGCAGTGATGCCACAAGCTCGTCCACAGGATGAGTTTCGCGTTTTGTCGGACCAGTCTCTGCAGTTTGCGCAGCTTCTTCCGTGGGATCGCCTTCTTCAGCACGATGAGCCCAGCGGCGTGCACTCCGGCGTAGGGGTCTGTAAGAGTGACAGTGAGCCGTGGCAAAGTTGGGAAGTGTATGAGCTCACGGCGGACGTTCGCGGGTCGGCGACGCTAGCTCTAGGGGTATTCGCGATTCGAATGGACTGTGAAGAATCTCGTTCTTGGGTTTACTGAGAAGTGATGAGCTCGTAAACAGAGAACTGAGTGATTCAGTAGCTCACACCGTGAAGCGAGTAGTGGAATTCATTGTGCTGCGAATCTCAGCCACGCCTCGAACAGTCTTCAGCCAACTCACAAGGCATACAGGCGCCCAAATTGCGACAAGATATGTGGCTTGTAATACTCTTTGAAGACTTGGTTCACGGGCGCAAGCTTGTCCGTCTTTGGAGGATCAAGATGAGCAGTATTGTACCATTGCCGATAATGCGGCCGAGACGTCTTGACAGGCGCTGCAGACTCTACTCCGAGCTGCGCGTGGACCATCAACAAACTGTGCCAGGGGTCTGTGAGTAGCACCTCACTCACGAAGAGATTTATGGCAGCTTGTTTGTCGGCATCAAGCATAGAATTGTTATAGAATCTTCTGATATTCTCTGCAACAGGTAAGCATCCTTTTCAATACCTGGACCCGTCTCACCCACCAAGTAGATCTCGTGAATGACTGCTCCATTGACCGGCTTTTGTACGCCTGTACGTATCTACTCGATTGACGAGCGCACTGCCTGTGTACTGCCAAGCGAGCGCTTCAAGTAGTCAGAGGGACGGCGGCCGGATCTTCTGCACAATGACCTACTATCGCCGTGATCATGATACATCTGGTCAGGGTCAGCTGCGGTTCAAACGTGGACCTTCAACTGACCTCTGTCAATACATCCACGGCATCACAGTTGAATGGCAGATTCGGACTACCCAATAATCCCAGGGCATGGAGCTGATGTCCGAACGCCCTCTTGGCAATAGCAAATTGAGCTGCATTGGTCCGATCGAGGCAATCAACGCAATTCACGCGTAAGATGCCGTGTTGCAGGAGAACCTGATCTCGACGAGAGCCAGAGCTGTAAGTTATAGAAGTGTCAGCTGAAATCCAAATGCGAGAGAGGTAGCTGACCCATTCTCAGACCGTGAAGGACCTCCATGGAAGAAGTTTGTCGCTTGAAGGGATTCTTCGCAGATGTCCTCGAGCACTCCAATGACATCCTGGTGGCCACTGGAACGGCTGTCAGCACACAACCCTCGCTGGGGAGATCCAAGTCACCTTTTCGCCGCCTGAGCCATGTCCCAAGCGATATATCTCATCTTCTTGTCTTCAGGCAAGAACTGGTTCAAATATGCCACGCATTGACCATATTCGAACAACAGCTTCGACTCTCTCGGCTCCTTCTCACGGGCTTTGATAAGGTTGAGTATGAAAATCGGAGCGCCATACCTCCCGAGAAGGTCGTCGAAATGCTTCGCCGCTGGCGTATAAAACGGGTCTTTGATCGTGACTACAAGAAATGGTCAGAGCAGCCATTGTGTGAGGGACGTACTTTCGATCGGCGGTCGGGCAGTCAATTGTGTACTCTCTTGGTGCCACATGACTGGTATACTCCCTCGGTATTGGACAAAGCTCGTGTATCCGCCGTAACCCGCAACGCTGCCATTTGTGTACGGCGACTTGGCACCAAATGGCGTGGCGAGCGGTTCAGATACGCTACGGTAATCAATAAACTGCCATTACCATTATTGAGCGAAGCTCACATCTGCTCAGTCTCCACTTCATTCGCCACGTGACCCTGTGGAGAGTCAGCATTGTAATGGTTTCAAGGCTGATGGACACTCACGTTGTCATTGGCACCTCGCGTAAGGAATCTGGTCCCCGCAAAGAATCTCGACCGCCTCGCCAGGAGTGTCAAATACACTGTTCGAGTGAAAACGTTGATCTCTGGATTCCTTCAGTTTTAGCTTCCGATGTCCTTGAGGCACGACATAGCTCACTAGCTTGGTCTACGAAGCCATGGATGAGGGGCAACACCCATCTACAGCGATCTTGTGTCTCCTCGAGGTTGAACGCTGGAATCGCCAGGTGGTAGTTCCACATGAAACGGGTGTTCCACTTGCGCTGCGCGGCAGATACCGTCAGGTTGATTTGCAAGGTATTCGTGATGTCGTAAGAGTATCTGATGATGAGTTGGCGATTTCCCTTGCCTTGAGGAGAGCCTAACGCACGAGAAATAAAAGTTCTTCGTGAGATCCACTTGTTGGAAGATGTTGAGCAGCCTGCCCGTGCGTCAGCTGTTGATACAAGGAGAAGTGATAAGCTGACTTCGTCTCCTGAGCGGTTCTTTCCGTCTTTGAAGCTATCGTCAAGAGCTGGAGGAATGTCAGCAAGGATCATCGTACAAAAGCGTTAGGCATACTGTGGTTTCATCACAATGGTAGACTGGCTTGGGTCAGCAACGGGCCTTGCTTGCACAGGAAAATTTCTCACTATAGTGTCCACCTAGGAGTCCGACCACCGACCGCTTGGTGATTAAGATAAGGTACCATCCCGCTGTAAACCTGACGAATCCAACGATCCCACTGTCCCGTTTTAGCCCTCAATGACACACTCCCAGGACGGGACTCACTGGAACTCGAGGACTTTCTCCAAGCCACCTTGACTCTTGTTACCATCCTGAACCATCCGTAACAGCTGATCTAGCTCCTTTGCATCATAGGTCGTTGTATCTTCCACTACATTGAGGGAAGTTGGATCTGTGCGATCAATCTTAAGGATGCGGTGAACGCTCCCTGTCGATGCGGTAATGTAGAACCGACTAAAAGGTTGAAGCTCAGCATTAATACCTTTAGTCGCCGAGATTCTCTCGCGATCCTCTTACCTCTTAGTTTCGAACAGGGTGAATTTGGACAATGAAGTGGTTCCATCATCGCCTGGACTGGAGGTGGACATGGTGACGCTCTCGCCTGGACCGTGACCAGCGCTCGCAGGGGTCAATTACATACGTCTTTCAAATGGTCTAAGAGGCGATGTGACTGCGCCTCATCGTCCGCTGCCTGTTCTACCAGCAGCTCATCGCGTGCAGTATCAATATAAGAAGTAGAACGTAGCATGGCCCTCCGTCCACACGGAACCAAATATAGACCTTTGTGGCTTTTAGCCGACGGGAAAGTTGAGCAGCGAGCAGCGAGAAGCGGTATAACGTGGGGGCGGGAAAATGTTCAATCCATTGTATGGATGGATCTCTTGGGCATCTTATACCGTACCATGTGTATAGCTGCTCTCGGAGCAACAGATCTGTCGGCTCAGGAGCTATCATGATCATCTTGGACTGAGCTATATTGGAGCCACGCTGAGCGAATTCTTAAAAGCTCTGCAACCGGTTGCTCGTTTCGAGATCGCTTGTTCCTTTCTTCTCGCGGAGACATCGCTTGTGAGTGGATCGCGGCTCAACACGGGCAGCACAAAGCGTTCGAACGGCAAGCTGGATCACCCTCCGAGATGGTCAAGTCGGATAAACAGCTTCAGATCCGCTTGACCGAGCCAGTAACCTTTCTCAAAGGTCCGACCACTGGTTTGGACTTTCGTGGAAGACCCCAGGTCATCGGCACAGATGCGCAACCTGCGCAGCTCCGTGGACTCTTAACACTTCGTCTCGCGAAGCCAACCAGGATCAGAAAGATTGAAATAAAGCTGGAAGCTAAGACCAGGACAGAATGGCCGGAGGGTGAGCATCATGGCCTCCGATGAGACCTCTATCCTGATTCACTCACACCAGGCATTGGACCTCGACACATGGAGACGCATGAAGAGCGCCAGTTGATGAAAGAAACGACCACTTTCTTCTCGGCTTTAGAAGAGGCGGGATCCAGGTCCCGTTCAACTCGCCGACCAGCATCTGTAGGACCAGGAGGAATCGATGCATCTCAGTACGATATCTCGCCTGGCGAAGATGCAGGTGAGGAGGCGATCTTGAATCTGGATGAGGCCGAGTACGAGGACGGATGGATGATGCCTGAGTCTTCGTCCATGGCTCGGAGTGCAAGCGCGTTACCAGGGACGCACGACCGATCATCCTGGCACAGAGATGGATTCTCTCGTCGCCCTTCTTTCGATGAGGAGGATCTGGATGACGACGGAGAATTGACGTCGAGGCTGAGAGATCTCAACATACATCCCAATGAACCTTCTCCAGCGTACACACCCCTACCTAGTGGCCAAAACTCCCGACGACCCTCTTTCAATCGTTCACCCAGATCTAGCCATTCTCCTCTGCCACCTTCACGAGAACCCGACTTGACACCCATTGCATCAGCGACGACCAGTCGAGCTCCATCTAATCGTGATGGTAGCACTTCCACCGAGCGAAGGTCGAATCTGGTCCATCATCCTGCTACAACCTTGCCAACAGTGGCCAATGAAGACGAAGAGGGCATCGAGGAAGAACCGACATCCAGTGAAGTCACTCGTCGCATCGGTCAACGACGTGATACGATTCCAGGAGCGTCTATACTTCATCACCACGATTCTCAACATCCACACCACAGTAACAGAGGCTCCGTCTGCTTTGCCGATGGAAGTCAGACTCATAGTGACATCCCCGCTACAACCTCGGCCATGTCACCAGAGCCAGCTTCACAGCGGGCTGCCTCCGTGCGAACTATGCAGTCTGATCACTCCGCATCGTCTCCATCACTTAGGCACGAGCAACTCCCTACAATGAGCCGAACCACGAGTAACCAGACCCCTGCTCCGGACCGCTCAGTTGCAGTTGTCACAGCACACAACTCTCCTAATGCCTCCACCGACGCAATCTTCAGAGATGACTCGCGACTTCCGCCACCGCCAGCACGTACAGATTCGGGGTCGGCGCCAATGGTTGCCTCGCCCATGAGCGAGCGAGCTCAGGCTTTCGGGGATGTACCAGCCCCGAATTCTGAGTCTAGCGCACGGGTAGTGAGCAATGCGGATCCTCCCACTGCGCAGCGGTCTCGCCAAGGATCTCGCATTGGCTCTGGGGTCTCCATGGTACTGAACAGCCGCCGGGGATCTTCGAGTCAACCTGAGGATCTCCATCGGCCCCCGCTGGCCATCGAGAACCGACACATATCTGAGTCGTCATCCCGATCCGTTTCTTTCTCCACGCAGCGTACTGCTGGTGATCAGTCGAGACGAGCCAGCCAGACACTGCCTGCTGCGGAGCTAGAAGATAATAGAGGTAGGAGATCATCCAGATTCAGTTTGTCTGCCGCTCTCGGTGCAGTGAAAGACAGGGTTTCCTCAAAATCCAGGTCGAGAAATCCTTCTCGCCAAGCCTCGCGCTCTGCATCTGTCGCTTCAATTCAACCGTCAGGTCTGCCAATGGAGCGGATCGGCTCGAACGCCTCGTTATCGCGGTTCGGAGCTCACCATGAAGATGACGGCCTTCCCGCCCGGGGAGGTTCTCGTCCCGGAAGGTCGAGAGATCGCACGCGCAGCCCTGGGCGAATTGATAGAGAAGGAGCATCTCGTACGCGAGATCACGATGATCGGAGCCCAAGCAGAGCGCGGGGCAGACATAAGGGCATGAAAGTGCTGACTGATGCACTCGGTATTGGAGAGCATCCTGCGGATGAGGAGGATATACATAATTGGAAGGAATTCCGCAAAGGTGAGCTCGGCGGTGTGTATACCCTCTCATTAAACTCAGGGACGTACAACTACCCGATCTCCTTCACCATCCCCGTTGGATCCCCTCCCACGCTCCACACCGAGTTTGGTTCTGTAATCTACAAGCTCAAAGCGACTGTTGTCCGGGTTGGCGCTTTGACGCCGAATTTGACAGAAGATACCGAAGTCATCATCGTTGCTAGTCCCTCGGAGGATGACATGGAAGAGACCGACAACATCGTCGTCGAAAGACAATGGGAGGACCAATTGAGGTATCTGATAAATCTCGGCGGCAGAGCAGTCCCGATCGGGGGGACAATGTGAGCGCGTGTTGCATATGTTTTGACCCCCGCTGAGTTCCTCTAAGACCAATAAGCATCCGCCTGATGCCACTTTCGAAGTGCAAAGTCCATAGACTGAGCGCCATACTCGAGGGTGAGCTTATCCTTGCCTTTTTATCTTGGGCTCAAACGAAATGCAGAGAAAATTGACTATTATGCTCACGGAAAACGCATCACTCGACATGAAACGCCGCGAAAGTTTGTCCTCATGTTTGTGAAGCAGCACGATAAATACATGGGCGAATTACCTCTCCTTCCCATCTTATCTGACGATCCGAACGCTGCTAGAGATTCCCCTTTGGCCTCGCTTGCCGCCCAAGCCGCGCAGAGCAATCCGCCACCTGATCTGGACGAGGCAGAAAGCAAAGATTGGCAATACGCTCAGTTGATGGACCCGATGGGTCCTTGGCACTTTGAGAAATCGCTTCACATACCAGATTGTGCCAGTATGATTAAAGTCACCAGCAAGCATGAGAAGACGAGCATCGTGGTGTCTCACTTCCTTAAAGTCACCATTCGGGTCGAACGGGGAGATGATCTGGCTCTGGATGCCAAGGGGAAGAGGAAGCAATTTGATATTATTATGTGGGTGCTGTCCAATCCCCATCGAATTTGCTGTTCTGACCGAGGCCAGCGATACACCCATCAAAATTCTCGATTGCCGTGTCAATCCTTCGTATAACTCGTTGCCGACATACGCGGCAAACAATCCGGCCAGTGCTCCGACCGCAGGCGTTTGCTCGGTTCATGGAGGAAACCGAAATCGGACTGAGAGTGCCCTGCTTGCACTCCGTGCGCAGCCAACTGGAAGCAGTACCGACCCGATGATCGCCGCCGCAATGGCCATTTCTCGAGGGCCATCGTCATTTGAACGGGATGTAACATATCATCAATCCGCTTCGAGGAAAGCAAAGGATAAAGAAAGATCAACCAACGATGACACTTTGCTTGAGCGCAACATTGTGTACGATCGATTGATGAGCGGGCAAGAGACCGAAACTGGAGAGGTCCCTCCGACGTATGGTCAAGCAGTGGCCAATGCCATTCGCGCGGCCAGTCGGAGTGCAAGCAGGCATGGATTCAGCAGGGATGCAGACAGGGGTAACTCGAGGCCGGTATCAACTGCGGTCAGTCGACGCAACAGTATGGACATGGATAGGACGAGTTGATGATGCCGCACACGTTTAGCAGTTTGAAAAGCATGGTATAATCTACTACCAAGGTTAATATGAATGCATAGGGATACAATTGATTATATATAAAAGTTGCAACAAGATGGTGTCCAGAACTGAGATAGGAGCTTGGCTCTATGATGACATTCCCGCGTTGGTAGGCTCACTCTCCCAGCAGTTCCTTCGCGGGAAGGTGTTCCTCGCCGTCGAAGGCATCGGGCGGTATTCTCCCTTGACTGGAGATGAATCAGCAGGGATATCCCGGGGGGAATATGGCAAGAGACAGCCTGTGAAGACTCACAGCTCTGTCATAGATCCTTTCGGGATATAAAGGAAGGGAGATTCTCCAGATGGCGGTGGTCCAGTCTGATACGCCACTAGATGCAAGCTCGCCGTTAGATGGCCCTAAGTCGTTCGAAGTGGATTCCGCTCACCCGTCGTGTTACATCGCCCACAAACGAATGGCTGTCTGACTTCAAGATCCTGAGTACCGTTTCTACGACATGGTGTCAGCTCTTCTTCTTCTCGCTGCTGACTGAAATATTCAGTCCCCTTCCTCTCTATCTCTCGCGCTCTCTCTCTCTCTCTTTTTACTATCCTCGGGAAATCACAGGTCCCCCATACCTCTTGTAGCCACCACTCACCTCTTTATCAAACATCGTTCGCCAGGTCGAGCATTCAACTTGAATTTACGCGCTGGTTGCGTAACGGGATTCTTCCCGGCTTGCGCTCGAATGATGAAACTCCCGTCATGCCTGATCACTCTATATTAGCTTTTTCCACAAACACTCTGACAAGCCTCTAGGATCGGAGTTGCCTCAGCATAGGTTCACTCACTTCCGTTTAGGTAGTCTGTCTAATTTGCCCTGGATGACAAGGACGAAATCTCCACAGAGACAATAGTAGGAGCGCAAGACTGCTCTAGCGGATTGAGTAGGTTGAGCCGACTCGGACGAGGAGACTACAGCCCTCGATACGACTTTGGGCATGTTTGTAAAGTGTTTGAAAAGGTTGCAGTGATGGGCTTGTTGCATTTCATGCGCTTGAAGACCGCACTATCGGAAATTTTGCTTCCGCTTGATGCTCGTGGCATACATTGGCATATCAGCGCGAGCTACAACGTAGTATCTGAACAAGGAAGGGGGTATGACAGTGCGAGGTATGCAGCTACAAGACGACATTGCGACACCGGAAGATCATCGTCCTCCTTGTAAGGCGATGCGAATCCGCGAACGGAGAGATAAGGCTTTAGAAGCGGATCGAGGTGCGTTTCGAAGGTTAGAGTTGACTTCGAGGTTTCGCAGAATGGATCGAGAAGGGGAGCCGCTCGCCGCTAACTGCAGGGACGGTTTCGGTCCCAGGACGGGCGAAGTGAGCGGAGGTGTAAACACATGGGAAGTTGGCCGTAGAGGAGAGTGTTGATGCTTTGCTGCCTTTGGCGGCGTTGCCGCTATTGGAGACCCTAGGCGTTTCAGACCGTTCAGAGTCTGTGTAACGCTGCCGAATGGCATTGCGCACTCCACGTCCTCGCTCTCCGGGCTCACAAACGATCTCTGTTGAAAGGAGGTTGTGTCCGTGGTGAGCGCGTTCGCTAATTGATGGGCAGAAGGAAGCCCAAATATTGGCGAACTTTCTTGAGGTTGTCTGCTCCGAGGCGATGGGGTCCGCGGTGAAGGCTTGAACGTCGGCAGCTGCGGAGCAGATTGCATACGTCTGGGCGAAGGTCGTTCGGGGCTCGGCGTAGGAAATTCCGTTATATCAGTCAAGGTCTTTGCGGATGCTGAACGCCAGAGGGCACGGATCGAATCGTCCTGAGGTGAAGGGTGAGGATTCACCGTCCCAGAGCTGTAGCCCAAGGACTGATGTGCCGCGGCAATGAGAGCGGTGGACGTCAGAGCTAGAGTCAAGACTCAGCACTGGTCCACACAAGGCACCAACCAACTGACCGTCGGCGTATGACCTTTCAGATGGGTCAAAGATCTTTTGAAGCCGGGGAAAGCGGAGTTCATAAAGCTTGTGAACGTATGAGTATATCTCATGATAGCGGGCGATATGATTCACCTGCGACGAGGGCAGCTTGAGGAAACCCGCACCCATGATCTCGGCACAGAGCGGCTTCTCGAACAGGATCGAAGGCGTCTTGATCCCTCTTGGCATTCGGTAAGTCCAAGACAGCCCGATCAGCCGCTTGCACGAATAAGCAAAATTCAATGCCAAGCAACTATCTTGCTCACGCGCTTGAACGGATCGTCTTTGTCATATGGCTTGGTCCGCCATGAGCCGAGCCTTATCTTCGAATTGACCATCTCCAACGCGTCTCTATCGAGGCCGTAAGACACAGGGAACAGGATCTCAAAATGGGGACTCTCGAGCCGTGATTTGACTTTTTCGTGGTTCGTAAGGACGCCAATGTAGAAAGTCGTCAACACCGAAGTGTCGACTCGAAGACCTCGGGCGCGATCTGGGTCCCAGCCTGCGCCAAGGAGCACAAGATCGATGCAGTCGCCAAGGTTCGGAATGTAATCTTTCTGTCGAAAGTGTCAAGAGGACGAGAGCAACAAATTTTATGTGCATACCTTGAGTTTTACCCATCTCCAGCGAGGATCCATATACGAGGAGCGACCAGCCTTTATGACAAGACCCTCTGCGCGACTCAATCAGCGGATCCTCTTGTTCGCGAAGAGGCGTCATACCACATCGAGTCTCGTTGCATTTGTCGAACACAACCTGAAGGGCCTGCAGAGCTACGCTCCGACCGACACCCAGATCAATCGCCGTTCGCTCTGCCAAAGAAGCCTGAGTCGCCTCAGCGGTATCCCAGACCGCATCTGTGCAACTCACGAAACCTTCGATCGGCTGGAGTACAGACTCCAAGAGCTGACGCCTGCGTTCGTAGTCCTCTGTGAGAAGACTGTGCCCATCAAGATGAAGGATATCGAAGAAAGCGAGGCACAGGTGACGATTGGGATCGAGCGGTCCCTCGGCATGGCTTGCGCAATGAGCATTGACTACGAGCAGCGTGGCTCACGGATCGCCATTCTCCTCACCGCCCGTTACCCCCGCTGAGCCGAGCCACCAGAACTCTTCAATGCCAGGTCCCCGACCTCCCTGTCGGTGGCCTTCATTATAAGGTATTACTTCTGCCTCTAGAATGACCGATCGCTGGACTGGTCGTTTCAGTCCTCGTTCTGACAAGCGCCGTACCAGGCGCGGATGCTGCGGTAAGGCGTGATGTATTGGCAAGCCCAGAGCAGCAAGAATGATGCTGGCGGTCAAGGATGGCTCTTCATCATGACTCACGAATGGGTGTGTATCCTGTCGATCGTTGCATTCCTTTTCGATTTGCTGAAGATTGTGATTCGAATGTCATTATCACTTTTGACCTCGACATGTATCTGCATCCTTTATCGCATGAGTCAAAAAGTCATCGAGGTCAGGCTCACCGATAACCATCGTATTTCGTTTCAGCCCATATCGTCCCTACAGCTGGACCGTATCTTTTGCGACAGAAGGAATCCAACACAGCCTCGACAGATCGACCTTTGAGGCATTTGGGGATCTGTCATCTCATTCAGGACTCCAGAGGCGTTTCGATCACGAGCCGCACTCACCTGAACATTGACGCCAATTACCGGTCCAGCAAAGACACATTCATCTAAAGATAGTGGCTCCTCCCCGTCCCAACTCCGCATCGCTTCTGCCATATCCGCACACCAGTCCAGATCACCTTTACCATCAACGAACATGTCTGCCATACGAGGGTCCCACGCTCTCATGGCGGACAGCAGATCCAGCTGAGGTGGACCATGAGTGGACTTCATTCTCAAGAGAGATGTCGCGTTCCGGAGGGCCAGCTTCGGCAAGGGGTCAAGGAACGGTCGGATGTCCTGTAAGATGATCTGTATAAGAAGTCCCGATGCGTATGAGGAGAGATTGGAATCTCGAAACAGATGAGATAAGATGTCGGTCTGAGAGGGCGGATCACATGGAGGGACTTCGAGCTGAGAGAAAGGTGAATATGACGCCAGTTGATCCAGTCTGAGGTCGATTTCGGCTAGTGTCAGACTGGAGACTCTAGAGGTTGTCTGGGGATGATGGTGATCAGTCGTGCTGTCTTTATTCGCGGCTTCGTCTCACCCTCTCTTTGCAGACCCGCTGCACCTCCAAGCCCAAACAGCCACTTCCACCGCCTGGACTACCAGCAGAGTCCCATCTTGACAGTCCTTTGATGCGTAGTATCCTCTCCAGCTCACATGCAAGCTTCATCTCTTTCATTCCGTATCGTCTCCTGCAGCCTTCATGCGGAAACAAGATTCGAAGGACATGCTTGCCCGAACCAGGGGGTAACGGTCGGTCCAAATGATTCAGCCATGAAGTGAAGATGTCCGCCGGAGTGAACGTGCGGTTTTCACGGGAGCGAGCTTGGGGAGGATGGCTCAGACGATAGATGAGTTTGGCGAAGCTTAAGACGGCACGAGTCAATGGGCTTCACGGAATTCCCTTGAGAACCTTGACTCACCTCTCGAAAGTGATGTCCATGATGAGCGCTTTACACGGGTTGACACTCTAGCGAACGACAGAAACACAGAGACTGGCAAACAGAATATGGCCATGATCCAAGACTTCCAGTCAACAGGGCGTCATGACCGCCGCCCTACGGTACACCTGCCTTTGCTGACATTATTGGATGAATTCATACAGCTGCCAAAACCGAAATTCAATGTTCGGACGCGTCTTTGACATTCTGAAACGTGGTGCCCCGCGCCTCTCATGTGTGGCGGTGGCAATCTGCCTCATCTACCTATGGTGTGAACGGTGATGGTGTTTGCTCACATGCATGGCACTGATGGACACAAAGGAGCGGTGCCATCAGACACGGGGACCGATGCGCTTCAGCTACCAAGTCAGTCAAACCCTTACGAGGCCCAGATCTTGATAAAGGAATGAGACTTAGCCTGGTGGGACCGCAAGCACGGGTTCAAAGGTAGAATTGTTCGGCAATAGGGGCATATCTGTAGTGGTCTTGGCACTCACGCAGGTCTAAAAGAGAGCTTGGAGGCTGTTTCCTGTGCTTTCAGTAACATATCGTGCAATTTCATACTCCAGCCGATCCCCTCGTTCAAGGTACCGACAATCATCATGATGTATGTTGAATTAATTTTCCAGATCTCACTTTGCCTTTCGAGTGAGTTTATATCTCACGGAGCGCGTTCGCAACAGAATGACTGATTAGGAAAGTTGCAAGCGGTGTCTCAGCTGTGCCAATACCCCAGACTGGAGGACCTGACGCCGTCCATGCCACCATCATGGGGCGATTCCACCGAGCTCTGTGGCCGATTGACGGGCCCACCTGCAAGGATATCAAGCAAAGTGAGTGGATTGGGTATTCCCTCCTCAATACAGTGGGCGTTGATATCTACCTGGTTGATTCAGCATCCGTACCAGATTGTTTCTTGGCAGCTAGTGAGTCGGCCTTTAGATCAAAGTAGCCCTCTTATCATTTGGGATAACCTCCTATTCTAGCACTTTGTGTCCTGGCGGATCGCGCTCCTCATTGGCTGCAGTCCGCTGTCAGAAAAGTCGACCCAGAGGATGCGGACGATGGCAGTACAGTCGATACGGCAGAATTCAACATCTTCAAGTACAGGGAGCCTGAAGCGATTGAGCGGTCATCTACCGGAGCGAATCAAATGATGATAGATCAGACTTCCGACCATGTATGGACAAGAATGAATTACGCAGACGATATCATGGGTGAAGAGACTGACGGTAAAGCCACATATGAATCGACAGATATGATTCCCACATGGTCAGTCTTAGTGATACTCGATGACTGACGTCCTGTGTCGAGCTGACATCAAATCAAGGTGGGTACCAGGCTTCCAGAACGCCGCTCAGAAAATGTTTGGAGACGATTTCCTCCAAGGAGGTTACACCCTCGAAGCACTGGCAATGCTAACGAACCGAATCACGATCGACATTAGTGGTGGGACTCAGGATGAATATTGCGAGTGTTCAAGATCGGGGTAGCCTGTGCGTACTGACATCAGTGAACAGACGATATCTTCAAGAAAGCCAGTTACACCCCTGTCACGCTCGGTACAGTGGACGATCCCGGTAAATTGGTCGGAAACCACGCCTACGCTGTCCTGTCAGCTCAAATGGATGATGATGACGAGACGTGAGTCCAGTTAAGTATACCCCAAGCCCCCACGACCTGATGTGCGTGACATTGCTCGTAGTGTCACTCTCCACAATCCCTGGGGCAAGACAGACACGTACAAGTTGAAAGACATCTTCAACGATATTGCCCATGTCACGCACCTGAAAAACTGGGACATATTGAAGCCAGCTTGACGGCCCAGTCTTTCTTAACAGAAACAACCTGTCAGGCCATGAGGAGCTCCGTTGATCCATTAGACCTTGCTTGCATGCATATCATCTTTGTAACATGCCTTGTCGTTCTTGTGTCCCATGCAATATGAGGCACTGCCACGCGAAGCGCGCCAATGCATAAATCAGTCTGATCACGTGATGTTCTGAGCTTGACATCCTGGACCATATATATTGACTTCTCGAATAGCCTCTCATCCTGCTTAACAGATTCCTCAGCCAGCTGAACATGTCAGCAGAATCTCACGATGCCCTGCAGCTATTCAGATCAGCTCTCGCTTCTTCTCTACCTCCCACACTCCTCACAGCAGCTTCCGAGCCTGCCCCAAGTCTCAGGTTAGCAGCCTACATTTCCTTTGCGCAATCAACTTCGGAGCCCATCAATCTCGTCAAGGATTACGCTACGCGATACGCTAAATCAGATACGAAGGATGGCTTCTATACCGCTGCACAGATCTATCTGGCGTGGTCTGAGCGAGCTAGTGCTGTCAGAGATTACTTGATCAAAGGTCAGGCAGAGGGTGTTGGTTATGTCAGTGTAACGGATAGGAGATTCGTGTTGGACTATCTGAACGGGGGCAATGACGAGCAAGGAAGAGTTGTGCCGCTTAGTAACGATGCGGGTCAGTCTAATCCATAATTTCCCGCCCGTCTCAGCTGATTCGGATATCCAGGACCAGGCAGTTCAATGACTCTACCATCTGGTGCCGATGCTCTGCCTGCTTCTCTCGAATCCGAAGCGGGTCCCTCAAAGGTCTCTCAGCCGGCCAAGCGGAAGTACGAGGTCAATAGGGCCGACCTTGAGTTCTGCAAGAAGGTGTGTATGCAAGCTTTATCACCGTTTCGAAAGCTGATTCGTTCAGTTGCGATCAGAAGTCGTCGAGCTTCGAGATAGAAATAGCGTCTTGAGAGCATCGCAAGGGGGCAAGGTCCACGTGAGCAACTCTTGCCATCCATACAGGGTAGATCGGAGCTCACCAAATGTTACAGAGCTTTGAGTCGTTCGTCAAAGGCGTCATGGCAGAGAAGATACGAGCGTTGAGAAAATCCATGGAAGCTCCAAGTGGTCGTGGCGTAGCGCCGCAGAGTCAAGCGTCAACAGGTGCGTTCAATCGAGAAGACCTCCATCATTGACAATCGCATAGATCCATCACGCGGACCACGCAAAGCCAAGCAATCCAACCCTATCATCATGATCTCGTCGTCGCCTACGGCACTGATAACGATGTGGAATGTCCGCAGATTCTTGGAGCAGGGAATGTCAGTGTGAAATGGGATCTGCAAATCTTGTTCTTAGCTGACATTCACAAGTTTTGAACCCTCCGATGTGGCCAGACAGAGAGAGATGTCGCAGGGCAACGTCAAATCAGAGGACATGATCCCCATCATGAGGAAGAAGAGCGGTCCAGCAGGTCAGTCTGATCTCCCTCCAGGTGGAAGGCTTGCTGACATATCCTAGGAGATATCACGAGCAAGTATTATGTAGTAGATGGCGTGGAGGCTTTACAGAAGTTTGGACAAGACGCATGGTCGGCTCTTTCTCTCCGATCAGAGAATCCCAGCTGACCGATGCAGGGACCGAGTCATCTGCGTTCTCACTACCGGTCAAGCCTGGCAGTTCCGTCCGTACAAGTGGCAGGACCCAAAAACTCTATTCAGGCACGGTGAGTAGCGAGGCATGCCCTGTGACAAGGAGGTAGGTCTGATATGTTCCACAGTCAAAGGCGTGTATTTCCAGTGGAGCAACGATCCAACCAATCCTGCTGTCAGAGATTGGAATGTCCAGGAGCTGAGGGTGAGCTGACGTCTTGCTTCTGTGATTTTCCAAGACTCGGCTGATCACATTGTTCCTAGATCGACCGACTAAAGCGCCATCTTGATCAGCAAGTCGTTGCCGACTTTTGGCGTTCGCTTGAGAGCGTTAAAAGGAGATGAGCCATTGAGAGAGTTGAGCAAAGAGCATGATGCGTAAATGCATGATTGACGTTCAGAGGTACCTTCCTTTGCTGCAAGAAGCACGCATGCCATGTCAGTCTTCCTGCATTCGATCATCCTCTCCCTCCTTCCGCTCCAGTCCTCTGAGCGCATCCAGGAACTGCCTGACACCTTGACCAGCAGATTCGGGAAGACCAAGATCACGCATCATTCCTCCTGGTAGTCCGCCACTGCGCAGGGCATTGTCGAGACTCGCGATAGCGTCGGTGAACTGAGGGGCAGTGAGGATGGGAGTCAAATCTGATGCTTTCGGTTCCGAGGGGAGATTGAGACCAGACGGCAACAGAGGCGCAAGGGTCGTCGCCAGGCGGGGATTGGAAGACAAGAGCGACGAAATGTTGGCGGGGCTCAACACGTCTGTCAAGCGAGCGTCTGAGTAGATTTGGTATCAGCATAGGCTTTCAGAGAGTATGAGGATCGTTGCACCTTCTTGAGCCTCCCCTAGACCCCCATTCTGAGCCCATTCGACTAAGAGCCTCGCCATCTCCTCGTTCGTAGCTGTTGCTCCAGATGCAGACGCCGGAGCTGACGACCCGCTCGCCTGAGCTACAGGCTGAGAAGATGGGATAGGAGGCCCAGGTTCCCGATTCGACAACCTCGGTGCACCTGGCGTAGGAGGATGGCTTCGCTCTTCTTGAGCTGGAGCGGAAGTTGTCGGGCGGTCAGGCAAAGGTGCGCTGCCGGGTCTACGGAGCGTCATCAGGTCTGCACGATGATGAGATGCAGAATCACTCACTGGTAAGAAGGGTCTTGGAGGAGCTCGTTGATGTCCACTTCGTCCCGAACATCGCTCTCAGTCGATCTTCGTTGGAACCAGAACTGGGATGGATGAGCGCAGACTCGTCGGGACACAATAAGCTCACAAAGTATTTCTGGTCTGAACTGGAGAACTTGAGGATGCATGTTCGTCCAGAAGGGTCCTATAGAGAGTCAGGTTGGTTCTGAAGGCTCGTGACTGCTAACATACTTGAGGGACCTTTTCAAAGGTCGCTTCGCCAGGAAAGATGATGAGGTCCTGCGTCGCGTTAGTCATCGTGACGATCGAACGACCAATAGCTCACATTCTCAGTCAGCCCATTCTGTCTGTTCTTCCACGCTGCGCAGCACCGCGCGTTAGCACTAACAAGGGAACGTTGATTACCAGTTCAACTCACCAAAGTGCATCAGGTCGTCTTCAACATACATCTCAATCAATCCCTTGTCAGGAGACGCATCGACCCATTTGTCATGTTGATGCCGTCTGAGCGATCGACCGGCGGGAATAGAGACGATAGGAGGCATGTTTGATCACTCGTGTCAGAACGCGATAGAAGCAACGAGTGATCAATTCAAGGATGATGGAATCAGCAATCGCGACCCGGCGAGTTGAGAATAGACCACGTGGCGGTTGTCCTCCTGGGCTTTCAATTGGCACACCGTCTCTGAGTTCAGCCAAAAGCATATATAGGGCAACGGCTCCCAGTATACTACACCATCTCTTTAGATACCTGTGGCTGCACACAATGATCTACTTCCATATGATGTCCCAAAGACCACTAATCATCATCGTGAATCAATATCTTCGTCTCCTCCACGACAACGGGGACAGGCGCAGGGTCCTCAGGCTTCGCCATAGCATCAATACTCGGACCAGCTTCCTCCTCATTCGCAGCAGCACCGCTTTCGTCACCATCCTCGTCGCTATCCGAGTCTTGCCCCGGCCTCTTGAACATGACTTTGCCTCCTGAACCATGCTCCAACTTTCTCAGTTTTGAACCTCCTCCACCTCCTCCTTCAGCAGATCCAGTAAGTCCATCATCTCCTTTACGTCCTTGTTTGCGCTTCTGTCGCTTGGCTCGATTCTTCGCTGTCTTCGCTTCTGTCGCTGCGTCTCGGGCATCTTGACGGGCTTGGAACGCTTTTTGCTCCTCGATCTGCGATGAGGCAAGGACATCCAGAAAGGAGGCAAAGGAAGGACGTTAACAGTATGTAAAGCGAGAAGGAGCGATGGTAGTGTAGCAGTGTCCAGATGGTTGACAGTCACATGGTGGGAGAAGTTGCTCACATCAGCAGCGGTTCCAATTCTTGCAAGTGTGCCAGAAACACCCACCTGTCTGTTCTTATCCTCCATCATCTTTAATCGCTCATACTCTCTCCTTCTACTCTGCTTGTATACGTGAAATTCACCTGATCCAGCTCCGGAAGAAGATCCTTGGACATTCTTCATCATCTCTCGAGGTGCTCGTAGAGTCCGTTCTTTCGGTCCAGTAGGGAGTGCAATCTCTTTCGTGGGATTTGCAAATAGTTTTTCAAGCTACATGATGGTCAGCAAGACCTCTACCATACCAAACGATTTCCGCTGTGAGAGATATCGCGAAAGATTTGCCAGCAGTTTGAGGAGCAGATCCACCTCGAATGACGTCCCACTCACCCTTATCCTCTGAATATCATCCGCATCATACTTGACCCTCGTCGAAGGACCAGCATTTGGCTTTGCCACACTGGGTTCAGCCGGAGGACTGAAAGATCTTCCACGCAGCTCAGGAGACAATGATCCCCTGTCCCAGCGATCAACAGGCATTCTAAGTGTGACTGAATGAGAGAGTGAGGGAGTGAAGCAGACGAAGAAGGCTGCAGTCGAGGTTCTGCAACCCATTTAACAGGCAGAAAAGATTACGTAATTATCTACGGTCATGATATTTAAGCATAAACTCATCCGAAACGCTCGGACCGTCTATCAGAGACACATTCCTTGGCAAAAGATATCCAAAATGTTCAGACATTCGATTGAAACTTGATGAACTTGACACCTGCTGCGTCTTGAGAGCATCTATGGGGCATCACTGATAGCTTTTGAACAGAACTGCAGTGCCCTCCCCCTTTCTGATCGTATCCTCAGGATCGTCACACGACACAAAGGACCTCCCTCGGAGACAAGTACCGACTCGCGTGGCCCTTCCATTGTTTCGATAGTCCTTTGCAGCGCGCGTTCAGCTACGACAAGGGAAGTCTCGCGACTGTACTCTGTCTGGTGACTGTAGTCAGATCAAGACACCATCTATGAGCCAGAGGGTATTCATTTGTACTACGACACTTGCACTTCGACCCTGCCTTGGCCGAGACCACCCAATTCTCGAACGATCATGGCGCCGTATCTTGGTAAAAATTACAACCCGCGATTTGTTCACCCAAGGAGCCATAGAGCCCGTATGGAACAACGCAGTAGCTCTGGAGTATCCATCGATAGTCACGACCGACACGACCGACGTAACTCTGTTCCAGCTAAGTATGAACATGGAGACCTGAGCGTTTGTCGATCGCTTAGCTTGGGGCATGATGGCCGGCAGCAGAGGAATAAGCCATACGACCGCCAGCAACCAGACCCCAGTCAAGCGACACAGAATCTCAACACTCATCTGAAGATCCCAAGCGATCGCAAAGGAGATCAAGACCACGCTCATGGCTTCGCATCTGGCGAAACGGCCAACCAAGATCCCTCAATCGTCGCAATTCCGATCCCCTCGGTCGGTGAAACCCAACTCGTAACTGGGAATCGAATATACAATGAAACTCTCCAGCCCGAACTCAACTCTCTGCAGAAGCTCAGGGAGTTCAAACTACAACTCGAGGCGAGCAGGAGCATGCTCGAGAAAGGGATAGACTCATACGAGCCAAAATCCCTTGCAGTGATGGCAGCAACCTTCCTCCAGCGACAGAGCGTCTCCACCACTGTGCCAGCGGACTACTCATCGGAGGCAGCGGCCGAGGTCGAGGCGGACCTGGATGCATCCTCTCATATCGAGCAATCAGGATCCATTCTGAGGGATTCCCAGGATCTTCGCGTAGAGGTTCTGGGGAGTCCGTCCGAGCCCGGAGAGATCACGGTGGACAGTGATTTGTCGGGCCAAGTCGGTGATCGACAGGTTCAACTCAAGGCCAAGCTACAGAACAGGCGAGGCGTTCCTCAGCATGAACGAATCGCTCGGCAAATTTCGACAGAAAATGGGAGTTTTGACCAAGCAGTGTCTCCAACGACGCTAGGCCAAACTGATGGCACTCTGACACTGGCCAAGGAAGGGACAATTGGGAAGAAACATGATGAATATGGATTTTCAAACTTTGCGACATACAGTATTCGTGAAACATCAGAGCATTCTTCACGCAACTCTTCTGGCCGGACGTTGTCTCTAGAGCAGAGATTGGAATTCGCCGACTATCCATCCTCACATAGCCGAATCGTTGTTTCCCCTGCCAGATCCACTGTCTATCAGGATCCAAGCAGGTAAGCTGAGGTTGCGTTCTCTTCTCCTTGTTCTAACGTATTCAGGCAAAAGTCTCGTCCCGAGGCACCTCGCGACAGTCTTTTGAGCAGGATCGGCGATGGATTGGTATCTCAGCATCAACAAAATGCCTTGACTTCGCCAACAAAGCGAGGATATGGCGGTCGGCGTGCTGATGCTCATCGAAGAAGCTCATCACCACAGAAGCAACTGTGTGGTCGAAGATCTGATCATGGCGTGCCACATAGAGACGATATACAGAGACCCAATGCCCAAACGAGGCCTTCTGTTGCGGATCAAGAGATTCTGACTACCCTTGCGGGTCTCAAAGCACAAATTGCCAAATCGGAGGCACAGCTCTCAACTCCTGCTCAGCTTGCAAGTCCCGTCAGGATTGTCCAGCCGAATTGCGTGGCTCGGCCGTACGATGCCAGACCTCACCCTGCGTCACCGTATAAGTCGTCGCTTCCACGACATGAGACCAGCCACGCTGACGAGGTTGGGCAGAGGGAGCATCAGATGTACAGCAGCGCGAGATCTCCCGTCAGACATTCACCATATCCTCTGTCCCCTCGCAGACCATCGAATTCAGATTGGAGGGATCGGGATCGACGACCGAGCCCTGACCGCGAGAGTGTACTACCTCCTTGGAAACGCGAGTCCAAGGGATCCCATTCGACAGCCTACAGTCGAGACGATACAATGAGGAGGAGGGATGACGATCGACATGTGGGGTACAAAGTCTTCAGACGAGACTCAGAGTATTCGTTTGATCTTGACTATGGACGTCAAGGATCTTCAGGGGATGACGTCGGACGACGAAAGTCGTCCAGTGGTGGAAGTGCTGGAAGTCGTGGTGGACGCGGACGAGGCAGGGGAGGATCCTCGAATCGTGGACGAGGAGCGAGATTTGATGGACCTGCCAGGTTTTGAGCCTCGAACAAGCGACAAATCATCTCAGAAGGCTCACGGTAACGGTATTTGCATTTCCCGGATACATGATAGCATTGTAAAGCAGAGATCTCGCATCATGCACATTCATGCCTTTCATACAACAGGCTACGAATACAATGAGGCGACGATTAGACCCATGATCTCGATCACAGCCGCACCTTTAGCGACGCGTCGAGCGAGGCAGAAGGGTGTATCATGGTCCATTCGAGAAATTAGCAAGTCCAGGCTTGCTCAGAGGCGCCTGTCCACCACTTTCGACGCGCATCATGGCAAGCTGTTGCGGATCCCCAGGCAAACTATACACCAACCCATTTGTACCAAGTCGCACCCTGAACCCTGATCAGCTCTATCGCTTGTGACAAGTCATCGGTCACTCACCCCTACATTCTCCTTCACTACGAGTTTCTTCCCCACCAGAGCGATAAGACACTTGTTGACTTTTGCTTGAGGCAACTGAGGTGGATCAAGCAAGTCTTTCACTGAGGATAGAAGGTGTCAGATCACAAGATTCTTGGCGTGATGTATGGCGTTACTTACTGGCTGCTCCCGCTGGCTTATCCATCAGTTTGTTGATTATCGTTTCCATATGCTGTCGCTGCGCCTGAGTTCGATCAGTCTCGTCGCGCGCCGGAGAAGACATGGCCTTACCGGCTGTGCTCCGCGATATTCCAACGGTAACATGTCAATGTATCCAGATATCTCTACCTGCGGATGAGATCGGTCAGCTTTCGGACCCCTTGAACCACTTTGTTCCATGTCGACGCACCATTCTCCTCTTCTTCTTGTCCACTGCGGCCTTCTTTGCCGCAGCGCTTGGTCCCGCAGCGACACTCTTCTTCGGTGCTAGACTCTTCCTCGGCGGAGGTGATGGACTGCCAGTCTCAGTCTTGTATGTCATATCCGCTATGGGTGTCGCTGTGGCCTTCCTTGAGGATTCAGTTGGCCCATCCTTTTTCTGGGCGCGCTTCTGAACTGCCGCCATAGCCTCTGTAAAGGAATCAGCCGGATCAAAAGACGCAGATCGAGAAACCATTGTCGACTTGCCCTCGAGCTGTGGTAATCGACTATACGTCGACTCGCTAGGCGCCTGAACACCATTCATTAGCTTCCTATTTTTCGATGACCCCATGCCCCCCGCCTACTCACCTGAGGCCACTCGACGCAGAACGCATTCATCTTCAAAGCGTACATCCAGGCCGCAAAACTCTCATTGAATGTCCCCAAGGCATCGTGCATCTCGTTCAAATGCTCAATGTTCGCAGCTAGCGTCGCGGCTTCATCCGCTAATTCCATCATCGCTGGTCCTAGGAAGTCCAGTCCAGATGGCGAGGCCGCGGATCGATCCTGAGATCTAGCGAGGGTCGATAGCGAGCCTGTGGATATGCGGCGCAATGGGTGAGGTGGTTGAGGTGCCATCTTGTAGTGTGTCTAGTGCGTTTGAGTCAAATGAATGATGATAGCAACTTTCCTCTCATCAAGCTCGAATTGTTTTCAACGGACTTCGTCGGACGCGACACGCGGCGAAAGTTTCTCACGGTGGATTGACACGCGAATGATTTAAGAAGTCCGTTCGAGCGGCAACTCTGAAATGCTCTGTTATCTTGCTTCTGCTCCGTTGTCATCCCTGACTTGGGTCTGTAGGGTTCACATAGGCCTCATGGACACGAAGCTAGTGAACGAGCCATGACAAGCTCTTCCAATGGCTCCGAGCCAAAGAGCATCCGGCACAAGACCCTCTCAGCGTACTATCCTTACGTGTACAACCTGCTTGACTTGATCAAGGCCAATCTCTCGACAGAGACATGCATACAGCGACCGAACGATCCAGAGGAATTCGAGGAACTTCTATCTGGGACCATTTGTACCTCCTTGACTACTTTGGAATTCTCCATCCAGTCTGATCTGACCTACAAGGGCACACAACAAGAGGCGATATCGAGAATCGTCCAAGCCTTGGGAGATAGTAGATACGGTGGAGCGAAAAACGTGTTGCTTTTCAGAGAGCGGGTGAGCTCGATCGACATTTAGATCTCCCCTTTAGAAGTTCTCATCCCGGTCTCAGAGTCTTCCTGATCCCCCAGTGACGCTTGCAAATGGTCGACCAATCCAGGTGCAGTTTGCTAATACCGCCTTCCTACGCTCCCTGCCATGGCGGATCTTGCGATCGAGGTGAGAGGGGTCCGAGCGTCACCTGGGAGCAGATGTCTGATGATGTGTAGAATTGGGGATCAATTGTTTCAACAAATCCTACTTCAAGTCTCCTTGTTCACTCAACTGGAAAACAATTGCTTGATCCAAATCTCGGGTTTTCCAATCCATGATCTTAATGAACGATCTCGACCTGAGGTGCCAAACTCAGTCCTTGGCAAACGGGCTCGAAGGAGCGACCCAGCAGAGGGAAGGAGACGGCGCAGGGTTCGTCAAAGGTTGGGCAGTGGCTTTGATGCCCTCGACGGCAAGAACAAGCGGCAGTCATCCGCCGAAGAGTGGTCAGCTCTGCCTCTCACAATGATGAGTAAAGCTGACATAGGTCAGTCCCGCTAGCCGTTGCATTGCCCGTCACATAATGTTCTACGGACAGCCTTTACGTCGTAAAGACGGCAAAATACTGCACGGCCTACACCCTAAACGTGAGCTGCGGAAGACAGGGAAATCATGAGCTGAGACACACAGACATACTCAACTACTCTGTTGAGTTAGCTGAGAGCGGTTCAGAAGACAAAGCGCTCGATGTCTTGACAAGAGACGTGTTTCCACATCTCGCCAAGTGCCGGGCAGACGCTCCGGAAACATCTAATGCGGGCCTTAGATTCTCTCAGATACAAGGTGTTCTCAAGGAGATGATAGCGAGGCATCGCGCTGCAGACTACGGACGAGTCGTTCGGCGATTTGTAGCTCTTGCAGTGAGCTATCGCATCGTTTTCTCCTTTCCACCCGGGCTCATCTCACACTGCGCACAGAGGGACACCACAGGCGACGATGAGCTTCAGCCCGTTTCACATTCTGTGGTATGTGCCCGTTCTCGATTTCGTCTACGGTGCTGATCGCTCTGTCCAGGTGGGAAGATGTATATGCACCATCTTCAAGAGTATCGTGTCGCCAGCTATGGCTGGGAGTGAGCATAATCTCCAAATCCTGATCCAAAGTCAGGTCCAGCATTTGCACCGATGAGGCACTGGCTGATAATCTTATAGAATCGCGGCGGCTCATCGAAGCCAAGCATTTCGAGCCATTGAGCCTCCACTATATCATGCAGGGCCTGCGTATAGAAGACGTAGCCTGGTTGAAGGTCTGTGTGGGCAAATCGAATCGGGACGATGCCATCAAGCGACGACAAATATTTGAGGATTTCGTATTTTGGCTCTTCAACTCGTTCCTGGTCCCCTTGATCAGGGTGTGTCGACCTTCGGAGGCTCACCAGGATCATACTGACGTATACCTTCAGAACTCGTTCTATGTGACTGAGACTGCTGAGACGAGGTACCAGACTGTGTACTACGATCACGATGATTGGCGACGCCATACGAAACCCCACATGAAGGAGCTTCAGCAGACTCTGCTCAAGCCTTTGACAATGGTGAGTTGACCATCGCGACTCAGGCAGAGAATCTCATCTTATGCCGTCTTATGCCAGTACGAGAAACGGACAGCGATTCAAAATCCTCTCGGCATCTCTGCTGTGAGACTCGTACCCAAACCTCGAGGCTTCAGGCCCATAGTCAACCTCGGTCGACGGATCATATCGACCAGTGCCGCCCTGGCGAAAGGGAAGAAGCAGACTGCGAATGAGCTATTGACGGATCTGCATCACGTCTTGACTGTAGAGAAGGTACGGGCATACACATTTAGACTTGGCTGAATGCTGTGTAGAATCGCGACCCAGAGACACTTGGCTCGTCTCTTCTTGGCACGAGCGAGATATTCTCACCACTTGCTACCCTCAAGTCGGACCTAGTGAGAAAGCATGGCAAAATGTGAGTGGATCGCACATGGCAATCCGACGCTGATATATGGACAGACCCCGACTTTACTTCGTTAAGATGGACATCAAAGCCGCTTTCGATACTATCGACCAAGATCGAATGCTTGAGATTGTCTCGAACTTGCTGGACCAAGTGAGCTGAAGGATGGCGTTGAGGTCTCATCAGCTAACAGCAGCAGGATTATGACTACTGTTTGGTCATGTACAGCCTGCTTCTGCCTCCGGCTTCCAAAGCCTCAAGCAAGATGTCTAGAAAGCTGTTCAAGGTTCGAGCGGCTTTAGATGGTCAGCTATTTGACTCAGGCAATTGGTAGAAAGCTGATGTGGACAGACGGATCTGCATCGTTCTCGACAGTAGCGGAGGGCATCATCAAACCCCTACGAAACGCTGTCATGGTGGATTTAGTGAGTCTTGCGTCTTGAGGTCTCGGCGACCGGGCTGAGAGACCCAGGCCCGACGGCGACAAGTCACTAGAGAGGCATGCATGGCACTGTTGCGCCTGCACCTGAAGAGCAACGTGTGGGAGGTGAGTCGGCAGTCCAGGGCAACAACCTTACATCTCGTAGCTTGGAGGCCAGCTTTTCCGCCAGAGTCGGGGCATACCACAGGGCTCCAAGCTCAGTAGTCTGCTTTGTTCTCTATGCTATGCGGCACTTGAGAAGCAGTATCTCAGCTATGTGCATCAGCCAGGCTCGGTGAGTCCATCCATTGCAAGGAGCCATCAATTTACGAGTATCTCCAGCGTCTCTTACGTTACATCGACGACTTCTTGTTCATCTCGGATGATTATCACCTCGCACGACGCTTCGTGTCGACCATGTCCAAAGGCTTCCCAGAGTACGGAGCGTTCGTATCGCCTGGGAAGACACTGGTCAACTTTGAATGTGCTCTGGGTAATGCGACAGCCCCAGTGTGCCCTATCGACGCCTCGGGATCCGCGCGTGAGCCGGCTATTTGCTAGAGCATCAAGCAAGCTGACTGGATGATAGATTTCCCGTACTGCGGCTTCTCGATTGATACGAAGACCTTGGGCCTGAGTATGGATTATGTCAGAGTCCTCGCGGGACGTGAGCGCCTGTCCACCGTTTGAAGCTTACTCTGCCTCAGCGGTCGAGCAGTCCTTTGCTTTGCGTTTCACGCGGCGGAAGGGAAGCTCTTTCGTAGGTTGGTTTAGCAGGTGAGTCCACGTCGTAAACTGTATCATGCTGATGTGTCAGGCAACTTGAAAATCGGAATCATGTAGCATATGTGAGTTGCCCACAATGCCCTGTAGCTATGAGAGCTCATTTGTCGCTAGCTCGATACCACCCATAATGATCTGCAGACCGTGTGTTTCAACATCTACCTCAATTTTGCAATGACAGCGATGAAGATTCCTTATTATTTTGGTCAGGCTCTGGCGCCAGCTCAATCTCGAAAAGTCTTTGGTGGGGTAAAAGTGTGACTTTATGCCTTGACGCTGACTCGACCATGATCGCAAGAATCCATATGCTTAGCGGTGGACTACACCTACGTTGCTGGACGAGGTCGAGTCCAGCATCTCAATCGGGCTGAATGTACCGATCACTACGGCGTCAAGAAGCGTCATTTCGTTTAGTCAGCTAAACGTTTTGCCTTGTACCAAGTGAGCTGACACGACGCAGTCTCGCCAAATCTGCCGTGTTGGCTGTCCTTGCTCAGAAGATATCGTTGTTCAAGGATGTTGTACATCTTCTCAAGGCTGACTTGAGTGGGAGAGAGTACCGGGCATTGGCACATAGGTTTGAGAGTGTAAATCAGCGAGCGGCATTAGCGCTGAAGGCGGCGAGGTACTAGATTGAGCAGTGTCTGGAATCAGCCTCATCACGAGCTCTCAAGCGCCTCGTCGTAGGCCACATTATCCATGCAGCATCGTACAAACTCCTAGCCATCTCCACCTGCCCAAAGCGACCAGACACTCCTTAGATGGTAGTCTCGTCTGGAAAATCACCATGTCAGCGCACCACCCTGTATGACCTCGCCTGATGGACTCACATGGTTGGACGGTCAAAGTCTGAGGAACATTGTTCTTGATGCTGACGACTCTGCTTTCACGGGGCATGACGGGTTGACGTTTGAGTTGAACGGTCTCTCCCTTCTCCTTTGCCTCCTTCTTCTTTTGAGCGTTGGATTTGACTCTGTCCAAGAATTCTTTTCGGCATTTAGAGTGTCGGACGTGCTCGACTCGGACGTTGACTCGTTTCTCAAGGTATCGTCCATTGACGACTTTGTAAACGATCACACCGACTGCACGGGGAGTAACGTTGTAGACGATACCGGTTTTTCCGTGGTAGACTAGAGAAAAGGGACAAAGCGAGCGTTAGCGAGCGAGATCTTGGGGAGCCTTTCGCAAAGGGGGGAGGGGAAGTAGTGGATTTTGGAGGAATAGTAGTTGAGGTTTTGACTGCAAGCAGGAAACTTGGGGATAGGAATAAGGTCGCAGGAGATAGGATCGAAATGAGCATGTCTGGCACATGACCCGCTTCGCCTGACTGGTTGGCCGCAATATCTGCCCTGCCTGTCCCACTCCATCCATCCAGGATATCTCCTCCTTATTTCTTCCCTCTCCATCACCCCCCTTCTACCTATTCGCTCCGTTCTTCCCTTGCAACTTACATTTGTGAGGAAGACCTTTCTGCTCCGAAGCGTTGGCCTTGATATCGACGATATCTCCGACTCGGTAGTCCACCAAGAAAGTAGCCATAGAAGGCATTCCATGGTCTGCGAATCAAATCGAAATCATCAGCGACCAAATCCTCCTTCCAATCCATCCATTCGAAGCCAGAACCCACCCTTGATGTTCTTCCTGAACATGTGACGCGTTCGCGCCCTGATACCGAAAGAGTGAGGCATGGTGAGATGTTGTTTACTCTCTTGTTGTCGAACGAACGAAAGAGATAGTGAGCTGTCGACAACGACTAAGGATGCAGCAGCAGCTTTTGCTGAAGAATAGGTGGGTACGGAATCAAATCTTTGGACCCCTTGCGTGTAATTGGCGAGAAAAAGGTATCGGATTTAATCCTAAACGCCGACAATCTCGCCACAGCCAAACCAGTGCCACATTCTTATATCGCCGATACAGCCAACGATGCCCATTGTACAGTAACGCCGATCCACCCCTTTCCCCCCGCCCGTTTTCAATCCCGGGTGGACAGAGCCAAGGACCTTTACAGAGCGAGTTTGAAAGTCTCGAAAGGTTTTTTCCTCTTCAACCATCTAGTCATCGTGAGTCGCAGCTCTTTGAAGAAAGGGCCAACACTGGGTCCAACGAGATAGCATTGCTGACGTTGTATCTGTCTCTGCTCCTTGTCCTCTTCCTGCTTGTGTCTCTATCGCTCCCGCTCTCGCTTCTCTCCGACACATTTCATCCAATCACCTTTTCATCACCAGATGACCACCGGTGTCGCTAGGAAATACTCCAAGACCTACAAGGTCCCAAAGAGGCCTTATGAGGCTGCTCGACTCGACATGGAGCTCAAGGTGAGTTTGAATGGACGTTTGCAATCCAAGTGGGGCAAAGGCAGCATCAGGCTCGTGAGAGAAGGAGGACAGTCAATATATCATTGGCGACATTTTTGACACTAGCATCATACGAGGATTTTTTTTTGGGCGGGCGGAGAACGAACCAGGGACAACTTGTGCTGACGCTTCTTACAGCTCGCTGGAGAGTACGGTCTCCGAAACAAGCGAGAGATCTGGCGTATCTTCTTGACCCTTTCCAAAGTGAGCATGGTGTCTTTTGCCTTTTGCACTGCGGATGTCCAGGCGCGCTGACACTGGCTATGACAAACAGATTCGACGAGCTGCTCGTGAACTCCTCAAGCTCGAGGAAAAGGACCCCAAGCGTCTTTTCGAAGGAAACGCTCTCATTCGACGATTGGTCCGAATCGGTGTGCTCACCGATGACCGAATGAGACTCGATTACGTCTTGGCCTTGAAGCCTGAAGACTTCTTGGAGAGGAGATTGCAGACTCAGGTGTTCAAGTTGGGGTAAGTTGCTGCTGGTGTCTCAAACCGCCAATGCCATCTTCACTCCATACTGACTTCTTCCCCCTCCTGCAGTCTCGCCAAGTCTGTTCACCACGCTCGTGTCCTCATCAGACAACGACACATCACCGTCGGAAAGCAAGTCGTCAACGTTCCTTCCTTCGTCGTCCGACTCGACTCCCAAAAGTGAGTCTGGCCTCAAATCTCTCTCTCTCTCTCTTTCTTGCAACTCACGTGCTGACATTTCCTTTCCCTCCTCTTCAGACACATCAACTTCTCCAACCAGAGTCCATTTGGAGGTGGACGAGCTGGACGAGTCAAGAGAAAGAGGGCAAAGGCTGCCGAGGGTGGCGATGCTGGTGAGGAGGAAGAGGACGACGAGTAAAGGACGTAGATGTAGATGTGTACATGTGCGTTCTGAGCGGTCCGTCCGGCTTCCTACTTGCGTTCGTGTCAGTCGCGAATGCATACGGGTGATTTACGACGTTTGTTTGCGGGAAAGGTTGAGGATTGAAGCTAGGTGCAAAGCGCATGGAATTGCGCACATAAAGGCTGTTCTAGGATGTGGAGGCATCAAGGGACTGTCTGCACTAGGCCACTGCCAGCTGGCTCGGGTGAGTCAATCCCAAGAGATACCTGAGACCCATGAGCGACCGAAACTACGTGAATAATCCGTGAATGGAAAAGATGTCGTCTCGCACGAGATCACCCAAATTGCAACGCACAAGAGCACGACGCATCACTTCATCTCATAAACGTATCTACTACTCGACTTCCGACTCTGACGACTTGGCGACGACGACTGACGACTGTACTTTTGGCACGATATGATGAAAAGATTATATGACGATGAAGATGATACAACGGTGAGGTGTTGGATGTTGGGAATGTGGGGGGGAGAAGAGTCAAACAATGTGAGGCATCAAAAGTGAAAAAAGAGGGGTGAGACTTGAGTAATCTGGCGACGAGGGAGACTGGTGATCGACAGACGGTGTTGATCTGATGGCCTGTGTGTGTGGGTATTGTGGATCGTGATGGAACATTTGATGAGACGGGATTGAGACGAGAACTGAAAGAACTGAAAGAGATAAAAGGACGGTGCTCAAGTCACAGACTAGGCAGCGGCTCCAGGGCACTCGGCAGCAATGTGACCGGGCTGTCCACAAGAGTAGCACTGAGCGGTCGTCAGTCGATGACGGATAAAAGCTGGCCAAAGCTCGACTCACGTTTCGGCCTTGCTCAGAAGGGCATTCTCGAGAGAGGTGACCTTCCTGTCCGCAGTTCTGGCAAAGCCGCATCAGCGTTGATGACTGAGGATAGCGTAAAAAGCAATCACTCACGTAGCACTTTCGGGCCTGGCCGTATCCGCCACCCTGTCGCATTCCTTGTTGTTGACCTCCGGAGGGGCATTCTCGAGAGATGTGACCGACTCCACCACAGCTCTGAATACAACACATGAGCTTCGCATTGCTTGGGAGTAATCAATGGCTCACGTAGCATGTCATGCTGCTGTTTCGGCCTCCGTAACCACCACCTTGTCCGCCGAAACCGTAGTTTCGGCCTCCACCTCCTTGGTAAGCATCACCACCTTCAGGGCATTGTCGGGCCTGAGAGTCAAGCGCGTGTTAGCAGGAAACATTCGGTCAAGACGTGTAAAGCGAGGCCTTACAATGTGTCCGGGCTTGCCGCACTTGTAGCATTCACCACTGGATGCTCGGGAATATCCACCCTCTCCGTTGTTTTGAGGGCAGGCAGAAGAGATGTGGCCTTCCTCACCGCAGGTGTAGCATGCTCGGGGCTTGGGAGTGGGGCACTAGAACGGGTATCCAGTGAGCGAAACGGGAATTGACTGATCACGACTTTTTCTAACTCACCTCTCGACTCAAATGACCGGATTCTACAGATAGACAGACAACATCAACTTCCAGCTCCCTTCCCTAGACTACACCGCCAAGCGACGAAATGACAAAACTCACGACCACACGAGTAGCAAGTGGGAGACCCAGAGTTGGGGCAGGCAGAGGCCTGGTGGTCGGCTGAGTACGGTATCAGAATTAGATCCTTGTCATCTTTAGCTCGGCCCACTCACGCTGACCACAGTTGAAGCAGTTGCCAGATCTGGCACCTCCGAGGTTAGACTGCATTCTTCCTTCTTGAAAGTTGATTCGAGGGCTTGTACTGAAAAGACGGGCAGAGAGCTAAACAATGGAAAGCGAAGCAGACGATTCACACGAGGAGACAGGGCGGAAGGAACGACGGGATAGGCGCCAGATCAGCATTGTCTTCGCTACGCACACCAAGGCTGACTAACAGGTCGGAAAAGAACGGCTCTAGTAGCGATCTTAAATATCATTCAATAGGTAGGGAAGCAACTCTCGACGACTCTGAGGACTAGGGTTGGTCGTCAGGCTTGTTGAAGGTCACCCCTCACGATGCGAGCTCACTCACGATCAACGAAAGAGTGGTTTGGAGTGGTTTGAAGGCAAAAGGATTCTTGAAAGCAAACTTTTTGCCAGCGAAACATGGAAAAGGTGAACGAGATTCCAGGAAATTTTTTCCCATTTCCCGCTGGTGACCACGTGCTTGTGGCACTGGTCGGAAACATAGTAGGCGGACTTCGCAGCAACACGCGTTGGACCAGTCATGCCACACCGTACATATGAGGAAGTATACATGCTACATTCATAAGAAGTATCTGGGACAAATGTGTCAACAGTAGCAAATCATGGACAGGAAGGTAAAGGATCTCACCTATCCCCAAAGTCACCAAGCCCAGGGATTATGTACGAATGGTTATCTAATCCTTGGTCCACCCACGCAGTGATCTGCTATGTCATCCGCTGATCCAAGGTCAAAGACTTTTTCCAGTACCCACCAATCTCAATTTGGGAAACTTGGAGCACACGTTATGTATACCTTCCGGCGCAGCAATCTGGAGGAGAGTCAGTTTCGCGGTTATGCAAGAGAGAGACACAACTGGCACCTCACCAAGTTCAGGAAGATGATTCTCTCCTCTTTCACGCCGTGTGATAAAAGCACCTCGATAGCCTTCATACATGATCCACCGGTCGCTGATTCGGTACCACAATTAGCTGATCTTTCCAATAGGAAAGGCATAGTCCCACTCACCCAGCATCGGGTCGAGTAAGAGGACATAACGCTCTGAGATATCGTCTGGAAGTTTGGCGTACTGTGAGATGTGAGCTGAATGCCCACATACTGGGTTGACCCACAAATAACTTTGGCTGAACAGTCTCTTCGTCCTGGAGAGCGTGTCATTTAATGATCGTCCTTAGATCTTCTGAACTCACCCGCTGTATCAAGATCTGTAGATAAGGCGGCTGCTCAGTCGCTTGTTCCCCATACACATAGTCACGTACCTTTCCTATCCGTACTGAGGGAGTCTCATTAGCGTTACGTGCCAAAGCTTGGTCGTCGCCAAACTCAAGCTCACCTGATCGGCAACAATCCCTCAGACCAGCTTCCATCGCCTCGTACCAATCAGCCTGATAAAGTCTGATACCTCACCTCTCCAGCTGAGCGGCGCAACGACGTTAAGCTAGACTAGAATGCTCATTCCGCTTCACCCACCTCGCATGATGGATACTCCGCATATCCTGCCCTGGAACGACACTCCTTCGTAATCTGCTCCCACGGGCGTTTTCACTGTTTTCGGTACGACAGGGAGGTGATTGAGACCTGAACGAGGGTGAGTGGGTGATCAAGCGTCTGAATCTGATATAGGTCTCCTGATCCATGCCATGGAGCGTTCCAGACAGATAACACGAGACAAACCGCTCACCCTCTTCAACGAGCAGCCGAATGATCCTATCGGAAGTACTTTGATTCATCAGCTCGCTCGCTGTTTGTCCGTCTTGCATTTGCACACCCGACTTACAACACAAAGTCTCCCCTGATAGTATTGTCAGCATCTGGTTCAACGCATCTAGACAGACTCCAGCGCCGCTCGCTCGCTCGCTCGCGTGCCCCATGACGTACCGCTGAGTCTTTTCATCCCGGATGATAGTGAGCAAAGCTTGGAGCTGCAAAGTAGGCGGTAGAACCATTGCTCCGTCCGGAAGCGATGGTCTGTGAGTACTGATAGTAGGCGTGGACATATTGGACAAAAGGTGTATGGTAGAGGAACCACTCTTACTTTCCGATTCCACCATAGTTCTCAATTCACTTGGCGGACTCAGAGCTTTGTTTCAGATATGTCATGACGTGGGCTTTCGTTTCATTATCAATGATGAATGAATGTTGCTATGAGCTCTCGGCCGAGACGGTGTAGTCACGTGATGTATCAGTCTTCCCACGCCTCACCACGTTTTCGGATCTGTCCGATTCCTATCTCGGGGTAATAACTGGGTGGGTGACTCATGGGCGCCGCAATTTTTATAGCTTGGGATTGATCATCGAGGTCTATTGGTCGTGGCTATATTCATCCTTGTATCATCATTTGGAACCACTTGGGGCACGAAGTTCGCGCACGATACATGTGTCAATCCCTGTCGGAATATACAATCACCTATATCTAGACACATCTCAGAAGCATTCATAATAATATGGCCCCAAATCGCCGCATCGAGGACTCATCGGCCGAGCCATTTCCAAGTGATCTCTCAGAGACGGCACCGGTATATGGGGATGAAGAAAAGGGCTTTGGTGATTCTCGCGAGGGATCCCGACGAGCTGGCTCATCCGGATCATTGCACAAGGATGAATCGAGTCCTGATGGTATTTCCGGAAGCAAAGAAGAGAGACGATCGGGTAGAGGGAAAGAGAGAGCCAAGCATGGTAAAGGTTTGACAGAGGGAGATCAAGGTGAGGGAGGGGATTGTTCGGCGGATGTCTCTACGTTGAATGATTGAAGCTAACTGATGGAATGTCAGATGTGGAGGATCTACCAGATAACAATCTCGTGCTGGTCATGCCAGCGTGAGTGGCGTGCGCTTGCTCACATATAATAGTGGAGAGCTAATCCACACGCATCCAGTATCGGTCTAGTCCTCTTCCTCGCTGCGTTGGATATGTCGGTAAGGCTGCGAACAGGGACTCTCAGACGCATTTTGTTGATGCACGCCCCTAGATCGTCGCGACGGCCTTGCCCACCATCGCGGAAGACCTTCACGCCAGTCCATCAGAGTATGCCTGGGTCGGAACTGTAAGCCTTTGCCACGCTTTTTCTCCACTGCCACCACTGCCAAGACAAACGACGTATCTGACACTCGCCAAAATCACAGTCATACACACTCGCCATGACGCTTCAAACACCTATCAACGGTCGTGTTTCCGACATCATAGGTCGTAAGCCTTTGGTCTACGCTGCCATTGTCATTTTCTTGGTCTTCTCTGCTTTATGTGGTGCAGCGAAAAACATGACCTGGTTAATCACGGCGAGAGCATTCCAAGGTCTGGGTGGAGGTTCAATCATCAGCATGAGGTGGGTTCGTTCATGGAAGTCAACGCTGATGAATCGCAGTAACATTCTCGTATCGGATATCGTACCTCTACACCAACGGCCTCTGTACCAAGGCTGGCTAGGTGGGACATGGGGCATTGCCTCTGTCTTAGGTCCGATTCTTGGTGGTCTGCTCACGACGAAAGCATCTTGGAGATGGACCTTTTACATCAACTTGCCCACTTGCGGGATCGCTCTGGTCCTGTTGATTTTCACGCTCAAATTGAATCCAACTAAGAAACTCACATTTTCTCAACTCAAACAGACTTTTGACTTTCTCGGATTGTAAGTGTAGCCCTCCATTTCATTCAGCTCGAAAGTCTCACTAAACCGCTTCTCAGACTTCTCATCATGTCTGGCGGAGCCATCCTCATCGTTGGATTCGCCCAAGCTGCCGACTACGGATTCGATCAGCCTTCCTCCTACGCTCTGATCATCGTCGGTGTGATCCTCCTTGCCGGTGCGATCGTCAACTTTTTGACTACCAAACGGAACGCCATTATCCCCGCTAGAATCTTTAAGAATCGAACGACATTTTTCTTCCTCACTGGATCCATGTTACAGGCTGTAGCGTTCCTCCCGGCGAATTATCTCTTGCCGCAATTGTTCCAGGGTGTCAGAGGTTCAGACGCTCTTCAATCAGGCATTGAGCTCTTACCTTTTGCTTGTACCGTCGCGTGGTCAACGGTCGTTGGTGAGTCAGCTCTTGCCTCTCCCACCTGTCATCTCTCCCTAATCATTCGACCATGTCCAGCTGGCCAGATCAATACTCGATTACGCATTGTCAGACCTGTCGCTTGGTTCGGGTACGGTCTCGCAGCTATTGGATTTGGCATGTTTTACAGATTTTATCGATACCCGTTCTCAGAGTCCCTTCAGCTTGGTCTAGAGGTGAGTTAGAGACGCAGACGTTCTCCATTGTGTGCACACTGTTGATCCTCACTCCCTAGGCCATCGTTGGGGTTGGAATCGGCTTATCTCTCGCTGTACCCATCATTATCCTCCAAGCTGCGATGCCTCTCAAGGAAATGGCAGCGGCGACGAGTGCCTGGAGTCTCAGTCGATCTCTAGGAGGAAGTATAGGTAGGTTCCTTCGGTTTCTGGCATCGATTGTCCAATCGTCGTGACTGTATCTGAAGCACTCTCCGTTCCCCCTCCTTCAGGTCTCGCGGTGTTCACCGCTGTACTCAATAGCGAGCTTCGAAGCCGATTCGCCAAGATTCCAGGATACGGAACAGAATTTCAAGTCCCAGAATCTATATCGGGCTACAAAGCCTTGCATGACCTCCCAAATGGACCGACAAAAGATGCCGTCCTTGGTGCATTTGCAGATTCCCTAGGGACATGTTGGTTGATCGATATGGGTTTGTTATTGGCAGCTTTGCTGGTGAGTATGTGGACAAAACCCCAAACGGCTTCCGTCACTGTCTAGGATCATGTTTCTGGACTGACTAGGACAAATTCTATTAGATGACATTATGGACTCGCTCGTATTCTCTCAACAGGGCCCAAGGTCAAAAAGCCCCAGCCAGGACTCCGACCACCGAGGATCAGGCGGTGGCCAGCGAAGAAGGACAAGATGCTGAAGACGCTAATGCTTCAGAAGGCACGCAGAAGGATCAGGAAAAAGTCCAGAGTGCTCCTGCTTCCGCCACTCTTGAGCCGACGAAGAGAGATCGCAAGACCTCCTCTGTCTCTGAAGCGAGAGGAGGTATCGGAACGCCTCTAAGCGAGCGAACGGCAGTGGAATCGACGTGAAAGAATCTCTCACGTTCTGCTCTTTTCCATCAACAAAGATACTTTGGGTCGTTCATACCGTCCAGTACGAGGCTCTCTCATATCTCTCTGCATGTATCCATTAGTGCCACTGCCCGCGAATGCTCTTCCCAAGAGACAGAACAATGCATGGGGTCTAATAAAACCTGTAGGGTAGCAGAATTCTCATAAACAAGCGGGGTGAAGGGCGGCTGGAGACGGCGACAGAGAGAAGGCATGACACTCGTCTATGTGGGGTGGATGGTGGTAAGGAGAGGTGGGCTTTTGGGAGATGAGACGTTCTCAAAAACATGGTAGTTCTTCGCGTTCTTCTTCTTTCTGGGATCTTCTTTCTTTTTTCTTCTCGTCAACACTCATATGTAAGCAGATAGAAAATGTCCCAAGGTAGCGGATCTAGGAAGACTTGTATACTGGTTGTTCACCCGATCGTCCAGGAGACAAGAGGACAACGGCCTATCAGGCGCCATCAGCACGAGTTCTCCTCCGAGATGGATGGGGGACCCACGTATTTTCCGGAAATCTTCCAACCTGGCTCTTCCTCGTCGAGTCGTTCTCCAACTCCAGATGGGATACCAACCACGACATCCGATTTGATCGTTCTCAAGGAGCAGATAGGTGGCGCTCCGGGCTCTGAAGCAAGAGGTCCAATGGCCATGGGGAATGGCGTGGTGAGAGGGGCGTGACAGTCGTAAGTCAATTTTCGGTGGTTCAAATCTCCCTTGAAGATGACCAAATTGGATTCAGAGAGGTATTGGAAGAGATCGGGTGCTTCAGAGTGGAGGTCCCACTGAGAGGCGCGTCAGACGGGGCCTTCAAGACAAAGACATTACTCACGAAGGTGTATCCAGTGCACCAGAAGGGATGAGCTAAATTCAATAAGCTCGTGTCACTCGTCAAGCTTATCGCACTCACCCTCGTACTTCCACTTGCCCTCCTTCTCGTACTGCTTCCACCTTCGTCCAAGGGTTCTCAAGGACTCCATCTCTTCATCCTTGGCGTCTCCGAAGAGCTGACCATAGGTACAGGAGTTGAGGAGCCTACAAGCCGTCTTAGTAGCCGTCCTGACGAGTCTGGTTCCAACTCACCATTCCCAGTCCTTCTTGGTGACATCACTGACGAACCATGGGAGCTTCTTTCCGTGGAAGATGACCTGAGAGCAGGTTCCGGACTGAATCAACCAGTCGGCGTAGACCAAGTCGCAATACAGCTCGAATCCTGTGCGTGTCAGCTTGGCTTGTTGACGACGTTGCGCTAAAGCTCACCAGCATTATCAAGGACAAAGTCGATTCGGCCATTTTTTATCGTGCTGACGTAGTCGGCAAGCTTGTGCAAGTCGTTTCCGAGAATGTTTTTCTCAGTCGCAGCGAGGTGGTCTCCACCAGTGGACTGAAGCTTCTTGATATCCTCCTCAGTCATGTCGATCAAGAGAGACAAGTCGGTCGAGTTACCCCAGAGACAGACTGAACCTGTCAGACACGTTGCCTTTGAACGACTCACCTTGAGTCAATTCGAGGAAGATGAGCTTGTTCTTCTCCTTGATCTCAGCCTCGGTGAGGTTGGGTCCAAGCACCTGGGGCTCGGAGAATCGCGTAGAGAGCTCAAACACAGCTTGGGAAGATCGAGAGAAAGTGTCACACTTTTGTCGGAAAAAGACGTCTGAACCAAGGGGTTAGTACTTACTATGCTTTGCTTGCTTTATTGGTGACTCACCGTAGTCGACCCAGTAACGACTGAGAGAGAAGCATTCCCTGAGTCTTCGGTACTTGTAAGCCTCGGCAAAGAGCCATGGGGCGTTCATGAAGTCTTTGCCTCGGAAGAACTTGGCGATTTCCTGGTGGTTGTTGAGATGTCAGTGGAAACCCCACTCCCTTCGTGTCAGAGCGACTCGCCTTGTTCCACAGAGGGACATCACCGGCGCCGTCGTCGACGATGAATCTGAGCTTGCTGTTGCCTTGCAAGTCGCCCATGAGGTCTTCCATTCGGTGAACACAGTCGATCAAGTCGGTAATCTTATCTTCATCGTACTCCTGGTTGAGCGTCTTCCAGACATCGTCGATGGCTTTGCCGAGAATGGTAGGGAGTCTGACACCCATGGTGGCCTATAAGTTGGGGCATAGGGAATGGATGGCATGGGAAGGGGATTTGGGCGGTGTCGAATGTGGATGGATTGGAATTGTCGGGCAGGGATTAGAACATTCGACCGTCAGCATCTGTTTCAGGCACAAGGGAATCTCGCAGCAAGGTACAACAGATTAGATAGGAGAATATCAATCACTCACATGAGCGAAAGAGTACTCGTGGTATCCACGGTCTGTCCCAAGGAGGTCAGCGGCATTTCACCAGGGGTCCACGCCCCCTCCTCAGAGCCAACTTACAAGCTGGCCAAGGCGGTTGGTCTGAAGAAATGACACGTTTGTCAGCAAATTTACAGATATCGAAACGGAGATCGGATACTCGCTAGGGTTGACTCGCGATGGTGTTCGAGGGTATTGCTGTGAAGAAGTGAATCAGCTGAGATGATACAGTGTAGCAGGCCGCGATACTCACGTTCTGGGTCAACTTCATGTCCTGAGGCTTCATCTTAGGAGGCAAGTTGCCCAAATTGAGCTTTTGAAGGAAGATTCAGCTCAGTTTTTGCAGGTCAAGCTACTCACCATAGTCTTTGCGGGTGCTTTTGCACTTGGATGATCGGACGCCATCGTGTCTGAGCGCGGTGTGTATGAGTGAGTGAGTGAGAGTGTCTGATAAGTGTATAGATGAGTCCAGAGACCAACTCGATGTGAGAGGATGAATGGAAAAGAACGAGGGAAAGGGGATGATTATTCACAGAGAACAGGTGTCAGCCTCTAAGCTGCTGCTGGGCGAGATCACAAAGGAAAAAGCTAATCGGAATTCCGGGTAAAATAACGAGGGGGCAGGCTATGACGTAGGAGACCTCAGGGGGCCAGCAACAGGGATGACGTACCTGACGCTGTTTTTCTAATAAGGCGCGATTGGGATTACAAACGTACCTAATGTCAACGTTAATATGAGATCCCACGAGTGACGAATGAGGCGTCGTGGGTTGGAAAGTCTCCCGGCGGGCTTCGAGGCATGAAATAGTGAATGATTCCAGCAGCAGTCGCTCATGTGAATATATAGGCTGTGTGGTCCCTGGGTGGTGGGTGGCAGTGGAGTTTAATGGCAGATCGAGTAGCAGCAAGATCAACGGGATAAAAGGTGTCGCTCGAGATGGCCGAGGATGGGGACAGAGCACCCAAATACTGCCAAGCCGAAGAGAGGAGGGGAAGATAGGTGTAGGTGTATACGAGATGGGATCTGGATCAGACTCAAGACTCACCGATGACTCGCACTGATCTGGTAGCTCTGCTTGGAATTTGCAGAGCAAAGAACGAGGTGTGAAGAACAATCGTAAGTTTGTCAAACCCAACTGTAACGGACAAAGGCGATTATCGGATACCCTTTCAACTTTGGTCAGGGCATGTACACACACTTACACACTTACATAAAGTATAACGCCTATCCCTCTGTATCGGGCATAGTCAGGCCAATCTGACAGATCAAAGGAAGCGAAGTGCAAGTCTCTACACGGATAGCTCAGGTTCGAACTTGTGCGTAGGGTGTGTGTCTGCGAGTGGAGGTGGTGAGCGCTTTCGCCATGATGACATTGGCAGATATCTCATGTCTCTGTGGATCGAGACAGGTCCCAAAGGTCATAGCGACACCCTCCCTTAGATCCTTCAGACCATGCTATCGAACTGGCTTATAAAGACATCCAGAGGGGAGATTAGGGATGTCCATATCTAATATAGCTGGCTCTAACACCAAATGAGTCCCCCCGTATGTTCCGACCCCCTCCTGACTCGTCTGAGATCATCTCCGCGGGGGATAGCGTTTCGGAGGTTTACTGATCTACAAGATATCGCTGCAGCCGCGGATCTGCAGATCACTGACAGACAAAAGAGATTCTGTCTCAAGCTTAGTCTCAATGTTGCCTTTGGCTGAACAGAGCTGGCCTTGCTCAATCTGATCTCCCACCGCGCGTTTGAGCTCACCCAGTTTCCTTCGAGAAATGCTATAGATCCACCGAGAGAGAGAGCTATGCGACTTGTCATATCCTTTGTCTTCGTCATTCCCCCCCCCCCCCCCCCTCTCTTTCTCCCTTACCTCCTTCAGTTGACGATCGCCGTTTCAGTGCTGTCCTCAGCAGCAGAAGGCGTAAAGACACCGAGGGACTTGAAACGCTGCCCTCGGCTCGGCGAATATGAGGCGAAGGCCAAAGGGAATAGAACGAGTTGGTGATCTACCCTTGCCAATAATCTGCCCGAATGTCTCTTAGTCACTGTATACCATCTCCCCAATCTACGCACATTGACCCTACCCCGTATCCTATCTTTCGGCTTGGTCGCTTCCACACTGCCTTCAAATTGCCACAATACCGCCTTATCTATCGCCCTCCTTCCGCCTACCAGCATCACTCAACACCTTTGCCTCTCGGCGTATTCTACAAGCTCATCCTCCCTTTCATCTCCTGCTCCCACCGTCTCTTTCCCTCTGGTCTCGCTCTGCTTACCCACCGGGATCGCCACTGCGCTGCGTCGTCTCCTCCTCCTCGCAAATCCGCCTCATCGCCCAATCCCCACGCGTAGGAAGACGCTCGTTCTCGGCTCCAACCCCTTCTTTTGTCCTTTCCAGAGGCGTAGTCTGAAATTTTTCCAAAGATTGGCTTCTTTACTCACCCACCCTGCGCCGCCACTCGTACATAGCTCATCCATATGTAGGAGATTACTCAAGTCTTCTTTGTCTCGTTTACAACCAGTCAATCTAGATAAGGTCGCTATCTCACTATATTCCTCACTCGCTCATCACCCGTCACCCCCAGTTTCTCCATTGAAACCCCAGCAAACACCCGCGACGGCGTATATCCGAGGAATACTCGATATCACAGCGGAGATATCCCCACGCTCAAAAGGAACGACCCTGACCTCCACGTCTCGAGGCCTTCGCGATAGAAACGGTCCTCCTGCGGTTTTCGCCCAAAGAGGTTCAGATATTATTTCTCCATTCAAACATAGTAACGAGTTGGTATCGAACGTTTCGATCCTGCGTTTACAAGTATACATCGAGTGGACTATCTCACTGCTCTCGCAACGTAGTGAGATCGTACTGAGCGTCAGCAGTAGCAGCCGCCACCGCCGCCGCCGCTCCACTATCTCCAGACTTTCAAACAATCGACTCTGGTCGTCATCACCCGATAGCACACCTCGCCACTCATTGCCAGTGGGGACTTCGTCGCATCACCTGCCACTTTCGACCACACGATACTGCTCAATGAACATTGTCACTGCAGCCTGCTTTTCCGACTGTTCCATATTACCGTGTCTATAGCGAGGCTCAGGCTGGAATCGACAGAAGGGATTATTGCGACATAAGAATCGACTTAGCTAGACCTCGCCTGGTTTCAATCTCACTCTGCTCTTCACCGTCGGTATCGCCACTCGAGCTAAAAACGAACCATCAAAAGGCCTTCTAAGCAAGCGAAATACGCACGTAAGTATGTGCTGTTCATCGCCTTCCCTTTGGATGTGATGTGTCGAAGGCTGATTCTTGTATCCAGTTCTGAGGGTTTATTAGGAACTGCCTACATACCTCGGAGGATATCGGGTTCAGATTCGTCTTCGAAGACCATAACTGAGTGTTCAAGACCAACTTGCACCGCATCACTCCTCTGAAACAGAAGCCCCTTTGGCGCTTGCGGCTGGATCTTACACTCCGGATCAACCCTCTGCGTCTAGTCGTGTTCCTCTTCCTCTAAACCTTGCCCCCTCGCCTCTGAGGGAGAAAGACCCAACGACCGCATTACATAACAGAGGATATCAACCGTAAGCAGTGAGATTGAGAACTATCTCATCTCGCCATTGGACCTGCTATGCCTCACACACATCCTTCTCCGAAGCTCGGACAAGGGTATGCATCCTCAAGACCTAGTATTCATAATCGATTGCAATCAGGTCCAGGTCAAGCCGCTCAATCCTCTCAGAGACCCCATGCGCCGCGCCACACACTTTCCACCTCCACGACATCGTCCTCACGCTATCTCAGTCCGATCCAAGAACAGCGTATCTTATCTTGGAGGGACAACACAGTGCCTTCTAAACCTGCTGATTCTCCACGAATGACCACCACCACTACCACACCCAAGATCAAGTCTGCTCCGGCATCACTTGCTTATTCCAAAAGTACGCCAACTGGATCATCTGTGTACTCCAAGTGTCCCCTGTGCGCCGGCGCAAGTTCATGCTCTTGTTCACCATACGAACAGTCGGCCACTGGAGCTCATCAGCCGCGGAGACAGAAAAGTTACTACAAGAATTCGAAGACCAAGAGGGGGACTACGCCCTCCAGAACGGCCGTCTCACCATTGACGCCGTCGACACCAGCCAGTAGCCCTCACCCACAGTCCGCCAAGACGGCTCATAGGCAAATGAGCACTGATACAGGCTACTCCGATTCCATCAGGTATACGCCTGATCACGTTAAGGGGAGACTGGCAAGTCATTATGCCTCTGAACAAGGTACGAGCGATTTCCGTACTCTGCCACCTGCACCTCCTACCTATTCCTTCTCCCGACCAAACAAGAACGGCATGCCAAGTCCTGAGCAGGTGAAAGCTTACTCCTCTGGATCAGCTCCAACAGCTCAATATGGACCTCCTCCCACCGTTCCATTACCTGAACCTCAGGTCGTTCCTCCCCCGGCTGGGCCAGCCATGCAACCTCAGCTGCCACGGATCGCAGGGGTCCGAGATCCTGTATCGCAGAATTAGTACGTCAAACCTGAAGCGTTCGCCACTTCCGTAGTGTGAGCTGACCCTGACACAGCTTCAGAAACATGTTCCCTCCTGCTGCTGGACCATTTGGACTACAGCCTGGCTTGCATGTGAGCGCAATGGGATTTCAGACCGCGTCGTGCTGACGTGAATCGTAGCCACCTCAACTGTTTGGGATGCCAGCCGGAAGACCAATGGGCTGAGAATTCCGGCGAGAGAGAGATTGCGGAGTTCAAGGGGGCAGACAAGAGGATGTTATACATCTAATCGATCATGCACCTAGCCCGAGAGCTTATGGCTACACATCCGGCTTGCAACGTAGCGTCTGATCATTGTGTTTGAATTCTCGCTGCAAACTGCCACTCGCCACGAGACCAAACCTCCACTTTGCGCGCGAAGTTCGGTTGATGTTCGTTCATATTTCGGTTTTCAGACAATTTCATTATCAGCTTCTTCCACCGGAGACAACGGTCCAGCAGCATGAGAATGAGCCACAGGGATCGGTCCAGATCTCTTGAAAGATTGCGCCGAGATGGGAGGGACAGAGACAGACGATCGTCCAGGGACGAGCGGGATGATGTACGAGACCGTGATTCGAGATACGCCGAATCGTCCTCGTCTTCGCGGTACCAACGTCTTAGCAAGGACGACGAGTATGAGGAGAATTCCCGTCGAGCCCTCAAGGAGAGACCTAGGAGCTACAGGGGATCACTGTCGCCAGACAGACGTCGAGGCGGGGATTCTCGTCGGCACAATGAGCACAGAGAAGACAAGGATCACCGCAAGACCTCTCATAATGACCGGGAACGCAGCCGCAGAGCTCGTGACAGGGTCTACGATTCAGATGACGATGAGCTGTTGGATCTCAAGGTACTGGGGGTGGAGACCATCTCAGAAGAGGACTACTTGTGCGTTTGTCCACCTTACATCCCGTGTGATGAAGAGCTAAACAAGGCTCATAATCTCAGCATCAAGTCTGCTCAATTCAAATACTGGTTGAAAGATGCAAGAGGAAGGGTACGTGATACTGCTATGGAACAAGCAAGAGACTCACCAGGCTCTGTAGTACCTTGACGAAATGTCATCTGAATCCGCACATAAATATTTTCGACGCTTCGTCAGAGTGAGCGAAAGCGAGGCGGGAAGAGGGCAAGCTCGTATCAGAGGGAGTACTGATTCCCTATCGATAGCGATGGAACGATGGTGCTCTCAAAGAAAAGTACTATCGATCGCCTGAAGGCGGGTCACCTTCTATTAATACCGCTTAGTACGTTCATTCACGACATATTCGCAGTACGATCGCTGATGCGAACCCAGCAAGTGGTCTTTCGCCTCAGAAAGCACTGGTCAACTCAACGGCCACGCTGCTGGTGATATGCGCCGGGAATATCACGATCTCAACAACAACGATAGTGATCCGTCTGATCCATCACTGTATGGCCCATCTCGTCCTGATTCTTTGTCTGCGACTTCATCCCGCCCTCTTGGTCCCACTCTACCCACCGGAGCAGATCGTCAATTGGCCAAAGAGGCTGAATCGGAGTATCGTAAATCAGAATACAAAGCGAAAATGAAACAAGGTTATGAACGAGCAGACGAGATGGTACCTAAGTCCATCGGGAAAGAAGGCAAAATGGCCGAAAAGCGAGCTACGAACGCTGTCAATAGAGAGTTCAGGGAAAAGGAAGTAGGGGGATTGGAGGTTGATGAAGGGACATTGATGGGAGGAGGTGATAGCAGTTTTGCAGCGGCGTGAGTCTGAGTCGACCAGCCTCGCAGACATCAATGCGGACGGCCCGAGTGGCAATCATGCTGAGACGTAGACATCATTTCGCAGCCTTCGCGCTAGAGACGCAGCTAAGAACCGACGAGAAGATAAACGCGCGATGGATCTCGCGGATCGTCGTGCCGCGGCGGATGAAAGACTGGCAGAGCGGAGAGCAAAAGAGTCAGCCACGATGGATATGTGAGTGAATCGTGCGAGGCATTCGTTGTGCGAGACTCATAGGGCTTTAGGTTCAAAGCACTTGCCAAACAGCGATTTGGGTGAAATAAGAAGCATTCGCCGAATCGTCGACGATCGAAATCGACTGATTTGGCCGAGACCATGCCAATCAATTCTCTACTCTGCTTCTGCTTCTTACACTGGCAGTTTTGTAAACGCAGATTGACGCCCTCCGGTCCAGAATCCTAGTACCCTGGACGGACGTCCTCAGCTCATGCCCCGAAGATGTGACAAAGCTCTCCTGAACCAAATGATGGAAAGATCGCACATACCTCCTTTCGACTACACGGAGGCCGACGAGCCACTCAACTCGCTCTGAAAGCGTCTCAGAGTCAGTACCTTTGTGGGGTCCATCAAAATGCCCAAGGATATACTTTAAACGGCGGGCCCTCAAGGCTGGCATATATTCCCGTTCACCCAGTTCAGAACCGCATAATTCATAAGCTAGAAGATGTCCCAGGCTCAGACCACTACGCGTTCCGGCTCCACACTTCAGAGTACCGATACGGCCTCCGCTGAGTCGAGTGGACTCTGCGTCGCACAGCGTGGGGTCAGTGCTGATCAGATGACGCAGATCGAACAACAGATCAGCAATGCGCAAAAGAAGATGTGGCGCGCAAAAGGGACAGAGGGAGAACCCGATTGGGCAGGGCTGAAAGAACAGTTGATCGAGGAGGCTATGTCCACCGCGTCGAGTCTGCGAGGTCTTGGCCCTCTGTCGCTTAGGGGAAATCGTTGGGGTGGTCTGCACCAGGACGGGCAGCGGACTCAGAGAAGCAAACGGCAGTCTCGATGCAGGTCAGCCATCATAGTATAAGCTCTATGTATGCATGCTCGATGATGAGAGGCACATATCTATGTACAACAATGTCATAAAGTCTGTAGAGACTTCTCGCCGCATCAGGCACGGCCGAGATAGGGATCAGCCTTGTCGTAGGGAAGATCCAGCATCTCGCGGATACTCCTCATACTAGCTCACTCCTCTACGGATTCCAGCGTTCCTGCAGTGTGTATCGAGTGATTTTTCCCCAATATCCGCGTCACCTCTTCGTCTAATCTCCCCAGGGCATCCTCCCAACGAAGAAGTACAAAGTCAACTTCGGCTCGGCTATTCGAATGACCATCATCACCACGATCACCATCCTCCTCCTCGGAATCTACCATGGCACCATCGACGCTCTTTGTCCACTCGCTCCGCATGGATAGTGTCCTGACTTTTTGAGGCTGGACCCAAGTCGTATATACCTCTTCCAATTTATGCCGATTTTTCAAACCCGCTTTATCCTCCTTGTCGATGGTTAAAATGAGCCAGAGTAGATTGACGCATTCGATGAACCATGAGATCCACATGGATGAGATGAACGATTCGAGTGGAAGTTGTAGAGGGGTAACGTCGGCTGTGGACGAATGTCGGTGCCTACCATGAGTGTACGAAGCGACTGTCGGGGAGATGCTGGTGGATGGGAGTGTGAAGAGATCAGGAATGATGATATGTAGATCGGGTAAGATTGGCGAGGCCGGCTAGAGACACGTATCAGACAGACGACATGATGTGAGGAAGCCGTAGACATGGCCAGATACTCACCTTTGAGATCGCCTCGCGTATCATGGCCAGACCTTGAACCCGGATAGCGTCAAAAGGATTATCGGCCTCTACAAGCTGTCCCAGGTTGCGTCAGCTATCTGTAACCAAACAGGAAGAACACGAAGGAACTGACCTGCCTGTACAGAAGGACCTGGTCCCGGGGATTCTCAACCTCGCTGATCAAGGCGCTCATGAGCTTGATGATAGCAGTGCGTGTCATAGGAGCAGGCAGCGTTGCTGCAGGAGGCACAAGAAGCTGATCATGTCACAGTGTATGAGTCACTGTGAGGACACTTGGACGGTCTCACCTCTAAAAGCATGGTCACCACGTCATGTGTCACTTTCGAGTCTCCAGCAGCAACCAGATACCAAGTCCACGCTATGCCAGCATCTAATGCGTCGGATGATAAAGCCGCTGATAGGACCGGCATACAGTCCTCGAGAAGGACCGGGGATATAGGATGTGATTGTCCAGACTCTCTCCCGATGGCTATGCTTGGTAGAGAAGCGACGAGGAGCGCAAGGGAGGCGAGCGAAGAGTATGGAGAGATGGACGAAGGGTGAGTGAGCCGGTGAACAAGATCAGACGTGGTGATCTCAAGCTCTGTCGCTATGCGCTGTGATGAAGTTGGTTAAGCCCAGTAACCTCCTCTTCTTGGTCTGTTCGATTTTCATGCACTTACCAATGATTGCTCCAGAGTTCTTTGTGCAGGCTCCCCTTGACCTTCCTTGGCATGAGGAGATTTGTACTTTGGAAAGAGATTTATGAACATTCTCTCTGCCAATCGAGCGTCGAGTCGTGAGCTAAGTAGCGTCACACCCATGAACAAGACATTCGTCAGGATAGCCTGTGAAACGTTGTCAGTTCATAGATTGACAGACAGAATATAAGTTACCCTCTGTTCTCCTCCTTGATCTGAAGTCTTGTGAACCCATTCCCAAGTGCTCGCTATCACCTCGTTCAGCCGACTCAACAGCTCTACAGCAGAAATAGAGTCCGTCAGGGTAGCGATCACCGTGAATGCGTCGATGAGAGGGTCAGACAGCGACAGGAGTGTCGGTGTAGATCTTTCAGTTCGTAATCGTGGAATAACTGAGGAGGCAGGTCAGCAACGCAGGCCTTGAATTTCCCTGGATACTTGTCGTGCATACCCTTTGTCAAAGACTCAAGAGAGAGACACAGGGCCTCCACGACAGCATTCGACTCCATCTGAATCTGTCCAGCCTCGAGGAAATCCTCATCATCATCTCCAACCCCTTGAGCTTGGTTTTCCAGCTCGTCTAGCGTTTCGACGATGGACAGGACGACCTCTTTGGCGGGAGAGCCAGAAGCGATCAACTGAACCAGGCGAGATATGTCTTTCGAAGCGGCCGAAGAATAGTGGGTCAGGAGTATCGGGATAAACGTCATCCCCGCATGATCAAGGATAAGGTCCTGTCGAGTTATCATCAGTGATGTGTCCACTGGGGAATGCACTGTGGGCGTGCTGAAAAGATAGGATGGTCGCCAGTCACAAAGATCAAGCTGCCCACCTTTTCTTCCGGTGATACAGACTCCAGCAGATGACACAGCGCTGCCACTGCAGCTGCTCGCTTACGCTCATCATGTCCAACGATGAATGATTCAAACAGCTGCTGAAACGAGCTTCCTTCAGTGGCTAAGAGGGAGGGAATCAATTGAGCATGACACGAAAAGCGTGACGACTCACGCTCAGCCCTCAAGGACTCTTCCAATGCTCTCGATACATCACTCAGATCATCCATCGTTCTCTGAACTAAAGCAAGCTGTCGATCATGCATACATCGCCAGCAGTGTCACAGCCGGGCAGCCAGCTGAAACTCGCCACGTGACACCTTACGTCATCTTTGTTTACCCTGAAACGCTCGGATCGCAAGTCTGGAATTTTAGTGCTAGGCTTTTGGTTGGGTAGGCTGGACTCTGAGCGGCGCGGAATGGGTGGATGGGCGAGGGTGGTGGGAGGTGGTGGTCGGGGGCTAATGAAGGGCTGAGTCGGAATGAGGATTGGACTGAGTATCTTGTGATGGTGCTGTGGATGGGATGGTGGTCCAGTAACTATCTGACCACTCGCGGGTGTCCTGGATATCCTTTCACTACCTACAGCAGCTGTCCGTGAGTTTTTTTGCTCCCCTGTCTCAGTCAGTCTTTTGACGCTCGGAGTCCTTCAGAGTCACAACAACAATACTCGAGATAGCTAGCCATCCATTCAGTCAGTCGACACTTCCTCTTCTTCTCGCTGTCTTGTCTCATCGCAACTCCACGTTCAAAGAGAAAGAGGGGGATCGCTCAATCCGTCCTGGACTGCGCCTCGACAATTCTAGGGGGGTAATCAGTCCCTTCCACTGCATCATTCATCATACATCTCACTCACCCTTTGACTCCAATTTTCGACATCAGCACCTCGTCTAGTGATTTCGTCCAATCTCTCAGTGATGAGCACCGCCAGTGCCCATTAGAACACCACCTCGATCGGCCTCAGAATCATCACATACCTCACCCTAAACGAAGTCCACGGCTCTTGCATTCCGTCAGTAGAAGGGACCAACACGAGTCGCGAGGCTACGGCACGGCTTTAACGATCGAAAAAAGGTGCATTGTCCGCTTGTACGATCTCTTTGCAGGAATTTCATCTTCAGCTTTGGGTTCTCTCATCTTGGTCACTGGACCATTCAAGATACAGCCTGCGACGGCTTGGAGTCATCAGCCATCAGTCATCCAATCCATATCTCTGCATACACACATTCTTTCCTATCCTCACCTTGTTCCGACCCAACACTCTCCTGCAATCGGTCGGTCCCTCTGGCCCACTATCACTATCTCCCACCGTTGTCGTCGTCGTCGTCGTCGAAACAATACGCTCAAACGAACAGTCTTTCACATCGCCTTCTCATCCACCACTGCGTCAGGACAGACTTCGGAGGATCTCGTATCTCCCGGCCTCGTCGCCTGTCAAAGACCCAGCTCAGACGGGTCCCATTACGCACCCCGCTCAATATCTGCACCTCTGACACGTATCACCCCTCATCCCCGCCTCCAAGTCTTCGCGCTTCGTCCTTCCTGCAAAACGTTACCCAGTCAAAGGAGCTAGAAGGCGTTGCCATTCTCCTGTATCCTCAGCGAAAAGTCCAAGGCGGGGTTTGATTCGCTGTTCTTTGGAGCGATAATCCAGTACTGCCTTATCCGAACTTGAACCGATAAGCAGTGAGAGGAGGATTGGAGGCAAGTGTATGAGAGAGGAAGACTCAGAGGAGAGTCAGCTTGGTTCTGGTGAGTTGCAAAAAGACTTGTATCCTTAACTCGTACCATGATGACTGATCGGTAAGGCTGCAGGCCTTCATCGGTGCTCGTTTCAAAAGCAGCGGATTTCAACAACGACCAGGCTCTCTGAAAGTATAGGATTGTGGGAGGACCCTCATAGTCTAGGTCGCTGGACGCTGCGACTCCTCTCAACACACTTCGATATCCTCCGTGAAAATCCGCAAGACGGCTCAGCTAGTCACTATGGCGAGCGCTGCCGTTTCCCTGCCACCAGGTCTTGCTCAGCATGACACGCCGTACGATGCTCATCCACTCTCTCACTCTGTCCAGTCATCCGGAGACGTGCCCTCAACATCGCAGACATCATCAATCCAGCACAGCTCGACGAGCAGTCCACATACATCTTTCCAAAGTGATGATCTGCCACCGCCAGGTCTCCACCCCCACTGGTATCCACAACCAGACCGCGGCAGCCTACATCTCGGTGGCGCCTCTGCCAATACCAAAGAGAGCAGAATGAAAGCTTCAGGTACTGCCCCAGGTGCATTGGATAGAGTGTCCAGGCAGGAGACGCAACCTAAAAGAACGCAGACCAAATTGGAGGACTTCGAGCTGATACATGTTCTTGGAAAAGGCTGTGCGGGACGAGTCAGTTCAAGCTTCAGATTCATTTTTCGTCTGCGTCTGCTGATGCCTTACAGGTCCTCCTTGTCAGACATACACCGACATCATCCATCCGAGCCATGAAAGCCCTTTCTAAGCGCTCGGTCCTGACACACGATGAACTTCATCACACCATGACCGAGCTGTCGATCCTGCGTCGATTTTCAGTCATGGAACCCTCCAATCCATTCGTGTCAACCCTTCAATGCAGCTTCACAGATCGCGAGAATATTTACTTTGTCATGGATTTCTACCCTGGAGGAGATCTGGCAACGCAGATGGAGATTCACGGGTTATTGGGTCATCATCGAACTCGGTTCTACGCTGCGGACCTGACGCAAGGCTTGGAGGATCTGTGAGTCTTTGGGCTTCTCTACACCACTGACATACCCAGACACCGAAATGGCATCATTGTGCGCGATCTTAAACCGGAAAACATTCTTTTAAATGCCCGCGGTCATGCTGTCTTGGCGGATTTTGGGCTCTCCAAAGAGTTCGACTATCGTGGGGAGCCACTGCCATTGCACGTCGTGACGTACCCAGGGGAGCCAGATCCTCCGGAATGGGCCGGTGCGGGAATGGGTAGTGCGCGAATAATGAAGGACGGTAGTCGACGGCTTGTTGTGGATCGAGCTATGAGTTTTGTGAGTCTCGCGTCTCACTGATGATAGTTCAGTTGCTGATCTGGCATAGGTTGGGACATCTGACTACTTGGTAAGCATTCGCAGCCGTGTACGCAAATCTCATGATTGCAGTCCCCCGAGGTCGTTAGAAGGGCTGAATACACTTACGCCGTCGATTGGTGGGCTCTAGGATGCATTGTTCTGGAGGGATTGGTAGGAAGGGTGAGTCGATGGACACTGCCCGATTGAGCACTTCTAATGACTCTAGGTTCCGTTTCACGCCGAAGAAGATGAGCCACTGGTGAGATAAAAGGTTCTATACACCTCCCGGTGTTATCTGACTCGACTGCTAGAGTATGCTTTGGAATCGAATCCTCCTGGACCCTTGGGAAGATGCCTTGAGAGAACCGAGGATAGCTTGTCGACCTCTGACAGAATATGGCTTGGACGAGGTCACATGGTCGTTCATCGATGCGGTGAGCATCTCCGTCCTGGTTTGCAGTCAATGCGTCTGATCACTCCATAGCTCTTGATCAAAGATCCCATGTGGCGCTTGACAGAGCCCTGCATCAAGAACCACGCATACTTCCAGCATATGTGAGCTGATCTCCGCCGACTCTGTGCCAAGCTGACAACTTGTAGCGACTGGGACACGGTCAAAGCTGGAGAATATGATGATCCTCACGACTTAGAACTTCACCCGGTCTCAGAGTACAATACACGCTATTTCCCTAAACTCTGCTTGGAAGAAGAGCCATCGGTCGATATGAAGACACACGATGAGAGATATGCCGACGATGACAAGATTGCGACGCCTTTGAATGACAATTCGCTGTACGCTTTGGAATGTGCAAGGTATAGGAAGGAGCTCGAATCATTTACATGGTCAAGGGAAGACGAGATGCTGTACACTTCAGAGCAACATGTAGACCTCGCCCCTTGGCCTCCACATCACGAAGGCATGGCAGAATCGGAGGAAGAAGGCAGCGGTTCAGAGGCTCTCAGTTCTGATGCGTCGACCACGGAACATGAGAGTGAGGATGAGCCTCGACGTTGGTCTCCGGCCGATATCGACCTGCCGCTGCCTTTGGATGAGGACGAGACTTTGATACCGGCGGAGATTGGAGATGATCAGGCGATAGAGTACGCCGGTCATGATGGCTCTGAGGAGATGCAGGAGCAGGAAGCATCGACGCCAATGTCTGTGGTCGAGGTTGATGCACCTGGTACCGCTCGCCCTGGCCCAGAAGCGGAGCCTGTAGTAGAGATCGACGCAGATCCAAGGATGGAGTCGCCAATCCCGATGGACGAGGGCCATTCCCCGACCCCAAATACCGCATCCGCCGCCCCGTTCGCAACCCTCACGCGCACCATTACAGGTTCACCAAAACAAAAGCCGATACCCATCCGGCCGGTCAAGAATCAACTTCGACTGGGTCTAAATGCCTCTGGATCTTCCACACTGCTTGCCCGTCGTACTTCACAGGACAACTTCGCCAGTGTTCCTAGTCCCAATTCCAGACCCTCTCGCCAACTTCGCCTCCCCTCAGGACTCCCGCACTCGGGTCTGTCTGTTTCGGACATTGTTTCCATCCCTTCACCCGGTCTCGGATCTCCCACCCATATCATCCGGAGACACCCTCAACTTCCCTCCGTGGATGACGGACCTATCGCTAGGCTCAGTGTTGATCTCCATGGGACCGTTACACAACTTGGAGATGAAGATTGGGAAGAACTTCAGGCGGACTCGGGTACTCAAAGTGCGGACAACGTTCCTCCTTCTAGCTTTTTGTCTCGGGTTTTGAGGCGACGTCCATCGACGATTCAAGCGTCTACCTTGTCCAGACAGGTCAGGTCGTCGAATTCTTCAGCGTCATCCAGCCCTACGAAGACTAGAGGGCTGTCAGCCGCGAGGCTCGGTCACGCTGATGGGATGACTGGCAGCACGCCAGGCTCCAAATTCGGTACCACTAAGAAGGCTCTAGAGAAGATCAAGGCCTTTCCAAAGTTTCGAAAAGTCTCGGATGGTACAAGCTCGCCGGCAAAAGCTGAGATCATCCAAACGCCGCCGAAACGCCATGGTGTACGTCAACGACTGGACAGTCGACTCGCTATGCATAGCGGTCCACTGAAAATGGAAGGCGGCACACCATCGTTGCTGGATCTCAAAGCTGCCCCGATCCATCAATCTGCCAGTATCGCTCCAACTCTGGCTCTGCCGCCATCGATCTCCCCCCTTTCTGAGTCCTTCTCGGTGAATCGACCACTCTCGAGGGCAAGAGTATCCGATCAAGATCTCAAGGTGCTCGGATCCGACGTGGATCTGAAATCGCCTGTCGAGTCCATATCTGAATCGTCAGGCTCTGGTCTGGGCACCGACGCTAAAGCGACCCTGCGACCATCAGCGAGCCGCCGACATACGGAATCAAGTAATGGGGCATCAGCTCGAGCTGGTGGTGTAGGTATCGGGGGATGGCTCGACAAGAAGCCCAGGACCCGACGTAAAGATTCCGGAGTGACCTCTAGTGGATCTGGGGTCGGCGGCTGGGGTAAGAGAATGTCCGCTTCAGTCTCTTTGTCAACTAGCAACAGTACGTCTAGCCCAAGGAAAAAGAGTGCTCTCTTCCGATCTGGTCAAAAGAACATCCGGTCGTCAGCATCGACTGAAGGGATCCCGAGGACCGGATCAAGGAGTGAAACCAACTTGGATGGTGGAGGAAAGGAAGCGATGCCAAAGTTGGAATTGAAGACGACGGCGCCTTTAGACATTCAGTGGAAGTAGATGATGATGATCGCCGAGAGCTATGGGCGACATCACGAGAGGAGCTGTGTGTACGCGACGCCTCAAAGATCAAGACACCGGAACTTGAGAGGAAGACATCTATGCCGGGCAACATACAGCATGGCCGGATTCTAAAAAAAAAAAAAAACAAAGAACCACCTTTACGACCCTTGACGACTCATTAACGACCGACACTCACTCATTATTGACGACCAATTTTTAACGACAATCACCGACGGTACTTCAGTTGCCACAGTGTCTAGACTCTCATCTTGATCCAAATGACTGTCTTCGATACGTGTCTCCCATCTTGGGTCGGCACGCTGCCATGCACACTGTGTGGCGGGTATAAGCAAATGAACGAATACCAACATGACCCCTCTTCACACGTCGAGTATATAGTCATTTTGCTCCTTATGCTTATGAATCTCTGTATGTGATGTGTGGAAGCTGTATTCAGGCGTCCTGTCAATCGGAACACCCACCCCCCAATAGAGCATGAACAAAAGGTCAACCTGATGTGATGATGCCACGCTACGCTTCGGCAATCGAAAGATGATTCCCGCAAATTTAGTGAAATTCGTCACCGATTTTGGAGGGCGCGACCCGGAAAGCCATTCACCGGAAACCTAGTTAGTCACAGTCAGTCTAGAACCCTACACTTCATCCTCAATCGGCAGACAAACAGGACCTCGCTCTTTCGTCGAGGCAGACAAACAATTCGAGCAAACTGTTATCCGTCAGGTGTATACCCAGGCGAGGTCTATTGACTTCAACGAGCTTCCCGGTATCATCATCATCATCATCGTCGTCGTCGTCGATCACTTCTGCCCGATTATTCAGCTCGTCAAGTCGATCGGTTTCTACGACTTCCCGTCTCACTTTCGCTCGTCCGCTGAACCTGAACTTTGAACGACGCATTCACTCCTCTACGACAGTCAATATGCCGCCCCTGCCAAAGAAGGAAGCTGAAAACAGAGAATAGTGAGTTCACTTACTGAGTGGGCGTGATCCGGGCCGAAAGATCAAGCCGTTTTTGTGATCAAGTGAAGTTCGAATGAGCGACTCTAGCCAGCGTCCATGGCTTAGCTCGCTCTACCATGAGACAGACTCCTTTCACGTGCTTGGACTGTGCTGACCCGATGCCGCTCAGTGATTACTTTGTCATTGGAGGAGGATCCGGAGGATTCGGAACCGCTCGTCGAGCTGCTTCATACGGTGCCAAAGTTGGTTTAGCGGAACAATCTCCTCATCTGGGTGGAACCTGCGTCAATGTCGGTTGTGTGCCCAAGAAGATCATGTGGCAGGCTGCTGAACACGCTACTGGGATTCACAAGGCTGTCCGATTTGGTTTGGGTAACGCAAAGCTCGCCGATGAATTCACCAAGGACATTGATTGGAACACCATGGTTCAGCGACGTGAGGCGTTCATTCGAAACCTCAACAAGATTTATGAGAAAAATCTGGCCAACGAGCATGTGGATGAGCACTCTGGTCATGCCAAAATCTTGGACAAGCATACCATTGAAATCACCCAAAGGGATGGAGAAAAGTACACCATCAAGACGAAGAAGATCTGTATCGCTACGGGTGGATACCCGACTGTACCTGGAGAGGACAAGATCCCAGGCGCCAAATATGGAATCGACTCGGATGGATTCTTTGCATTGGAACAGAGACCCAAGCGAGTCGTCGTTGTGGGAGCGGGATACATTGCGGTCGAACTCACTGGGATCTTCAACGCTTTGGGAAGTGAGGCTCACTTGGTCATCCGACACGACCAATTCTTGAGGACTTTCGACCCAATGTGCTCGGAAGTTCTCATGCCTCACATGGGTGAGTCGGGTCGCCATTCTTGCTCAAATTTCTCTATCAAGCTGACCGACCCTTTTACTCCCCCTCCGCAGAACACGAAGGCGTGCACATTCACAAATCATCCAACGTCACAAAGGTCGAAAAGACTTCGTCTGGTGCTCTCAGCATCCACATTGACAGTCTGTCGGAACCTGTAGAAGCGGACTGTCTGCTGTGGTGTATCGGTCGACATGGAAACACCGACAACCTCGGATTGGAAAACGTTGGCGTCAAGACAAACGAAAAGGGAGATATCGTCGTGGACGAATACCAAAACACCAACGTCGATGGCATCTACGCCGTCGGAGATATCGGCGGAAAGGCTCTGCTGACCCCGGTCGCTATCGCAGCTGGGAGACGATTGTCGAATAGGTTGTTCGGAGGAGACAAATATAAAGACGACAAGCTGTCATATGAAAACATTCCCAGTGTCGTGTTCAGGTGAGATCTCGACGGGCAGCTGTCTTCCCTTTGACAAAGCGAACCGAGGGCAGTGCGCATCCGCTGACAGCTTTTAACTCCCAGTCACCCACCTATCGGTGCTATCGGATTGACCGAGCCAGAAGCAAAGGAGAAATACGGGGACAAGCTCAAGATCTACAAGAGCACAGTGAGCTTCTGCTTCCATCTTTTTATAGGAAAATCACAGGCTCACACTTTGCCTCTCTCTCTCTCTCAAGTTCCGAGGCCTCTCACAATCACTCCTGGAGCAAGACCAGAAAGTCTCGTCGACTTATAAGCTCATCTGTGCCGGCGAAGATGAAAAAGTCGTTGGACTTCATATTATCGGAGATGGCAGTGACGAGGTACTTCAGGGATGTAAGTCGTCTTTTCACTTTCTCCACTCAGTGAAGGGAAGAGGGATACCGCTAACTATGTGCTCACAGTCGGCGTGGCGATCAAAATGGGCGCTACGAAGGAAGACTTCGATTCCTGCGTGGCTATCCGTGAGTGGTGGCATATCTGTGCTTTGCGTTGACTGACTCGTTTGGCAGATCCTACATCTGCCGAGGAGCTGGTCACCTTGCGATAGTTCCCGGGAAGGAAGGTCAAAGAAGTGTAGCAGAAAGCGGTCGCGGTCGTGCGAAAAGGAGTATTGCACATTTGGATCACAAAAGGTACTGTAATTCCATGTACTGTATCGGATGGACCCTTGGCCGCCTGGATGCAAGACATATGAATAATATGCTGCACACAGTGATCATATTATCGAGTGAATTAAGAGTTTAGGTCTAGTTGCTCTAAACGAGTCTTTACAGGTTCACTTGTGACGCCGACAGGCTCAGAACAATGCCCATGAGCTTCTCGCTCCTCTAAGTCTCGCCGGGCTGTCTGCGTCTACGAGACCCAGCGGACCGTCGGATATTCTCCGCTTGGTCTTGGGTCGAGCACCTGGGACCTGTTCTTCTTTCCCATCTATTGTATCTCCAGTTGTACCGCAGTTGGAAAGAGACTTTGCGTGGCTCGACCTGAATACAAATGAGACTTTTTCTTTGCCCAAGGACTTTCGCTTCTGTCTAGCCGGAAGTTTCTTCTCCTGCTCACGAGATTCGTGAACAGTGGACGTGGTGAATCGAGTGGAGCTGCCAGTCGGCTGACGTCGGAACACAGAGACGTCGACCGTCTGTCGAGCATTGCATTCGTCAGCGATTCGATTGGCGGTAGAAAGAGCGGACGAGACGAGAGTATGCATTGATGAACCTGTCGGAGTGCTAGACATGAGATCTGTCAGAGACTCAGCAAGCGCCCCTAAGACTGTACGTCCTTTCGTACGCACCGGCGAAGAGCAGCTTGTACCGGAGGGCGCGCTGAATCGGCATGATGATCTGATTCAATGTCTAATCAATTCGACTCCTGGTTAGCCCAGCAGAGGCACCCACAATATCCGCAAAGCTGAGCTTTTCATCCTGCTTCCAATCTCTCGTCATGTCGCTCAGGCTGGGAGTGCGTGATACACCTGGAGTGTTCAAAGCGGAGATGGTCATATCTACCCAAGTCTCCGAGAAACCATCCGACAGGTATCGGCCAACTTCACCAGCCCAGGCGCCTAGCTGTTCGATCAAGATCGTCCTCGAGCGAGATGAATGCTCGGGAGATGCCTATAGGGGATGGAGCATCGTCGAACATTGTCGACAATGACAGTGACAGGTTTGATAGCTTGGTGAATCTGTGCGATAGGGTGATGGTGAGCTCGACTGGAGCTCAACGGCTCTTCGTCACGCAGCCTGGTCCATCGCGGCGCGTCTCCTCTGCACCCTCATCGCTGTCAGAGATCGAAGCAGATGAGATAAGGCTCTCCCGAATCTTTTCCGAATGATCAGCTTTTGATGCCTCCATAAAATGTCGAGCTCACCGCCACACCCTTGGCCAGAAGCCTTCCATACCTCTTCTCCCCTTGCACGATCTCTCTCGTTATAAACCAGGCATGCACATGATCTCTTCTCGCTCGACTTTGACTTTCAGGCAGACTCATTGACCGCGTGATGAGGACCCCGGCGGACTCGTCGCTCTCGCCGATTGAGTTTGCCTGTGAGGCACGGCGTGGCAGGACCATCAGCCCAAGCGATCCGGCAGTCGTATCCACGGGCCGAGCTATGTCGCCCGAGTCCATCACTTGATCGGAAGCAAGCGGGTCTTCTGGCAGACCCTCGACCAACTCCTTGAACAACTGGTCGTCATGTATGTCGACCAGTGATTGACATCGCCGATACCTCTCAGCTTTATCCAGATGATCCTTGCTAGAGGCGACCGGACTCCCGGTATCTATGCCATGACTCAGCTGCTGTGCTTGAGGACAGACTTCAACGAGCGTTTCACTTGTGCTCGGTACACGGGACATCACTATGCTCGGTGACGCTCCTGAGGAAGCAGTCTGTGGCGACAGGAGGATCGAAGTCGAGGCTGCTGCGGTAGGTGAAAACCATGGATGGTACAGACTCGACTTGTGAGGTAAAGGAATTCGGATGCCGTGTTTGGCTAGGGAATCCCTGACTCTGTATCTGACTGGCGAGGTACTCCTTACGGATCGCTTCTTCTTCGACCGATGTCCGTCAAGAGATTGCGCTCTGCCTCTAGTTTCCGGGGACGCGACCGGTGTGATGATCGCTACCTCCTGGCCGGCAATCGATGAAACAAGCCGGGAGCCCATACTCGTCTTTGATCGTGAAGGACGACGCATATCTCCTTCGCTATCCGAAGAACGTGTCGACCAGCGTCTGAAGACTTGTTTGATCGACTCGGATCGAGTGAAAGTTGTCGAGCGAGAGAGTCGAGAAGCGTCCAGGACTTTGGGCTCCTGCGTCTTGGGAGAAATGACGGAAGGGTCATGATGCTTCGCCGGTGTTGTGAGGGTTCTAGAAAGACGAGGCGGTTGGGGAGCTGCTCGTAATGAGAGACTTCGCACTCGTTCTGACTGAGATGCCGAGGCAAGAGTCGAATCAATATTCGATTGCTCGGAATGAGCCACGGCTTCGATGAGATTCCTGGATTCGACAAGCAGTCCCAGTGGTTCAGGTGCTGTGAGATTGAAGCTATGTGGCTCAGATGAGGCTGCCAAAGTGTTCAACAGGTCCGTTCTGTGCGATGAGTGAGACGATTGATCCAGACCTGATTTCAGCAGATACGCGTTGTCGACCTAGACTCTGCGCTGCAGCATCCGTCGTCACGGCGTGATAGGCGTAGTCGATATTTGGATGTCCTGGCTGAGAGTATGGGTCAGCGTTGACGGCGAAAGACGTTGCGTTGTTCAATGTGGCCCGTGAAGATGCCTCTAAGTCAGAGATTGGATTTTCGGGAGCGAGCTTCGAAGCGGACATGTGTTGTGAAGAAACTAAGAGTGATGCGACGATTGGGAAGAGCGCATATGGTGAAGTGATTGCAGTCGAGCCCTCTGTATCGAGGGGTGGGCGAATCTGTTTCGCATTGACCATGTTATCGTCCTTTGATCCAAGCTCGTCTTCTTCTTGTCCCAATGTCGACATGGTATCGATGTGATCGATGGAGCTTGCTCTCGCCTCTCGAAGCCTCCCGGCCGGTAAGGGAGATGGGTAAGGGCTAGTCACACTCATCATGTCCAACGACTGACCGGAGCTCCGAGATGTGTCCACCATCTCCGGATCAAAAGGTGCACAGTGGTCAATATGCCCACTCTGCGGTGTCAGATTCTCTCTGGGATAGACCGAAACCGCTTCCATGTCCGAGTTGGATGGGTCACAACAGTGCTCCTGTCCTAGAGCCTCTTGAAGCGTATTCCATTCAATGGCCGAACCAGGATCAGACCTCGGACGAGGTTGGCGAAGCTTTGAACCTTTAGACGAGGTCTTGAGGGCTACGAGACCCGATGCAGCCCCAGCGTGTCGGGGACTAGTGGATCGCGGAGACGAGGACCGTGCCAGAGACAGAGACCCGCCTAGGGAATCTGGAGCATAATGAGGAACCAAAGCTATCGTCGGTGAGAGCAACGTCGGTCTTTGGTCCGCCGGTACTTGCCCGTCGGCGATACTCTCGGAAGATGAAACACTCCTTTCAAGATGACCTTTGGAACCCTTGTATTCCACGTCCGCATTGGTAGTTAAAGGTATTCTCGACGAAGAAGCACTCGAGCGTTGGGGCAAGGAAGAGGCTGTCGGACTCTCCACGACGCTAAACGGTGAGAGGTCAAAAGTCAGTGCGCTAGCCTTTCCCAGTGGTGTTGATGGACAAAGCGGACCACATTGCTGGGTGCACAGTCTACTCACATCGTCGAATACGGATTCATCCATGGTGCGATCTTTCTCCCTAGGCCCCTCTTTCTCCAGTCAGTGAAAATTGCTTCAGACGAGCTGGCGAGGGTCGTCCGGCGGCGATGTCTGGATGGTGGATCGTCTTTCTGTGTAAACAGTATATCTGATGACGCTGAGTTGAGTGGAAGGCTGGAGCTTGCCAGAGGGTCCGAGGGCGACATGGTGTCGGCGTGGAAAGCATTTGAGTCAGGCCATTCTTACATGCTGGAGGTGTCGTTATCATGAGTAATAGTCGAAATGTGTGATGGAGGAAAGTTGAGAGAAGAACAGTGAGAATTGTAAGCGACTTGAAATGTGGATGATGTGATACGAGAGTCAGGATTTTGTCAGGATGGGGAGAAGCAGCTAATTTTGACGAACGACAAAACTTCTAGATCAGGGGTTCAACGTCAAGCGACGAGCGATGAGCATCCTGTCAACCCGTAGACGGCCAAGCTGCGGATGGAGCTTGCAGGAAGGCGAGTATCCTGGTCCACAGATACTCCATGCACCCTTGTCGAGCACAAGCCAGAGGAGCTATAGATAAATACCTTTACCTGGCACCTGATCGAAAGTAACAAAGGACGGAGAGACTGAAAGGATGTTTATACCGTCAACATCTCCGTCTGCCAAGCATGCTTGGAAGGGGAGAGAGAGAGAGTGTGTGTGTGTGTGTGAGTCGTCCGGCCGAATGGTCATCTTTGGCGACATCCTTTATACCCGCTCGCCTGATCATGGCTTCACATTGTGACCGTCAATCTCGCGCTGCAAGACGAAAGATGGTAGACCTTCTGCGAGAGAACTCCTGCAACAGGCTTACCATGGAAGAGGACGGTGATATGTCTTCGATCGCGTTGGTGGCAAGCCCATCCAAATGAATCGGACAGAATCTATGTACTGGGGATCTGCCAGCCATTCTGCCACATTGAGCATATTCGTTCGGTCACACGACCCCGGGTCCCATTTTCCGGGCAGGCACAACGCAACGGGAGAACAGTCAGCTTCATTACTTGGAATATCTAACCTATACATCTCTGACCACTCGTCTGTGTACTGTCTACGAGGTCATCAGATAGCTCGAGGACTGCAGCTACGGGGTACTCGATCTCTGCGGCAACAGACGTGTGCTGGTGGCTGTTGAGCTCGCCGCCAGGATGATCGCCAAGATCATCGCTCTACCCACCATCGCCTCTCTCCTCACCTCTTTCCTCGCCCATGCATTACCGGCCTCCAATCCACAATCTCCCTTCTTAGCATCCTCCAGTCGAGTGGGACCACAGAGGTTCGACAATGAGCAAGTATGGAGGCTGAACTTGACTGCGTTGGACAGCGCAGACAAGGACAATCTGATGAATATTGTCAAGGTGAGCCATCATTCATCGGCGCCCATTGTCTCAGACCTCATGACGGGAAAGCTGATGAACATTTCGTTCAAGATTATGGATCTTGACGTATGGCATGCCTCGCCCTCCCAATTAGACGTCCGACTGGACGCCTCTCAGACAGCTCACCTGAGACAAGTTATTCCTTCCTCCATGCCTTTCGAACCTATGATACCCGATCTACAGTCAGCTATCGAGCGATCTAGTGTCATACATACGTCTCTGTCGCAAGAGACTTGGGATGTGTCCACGATTGATACACCTTTCCACGACTCATATCACACACTGGACGACCTATATTCATTTGGCGATCAACTTCAGAGATATTTTAATGGGTACAAAGGCGTTAAGATCGAGAGCTTCGTGGTGGGAACGACTTTCCAAGACCGTCAGATACGAGGCTGGAAAGCGAGCATAGATACGGATGGAGGTACTGGCAACCAGACGTTCGGCAAGAAAAAACAGGAACTGGAATTCGTTCTGCAGAGTGGGCAGCATGCGAGAGAGGTGAGTGGTCTTTATCACACGTTCTTGCTCTCGGGGACTTCACCAGTTTTGTTGAGGCTGATTCATCATCAGTGGATCGGTCCATCTACCGCGCTCTACTACCTCCACTGGCTGCTTCTCGCTGCGACGTCTGGACACAGTCCTGAAGCGCTTCTCGCACTACGCACGTTTACGTTCACCGTTGTGCCAACGATAAATCCAGATGGATACGTGTACAGTCAAGAACACAGTCGAATGTGGAGGAAGAACAGGCAGTACCTCGGAGTGGACAATTGCGTCGGTAGGTCCATCGGAAACGTTAGCTGTAATCCCATTACAGAGCTGACATTTGTCGCCTCGCCCTTAGGTATCGATCTGAATGCCAATTGGGGATACAAATGGCGCAAACCACAACACAACAATCCATGTGCCGAGACGTACGCCGGAAAAGCCGCTTTCGAAGCCTTTGAGACTCGAGCCATGGCAGACTATCTATTGAGCGCCAATGGTCCTGCACCACTGTACGAGCGAGAAGGAGACGATGAACAGTTCAATCTACTGAAACCCAAGTCGAAGCGAATTAGAGCGTTCGTCGACCTGCACAGCTACGGGCAGCTCTGTAAGTGTGGCACCAGCGATGATTGAACCGTTGCTGACTTCTTCCCTTCCAATGAAAGTCATGTACCCTTTCGCTCATTCATGCGAAGACTTCCCTTTCGATGCAGAGAACCTGATGGAAGCCAGTCTTGGAGTTGCCAAGGCGATGAGACAGAGGGACGGAGAGGCGTATATGACGGGACAGGCGTGCGACCTGACTTACAGGTGAGTTTTTGAGTGGGTCATGAAGCTTCCCAGGTCCTGATACCCTCGTGTCGTAGGGCACCAGGCGACTCGATTGACTTTGCATACGGTACAACTGACGTCAGATGGTCCTTCTCTACCGAGCTCAGAGATACCGGGGTGGTGAGCTACAATTTGGTGCAGTCCTTCGGGCTCAGCTGACTCTTTCCCGCAGTACGGCTTCCTCCTTCCTGCATCCTACATTCGTCCCACGGGAGAAGAGATCTCTGCTGGACTGACCTTTTTGGCAAAGTTCATCTATACGACGGAGATTGCCGGATAGAAATAGCTATACTCTCAGAAACCTAGACTCATTGCGCCCATGATGTTGTATCGGGGATGTCCTATGACTATAAACAATTGTATCATGTATGCTGGTTGGAATGCAATTGAGACCGCAAGTACTGTTTGTCATAGTTCGTTACTTAGGTGATTTTTACAACATTTATTCTTCGTATACACATTCACACTGGACCGCTTTGCCCGCCTTTGCAATAGCTTGTGCTTCTTGTCGAGCACGAGAAGCCTCGATGAAAGCGGCATAAGACCAAGTCAAATCTCTGGCACCTTCTGCTGCTCCATTTTCTCTGGTGATGAGTCAGATCTTTTCACCGGGAGCTGTGAAAGGAATCGAATGTACCTGTTGATCTGTTCGCTCATCCTTCCCTTCTCGGCATACTTCTTCCCAACACCCATATAGCCTTCCGCTACATCCAAAAGGGCCCCCATGGCAGTCTCGAATGAATGTTTTGAGACAGCCGATGCCAACGAGCTCGATGACCAACGTTCATTCTCCTGCAATAAGGCGGTGTCTGAGGTATGGCTCAGGAGGTCAGACCAAAATGGGATGGTCTGGTTCGTCAATGTAATTTCGCCTTGTCGCGAGAAAGAAGTATAAGCGAGGTAGAAGACATGCGCGACAGAAAATGTGCAAATGAACCTGGGTTCGAGTACATCAGTGTCTATTTCTGCCAGAAAGCAGCAACTGGAGACGACTCACCATGGGTGAGCGAGACTAGTACCAATTCCATCGTAGATATCTTCCTTGTACCGTCCCACTGCCCAGCCCTCTGTCCACTTCTTGCCCTCGTTGATCTTGTACAGGCCATCAAACGTCAGGATGTATCGGTGCAGAGTTCCCAGTACGCTCGGCAAAGTGGGCTCGAAGGAGATATCATCCAGGGATGAATAAGGGTACACAGTACCAGTATGGATGACGCATAGAGGAAATGCACAGTCTAGACCTGAACGATCGTAATTTGACGGTGGAGCGACAAGACCACGCGAGGATCGGTTGTAATCGATATGCTCAGGGGAAGAAAAGTTGATGGATGGATGAAAGATAGTCGCTGACCAGTATCCCGTCGAGTGAGCGATCTCATCATCATCCATCCAAAAATCCTTCAAACGTTCTTTGATTCGGTCCGCCATACCGGCGTACCAATTTTTGGCACCTTGATCCCCCAAGTCACCCGCGAGCTTTGATCCAAGTTGAAGTGCTCTGAGCGATACTAACCGAGTGAAGAGATGATGTCCATCTCTATACCCCGCGATCAGTGACGCCTACGAACATCTCTGTGCTTACACCTCTTCCCATAGATCAAAGCCTGATCTCCACCACGCGTTGGCGACTTCTTCAAGATCGTTCTTGATGGTGTTGCCCATCTGTATACCCGTTTGGGGATAGAAAAGATGGTGAATGAGCCACTGCCGGTCTAGATCATTGCCACGACTGTGGAGAAAATTGGCGTATGGTATCATGGACAGAGCTCGAAGTGCAGAACCGTCACTGAGGGTTCAAGTGTCAGGGCACCAAGTACATAGATGGTGACTCACCGCTGAGGCCGTCCCCATGGGCCTTCAAAAGCGGTACCGTCTACACGGTATTTCGGTTCACTCAAACCTCCAGTGATCAGATTACCAGAAGGCGTATTGACCATTTGAATTTCCTGTTGGGACATGATGTAGGCTCGTAGAAAAGGCTCAAAGAGGAGGTTCGGTATGCTGGAATTACGAGACTTGTTGTTAGGAGATTGTGAATAGCCCTGGGATGCCCTGGGAGTGTTACGAATCGCCATTGGATGATAGGTGGATGGAGGAAGAAACGAAGAAGGTAACATCAGGGGCAAAAGGGAAGACATCGTCAGAGCAGAGTCTCGAGTCCAGGTGTACTACGACGTAGGTAGGGTCAGCTGGTTAAGCTCTGCGAAGCTCCGGCGAGCCTCACGAAATAGTCTGGGTTCTCCTTGCTCGGACTGGCGACAACCAGACCGTCACTTGCTCCTGCAGCAGGCCCGATATTTTCCAGTATCTTTGTGAGAGCCAGGTCCTTCTCGCTCTCGATCCATTTGTCGAACGGTGAGCCGGGAGCAGCTGAAGCCATTTGCCAACAGGTAGGGGTCGGGCATTTTCTCTGCTTGATATTGAGCTGAAGAAAGACAGTGAATACTAAGAAGATGATAGCCAACGTCTTCCTCCGTGACGCATCGCGCTCTGAACACGAATCCGTGAGCTCTTTCAATGACGGTGAACAAAAATCAAAGTAGCATACATACCATTCGCGGCGGCCGAAGTCACATGGCTCGGATCAGCCTCTGAGACCTTCTCATTTGCCGACATGATACTATCGCCAGGCTTCCTAGCTGCACTCTGGTCTCGTCTGGGTGCACATACGATCAAGGTGATGTGCCAGCATTTCAGTCTCGACATTCCCAAAAAAGTTCCCGATTAGCCGGACCCAAAACGACGTCATAACCAGAGCAAGAAAGTAGAGTATCACAACTATCCTCGTCTTTCTTCCTCTACTTCACACTCACTACTCTCAACCCATCCTCGACATTAGCTTCACATGAACAGTTTGAGGACTATCGCCAAGAGAAGTATCAGCACGATCCCTGCCCGACGCTTGCCAGCAAACCAATCACCAAACATGTCTTCTGCTCAAGATCCCAAAGGTACGATTCCGCGGGATCCGGCGAAAGCTGATATCCTATAGACTCTCAGACTGTCCCTTCGGAAGAGATCCCTCCTGAGGCTAAGAAGGCTGAACCCGATGCTGGTGAACAGGCGAAGGAGGTGGGTAGGAGTACCTTGGTCGTGGAGCGCCTTACTGATTTTGGCTTTAGATGGAGAAGAAGGGATTGGACACGCTGCCGACCATCACCTGATGGGGCAGAGTAGGATAGCAAGAGGTTGGAATGGAGGTACAGCATGAGAAAATGCATAAGCAGTGGTCTAACGCTTGCATCACACTGTCCTTCCGTGTTTGCTTGTGTTGCCTGGGATCTGACCTACACACTGCTATCCATCTCGATTGCCAGCAGCACAACCGACATCATGCATTATTCAAAACGACCTTGCTAGCTCTTCGACCCAAATCCATCCGCATCCATGACGTCCTCGCCCTCCTCAACGAACAACTTTCGATCCCTTCTCCATGGTCCCCAAGCGTCTCCATACTTTTTGAGCAACCTGCCAAGCTCGGCGCGCTGTTCATTCTGCCGCGCGCAAGTCAGCGAAATTCTTCCACTATCCACGCTTGGGGGCAAAAGATCTCACCATGACTTCAGGCTGCTTATCACCTTTCTTGACCACCCAGACGTTTGTAAACATTTCTCCTAGTTTTGGCTTTGGCAACTTCTCAGCGCGCTTGAATGCCGCGAGAACCTCTGATTTGTGCTTTGCTATGAGCTCATGATCCTCCTTCTCAGTCCACCAGCCCTTTTGGACCAAAAAGTTTCGGAATCGGTGAATGGGGTTGTCTGTGAAAAGTGTTGGCAATGCGATGACGGGACCCCCGGCGTCTTCCACGAGGATGGGGAAACGTGTCACTCACCGACTGTCATCCACTCTTTGACTTCCTCAGCGGGTCTGTACTTGCTCGAATCGTCACTGGTCGAATGATGTCCCACACGGTACGTCATCGCTTCCACAAGCACTCCCTTCTTGTCCTCCACTGCTCTCGCTCTTGCTTCCTGAACAGCTTCGTATACTGCCAAAGCATCGTTTCCATCGACTCGAATCGTGTCGAGACCATATGCCGGTCCTCGAGATGCGATACCGTCCCCGGCGTACTGGTCGATGATAGGCGTGGAGATGGCAAAACTGGGACAGCATTAGGAAACGTCCCCGTTGACCTCCCTTCGCTCACCCATTGTTCCTGCAGAACCAGACACAAGGTCCTCCCAAGACAGAGTTCATTCCCAATGCCGCGTGGAAATCTCCTTCACTGGCAGCCCCATCACCAAAGTAACAAATGACACAATCGCCCTGTCTCGATTCATCCAATTTGATAGCGTATGCAGCACCCGCAGCGTGTGGTAATTGAGTAGCTAGAGGACTGGTGATGGTATGCCAGCCGAGCTCTGGGTCAGAGTAGTGAACTGGCATTTGCCTTCCTTTTGTGCTGTGGTCTTCGACGTTGCCGAAACATTGGGCCATGAGTGATTTGATGGAGAATCCACGAGCGAGTAAAGCACCTTGTTCACGCTGAAACAGAATAGGTCAGAGCAAAACTAGGAGGATCCGGCCTGATGTACTGACATATTGTCCAAAGAATTCGTCGTTTGGCATCATGGCGGCTGACGAAGCAACGGTCGCAGCTTCTTCACCGGCTCCTTGCATGTAAAATGATATCCGTCCCTGTCTCTGAGACTGATACATGATCGTATCGACCGCAGGGACGAGAGTCATGATTCGGTAGCTGAAAGATATGGAAGTTTAGACCTTGGGAATTGACCAACAGAATGCCACTCACATGTGCAAAGCCTGCTCTTTGCTGATTTGAGGCTGGTGACCACCCTTCACGACATGTCCCTCTTCATCTAATACCCTATACGTGGGGATAGTCTTCCCGTCCCATCAGCACAGGATACCGCCTCAGGTCGTTGCACCTACCTTTGCCACTGCATTGAAGAATGACAAGTCTGCAGTCCACCATGACTCGTGTGTCCCTCTTCGCAATGGGCTGCTCATCCTTGTGTACCTCTCCTGTCTCTCAGCTTGACTCCCCCTAACGTAGATCGGTCGACCATCCGGTGCTCTAGGCGGAGGTTGAAATGCGGGAAGAGGTGTAGGTGTAGGAAGAGGAGCAGAAGTCGGTGTCGTCGAGGAGCTTGTAGGTGCTGGTCCGGTGATCTATTCAGAGCGTGTCAGCAAGGGTCGGGATGAATTGATGGATTACTCACCAGGGTCCGGGATGAAGAAGCTACAGGGTATGCGGGCAGCAACTGATCTCTGCATATCCGCCTAGTGACTGTTGAGGCTGTCCTCATGATATCCGTCCGACCACAACGAGACTATACACAAAGAGGGCAGCGACTGTGGATGTATAATGCAACAATGAAAGAGGCCCATCTTGTCCAATGCCTCGGTCTTTACACGCCAAGTTCCGAGCCGGTCCACACCGGCAGACGGAGATTTCTTTTTGATTCCGGCGGCAGCGATAGCGGAGATCTATAAAGCATCTTCCTACATACGGAAGACGAGCAAGATCATGCAGCTTGATACAGCAGGCCCGCTCAGTGTTCATCTTGTGGCTGCTATTCCGACAAGAGACGAGGTTGTCGATCGTGAAGTGATGCACGGCGTACAAAAATCGTGAATATCGTTAAACTGGCATAATGGCGTCATATGATGTACAGCCTGAGAGAGTCCAAAGTCAATCGCCCCTCGTCCACTCTGGGCAGAGCATCCTGATCTGTGATTGGTCAGTGGCTACTTGGAAAACAGGTCGTCCTCTGCAGACGGGACCTCCACCTACCTTATTACCTTTAATGAGGTCCGCCAGGCCACCTTCCACCCCCTTCTCCTTTACCTAATTTCCAACCCCCTAATCCCACCACCATCCCAAAGATCAAGAGGATTAGGATCATGATGACGACCGGATGAAAGACACAGCCTCGTGCTGAACGTCGAACAGAAATGAGAGGCTGTCCTTCAGGATCATCGGACCATCCAGGAATGCCTGGAGTGTCCTCCATTTGACCGGTTCTAGGAAAAGTCGGTGTGACCGGTGAGGATGGATTGGAAGGGATACGAAATACAGGTCTTGATTTCTTCTTCGTCTTCGTGTGACTTGTCGAAGAACCGGAAGGTGATGCGGAATGACATGGATGAGGTCCTGGTGTAAAGGATACAGACATGCTGACGAAACCCGGATCTCGGCGGAGCTTAACAGCTTTATAGGGCTATTTCTCAATAGACGCTCCCAGCTAGTGCTCGTTCGGCCAGACGAGGCTCAAACTGCGAGGTTCGAAGAAGTTACTGTCTGGGGTTTGATGATAAGAAGTTGATTCTCATGTTGAATGGGAGCGAAAGGAAGCCGCGTAACCGATCGTGCTCGGTGGCGGACGCTTAATCTTGGCATTCTTGAGCGTCATTTGCCGTTCTACATGAGCATTGGAGCGGGCCTCAAGACCATTCCAGCCACATGATAGCTACAGAAGTGTATGGCACAGGTACACTAGCTGTTCCATCCGCATCGATTTGCACTTGGAACGTCCCTCCAGGTTGAACATTTTCTACCTCCAAACCGCCACTTTCAGCGGTCCACTGACTCCCGCCATAGGTGATCGTCTCAGCGAGACCAGCGGCACCCTGGGAACCTTGAAGCAGTTTTCCGGTAAGCTTACACGCTCCTTGTAGTCCGGCGAGGTGGAAGATTGTGCTGGGAGCCGTCGTTGAGTTATTCACGCTTTCCCACTCGTTGAAATTGACAAATGCAATCCGGCCGAGCTTTCCAGCATTATAAGCTCCGTACACTATATGATGATCCCCATCAAGACTGTCATCGACCTTAAGTTGAGCGACTTGTGAATCCGTTCCATTACCAATAAGGTCCGCTACGGGGAGGAAAGAGTAGTACCCTGCGCGAGTGGCTGCAGGGTGACCATCAGAAGCTTGAGAAACCCAGTTGGCCTGGTACGATCCGAAAAGGCTTTCCATGTGGACTCTCTTTATTCCGATGGTCATACAGTAGAAGAAGTAGTCGGTCCTCCATATCGCACCAGCGAGACCATTCATGATAGTCTCGTTTCCTGGTCCAGACAAAACATTCACTTCGTCCATGACCAGTGGGATGGACCCGTTCTTGTATGTGGCAAGATACTCGACCCAGGTTCGTTGAGGTGTCATAGTGTAGACCGTGTGAGAATGGTTCATGAGGTGCGCGAGGGAGCCACCGGACACTTGGTAGAAATGAGCAGCAGCCGCGTTGACATTACCGTCACTGTCGACTCCAGCTTGGAAGATGCCTGGAATGTTGATGGGATAATCGAGAGGTTGATCAACATTGGCTCCGATGTCTCCGGCCTGATAGATTGCAGCAGGAGGGCGTATCGTGCCCGTGACGATCTCTGCATAGTTTCTGAACATCTTGGCGTAGCTGTACTCGTCAGCAAGAATTTTGCCCCACAGACGAGGGTCGCTCACCCCTCCGTGGTCAAATTGACATAAGCTCCGTTCACAGCGAACTGCGGTTCATTCCCTAATTCAATCGACATAATCTTATCCCAACCGAGTCCATCAACGATGGCATGAGCCTGCCACTCAATTTGAGTTCTGTTCTTCTCCGGTAGAGGCATCTGAGGGATGTATTTGGCTCCAAGACTATCGAAGGCTTTTGTCAGGGGCCAGAAATTGGGACCAAAGGTCGTGTTCCCAACGTTTGATTTGGCATCGTATGTTGGGTAAGGCACCACTGGCGCTTCTATGTCAGGATTGTATTTGACAAAATCTCTGTGCGTCATCAGTGATCGACCCAGACTTTAGCTCGTGGTTTACACGGACGCTGATGTCCCCCCCACCCTGATGATTGGGATACCGCCAGTGCGGTCAAAGATATTCTTCATCAAGTTGATCGAGTACTGATTTGGTGACGAGTCATTTGGACTACCTAAGAGACGGGCTCAACTGTTGCACGTTGTCTCTATACCTCTGCCGAGAGACTCACTCTGCGCACAATTGGCCAGCGTCGCAAACTCCAACGCCAGATTAGGAAACGATGGGTCGACAATATGAGAGCCTTCGGGCACCGTACATGGAACTTGGACCTGACATCCCGCCGCGAGTCCAAGTAGTGCGGTGGAGAGCACGATCATGATCATTGCGATGATGTCTGCAGTAAAAGACAGGAGATGAAAGGTTTCGCCCACTCTGCGTCATGTTCGTCGTCCCATCTTGTCCTATGCACCCAGTAGCGGAAGGTCGTCTAATAGACCGGTTGCCCGGTCCCGGGCTAATAAGGTGGGGAGATGTCAAGTGGGGCACAGGAAACATCATTGCATTCATTTGGGATGTGTTTCAGCAGTGCGAGATAGCACAAGAGCAGAAATTTTGAGCAGAAAGACCGATGCTTCGCGAGAACTGAAGAGGATCGTCCTCCAATGTCTTACGACCTTGAGACGGTGACCTTCCGCGCCGCCCGCATGGATCAGAGCACCACATGCAAATTAAAGGAGTGAGAGAAAGTATGTAGTGAAAATACTGTGATGATACCCGAAATGGAGAATCATAGACCCCGCCAAAATAGATCTTGTGCTTGATGCGCAGACGCTCGAAAGCCGATGAAGGGTGGAGGATGGCGCGAATGCTACAGTTTAAGAAAGCTGTATATAGAATTCCTGTAGAAGAGGAACAAGTCTGAGCGGGGCATCGACACTCTTCTCTCCTCGTTCTGACTTACGTAGGCGTCGAATGAGCCGCCAGTGTCTGCATTGTAGTCGCTCAATGAGCCAGCGATCAGTCCAGCAATATAAATGATCCCGCCAGACTCCTCGATTCCAATGGGATAAGCATCTATCGGATCGCTTGCTCCGGAATTGTACCACTGTATGGAGAGTTGACCAGTCGATGTGTTCAGAACCCACTTTGAAGCTACGTCAGTCCAGCTTCCTATGGTAGTCTGAAACTCACGACGAAAGCTTCGGCTGTAGAGTCGCCATTGCAATTCACATTGGTACTGGGTGCTTCCCCAACTGTCCCTGGACTCGCGCATTGCGTAATAGAAGCCACGCTGCGTGGTGTGGTGAGTACTCGTCCCATTGCTTTCCAGTCCAATCTCACTCATAAGTCGAACCGAGGCCGGTACCAGTCAAGCCCGCGCATAAGTATGGCGTCCGCGTAAAGTCTGACCTCAAGATACTTTGGGGCTGACTGGTAGTGATATCGATGGAGAACGTTACTGCCCCGCTCACGTCCTGCCAAAATAGGTATCAGCCGAAGGCAGTGAGTGCATGGGCAATGTTGAGGACGTACCGGAGTAGAGAAGTCATATTGACCGTCGTTCTGTACAGTATCCTCAAGCCAGCCAAAAGCGCCGGCAGGAAGAGTATCTCTCTTCTCCCCTGCCTCTCCAAGATATCGTTTTCTTCGAGTCGGATTAGGTCCGCCCTGGCCGGCTGGATACACAAGGACGGGGGTGTTGATCCTACATTCGATCAGCACACACCGCCTAAGACGCTCAAAGTACTGTAGAGGGCTAGGCGAGGCGCGGTACATAAATGACTTACACTTGACTGGACATCCCAGATCTTCGAGCGGTCCTTCGAGGCGAAGGTTTGAGGATTGGTAGTCCTCGCTGCAAACACTCGGCATTGGTAGTACAACCTCGCTCGGTAGGAGTGAAGGGTTGGTCAATACTGGACAAGCCCTTGTCAGACAAATGGCCACCTCTGACTGAGAATGCCGCGAGTTGTGCCGGAAAGAGCAAGAGGGTCAAGAGAGGCAGTAGTGAGAACCGCATTGTAGAGCACGCGGGATAGAGCCAAGTCTAGGATGACTTCCATCAAAGCACATTGTTGAGACAACTTATATATCTTCGACGGAATTGGGCATCAACAGAACAAGCTGCTCGAATCTGAGGGAGGAATCTAAGTTGCGGCGAGGCGTTAAGGCGTGCCTGTCAGTAGACGATATATCTCGACAGTAGGTTAATCGGAGGCATCTTTTCACTGTCTCTCCCATCCGTTGGTCAGTACATCGACCGGACATTGTCAGTGCCTGATATGCCTCCATATCTGCAGGACAAGCTCAAGGCCGTCCGTTAGGTCACAGTCCACTTGCCAGGATCTCCGTTTCAGGGTTTTGCAAGGCGACTTTTGATCTCCACTGTCACATTTCATGCATGCGGCCCCTGCCTGTGGAAGTTTCAGAAGCGTGTGAGCAGTCCGTTCATGCTCATTGCCGTGCTGCACTTTTCCGTGCCTATCCAGGAGGTGTCTCAAGGCGCGGGCTTATCCATCGCAGATACAGAGTCTTTGGCTTGTGGGGCATTGCCCCCGGCAATGTTGAGTCTGAGCCTTTCCACTTTGTCACTTGGACCCTTCAGAGACCCAAATGCGTTCCGTCAACTGTGCTCCACCTTGCGACATCGTCCGTCATGCTTGCAACATCGGATTTACAAGGGACAATGGTCAGGAACACCAGAAACCAACATCCCTCACCAAAATAAAGCAAACACCTCGATTAGCGGGATGCCCCGCCCTCTCTGCTTTCTCACGGTCGATCGCCGCTTGATCGTCAACCCGGGAAAGACACGACGAACGCCGGCGCGGCTTCCATCCATCGTCATACATATCTGTGCTCCTGAGTGAGAGACGACTATGACGTCGAGCGAGATGTTTCGGGCAGAAGATCCGCCTAGGAGAGGACAGGGAATATGTGCTATCCGAGGCAGCTGCGGCAAGACCTCGATACTTGGCGCAGAATTGCCATGTCCAGATGACGGAGACGCCACCGAGGCATGTTTCCCGTGGATGCGGATGGGCCCTCAAAGCTGACTTTTGGAGTAGGTCGATCACGACTTGGCAGATCTCATGAGATCAGTATGTGGACCTTCCTATTCTGTCCGGACGCATGCTTGCTGTACGCGAGACCAAGTGGAAACACTGGGTGATCGACTGAAACAGGCGGCACCGTTGATCGCCTCCTGCCCTGCATGCCATAACAATTTCCGGTCCTTCTACTGCGATTTCACATGTTCGCCTGACCAATCGACATTCTTATCGGTCTCTACAACTCAGAAAACAACGGACGGCAAGCAGGCTGTCAAATCTGTCGAATTTGCAGTTTCTGACGAGTTCAAACGTGGATTCTACGATTCTTGCAAGAGTGTTCAATTTGGCGCAACCAATGGATTTGCGATGGACCTGATTGGTGGAGGAGCCAAGAATCCGGAAGCGTTCCTCAAATACATGGGGGACCTTAGACCAGGCCTAGGATCCCCCTTCCAGATCAACTTCCCAAGTGGCATCGAAACGGGCTTTTCGCGACGGCCGCTGAACTGCTCGGATCCGGAGATCTTCGCCAAGTGCGCATGTGCAGACTGTCCAACAATTTGCCCGACGCTCCCCTACGTCGCTCCTCCAGGCTCAAAGACATGTCACGTTGGCGCTGTCTCCTGCCTGACATTTTCCCTCCTCATCATTTACTCTGTCGCAATCCTTTGCGGTCTGATATTCTACACTTGGAAGCAAGCCGTTCAACATCGCAGGAGGAGGTACGAACGAGTGGCTTTACTTGATCCACCGCATTCTCCGCCAGTTCAAGGCAATGGAAATGGCTTGGACGGACTCGTCGGTCGAGGTGATGACTCTGAATCGGGACCGAGTGGATCAATACATTTCCGCTTGGGAAGAGGTGCAAGTCTTCTCGATCCGATGGATCAATTGCAACCGAAGCAAAATAAAATAAATGCCGTCCTCAGACGATTTTTCTATCGCTTAGGTTTCTTTTGTGCCAAGAGACCGCTCGAGACGTTCACCATTGCCGCTCTCATTGTCGCGGCGTTGAATATCGGCTGGAAGGACTTTACTGTGGAGACAGATCCTGTGAGATTGTGGGTCGCACCGAATAGCGAATCAGCGAGGGAGAAGCATTTCTTCGATGAGGCGTTTGGACCATTCTATAAAGATGAACAGATCTTTGTCACCATGGTGGACGGCAGCTCTGCAGTAAACCACGACACGATCGAATGGTGGCTTGGCGTAGAGAGAGATATCGCGAACTTGAGGACAAGCGATGGTGTCGGATTGGACGATGTCTGTTTTGCGCCTGCTGGAACCGGTACCCCTTGCGTCATTCAATCCATCTCCGCGTGGACAGGTGATGATCTCGGTCAATGGGGAGATGAGTGGCGGGATAGAATAAAGGGATGTGTCGCTGCTCCTGGAGAATGTCTCCCGCCTTTTGGTCAGCCAATCGAAGCGCCCTTCGTCCTCGGTAGCGGTGAGGATGACTGGATGGATAGCAAGGCCCTCATCGCCACCTATGTTGTCAACAACTATAATGATGATCGTGTCAAACCGGTTGAAGCGTGGGAGAGGGTCCTGAGAGAGCATCTCAGCAAAGTGCATCGAGATGGCGTTCGGATCACCTACTCGACCGGCGTGTCCCTTGAGGAGGAAATCAACAAGAGCACCAATACCGATGTCAAGATTGTGGTTCTGTCCTATCTCGTCATGTTCCTCTATGTCTCGCTCACCCTCGGTGGAGGTCTCCCGCCTTCACTCGTGAACACAATTTGGGCATGGATCTGCTACCTGCCAGTACTTCTACATATCACCAGTTCCGATAACCACGAACCACCGCCGAAATTCTCCTTGTCCGTCCTTCCGATCTTCCTTTCGGTCAATTCGAAATTTTCTCTAGGTCTATTTGGCATCGTTATTGTCCTTGTGGCTGTCTCCTCATCGGTCGGTCTATTCTCTCTACTCGGGGTCAGGGTCACCCTTATCATTGCCGAAGTCATCCCGTTCCTCGTCCTCGCAGTCGGTGTCGACAATGTTTTCATTTTGGTCCATGAGCTTGATCGACAAAACGCCTTGCATTCTCAGCCTGACGCTCCACCGCCCGCCGAGAATGACGACGACTCCATACAAGTCAACACGACCTCTATCCCTGCAGAGGAACGAGTGGCTAGAGCCGTCGCAAAGATGGGTCCCTCCATTGCGCTTAGCTCCATCACTGAGACCGTCGCTTTCGCACTGGGCGCACTGGTACCTATGCCCGCTGTCAGGAATTTTGCAATCTACGCTGCTGGCAGTGTCTTCCTAGGCGCCGTCATGCAAGTGACTGTGTTCATCAGTGCTATGAGCTTGGACCTGAAACGAGCGGAGGCCATGCGGATCGATTGTTTCCCATGCGTCCGTCTCAGACCGCCGGTCGGGCTGTACGATGATCAGCCTGCGGCTGGCGAGCGGAGGGAAGGCGTCGTAGCTAAATTCTTTAGGCGCGTTTACGCCCCTATCCTCCTTCAGCGGGAGATCAAGCAACTTGTCTTGGTCCTCTTTGGAGGTCTGAGTCTTACGGCAGTCATCGGAATCCAACATATCAAGTATGGATTAGACCAACGATTGGCTCTCCCTTCCGAGTCGTACCTTGTCCCGTATTTCAACGACCTGGACAAGCACTTTGGTGTTGGTCCGCCAGTCTACTTTGTGGCTGAGAGCGCCCAAGTGACTGACCGCCATGGCCAACAACAGCTTTGCGGAAAATTCACCACCTGCTTAGAGTTATCGGTCGCGAGTTCACTGGAAGCTGAGCGGAAAAGACCCGATTCCAGCTTTATCGCCAATCCACCTGCATCGTGGATCGACGATTTCTTGCAGTGGACGAACCCAGCATTCACCTCATGCTGTCGTGTTCGACGCCGAGATCCCTCTATATTCTGTAGTCCGAAGGAATCGGATCGTGCTTGTCGGTCTTGCTTCGAGGACCAAGACTGGGACTCGACGATGAATGGATTGCCAGAGGGTACTGATTTCATGCGATATCTACAACAATGGCTCATCTCGCCTACCGATTCGGATTGCCCCCTGGGTGGTCAAGCGGCCTACTCGACGGCGGTAAAGCTCTCTCAGAATGGATCGGCAGTTGCTGCTAGCCATTTCAGAACGTTTCATACTCCAGTGAAGACGCAGGACGATTACATCAACGCTCTGTCAGCTGCTCAACGCATCTCTGCCGATATCACGTCTCGGACGGGGGTCCACGTCTTCCCTTACTCCATCTTTTACGTCTTTTTCGACCAGTACGAACACATTGCGTCCATTGCAGTCCAAGTACTGACCTTGGCATCCATCGCCATATTCGCCATCACCTCCGTCCTTTTGGGGTCTTGGCGGACGGGCGCAGTCGTGACTGCTGTTTGCGCATTGGCAGTGTTGGACGTCATGGGCATCATGGGTTTCTGGCATATCTCTCTCAATGCCATTTCGTTGGTCAATTTGGTCATCAGTCTTGGAATCGCCGTCGAATTCTGCAGTCATGTCGCTCGAGCCTTCATGGGTGCAGGAGGTGGAGTTGCCTGGGAGAAGGAAGGTCGGAGGGAAAAGGATGAACGGGCTTTCACCGCATTGGCCGATGTCGGACCATCGGTGAGGTGCCACGATATTCTGTCTGCCCAGTATGACGCTGACTCCGTTCACAGGTGTTCTCCGGTATCACCCTGACCAAGCTTATTGGGATCTCTGTTCTAGCCTTGACCCGATCCAAACTTTTGGAGATCTATTACTTCCGCATGTGGCTTTCGCTCATCCTCTCTGGTGCCTTGCATGGACTTGTCCTCTTACCTGTCGTCCTGAGTTATGTCGGTGGACCAGGGTACAGTCTTGAAGATACGGATGAAGAATGGGTCACAAGTCAAATGCGTAGACCGATGGATTACGAGTATGCTCCATTTGCAGATACGGATTCGGTCATCTCAGAGGAATGAACGGACAACATCACATGTATCGACCACAGATTCTTGATGTATGCATCACATTGGCATATCGTAGCTAAGAGCATCCCTGCTTAAGCCTCGTAGACCCACGAGGAGGAAGCGAGCTTGTACTGGTTGATGCCCTCCCTGAGTGCAGTGTTAGTATTGGCCTCAACATACGCATAGAGCCACACTCGGACTCACTTTCCGAACCAGAGCTCAATCTCAGCCTTGGCGGTCTCGACGGCGTCGGATCCGTGGCAGACGTTCTAGATCAAGTCAGCGCTGGCATTTGAGCAAAGCAACTCACCATTCCGACCTGGAGAGCGTAGTCTCCTCGGATGGTTCCTGAAAGACAAGGTTAGATTCCGCCCGAATCAAATCCATCCAATCAGTCGACTCACCAGGGTTGGAGGCCAAAGGGTTGGTAGCTCCGAGCATGGCACGTCCAGTCTTGACGGCGTCAAGGCCTTCCCAGACCATGCAAACGACGGGGCCGGACATCACTAGCAAAGCGTAAGCTCGACAGTAGAGGCAGGAGAAGAGGACTCACTGTATTCGATGAGTCGGGGGAAGAAGGGCTTGGAGGAGAGGTCTGAGAAGAAGTCAGATATCGCACAAATCATTGCCGAGAACTGACCCTTGTAGTGCTCCTCGAGGTGCTCCTTCGAGGGAGTAGCCAACTTCAAGGCGACGAGCTGAGATCAAGGTCAGATCCGCTTCATGGCGACAAGGTGCTCGATGCAGCCCTCACCTTGAAGCCTCGCTTCTCAAATCGGGCAATGATCTCTCCGACGAGTCTGTTTAACCATTAGCCAGAGTCATCGCGAGGCGAAAACTAGCCAACTCACCCTCGCTGGACGCCGTCAGGCCTGAGGCACGTGCGAGATTAAGGAGGACGTAGGTTAAAGCGAAGAGGGCGAAGAAGCGGACGCAAGGGAGAAGATGGAGGCGAGAGGAGCGGAGGTTGGATGAAGGTGAAGGATCGAAGTCGAGGAAAGGATTGCAGCAAAAGAGGACAGATCAGGGTTAGCATAGGTATTCACAAATCAACATTGGAAAGCCAAAAAAAAAGGAGCAAAGGCTCGATGTCCTTCATTCCGGCCACGAAACGCTACTCACTTGATCATGATGTAGGTCTGCTCGGTAGTAGACATTTTGGCTAGATTTTTGAAGCTGGATAAGCTTGAAAGTAGGTTGTAGTAACTGTGAGAGGTAGGTAGAAGATGGAATGAACCTTTTGCTTTTGGGGACGGAGAGAGAGAAAAAAAAGGAATTTTGGATGGTGTGGCACTTTCTCACGGTAGAGCCCTCCACCGGGTCTTGGGGTTAAGCGTTGTGACCCATACTTTGCCCTGATAGCTTCCAAATCGACGTCGAGCGATTGGCCTGATCTCCTGCAAAATCACACGCGCTGTAGCCCGTACGTGGAACTCAATCACGGAGATCTCCACATTTCACTAGTACTCCCTTACATACGGCCATTCTGTGAGAAGCGGTCCATACCCTCTTCGTTAAGCGTCAGCGACTGACCTCGCACGAGCAGATACCAAACAGCATGAGCTGTCGTCATGCGACCGTCCACTATCTCGAGAAACTTGGATTCAAAGCCTCCCTCCCACACTCACTTGCCCATGAATGACCTGCCAGAGCCATGAGCCATACTTGCCTGCCAGCAGCGCATCCCGTTCCCGCCGCGGCCGATTTCATTCCGCCACACATCCCGCTGATGTCACTTTCTCACGGTCTCACCTCAGCTTCGGCAAACCCTTTCTTGCCGATTTATTAATGTCGATCGAGTGGCGGCGGCTACTTGGGGGATTAGGTGGTCGATTGTTCTTGTGATCTGCATTTGTATACATCTTTCTCCGTACACCATGATATAGTAAGTTGGTCGTTATGATCAAGCGGGTGTCCAGTCGGCTTACTCTCCCTCTCAGCAGTGCTTTGGTCTTCATTCTCGTCCTAGTAGTCATCATCATAGCGACCATAGGTGAGTCACTCGTACCTACCTCCACCTACCGCGGCCCCATCGCATGCTGATCCTTGCCCTCTTTTTCCCACCAAGTTCGCAAGACACTTCTCGCTAGGAGACATCGTCAAGCATTCAGAGCAGGACGAAACCCTGAACCCACACCTGGCTTTTCGGAAGTCGCAAGGGACGTCTCACGTGCATGGCTCGGTGGTCCGCGATCAGTACCTGGTCCTTCGTACAGATACGATCCGCGTCGATCGGGTGACAGTCACTATCCAACCCATCCGGCTGAACGTGCTGGTCCACCCGTCATGAGACAGAGAGATCCCGAAATGGGAGATCCGGACCTCCCTTCGTACTGTGAGGCCAAACGTTATACCCGGCTTTAGGGCGATAAATGCTTATTATAATCTGAATCCAGATGACAACTCCACCTTTCCTCATCCTCCTCCAGCTGTCTATTCGTCACCTATCCAAGCGCGCAGAGATGGAAGAAGCACAACGTCGTTCGCTCCCCCAGTTCACGATGGAGCTGAACCGCCAAAGTACGATCTTGCAATGAGAGAGTAATCAAGTATATCAGCTCCCGGTCATCAATGTAATCAGCAATCGAACCGATTCATCAATCAAATAGACTTGTACCGGGGATCAATTGTATAAGAGTCATACATGAGTCTATGTCAATCCTACGACAATGTAAAGCCACGCATAGAGATCGCTCGGAACGGGACGTGATCACAAGACATAAAACCTGCATCACATTCGTAACTAGTCGTGGCATCAAAACATACGTAGGCGCTCGTTTCCCACGGGCACGCGAGCTCATTTACTGGCGACCAGCGCCAGTAGATCATCCACTTCTTTATCAAATCTGTCCATACGGTCTGCCAATCCCGTCAAACAACCTTTGACCTCGGGATGCACACCCTCCCAGTTGATCTCTTTGCCGTAGAATTTATCTCTCACTTCATCCTCTTTCGCAGGAGGCTGCGTCGGCTTCTTCCTGGACCAATCCCTTGATCTGACATCGATGATAGCCATGAGATTCTTGAGCCCGAAATCGTCCTTGATAGAGACTGGCACGCGAGGTCCCGAGCTAGCCGAAGATAATGAACGGGGGAACACGGCAATGGTGCTGAATGGAGGGGTGGGATGCGTAGATGAAGTGGCCGTCTGAGGTGTTGAAGATCGAGTTCCATCCGTACGAGAAATATCCGGTGGGTGACGTAAATCCTCAGACGAATGGCTGTATAGCCTCTGCGTTTGGTATGACTGTTGAGAATACTGCCGATGCTCGTCATACAGCTGTGACTGGTCACTCTCCGACATGGGCTCAAGAGATGGTTCCCGAGATACGCGTTCTCGCATAGATTCCGCTGCAGCCGAAGGTGTCCCACCAGTCTCCGTCGACAAATCCGACATGATAGAAGCGATAGAAGGTTGTTGACGTTGATGATGTCGAGAAATGATCCGGTTGACTGAAGCAGCTGTATCTTGATAATTGGCTTGACGGGATCCATTTCGCGAATCACTTCGATCCACATGAGATGCTTGAGAAGGATACGAGGCGGAAGAAGGCTGATGATGGGAAGGTCGAGGGGTCATATCGAGATTGGGATCCTCGTTCCACCCGGACCCAGCTTGAGGCTGGGGTGTTGTCGATCGGCTGGATGTCCCTTGCGGCGTCACCCTTCCACTACTGGAGGCGCCACGACCCACAGAGGCAGCCCTATCCTTGCTCTCCCAAGTAGGTGTAGCCCACATCTTGACTTTCGAGATGACTCGAGAAAACTTTTCCTCCAACTTGCCATCCTGACCTTGCGACCGTGCAAGAACATCTCGAAGAATGTCCTCTGATTGTCGAGGAGTGATATCATTGCCCGGTTGCTCCAAAGGCGTACTAGGTGCAGTCACGTAGTTCGACGCGCTCGAGTCCCCATGTCGAACAAGGGCAGGCGGCTGGGTCATCGTAGGACTGGTCGTTTCAGAACCGCCCCATTCTTCCGCAATGAGCTCTGAGATATCGTACGTTTCTCCATTATCATCGATGAAAGAGTATCGGACGACCTCCCCGCCATTCGGTTCGAGCAGTCTTGAAGATCTGAAAGTGCCCTTATCAGGAATGACGACGTCCACGCCTTGATTGGTATTTGAATGTGCGGAGATAAGAGCTCGTTGATTGGCCCGAGAAGCTGCCCTCTGGGCCGCGATGATCTCCTGTGGTGACAGACCAGGTGCTTTCTGCTTCTCCAAGCGAGTATCGTCAGCCATGAGCGGAGTGCGAGGATCCGCGATGGCGTCACTATTGCTTTGAGCTTGATTTGGCGTGCCTCTGGGTCCAACACGTCGAAGGATGAAGACCGGATCAGTGGCGAGAATATCTGATGGTTGCCCGAGGTTCAAGGTCATATCGCGGGATCGTCGACGCTGTTCAGGTGTCGTACGTTCCGCAGGGCGCAATTGCGGAGGAGTCGTGTACGCGTCCAACACCTTGCTCGAAAGCATCAAATGACGTTCTGGGAGATTCATGAGCTCAGGAGAAGCACGATACCGAATAGCTGCACTCACCCTCTCCGTCCTTGACCGAAGTCAAGATGTATTTGACCCTCGCACCATTCCTCCCTCTCGATTTGTCCTCCACATCATCACCTCCATCCACCACGCCTTCTGGAATACCAAACCTCTCCAGACCTTGCTCGATGACCTCTGCGACAGTCACATTCCTCGGAAGGATGAAGAGCTTCTTCCGCAATTCCAATGGCATTGTCGGGTTGGCTTGACGCTCCCGAGCGAGGTTCTTCGGGATGATGGCGTCGCTGATCGGGTCAAAGGCCAGCATGTCAGGTAAATCGCCGCGATTGATCAAGAGTTGAATCGTGAATTTAGCGGATGGAGAACTGAATCTCTCGGGAGATGCTTGACCGTGCGTATTGATGGACAGAGATGGGTTATATCGCTGACTCGGAGCCTGTGGAGTGGGCGGAGTAGCCGTCAGATCAGAAGCGGCGCTCGGTGTTCCAGGTGCACTTGACCAGTTGGCGATTCTGGAGTCAGGAGATGATTCTTGAACAGTCGATAGATGAGTCGAGTAGCTTGAGAATTCACTGGATGGTTCAGGGAACCCTCGCTGACTTCCTGGTCGTCTTCGATTCAGATAAATTTTCACCGTGGAATCGTCCTGGAAATCGTTCATCCCAAGTTTTGCAATTGCGGGGTGATTTGACAGCGAGACTACTGAAGAGATGGAGCTGATGGAAGATCGTTTGATGGTCGGCGTGATGGCCCCAAGTCTCTTAGTCGGATCTGGATCGTCTGCTGACCATCGCTGAACGGCCTCTTGGAAAGCTTCGAGGGGTTTCTCATTTGGCTCCAACTCCATTTCCTCGCCGTTGAATTCTTTGATAGTCAAGAAATAGTTGTCGCAGACCGAAGGATTGGCAGCATGAGGCACACGGAATCTCTGCATGAGCTGTCGAATCAAGTCCGTAGAAGACGTCGTCTCGTTCAACAGGACAGTCTTGAAACTCGCCTCGGATTTGACGTGCTCACCCGCGAACACTCGAATGACATTGAGCATAGGCGGCCCATCGGGATTAGGAGAAATGATGACACTACTTGGTCGAGGTCTGCTCGGAGCGTTAATGGTAGCCGCGAGACGCATCGAAGATTGAGTGACGGCATTGGGATCAGGCTGGCCATTATGAGCCAGAACATCCCCAGAAGGAGACTTGTTGAGGTATTTGCTGGTGTAAGCTTGCTGTAGGGCTTGATCGCGTTCAGCCAATCTTGACCCATGGACTAAATTAGGTCCAGCAGTTGGAGCTCCTCGAACACCAGGCGTAGGCGCCCTATTGCCGACATTGCCTGGTGACTCATCCGATATCATACTTCCAGGAGAAACATCCATCGCACCGCTGACGGTGCTATCTTCAGAATTTCTCGGCTCGCCAGTTGAAGCGGCCTTCTTGTCCTTCTTGTTTCGCGAAAACAGTCCTCCAAGCATACCCTTTGACCTCCGCTTCTCTCCTGTTCCAGATTCCTCTTTCAGGTCCTCCTTACTGCTCTTTCGTTGCTTCTTCGTTTTCTTGCCATTGTCATCCTGCAAACTAGAGAGACTGCCCTGCGATCCCGTAGACACCATGGAAGTGACCGAAGCGATGGATTGGCCACTTGCGTTTCGTGCGCCTTGGGCATTTTGATTGTGTATAGCGCTAGGGAGAAGAGGGCCATTGCCATTTGCGACGGCTGGTGTGGCTGTGATACGCCGTGTCCCATTGGCAGCGGCAGGATCGAGTATAGCGCTACCTGGCGACGAGTTGATACTGGACGTCGAAGGGGATTGTATGCCCCCATAACCTCCAGCGTTGCCTTCGCGCTGTAATCGATCCTGGTTCGGCTGGGCCTGAGCATACGCATTCCTTGAACCTGGCTGAGGGTTTCCCTGCTGCTGCAGGAGGTGTTGTTGTTGCTGTTGTTGCTGTTGTTGCTGTTGTTGCTGTTGTTGCTGCTGCTGCTGCTGCCTGTTCTCGACGACCCTCCTTTGTCCGTTTTGACCGGCTTGGTCTGCCCAAGCAACACCATCATCCGGCTCCATATCCAGCATACTCGAGTTTGCAGCATTCCCAAGAGCCTCTTCTACTCCAGCGTCGTCTCCGTCCTCGTGATGGTCATCATCATATTCTCCGTCCAGGTCCGCCCGATCCACCTGCTCAACATCTTCATCCTCGTCTCCTTCCTCATAGCTTCCATCGCTCTCTTCATCGCTGCTCCAAGTCACTCCAGGATGATCAACGAATGTAGGCTGGCCGAATTGAACTCCCTTCTTTGCAACTGGCCCATTGCCTGATTTCTCCGCCCTCAGGCCTCTGGCCCGTCCGGCGATAGCCCCCTTGAGTCGTTCTCTTCCTTGAACTTCTCCAGCCTGCTTCTCTTGGATGGTAGCCGCTGCCAGATCGACATTGCGATGTTTGTTCAATCTGGCCAGTCGCTCATACGGCGTCTCAATGTTCTCTGCTGGGATGTAGCCCACATCTTCCGTCTTGAGAACGCGCACAAGCCACCAGTAGGAATTTGCATCGTCCAGTAAGAGTAGCGAATCCCCTTTGACGACAGATGCTTGACCTTCCACGGTTGCCAGGAATGTGTGCCTGGGATACAACGATCAGTACGTGGTACTTGCACAAAGTTGCTCAACTCACAACGCGTAGGTCAAGCTAAAATCTATATTCTCATCTGGGATACTCGCGGTTGAGCTCTCATCATCACTGTACATTTCGTCATCGTCCATGCCTTCATTACTCCCATTTTGACCAGCTCCTCGTCCTTGAATCATATTGACTTGATCACTCGATCCATGAACAGAAGTATGTTGCTGATAGTAGACTGCCTGTTGATGTTGTTGTTCATAGAACCGTTGTTGATCAGGGTCCAATTCGGCTTCGAGGTCGGGATCAGATTCTGAATCTGATACGTCTTCCATGATGCTGTGTGAGGGGTAAGAATGATACACTTGAGGTTCAGGAGCGAGAACAGCGGCCATCCTGAACGCGGACGAAGTAAACAGAGAGGCAGAAGTCGTGTAGTCCACAACTCGGCCTCAATTATCCCCTGTCCCCTTTTGATGGATGCAAAGAGGAGGGATTGAAGGGACACCTGAATGCACGCGCGCGCGTGTCCAGGGAGAAGGAGGTCAGACCGCCTTCCTTTGGAAAGTAGAGAGAAAAGCCGTCCGTCCAGCGTCGACTGGTCTATAGTCGTTGTTGTTGTATTAATCGTCCCTCTTCTCGTCGTTGAGCCATAGACGTCGTCCACATCAAGTGATCAGCTGCAATGAAACAAATTTTGTGTCAACACGTCCCACCCCCCGACTTGAGAGAAGAGTGCGGCTTTTTGGGAAGCGGTCAAAGCGCGCGTGAACCCACGTGATTCAGTCGAGTCAGGCCACGTGATTTATCCGCCTCATGTACATTCCGCAAAGCTTTCTGCTTCGGCTCCGAAGGGAATCTGATCTGGAATGGACTCGAATTCAGCAACAATGAGATGAACGCAATCTCCGACATCTGTCTGCAGCCTTTCGTCAAGTCGAGATGAGACACTGCACGCCCTCCGATCCCAATATCACATCAATCCTCCTGTCATGCCGTTCAAGCTGCTGCCACTAACCGAAGAAGACGCTCCAGAATGTGTCTCCGTCTACTTTGCAGCATTTCAGAACCCGCACTCGCTCGCATGTTGGCCTCGTGTCCCCGCTATCAGGTCATTTTGGGAAAAAATGATCTTAGACGAATTACATGAACCTCGTGCTCATTGGGCGAAAGCTGTTGACGAGGAGACTGGGCGGCTGGCAGGATTCATGAAGTGGCAGGCACCAAAAGAAGGCGTAGAGCCAGACACGAGATTACCAGAGTGGCCAGCAGAGGCTGATGGGAGGTTATGTGATGAGACATTTGGCGCTTGGGCCAGACAACATCGAGATCTGATGGGGAGTCGAGGTCATTGGTGTGAGTCTTTATAGCGTCACGACGTGCATTTTCGAAACCGAGCACGACTGAAAAGTTCCCAGACCTCGAGCTCATCGCTGTGCACCCAGACTATCAGGGTCGAGGTGCTGGGTCGCTCATGATGCGTTATGGGACAGAAAGAGCGGATTCGGATCATACCGAAGCGTTTCTCGAAGCCTCTCCAGATGCTGTGGCACTTTATGAAAAGTTTGGATTCAGGGAAGCCAGCAGACTCGACACATTCATCGAGAACGAGAGGGTTGAGGGAGTGTGGTACAGGAATCTGTTCATGATCAGGCCGATACGATCCACATCAGACAAATCATAGATCGATGCATTCCCAAATGACGCTGGACGCTGTAAATATGAAGCGAAGGACCACGGTACATTTTACGTAATCTTGTCTGTGCTCAGGTTGATTCAGTAGTGACGTACTTTGCCTTGATTTCCTTTTCGCCTCATTTCTAGATCTGGACCGGGAATTGATCACCTTTTGACCTGGTTATCTTCCTCGGACCCTTACTGTCAACTGATTCCATCCAACCGCCGCACCGGTCGATCTGTTCTCACCATCATGGCTGCCTCATCGCGAGCATCCTCACCACCAGCCTCGCCCCGCCAAGAGCCGACAGAAGTCACCTCCCTCCTCTCCCATAATGCCGATGGTCATACACCGACATCCGGAGTCAAAGCTTCGCCTCGTGGATCTAAGCATGATAGGACCGTGTCCGTCAGTCAACGAAGCATCGCTGGAAGTCAGAGAGGAGTCTATGGGACCATACATCGACCAGGTCCTACCGAGCAAGCGCCCAGAGTCAGTAAAGCTGGTCAAAGGGTAAGCACGCGTTTCTCATCATCTTTGTTTTTTGCCTCGGAGCAAAGGACGACGGATCACCAGGACATACGCTAACCCGGCGCACAGAGAATCCTGACCACTTTCCCCCTCCGTCTCACCTTCTTTGCTCTCGTTCTGCTTACTTTTCTATCGCTGGTCTTGTCTCTGGTTTTGTTCCTGAATACGAGTTTGGACTTTAGTGGTGTTCTCCTGCCTTATAGGTGTGTATCCGGGAGCTACTATTGAAAGGGCACTCATGTAATCATCAGAGGAAGTGGTTTCGCCGATTTCTGGTACTCGGCCCTGGGCTCATGGATCGGTCTCGGCTCTGTGATCTTTGTGAGGCTCTCCAATACCGAGCGAGCATCATGCGTGCTGACGGTGTATCCAGTTTTCCCACCCGCCATACCTGTTTTTCCTGACCAGTCTCATCACTGTCATCCTGCACATCCCGCTGGTCCTCCTCATCCTTCTGAACCCATGTCTCAACCGAGCTCATTCGCCTTTATTCCTCATCCCCTTCATCCTCACCGCGGTCACCCTCCTCTTCTCCCTCTTGAGCAGCTACCTTGTGCGCAGAGCCAAATGGAAAGAGTCTCAGCGAATCACGCGGATGCTTACTGAGGCTGCGGTCAGGGAGAGAGAAGGTGAAGAGTCTGCCGCGAGGGTGGCTATGGGTTTGGAGAAGGGAGTCTGGGGCCGTTTCGTCGGATTCCTCCGCGGTGTCATTGGACTTCTTGCGGGGCTAGCTGGTCTCGTGTTGGTGGTGGTAAGTCCTCCTCACAGAAATTGTCCAGGATGTGCTGAACGGTATCAGCTCCTCGTCATCGACTCGAGCATCCGAGCCTACGATTGTTCGGTCCCTCGCCCATCCGAGGCATCTGTGTTGGTGCGAGTCCACCCTCCCAAGACGCCTTGGTCCTTCCAGGTCCATTTGGCGTGTGTCGATCCGATCAATTCGACAGCTTCGTCCTTTTTGGTCCAAAGCAAGGGCAAGAAGGAATCCAAACTTCCCACGGTGCTCTACGAATCACCTTCGGGGGTGCCTGGCTCCCTAGCTCTCTTGAATCACCCTCTCCCACCTTCTGACTTGGATGCAGAGAACCCTGGTAAATGGATCTTCGACTTGCAAAGCCAGGGACATGTCGGCAGAGTCTGTGTATGGGACCGCCCAGGGTATGGCTTCAGCGATGTGCTCAGTGGCGCGGATTTGGGCAACGTCGCGGATACCCTGTACAGTGCCTTGGACCTGTCAGACAATATTGGCAAGAACGGTCAGTTTGTGCTTGTCGGGGAAGGTTACGGAAGGTAAGTTATGTCAGATCATGCCGAGACCATGCTAATCAAAGTTTCACAGTCTCGTTTCTCGAGTCTTTGCGGCTCGACACCCTGATCTTGTTCATTCATTCCTGCATATCGAAGCCGCAACTGCCACGACCTATTTCTCCGAATCTCCAAACGGTCGTTCAGTTCTCAGTCTGACCGCCCATCGGGTTGCCACACGTCTTCTGCCGTCTCTTTTGACGCCCCTGTCAATATTCCGGTTCCCCTCCATTCTGCTCCGACGATCGACCTCGCTCTCTCGGGTGTTGGCTTCCACTTACCCTGAGCCCAACACTGCATATCTCTCAGAATCCCTGCAAAAGGCTCGTCTGCAGGAAACATTCGCATCTCACACCCATACATCCTCATCCTTCATCGCGTTGCTCGAAGCTGGAGACTCGTACCCATCGAAGCGACCAGCCATTGTTATCAGCTCTGAAGACAGAATCAAGGCCGATAGCAATTGGGCTGAAGGACAACGAAGTCTCGCAGAGGATGTCACGGATGTATCTGCTTTGGTATCCTGGGAAAAGGTGAAAGGTGTCGGTCATCGGGTTTGTGAGGGACAGGGGCGCAAGACGTGCGAGAAGGCACTCAGGAAGCTCTTGGCGTAATTACAGCTGTGTTGGTATGCAATTGAACATTATCAGGTTCAACAGTGTTCTCTGGGCGGCTCTTCAATATTCATCTGCACTGCTTGCGTCATTATTGAATACGTATGTTGCCGTTGGATTTCTGCCATGTGGCGTGACCCGAACTGCAAGTTGTAAACGGTATTCTACAAATTGTAAAAGGTACCACTTTTGTTGGGTCCCGGTGCAGGACCAGCGGCTACACCGTGTAGAAAGGGATCTTAGGTTATACCATGACTATGATGCGGGAAGGCGGAGCAAAGAATCTTCGACAGGGGATGATAGTCTGACAGAGGTATATACGTATCGAGAAGGAGAGGGAAGGGGGGCCCTTTCTCCCCCATGTACAACATTTATATTCTATATCCCCAGGCTTCTCATCGCATTTGACACCGATATCTTCTGAATTTGAGTCAGAATGTCCACCAGATCCTGGCAGGATGATTCCCTGTCGAAAACCCTCGTTCAAGAACCCGCTGATGCGTGGAATGCCGTCTGGCTCAGTACGAATACCATTTGGAATAAGAGTGATGATCTCGGAGACTCTATCCCGCACCAGACATACCTCTCACAGAGAAGGTCTCGACGTCGAGAAAGACTTGTTGTCGATCCATATTCTGGCAAGTCTCCCAATTCGGCGGACAATGATCCGGCATCATGGCAAAGCTTCTACCAGGACTTGGAACCGCATGATGTAGATAACTTTGGCCGAGCGACAAATAACGATGTGACTGTGCGTCACGAGATATCCACAGGTAAGCAGGCAGTATTCAAATTTGAGTGGACGCTCATGTTATGCGCTTGTACAGGCGCAACATATGTGAGTCCTTGATGAGGTTTCCGGGAAAATTGTACAGAGTGCTTTGTGCTGAGGGCCGGATTTCAGGTTCTTTTTCGCCTCTTCGTGCTCCAGGCGTCGTCAGAGCCTGGAAAATATTCCTGGAGCCCCTTGTTGCAGAGCATAGTTCCAGGGACAGATATCACGTTGTCTGCAGGGTCATGGACGGCAGGCATCAATCACCATACTGGACCCGATGCTGCAAGATCTCACGGTGATCCATTAAAGTTGGTCATAACAAAGACGAAAAAGAAAAAGGGAACGCCCACCCAGTCCACCGCAATATTGTAAGCATGTTCGTCTTTCAAACAGGCCGTCAGGCTGAGATGCTGTCAGTATGTTGCAGGCGACTGATCTCAATAACTCTCTGGGACAAGTGGGCTTAGCCTATTCCTCCATGTTCGGCATCATGCGAAGATCGTACATGGCCAAAGTCAGGCAACAAGATGGCAGTACAAGCAGTCAGGTGAGCCACAAGTGGCCATAATGATTAAAAGTCTCATCACTCTTCGCTTCCAGCTGGATGGATGGTGGAACCCTGATCTTTGGAGCGGCAGCGAAGTTTCAAGCACTGTACGTTGGGAAAACACTCGTCAAATGTTCATAGCTGACCCCCATGTTCCAGCTCAATTTTGAGGCCCTAATCCCTTTGGAAAGCGTGAGTGCCGACATCACGTTTTGAATTACTCATCCGTGTTAGGGTGGCACTGTGGTGGAAGAGAGAAGACCTTCAGGCTATCTGGATGCGGCTATCTTGCTACCAGTGACATCCGACAGCTCGCCATTCTCGAGCTTAGCTTCATCTAGCGATCAGATCCCGCCATCTAAAAGGGCGAGACACCACGAAGATCTATTCGCGAGTCAGATCGCAAGAGACCTCGGCAACAGTCATCGGCAGCTTGGCTTCAAGGATGCACCGAGTCAGATGAATGCTCTCTTACCATACTACGCTTCGGCTCGTGAGAAGATGATGCTGGCGTCGCGTTTCACTGGGAACTGGACAAAAATCCTCCATCTACTGGTTTGTCGTGCCGCTGCCAGGATGGAATTGGACCTTCAACAAGTTCAAAAGGGGCTCGGGAAGAGTCTTTATGCGCCTACTGATCTCTCTTCGGGGTCAATCTGGCCAACCAGTACTATGACGGGGCTGTATGGTGATCAATCCATCGAGAGGAATGTAGAGCTTCAAGACAACATTGCCATCCTTGCCTCCTGGGTACGAACTCAAGGAATCCTCTCGCGGCTACACTCTGTTGAATACCAGTCAATAGTGAACGAAGTATACGCTAGCACTTTGTTTCCCTACTTTGACAGCCTCGCTCACTCTGCGCCGAGCCATGAACAAGTGGTGAGATTCTGGACATTCTTGGATCTGTCCTATCTGCAACATTGGTTCGACTCGCTCCGCATCAACGACACAGGGGCTCTTTACAGCACGACATTGATACTCCAGCAGCTGGAACCGATACTATGTGAGCTCACAGCAAGTAGACAGTCCGTCCCTAGTCTCAATAGTGAGTAATGTGACCACGCATCTTTCCAAATACTGAGAAACTCGATAAGCTACCCTGTCACCAGAGGCTACATTTTGGTTAGAGGCCCTACCGACCTAAAATATGTGGGATAAAGCATCAAGCCAAGGCATGCCGTTCGAGCAGCAGAGTTATTCCGTCAATGTTCTCTTCAAGCACAATATAACTCTCAGCAATGGGATCCTGCCTGAAGAGTGCCAACCCCTCGATTCGTAGGAAATGGGAAACCAGAGGAAAGAATTGGGTGGGCGGAACGAAACGTAGGCCTGGTTCGAGTCAAAGCTGCACCATAGAAGAGTCATGTGCATACATACATATACCTTTCCGGAGACACTAATAGCCCAAGAGCCCAAGCAGAAAAGGTGAGAGATTCGTGCGCATTATGTGCCGGAACTCAGCTAGGAATGCCTTGCTTCTTCTGGCGGGAACGGTGAACCTTGATCATGACTAGCCAAACGGTCCCGCTGGCCAACCATATCAGACCGGCCGCCAGTAGACCGATTCCTCCAGGATATGCGCCACCATTGACGACCATCATGGCAATAGCAGCGATGACACATATACCACCTAAGACAATCCATGTGATCGAAGTTCCAAACGAGATAGGAGAGACCAAACGGCTAGATTTCAAAACAGTCGTGTTTGGTAGTGGGAGGACCCCGTGATTGTGAGGTACCGCATTGATCGAGGCAGGAGCGGCGTTCGCGTTGTATGGTACTTGATTTACGTAGGCTTGGCCATTCCACGCTGGTGAATTGGCGGCGAAGGGCGGAGGAGCCTGATTGAATTGTTCTTTACTCTCTTGAGCGAAAGCAGGGTGATATGGTTGATACGTGGTGTACATGCCCTGATTGAACTGCTCCTTGTTCTCTTGGGCATGAGCTGGATGGTAGGGCTGGTAGTTGGTGTTCATGATGATGGAGACTCGAAACGTAGGTGATTAGGATCTACGTACAGTATTCACGTTTCTAGGACCGAGGAAGGAAGTTCCAACAGGCTCGTGTGGATCAGTGATCAAGTCAGCCCGGGAAGCAGGATCATTTATACGTCTCATACATATCTTATCTCAGTCACGGGTCGTCTCATGCCAGATGCAGAACGGTTCTGCGCCGGTCAGGGCCTCAAGGGCGGAATGTGATCACGATTATGCTTCTGCACCATCTTTGCGCCACATCGAATCATTTTTAAGTACCGTAGCGTTGATGCACGCCACCGTTAACTAAGACGGAAATGCATTACCTTTCGCTTGGCATTCGTCAGGAATAGATACCCCTCGTGCGAGACCATGGAAACTCCTTTGCTTAGCAAATGCGGGAAGCTGAGTGGCACGCCCTCCGAGTGCGATGTCAGGCACAAGAATAAGCGGGGTATCTTCAGCTTCAAGACTGGTGCCGTGGCAGTCATGCAGTACACTAGTGAGACATAGAATCGAAGAAAAGGCTGACTCGGATCAGATCAGGGACCAGGCCATCATGATGTAGAGGACTATGACCCTGATGCATGCAGAAAAACCTCAAAATCCAGCAGACGGTCAATCTGACCTGATACAAGATACAAGACTATCATTGCTGCCACGAGACTGTGCCACCTCCGGATTCCTACATAGTACGGCTTTGAGCGACAATTTCGGAAGCCATTCACAAAGCACTCACCACGTTGTCTACTGACACTCGAGTTCGAAGATCTGCTCTCCCCAGCGATAGCCACACAATGATATCGTCTGAAGTCCTTAGTCAGGGGATCCTCTCCCAATTTTGAGTACTCACACGATCGGAATCGGTCTCCATTAGCTGCAATGATTGGTTTACCGGCAACGTGGGGAGGTATGAACACGTCAACCCGACATAGTTGGGTGGATCCTGTGCTTGTCTCAGCTTCCAATCAGATTTTCCTTTACGATGCTCACCGATCTCATCTGTAAAAGTCGGTTTGGCAAACCGGTCACTTTGGAAAAATACGAGATAACCTTTACGGACAGCAGAGGCGTTATCGGCCAAGTGCATGGTGAATGGTGCGCTGCGCCACTCATCGTCTTCTATGCTCTCCCCCTATTTGGGAATCAGCTCACTTTCTATCTAGCAATTTACAGGTGAGAGCATCGGGGAGAAGACTCGGTTCAAGATCTTCTGGCCGCGTTTGCCGACTCCCGTGTGGGCCAATGCTCCGTCCAAATTCTGGTCTGAGCTCTTATAGTCTCTAAATGTCTGTACACCATACCAAGAGGAACCTACACCGATTCTCAGTACAGCATGGCAGGTCCAGCAGGACTCTTACAGGTTCGACTTTTGACGCTTCTGAAGATTCCGTAGCGAGTCGCTCCCAAACAGACCGCTTTGGATCCACTGGCGAACACAAAACTGGATCAACACCCTCACTATGCCTCATTGATCAAAAGCACTCACGCGCTCTTATCTCCGGGTTGAAGAACTTGAATCCCGGGGAATTCGCTTGCAACTAGATGAAAACCCTGTTCAACGAAATGCTCTGTCCCTTCGTGAAACTGCCGCTTACGCCTATCCCGTAGATAGTCATTGCTGCCAAAGCCCCCGGAGCAGAAGATGACCTTGCTCTGGCCCAAGTGACTTGTTACCTGGCCTCGAACGGCGGATACGATCTTGTCAACTTGTGGCTTGAAGCACTGCTCAATCTCGTGCCTGAGGCCGACGTTGAGCAGGAACATTTGTAACAGTCGAGCAGGCTTACCAATGTAGCTCGATACATCCTTGGTCATATTCATCTTCGTCGCTGAGGGTCAAAAAGGTGGAACTGTGTCCGCGACTGCCGAATTGAATTTTGATAGATGAGGCAAACTCTTTGACTCCTCTTGCTACATGCCGCTCTTGATAGATGGCGGGATATTCTCTGCAGAGCTTGTCTCGCAAAAAGAGCTCAAAGCTGGCGTCGACGAAAGTGCCACCTTCGTACAGACCTTAAGAGCAAAGGCAAGCCCATCAGGTGATTGGCTATCAAGAATAAAAAGTGACTGATGCTCACAACGGGTACTGTGAATGTCGATCTCTTTGAGGGTAAGGTACGGGTTTGGAGTCAAAACTTGATAGGATGTCAGGTCCTGAAAGAATGACCTGTTGGCGATTGCAAAGTTGATTGAAGCTGCCACTCACCACCGTTCCACCACCGGCATCGACGACCGTAAATATGTCGTTTGAGGTCAAGACAAGCTGCTTCGCGGCATTAAACTGGTGGGCAAAGGATCGGAAGGTGAGCAAAAGGGGATACGCAGAGGGGGCACACAGTGGACGCGAGGAAAGTACCCACGCATTCTAGAGCGCTCGCCTCGGGCTCGGCGCAAAAGTCCAGTGCCGTCGAATCCTCCGTTGTTATGAGACCAGCTCGCAGAGCGCATCTTCGGAGTTCTCCAACGATAGATGGTTCTGTGAGAGTCAGTGGATGCTAAAGTGTTTGGTTCTGAAAGAATCACTCTGCCAAGCGGCTGGAATCGTAAGGATGTATTGAACTCGGCCTTCAGCGCTCAACCTGTCGAAAAGGTCGGCGCCACGCCTACTCTTCAGTCTTGCAATGGCTGCCGAGTGGAGCCTGGTCATGTAGTCTGTGTAGACTTGATACACTGACACGCGCGGAGGCAATTGGTACTCTGGCCCGTTACGCAGTGTCGGACCAGATGCCGGATCAACATGAACTGTTTATTTCAGTAAGTTGGACAAAATGGAGTGGCTTTGTCAAACATACGCTTGAACCACTCTGTCTTGTGTATTCCCAAGGAGGACAATCTACCTGGAGTCCATTTTGGAGCCAGACATTCTGCTCCCCATTCTGGCCTACAATGCCCACTGGGAACTGTCAGCACTTTCCAAAGGCACGCGTGCCCACCCTTGGTCATAGAAGAGGATAGACGGAGTCTTTCCGAGAGAGGTTGCGGTCTGTCCAGGCCACTGATCCACAACTTCGGGTCCAAATCCGATTTCTCCGCTAGAATCTCTGTACATGTACGCACATCCAGCTACCGAGACATTCAGCTCGGAGCCATACATAGTCAGGGCGTTTGGGCTCACACGCAGTCGTTCCTATGTCGTAGCTGATCACAAGGACTTCTCCAGTCTTTCGAGCGATCGGCGCATTTCCCGCTATAGCTTCACCCGAACCTTGGTCCTGAATCGGCTCTTTCTCACTCCATGCAGAGGGGTTGGTGTATGGGTTGTTACTGGCCGGAGGGACACCCTGCGGGCGACCTTGCGCTTGGAAAGCAGGCTGCGTCTGAAAGGTTTGTGTCTGTGCAGGAAACGGCGGTGGGGGTGCTTGCTGATTCTGCATCTGCTGTTGCTGAAACCATTGCGGTTGTTTCCTTGGATCTTGGGTGTATGGCGATGGTGATCCGTCCTCTTCGACTGACGATGTGCAGTTTCCCATCTTGGTCTGTGGAATATGTTGTGATTGAGCTGAAAGCGAAGAACAGGTTGTTTCCGGAACACGGGATCTGCTTATCTTACGAAGAAGTCTCCCAAGGATATTCATTTTTCGCCAAGCGACGGACTATTCTGTTTTCAGAATGCACGAGATCTTCAGGCACAGGAACCGGAAAACATGTTCAGAATGATTCGGGGACATTTTTCGAATGATTAGACTTGGTGCATAATGGCGGATGTGAACCATTCATGCTGAGATGCACATTATGATTGGCAGATAAGCATCCCTTTCCGGACTTTTCCAGTTTGCAGTCCGGTCAGCAGGCAGCTCGGTCCGTGAATATATATAACGCCTACATCCACTCTCATCAGTGGCTCGCCGACTACGAACATCGTCCTCCCGACATCCAGTTTACAGAATGCCAAACACAACCAGTACCAACTTGGCGAATGCTACTACAATCGCAAATGCTACTCAGATAGCGAATGCTACTGTCATCAATACGAGCATGATCAAAGTGCCTGTCACGTTCTCGAGTCCTACACCTTTCACCACCACACTCGAGGTGGCCCAAACCGCAATAACGAAAATCGTCACGAATGTCACCCAGAGCGTCATCGAGACAGAGATTCCAGTCACCATCAAGGACGGCGCCGTGACGTTGGTGCAGACAACAATCCCCGTCCCAGTGCCTAGCGAGTCGGCACCGGCGGCCAAGACTCCGGTGGCAGGTATTGCGGCGCTCTCAGCTGTATTGGGCGTGGTTATCATCATGGCTTGTATAGCGGTACTTCTTTTGCTTCGAAAGCTCAGAAACGCGGAGAGCTCGAATGAAATCGATCAGCACCATTTGTACAGCTCTCCTGAGCTTGACAAGACGGAAGAAGGTCCAACTGTCAAGCAGCTCCAGGACCAGCTCACGTCGGTCCGTCGAGAACTCGCCAGCGTCATGGTGTTGACTCCCTCAACGATTCGTGACCGATCCGACTACGCGCGTGATCTCGATCTCATCAACGATGATATCCGGCAAATTTCCATGAGAATCACCAGGAACTCCTCTTATTCTACTGCCCCCAAAGTTCGAAACGTCCTATGCGCTACCCTCCGGTCGGAGATCTTGACGAGATTCGACGCATCTCTCAAACCTGAAGACGATGCCAAATTCTCCGAGGTTATGAGCCGTTTTCCACGAAAACAATCCGCCCTTCTGTGGAAAGCAATGGCTGTGCAGAATTTGCCGGTCGCGGATGCAAGACCATTTGCGGAGAAGCTCGTCATGCAACTGTCTCTCGCCGTCGGAGAGTCTGTACATAAGGAAGAGCTCACAGCGATGACGAAGAATGTGTTGAGTCTCGTTAGAGCCTTAGCAGAGGATGCCAAAGGCTACAGCCTCACGGTTGGCAAGGGTGAGCACACTTCATCAACTCGCAAGTCACTTTCCCTGATCCTCCACCAGATGGGCAACAATTGGGTCTCATAGAGCCAACTTCAGCTGCTTAATCGGGGTCTAATGCTGAGAAGGACGCTCAGATTTTGCCGCGACATCCGGTTTATATACATAGCTTTGTATGCAGAGCCCTCTGATGCATGTCTGCGGGCCAGCGACTATATCCTTTAAACTGTACAGAAGGCCATTCTCGGCTGCCTGCTCATTAATCCCAGGAGACTGATGGGTGTCGCCTCCGAAGAGTGTTCAGATACAAGTCGAGAAAGCTTGCAGCATGGATCACTCTCCTCGTATGTGCCACAGTGCACAAAGCCTCGATTGAATCCGACCGATGCGAGGCTGTAGATGTAAATGTAGTTCTGTCTACAGCCTAATTCTCGTAATTAGGGAGGGAGTCAAGCGGTGAAGGAACTTGTGGCGCGAAGACCTTCACAGAGGACAGCCAATATATATCAGGGTCCTGGTTCTCCCCGGCCTCTTATCTGCATCTCTACGATATGTTGCCTCTGCATTGACTCGACCAATCAATGCATGCCACCGGAACATAAAAATGAAAACAGAAGGTCAAAACAAAGCCCCTTATTCACCCTAATAATAAATATAGCTCTACCCGCCAGAGATCACGAAGGCGCCCCAGCCCTAGAGTGTCGAAGCTTCTCAAACGGTCTCAGAAGCCTCAGACTGCTCTTTCTCCTCAAGATTCTCAACAGCTGCTGACTGGTCTCCATACTTTTTCTTGGGGCTGATCGGAGCAGTTTGGTACTGAGAGAATCCAACGTGTCCCGATGCGATTTCGCCATACCACAGAACGTTCTTGTTCACTTTTCGAGGCTGGAGATCGGCTCCGGTACACGTGCCATTGATCTGCTGAATGTTCGAGCCAGCTGACGTGTTCAGGGTGTGGAACCAGTCCGTGGGATCGTATCGAGTTCCTCCTTTGACCATATAGATACCAGCTGTGAGCCAAATGAGTCCGCTCAGGATCTCAAGACAGGAGTAGGCCAATAATTTCCAAGACTTAGTCCAGCCATATCCTCTTATGGCGACATTATCACTATTCTGGCCGACGAGCACCGTGGGGTTACCGTCTCCTTGGGACTCCGTCAAGTCCTTCGTCTCATACAGATAACCAGATGTCGCTGAAACTGCCAAGGCATTGCTGACAGCGCCGGCCAGCGCCTCCAGATCTACTTGCCCGGCCTGGTTCACGGCTTTGGACATGCCAATCGCTATGAGTCCAGGTTTCCCATCAAGACCAATCTCGGCATTCATGGCCGAGAGAAGGCCTGTTGTGATAGACAACATATCATAATAGGACAGACTTTGGAATCCAGAAAGGTCCAGTGTTTGCTCTGACGGGTTTGTCACATAGAACTGGTTGCCTATCCCATAAAAGTATGTTGACCAGCCTTGACCTTCGCGCGCCGATACCTGACATTGGATTGCATAATTGATCGTGCCTTCGTGGTCCGGTATCTCGTTTCCCCCGAGGGCTATCTCGACGATGGTCGAACCGTCATGTAGACAAGTGTCTCCCCAGATGTAAGTGGCAGCCAAAGTGGAATTACCATAGTAAACATTTTCACCCTGGCAAGCCGAAGGGACGTAGTATTGGTCCTGGCTAATGCTCGCGCCGCCCTGTAGGTAGCAAGTGGTTTCGAAGGCAGTTATAGGAGTATCAATGGTGAGGGTCTCGAAAGTGGCATCCCCGAGCCGTCCAGCGAAAAAGTTTGATCCAGCGGGGACCCCTGCCAAGAACCCAACATTTGCGAAATTGATTCCGGATGTTAAATCTGGATAATAGCTCGACGTCCGGTTGAATCCGTCATTGAAGCCGATGGAGATTGATGGAACACCGTAAACCGCTGCACAGAAGGTAGGATCGCTAATGTTGACACAACTGATATGTGAGCCCTGGCCGCCTGTATTGAGATATGGTGCTGTCTTCATGGTCCAGAGGCTCATATATCTAATCTGGGAGGTAGGGATAAGAGTGCCAGGAAGCATGACTGAATTGCTACCGACCAGTACCGCAAATGCAACAAACATTCCACCGGCCAGGAAGGGAGTGCGATGCAGCTCATGGAGCGTGATGCCGGATAAGGAACGCCATTGCTTGATGGTAATACCTTGACTCTTCTCGGCTCGCCGGCGCAGCCAAGCCCTTGAAACTCCAGATAGGACATATCTTCCGGCGATACCGAGGACTGTGATAATAGCGCCGATCAAAGACCCAAGATTAGATAAGGTGATAACTGATCCAGCGAAAACCTGGGGAGAAAGAAATGGTTTGGCGAGGGGCCCTCGTTGGAACACAGCGAGGAGTACAAAAACTCCAAGGGTCATTGTGAGAGAGCCGATGAAAAAAGCTACAATGACTTGCCCCACGAGAGATACGATTAATTTGTGGCGAGGGGCGGAATGACTTCCCAGAGGAGGGGACAATAGACCGGAAGTCGACGAAGGACTGCCGGTTGGCGAAGGGGGAGGACGGCGGAACAAGCGCATGATCTGGTCAAGACTGGCAGTGTGAAGGTAAGAAGAGTATAGAAGTGTGAGAGGGGTGAGCGTATTACTTTTGAAGACAGCAATGGGTTCATTTTATATCTTCGACGGCTTCACGCAACTCTATGGGAGTAGTTTCGCCTCCAGACATCGCATGAACCGATACGGACGCCTCTGAGCTTAATTGTGAGTCGATGCCCGTACAATATCGTGCTCAATCTAGCGCTGCATCGACTGTCAGCTTGATGTGTCTTCCCCGCCTGCCAACAGCTGAGCATCGCTCAACATTTGTCTGAACCCTACCCGTTTATCCTGAACAATTCATGTTCTGTGCCTGTGCCTGATCGTCCCGTTCCTGGAATTTGGTGCACAATTTGTAAATTTTCAGTCTTGCACGTCGTATTGACCAGACTTATCTCCGCCATGACAGTCTTGCAGCCACGTTCTGAATCATTCTACTCCTGCGGTGGACCGTGACGGCTTGGCAATGCTATCCTGGCCAGATCGGACCGATAACCAGTCAGGCCGGCGAAGACTCGCTGCGCTATTCCTGTGCATGAGTTGCTTGGCAGGTGGCAAACTGCATTGACTAATTGGCTGTCATCGACAGGCGCTGATCTCGGACTGCTATGGACTCCAATACCTACATGTGATCATCAAGATGATCATCAAGAGCTTTAGACTCGATCATTAAATAGAGAAGGCCTTAGACGAGTCTGCTACCCAAAATTCTGAGCGCTCATCGGGCTTTGGATATCTGATAGGACTTCTACTTCGCTCAGATTGGATCGCTCGCTAAGCACATCACCAGCTTCCCGCACGACTCATGTTGTACAGTATTCTGCGCCACCGCGCAAATCGAATTGACCATGCACCTTGACAGAAAATCCGACAGCGGGCATGCGGAGAGGACAAAGTGTCCATTAATTCCGAACACACTTTGTACGCAGGGCTTTTACAATTTGTGAAATGTCCCGCTGGTCTCCGTCGGAAGCAACGATTTGGGTTCCGTTCATTCGATTTCGAGTGGGGATCATGCAGGGTTCAAACCGGCAGTAGAACATGGTTTCCTGCTCCTTGAAGAGGGTATCGAGGACAGACTAGGCAGCATGGTTCTGTTGAAGTCTCCTTATCATGGCTATACCTCCTCTGTTTTGTTCCCCGATCAGGCCCGAATCCAGAGTCGTACAGTACATATAAACCGAATTTTGCCCTATACATTAAATAAAGTATCTCTATCTCGCCTACACTTGCCCCTTGCTTTCATCAACGAAATTTGCTCTGCATCCGTACTTCTCGGCGGCGCTCAATGGAGTAGTCTTGATCTGGGAGAAACCAACATGGTTGGGCTGGATCTCACCATACCATAATACATTTTTGTTGACCTTTTTCGCGTGCAGGTCAGCTCCTGTGCACGTTCCTTGGATTTGATTGAGATCAGAGCCGGCCGAAGTGTTGATGGTTTGGAACCAGTCTGATGGGTCGTACCGAGTCCCTCCACCAATCATATATATACCAGCTGCAAGCCACAGAAGCCCGCCAAGGATCTCCAATACAGAATAGGCCCACAACCTTGAGCTCCTCTTCCAACCCAAGCCTGGTACAGCGAGGCCATTCTGATTCACGCCGACCGGCAATTCTGCGGACTTGGTCTGAGTTTGGGCAAGTTCGTACTCATAACCCGCGGTAGCAGCCGCCGCGAGAGCGTTGCTGATCCCGCCCGCCAGTCCGTCGAGGTCCACTTGACCACCGTTCCAGCATGAGGCCATGGCGAGACCCATGATCCCCGGCTTACCCACGAGACCTGCTTCAGCTCTGAAAGCAGAAATGAGGCCAGTCGCAACTGTCTTGATGTCTACGTAAGACAGAGCTTGGAAGGACGAGTCCAGAGTGCCATTATCATACTGGGTGTGCATCACATTTGCCAAACCATATCGGAGGGTGGAGTACCCATAGCCTTCGCTCGCAGAGACCTGGCATGTGACACCGAATGTGTCTGTATTATTGGGGTTCTTGGGGTCTATAGTTCCCCCAATAGCCAGTTCGAAGAGCGTGACGTTCGCAACACCTGCCGCGCACGTGTCCGAGAAGAGCCATAGGTCGCCCGAGGTAGCGTTCCCAAAGTATAGGTTCCCGTCGCATGCCGAAGAGAAATAGTACTTGTCATCAACTATAGACGACCCGTTTGATAAGGAGCATGTGGTGTTGAACGACATCATTGGGGTTGTTATCGTCAGGCTCGAAAATACTCCCTCGGTCTGAGTCAGAGAATTCTGGGCGTCATTTAAGAAGTCCTCTGCACCAGCGGGCACGCCGGCCAGGAAGCCGAAGTCTGAAATTACTGATCCTGCTTGCATCGACTGATAGTTGCTTCGCGAGTTGCTCGTCCCAAGGCTAAATGCCGTCATGATCTGGGGGAGGCTGCCGACTGATCCACAAAGCTGAGTTATAGCCATCACGCCGCAGCTGACATGTGAGCTGATTCCGGCCGTATTGAGATACGGAAGTGTGTACATGGGGTCGAGCGTATACAGCTTCATTTTAGGAACCGGGACGAGTGTGCCCTGGAGTGCGAACGTGAAGACCGTTACGAGGCACACACAGCCGAAAAACAGTCCACCAGCTAGTCCCGGGGTCCGTGGACTATGCGTTAACGAGTAACCTGCTGATATTGAGCGCCATTGCTTGATAGTCGGTCCCTGAGCTTGTATGGCTCGACGGCGGAGCCAAGCCCTTGCGATTCCATTCAAAACGAGACGTCCACCTGTCCCAATAATAGTGGCCGTCAAAGCAAGTAAGGATGCCCAATTAGCAAGATTCACGACCTCCCCCGACAACCGCTGGCTCGGAATGAAAGCTGCAGAAAGAGGCCCTCTGTCGAGACCAGCGAGAAGCGCAAAGATTCCGAGAATCAAGGTGGGCAGTCCGATTGCAAGCGCTGTGAGGATCTCTCGCCACAGACTAACGAAAGGTGTGTGACGTCCGGGTTGAGGCACAGCTCCGGAAGAGTAGGAGAGCAGACCATCACTTGAGGTCGGACTACCTGTTGGGGTGATTGACGGACGCTTGAAGCCCATGGTCCCAGTCTGCTTGCGAAAAAGAAGGTGGGGAGGAATTGACGACGAACAGGTATATTTATATATAGCCAGACATTCTCAGCTAAGGTTCTCTTGCAGTAACGACTGTCGAGTTCTTTCTTCGCCGATGTAGCGCCTCCCAGCTCGCTATCCTAGAGATTTTCGGGTGCGTCAGATCTCAGACCTTACGGCACGTGGAAAGGCATCTGATCTGAGCCTTTGATCTTACAATTTTCATGACTGCGTGCCTGATCGCCACACCTCCTTAGAAATGAACCTTCTAATAATAGTCTTTCTCCGTGACCAGTGCCCTGGCTCTGAAAGCTTCGATCTACAGCCACTCAGCGACCGCTTTTCACTCCATGGACCGTGACCAGGGAGAAGGTTGCGAGCTTTTGACCAGTCACACGGCTGTCGCCGGCAGGGTCCCAAGCAGTCGCTGACTAAAATCGACTGGGGTATCTCGAGCGAAGGCCGACAGTTTGAGCACCTTGACACCGTGTGGGAGATCACCGATATATCCTCTAGCTATCCTGTCCAACAATCTGAGATCAATGGACGGTCATACTGCCCGATGATGAGCGCGAATGTTGAGATCAGTTTGCGAAACAGGAGAGGTTTTACCTTGTTCAAATCGGATGTCCCCGAGCATTTGCGTCATCGCGCGGTCTTGCACTATTGGTACAGGAACCGGCAAAAGTGGTAAGTTGCACAGCTGAAGTATCGCCCAACTGTAGTATGGGACGCACACTGAATGGCGTTAACGGGAGACTCCTTCACTCAGTCGCCGATACGGGCTCCGAGCAGCAGCGTCTTCCAACCTCCTGGGAATGTAAATTTTTAATCTATTGCAGCATGAATGCGCCGTGGCGGCAAGGAGACGGCGAAGGAGGAGCAACCTGAGGGACGCCTCAAAGCTGGAGACTTTTTGCGGATAAATCTTGCAGAGTTTTGGCCATTTCGTGTGGACCCTTAGTGCCGCAGGCGCCTAGCAGTATTTAGGGCTGAGGGGGATCTTTGAGTTCCAACGCGATGACGAGACCTATTGTCCATCATCGAGCACAGTCTGTTCAATGAGGTCAATGAGGTGATTTCGAAAAACACACTTGCATGAGGTACTGTCACATTCACGGCCAACCACTGCGTGTGTGTCTCTGTGTGTGTGTGCATCTGTGTCCAGAGTCAAATACCCGGATGCATGGCTCTCAGCCAGGTCCTGACTTATCATCTCTGGACAGTGCTGATTCGTTCTCGAGGCGCCCGATGACGGCGCCGGACGAGGACAGTGCTTCCAGATCTGACCAAGATCTCTCATTTGAAGCCTTAGAATGCCTGATCCTGCGGTCGAAGCTGCTCGCTTGGGCCTGCCCTATACTGAACCGTCGACTTCGAAGAAGAAGCCTGGAGTTATAATTACCTACCAAGTCGATCCCTCGAACCCCTCTGCCCCACCTAGACGGATCATTGAAAAGGTTCCGAAGGCGAGCTGGTGGAATAGGACGTTCGGAGGCCAGACCCACACAGAGGTGACGAGTCATGGGTCAATCGCGCAGATGATAGACGCTGACGTTTCTCGCTTGGATCAGACCCGCCGCTCGGCTATAAATTCTCATTCAGCCGCTCAGCAGCTTGGTGCTGCTCCTCAGCTATACTCCTACACACCCTGCCCGCAACCCTCAGCTTCAGCATGGGAGACGAATCCATACTATTATGCCCATGGAGGTCCAAGATACATCGACGATGTCCCGTTGAACTTTGCATCGCTTCCACTAGCTGAACGGATGGAATGGGAGCGTGTCCTTGGCGAGAGAGCAAAGATGAGCAAGCATTGGAGAAAAGTCGAGGAGAAGAAATGGAAAGCAGAGCAAAAGGAATTGGAGAGGAAGATGAAACAAGAGATGAAACTCAAAAGGCAGAAGCTCAAGTGAGCATAATGATGACCCGAAGGCGTAAAACACTGCTCAAATGTTGTCTAGAGCGGAACAAGCGAAGCAACTGGCGGCGTTCAGCGGTCGCAAACGGTGGCTGCCTAGTGTGTCGTCAGCTCCTGGTGCAGGGGCTCGGCGTGTTCCCGCAGGAGTAGCGACTAGTCCAATGCCTGGCGTAGCAGTGGAGCCTCAGACCAGATGGATGATGCTCCCAACAGGTGAGGAGAGTCCGAACTACTATGGATGTCCGAACTACTGTGGATGATGGATGACATTACGCTGATGCATGTATTCGTAGGCGAGGAATTTGGAGTACGACGACCATTTGACGGCCCCGGGAGGCCTCCGATCAAAGGTCCAGGAGACTGGCCCATGATGAGCCGAACAATGACTCACGTGAGTCGGAAATGGCGATGGCTCGAGCTGAGTCTCCCCAGGCAGTCAAGGACATGAGTCTGGAGGAGAGAGTCCACGCAGTTCAGGTGAGCGGCACTGGTTAACTACCACAGCAGAATGCTGATCACACCCTTGCAGGCTGGCACTGTATGGGGTGGAAGTTGGGGCGGACAGTATTGATCTTGCTTGGGTCATCATGACCTGCATGCCGACGCTAACCTACGATGGAGTACAGTGAATCTGATACGAGAAAAAGCCCCAAACGGCAAATGTTCAACGTCTTCCGTTTCATGGCCTGGGTGAGGGTTTGAATGGATAAGAAGATGGCAGGAGCTTAATTGTATGCAAGTAACTCCTGTCCAGCCGCGAATGCCGCGAATGCCTCGGACGTTAGATCTTGATGCCAACGTTGAGCTTGAAGTATTCGCCATTGTTTCCGACTATATTGCCAGCGGCAGCGTATTCGCCTGAACGAGCTCGTCAGTATACGGCGACTATCGAAAGCAAAGACCTGTTCGACTTACAGACAACATACAATGAGTTCTAGGCGATCACGTCAATCTGGGCACGCGATTGATTGTAGAGGCCTGCTACTCACCTGTCCGTAATTGTCAAAGATGGTGTTGTCGGCACAGGAAGCCATGGCGCAACCGATCTGGGTGGTGCCTTTCCAGACGATCTGCGCAGAGTCAGAGAATCAAGAAGAGACAAAGGGAGTAGTCATACCTGAGTGAAATGTCCAGTGCTCTCCTGGTAGCCAGGACTGTTCCAATTGTACAGAGCTTGGGAGTCAAGTCATCGGTTTTGAATCACGAATTTGCTTTCTGGCAGGGCTCACAAGCTTCATTAGCCCACGAGTCAAAAGCCGAAGTAATGTTGTATCCTCCTCCGACACCCGCTGCGCTATCAAAGGGTCAGTGTCCCGACTTGCTGATCCATGAACCTACATGTTCTCGCCGTAAGGTCCGCCGCTTGGCGCAATCAGCTGATGCCATTGAGCCTCGATGCTCATCACTCACGTATGTCCGTAGTTGCATGTGTTGGCGGCGTCCGCGGCGAATTGCGCCATAGTGGTATTCCATGTGACCTTGCCGGCCCCTGTTTGGAGATATGAGTGAGATTTACCTGGGCAACTGTAGATAGTGTTTACCCACCGTATTCCGCTCGGAAGGTGTTGTGCAAATTCAAGAATTGGTCGATTTGCGCATCACCAGAGGACCCGTCATCTGCACCATTACTACCTCCGCCTCCTCCGCCAGGGCTCGAAGGTTGAGGAAGACTGGAAGCTGTCGACGAAGGCTCGGCACTAGACGAGGGTGGACTAGGTGCAGGTGAAGGAGGGGGAATAGGCGGAGCTAACGACGAAGGATGATGGATTTCAATGGCAGTCTGCTCCACTTGGAACGAAGTCGAGCTCGCTGCAGCGTGATGAGAGACTGATCCGGAGAAACCGACGAAGTTTGCTCCGATCTGGCTTGATTGCGCTGCGGTAGACGAGACTGGGCTCGCTGCTGATACTGAGGGTCGAACTCCGCATCCTCGCTTGACTACTCGTTTTGCGGGTACTTCCACATGAGCATCAATGACGGGAATGGCAATAGACGGCAATGCGAATACCGCCAGGGTGAGGAACGCCTTGATAGTAACGCGGGACATGATGGATGTCAGGTTGAGTGGAGAAGTTTCGTAAAGTAATTATGGGGAGCGGCGCTGTCAAAGCTGTGAATCTGTAAAAGAATGTGTGGGTCGCCTTGTATACGCTGAGTCGATCTACGACTAGAGATAAAGCGACGAATAAGAGGAACTGCAGTGAGTGGGATATGGAGAAGAAGGATAGCAGTGGTAGAATCAGTCTCTCTTCTGATTATATATATCACGACCAAAAGCAACGGACGACCCCCGTTTCAGGTGCCTGTTCTTGGAGAGTCCAGACAACGTTCCGACCCCTTCCAAGTGATGAACAACACTCCTTGACGACGGTAGGTCCTTGGACCATAGGGGAGCAATGATGAGGAAGGGACACGGAGAGATAAGGATAGACGTATGCACTCACACCAATGATGTCAAGTCTCAAGTCATCCTTCAATTATCCAGGCCCGAATACTTGTGCAGTCTGCTTGTATCTCGTCTAGATCTGACGGTATGAAGGGTATGATGAACTTCGTGCTTCGCCCGAGCGATTATGTCCCAACCAACTTGACCTTCACCTAAGCTGTTCAGTCCTCCTCAGCGATCTATCTCCTGCTCGTCGACACCTGCGTGGCACTCCAGCGTATATACACAATATACACAAGAGTGGTTGTGCCCAAACAACGAACCCCCATCTTGAAACGCGATTCGTGGCGGCGGCTTTGTTGTTTCAGATTTTGTGGACTCTTTTTTTTTTCCCCGGGACACGCGACGCGACGATCACAACTCTCTCTCTCTAATGCTGATGAGAAATGCTCTCGAACATGCACTTGGACATGGCTGGAAGGACATTACAACACCTCTATGATCCAACCCATGGTACTGGTGGAATTAGGCTGTATGGGGCCTGACCGTTCTACCAGCTTGGCCGTCGCTTTGACTCGGATGCTCCCGTCTGAGACCGATGAATCCCGACTACTCGGGAAAATTTCAGTCTCCCACATGTCTACCCAACTCTCGGGTGAATGACTGAGAAGCAAGGTGAATCGATCAGCCTGTGCCCTTTTGGTCTACAGCTTCACTCACACGAAACGCGTCGCATTGGGATCATGACTGTTGGCTCGAGACAGACTGCCTTTTTTGATTCCTCCTTGATGAGCACCAAAGATGATGGATCCCTTTTTGGGGGATATCAAGGTCGCGACTCGCTTGGCCAGCTCAAATTGACCTTGTTCTTCAAACAGATGGAAGAAGGAAAAGGCAGACATGGCTCGGACATGGCCTTGAAGGGGTGCAAGGGAATTGAGGCTCTTGAGTGTCTCAACGTCGATCGTCGCAGAAGAGCCGCTCTCGAAAGAGGTCGGCAAAAGGGCAGAATCAAAAATGTCACCTGGGATGAATTTGATCTCGCACGTCGATTTGTCAGAGAACAATTCGTAGCCTTTCTCGAACCACTCTGAATGTGTTGTTGATCAGCTCAGACCATGCTTTCTCCAGACCAACGCAGCCTGACTCACCCGGCCTCAGATCTGTCCCTACAATTCGGCTCGGATCCCATCCATCATAGGTCAAACGACGCGAATCCGTGCCGACTGTGACGTCAACTGTCGTCCATGACGGACCGGGCGCTGTCACGACTTACAGAAACATCCGAGTTCCAGAAAGATCGCGTTCGACTCTGTTCCAAGCTTCAGAATACGTTCGTATATCGGATGTTCAGCATTTTTGGTCCTGCCGTATTAGACATCATTTTTTTTTTTGGGGGGGGGGGGGGGGCTAGAACTCACGATAAGAAGGACCACCTGCGAATACAAGGGTAAGGCCAAAGCTTGTAGGCTTCTTCCTGCAATGACCTGCTCTTGGCTTCCAACTCCTTCACATCGTTGGCACCAGTCGCCTGGAGGAAGAAGGCGAGTGCTGATTTCTTTGAGCTGTATGGGGCGGATTTGGATGCCTCGACCTCGGGACCGTAAGGGAAAGGATTGTCAAGTGCTTGAGGGATCTGCGCTGGATGCTCTGTCAACTCTGCCGCTGTCATGTTCGCGTTCATGTAGGGTACTCCATGGAAAGAGCGCCGACCCAGTTCTGTGACTGCATCATCGTACCTCGGAAAAGTCCGAGGGTGGAGGTCGGACACGTCGCCAAGGTGGCTATTTTTGGGTAAAAGTTTGAGGAAACCATCGGCAGCAGACAAGTATGCACAATGTTACAACATATGGTATGATACAGCTCTGCGCAGAGAGGGGCGTGGAGACCTTGTGGGAAAGGCTCAAATTCTCATCACTTTGTGAAGCAGTACAAGCTCCCATTCATGTTTCCGCAAGGTGTGAAAGCACTACCTTGAAATCGCTTGAAATCGGTAATGTGACTGACCGTGTCAATCTCCTTCAACAGAACCGGGATGGTCATGTTGACCAGAACAAGCTGCTCCCCGACCGTCGATGGTGTCTGCCATAGCTGGGCACTGCGATGATTCAAATCAGTGCCTCGAAGGTGCAGCAAGACTGGGACAGCCTCACGACGTCGCACTGCTACTGGAACCTCCCGCAGCCTTTACTGCAAACACGGTATTCTGCTTGAGCGATGTAGATCGTGCACTTGACTTGACTAGTACTGGGCTCTCGCCGGAGCGAAGAACGGCAAAGGCTGTCCCGTGAAGTCAGAACACGTTCATGAGCCTGCGAGGGATGAGAAGACATACCCAGCTTGACCTCATCGTACTGCTGTTGATGGTACGTAGATGTGGGGAGGCCGGTGAGGATCTGCAAAACCGACCCCGGATCAGTCGGGAGATCCAGTGAGAAGCGATCTTTGTAGTTTTCCTCAAGAGTAAATTGGACGACTTGTGGCCAGCTGAGATTGGGTTGTCAGCGGTCTGGCTCATCATCTACCTGCAACAGCCCTGCAGCTTACTTTGGCACCTTGCTCGGTTCAAAGTCCGTGATGAGAGCCAGCTGTCGTGTACCGTCAGGTGCATGGAGAGAAGACCATATGGCAGGAGAGTTGTACGCATCGTAGACTTTGTCAGGTTCCATGAGGAATAGATCCTGGATCCAACGATCGCTACTGGTCAACATTGCCCGAAGGGATGCGGCGATCTCGGGCCTGAGCATTGCTGAAGAACAGAGTCGAATGGTCAGAAGAGCAAGGCGCTCAAGCTGAACTGTATAGCTCACCTGGCGAGTTGTTAATATCAATCTCTTTAGGACCGCCCGAAGACCACACGGTCTGCGTCACGTTGGCTCTGCGTTGCACACGAGAGGACCTGCCGTCCATCTGCATGGATCGAGAGCTGCGACGGAGGGCTGAGGCTGATGCACCTGATCAAGGAGGTCAATCAGGACGAGAGTCAGAGCTCTGGGACACACTCACCGATGAAAAGATAGCAGACGAGTACGAGATTGATGTACCTCATCTTGTCAAACCTCTTGCTATCGCTGTTGTAGAGGTCGACTAAGCCGTTGCTCATGTAGGACGGGCTCCCCTGAGACCCGCTACTTTGAGTCGCCTTCCTTTCCACCCTGTCTTCCATTCTTCCCCGATCTATAAGGTTGGTAACGTCGTTTGATCCCTTGGATCCCTTGGAACTTGTATAACGCTCAGATCAAGGAGAAGTGATGACAAGTTTGCCCTCGCCTAATCACAGATATCCTTTCAGTATGAGGATCTTAGAGGAGTACACATATTGTATCTCGAGGGACACTCGACATCAAGGCATGAGCAGTTCTGCTCTATTTCATCGAAAGCACGTAACGAATACAAGATTTTACAAATGGTGCACTTCGAAAGTCATCGACTAGCTTCCTGCTCAACGGTTGACAAAGTAAAAGAGACTCAGTAACAAAGAAAAGGCTGAAACATGTTCGCTGTCGTGCCACTGACCATAAACATCGTTCCACATTCATGCCACTGACTAGGCACCCAGCGCTTGAAGTCCGTGATGTGTGAGACCGATTTGGTATCTTGCAAGAGTTGCGAGATTGAGGCGTTCACCACCGTATCCTCACCTATGGCACCCGGTGCTTGCCACAATTGGGCGCTGAGCAAGTAAGGCAGATAGATTAGAATAATCTTACATATCTGTACAGAGATCATGAGGTCCGCTCACGTCGAGTTGGATCCGCTACTCGGGTTCTTGACGGCGTACATTTTACCAGGGCTCAGTACCGTCGCTTGCTCGTTGGCAAGAACCAGGACTGGGCTCTCGTTCGAACGATCCATGGCGAATTCTGCAAACGAAAAGTACAGGGTCAGATCTTCTTTCAGGCTAAGATACAGTAGCCCTGTCTGCCTCACGCAACGAGTCCTGTGTGTACTGATCCTGTTCGTAAGTCGACGTAGGCAGTCCGGTGAATGCTTGCAGAGCTCCTCCCACATCAGTGGGTGCATCGACCCCAAATATGCCAGCGTAGAACGTGCTCAGTGCATAGTCGAAATATGCAGGCCACCTGCAGAATGTGTAATGATAAGTGGCTGTCAGGGTCTCGGAGTGAGCATCGACGTACATGGCATGATCTTCACTGGACGTCTCAATCGTCATATTCTGCAATACGGCTCGAGAGTATTCTGGTGAGTATAAAGACATGTAGCCAACTATAGTCTCCACGTTGAATTCTTCAGGTGCCTTCAACATCAGAGCTGAGATCCAACCGTGATTGCATTTGACAATTCCATACAGGGCTACAGCCACGTGAGGGCTAATGAGGACTACAGGGTAGTATCAGTATCAGTACCACCAGCGCCGCGCGCCTTCTGACTGAAGCGGTTGCTCGGTGTGTGCGAGTCAATCGAATGAGCCAGACAGACTGGACTTACCTGGAGAGTTGATGAGATCTGCCTCGGACGGTCCGCCGTCAGGTATGATTAGTGACCAAGTCTGGTCACGAGACCTGAGTGATCGACCCTGGCGATGAACTTGGCTTCTGATCTGATGCACGTGAGGGTAGGAGACTGCCTCAGTTGACGCTTGACCGTATGGGATTGCTGGTTCATGGGTCAACACGTAGCTCAGGACAAGCATACACTTCTTACCGTACAGGGCGAGGAGCAGAGAGTTCAGCAAACGGTACGATGGCATCCTGTCAGAGTGCTGCCAAAAGTGATAAATGTCACAAGCGTATGTCAGACAAGTTAACGCATGAATCCGCGAGATGGGTCCGGGAGGTTTCGCTCGGGACATGTCTAAGGATAATTCCATATTGGTCGTCCCAAAGGAGAACCAGATCCAAACGGGGGTGCACCCTTTCCGTCACACTCAATCTCCCCGTCGTGAACCCTTGAGGCAGAGCGGTCATGCGGTTAATGATGAGAAAGGTAAGGTGAGGGGTTTCAGGTAGATTGCAGACTTATCGTCTCTTATAGGCCAGAGCGGTCCAGCTTCGGGAGACTGCGGGGTCTCAGACTTGTCAGAACTTCCCGGCAGACAGCATTGCATTGTAGCTTCGGGAACGCTGACTGTCAGAAATTATCTCACGACTAATGTCGGTCGGGGCTGAGGCCGACATGCTATATCACTTTGTGTCTCAGTTTAGTGTCTGTCTGCGAGATTATGAGAAATAAGATGCAGCAGGATGATCCAAAATGAGTGTGCTTTTAGTAAACGAGCGTGATCAACATCTGACAAGCCGCCTATTCAAAGACAAGGTAGAAGGGCCTAAGGCAGCAACCATTTCTTCTCCACTCCCATCGGGTCCACAACATGCTTGCTATGCGCTAGTGGGCTCATGGGTCCATGAGGCAAGCCATCACCAGGTTGATTGTCATCGTCGTTGATCTTACCAGGACTACTAGGCCCAAGGACGTAAGGAGTAGGGGGTCGTTTCTTTGGGTCCATGCCACCTGCAGAGCTTTGGTGAAGCTCTTCCATTGAAGACAGGGAGAACGAGACGGATTTCCGCTTGTGGCCTTTGGGTCGTTCGGGGACAAGCCGAATCTCAGGGACTTGTAAGAGGTCCGAGGAAGGTTTGGGAGAAGCCAGTGGAGAGGCTGTAGGTGTGGACTGGGTCGATCGGACTTTCAGGAATGACGATGAGAGGGGTGTATGAGGAGGGCCGTGATCGAGAGGCTGATGAGATTCTGTCATCCACTGTGAAGCTGGGATGAGCGCCAGTGTTAAGAGCAGGAAAAAGACATCGATGGAGGAAGCGAAGAGATCCATGTTGCCGCTGTTGTTTGACAAGGTGCGGAGCGGTACTGCCTCAGGTGCACCCAGTGCACCGTACAGAAAACACGCTGCTTTGTTTTGCGTACCGACTCCAATCTGTCCGGTTGCCAGAATGAGCTGAGGGCAGAGATCGAGTATCGGACAGAGCTCTGCTTGTCAGAGTCTCCTTACTCGCTCTTGACTATTTGCATTGGTCGACTCCTTGAGATTGAACATGTCAATAGAAAGGATCAGCGTGGAGGTCAATAGCAAAGGAAGGTCGAAAGGAAGAGCAATGGAGGCTGTGTCGTGGATGCCAACCGACTTGGCGCGGCGGATGAGCCGGTCCAGGAGCAAAATTGATTACACGACCCTTGACGGAGGCGTAATGTTGGGGCCAATTCATAATCTTGACCTAGTTCAGTCTCTTCAGGACCTCATCTCGAGAGGCGTAGCTCTCCATCGCTCCAGCACTTTCCACACAAATCGCACAGGCCTAGAATACATCATCAGGGATAGGGCACTGGGCTCTTCAGCATAGCCTATGACTTACTGTCAGGCATATCCTCAGGACCTCTTCTAACTCTAATCCAGCCATTAAGCCGGCAACAAAGTAGCCTGCAAAACAGTCTCCAGCGCCAGTCGTGTCCTTGACAGGCTTCTGGAGCTTGGCGGCTGGTAAATGTCCCATATTGACGGGCAAATTTGATCGAGGTTGAAAGTATATGATCCCCTGCGCTCCTAGCGTGCAGATGATCGATGTTGACGAGCTAAAGTGTTGGTTCTCATGCAAGAGTCTAAGATCCTCTTCGGCTTTGCCTCGCAGATTCTCTCCTTCCGAGGAAGATGGTCGCGATGTTGAGCTGCCTAGCGCTGAAAGGAGGTCGGCGAGCTCGCCTTCGTTCACAATGAGCCAGGAGAGACTGTCCCAGGGGAAAGATCTGAGCTCAGATGTGGAAAGCATGGGAGAAGGGTTGAAAACTGTAGTGATGGAATGAGATGCGGCTGTCGTCAAATGCTCGAGCGTGATAGGAAGGGGAATCTCGTTTTGGAGTAGGAGGTGGGTGTATGAAGAGAGGTCGAGCTGTTGAGGCTCTGAGGGGGCGTAGAAGTTTGCGCCCTTATGTAGAACTGGGAAGGATTAGGGCTGTCATCCTTGATGGACGAGTTCTATCTTACCTATGCTGTTCTCCCCATCCGCCGAACTTTGGATGATGGCTCTGCCGGTGACCTAAGTCTTGTCAATGGTTTTCTCCTCGTGGGCTGTTTGGGCGTCTCACCTCATCTTTCAATACTTGCAGGCGATGGACATCCACTCCCCCAGCTTCGAGATACTCTTTGACCCATGTTCCATCCTGACCTATACATCCATCTAGGTCGACCTGACCACCAGCTTTCGCCACGGCATAAGATTGATTCGCTCCCTTTCCACCGGGTTTACGAGCGAAATCAGTAGACGAGATGGTCTCTCCCGGTCGAACAATGTGAGGTAGATGAAAGAATTCGTCAATGTCTAAAGTGATGAGCGTGAGCGATCGGTAAGATGTAGCACATCATCGCCAGAGGCATCCCCTCAGACTCACTTATGGAGCCTCTCACGAGACAACGAGAAGCTGGCATGGCGTCGAGCTGCCAAGTGGATGCAAGATGTCCGATGAAGATAGCTACCAAGCACTGCTCAACTGTACCGGCATCACTGTCTGATCCTTTCCATCAATTGACCGGCGGGCGGCGTTCTGATTTTTCTTCTTTTTTTGGTTGCCGGTCATTCCGATCTTCGGACCGAAACAAATCAAAGATTCAGATTCAGTGTGCAGGTGTGAGCAAGAACTTTGGGCTGTGTGAGCAGACAGTGATCGAGATGCATAGCTCAAGCAGATGTTATGACGGCGAAGGCTTGGTCAGAAAGGGTGGAGCGATGCAGGACCCCCTTTGTCTCGCTCGGGCAGCAGTCTGACTCGGGTCATCCCCTACGCAGCCGCTTGTCATTGCTTATTCTACCAGTTGCTGATTGGATCAAGGCGAAAGGGGAAATGGAACCATTGATGATGCGAAGGTGGATTCAGAACTGTACGAGTCCCGGGGCCGCTCACTGACTGACTGGCTGAGATGTTATTAAATGACCACATTCCATGGACCGGGGAATTGGTCCGAATTGCCGGAGACCCGGAACCATCATCCGACCTCGGGGATCTCCTAAGACCATGTCGTGCTATCTTTACTCCGTATTATCACTACAAACAGCCAGTCTGATTCTTGACATACGCTGACTCCAAGTATTCCGAAGCACCCTTTCTTCTGGAAATCTTGAATATCTCTTCTGTGCTTGATCCTCATGTCAGCCGCCGTCGCGCCGTTCTCCGTTTGCCCCGGTGGCTTCACAGACTTTACCTTCAAGACTGAGAATGGAGTGCCCGTTCCTCTGAGATTGTGGGCAGCTGGATCAGGAGCGAAGAACGCTCCGTGGATATTCTGGATCCACGGTGGTGGTAAGTTTTCCTTCGTTGCCAAAGGCAAGCTGAGTAGTGGCTCACTACTCCCCAACATCAGGATGGATTGCAGGCAAACACTGGCGGCCTAACTGGTGGGTGAACCCTGCGTTTACCTCGCGAGGGTATCACATCGTCAGCGTTGGATATCGCTACATTCCTGAAGTGTCCATCGACGATATCATCAAGGATGTGATGGATGGTTTCGCTTGGTGTCGAAAAAACCTCCCTGATCTCGTCGGGAAAGACGCCATCAATCTCGATGCGTATGCCGTGGGAGGCGATTCAGCAGGTGGATCCCTATGTACACAAATGGGTATCCTGCTCGAACCTTCCCCTCGATGCGTTGTGGATCTGTATGGCGTGGTCGATCTCTCCATGGCGCACTATCACGAGGAGGTCTCACCGGAGAAATTGGATGGTCTCTCCCATCCCTTCGATGAAGTAAAGAAGGCAGCAGCCAGTCGAGACTCATCTCAAGCAATGACGTCCGGAGCTTTCTTCTGGGAGTTTCCGCCGGAACGAAGTGCCAAAGACCTGTCAAGTATGTGGGGCACACCATACGAAGTAACGGACAAGGATCGAATGAGAATGGATGTCTACTTGTACCTCACGTCGAATCACCTTCTGTTCAAGGCTGGATTGAGGAGAGAAAACTACGACTCGGACGAAGCGTTCATCTCAAAGCTCAAGTCGATCTCGCCTCTCTACATGATCGACGAGAAGAAATCGTATCCTCCAACGGTGTTGATCCACGGCACGAAAGATGAGGCTGTCCCTATCGAGCAGAGCTACCAATTTGAGAATAAGCTAAAAGCCCTCAACGTGCCTGTCTTAGGATTGTACGAGGAAGGCGCAGGTCATAATTTTGAGAGCAAAGCCCTTGTGAGTGGTCTTCAGCGCCTGACGAGATCTCCGCTGAATTCCTGGATTCAGGGCCCGAACGATAAGTACTGGAACGAGTACATTGTCCCCACCATGGACTTTGTGGACAAGCACGTCAAAAACTGATGAGACTCACGTGGTTGGTCTTGACAGCATGCATACATGAGTCTGAGATCCCCATTTCCGCTCACTACTCCTTCTCGGCCTTGTGGTCCCGCTGTTGATTCTGGACATGGACCAGCCTATCATCCAGCATTTCCCTAAACTGACCGATGATGGCACCCTCCTTTTTAGACCTCTCTTCTCTCTGCATCTTGAGGATTGCCCGTTTCTCCTCTGCGTTGATGACCTGGTTCTCCTTTCTTAATCGAACAGCATTCATCCTGGCATGTCGAGATCCAGACATGACATAACCAGATTGTTCAAACGCCTCAATCTGACTCGAGTCCAGACCGATTTCGCCACGTCGAGGAATTCGTTGACCCGATGCCGCGAACGCTGCCATGGCCTCGCCTTCACCTTTCAGCATGTGGGAGTAGCTAGAACTTGTCAGCCAGGTCCCCAGTTGAGGTTTCTTGTGGTAACTCACGCCGAGCGGTCAATCTTGTCCTTGATCTCAACAGGCACCTGAGGTCCAACTTCAACATCTTCATCCTTGTCGTTGATACCGGTAAACCTCGAGGCCGTAGGTGAGTTGCTGACAACAGCTTGAGAGGCGGTGGTACTCCCAGCGCCTTTCTCGACCCATTGATCATCTTCCTCACTTCTTTCCCCATCCTTCTCTCGCTTGCGGTCTTTTTCCCTCGCTGATTCCACAGAATCTTTCCGTCGCCTCCTGTCTCGTTCTTCATCAACCGAGTCGTAAGAGCGGGCCCGTTTCCTTCGATCATCATCGTCAGAGCTGTCGTGTCGGTGCTTCTCCCTTTCCCTCCTTCTTCGTCTACGTCTGCGTTGGCGTTCAGCTTCAGAGTCGGTGTCGGAATCAGACTCGTCAGAATAGCGTGATCTCCGCTTCGACCTTTTAGACTTCGATTTTCTAGCTTTGCGTCTTTCCTTGTGTTCGGCTTCCAGTTCACTGCGAATGGAATAAGCAGACGATACGGTGCGATCTAAACACGCGCCACTTACTCGTCATCTTTGTAGGGCTGCTTAGGGGAGGGCGGCCAGACGGAAAGGGTCATGTTGTCTCTATCCATACGACGTCTTGCAAATCGTTAGAGGAAGCCGCATAATAGCAAACGTTTCGCTCATGCTCACCTTTCCAGATCAGCAGGGTTGTTCCAACCACCACCACCACCACCGCCGCTACCACCACCTCTCCCTTGAGGTCTGTCAAACCCAATGCGCATTGGGGATCCGCCATTAGAATGGCCAGGTCCAGGCCAGGGAGGAGGAGGCCCTAGGTCTCCTCGATTGGGTCCATAGCCGTAGGCAGTGACGGGCAAAGTTGGAGGAGGCGGTGGAAGTGGGCCACTACCGCCGTTCCCATTGTAAGGCTTGTACGAGGGTGAGGCCCTACGCGAATCATCCCGAGAGCGAGGGTCTGAGCTGTTCGCACGGGATCTATCATCGACATCTCGATATTTAGACCGACTTGACTCGTGCGTGTCCCTCGAACGGTCTTCATGTCTGTCGCGATGAGACCCAGGACGATCTTCATATCGTCCATCTTCTCTCGAGCGTGATCGACGGCGATGAGGAGGAGGAGGAAGCGAGCCTCGAGGTGAGGGAGAACGACGGTCTTCCCATCTGATACGATCCCTTCTAATCTCATCCTCGCTATTCCTTCGTCTACGATCCCCACGAGATCTCTCGTCATCATCCCTATACGACCTATCTGACCGATGTCCATTATGCGCGGCTGATCCGTTCCGTCTATCCAACAGCTTTTGCTTCAGCTCTTCTTCCCTGCTTGGTGGTGCAGCTCGTTTGATCTCTGCATTTCGCACCAGGCCAAGCCGAGACGGATGAACTGTAGCCATTCTCAATCGTGCTGTTGTCAACAATACAACTGAAAGCTCAGAGAAGCTCTCTGTCGAACCCACTTCGACTTTTACAACCTGTCCAGGTCCAGTCCGCCTATCTGTGAGCGCTCGGACCCCATTCTGTTAATAGGCGCATCTCTCTGGATCATACCCGATCTAACCGATTGCCGTCATTTCTCGGTCGTTTTTCATGTTTTCATATCAAGAGCATGCTGTACAACCTTGTGAGCGTCTTGAGATCCAACTGTGTTCACAGCATACGAGAAAGCGGATATCATCAAGATCATCTGAAGAGTGGGCCTCAATATCGATGGGAGAGAACGATCCGGTAATATCGACGGATTCCTGAAGATTGACCGTTAAAACGGAGCCAACGTTGCCGGACGATACCTTTCCCACTTCCAACTGCATCGGTTCCTCGCCGCTCTAGTCAGCAGGAAGTGACCCGCAGGCCGGACATGTCTGTACAGGAGCCAAAGGCCAAACGAACGCATGCGAGACGATCATGCGAGCTCTGCAAAGTCCGTAAGACACGATGCGAACTTCCAGATACCGACGTCGCATCCTCCTCTGAACCTCTGCCATCGGAAAAATCATGCCATCGGTGTAAAGTCCTGGCCTTGCCATGTGTGGTGGATGATACGGCCAAGAAGACTAGACCACCTAGAAGAAAAGAACCGAATGCCACTCAAGAGACCAAATCGGGAGTCAAGAAGAAGCGTCCGAGGAACGACGGGGACATCGATGAGATCTCGGGAGACAATGTGAATAGAGGCAGAGGTGATCGCCATGGGAGCTTCTCTGGTCCAAACAGTGACCTTGAGGCATCGAATATAGCCGGTCCTAGTCGACTCAATCGAACGGAATATGATTCCTTGGACGTCCTTCATGGTTTCCGACTGCAAGGAAGCAAAGAGATGGGGGATGTCATGCCTCCTTTCGGATCCTCTGCACCGATGGACTCACCCCAGAGTCAGAGTATGAAACTTCATGGACGGCCCCTCGAACTGGTCTGTGCGATGCTTAGTGTGGCGTATGGCAAGAAAGGCGTGGTGATGCGAGGTCTGGAGATTGGCAGCGACGTGAACATTTATCAGGTGGTCGATGCGGATATGCGGCGCAGACTGGCATATGGGTGAGTGCGCCCAAAAAAATACCCCGCGCTAGGGAAGTCAGAGCTTACATGCGATGCAGTGTCGCTCAGCTACAGACCTTTCACCCGTGGCTAGACTCTCTCGATGTTCTCTTCTCGGACCATCGTGCCGACACGGATCCCGCTTACAAACTCCTCCTATCCCTCGTCGTCTTTATCGCCAGTCTGTCCCTTCCCATCGACCCGGTCTTCATCAACATGCGTTCAACTCTGTCTCCCATTATCAACACCTTACGGGACGATGTCATGATTCAACTGCCTCGCAGTGTACACGCGGCTCAAGCTTTGGAAATGCTGTCCTTGCATGCTCCGCTCGGTGTCCTGCCTATCAAATCCGTCAACCCGAGGACGCTGTCAGTAGCTCGCGGACAGGCGTCCTCAGGCATGCTCATCATCTCGTCCCTTGACTACCCGACAAAGGTCCGTAATTCGACAGCGTACGACACGATGACGGGTGGTTTCCACGTCGACGAAGTTTGGACTTGGATGTCGCTTTGCGCAGCTGAAGCGGGTATGGCTCTGGAGAATGAATCGCCACCCAGACCTCAATCGCTCGATGAGGCTCGAGACCTCGCCGAGAGATACTTGTCACCGGATCGCCTGGACATGTGGAAGTCCACCAATTCTGTTCCCGTTTCGAATCTCATCGGTCGCTTGTCGGTGTGCGATCGTTTATGCCGGATCGGCGCAGTCCATGATGCGTACGGCTCACTGCGTGGAGCACTAGACGTTGCCGCGGCAGATACGACGTTTGACTTGGTCACCCACGTGAATCATCAGGTACAAGATCTGACACAGAGATTCGAGGAGATGGACCGACGGCACGATGCAATCATGAGTAGGTTTGATTCTCCTACAGGTTCGAGCAGATACTAATCAAAGGATCCGCTAGGCCTCTTTGCCCCTCGTTCTGGCAAAATCGAAACCGGCTGGAGGACTTACCGAAATCTCAGGAAACGGTACGAGGGAAATGCGATTTTTGTGATGGGCCTTCGCATCGTCATGGCTGCGGCGTATGTTCCCGGTGGTCCACTTGCCTTTTCTGGTTTACCAATGGCTTTATCGACCAGTCAAAAGCCAAAATACGCTCTTGCGAGAGCGTGTAATCCACCTGATATGATTCCGATCATCATGTCCCCTGATGGTCCGATCAAACGAGCCATGTGGCACTGGGGAACGATCCGTGGAGAAAAGTGTCAAGAGATTCTACAACTGTTTTTGGACCTGGCGCAAGTATTTGTACCCTTGGATTTCCCTCAACGTGAAGCGAGACCTGAGGTGACGCGGGAGCCGACAGTCATTGTCCCAATACACGAATGCTGCTGTATAGCCGTGGAAGCGTGCAAGATTTTGATGGAGATGCAGAGGAGCTCGGTCTTGGTCATGCAGCGTGGGGGAGAAATCACGAAATTTCTCGTTCCTCTCTGGTACGAAACTCTCCGTCAAGTCTGTGAAGCGATACACAAGATGAGCTCAGCAGCCGTGACGAACGCACAGGACGAATCTCAGCATCGGTTCGAGTCGGTCGCGCAGGGGTGCAGTCGATTACTGGATTCAATGAGGCGGATGGCACATGATTACGTGAGGGGAGTCGAAGGCATGGACAGAGGCGAGAGGGCGAGTAGTGTCGGGTCTGGAGCTATGGGCGGTAATGCCACGCCTCAAGCACAATCACAATCAAACACGGTGGCATACCCTCATTTACCTTCGGATCGATCCGATACGCCTCTGAGCGGGATCCTCCCTTCACCTCACCCGTCCATGCTTAACACGACTCCTAGTCAGTATCCTCATCTTCAGCTTTCAAATGGGCTATCGCACGAGGTTCAGAATGGTATGCCTCCTGGAGGATACATGGATCGATCAGATCGATGGATGGCAACGGACCATCACGTCGGCGTAGGTGACGGTCATAATGGTCCTCCTCCCAGTGTACCGTCCCATATGGTTGACATGCCCATGGTGGACAACGGTCAAGCCCAGAATAATAACATGAATCATTCTGCTCATTCAGCGCACCATCCGATGAATGGACCTCCTGGACCTCAGTATTCGAACGGTCAATCAGTTGCCGATGGCAATTGGCCAGCAGACCCGACTCCACTGGATCTACTCTTATCTCAGATGTTCAACTACCCGAATCCTTTCGCGTCGCCTCAGATACCGCAGCCTCAAATGAATGGACAGAACACTGCCACGCCAATACTGAATTCATCTATCAGGATGAGCGAAAGGGGTGGAGGCCATGATCAGACGGGCGACGGTGGAGGTGGGGGTGGCGGACAGTGGAATCGGCCGTGATTAGTGTCTGGGGCCAGAGGGATGCCAGGACGTGGAAAGGTCTTTGAGCATTGTTTCCGGAACCGCAGCAACGAGGCGGAAGGATGTATCATCCCAGTCCTTTTGAGTCATACATGAGGATGCAGCATGTAGCCCCTAAATCTATATACACCACTCCATCGAAGAATCTCATCGGAACATGATAATGCCGCTCCGGACTGTTCGGACATGCCGAACAATTTCAAGCGATCATCCGAGGGAGGAATAAGCCTGGGCCGCTGTCAACTGATCCATCTAGCAACCATACAGGTGGGATCTCATCCTCAGGCACCTCACGATGACATCGGAACATGAGCTGAGGGATCTCTCGGAATGTACACTCGTCGCTGCGAATCACAAGCAATTCTTGGAATGGTGTACAGCAGGTATGGTCCCGTGGGGAGCTCACTTGTCGCCCGAGGTGAGTAGTCGACTCGCAGGTCGCAGGTCGCATGTCGCATGTCCCGAAGACAAGCTCTCAATCTCGTGTTTCATCCGTGGAGCTGTGAATGGTCGGAACATGTCACTGACTGCCGAAACTCATTCAGCGATACATCACCGATTCGGAGAGGGATTTCAAGGAAGATTGGGGGAAAGACGGCGCTCTGCAAGTCTGGTGAGTGTGGGACGAGCCCGTAGGGTAATGGATAGCAAGCTGATGGGTCACTTAGGGCACTTGTGCGCCGTGATGATCCCCAAGGTTCGATCCTGTCAGCATGTGCGACGTGAGTCGGTCTAAAGACATCTATGGGGCTATCGGCTCGTTTGACCCTAGCTTGTACAGACAACGTCGAACTGGACTTGTCAAGCGTAAAGGCTCGTCCGAGGTTGAAAAGAGTCATGTCTATGGTATTGCTTCAGTTGTCACCCCTGTGCAGAACCATAGTGAGTTTGGGACCATCAGCATTCCGCCCGCCCTGCCTGCTGCGTATTGGCTTGGCACTGACACGATGTACCAGAACGAGGATACGCCTCGCACATGCTCAAACTCCTCCACTACATACTCGCTGACCCTTCGTTGATCCCGTCTTTCCCTGAACTATGGGGCCAACCTCCCCAGGCTCCGGATCGAAAAGTCATTCCTTATGGTATAGCCTCGATTCTCTGGAGTGATGTGGGGTCCATCTTTTATTCGAAATGCACCATCGGCCAGACTCGTCCAGGATGGGTTATGCCAGAGACCAAACAGAGTGAGATCATATGGAAGACTCGAGCACCGGCCTTACAGGAAGGAGACGAGAGGTGGGAGAGAATTCGTCCGACCGAGTTGCCAAGTATCGGTCAAGAGTTACGCCAAAGTTCTGTCGACGCCCTGAAAAGTGTCGATACTTCCTCCAAGACTGTCTATACGACGGATCCGTCGTCTGTGGGCTTACTCGATTTTATACCCCTTCGAGGATCTTGGACTTGGGAAGATAAGGATTTTAATACGGCTGATCCTTGTGGCCTGAGGTTCAGATCAGAATACAACGGCGGTAGCCAAGATACTATCATCATCTTCGGGACCTTCAACGCGTCTCTCGGACGCAGGACATTGATCACTTATGTTCACAATCTGGACCCTAGAGACTTGTCCTCCTTGCTCCGAGTCATCGACGCCATTGCTTTCCCTCTCGACCAGAAAGAGGGATGGATATTCGGCTTGGAAGAGAGTAGACACGCAGAATTGATCAAAGCTTGGCAAGCGGAATCAGGGCGAGAAGCGAAATACGGACATCGTGCAGAGGTCATGGGACATTTACTCGGAGTAGCCTACTATGGCCCAGAGGGTGAGCACGAGTTGCTGGATCCGCAAATGTACTCTTGGTGCTAGGCTCGTGAGGGTAGTGTGGAGGGGGAAAATATACCTCCGATGTATCCTTCTAATACGTCCGAAGCATGGGATGCAGAAGACTGAGGAGTCGGATTCAGCTAGCTCCGTTCCCGGATAAGCTCGTTGACGGTCTCCATCTTGTCAAGGGGGTTCTTTCTCTCTGACCTTGATTCCTTTAAATGCTGCCTGCCACACACGCCACTAGGTCCGTAACTCTCACACAATCATTTTCGTTTTGTTGGACAACTCACGCCTCCCAGACCATGGCTCGATCTAATCCTACAGAGGACGACAAGTCTCGTCGAGGATCGCACGATGATCAAACGAAAAGCATCAGTGGACCAAGCGCAAGGCTTCCAGCGGTCAAAGGCACGCTCGGTGGTATAGGTGAGCAGGAATCGCATCCGCTTCAAAATATGGGATGATCATTGACTTTGTGTCATTTGACCCAAAGAGAGTCCAAGACACAGACATCGACACACTCCATCCATGTCAACGGTACGTCGACCATTCTTTACATTCTTTTCCATTTGGTCACACGCTGCTGTAGGCTGACCTCCACGCTCCTCCAGGTCGCGGGTGATGAACATCTTCCACATCCTTCTGGATCATCTACGCCCATCCCATCCAACTCTAAAGCCTCGCCTCTTTACCCTGAGATAAGCCAGATGAGCCAGTGGGCTGGCTCATCGCTTTACGCCGCATCGACCACTCGAAGCTCTCGTCAAGCGACAATGTTTCGCTCCGACCCGACGCTGAAGACGACTTTCGATACCGTCCCACTCGAGAAGAAGGACGAAATCAAGCGATTGTTCTTGGCGTAGAGGGAGGGGGGCACTAAATGATTTCGACACGCTAAGCCAGCTACTCGTGGTCCTTTGACATCAGACACAGGCATCTCAAGCACACTATCTCAGATCTGCCTCAACTTTTACCCAGTGCTAAGAAAGAGCCCTACTCAACAGCTTGACACACCTCTTGATCTTGGACACCGTTTCGCTCGAATGCTTGAACAGTGGGACGCTCAATCCGTATAGGGCTAGATGACGCTTAGGAAAGGCGCGGCGGATTACCTGGGTATCTAGATCTATGATAAGATGCATAAAGTGACAACATGTCTGTTTTGTGATATTGACCAGTCTGAATGGAAATGGCCGACAGGGACCTTGGCGATCGGTCTTACAGCCACAAGCTGACGACACCTCCACCGAGGCCCATGCCGATTAGACTGACAGTAAGAGTCCAGCTCTCTGTCGGCAACATGCCCGCGCGTCCGTACGCTCCTCCAGATCCTGTCGAAGACCTGCTAGATGAGGAGATCTGAGCTTGGTTTGAAGAATCTGTTCCGTTGCCACTGCTGCTGTTCTCTCCACCACCCGGGGCCACAGCTTGCACGTTGGTCGTCGGTGCAGGGACGCCATTCAGCTGTGCGACGTAGTCGAACGGTGCATTGCCATTTGAGTTGTAAAAATCGAGAAGGATGTGATTGGGGTGGCGGCTAAATCACCGTGAGTTGGGGGAGTTTTGTCAAATAGGATCACGACTCACCCCCAGAGAGTCATGCAGTTGTCTACATGGATCTCTAGACTGGACTCTGAATTGGTCGTATTGATGGCGTCCTTGTCGGGAATGTAAATAGCCGTTCCAGCGAGGTCATACACCTGAGCAAGTCGAGTCAGGGCGAGCCGTCGTGTCGGCGCTACCGATCATCACTCACCACGTCCAAAAAGTGATTGACCATCATCAAGCTAGAAGCCGGATTGCTTCCACTCCTGTTCGCCGCACAGCTCCACGTAGTGTCCACATCGTTGTAGGAGTCTTCAAACATGTTGGAGAATTCGTCGATGATCCACGGCACTTGGTTAAAATCCGCATCGTAATTCATGAACACCACGACGGTCGTCCCGGCATCGATCAACGAGCCGAGGGTGGGCCAAGCATTGAATGCAATCGCCGCTGAAGGTGGTGAATAGACATGGGATTGAAGCCCGGATGATTGGAAAGCCGATTCGTATGCTGTGGGTGGGAGACTATCACTGTTGACAATGACAATGGTAATGACTGAAGGCGGGGGTCAGCAGAAGGGAAGGGGCCCGGGTGAGGAGGACGAGCGACGCACCTTCGTTCGGATTCGCAGAGACCCATGTGTTGACTTCAGCAAGGTACGACTCCATCAGTCCGCCATCGAGGAGAGACTAAAGGGGGATCGTGAGTCGGATGGCTCTCACACACTCGCTCTCTGTCCTGATCATGAGAGAGACTTACACAAGCAGAATGACAGAGATGGATCCCATCGCTCATATTGTGGCTAAAGCAAATCAGCCCAGCTTCAAAGGGGCATACAATCAAGTGCTCACGCCTGAATCTGAAGCGTGCGGATTCCATCGTTCTAAAGAAGCAGCGTTCAGCTTTCCTGTCTCTGTCGATTTGGGAGACTCGATCCGATCCGAGCCACTCACCAATTGGTCCGTCACGCCGCTCGATTGATCATCTGCCAAGCTCGTTCCGACGGCATAAGAATCGTGAGCGCCAAGGAAGGTCATATTTGAGTATGATCGATCACAGAGCGAGTCATCGCCATTGCAAGTCGTCGCTGCGAGTGCTGAGGAGGACAGCAAGGATGCCGCGAGGAGGAAGAGGGGTATCATGGTGGTAAGGAGTATTGGATGCAAAAAGTCGTGATGAGAATGGTGAAAATCACGCCTGACCAGAGGCGGGTGTCTGTGATCGACGATCGAGCGTCGGGGTCGGGGATCAAGTGAGAATGAATCGTATGGTCAAAAGAATGACTGAGATGAAGGAAAGACGCTCGCGGTGAGCTTCTCGCGTCGCCGAGGTCCAAAGAGAGAAAGAAAGGAATGATGGTGATCTCAAGCGCGGTGCAAGGATGGGCCGTCGCTATGGCTCAACTCGGCGTTGAGGTCCAGATGATGTCTCGCTGGGGCCTCTTTTTTGCGTTTCGGTGTAAGGAATGAGAGACTGTCTCTGAGCTTCTGGAAGACACACAAAAGACGACGAGAGACAGGGTTGAGTTGTCTAGGACTGAATATAGCAGCTACAGAATGAAATGTCCGCAGCAAAAGGGAACCCATGTTGTGATCTTTTTTGCCCCCGCCCTCGGATCCGGGACTTTATTTTGCATCGCATTGGAGGCTTTGTATGAGAGGCTCTATAGGAGGCTCATACTCGAGGGGGTTTCTGCGTAGAAGGGAGGTAGGTCTGCATCGACAAAGGGGGGTGTGACAGCGTTTCAAGGTGGCCATGTCAGCCAAGGATAACACAGAGGCTGCTCGGTGGAGGGCGAGAGATACTGTAGCTGTGGCGGCTTCTCTACGCCCAAACATTCCTGCACAGAGAGAGCTACACCTACTGACCATGCCGCAAGCCTTTTCTGGGACCCGCTCAAAGTGCTGGGCAGATCAGCCACACCCGGAAGTCCTACAGCACCACGAGTATGAGCTGAATCTAGATCATCCTACTGATATGTACCTATGCATCCCATCCCACAGTCCCTTTGTTTACACGTTTCCCATTTTTTCCATTGGGGAGGGGGAAACAAGTTCCACGTGGCTTGACTCCTTCGGAACATGACGTCGGTTTTCGATGAAAATGTGTGTGGGTCGCCAGGCAATTGAAAGCTGCTGGCTGGGTTGGCAGATCACTCTCTTTATTATACATGGACCTAGACATTCAGACACATTCATTGAGGGACAAGTCCAACAGCTAGCAGCGAGGGGAGTCTCGTCTGGCTCGCTCGCTTTTCCCCCTTTCATCCCCTCGTCTCCTCCCTCCCTCCCTCCTCCCTCCCCACCTACCTCTTCGCGCTCCAAATTTCGGACAAAGACATTCGTTGATCATCCTATTCTCGCCACTGGGGCGAAATAACAATGACCACCCTCTCTCCTTTCCGATACGTTCAATTATGTCGATATATCCTTCAACATGTCATGGAGAGGTCTGTAACCCTCAACAAGGGCAAGGGGAAGGCTATGCATCCTTACCCTTCGCTCGCACTCGCTACAGCAGCAGCTGAAACCAGCAGAGGGGGCGAAAGATCATACCCTCCGCCGCCAGGTATGATTGGATCATCATCCTCCTCATCGTCTGGCTCTTCAAGCTCCAGAGGACCTCCCAATTATCGATTCCCATCGCTTGGTCCGGACCCTCAGGAACCTGCTGAACCGACAGAAATTTATAGGTTGATGAATGACGAACGTTTGTCCATACCCGGTGCTGTCAAACCGCCGAGAGAGGTCGTCGTCTTGTGTCATGGTGAGTGCTGTCTTCCTTCATCCATCGGTCTGGTCTGAGTATCCTCTGCAGGCCTCTACGGCTTCTCAACGGCAACACCCATTCCACTCTTTCCTTCGCTCAAACTCCACTACTGGGCTTCGGTGCTGGATGTCCTACGCGACAAAATGGGCGCCAACGTTCTCGTTGTGGGAGTCAAAGGGTGAGCCTCCCGCTGCATAGGTTGGGGTTCAATTTCTGACGTGACGGAATTCAGTACCGGCTCAGTCAAAGAACGCGCTGAACAAATGCACAAATTCTTATCGGACACTCTTCCCCGTGGATCCGGGGTCAACTTTGTAGCTCATTCCATGGGCGGGCTCGATGTCCGTCATCTCATTTCGATCATCAAACCGACTTCCTACACTCCGTTATCACTAACGACTATCGGTACACCTCATCGTGGAAGCCCATTCATGGATTGGTGTTCCGCCAATATTGGTGTGGGGTCGAACGGAGGAGGATCAGCAGCAGGTGCTGCCATGGCCGCTGCCGCTAGTATGGCTGGTTCGACCAAAGATGGATCAGGACTTCCATTTTCCCTCAAATCACCTCTTTTGGCCGCTTCGGCTGAACAGGCCGCCAAAGATTCAGGTGGTCTCGCAGGCTTTTCAAGCGCTTTATCACGCTACCTCCTGGGAATCTTTGACTCACCTGCCTACTCCAACTTGACCATCGGGTTCTTACGAGACGAATTCAACCCTGAAACGCCGGATTCTCCAAATGTCAAATACACGTCTGTCGCTGGTCGCGTCCCGAAGCTCTCCGTCTTCCATCCCCTGTGGTTCCCCAAGTTGGTTCTCGATGCAGCAGCTGAAAAGGGATACTCGGAGCCAGAGGGAAAGACGGGCAAAGATTACGAAGGCAACGACGGTCTAGTGAGCGTCAGCAGTGCGAAATGGGGCGAATTCCTGGGTGTGGTGGACGACACGCATCACTGGGATTTGCGTGGAGAAGGTGGCATTTGGCCCAATGGCGTGGGAGCTTCCAAGAAAGAGAAGGATCAGGCGAAAAAGTCGGAAAAGGACGAGATTCCAGGCGAGGAGCTCGTGATGCCGGGTGGAGATTGGGATCATAGCTACGAGATTGATCTGGGTTTGGGCGACAAGATACTCAAGACGGCATCTGCGGTAGCTGAGCAAGCTTCTACTGTCTTCCCTGCTCCCTCCAAGGGCGCTTCCCAATCGTCGTCGTCGTCGTCGTCGTCTTCTCAGGACAAGAAGAACGACTCGTCTGCCTCTTGGGACGTTGCGCAAGTCGGCCAAGTCCTCGATTGGGTCACAGATCTTTTACCTGGTGGTAAGAGCACCGAGATTGGTCGACAACAGTTGGAAGAGGCTTCCAGGCAGGGAGCGAGTGCGGGAGCAAAGGAGAAACAGAGAGAAAAGGAGAGAGAAAAGAAGCGGAAGAAGGAGTTCGATCTGGATAGATTCTATGGTGGCCTGATGATAAAATTGAGGGAGGATGGGTTCTGAGTCAGCAACATCTAATCTGAACCGCTTGAAACCATGTGTGATCCTACTCTGTACGCATCGTCATCAAATCTGTATGCATAGCGACGATAACTCGTGCAAATCAAGCCTCAAACATGATGTACATACAATCTGCAGTCACGACGCCCCGAAATAGGTAGCGGATCAGGCATGTCGCTTGGCAGACCTATACTTGGGTCTCGATCGCTCTATCGTGGATTGTCAGCAGCTTCTAACGCGTCCAAACATCCGTTCAGGTCACCTTTCAAACCCCATTCGATGGCTCTGAAGATGATCTGTGTCTTGCTTCGCTGAATACCTAGGTTTGCACAGACCCAATCCCAGTCTACACCTTCGTCGATCCTGTTCCGTGGTGTGTCATCATTGCCAGGCTGCCATGTTGGAGGAACAGATTGTTCAAAACCGTCACTGCCGATGCTATCGTCCCCATCGCCGCTGGTAGCCGATTGCCTCCCGAGAAAGCTGGCTAGAGGTTGATACTGAGTGACGAGTTTCGTCGCCTCATGATCCCAGATCGCTGTCCTCGGCAGAACCAAGGTTGGTGGCAGTGCCACTTCTGCCTCCGCCGCCGTCGACATTCTTCGACTTGACGTCCACTCTGAAGCAAATCGAATGATTTCCTGGTACGCTGGACTCGGAGCCAGAAGCTTGTTGAATTTGAATTTATCCGGTATGCCAGCGCACCATTCTGGTATGGAGATACCTTGTTTGATCAGCCAATTCTGTTTGGAGGTCCACCAATAGTGGCATAATCGATCAATTTCCACGCGGTGCCAAGGTCCCATTAGTTGATCTGTGGATTGAAGCACGGCGCAATCGTGTTTCGCCATGGGTGACACGGAGTCACAGGACTGCTTTTGATCAGATGGACGGGCTGGTGACAGTGCCGTGATTAAAGAGGCTGGATCCAAAGATGAAGAGGATCCCAAAATGGTGGCAATAGTTTTCGCGACCGCCTTGGAGGTCGTCATCGGTGCTGGACGTTGTGGGATCGGAAGAGCATTCGAAGTACTCAAAGGCTTTGAGAATCCAGCTGGATACTCATGCTTCGGAGGCATCATTACCTGCTTTGCCACTGTCGTATCGTCCGTGCTTTGACGGGCGGCAGAGATGGGATGCGAGGGCGGGGCCGTTTTCACAGATATATTGGAGGCGATGGATTCGCGATGCGCGTGTCGAATGTAGGGGGTCTCGAGAGGTGAAGGTAGATGAATGACACTCGAGCGACGACGCTCATCTGCACCAGGGCGCTTCCCATTGTTCTATAGGGCAGCGTCAGTGGCAGAGTACAACCCATTCCCGCCGTAGACTCACCAGAGTCGAACAGGCCTTTTGGAGCATCTGGATGGTCTTGGCAATATTGTCGATCCGAGTCTGCTTGGTCGTATCACCCGATGGAACATCGGGAAAGAGGACATCTATTGGCGTACGGTTCTTGACGCACGAGTCAGGACTCCTGTATCTTTGATCACTCACCAGTAGATCCGTCATGTCTTTATGGAAGGTTTGTAAGACTCCAGCCATGGCCGTCTCAAAATCATCAATCGACTGGATAGCAACGGCAGGCTGAACTCTCCCTTCTTTGATCCTGGACCGACGACGATGAAATGGCGAACTGAGACCAGCCTTCGGGAGAATACCGCCACTCGTGATCGGAGAATGACTCGGGATAGGGTAGTGATTCGGCTCAGACCCTCTGGGAAACGAACGTGACCTGAAACTGAGAGATAATGGGTCTACGCCGAGTCCGTAGGTGTGGTCAAATGGTAGAGAGGGCTCTGTGCGTCTTCGTTTGTTTGGGTTGTGTTCGAACACCATTTCAGTCTTCGGTATCGGTGTCATAAAGCTTTGAGTAGCTGACTCCAGCGGGTCTTTGGTTGCTGTTGGTGTTGGTTGTTGCCTCACCCAAGAGTCCACAGGCAATATCATTTCACCCGCTGTTTCCTTTTGAGGAGGAAATTTGAATGATGCAGTCTCTCGAGCGAATGGCAGCGTGAAGGGATAGTCGGGATCTTGAAAGATATCTGCGGAATGAAGATATCTATCTTCGTTGGCAGAGAGAATGCCAAGGTCACAAGCGGTATCAGCTGTGGGTCTTGCGGGAGGATCGACAATCTTGACAGTGTCCAAGGACGGGAACTGAAAGTCACTGAATGGCAACGATGGGTTCGAGCTGTTGACCATGGTCGATGTGTCTATAGCAGTGTCTAGACATGTAGCAGGCCACGAATCATTGGCGAAGGGGATTGCGTAAGGGAGGTCTGAAGGTTGCTGGGGAGGAGAAGAACAGGTGGACTCGATAGTCGTCTTCCCGATGTCAAGTTCAAAAGGTATTGAAGAGCTCGGGAAGAGATCAAGGCTATTCCAGCCATCAATGGCAGTGGCCCCGATCAGTGGTTGAGTCGAGGGACAGTTTCCAAGCGCAGAACCGTCTGCGAATGCCTCGGGAGGTCCAGGAGCGAATCCTCTGTTTTCCAGCTCGTCTAAACCAGCGTCCCCTGCCGTCCCATGTGAGCCCTGTCTTGTATCACCGAACTGCTCATGGTCAGAGACGGTTCCTTGTTCCTCTGACACGATATCGTCCCATAGCTGTTGAAAGCGACTGAGATCATGAGGTCTGAAAGGATTAGAAGACCAAGAATCATCTTGTGCGCCATCCAGGCAGGTCTCCAATCGACTCTCCATCTTGAGCGGCTCTGTATCAGACTATGAGAAGACGGGGGAGAAAGAGAATGCTTGACTGGAGAGGGGTCCGAGCTGGCATAGGGGGGATATTGTAAGCGAGGCCGAAGACAGTGAGCTCATCGACAGCTCTTATCAGACCAAGCACTAGCGGGTCATCAAGTTGATTCCTGCTTGAGTTTAGACTTGGCTCAATCGTACAACTTCACAGTGGAAGATGGTGAGATGGTGGTTAGCGGGTGAAATCGGTTAGACTACCTGTCACACACCGCACACTACACCCTACATGGTCATCCCTTTGGGTCTTCGCTTAGAACATTGGCATCTTCTTGATCTTATCCCATCACCTGTTGGTGGATCACGTCAAAACGTTCATGAACATCGGGCAACAGTGACCGAGTCCAGTCCAGTGCCTCTTGAGTGTCTGTCACCTGGATACGAGAAACGACCGACGAAGCTGCTCCGCGGCGCCCTTTCTTCGATGACATGGAGCCTGATGCTCGCTGACAAAATGTCGGCTGATTTGACTTGACTGTCTCAGCCTACCTATCCTCAGAAGCATCTCTCAATCTCTCCTTTCAGGTCGAGTCTTGGCGTGGGGTCGAGAGAGTCGGTTTCAGAAGCAGTAGCCATCAAGACCAAAGGGAAACATACATATATGCCAGGATTATGTGTACAACTCGCGTCCGGTTTGGGGGGTTATCGATCGTGAACATGACAGATCGGGGCATATGAATGTCAGAGCGATGTCAAGGCATTTGACCTGTGTCCTAGGCTAGGCCTCAACATGCCCATTGCTCCAGTCTCAGAGCTGGCCGTCGGTCACTATGACATTTCCAATGTCTTTTCGAAGAACAAGACATAGGGTGCAATGCATCATTCGATTCTCGTTCAGATCGTCAATGAATAGCATCACTGAATCGCCCATCTGTAGTCAGTCCAACAAGGAAGCGTGCTGCATCCCGTCCTCCAGAAACGTGCGAACTGAAATGTTGGGTGTTATGAATATTGCTTCTGAAGAGGGAGGGACTGGGGAAACATTGCTCTTATGACGAGTTTGAAGGGATGCAGATAGGAGCGTTTTCTGAGCATGATGTCGCAAGTAGGATGCACCGTAAGACCCTGGTGACACCTCACTACGCTGCCAGACGTTTGACTAGACCCGAATGTATTTGTAGCCTCCGTCGAAGCATCCGACCGGCCTCGAAGGCTTCACCAATAGGACTACCGCCTCCTTCAGCCTCAAGTTCTCCCAACGCTTTCTTTGCTTCGACGTGAAGACTCAACAGCACCGCGGTGTTTGATTGTGTAATTTTATCTGAGAGGAGCGATGGCTCGCGTACAGAAATGTCAACGAGTACTCTGGTAGCGTGATCCGAGTCGATCAATGGATCTCGAAACTGATTCGGCGATTCCACTTCGAACAGGACATTTGTCTGATACGAGTCTGCCTGGATCATGGACAAGTCATGTCCTGTCATGTCAGTGCAGAACCTTCCGTGGGATGCTCACTGAATCCTTCGATGTCGATACTGTGGTCCCAGATGAACGGCAAAAAGACCTCCGGATCCCCAGCGACCACCTCGGCGATCCATGCCCATTCCACCGAGATGGCTCGAGTCAAACAGACGGGGGTAGTCAAGTTTAGACCATTGCAGATGATACCTTGGGTCATTGAACGGATCTCGTAATCGTCATCTTGGAGAAGTCGCACGAGTACACGATGAAAGGTGAGCAGGATCGAGGATGAAACATGTGACTGCGAGCTAGAGGAGGGGAAAAGGTGCCTATGCAAATGTTGTATGGCAAGAGCTGCGGAAGTCCTAGACGGCTTTGACTTGTCGATACGAGAGAACTTGTCGGCCGCAAGTATCATCTCGCTGAGACATTGGCTGTCGCTCAAATGACCACTGTCTCTCCTCAGCATCTGCAAATTGTTTTTAGCCTCCGCTTTTACAGGTTCGGAACCCACTGTTTTCGAGACCCATCCCAAAGCAATCAAAGATGCCTCACGCAATGGTACGTTGTGACCTTCCAGCATGATACCTCGCAGTCTCTTAGATATGGCGTTCAAACGTTCACACCCGATGCCATTCTCAGGTAGATTGAGCCTGACTAAAGCTCCCAAGGCAGCTTCCAAGACTGTTGGAGGTGACGCGCGCGATAGTACGATATCGGCGAGCTTGTTAAAGACGATTGCCTCACGTTGCTTGTCCACAGGGTCCACCTCCAGCTTTTCAAGACAGATCATGATGGCATGCTGAGGGATTCTGGACTTCAGCAATACCTCTGTCCTTTGTCCTCCAGCAATGACCGCCTTTGCCGCTTCATTCAAGAGCGTATCGGCACCTGGTAGCGATGATGTATGCCGCAGAATGTCATGACACAATGCCACAACTTTCCCCTCCATACTCGTTTGGGTGCATGCATGGCTGAAGGCTTTTGCCAACTGGATGCTGGCAGCCATAACGGACGGAGGGGTGAGCCGATGGTCCAGACCATTTAGGATCGCTTCGATTTGTTGATCAATCGTGACTCTCATGTCATCGTCCAAAGTCTCAAAGTCGATGACATCGCTGATAAGCCGAATCCAATAAAGAATGTGGCCGTGTCGAGCGTTATTCGACTTCAGAGCCGCAAAAGTCTTGGAGCAGATAGCAAGACTATCGAGCGTACTGAGAGGCGATTGCAAGCTTGACAGAGCTTGAGCAGCGACCTGGCGAATCTGCAGACAAAGGCTGCGTCAATATACGCCGTGTGGCCCAAGCATGCCGGATGGACCCACCTGCCACTCCTTGCTACAAAGGAAAGGTAGCACTTCCAGTCTCAAAGCCTCGGAGATCTCCTCGTCGACAGCTGACCATCGAAGACTTCGGATAATGATAAGGATCGGGAAGAGGGAAGAATGACCAGCTAAATCGACGCGCAAAGCTGCCTTGCGAAGTTCGACACGCAATGCAGGAAGAACGGAAGGATAACGCGCGTGCCAAGAGGCCAGCGTCTGACGCTTGGCTAACGTTTGTCGCGATTGAAAATAATCTTGAGCGCTGTCGGACGTCAGGAGGGATCGATGAATCAAGGAGGAAAAAAGAATCAGCCCGACATTGCGAACGTTCCAGCTGTCTCTAAGTCAGTCACAGAACCATGGCAGCCCGCGACTGCTCACTTTACAGACTCGAAGGCGGCCAGAGCGACTAGAATGGCGCGTTCGAAAGATCTATCCAAGTATTGCGAAGTACGTGAATCAAGCAAGATGATTTTCAGGATGTTGAACGCGTGAATCTTCGTGGCATCGTCAGAAGCGTCGTTCCTGACAGCAGCAACGGCGAGCAGGCGATCAACAGCAATCTTGAGCAGGTCATAGTCGGCGACCACGATAGAGAGGATAGAATATGGCAGAGCAGCCGATCTGCGAGTCGTTGAAAATGTGCTGCTAGTGATGGTCTCCAATTCTAGGTCAAGCCATGAATAAACAAGAGGCCTGAGTGATGCGATACGGTAGACACTGTCGACGAGGCGAGCGAGAGAACTGGCAATTTTTGAGAAGGTGCCGCGGTGTCGAACCTCATGCAGCCAGGAAAGAAGTCGTTTTCCAGCTGACTCAATGTCGTCCCGAGACCATATGATTTGCTTCTCACCACCTTGTGTCAAAGGCAGACTGCAAACGGTAGCCAGTAAGTCACTGCCCCCGGAATCATCAGCTGTGCCTTCATATGAGTATTCCCAACGTACCCCGCTTCGGTAATTGCTCGCCAACAACCGGATAGGAGACTCGAAAAATCAGACGGATCATTGTCTTCCTCTCCTCCGGCTTTCAGCACCTCGTATACCCGTGCTATCTCGTGATCGGGCCGTTCACTGGTTCCGCTCGACTTGAGTGATACGACAACCCGAGCAACGGCCCAGATCCGGTCAACGAGCGGAATAATCTCATGGAAGACTTCCTTCCAGTCAGCCTCGTGGTCAGATTGGAGCTGAACGCAAGCGATGACGCCGCTACACAAGTCAAATGAGTATTCCATCTAGAATGACGAACTGAAACTCACGATAGTGCAGAAATTATACCGTGTAGTGGTTTCTCGATGATGCCGGTAGCAACATCCTCTTCCGCCGCCTCCACACGCTTCTCCAGCAGCTTGATGAGAGATCGGACAAAGTCTACGCAGTACTCAAGGGATGCTCGTTTCGTCATCATTTCGAAGAGAATGCACATGACAGCTTTGCCCGCCTCGACTTGGGTCTTCCGTGGATGACTGATATTGAGAATCGCTGACTCCAGTGTCGTCTTCATCCCAAGATGGTCCGGCGATTCATAGCCCGGTAAGGGTATCTGAGCACATGCCAGACTGTGGGAAAATTAGACTCGACATCCGCGATATCACATAGCCATGGCTCACAGTGATCTGGCTTTGGAACGGACTTCGGCAAAGTTGCTCTTTTGACATGCGAGTAGGCTATCTACACGTCGGCGCGTGAAGATCTGCTCGTGCAGCTTGTTGTCGGAGCCAAGTTCGACCGTCAGCGCTCCAAGGATGTTTAATGCGATGATCGTTCTGACGATAGGGAATCGGAGTGCAGATTCCAATCCTGGGTCAATGATCACCTCAAGGAGCCAAGTGATGAAGCCTCGTATAGCTGATAGATCCTCCTCCGCTGGTCGTTTGAGCCGTCTGACAGTCTCAAAGGATTTGAACAGCTGAACGATCGTAGCAGTGAACTCGGATCTCGCGTATGCGTCTTGTAAAATGGCACAGGCTGAGATGGATCGTTGGTAAAGGCCCATCACTGGGGTCTTGAGACGATCTTTGGACGATAACAGGAGGCGCAGGGTGTCGATTTGGACGGTAGGGTCGGCATGAACCATAGCCGAGTCGAGGACTTCTGAGGGGAGATCTAGCAGGGAGACCTGGTTGGTAGCCACACACAGAGATGCGATAGCGATCCAGGCAGAAAGGTTCGAGCGTTCGTGACCATGTTCTCCGACCTGTGTGGCGTCGGACCGTTCAGACGGATTGGCACTGGGATGTGCAGGCTCAACCTCTGACAGGATCCGAAGGGGAATGGAAGGAAGCGCAGTAAAGAGTGAAGGGAGAAAGTATCGTACAGCGTGTGTCAGGGTCGTTGGCGGCGTGTTCATTTTGAACATTGGGACTATCTCGTCCACCACAATCGTTTCTTTTCGCTTATCATCGCCTGCGGTCGCTGCGAACATCTCTACCAGTAATTTACTGAAGATGGCACCTCGCCCGCTGGCTCCTTCTACGAGATCCATTTGTGAGCGGATTTTGACGAGGAGCTGGGATCGATCGATGCTTCTAGGTACAAACGGCAACAGCGTGTTGATCGCTATCAGGCTGTGCTTGGTCGATAGCTCTGTGCCGCACAGATGTACGAACAACGGAGTCAAAAGTCCATTGTAAGATGATCCGCCTGTGGAAGGAGCCTCCAGATCTTCAGTCATTCTGGCGAGAGCTCCAAAGGTATCCACAGATCGAATATGTCGAGGCTTTTGGCTCGTCTCCATTCCGTCAAGCAAGAGGTGCGCCAATGTACCGCCTGGAAGCACAGCTGGACCAAGTTTGACATGGACAAGGTCATGCCCTGCTTGCGGAAGCACCGGTAAAGCGGCTTTGAGTCTTCGGAACAGGACCAAAAGAAAGGCCAGAACTTCGAGAATCTCATCTTCTGGATACCTTTGCGTCGCGAAGTCTAAGGCTTCACCTAGAAGCGAGCTAAGCAGGTTCAGCATCTGGCTTTGGGATGACGACCTGGCAGAGCTCACGGTGAGCCTAGCTCTTCTGGTGGAGCTTTCTGAACGCGTTTCCGGAGATCTTGAAGCTTTTTAGAGGTCGCCTGCTCGATCACACGGACTGCTTCAGCTCCCATCCTGCTACCAGTACCCTTATTGGGGAAGATGCTGTTGCTGTGGACTGAAGGGCATCTCGGCTGATCTGGGATATTTTGGCTTTCCGAAATTTTGCTTCCGTGTAGGTCCATCATAAAAATACGGGAATCCTGCGAAAGGCGAATTCATATCTGCGTCAGGTTGGGCGAACGACGAACACTATCAGCATGTCCAGCTCGGGTCCGCACAATGGGACCGAGAGTGACTCAGAACATGAATTTGTTCATCAGATCGCGATTGAGGTGAGTCAAAAGATGAAAAATCGCGCCGTCAGCTAAGTGACATCCTAGATGTCGCGATTGATGAATTCCATCAATCCGAATGACTTGCTAGCGAGGAGGATCATTGATATCGCCAGGGGGAACAGGACAGGCGACGCCTTCATCAAGGGTGAGAGGACTGATTGACTGTATGAACGGTCGACTGAAGTCGCGTAGCCGTATCGACCTTTGGCAAGTTCCCTGAGGATGTCATGTTGTCCATTCATACTAGGATTCTGGTACACCTTGCCCAGACTGCCCAGCAACAGCAGAATGGAGGACATCAACAGCGGCGAGGATCAGACCATTCGCCTCCGAGGATGCTAGGTGCCGAGAGATCCAGCGGAGACGTTAAAGTAGACGGAATGGATCACGAGGAGAATGATACTCTTGCCGCTGAACCTCGGCGTAAAGGTGGACTGATGAGGTCAACAAACGTCAGTTAGACAGGGATCGATCTCGCAAGCATCTGACCTGACATCATGCGATAGGGTCCGACATTCAAAGCTCCTCGTCCTGCCGAGGGTTCCAAATACGGATTAGACAAGCTGGCGGCTGAGAAGCGCGCTGCAGCCGCCATGGCTGCCTCAGCCTCTCAGTCTCAGAGCTCAAAGCGACCGCGGAGCGAGCCTGAGGAGGATGAGAATGGAGCATCGGGCTCTGGTGGAGTATTCAAGGGTGGGTTCTCGCCTTCAAACATGCTCACATACTGCAGTACCTTCCGTTCCCATCAAGCGGGCAGCCGTTCGAGTCCGGCCAGACGAAACACCGAGCCACGGTGGCGGTCTGTCGGATACAGCGAGGGAACGCCTGGAAGCATACAGAAAGTCTAAGAACATGCCTTCGACCTCCACAGCATCCTCCACGAAAGATCGAGAAGGTGAACGCCAGCAAGGTCTGGGTGACTTTCAATCTAGGCTGAATCGCGTCTCGCACGGCGAGAGACGGCGCGACGATAGGGACGATCGTGACTCACGGAATGGCTCGTCTTCAAGTCAGGGCAGTGGCGAGAGACGAGACGATTGGGCTGGAGTAGGGTCATCCTCTCGGGGGAATAGAGGTAGGGAAGATGGCGGGAGTATGCGCGTACCGAATCGCGGGTGGGACGAGACTCCCAGTCGGGGACCGGGTGGATGGGGCAAGTCTAGCGATCCGAGACGTGGGATGGGATGGGATCAAACGCCGAGATCGTCCAGGGATAGTCGGGAGACGGAGGAAGAGATGGAAATGAATGCGAAGGAGTGGGAGGAGGAGCAGGTCAGATTGGACCGGGATTGGTACAATTACGACGATGAGGGCGCCGTGGTAAGCTGAGCCCTTCCTTTGAGTCGAGGAAATGAAGCTGAACTCTTTCAGGCTGGAGACGAGGAGCACAATCCGTTTGCCCAATGGGAGAATCTTGAATCATCCAAAGAGCAAGAACTGGAGGCCAAGGCAGTGAAACGCCAAACAGCTAGACAGGCTCAATTCGTAAGCTTGACCGACCCGTGCGAAAGCTCAAATTACTAGAACGCAGACAACGATCTATGGGAGACGAATCGAATGCAGCAGTCAGGAGTCGCAGCACGTCAAGGAGTAGACTCGGACTTTGACGATGATCAGGACTCCAAGGTCCATGTCTTGGTGCATGACTTGAAACCACCATTCCTCGACGGTACAGTGGCGTATACGAAGCAACTGGAGCCTATCAATCCTATCAGAGATCCAACGAGTGATCTCGCCATCTTCAGTAAGAAGGGCTCAGCTCTGGTCAGGGAGCGCAGGGAGCGACAGGAGCGTGAAAAGGTTAGCACTGATCGGCCTAAGAAACTCCTGATACATGCTCACGCTTTGACTAGGCCGCTGCCAAAGCAGCTTCAATCGCTGGGACTACCCTCGGTAACATTCTAGGTATCAAAGACGAGCCAGATCTTGGCGAGGAGGGGCAAAAGGTGGACGAAAGTAACTACAAATCTGGCTCGCAATTTTCCTCACATCTTCAAAAGTCTGAAGGGGTATCTCAATTTGCGAAGACTCGTACACTGCGACAACAACGAGAATACCTTCCTGCCTTTGCAGTCAGAGAAGAGTTGATGGCCCACATTCGAGATCACCAAGTCATGGTGATTATCGGAGAGACGGGATCCGGCAAGACAACTCAACTCGCTCAATTCCTGTATGAGGAAGGGTACTGTCAACACGGGATGATCGCCTGTACTCAGCCTCGGCGTGTCGCTGCCATGTCCGTCGCCAAGCGAGTCAGTGAAGAGATGGAGTGCGAACTTGGCACGACCGTCGGATACTCCATCCGATTCGAAGACTGTACTGGACCCGAAACAAAAATCAAGTACATGACGGATGGTATTCTACTTCGAGAGTCCCTCAATGAGGGCGACCTGGACCGGTATAGTGCCATCATTCTCGACGAGGCGCATGAAAGGTCACTGAGTACGGATATCCTGATGGGTCTCCTGCGCAAGATCTTGACCAGAAGACGAGATCTCAAGCTCATTGTCACCTCGGCTACGATGAACGCGGACAAGTTTTCCCGGTTCTATGGTAATGCGGCCACGTTTACCATTCCTGGAAGGACCTTCCCGGTCGAGATTTTCCACAGTAAATCGCCCTGTGAAGATTACGTTGATAGCGCGATCAAGCAAGTCTTGCAAATCCACCTGTCGCAGCCCAAAGGTGATATCCTGGTATTCATGACAGGTCAAGAGGATATCGAAGCAACTTGTCAGGTCATACAGGAGCGTCTAGAACAGCTCGAGGATCCAGAGCCTCTGGCCGTCTTACCCATCTACTCGCAGATGCCGGCGGATCTACAAGCCAAGATCTTCTTACCCACCGCCGACGGGCGACGGAAGGTCGTTGTTGCCACAAATATCGCAGAAACCTCTCTTACTCTTGATGGCATTCTGTACGTTGTGGATGCGGGGTACTCCAAACTCAAAGTCTACAATCCTAAAGTCGGTATGGACGCTTTGCAGATCACGCCAATCAGTCAAGCGAATTGCTCCCAGCGTACTGGTCGTGCAGGTCGTACCGGGCCTGGATTCTGTTACCGCCTGTACACCGAGACTGCTTATCTGAATGAGTTGTTCCCAAACAATATTCCAGAGATTCAGCGAACCAACTTGGCCAACACGGTATTGTTGCTCAAGACTCTAGGTGTGAAGAACCTGCTCGAGTTCGATTTCATGGATCCACCACCTCAGGAGAATATCCTCAACTCTATGTACCAGCTTTGGGTGCTCGGGGCACTTGACAATATCGGGGACCTCACACCGACCGGTTTGAAGATGGCAAATTTCCCTATGGAGCCGTCGCTTGCGAAGATGTTGATCGTCGCGACAGAGTACAAATGTTCCGCCGAAATGCTCACTATTGTGTCCATGCTTTCCGTCCCTTCCGTCTTCTATCGACCACTTCAACGAGCCGAGGAGAGCGATGCGGCGAGGGAAAAGTTCTTCGTCCCTGAGAGTGATCATCTCACTCTCCTCCACGTATACACACAGTGGAAGAGCAATGGGTACAGCGATCACTGGTGTATGAAGCACTTCCTGCATCCGAAGCTCATGAGAAAGGCTCGAGAAGTCCGAGGTCAGCTGGAAGAGATTATGCAGACGCAAAAGATGGCAATTCTCTCTGTGGGAACGGATTGGGATATCGTAAGGTGAGATCGGGGCCCGCCTTCTGAGCGACCGTGGATATTGGCCGAAACCTGACTCCTGCCAGGAAATGTATCACTGCTGGATATTTCCATCAAGCTGCGCGAGTCAAGGGTATCGGAGAGTACATGAACGTCCGGACAGGAGTGAGCAGTATACGTCTATCTCCTTGAGAGGCCTCTCGTTGACATCCTACCGCAGTTGCCTTGTGTTTTACACCCCACCAGCGCGTTGTATGGGCTTGGTTGTGAGTCGCTTGGATTGCGACAGAGCGAGAATCGCGGCTGATAGAACCCAGATATGCCTGATTATGTCGTATATCACGAATGTGAGTGCTGAAAGGTGTAAACGACTCGCAATCCAGCGCTGACAGTGTTCCAGTGGTCTTGACATCGAAGCGTATGTGGCCTCAGTGCACGACACGAGAGAGATCCGTACTGATTTTCCTCAGAGTACATGATGTGTGTGACGTCTGTCGACCCGTATTGGCTGGGTGAGTCATCTACACTACAACCTTCGAGATGTCTCGCTCACCGATGCCGCAGCCGAACTCGGAGGTGTCTTCTTCTCCATCCGTGAACGAAACTTCGACGCATTGGCTCGGGCGAAGGCAAACAGAGATTTCAGCAAGAGAACAGAGCTTGAGGCAGACATGGCGAAGCAGCGAGAGGAGTGAGTCGTTCTGCCCGGGATGTGTATTCCGCTAACAATGTCGACAGGATCGAGCGGAGCAAAGCCGAAAAGATTCGATCCGAGGCGATCACCAGGACACCAAGGATCGGAGGTGTAGGTGGCGGGACGACGGCGATGACTCCGCGTCGGGCTGGCATTGGAGCTGGTGTCAGGTCATCGGCCACGCCTCGTCGCCGTGGTGGGGGGATCTAATGGAACTATCAGTCTGTAACATGTAGCATATTTTAAGGGTATCGCCAAATGGGCTGCGGGCGTCGGTCTCTTTTCCAAAAAAAAAAGTCGGGTCGATGACGATCCGGGGTCGTGACATATCGTGTTCATACATATCATAGTCTGCACTGGAAATGAGCAGCTCGAGACTATGTGAAGCCATTGCTTCAAGCAGTCGTACACTTGTGCATGCTGCCCGTCTCCCGCGTCATCGCCCTGGGTCAATCTCGTTGATCTCTCGATCCCGCATCTCCGTCCGATCGCTTTCGCCATCCCAACACGCCAGTAGCTCGGCTCGATTCTTCTCCTCGTCGCGCTCGAGTCTATCGGATCCTCAGCCTTCACGGTATTCCAAGTTCGACACTTCTATGAAGTCAGATGTCCGTGATTCCTCCATTGACCCAAATTCACCAACCGTCTTATCCAATATCGTCAATGCGGATGAAGGTCTGTTGACAATCACCAAATTCTCAGAACATGGCATACAGTTCAACGACGGCACAGTCACGCGATCCGGAGTCTTGGTATTGGGAGGTCAAGTCTTTGGATGGGATGTTCAAGCGCCCGTGGTCAAATCTGGTCAGAGGAGTGGTGGTGGTGGTGGTGTTGAGGGACTGTGGAAAGAATGGACTGAAGACAGGTTTGCCCTCCTTGAATTGGTCACCCCAAAGCCTGGTACGTTTGGAAGCAATACAGTACATTTTGAAAGTGAAACACTCGGCTGATACCTCATCCAGAGATACTACTGTTCGGGACGGGCAGCCGACCTCTTCCTGTACCGCAGAGGATGAAAGACTCAATGTCAAAATTAGGGATCTCACTGGACGTCATGGATTCTGTGAGTTGTCTTGGATCGCCGAGCTGCCTGCACACAGGAGCCAAGGCTAGCGTGGTGTGACGCTCTGGGGTCACTGCTGATTGGACTGCTCACAGCGTAATGCTGCGTCGACATTTAATCTGCTTCAGGAGGAAGGACGTCAGGTCGGACTGGCACTTTGTCCTCTGGTGTCGACGGCGTCATAGGCGCTAGCCCTTGAAGGGGGCCAGAAACATCGGCCGTCAAGTTCTTAGTAACTGAGCATAGCCGCGAGCCATGGATTCGGCGCGGGCGAAGATGTGAATCTTGTAGTATCAAGGTCTGTAATCTGTGCATTGCGTCTCTCTTTCAATTAATCATACACTATCGGTTACATCAGTAAAGAACACTGCGTACACGTCCTGGACACTCACCATGTATCAGAGCATAGCCACCAATCCAGAACAAGAGGAAGCCGAGGAAGTTTTCCTGGCCCAATCCCATCAATCCTACCCATCCTCTCCATTTGCGGACACCTATACGATCTGAGCCGACCAACGGGACGTGAGACCCAGCCACGTATTTGCCCATGTTACCGTGACAATTGATGATGCCAAAGACTAGTGCTGAAGAGACCGCTGTGAGAAGGTAGAGGAGGAAACCAGTGTAGTTTTGAAGGCCGAGAACGCCAGCGACTAGGCCAGAAAAACAGGCAGAGAGCTGAGACTTGTCAGCGCCGGCAGACTCGAGATAGGATAGAGAGAATGAGAGTAGCAGCTATGACCAGGCGAGGGAAGAGCGAAAAGGAGCCTTATAGACATACTGTGGATAAAGAAGACAAGACTCTAACATTGTGCTGAACAGCGGGAGGGAATAACGGGGATGCTTTACCAGCTGTCGAGCTAGTATCACCAGGTGCAGGGGCACCAGGTACTGGAGGCTGGGCCACTTGGGGCCCTGCCATACTAGGGTCCATGACGATGCAGTCGGAGTTGTCGAAAGGTCGTAATGTGTATGTTCAGATTCCACAGTGTCAGAATTGAAGCGCCCGTTCAAATGATCTGGGCGATGGATTTTATGAGTGGCAGTCAGTCATGCCCTGGAACCCGTACCCTGCTATCTTTCAAAACCCCACCCGATGCATGCCTGCGTCCGACTACAGACTACAGACCGAGAAGCCAGCCTCATCTGCCAGAGATTAAGAGCTACAATGTCCAAACAATCAGCGGCCTCACAAAGCCATCCCTGGCGCAGGCTGAACATAGTCTGAATCCGAATAATTCATGACTCTCAGCCTGCTAGGAGTCTCCCTTCCGCTGATGGAGGGATTATCAAATCCTGAGACAGGGATGACCATGGGGTTACTTGCCCTTCTCATCGTCGAGTCATAAGACACCACCCGATTGGTGGGTGTCACGGTACCGCTCGATCCGGGACTGGAAGGGGTCACTGGCCTAATATTGATGGACGGTGCGGATCCCCTTCTGCCCATATCGACGAGAGTTCTCCCTCCCAGAGGAGAAGAGACGGCTCGAGGAGAGCCACTCAATCTCGTCAGATGAGGGTTGTGAACGTTCAGAGGGAGAGTCTCCGAGACTCGCCTGCCATGTCCGGGTTGAAGGACGACTCGATTAATGGAAGGCGAAGTCGGTGTCCTTGGCGAGAGAGTCTCAGTGTGGGCATGAGATCTCAAAGTTGAAGAAGGATCAATGGATCGGAAGGCAGGTCTGATTTGAAGTTCCTGAGCCAACATATTCCAGTCGAGTCCATCCGTTTGAGACGGATGGAAATTGTCGACGGGTTGAGTGGGCGTCATGGATCCAGGGTCCAGCTCAAGTCCGGGTACGAGGTGCGCTTGACCATCATCTGTTGGGGTACCGACTCGCGGCGAGCTATCGGTACCGACGGGAACAAGAATTTCACCATCGTCAGAGAAAGGGTTGTGGCTGCTACAAGTAGAAGCTACGCCGGCAGAGCTAGGTGGACGTTGAGTGGGACCGGTGGAGATGGACGGGTTTCGAGAAGGAGGAGCACTTCGATTCTGATCCACTTTACCGAGACCAAAGTCGATTTCTTCCCATTTCATAGACTTCTCGTTCAGCCGCGATGTCTTTCGCATAGATCCGCCGGCTCCTGGAGCATTCGAGGAGGTTGAGTCGGACCTGTTCCGACGGGCAATCCGTTTCACTGCGGAGACAATGTCTGTGAAGGCATTTCCTTCCTTCTCGTTGGCATCTCGCCCAAAGGAGAATTGAGTGTCGGTACGGCGAAGTCGGACAGGCTGGACGGGTCTCGTGAAGTCGCCATCATCATCTTGAGCAGAGAACGAAAAGTGTTTGGCCATTCGTCGCTTTCGATTGATGCGGACTTGACGACGGATGAAGAACAAAAGAACAGGCACAATCAACAAGATACCAACGACAACAGGGACGACGATAGTCGTCGTCGTCTTTTCAGATGAAGGAGCAGACATGTCCGACTTTGTTTCGGTAGGGGATGTCGCTGCGACTCCAACATTGGTACTGTTTGATGAATTGTTGACTGTGTACTGGTCGAGCATGTCGGCGGACCAAGACGACTTCCAGGTCCACTCGCTGATGGACGGACCTCTTGCGTCAAGATAAAACACATCCGAACGTGGTACGCCGTCAGGGCTCAATCCGAAAGCGATGATCATGACGCCGGATGGAGTCATGATGGACGTATGGTATGCGGCGCCAGTGGAGGCAGGAGGTTGCAGGTTCGAGGGAGAAGACCACACCCAAGAGGTGGTGTTGAGGACGGCGAGTAAGGAGCTTCCATCAGTCGCGGATCCTTCTGACTGGGGATTAGACCCGCCATGGAGGACACTAGGGAAGAGGTCAGCTTATCACGGCGTGTCCAGGAAAGTTGAAAAAGCTCACAGCAAGTCGAGACTTGGGTGAGCTACCAAAGTAGCTCCCAATCGACCTGATGGGACTTGACCAGTCGTTGATTGCGACTGCCATCCGTTGGCCTTGGTCCACATTCCGATGGTGTCAAGCGAAACAAGCGCTCCGGTGGAATCCTGACCGGCAACGAGATACAAGGAGTGATCTGGTGCATGGGCAAGGGCAAAATCAGAGATTGCCAGATCTGAACCAGTCAGATCGGTGGGTAAGTTTCGAGAGGAAATCATGGAGCCCGTCCCGAGGGGAAGAGACAAGATGTCTGACACGGGATAGGTGTATGTGGCGGAGGCTGAGAGAAAAAGGTCAGCGCGTTGGAAGATGCGGCCTTGAGTAGCACTCACAACAGACATAGTGGTCCGAGATACCACCTACGACCATAATAGCACCTTGACTGGAACCATTATCCACCCAAGTGGCAGCAGCTCCTCGCCTCCGAACAAGTCGGGTCGGGTTGGCCGCGGTCCACCCATTGGAGCCAGGGCCAAGGGTATGAGTGACGGCATCCGAACCGCAATTCGAGGTCATTCCTCCAACGACGATGATCGAGTTACCATCCTCGGCCAGAGTTGCCGAAGCGAATGCATGAGGAGGTAGTCCCGTTGTCGGTCCAGTCAGGAACGAAGGATTGTCTTGGTTGAGCTGAACCATTTTCCGTCAGAGTCCGAAATCTCCCCCTGGCAATCAAACTCACAGGCAAGATCAACACATCATTGGTGATCTCTTCATTGGCCTCAACGACCTGACCTCCAATCACGTACATTGCCTGATGTCCAGGCACGTAAACGGACTGGTGACCCCATCGCCCAGCGGGAGGGGATGCCATGGTGAATGGCAGAGAGAAGAGGGAGAGCCCCAATCCCACAGCGCTGAAGGTGAACATTGCGGGGCAGCGGGCTCAGTGGAGTCAGGAGAAAGTGAATGAATGTGAGGTCCTCGTCTAGAGGAATGTGAGTGTAATTTTTCGCTGAGCCTGCAGCACGGAATGACCAGATGAGAGAAGATGAGTTAGAAGGAGTAGAGATGGGAGAAATACATGTATCGCTCTTTTTCTTCCTGGAGCCCTTCTGTCAGCGATCAGGCAGGACCCTGGCCCCTTGTGCGCAGCCCCCCCCTCTCTCTCTCTTCCTCTCTGTGTTCTAGGAACAGTCCATCCGGGAGAACATTTTTGGAAGATCAGCCTTCTATCTGATGGGATATATCAGAAGTCAAAGACAGCCAAAAGTGCAAGCCTCCCAGGAGGAGGGTAAACGGCGGAAAGCGCCGAGCCCAGTGACGAGACACATGCTTACGTCAGATACTACTCCCCTATTTTCCACGTGGCTCAGAAGTTCAAAAGTTTATGTGCATTGGAGAAAAAAAGTTGAAGCGAAAGGAGTCGGTGAATCAGTTGAACAACTTGTACAGTCTTCTGTCAGGTCTGAAGCAGCGACAGAGACAGCTTGATTGCTTCAGAGAAGACGACAAGTAATACCAGTACCTTGCACGTTCTCATCGCTTAATCGGCCAGCTTCATTCCCCCGCCTCCTCCCGCAGCATGTCCGACGAGGCCATCAAGGTGGATGCACCTGTCGAGGCTGTTCCCGAATCAACAGTCCCAGCAGAGCACTCCGAGGAAACTTCCTCCTCGACCCTTGAAACCAAGACAGAGGCTCAAGAATCGAACTCCACTGCCGCCAAGTCTAGCGAGAAGGCCAAACCTTACGCTGACGATATCTCCGACTCTAAACCAGATGCAGAATACGATCTGACAGTACCTGAGATTGAAGGCAAGACCAGCGAGGAGGTCGAGGACCTCATGGCCAAAGTTGCGAAGCAGAGTGAGTAAGCGTGACTTCGTCATTTTCGTAGTGTCTGACATAGCACTGTAGTCAACTTTTACTTCTCCGATGCCAACCTTCCTCAGGACAAATTCTTCTTCACCCTCACTGTGTGCAACCCCCAAGGATGGGTTCCTATCGAGACCATCATGACCTTCCAGCGAATGCGAGAATTCGAACCTTTAGGCGTTCAATTTGCCGCTAGAGCCGTGAGACGAGTCATCAAGAGCGAAGGCAGCGATCCGTTGTTGTCAGTCAGCGAGCATGGTCTCAACGTCCGCAGAATTAGGAAGCTCGAGCAGGGGTCCGGATCTAGCGCCTACGATCGTTCGGTCTATGTCGTAAGTTTCATGCGTTAGCCGAAACCGGAATTTGGACTTACAGCCTTGCAGAAAGGATTTGGAGAGGGCGATACCGAGGAGAACACTCAAGAAGCGTTGGAAAAGTACTTTGAGCAATTCGGCGAAATTCTGGCAGTTAGGAAACGAAAAGAAGATGCACCAGGTGCTGGGACACATTCGACCTCAGTCGCCAAGAAGGGCAAGTTCAAGGTGAGTTCTTCCTCCATGCCCACCGGGTTCCTTTGCAGCTCACTTACCTCACTCAAGGGGTCAGTCTTCGCCGAATTCCGGCATGCTTCAGATATGGAAAAGTTCTTGGCACTCGAGGAGCTGCCCAAGTTCACTCCTGATGGACCAAGCATGACATTCATGTCCAAGTGAGCGAATTCATGTGACAATTGCAACCATTTCTGATGCCACGTCCTTCGCCAGAGACGCCTACGTCCAGATGAAGGCTAAGGAGAAGGGGATTGACATGAAGAGCTCCAAACGTGGCCCAGACAGACATCAGCGATCTGTTCCAGGCAAGTTCAACGCCTTCAAAGAAATGGCCAAGATCGAGGCCGGAGAGCTCCCAGATCTTGCCAAGATCGCGCCGTCCACAGCCGTTATTGGCAAGCCTCCTGCCGTTAGATCTACACAGAGAGATGGACGAGACAGCAACAAGCGATCAAGAGATCGAGATGACGATGGAGAGGACAAGAGGGCTAAGTGGGCAAAGCTTGAAGTGGGTGGTCATGTCTGGGGTCATTGTCGAGCCTCTGCTGAACATGCCCTTCAGGATCTCACCCTCGAGTACAACGGCGTTGAGCTCAAGTGCGATCCTACTACTGGAGAGGTTCGGGAACCTGAGAAGGTTGCTTTCACACCCAACGCCGTGGTCAAATTCGTCAACTGTGGCAAAGATGGTGACTGGAAGGACTTGAAAGTGAGCATTTCACATTCTAGGTGGCAAGCTTGTGCTGATTGTATGTTAGCAACGGGTCATCGACAATGGCATTGAGAAGCCTTTCATCGCTTATCCTCCTGGATCCGAGTTTGGACGACTTGCCAAAAGTGACGGTACCGAGATCTCAGAGGATGAGATTCGGAAATTGAACGAGGCCAATATCCCCTTCGGAGGCTCCCAACTGCTGTGGGAACGCATGCCTGAGGATGCTCAGCGAGATTTCTGGGTTATCCGAGCAAACTTCCAGGGCAAGATGCTTGCGGACAAGCAGAACGGCGAGCGAAAAGGAAACGGGCATTGGGAGGATCGACGGAACGGTGGAGGCAGAGGACATGGAGGACGAGGTGGTGGACGGGGAGGACGAGGGGGCAGAGGAGGTGGCAGAGGTGGCAGAGGAGGACGTGATGGTCGTGGGGGCCGAGGAGGACGTGATAGGGATAGAATGGACGAGGACGATTCGGGTATGCCCCCGAAGGTAGCTAAAGCGACCAACGATGACTAAAGTTGTCAGGAGGGCTTTTTGTCATCAAATCGTAGAGGAGACTGGCGTGTCCTTTGTAGGGCAGATCGAAAGATTTGATATGAGTTAGATGTAACGATATGACTTGCGTGCAATGATATACATGCTCTCAAGCAAACACCTTCTTCCTGCTCAATTGATCCTCACCCACTTCCTCTCTTCTGCGCTTGCCTCGCTCATCACGTTCCGATTGACCTTCCTTCCTCACTCTGTACTTCTCACCTTGAGCCCTCTTAACGCCCGCCCTCATGGCCGTGGGACTGACGAATTCGGCATTCTGGAACAACGTGGGTCCGCCGAAAGATCCCTCAAAGATCCTGATTGGGGTCATGACGAGACGGGGTCCGATCTCAACGAGAGAAGTCTGTGGTGGTCCAGATGGTTGCTGTGGGTCTTTCTCGATTATCTGAGGAGTATCAAAGTGAGTAAACGGAATACGAATGCCTCTTGCGCGGCGTACCTGATAGTTTCTGAACCAGATCTTGTTATCAAGGATAGAGAAGAGGAGAATGTGATCGATGAATGGTTTCAGCTTCCGAGATGTCCTTGGGACACTGAAGACCTGGGCATTATGTTCAGCGCGGGACGTAACGGATCAATGACCACCACTGACATGCGTGAACATCTCCTTGAGCAATTTCCAGTGCTCGTCCTCGTCCCAGCCACCGTCAAATACACAGATACCTCGACTGCCTCGAAGACAATTTCCAGTCATCTTGAGCTCATCCATCGTGTGGATGTTCTGCACGTGACACTTGACAGACGGGCCATTGGGTGCTCGACAGAGCCACAAGTACAGGTCCTCATGTCGCCTGACTTCGAAGAAAAGAGTATTGTTGCACGAGTGAAGATCCGCGATTTCGTTGACCAGGTGCAAAGAAGATTTGGTGTCGAGCTTCGAATCTGAAGGCTGCCTTAGCACATATGGATCATTTTGAGGAAGCAGCAACAGGCCTCTCACCCTTCTTTGTATGCGGCAAGAGGACCTCCAAATCTCTCATGAGGTGCCTGTGTCTCTGCGTCACTCCTCTCGAACAGAGCATCAAGACTTTGTCCTTTCTCGGTTTCGAGCTGGAACCTTCGGCAGATTGTTCCAATTCATTCTGGTCGGCCTTTGATTTGCCCTTATATCCAGCTCCACCTCCCTCTCCCATGCCCTTGTGTTTTGCACTCTTCAGCAAACTCGCCATAGTGTCCGATGTGTCGAAAATATCGCCAGGAAGTGAAACTTTGTCAAAAAGGTGAGAATCTCAAAACTTTTGGTCAGACAGAGCCAATCCGCTTTCACGTGGTACGGAGATTCAAGCTGTACTCCGTGGTCTATCAACTCCGATCAGGGACAGCCAGGGCATCATCTTCCGCCGGCAATCCCTTCCCCTCCTCAAGGAACGGGAGCAGCGGTCGGATCTATACATACAGTTTGCCTGCTGAGCGGCGGCTGGACTGATATCCCCGTCCCTGCCTCCCTCTGCTCCTCAGCACGGCCTCCACGAGATGAATGGGGTTGAAAGTAGTATCGCCAAAGGGGAAAGATTGGGCATAAATCAGGCTATCCATCCCAAAATTAACAAACATCGGATAACCCTGCCGTAAGAGCCTTCCTTCCTTCCTTCCCACTTTGTGCCCATATATATTCCCTGATTCTGTAAAGTTTTGTCGGGAACATGGTGGCTTTTTGCTGGTCCCTAGCGATTCGTACGTACTCTGAGTTCCGTAGAGTTACCGCATTCCAAGGCCGCACGGTAGAGTCCATTAGTTGTGGCACAGAGATGATAGGGAGGCTTTCCAGCAAGGCGCCTGTGCGACGCCTCATGTATATATATATGAATCGGGGAGCAAGAACCGCACTGGGAAGCGAGGAATGAGAGACAGCTTGCTTAAAACAGATCTCATCCGAGGGGAGTAATGGTGCGGCGCAGAGGGGTTGAGAATCGATGTATTGAGGAAAAAAATGGCATCAGCGAGATACACAATCCAGGACCGCCCCGGATTCTCCGACATAAGCCTTGAGACCTCCTGGCATCGGTCACTTTTGCCAGTCTTCATATTCGAGGTCCAACTACGTGCGTCCTTAGGGGCATCATGTCAGCCAACGCATCTTGTGAGTGTTTGACGCCATTCGTCTGCCACTTTGTATCTGACCAATGGGATGCGTCCAATAACGTTCTTCTTCAGGCTGGAGTATAGTCGTTGCCGATGTGAATCGGAACGTCTCGGTACCATGTAACATGGTGACGGGTTCTCTAAACCTTTTCAGCGGTAAAGTCGAATATGGTGAATATGGGTACTTCCTCACGAAGTCTGCCACTTGGCTGTGAGTCGCGAATCGCTGAAGTTGTGTGGACCTGAACGATCTTTATGTTTAGGTTTTTCGGTGCAGATACCGTTTTCTTCGGTACGTCAACTTCTCATAATCTACGTGTGTAAGAGACCGACCCAGACTATAGTCATGCAGCTCGTTATGGGGGTCTACTGGCGGACGTGGTGGACTCTGCCAACACTAGGTATGGGAGCTCTGGGTAGGTTGGTGAAATTAATGTGGCGAATCATGTTTGACCTTCTCTCCCGTAGTGGAAGTTCTGGGCGTGAGTCTCCGAGTGACGCTTCGAGTGTACATCCTCATGCTTCCAGTGGCTGGGTCGAGTGAAAAGCCTGTCGACTCTAGAATGGCAGCCGAATCAAGGAGGAACGTGGTATTACAATTTCAATGATTTTGTCATGCAGTGAGTGCCCCTCGTGTGAGAAGATATACTACACGTGCACCGGGCTCAACAATATGCAGGGACTGCTTGCTCGTGATAGCGCCCACATTCTTTTCAGCTGCCAATTATGTGTTCCTTGGAGAGTGAGTGAGCCCAATCAAACTGGTCATTTCATGTCTGACTTCTTTGCAGGCTCATTGTGCGCACAAAGTCAGTGTTCATGGCCACATTTTTTACCATACCTTGACCTGAACAATTACACAGCACCATGTACTCTTCTATCGACATTCGATCCTACCGCATAATTTTCATCACCTCCGATGTCCTCTGTCTATTCATCCAAGCTGGTGGAGGTGCCTGGGCAGGGACGGCACCCCTTGGTCACGCCCAAAGGGGCGCCTACATGATGACAGCAGGAATCATCCTTCAGCGTGAGCTGGCCTTACGCCAACCAAATCTTTCACTGTGCTGAGTTGGTTCCAAGTGGTCGTCACAGTCGTTTCTATTATACTGTACATCGAGTGGTTATATCGATGGAGCAAGAATCGCCCAGTCATCCGCCAGTATCGACCATTCGCTCTTAAACAGAAAAACCGCTCAGACAACGTGGAGCGACCGGAGTCGTCCCTTCCAGCCGACACCGACTCCCATGAGCACATCAACAAAACAACATCAGCATCAGATTCATCTCCAGACACCGACACCGACAAGGAGCATGAAAGTCAAGCAGGACCAGAGGCTTCTATGACCCACACTTTGGACTTTGGCGCGGTGCCATTGGAACAGCCACGCAGGCTCCGCCTTATGGCCAAGCTTCTTGCTTTTACGACTCTTCTCATCGTCATCAGGTAGGATAGAAGCAAGCGATGATCTCTAGTGTCGTCGATGCTCACATGTGCGTTCAGGTCCCTCTTCAGATCAGTGGAGCTGGCGGATGGTTGGACTGGTGCAATCGCCACTAATGAACCTCTGTTTCTTGTTATGGACGCGGCCATGATGGTGAGATAGGGCTCACTTGGCCGGGATTCACAGCTAATGAGAAAACTCCAGACGGCACTCCTCTTCTTGTATTCGCTCATCCATCCTGGGCTGTCTATCGGTCGCCCTCTCAAGTTTTAAGCCTCGATTTGTACCCTGATTTGGGCCTGAGATTCGCTTTTTTTACTCACGCATCACTGGTCAGCGCTTTTGGGCTTCTGGAAAGGACAGTAGTAGCCGTAGATGGATGTGATCGGTGCTTTTCGCCTAATTCCTCATGCACTGACAGCCTGATGTAACTCTAGAAAACAAACAGGATTAAAAAAGCTCAGTCGGTGCCTCAGTTTCAAGACCGTGTGAGCGGACGTGAGGGTGACTCGGCGAGCGACGCGATGAAAATCATATTCACGAGCCAAATTCCCCTTGAACCTGGTATTGCAGCGATGATGAGTAAAACAGTAATCTGATATCTTGTCGAGTCTACGATGACCGAATGAGTCACAGTCTGGCGAGGTACTTCACAATGATAGAACCTGCAACACAAAGGAGGAATCAAACACCAAGTATATCTCCTGGCCAAAGTCGGAGAAGCTTGTACGGATAAAGGAGGACCTTGGTTCAGGTTGCGTACTGAGAAAGTTATAAGGGACGTCTTGATCGCGCCCCTCAGGCTCCTTATCATACCCAATCACCCTCAGGTAACCCCCTGACAAGCTCACCAGTCCTAAGACATCACAACGTCCTCACGTAGTTACGCAACCTACTCATCATGCCGTTGCCGTTCTACAAACCTGCTCCTGCGCCTTCAGGCGTTTTCAAGGGGGAAACCTTCCCTCAAGACACAGCCAACCCACTCTCAAGACTCTTCTTTCACTGGATCACGCCTCTGATGAAAGTAGGCTATTCCCGACCTCTCCAAGCCGAAGGTGAGTAACTCAACTCGATTGATGGATAGGCGAATTCACAGCTCGTCTTAGACCTCTGGACACTCCCCGAGAGCATGTCAAGCCGTACAGTGAGCTAGCTTGTGACGTTAGGGAGCGTGCACGTATCCGCTAAATCACCCCACAGATGGCTGACCGTCTGGAGCTGGAGTGGATGAAGCGAATCCCACCGTCACTCCGACCCGAGAAATATCAGACCAAAGCCCTCAATGAGAATGAAAAGGCAGCCGACCAGAGTTCTGATCGTCTCGCAGTGGAGGTGCCCAAAACACCAAGACTTCCCGCGCAAGACTCATTCGAAGACAACACGCAGACATATGGCAAGCGCAAGGCAAAGCATATCGCATCGGGCAAATGGGCTGTTGAGTCAGGCAAGATATACAACATGTCGTTTCCCAAAGCTGTGTATGCTACAGACATGCGATCAATCATCATCTCATCCATCCTGGTCATCTGTGCAGGTAAGGATCCCTACACACCATAGTTTCAGTTGCTGATCCGGGCTCCTACTCAGCTGCGCTGACAGTTGCGTCCCCACTTGTGACCCGTATCTTGATCCGACAGATCGTACTCGCTCATGACTATCACCAGGACGTTGAAGCTGGACGTCAACCGCCAGGACAAAATCCTTCAAAGCCGATCGGGTATGGTATCGGTGTGGCTGCTGGACTGTTCGCAATGCTTTACTCGAGCGCCGTCTTCGAAGCTCAAGGGATGCAACGGTCATACATGCTCGGCTCTCTGCTTAGATCTGGGGTGAGTCCTCACGCACGCATCGGAGCCAGCATCGGAGCCATTGGATTTATCAGATCAGGCTATCGACTTAATCTCTCGGAAGTCGATGTGAGTGATCGTTGGCCTGCCAGGGCCAGAACCTTTGCTAAGCCTCTCTCCAGGCGGCTGTCAGGCAAATCGAGACTTACGATGACAAACGGGAAAATCAACAATCTGGTCGCCGCTGATGCCAGCTTCCTGGTGAGGCTTCTCCCTTCCTCGTTGAGACGTCTACCAGCTGATGCACTTGACAGGAATGGACATTCGTACACGCTACTAGGTGTCCGGGATTCGTCCTACAGATCATCATCGGGATCGCCTTGTTGGTCTGGTTCCTCGGCTATTCCGCATTGGTCGGGCTGGGCGTGAGCACCTCTGTCTTGCGTCGTGCCGTCTCTCTCTGACCGCCGGACCAGCTCCTCATAGGTACTTCTCCTTTGCAAGGCGTTCTCTTCACTCGTCTCTTGAGGCTGCGAACAGAGCAGCAGGATATCGTCGATGACCGGATCAGACTATTGACGGAAATCATCAATAACATGCGAGCCGTCAAACAATATGCCTATGAAGATGTATTCGCAGCTCGAGTCATGGCACTCAGGGAAATGGAGCTGAACAAGATCCGAAGCTATACTTTCGTACGAGGTGAGCGAGCTTTTCTCACAGGTATCGACCGCAGACGACACTGATTTCTCAGCGAATGTCAATGCTACATTCTTCTTCATGCCCGTCCTCGCTGCGATTCGTGAGCTGGCCCGCCTCATTCAGCCGCCTGACATTCTCAGTCACATTTGTTACGTACAGCCTAACTGGTCATGAGCTCGATGCAGCAACCATTTTTTCCTCCCTTCAGCTATACAACATCATCAGTGACCCCGTTCAGCAATTACCCATGGTGCTGTCCAATTTCATGGATGGATTGGCTGCAATGCGTACGTTGTTGCAGTCCAGGCTGTGATGGCCGCGCTGACATGAAGCAGGACGGATCGGGGATCTTTTCAAGGTGAGATTTAATGCAGTATTTTGGTGAACCCATCCCAGGGTCGTTACTGATCCGGCAATCATAGTCAGATGAGCTCCGAGAGCGACTCGTCATCGATGGGACTGCCTCAATGGCAGTCAGTATCTCAGGGGACTTTCAGTTCGACAGTGCAGCGCCTCCTGATCAGGCAAAGCGCAGCGACTCGACCACAACCACTGATAAGGATAAGCCATGTCGGGAGGGGACACCTGACGCGGAGAAGGAATCTGATGCAGACAGGCAACCCTTCGCCCTTCGAGACTTGGACCTCTCGATTCCACATGGCGCCTTGGTCTGTGTGATTGGTCGCGTAGGCACTGGCAAGACCTCGCTTCTTTTGGCTATGATCAATGAATTGCGTCAGCTCCACGGAGAGATTGTTTTTGGCGGACCAGTCAGCTATGGTGAGCGCGACGGGGAATCAAAGTTGGATACCTCTTGAACTCAGATCCAGTGCCACAACATGCCTGGGTCCAGTCTGGAACGATCCGCGAGAATATAACCTTTGGTAAACCTGAGAAGCCGGATCTCTCGAGAGTAAACGAGGTGATCGATGCCTGCGCCCTTCGACCTGACGTAGAGATGTGGCACGATGGCGATCTGTGAGTCCTCGTTGCGAAGAGACCCGGGTCCATGCTGAGCCCTTCCACCACAGGACCAAGGTTGGGGAGCGAGGTATCACTCTTTCCGGAGGTCAGCGTCAGCGGATCTGTATCGCTCGGGCTGCGTACGAAGACAGTGCGGTTGTTCTTCTGGACGATCCGCTTTCTGCGGTTGACGCCCATGTCGGGCATCATCTGGTAGAGCACTGTCTTCTTACAGGGCCATTTGCGAACCGGACTCGTTTCCTGGTCACTCATCAGCTGGACGTACTTCCACATGCCGACATAATCCTAGTCATGGACAGAGATGACGACAACGAAGGCCGCATCGTACAGCAAGGAAGTTATTACGTGGGTTGCGTCCGTTGTTCGTCCAAACTCATTCTCTTGAACAGGATCTTATGGGACAGGAGGGCATTTTTCGCACGCTCATCGACGATTTTGGAACTGTCAAGTCTGAAAGTAGCGGCTCCTCCTCAGAATCTGGAGAGGACAACGAAGCCAAGGATAAGGCTTCCGATGGCAAGTCAGCTGCAAATCATATCCCAGCAAGAACCACAGCGGCTGCTGGCGGTGGTGGTGGTCACATCATCGTCGATGAAGAGCGTCTCACTGGATCAGTCTCAGGAGCAGTGTACAAGCGGTATCTAGCTTCTGTGAATTCTTGGAGGCACATTTTTGTGGCGGCGTTCTTTTTGATCGCAACACAGATTGCGAATGTCGGAAACTCTCTCTTCTTGGGTTACTGGTCTGCGGGCTCTATCCCTGGTTTCTCGCAGGGTCAGTACATGGGCATTTACGCTGGTGAGTGAACGATCAATCCGGATCGACGACCCAAACCTGATTTTCCCAGGGTTCGGCGCTGCCTATGCTCTCTGTATCGCAAGTCAAGCATTCCGGATATCGATAGGGTAACGCTGACCCTGTGGTCTTCTTCAGTGGGGAAGCATTTTTAGCATGATTGTCGCTGGTGTTCGAGCAGGCTTCGGAATGTTCAACGAAGCATTCTACAAAGTCATGAGATCTCCGACCGCATGGCATGATAAGACGCCTGTGAGTATACACCATGGGACGTTCACGCGCAACTGACAGCGTCGTAGACTGGTCGAATCATCAGTCGTTTGTCGAAAGGTGAGGCATGAATCGACCTTGCCGTCTCGTTTGCGTCTTATAGAATCTTCAGATATCCGGATGTTAGACGACAAGCTTGCGCAATACTTTCAGCAACTCCTGTCGTGAGCTGACTTGATGTTGTCCTCGAACTGACAGTTGCAGCAATGTCTTGGCTCTCTTTGGGACATTCGCTCTGGTCGTCTACGCCTATCCCTGGTTGGGACTTGCATTTATTCCCCTCCTCTTCTATTTTGTGAGCTAGACCGCGTTCTGATCATCTGAAAACTGATCAGAATAAAGTATATCTCAGCAACCTACTACCGACAGACATCCAGAGAAGTCAAGCGAGTCGACAGCAACCTTCGATCCCACGTCTACTCATCATTCGCAGAGCAAGTGAGCGTGCCGTTGATAGATGACAACAGACGCTGGATGATCATTTTCAAGCTCGCTGGGCTGGCAGTCATCCGAGCATTCAATCAGCAGCTCAACTTCCAGAAGAAAGTTCAGGATTCGGTCGATGATCAGAATGTAGGTTTACCCTCGAAGATTCGTTACTGTGGTTGATCATTTGCCAGCGCGCATACGTGTTGACTGTAGGTGCACTCTGACTGACCAATGCAAGGAAGGTGACTGACTGAATGGTGGAAGATCACGACTCAGCGGTGAGTCGCTGCAGCGTTCAGTCGCTGTCAAGCAACATGTTTTGACGCACCATAGCTGGCTGTACCTGCGTATCGAACTCGTGGCAGATCTCTTGGTAATGGTGAGATGATAAATTTTCAGGAAGACTTTGCTCAATCTCCTAGCTTATCGCAATGTTCGGTGTCATCTTCCGAGAGTCCGTCAACGCCGCAAGGTTCGGAGTGGTACTCACTTACACCTTGGCGGCGACATATAGTGAGGTCCCATACCGACCGCTGGCTGACTCCGAATCCAGCAATGACAAGTCTGGTTCCCGTCTTCGCAGTCTGCGAACAGGAAATGGTGTGTTGCCGCGCGATTTCCGCTGACGGATAGAACGACGTGGAACGAATCCAGCATTACATGGATTTGGAGACTGAGGCAGAGGCAAAGAAACCGACCGACCCGACTGAAGAACAGTGGCCCACGAAAGGCGAAGTCAATTTTGCCAACGTTCAACTCAAGTACCGGGATGATCTACCTCTGGTACTCAAAGGACTGTCCTTCACCATCAGATCCGGCGAGAAAGTTGGGATCATTGGTCGCACTGGAGCCGGCAAAAGTTCGATCGCCCAAGCGCTCTTCAGGACTGTGGAGATATCTGACGGTGTGATTTCCGTTGACGGAGTCGATCTCAGTGGTCTGGGAATTGACACCGTAAGTTTGTTCACCGCACCTCAGTATCCTCCGACTTATATATGCTCCGCTCAGCTTCGAAATGGTATTGCGATTATCCCTCAGGATGCTTTCCTGTTCGCCGGAACAGTTCGGTGAGTGGAGGTCAGAGTGGAAAGAAATCATCTAATGATCGACTCACAGGGACAACATGGACCCCAAGGGGCTCCGCTCCGATGCTGAGCTGAATGATTCCCTCAATCTCATTCAGAATAGCGCAGGTGCATCTCACAGCTTGCGCGACAAGTTCAGATTGGATGCACCAGTCATGGCAGAGGGTTACAACTTTTCTGCCGGAGAAAAGCAGCTCCGTGGGCTCACTCGTTGAATACGTGTCTGACAATGTCTCAGTCGCGTTGATGAGAGCGTTGGCTAAAGGATGTAGAGTCCTCCTGCTGGATGAAGCTACCTCCTCGGTCGACCCCGAGACGGACGCACTGATCCAAAAGATCATCCAAACGGAGTTCTCACATGTGACAGTAAGTTCGCAAGCCTCGCTTCTGACGGTGCGGTAGATTAATTCTCTCACACAGCTCATCTCGATCGCGCACCGTCTTCAAACGGTCGCTTTCTACGATCGTATCCTCGTCATGGATGCTGGTGAAATTGCAGAGGTGAGTCTTAGTGGCATCGCCACTTTTTGGACTGACATGTTTACATCAGTTTGACACGCCTCTTGCATTATTCGACGACTCGAACTCCATCTTCAGGACCATGTGCGAGAAGAAGGTGAGACGGATCGTCAAGTAGCAGTCCAGGCTGACCATCATGCAGAGTATCACTCGGCAAGATCTACTGCGCATTCAAGCGGATGCCGAAGCAGCCATGACAGCGCACAAGACACAACACGGAGCTTCTACTATTGCGACAGCCTAGACAGCATCGCGCTTTTTGGCAAGCATGCGGTTTACAAAGCATACTGTAACATGTTTATATTGTATAATTAGTTGCATCGGTGTCACACTCGATACATTGATCATCAGATGCAGAAATTGTGTACAGAGGAGAGACACACACACAGAGAGAGAAACACAATACAGCTGGGGAACAAAAGTCCGTGTCCGCCATCCACCACCGCCCAACAGCAGACAGCCTTGATCTATCTCTCGGCTCAGATGCCAATATCTATGGCCCGCAGTCAAACTAGTGAAGAGGTTGAAAATCCCAAAGTCATCAAAAGATAAAGTCGTCCGTTTCCATCACATGATCACACATCCGTCGCCCTTGGATTTACCGAGGCCGTTGTCTTCTTTCATAGCTTCCATCTCTAATCTCCTGTCGAGAGCGTGAACTCCCGTCCGGTTATTCGCTAGCAATCGCTTTTGAGCTCGTTTGTCGCCAGCTTCCGCTGCTTTACGATAATATTTCATGGCTTCGTTCAGATCTGGAGCGGTTCCAACGCCAGTCTGAAGAATAACCATCAGTCAAATGGTTCACGAAAGATGTGGGAAGCCCGCGCACCTCTGTAAAGTAGCCGACGGCATATTGAGCTTTTGCCAGGCCTAATTCCGCGGCTTTTTTGGCCCATAAATACGCCTCTGTATCGGATTGCGGTAAGACGCCAGGCGATCCAACGAGATACCACGCTGTCAGGGCGAAGCAAGCATCTCGGTGATCCTGCATTGCAGCGATATTCTGTCGGACAGTCAGTCAGCTGCTCTAGTGTGAAGCATCCGCCAGGTCTCACATAGTAATGTATAGAGAGCGCGGCATCGGCTGGGCACCCCATCCGACCGTACTCGTAGCAGTCTCCTAGCTTGAATGCGCTCGGAGCGTATCCTAATTCGGCAGCTTGAGCCAATAACTCCGCAGAGTAGTCGACGTCCACGAAGACAACATTCTCGATTCCTCGCTCATGTAATAGGGCGAGTTCGTGTAGCGCATGAGGGAATTCTTCCGTGGCGTGTTCGGCGGATCGTTTCAACCATTTGACACCTTCCTTTGGCGATTTACGGAGACCGAGAGAGCCGTTCAATTCGGCCGTACCTAGACGATACATGGCTCCTGGATGCAGAGCCACCGCAGCTTTTCTAGAGTACATCGTTAGATCGAGCTGCCCTCCTGATAGCCATGATACTCACTTGTAGAACTGTACCGCTTTCGGGTTCTCCCTTCTGCAGCCCCAGCCATGCTCACAACATGTTCCAGCTCGATAACAAGCGTCTGGGTGACCATGTTTTGCGGCCAGGACGAAAAGAGGGAAAGCACGATCAAAATCTTGTTTTCCCCTGACTGTCCCTATTCCGTTGGCGTAGCAGTCTGCCAAAAAGTACTGTGCATCTGGGTATCCTCGATCGGCCAAACGTTTCAATAGAGTCGTTGCTTCCTTGATCAATTCGTCCTTTTTGTCGTCTTTGACTAGAGCCGCTCGTCCATCTTGTCCTCTGGCCGAAGGATCATCCATGTCTGATTGACCCATCGTCTTGGCAGCATCAATCATGAATACTGCGAATTCGAATATGAGTTCCGGATCATTTGTCTTCTTCGCATTCTCTCGATACAGTTCTAGTGTCCTGTCGTGAGAGAGCAGAGCAGCTTGCTTTCCAGGTCGTAAATGTGCTATAGGAGAGGGCGCAGAAGAAAAGAAAAAAGAGGAGACCGGGCCCCTATCAGCATGCCGATGCGAGCCTGTTTGTGGGCACTCACATTGATCCATCAATGGTGCGGGCTGAGACATCATACGGGATTGTCGAAATGAAGCGGCATCATCCTCAATGTACAAAGACAAGGGAGGCGGCGCCGCCGCCGCCTGTGTTGTCATGGTGGTCATGATGTTGTCCCTTTAAGAGCGTGACAACAATGTGTAATGGCCGTGCGGGCCGATAACAAGATATCGAGCTGGGGCAAATGGGCTGTCGAGTCTTTCACCTGCTCGATGCTACTCCTCGGGTCTATGAAGAGCTGTTCTTACAATTCGACCGGTCTGTTAGTCGTATAAATCGTTTCGTTTGTTGTTGAGCACTGAGAGAGACACACACACACCATGGGGATTCAAAAATACGCAACAAATGACGGAGAATTAGACATTTTTAATAGGAGGGGCCGAATAAAGTAACAATGAATTGGCAGATGGGTTTCCCAAAATTATGGGTCACTCCGCTGCTTGCAAGAGCTGAGTTGATTCAATACTTTCTCTCGAGAGCCCAACATGCCCCGTCTACTCAAAGCCGCCATCGCATCGTGCAGCTCATCTTTCAGCAGGCGAGCACTATCTTCGACCATTCCTCTTCCAGCTCAGCCCGAAGCCTCCTCATCGAAATTACCCTCTCCACCGCCTCCCACTGAATCTTCCGAATCTACACCTCCAGCTAGATGGTCGCCATTCACTCAGCGGACAGGATTGATAGCTATGAAGAGGGGCATGACGGCCTTGTGGGATGAGGATGGTAAACGATGGCCAGTGACTGTCCTGCAGGTAAGTCGGATGAACCGGCAGTCTGTTACGTTTTCGAAAGCTAAATGAATCGCGAAACTTCATTTTAGGTCGATCGATGTCAGGTCATCCGGCATGAGTCGCCCACGGGACCTGAAGGGAAATACACGATGCAGCTTGGAGCTTCAGATCGTCCAAATGTTCGTCGATTACATAAAAATCAGATCAACCACTTCAAGAGCGCCGGAGTTCATCCGAAATATCATTTGAAGAGTTTCCACGTAACCAAGGATGCTCTCATTCCTGTTGGAACAGAGATCTCGGCGGCTCATTTCGTTCCCGGTCAATATGTCGATGTCATCGCAAAGACGTGAGCAATCACTACCGACAGTTCACAAATCCAGCTGCTGACTTCTGCTTCCACAGCATTGGTAAAGGATTCCAGGGTGTGATGAAACGGTTCGGCTTCCGTGGTCAGCCCGCGACGCACGGAACAACCCTAAGTCATAGGTCAGCAGGAGCCATGGGAGCCAATCAGGTGAGCTGTTAGCTTCCTTCGACTCATTCACGTGCTCATTACCTTGCTCAGGACCCCGGTCGAATCTGGAAAGGCAAAAAGATGCCTGGTCGAATGGGAGGGAAGCAAAGGACAACGCACAACCTTCTCGTCCATCGAGTCGACAAGGAGTTGAACTTGATCTTTGTCCGTGGCGCGGTACCAGGATTCGACGATGCCGTCATTTCTGTCCGAGACGCCGTTAGAGCTACCAAGTGGAAGGCTGAGAACGAGTTCAAACGCGGAAAGCCAGACGGAGAATGGCTAGCAGAGGGAGTCAAGACGCTGCCGCTACCCACCGTCACAGTTCAACAAGCGGCCTCGGCAGATTGGCCGGCCGTCATGGAGTGGCCAGGTCCAGGCAAGGCGTAGGCGTAGGCACGTAAAGAGTATACAATGCAACAGATACTCTGTCATAGCTTTGACTTCTCCCCTTCTACTTCGTTTCTGACTGTCCATGCCATTTTGCCGAAAAAGTCAAAGACTGCTCTACTGTCCGCTTTGGCATCCGCAGAACTGGCTTGACCGAGAGCTGCACGAGCAGCTATTCCTTGAGCGATGATGGCTAATTTGAACAATGTCCAGGATCTGACCCAGCTGAGACAAGCGCGTAGGTGAGAAACTGCCTCTCTCTCTCTATTGATAGGCGTACTCACTCGATATGCTGAATCGGCCAGGACCACTGAGGTGCGCAATCTTCCGCATTGCCCATCGGTGACGCATGCCATCGCCTCTCACTGTTCATCCCTTCCACCCACCATGACTCTAGCTCATCTCGAGACGGCAAGCCCGTCTGGGAGGAAGACAGACCCTTGAGTCCTAACATGAGGGTGGCGTCCGATCTCGTCCCCAGCATTTGCTTTAACGCCGAGTCACTGACGGGGGCGAAGGAGAACGGTAAGAGAAGGTTGGCAAGGTCTGCTAGCGGAGAGCCTAGTGTACACAGCTCCCAGTCTAATATTCCAATGACTTTTGGTTTTGTCGGGTGGAAGATCTACCAAATGATAATCAGCATGATTTAGAATGATTCAGCGAAAGAAAAAACTCGTCGTCTCACCAAGTTGTCCAGCTTGTAATCGCCATGGACTACGCCCGCAACACCTAATCGCGTTTCTTCCTGTGCAATTTTCTGAGCACCATGCTCAAACCACGGACGGAGTTTGGACGTTCCCCATATCTCTCCGATTTCTTTGCCTGAGAGAGTTTGAAAGTCAACTTCGGTCACTCTCGTTCAGGGTGGAGGGGCTTCACCAGTCTCCTTAGACTTGGCTCTGGACTGAGCTTCTGAGACACGTAATAGTGAGTTCACCTGAACGGTAAGCACGGTCAATCGACCTAAACTTGCGTTTCGAGAGAAGTATGGCTTCTTCACTGGGTCTGGGGCGAAAGGATTCGGGAGGTCTAAGCGGTCCAGGGGGATGGAAGATAATCTCGTGAGCGTTTCGACAGCTGAACGAAAGCTGAGGGAGGACTATGTAAGCGGGCAAGCGTTGCGTTCATGCAACCGTTGCGGCGAGCTCACCAATCCCGCCTTTCCTTCGCACTCAAATGGTGCATTCTGACATCTTGAAAGATCCGTCCTTTGACAAAGTCCATAACGTAGAACCCTGCGCCAATTACTTCAGGGTCCATACAGAGACAATGAACTTCCGGTATTGGTATACCATGGTCTTCCCGATCAGATGACGATAGAGAGCAGTTATACCTGCTCAATGACGAGAGAATGAGATATTCTCTGTCAATCCGATGGGCCGTCTTGGAGAGCAATGGACCCGAGGGTTGACGCCGGAGAACATAGGATTTTGACGGCGTCAGAAGAAGGTACGTCGGGTTGGACTAAGAGCTATACTGAGTCGAGGCTCAGGGTAGTGATGTACAGTCCACTGACCTGTCCAAACTAAACGGCGTATCAGCAACTGAGTCTTCTTCGTCTCTCCTTAATCGCTCACCTTGAATTGCTTGACTTCAAGCGGACCTTTCCATCCATCGACATTCTTCTCGAGGTAGGGCACAAGCTTATCGAGCGGAAGAGCTGATCTGACCTCGCCAACCTGCTGTCCCACCTTTCGAGAATTCGAAGATGAAGCCTCAGAGCTTGACATGATACACTGACATTTACAAGAGTTGGCCAAGCAGACAAGCGTCAAGCGGACGAGGAATGAGGTTGGCGGCTTGCTCTATGGTTTTCGGGTATTTCAGCTGAGTTCTGAACCGGAACGCTTGTCAATCCAGGGAAGAGCGCTAAATCGTATGGAGCAAGATTTTCATGACTCATGCATCGACCAGACAGCTTGCATAACTGTGCGTAGACTGGATTGCCTAAATGAATGCAACGCTAATGAAAGGGAGAATTGGCCTTCACGGAAGCATGGATCTTGATATTGCTTGCACACGTGTGGCGCAGAAGCTGATCCGCAAAGAGGCATTACAACCTCAAGCTTGGAGGCGCATTTCCAGCCGCTTGACACCTATCTGATCCGCAATTCGTCTTGGCGGATTGAGGCGAGACGGGCTAAGCGAGACGAGGTGGTACAGCGGCGAGCAACGATTATGAGGGCGAGATCCAGGCCTATCCCTAGGTTGGTGTTTCACCAGAATCGCGTGACTCTGTGGTACGATGTGGGAGGTCCTCCGAGGCCTCGATTTCCGCGCCATCGTCGTCTGTCTCTGACTTGCCCGGTCGACCTCGACACCTGTCCCATAACGTTCTCTTACCAGCCGTCAAGAACGGAAGAGGTATGAAGACAATGGTAACGGCGAACATGAACCTGTGTGCGTGTGACTTCAGCCTCGATTTGTCCTATTAGCACAAAGCATGGATAGACTAACCAGCAGACTGCCTCCCAGCCGTGGTTGAGCCGATCATACATCTGTCCTCCAACGACGGATCCTATCGCACTTGATATGGCTGTAGCAGTCAGCGATATGAACCAGAAGATCGACAGGAAGACAACTTACAGAATGCGAGATTCATCGCTGAAAATTGGTCTGTAGCTTTGTCAGTGTCATCCTTCCCGCATTCGATGAACAACTGACGGATCTCGCTCATGCCCTCCTGTAGAGTATTCTGATCAGCCATTCGGTGCCAGAACAGGTGTGACGCAACTCACTACTTCCCGCGCTGCCATGGCCAATTCCAGCCCGACCGGCCCAAGAGCACAACTGAAGAAAGTCTCTAGTCGATGTATGAGCTCGGGTCGAGTGAAACGAGAGGACGTCACCCACGGCTGAGAGCAAAGTAAACGATAAATCCGGGCAGACTGTTCTTGAGGATGAGCAACGGCAGCCACGGGGCGGACAACAACAGAGATGGAGCCATGATCCATTCCGCGCCGTACTTGTCTGCCAGGGCACCGATGATAGGTCCAGTGATGAACGTAGGAGCCGATGCAGCCACTGATGATATTCATCAGCAGGCGTCACGCCATCGTTGGTCTCACAGTAGACCAGTCCGACGAATGCTGAATTCTTATGCCAGACAGATTGGACTCGAAGTGTGAGTCTGTGGAGTCATCAACACTAGCACTGGAACTTGTCTGACGAGGGAGTCATGGCAACTTACGTTGGATCCAATGCACCTAGGACAAAGCCAAAGATGAAAGTGATGGTGACTCCGTTCATCCCTCTTGACGATCTTCCTAGCTTGGCAACGACTTGCCAAGGTGTAAGATCCGATTTGACCTTGTCCGGTATCTTTGGAACGCGAGTTGATGCAGGTGATCGATCTCGAGATGCGATGGCAGCTTCAGGATCGGTCGAGAGATCGGGTCTGGCTTTTTCATCCCCATCCATGTGTGTAGTGGATTCAGGAGTGGCAGTGAGAGGCATATCCGTCGTCTTGGCAGACTCGTACTTCATCATTTGCTTGCGTTCAATCACGAGCATCCGGGCAGCTGTATCGACTGCGAGAAAGGCGATGGTGAAGATAAATGGGCTGTACCATCCTAAATTCCAGTATAACGCGCCGCCAATCGGTGGAGCCTGGAGACCTGGTCAGTACGGCAATGAGGCAAAAGATCACTTACAATGGTCGTTCCTATGGACACGCCAGAGACTGCGAAACCAATCTGTCGACCTATGCGAGCCTCATCCACGTTCTCACATCTACGGCCAAGTCAATAATATTTCATATACCCTTTCTGCTCACATCAAGGCAAACCCCACGACCCAGACGACAGTACTCGCCGCGCCCATCAGGAATCTAGCGATCACCAAGGCCGCATAAGGCTTAGCAAGCATGAACAGTATTTGAGCAGCTTCGAGTATGATCACGGCAGCTACCAGGGGCAGCCTACGATAGGGATATCGACCAAAATAGTATGCCACGGGGAATGTACCTGGCCGCGTCTTTCGTTAGTAGATTGGTTCAAGTTTGGAAGGCGATCATTGACGCACTGACGAAGATGCCAATGGAGTATGCGAATGCTAACCATGAGACCTTCTCTGATACGTTTGTGTAGCCCAATGACTGTAGTCGGTATGGCAGAACGGGAACAATAATTTGCTACGATCATGGTCAGATCTTGATGCCTGAGTCCGAATGTGGGAACGTACATATGTCAAGGCATCACTGCACACTCCCACACCAACAACTGGTTTACTGGATCAGGCCGAGACCAGCACGAACAAGCTTCACCCATGAACTTACCCGCTGTTATGTACCAGGCCGATGATCTCCACTGAAGGCCGTCATCAGCTTTGAACTGAATACGCTGAGCTCTCGATCCACCTTGTAGCCCCAAGGCATACGCTTCTTCTTACTCTCAGAGCTTTTTGATGAACGCCGCACCGAGGATAGCATACCAGACAATCTCGACACGGTTCCTGATCTCCCAGACGACTCATGATTGTCATTACCAGACACACGTGAGCTACTGGCAGCTGCTGGCACCAGCCGATCGCTGTGATCGCGGCCCTGCATGTTCTCTGCTTGCCGTACCATGCCCGTCGGAAGCTGAGACTGGTGCCTATCAGAAAAACGGCTGTGTGCAGCTGCTCCTCAATGATCAATGTCACTTGGAAGCCCGTTATAATCGGCCGACCGCTCGTATAGCCAGCCAGCCCAAAAAAATAAAAAAAGGTTCGGATCCGATCAACATATGGGGCAAAACCATGCATCAGAGTACTCCTTTTGAGCTTGAAGATGCGATATGCAGACAGAGCCATGGTCTACCTCCTCCTCTTCTTGTTCTCTCCTCTTGGACGTTCCTTGATTTGACTGAGGAGGCGCGAGTCAGTGTCGCATCGAAAATTTCCCAGAGGCCATGTCAAACTCACAGCTTGTTTCCGCCCTTGTCAGAGGCTCTTCTCGTTCGTCGACCCTTTGAGGTCCATCCGTAAATACTTGTAGACTCCTTTCCACTCTTTCCTTTACCCTTACCACCTGAGAGCAAGATTTCAGCACTCAAAATCTGGTAGCTAGACTGATCGTCACTCACCTCCCATCGGGTGATCCACGGCGTTCATGGAGACACCACGGTTTCTGGGTCGTCTTCCAAGATTTCTGGCTCGTCCAGCTTTTCCGAGGGAGATTTGATTGTGCTGATGGCTGAAGCGGAGTCTGTCAGCATGATAGTGTTTGATGGAACAGGGGTCGCACTCACTTGCTGACTCGGCCAACAGTTGCACATGCTCCCGGACTGATTCTTCGAATTTCTCCACTGGCCATTTTGACCAATGCCCACCCGTTGGTCTTGGTCACACTTCCATCCCATCTCATTTGACCTCCAATCTTCAAAACGTCCAGACCACCTAACGAGTCCCCGTTCAAATCGGTATGTCCAACGAGTTCAGCTGTCGTTCCAGCCGATCTGACCAAGGTCATCTTCGCCAATGGGTTCAAGGCGATATTGTGAATCGGAGTACCGGGTGGAATGAGGTAAAGAGGCAACACATTACCAGGTTGCATAGCTTCCGTTCGGAACAGTGCAAGTGCACGAGGTCCGATTTCTGCGTCGGCATGCGAGACGGCTGGAGGGTTTACTGTCTGAGGAGAAGCTGGATCATCATCGATGTCATATTCGTCGTTGAGATCTTCATCCACACCGGCCTCGGCAGCTTCCATTGCCTTGTCTGCTGCTCGCCTAATCGCACCAGAATTTCTCAAATCGTTCCAGCCTTCGACGTAGTCCTGAGGTACACCCATCCTGAATGATCGGACTGTATCCCCTGCCCTTAATCCATCAGGAGCGGTAATATAACTCCAGCCAGACAAGACGGCCTTTTTGGCCTCGGACGGAAATTTCCCGCGGCCTTTTCCTTCCCCATGCATGACTTGCCAAGCGACTTTTCGCTCTTCAGTCGTCTCGTTAGGTGTCAAGGGCTTGGCGTCATTGTCACGTCGTTTCAGCAAGGCGATATGGGATGATCGACCAGGATCATACTCCAATCGAATGACATCGTGAATGCCGGGGATGAATCGATAAAAGTCGATTGTCCGGATTCGCTGCTTGGCTCCTCCTCCAACATGTCTCGTAGCGATTCTACCGGTTTCGTCACGTCCTCCAGTCTTCCGTTTGGCATGTGTCAGTTCCCTGAACGGCTTGCCTCTCCATAAGTGCGGATGGATAAGGGATATTCGATTCCGAACGGACTGTAGCAATGAAATTAAGCCAGAGAGGTGACAGAACGGCTCCAAGATCACTCACGTTGACATGAGGAACACCCTTTCCTTTCCAAACCTTGAGAATTGACTCGTCCTTCCTGCGGTCCAGCATGGTACCATATCCTTCGATATTCTCATCTGCCTCATCGTACTTTGTCGACTGAACAGCATACTGCCGATTCAACGTCGGAGCTGAGGCTGGGATCCGAGATGATGAGGCCAGACATGATCGTACACCATATGTTCTCGGAGCTGCACTGCCTATGACCCTGGCTATGCTCGTGCTCATGGTAAGCGCGCGCAAGGTGAATGACCACTCTATCATCTGCCTCCATCCTTCGAAATTCAGGTCGTCAAAGCTAGAGACTCTGAATATTTAATGTGGCGATTAATTTTACATTACTTTATCCCAACCTCGAAGGTTGCGTGAATGGGATGAGATCAATAATGGTATGGCTGTTGAACGAGTACTTCTCCATCAGCTATCGGTCATGGTGTCACTCACTGTCTCCGTGCCAAACAAGGGTTCAGTCCCCTTCACATTCGATCGTCAGCCCGTCAGCAAGTTGACGGTCGGAGAGGTCAAAGCTGCCATCCACTCCAAATACCCAAAGGTTGGTGGTATCGGTCATACCCCACTGCAATGCAAACTTTGTCGCGTCGCTGACGTCGCTCTATGTCTAGTATGTACCGAATAGACAGCGTTTGACCATCGATGTGGACGGTAAAAAAGTTGCACTGGTCGACGATGAGAACACCTTGTCCTCTTATGGTGTCTCCGATGGATCCGCATTGCGCATGAAGGACTTGGGGAGGCAGACGGGCTACAAGTGGTTATACATCTGGGAATATGTCAGTCCATTCAATACAGAGCCCTGAACCTCAGCTGAAATCTAGGTTCAGGCCGGCGTCATCTTCCTCAATCCTTTGTTCTTGCACTTCTCTCATCACCTTTGGGGTCGATACGAGCCTTCAACTCTTCAATTGTGAGCGTTGTCGGCAACCTAGGGCCTGGATCAGCTCACACATGCTGCTAGGACCGTTCGGAATCTGACCATCCTACATTTCGTCAAGAGGGAATTCGAGTCCATCTTCATTCATACTCATTCACGACCTACCCTCCCACTATCTTATGTCTTCCGCAAGTGAGTGGGCCTCTGCTTGTCCCTCTCCTTAGATCAAAGCTGACACGTCTGCAGTGTCCTGTACTACTGGGGCGTTGTTGGAATCCTCATGGGCTTGACCCTGTATCGCCCGGCATATGGCGCTCGTGCACTGCAAGGATCAATACTGAACGATTCGAGATGGATCAACTTTTGGGGATTCTTCATCCTCGTCAGTCATCCATTAGATGAAATCTCCGCAGCTTACGATGTCTCCATCAGATCTGCGAAAACTTAAACTTTTACACTCATTATCACCTTTCGACACTCCGTCAACCCAAGGGTAAGCCGAGAAAGTACCCCACAGGATTTGGTTTCGGGACGGCAGTATGCGCAAACTACTGGTTTGAGACTTTGGGCGTGCTAGGCCTGTTGATCATGACTGGCTTCGACCTCGGCAGTGAGCGAAAAAGAGACTTGAGGAGACACAATACTGACAATGTCTCACTAGCCCTTGTGTACAACATCATTGCTATTTACTTCATGTTCCGCTGGAGTGGGCAAAAGTACGCTCGATACAAAAAGGAATTTGACCCAAAGATCTTCCCTGGGAAGCGATACAAGTTCTTCCCGCCTCTCTACTAGCGTGATGAGAACTTGTAGAAGCAGCATAGTACAAGTGCATCGTGACGGCAAGACAACATGTGCCTCCCTCGATGTTTGCTGCCAGCGAGCGCAGCCTAATCACTGCCATACCCCGACAGCAGACCACCAGCAACTACCTCGGAAGCACTCGGCTGCGCCTGCTTGACGATCTTGATGCCTATGGGACCAGGATCTTTTATCCTGCCCTTGACCTTGAGACTGCTTGTCAGTCCTGCGACTCCATTCGCTGTTGACCCATTTGATCCAGGTATTGGTGAATCGAATGGATCATACTTCTTCGCGGTGCTCCTCCGAAGACTCTCGGAAAAGCTAATCCCATCGCCATTCTTTCCTTTGGCACTATATCTCGGTCGAGGTGTACCGGCCGTAGCCCTGACACTTATATCACCAACTCCGCTTCCCTCCGCCTCGTTATCGAGCTCCTTCTCCACAGGTAATCCAGCACGTTCACGTCCAGCTTCCCATTTTTCTCTGGCGAGATCGACATTTTCTCCTCCTAGATCCACCTCCTCATGTAGTCCGTATCTCTCCCTTAGATCATCGTCTCTTCCTTGTTTCTCCAACGTGACCTTCTTTTCCTCTCTGAATTTCCGCCGTAGAGCCGACGAGACACGATAAGGATCACCAAAGAGTCGATCAGAGGCTTGATGAAGTTCCGTCAGGCGAGACGTCTTGGTTTTGGCCCATGTCTGTTGATCGACAGTCTTTTCGATATGAGCGAATGGGTCTGCTGGAGGTTCGGCTGCTGAAGGTGCTTCGGTATCTGCGTGAGTCTGTCAGTCGAGTCTTGCGGGAGATCTGAGTGAATCACTCACCGTGAACGGCGAATCCTCCATTCTCTTCTGGATTCCAATCTTCATCCTTCCGAGTCGCTCCTTCTTCCACCACATATGCTGCGTTCTGGGGGAACAATGTATCAGCATCCAAACTAGCCAGGCGCTCCCCGCTCGCCGCTCCTGGCTCACCTTTGGGTCCGTCCGAATCTCGAACCATCCAGAACACAAATGACATTTACACCTGAATGCAAAGATAGGCGTAGAGAAATAGTTTCCGACCTTGCGCTTCTGAGCATTGTAACGAACCCCAGCGCCGATGTGAGACTGATAAGGTGGTCAGATCACTCCAGCTCTCCAGCTCCCATGACAGCGTAAATGACTCACGCCACAGCTCCCACACCAGATGTTGAACGGTAACTCGAATCTGTGCACCGATCAGCCATCTCGGGGCTGACGACAAGGCACTTCACGCACCTCACTACCAGTACCCCCTTGTCAATATCCTTTGCTCGCTTTCCCAGTGCATGTTTCTTGCCCTGATGCTTGTTAAGCGTCGAGCTCTGCTTCGGATCATAGTCCGGAGGAATGTATCTGCGAGAGCGTGAGAGGGGCTCCAGGACCAGCTGCTCACCTATTGAAGCCCTGCATGCCTGGACAGGCTGCTCAGTGGTTTCGTGGTCTGACAGTAGCAGTTTAACAGTCAAGTACCATATGGCAGCGGCAAGATTTAAAGAGCGGCTCTGGTTGTGGCAAACTAGAACAAAAGCGTTTAAAATCCATTAGTACCATCATGGTGGCATCCCGGGGCGTGAATTCCCTGTCGGCTTGCATTGTGTGATCCGTCTCACCAATGTCTCGCCTACAAGACTCTGGACTACCGTCCCGGTCAAGGCTCGTGGGGCGTCCACGACGCGAAGACCGCGCAGTGAGGATATCATCCTCTTGTCGAGGTTCCCGCTGGCCTCAACAGAAAAATAGTGGACGGGACCCCGCCTTGAGTCGCATGCATGGTGTTGACCCATTCATCGTATCCTATGCAGTCGTGCCGAAGACTGAGCAGCTGTATGCTGTTTCCGGGTCAGAGCATGTCGCGCGAGCCCTTGCAACAGGATACAACTGCCCGTTCGACGACGTTGCTCAAGCTCAGACTTGTCGAAATAACTACATCCAGGTTTGCTGCTGTGGGACTGTCATGTCGTTGTTCAGTCCATATTGTAAGGGCTGATCTGCTGCAGCACGATCACACTGAGCCCATAAACAGTAGATCAGGTCCCCGGAGCGCCTGATCGTTCACCAGCTTCCGTCCATCTGTAAAAATGACAGAATGTGCGAACCCCGCCTCCGCCTCCACTTCTGAATTCCAGCGGCGAGGAATGGATTGCGTGCACTTGAGATCTCTGTACTCTCCGTGATCGCTGCCCCAATCAGTCGCCATGCCGTTCAAGGACATGCAGAGCAGACCTCCTGCGCCGCCCACTGAGTTGGGCAGGCTGCGAGTCCTCTCATCCACTGCAGGTGTCAGGTGGGGCGTCGTCCATACTGATGGCTAACGATGCAGGATGTCTCCTTTAATCTTCGGCGGGATATCAGTGGGAACCACCTGGGGAGAGTATACCGCTGTTCATGACAAAGACGCCTCATTCGAACTACTGGATGGCTGGGCCAAAGCTGGAGGAGTCAGCATAGATACCGCCAATGGTTATTCAGTGAGTGTCAGAATAAGCTTGGCCCTCACCGTCTGTCAGGATGAGCAGAGTGAGACTTGGATTGGAGACTGGATGGAGGCAAGAGGCAACAGAGATCAGATGGTCATCTGCACCAAGTTTACTAGCGAGTAAGTGTGCCTCTCTCACCCTGCAGTCATCTGAAAAGCATAGCTATCGTTCCCACGCCATTGGCAAGAATGAATATGCCAATTTTGCTGGAAATGCTCGAAAGAGTCTGCACATATCTTTGCACGCTTCTCTGAAGAAGCTCAAGACAGACTACGTGAGTAGCAGAGAAGCCTCTGACTGCGCTAATGCGTATGAGATTGACATCCTATACATCCACTGGGTTAGTGGTACCTGCACAGAAGCGTGCTGACGACGATGCAGTGGGACTGGACGACATCGATCAGCGAATTGATGGATGGACTCGACTCGTTCGTCAAGCAGGGTAAAGTCTTATACCTCGGAGCGTCAAATCTGCCTGCCTGGGTTGTTTCTGCATGTAACGAATACGCGATGTGAGCCTCATCTCATCATTTGGGCGTTTCAGGTTTGATGTCTGGCTGTAGGGCCCGAAGCCAAGCCCGCTTCTCAGTCTATCAAGGCCATTGGAATGTCATGAAGTGAGTTACTGAACGGGCGGGTGATTGATTGATCCTCGGCCAGCCGAGATCTAGAAATAGATGTTTTGCCCATGTGCAGGATGTACGGAATGGCTGTCGTTCCATTTGGAGCCCTGGGATCCGGAAGACTGAGAAACGATCTTGTGAGTACGCGTTCTCCCCCTAACGCTAAGTTTACACACCTAGTCGGAAAAAAATGGGCTGGATGAGCTTTCCATCAAGGCCAGTGAAACCCTTCTACGCATAGCGAACGCCAAAGGCTTGGACAGCTTCGCGCCCATAGCCCTAGCATGGCTGTTTCAAAAGTATCCAAGAGTGTTCCCCATCACTGGATATGCAACGGAAGAAGTGAGCGTCTGGTCTTCCGAAAACTGACACACAGCAACTTCACGATAACATCAGAGCCCTCAGCACCACCTTGAGCAGAGAAGACATGACAGCAATAGATGGTCAGTAGCTCCCTGCAAACTCCACTGACCCTCGTCAGCCATCAGTCCCCCTCGACAGCCCTCTCCATACGATACGTGCGGTTTAGATCCTCACGTCGATGGTGTCCTTGGCGGCAACAACGCTCTACAGCTGGGTACAATTCAATGGATCTAGACCATCTTCGATCGAGCAGAAGTATGGATCTCGATGCAATGCAATGCAGACCGCAGACCACAATGTATGAAGGTAGTCGTGTAATGTGGGACTATTATATATGGCTCGTATCTAAACTATAAATGCTACAATGTCAGGTCAAAGCATAATCACACCGCACACTCCGGCCATCATTATAGTAAGCCCGCCAGAGAGCCATCGGGATCGCTTCGCTCCACCAGTCTTGGCCACGACCACTGAACTCGCTTTCGCAGACGCCGTCACTGATGCCGAGTGTGTACTGGCAGTTGTCGCCGTCATTTGACCAGTTGCGCTAGTCGCAGAGCTGGAAGTAGTTTCCCCTACGGCGTCACACCTTCCTTGACAGATTGTCTGATTGGTTTGACCACTGGTGTAGGTCTTGAAATCCGGATACGAAACGTTCCCTTCGGCATAGGGACTTGTCACGTTGAAGGCGGAAGCGAGTGGAACAACGTGGCGGAAGGCGGCTTTGATCTTTGGGTAATATGTCATTGCCTCAGTCATGGTCATGTTGGTCAATTCATGCGCCAAGACGATCGGTCCAAATTCACTCCACATGCCGTTCGAGGCGCCATCGATCACATATTGATAGTTGGCATCGACTGTGGGCCAATTGTTTGTGTTTGGTTCATCGAGTGTCCAGTCCGCAGTGTCATTGACCCACATGACAGTGGTGAGATTCAGACCTTTGGCAATAGCGCGAATACGGTTATCGACATCGCCGTAAGGTGGTCGCCTGCAGAAAGAAAGAGAAAGGTGTATCAGCGAGAGTACAGCATGGACAGTACAGCATTCTGAGAATGACAGAACAGTATACTCACCAGCATAGCGGAGTCACGCCGAAGAGCTCGGTGATAATCTTTCGCGTGTAATAAAGCTCAGCGAATGCCACCTCGTTGGTGAAACTCGTCATGTATTGGTGTGACCAGGTATGAACACAGATATGATGACCGTCGGCAAATCCTCTAAGGCCTTGCAGAGGTGAGTCGTAGATGTTACTACCTATGTAGAACCTGGATCGGCTTCAGCGACATGATGCAAAAAAGAAGAAATCGTGCTGAGTGTGATCTTACATGGTGGCCTTTTGGTTGTTCTCCTGTAGGAAATCATAGAAAAGGTTATGCGCGCAATTCGGTCCATCGTCAAAAGTCAATCCAAACGTTTCGGGCTCTGGTACGCTCGCCCAGTCAGGCTGCAGACCCGTACTCGCTGCTGGCGTCACACAATTGGACCAAGTCCACCAACAATCAGGATCAGATGAATTGTATTGCACCCCTGCAAATGAGCCGTTGTGAGTTCCGTGAGGTTGGATATTGGGGAATTGTGCCGTCACTTCGGTATTGATCTTGTTGTATAGCGCCAGAGCCTCGGTATCGTTGGGTAGGATCGAGGCGGTGACCCAAGAACCTGGATAATTCTGTTGAATAGCTTCGAGCGGGGCATAACTATAGCCTTGACACTCCGTGTTGGGATCTGGGCAAAACAACTTCAGCATTCTATTTTCGAAGCGTGAGAAGCTTTTTGTCACTGACTTGTGCTCTGACCTTCGGACTGTACCGTCTGCCGACGAATCAACTCTTGTCCGTTACATCCAACATGAGCTGCAGAGAGCTGCAGGTATGCGAGGGATAACACGGATACAGTCACTGCGGATCGCATGCTGGCTTTGCGACGCGACAGAGAGACTTTCAGAGCAAGCGGGGATGGGAATATCACAAACTGTCAGTAGTCTCCTAGCCTTTTTCAACATGTTCAGCCTGTCTATACGACAAAACGACAAAACGTAACTGGCTGGGGTAACTCATGAGATCCTTCAGCCACTGCCGGAAAAGTTTTAGTTTTTTTTTCATCACAGCTGGTCGGATGTGCTCATTCGATCTATTTATGGCCTTGTCACCGGTGTTTAGGCACAGCCTTTCACAGGATCTGTCTATCTCCCCTGACCTATACTTGTCCTGAATCATCCCGCACATGTGGCCGTCCCCGTGTCCTATACGTCGAGTCGAGTGGGAAGAGGAAAAGGGGTATGAAAGTAGGTACTCAAAAGGACAAGCTGTGAAAAGGGACATGGATGGAAAGTACCGTAGCAGCAAGCAGCTGCCACAGTCCCACCCACCCCTCTTCTCGTCGGCCGAGATAAGATAATGAAAACACGCGAGCCACACACCTATGACAAAAAAGATTTCAGGCACACGTCCCATTCTGTCCTGGTTGGCCAGCAGTTCCTCCAAGTGAAATAGCTCTTTTAAGAGACATTCATGACATGTCCAATCATACTTTTATTAAGGGTGTTAAAAGCTGTATGGTCCACTAATAAGAGCGTGTCGAGTCGCCGATGTTCTCGGCGACGTCGGCGATACGGCGCCCCGAAACCGTTTGAACAGCGGGTCGAGAGAGATTGCCTTAGTTCGTGCAGCTCCAGAACATGAAGCAGCTTGACACCTATGCTCAGTGCTTGACAGCGACTCATTTTGTACGATTCGCTCAAGCTCAACGAGTGCTTCGTCTGCTGGGATGCGGAGTCTCACACTACGTTGCTTCTGTGGTCTATCATTATCATCGACGACATAGCTACAGTTACTCTATAGGAATGGCGCCGTCAGGTCATGAGATGAGAGGTGTCACTGGAGGACACGAGTGCGCTCGAGTCTCCAAGAAACTACTAGTTCAGAGATTGTTCTAAACATCCTCTCCAGATCCCGCCGAGACGATTTTCCTCTTGATTCCCGTCGGGTACGCCACCTCTCTTTCCTCCCATAATCGTGGCGTCTGGCGTCTGTGCCGGTCTGTCCGACTTTGCCACTTTCTCGTCATCCACCCGAGTGACAGCCGGATTGTCGCCCGCTCCTGACACATTGACAGGTAACTTGATACTGATCAACTGTCCATTCGCATTTTCTTTCAAAACCAAACGAGTCTCAGGTTTGGTCGCACGTTTCTGTCCGTTGGCAGGAAGAGCCATCGTGGCGAGTCGATCCTCGTTGTCAGTCATCCATTCTTCCCATTTCACGACCCCAGGAGGACCCATCCACGGCCATTTCTTGCCATGATTCGGATGAACGGCACGTGCGTTGGGCTCGATGATGACGTCGCGTTCAGAAATGGCAATGAGAATGCGGGAGATGTTTGTAGCATCCTGGCACAGATCAGTATAGCTCATAGACAGCATCCGCCACTCATCCACACCTACATCTATACCCGAGTGTTGTCTTCCGTCGAAAGTGCCAAGACCGAACGCTTCCAATTGTCCAGGTATCGTGAAATAATAATCTGGTCCGGTCCAGCGAGCTTTTGTCTTGTGACTGATCCGCTGGGCGGTAGTGATGACACCACGTTTTGCATTGTGGTCGGTGAAACCGGGATGTGTCCTGGAATACTCATCACGCAGGAACAATTCCGTGAGTACGGTTTGTGTAGCTTGTTTTATGTTGAGGTATGGAGCGGAGAAGTAGAGCGGGTGCCCGGATGATGGTGGTGAGATATGAAGCTGCTTTGGGATCTGTGAGGAAACATCAGGTCGCGTCACCGTCAAGCAAGTCTGCTGCACGCACAAAGTCTCTTTTGATGACAAAGTCGTGTCAGTAATCGTATCTTCGCGCTCAGCAGGCTCGTCTCACCTAAGATCCCAGGGCTGACAAGGACATTTCAGCCTGGTTCCTCTTCTCGGGTACACACTCACTCCGTCTGTCACCCACATGGCGTCCTTCAGCCGTCCATCTTCGTCCAATAGATCGTGCTTATTGAGCCATGCTTCTAGTGACGGTAGCATCTCGAGAAATGTGGGCGAGCGGTCGACTGTCTCCTACGTCACAATGTCCATCAGTCGCCAGCCATTGGCTCCCATATCCTCTAGCATGCAGCTGGTTGTGGAAGGATCAGAAACTCACCTGTGTTATACCCGTTAGAGTGGTGCAGAAATCAGTCAGTTGAGGTTGCCATATCGGCTTGAGATAGGAATGAAATGTGTCGACTTTCGCCAAACGCCTCCTTTTGCCAATTGTCGGTGGCTCAGTTGCAACCTTGCCGGGATGAGAGGAGCTGCTGATACTGGGATCACTCGCCCATTTAAGCAAGACGATTGGGAATTCCTGTCAAGGCTGTCAGACAGGATTCTCGTCTACGCCGCTCGTGGCATGTACTGGGAACTCACGATGATCTCATTGGGCCAATTGAATTTCTTTCCTCCTCTGCAGGTGGCCTCCACATCAAAACACAAAAACGCTTTCCATTTCTCAGCTCGAGCCCTGTCGTGCGCCTCTCGAGTAGACGTCTCGGGCTCGATATCTCCGTCGTGGCCTTCAGAGATCGACTCTTCGTCTAGGAGTTGGAGAGCCTGTTGGAAAGCCTTGACAAGACGTCTTCAGGGGTATTTCAGCTCTAGTCACTAGCACACCTTTGAAGTAGCGGGGATGCTCACTTCCACAGAGTCTGCTTCCGACCTCTTGTATCTAGTCCTAGCTTTGCCAAGTCTGCCCTCATCTCCTCAACTGTAGACTTCTTCTTAGGCCTTGACGGACCAGCTTCTGGAACCTCGAGGTGTTCATCGGACACTTCGGTAGAAATTCTCGGTAGATCGGTAGATGCCCCGTCTGACATGACGAGCAAATGAAGCGGGTCTGAGGAAACGCTCAGGGATGGTAGAACCGGGCGAAACACTGTATGCTAGCTGTTGATTTTGACCCCGAGTCCTGCGAGACGTCAAAATGCTCTTGCGAGAGGGTCGATCACAAGAATGGATGGCAAGTGTGATGAGTGCGAGAAAGAGTGTTGAGGACAAAATGTCGGAAAGTGAACACTCAAAGTGGAGGTCATGTAATAATCCGCGCTCGGACCTATTTCAGTCAGTAACCACTGAGTCCTCTCAATGATATAATGTACATTGTATAGATCACGAATGTAACAGCTACGGCAGAAAAACCCCGAGAATGGAGACGGGGGAGATAGAGAGAAGACCCCATAGAGTAGAGCAGAAAGACACGAGATGAGATAAGCGGGTGGGTAGAGCCCCACTTTGGAGGAAGACACTTCGAGATAATCTAATCGAGCGTCGTCCCCTCGCTCAGCACCGATCCCTGCTCAAGCACAACAGTTGCTCTTCTGCTTGGCACCTCCGTCATCGGCAGTCGGAGCAACAAGGATAGTTTCTCCGCCGGAAGGACGGATAACGTCTCCTGATGATTCGAGGGATTTGGAGGACACGATGCGGTAGATTTCTGAGAATGGAGACGTCAGAAGCGCGCACGAAGGCTGTGTGGGCAAACCTAACTCACCTGTCAAGATGTTCTGGAATGCCGACTCGACGTTGGATGCGTCCAAAGCTGAAGTCTCGATGAATGATAGGCCATTCTCAGCTGCAGATTTGTCAGCCTTCCAGGAACACACGAGGCGGACCACCAGACGTGGTCCGATTCTCCAGCTAACTCACTTGAGAAACCCCTAGCCTCATCTGTTGGGACCGCTCGAAGGTGTTTCAAATCGCTCTTGTTTCCCACGAGCATGATGACAATATTCTGATCCGCATGGTCTCTGAGCTCTTTCAACCACCGAATGACATTTTCAAAAGTCTGATGCTTGGCAATGTCGTACACTAGCAGAGCTCCCACGGCGCCTCTGTAGTAGGCAGAAGTGATGGCACGATACCGTTCCTGTCCAGCTGGGAGGGAGACGTCAGTCCCACTGAACTATCCTTGAGCCCTGGCATACGGCTCATGTCGACGAGCTCTCTCATGCCACGTCCAGGACCCACCTGTATCCCAGATCTGAGCCTTGACTGTCTTTCCGTCCACGTTGATACTCCTGGTCGCAAACTCCACTCCAATAGTAGACTTTGATTCGAGGTTGAATTCATTTCGCGTGAATCGAGATAGCACTATGTGGTTTGCGTTGGTGCCTGCACTGCTTGGGAATGCCCTGCTACTCACAATTACTGTTTGATCATCGATCAAGCGACACACATAGGTTAGCACAAAATCTTCCCAGCCCCGGCTGCTAGTCACACGCACGATTTTCCGACACCAGAATCACCGATCAAGACGACCTAAAGTGGGTCAGACGCTTTGCCTCAAAACATGAACATTCGTCGCTCACCTTGAACAGATAGTCATAGTTTGATCCCTCGGCCATGGTTGCTTTCCTCTACAGATGACTTCGCTTTAACGATCGAAGAAGAGATGTAGATCAGAGAGGCTAAGTCAGTCCTTTGTTATTGAAACAGGGAATTTGAGTGGGACGAGCTTTGCCACGAGACTAGATGCGACGAGTCAGTCTTACAGCTTGAGACCTCCTCGATGATATTGCTCACCTGTTCTAAGCACTTGTCAAGCGCTGCAGGCGATAGGCTGGTCAATTAGAGGATAGCCCAACGATGTGAGTGAGAGGTATAATAAGCCCATATAATAACACAATGTGACACTGGGACGCGCGCCGCCCCTAGCCTCTCTCCTTCAACTGACCGAACTCGGAAACGTGGCGGAGAATTCAACGGAGATTTCCAAAAGTGGCACTTTGGCATACATTCAATTGCCTTGGCACAGTCTGGTTATACCAGACACGCCATCTCTGGCACTACTACGGATGAACAGTCCTTGCAGTGTCGCCATACTGATGGTCTGACCTCGACTTCTGGCCTCGTCCACTATCTCCTTCACTTGACTGCCAAGACGTTCGATCTCTTCTCTTTCCAAGACCTCTTCACCTTCGCGCCACACTCTCTCTTCTCCGCTCTCTGAAGACCCGTAAAACTTGGTGAAGAGTCTCTGAGCTTGTTCGCCATGTGCATCATCCAGTAGCTCGTGCACGTCCACTCTACCTGGTCGTATGAGTGCTGGATCTAGCCGATCGAGATGATTCGTAGTCATGAATATGATCCGCTCTTCTGAAGATGCCACTCCGTCCAGGGCATTCAACAGGCCAGAAAAGGTCACGGAGGACTTGAATCTGACGACATGAGCAACAAATTCGCCAGGCCGACTCACCCGTCCTCTGTTGTCTGAACCCTCCTCGAGAATGCCGAGTCCACATCCTCCAGTAGGATGAAACTGCGCTCAGGGACAAGCCCCAGCAGGTGATTCAATTTGTCATCGGTCAGACCTCGTTCAGCCAAATTGAGCAGACAGATGTTGTAGGAGACCGATCCTGCCAAAGCTTGGATGAACGATGTCTTGCCAGAACCCGGTGGTCCATGAAGAAGATATCCTCGCCGATAAGGTATACCTGAGTCACCATGAGAATCCTCAACAATGTAAACTTGTGCCGCCTCACCTCTCTCAGCGTACCACTTTCCACGCCCTAGGAAGCCTTTGATATCCGCTTCCACTCTCTCAGAGACGCCATCCGCTAACACCACACTTCCCATCTGCCTCCTCCGTCTAGGCTTGCCAAACGGCCTCCATTCCATGCCCCAGGCAGTGTAGACCAGCGTCTTGCCTTCAATATGATTCTCAGCGAGGTTTCGAGCCTCAGACAGCAGAGATGCCAGTAGATGACGAGATGAAGCCAGCGTTGTCAACGTCAAGGTTTCCCATGGTGTACCAGAGTGAAGATCCATCAATTTGGCATCTCGTTCTCGCTTGACCTAGAAGGCGTGTCAGGTGGTTGCCTCGATGATCCTCCAATGGAACTCGCCTGGAACCAAGCTCCAGCATAACGGAAGTAATGCGTCCCTGGTCCAGGTACTAGATTGAACACAGCCTCCGTACTTCCATTTTCATGCTGCTTAAAGTTTGTCTCAACTGCCAACTCGTGACTCGGAAGAGCCATTGGGGATTTGCCTTTGAGCAGTGATCTGAGACTGGTCCGTCCTTCAGCAGGATTTGGCTGAGGCGCGTTGACAGCCATCCAGTCGAGAAACCAAGGGTAAGATCGATCCTTTGACGGAATTTCTAAAGTCACCAGAAGTCGACGTTGGGCAAATGTGGCCCCGAGCCGTATCGATCGTCGCAAAGACGCTAGGACGACGCCGATTCCCTGTCCGAGTATGAGCTTGATCGCAACCTGGCAAGCTGGCAAGACGTGCTCACCATGAGTCCGGCTCCGGCGGAAAAGTATGGACTGCATATCTAGTCAGTCTGAGCCAGATGCAGCATGATACCAGCTCACTTGTCCGCCATCATCCTGGAGACGAATGAGCCTTCAGGAGCAGAAGCTCCAGGCGGGGCGACTACGGCACCAAGCGCTGGATCCGCCTGGTCATTATGCAGAGCAGCATCTTTGCTGACCACTTGTTGAGTCGACGGTCCAGCTTCTGGCTGTTGCGGCCCAGCGGTAGCTGGTCTTGGCCTGAACATGGAGGTGGATTGACGAAAAAATGTGGAAACGGAAAAATCAATTTGTCAACAAATTTCATCTCTGGATTGATGAACTCTTGACCACTAGGCTGGTCTGACTACCAGCTGGCACGGCACACATTGGTCATAGTCTCCTTGATGGGAGCATGTCCCATGAACAGATAGGTCTGGATCCAGTTATCGCTAGCAGTCAATCTAGAACGAGTACAGTGAGGATTCTGCCGCCTTCAGATCGCTGACAAAACAGTACCAGTCCCCGATCCTCCTGCTTCTCGTCGGACTCCCTGCGAGTGGCAAGACAGCTCTGGCACAGTGCCTCGTAACTGAGTCTCCCGCACTGAATCTGGACTCCTTCAGCCGGAAATGGATCAGAGCATCGCAGGACGATAGTCCTAACAGAAGACGGCAGGAGGTGGAGGATCTCGTTAGAGATGGGCTATTGGCTGGTGACAATGTGGTCGTGGACAGGATGAACTTTGATGCTAGGTCAGTTTCTATGCGGATACAGGGTGATACCTGGCTGCATGGTTCGCCAGACCGCTGAATCTAGTGCCCTTTAGACAACGCGCACATTTTCTGGACATTGCTCGATCTTTACCGATGCCAACTCAAACCTGGTGCATCATATTGAACACCTCTTTAAGCGCCATCAAGTCTCGACTTGAATCACGCACCAATCATCCTACGATCACTACTGCCGAACATGGACTGGATATCATTGACAAAATGAAATATCAGTACCGGCCACCGCATCCGACTCTCGTGGAGGGGTTCGACCGAATCCTACAATTGGAAGACGCCGACCAGCCTGAAGGAGGTTTGTGGTCACCGGAGCGTCTCAGAGCTCTATTATTGCGCATCAGCGAGCGCGGACATCGAGAGCCTGTGGGTGGGCCTCGATTCAGCTCGGCGCCGGCACTGGGAGGACGTGGGCGGTGAGACGATGTACATTCGCAAGCCAAGTGTGGATGTATCTAATCTCTCACACTCCTCCTGTGCGTTCGGGGTGCAGGAGCTATTCATATATGTTGTATCTGATGCTCATCGCTATCACAATGCATATCATCTTCGAACACTAGTATCTATGTAGAGCGTAGTATTACATAAGCCGAATTCTTTGAACGCGATCCGACGCGACTGTCAATGTTGGATCGTGAGTCTATACAGTCACTTGGACCAAAAAGTAGCGGCAGTCATGGCGATCGCAGTGAATGAGCAGTAAGTCTGGCATCGAGAGAAACTACTGACTATCTTTCCAGTGCCGACTATGAGTGAGACGCTTGTTCTGCCCTTGTCCTGACCAACATAGCCCGAGTTCACCTCAGGTCATGAATGCATTTTACAGGCGACTGTTCCCGTATCGACCATTCTTCCTTTGGCTCAACCAGGATCATGGTACGTCTCTGAAGCTGAGAATTAATACCGACTGCTTTGCAGTCCCGGCGAAGCTATACACGCACCGAGAGTTTGCATTCACCCTTCAAGGCGACGTTTACATTCGGTACAACTCATTTCATACCGCCGACGAATTCAAGCGGGAAGTGCTGCGGTTGAATCCCTCGCGTTTCGAGATCGGCCCACAGTATTCAGCAAGGGTGAGCCTTCAAGATCTCTGTAGCACGCTGACGACACCCAGCCGAGAGATAGAAAAACGCTTCCCGCTGGAGCTTTGCAACCGCAACGGCGCGAACTGGTTTTTGATATCGACATGACAGACTACGACGAGATTCGAACATGCTGTACGGACAAGAAGATCTGCAAACGCTGTTGGGGGTTCATCGCTGCGGCTGTCAAAGTGTTGGATCATGGTCTGAGGGGTAAGGATCATCCTCAGGCTCAATTGCTGACATTGGCAGAGACATTTGGCTTTAAACATCTACTCTGGGTTTACTCTGGACGTCGAGGTATTCATTGCTGGATCTCGGATCCCGCTGCATTGGACTTGACGGATGATCAGCGGAAAGGTCTGGTGACGTTTATGGAGGTCATCAAGGGAGGCAAGGAACAGGCCAAGAAGGTCAATGTGAGGGGATCAAAGGATGAAGGCAGCTTGCATCCAGTGCTGAAGTGAGTCTCGCTGTATTTTATCTGTCAGCTGACCGCTTATGAAGGGAATCGCTCGAGCTGCTGAAACCGGAGTTTGTGGACGTGTGCCTCAGAGATCAGGATTGTTTCAGGTCGGAGCAAGGATGGGAAACATTGCTGGCATTGTTGCCAACAGACCGAGGTGAGAGAATCTGGCAGCGATACTTCTGACCGTCAGATGTCGTTGGTCCTTTGAGGGCAGACTGGAAAAATTCGGACAAATCTAGTATGGCCAAGTGGGAGCAAGTCATGAAGCTGGTCGGGGAAATGAGAACGTCCAATTCGCCCTTATTTGTGAGACTACCAAGCATCGAACACGGTTGACAGCTTTCCAGAGAAAATACGAAAGAGCGTTAGAGGATATCATCCTTCAGTACTCATATCCACGTATCGATGCGGAAGTGTCGAAACATAGAAATCACTTGCTCAAAGCGCCGTTCTGTGTACATCCAGGGACCGGTGAGGGACAGACAACGAGCAAGTCTCTAATTACGTCCAGGCCGTATATGTGTGCCGGTCAACCCGTCGTTGGTTGACGAGTTCGATCCTGCTTTAGTCCCTACAGTTGGCGAGCTTTTGAACGAACTGGATCGCATCCCTCCAGACTCGGGCGAAGCCCGTAAGGCCGATGGTGATCTATGCTCATCCGTTGATCTGAGCCAGCTGACCAAAAGCCAGACTACGAACACACTTCTCTGAAGCCATATGTGGACATGTTTGAGAAGCATGTGGCGGCAATCTTACGTGACAGTCGAGGAGCCAAGCGGGGTGAGTTCTTTTCTTCTCCTGGGGGCAAACCAACAACTAATCTATCACAGCTGCTAAGGAGGAGTCAATGGACTTTTGAAAACCATTCTTCACCATCTCTGTTGTATATCGTATGCACTGTTTTGCACTCATCCCAGCCAAGCCCTTGCTAGATTTGCCGGAGCCCCACAAGTTTCGGATATCCATCGATTGTCATTCTTTCACTGTCTAGTCTTCGCATCCTTACTTTGCATTCCTTCATTATGGCCTTCAGCACTGTTGCTATAGGGACGCGGTTCGAGAATCACGCCTTGAAATTCCTGAATCACCATCTGCACATGTCCTTAACGAGAGTCGGTCGTGCTGGAGATCAAGGTATAGACCTTCGAGGATGGTGGTGGTTACCATCAGGAACGCTCCGAGCGGGTCCATCCAGCTCGAGCGAAGGGTCGGGGATGGACAACACGTCGGCAGTCAGGAAAGGAAAGGGCAGAGCATTGCCTGAGGAAGATATGGTCCGAATCAGGGTTGTTGCACAATGCAAGGCGTTGAGTGTCAAGACTCCTCCGAGGGATGTCCGAGAATTGGAAGGAGTCATGGCGGGTCTGAAACTGCGGCGTGAGTCAAAAGGTGGTGGACATAACTCATGTATTTTACTCAGAGCTCAGTCAACAACAAGCTGATAGACTACTCGAATCAGAGGATGACCCAGGACTCGACTCCCACCTCGGCACGATTGCCATTCTGGTCTCTCAATCTGGTTTCTCGAGAGATGCCGTGACCCGAGCACTCAATTCTCCCGCACCGATGATGTTGATCCATCTACCGGGTGGTAGAACGACTCCGTCGCTCTTACTCGATGGGATCGGTGAAGGGGGTCACGGCATGCAAGTCAATGGGTGTCTCTGGAATCACGCGATGCAAGGGGACAAGGGTCTATTCTCCTCAAACCTGGCCTTGAGGAGAGAGATTTTGAGCGAAACGGAAGGCGACGAGGAAGGGATCAAGGTGAAAGAACAGTGGAGATGTTGGTACGATGGCATGCGATTGGATCGAGTTGGACCCTCTTTGGAGCAAAGCATGGAAGAGAGAGCACATCTATAGCATAGGTCTCTGCATTATACTTTGTGATATTCATCATCATCATCATTTATCGTTGTAAAAGTCATGAATCGGGACTCATTATTCTGTTGCGACCAGACTGCCAAAGTACGCCGTGATCGCCTTTAGTTTCTGTCCAACCCACTCCTCTTCAATCTCCACCCACTCCTTCTTTCTGCCTTGCTGTACTGAGGAAAGTCCCGGAGCCAGCTGTGAGAGCTCTGCAATGTCGGTGCTTCTTGGAAGATAGTAGGCAATGTTTGGTGATAGCTTTGCAGACATATCAAAGAGCTCCTTGCCATGAACGGGTAGGATACTGGACAGCGAGTAGGACGGATCAACTCCGGTATCTTGACCTGATTGGAGGTAGTCCACCCCGCCTGCAAATTGTCGGCGAAGATCTACACACGTACGTATCCGGCCACTCACCCCAAGGAGGACTCAGGAAGACGACATCGATGGTCTCGCCTTGCGCTCGCCATGACCTGGCGTAATCTACGAAATCTCCCAAAATGAAGTCTATCCGATCAGCCACACCAAGATGGAGCGCATTGTGTCGTGCAAGTCGTAAACGTATAGGATTGTTGTCGATAGCGATCACTTTTGTGCAATGCAATGAGCATGCAGTGAGCGCTTGAATGCTCACCTCGCTCGCATGTCTTTGCGAATTCAATGGCATTGCCTCCAACTCCACAAAAAGCATCTACAATCACATCGCATTGACATCGTTCTGCGATATGGGCAGCGATCGGTTGCGGTGTGATACTGAACCATCCGGTGTCGTCGAGTAGGAGTGGCAGTGAATCGTACTGAGGTAGGAGAAACTGCCTCTGATACCAATCTGTTCACATATCAGCGCGCACACACGTGCCAGACTTACACTTGACCAGCTCTGCAGGCACCTGAGACGCAGTCGTATACCTGTCGACCAAGCCCGTGCAATCCCAGGGATGACCCAAGTGTTGGTTAAGTATCTCATCCTGTGCGCCTCTAGATTTGCGTTTGCGCTTGCTAGAGTTGACGGTCGACTCAAGAGTTCCTGACGATACCCCTGAGGTGTGTACGAGCCTCAAAGGTGTGGATGAAGAGCCGATCTCCTCATTGTGGAAATCAATGTTCACCGTGACATCTGCTAGCGTTGTGTCTCCATTTTCAGAGGAAGAATCAGGTTGAGTCCGGAGAAGTCCATCAGCGCCCACGCCAGCCAATGCAGTCAGAGTATCGCCTTCTTTTGATCGTATCGACTGCTTCAGGTTGTATGGAAGAGATCTAAAGAGCGATCTTGATTGCTTATTAGCCCTTGGCATGATCAGGAAGCCGTGAGGGATGTGGATTGTGAAGCATTAGCCGCGCCAGCAGCTGCAGCCAGCTGGAACTGATGATGGCGACTGCCTTGATCACGTGATGTCCGTTTGTCGGCACATTCGCAGAAATCTTGAACAGGTGGTGCTTGTCCTCTCTGTGTATCTCCTCATAGTACAGCAAGTGACGAACATGAACCCAGCGAAGACTGTGGGGATCCTCGGTAAGCTCTCATGCTGCCAGTTTCTGCTGACTCGTACCAGGTGGAGGCCAATTGGGGCGCATGTTGACCCACCCGGCTGCATTACTTGGAATACCACTGATCATTCTTGATTCTGGATCCTATACACCGGCAAAGCAGACTCTCCTTCCACCTCAAAACACATCTCATCTCGATGGACCTTTCACATCTGAATCCCATATTCGAGAGCTCGCGAAGCAATGCGATCTACTCACTGTCGAAATCGAGCATGTCAATGCCGACGTCTTGGAACAAGTTGAACGGGAGGGATTGTGTGAGGTCCAGCCGAGTCCCGGTACGATCCGTTTGATCCAAGATAAGTATCTTCAAAAGAAGCATTTGGCTGCGAAAGGGGTACCTGTAGCGCCTTTTGAGGCGCTTCCAGCAGACCCGACGGAGGAGGATGTCAGAAACGTGGTGCAAAGATTAGGGACGCCAGTCATGCTCAAAGCTAGGACATTGGCTTACGACGGGCGGGGCAACTCGCCATTGAAAGAAGTGGAATCGACTTCTATCAAGGCTTCGTTGGAGTTCTTGGGCGATCGACCACTCTATGCCGAGGCTTGGGCGCCGTTCGTCAAAGAAGTAGCAGTCATGGTCGTTCGGAACAAGGAGGGGGAAGTCAGGAGTTACGACGCAGTGGAGACTATGCACAGGGATAGTATTCTAAGAGTGTGTCTGGCGCCTTTGAGGGCAGGTGGCATGGAGGGTGTCAATCTCAGAGCTAGAGCGTTGGCTGAAAAGGCCGTCAGCACGCTCGAGGGCGCAGGTATCTTTGGGGTGGAAATGTTCTTGATGGCCGATGGTAAGCCGGACTTGAAAAGGACAGATGCTAAATGGTCGTAGGAACACTTTTACTCAACGAGATTGCTCCTCGACCACACAACTCTGGACACCATACCATCGAGGCATGCCACACGTCTCAATTCGAGAATCATCTCCGGGCCATTCTCTCTCTACCACTTGGCTCAACGTCTCTTCGTGTTCCATCAGCGGCCATGATCAATATTCTCGGCTCATCATCATCAATGGATCCGGTGCTCAAGACGGCTGAGGCTGCGATGTCCGTTCCAGGCGCCAATGTCCACTTGTATGGCAAGACGGAATCTCGGAAAGCCAGAAAAATGGGACACATCACCTTGACGGCATTGACAGATGCTGAACTCTTCACCCATCTTCGAACACTTCTTCTCGCTCAACCTGATGCCAGTGTCTCATGGATCGATCCCATTGCTCCAGAGCCAAAGTCGGGACATTCTCATGCGCATCCTTTGGTCGGTATCATCATGGGTTCTGACTCGGATCTTCCGACCATGCTCCCCGCCACTAAAATTCTGGACAACTTTGGTATCCCGTACGAGTTGACGATCACCTCAGCTCATAGGACGCCAGAGCGTATGGTACGATATGCCAGGTCAGCCGTCAGTAGAGGACTACGAGCTATCATAGCTGGAGCCGGAGGGGCGGCTCATCTCCCTGGCATGGTCGCTAGCGAGACGGCTGTTCCGGTCATCGGTGTGCCCGTCAAGGCCAGCGTACTTGATGGTGTCGATTCTCTCTATTCGATTGTTCAGATGCCTGTGAGTCGGAATGGTAGGATACAAGCTGACGGTTACAGCGAGGCATACCCGTCGCAACTGTCGGCATCAACAATTCTACTAATGCCGCCCTTCTCGCCATCCGTATTCTGGGCACAGCTTCACCTGCACTTACAGCAGAGATTGAAGCTTACGCCAAGAGCTTGGAGGAGGAAGTCTTGGGCAAAGTCGAGACCTTGGAGCAGGAGGGTTGGGACAAGTATGTCGAGAGGTTGAAGAAATAGAATTTTTTTCTCAAACCATGCATGTGCACTTATTAGGATAATACTCTGCTAGCACTTCGTCGTGCGAGCTCATCTCGTTTGAGTTGCGCCTTTTTCATGACTCGTTCCACGGCAATATCGGTGTGGCGGACGGCCAATGACAAGTTGAGCTTGAATCCTCCGAGCTTAGGTGGGCGAGCGGCGGGGCGTTGGGAATACGATGAGACGGCCCGGACTGAAACCACAGATTGCGCCACAGAGACGGTAGAGATCACGTTTTGCGACTGATTATCGGCACGAGACTTTTTGATGGCCCGCTTGGGGCTCGGAACTGACATGAAACTTTCCTCCTCCCTCGCCTTTCGTTTGCCTTTGTCCACCGGAAGCTCAATGACGGACTCTTCGTCTGAGAGGCGTTGGTCCGTCGAGAATCGATGATTCGGTCGCCGTCTGGGAGAGTCGTTCCGGTCCGGTTGAGAAGACTCGTCATCGGCGTGATCATCAGCCTCGTCGTCAACGACCATCGTTGGTTCAGACATGACCAAAGGATCTGCAGGGGCCCGCTGTACGATTCTCAGATCTCTCGGCAGGGTTTGGGACTGCGACATTGATTGAGACTGAGACTGGGACTCTGATGTCGTCTTGTTGTGAGATTGGTCCGAAGCTTCCACGAGGATCTGTGCCTTTCTCGATGATGAGTGTCGAGGCTTGGGACTTCGACGTGCTCGCATACCTGATGCGCGTCGATGGGCAATGACGGGTGACGGAGGTGCAGGAGGAGAGGGTGAAGGAGAGGGAGAGGGAGAGGGCGACGGCGATAGGGGGGACTGAGCAGCCGCCAATGCTTGAGTTTGCTCTTCGCCATTGCTAAGCTGACTCGGCCAGGGTGGTGATTCCGCAGGGCGTGCGGCCTGTGACGGAGGATCAGGGTGGCTTGACGGAGATGATGGAAACCCGAGAGGGTCGAAGGCCCGCTCGCGTCTGATTCCCACAATGGCACGCGCTCGCACAGGAATCTCATCATCTTCGCTATCGGACATTGGAGGGTGGGGACCGTCAATGCTCTCATCGAAATCAGGCTCAAATGTGATTTGGCTCGGCGAACGACGATTGCGTTGACCAGGTTGAGGAAAGCTTTCGCTCTGAATTGAGGATCCGGCAGCAGATGAAGCAACAGCAGAGGGAGATGCGAGCTCATGACCTTGAAACTCTTCCACAGCTCCAGTTGGCGATGAAGGATGCCCGTCTCTCGATGCTGGCGGGGACACGATATGACTGTCTCTCACACCTTCGCCTTGCACGCTCGTGTCCCCGTTTCTGGGATGCCCATTCGCCTGAGATCCTTTCGGCTCTTCTCCATGTTGTGATGGGGTTGCGTGCGCCTCGATCTCGGCGTCGCCATGTCCGTTCGATTGTCCGTTCCCTTGAGACTCGATCGGGATACCGTCTTTGACTGCGAATGGCCCCGCTCCGAGATCATCTTGATGCAGGCCGAAGATCTGTATCGAGTTGAGCTCCTCCCTTTGCTCCTGAGAGACATTATGAAAGAGGAATTCAGGAATAGGCTTCTTGGCAGCGTTGGAAAGATGCGGTGCCAGGAATGTTTCAAGGTCCACGATGCGTAGACCCGATGATGTAGAAGGAGGTGTTGAAGAGAGCCTGTCCGATCTAGGTTGACCGCGTTGAGGCGAGCCCGATTGGCGGCTGGATCCAGCCATTCTATCGGTCGTCAGATGCGGAGAGTCCAGTTCGTGCCTGAACGGTATCGGTCAGGTGTATAAATCTGCCAATATGACGCACTGTCCGTAATACCACTTGTTCATAATTCTCTTCGCTCGGTAATCCCCATCGGCATCAGAGCCCAATTCAACGGTGTTGTCGAAGAATACCGGGTCGTCTCGATCTCCAGAGTAGACCTGCCACTTGAGAATGGTGACACCGACACGAGGACTCTTTAAGGCACTCGGTTCGATGATATGGAATCTGAACGACCTGATCAAGAAGACGCTCCGTAGGTGGGTGGTGAGTGCTTCTCCGGCTAGTCCAAAGAGAGGTCTGGGGATCAGCATCAGCTCAACGCTTCTGAAGCTCACTCTTCTTGCCTGTTCGTCTCCAAGAAATCGAATATCACGTCTGCCCAATGAGTCGAGTCGGATATACGCCCTTGAATCAGGGTATGAGGGCGTTGAGGTGTTCGATACGTGTGGAACTGATCAACGTCAGCGGGCGGACACACGCGCGCGCGTCAAGAAGCATAGGATGACTTGGCTCACCTTGAGGAGCTGACAGTAAGTCGAACACTCTACAGCCTGAGAGAGATTTGCTCCATACTTTGCGTCATGAATGATCAAGGATCTCAATAGCCATGAGTGGACTCTATCAGCCATGCTCTGCTCATCGCGTGTCGAGGGTCTGTTGGTCAAGAAGGTAATGTCCAATTCAATTCCATAAAATTTGCTTCCGCGCGTCCGTCCATCGGGGGCTGAGTCGTAGTCGAGGGAGGGACTCGGAAGGTGGAGGAAGATTGTCTTTGCATCTCAGACGGATCACTGTTGCAGCAGGGCATCATGACGCTAGCCAGTGTAGATTTCAAGGTGAGTCGCATGGAATGTGGGACTCGCTGACTCTTTCTCAGACTGAATTCGCCGTCGACATGACGTGCCAGAGCGTGAGCTAGTTTTGCAAGCTCTCCAAGCTGAACACTCAGTGTGTCACTGCCGTCTCGACCGCCCTTAAAGATTTGCCTGGTAATTATCAATGTGCTCAGCGGTAGCTGATCTGCAGGGATCGATCGCTATGATATTGATCTCGCGGGTAAACGGGTGACGATCACCGGGAGGAGTGAGTTGCATCTTGGTGGTACGAGACTTGACGACCAGCACCACCATCACAACTTTTCGCCGCACTCAAATCGACTGAGCGTCAAGTCATAGCCCGCGGCTCGTCAGCCGCCTCGTCATCTTTCGCCACTCAAGCGGCGGTTTCTATCTTGGAATCCCCACTCCCGCTCCCCACCTCTATAGCCTCGACCTCTAACCTGACTCTCGCCACACCCGCTTCTGAACCGTCTTCCCGTCCGTTGCCCGGAATGAACGAGGAAGAGTTCTCCCAAAAAGTCTTTGGGATCTGTCGATTCGTGCAGATTGCACCCAAGACTATTCTTATGGATTTGACCGTCAGGTTACCCCCGCCCGCGAATGTCGGTCTGAAAGCTTCTCACTCATGGGATGTCTACATTTCAAAAACGGGCAATCTCGTTGATCCGCCGGAATCGACAGGTCCAGCCTTTAGACCATTGGGCAAGATTGTTCCAGATGGTCAAGGATATGGTGACTTATTCACTGAGATCGAGGGAGAAGTGTGGGAATGGATCGGTCGAGGGTGCGTCGTCGAAGCTGGCGGGTCCAGTCACGACAATTCAAGAGGCAGAATATTCGCCGGTGTTGTAGCTCGTAGTGCCGGCGCGTGGGGTAATGACAAAACAGTCTGTGCCTGTAGTGGGCGGACAATGTGGGAGGAAGGAAGAGATATGGAGAAGAAGGTCGGCGGCCTACTGGACCGAGCGAAGGTAGCAGCGTAGCTTTATGCATGATGTGCTCAACCTGTCAGCTCACAAGAGCAATTGTCAGATCGGAGCCAAATATTGCCGTCGGCACGCAGGATGTTATAATACATCCACGTTTCACATCTCTTACGTTGTGCATGCACTCCGAAAGGCTGACTTGAAAGTCTGCTTGGGTATTGTCACCAGCATGCCCGACAAGGACATTGTGACTGGACTGTTTGAGTCTGGCACAGGCGAATGGATACAGATCATTGTACTGGTCTTTGGGGGTTGCTGCTCGTGAGCCCAAACTTGAAAACTCCCGATCTGATGTTCCTAAAACAGCAACGTATGGGCCCTGGAATCGATGCTGAAAGAGCATCCCAACGCAGGTGAGCGTGAGACGAGGTGCTTGCTGATTTGATAGGCTCGTTCCTCACTTTCGCGCAGTTCCTCTACATCACCTTACAGAACCTATCCGCTCAGCTGGTCTTTCCAAAAGATGTCAAGACGGGTGAACATTCCTGGATCCCAAGACCGAAGCAGAGGGCAGTGCCGATTCGGAGGTGGATGGTACAGGTTTTACTTGTCCTCGGAGTCAACCTCAGTGAGTGAGACGTAGAGATGACTGGCTGATTCGATTAGTGAACAATTATGCCTTGGGCATGAAGATCCCCATGACGGTGCATATCATCTTTCGAAGTGGTGGATTATGCGTCTCGATGATTGTAGGGTATCTTATCGCTGGGAAGAGGTATTCAATGGGGCAAATCGTACGTCACGATGGGCGAAGACGCCTCACACAATTTCCAGCTCGCCGGAGTCATGATCACCGTGGGGATCGTCATCGCAACCACCTCTGCTCCTCGGAAGAGGGGTGCGCATGACGTTTCAGCGTCCGCACAAAATACCGACAGTTCATTATACCTTCTTGGAGTGGGTTTACTATCGGTCGCATTGGTCATCTCGTCCCTGTTAGGATTATGGCAAGAAGGCACTTATGCACGGTATGGAAAGCAATGGCGTGAAGGGTTGTTCTACAGTGCACGTCGATTCCTCCCTCTCTCTTTCGCATGCTGACCAGACGCAGCATTTTCTCTCCTTGCCATTCTTCCTACCGATGTATTCTGCCATCTCAAGCTCTACGAGTTCATTCGTTCACTCGAAACCGGTGAATCTCTTTGTTCTACCCCCGAGTGCAAGGCAGAATGACATGCTGGGCATCGCGAAGCTCCTGACCGCTGTCACCCTGCCGTCAGCTCTGGTGGCTCTCGCGATCAACGTCGTCACGCAAGGCATTTGCATCCGTGGCGTCAATCGATTGACAGCGGTGAGTCAAAAAGTCACAATGTCAAGAGCTCAGACTGTTCTCAGCGCGTCAACTCGACCACGGTCAATCTTGTCCTGACATTGCGAAAAGCGGTTTCCTTGGCCATCTCTGTATGGTTCTACGGCAGCGGCGTCACATCAGGTCTGCTCCTTGGAGGTGCTCTGGTCCTAGGTGAGCGTCAGTGTCTTGAACACGAGCTGACAGCAGTGGGTACCGTCATCTATTCTTTCGCCTCTACTTCTAGCACTGTGGCAGTAATAAAGCCCGTTGAACCGGCCGAGAATGGTACAGACAGCGAGGGCAAAGGCAAGGCATCTGGGGTCGAGAGCCAGGGCAACCTGAGACAGCGAAAGACGATATCATGACAGTCGTTCTTGTGCGCCATAGTCGCTTGTAGATGTATCCATCCTCCATCAGCTTGCCTCGTGTCTCTGTACCATGGCCTCGCCTTGTTATCGTATCTCGCCGATGACCGGAATCGGCGCAGCCCCCTTGATTTTCATAAAATTGAATTTTCTCACCCATCCTCTATCTCCACTCGACATTGACTTTGCTGGGCCTCCTCGACTGTCGATCATCACTCGCACGATCAAACTTGGACACCTCAATATGCAGGCTTCCACGTCAAAAAGTGTCCTAAGGGCAGCGAGAACAGCTTGTACGTCGTCGTCGTCGCCGTCTCATGCCACCCATCGAGCGATCGTCTCCTTGGCTCCTCGCCATCGGTCTCCGCTTGCCGCTCATGTCAGCAAGCGATCCTTCTTCTCCTTACCGGATATATCCAAGCTCGCCAACCTGGCTGGATCAGTCAATGAGGAGCGAGCCATTGAATCAGATGGTGATATCCAAAAATTTCACGCTCGTAAAGTCTTACCGTGAGTGACTCGACTCCATTCAGGTTTTGGCCTGGCCTCTCGCTCATATTTGGTCATTAGGTATACTCCAGAGCAACTATATTCTCTCGTCTCCGATGTCCCGTCTTATTCATCCTTCATACCATTCTGCACCGGCTCTACAGTACTTCAGCCGTCATCGCCTGGAGCTAGGAAACGAGTCTGGGAGGAATGGAAGCCCGATTCGGAACCATTTGATGTGAATGCAGAGCTAAAAGTTGGATTTGGAGGTCTAGAGGAAAAGTATGTTAGTCGAGTCGTCGGGAAACCCTTCGAATCAGTCACAGTGAGCACACGGTTCTGACCCGGGCCTCTATTGATGAGTACAGGCGACGGCATCTGAAGGTGGACCCCTTTTCAAATCCCTTACCACATCATGGTCCTTCTCCCCGGCTCCTTCACTAGTCCCTACCTCCATGGGCGCCCCTGCCAGTACACTCCTCACAATCGACCTCGCATTCGCATTTGCGAACCCGCTACATCGGATCGCAAGTCAAGCCGTTTTGCCTCGTGTAGCTGATAAGATGGTTGATGCGTTCGAAAAGAGATGCAAGGAGGAATGGGGTAGGTCATGAAGGAACGACATTTGAGCAGTAAAATCCTTGGAGTATTCATGTAGCGACTTGAGCGAGATACAGTGATGCATTAGATGTACGATAAACTAGCTGGATCCAATCATTGCTTATCCTTTTTGCCCAAGAGCTTGCCAAAGCCCATGCTTCCGTTTCGACTGCCCATTCGTCCGAGACCACTCATTCGCCTGCCTAGACCGGTCGAGTTGGTCTTCTCAGCGGAAGTACCAAAGGCGGACGAAGACTGTGATGAACCTGACACGGTCCGGTCGCGAGGTGTCGTGGGCATCGTCGGTGAAACTTGAGTTCCGCTGGCACTGGACATGTTTGATTGAGTAGAGACGAAGCTGCTCGACATGGCAGGTGGGGAAGATGCCTCGGATGGCACGGGTTGACGTATCGGTTTCGGTGAGACTGGCTGAGCGATTTCCTTTTCGGGTGTCACTGCGAGCCGGTTGGACGGAGCAGAAGCGGCGATGAGTGACGTCCGCTTATCCTTTTCAGTGGTAGATTTACGTCGTTGATACCATTTTGTGCCTTCCTCTTTGATGGGCTTGGGAGCAGTCGAAGGTCTCGATTGACTGGATTGACGAGTGACGTTCCCGTTCGTCGGCGTCTGTGTCACGGAACTCGACGTGGCTGATCTTGGCAGTGGTGAGGGAACAGGAGGGTCTGGTCTTGACGGGATTGACAAGGACAATGGTTGTCGCACGGGGATCGCCTCTTCCTGCTCATGCAATTCGGCAATATGATCGAGCTCGGTCGGTGTATCGACTCGAGGGATCTCCACAGCGGGTTTCGGAGGAGGTTGACGCTTGGGCATTACCTTGAGACCGACATCCGTAGGGTTCAAATCAGCAGCTTGATAGAACAAGACGTATCCAGCTCCAGAGGGATAATCGCCAAAGTATCGGAAGATGTCGCTGTCGTCGATAGGTTCGACGTTTTCATCATCGCACATGACCCATCTGCCAGCAGATCGGATCAGGCATACGTAGTGACCGTGATGTGGGCCGCTGCAAGAAGTCAGCGGAGACATTTTGTCAAAGACTCACTTTCCGATATGCACCACCACGGCGAAAAGCTCGTATAGTCGGTCTGGGTTGACCGTATCGTCTGCCGTGTTGGGTAGACGGAGTGAAGTGGGGAACGGTACACGGTAGAATAGCTTGGTGTAGCGTCCCAATGACTCCTGGTACTTGAATCGCTTGAGGTGTAGGGCAAGAATGTTGGGAAGGCGCTTGATTTTCATCCTGAAGCTGTGAGCGGTGTCCTCAGAAGATTTTGCTCACCTCTTCTCCGCCTCTTGGAGCCCGCAGCATGAATCGCAAAAGAATTTGTTCTTCTGGCAGAGCATTTCTGAGGTGGAAAATTGTCTCAAGCATGCAGTGACGGACGAATGCTGCTCGATATCGATGGAAAGGTCGAGGAATTGCTCGTCACGCGAGGAAGTCTAAAGTCAGCCGGAGAGTAACTCGGGAGACTCACCGTCTCGCAACTCAGACATCTCGTCTCGTTGGTCAGGACACCTTCAAATAGTCGGTGCACGAAAGTCTTGCCAGGCACCTTGGGCTCGATCATTGGTTTGCCTGATTCCCTTAATGAGCGATCATAGATCTCGACATCCTCTGCAACCTTGTTTAAGACCCATCCCAGAAACTCGTGTGCGTCTTGCTGAGACATGCCTCGGAACATTTCGTTTTCTCGTTTGACAGTTTTAAGGAGATCTTCCGGTCGGACGACACCTCGACCGAGTGTGCCCGCTTGAAAAGGCCCTCCACCCCGGGGAGCTGATGGTGGGGGCAGCGAGGCGAGCAGAGGTGGGCCTTGTGGTTCCTTGGCTGGCGCACCGGGCTTGTCCGTAGGCTTTGCTTCGCCATTCTCTGGTGCAGATGCTGGCAAGAGCGAGGCAGTTTGAGCATTCTCTGCGTTTGGTTTGGCGTCCTTCTTTACAGGCAACGGCTGATGCGGGAGCGAAGTCGTGAGATGGTAAAAGAGTGTTTGAACCGTCTCAAAGACCGAAGGAGGGGCGCCATTCGGATTAGGGTTTACAGGGGGAATGTCCAATTCACTGATCATGTGCGCTGGAGGAGCCGTCGGCTGAGGGGGTAAAGAAGGCGCCGGAGCTGAACTGGGAGTCTGAGCTGAGCTCGAGGACGTTGGACGACGTGAAAAGAGTCCACGTTTACCTCCTGATGGTGCAGGACTTGTTGATGCAGAGTTGAGATTAGGATTATCGAATGGGTTGGACATCTTTGTCGCGAGAGGTGTAGCCGGCGGCGCTTGTGGTCGGTTAGATTCTCCAGGCGGAGGTGCCATCGGTGCGATCGGTGGAGGTGCATCTCCGTAAGACTCGATAAACTGTCGGAACGGTTCACAAGCGTACAGCGCTTGTAAGACGGAATTGCAGTAGCAAGTGTTGCCAAAGTTTTCCAATCCCCAGAGACGTTCCACTTCTTTCGATTTGCCCTTTTCACCGATAATGGTCAAGTCTACATTGACCCCATCCTCGCCTGTCTGCGATTCGGTACGGTATGGAAATCGTAGTCGTGACATGATGGACAGGGGGGGGGAACAGATGGTGGGGGACAGATGGGGGGGGGGTTGAGGGTAGGGCGTTGAAGGAGCGCGATGAAGGGTCGTATCGGTCGCGAACGGGCACGATGTGGGGATCCCCGGTCCAGTCTGAGCACTCAAGAGCAGGTGCTGCAGAGGGGCTCAGAGTTGGAGAATGAGATGGAATATGGGTGATAGACGCAGAGATGAGAGAGCGTCACCCCCGCTCTCTTCCCTTCCCCTTCTCCCCTCCCCTCCCAATTGCCCGGTAGGCCCGGTGTAATCTCTACAGGGGGGGTAAATTTACCTAATCGAGTAACTACCCCTGAATCTGGTAAACATTATGTAATATGGAGACCCCGGAATAACTTTTAAAGTGCTGAACGTGATTCAAGTCATTGCTCATGCGATCGTATGGGTCAACATGTTGAGTCACACGGACAATGACGGGATGTCCCCAGGAGATACCCATCTCCTATGCTGCTGGTCTTGTCATCAGCGATGCATAGTAGCTGTTAACGGTTCATCCGGCAAATATACCCCATGGCGGAGATACGTGGGCTAATCACGTGATCTCTGAACTTCGGCTCCGGCGGCGGATTTATGAGCTGTGACTACTGGTGACAACTAGCTAGTGACCTGGGTACAGCTAAAGTAGTTTGTGCATACCTCAAGCTTGTTTCCTTGTACCGTCTCCTATCCGGGCCTGCGCTGGACGTACGGCAAATCTCTGTCACCCATGTTGAGCCCGCCATAGGCCATCCAACCCGGTCAATTCCCCCCCTGTTCGTCATGTCAAAGGAACCAGATCCGTCACCTTCGCTTGCTCCATCCTCCTCGGTTCACTTTGCCGAAGGGTCACTCGACTCGCTCAGGAGTGAACCTGGACCTTCGACACTTGGAAAATCTAGGTCTTCTCAGCTTGCTCGTCAGGCTCAAGCCTTGTCAAGGTCTCCATCGTTACCTGCGAAAGCTGAGAGGAGAGCTTCTTTGGTCACGGGTGGATACATCACTTCAGAATCGGAATCTGATGGACCGAGACCTCCACCCTCGCCGCTACGGCTCCAGCAACGATCTCGTGCCCCTTCCGATATGGACTCGCCGAGGACGCGCCGAGCGTCACGCATTCCATCTCGCGTTCGAGAGATCACCTCGTCACCAGATTCACGCAAAGGCAAGGAGCGTGCGCACAATGGTCTGGCCTCGAGTCTTGGAATCGACACTAGCCGACAGGGTTTGACATCAGCTCAGATAAATGACCTACTGAATGATACAGATGTAGTCTCGGCCCTGAGGATGATGAACAACTCGACCTTGGCAGCGAGACTTTCGGCCTCCCGCCAGGATACGGTTACAGCCCCAACAACGCATACCGATCCATTTATTCCTCGAGCCCCACCCGCTCTCATGCCGGATGGTGGAGCTGATATCGGTCGCGATAGGTCAGTTTCCAATGCCAGTACCATCATCCACGGTCGGAGAATGTCAGAGATCGGAGGTCATGTGCCATTCACCCACCCAATCACGTTTGAGGGAGATACGACGGAGGACGACCGGAGTCGTGAGGCGACAGTGAAACCGCGACAGCATCGACTAAGTAATCTGTTCAAGAAGAAGCACCAGGTCTCGGACGTGGAGGCTCACAGCATCACCTCCAGATCGGAGCGGGATGAACAGGCTCAAGATAGGGACCTAGAGATGAGAAGGCTGGAAGCGCTGCGGAGGGAGGAGGAGCTTCTGCAGGGTGAGTTGCTCTTGGATCTTGAATGCTGAATTGCCCAGAACGAAGATTCAAAGCTCTCACCCTCGTTGCCGCACATCCCGACAGCGAACGTTTAGCGTACAAAGCATCCTCCCATCTTCGTCACTACTACAATCTAGTGTACGAAGGTATCGACAATCCGCCACGTCTAAATCCGCTCGCAGTCTTGCGATGGAAGCATAAGACAGAGGAACAGTTGAACGTCCAAGCCCATTGGGAAAAGATGAATAGGCTTAGCGTGGCTCCCTCATGGCGGTATACCATGGACGACGTGGTGGCTTATCAGGATGCCAAGGGCATCGTCAACTATTTCATTCCTCCTCGAGAGCCTGTCAATGGTAGATACTCCGGCGAATCAAGTCTGCGTTCTGGGTCTAGTCACAAACTCGGATCCAAAACAGAATCTATCAGTAAGACCGAGCTTGAGCGCACATCAAGCGAGGCGTTATCGAGATCCGTGTCACAACATGTAAGATATACACAATATATACCCGCTGACAAGCAGAATCCTCACGTCTCCATTGGCTCGGAGCGCCTCACACAAGCCATCAAAAATCCGTTTGACCGCATCAATAAGCGTCACGACGAACCATCTAAAGCTCGTTCTATCACCGACGACGAACATCCTTTCCACTTGCGCAACCTATTGCCGCGTACGCGGGAGCCTAGAAAGTCACTCGAGGTCCAAGCTCAAGATCGACAGGCGGAACTCGAAGCCTTACAGATGGCTCTTGCAAGGGAGACGGCCTTGAGGAAGAGGCGAGATGCCGTGGAAAAGCAAGTTGACAAAGAGGTCGAGCAGGCGCGACTAGCGCAGAACGAGATCTACGAGGAGAAACAGAAGTAAGCGTCATTCAGAGAGCTCCACTGATCGGACAGTCGGTTGAGAGAGATTCGTCATCGGATCGAGCTGATCGACGGGCAAGACGACGACGACTTTCGTCAATATTTTCTCCAGTCTGATCAGGTCGCCAGTGTTGCGGCATCTTTCGGTATCAAAGCTACCTTCCCGAACCTTGAAAAGTTGCGGAACGTATACGGCACGGACCGACGTATTCAACCCCTCTGGGTCAATCCACATCCTCGTGACTCGCCCGTTGCTCGCGTCGAAGCTGCTTTGGCACGGGGGAGAGAGGCACACTCGGCGTTCTTGCATCAAAGGGCGGAGACTGCGCGTCAATTACAGTCCATGATCACCCGAATCGACGCGATGATGAAGCAAAAGGATGCGGTAAGATCCTGGACTAAAGCGGCCTTGGAGTCCAATCGTGTTCTTCGCGCCAATATGGAATCTCTCAACGCCCAAGTCGTCGGAAACAGTCGTGCGAGAATGCGCAGAGTTCGTGATAGATTGATCGACTTTGGCGTTCGGCAAGGCCTAGGACAAATATTCAAGCTCTGTTACAAGCTATGGGAGGCATTAATATGGACAGCAAGTTGGCGAACTCCAACGGCGAGAAAGAATCTGAGACAGGATCAAAAGGGCTGGAAGGGCGTCCCCTACGGCACATTTATTGGCGTCGCGGTGATAGGTATGATCATTCTGTTCTATCATGTTGGTGAAGGTTGAGGGTTTTCTTGGATTTTGGGACGAACCATTGGACTATCAGAGTCATTCACATCTAGAGTTTTTGTATTGCAAATCTGCATGGCATGTCAAGTCCCTGCGCACTCGACTGCCGACCAGATTGCCCGACCGCAAGGTCTTTCCATAGCAGATCGAGGTGGCGAAAGGCTCTGTCAGCGACAGAATGATGGCGACTGTACCGTCAGTCCGCGAAAGCGATAGGTTGCTGTGAACCGTTTCCCGGATTTCGATTGCGGACCCCATGGAATGGCTCCAAGGAACCACTGTACATGTACCCGGCAGCCAGGAGTCAGCAATGAGAGGATAAGAGACAGTTCCACAAACAGCCCAGCGGCGCAAGGTGAATGAGTTACTGATTCCATTTCATCAGAATACGGTCATGACTCGCGAACGGCGCAGCTATTGACAGAGCGTTTGCGCTTGCTTTTGATGGGATGAATGCGCCCCTGCATTCGGCCCTTTCAAACGAGATGACCTAAATGCGATCGCCCTGTCTTTGCTGAAAGAGAGCCACCTGATTCACAGGCTCCAGATTATGCATCAAGAGCTTATGGACAAATAGAACGCTAGTGAAGTCCTTGCAAAAGCCCCAGACAGACGGGACCTGTGAAGCATTCAAGGGCTCAATGCGCCATGGTCTTCGTGCTATGTATGAATGTCTGAGAGCACGTTGGGCAAAGCACATTCTCAGATGAAGTTCTCGTTCTTGGCTGAGGGGATTGCTGGTCGCCTGTACGGGCTATCAAACTCGCAGATCGCCTCCTTGGTCCCGTAATGCGAGATCGACAGTGTTCGGGGCTGCGTCCTGCTCGCCCCCTCGAAAGCGGTCTTCAGCTCCTCGTTATAGACCGCAGCCGAACGAGAAAATGGGACGTGAAATGGGTGCGGCCCTCATGGGCTCAAGAGAGGATCAAGCTATCGGTTCCTGATACCACCCATCAGCGCTCAGTCCAAGACGGCGTGGCGCGTTGCGGTTGACGGAGATCCGAGATCCGCCCAGCAGAGACCGATTTCGCTCACCTCGAAGACTCGTACATAGGTGTTGAGGTCTGCTACCAAGTTCGATGTTGTTTCGTCTGTCAGGAATATGACTCCATATCGCTTATAATTATCCAGACTCCCGTCTAACTTGGAAGATCCTCTTCCGCCTCGCCTTGACGGGGCCATGCGCAACATCCGGAGCACTGGCTGTTGATCCCGATGCCGTTGACATGGATTTGCCAAGATGAGGGAAAGACCTCACAGCGATATGTTCATGACCTCGAGCATACGGAGATAGAGTATGAGCAGAATGAGATAACGTCGCGAGTTGTGAGACGGTATTGTTGAGGGGAAGGGTGAAACCACGAGGAAGAGTCGATTTGCCAGGCGATGTGCCTGCTATTGAAGCTGGTCGAGCGGGACGCGGCTTTGTCGGCGCATTCGCTTGGAATGACTGGGAATGAGGCAGTGGAGGGGCCAAGAATGGGTCTGAATGGAATACATCGGACTGAGTTGCGAAGCGTCTGAGGGAGGGAGGACCTCGCGCAAATGATGGTGGGATGCAGAGGCTCTTGGGGTTGTCAGCTCTAGCCATTCCGGGTGAGCTCACCCCTACGGTCGAAGAAGCTACCGAGCTGGCTCTCGCAGTGATGCTTCCCGCACCCGATGGACTCTGAGCCTGTCCAGCCTCTGAAGGAGCACGGATCTGGCTCTGTGAATGATAGATCCGAGGTCGAGTGATGAGTCCTCCTCCGACTGCAGGAAATGTCTCCCATTGATCGTCTTCCGATGGCGGCGCGACAGATTCCAGAGCGGTCTCCATTTCGAACATGTCAAAGCTCTCTTCTTCTTCAAAATCGCTGACGTCGCCTCTCGAGTCGACGAGCGCTCCTAGTCCTGTACCTCTTGCCTTCTCCCATAACCTGCCAAAGGCTTCGTATCCGCTGTGCGTCGGCACTCCCTCAGGACGTAATCCATAAGTTGGATCATACTCCTCGATGCCGGGAAAGACTGTATAGGAAGTCGGCGATTCAGCCGTGAGAGATTTTCTCGAAGCTCGCTGTGTGGATCGCTTGGGCGTGATGATGGGCGTAGGCACAGGGGGTGGGAAGATTTGTGATTCGTCGTCGTCCTCGATAATGGTCGGCGCATAATCTGGATCTTTGTAGGGCAATTCCACCTTGCCGCCGACGCCTGTACCGGTGAACCAACGTTGACTAAGTCTGTGAATGATACCGGGGAGATCTTCACGGAACATTTCTCGCAGTTGACCTTCGATCTCTTGTTGGAGATAGCCTCGAATCACTTCAACCGAATCGAATGTAGACGACACGTCTACATTCTGTAGCGGATCATTCTTGAAAACTAGGGTTATTCCCTTGGATTGAGAAACCACGAGGATGAGAATTGCCCGGAGATGTAAACGTGATAATCTGAGCGTCATGGGGACGAGCAAAGGTTGAGAGGCCAATAGCGGAGCGGCAAGAGGCAAAGTCGATGAGGAGAGATTCGGATTGTGAGAAAGTGGATTGGCTTGAACTCGACATCTGACTTCGATCCACGCGTCGCCTTGATATCCCAACCTGAGAATACCTCGAAACCTATCCAACGATAGGTCTCCAATCTCCAGCAAGGTGAGCACTGGAGGCACAGTCCCCATGCTCATATCCACCACTTCGATCCTTCCCTGGATCACTGGAGGTTTATTGCCCTGCCGATCAGATCAGTGCAAAGCTCGTTGGCATTTCTGACGCCTACCTTGTTCAGAGCCCCCTCCAGCATGGCCTTGGCGCTCTCATGAAAATCTGGCGAGAACGCCGTGGACCAGTCTGGGAACTGGAACGACATGGCGGGAGGTGTCGAGACGATTGAACACAAGAGATGGGAAATGACGCGCAAATGATGATAATGATTCTGTACTTTTTTTTGGTTTCTTTTTGGGTCCTTGTTTTGCAGAGACAGAGAGAGCTACAGTAGATGCGTACAAAAAAGATATCAAGATTTTCCTCCAATACTCAGTCTCTCAGATGATTCCTCAGCGGTGCTAGATGGAACATTGGGGTCCCATCATCCCTTCCTAGTCCATGTTCAGCTGACCGCGAACGTCTAGAATCCAGTGAAAATGCCGAAAGATCGGCAGACAGCGGAGAAGCTATACACAAAAAGACGTGAGCACACAACCAAAGCGAGACAGACTACTGCTCACCGGTAAAATTGAGTCGAGGAAGATCCCTCAAAGGTGGCATGATTCCGTCGTCCGTACCACGCTGAGGTGGACGAATGCTTTGCGGAGAATCGGCACCTGTCCAAACGAGGGCTCGCGGTGAAGCCACGGATCGCTTGCGAGAATTACTCCTGATACATCAACAACCGCTCAGCAGGAATGCCACCCACTGCCTTCCGATCGAGGTGTCGGTTCTCAGCTTGACTTTGAACCCTTGTCCGGCAAGGTGTCGCGTCAGAGGCGTGCTCTCTTTCATGCCTTTGAACAATTTGGGTGAATAAACAATAAATGGATCCGAAACGACAAAGGTGAGTTGGGCGATACCGAGCCTAGCCATCAGTACCTAATCATACGGGCTTTGAACTCACTCTGACGTCTCGTACAATGTAAACTTGAGTCGGAAGGTACCAGGAACTCTGACATTGAGCTTGGCAAATACAACGACTGAACCAGGTTTCCCGTCGAGTCCCGCTAGACGTTCTGGTGTTTGAATGACTTCACCAGCAGCCGCATCGGCTCCAGTGGGTGTCTTGACATGGACATAGTCGTCATCTTCAGGCTCGGGATGGACAATAGTGGCGCGGATGAAGAAGGAAGTGGAGTCAAGGATTTCACTAACACACGTCAGCAAAAGGTAAAAGCATCCCATCATCATCCGAGCGCCGTACGTCAGGTCAGTGTTCAAACTCTGCATCTCCACCACTGGTGGCGGATCCACAGGTCGCCGGTCGACTAAAAAGGAAGATGTATCAATGAAGTATGATTACCGCTGTCAGACCTACTCGTGTCATTCTCCTCCTTGTATGAACACAATCTGGCACGAGCAGGTTGTTGCCATATCTTTAGTGTGTATTTTCTTGGAGTCTCGTCAGCTTTGATGTCCTGGCATGACTGGCTAGCTCACCTCAACTCGCCATCTGGCTCTGATGAGCTGGCCATGCTTGCATTGACTCATGTGCAGCCAGCCATGAGTGAGAACAGGTGATGATGTACAGTTACATGAGATTGGATCATGTCAGAGATGAGCCCATGGTGGCGGCGACGCCTCTCAATTTAGTTATGTATTACGTCAGCAGATCGGTTAATCTTTGAGATCTTTGGGTTTGAAAAAAAAAGTTGGTGGATGGCCAAGTTCAGCGCATCTGTTGACCAAAGGGTCTTTGGACAGTCATGAGCCCCTCTTCTGTCGCTTCGTCCTCCACAGGTTCAGACGGAGGCTACTCTGATTGGAATGACGAGGTAGAGCTATCTACCCAGTCCCTCTTTGACGACTCTCTACACCCTACCCCCGACGCGGCCATTCAACATGATGCTACAAAGCATGGATTCGATTTGCGGCAACGACACCTTGACATGTATCAGATGATGCGACTGGTCAATCTGATCAGAAAAGAGGTGCGGAATCGATGGATACAGTGCTGATGGAAGCATCTGTCCCCAGAGGACGCGTCCAGGATACCGAGCTCCGATCCACGGTTGACGGATGACGCCCTACTGGCTCCTGTCATACCCGACGATCCGCTACTTCGTGAGCATACGACTTGGATCTCGTGCTGATGGCAGAGTACTCGTTTGATGATGCATGGTCCGATGGACCCAGCGAGGCATCAATCTCGGTCCAGCTCTCGCACGCTCGTGCAGAGGCCGCCGCGCTCCGATCAGTGATCGATACGGAGGAACCAGAAGCAGTCCCGAGAAGAGTCGACAATGACTCTCACTACTTTGATTCGTACAGTGAAAACGGTGAGAAAGTACAAGTGTGAAACTCGCTGAGTGACAGAAATTCATGAGATCATGCTCAAAGACACTGTCCGGACCACGACCTATGGGAAATTCATCCTCTCAAATCCCGAGATCTTCAATGGTGCCACCGTACTGGATGTGGGGTGCGGCACAGGAATTCTATCGAGTGAGTGGACGCCCTCGTGGCAATGCTGACCTTCAGTGTTTGCCGCTAGAGCAGGAGCGAAGAAAGTGTATGCAGTGGATGCGTCCGCGTTGGTAGGCAAAACACGCGAGATTATAGCCATAAATGGTTTCTCAGATGTGATCGAGTGGGTCAACCCCATATGTGGTAGCTCACGACAGGGTGATCAACCGCAAGATGGAGGAACTGGATTTGCCGGAACCTGTAGACGTCATTATCAGCGAGTGGATGGTGAGCATGACCACAAAATATCTTTGCTGATGCCAAGGGTTACATGTTACTGTACGAATCCATGCTGGATTCTGTGCTCGAGTGAGTTTATGAGATGGGATTTGGATTGACGATAGTGCCCGTGATCGTTTTCTCAAGCCGACAGGGCTCATGGCTCCGTCTCAGGCCAAGGTTCTGCTGAGCGGTATCACTGGTGACAAGGTCCATGGAGAGAGGGTTGGGTTCTGGAAGAATATCTATGGTGAGTCGGAGCCAGAGGGCGGCCGCAGGACTAATGCTTAGGCTTCGATATGAGCGCAATGAGCAAGGTGCATCAAGCAGAGGGTCTCATAGAGAACGTGCCCCACTCTGAAGTCGTGACCGACGATGTCGTTTTGAGAGTGAGCCGTTCACATTCCTTTCCGGCGCTGACGCCAGGACATTAATATTCACTCCGCCACGCCCCGCTCTCTCGACTTTAACACCGCATTCGACCTCACTGCCACGAGGTCTTGTACCATGCGGGCGTTCCTCACGCATTTCGATGTATTTTTTGAACTGCATCGCGATGCGCTCCACCCTGGGAAAGCCGATGCGACCAAGTCGTCAGACAATGTGACGGAACCGCCTCCGATAACACCCGGCCCGGTCAGCTTTACGACTGGTACGCGTGGGGATCCGACCCATTGGCAGCAAGTTGCCTTTCTTTTGAAAGAGCCAATAGAGCTGGCGAAAGGTGAGAGGACACCAACCGTGGACATATCCGCTGATTATTCATCTTCTCAGATGCGCACATTTCTGGTCAATTCTACTGTCGTAAATCATCCTCCAATACGCGAGAGTTGGACGTCGAGATCCACTATACACTAGATAAGACTGCCGAGAGACGCACGTGGACCGTACAGACGTATACAGTGAGGTAGATGATGATGCAATCATGACCGAGTGGCCAGTGCTGGGAGAGGGATCTAGATCCAGTTGCATATGTAGCCCACCCGAGACTCGTTGAGACACTGCCACGGTATCCATATAGTGAGGATATTGAGGCGCTGTTGAGCGGACATTCCGCATTCGGAGGGCGACAGGGCGGGGGCGACAGAGAATTATAAATAATATTATAGAAGGAGAGGGAAAAAAACAGGATCTCGAAAAGAAAAAAAGGGGTGAGAGCGGTGAGGCCTGCAGGGTCAAATAAGAGCAGTCGCAGGGCAAAAGGCAGCGGCGGCGGCGGCGGCGGCTGCTGCAGCTGCAGCTGCTGGTAATGTCCTTCTTATACATGATCCCACTGCAGTTGCAGCAGCCAGGCGACGACTGTGCCCGAGGCATGACAAGAGACAAACACTATTTTCCCACAGCCTTCTTGGCACAGGCTTCTAGATCTAGTTTGGCAGATACAAGCAGAGAACAGGTACAGCAGTGCTTGCCCTAGTGCTGGTGGTAGTGGTGCTGCTGCTGCTGCTGCTGACATGACGATGATGCTATGATGGCGATAACCCTCATTTTTTTTTCTCATTGTGGCTCTCTTTATCTTCATTATCGTGTACCAAAGGGTTATATACACTTAAGATACCAAGACCTTCTTCACTTTTCGATCTGCCCATCCCATAGAACCTGTATATCTCTACTCTGGACATTGCGTTCTTGTACAAGTCATCATAATCATTGCACCACGACGCCGCCGCCGCTCATAGTCTCGCTGTCTTGACACGCGCGCGCTCTCTCTCTCGCGACTTTCTTTTTCTCCACGCCACTGCACAATTTTTTTTCTTTTGGCTGGTGGACCCTGGTCCTATTTTAATATTAAAACAACGAGGACCCATTGGATAGGACAAACACAAGAACGTCGAGAACGTAGAGGTCCCATCCATTCGTGCACTTTGATTCATACACTACTCTACCATCTACAACTCGTGGACTTGCAATAGAAAGTCAACAAGGTCAAAAGCCAACGACCACCATTCACTATCACTATCATCATCGCCTACCTCTTCTTTGGCAGCGATTAGACGGCAAGGCCACATTCCAACGTCAAACCTTTCTTCTCTGTGCAACCTAAACGCTAGCCAGCTCTGCTCGCGTCTCTCAAACCGAACAATGGCTCCTCTTACCACTCGTCTGGTGGTATTGTGCCTCCTCGTCTTCCCATTCATCGCTGCTGCTGCTCCTTATCCCGTGCCCGCCACACCAGTCACTCCAGCTGCCCCTGCTCAACTCCAACCGCGTCAAGCACCAGCAGCTTCCAAACGGATGGGTAAACGGAAAGTGAAAAAGTCTGCACCCATGGCCAAGAAGGATTATTCATCTTTCCTCTGTCCAGGTGGATCCGTTGCTTGCCCAGTTCACGTCGGCGACATTACACCTGCCACAGTCACCTCGCTACAATCGAGTTTAGATACGTTGGCAGACTGGTTCAAAGTTGGATTCGAGTGTATGGAGCTGGATACAGAGCTGAATTCGTGTGGAGGATGTTTAGCATTGGGTCAGGGGTAAGTGGTGCTGCTCATATAGCATAGCCAGACATTCGCTCATCAGGTCTTCACAGGCAAGACTGCTCCCTGATAGAAAATGCCAAAGCCACTGGATGCGAGGATGGACACTGTCAAGTGTACTCTTGCTTCGACGGATATGTGGTAGCTTCCGACCGCCAGAGTTGTGTCAAAAGGGGTACAGCAACACCAGCGACACCAGTGACGGCCATCGGGATGGATGAACAGCTCGTGCTCAGGTGATGATAGATCCACCAACTAGAATTCCAAAATATCTTCTTGTATCTCTCATCTTGACGGCTGTCATCAACGGACGCTCTACGGACAATTAGACCTATCTACCATATAATGATAATAGAAGTATAGCCATGCAAGCCGTGGCAATCCACAAATTCATTGACATGTCGACTGCTAAGTCTTTAAGCAGGGACTACGACGTATTGACAGGGTCAGTTTTGACCCGTGGTAACGGGGTTGTGCCAACATACTTGAGCGAGTGGCATGGGTCCGGTTAGTCCACACTTTTGATGCATCTATAGAGATGACCCGGAGGCAACCAGAGCCTTAGTCATGCAGTCATGATTCGCACCTGGGCTGCAGCAGTGATCTTCCGCACAACAGGTAACCACATATGCAGGGATTATTTATATATACATCTCCGGAACTCGAGGGCCGTAAGTAATGATAATAATGACGTCTTTTGAAACCCGCATCTGTTCTTTTCGTCAACAATTGGCGACATCCATCATTACTCTCGACCCGCGATAGCCTCGATCAACATGAGCTATCGGCGCCCAAGCCAGGTAGGTTGTACTGCGACATCATCATGCTCATATCAGACCCGCGTCTCGCCCATGATCTCGGCCAGTAACGTCCTTTGGTCCCTGGACAAGGACCCAATGCCGAATTCTGAGTGAGCAGATGGGGCATGGTCAAGTCGCTGACACTGTCAGATATATCAAAGCTGTCCTGAGGAGCTACATTGATGTTAAGCTCGCAAGGGGAAAGACAAAGAATGAGTGTGGATGGAAGTTGGATTTTCTGGAGCAAGAGGTAAGTTGAGCGAAGTGCGGTTTTTGGGTGCTTGTTTCTGACGGACATACAGAGACCCCAGTTCGCCAACGAGTTTCGATACATCCGTCGCGTCTATGGTCTGCCAGACTCTGGTACCTTACCCCCAAACGTCACGCCCATTCGACGAAGTGCTTCGCACCAACCACGCACGTACCCTCCACAACGTTCTAATGGCATGACAGTCGTTCGAGTGAACACGACACCGCTTCGCCCTGCTAGGACCCCGCCTCGTCCTGCGCAGACTCAGATCACAGGAGACGAGGATGAACCTCCTCCGCCACCTTACGCACCGGATGATCCTGAGCCAGACCAGACCAGAATTCTGGAGCAGCGATTGATTTCGGAAGCGGAAGCGGAAGGTCGTATCTCCTCAGAACTGCCCGGCGAACCGAGATACTCGCCTCCTGCTGGCCCTCCCCCGCTATCGTCATCTGCATCGAGACGCACGCCTCCTACACCTAACCGCGATCGACCACCTACACCTGATTCCCCCCCAGCCGATGAGCAGGTGAGACTGGCATGGGAGGAATCTCAACTGGATGAGGCGAAAAGAGCTAGTCTAGCTGCCGAGCAAGAACGCTTAGAGTTAGAGGAAGCAATGAGACTGTCTCTTGCCGAAGCTGAGATAGCTGAAGTAGCATCGTCCGTCGCTGGTCCAAGTACTCGCCCGTCAAATCCTCGTCCGCTACCGGACCCTCGTCAATCTCCACAGTACAATCAATTCACGGCAGCGCAAGCATTGTCGCCTCCGCTTCCGCTTAGACCGCAAACATCCGCAGAATCCTTCAAGCGTCCTCAACAGATGCCTTCTCAATCCTCATCCCCGTTCTCTTCACCTTGGGTTTCGCAACGTGCCTCCCCGTCAATAGGACATCGTCGGACCGCAAGCGATGTCGGCCCAGGCATGGCCAGATTATCGCTCAACGAATTCGATCCCCTAGCAGAAGATGATGGGCAAATGTCATCCTTGCCAGTGATGCAGCCAACTCAGCACGCGGCGGTCTTACAGAGCAACAACCCTTTTCTATCACCCCGAGAACGACTGGAAACCAAGTCATCGAATGAAAGTTTGGGCAAGCCTTCGCCGCCGAACACAGCCACAACAACGACAGGCCAAATTCCTCAACCCCGTCGAACCATGTCTACTCTGGCCGAGGGTGAAGACCCTTTGGAAGCCCTTCGAACCTGCGATACAGTCTTCCTCAGTGAGCACAGGAAGCGATCCGGCATGCTGACGTTCAGTTGATGATTCGGCATCGATGGCTGGTGAACCATGGGAACAGGCCAAGACGTCGCTGCAAGGTGTTGCAGAGATCGCAGCACAATATGACGACGACGGGATTGACATATACTTCCTCAATTCAAAGCGTGTCGGTACCGAGCTGAGGGTGAGCCAGCGAACGTTATCTTATTGACGACAGACCGCTGCAGACGTGGAAGAGCTCTTCGAAGGATTGGTGCCAAAAGGCGCTACACCGTGAGTGATTCGGCTGTCTCTGATGCTGATCTGCGTAGTACGGGCAGCCGTCTCGATGCAATTCTACAGAAATACCTGTCCCGCCTAGAAAAGGCCAAAACGTACGATGAACAGATCAAACCGCTCAACCTCATCATTGTCACCGATGGATGTGAGCATCTGTCGCCGGATATTGCTAATACTCAGCATTCGCACTCCCTGTCCTTGCCCGAGCGAAGCAGCTTGAAGCACAGGGCATCGATCATGCCGCTGCTTTAGACTCTGCTTCATCAGATGACCCCGAGGTCGTTCTTGTTGCTGCCGCACAAAGGGTGAGCGACAGCCTTTGATCATGAGCTGACGTCAGCTTGATCGCGGAGAATTCCCTTCAGCTCAAGTCGGTGTACAATTCTTGCAGATTGGCGGCACAGCGGAAGTGAGCTCATAGATTAGTTTTCTCAGCTAATACAAGGCACATGAAGCTCTTCAAGTCCTGGACGATGGCCTGCATCAAGTCCACGATGTGCGTGATATTGTGGACACGGTCATGTTCACTGGTGAAACGGTGACTGCGTCCTATCTCATCAAAACACTGCTGGGCGGCATCAACAAGCGACTTGACCAAACTTGATGCATGCTATGACTTGATGGCTCGCCAGACTGGTCATCAGCAAGAGTCCCACTCTCAAATAACTCACAAGACGCGTACATGTTGACGCGGTCAATGGCCTTTCCATTCTCACGGATATCAATAGGTTCGACTGCTTATCAGCCTCGATCAGGACTCGATCCTCACCTTTGAAACCAGCGGCTTCAAACCTTTGGCAATACCAAGGTCGCTTGGCTGCGCTTCGCCAGACGGCCATTCCGCCGCTCTTGAGGACCCTCCTCATCTCCACGATCTCATAATCCAACTCTGAGCGAAGATGTTCATATGCCTCCTCAGGACTCTCGTCCGACTCATCAGGAGCTCGACCGGTCGGCATGGGTGTTTCAGGAGGGATAGGATCGAACCCTGTAGTCAGCACTCTGGCTGTCTTGTCCACTCACAATCCATCGAATCCATAACGATGATTTTGGTCAAGCTTCCATCTTCAAGACCGCGCAGGACGCTGTCGTCAGCTCAAAGACCAGAAGCCACACTCACTTGAGAATGGTATCGGTGTGCAATTTGAACGAGTTGTTGACCTTGTCCGCTTTCAGAGTGGAGAAGCCCTCTGGCTTCAAGTACGCAGGACAAGATGCCCGAGTGTATCGTCCATTCAAGCAGAGGAAGAAGAAGTAATTGTCGTCCTGATATCAGCGCACGCCACCACTTAGGCCCACCTTGAGTGTTGTCAATCCTGGGACTGGGTCAAGCGTGGCTTTACAGAAGTCTTCCACCGTGCCATCCTGCAAGAAGCAATTCATCTGATTTCGAGGGACGCCCAGGGCGTGCCAATTGAAGATACTATTGTCATCTCGTGACTCCGAGCAATTGACTCACGGGTTCCCCAAGAACATCTTCATCATAACACGATTGAACAAGACAGGGCGTAATCTGCTGTCCCAGATGCGCTTTTGCTCTGCCGTTGACGAAGCTCTACACAACTGCTTGACGTCCTTCGACACTCCTGCCAAGAAGAAAGCCACTTGAGCCAAACGTAAGGCCCAGCCACTGTAGCCTCTGAAGTAAAAGTTGCGCTTGAATTGACCAGCGTGCGTCTTCCAGTAGGCGTAAGCATGCCTGACGTTAGCCATGATCGTGTGGGGACAACCCTACGAGGACAGGAATGGAGCGAGTTTGGAGTCGAGTAATCGATCAAAGTCGGGATGTCTGCCTTCGCCAAACGTCTGCCAAAAGTCGGAGTACTCGAGCGTCTGGATCGCAGCCAGCTTGAGTTCGAGGATGTGACCTTGACATGGGTTCATATCTGAAATGTGAGCCTCTGTCCCGATCTGGAACCGCCTTACCAACTGCATGGATTCGTTCGCAATTCGCTGCGAGAGCGTAATGAAGCACATTGTCGCCTGCACTGGTGATCGCAAGGACGTGGTCATCCTTTTTGATGCCCAATCGCTTCACATCGATATCTGGATCTTCCCAAGTCTATTGCATCAGCGATACTCAAGATCCGCACTTACCCAGCCATAGATATGTGTTCGGAACTGCTCGTGAATCTTCTCCTCAAGATATGGCACTCGCCATGCCTCATTGTCAGCGCAGAACGGTCTCGTGGACTCACCTTTCTCAACTGGTAGTGGAATGGACTGAATGGTGCACCGACGTCGAAAATGGTCTGCTCCATCTCGGCAGCGCTTGGTCCCAGAGAGAGATCAGGGATAAAGTGATTCTTTTCACTCAATGGCGTAGCGAATGGTGACATAGTAAAAGGCGAAGTTGGCGTAAGCAGACCACTACTGTCTCGCCCAAGTCTGTTTCCAGCGAGCTTCTCGAAGGCTTCTGCGGCAGCCGATGCATCCCTGCCACGGGAGCATCCGATGAAAATGTAGCTATGAGGGTCAGAGCGAGAAGAGCGAAAGCTGCTTACTAGGGAATCTGAATGAACCAAGAATTGAGAAAGTTGTTACGACCATTGTACAGCTTGATGGTACCCATTTTGTATTCAAGATAGTCTGCGCTGTGTCAGCCACGAACGAAGTGTGTGGATCTCACCTCGCCTAGAAGCGTGCAAGTGGACGTGGTCAAGCTCAAACCAAGACTCCCAGAACCACTTTGCAAACCAAGACATTCGCTTCGACATGGTTCCGATGGCCTGCGTGGTGAGCTCGGATGTCGCTGCCATCTCACCCTCTCCTTACTCCCGAGGTCTCGAGAGGTGTAAAAGTCAACGACACCCATCAAACCACGCTTGGGATCAAGCACTTGGTCGCATCGGTCCAAAAGAGAGTAGAATGAGGGAATCTCGACGTCAGCTTATACTTTCGGACACACTCACCATGGACAACGAGTAGCTCATGGTGACTGCGGTCAAACTCCCTCTTGGATCCAAGGCGCCGGACTCCCATTCGGGAATCGTGAACTTGGATGCATCTTGGCAGAGGACGTGCACGTTTTTCCACCCCTTGGCTGCGAAACGCTTTCTGGCCACTTCAAGTAACGGCTCGCAGAGATCAACGAGGTAGACGGCGTCAAACCATGTGATGGGCAGGTACTCGTCCCTAGTACAAGGTCAGGGGAAATTCTAGTCGTCCACACTTGCATCTTCTCAATATTGAAGCCTGTACCTCCCCCAATGTCGACCCAGATTTTGGGTCTCGCACCGCTCAACGGGGTTGGCTGGGCTTTCAAATGGCTTGCGAGTAATTGCAACATCGTCTCTCGACCCTTGAGCAGATGACTACGAGTTGAATCATAGACGTCGGCTTGACCTTGGTAGAAACCTTCGAGTTGTTCTTTTTGATCACCATAGGAGCGCAGGAACGGCTTGACAAAGCAGTTCCACATGAACCTGAGCGGGGTTCTGCAGACCGGAAGGGCGAGCAGGAGGATCACAGAAGGCAGTAGCACAAGTGACCATTGTGCGCGCTCCAAAAGCCAAGGTGACATGCTGAGTACTGCTCAGTGTGACTCTTCCCCCACTCTGGAATGTTCCCTCACTGATATAGTGCCAGAGACACTGCCACGAATGGCAGGGCTGTGCGGGCCAGCTTGCGAGATGTAGAGTCGGACATGCTGGACGAGTTGTCGAATGTCTATGTCAGGGAGAATTGGTGTTCTCGCGACACGTCTTCAATTGGACTTCAGATCTCCAACTCCGGAATGAACGGCTCTGATAGCTTGATCGCCTTCAATTAAAGCCCACAAACCCACAAACGTGCAATTCTGATAAAACGTGCGATGCTCTACGAGAAAAGAAAACAAAAATCAGTCGCGTCGAATACTCTGCTAATGGCTAAAGCTGCCTTGTGGAAGCGTTTATGATGGCTTCGAAACCACTCCAATGCTTAAACAGTCTCATTAAGATGGCCTCTAGCCTCATTGGTCCCCCAACAAGCCTCCGGAGCCACAAACAAGCCATAAGACTTTACGGACGTGATCTTACTGACCTCCCGGCCGTGGTCACAGATCACGTGACATTGATCCGCAAATTTCAGAGCTCGGACGAGCGAATGCCAAAAGTTGATTGATTCAGCGCACCGATCATCTTTACACCAGTATACATCATGCCGGATTTCATCCTCACCATTGACTCAGATGACGAATCCTATGGAGAGTCTAGCAAGACCGCTCAGGCTCGAGCAGATGACCTGAACCCTGAATTCGCCTTTGACCCCGAGTCAGAGGTCCTCGCAGCTCAAGATCAGCTCGAGGACATTGAAGCGATCAAAAGTGTAAGTCGGTCTGGGCGGACCTCTCAACTGATGGCTGTAGGGCTTCTTCGTCGACGATATTATCAGTCGTAGACTTGGAGAGCCCCTGGTGCCTTACAGAGAGCGGAAGCGGAAGCTAGAAGAAGGCTCGGATCCCGAGTCAGATGATGAGCACAGCGAACATTCGCTGCAGGACGCAGACGTCGAGACCTCGGAGGACGAAGATGGAGATGGGGAGGGACAGAATGAAGAGGAGGAGGATCAGGAAGATTCTGAGGAGCTAGAGGATGAGAATGGTGATCAATCTAGCCAAGATTCGGGCTCCGACTCCGACGAGTCCCTTGATGAGGCCGAAGAAACCCGCAAGGCCGAATTCTTTGATACTGCTCCGACGTCTGACCCTTCGCTCCCCTCATCTTTCGCTGCCATGAACCTCTCCCGACCTCTGCTGCGCGGACTGACAGCCATGTCACTCGTCAGTCCCACTCCAATTCAAGCTCGAGCAATTCCCCTGGCCCTTCAAGGAAGGGATCTGCTTGGTTCCGCCGTCACTGGATCTGGAAAGACGGCAGCCTTCATGATTCCGATACTGGAGCGTCTATGCTATCGTGATCGAGGAAAGAGCGGACAAGCTTGTCGTGTACTTGTTCTGTGTCCGACGAGAGAACTCGCAGTCCAGTGCGAGGCTGTTGGAAGAGGCTTATCGGAGAAAGGAGGATTGGATGTGCGTTTCGCCTTGCTCGTCGGTGGGCTATCTCTCAACGCTCAAGCACACACTTTACGAACTCTTCCTGATGTCCTCATCGCCACGCCCGGCCGATTGATCGATCATCTGACCAACACCCCTGCATTCACACTCTCTGCTCTGGATGTGCTCGTCATCGACGAAGCGGATCGGATGTTAGAGCAAGGTTTCAGCGACGAGTTGACCGAAATTGTCAAAGCTTGCCCCCGATCTCGACAGACCATGCTCTTTTCAGCCACCATGACGGACAGCGTCGATGAGCTCGTCCGTCTGAGTTTGAACAAGCCCATCAGAGTCTTTGTGGATCCACCTCGAGCTACTGCCTCAGGATTGACCCAAGAGTTTGTCAGGATCCGGTCCGAAGAAGCACGTTCCGCCCATCTGTTGGCATTGTGTAAGCGATCTGTCAAGGAGCGCTGCATCATCTTCTTCCGAAGCAAGGCATTGGCACATCAGATGAAGATCATCTTTGGATTGAGCAGACTGAAAGCGGCCGAACTGCACGGGAATTTGACTCAGGAGCAGGTGAGTATTTTCCACCGTCACCCGCTCATATTTAGCGTCTCAATGCTTTGACCGAATTCAAAGCTGGAAAAGTAGACTACCTCCTCGCCACCGATCTCGCCTCTCGAGGTCTTGATATTAAAGGCATAGAGACAGTCATCAACTACGATATGCCGAATCAATTGGCTTCTTATACTCACCGAGTCGGTCGTACGGCTCGTGCAGGACGCAAAGGTCGGTCAATCTCACTGGTCGGCGAGGGCGATCGAAAAATGCTTAAAAGCGTCGTTAAACACTCGAAAGACGAGAACATGAGGCATCGCATCATACCATCGGAGGCTGTCGCAACAGCCAGCATAGCGCTCTCAGAGATGGAAGAGGACATTACTGAGATCTTGAAGGAGGAACGAGAGGAAAAAGCAGTGAGGCTTCACGGCCGCGAATGAACGCTCACGATTCAGCTTCGACAAGCCGATATGGAGGTCCGCAAGGGACAGAACATGGTGGAACATGAAGCCGAGATCTTTGCCAGACCCGCTAGAACATGGTTCCAGACTGAGAAGGAGAAGCAGGCGGCTAAGAGTGAGCCTCACGATACGTCCTTTCCTGACATTCAGATGCTGGAAAGCCTGTGAATAGTAAGACCGAAAAAGCCAATCCTATCAAGCGCGGGAAGTACGATGGGTTGTCTCGAAAGGCAAAGCGAAGGAAGATGATCATGGAGGATGAGGCGCCAGACAAGGATCGTGGGATTGCAGCTGCTATCCGGTCTGCCAAAAAGACGGCCCGACCTAAGAAAATCACCGAATTGGATAGTCGACCACAAAAGACTAAGAAATCAGTGTCTGGGCCAAAGAAAGGCAAGAGGAGCGCTTTCGACAGCGACAAGGGAGCCCAGAGAGGTGGCAGTGGCCATGAGGGAATGAGGGCCAAGCCTGTCAAGGTCAACTTGAGCAAGAAGGGCAAGGGCGGCGGCGGCAGCGGTGGCAAGAGGAAGAGGTAGACCCAAAGAAAATGTTATGCATGTGCCACGTGGACTTGGGGGGGAAGGGTGTTTCAGCTTTCAGGCGGGTGAGACGCGATCAAAAAATAAACCCCTCTAACGCTGTTGCTCCTGATCCTCCTTCTTTGGAACCAATCAGTCTCTCAGCAGTGTCGCTCATCATCTGGCTCTTCTGGGGAACCACCTCGTTTTGGACTTTGTGCCTGCTTTCTCCCCCTCAATGACGACATCTGCGAATACTTGACGTCTTCTCGCATCAGCTTAAATATCCGGGTCATACCTTCGCCGCTCAGTCGTATCTTCCGCCCCGCTGACATCACGGTGCGGCACAACATTCCAGCATCAACAATGGTATGTGGAGTCTGAATTAGTCGCATGACTGAAGTCCCTATGTAGGCTTCCACGAGCTCGAATGCTCAGGCTGATCCCGAAGAATTCTATGTCCGACAGAATCGCATCGGTGAGTACAGAGCTTGAGCCGTTCATTGAGATTGTGTCAGGCAAGGGAAGCTTTGGAGAGGTCTACAAAGGGCAAGTGAACGAGCGAAGAGAATGTGGAGCTTATAGAATCAGATACGATAAGAGAACATCCATACCAGTGGCTATCAAGATCATAGACCTAGAGAGCGCAGAGGATGAGATTGACGACATCCAGCAAGAGATCCAGATTCTCGGCCAGCTGGATAGCGAGTTCGTCACAAGGTAGATTCATTCCGCAGGTCGGGTCGCTGACCATCAGATACCATGGATCGTATCTCAAAGGCTCCAAATTGTGGATCATTATGGAGTATTGCTCTGGTGGATCATGCTCCGATTTGGTGAGCCGCTTGATCCCCATCTGAGCTGACGGGGCATAGATGAAGGCTGGTGTGTTTCGGGAGGAGTACATCGCGATTCTAGTCCGCGAACTCTTGCGAGGCTTGGACTACTTACATGGTGAAGGCAAACTTCACCGTGATATCAAAGGTGCGCTTGCTGGATCATCACCGCGCTGAACGTCAAGCCGCCAACATCCTCCTAACGGGTAACGGCGAAGTCAAATTGGCAGACTTTGGCGTGTCTGGCCAGTTGACGGCTACAATGACGAAAAAAGTGAGCTTTACTGCTCGATGTCTCCTCACGCGTAGAACACGTTTGTCGGAACCCCCTACTGGATGTCACCCGAAGTCATAAAGCAATCCGGATACGATCACAAGGCGGATATCTGGAGTCTAGGTGAGCGCAATCTCTGTCAAACCCCATTGACAAACGTAGGCATCACTGCTATTGAGCTTGCTATGGGGGAGCCTCCATATGCCGATTTACATCCCATGAAGGTAAATCAAGACCATTCAATCTGGCTGACTCCAGGTACTCTTTCTCATCCCCAAAAACCCTCCTCCTCAGCTCGATGAGAGCAGATTCTCCAGAACTTTCCGAGATTTTGTGTCACTTTGTCTGCAACGAGATCCGCGAATGGTGAGCAAGCTATTGAACAAACCTGACACAGCAGCGCCCAACGGCCAAGGAACTCCTGCGGCATAAATTTATCAAGACAGCTAGAAAGGCATCCTACCTCACAGAGCTCATAGAGAGAAGCGAAAAGTGGAAGGCCGAAGGCGGAGCCAAGGCCGCTGATGATGGCCACAAGAATGGGACAATGCTGGGGTACGTAGACAGTGGAAGTACTGGAGTTTGACGTCTCAGACCCGCACATGGACCTGTGGGAGATGCCTTGTGGGACTGTGAGTACCTAAGTCTGCCTCGCTCATGAAACAGTCGGAACCGTCCGCAATGCTTTGCCGCCTACTGGGACAATCTCTCGCGCCTCTACCTCGCGTCCTCTCCCACAGCCTACGACGAATCACGGCACTGCGAATGGCCGAGCACTACCATCAGTTCCTAATGGGGACAGCGGACAGCCACAAGCGTACTCTACCATCCGCCACGCAGTTCCTTCGGCCGCGCCCCAGCCTGAGACTGATCACGAAGACGATCAGATGCTAGACGGGGTAATCCTTCCGGCCCTGACGAATGTGAGTCCCGCTCTCGAGCGTGTCTGAGACATCAAAGCTTGCCGCCAGAATACCAAACGATCACGCCCGCTATGCCCTCGCTAGACTACGCCATGCCTTTGAGGAGGCAGAACGAGAGATACCCGGTGTCACTAGTGCCTTTGTTCTGGAGATAGTAGAGAATGTCGAGCAGGTGGACGAGCATTGATATACGATATGCATGTTGTTGTTTATGTTGCGTTGACTAATGGCGGACTGGCCACCGGACTGAAGGAGGAGTCGGCGTTGAATACTGTAGTAGGAGGTGTTGAGGGTCGAGGTATACGATGCAGCAGGCCGTAACTGATGCTATCAGCGTGGGCTCATCAGCGCTGACCAACCCTATACCACAGCCTATCAACCCCTCGCCTCCCCATTGGCGTGTCGGGTACAGGATCACCTCGCGTAAATTGCTAGGTGTGAGCGCGCCGAGATGAGCACTCGTACTCACTCTAGATCTGCGTTGTAAACAAAGAGACGAAGGGGCTTGTCAATGTGAGACTCTACGAGTCTGTAGAAATCGTTCTCAGAATGCAATGGGCCTCCTGACCAAGCTAGAACGTAGTCGCCCCATGGAACGAGACCTTCAAGTGGATCATCAATTCAGGATCTGCACGGCGTGACTTACCCGCCATTTCGGCTGGAGAGCCTTCCAATACATCAAGAACGTGATACACCGACTCCAAGGCGTTGGCAGGGTTACACTGACGGAGAGATACTCCCAGCAGAGAAGGACGTGGACCGGATTCTTCCGTTACGCCTTGGAACCAATTGCGGTTCGGCGTGAGAGAGACGTCTTGATATCAGCTCTTGTCAATCAACAAGTACGACTCACCTCTTAATCGCTGAGACTTTGCGTTGTATACTTTCAACGTGATGCGCTTCCCTTCATTGTCCTCCAATAGCTGTCCCAGATGACGCGCATCTATACGCGGTAAGGGCGAGATCGAAGACGAGGATGAAGCCGCATTGTCAACTTGAACATCGACTAGATAATCAAAGAAAGGTTCAAGCAGTCCACTGGCAGGAGAGCCATCCGCGACTCGGAGACAGTGCAGGGCATTCTCAGGCAGTGATGATGGCAGGGCAGACGATGATTGCCCCATTGCGGCCAGGTGGATGATCAACAATAAAAGAAACGATTCTTAATTTAACGGTGGCATGTCAATTCATCTCGAAACTCTCATCAGAAGAAAAGTAGATGTCGTCTAGTCCCCCCTAAACATCCCTGACCCCCCTTGACATTTCTCTAGCTCTGAGCCGTCTTGTCTCGTGCGATCAATCAGGCCTTGGATGCTTTCTGGCTGACGGTTATCTAGCGGGGAATGTCAGTCAAAGGTTTGGGAGCTCGTGTCTGCACCTACCTTGTCACCCAGAGATAAAGCGATACCCTGCGTTTTGGACCGTATCCTCACATGTCCCGATATTGAGCCATCCTCTGCGCGCTCCAAGCTGCAGTTCGCAAGCGCATCCTCACCAAACAGACTTCTGGCGGCCAAATTGGCACTCAAAAAGTCGCAGTCGCCGGACAACGCGGACTCGGGTGTCAGACACATCATGTTGGTGTTCGCAATTAGCAGATCAAGATACTGTCTAAGGTCTGTCACACCGGTGTTGACGGCGACTTTGTTCTCCTGCAGGTTTGTCAGACGTATCTCAAAACCAGAAAAACTTTTGCGCACCCATTCAAACTGATATGGGAGTCAGCTAAGATTGCGTGCTGAATTATCGACTCACCTCTGTCCAATATCTACAACGACGAGCTCGTGTTAGCTGGCACTTAATGGCCGTGGATGCACTTACGATCGATACTGAGAAACGTCAGCACTTGCAAAAGCAAGCAATAAAACTCACCTGTGCTTCTGTCAGATGATTCGGTCTGATGAAGTCCAAGATCTCGATGTGCAGGTCATTCAGAACCTAAGCGTCAGTGAAGGAATTTGCGGAAGTAGCTTACGATGTTGACACTCTGATCTCCCTGTTTGTCATACGAGATAGTGCCAAAGATGACACCAGTCTCTGTTGAACTGACTTTGATGGTTGCGGTCAGATTGTGGAAGCCGTGCGGTCCCAGCGTGTGCGGTGTCGGACGCTCGACGAGCTTGAGATCTCCCAAGCAAGCAATGTCGACGGCGAGGTTCTGCAATGTTTCTGTCGTCTGATTGACAATGAGCAAGTCGAGAACAATGTCGAACTGCTGTATGGTGACGACAGCCTCGGCGTAAACCGGGTCGGAAAAGCCGGTAAGCTGTGTGATCCTAGACAGTTTGGACACGAAATCATCTTGCACAAGGCCAGCGCCGGTCGCTCGCACAAGATCGCTCTCGTAGTCATCGAAGTCACCTCCAGCCGCCTTTTTGGACAGTTGTCGGAAAGAGATTAGGTCATCAGGCTGAACGGTCTTGGACTGATCTGCCAATTGCTTCTTGGCAGCCGCTTTCGCCTCGTGTGTCTTGACCATTGCCGTGTACGCAGCCTGACTATCCCTCAAAAAGATGTCGTTCAGGACCCGTGATCCAGATAATTGCGCCAGCGTTTCCACACAGTTCATGATACGCTCTTGAGAGTCTTCGTCGATGGGGACAGCGGCGAATTTGGACTGACCGACTCGAACAATCGAAGTCATGATGAGCAGCGCTTCTGCCCTCAGGGCATTGACTGCGCCACTATCGAAGACCACTTCTGAATATCGAAGAACGAGCTTGGTCAAGGTGACGGCCAAGACACTAGCGGTGTAAAAGTCGCCTCCGAGGATCAGAGAACGGAGTGGAGGTTTCGCGGCAGCACGGACCTGCTCCAGACGGGCAGCGGCGGCAGTGGAAGTGTATACTGTCTCGGTGGCATAGGTACCATCGGCCAATACTCGAGTTGTGGTAACAATCTTGGGTTGCGACTCTGTCTGACTCTCGTTTGTCGTTGTCGTTGCGTCCGCCGCCTCTGCTGCATCCAGAAGCCTTTGCTCCGAAGCGACGATTGGAATCTCTCCAAGGACTTTGCGAATCTCAAACATGGCCCTTTTGATGTCTGCGGCTTCCTGACAGTACTCTCCAACGATCCACATGGCGCCTCGGAAAACTTTTCCAGACTTGAGCTCGCCGAATGTCGCAATAAGTCTCTCGGTGATGGCGGATCTGAGATTTGGAAATTTCTCCACGACCTCTCGCACGAAGGATATGACATCTACGGCGGAGGGGTTATTCGAGTCGCCGAGGAATTCCATCAACACGTAAACGACATTTGCAGCAACCTCTGAGAAACGAATGGCACACGTATGAATGGATTGAATGAGGAGTTGGCGGTATTCCACATTCTTGTCAAAGTCTCCATCCATAGTACCCTGTAGTTGTTTCTTGAGGAACAGCACCACATCTTCCACATTGCGGCTGGTGACCATCTCGAGAACGATACCTATGGCGCGCCGCCTGACCTCGAGGTCTGGGCTGGATAGAACCTTGATCACATCCATCACCATGCCATCCAAGACGTGCTCATGTTTCGCGCGCAGAGTATCGAAGCGGTCCAAGACAATGAGCTTGACATTGTTGTCGGACTCTTTGATGATGAGGTCTGCGAAGGCTGCAGCGGCTGCTTTCACTGCTGCGGGATTCTGAGTGAGAGTGGTCAAACTGGTCGCAGCTTCGTATTTGACAGCATTGGAGGCCGAGTTGAGCAATTCGAATATGCAGCGGATCCACTTGGCCTGGACAAGGTGAGCAATCACCACTAATAGAAGAACCTACTCTGTGTCCACCGTCTGTTTTTGCCTCCTTACGTACAAGCTCGACCACAGCCATTTGCATCAGCTCATCCATGCCCGAGATTGCCTCAAAGTTGTTCAAAAGATACCGGACCGCAGTCGACTGGGAAATGGTAGCCAGAGCCACGAACGCATTCCGTTTGCAGGTAGAGTCAGATTCCTGACTGTCAATTCCTGTCATTCCTACATCACTCACGGCCGCAAGAAAAGTTTCCAACAGCTCAGGTGCATCGGGAATCAGATGCTCGTGATCTTGGTAGACTGTTAGAATTGTGAAGACGGCATTCTTGCGAACGAAGGAATGTCGATGTTCCTGACGTCTCAGAAGTTATCGCATTGTATACTCTTACCAGACAAGAACGGATGGTCGGGATCAACGGCTCCAAGATCTCGGCTTCTCGTATCTTCTGCAAGAATCTCAGGGTCGCACCCCGAATGTACTCGTTGGGATGTTGCTACAAGAATGAGACGCGGTCACATCGTGTTGAAACTCACGAGATCGTTTCTGATGGCGTTGCTGACGGGATTAGTATCGCATCGGGACAGCCGGACTCACCAGACCAAAATCATCTCCTGCTTCAGTTTGCCATTGTCATCGAACTTGGGACAGATTCTGGGGACCAGTCAGTGTAGCGATGGAATGTCAACTCACTCCCAGTAAAAGTGCAGCATTTTCTTGATCTGCTTATTGCGTGAAGGCATGACATATTGGATGATCGGCATGAGAAGCGCAGGCTGTAGATAGGGTCAGCGACCTAGCTGACCGGACGCGAGAACGTACGTGAGACTGTCCGTTCAACGTCCCCACGATGATTCTCCGCATGGTCTCAAGCTTGACCTCATCAGAGCCCTTTTGCAAAGCATTTCGGAGCTCGGGAGAGGTTGCGCCCTCGATCAGATCATCGTGTACGATAGTGTAGCAGGCGGTGGAGCTCATCTTGGACAGTCTCGAGCGCTGCTCTGTCCCACGAGCCCAGGTGTTCTTGACTAACTCTATTGTAACCACACCACGTACGAGACAGATGGCATGGAGGATGGGCGTGTCATGCCACGTGATCGGCGTTATAAGCCTCATTTCGAGCTTGTGGCACCTATGTGGTCGTCCACTTTTTCCCGATAGCCCCTGCCATTGAAAGCCCTGGCTCGAGTCGTCTACAGTCCGTCAAGAACGTTCTGCTGCCGGTGTACTCACAGCAGACATGGCTTCGTCAACTGTGACTGTGAGTCCGGTAATCGCCAAGATGAAGCAGCCAGCCTAGATCCTGATCGTTACCTCATTAGGTGGTCCGCTGGACAGCCCTCATAACCGGAATCATCTATGGAATCACTCATCAGTCTACCCTGCAACTGCAATTCGACGAACGCAAGGTGAGTTTTGTCAACTGTCATGCTGTAATGTCCTTGCTGACTCGGTGTGTAGAAAAAGCATCATGCTGAACACCGTGCCGACCTCATAGAAAAGGCTAAAGCTGCTTGGGCTGCCAAATCAGACACAGAGTCATGTGAGTATCGGCTGCTGACAGCTGCATCTATCGGACGTCGGATGTGCCTGTCAGCTTCGCCCCTTCGCATGTGTACTGATTCGTCTTGCAGTAATAATCGACCCGGACAACCCAAAATTCGACGTGGAAAAGGTCATTGCCGCTTATGCAAAGTGATCGCATGTTTGGTTGTGCATATGCATCGGGTGTGATAGATCGATCCCCCAGGACTAGTGCGTAGTCGTGCATGGTCCTTGGTGAGACGGCGTGTCATGAGATTTCTGCGTACGGCGAGATGGATGGGATCAGTTCTATCGCTCTCTGTGTGTGCCTAGTTCATGAAATCGCTTCGGTTTTGCCGGCATGTGCATTTCTTCGTTATTTGTTATTGCTCTCATTGTTGATCTCTCTCTCTACATTTGAGATCACCATGTCCGAAGAACAAGAGGAGGCGGAGATGCCTGTATTCCTACAGCGTATACACCAGACGCGACCAGTATCACCAGTAGCTGCCCCGGCTCCCCGTGGAATCACCTCTCCTCCCCTACCCATCTACCTTCCCCCTCCAGCCCTACCAAATGTCGAAGAGGATCTCATCCCTCCAGAGAACTTTGCCATTGTCGCCCCTGGAGTCTACAGGAGTGGATTCCCCATGCGGAAAAACTTCCCCTTCATGGAAACCCTCAGGCTCAAGACTATCCTGTGCGTCGAATGCCGCCGCTTCACTGACCACTGTCAGGACGCTGGTGTTGGAGGAGTATCCTGAAGCAAACTTGAAATGGTGCCAGGATCAAGATATCCAATTCATGGTAGGATTACACTCACAGGCGGAACGTTGACTGTCAGCAATTCGGCATCCCCGGCAATAAGGTGTGTTGCAGCTCGATATCATTCTGAAGTGCTTCACAGGAGCCCTTCGACAACATACCCGAGGAGGTTATCTGCGCCGCCCTGGTTCAAATCCTGGATAAGCGAAATCACCCGCTACTTATTCATTGCAACAAGGGAAAAGTGAGCTGATTCACCTGGTCCTACCACTAAGCAACAGCATCGCACGGGCTGTCTCGTTGGTTGCATCAGGAGAATACAATCCTGGTCATTGACATCAATATTCGACGAGTACGTCCAATAGGTAGATCAGGACTCAAAGAATGACAGGTACCGCCGTTTCTCCAATCCCAAATCTCGCGCGGTCGATCAACAATTCATCGACCTCTTCCAGCTGTCCAAGGTCTGGGAACAAGTCTTATCTACAGAAGGAGGCGGTCTAGACAATCTTCCCAAATGGAGAATGCTACATGCATGAGCAGGACTTGGCTATTCAAGCTCCATCGCGTTGACATCGGCATCTCCTGCGGCTCGGATATGGCGCGAAGGCTCCCAAACCTGCAGTATGTTGTCTTCCGCTGTGCTTGCCAGATGCCATTTGGCAGAAGGACTCCAGGAGAGATCGCTGACTTTGGCAGTGTGACCTCCGTGGACGAAAAGCAGTTCGGGAGGGCCATCTTCAGCATCGTCAGGAGTCTGCTCAGCACCAATGGCATCCAAATTCCAGATATTGACTCGGCGGTCAGCACCTGCAGAGGCGAAGTGGACAGGTGAATGGGGAGACCACGCAATCTGGAGAACTTCGTCGGTATGGCCGTCAAACGTGTGAAGCTTGAGATCGAGTTTACGGGTGTCCCACAATGCCACCGTCTCCCTGTCAGCCGCATTGTAAAATTCAGTTGCTCACCTTGTCACTAGACCCGGTGAGCACCAGGTAGTCGCTGCTGGGAGCGAAACCAATGCAATTGATCTCTGCCGTGTGGGCTTCTACTTGCATACTCGCTTTGCTGGTGTTGTCGCTTCGCGTATCCCATCTGGGCCACGATCAGTCATGTCACTATTCACTAACGTACATCATGAGCATCCTGTCGTCCCCAACCGAACCGAAGAGATTAACGTCAGATGAATGCCAATCAACATCCTGAGGTCTCAGCTGCACACATTGTAGCCACAACGCACCCCGACATTAGAGGCGTGACCTGTGTACTTTCGAACCGGATGCAAGGTAGCATCCTTTTTAGAGTAGGCCTCAATATCCCTGGAGATTAGCCTGGTTCACCAAATTTGACCCACCAATGAGCAACGGTGGTGTCTTCACTGGCACTGAGCAGCTGTCCCGTCTTGAGTTTGCTCCACGAGAGACCATATCTGTGGTGATCAGCTCGGTGCGCTGATAAGACTCACCCTTCTTTTGTTTGACCTTTCAACCGTATGTCAGGCTTGCACTCGCCATTTTTCGGCGCTGTCGTCTCGTGTTTTGTCCGGTCAAAAACGAATACTTCCCCGCGGACTGTCTTCGTTGCGATAAGATCTGGGTTTTGGGGCATGTATCGAGCCCGATTGACCTCTCCGTCGTGATTGATCGTCTGCTTGACACGTACGCGAGCAGACGACTTGGTGTGCGATCCGAGCTCTGTACATCAGGCCCCACACCCACAAGCACACTTACCCTGCTTCTCCTCGTCGTACAACTCCGCAACGTCTTCGTCCTTCGCTTTTGGCAGCAAAACTTCAGCGATGAGAAGTTGGTCTGAGGCTTGGGATGAAGTGTGTGTGCCAAGAATCATCCGCTGCACTGTGTAGTCTGCATCTTTCGGCCTAGGAGACGAGGTTAGCGTCAGGTCCCGACGCCGAGTGAGCTCACGATTCCTGATCTGGCAGCCATTGACAAGTCAAGCTCGGCCATGTGAGAGCATGCGTAATGACAGTATCGTACAGGAATGGCGTGCTAGGAAGGGATTAGATGCCTAGTAGTGCGAAGTGTCTGGACCTACTTCTTCTTCCATATTTTGTACTCCTGAAAGGATGTCATGTAAGCTCCTGCCAGTCACACGGGTCGCCTCAGTACTTACCTCGTTGATAATTTGACTCTCAGTAGCCTCTGTACCCTCGTCATCGTCGATAACTATCGCGTCCTGTCTCGACATTATCGATAGCTTGTGAGATGGGACGAAGCAGTAGTCGGACATGAATAGCAGCTGTAGCTTGAACTTGAACTTCACGCGTTTTGATCACGTGACTGCACGTGGGAGATCACGATCGAGAACCTGATGACGTTCCCTTCACCATAACTTGTAGACTCAAGCACTCAATCATGACAGCTCACTTGGACCTCAAGCCATTGACCTTGAATGTGAGAGGGAGAGACTGCGACCTAGCTTTGCTGCTGATATCTCCACTGCAGGACATTCCGGATCCAGAGTCTCCAGAATTCGCTCAATTCGTCGATTCCTATTTTGCTGCCGGCACTAAGTTGGCAGACACGATAAAGTGATCGTCACTCCTAGTTCAGCGACTGGGGCTCAAAGCTGATCAGGCCATAGATCATGGACGCCCCACTCATCAAAGAAGGGAGTCGAGCTGTCATCACTAAAGTCCTCAAATGATCAGATCCGCAAGGCTCTCAACATTTCGGAATTCTGGTGTGCCCGCACATCATATCACACATCAGAATCGATGAAAGCAATGGCATCGGGAGGCAAAAGAATCGAGGAGCCTAACAAGGGATCAAATGTCAACCACGGACAGACCTCCGCGGGCACATCAGTACGAGAAGTGTACGAACGCTTTCGGAGTGGCCTGTTCGAGAACCACTCAGAGGTGATCTCCTATCAATAACCTCGAAGCTGACATAGTCACAGCACGAGAGGCAGTATATCGAGGCATGCCAAGAGGCAGAATGCCTCCAGGTCTTCAAACCACAGGTCGCAGAGGTCTGGCGGTAGGGCTTCGATTCGCTCAATGCGCTGACGTTTCAGCTTGACGTACAGCACGCCCCCGCCTTCGTCGCCACGAACTTTCGTTGCCTTGTTACTATGTCGCGAGCTCGATTCGACGCCAGGTCAACGGTCGTTCATGAACAGTAAGCCCTCCGAAGCGGTCGGGCACTGAAAGTCAGTCTCTGTCCCATTCTCACATCCGTCTTGCGTCGAGAAGCAGGGACCGGAAAAGTCCAGAGCGCGCGGCAGATATGTGTCTGTTGAGCGTGTAATCGAGCTTGAACAAGGCGGAAAGGTTGAGTGGAGGATGGCCACGAGTAGCGACGCCGGAGGGAATATCCCCCAATTCATCACCAACGCCTCGTTGCCGTCACAAATTGCCATTGATGTACCTAGCTTTATCAAATGGTAGGCATGGTGATCACTGGTCATGTCAGAGTCTGACTGCAACCAGGGCCATGGAGCGCTTCCCCGATGAAGCTGTCACGACGACACAGGCGAATGCCTCAGCCTGATTGGCGGACAGGCAGTGTCGCTACGATGATGAGAATGCATGGATCTTCTTGCTTCCTCAAAGCTCATCCGCATGACGGTTCTTGATGCCCAGCAGTTCGACCTCAAAAACAAGGGTTGACTGAGGTGGAATGACAGGAGGATGTCCTCGGGCACCTATATGACCTTAGGCAGGGTCTCTCAATGATTTCATCCACTCACCATAGGCCATGTCGGGAGGAATGGTCAATTTACGCTTCTCAGAAATGCACATGTCGGTCAAGCCTTGATCCCAGCCCTAGAACATCAGCTCAGGTCGATTTTTGAGGCTCTAACCTTGATGACCTGTCCTGTACCGACTGTGGGCTAAGGTTCAGCGATACGCGACTGACCCTAAAGACACCGTCCTTACGAGTAAATTCGAAGGGCACATTTCGGTCCAAGGATGAGTCAAATTTGCTCCCATCGGCTGCGAGTGTGCCTGTATAGCTGATGTGCGTGTAAGCGTCCTTACATGCTCATCATAGTTGCAACACTGACTGCATACTGAGCTTGTCGCCCTTTCGAGTCTTGATAGGGCAATCATCTGGCTTGTACTTGACTCCAATCTGCAGTTGATCGGCTGCGGAAGCCGAAGCAAAGGAAGTAAGGAGAGAGAGGGATAGTACACTGAGGATGCTGAACTTCATCGTGGCCAATGACTCGCTATGGCTTGCCAGCTGTGCAAAGTAGAGGTCAGGAAACAAGATGTGGAGGATGGCACTGGAGCGGTGTCGCCTCACGTGGCATATATTACCATACTTGACTCTGATAACGTCTGGATTCAGACTCGTAGGCTGATGACTTCAACCTTCACACTCGAGTCTCTCACTCCAGTCTTTGACAGCTGAGCATGGCAAGCTAGTCATAGAGAGCCGGGAAGATAAAATGGAGGGGACCGAGCTGGTCGAGACATATGGCGAGTTCCAGATATCCTGATCGACCAACTCTCTGACACTCGCGCTCAGACTACCTCTTCAAGCTGATTGTCATTGGCGAGTCATGCTGCGAGCAGACGAGGCTCACGATGCTGACAACACTCTAGGATCAGCAGGAACCGGGAAATCCTGTCTCCTCTACCATTGCATAAACGAGTCTTGTGCGTAATTCGTACCCGTTGCCGCGTCTGACTATCTGCCATGCAGTCAAGGAGCATTCCACGCATACCATCGGCGTTGAATTCTCTAGTCGCACTGTGCGCATAGGCGACCGAAACATCAAGCTTCAAGTGAGCCTCACAGCCCCCGAGCTGAACTCACTCACCTCAGTTGTGGGACACTGCCGGGCAAGAACGGTTCAGATCTGTCACGCGATCGTATTACAGAGGCTCAGCCGGAGCCTTGCTCGTGTACGACATCACTTCTCGACAATCATTTGCGAACTTGGACAAGTGGCTGTCAGATTGTCGTGCGCTGGCGTCTCCGCATCTCGTAGTCGCCTTGGTTGGCAATAAGTTAGACCGGGAGCAAGACAGAGAAGTGGAGTACTCAGAGGGATCCCGCTGGGCACAAGAGAATGGCAAGTTCGGACAGCTATGACCAGCTTGCTGAAAGTCTCCTCACAGGAACCCTCTTTGCCGAAGTGTCTTCGTTGACAGGCGAGAATCTCATGACGCCTTTCCTGCTACTCTCACGGAATATCCTATCAGCAGTGGACGCTGGCACACTTGACCCGGAAACGGCTGGAACGGGTGTCACATACGGAGAAAGACAGTTGCGGACAGTTGGAAGTGTTTCCCGACTCAGCGCTACATTAGGTCGACGGAAAGCCCGTCGGAAGAGCATCAGCCTCGAGACTATGGTTGGATCATCGAGAGATTGCAAGTGCTGAGAGCGATAAATCCGTACAAATCCTATAATGCCTAATGAGACATCCGGTAAGCCCGGTTACTGGTCTACCCGGTTCGTCACCTCGCGAGAGTCAGTATTTGTATGTATATGTATATGTATGCACCATTTCTTGCTTTGCGAATGCACATGCATCGGCACCAATCGACAGACTTGGGTCGAGCAATATGGCTCAATCCTCCATACCGTCAGCCTCGAAAGATGGCTCCAGCTCCAAAAAGGCCATCCCGTTGAGCACTCACCTCATCGCAGGTGGCATTGCGGGCCTAGCGGAAGCCTTGGCATGGTGGGTTTGGAAGACGCCGTACAGGGAATGACTTGTCCTGTAGCCATCCACTCGATACCATCAAGGTCAGGATGCAGCTTTCGAGGTCCAGAAAACTCGCAGGAGTGAGGCGTTCATGCCCAAATGCCGCTGACTGCAGCTCAAACCTCTGGGCTTCTTTGCCACAGGCAGGCAGATTGCAATACGCGAGACGCCGCTGGGCCTTTACAAGGGACTGGGGGCAGTGATTAGTGGGATCGTTCCAAAGATGGCTATACGATTCGCCAGCTTCGAAAGTGAGCCAAAGGTCCCGATCTCTCAATGACGCGCTCCCAGTGTACAAGGGTTGGCTCAAGAAGCCAGATGGAACCATCAACCCCAAGGCCACTTTTCTCGGTATGCTGTTAGTCCGGACACGACTGATTTGAGCAGCCGGCCTAGGAGCAGGCGCGACGGAAGCCGTGGCAGTCGTGACGCCGATGGAGGTCATCAAGATCCGCCTGCAAGCTCAGCAGCGTGAGTGTGAAGCGATCATGCATAGGCTGACAAGTAGACTCTCTTGCTGATCCCATGGATATTCCCCGTTACCGCAACGCGGGTCACGCAGCTTTCACCATCATACGCGAGGAGGGTATCATGACCCTCTACCGAGGTGTCTCGCTCACCGCACTACGCCAAGCTACGAACCAGGGTGTAAACTTCACAGCCTACCAACAGTTCAAGAAGCTTGCGCTGGAATACCAACCTCAGCAGAAAGACCTTCCAAGCTACCAGACTATGCTCATTGGCCTCATTTCAGGAGCTATGGGCCCCTTTTCCAATGCGCCTATCGACACGATCAAGACGTGAGCCGGAGCGTAGCTCTTATTCTCCACAGACTGATGAGACGCTTCAGTCGAATCCAGAAAGCGTCACACAAACCGGGGGAGACGGCCATGTCCAGGTTGATCAACGTGACGACCGATCTCTTCCGCAATGAGGGACCGAGAGCGTTCTACAAAGGTATAACACCTCGGGTGCTGCGCGTCGCCCCGGGTCAAGCGATAGTCTTCACTGTGAGCACATTGCTTCAACCTCGACTGACATCTAGGTTTACGAAAGGGTGAAGGCGACTATCGATAGGATAAAAGACACTGGCTATCGTCCAACATTTGAAGAATAGTTTACTCGAGCTCCCGCCAGCGCTTCTTTTTACCACGTATCCGCCAGTCTTCTTCATCGTCCCCAAGACCCCGTTTGTCCTTGTTGGCCTTCACGCTGAGCGGCTCTGCAATACCATCATTCTGAGCACCAAGGCCCTTGCCCTCAACCCAACCTTGCTTGCCAAGCATACGGGCAGCAAAGGAAGCGGGCTTTGATGGCTCGGATAGACGCGGAGGAGAAGCGGATCGTCTGGAAGATGGACGTTCCATCTGTCGTCGTAAAGCAGACCGGTCGACATAGACACTGTTCTTCGTTGCAGAGTGGCCATTGTCTTTGAGCAGACTCTTTCTTAGTAATGACATTTCATGACTTCCACGAGGGCCGGCGTATCGTGGCGAGATCTCGATCTCAGTGGTCTGGTCACGTTTCCCTGTGTCCTGAAACAGTTCAAACATGTTGTCTCCATTGATTTGGCAAGCGTCGCATGGCCAATCTGGATGCAGATGCGCAACGACGGTGGTGGATCCGATGGTGATTTTGTCGAGATGTTTTAATGGGTGAGGTTGCGAGGCATGCTTTGGAGGAGAGAGACGTTCTGCAGCGCCACTACCGCTAACAACGAATGTGCCATGGGTGGAGCCTGTATCATTAGCAGCTAGCTTTCACTGACACACACCAAGGTCGACAATGCACCATTCAGGACCCTGACGGAAGATGACTGCGTGTGTTTTGCTCACCGCCATCTCTTTCAATCGGACACGAGTGGGTCCAGGGACTTTATCCCTACCGATTTGAATGCCTTCTGGCGATGTACCATCGATCATGATCACCTTGTGAAGCGTCAAGATATCAGACGAAATGATGACAAGCCGCAGAACTTCGATGTCCACAGGAGTTGCAATCTGACCCCTTTCGGTCCCCTCGATCAGGGCACCCCATCCTACATCGTCTCGAACTTCGCCTTCTTCGAGCTCAGTCCTGTGATCAGCCATAGCTGATGATGGCTCCCCAGGTTTGAACTCTGTCGCATGGACATATGACCACTCTCCGTTGGTGCTGACGGCGTATGTATTGGAGCTCGGATGGAAATATACGAGATCCCTAGAATCCCATACCCAACCTGAGCCTTCTTCCATTCTTGCGATGATTGGCGCATGTGGTCGCGATCAGCTTCTGCTCAGCATTCCTAGGGTGAAGTGACCAGGCAGCTTTCCGAACGATGGTGGGTGGTGGACACGAAAGTGAAAGAAGCCATGCAATCTCAACGTTTTATACAATGTTTTTAATAAACCCTACTACACTTAAAGATCACCAAACCTATCCGGAAGACCGACGGGGGCGAGTCTATTTTACATCAGCTGCCAAGTCCTATATGTGACCAGACTCACAAGCTCCAACCGTACAGTCCATAACACAACCATGTACTGATGACCCTCATCCACATGGTAGCCTCTGATCGCCCAATGTACACATCAGGCTCTGATTGACCACTCTCTAAGAAATCCGTGGGATGGGCCACGGGAGAGGTCGAAATGATGGCCCTGGGAACGGTCAGCGAGGCAAAAGTGGGAATCAACTCACCAGTCCGTCAGCAGCCCGGCCACATACATTGCCGCCATGACGAAGATGATGTGGAACCAGGAGTAATTGTATTTTGTGCCTCCTCTCTCATCATCGCGTTCTTCTCCAATGGTTGCCTCAATTTCGTCGTCATTATCCTCAGGCTCATCCAGAACCGAGGCGGGAAGTGATCCTGCATTCACGGCTGCCAAGATAGCTTGGTATCGCATCTCATCTCTGCGGCCTTTGGGTTGATTGGTGACCATGCGAACCTCTCCGTCATCAGTCGAGTCTATCGGGAGCTCAATGGCAGCCCTTTTTTTACCCACAAGCGCTGTGCTTTGTGTCGCGGCTCGACTCGTCGAATAAGCAATGGCGAGGAAGGTAAAAAGAGCGCCAATGATAACAGTAGTTGTCTTGGTGCCGCCGCTTGCGTGCAGAGGATTGCAGTGCCCGGTGTCGTTATGATTTACCACAGCAGATGCTGTCAGGTAGGTGCAGTATGCTGTGACTACTGATGCTTGGGTGAGACCCGAGCGAGGATTGGCTTCTTGCACTGGCCCAGAGATGGCTATGAGTGTCGAGACAATGGATAGAACGAGATTGATAGTGATGAAAGTAGTGTTGATACCACAGCCCGATCCTGCAAAAAAGACGTACAGAAGGGTCGTGAGGACGACTGAGGCCACGAACATGCCCAGAGTCGAGCCAACGAGGATGAACTGCCACAGATTTGAATCACCTTGTTCCCAACGCTCGAGGCAACTTTCAGCCCAAGTGTGAGCGAAATCGACCAAGAGGACTAGGCCAATGAGGATGAACATGCAGGCTCCAATCGGCGCCACATATGATCCGTATGCCATGAAAAATTCGTTTGGGATGAGAAACGCCAGGAAGCAGAGGACCAGATACACCAGGATTTTTGGACCCCACCATCTAGATCGATCAGCACCTCTCCTATCCTCTCCTCCACTCACCCATTCTGAATCGCTGCTCGCTTAGTCTTTGTAGATTCTACGCCAATCAGCGAGGCAGAGAGGATAAGGTGAAAGAGAGCTAGAGCAAAGCAGAATCGATGAACAGCCAAGAGACCATAGCATTTGCCTCCTGAGCAGTCCATCTTGATCCAATCCCAACTGAGCTTTTCCAATTGTTTGATTGCCAAGTCTGTCCTTGATAGGTATGCCAACATGGAGGAAGTTGCAAATATGAGCTTGCTGATCAGCCTCTGGTCGCTCGAGCAGCACTTACTCCAAATCCGACTCTAGTTGCGATCGACGAGTTGCAATTGCATGATTTACAAAACGCTGACGCAGCTGTGCCTCCCATGAAGATCATACATCCAGAGCACAAAGAGCTTCCTAGAGCTCCGGCTCCACCTGTAAGCAGGGGAATGGACAACAGAGCACCCATGACTGGTCGAGTCCGTTCAGATGTGTGGTGAAGAGGAAGAGTCAGGATGTACGTATACAAAGTGAAAGCGGGGACAACAACGGTGGCGAAGTGTCTAGCTAGACTCATGACGTGGCAAATATCACAGCGTCTCTTCGTCTCCACTTTGATCATCTGATACTTCATCTCCTCCTGTAGCATGCCTTGTAGATGATGGCAGCTTGTCTCCCGCTTGGCCTGCGCCTTCTTTGAACCGCTCTGCATCTCCAACGTGCTCTTTCCATCGAGTCAACTCATCGTTCAATTTCTGTTGAACGGCGAGAACTGCCACTGACAAGTCACGATAATAGGACTGCGGATCGAGACTTGTCGTCACGGTCTGGCTGAGGTTTCCGTTCCGAGCGAGTTTTGTGTTGCTATCCAGAGGAACATTCCAGTCTATGCTTACGATCTGGTAGCGAGCATGCAAGTAAGGCGGACCGCTCTCTGACATCTTGAACAATAGTGATTAGGTTTTCGCAACTTTGATTGGTGAAAGCTCAAGGGCTCTGAGGGCGATCCGCAGCTTTGTCGTCGGCTTTAGATACCTGTACCGGCAGAGGATGCTCGAGCAGGGCTGTCTGTGATGTGATCGGGCGCAGCACTCGCAACGTATGGATGTATGCTGTTATGGGGTTGATGATGATCTAGATGTGTGAAACTCGGAAAACGATTTTTGGACCGGTACCAAAAATTTCAGGATTGTATGTGGTCACCGTTGACACTTGCCTATCTGTGCAGCTCTACTTTCTTGCAAAACCAACGATGAGGTGAGAGATAGTGAACGGCACCAAGAATCCCTCTGTTCCACACTTGCAACGTCGACATGATGCCTATTCGTCCAATACGATATGTTAGACTTCTGCCTGTCTTTCACGACAGCTGGAGAAAACCTCTTAGACGACTGATTCCGCACACATATCCACCATGCCTCTGTCACAGTTGAATGATTGGCTGACAAAGAATGACAGCTCGACGGCGGAGGTCGCTCAGGAACCTGCTAATGGCGACGGAGCTCCTAATTCCTCGGTCGAGCAAGATTCTTACCTGCAGGAGGATCACAGCGAGGAGGACGAAGAGGAGGATGGGGTACCCAACGAATGTATGTTCGCGATCCTGCTACCTGTCCTGACGCCGCTTAGCTTTGAAAAAGAAGAAAAAGAAGAAGAAGAGTGAGCCATGACCTAAGCGCAGGCTAAGTTGACCTTCGAAGGCAAGAAGAAGAAGTCCACCCAGTCGGAGCCTCCCCGAGTCGGTCTGACCAAATTGTTTAAAGACCGAATTTACCCCGTCGGTCAAGAGGTGGATTATGTCGGGTGTGTATAGTGCCAATGGACTGGGGCTGATGGCCAGAACGTCCAGGATGAGCTCTGCAGAAGCTCGAGAGCGAGAAAGACTGGCTCAGGAGGATCCTTCCACGAATTATCAGAACATACGGAGAGCCGCTGAAGTTCATCGTCAAGTGCGCAGCTACGCCAGGAAGAACATCAAGCCTGGTATGAGCATGACTGATATTGCCAACATGATCGAGGATGGAACTCGGGCGCTCGTGGAGGAGAATGGGCTTGAAAGCGGAATCGGGTTCCCAACTGGACTGAGCGTCAATGAAGTCGCGGCCCACTATACCCCAAATGCGGGGGACACAAAAGGTGAGTCCGTTGCTTCGTTGCGGCCGCTCAGCTGACTGTCACAGTCTTGAGGGACACGGACGTCATCAAGGTTGATTTTGGTGTCCATGTTAACGGCAGAATCGTCGACTCGGCGTTTACTCTTAACTTCGAACCCACTTGGGATCGCCTGTTGGAAGCAGTACAAGATGCCACCAATGCCGGGATCAAGGTCAGACACGAGAATACCGACCTGGCTGATCATCTCGTAGACAGCTGGCATTGATGTCAGAATGTGTGACATAGGGGAAGTGGTGCAAGAAGTGATGGAATCATACGAGGTCGAAGTGCGAGGCAAAACACACCAAGGTGAGCATCAGTGTCGGACTCCGGGGACTCAACTCCAGTCAAATCAATCGCAAACCTGAGCGGACATTCTATCGCGCCTTACTGTATTCACGGAGGCAAAAGCGTACCTATCGTGAAGCAATTTGGATCTGATCAAGATAATGAAAAAATGGAGGAGGGTGAATACTATGCTATAGAGACATTCGGCAGTACAGGTCGGGGACGAGTCATCGAGGAAGGAGCGTGTTCGCATTATGCGCTATCCAGAGAGCAGCCTGAGAGATATACCCTACAGTGAGACTTCACTACACAACTCATCCGCTGACATGATAGTCATCAATCTGCCCGGTCCCTGCTCAAGTCAATCGAACGTAACTTTGGCACTCTGCCTTTTTGCCGACGATACCTTGATCACGTAGGAGAGAAGAATTATCTCTTGGCCGTAAGGGATCGATATACAAGGCATCGAGCTGATCAGCCAGCTGAACACGCTGGTGAAGGAAAATTTAGTGACAGACTACCCTCCGTTGGTCGATCCTCAGCCTGGGGCAATGACTGCCCAATATGTGAGTTTGACTTGACATTGCGCCACAAGGCTGATTCCCTACCAGGAACATACCATTCTTTTACGACCAACATGCAAAGAGGTCGTCTCCCGAGGAGATGACTACTAGAAGAGATAGTACAACAGGAGCAACATGCACACGCCGGCTACGCATCCCAAAATGATCGCATCCCTCCGCCTTCGAGACCTGATCATGTTGATAAGGGAATTGATCACCGGCATTTGACTCAGAACTCCGCCCATCCGGGATTCGATAGACGCCAGCATGGAACGCTGCTGCGCAAAATCCTCCCTCGTAGCATAAGCCTGACTGTAGGTCTCTCAGAATCTTGATTCTCGGAGGCACACCTGGGCTGTCTTACTTTAGTGTATCATCCATCATGCGATGACTTGAATCTATGCGACCGCGGTCCGCGAGCAATGCATCTGTCTGCGACATCTGAGCGGAGCGATAGTTGCTGTACATCCATCAGCTCTCCTTAAAGGGCTTTCACTCACTCGATGTCTTTGCGAACCGAACCAAGAAGATTGACCCGCTGCAGAGCTTGACGAACATTGCTCTGTGGGGGGTTCGTAAAGGGGCTCGTTCGCGCAAACTCACTTTAGTCCGCATGAAATCGCGTCGATAATCTTCTAGGTTATCGCGGTGTCTCTGTGCTGCGTGCTGCATCGCTGAACTGGGTGGCTGTGAGGGGGAGTTGATCAGGTTGAATAGTTCATCCACAGCCTGATCCAACTAATTGAAGCTGTCAGATGGCAGATTGAAATCACACGACCGATACCTACTTTATTCAGTAACTCTTCCACCTGTTCCTCCAATAGTTCATGGTCTCCCTCTCCCTCTTCGACAGCACTACTACTTCCAGGCGTCGCGGACGTTCGAGCCACGGCGACCGCAGCTTTGGAGTATGCTGACAATTTGGCCTCCAAAGCGGTTTCCAAAGCACGAGCATGCTTTCTCGCATTATCCCAGCTAGTGCTAGAGGACATCTCGGCCAGTGTTTTCCTGCTGGTTATGAGAATCTGATGTTGCAGTCTGTGTGGTCGACGAAGGATAAAACAAAAAAAGGATGAATGAGAAAAGCGACCTATCTGAAAGTTGACGTGTCGGAATAATCAGAGGCCAGGATTATATCGTGTCTGGTGTCGGCAGTATTCTGCTCATCATCTATACTTAGTGTCCTGGAGTCGTTAGCTACGATGCGGGCGGGGCGCGTACAAGCAACCCTTGCGGTCCTCTTGGTCTCTGCTTCACAAGCTGCAGGATCTGCTTTGACCGCAATCCTGGCTTCCAGCGAAAGATCGTGCTACTACGCCGATGTAGACAAGGTCGGCGAAAAGATTGGTGAGGCATAGCGAGCATCACTTACGCCCCAGTTATGCAAGGCTAAAGCCATGCAGGATTCTACTTTGCAGTCCAATCTGGAGGTTCATTCGAGATAGACTATGTCGTAATGGATCCAGATGACAAGGTTCTCTTGGATGGTGAAAAGGAGGCACAAGGTGACTACATTTTGACCGCAAACAAGGTGAGTGAATAGCGAAGCCTGCGCCCTATAACTCATGCTCACGCAGATTGGCGAATACTCTTTCTGCTTCGAGAACGACGCGTCCATGTCTGACAAGCTGTTGGACTTCGAGTGAGTCTCTGATACTCTGTCGCTCCCTAGCTGACTATATCCCAGCATCATGGTGGAGTCGGAGCCGAGGAGAGTTCTTTCTGGGCAACAACAGCCGCTCAAGGAGCATACATCGACACTTGAGGAAAGCAGTTACAAGATCAACGGCCTGCTGAGCAGCATTGCACGAACCCAGAAATAGTGAGCCTTTCGACGGGTGACGGCACCAGCTCATCAGTATCACCACAGCTTCCACACACGGCATCATCGCAACTATTCTACTGTACTGTCCACGCAGAGTCGAATCTTCTGGTTTACGGTGCTTGAGTGCTCAGTCATCGTGGGTATGGCCCTGTGAGTAGCGTGCAGCTGTCTTGTCCATGCGCGCGCTAAGCAGATCTCAGGCTTCAAGTATGGATATTAAAGACTTTCTTTGCGAAAGGCACAAAGTGAGCGAATCTTTGTGATGCTCTGCTAATTCGGAAGACGATTCAAGGTATAGGCTCTTAACGTTTCTCATCTCATCAACATGCATTGATCATTGTCGCTTCTCGCGCTCTAAGCGCGTTGCCTCGTGGATAGTGACCGCTTCGTCCACCCAAGGCATGTGGAATAGGTCGCTCCGACGCAAATCCTCTTCCCTCACGCTGCCACCATTGGGGCCGTGCCCAACTTGATACCCTAGCATTTGATCTAAGTCCCTCGCTTGTGCAGCCAGCCAGCTCTGGATGAAACCATGCGGATCGGTGCTAACAGTCAATCGCGCCCAGACCGTATCACCTACGAAAATGATTCCAGGAAATCGCGCTTCTGCTTCAAATCTCTCGCAAAGTATGCCAATTCTCCAACCTTGTCTTCAATAGCCGCCACTTCCTTGCCCTCTTGGCCCTCAAATGCAGAGACGATCGACGCCATCTTGCTTTTCATAGGGTCCTCCGTTTCCACAGGGATGTCAAAGCATTTGGGACTCAAGTGGAAGTCTTGGTCCACCCTGATCGTGAGCGAGTAGTCTTTCAAAAAGCGCACCTTATGGTGTAAGGTATCACGACCGGATCAGGATGAGCGAGAAAACGTCCCACAACTTCTGGCAGCTTGTGAAAAGCGATGCCGTCTTTGCCAATAATCTCAGAGTCAGTGACAAGAAAGGGATTGATCTCACCTTCTCGAACCCTCCCACCGGCCGAACTATCGTCCCATCTTCCTTGTCTTGGGCGCCCACCATCTTGATAAGCTTCCATATGGCCCCCATGATTTCAGATTTGGTGCCCTCTTTCGTCGCTATCAAGTCTGAGAGGGGGGAGAGTACAGAAAATCGGTCGGGGGAATGCTCGATATGCAGTAGTATTCGGCAGTTGACATTGACATCGCCCTTGCGCGAGACCTCGAATCCGTCCAAGGGCGGCTGCAGGTTCCTTGGACGCCACTGAGCGTGCGTTAGAGCTCAGCATCACGGCTTTGGCAGGAAGACAGACTTACCTCCGCCACATTGCCCTCTGGAAAGGTAGGGGCTGTGCGATCATCCATCTCAATGACCGCCGAACGAATGAAGGAGCTGAACTTTCGCTTCGTCTTGTCCAGTCGGACGTTTCCAGTCTGTCAGGGTAATCAGATCCATAGCCTTCCTCTTTCAAAATCTCACATCCAATAAGCGTCCTTCCACCCTCAGGACCCAACCTGGAATGCCCTTGCCAGCATTGATATTTGCCGCGTCAGATTCGGCCGATTGCGCCAGCTCTTGCTGCCATGGTTGATCATGAGCAGTATTGGACACAAAAACCCGCAGCGTCCGCTTGATCTGCATGAAACATGAGTCGCAACGCGCAAATTCTTTCTGCCAACTCACTCGGGTTGGGCGCCCCAACGCATCGTTAAGCTCTGCCTTCTTGCGCAGCAGCGTCCAATCCAGATTCTGTTCAATCTTCATAAGCTCCGTGAATGCCGGTGAATCCGGCACGAGGGCAGCGAGGATGTGAGGAGGAGGGAGAGGTAAACGGGCGTGCTTTCTGGAGAGCGCGTCAATTGACAAGACTGAAGGCAGATAGTCACCTTGGAGCATTCTGCTCATCCGCGCGTCTCTTCGCATCATTTGCGCTTACTGCGGACGATGTTGGGTTGACCGGAGGCTGAGATGGCCCCGCGACGGATGCCATAATGGGCGGAGGAGCTGAACGGGGATTAAGGATAGTTTTGGTAGTGTACAAACACTGTAGAATTCTACATCAATACATTAAATCGAACTGCAGCAGCCAAAGATTGGCTTATCACGTGATCGTTTCAATTTGTACGTCGGCAGACTAGCTATACATCTTGGTTCGTTTACTGACAATCATGTCGAGCTCATCTGGGAGAAGTATCTCGCCTGAGGAGGGAGTGGGAGCATGGGAGCCAGATGAGTGGGATGGCTCGGACTCGGTGACCTCCAGCGAACTTGAATCAGAGGCAGGGCCCAGCAGAACATCTATTGTGAGTGGCGATTCGATCTACACCACTGACTGTGGTAGGAGGGGAGTGTAAACAGCGGTGGGTACTCTCGGCGATGCGCTAGCTCACCAGTCAAGGCCTTCGTAAGATACCTCTGGACGTTCTTGTCAAGGCACAACGTAGTGTTCAAAGAAGACTCCCAACGGAAAGCTCGAGCCTTTCACAGCCCAGTGGGTCTAGCGCATCCCGCAAACCTCGAAATGCAAAGGAACGCAACACAGGAGAGCAAGATCATCCTCTAGAACGGAGCAGCAAGAATGCGTGAGTCTCACGGCTCACGTCGATGTCTGCGTGTCTGACAACATCATACAGTCCGATGGTATTGAGCAGTAAACGACAGACAAGCCGAGCACGGCAAGTAGTAGATCTGCCTTCATCTGTGAGCATTTTGCGCAAACTACACACTGCATAGTGTTGACACAGCAGCATTAGTCGTCACGGGATCCAAGATTTGCCTCGGAACCGAGTCAATCAGTCTCCCGATCCATCGTACCCTCGGTACTTCGAAGTGAATTCGACGAGATTTCGCGGGCCTTGGCGGTGGCCAGACGAGCAGAGAAGACGTGCCCCTTGGTAGAGAAGCACAAGTGGAGTGAAGAGTGTGAGAGATTGGACAGGGCTCATAATCGAGTCAGATCCCGTCTCGACACCATAGAGCAGGACGAGAGGGACAGGGCAGCACTGAGTGAGGCCCGCAAAGAAGAGAGGGAAAAGCAAAAGGCTGGGAAAGCTCCCTGGTATTTGAAGAAATGTGAGCATGTGCAATCGTGGCTCGTGCTAATAATCGATAGCCCAGCGCAAAGATATTCTTCTGCACGCTCGTTTCAAGGCGTTGGAGGAAAAGGGAGGGAAAAGAGCGGTGCGGAAAGCTGTCGAAAAGAAGCGGAGGCAAGTTGCTGGCAAGGAGAAGAAGAGTCGTCCGGACGCTCGCGCTCGCCGACAGTAGCATGGATCCGGAGTATCGTCACATACATGAGCATGCAATTTGCCTAGTGGGCAACCTTGCCTCCCTTGGCACCGCCCTTCATACTCTGCTTGGACATCTTGGGCATCGCTGCGCCAGTGGGTTTGCCAGCCTGCTTCTTGGCCTCCTTGTCCCTCTTCTCAGTCTTAGCTTTGGTGATGGCAGCTTGTCGGGCAGCCTGTCGAACCTCTGGCTTGGCGGTACGCTTGGCCAGAATACTGGCCAGATCGGCACCGACAATTCCACGCTGCAACGCGGTCAGAAACAGTCTCTCCTCTCGAACCTTTCCAAGCTGACCTGAGTTTTGATGTTCTTCCTGCTCCTCTTCTTTGCTACCTCCTCAGTGATGCCCTTCTTGTGCATTCTACGAACAGATGCCATGAGCTCTCCGTACATGAGACACCCTTTGCGTACTGACCTTCGGTAAACCTGAGTCCAAGCGATCTTTCTCGGGTTCTTTCGTTGAAGGAAGAGAGACTCATTCTTTGAGTTGAGGAAGCGGAAGGACTGCGTTACACACGTCAGTCACTGTAATCTTGCGGCGAGAGCGATGTTGAACCAACCTTGGAGTCACCTCGGACATAGATCTTCCCCTTTGACGGGTAGACTTTGAAGCCTGAGAAATCGCAACGATCGACACGCATCCTGGTCATCTATCAGCATGGAAGCTACGGCTGAGTTGTATGATCTCCAAAACTTACTTGATACGTGCTTATGATGAAGGATAACAAGGGGCAACAGCTGGAGTTGTAGGAGATGGCCTCGACGTATAATGGAATTGAACGAACCTGACATTCAACTGCCACATCTTTGTGAGTCACAACAAAAATCCGAAACTCCGAGACCGCATGACCCCCAGGCCTTACGACTTAACGCCGACAGTCACGATCCTCGGATTTTTCATGCATTCTGCTGCCACTCACTCTCCAACTCGCTCAGGAGACGATCTGCTTCACCCGCACGTTTCTCTGCTCTCAGTCGATTCACAGCTTCCTGCCCCCCCAGCAATTTATTTCTCTTTGCATCAATGGCAGCCCTCCGCTCCTCCATTTTGCGCTTTCTAGCCTCTTGCGCTGCACTGAGACCACTCCGTTGGCCTGCTGCTTGTTTTCGCGCGGCTTCAGTTTCCTCGCGTTGGGCTTTAAGAGCGGCCATTTGCTCAGCTCGTTCGTCCTCATCCAGAGCGAATTGGTACTGTCCGGCACCTTTGGCTCTGACTGAGGAAATAGATCTAGATCAGCGGCCATCCATGACGCCACGAACAACCACTGACCCTCTTTCGTCGAGTCATAGTGATGAGCTCGGCTCTCCTCCTCTGCGGCCTTGTATTTCGCACGAATGGCATCCGCATCAGGCTCGTAGACGGGAAAGACGTTTTGATCCCCATCTGGGAGAGAATCAGCTCGGCTGCAGTGAGAGGGACATTCGCCTTACAAAAAACATTGGACCGCCTACGGTCAGTCAGTAGAGCCCTTACTTCACTTTGGAGTTCACTCACTGAACCTCGGAAAAGGCGCTTTCGACCTGCGGAGGATCGTCACTACTCTCGAGCTTGCGTCTGGCTCGCTCCGCAGCGAGAGCCTCCTTTCGTGTTCCTAATCTAGTCCTGCCCAGCTCATCTTCGTATTCGATTCGATCAAGCGCATCACCTTCATCCGATGCCTATCCAACAATGAGTCCATCGACTTCCGCGTGATCGCCTAACTCACACTCCCATCTGTATCATCGGAAGCGTCATCCTCATCGGCAGAGAAATCCCTTCGCTTCCTGTCGAACTGGTCTCAGATTCAGCAAAAACGAGCCGCTGACTTCCAGCTCACATCAACTGTCATCTCCTCCAGTTGCTTGTCCGACAAGCCCGAAAGGTCTCCATGCATCATTGATTCGTATTGCCTGGCTTTCTGCTTCAGGATGGCCCGTCTTTGCTCATCACTCGGGCCAGCATCATCGGCAAAGTGCCGCCTTTTGGCGTCGTTCTTGGCTTCTGCGGCGAGTCTTTTCACTAGACCTGGTGAGGGTCGTTGGAATGGGTCCTATCATATAATCTTAGACGTTGCAAACCGTTCAGCTGGCGGTCCATTGCTCACTTTAGCGGTGGCGAGCTGTGTTCGGCGTTGTCCCTTGACCGCAGAGCGGCCCTCTCTGGAGAACTGATCGACGTGCTCTGCTGCTATGGCTTTCAGATCGGCCAGAGTCGCCTTGGATATTGACTTGGAGGATTCTCCTGCATTTGGAAGAGACATGAGAAGGTTACAATCAGTGGTGTTGCTGCGTTATAGCAGTGGTCACCATCACCTCAACCCAAAGCTATAGCCTCGTAAACAAAAGACCGCGGACGGTCGTGGACAGCACCCTGGTGCCACATGTCGGCGTTATTTCACGGATATTAAGAGCTCCACCCGCTTTGAATGGCTTGGCCCCCTCTTCACGCCCGAGTGTCCTTCATCGTTGCTATTACTACTTCTTTTCTGGTTCTTCTCAAAACAGTCCAGACTCTTTGACAATGGCAGCTACAGCCAAGGTTTACGTCGGTGCGTTCCTCTTTCTCACCCAATCCTCCCCGTCCTCTACTTGGAAGAATTTCCACGGCGACAAAACCTGGTTCGTTCGTGTGGTCGAGTCCTCTTTGGACAATCACAGGCCAGCCGTTTTGATTCAGACATGCAATCCATGTTGTTTCTGCGCTCGAGCTATGGAAGTCACTTTCATCCTTCCGTCATCTCTTCTCTTGATATTCGATCACCATCATTCTCTTTTCTCGTCATCGGCCATCTGACTCTTAACCCAATTTTTAGGCAATCTCTCGTGGAACACCACCGATGAGGCCCTTCACCAGGTTTGCTTGTTCTCTGTCTTCTTCTTGCTGTGCTTACGCTTTCGTCTGACTCGCTATCTCACTCGGTTTTCTATACCTTCGCGCGTTCTGGCTGCTTTGGATGCGTTCTGGCTCTTATCCGAATCTTCTTTTCTCGTGCACCGGTTCGAACATTTGGCTCGGCTCATCTTGCGTTTTGGTGTTGCTCTCGGATGCTTGCTTCAATAGGCTTTCTCTCAATACGGAGCGGTTCTTGATGTGTGTCCCTGTTACGATGAAGCCTGACTACAACAACTGAACGACTGTATAGTGCATCGTCATGAAAGACCGAGAGACTGGCCGATCTCGAGGTTTCGGATTCGTCGTTGGTTGCTTCTGTCTTGTGTAGCCGCCTGCTCACGGTCACAGACATATCAAAATGCTCCTGAGGCCGAGGCAGCTATCAACGGAATGAATGAACAAGAGCTCGATGGACGACGCATCAGAGTCAACATGGGTAAGCCATTATCTGAAGCCTCATAGCATCTGCTCACAACTATCTAGCCAACGCCAAAGGAGGTGGAGGAGGAGGATACGGAGGCGGTGGATACCAATCCGGTTGTGAGTATTCCGCACCTCGATCTTCACTAGACGTCTGCGGGGAGTCTGAGTCCGTCGACAAGGGCATTTTCAGCAGAAGGGTGCAAAGCATCCAGGCTATCATCGGCTTCGTCTATGTCTCTCCGCCCCGCCCCCCCCCTCTCCTGCGATACAGATGGACAGCAACAACTGACATACCCTTAGACGGCGGAGGCGGTTACGGTGGAGGTCAAGGCGGCTACGGTGGAGGTGGCTACGGTGGTGGCCAAGGAGGCTATGGTGGCGGCCAAGGAGGCTATGGAGGCGGTCAAGGAGGGTACGGAGGTGGCGGCTACGGCGGAGGTCAAGGTGGTTACGGTGGAGGTCAAAGTGGTGGCTATGGAGGTGGTCAGGGTGGCTACGGAGGTGGAGCTTCTGGCTACGGTGGCCAGCAATCCGGATACGGCGGCGGAGCTCAGGGAGGTTACGGTGGAGGCTGTGAGTGTAAAAAGCACCGCTTGCTTGTGTAAGCTGACCATTGCAGACGGCGGAGATCAAGGCAGTAAGTACTCAACGGAGAGATTCATTGTGAATGAACGCTGATCGAGCGGTTCAGGCCAGCAATACAGTGGAGGTGGCGGTCAATACTAAGGTTTCGGCTCCAGTGATCTGATGGCCTAAGGGTGGTTTTCATTCTCGCCTATCGGCCTTGCAGCCCTTTTACCCGTAGCGATCCATCTTTCAAATGAATGACCGTTGCCAGTTTTGCGAACAACTATCAAATCCATCACAGCACCGTGTTCATACAGATTCGTGATGCATTTGTCCCGAACTTAAGACTACAGGAAATCCGCGGCGGCTTTGCGCTTTCTAGATGCTGCTTCGAAAGACTCTGCGCTTTCTGCTGATCCAGGAGGAGGCGACTGATACCGGTATCGAGCTTGCTGTGCCCGCTTCTCGGCCTGTTTTGTATGAGCATGAGGACAAGATTCAAGAGCTCACCGGTGAGGCAGTCACATCTGGCCACATGACTCCATCCTTCGGGGGTTCCACCACGACGTCAGAGGTTGTGAGTACTTTCGTGGCCTCGTTTGATTGAGGAACGAACGTTGGCGGCGGTGCAACACCCGATATTCCGTTCTGAGCCATCGGAGGCTGGAAACCTGGCGGAGGACTATTGTGTGAGACACAGTCCCCAGAAGATGACTTACGGATACATGGATGGAGGCATGCCAGTGGGCAATGTGGGTGGGGGCATAGGCATCTCGCCAGGGAACCGGTTCAAGGTCGGGCTAGGCCGGCTTAGTAAACATTCTAGCTAGGACGTAACCTCACACTCACTTGGGCGGCGGTATACCAATAGGGAATGAGCCGGGGAAAGGAGGAAAGACGCTGCCAGGATTATTTCTGGCAGCCATCAAGGCTTTGTGTTGAGCCAGAGCGGCGATGAGGTCCGCCTCAGGGATGACGTTATAGGAATGTCTGATGCGCTTGCCATTCGCTGTAGCAGCCAGTGCAGCAGTGCCCGCTTCTGCCTCCTTCCTCGCTCTCCATTCGGCCAACGCATTGGTAGGAATGCCCTCCATGCCAAAGATCTCGATATCGTATCCATCTCGACCAGGTAGAGTGTTGGTCAAACTGAAGATCCGTGAGCAACGCAAGCATTGGGGGCGAGTCTCGCATGCTTACGGTTCAGGCTCGCATTTGTGCACCTGCTGACTGTGGACCATGAGACCACCGGCAGTCTTGATGGTAGGTATCAGTATTCGAATTCATTACAAACCTAGTGCCTCTCACATTCAGCTTCCTCGGGCACATCTGACACTTGAAGTGTTTCGACTTTTGGTGCTGTAAAAGGACTTGACTTGTGGTCAGCTGTGTTTCCATTGCTCTTGATGATCTTAGTCACCTTTCTCATCTTCAAACTCTCTCTCGCAATACCAGCACCAGGGCTTGAGCACCTGTGTGGCTGTGAGCATAGCTACATTGAGGATCCGAGTCATCTGTGACCACTCACGAACACCTGAGTCCTCTTCTTTTTCCCCATGATAGATATATTTTAAGAGCTTGTAGGTGAAAGGAGAAGTGTATGGAATCGTGAATTCCACTTTGAATCAACGACCCGAAATTTAAAAGAGTTTACCCATTCATTTTTCTGTACCACGACTATGCTCTTCTTCCCTCTTCATCAACTCCATTCTCCTGCTCCCTGAAATATCTCGAGGACAAGACGAAGGAGCCTGACCATGATGTGGAAGCAAGCTGGCCCTTCTCGGCAAATCTTGACGCGATGCTTTCACGCCACAGCTTCCAACGCTTCTCACATTGGGATCCTGCCTGTACCTGTCCCTCCCTCGGTTTCGCTCACTCTGCCGCCATTGTCCATCCCCCCCGATTCTCCCATCACTTCGGAAACAGGGAATCGTGTTTTGACCGTCGCTGGTCCATTAGGGACACAATTTGTCCTCGTTCATCCTCCAGTGATATTACGCCCGCCGTCAGCAGAGACACCAAATATCGGTGTGTCTGTACATGACCCCAAACTCCCGCAACACCGGAGCCTCTGGGGATTTACCAGGTCTATGATCAACAATGCAGTTGTCGGCGTATCTGAAGGATATAAATTGGACATTCGCTTGGTCGGAGTTGGATACCGAGCTTCGATGGAACCCATCCCTCCAGTATTTCTCGACATGATGAAGCGATTACCTCCGAAGGTTCGAGCGCTGAAACCTGGTTCACCACCTCCTGTACCAAGATCCTTGCCCACACACCGCCTCAACCTGAAGCTTGGATACTCACATCCAGTCCTCATTGATATTCCCTCCGACATCAAAGTCGAAATCACAGCCCCGACGACAATGGTTTTATCTGGGACGGACAAGAACCAATTAGGGTTGTTTGCAGCTACAATCAGGCGGAAGCGCAAGCCAGAGCCATACCGCGGAAAGGCAAGTCATACTCATTGCTTTCAATCGCTCTTGCTGACCAAAAACTATCTACAGGGTATTTTTGTTGGCGGCGAGACCATCAAACTGAAAGAAGTGAAGAAGAAGTAGTAGTAGTAGTAGTAGTAGTAGTAGTAGTAGTAGTAGTAGTAGTAGTAGTAGTGTACGAAGCCTCAATGCACCTCATTGATGCTGAGTGACGCTTGCATATTCATCGCTTCATACATGAGATCGATGCGACAGGAGGCTCATCAGGAAGGTTCTGTTGTCCTTCGTCTCAAAGAGAGTCACAGCATTTCATATCGAAGTCCTGATTGCCAACAAATGTTCGGGACTGGTTTTTATTTCGCGTTGCTTCCTCTTTGTCCTGATTAGAACAGCTGCCTGTAGATGTTCGTCAAAAGCACACAACCCGACATTAGCCATGTCATTGGAATCATGATCTGAAGAGCCGTGTCATAGCGCCTCGTGCGGTCGATGAAAGTCAAGATACCTGATGCCGCTCTCAAGTTACGCTGAGAGGGCGTCTGCTCTCGGAGCTGTCCTTGATGAGCTGGACGACACACCACCCATCGAGGGACTCTCCGCGGAGCTAGAGATGCAAGCCAACAGCGAGCTGCTGTTGACTCTGCAGCGTGGAAGGAAACTCGACTCACTCTTAATCGATTTGTGGGATTCGCATATCCCTGAACACGATGATCTCGCTCTTGAAGGTGATGTCGCTGCTGTGCTTGGCAACTTCAAGCTGATTCGATAGCTCCTCAGTCGGGCGTCTGGCAGAATCAACTCATCTTGGTAGAAGAGACTTTGAGTCGCAGGGTACCGTAGGTCAGGGCCAGTATGGCACTGTGAGTGACCATATCATCAACCAGCCGTCTCTGAAAGATGTCCGCAGATAGAAGCCGTAAAGCTGTGCGGCTATCGATGTACATATGCTCTAAAAACAATCAGGAAAGACCTGGCCTGGCGGAATCGTGCTGTGAGCCGTCCGAGGCTGCAACCACTTATTGTTAAGCACCTCGGCTTGTCCATCGAGCGGCACATCCATATCTTAGCGGGTTTGGATGTAGGATGCGCGACGGTGCCCTCGCTTTTCGCTGCGTTCCAGGACATCGACTGCTACCACCTTGTCCTACCTTACGCGCCTTTTGGGTCCCTGTGGGATAGGATGTCCTCGCTGCCACGCAAATTCGGGACAAGCGCGGTCTCTGCGCCAGAAGCTGAGGATCGTCTCAGCTGCATGACTGAAGAAGAAGTCCTGTGGTGGGCCCCACAAATGGTGTCGGCGATCTGTTGGGTACACGAGAAGGGCTTTGCCCATAGGTGGGTGGCATGCCGTCCGTCCTGTCAGAGTCGTCGCACGCTGATGTCTCGGACTGTCAGAGACGTCAAACCCCAGAACTTCCTGTTGTTCCCTGATTCGCAGCTGCAATTGACCGATTTTGGGTCCGCAGCTCCTCTGGAGCGCTCACTCGCATCATATGAGCGCCTCCGTGTGCCCATAACCTACTGCTCCCTCGTCGTAGGGACGCCAGATTACCTGGCACCGGAGATACTCATCCTCGCCAAGTTGCTTCTCAATCACAGCAAATCCGGAGAAGACAGCGCAACCAATTATGTCGAACAGGGGTACGGCTCCTCTATCGACTGGTGGAGCCTCGGCGCAACCTTGCACGAGATGCTGAGGGGTTTGCCTCCTTTCTGGCGTCCGAGTGTCCCAGAGACGTATCAGACGGTCATAGCGGTCGAAGACGGGTCCTACAAAATTTCTGAGGTGAATGGAGTGTCAGAGAGCCTGTCTGACTTTTTATGCTGGCAAGTCTGCTACCTCCGCATCATTTGCCTGACTGATATGAGCCTATAGCCTGCTCTGTCCCAGTCATCTGAGACTGGGAGCAGCCGACGATGCTGAGATTCGAGATCATGCTGTGTTCAAAGATCTGGACTGGACCAAACTTTTGAAGCGTATGTCTCGGAGCCAATGCCTTGTCATGCTTTAACTGATGCTGCAAAGGACCGAGGCCTGCTGTTGTATCGAACCTACCACCGATCGCGCTGTCTCGATCTGGCATCGGATCTCACACGAGTTCGTTCCTCACCAGTAGCTTCGGCAAATACCTCGTCACCAATGACATCTCCTCGACCATTGGACCCACGATATTCCAGGATCATCGGGATCTGGCCACAACATACCATCATCATGGATGGTCTCTCGAGCCTTCTGCAAGAGAAGTTGAGGGTCTGAAAGACGACATCTCCCAATCGCTCGCTATGAGGACTCCCGCCCGAGGAACCGACTTTCGCCAGACCCCGACCACAATTACCAAATCTGCCCCTCGACATAGACCTCTTCTAGCGGCCGATGCTTGGCAGCAGGTACGGACGTTCGGCAGTCCGGGTCCCGATCTCGATATGGGAGAAACGAACGACAGATTTGCTTCGCCATCGTCCTCGAATCAAGTGAAATCACTCGAAACTTGGCATGACTCTCTGCGCAGAAATATCGCTGTAAGTGGTCCAAGCTAGAGATAGCTGATGAAGTACAGGGCCTACACGAGAGATTACGCGCGCTTCAAGACCTCGCATCTGCTGGTTGAGCTGTGATTAGCTCTAAAGTCTTAGCCCCTGAATGATCTAAGCGATGTACACCAATTCTGGCGGCCATCTTCACGCTGTTGCAAGCTCGATTGGGCTCACGGCAGCCCCTGAACTCCCACCCTCCAGGTTGTTGGTCATGTAGGCCCGCGACATAGGTAGGATCATGATGACCATTTGCGGGAACCTGATGGGAAAAATGTGTCTATGTATTTGGTGTCGGAACTATGTAGCACGCCAGCCGGTGTCAAAATGCAAAGGAGCGTGTGCAGATCTGCGTGGCGAGACTGCCCTGACTGACCGAGGATGCCTAGAACGCCTCTGTAGAGCAGAGCCGAGGCAAGTCCAGTCGTGACGTAACTTGCTTCTGTTTCGGCGAAAGACCCGCTTCAACCAACAACCGCGGTGCATCGCTTGTGGTTCTTATTAAACAGTGATAAATCCCGGCTTCTTCAGACTGCCCCGATTGTTCGACAATCTCTAGGATGAGCGATGCTACAGATCTAAATATGGCGAGCCGACTGACCCTGAACAGCGGTCAATCGATCCCTCGTCTCGGCCTCGGAGTCTACAAAGCCGCAGGAGCAGAAGCGACCAGCGCTGTCGTTAGTGCTCTCAAAGAGGGTTACAGACACGGTGAGGAGGCCTACTGCCTCGAGTCCGCTTACCCAGCAGTTGATACCGCCCAATGGTATGAGAACGAAGAGGGTGAGCTCCTTTGTAATCTGGGCTGACTCAGAAGACGTCGGTCAAGGTGTCAGAGACAGTGGCGTCAAGCGGAAGCAAGTGTGGCTAACGTCGAAATATTTCCCCGAGGATCAAGTGAAGTCTACAAGCGATGTTCTGGCTGCTCTTAGAACCTCCCTCCCAAAACTCGATCACGAAGATGGTCACATAGACCTTATGTTGATACACTCGGCTGCTGGTGGACAAGAAGGCCGCGAGAACATATGGCGTGCCTTCGCGCAGGCCCAAAAAGAAGGGTGGATCCAGGCCATAGGCGTCTCAAACTTGTGAGTGGCCTGTGCGCCAGCCCTTATTCAAGCGATTCCCAGCAACATCTCACACCTCGAACGTCTACCGGGTCCTATACCTGCACTGAATCAGATTGAACTCCATCCTTGGTGTCAGCAAAGACCAATCGTAGAGTACTGTCAACGCCACGGTATTGCCATCGAAGCGTATTCTCCACTCGCCAGGGCGGAAAAGGATAAATGGGAGGATCCCGTCCTAGTTAAGATCTGCGAGAAACATAGCAAGAATCCGGGTCAAGTCCTAATACGCTGGAGTCTCCAAAGAGGGTGTGTCTTCTGTAAGACTGGACTGACACCAGATTCGTGGTGATTCCCAAATCGTCTAATCCCCGAAGGATCAGAGACAATGGCGATGTATTTGACTTCTGTCTGGACAAGGGGGACATGGACGCCTTAAATGGTTTAGACAGGGGGTCGGGAGGCGCGGTCACTTGGAATCCAGTGGACCAAGCTTGATCGAAGGTCTACGCAATCGAAGGATCAGACGAATAAGGACTGAGCCATCCTCAAATGCATTCTGAACGTGTTCGTCGACATGTTAGGGGTTTTATTAAGGTCAAAAAGCTCTGTATACCTGGAAGTCTCAGCAAGCGCCTGCTGTATCCTGCAATCAACAATGATCCGACAACCAAACAATGATCCGACAACCAAACAATGATCCGACATTCTATCAACCTCAGGTAAATCAGACTACGACACGCCACCAGCTCGCAGCTGCTTCTGAATTCCGTTATTCCCGCTCTTGTCGCAAGCCCCAAGGGTTACACCCTGTTCGGCAACCGTCCGATGGGACTTTTCACCATACAAACTTTGTCCGCATATGAGAGGGCCCGTAAGCCTCCTATGCGGTCTATTTCGAGCGTTCCTCAACCTACAGGACGCCCTGCGGACGTGTCCTATGCGGCCAATTGCGGGACATGAACTTGTCCGATGTTTACAGACCCCTGGAGGTGTATTACCCGTCCGATGGATTTCTTTACTATGCGGCCAGAATCACAGTCCCTCATTCTTTCTGCATTTCAGTGACAAACAATGAGTCTGCCAGCGTCACAGGAGGCTGGCCGAGCTGGTAGAGCGGCCCGTAGGGCTAGAGAGGAACCCCAAGCGAAATTCAGTATGGAGGATGATCGAGTCATCGGGGAAATGCTTGTGGAAGAGCGATCGTGAGTTATAAGTCATAACAACGCTGTTCCAGGCTCATACATACAGTCGTGGAGCTCAGGGAGGCTTTAAGAGACAGACATGGACGAGGATAGCTCAAGAGCTCAATGATCGATTCCATCCGGACGTCCCTAAGACCGCTCGATCATGCCAAGACCACTTCTCCTATGTCAAAAACAGCTATCTTGTACCTCTGATGGACTTGGAGGCTGTCTCGGGCTTTGGATGGGACGAACAGCTGCATAGATCGTTGCAGAGGATGATATATGGGACAAGTACCTCGCGGTGAGTATCAGACCAGGCAGATATCCCTGCAATATCCCAAAACACTGCTCTCCTGGGTGCTTTCGGTGGATCCCGATGGGAATCTTCCCTGACCTTTGTCCAGGCCCATCCCAAAGCAAGGAAATGGCGTCGAGACCGGTGGGAGCTCTATCTACTCTATAAGGAGGCCACAGGTAACTTCAGAGCCCGTGGACAGCATGTGTACCGTCCAGGAGACACTCAAGAAGGGTCTGATGGAGAGGACGACGGAGGTGTGGACGAAGATCAATATGACTCGGCCATGGAGGTATGTAGTGGACCGCCGAAATGCTGATGGACCCTCTGCAGAACACAATCAATGAGCTTACAGGTACCCAACCCCTCTCCCAAGCCGCCCAAGACGTGGTCGACATCTTCTCACAGCTTTCCGGGACACCAGATCCCTCTCGGTCCCTCAGAACCCCACCCCCCCTCAATGGTCGCCGTAAAGCTTCAGACGCCCTCGGAGATGGACTGAGAGAGCTTGCTGGTAGCATCAGACATTGGGCAGAGTCCTCAAGCAATCGCGAGCGACAATTGATGGCTATACGGGTCGAAGCATTGAAGAAATTGCAGAAATATGAGGAACTGTCGGTCGTCAAGAAAGGGAGGGTGATGATGAAGCTTTCGACGGATATGGAGGCCTGCAAGTCCTTGCTGAGCTTTGAGGAGGCTCAGGTGGATCCAGAAGCAGTCCTGGTGATACTCCGAGGGTGGTCTGAGCTGCAGGGATCGAGATAGCGTCGGAAAAGGGTGGTATCCATGGTCCATGTAAGAGATGTATAAATCAGCACGCCCCTTCATTATGGATGTCCCTTTATGCGAATTTCCTGCATAAGTTCCTCTTCTCACCCCATTCTATGACGTCCCTGAGGTCCCTGGTACTCCTCCCACATCCTGTTGGCTATCTCATCCCTTCTCCGATCCCCTCTAGCGATCTGAGCAGCATCAATGGTGCTGTCAAACGAATCATTCGGATCGTCAATGACATCGTCGATCTCAGCCATATCTGCTATCGACTCTGATGACGTTGACATGCTGGAGGGGTTGAGGCCATTGAGGACAGTACTCTCATCATCCTCAAACCACTCAGGGTCGCCAGCACCGTATTCTCGAGCGAGATTGAACATAACACATATCCGGAGTATGATCTTGACTTGAACCTTTACTGAGTACTCGCTAGATCGCTCCTGTCAGAACGCCACAAGGTCATAACCCCGAAATACCGATATCTCGCCTCAACTTCAACAGCTCGTCAAGTTATTCGCCGAAGCTCGCCTTCACTTCACTATCTAATCAAAAGCTCGGCGAGAAAAGCAGAATGGATCACCGAAAGACAGGATCTTGGCATGAGTATTGATTGACAGGTGAAGGATCGGCGAAGGATATATATAGCAGCCGCAGATAGCCTTAGATAGACCAGCGATCCAAGATTGAAGTTCAATACTACTAGATCTTGCATCCCATTGCCGCCCTCGCCTCCAGTCGCCTTAGCCCGCCTTAGCTCGCCTTCAGTTGCCTTTGATAGCCTCGAGTTCGCCGAACTACGCCTCGTAGCCAACCTCTCTTTGGTCCTTCAACACTAGCCTTCGTCCTATCCTTTATTCAAGTATCTTAGCCGAATATTGGTAGTTCTCGTCCACGCTCGCCTCATCTCGCCTACTTTCGTCAAGAATAACCTATTCTGCATTCCTCAGCCAACGAAATCTGACAGTATCTTGGATCGCTCTTACCATTGAGAGGTTCTTCAGTTTTTGATCATGTCTTCCGAAGGTCCCGCGTACGGTACTCGCTCTGGTTCAACCAATGCCGATTCCAATTCAAATTCTCAAATGATGGAGATCTTGCAAAAGCTTTCCGATATCATCGCTCGACAGAACGAAATTAGGGAGTCTCCGATTCCTGAGGTTCAAAAGGAGCCGAAAGTCAACGACCCTGAGACCTTTAGCGGCGATCGAACCAAGCTTTCGTCATTCCTTACCGAATGTCAGATGGTCTTTAGCCTCAACTCGTCTCGCTTCGCCGATGAATTCACCAAGGTCAACTATGCAATCTCATTCCTTCGAGGACCTCCGCTTCTAGCCGTCCGACCCTACCTTATGGTCCCTGAAGAGGTGCGACCTCACTGGCTTACCTCTTTCACTCTATTCGCCGCCCATCTTCGAGAGAATTTCGGTGACCCTGACGAAAAGGGAACGGCTCGACGAAAGTTGCGATACCTCGTCCAAACGACTTCTGCTTCGGCTTTCTTCGCCGAATTCAACCAACATATTGCCGTCCTTGGATGGAGCGACCAGGAAATGTTGGTGGATAGGGCCATCTATGGTCTAAAGGACAACCTGAAGGACGAAATTGCTCGAGCCGGTCAAGAGTTCAATACCTTGTCGGAACTCATGAACTTCGTAATTCCACTCGACAATCGACTATTCGAACGAGACCAAGAACGAAGGCGAAAGCCCGCTACTTCAAACCAAGTCAATGCTCCTTTCGCTTCTCCAGCCAATGTTGCGCCGAAGACTGTCCAAGTGTCGTCGACTGTGGAAACACCAGCGGCTACGATTAGCCGAGGAAACGTAACGGTCAATAAGGAACTCGGATCTAACAATCCATTCAAGCCGGATAGCCGACCCCGTGGTCCATTGTCCGAAGAAGAGAAAGAAAGGCGACGACAGACCGGAGCTTGTGGTTACTGTGGTGATATGGGCCACTTCATTCGAGACTGCGCTCAGTTGGGGCGACAAAATGCGGCATTCCACACCGAGACCTTCAAGACCGAAGAACCCGAGGCAAAAAACTTGTAGGAACCGATACTACCGCAGAGAAGTATCGAGTTCCCAAGGCTTTTGACTCTGCCATTGCCCACAGTACGCCTTCAGTTTTGCCTCCAGATCAGCCTTCGTCCCTCCGCCTTGCCTCGACAACTCACGTCTCGCCTTTGTTCGCCTCGAAGACTCTAGCTTCGCCTTTGTCCGACTCGATTACCAAAGTCTCGCCTTCGCTCGCCTCGTCTCACCCCTTTCCGGCCGCAACTCGCGTGCCTCTTCGCCTAACCCTGTCCCCTTCCCAACCAAGTTCGACCATTCTGATCAACGGTCACCGCCTTGATGTCTTGTTTGACCCTGGCGCCGACCTAGAGTTTATCGATGTCAACATTGCTTCCAAACTTGGTTTTCCACTCACTCCCCTTCGCCAACCCCGCGAGCTCCGTATGTTTGATGGTAGAGAATCCCTTCATGGGAAGATCATGCATCATCTTCAGTGCGACTTGCAATTCCCTCCATCTCCCTCGATCTTCAGTGAAAAGCTCCTCGTTACCCAATTGAATGGCGCCCATGTCGTTCTTGGGTATGAATGGTTGAAGCGCCATCGGATTACCATGGACTTGATCGTTTGACCCTTCATATCCCTCTCCCTTCCAATCAGCCTTCCAGACAACCCGACGCAGCCTCTTCTCAACCCTCGATGTCAATAAATTCCGGCCAAATCTCGTCCTTGGGAAATTCCTCGGCGAATGTTAGCCGTCATCAGCCAACGAGATCTTATGCCGGCTCATTTCCACGCAGTTTCCGAGGATATCGACCAAACTCCAGTGGAGCGAATCAAATACTGCTAGGAAAAGCAAATCGATACGAAATGGCAAGGATTCAGCAAACCGTTTCACCGACTCATGGGAACGACGTCCCATCTCAGCAACCCACACCAGAACCGGATGACGATCTCCAGGAATACGATCAGTATTTGTCACGAAGTGTTATGCGAGCTGTCGGGACTATCGATCCTGAGGTAACCCAACAGTTGACCTGGCACGAGAAAATCAAGCTGCTGGTGCCGAAAGAATACCACGACTATCTCGATATCTTCGATCCTAAGGAAGGAAGTTCGACTTTACCTCCACATCGGTTATATGACATGAAGATCGAATTAAAAGAAGGAGCAAAGCTCAATGTGGCCAAGCTTTATCCTGTTGGACATGAAGAAAAGAAAGCTATGCTAGAGATCATCAACGCTGAACTCGCTTCTGGACGTATAGCCCCGAGTAACTCACCTTATGGATCCCCCGCTTTTATGGTTCCCAAAGGAAATGGGAGATATCGAATGGTCACCGACTATCGCCATTTAAACGGCAAAACCGTAGCCGATGTTTATCCTCTTCCCCTCATATCGGAGACTTTTGCCGACATGGCCGAATCAGTCTGGTTTACCAAGCTCGACCTCATCAGTGCATATCAGCTACTACGGCTCGAAGAAGATAGCGAACATCTCTCGGCCTTCAGAACGCAATATGGGATGTTCCAGTCAAGGGTAGTCAGAGATGGACTGAAGAATGCTCCTGCGGTCTTTCAACACTTCCTCAACGATGTGTTCCAAGACCTTCTGGGAAAAGGAGTGGTTGTATACATCGACGACATCACCATCCATGCGAAGACACAGGAAGAACTTCGACAGTTGACTCTTCAAGTATTCGAAAGGATCAGGAAGGCCAAGCTATATGTTAGAGCTGAGAAGTGTGACTTCGAGAAGAAGGAAATCAAGTTTTTGGGATTCATGGTCTCCAACAAAGGGCTCCGAACTAGCCCGGAGGCTGTACAAGCCGTCAATGACTTCCCTCCTCCGACGACACTCACCGAATCCCGCCGATTTATTGGGATGATTGGCTATTACCGCAAGTTTATCGCCGACTTTTCGCGCATCGCTCGACCTATCACCAAGCTTACTCGAGATAGCGAAGATTTCGTCTGGGGTCCCGATCAACAAGAAGCTTTCATTCGACTCAAGACAGCACTTACTTCCGCACCAATACTAGCTCATTTCCGACCTGATCTTCCTGCAATTATGCAGACAGACGCTTCGGCTTTCGGTTGGGGCTTCATCATATCACAGGTTCATCCCGAGGATGAATTGGAGCATCCAGTCTTCATCGAGTCCGGCCAGTTTTCGGGATCGGAGCTCAATTACACCACCGGGGAGAAGGAGCTTTTGGCCATCGTGGAAGGATTTCGAAGAAGGCGCCATAACCTTCTTCCTATCCACACTACTGTCATTACGGATCATCACAACCTCACTTACTTCATGAAACCTCGGCAGCTATCTCCTCGCCAAGCACGATGGGTGACTGAGATCTCCCCTTTCAACTTCACCATCGTATATCGACCGGGACGTCAAGGGGAAGTGCCGGATGCTTTATCGAGGAATGGACACCCCGGAAGGGGAGGTACAGCTGTAATTCCTGATAACTTCATTCAGGCTCTTCCTCTCTTTGGACAAAGTACACAGTCTAGGTCGACTCATATGCGGGCTCTTCAACCTCCTCCTCAAACTAGGGACTATTGGATGACGGATGTCGACTTGCTTCAAGGCCAATCAATGGACAAAGATATAGTCAAAATAAGGGAAGAAATGATGGGACTGGTTCCTCTTGGATATCAATTCGGCGTTTCGGAGTTAGAAAGTGTGGCAAATCTTCGGCGGAAGTCTCGAATGAACGGCTTCACCGAGGCGACTTGGTCAACTCAAGGATTCCTTTGCTTTGATGGCCGAACTTATGTTCCAAACTACGGCGATCTTTGGCTCACTATCCTCAGGTCTCGACATGAGTCACCTCTTGCAGGACATCCTGGAACGGCAAAGACACGCGAGCTGGTCGAAAGAGACTACATTTGGTCTGGTATACGCCAAGATGTCGAAGACTATGTAGCCGGGTGTAGTGTTTGTCAAGCTGCCAAGGCAGTCCATCACGCACCATACGGCCTGCTCAAGACCCTGGAAGTAGCTCGACGCCCCTGGCAGCATATATCAATGGACTTTGTGGAGCCTTTACCGGAATCTAAAGGTTACGACTCGATACTGGTGGTTGTGGACAGACACTCCAAATGGGCGACGTTTATTGCAACAACCACAACGTTGTCCTCGGTCGACCTAGCTCTCTTGGTATTCGACAAGATCTTCTCCTTCCATGGCTTTCCGGAATCCATCGTCTCTGATCGTGGTCCAAAATTCATCTCGCAATTCTGGAATAGTCTAATGAAAAGGTTTGGAACCAAGGTCAACTTATCAACTGGATATCACCCTGAAACCGACGGTCAAACCGAGCGAACGAACCAAGCTTTGGAATGTTATCTCCGAATCTTCACCAGCTACAACCAGGACGATTGGTCGGAACTTCTAGGTCAAGCAAGCTTCGCCTACAACAATACCGTACACAGCGCTATCAAGCAAACTCCCTTCTTCATCAATCATGGGTTCCATCCTCGATGGGTAACGGAGTTACACTCAAGCCAAAAGAAGGACTCGCCAGAAGTTTCGACAATAGTCGCCAACATGGAAGAACTTCACGCCGAATGTAGCCGACTTATTGAAGTAGCAAACGAATCCTACGCCAAATTCGCTGATAGAAACCGGATTCCGGGCCCATCTTTCCAAACGGGAGACCTTGTAAGACTAAGTCTCAAGAACATCAGGACAACCCGGCCCATGAAGAAGCTCGATGTCAAGTTTGGAGGACCATACGAAATAGTAGAACCGGTTGGAACACACAGTTATCGACTCAAGCTCCCTACATCCCTTCGACGCATACATCCGGTCTTTCACGTCAGCTTATTGGAGCCTTTCAAATCGCCTAGGTTTGAAGGACAGGCGAAAACTCGCCCACCAGTGGTGGAAGCCAAAGACAACAGCTACGAAGTCAAGGAAATCGTCGACTCTCGGCGAACTAGAGGAGTTTTCATGTACAAAGTCGCCTGGGCCGGATACGAAGGAACAAGTGAAGAAACAGGCTGGGAACCAGCCTCGAATATCCTACCTGGGGCCGAAGAAGCAGTGGAACAGTTCCACCAGAAGTACCCGAAGAAGCCAAGACCTTGACGCAAGATATGGACATTCGTACTCGATACCCTATACACATCACCTCTTCGATAAACCCCTCTTTCTCTTCTTTCCGCTTCCCTGATCCTCGTCATCACTCTCCTCCAACTGCTCGATGTCATCCTCCGAATCACTTTGTTCCACCCCCAAAACAACCCTGAGCCCCTCGACGGCCCGCTTCAACGTCTTCCTCCTCATCCTATTCGTCTCTGTGCTAGCCAATGCAGCAAGCTCACCCAAATGGACCAAGGCTTTACTGGAGACCTTTGGGGCATGAGCCGAACCACTAGCCCGGGTCGAAGAAGATCCAGCGTGACCGGAATGGAAGGAACAGTGATCCGAAGTGCAAGACTTGCACTTCATCGTGGCCTTTCCCTCCCTCTGGAAACAGGGCAAGTCGTCGAGCCTAGAGCCCTTAGCGCGAACCCTTTTTCTGCAACTCACTGGCACCGTTCACATCGACTCGAACCTCTATGCTCCACCATTCCCACCACTACACTTCCATTCGGCTTATACTTTCTCTTTACATTGTCAATACTATTACGCCTCAAGCTCACGTACTTCCAAAGTCGACCGATTCCGGAGGGAGCCCTTCACCGGAGTCTTCTTCTCGCCCACCTTCTCGTCCACACTCATCGACGCCCCTTGTTCCGCATCGGCAATTGGAGTTGTCGGCACTATCACAGCAGGTTGCTCCTCTACTGCAGGCCGGACCGTTGACTGAGCTTCAACCTCATTGGACGAAGGGGCTAACGTCAGCAATACTCCTCTTGGACTCACGATCTGGTGTGAACAGAGCCCGCAACGGAGGCAACGGCGATGATCTGGAAAAAGACGACGCTTGAACCGTAGCCTCCTCAGCCCCGATCCTCGCCTGCTCCCCTTCCCCCGCCTCCTGTTCCTCCGCCGCCGAAGCCGGGATTGGTCGGTGTCTCATTTGGACTGATTCATTAGACAACACAATCAAGAGGAACTCACGACGCCTGGACTGTCTACCGCCCAATGCAGCCGAAATCATTCTTTTTGCGGCGTCGTTTCCAGTGGTCATCGTCGAATGTTAGAAGTCGAATGTCAAGAATGGCTATCCACGACGATTGCATGACGAGAGGTTGTCAAGCTACGGAAAACTAGGCTAAGCTGAGGCTACCTTTGGTCGCGAGGACGCGACCTTTTTGTAAGAAGGGATGGACTGTCAGAACGCCACAAGGTCATAACCCCAAAATACCGATATCTCGCCTCAACTTCAACAGCTCGTCAAGTTATTCGCCGAAGCTCGCCTTCACTTCACTATCTAATCAAAAGCTCGGCGAGAAAAGCAGAATGGATCACCGAAAGACAGGATCTTGGCATGAGTATTGATTGACAGGTGAAGGATCGGCGAAGGATATATATAGCAGCCGCAGATAGCCTTAGATAGACCAGCGATCCAAGATTGAAGTTCAATACTACTAGATCTTGCATCCCATTGCCGCCCTCGCCTCCAGTCGCCTTAGCCCGCCTTAGCTCGCCTTCAGTTGCCTTTGATAGCCTCGAGTTCGCCGAACTACGCCTCGTAGCCAACCTCTCTTTGGTCCTTCGACACTAGCCTTTGTCCTATCCTTTATTCGAGTATCTTAGCCGAATATTGGTAGTTCTCGTCCATGCTCGCCTCATCTCGCCTACTTTCGTCAAGAATAACCTATTCTGCATTCCTCAGCCAACGAAATCTGACAGCTCCAACAGCTTGAACTTTCGCTTTGCCACCCCAAAGATACGCTCGATGACGTTCCTGAGCTTTGCGTGACGTAGGTTATATAGCTCCGAAGCGTCCTGTGGCCTGCAGAGCGATCAGCATGATCTTATAAGCCGTTATACGATATAACAGCCTATAAAAGTCATATGGCAAGAAAAGTCATATGGCATCGCTCAGAACCCAATGGTTTGGATCAAAGTACACTCACCGCCTGTTCCCATTGCCATACTCCTTCAGGTGATACCGCACCGCTCTGTACGGTGCCAATGTAGCATTACTATTACTGAAAGCTGCATCACCCAGGAAGAATTTCCCATCGGGAACTTTGAGGTCGGTTGCAATTGCATCCCTGTAGATCCTGAAGTCATTGGCGGATCCCTCCCAGCCTGACAGGACATAACAGAACCGCAGGTCGAAGGTACATGCTGCTAGAACATTGAGAGACAGAGTTCCTTTACGGTTGCGATAGCTGTCTCGATCGTCCAAAGGTGGAGTACAAGGTATGTGTGTTCCATCAATGGCTCCGATGGCTCCGTCAAAGAATGGGTACCACAGACGGTCTCTGGTGGCTGTGGGTGTTGGCCAAACTGTTGTAGAGGGCAGACAGATCCATTTGTGATAGAAATCACGAGCAATGAGGACATCAAGGACATTGTGGAAAGACCTGTCATTCAGCTCATAATGTATGACGAATACCTCACGTGTGTATGGTATGATAGCTCCGATCGAAGTACTCAGCTGTCCGCCTTACTCCAGAGCCTTCTCTGCATATGTACAGGAAGTGTGCAAGCTGTTCTTTGGCACTGACATACCGAGAATCTCGAAGTCCACCATGCCAATAAAGCTCCTCATATATTGACGAGAAAGCTGGCGGTTCCAGGCCGAGGACAGCAAGCATTGCATGTCTGTGACGTCCCTGAAGCTCTTGCAACCTTGTTTCACCTCTGAAAGACGCATTATGCAGGGGAGTCGGTCCTGCACGAGGTCTGAACCTCCATTGTAGACATTCTTGCACGGTTGCAAAGAGGATCAAATGTAAAAGTTCCTCATCGGCGCCGTATTCGTCATCGGAGGTCGAGATTGATAGGATCGGTAGTATCAGGTCAGGGCTATCGGATGACATCTCAAACAGCACATTTCATGAAGTCATTGAGGAGAAAGAGCGTGACTCATATTGAGGCTATTGTGAGATCGAGGGGCGTGCTGCAGTTTTGGGGAAATTTATAAGTTCCCCCCTCTAAAGGAGGGGTAGTAACTCCCATTCCGCATGTAACATTTCGAGCGTTCCTCAACCGTCCTATGCATCCATCGGACTGGTACGACGTCCCAAGAGCTCGCCCGCACTCCGTACTATGTCGGACACCCTCCAACTATCGTACGATTCCGACGAAAAGTTGCCGAACAGGGTGTTGTATCGTTTTCCGTGATCGGAGCTTCTGGAAAAGAAATGTATGGTCATCCATGGTATCAAACCTGATAGACCTCCGGAATGGAGAGATGAACGAGCAGCTATTGGCGTTTCTGCCTCCGGCATGGCCTTGTCTCCCTCCTACCGTACGTTTGAGACAGAAACTGAATTGTTATGACCTGTCGTATGCGATCCTGCCGTCCGAAGTGTGACCAATAGTTTCCCTCGAGCCAACAATTCCCGCCATTGCCACGAGGCAAAGCGTCACCGAGATCCATGAAAGCAGTACGGCTTCTTCAGAAACAGCAGTGGGTGGCTAGTTTCACATACAAGTGACTGGTCTGGGACTTGAATACGAGAAATTCTCTTGCATGTATGCAGATGCCAGAGTCTATCAAGTCGAGTTGCCTAAGCATTTCACAACTGTCAGTCGGCATTTTGATGGGATGCTAGATGTCAATTTCTTGGTTGTATGCACAATTGCTGTTCGACTCATCGTCGACTCTCATTTCTCTCTCTCCGGTCGTTCGTTCATTGCTCGGTGAAGACTCAACGAAAGGACAGTCATCTACTCAACAACAACCAAGCGTCAAGTGTATAAATTCATCACGATGCACCGAGGAGCCTAGGGCACTGAGATGATAAGAACATTCTTTTCGAGTCTGTTTTCGCACCTAACTTGTATACATGAGAAGTCTCGGGAAGTCAGAGACAGACTGGCTGGGCAGTTCATTGACTGAATGACACTGGTTGATTTGTTTTTGTGACCCTCGAGTGTGGATTTTCTCAAGCGGACGGAGTCTTTGTGTGTGCATAGAGAAAGATATTTCTGTTGGATCGAAGTTCGTGTCCGCGTTGCATGTTCCCCAGTTCTCGATGAAGTACGATGAGGCCGTGTAGCAGATCCGTAGAAACTGCTTCTTCTAACTTGGCTACATATGTGCACAATAATTTGCAAATATTTGCAAAAACAGACTTTTGCGAGCTCTCACTATTTCGAGAGACTTTGAAAATCTTAAGTGGAGTCTGACCACGCAAGCTAGGTGTAAGTGGTATATGCAGCCTCTATCAGTCCTCATCACTTCAACTAGAGCTGAACGAATGTTCGTGGAACGATCAAGTCTCCGCTAGGACCATATTTGCAATTCGTTTAATCGAGTGCTAGCACTAAGCCATCCGTTTCGGTTAGACTTAAGACGGTCATGCACCTTCCTGTCTTTCGTAAGTTTCCAGAGCGTCTAGGTGCACAAGAATTCAGATGTTGCGCAAGATTTGAAGGGTACACGAGAAAACAGCACAGAGTCTTCAAACAGATCTTTCACTTTGATCAGTGGGTACAGGCCCACAAAGTCTTTCCTCCTCTTGTCAGGGATGTGTCACGGGCCGTTGTTACGGGCGGGGCTTACCAAATAGAAGACGGGTAAGAAGCGCACTTTCTATGAGAAAACCTTCCATCAGAAAGGGATAGCTTTGGTGTGCGGATGGTTGGGTCTTGCAGCTGGGTGCAAAGTACAGCTGCAAGAGTATTTATTTGGGAGCGATAGTGATTGAGATGCAATGAGGTTGATCAGGTCAAGCGGTGAAGAAGTTGAATGATTGTCATAAAGCTGAGAATTGCTCTCTGAACAGAATAGAAAGACTATATACCACTCACTTCCTTATATAGTTTTTGGAAGGTTCTATAGACCAATTGTGTAGACACTACAAGATCTGCGTGCAAGTTGCAAGCTGGGAAAGATCTATCTAGGATCTGCGTGAAGTTGCACAAAGATTCTTCTTTTCTACTTCAGGCTGGGAGCATCTGAATCTGCGTGCAAGTTGCACGCTGGGGAGCTATGGAAAAGGCTGTGTATGTGGAACTTTATGTAGATTACACGTCCAGGATGAGTTGGTACTAAGATACCTATGAGCGTATCGTAACATCCCTCAGTTGATCATGGATAGATTGATCACACATTGAGGTCAGGAACCCGGAAGTGGGCGGAATGAGCGGGAAGAGTGTCGACACCGGTGACTGATGTGGCAAAAACGAGGATGGAGATTGCCGAGTCGCGATAGAATGCTTCACATCTCATTGTACATGCATTTTCCGTATCCGACTAGCCTTGTAGCGACTAGCCTTGTAGCTTTACCTCTACTCTAAAAGCGCAACTCAGCCTTGTGTACACCAAGACAATCTCTTTTCAATTGCGGATGCGCCCACTAACAGTGTCACTGATCATTTGAAGTGATAAGCTGCGCCCGTAAATGTCGAATTTGAGCGTTGATCGCGCAATATTGACCGAGTTGCGTATAGGAGTATCCTTGCAGGATCTCGAGGGCCGGGTTTGGTTGGTGGTAACATAAGTCTGGAAGGATTCGGCAGGCCTAAGGGGAAGGGGGGGGGGGGGGGGGCAAGACAAGACTTGTATATTTCAAGACTGTATTCAGGAGGAAAGACAAGTCCCTAATGGATCAAGGTATTCACGGAACGATGATCCTGCTTAAGATGGTGACGAAAGATAGTTTTGATTCTTGAGGAAAGAATTCCACAGTGATAAAAACGTAGATATAAGAATCCATCATTTGTAACGAGAAAGAACAATCGAGCTCCATAGAGATTTGCCCAATCAGACAAGCTTGGCGTCCTGACAGATCCCTGCTGGCCGCTACAAGGCAGGGCAATCCTCCGAGTCATGTACTTTTAGGAAAGGGCTTTCCGCATTAAGCCCGACCAAGCTCGGTCGTAAGTGTCGAAACTACGTGTCGAAGTTCTAAGTAGCGGCATTCGCCATCCAGTCTCAGATCTAATTCATCTTCGAATTGCATCGTTTTGCGTCCGCATACCTGCATTCAGTGCCCTATCAGCGAGCATCTTTATTCCAAAGTTGTCAATACAACTACCATCAGTCACTCACTCTTCTCATCACCGGCTTTGACATTCCCCGAAGCGAATGGGATTAGGAAAGCAGAAGTGAAGCAGCTTTGATGATCATGCATGTTGTCCTCTTCGCTGGCCAAGTGTCACTGCCGAACTCGTCACCCCGCACAGTCCTTTAGTAGTCAACACTGTTCAATCGTACGTCAAGAGCAAGCTGTGTCAAGCAATCGCCAGAAGAATTGGATTGCATCAGACTGACATGATCCTTTTTTGCTGATTGAGCTGCAGTGCAATATATATGCATACAATCAGAGGTATAGAGTGGCTTCAGAGAAGGATGATTTTGCTGTATGTTTGGAGTACATAAAAATCATACCTGACGATCGACTCTACCAGGCAGAGTCTATTGAATCTTAACGTTCTATCCTGTCTCTGTGTTACGATACGCTCAGACGTATCCTAACACCAGCTCATCTTCTACGGGATCACACAGCCTTTCTATCTTTACTATACTTTCCCAGCGTGCAACTTACACGCAGATCCAGACACTCCCCAATATTCCTGAAGTAGAAAAAGAAGATCTTTGTGCAACTTACACGCAGATCCCAGATAGATCTTTCCCAGCGTGCAACTTACACGCAGATCCCAGATAGATCTTTTCCCACCGTGCAACTTGCACGCAGATCTTGTAGTGTCTACATAGTGGGTCCATTGGGCCTTCCAAAAACTATCTATAAGGAGGTGTTTTGTAGTCTTCTTTTCCCTCAGAGAACAATTCTCAGTATAGTCACCCTTTCAACTTCTTCACCACTTTACCTCATTGCATCTCAATCACTATCAATCTCAACTACTCTTGCAACTGTACTTCGCACCCAGCTGCAAGACCCAGCCGTCCGTACACCAAAGTTATCCCTTTCTAATAGAAGGTGCGCTTATTACAAACGGTACTTGCCCCTCTTCTATTTGGTAAGCCCCGCCCGTAACACTCTGGTGCTTTGCCACATTCGGCATGGTCGATATTGAGCACCTAGGGAACATATTCGCCCAAGACGATGGTAAATCGAAATCTCGGGTGGAAGCTACCTGCTGCACGGCCCGAGACAGAACGATTCTATTTCTTCGAGACTGTCCGATACTCGAACGGCTTGATCGATCTTGCTGTCCTTCCATCTCGATAGTGATAGTCATGGCTCTGTTTGGTAGATGCAAGATCTATCACAGATCTTAGTGAGTGGCGTAAGCACAAATGTTTCTTTCCGACTACTAGTTCTTGGGTTGGATAAATTCGAACAGAAAACAAAGCTTGAGATCTCGTTCCCTTTTGACATTATATCTCACCTGACCCAGATGACCTTCAATCCTTGATTCAAACTCATAGAATCGTGCTACATGTCCCCCACATACAAGTCGCAGTCAAGTTCGCTGATATCGCCTGGAAGTGTTACGGGCCGTTCCGGGCGAAGATGAAGGTTCCGGTAGGAAAACAAAGGGGAACGGTTGACAATTCAATGCGGAGGGATTGAAGTCCAACCTCAATATGTAACCTGATTAGAAGACCGGACTACGGATCAACTGATTATATAACAATAACTCGATTGAACGGAATGGAATATCGAGAGGTGTTCCGACAATTTCCGAGATCAAAATGAGATGAAGTGTAACATATAAGAATTCAGATCCTTGGGGGGATCTGTCAGAAAGTGTCTAATTTATATATTCCTGGCAGAGTGGAGGCCACCACATCTGTTTGACTCATCCTCACACCGATACTTCTTGGAACCCTTCGGATTGATCATGGAACCGTCAGAATGGTCACGGAATGTACGATTGGGGCCGGAGACCGGAAGTGGTCGCAACGAGCTGGAATGAGCCGGAAGGGTGATAACGGCGAATGACGTGGAAACAGGAGGCCATTTAGTAAGGCGTCTCCTACTAACCCACATCCGACGAAACGAAAGTCATCATCAAGTCTGATCCCAAAAGACTCTACCACTCCAATTTCTCCCCGCAGTGTGTCTCGTCTTAGACATCCTGACCGTCCTCTTTGACGGAATTCAAGATTTGCAAAATTTTGCAAACTGCGTTCACATTACAAGCCGGATAGCTCCCGGAAGGCGGATATTTGTCGACACTCTGCATCTTTTGGCTTGGCGATCGAGTTTCGTCAACGGTCAACGACGCTGGGACACCACAAGCTTGGAGACCTTCGTTCCAGCCAATCCATCGATAGTGGAGCGAGGCAAATGATCTGGTCGGGATCCAGTCGAATGGCTGCATGAGACGGACCTCAATCAACCTAGCTCATCATCGAAAGGTGTATATTTATCGTCTCAAAGCTACTTCAATTGCCGCTCTACTGGACAACAGCGAAATACTTCTCGGTGGGTCATCAGCCAGATATTGATAGTCTCATGGTCGTCATGCATGTGATGCTCTCGAATTGAGAAATGCGAGAATATTATTGTTGCGTCGAGAACAAGGTCCGAGACGTCGTGCCTCTTCTTTCTCTTTCCCGACATTCATCTCCCCAGTCAGGGTAGATCGCCTATAGGCAATATGAACCCCCATCATAACAGTGCCCCTGCTGCCACCCCGAAGCAGTGTTCTGCGGTTTCCCAGATCATGAGATCAGGATGAACGCTGAGGCTCATCCACTGAACACTGAACACTGGCAGCGGCAGATGATGTGGCATGGGCAGGACAGAGATGTCAGTTGGCTTGATACCTTAGCCCCAACAGAGTATCGCCAGATCACAAGGGACTGTTCGCGCCCAGGTATTTCAGTCCTTGGACGATATGTGTGATGTTTTCACCGCTCGAGTGTACCGCTCGCTGGTTGTTATGGCAGCCGCGCGGTGGGCTCGTTTCGCACTATGATCGTTAGGGTCATGCATACATACATAGGCAATCTGGCCATGAAAGTACAGTGAGAACGGTCTGCCACTGTTGTTCAGTTGCTGCTGCCGATGATACTCTGGGCGTGTCAGCTAGAGCGTATGTAATGATCGTACCTGTATATCACTCGCACTGATCGGACACAAAAAACTGGCACTACTACTGATTCTTGGGTCCACGGTAATGCCAACGACCTGCGCGTCAACTTGATCCCGTGGTTTCAGACCTACCCGCAGCTTCAAGTCCAGGTCATAGTCAATCGTGATATCTTGTTTTTCGCCTCCAGAAACACCACATTTGCCTGAAAGAAGAATCAGCTGGCTCCTACGTGTTGGAAGCTGCATTGCTGCACGCACTGATAAGGTCATTGAGAATCACACGGTTGGGGTCCGCAGCTGTGGTGTAGCTGATAAATGTCAGTAGCCGGCAAATCCGACAGGGCTTACTTTAATGTCAAGGGAAACTGAAATGTAGAATCCGAGTATCCTCGGAAATTGGCATTGTAGAGGATGCCGCCTCCAAAGGGAATCGAGCTGTAGCCCGGGTACTTGGCTGTCGCCTTGATCTCCTTGAAGTCGACATTGAACCAGTTAGGGTTTGAGACGCTGCAAACAGGTCAGTCGATACTAACTGAAAGCAACGTCCAATCCCACCTGATTCCCAAATCGAATGTGACATTCAGCCCAGTAGACGTCAAGGATACAGGGTTAGATCCTAATGTGACGCTGTCGAGGGTCACATTTGGAGGTCTGACGTACTATCATGATGCGTCAAAAGATGAGGAATATGATAAGCTGCAACAGCTCACCAAAGCGATCGCCAACACCACGCTTACGATCGTGATCAATGCGATGATCAAGCAACAAAAGAACAAGCGAAAACCAGACCTCAATCCTCCCCCCCTGAACCACTGTGGACCACGCTCATCTTTCCTCCACATCCGAAGAATACCTGTACTGCGCGGCGGAGGGCCCATTTCTGCCCATGATTTTGTCGTACTCTGTAGACCCTGCCGACCTGGATGCGCGCGTTGCACAGGTTCACCGAAACTATCCCCATCTAGAATCTTCTCAGAGCTCTGGTTTGGCGCGAGGAAAGATGGAGCTTGTGGTGACTGGCCAACGGCGGACCGGCTGTCTTGGAACGGTGTTGATTGAGCATGACCATAATGTTGATCCCTCGCGTATGGATCTGAGTAATTGTGTTGCCCGGACATGTTGCGAAGCAGGCAAGGTAGTCTCGAATGGCTCTGGTTGAGGGTTCAGACAGTCTTGTGTTGAAGACGAGCGGCGAGGCCAGTGAAGTTGGCGATGTTGACGATGAGCCAGAGAGGAGGTTGAGCAGTGTCAGAGCAAAGAACACCGCTTGTTCAAGGGGACGTGTTTTACTTTGCCTCTTACGTAAATTAATCGCCAGAGTCGCAGCTAGCTGATAATAACTCGTGCGCGAGAGATGATTCATGATGACTCCTCATGGTATCGCCAGCATGCACGCCCACCTGCAAGACATTACTGAATGGTTTCAATTAGCAGCCCAGAGTCAGTGACTGGCAAGATCGTCCTTAAGTCGTGACTCACTCTTGGGTCTGCAGACGTCCCGGATGGGTGGTCAGTCAGGGCAGAGACCTCAGCAACGGCGGACTTGATGAATGCGCTTGAGGTATGCGGCGAGAGGATTGCGCGTGATGAAGTGTCTCTCTCACATTTGAATAGGTCTGTCAAGCTCAAGGCGATTGCTGTCGCTCTAGGGGCCGTTTTGATGACCAGTCACTACTGACTTTCACCAATTATCAACATGTATGCGAAATCGTGGATCAGATGCGCCTCGCAGAGGTACGTGATATGCAATTACTGAACTCATAGCTATGAAGGCGTCATTTCTGGATGGAGCCAGTCTTGCTCGAACGGTGTTCGCCTGTGTGTATTATCACAGGCCGGAGCTAGCTTTTCATCCAGAAAATGCTACATCGCTTGCCCCATTTGTCCGCGCCTACAGCCTTGCCTTCGCCAAATGCGTTGAGCTGGCGGTTCAGGAGCTGAGCAGGGGCCATGTTCACGATTTCGAAGATGCTTGGCTCGACACATTCGGAATTCCTGTCAGGCTTGACGATACAGTGCATGATATTGTTAGGGAGCTGCGAAGTGCTATGGCACGCTGTGACGATATTCCTGGTGCGGATACGCTCGGGTTGGGAACAAGCAGATGCTGAGGCTCCTCAGCTCCTTGGAAGGATGAATTGCGTTCGCGATTGGTCCTTCGGCAAGTGAGACTCTGATCTGAAGCGCTGCTGATGCACGGCAAAGCATATATTGTGCTCTCTAGCTAGCGTTCCGGAGTTCGAGGGATCTGCAGACATTTCAGCTCCTTGGATCAAGAGCAATCGGAGCTCCCGAAGGGGAGAGACGAACGTTTTATATCGTCTCCGACAGGTCTCACCCTTGCCAGCAGCAGATCATCCAACTCCTGCATTCGCGAATGATGTGATCAGATCAGTCACTGCTGGCCTGCTGAATTCGAAGAACGTGACGACAACATTTCGGAGTGATCTGTGGCCGGTTTGTCAAGCAGAGGTATTTGTGCTGACGCAATCAGATGTTGGCCTGGCCGAGGACGCAAGTCCGACCGCCTGTGGTACAATCTGCCCTCAAAGTCGGTCTCCTCAATCGCGCAGGCTAACGTCAGACCGCGGTACTCGACACCCTTCGCGTTCGGTCGTCGAATTTGGCGAGGGACATCTCGTCGCCCATGCTCATTTGCGACCTGAACATGCTATCAGCTCTCATTACAACTGTCCCTGCTGATAAGCGTGAGGAGGTTCGGAGATGGTCGCACTCGATCCAATATGTGAATATACGGATCTATAACATCTGACGATTGTAGTGTGTCATTGAGACCATGTGCGCCTCACTGAAGGGTCCGGCTAGGCGGAGGAGAATGAACCAACGACTCGCTTTCGAATGGTACCAGCACTACCTTTTTGTCGAGCAGCTTAAGAGCTTCGGCCCACACTTTACGCTCTTAGCATCGGACTGCCTCGCCGCCAGAATCGAGTGCCTCCTGGAGGCCGCGATATGCGCATTCGACTCGGGGCTGATCCCGATTGGGGAACTTGCCGATCACTGGTACTGGATGTACTGCCTATGTACAGCTTGGAAGAATAGCGGGCAAATTGGACCCAGCCAGCTCCGGCAACAATGGATCTCAACCTGGTCCGTGATCTCCGCCGGCATGTTGCATGTAAGTGCTTCTCTTCGTGTGCTATCCCTGAGAATCAGCACAACTTGCCATCTTCCATGGAGCCATCATTTGCCCGATTTGCCCTGAGGCACAAGTGGTCCCTCAAGGTACCCTCAACAATGAGTGCCAGGCAAGCAACCGTAATACGGCCCTCATTCGAGGGTTGGTGTCGGACACGCAGGCGGCTACTGCGACTGCCCACCGATAATGGCATCTCGGCAGGCCATCTACAAAGTGCGGTCGTCCAGTTGCAGGCTCTGGCCAGGATGGTGGATAACTCCCCCTTGTCAGCCGACTTCCACGTAAGAGCAGGCATCGTACATGACTAATGCCTAAGGCCAATATCGAGCAGCGGAAAACAATGGTAGAAGCTTGTCTCGTTACAACATGTCTATAGATGCGGAGCTGCTCAACCTAAGCTGAATTGTACAACGCTTCCTCTGGATCATCTATTGGAGGAGATGGAGCCACCGTGGCCTGGGAAAGCTTGGAGTCCTCCTTAGAGCTTCCACCCAGAATCCTTATTATTTCCTGCATGACTGTTGGACCTTCCGAAAGACACACATTGAGTTTTGCTGCAGCCTCCTCGACCGATTTGCTCGTCGTGAGAGCATCTTGGATGCGTTTCTTCTCATCCTTAGATAATCCAGACCCAGCAGGATGATACTGCATCAGTAGAAATCTGGCATTCGACCAATGATGACCTAGTTGATCCACCAATTGCAGCATTTTCGGCAAGACTGTCTCGACGTTGGATTTTGGACCACCCTGCGAGAAGACTGATGGATTACGCTCCGCGGCTCGCGCAATCATTAGAGAGTCTGCCCCTGGTACAATGAGCTTCGTTCTGAAACAAATGGGCTCACCGGTCATATCGCGAATGAAAGTCCAATTAGACCAGCCATCACCATCTCCATTGCAGATAATCGGCACTCCTCTAGCCTTGCCCAGCTTGACTATGTCAGACAGTCGTTCCCATAAAGCCTTTTCCGAGGACCGCATGTTCCTTGTGCGGCAGTGCACAGTCAGGTTGCGTATTCCAGTCTTGAGAAGACGTGCTGCGAGGACCAGCGTGGAAGATTGTGTAGGGAGAAGTCGAATCTTGCACGAAACCGGCAACGGGATGTGCGCAATGAGATTGCGAAGGATGGAAATCAAGAGGTCAGGTGTGGAGAGGAGAGCGGCACCCATGCCAGCATGGGTTCTGTAGTCGTTCAGCAGATATCAAAAGCTTTGTCCGCACGAGAAAGGCTTTGGACAGCCGCAATTGAGATCTCTGTCATTTGTAAGCACCGTTGCTAAAATAGGTAGACTGCTCACATTCCTGATACATCTTGCTGTACTGTCTTGGCAGCCTCCAAAGCTAAAGCTGGATCTGACGAGCCGATCTGAAAAATGACTGCCAAATCAGCCCGGAAAGGCGAGGCTTCGTACGGTAGGGTTTTTCAACAGGATGTGTTGTGAAGATGGGTCCCTGACCCTTTGAATAGGTGATCACCCCAGTCTTCTCTACGCGGGTGAGTTTTTCGAATCCCAACACGTCTCACTAACCATCAACGGTTCTCGTCGCCCCAATTATCGCCCGATCGACAATCTCGGGTGACCAGACCAGTCCAGCTCCGTAATAGAGCGATAGTAATCGCTGAGTCCGAGGTCAGTAATATGCCACATTGACGTGAGCTCTGCTCACGGCTGGCACTGAGAAGTATAAGCTGAAGCCAGACATCGCACAAAAGCTCGCCACATACAGGTTCCGCTGCGGACCATAGGTGCGAGCACCAATTTATCCCGATAATCTATCTCAAAGTCGTAGGATTTGGTCACCTCGACTGGCTCCTGCATGATCTCTTTGACTCGAGCCTCCTCATCTGCAGATGAAGCAGAGTCGAGTACGCCGATCGACTCATCTTCGACATGGCGTAACTTCGACCTTTTCGATGGGGGAGCTTCGGCTGGCGAGTCACGTCCAATGGTCATTATAATGTGCTCGGAAAGACGACGCCTCTGCGTTAAAAGTACGGTTGTGCGGATCGTTGGTCTACTGCGAGAAAGTATGTTGCGCAGAAGTCCGTTGACCTGTGCTGAGCATGTCATGGACTGCTATTGTTACACTACGAAGTGAATACAACTTCAGGTTCAAAATATCTGAAACTTCCTATTGAAGCACGTGATCTTCTTCGCCGGCCGGTATTTATGTCAAGCGATACGCTGAGTTGGATGAGCTATCAGAGCACTTTCTACTCACATAATGGCCGTAGTTCTTATCCGGATCATACACTTCCCAGCGAGATGCCGGAAAGATCTGTTGAGCACCAGTCAGTAGGAATACTTGCTATCTACCTTGCGCTCTCACATGTTTGAAGCGATTATACCACGACCGCTGAACGACTTTTCCAGCATGAGACTGCAAGCATCCATGAGACTCGTGGCTACTTTGCCAAGCAGTCTTACCTCATCTTTCTCGACAGTCGCATCTGCCACCATGCGGATATCGTCATGCACGTCGAAATTGAAAAGCGGACCAGACTTTCCACGAGCCTTGTTGATGATGAAGTCATAAAAGGTGTAATGCTGAGCCTCAGCTGATAATATGTGAAGCATGGCCTACGTGGGGTATAATGAGATCCTCCTGGGTAGCAATCTTCAGCACAGAAAGCGCGGTATATGGAGATTAAGGCGTACCTTAATGTACATCAAATTATCAACGCTGGTGCCACGGAGCTCAGAAACTTGGGAGCGACATTTGCCCAGAAAAGTCGCTATATCATCGCCTTTCTTGCACTGTAGAATGATCAGAATAGGGTTCTTAAAAACCGGACTCACCTCTACCGTTTTACGATGTCCACTACCATCCCAGTAAGAGTATGTTACCTCGATCGCTTCGCTCTTGGTCAGCTCTTGTTTCGCCAGCCATTCCTTTCTCAGATCTTCTCGTTGTAATCGCTCTTCCTCCTCCCGGTCGCGATCCGGTAAGAAGGAGGTATCAACACTAGGATTCTTGGCTATCCGCTTGGTGCTCGGCACGTCCTCCTGGCCCTCTGAACCCGGCCGCGACCGTTTCTTGCTGTCTAAGTCGCTCGAGACCTCGTCCTCATCCTCCGCGAAGGACAGTTTGACCTTTTCCTTCTTTTTAGATCGTTTGGATTTGCTGGGACCACCGCTGAGGCGGTCAGCGATATCAAGAAGGCGACTGCAACAAACCTCTTCTCCGCGGCAGACTGAGCAGCCCTCTGCCTTTGCTCCTCCTCTAGATCCTCCCGCGTCTTCTTGAAGTCATCAAGTGTCACCAGCCCAATGGTGGATTTCTTGAGCTTCTCATCAATGTTCTCCGTGATTCCAATAAATCGATCCGCTGTATGATCTTTCTGGGATTCCTGCGCCTTGATGTGAGCCGCAGAAAGCTACCATACGAGCATTCACTGACTTTTAATATGGCATCCTTTTGTCGTTGGTGCTCAGCCTAAACCCGGCTAGACGCATTCAGCTCGTTCATGCCATGCTGGACACATGATTGCAACGCACCGCTTCTCTCTCACGCTGTCTTGCCAAGTATACATGAGGCAACGTCTCTTCAGGCGGTCCACCAGCCATGATGGAATGTCGGATGTGGTTTCATGGCGAGATATGCTAATGTGACGTGACCCCGCGTAGACGTAGAATTCTGGGATAAAATGGTGAAAAATAACCACCTTGATAAATATTATTTTCCATACAACCAAACACTCACTCTGGTTGAAGCGATTCTTTCTACATCACACCCATCTTCCTTCACTTCTCTCGTTGCAACTTGCTACCTCTTCTGGCGACGCAGCAGAGAGCACTGGACTGATCGATCGACGCGTACGAATCTGAATATATCTCACAAAATGGAGAACCAAGCTACTTTTAAAATGGTGTTGTGCGGTGATGGTGGTACAGTGAGTCATGATGGTCAGGCAGGCATAACAGATCCGCTGATACTTCCTCTCCAGGGTATGTGACAGACAAGTATGAGACGAACAATGAATGGCTGACAATGAGCTTGTTGTGGAATCTAGGGAAAGTGGGTGTGGTACTCCTCGCACCGACAGACTTTTCACTGACCGCAGCAATCGCCCTCAGACTACTTTCGTCAAACGTCACTTGACCGGTGAGGGAGCGTTTCTTACAGCAGCCGAATCATACTGATACCGTCATCAGGTGAATTTGAGAAGAAATACATCGGTCAGTACATCGACTCTCATGCGTGTAGCTTTCGTCTGATCCTTTTGGCCAGCCACTCTCGGTGTCGAGGTTCACCCTTTGACATTCCACACCAACTTTGGAACCATTTGCTTCAACGTCTGGGACACTGCAGGCCAGGAGAAGTTCGGAGGTCTGAGGGATGGATACTACATTCAAGGACAATGTGGAATCATCATGTTTGATGTCACCTCTCGTATCACCTACAAGAATGTCCCAAACTGGCACAGAGATTTGGAGAGGGTCTGTGAGAACATCCCCATCGTGCTCTGTGGTAACAAGGTCGATGTGAAGGTAAGTAGTTCTTGCCGAAAGCTGTAAGATGGTGGCTGAACGACTCGACAGGAACGTAAAGTTAGCACGAAGGGAGTTACATTCCACCGCAAGAGCGAGTCTTGATCTGCACACCCAGGCCCTCACTGACGGTACCCCAGAGAACATACAATACTACGAAATTTCGGCGAAGTCCAACGCAAGTCGAGCTTCCTTCAATATCCAGAAGTCCGCTGACCGTCTCGTAGTACAATTTCGAGAAACCTTTCCTCTGGCTTGCCCGCAAGCTGGTCGGGTTGGTCCTCGAAGCTTTTCGGTCGACTTTGGGCTAACCTCTCTCTTAGTAACCAAAGTCTGGAATTCGTTGCCGCACCTGCTCTTGCGCCTCCCGAGGTGCAAGTCGATCCTGCTCTTATCGCTCAGTACGAGAACGAGCTCAAACAGGCGGCGAATGCGCCTCTGCCGGACGAGGTATGTTGAATCGACTGTGTGGCTATGTGTTGTCGCTGACGAGTATGCAGGACGACGCCGATCTCTAAAACCTTTATTCCTTGCCGCCTTCTGCCTGTCTCCAGAATGACCCCTTCATGACCCGGGATGTTTGTGGACGTCGTGTGAACGAGCGGATGATAATCGTAGAGTAGAGCATATGCATGAGTCCTCAACTCGGATTACTGTTTTCATCGTTTGGACGTCCCTTTGTGAGATTTGAGACGTGGCGATGGGGATACTTTTCCGACAGCACCTTGAGTTTCTCCTCTTGCCGCTTGCGCTCTCCACGGCATGCCTCCCTGGAAACCGCGGTCAGCGAGATCTGGAGAAGATATGGCAAGGAGGATCACCATTGATAGATGGCTATGAGCATAAAACTCCCTACAGCCCAGTTACCGGCTACCCTGGGATCTGCGTTGGACTCTGTCAGCAGATAGAAATAACCCATATTGATTGGACCCACTCGATGAGCTCAGGTATCGAAGGCAGCCGATGCCTACTCCTCCGCCGATGCCATACAGGAGACTATCACGTCCGCAAGGAATACTACCGACGTTTTTTAGGTCCTCAACTGGTCTGATGGTCTGACGATTTCAGTGAACAACCGTAGGAGGATCACAGAAATAGGGCTCACTTTCAATGCTTGGCCAACTTCGGACCAAGAACTGCCGGACCTGGACCCACCCGCTGGGGCTGGGGAGACGGAGGGAAGAGCAGGTGAGGATCCTGAAGGGCCAGTCGAGCCTTCAGCATGATTGGAAGCCATGACCTATGACAGGGCTACAGACTACGTTTGAGGGTTCAAGAGTAAATTGGCGAGGGCCGATCTGCTATGGCTGAGGGACTCGTCAAGAAGCAAAACAATACGAGCTAGAGTGTTGAGGTCAGCAGCAAGTTGGCCTGACTGATTTTCTTCGATGCATGCTTTGCCGACGATCGGAACTCGACCACGTGACTGTAGAAAGACTATATGCATGCAACCCATGTTTCATAGCTAGGCTGCGTTCTTATGACCTTGAAGCTTGGTGATCTCGCTCTGCCAGTCGTACTTAGGCTCATACCCCAGCACTTCTCGTGCTTTTTTGATACTAATCAGACTTTCCCGAGGATTGTCGGTCTCTGCGGTGTACTGAACGGTCGGGAACACCTTCTTCACGAGGTCCGCGGTTGGCGCGGTGTAAGTCGAGTCGGCGTTCGCGATGTTGAACACATGAGTTCCCTTGAGTGGCTTCTCCAATGATAAGCGGAATGCCTGGGCACAATCACGAGGGTCAATGTAGCCAAAGCCACTATAAAGCCACATTGTCAGTGACTGACAGTTGAGGGGAGATCAGTTCCCTAAACTCACTTCCACGATCGGGTCCAAGGATCGTCCTGCCATGTCTGGAATTTGCCATAGTCCTCCGGAGGAATTACATTGCTGAGACGAATGTTGATAATTTTGAGCTCAGGATCCCATCGACAGAATTGCTCGCTCATCTTCTCGCCTAAGAGCTTTGAGAGGGAGTATGAAGATTCAGGTCTTTCAACCTCTTCGGTCAGGGGCAGCTTGGTAGGCAAATGGGGATTGAGAGGGATGCCGAATACTGTTTCCGACGATGCGAGTGCAATGTTTTGGATACGCAGAACCCTCGCAGCCTCGAGAACGTTGTAAGTCTGAGTGACATTGGTATGGAAAATGACGTGATTTGCCTGGTATGCTGGGTCAATAAAAGGTGTCGAACTTGTAGCAGAGCAGGACTCACCGCCATTCCGGGGGCTGGAAGCGCTGCGAGGTGAATGACAGCGTCAATACCACGATATGCAGCATCCAATTCGCTCAAGAGGGCGATGACTTCGCCGTAGTTGGTGAGATCGGCAATGATGAATCTGGCGGGGACATCCTTCTCGGACGGCGCAGGCGCAGACTTGTCCACTAACTTGATGAGCGATGTGTCTACTGAATTTTCCATGACTCACGATTGAGGACCTGCCATCCATGCTCCACCATTTCTCGAACGACCCATCGTCCTAGCTTGCCCGATCCACCAGTGACGACAACTCTCTTCTTACGAGGAGCTGATGGCAAGCTAGGATCCGTGAGGTTCTTCTCACCGAGCGTGACATCTTGCGTGAATGATGCTGCTTGACTTTGGGACATGATAGCGATGATGTGATGTAAAAGTTCAAAGGTGATATCTCATACCACATCTCATTCATACTTTATGAGGAGTGGATGGAAAGGTGGAGGTCCGAAGTGGAGGTGAAAGTGGGGCCAAGCAAGAGATACATTTTGGGTAATAAAATGCCGAAGATCTAGAATGACGGAATACAAGAGTGCTTGCTACCGGGACTTTCGCTCGCTCTCAAACGCCATAGATTTGAGAATCTTGAACTCAGCCTTCCCAGTGGCCTTACACAGCTGATGAACAAGTTAAGTGAAGTAGGAAAGTCGTTCAGGTGCTCCACTTACGGCGTAAAACTTTGACTGATGATCGCGCAACAACACTGCGGGATTCTCATATTCTGCGATATGGCCTTGATCCATGACTGAGAAGGTCAGCCGATGTTCGTTCAGTCTGCTCTCACCTAATACTTTGTCGAAATCGATCTACATATCAGCACTACAGCTGACGCAGATCACTCACAATTGTGCGAATTCTGTGCGCGATCGTGACAATCGTTGAAGTCGAAAACTCCTCGCGGATGGTTTTTGAGACTGACACATTAGCATTACACAAGGGAATATTAACTCACTAAGCTCGTCTGTCTCATCTTCGAGGCGTCAGACCGATACTCAAGAGCTTAGAGTCTACCCACAATCGATGGAAGCTGTAGCTTCGTCCATGAAGATCAAGCGGTTCCTCCTGAGTATCGCTCGAGCCATGCTGGTGTGCATCAGCGCCTGTCGTAGTCAAGGATGTGGACGTACCAGATCAATTGCTTCTCTCCACTCGAGAAATTATCTCCGCCTTCGCTTCACTGATCAGCCCGGCAATCTGACTGGCAACCTACCTGACTGGGTTTGATAGATCTCTGAACATGTTTTTATTGGCGGATTCGTCAACAATCTCATCCTCGTCGCTTGGCAGGAGATGAACACGCTTCAGAGCAGCAAAGATATCCGCATCTTCATATTCGTCAAAGACATCAAGGGCAGATCTTATCGTTCCGGAAAGAATCATCGGGTCTTGAGGGATGATCGTGACTCGGCTTCGAAGGTCGGTGAGACCAATGTGCGAAATGTCTGATTGCTAAGTATGATCTCGTATCGTGGAACCACCACGCTCACCGATTCCATCGATGATGATCCGACCTTTGGTAGCTTCCACGAAGCGGAAGAAACTGAGCGCAAGTGTGGATTTACCGCAGCCAGTAGGACCAACGATTCCAATCTTCTGCTGGGCCGCGACTTCGAATGACAGGCCGTGCAGGACATCGGGAAGATCGGGCTGCTCATGAGCGCCGAGCACCACGATATGACTCACGGCATAGCGTATGACTAAATCCTGAACAGAAATCTGACCTTGATCAGGCCAAGACTTAGGAGGTCGAGGCTCGACAAATTCGGGAGCTTCTGTATTAAGTTCAGAGTATCTGGGAGTCCGTCGTGAGCGCGGTCCCCCGGCAGTCACGGTGGATGGATCTCACTCTTTGATCCTCTCCAAGGCCACCATGCTCTGTTCGAGCTGCACAAAACGCCGCACCTAGGATAACTCAGCACTGCTCGAAGAGGTCCGCCATGCAACGCACCATAAACAACAGGTCATGCGACAAGGTCCCCGCAAAAGCAAGGGCGAAGCCTGCCATTGCAGCATTGACGCCAGGAGAGAGCAAGACCACGAAGGCAGTCACGCCGATGACGGCCGAGGACAGGAGATTGAACCGAGCTGGCTTATCAGTGGTGTCCGAGGGGCAGCTACCTACCAGAAAGCCAACGGTTGACAGTCCTGTTGGCTCAGCCGCCTGTAGTCTTCGTCAAACTCACCATGTCCACACGAAAGCTAGAATATTCGTATCCGCTAGCCGCAGCATGGTTTTGAGGGACACGGTGCCTGATCAAAGTAGTGAGCGGTGCCTCATTGTCAGATCATGGACTTACTAGCGCCAAAAGCCCGGATGACCGCAACACCTGACACCGTCTCGCCAAAGAGGGAATACAGAGGCGATTTTGTGATAGAGTCAAGTCGCCTCATATCCCGCGACGTCTGTCCATAAATTGATCCTGCTCGGTAGTAGATGACCAGGATCACGCTTGACTCCGTCAGCAGTCTAAGCGGGGCATGTTGCTTACCATCCAGCGAAGATGAAGGGCGCCCCACCGACATAGGTTATGGAGACGAACGTCACCGCGACATACAAGCCATAACTAAGACTGCGGACGACTAGCATGCCTCAGCGTCCATTCTCACGATCGTAAGCTTACAATTGTCGACCATGCTAGAGTCTAGGCCTTCGATGTCTTTTCCAAATCTATTCAAGAGACGCCCTCTAGATGTCGTATCGTGGAAGCGCAACGTCGCAAAGAGCACGCTCTGCAGCATAGCTACGATGTGGGTGAGCGCGATTCTTCTCACAGTGATGTACCATCATGAAGCTTCTTGCTCGCTTGCAGAGATCCATAGTAAGCCACGGCGAACGGGATGTTCGTGACGACACAGCCACCGATCGAGACCTGGTTCTGTTCAGCTGACGACTAACAATCTGGCCAGTACACTCACAATGGCGTAACCGATGACGAAGAATGCAGTACTGTGTTGAGGATGACGCGGATCTGAACCGGTCCAGTAGCTCATCCAGGCCTTACCAGCTAGAGGCATAAGCATTGCCGCGGCAAGGCCAAGAGCGAAGATGATCCCTGGAAAAGCATCAGTCGTGGCTTCGACCGTCGAAATTGAAAGCTTACACCAGAAGCCTCCTCCTAAAGCCTGATCATCAGCGGCTGATCTTGCTCACAAAACGCACCTTAAAGTATGTCTGCCACACGGACCAAGCAATCCGACCGGTGGCTCGCTTCTCATCCTCTACCAGTTTCCTCGGTCGCCGTTCTTGCTTTCCTTCTTGCTTTCCTTCTTGCTTTCCTTCTGCGGATTCAGAGTTGGCCAAGGTATCTCCGTCGTCTGGCGCCAAAGAGCTTGTTTCTGAGTCCGGTTCCTGTGATGATCCTGACACGGAAGCCAAGCTTTTGTGGGACGGCTTCGCCTTGGTCATGGCTTTATCGACTTCTTCCACTTTTGGTTGAGCCGACTCCTCGTTGTCCAATTCGCTCATGAGACCTCGGGCGACGAAGTCTTCTCGAGTGCCAGAGAACTTGACCGATCCCTGAAATGAGAAGGCGGTCAGCTGTTCATCTGTGTTGTTCAGGCTCCAAAAGGCACTTACATTATCCAGCGCAACGATGTATGCAGCAGCTGGTGAGACTAAGGCTGCATGGTGTGAGACCAGCAGGACGGTTCGGCCTCGGAGTATGTCGCCTTGTAGACAGTTAACCAGCAGAGCATGAGCAGTATGCGCATCCACGGCACTAAGGACTTCGCTCATTATTAGCACGATCAGTGTGACGTGACACATGGCTCCCACCATCGTCCAGAAGCAGGGTCCCAGCTCGACTGTAGACGGCACGCGCCAGGGAGACTGAGATGTGATGAGAAGCTGGACTACCTCATCTTACGTTGACCTACCTCTGGCCTTCTGACCACCACTCAAGTTGAGACCCTTCTCACCGATTTCACTGAGCACGATTAGTCACAGGTTGCCTGATTCACCCACGTCTCGTCGCCATCCTCCAGAATTTTCAAGTCGGATATCAAAGAGCAACTCTCAAGAACCTGTTGATAGCGAGACTCTAAACTTGGTCTCAGCAATTTGTCAGGAGCGTGATGAAAGCAGTCGCACCGTTCCAAGGGCTGTTGAACAAGATATTCTCTTTGATGGAAGCATTCTGTAACCATGCTTGCTGTGGGACGTATGCTACCATGTCTTTCGATATCCAGTCCTCCTCGTTGATGCCTTTGCGTTCCGAAGCGGACATGGAGTCTGGCGATGAACGTGGACATAACATCTCCCCAGTCAGCAAATCGGCTTCGCCGAGCAGACCAGCGAGGAGCAACGATTTGCCGGACCCTGTGCTCAATTAATCCAACAATCTTGATCGTGTACCCACCGAGTCGACCGCAGATAAGTGAGAGCTTGCCATGAGGGAAGCGCAAGGTCAAGTCGTACAGCATGAACGCGGTCTTGGGCGTCACTGCTACCGATGACCCAGATTCGGAGCCTTGTCTCTCGTTGCTGTCATCTCTCGGCCAGGTGAATGTGGCTTTGGTGACAGTGATGTCTGCTTCAGGTTCCGTCGCTTGAACAGGCTCAATCTCAGGCAGAGACAGATATTTCTCGATGCGGCGGCAAGATACAAATCCTAATAGATATCAGCCTTTGGAGACTGCCGAAGAGGGCAACTTACCCTGCAATGCCTGAATGAAAGTCTCGGGCAATACTGTGAGTGCGTAAGAGAGCTCGCCAAAGACAGCGATGGATGTGAATGCAATTGATGGCGACAGATTTTGGCCTCTGACCAAGGTGAAGTGCTAGTTGGGTCAGCTTCGTATTCACTCTGTTGACAGTTCATCTCACTAGCAGCGAAATGACGGTTACGATCACCGGCGTGACTGCCCAAAGAATATTGAACAGTACCTCAATTTGGTAGTTTCGTGCTTGCCAATGCAGTTCCTTCCTTCGAATCGCATGGATGCGGTGCTCAAAAGATCGCTCCCAAGCCATGAACCTGAATCATCAGATAGAGCAGGTGTAGGATCGCAGGGCTCACTTCAGCATGCGGATGCCTTGGAGTACCTCATTCATAAGCGCCGTTCTTTGGTCGCGCGTCTTCATGAGGTTCTCCTGTACATCAACCACGACCTTTGAGGCAAGGTGGCTGAGCGGCAAGCTGACTATGGCTGTATCAGCGCAAATCTCCCAAGTGCACACATGGTATCATGGCACTTACGAAGGGTTCCCAAAAGGCCGACCAAAGCTGAAATTCCCAGTAATTTGTACAAGAACAAGGTGGCACTGCATGAGATCAGAGATGACCCGAGAAGGAGGTCAGGATCATTATACGTACACCACGATCTCAATGGGCGCGTCGATGAGGGAAAATTCTACTATATCAGCCATAACGAGGTCTCTCGAGCTCACCGTGGAAAACAAATTCGATGACACGGTCAACATCGACAGTAAACAAGGTCTAATTCTAGTGTCAGTCTCGAAAAGGTTTCAGCGGAGTTAACTCGCCATGATCTGCGTTTTCGAGTTGACTTCCTCCTCTCCCCCTTCTTTTTCGGACTCCCCTTCTTCCTCACCCTTCTTTTCCCCATGGCCTAATGATTCTCCAGTCGCAGCTGTATCTTTTTTGACCAATGTCTTTGCGTAGAGTATACCATTCAGTTGGAGTTTGATTGCGCCTTGCAGCATGGTCGTGCTAATTGACCACAAGACACCCGAGGCAACGTAGATGACAGCGTTGGAGAGGAACAGACCAAATGCCAATAACCATCCCCAGGCAGGTTGAGACCGGCCGGTGTCATTTTCCAAGTAAACGAGGAATTCCCGAAGCAGCCAGTGAGGAAGATAGTATCCAGCACCAGTGGCGGCAGCAAGTAGAGTTTCTTTGTCACTATCAGTATCGGAACATCAGGATATGCAATGTGGACTGACGAGCGAAGAGGGGCCCCTTGTTTGCCTTTGCCAATCTCCAAAGAAGATTGAAGCCTTCCAGTCTGCCAAGTCGTTTAGTGGCTCTTTGGTAAGCTGACTTCATGATTTGGTAGGATGGTAGAGCACCTGGTACGATTGAGCTTGGAAGAATCAGACAGACTCACGCATTTGACCGGGCAAGACGGGAAGGTTCCAGACATCCATGGTCTCCCGGACATTGCCCTTCTTCACGACATTGGTGGCATAACTGAAAATGAGCCACTCGGGGACTGTAGCCTCGACCTCCTCCGAGACGTTTGGAATACTCGAATCGAGAGACTCGTCATTGGGAGGCACGGCAGTCGTAATTTTGGCCGGATAGATGGCATTCAAAGGGAAATGGCGAGGGGGTCCGCGACGAGTAAAAGATATGATGACCATGGGCGGAATGTGTAGCAAGGGTAAGAGTGCCCGAAGTGTCTTGACCGGTATGGACTGTATAACTTGACCAGATGTTCTGAGAAGGGATTCATGGCTCGAAGAGGGCATCGGAGTCGAAGGAAGGAGGGTCAATATGGCCAGAACTGTCAATTGGAGGAATGTGAGGACGGAAAGGTGGATTATACCGGCCCAATTGGAAGCAACTTGACGACAGCGTATGTTATGCGCACAGATAAAGAGTGAGATGGCATGTGCAGGTATGACCATGATATAAGTTAAGCTCTTCCCCCTCACTCCATGTCCCTGTACGGTGTTGATACAGAGGAGGACATTGCAAACCGATGCCAGGGTGAGCGTGACGAGGTATGCAATCTTGAGACGGACCACCCTTCGCCAGAATCGCTCCTCTTGTATCGGAGCTCCATCCTGGTATATCAAAGTATCCTCGGATAGGTCGAAGGGATCTTTGGCGGATTTTCCATGAAGCGGTTCGCTGGTTTTCGTCGGTAGTCGCAACCGAGGCTGTCGGAACGGCGAGGTGCTCTTTGATGTCAAGTAGACGAGCAGCGATACCACTGCTACAGCAGGAAGAGACGCTGGAGTGACGACAGAAAATGCTGTAGATGCCGACATGATCTCAGTATCGTCCAAAGAAATCGATTGTAGATGGTCCAGGTCGAGGAGAGATCTATGATGCCCGCGTGGGCCGGTGATGATAGTGGACGCTAGGTTTTTGGTGAAAATGGATCAGGATTGGGATAGAAACGTTCTTGGGAACAAAGAAACTCCAGACCAGCTCCTGGTGATCAGCAGGAGGAACAAAGGTGGGTGTGATTCGAAGATGGTGAGATTCCTGGCAGACTCGAAAGCGATAATGATAATAATAATAATTTTTGGACCTCACTCACTCGTCATATGCCAGAGCTTCGGATCCGAGATAGCGTAGCTATACGTGACACGTGGTGTTATCGACGCGACTGATCAATCAAATCAGCCAGGGACCTGTGCTTCACTCTTATTTCAGCAATAGACCTCGTGATTATCTCATATACGCTATGTAATGAAATTCGACCGGCCATGATCTCTCAAGTCGATCCCCGCGAGATCGAATCACTCCTTTTCGGACTGGACTCGAACGACTTTGACGATGATCTTCAGGATGGTAGTTCCAATCACCACCCATCGTCGCCACCTCCGTCTCAACCCTTCGGTGAGGACTTGTCTAGCGTCGAACTACCAGCATTCACTGGCTTTGCAAATGCGAGAGGTGTCAAGCTACCACCGCCGTCTGAAGAGGCGTTGCGGCAGGCCATGACTCTGGTAGCGAGTGCCAGTCAAGATCCGGAAGAAGGACCTGCATCGAAAAGACAAAAGCTGGATGAGGCAGGACCACCAACTTCTCTATTCAAGACGGGGAATGGTCATTCGCTACCAGCTCCCTCTGATGATGCCTTTGCAAAGGTTTCTGCACTATTTGACTCTGCACAAGATGCAGAGCAGCCTGAAAGCGGGCCATGCAAGCCTCTCGTACCGACACCCCCCACCTCTCTCTTCTCGACGTCCAACGGAAAAGCCATTCCACCTCCTAGCGAGGCGGCAAGAAGACTCGCAGCGACCTTTTTTGATGAAACAAGTCAGAACGATGCTCCACCCACGAGAGCCTCACAAGCGTGCTCCACACCGCCTATCTCAATTACCCCATTTCGACCTCCTGTCAGTGTTGGTCGAACCCCGCTCCGATCGACGCTTGGCAATTCTGCCGGTCCATCCACTCCCGCTGCTATGGATATCACTCGCCAAAAAGCTGTTGATATCAGAACCCCAGTCACTCAGCGTCGACTAGGAATGAGCTCAACGTCCTCACCCGTTTCAGGATCCAGACGAAAGGGTTTTGTCACTCCATTCAAGATTCCCCAGAGCAAGCTGGCATCGGGCATTCGAGCCCCAGTGGCGACGCCTCCCGCTCAAGCTGTTTCAGTCGTTCACAGGTCCGTCTTCGACCTCACAGGCGAGTGTCCGCGCCTCGTCATTGCTGATGATGTGTAGCATCCGACAGTCGTAGCACACTTCGAGAGGCGTTTCTCAAACCACAATATTATACAGACTCGGATTATGAAGAGCACAAGATGTGAGTCTGTCTTTCACTCTGTCCAGCTGAAGATGTCCAGTCCGGAACATGTCCTGCGTCTGACCCTGGAGAATGCTTCGAATTATTCATTCCTGAAGAATGGAATCTTGGTCCCTTTTGACACAGTCATTGACGATTTGCGGCGAGATGGCTGTGGCTTAGTGTCCCGAGCTTGGGCTTCAAACCACTGGGGGCAGATACTGTGGAAGCTTGCAGGGGAGTGTCAAGCTCAGCCGTCATTGTTTCCCAATTTGTGGACTCTTGACGAAGTGATACGTCAACTCAAGTATCGGTAAGCTTTCAGATCCTGTCACACTGATGTTTTGCAGATATGAACGAGAATTTGGGCACGCTCAACGATCCCTTGTCAGACGCATACGAGAAAACGATACTCCTCCTTCGGTACCCATGGTATTATGCGTGTCCAAGGTCAGACGAATGGTTGTGCCGGCATCAAAGGACTCCAAGCAGCCCGAGCAGCAGGTCATCCTGGAGCTCACGGATGGCTGGTATAGGATCAACGCACAGATCGACTCCGCGCTGAAACGTGCGGTGGACAGAGGTCGGGTATGTGTAGGCAGGAAGCTCGCTATTTGTGGTGTCAAGGTTGGTCATTGCCGAGAGAATGTGTTAGGCTCATCCGCCCCAGCTCGCCCCGGGCGCAGAAGGAGAGGACCCACTGGAAATCAGCAACATGTGTTGTCTTATGCTCACTGCAAACTCTTGCTCGCTGTCGCGTTGGGATACTCGACTAGGCCGGCAACGAGATCCTTTCGTATCGAGTCTGTGCAGTATTTCTGTCGATGGTGGCACCATTGCCCTAGTCGATGTCAAGCTCGACAAACTTTTCCCGAAGGCTTATATGAGTGCTCAAAAGGGTCAAAACGAAGCTCCGTGGGACGAGGCGGAAGAATCACGTCGGGTTTCAGCTTGGAAGGTGGGACGAGACCAGAGATCACAGGTGACATGCTGACTTGGTCTAGGATCGAAGGGAGACTGAGACTGTTCGTCTGACCAGTGAAGCCGATGATGAGGTTGCCAAATCAGAGCAAATCTTAGAAGCACTGGTTTCCTGTGCTGAGCAATCAAAGATCGGGACGGGTGGGTCAAAGACGATGCACCGCACTGACATCGATGTAGGAGAATCCCTGGACGAGGATGATTTATTCGACTCTATCACGCATGCAGGGAATCCTCTGAGAAAAATTCAGACACTTTCCAGCAAGATGGCTTCGCGACTCATACAGAGGGCAAGGTCTCACTGCTCTGCGGCTGTCGAGTCGAGATCGTACCATGTTCAACACGAAATTGAGGTACGTGAGATCGATCGCTTGACTTCGCTGACCGCGTTTCCAGAGACTCTGCCCAGCGCGCGACACGAGAAGCTTTCGAGTGGCACGTGTGACTGATGCGCAGATTGGAGATCGAGAACCCGGCAGACGGGTCGCCATGGTGAATATTTGGGATTGTGATCAGCTTCCTCCGGATATTCTCAAAGCAGGAGGAAGGTATCTGGTGAGTGATTCCAGATCGGCCACCGTGTCTTAACGGCAGATCTCAAACCTCGCACCCGGTCGCGCTGGAGACTGGGCAGTGCCACACCCTAACGATACGACCACTCGCGAAATTTACCTTCACACACGACGAGACACTCGATGGTACCCTGGAGATTCAGTCTGAGTCGACATTTCAACCCTGTTGTATGCATGCATTCATGTTCCCCCCGAGAGATGAATCAGTATGGCACATTTTCCCCACCTCTTGGAACAATTGCGAATCCTACAGCCCACCATTCTACGTATATACAACCGGGCCGGGCTGACCACAAGCCGAGCTGCGTTCATCTCTCAAAGATTGACAGATTGCTGGAAATTTTGCTTTGGCGTGATAGCCATGTGATCGACTCCAACTCCGAAAGAGAGCGAACCCTTACCCGGCATGAGAACACCGTGACCGTGAAAGAGCAGAGGAGGAATCGCCGTATTGACTTCGAGACTGCGGGAAGTTGAGGATTGAGATGGGATCATGACACGCATGTCGGAGGGTGTCCGTCGCATTTCAAGATTATCAATGCTGAGTGCAGTCTCGCGAAGAACGATCACGGACACCCAATCGTCGACCCAAGTCTTGATCAGTTGGAAGATACCAAAGGTTGAATCGCTCCTGAGAGTCTGAACCAATGAGCGAGGAGGGGGGGGGAGGGGGCAAACCTGAAAATTGAACTTACAAAGTCCCGAAGGATCTGGGAAGTGATGAATCCCGTCTTGGTGACTAGTCTATAAGACATCAACATCAGCCTGTATGCGTGTTTGCGTCTCTGCTCACGATCGAGAGGTCTTGCGTTCGGAATCCAGGTCTCGGTTCTTGATAATGTCCACGGCAGACGAAAGCCATTCCCCGAGCATCTCGACAGATTGTTCACCAGTATTGTCCGATCCCACCAATTCCGCTAGCCACTGGCGAAACTGGAAGAGAATATTCTGCAAAAAGTCTTCCTCACAGCCACATGCTAACATGCACTGATCTGACAGGCTCTTGTAGTCCAACTTGTCCCAGGACAGTAGCAAGCTTTTGACTTGTTTGTCATCTGAGAGAAAAGGTGCCAAGGCGCATGTAACTTGTTGTAGATCCCAAATTCGGACTGTGTAAGGGTCAGAGTGTCCCATATCACGTGCAGGATCTCACTAATCAAGTGAGTGAACCGCACAGCGAGCTCGACGCGAGGTCCAGAAACCTCTGAGATGAAGTGTCTGTGAGATACCTCAAAGACAGAACGGAATTCAGTGGCAAAATGTCGCAGCGTTGAGAGATCCTCGGCTGAGGTCGTCGGGACGTGAACATGCTCGAGGAGTATAGCGGTGAAATGCTGAAATGGAATTCAGCTGCAGTCGCACAAACCTGGACTCACGTCAAAGCTGCAAGCCATGGCTCTGACGACAAGCTCGTTGATGTGGAGCTGTTGACTCGCTTGGACGTCGTCTGCACCAAGATGGGCCCAAAATGTGGAGCACTGTTTGTCGGTCAGCGAGGATGACCTCGGAGATGACTCACGAGATCTGAAAAGGTGCCCCATTGTAGATTCCGCACGCAATTGGCAAGCGCCTCTTGATGTTGGCAAAAGCTCTGCCAAAAAGATTCTGCAGGTAGCTCGCCGGGGATGGGAACTTGCTCCGCGAGGCGAGGAAAATTCGGAAGATTGAAGACCGGAGTCTGCACGTGCATGGAGGGAAGGTCGACGTTGATGTCCACAGATGGCATCATGGAAGTGGTGTGGCGCCGCGAGAATCCTCCGACGGGTCGGCGAGGCATCGATAGACCGGTGGAAGTCGTGTGTCCAGAATTGTCAAGCTGGCTTAGATTGCTGATGGACTCAAAATTGGATAAAGTGCTGCCAATCAACGGCAAGCCCCAAGTTTGAGCTCACGAGTCAAGCAAATCATGGCATTCAAGATCATCCTCGTCATCCTCCTCATCACCTTCATCGTTCATTTCGTAACTGCCATCTTGACTGTTACTAAAGTCGTCCAAAAGGTCTGCTACCGGACCATCTCCCAGTGCAACGTGCCGTTGCCTGATGTATCAGTTGCATTCCCCAATCTTCTTCTCACCCGCTCGAGTCGCCATAATTGTTGAGTCGTTCTGCTTCGGTGCGAATGGCCGGACGTAAAGAGACATAATGGTATTTCCTGGATAATATCAACATGAGATCCCAATATCGACGACCCACGAGTTGCCTCTGTGACCAAGCCTACGGGTCCTGATCCCAGGATAAGCATTGCGTACTGCTTTCCCGAACGAAGCTGAATTAATCGGTTTGAGACCATACTCTTCGCACGATATGGTGTAAGACGCATAGAGGCCTTGACGAGGGACGGTGGAGGTGACATCATGGACGTAGCACAGACGCAGCCTAGGCGATCAGCTTCACCCTAGGTCCAGCAGACTCACCATCGCCTGACCCAGATACTGCGGTATTTGTCTGCTTGCGACGAATTTGTCATGGTCGAGATGGCAGTGGCATCTTCCGTCAAGGCGTTGCGAACGGCGATCTCTCGGTCTTCGGGCGTGCCAGAAAGATGCAATTCCTCGGAAACATCAGGCTGGCTTGGGGGCTTGAAGCTGGACACGGTGAAGCTTCTTTGCGTTCGGGAAAGCATGGGTCGTCGAGAGGTCGCATGGTGATTCAGTGCGGTATTCGAAGCTGCAGAGCTCGTTCTGGAGACGGTCAGTGCCTCAGTGTACAGGTCCACAGCTACCTTCGGTGGTGCAAGGTCATACGGTCCACACCTTGGATCAACGTATTGCTCCACGGTGTCTGAGGATGCTGCGATGTCTGGATACTGGCATTGGTCGAAGCACTGAGGAGAGCAGGTAGATCGTCGTCGGCTTCTGACCTGGTATGTTCAGCGTGATCAACAGCGTACCTCCGACTCACTTGACGGAAAGAGATTCTGATCGCTGTCTAGCGTAAGGCTGCGAGCGGTAAGTTCCCTTGAGTCGATCGACAGAGGTCCTGCCCAGTCTTTGAGTTTCGATGAAAAGAGGTTGACTCGGTCGGTTGGCCGAGATCGTCTCGAGAGGGATACATGGCTGAACGGGTTGCTGCAGCAACGGCATGGTCCAGTCTCCACTGATGAGATTGTGGATGGGTGTCGTTGCCGGGTCGAACGAGAAGGACGAGTTGCGAGAGTGATCATATGGTGTTGCGTAAGGTGATTCATCGGTGGTGACCCACAGTCCGTTACCTGATCCCATATCGGAGGCTGAAGCTGCAGAGTGCAGGGAAGAGTACGAGGAAGCGTGACTGAGGGTGTGGTGATGTTGTTGTTGATGAGGATGATGATGTGGTTGTAATGGAAGGTGGTTAAAGGCGACGGTAGAATGAGCTGTTGTCAAGGGTTGAGGCGCTGACGAGAGACGGCCAGTCTCAACGATGGATCTAATACGGGACAATAGGGACTCACGTTGGAATAGGTCTGGATGGAATAGGCTCGAATCAAACGATGATGCCAGATCAAGGTTTTGATTATCCACCGGTGCAGCAAGTGTGACACTGTGTGTGTGTTGTTGACCGGTCAGTGGTCCCTTTGCCTCGAGGTCAAAGGTGAGAAAGTCTTGTGTGGGGGACGAGGGTTCGTGGTAGTTCATGGCGGGGATCGAGGATGAGGCCATGGCGATTGCCGGCGGGAGACTGAGAGTTGGCCACGAGGAGGAGGAGGTTACCCAAGAAGACACCGAGCCGGGGGTCCAATATGAGAATCGTATGAAGACAGATGTGACACTAGACAAAGACACAGAGATAGAGGTGACACGGGAACGCCGCCCGGTGATGCAGCGCTGGGACGTGGAGATGATGACAGCAGATGGTAGGTGAGATATCACTGTCCTCAAGTCTTGAAGATATAAGAAAGGTCAGCGGCAACGACGACGACGATGGCGGCGGCAGTGAGGGGTTCCCGTGTGACATGGTCCACGGTGGTCGTCAGGTTTCAAGGAGAGAGGGAGAGAGCGGGTTAGGGTCTCTCATGCACTGATCCCCCCCCCTCTCTGTCCCCCTTGAAACAAGCGGCATTCAGTCATTTAGTCTGGTGCCTATATGACAGGCAAATGGTTCCCCAGAAAGTGGAAAGGTAGGGGGGCGGGTGAGGGTTGAACGTGAGTACAGGATTAGCAGTTGCACTTGGAGTAGTAGCCTTTCCATATGACCCCACTGCGCGATGTGTAACGTCAATCAGAGTACAAGGGCTCTCTCAGTCTGAAGCGACTCTGCACCGCTACCTTTGAAACTCGTTGATGGGACACCCTCCATCCCGGGGCCGAGAAGCAAGATGGAATGGAATCAAAACAGGCAGGCACCAAAATACCAAGGACCCCGCGGGATGGGTCTGGGTCCTCTATTAGCCGGAAAAACTCAGTTCTAGACCAGGTACGGATGAGTCCCAACGTTGGCAGTATGTCAATGTCAGCAGATCGGCCTTCTCAGAGAGAGAGAGAGCGTCTCTGGTCTTGTCACTTGTGGCATTCCCTATTCCCCCGCCTCGGTTCGGGATGCAACTATCCAGTGCCAAGAAATAGGGCACTAAGAGGTTCAGGATGATGCGTCTGAGAAGGATCGGAATGCAGCACTGGCATACATTCTCATCTGGCAAGAGGGAGGGAGATGGGGGGGAAGAACGACATGTACAACGTTTATTAAGCAGAGACCTCGTCGAGCAGAGCCTTGAGTAGAAGAGATGAATCAGCACCGAACTTTTTACCATCAGGCAACACTCACGGTCAATTTTTGGACGTGGGCGCCGGCAAACTCCTTGATCCGTTTACCATCCTTGTAAGCGGCGAACGTAGGCATGGCTCGGATACTCTCCTCTTGGGCGATTTGCTAAGGTAGGACGCAGTGTTAGTAGTGCCAAAACAGTTCAAAGTGGCTTCTCCGTCCAGCTCCATCTCAGCACTCACCTCCTGGTCATCAACATCGACTTTGGCGAATTTGATGTTGGGATATTTCGCCTCCATCTTCTCAAAATGAGGAGAGATCATCTTGCATGGACCGCACCATGTGGCCCAGTAGTCGACAACGACAACATCGGAACCGCCGGTCTGAAAGGGATATTCATCAGCACAAGGCATGTCCGAGTCCTCAGTCTCTCGGCACTCACCAACTTCTTGAACTCGTCGTAAGACTCGATAGCTTTAACCATGGTGTAAGGTGAAAGAAAATAGGAGGGGTATGAACGTTCAAGGTCTAGATGCAAGGGGTACTGCGCGTCAGATCTTTATCTGGCTATGTCAAAAGTGCGGTAGTGCGGTTGGGAAGAGTAGATGGGATGATGACCCCTTTGCCTGATAGAACCCTCTCTCTCTCTCTCTATATATATATATACGATTCCAACTGAGGATCGCTGTGCTGACCAGTCTCAAACCAGAACTCACCAGAAGACACAATGGTCAGTCAGCCAGTTAGTCAATATGAGAGATGCTGCTGCTTCATATCCCGGCCCGAGCTGACTGGATCGCGCGGCGTTTCATTATTTTTTTGGCTTACAAATCTCTAGCACGCCATTGCAAAAGGTGGAGCCATGAAAGTCACGTGTCAAGGAATGAAGACGTGGTGCGCGTCTGTTGAACCATGATGCATTTCCTGATTCCAGTCTACTAACTGCTGCTTTCTTCAAAAACCATGAATCAACCTCTAATGGGAGCCTCATGCCACGCTCAGAGCTTGGGAGGAGCGGGCTGGAACGAGACACCCTGAGAAATGATATGAGCGGATGCATTGATGCTTTCCCCCCCCCCCCCGGACTCACCTTTTCAATGCTGGGACCGAGCTCCTTGACAGCAGCTTCGAGCAAGGTCTTTTCAGAGTCGTCGAGGTCGCCAACAGGCAAGATCTTCTCCACGCCACCGGGCTGCACGATGGTCAGCACAGCGCTTTTGTCATGGGACCCACTCCGAGCTGGATGTTGACTGAGAAGAAGGAGAGGTCGGCACCAATCTCTTTTTGAACGGCAGCACCTCCAGCGTCCGCGCCGAGGTCGATGTATGCCTGGACAGTGCGGACCTTTTCTCCACCAAACGCAGCCTTGAGCACGTACTCGGCAAACTCAGCTCCAGCTAGCGCCGTGTCAGTCAATTCCCGTTGACATTGCTCTTGGCTACACACCTTGAGCCATGGAGAGAGTGGCGGATCCAGCACCGTCTGCGAATATTCAGTCGAACGGCATTACAGACACCCACCCTTGGCCTTGACGACCTCATCTCCACCGAATTGAATTCGATTCACCAAAGCGTCACGCTTCTCCTTGTCGTTCAGGATCTCAGAGGGCTGAAAAAAAGTCAGGTTTCGCACTTCGGGAGCAGACCCACAATGGAAGGCTGACTCTGGCTGAGCAAGGGGAGGATGGTAGCGCCGGAGTGTCCACCAAGAACGGGAACAACATATTTGGCAGCATCGGCTGGCTTGCCCACGACGCTGGCCACGAAGGTGGATGCACGAACGATGTCGAGGTGGGAGACTCCGAGCAATCTGACCAGGCGTCAACATGACATTTTCCCGGATGTCTTGGCTTACCGCTTGGGGTCATAGACACCGGCCTTCTTCAGGACCTCGGCAAAGATGGGGACAGTCGAGTTGACAGGGTTGGAGATGACCAAGATGAATGCCTTGGGGCAAGCCTTGGCGATAGATTGAGCGAGAGTAGCGCAAATACCGGCGTTGATCTGAAATAAGTCAATATAGGTGAAAAGATGAGTGAGGCTCACTTTCTAATCCAAGGCAAAACGTAGTGTCAATCAGCAGAAAGTACGGAGCGAAGCAACGCTGCTACGTACAAAGAGATCGTCTCGGGTCATACCTGGCTTTCTGGGGACACCAGCGGGGATGATGACAATGTCACTGTCCTTGAGTGCCTTTTCAGCTCCATTGTCAGGGGGAAGGTATCCAGTGACTTGAGCGGGGGAGGCGATGTGAGAAAGGTCTGCAGCAACCTAGCGGATGGGGAATTTAGCAAGAGCAACTGATGAACTACACAGCCACTCACTCCGAGCGCATTGACCACATCGTAGAGGCTGAGCTCAGTGACGAGGGGGTTGAGCTTTAGAAGAAGGGAGAGGGGTTGACCGATTCCCCCTGGCGTCGCGACGTCAACGATGACACTCTACATGGCGATAGTAGAATACGACTTACCGGCAGCTCCACAGACACAGGCTTTGACCATTTTGATGGGAAAGGAATGAGATTGGTGATGATAGAAAGTGTGTTGTAGGTCTTGAGTCTCAGAAACCAGCCAACAGAGACTGTGGGGCAGCTTGAATCGCGCGGGAACCTTCGAGTGTCCGGGGATCGGCTTTACGTGGCACTTGAGTGTGGCAGTGGAGGAAGGGGGGAAGGGCGGGAGGTGGGTGCCAATGGTGGTCTGTGTAGGTTCCCAGGTCGAGCGAGTCCCAGGAGGATATCGTGCCCCATAGTATAAGTTGGGAGCTCAGCCCAGGACTCTGCTGCTGTACTGTGGCTGACGGTGTTGCAACCATATCCTTGAAAAGTAGACTACATGGCGGTCGGCAAGAATGCTGAGGCGGAAGCAAAATTTCAATTGAAACCTTGTATCCAGAAATCTTCAATGTTCATACGAACCTGTGATAACACCCTACAGTCCTCTGGCAAGATCTGTGCAAGATGGATTCTTATCAGACCCCTCTGTCCTCGTACGTCGTATCCTGGGATCCGTCATTCCGATCTGACGGTGACTCAGCCGATATGCGTCCAAGGAGATGTCCAAGTTGTTCTCCAACGCTGTAGGTCGTCTTGGTTGGACCGGTATATTTGTCGAATTCTCGCTTAGACGTTGCTGTTAGACCCGATTCGGGACTTGGAGACAGTTATGGCTGAGCTTGGCGATTGCTGAAAAGGTGAGATTTTGCCCGTGTCTCATCCATCTGATCGATCACAGGAGCTCGGTCTGGCCATTTCGGATAAAGCCATCGAGCAGATGCGAGCGAATCTCGAGCTGGATGAAGCTCAGATGAAGGTCGCAGCGGAGGAAGAGAAGAAGCGAAGGCGTGCGTGTGAAGGCTGGCTAGGTGCGGTGCGGTGCTCATCTTGTTCATAGACGACGTCATGGCGCATGTCCACACATTCGGAACCGTTGCGCCAGAGGCAGCTGGAATCATTCAGTAAGGGTCCTCTCTCCTCTGAGACGGTTGAGAATCTGGTCTGACGACGTGTATGTGTAGCCTCGGAGCGACTTCGTGCTACGTGACGGAGTGAGTGATTCGGAGGGACCGTATCTGATCAGGCTGACCTGTCCGGCAGTAATGCCGACCTCATCTTCCTGCGTCAAGGCCTTTCCCTCCTGCTCCCAAAATTGGCCATTGTCATTTCTCGTCTGACGACTTTCGCCGAGAGGTATCGAGATTTACCGACGTTGGGATTCACTCATTTCCAGCCTGCTCAATTGACGACAGTGGGCAAACGAGCGACGTTGTGGATCCAGGAACTGCTCTGGGATTTGAGGAATCTGGAGAGGGCAAAGAACGATCTCGGATTCAGAGGAGTCAAGGGAACAACGGGGACCCAAGCCAGTTTCCTCGCCTTGTTCGAAGGCGACCACGACAAAGTGAGCCAGACACGAGGGACCACATTTCTTCCCCCTCGTCTCACCATTTGTTACAGGTCGAGCAGCTCGACGAACGAGTCACGGAGCTCTCGGGATTCCCTTATGCCTATCCCGTCACTGGTCAAACCTATTCGCGAAAGATTGATGCAGATGTCCTTGGACCACTGTCCAGTTTCGGAGCCACAGTCCACAAAATCTGCACAGATAGTGAGGCTAGACCTTTGTGAGCTCGTCATTGACATTTAGTTCGTCTGCTCGCCAACCTAAAAGAGATCGAGGAACCGTTTGAGAAGGATCAGATTGGAAGGTGGGTTTTCGATCCTCCGAATGATCGATCCCCGTTGACATCTCCTTAGCTCTGCGATGGCTTACAAGGTGAGCCTATGAATCACGCTCAGAGGTGCATCAGAATCAAAGATCGCTCCCAGCGCAACCCTATGCGATGCGAGCGCGCTTGCTCGCTAGCTCGACACCTCATGTCCATCTACCAAAACACTGTCATGACATCTTCTGTCCAATGGCTCGAGCGGACCCTCGATGACAGGTTGGTTCACCGGCTTGTATCTCGGCGCTGATAGGCAGTGCCAACCGTCGAGTCACAATCCCCGAAGCATTCCTCACTGCTGATATCCTCTTGTCGACCCTTCAGAATATCTCCGAGGGCATGGTCGTCTACCCTAAAGTCATTGGCCGACGAATCAGCCAAGAGCTACCATTCATGGCCACTGAAAACGTCATCATGGCTATGGTCAAAGCTGGTGGAGATCGACAAGTCTGTCACGAAAAAATTAGGGTCTTATCTCACCAAGCCGGAGCCGTCGTCAAGGAGCAAGGGGGTGAGAATGACTTGATCGAGCGGATCAAAGCCGACAGCTACTTTGAACCCATTTGGTCTCAACTGGAGGCTCTCCTCGACCCAAGTACGTTCATCGGACGAGCTCCACAGCAAGTAGACAAATTCGTGCGAGATTGGGTTCAACCTGCCCTCAAGCCATACGCTGAGGACTTAAAACACATTCAGAGCGCAGAGCTGTCCGTATAGATGCATACACCTTGTTTCAAGCTTGTTCAGAGTACACCTGAGAGGATCAGCGGAACCCTTGGCCCTACGACCTACTTTGATCGTCTTGTCCGCCCCTCCCGTGATGAGTCGAGTTCCAGTTTTGTCGAATGTGGAGCAGAATACACCCTGAAGGGGTCAGATCCTTGCAAGAATACTATCAACTCACAGCTTCAGCATCCAGAGATCCAGGTTGCGGGATGTCCTTCAAGTGCTGGAAGGGCAAACCCGTCGCATAATCCCACATGGTCAAGGTGCCATTGTCGGCTGAATAAGGTCAGCTCAGCGTCGTAAGAATGCCTCACCTCCAGAGAACATGACACCCTCCGTGTTCAAGCTCAACGTGTTAATGATCGCCTCGTGACCGACAAAGTTGTTGACAAAGATACCCTCGGGACATTTCCATTTTTTGATGCTGTACATGTCAGCATGGACCAGAAATTCCAATCACTCACTTGTTACCTCCAGAGCTCGCACTGGCAAAGCTGTATTCTGTCGGATGGATTGCCAGTGCCCGGACGGATTTCTTATGGTGCGTCAAAGTCGTCATGCACTTGCCGGCCGCGAGGTCCCATAATCTTTCACGTTAGTGAAAAAGCAGCAAATCCCTCACCTGACGGTACTGTCCATACTTCCAGAGATAATCTGAGGGTCTGAATCTTGCGTCTTTACATCGGCGACGGTACTCTGATGTCCAGTTAGAGTAAAGATATTCGCTCTTGTCCTCATATCCCAGACCTGGCACAGTCAGCAAGTTTTCCTGGTGTGGGAAGACCTACCCTGACACTGGCGTCTCGACCAGCTGTACACAAAACGTCAAGAGTGGGATGAACGCTGCGAGATATCAGGCACGGTGCGATTGCTCGCACTCACGCTAAAGAATAGACACCGGAGAAATGGCCGTGATAGTGCCTGATGACCTTGTTGGTTTCCAGATCCCAGCATTTGACCATCTATAGATATCAGCAAGTTATCCTCGAGTACACTGCGGATCTCACTTTGTCCTCCGCGCAGGAAAAGAGGTACGGATGCCTGTCAGATACACCTAGACCTCGAATAGTAGAGATGTGACCGGTCAGAGAAAGCTTGAGCTCTCCTGATGCTAAATCCCAAATCTTCAAAAGGTCAGCAAACGTTCATCGGTCCAACACTCACCTTCACCACACGGTCCCCTGCTCCCGTCGCGAACCATTGATTATCTGGGTCCACTGTAACGGCTCTGACCCATCCCATATGACCGGAAATGACTCGAGTGAGTTTCCCTGTAACACAATGAGCAACTGCCATGCCAGAGCTGCGGGGACTCACATTGTGGATGATACACTGGTTTGACTTCTCTCGCTTCCTTCTTCCTCATGAGCGCCTGGGATAATCTCGATCCCGAATGTCCACCTTCCGCGGCGAAACCCTGTTGATGCCTGAATTTGACCAATAACCGTGGTTCAGCGGCCGCAGCTGCAGAACCGGAAGTCGAGCTGATATGGTCAGCCAGGGGTCACAGCGCCATCGACTCACCTCGAAGCTGTTTCTGGCCCTCCTATCAGCTTGACACCTGGCCCTGCACCTCCCCCATTCGCTGCAGGCTGAGCAGGACGTTTTGGACCGGCAGGCCCCGCCTGCTGAGCTGCGAGAACAGGAGGTAAAGTCTGGACATCCTTGAATTCCGCTGCAAGCTTTGTTGCGAGCTTTATCCGTGTCCTGCGAATCGGAAGATCAGACATCTTGATCCACTGATGGGTGGAAACCTACGCCTCGTCCAATCCGTGATCTGTTGTGCTGTCCTGTGCCGAGTACACCGCTCGACTCCGTTTGACGCTGCGTTGAACAAGTTCAGCCAGCGGTGTGAGTCCAATGGTGGAGCTGGTGGATGGTCCAGCCTCGTCCATGACGGCGATGGGAGATGGTTGTGCGAGGGTGGTCATGTTGGATACAGAACTTGAAGTCGCTGTCTATGAATGCTGGGTGGGACGCTGGAAATATTGTGAATATTTATCTCATTAGTAATTTATCGATGGCCTTTTATCCCAGCAATAGGTCTGTGCCACCTTATCACCGGGGGCTTGGGGGAGGATTTGTATCACTTGACCATTCTATTGTCTCTTATTGTCATGCACATCTCTCACCCTCTTGGCTATGGGCTATGGATACACTTCAGCTGCTGATCATATGCTACTAGGAGTGTCTTCTACTCGCTTAGAAGCTACCAAGCGCTATCCTTTCGGGTCACCTTAGGGCGGGGGAATGTCTCTGAGTGATCAAGCAAGGAAGAAAGGAATGGGGGGCACACAGGGGATGCAAGAACCAGACTAAAGTGTCACCTAGGCTCCAGGTCACATATAGAGACGGATGTGAACCAAGCCCATTTCTTCCCCCTCCTCCCTTCTTGACTTTATCCTATTACTGACAACTGCTCACTCACACTTCATATATACATTCAATCGCCATGTCTTCCTTCAAGATTGAGAACATGTTCTCTGTCAAGGCAAAAGTGAGTCGGAATCTCTCTCTCTCTCTCTCTCTCTCTCTCAACGCTTTGACCCGAACTCAACCTCTCCAAGACATGTATCGTGACTGGCGCAGGAAGTGGTGAGTGGTACACCAGTTGCGGCAGCTCGAGGGATAGTTCACCTTACTTCTCCAAGGTATCGGCAAAGGTATGGCCACGGCTCTCGCAACCAACGGAGCCAAGGTAAGTGGTCTAGGTCCGTGCTCGAGGCTATTCGGAAACTTATCTAGCCCAGGTCATTGTCTGTGGTCGACGAGAAGAGCAGATCAAGGCTGCGGCAGAAGAGATGAACACAGCAGCCAAGGAATCTGGGATGGGCGGTGAAGTCATTGCAATCAGAGCCGACGTAGGGAACAAGAAAGGCTGTATCGAATTTTTCGAACAGGCCTCAAAACTTATCGACAAAGTGAGCAGACCAGCAGCCTTCGTCTGCCTCTTTCTTTGTATCTCACTCACTTTACTCTGCTTTCAGCTCGACTTTTTGGTCAACAATGCTGGATTCAGTGCCAATTGGAAAGATGTCTCTCCGATGGTGAGTCGAGTCGAGTCGAGTCGAGTCGAGCGAGTCAAGACTTGGTCCTTATGGTTTTTGTCTCCAGGGCGATGCGGCGACACTCCCAGCCAAGCTCATGACCATCGACGAGTGAGGGGACCATTTGTTTTACCCCGTGGCTCACTCATCAGTGTCGACTGGGCCAACATGTCCCTCGTTCACTGCGCGGGACCTTACTACCTCACGGTCCAGTTTATCCCCTATTTCCAGAAGTCTGAAGATCCCAGCGTCTGCAACATCACCTCACTCGCTGCGAGTTTCCTCAACATGTGAGCTATTACTGTCGTTTGCTCCAGCTCATCATCGTAATACAGGGGCTGCTGCGAGTTCTCCTATGCCCAATCCAAGGCTGCCGAAACTCAGCTCTCGAGACTGATGGCGGGTGTATTGAAGCCCTTCAACATCCGAGTCAACTGTGTCAAGCCAGGTGAGTTTCATAAAAGCCTATGCTCCATATTCAGCTCACGCTTCACCAGGCCTCTTCCCCTCTGGGCTCACCACTTTCCCTGGTACCGAGCAGCTGTACCCTCCCATGCAGCAAGCCGCAGAGAAGCAGATTCCTCGAGGGTGGGTCCTCACCTCTTGAGACCACGCTAACGTCAAGCGCTCCGGGAACGTGGGAACAGATCGCCGGAACCGTCCTGATGATGGCTTCGCCCGCTGGTGCATATCTCAACGGCGCTGAACTCAAGGTAGACGGTGGCTGGGAACTTGTGAGTCGCATCAACACTGCACACGGCTCATGGTCACAGTTCACCTGTGCTCGAGATGTCTGATTCACTTGTCATGAAGATATTGTCCGCTTTCAGCTACTCAGCCACCAGACTGTCTTTCTTCGCGCGTACTCAAGATACTATGTCATGCATCGTTTATTCAATCTTTTGGCGTTGCTGTTCCCACCATTTTTTAAATGCCCTGCCAGCATCTACCACCGGTCCCTCGCCATTGAACGAGTAGGCATTCTCCAACATGAGATCGATCTCTTCATCTACCTTCTGAACGGTAGCATATTGACCTTTGTCCAGCTGACGTTTGATCAACCCGAGATCTCGGGCATCCTCTGGCGGAATGCTATGGAGCGTCAGCAAAGAATCAATATCAGCAGACAACGACCTACACAGTGAAGTAATGGGGAATCCCAAGTGCGATAGGATCGACTGCTCATCAGCGTCACCTGTGTCCGAATCTACTCACCTGCTTCTCTAAAATACAGACTGATCGGCTCTTTGAGTGCCTTGGCGAGTGTCGAGGACAAGGTTTGCTTCTCAGCAAACGACATTTTGAGCGAGACAGCTTTGGGCCACTCTCGCCAGTAGATGGCTTCGACAGCGTCTGCCAGCAGAGTGATAGGGTCACCAGGAACATTGAATGTACGACAATTCTTGAACACAAGTTCAATATCATAGGCGAGCTCGCCCATCGTATGGTACTTTTTCTGATCAATCTTCTTCGATATGGTACCAAAGTCCATGGGTTCCTTGATCTCCTGCAGATACGTTGGACAGCCATCGGCAATGGGATCGACGGGACGAAGGAACTGTGCTGTCAGGAGGTAATTTCAGCTTTCAGGACTCACGATAGCCGCTTGAGGAGACTTTTGCAGGAGACCAACCAGTACCTTTGCCCGTCTCGACTTGAACGCCATAGGGTTGTCCTTGGTTGGTGGCAGATCTGGCGGTGGTTTGGGAAGCGTATATTTGGCGGCTGGCAGTGTAGGTGCGAGTGCAGGCTGAACGACTGGAGGAGGGGGTGGTGGTGCAGGTGCAGGTGCAGGTGCAGATGCCGGAACCGGAGCTTGCTTAATTTTGATCGTCTGACTCTGCTTTTCGGGCGAGAAGGCTCTCTGCTTTATCTTGATCTTTTTCGGCGCTGGCTCCAAGAGCTCCTCCACGAGATCTCGTTGCGGAACACGCTCAATCGCATCAATTTCTGCTCCGAGCAAGTCATCAAGATCACTGGCGGCCTTGACCGACTCCTTTCTTTTGCGAGTAATGTCTGGTGCAGAGGGAGTGATCGATCCCGAGGGTTTACGAGAAGGCGGCAGAGGCGGAGGTGCCATAGGCGGAACTCTTGGTGTGGTGTCAATTGAGACTGTCTTTGGAGGCTTGAGCTTGAGCTTGACCGGCGCAGATGAGGGAGGAACTGAAGCAACCGGTGACGGTGTAGGTATAGTCGCACCGACTGGTGGCTCTGGCTTTGCCCTCTCGGCGGCTTTGGGATTGTTTAGCGCTGCTTCAGTTTTGCTCCACACTTGGACATCAGCAAGACAAATGAATCGACCCCGCTTACAGCTGTTGAAATAGCTCTCAAACTGCTGACCCATCTTGTACACCTGGGTCCCAGGACTGTTGTACGTCAAGCAGTTCTGAACAATCTGTCGCATGTCCGCGGCAAATTCGGTTCGTCCAGTATACATGCCATTGTCAAGCTTGGCTTTCGCGGTAGAGAGATCCATGGGAGACTTGATGATGGTGAGATAGCTGTAGAATGAGCATGACCCACTATTTTGGAGGCTTACTCTGGAGCATTATCTCTGACCGGATCTACTGGCTGCCTGAACATGTAGCTCGATCCATTTTTAAGCTTCCGTCAGCTTAGGTTTTGACAATGTCACTTACCAGCTTCCGAAGGACAAGACCGATGGCAGCTCGGTCCGCGTCGGGAAGGCCCTTCTTTTGAGACTTGTGGACTGCCTTGACTTTCTTCGGAGCACCGATGACCAACTTGATCGGACCTGGCACGCTGGGAAAGGGATAGCCTGATTGTCAACAGGATGACTGGGATGCAAACTTGCCATCATCGATCTCAATCGGAGCACCGAGACTGCCACTGAGACTCAGTCGGATACGAGGTGTCGTGGCAGGTGTCTCAACAACTGGCGTAGAGATCGTGATCGTCGTTCCCGGCGCCGGCTCCTCGTCGGCTTTGAGGGTCAGTTCAGCGGTCTTGATCAGCGCTAGCCGAATGTCATCATCGTTCGATGCGAGATAGGCACTGTTGTCAGACTTTTGAAGCAGAGATACTGCTTACAGTAAGGCTCCTTGTAGACCTTCATGCAGAGCGGGGATCTTGCCGAAATCCTTTCGTACCAGTTTGACAAGCTGACCGTTGTGTCCCTCGTTTTCGCGCTGAGCCGAAGCTACATTAGTCTCGATGAGGCCAGAAGTCGGCAGATCCTTGACGTCCCCTAAGGCCAATGAGAGGGAGATGGATTCGGAGACTGCTCTGGCAACATGCCGTCGCACGTTGAGCGAGGGGTCGTTCATAATGACATCGAAGAAGTAGTTGATGAGAGTAGTGCTCTTGCCTGCTGGTCGACAGAGTAGTAGACAGTCGAATGCAGTCAGGCGAAGCTCTTCAAAGTTTCCCTCGCGAGTGTACCCCAAGAAAGGCCGAGAATCATTGAAGAGATGACCAGAGAGAACGAGTTTGACGCGCGTCTGGTCATGAGCTAGGCTCAAAAGTGGATGCTTACCTTGAGACCCGCCTCTGTAATGACATTGTGAAAGCTGGGTACCAGACGGTCAAGTGTCATGATTCGTTCGATGCTCTCGACTCCTTGTTTGAGGAGGTCACGGTTTTCGATACTGTCACGCGTGGCGCTGAAAGCATTGCCGATGGCAGTGATCAATGTTGCGAGGTAATACGCATCAGAGTACTGCAGGGTCAGCTGAGAAGGGCGATGGCACTCACTGAGTTCTCAGTATTATCATTCGAAGCGAGAATGTGGAGGAGAAGCTGACGTGCCTCAATGGGCGATGTTCGGGTCGCAGGTTCACGCAAACCCGAGAGCGCGCCGATGATAGCCTGCATGTCAACATTGAGCGCGATTCATCATTCACCTTTTTCAGAAAATACTCTGCAAAATCGCTGAAGTCGTTTGGCCTGACCTTATCTCCTTCGCAGAAGAAGTGCTTAAAAATCATTGGCAGCAGGAATGTGCCTAGGTAGTCGGTCTCGGCGTTGCAAAACTGTCATCAGCTACTTTGTCAAACGGATTCCACTTACGTTGATCAACGCGTTGGCAGCTTCCATACGGACGCGGTAGAAGTAATTTGGAACCAGGACCGTCCTCGCAAGTTCGCTAGCCATGACGGGAAAAAGCTGAACACTCATGTTTTGAATAGCCTATCATCAGGATAAGCATTCGAAATTGGTCTCACCTCGAGCTGAGCTGCCACATCGCGATCGCCTTGAAGCTGACTGATCCAGTACCAAGGCTTCTCGGCAAATTCAAAAGCTGCTAACCATTCAAAATCTGGGTCGATTCGTATCCACTCGTACCCGCCTCCCTCACCCATCATTTGCTCAGCCTGCTCGTCGGTCCATTCGGCCACTCGCCAGCGTTCACGTTCCTCCTCATCGTCCCAGGGTTGGTAAGCGAAGACATCTCCCTTATCATTGAGCTCCTCGACTTCTTCTTCAGCTGCTTCGGCCATACGCAGGCGAGAGAATCGAGAGGCAATATTGCCAGAACGCCGTGTGCGCTTGTATTTGGTATTAAAGGGCAGGTTGGATGTTTTTGAAGCCGTTTTAACATCAACCACATGCTCGAATGGTGCACCGTCGGCTTCGTGTATTCGCACTGTCAAGCTGCCCTCAAAGAAAGGAGCGGGCCGTTTAGTTGACGTCGGAAGAGGCAATTGGGTGAGATGAAATTCGACGAGAAACTTTTTGCGAATGAAATGTGTCGAGACTTTGAAGCGTGGGCATCCGCTTGCAAAGACCCATTGGTCCTGAAAGGCCTGGAGGTCCACGCCAGATACTTTGCGGCAGGTTCTGAAGAAGAACTGGGTAGAAAGGGTGTTACCTGGCAATTCGTCGGATAAGGCTGCTAGGAAGATTCGCGGTATGACTCTGGCCAGACCCAGTGAGGTGCCCGCCTTCGCTAGATGACGATCCAGGATGTGCATGACGAGCGGAGCTTTGAGGTTGATAAACCCAATGTCTGGCGCATCTAGCTGACCCGGCATGCATATTGGCCAACGATCTCCTTGATCCAGTCTGACACATCGGTCGATGTCCCGCTTCAGCCTGAACCGATATTCGTTTGTGCCAAGGAGATGTTTGAGAAACAATGATTGAAGATAAAGGGCCAGTCCGTGAATGACCCAAGTATCAGAGACAGTCCGCTGGATGATGTTGATTCCCACCCACTGCTGTATCAGTGCGAGTGACAAGATCTGTCGGGTTTCGATCGCTTGATCGATCACAGATGGCGGATGCAAGAGATCAGACGACAGGATTGAAAGGGTGGCGCTAGTAAAGCAGGGGATGCGAGGAGAGCCGACAAAAACCACCTTGTATTCGGTGAAAGGATACGAACCATACTCTGTCGAATAGAATGTCATCGCGCGGGGAAGGAAAGCGGTGGAGTGAGTCAGCTGGTCGAGATCTCCTGGTAGGCAAAATCCGAGAATGGGCTTGGGAGCCTCAGCAATGGTGAGGGTCTGGAATGGTCCAGCTGCGAAGGCGATATGCTGGACCGATGTCGGGGTCGACTGGAGGTAGTAGAAGATGGTCTTTGACGGTGAGTGAGGGTGAGTGGTCTGACAGAGTCAGCAAAAGGGCAGTGATGGCCACAGTTACCTGCTCTATGAGTTCTCCGCTGCTGACGACTATGAAGTCGGCATCATCCACCCTTGCCGGGACAATGAATTCGAGTTCCCATGTGCATCGTTCCCAGAGACTGTCGACACAAGGAGTCCAGATTCGTGCGGCATTGTAAGCTGTTGGCGAGAGATACATGTGCTGGCATGTCAGCGGTCGTTGGTTCAAATGTGCCTCACATCCCGCTCAAAAACGATCCCTTCCACGACATCGCCGCCAAGATTCAATCGATAATCAATCTGGATCTCTATCGGAGCTAGAGTCATTGTATCTCCTTGTCCTTGAATCAATCGTATCCATCCGCCAGACACAGAGATGGCCAGCTCTCCCTCGTCCCTCTCGCCTTGAGCAGCCCATGTCTTTCGCTTGATCTCTGTATGTGATTTGGCATTCACTGAACCCTCGCGCAACGCCTGAAAGGGCTGAGAGAGGGTATAAGATGCCGGAGTGGGAAGGAGAGAAGGTGGAGAAGAGAGCGTGATGGATCGTATTTGTAACAATGGTGACGCATGAAGGTAAATGGTTCGAAGCGATGGACTGGTCGGGTTGATCGTCAGATACGCTGTCCCTGTGAGGATGCCCGCCAAGGCTATGTCCAATACTACCCGCTGATGGGACAGAGAGTATCCCAAGTCCATCGCGGAAGAACGATGGAGGGACCCGTTAGGGATCCGTAGAGGTCCCGGAAGGGGATATAGGTGGAAATGTATAGATAAAGTAAAGGGGGAGTTCGGGTCGCGCGATGGATTTGTTTTCGGGTTGGATGCTGTGGCGAAACACTAGTTGAGCAGCGTCCGCGATTGGTGAATACATGCCAGGAGTCACAATGTTAAGCAGTGTCCCTGGACGACCTGCTGCTTGCGCAGCATCTCGGATGCATGTGCCAGTCTCGTTTGAGCTACAACATACGGTACGCGACCTCAGGCATCGATTCTCTCCTGGCGGGCCGCCAGCGACGTCTCAGAAGCCGACGCTTCTTCTCCTCTTGCAGGTCCCGGTGCGGCTACAGTCGAGGACGGGGTACCCCTGCCTCGACCCCTTGATCTTCCGCCTCTCCCGCCTCCCTTCTCACCTTCCGCGTTTTTCGACAGTATCTCCATAACAGCTCCTCGAGCCGACCTTCCCGAACCCTCGTGGACTTGCCCCTGTCCTCGTCCACGGCCTCTGCCTCTAGCTCCAGCCTCGCGAGGTGGGTTGGTGGCGTCGTTGGACGCCTTTGTAAGGCCACGAGCCGGCTGAGCACTCGGGTCCTGCTGTGCTTTCTCCTTGGCTGGCGCTGTCGATCTTGATATACTTGGTGGAGGTGCAGCGGCGTCCTGCTGCTGCTTTGAACCTTTCGCAGCGTCTTTCGGTCCAGAACCCGCTGCCTCTCCCTTGGCTTTCTTCTTGTTCTTCTTCTTGCCCTCTTCTGCCGGTGCGACTTTGACATCTCGGCCTGGTCCCGCAACCATAACTACATTTGGCTGTTGTGGTGCTCGCTTCGCAGCAGCCTTGGTGACGGCCGACAGTGCTGCTTCCTTGACGGACGGATCCTTCTTCTTCTTCGCCTTCTTGAGCGCTCGCAGATGATCCAGTAACGGTGTTGAAGTTGGAACGGGTGCTGATCCTGAAGGCTTGCTGACTTCCTCGGCCGGAGCGGTTGGAGGTGCAGAAAGGCTATCGAGATAGGACTTGTAATCGGGGTCTTGGAATCAGCAAAGATCCCTCGTACCAGCTCACCTTCCTCAATGGTCCCCTGTCTAGCATCCGTCTTAACCTTGGCCTTGTATGGAGTCTTCTGAACCGGAGAGAATTCGACAACTGCTTGATACTCCTCGCCTAACCGATCAGCAAGGATTCGATGAAATCTACTCCTTACCAGTTTTCGATCTGAACAGGTGTCCGTCAAATCCTCGATGAAAGTTGACTAGAGCTTCGGGTGAAGCCATTAGGACGTAAGCTCGTGAAAAGACCGGCCTTTGATCACGTCTAGGTGATGTCAGTTCCTGCTCCTTCTCTTGACAGACACTCACCCATCTCCAGCCTTGCCTGGGACAAATCGTTTCCAAAGACACGTCTCCGCGTGGACCCAAGGCTCAACGGATGTCCAAAAAATGTTTTCGGGCAAATTAGGAGGCAGCCTGCGTATGACAAGCTTGCTCCTGATCGCAGGCTCGGTCTTGGATGGACCAGCTGGGGACATGTCTGATGCTCCCGGAATGCTATCTATGGTCCCAGTGTCGAAGGTGTTGAGTAGCGAATGATAAAACGATGACCACATGGAGACTCCTTACGTAATGAAAATGACCCGCGGCAAGGTCCGGGGCTACGCGGCGGCTAAATCCAAATCCACCTTCCATTGTCGATCAATCGCGATCTGATACTCTCTCGTTGTGACCAACGTCCCACCACATCGGTCTAGCATCTCGGATACACCATGCCCAGACTTGTGACTTTTGGGAGAAATATCGCTCCGCTGAGGGTGCTTTCCCGCCCATCCATAGCTCAGCGACGGCATGCTTCCAGTGAGTACGATCGTATCGCATCGCCTGCGCTTATTTTGCTAGACTTCGCCGAGTACGATTGGGAGGTAGGCCTGGTCCTCCACGGCACGCGCTGATCTGCAGGATCCGCTGAATATGAAGTCATTACTGACAGAGGAGGAGTTGGCCATACAGTGAGTCGGATGGTGACTGCTGGGCTCATGCTTCAGTGAGACAGCCAAAGATTATTGCCAGTCAAAGCTGCTTCCTCGCGTGATTGAGGCATACAGAACCGTGAGTCCTGTCCTGACCATTGTTAGCTCATCCATAGGAAAACTTTGACCCCAACATCTTGCGTGAGATGGGAGAGCTGGGTCTCTTAGGCGCCACCATCCAAGGCTATGGCTGCGCAGGCGTCAGCAGTGTTGCCTACGGTCTGATCGCGCGAGAAGTAGAGAGGTGTGTTGAAACGTCGAATGTTGGACTCATAACAGGGTCGACTCTGGTTATCGGTCAGCCATGAGTGTGCAGTCGTCTTGTGAGTGGCTAGTTGGTCCGTTGAGCTGATGGACAGTGGTCATGCACCCCATCAATGCTGTGAGACAAAATAAAGGGGCAGCACTGATGTCCAGTTTGGCAGCGAGGAGCAGAAGGAGAAGTATCTACCAAAGCTGGGTGAGCACACTTCTAATGACGGAGCTGACGCTTTAGCTACCGGCCAGCTCATCGGTTGCTTTGTATGTTCATGGTGTGAATTTTGCTCACACGTAGGGTTTGACTGAGCCAAATCATGGCTCAGATCCCTCGTCCATGGAAACTACTGCCACCAAGACAGCTGATGGCTGGACTTTGAACGGTAGCAAGACTTGGATATCTAACGCGCCTGTCGCGGATCTCTTCGTCATCTGGGCTCGAGAAGTCATCGACGGTCAAAAGGGCAAAGTTCGAGGATTCTTGGCCGAGAAGGTGGGTGGCACGATCCAGGTTCGAGCTGACTCCTAGGGCACACCTGGTCTTTCAGCGCCAGCCATCAAGAACAAGCTTGCCCTTCGTGCTTCCATCACCGGCTCTGTCTTCATGGAAGATGTCAAGCTACCAGCAGATGCTCTTCTTCCGAAGAGCGGCGGGCTTGGCTCTCCCTTCTCCTGTCTGAACAATGCTCGTTATGGTATATCATGGGGAGTTATGGGAGCTCTGGAAGACTGCATAGCTAGGTCGCGTGACTACGCTTTGGAGCGAAAACAATTCGGCAAACCCATCGCATCTTTCCAGCTGGTACAGAAGAAGCTCGCAGACGCTTTGACAGCGACGACAGTCGGTCTTCTGGGATCTCTCCAGCTTGGTCGGCTGAAAGACTCGGGGAAATGGGCTCCGGATATGGTCAGTATGATGAAGCGTAACAACACGTCCATGGCTTTGCAACACTCTCGAATCTTGTTGGACATCCTAGGAGGCAACGCTTGTGCCGATGAGTGAGAGCCATTGTGAGCAGTATTAACGAAAGGTACCACTTGGGTCGACATGTTGCCAATCTTCAAGTCACTGCTACCTACGAAGGCACCCATGTGAGCCATCGAAGTGAATCAAAAGCTGACGTTTCGCAGGATATCCACAGTAGGCTTCAGGTGCTTGAAATCCATACTAACGCTCAGCTCTTATTCTCGGCAAATCCATTACGGGCATTGCGGCATTCTCATAGTGTTTCCTATGCATCTGGCAGTTGGATCGTGCCTCGAGGCAGACCCCAGTGCACAAAAAAGTCGTAAATGCCAAGGAAGACGGCTCCACCAAATGAGATGGCCAATGTCCGTGGTTGCCAACCACCAAATAGTGCCTTGATCCCCTCATTACGAAAGATGGCGACGAGTCGAGGCGGGAAAGACAGCACTGAGGGTGACGGTCTATGGGAACCTTTCGCCGCCTGTGAATCGTCAGCGGTCGTCTGAAGCTCGTTCTCTCACCTGCGCCTCCAGCATAACTCTGGTCTTGACTACATCCAGCGGTGTCGTCAAAGCAGCAGCTGTTCCTCCTGCTATCATTCCACACAGAGCGGCCTGCACTGGTGTCGGACGCTTGCCATCAAGGTATTGGACCGAGAGCTGAGTCTTCAATCCTTCATAGAGGGGAAATTGGATTGACGTGAATGGAATCTGATCTCAGCGGATCCCGAATCGTCATGACTCACCTCTCGGACAATGGTTATGCCGAATCCTCGATAAAAGCCTCTGATACCTTCATTACGAGCTGTCATAATGGCAGAATGTAATGACGATTTGCCCTTGCCGTAAGTCCCAGCCTGTGTGCGGGACTTGATGACTTCGGTAGGGACTCGGATAAGACATGACATCTGAGTATGAGCCAAGTCAGGCGACAGAAACTCACGAACTCGGCACCCGATGCTGAAACTAAATGATTGAGCCCAGGGGAGGTGGCCAGGGTATCAAATGTCTTTGGCAATCGGCTCTTCAAGGCTTCATACGTCACGAAGAATGAGGCCGCTGAGAGCTTTAGCTTCGAATCCATAAAGTATTGGAATCACCTCCAGGAGCGCTCCCTATGCCAACACTTCCCACGCCATTATAAACGCCTTTGAACCCTCCAGACTTGACAAAGCCTTGAGCCGATTGTATCCGAGTCTTGACAGTGTCCAGTGGAAAGAGGATGAAATCTACCGCCACACCAGAGATGGCCCCGGCCTGCGCTGATCAGCAAGGGATCAACAGAGCCATAGACTTACCAGGAGAGCTCTTTGAAACGATGGCGGTCTCTCTGGATGCTCAGAAGACTCGCCATCCTCTCCTGACATGTCGGTTATGTAGCAACACCAGGGCTCGATCGTACGGGGGTGCATGATGAGAGTTAGGTCTCGAGTCGTCATAATGCCACGTCATGGTCTCCGATTTCAATTTCGTCTTTCACTGTCTTTGGACGTGAGTATGATAGATTCGAGCGATCTTCTGCTGCTCTTCAGGCAAATTCTCAAGCATCGACAATATGCTCAGGACAAGGATTCCAGCTTCAGTAACCTCTGCGCTTCGAAGTGCAGAACGATCTAGATGTAAGTAGTACGCTGGCTAAAGCTCTGCGGTCTGACAATCCTCCTCCAGTGCCTGTGAGACAACTTGCCGGTCCGTCTCAGCATGCATCAAGAAGCCTGTCGACTGTCGCTGCTCGAGGTCGAACGCGATCGGCGAGGTCAGCCATGATACCTACCCCTGCTTGGTCCGCTAGGTCTTACGCCGCGGAAGCTGGCAACAAGTTCACCCGAGCCAAGCCTCATTTCAAGTGAGTTCCCGTTAAACTTGGATCTCGATCTGACATTCTCACTAGCATCGGAACCATCGGTGTAGGTCCTATGATGAAGTAATACAGTCTGACGTTCAGCACGTCGATCATGGCAAAACTACACTGACAGCTGCCATCACAAAGCTGATGTCTGAGACTGGAGGTGGAAAGTTTTTGGATTATAACGAGATCGACAAGGCTCCGGAGGAGAAGGCTCGAGGTATCACCATCAGTACGGCGGTGAGTGCTTGTGTACTGACACATAGCTGAGAATTACCCAGCACGTCGAGTATGAGACGCAGAACAGGCACTACGCCCACATCGACTGTCCTGGTCACGCCGATTGTGAGTCGCTCCCGCTGGAATTATGCTGACATCCAGATATCAAGGTATGCAGGCGGCTCAGAATCGAGCTGATGATATATAGAACATGATTACCGGTGCCGCTCAACTTGACGGAGCCATCATTGTCGTCTCTGCCACCGATGGACAGATGCCTCAGACCCGAGAGCACTTGTTGCTAGCTCGTCAAGTCGGTATCAAAAAGCTCGTCGTTTTCATCAACAAGGTTGACCAAGTGGATGACCCGGAAATGCTCGAGCTAGTCGACATGGAGATGCGAGAATTGCTGTCTCAATATGACTTTGACGGTGAAAACACCCCGATCGTCATGGGAACCGCACTTGCCGCTTTGGAAGGCCGTGATCCTGAGCGAGGTGCGAAGAAGATTGCCGAGTTGATGGAGAAGTGTGATACATGGCTCGACATGCCTGAGCGTGAGTCAATCCTGGTACAGACAGGGGCTCATGTTTTTTTCAGGTGACCTTGACAAACCCTTCCTCATGTCCATCGAGGACGTCTTCTCCATCTCTGGTCGAGGTACCGTCGCCACCGGAAAGGTTGAACGTGGAACCATTACAAAGGGATCAGAAGTTGAGATCGTCGGATTCGAAAGTGGCTTCAAGACTGTCTTGACGGGCATCGGTAGGTCGATATCGCCAGAATCGTTTGCTGACGACAGAAATGTTCCACAAAGAGCTGGATCGTGGAGAGGCTGGAGACAACATGGGCGCTTTGTTGCGAGGTGTCAAGCGAGATCAGATCCGACGTGGTATGGTGCTCGTTGTTCCTAACTCCATCAAGGCCGTCAAACGCTTCAAGGCCCAGATCTATGTATGTCCAAAAACATTTCGCCGATGCTGAAGTTCTCAGGTTCTCACCAAGGATGAAGGTGGTCGATACACTCCATTCGTTGCCAATTACCGACCTCAACTCTTTATGCGAACCGTGGACGTGACCTGTCAGCTGGACTGGCCGGAAGGCACAGAGGATGCTCGAGACAAGCTCGTCATGCCGGGAGACAATGTTGAAATGATTGGAAACTTGGTTCATGACGTTGCTCTCGAGCCTGGTACTCGATTCACGCTGCGAGAGGGTGGAAAAACGATTGGTACCGGAATCGTCAGCGAGATTTACCCATAAGACGCTTGTAATTATGCACATGCATCGCCGCTCTTTCGCGATGTTGGTCACTCTAATGCGTTGCGCAGACTACGTAAAGACAATGAATGATCACGGAATGCTTGGGACTCTTGGGCAAATTTATTCGCCCACTTGTCGAGGAAGGTCACGCAAGGGTCTCCAGATGAGCGCTCCTTAATGGTATCGATCAAGCAAGCGGAGGCGTCTGCGAGCGCGTTCAAGGACTCGTCCATACTGTCCTTGTCTTGCGGCGGAGCGATGGCCGATACAGTGTCATCAAAGGCAGATGCGAGCTGGTCCCCTGCGGCTACCAGAGAGGTGTAGGGTACTGATGTGTCGAATTGTGGCAGATACCTGGGAACCGTGGAATGTAAAAGAAGGTGTAAAGCCAGAAGCGGTTTGGCCTACGCATCAGTTAGTTACAGGTCTGACAGTCATTGACTCACTGCCTCTGCTCTCGCCCGGTCGGCTGCAGTGAACGTTGAATCCATCTTGCCAAAGATGGCCTCTGAATCATCTTCGAAATCATCCAGACCGTCCTCTTCATCTGCAGCATTCCCATCTTCCAAGACCTCCTTGAATTCTTCCCAGGCATCTTTCAACAGGTCATTCTGCCGTTTCCATACCTTTCCGACCGCTTGGACTTCGTTCTCACTGCAATGGGCCAGTGTGGCGTCAATGGCCTCCCAGACCATTCCGGTTCTGACGAGGTATGGATTCTCATCTGACGAGCTGGATGATCCAGGTTTGGCTTCGACGTGTGAGAGAGACTTGATGAGACCCAGAAGATGATTCCCTATCTCTACTGTCCCTTCTCGCCACTCTTGGACCATGTAATACGGCCTGGAGCCGCTGCCACCATTATTGGCTAGAACGACACAGGAAGCCAACTGGCCATATTGTTGGTCGAGTGACTGAAGCTTTGCAATGGCTGCCTCCTGAGATACTGGTGGTTTGAAAGACAGAGATAAGGCTGTAGTCGTCTGACGTAACTGCTGTAGCAAGGCAGTGAACGATGACGCGAGTCCTCGTATGGGAGAAGAAGGGGTATCATCAGCAATGGTGGTGAGGGAGCTGAGAGGATGGAGAGCGCCGATTGATGATTCAATCGATTTCAATGTGCTGTCGAGGGCTGGGCCTTGGTCAGCATCAAGTCGATTGGCCTACACTACGGCTGTCAGCTCACCCTTATCCAACTGACTCATAGTGAGGACCTGCGCTATGTAAGAGATCTCTGCATTTCACTAACAATTTTTGTGCTGAAACGATGCAGCTGGCCCCAGGCGGGGTTGTCCGCCCTCCAAGTCACGTGACTCGAGTCTGGATTTTGCTGGAATCAACGTATACGTTGTATCATTTGCCTCTGTTCGTCATCAGCTTCCCACGTCACACATATTAATAGCTGTCATCTTTGATAGTTCCTCCACCAACAACAGGCTCACTGCTGGTTCACAAACTACAACAACCTCTCGAGAACGACCATGTCAGGCAGTCAATCTAAGCAAGACGTACCCAAAGCAATCTTATACACGTGAGTGTGATCGTGGTACCGAAACATCATCCGCTGAGTCTCCCCTTTCACCACCACTAGATGGCCCGCTTCTGTGTGGTCCAATGTTCCCCTCTTGTGTCTGCACGAAAAGGGATACGGCGAGGATGAATACATTGTCAAGCATGTGGATCTGTGTGAGTGATTGCTCGACCTGGTACCACTATCACAGGCCCTTCCGCTGACACCGCGTCCACGTTCTCAGCCAAAGGCGAGGTATGTGAATCTCTTGGAGCCCTGGAGGCAAATCTGCTGACCCCAGATCTAGAACTTTTCGCCATCTTATCTCAAGTGAGTATCCAGCTCACGTCATGAACATTGAAATGGACATTGACATGATGATACATAGGATAAATAAAAATGGCAAGCGTCTCGCATCACTCGAAATGGCAACTACTACTGACACCCTCGTCCTCTCAGGGACCGTCCCCACTCTCGTGGTACCTACGGCAGAAACGACCTCGGCGGATGTCGACAGTCGCTACAGGTCCTTGAGGGACACCATCGTGAGTATCTTCTACTGCGTCTTGCCTGATCTTCAGACCATTTGCGATTTCTTGGATCAAGCACGCAGTGCCAACACCGTCAACACTACCTCGTCCCGACCTGCCCCGACGTTGTCACCAGCAACTATTGAAGGTCAGTCGCTGCAAACTTCTCTGATGTTATCTCAACTAATTGTGACCTTAGGCAAAGCGATTGTTGACGAAATCATCGCCCTTGTCCACCTGCCAAGCGTCGATCCCAACTTCTTGGCCATGTCAGCTCGTGACGAGACCGAGCTCAAGCAGAAAGCCGAAAGTGCTTCGGGTGCCATGGTGCGCGACCGTCGCGCCAGCCTCGACAAGTACATCAAAGAAGCAAAAGAGGGAGCTTCTCACGGTGGATCGTTCGAAACCAGCATCGTCAAGTTCCTGGAAGAACGTTTCGCTGCCAATGAGATGATCTACAAAGTTTACACCGGCGGATCCAACCCTGAAGACCTCAAAATGTTCTACGAAGCAAGCGCAAAGATCTGGAATACGGGGATCCCTGATTGTCTCGATCGACTCGAGGGTTTGATCCAGGATGACGGTCCTTTCACCATGGGAGACCAAGTGGTGAGTACTGTCAAGGCGACTCAACCAGTCTGACGACATTTAGTCACTCGCCGACCTGCACGTCATCTCGTGGCTGTCTCGGGTTGTTGCTCTCGCTGCCAACTCCAAGCCGGCGCTGGAGATTGACGCGCTTGAGAAAGTCCTCGGTGGACGAAAAATCGGAAACAAGGTTCGAGGCTTCTGGACGGCTTGGCTGTCCAGGGAAAGCTTTAAGAAGACAATTGGACAAAACTCGGCTTTGCCTTGAAGAGAGGAAACCAAAGGTGTGGGATTCATTGAGATGGGTCATTGGAACCATAGAGTCTTTGGCATTTGCGCATCGCCTTGGTATGCATGAGAACATTGACATGCACCGAGAGGTGCCTGACTTATCTGTCAGACTCCGAAATGGCCTCCAAAGTTCTTGTCCAGAGCCAGCTTGTCGAATCCAAGAATAGCCCGATTCCTCTCCCTGGAAGCTGCATGGCGTCCATCCGTACCCCATGTACTCGGCGTCGGTGTCTGACATATTAGAAGAGTACGAGCAGACATACTCACGTTATGTCCACTGCCTTCTGCATCTGATCCCTCGGTACTGGTCGACGTTGTCCTGACCAATTGAACGCGACCTCCTCGAGGACTTTTCTGTGCCCAAGCATCAAACGAGACCTCATTGCTTGCAGACGGTGACATGCTTTGAGGTATCTCTTCTTCCACGGCGTCAAGTCGACTGGCTATTGACGGGCTAGCAGGTGGAGGTGATGATGACCTGGTGGATCCCGAGGCCTGTATGAGAGCTTTCAAGCCTCTTCGTGGTGATTGTGGTGTATTGATCATCGAGTCCGATGCAGATGAATCGTTGGAATTCATCGATGCTGAGCGAACTCGGCGCCACAATGATTTAGCCCCGGATTTAGCCACCTCGCCCACATCGATGACCTGAGTTCTGGGTCGAACGTCAGCAGAGATCACATTGACCGAGAGGATTAATACTCGCTTTGGGGAGTGATTCTCTTTGTATCTTGCCCATTCTTCATCCGTCATATAGACCGTCGTCTGACCTGGCCGAGGACCAGTCACGCCGCTGCCTTGCGATCTGATCTGGCCATTTCCTGACAGGAGATTCTTGCGAGCTGCGACGCCCAAAGTGATGGAACTCCTTCGCTTCAATTCCGGCGGGACTTCGGGTAAAGGTGCGAACGAGACTTTGGAGGATGACGCGATGGACAATCCTCTCTGTCGGGTCACCTGCGAATTAGATTGAGTCGAGGATGTCAAGGATGATGTGGACGCAGTGGGAGATTCAGAAAGAGCTTCGACGGTGATGGGTTTTGTTTTCCCAGGTGATGAGCGGGTAGGCGGAACTTGGCATGATTCTTCCGGATTCAGCAGGATAGATGGTCCAGGTCGATCATTCGGATTGTGAGCTGAAGAAGAGTGTCTTCGGAGCAGGAATGACATGTCGTCTTCACAGTTAGCTGTTTGAGTCGAATACTATCAGTCTCTGAGGACGAGGTGTAGCAGCTTTGAGCAGAGGTCGGTCGACGATTCCCCGTTTATAAAGTTGAATCCCGGGTCCCCACGGGACATTTCAGGCCGAATGTGGCGAAAATAGAAAAGCGTAGCATGACAATTAATAAATGCATCAACATGTAGACTGTATACAAAATGGACAATGGGAAGGGATGGCCGAGGGATCACATATGGCGAAGGAAGTCGTTAGAGTAGAGGGTCATGACACACTTAAAGGCTCTACATCTGCTGGACTGAGGCAGGAGGTCAGCCAAACAGTCATTGTTGATCGCCAAGCGATGCAAAAACCTACTCTGCGCGATGAGAAACTGTTTTTCATCATTGAATTGCTCGTCTGCGCAGGATCTTGTTTCAGCCTCTTCCGTTGATGGTTCCTTTTTGCAAGAGATTTTCCTGTGACAACTCACCATCCTTGTCATTGTGAAACTCTTTCAGGAAGATCAGGAGTTTGTCCTTGTTACGACGAAGTATGCTGGCAATTTGAGGGGGTTTATTGGGATTCGCCACGAATACCTGGGCAAATATCAGCGTCACCGGGACAAGATCACCAACCTTGAAGACATGAAACGCTTCAAACTGAATGTTCCGACTCTTGTCTCTCAAAAAGTTCATCATCATCTTCAAGTTCGACTCGGCCGAGATATAGCGTGTCATGATGTTGTAGTTGGCTCGGTCCAACAGGATTTCCCCAAGCAGTTTCAGGGATTGACGCTTGGTGACGTAGTTGGCGGAGAGAATGAGATTGGTGTACATGGCAAAGAACTGAAGGAGTCGGAGTGTTTCAGCGGTGCCTCAATACTATCTGACTCACCTTGTCATAGTTGGCATCCAGATAGGTAGCCACCATGGGTTTGTGCTTTGTTAGCGTTTCCTAGATTTCAGCGAGATACAAATGAGGTTGCACACCTTCATGTTGGCGAACGCATCGCACGAGATGCCAAATGTGCTGTTCTCGATGTATTGAGGGAATGTGTAGAAGCTGAGATGAAATCAGCACTAGTCTCGATGGTCACAGCTCACTCGTCGGAATATAGTAGTATCTTTGCTAGGGGCTCATACCGCAGCATTTCCTTCAGTATCATCCCGGAGTTCAAGGCAATGTCAGGATTGGAGTAGCTGATTGTCAGTTGGGACGATGCATGATACTCACCATTTTAGGGTATTGAGAACAATATCCGGTCGGTTTGTGATATATTCAACGGTAGGTAACCTTGACCCGATCTGCCTTCGTAAAAGGGTGTTGAATATATGGCAGGAGTCTTTACGAGCCTTCAGGACATTCAGCTTGTAACGGACTGATTCAGGACGAACGCTGAACTCACCTCGAATTCAAACTTGCCCAGATTCACCACCATGAGATTCAATATGTCCGAAGCGTACACCTCATTGGCCACTTGAGCTAGTACATCTCCCCCTGCGTCTGCATCTCCTTCTCCAGCCAGAGCCTGCTTCGTCGAGGATAATAACCGCGAGATCTCCTCGTTGATCTAACCCATCAACTGTGCGTCAGCGGCAAGGGAGAGGACGAGTTGGATGATCTACTGACCCGTCTTTTGCTATCTGCCGAAGAGGTCTGGTCTAGCCTCGCAACATGCTCTCTCAGACTCTTGATCGAGTCCGCGGGACCTCTGGCCTTTGTCCGTCCGAAAAAATTCATGTTGACGAAGACTCGAAGCGGGAGGCCGGGCTCAGGAAGAGGTTAAAGGTATGCGAGTCAGTGGATGGGTGGCAGTATGGAAAGTGGCTAGTGTAGCCTTGAGAACTTGGGGTGGCTCTTTCAGAGCCTTTCACTGGATCTGCGCCGCCGCTTGTGGTGCTCACGAGGCTGTGATATGTAGTCTATCTGATGTTCAATGGATATATATGTGTTTCAGGAAGACTCAATCCAACCGCGAATCCGGCGCGCCTCTTCGAGAATGTTTACGTAAAAGTGCTGCGCTGTTGCCACCTCGCCGCCCCCGTCATCGAATTGTAGGCCATTTGACATTCCATTCCTTGTTTGTGACTGTGGTCAAACCAAAAGAGTGTCTCGACGAGAGCATCATGGACAATTCTCCGACGTGAGTATGCACTCAGCGCTATATTTGATCCTGGTCTCACCCTATTAGTGCACTGTTCGAAAATTACGATGAAGACTTGAAGCATTTGCTGTCTAATTTGAAGTCTAAGTTGGAGGGGGATGTCAAGCTCCTAAAGGGCGGTGAGTTTAAGCGGCTGCGGATCTTTGGCTCACACATGTAGAGGAACGGAAAGCTGCGTTGAAGAGGGTCACAGAGGAGTTAGATGAGGCGCAAGAGACCGTAAGCGGCTCTAAAAGTCATGGTGGCTCATTCATGCGCCTTTCAGGTCGCTCAAATGGAAGTCGAATTACCGTCGATGCCAGTTTCCATAAGACAAGTCTATCAGGGTCGTCTAGCTACTTCCAAGCAGGCTCTAGAGAAGGTCAAGAAGAGTCTGGTGGGTCGTCACCATTGGGTCTAAACTCATCATTGCAGAAAGACGTTCGTCAGGAGAATCAACGCAACGAACTCTTTGCTGGCTTCCCAGATAGAGACGACCCATACACGGATGACCCGTCCGGCTTCTCATCTCGAACTCGTCTCTTACAAGGGACGGAGAGGCTAGCTGATGGTAGCAAGAGGCTGGACAATGCGCATCGAATCGCTCTGGAGACGGAGGATGTGGGTGCGGACATTTTGAGAAATCTTCGAGGCCAAAGGGAGCAGCTCGAAAATACTCGGGACTCGGTGAGATTTTCCCATCTTGGAAGATAGATAGCTCATTGTCTATCAGCTCACTCAAGCCGACTCATCTATCGATCGAGCGGCGGGGACATTGAAGAAGATGATATTCAAGTGGGTCAATTGTCCCATCGCGTACTGAATCCTCCAAGAATGTATCAGCAGAAATTCGTCACAGGCGGAATAATTGCGATCCTGGTTCTGCTTATTATCATTGTGCTATGGTCCAAGATCCATGGGTGATGGATTGGTTTCAATCCAGAAAGGTGGACGGGACAGGTTGTAATGTATGGCTTTGACAAAGAGTCTTTGTTCGTTCTTAACCGGCCTAAGCTCCTTTGTCCCCCTCGCTGTTGATCTCCTTTGTGAGGTGATCACTTTGCGTCTATATAACAAGCTTTCTGAAGCTCGTTCCTCTGACATGCTTCTAACATTCAAACATGGTCGTTTTCTCTAAACCAACTACAGTCGCAGAGTCTTCTCCGGACATGTCGACTGTCTTCAAGACCAGTCCAAACGGTCATGTGGTCAAGGTGAGCGGAGGAGAATTCACTCTATCGCTCATCCCGTCAGGACCTTATATCCGTATATCGAAATAGGGCCAAGGTACACCTGCAGGAAACGATGCCGAACAAGATCACCCATCTTCAAGCGATGATCGCGTTAGAGAGCAATCCAGAATCAGCTTTATGGCCCGGTCATGTTGAACATTTCGAACCGAAGCAAGCACAGCCTGACCATGAGGCCAAACACCAGATGGTAATGCCGGACGATGTCGTCTCTAGCAAGCACAGCAGCATTGATTCATTGGGTGACGACGTACTTGATGATGACCCTCGGAATGGTGTTCGGGTTGGTCCTCATTGGTTTGAGGTCGTCCCTCAGAACGACGTTCAGAAGCGGCTGATTGCGCTTTCTCTCAAGTATGGCATTGAGCACCTACAAATACTGACGTCGTCAGAGAGCACGAAGACCTGCATATGATTGTGCAAGATCTCAGGGTCTGGCTAGAGCTAGAGATCCCCCTGATTGAAGACGGCAACTCATTTGGTGCGGATGTGCAGAGCCACCTCCTCCGAGAACTTACGGAGGTGAGTGAGGACCCGTGTGAGGGCTCAATATAGTGACTGATCGAGCAGGCATACAAACGATCGAATGGATTCCAGAATGGCGCCAGGACTCACTACTTGGACCGGCTGAAGTTGACTCAAGATTGGGTCAAGTATCCTAACCTCATGGTGCGTGATTTCCTCGAGCATTGGCTGATGACCTGCAGGACTTCCCGGTGAGTTTGGCCACTCTTGTCGTACTGATCCGATCCTCTCCAAGGCCGCTATCGCTGCAGTGAGTCACGCCGTTCACACATATATCCTAATTTGCAGTCGGACCGGTTCGATCATGTCCTCTTACGTTCCTACTTTCGTTCGATTCTCACGATCTACGGAGGTCTGTTGACCAAGTTTGAGCGAAACTGGGAAAAGGTCGTCAATCCCAAAGGTGGATCGTACCGGGGAGGCATGTACTAAGGTGGAAGGAAGCTGTGATTCATGCATCTTTTTGATATTATACATATGAAAAACGCATGTGTCTCTTAGAATGCGTGGGGAGCGGCCATGGACGGACTCCCTATTCTATCTACGACCCTGCAAAATTTGTTCAGCACGAGGATCTTATCAGGCTTGTCTGTGACCTGTTACACTCACTCAATCGTCAGTTTGCCAACTTGGCGTTCTTGTGAAGTTGCATAGCCATAGATGGACGAGTTGGCGACCTTTTTGTCCTTTGGAAGCTTTTCGATAATCTTGATGTCGATTGACTGTCCAACATCCTTGAGACTCGGTACACCCCACAATTCCAATTCTCTAGCATCAAAATGTAGCCAGCCTGGTAATTGTCCTCCTTCTTGCCTCTCTGCTCTATACGTCGATGGTGGTGTTGAACTCCAGGTGGCACCAGACATCTGCGCTGCTGGTGGAGGGTTGATCTGAGGATGTATGCTGAAAGTTTCGTTGGCGCAAGCCAAGACTTTTCCGTCTTCCATCGTACCGGACTCGGACGGTCGATGGCGATGTCTGTTGACTGCGCCTACGTGAGGCAACGGGATAGTGCTTGACTCTCCACCAGTATCTGATCGATCGTCCACAGCCGAATTGGGTCGACTATAGTAGATTGCAGAGGCAGGATATCCAAGACCAGTCATGCCTGCCTCTGCCTCTGCCATAGACCGACGTTTTTCCTCCGCATCGTCAAACATGCCTTCCTCCACTTCAGTCAAGGCTCGTCGACTGTGCTTGGCGGGTGGAACTTCGCCAGTGGAGGTGATATGCTCTTTGCTTGGACGGAGTTTGGGAATGTGTCGCTCGGTAGGGTTTCGAGTGGCGAAAGATTGACGCTCCGCCATCGTCACGACTGCAGGACCTTCTTCTTCCTCTTCCGAGTCTCCATGCTGCATGTTGTTCCGACTTGCAAAGTTGCTGCCGGATATATCGCTCGAGGAGAAGGTTCCTAGTGTGTTCTCGCCCTTGGCGACGAAAGATGCAGAGTCGTCACCCAGCTCGCTGGCATCGTGAGATCCGACTGTATGCTGAGAAGCCAATTGTGCAAGCTTAGAAGGTGAGTTGTTCCTTGGGTATCGAGGTGTAAAATTATCTCGTGGTCGTGGGGCATCAGCGGGTGTTGCCTCCTCTGACCACTGGAAGGAATCGCCACTTTCCCAGCTTGCGAGCGAAGATTCTTCAGACATGGTGAATGAGCTCGCCATACCTGGTGATCGATCGACGGGATGAGCGACGCCAATCACATCCCCTTGCCCCATGAAGGAAGTATCTGATCGGTTGAGATTAGGCGTGGCAATGACGCCCGCTGCTGCCTCTTTTTCGTCGGCAGGAGCCCAGCCAAAGATACCCCTGAGACCGTCCATCCGAGTGGGTTGATCAGCCTTGGGCGGTTTAGGCACTGCCTCAGGTGACCTCATATTGAATGCAGAGAATTTGGCGACGTCGCCCAAAAAGTTGCGAGGAGTCGCTTGATTCGCTTCCGGCGAGCCTACGGTGAATGATTCGGCGTCGTCGTCACGTTTCTCTTCTTCGTCTTTTCGCTTGCGTCGTCGACAGCAGAGGAAGAGGAGCACGGCGAGAATGATGAGTCCGAGGACCCCCAATGCAACGGCGATGCCGATCTTGGCACCGGTCGACAAGCGATGGCCTCCAAGATCACTCTCAATACCCGTCTGGCCGTTGCTGGCGTTTGGCACGGGCGCGGTGTCACCGCTTGGGTGCTGTTGAGATGAATTGCCACTGCCTGATCCTGAAGTGTTGCCGGAGCTCGAGCCAGATCCAGTCTTGCCACCATCTTGGGATGTCCCAGAGGTGGTTCCGTTGGCGTTACCGCCGGAGATTTTTCCGGCTCCAGTCGTGCTGTTGTTGACCTGTCCAGTGGCTCCAGTGGCCATGGACGTGCCGTTATTCGCTGTATATGGAGCTTGAGCGACAACGCCGTTGAAGGTGACGGCCAAATTGGTCGAAGCCTGGAATCCGCCTTGCGAAGCGGTGAAGAGCACGTTCAGACCAGAGTACTTGGTGCCCTCAGGTACAGTCCCAGCCAGAGTCATGTCATCTTGGTAGAACACAAGCCAGTTGGCCGCGTCTTTGGGTGTGACACTAGCATTGACGACCACGTTGGGAGGATTGTGGGAATTGAGATATGGCTTGAGATCAAACGAGAGCGCCGACTTGGGGGTGACGTTCATCGCAGGCACGTCGTAGTCTGTAAAGAAGTATGGAGTCGCGTCGAGCGATAACCATGTAGTGAGATAAATCGAATTGTCTTCTCCAGCAGGCGCAATGTTGATGGGGATGGATAACGGTGTGACCGTGCCATTGAGGAGAAAGTCAGGGGCTGTACCCGTAAGGGCAAGTGACGATCTAAGACGTGAGTATTGGAAGGCCCGGAATCGGACTCACGAATCGAGAGACAACCAGGGATAGTTGGTCTCATTTAAGGATACAACGATATCGCTTGCAGTGGCTGCAGTACCATTGACCAGCACCTTGCTGATGTCCACTTGGTACTGGATATCGTTACGCGCCATCGTGACGATGTCTGTAAAATTGTACCCTTTCACCAATTCGACGGGTGGGCCACTCCCCACCTCAATGACAAAGCTGGTCTGCGCACCGAGGTAGCCCCAGAAATCTGTCCCCGTGACGACGACGGTGAAACTCCCGCTGGCAGGTGTCACTCCATCGAACGTCATGGTGTTGTTGTTGAAATTGAGCCAGGTAGGCAGTCCGATCATGCCGCGAACGCGGGCACTGACGAACAAGTTTCCATTCACTGGCTGACCATGGCTGAGACGGAATGTGTCCATCGCAAAGCCAAGGGAGAATGACCAATGAGGAGGTACAGAAACACCAGTGTTTCCAGGCAAGACGGAGGCGGACGAGATGACCCGCGAAGAAGGATCACCGAGTTGAGTTGTGAAGGCCTGATGGACACCAGGCATGGAAAATTCGGTCACGATAAGGAGGAAAGTTGTCGATGTGGATCCAGACGAATCGGTCGCGGTCAACGTCACGGTTTGTTGTCCTACATCTGAGGCTTTTGGCGTTCCAAAGAAAGCCAAGGAAGGTTCGTTCCATTCTAGCCATGCTGGAAGGCCAGAGGTCGTATAGGTGATTGTAAAAGGACTGGAGAAAGTCTGATATAAAATGTCAAAATCGAAAGATTGGTCTACTCTAGCGACGGGAGGTTGCTGTTCCATCAAGGGGTATTGTAAAGTAGGTGCCGCCTGGGCAAGTCGGACAAGACCTTGAGTCCACAGGATCACAAAGAGGATGTTCATGAAGCGGAGCATCTTGGAGTAGACACTTTCAAGTGCAGGACGAGAGCACGGCCAAAGTCCAATCCTTGTTCTCTTTTGGTCCACAAATCAAGCAATCATCCTTGATCCCTCCCTCTGTCCAGGTCCTCGACTGTCAAAGTCGAGCAAAGTAGAGTAATGAACGTCGATCACTGAACGAGCGTAGTAAAAGGTCGAGATGTAAATGAAGTTGTCGACTTGTCCGACAGACAGCCCTTCGTATCAATCAGTCAAGTCTCTCCCTCTGTGCTCTCGGTGGGTGGCCAAGGCTTCTTCTCCTCCAAACTCAGGAGGAAAAAGTGAGGAGAGTACACAGAGATTCATGATCATTGCTCTCCTCTCCCAGTGAGTATGTTGGTCGCAGGGGCAACAGGAGTGTAGGGAGACTTGCCCTTAACCCTCCTCTCTCGCTTGCCGGCTGCGCCATGAGTACAGGGAGCATGAGCAGAGTGACGCTGCCGCCAAAGATAGACGTGAAGTATGGTTAAAAGCCTGCTACACGTATCCCCCCTCAGGCCGCCCCGAGTGAACGAAAGAAAAATGTAAACAAACGAAAAGGCTAACAAACATTTCACAGCGTACTGCGACTGTTCTCTGTACCACTCTTCGACTCGACTCTCAAAGCCCCCCACCCACCTTGGCGTTCAGGACCGTGTTATCACTCAGGAATGGCGCTCGCTGCTCGACAGTGAAAGACGCGAGAGTATCACTGCAGGGTGAATACGTTCATTCACATAAAAGATACGCCCAAAAGGGTTTTTCGACACGACGCGTTTCCTTTCGGGGGTCAACAAACTCAGCACAAATCAGTCGCGTCGCTGTCAAAGCTCATGCCAAATCCCATAGCTCCAGCTGGGTTTCGGTCGAGCAATCTTCCATCGAATGAATGCATGCGCATACATTCATGACGCTATGCGGCTGCTCCATACTGTGGCCCAGATGTCCTTGCAATGATCTAAAGCGCGGCAGCCAGCGTTTAGAGTGTTGACGAACGCGGCAGACGAGTAGCGCTGACTCCACTTTTTTTTCAATTGCTCTACCCTCATTTCTCCCTCCCTTCTGACAGGTACGGACGGTCTCACAAATGACCGACCCTGCCCATCATGAGAACTTCTCCGTCATGACTGCGAGACATAAGCGATCAATCGTTGTACGTCAACTCCAACTCACTCATTGTCACTAATGATGTCCAACCCGTAAACGGATGACTGCAGACGGTCAGGGACATTATTCATGCTTATGCACCCACCTTCTCCTCCCTTCTCCCGTTTCAGCATCGTATTGTTCCCATGAGTACCCTGTTCGCTTCCATTCCTAGTCATATTAGCCTTGTTGAGGGCGCCGGGAGAATACACAAACCTTGAAGACATTGTCCACTACGTTCTTTCGTAGGTCGTCATATATCTTCTCAGACCTCTCCTTCTGAGACCCTTCCTCGACCATGTACCTCTCTTTGAGGGCCTTCAATGCAAGCCAGTTCATCTGGATCCAAATCGGGCCTCGCCAGTAATTTTCATCCTTGCCAAAGAGCTCGTGTGACTTGGACAAGGAACGAATACCGTAGGGCGACCATAGCTGTTTGGGGTCCGTGATCAAATCCAGGGTTGGCTTTAGGTGAGGTGAATCGGCAGGGATGAGACCCAATAGGAAAGGAAATAGGGAAATATATCCAGGGTTGCAGACGTGATAGCTCTCGTCTATATGTCAGCACGTGTGTAACACCGATTTCCCACCTTCGTCGTTAACGCTGACGTCGCAGTACATCTGATGCTCTTCGCTCCAATGCAAATCTAGGGAGGGGTCAGCGCGGTGTCTCATACGAAATCTTCTTACCATCTAGATTAGCCAAGATGCCCCTCTCATGCTTCGCATACTCTTCACGATCCTCCTCCAAACCAAGGTATTCACTGATCTCACCCATCGTCCGAGCGAAGAACCCCATCCAGCTCATGAGATCCACATGTAGTTCTCCACTGTGCGGAGGTCTGGCTCGTGGGTAATCGTCTAGTCCAGAGGTCAGAACATGGTTTTCAGTCCGGCCACGCCACCGATATGCCTCCGACTTGCTCGTCGGTGACCGGCCGTACGGACGCAGAAGTCCTCTTTGAGTTCGTCTGAACCACTGATAGTGTGTCCGGAGCGATGGGTAGATTGACTGGAGAAAAGAGCGGGCAAGGAACGGTGTCTTGATGTGAAGAGAAGGTAGGGACGAGCTGGGCGATGAGGGGGAGAACTTGCTAGACGGGACATTTACGCCTATCGCCGAGTCCATCTGGGAATCTTCGTTCTGTCTGCGGAGTCTATGGATGAATGCAGTGACTGCCATGGTCAAAGTCGGTGGATTCGCATAGGTCGGATATTGAGTCCAGAATTCTTGCGGTACCTGTTGAGTCAGTCTGAGGAACCATGGTCCAGTCTCACCTTGCTTCGTGACTCGTCGCCGAGGATCTGTTCTCGGGCGACCCAGCCATCTTCGTCAATTAGAGCGATCCAGTCTTTGAGAATTTCCAAACTTTACCAAGTCAGCCAAAAACCCAGCCGTGCTGCCTCACCTCAAGTCATTGTCCCACTCTCCAATCAGCGCAAGGTGGAAGCCTTCGTCCCAGTAGAATCCTCTAGGGAAAAAGCTTCGACTGGGTGTGGCGGTTAGAAGCTCTCTTTCCTCAGTCAGCTTTGGAGCTTGGACATCGTGGTTCTCGTCTTCATCGTCGTCCACATCGTCATCGTAATCATGCTTGAAAGACCTGTCCACGATCGATGCACCTTGGTAGTAGCCTATACCGCCGACGATGTTTGAGGTCAGGGCCTTGGCAAAGTCTCGGTGAGCATCCGAGTTGAATGGAGACGGAAGGTGGAAAGTGCTGTCGAACCGTTGATTGTAAGCCCTAGAGGCTTGAGACAGAGATTGGCTGAGACCCGCAACTGGACATTTGAGCGCCATCGACGTTAATAGAGTTCTCACATGTCATCCCTCCCTCATCATTGCCATCCACATTCTCAAAGAACAGGTCGAATCCCCAGCGGGTAGTCTCCTCTCCTGGGTGACCGCCAAATGCCTTTTGAAAAGCGAACACGTTTGACCCTACAGCTACATCGTTGGGGAGTCGGAACAGTGCGACCGGGTCAGGAGGTGCCTCTCTACTGTAGCCGCCCTCTGTCATGAGGTTTTGCGCGAAAGTTCCAATCTTTTGGAGAAGAGTGTCTGGGAAATGAGCGAGCGCGCCTGCGGTTTCTTGCTCACCTTTGATTCGCCATACTTGTCCCGTAGGAATGGGCAGTCCGACAAAACTAGTCTTTCCTTCCAGGTCACCATGATCATTGGCATAGACAGCGACACGGGCATGGGATACTTCTGGATCTTTGCCCAATCATGAGCACAGAAAGGTATGGGGGACTTACGATCGACGAGCCTAAGTCTGTACTTTCCAAGCTGAGAGGTACGTCCTTTTAGGACAACCTGTCCTTCAAGACCCTCCATGTATCAGCCACATGTCAGGGTTCTGATACTCACTTGCTCATCCGGCGCAGTCTCGAGCTCCAGCTCTCCTAGACCCTCAAGTCCCACGTGATAGATCAGACTGACCCTCCCTCTTGCACCTTGAACGTCAGAACGAGACCAAGAAGGGTGGACTCACTTGGATTCAGAGGTTCTCCCTCAACTCGAACGCTCCAATCTGTGCCGTCCTCAGATTTCAGCCAGCTGATCTTCATCCTGACATTGTTCTTGCTATCGGTGATCTCCTGGACTGCATAGTATCGTCCATCGTGCTCAGTGTACGAGTAAGAGTCCAGATCGTCGGACTGCTCGCAGGTATATCGGACGCCTGCGTGTCAGATCCAGCGAGGATGCGTCGATGCTTACTCGTCAGACCGTTAAAGTCATTCAGACCGAACCACATCAATCCTGTCATGAGAGAGTGAGGAGTTCTCGCTCGTATACCATGATACAGCTGCGGTCGGTACGTATTCCAAAACAGAGATTGCTGGACCTTCATCAGAATGAGGACAGTTGGATTCCACTCACGTTCGCCAAAAGAGCAGCCTGTTGGCCAATCTCATTTTCAGCCAATACGTAGCTTGGCAAGAGAGCCAAAGCTCCCAGCCATAAGCTCTGTACCAGTCTCATGATAGATACAGAGGCTGAAGAGATAGATAGAGACCTTGACCTGAACGTATTTCGGGCCAAAATGAGGCGGGGCTCCAGCTTGAAACGTGGACGTGGCAGCCATGCATCATAGGGGCACTAACAAGAAGCTGGACTGTCTAGACCACTAAACAGTCCCTTCAACTTGACTACCGCGCTGCCCAAACGGTCTCGACATGTGTTTCCCTAGGTCATGTACACAGAAGCACCTGAGTCCTCTTTGCGAGGATCTGCCGCGGCGTCCCATTCTATCCCCTTGTTCGTGTAATGGAATTTTATACAGCAAGCGACTAATCTGCTCTCTATGCACACGCCCATCAGGCATGAAGCATGATTGAGCTCACCTGGTAGCCATTCCAATACATGACCTCTAGATTCTAATGCAGCAGCTTGATCGGGCGAGAGACCCTCCACCAGGACGCCCAGATGCGTTGAGGCATGCTCCACCTGAGTTGAATTAGGGGATAGCTGATTATGAACGCGGGTTGAACGCAGTGCTTCGCCTGGAATGATCAGCTTGATACCACTCTACTTGACATACTTGCGGTCATGCCGTGTTCCTTGAAATATCAGAGCAGCTGCGTCCCGCTTGACACACTTACAAGCACGTTTCTCGCCACTTGAATGTTTCCCGAAATGATCGTGCTGCCTCCAGCTGCACCACCAGCCAGTATAGGATTACCTTGAGCGTCCTCAACGATATATGGACAGCTAGAGCTCAAAGGTCGTTTGCCGCCGGCGACTATGTGTGTCAACAAATCCAAGTAAAATGGCTCACTATAATTCGCTGTGCTCGATTCATACCCTGTCCAGTTGGCAATCCCTTTCGAGGAAAAGTCCTGCATACTGTCGTTGAGAACCATTCCGAGTTCGGGTACGATGATGCCTGACCCAAAATTGGATCCCACAGTCGTGGTTATACTAATGACGAGACCGTCCGAGTCTGCCACAGTGATATTTGAGGTGCCTCGGTCAAACTTGGTCGAGCTGACGGTGAGTCAGATCACTAGGCGACATTAAAAAATATGCTCACAATGCTTTCTTATAGTGATCTGGAACGTGTGTCTGATCGTCGATCGTCCTGGCCCGTTCCTGGCACAGTAATGGATCAACGAGGGCCCTTTCGATATTCGAGATGCCCTCGATGAATGCTGGATCTCCTAATTTTGTTCGTTGAGGATAAGCCAGCTGAACAGAAAAATCAGCTATGTACGCGAGAACCGAAACTGACCCGCTGAACCTCTATCATCTTATGCAAATCTTCGCTGGTGCCTGCCCGATCGATTTCCAGGTGCGCCAACATGCTCATTGCATGTATCCAGATGGACCCTGAAGCAGGTGCCGGTACACTCCATAGGGTCTTATCTTTGAACTTGCCCTGAATAGGATCTGACCAATTGACCTTGTAGTCTGTAAAGCGCATCAACGAGTATACGGCGGGAGAGTTATTCACTGGACAAATCCTGGAGGGTCATAAGACCTCCTTGAGCATTTACTGCCTCTACGATGTCTTGGGCTATTGGACCGGTGTAGAAGGCGTTTTGATCCTCTTTCTGCTACCGCTCGGAGGACTTTAGAATACGCCGAACGCTTGATTATGGAGCCTTGTGATAGGATATCTCCATGATCGTCGAACAAGAAGTCGAAAGCCTTATCTCGCTCAGTCCTGGTGCCCCTCCGAGAGGTGATATAAGGGCTTTTGCCGTTGCTGCAGTACTTCGCTACATACTGTTGTATCAGCGACCGCCAGACCCTGGGAGCCCACATGATACAGGTCATGTCTCATCTGGAATCCATTTTCAGCCAGTTGAATGGACTCCGCAAAAAGCCGGCTCCATGGCAGTCGACCATGTCGTTGATGTAAAGCTTCCAGACCTTTCAACTGTCCAGGTACAGCGACGGTCATACCTCTTGGTGAGGCCGCATCCATCACCATATCCGCATGGGCAGCCGCCTCACGCTTCAGCTCCTCTCGTGATTCTCGACCTACCGGTGCACACTGCCTAAAGTCCAGTGCTTCATGTCTTCCGTCAGACGTCCGTATGATGGCGAAACCTCCCCCGCCGAGGTCTGAATGATACATGCACACTGTGCCCAGAGCCAGTATGGTTGCGACAACCGCGTCGGCGGCATTACCGCCGGCTTTGAGGATACCTGCGCCGATCTTAGAGGCTGTGACATGCTCTGAAGCGATAGCACCAGAGAGTAGAGTCATTTGCCTTTGCGTGGTGAGTATGCGTCAGAGGTCAGTAGAGGTACTCGAGCAACATAGATTATCTGGCGAGATACCGGTCATTTCCCATTTCCCGGTCGATCGGCTTTATGCATTCCCCGAAGTGATGACTACTACAAGGGAGAACACTGGGTTGTGAATGTGTCGGACCGACTAAGACTGGGCGAACTAGATACGCAGCACTGCCTCAAACAGTATTCGCACCGCACAAGGCCTCCACCTCTGCTCGTTCCCTCGGCACAGCGGTCAAGTTCTCACATCCGTCGGCAGTGACCACCACGCCATCTTCCAATCGGACACCCCCGACGCCGATGTATTCCCTCAATCTGTCCTTATTGACATACTCTGAGGTCCAAGCACCATGCTCCTCCATCAACTGAGGAGGGAAATAGCAGCCAGGCTCGACAGTCAATACCATGCCTTGTTCGAGCTTGCGTCTGATACGCAGGTACGTGAACAGCTTGTGGACCTGCTTGGATTCGACGGGAAGATCCAGGTGAACAGATGCGAGCAATTGCCTCGAATCGTGGACGTCGAGTCCCATAGAATGACCAAGTCCATGCGGGAAGAAAGCAGCCGTCACTCCTGAGGCGAGAATCGCCTCTGGGGACCCGGTAAAGATCCCCAGTTGGATGAAACCGTCGATGAGGACTTTGTGCCCGTGAAGATGAATAGTGTCCCAGTGAGCTCCAGGTTTGACCAAAGCTTCGCATTCCTGCCTCTGTCAGTGGCGAGCGCCTTAAGACCCACCTTTTGCATCCTCAACACCAGATCGTAGATCTCTGCGGCTCTCGGCGTAAATCTACCCCCGTTGCCAACAGGGAGTGTCCTCGTAATGTCGCTGGCATAATCCTTCCATTCACATCCAGCATCGATAAGCAGAACCTGGGGTTCAAATCCTCCATCATGGTGAGATGAGACGGGAGTAGCGTGCTGGTGATCCTCGGCGCTTCCACAGCAGCCTCGACCATGTTGTCGAGGGGTGAAGGAAGTGTCGCCATTGACTCGTGGTTGGACAGTAGATGGGAATAGAGTGTCGTTACATCTAAAATCATCAGTACCGGCGGATTGACGTATCGACTCACACATAATGGAGAGTGCTGGCATGTGACCCGGAGGCAACAATGGGAAGGTATGCTTGAGCCGCTCTACTCATCAGTCCCATATCCTAGCGCATACCACTCACCCTGCTCTTCTGCAAGTCGCTACGAAAAGCGCCTCGGCATCCTGTTCACTTTCCACCTCCCACTCTTGTATACCGATACCCCCATCTCTAGTCTTGGTCTTTCCAGCTGCCTGTGACCCCGCTCGTTTGCCGGCGAACCTTCCCAATTCCTTCATGAGAACCTCATGTGCCCTTGAGGAGATTCGATTGGCTTCCCTGATCAATGCCACCTCTGCCGCGTCCTTGATGATTCGGGCCGTGTGAAAAGCCTCCAACAAGTACTTGTCACACAAGTCGATGCCGCTGACATCTTTAAAAGCTGCTTCTGGTCGAGCCGGGAACTGCGTAGTGTCGGGCATCAAGTGCATGACCACGTTTCCAGATTTCTTGAAAGTCTTGATCGTGGTGACGAGCTCGGAGACGTATGAGATGTCGTCGTGCTCAAATGTGTCTTTAGCTTGCTGCATGGTCGGCGGAGCGACACTCCACATGGTCTCGAGGGGGTCGGCAGCGGGTATAAAAAGGTGGATGCTGCCTTCAGGAATGAGGATAGCAACCGAGGCATTGGGGGTCGGACACCCTGTCACATAGCTAAAGTTGGCTTCCTGGTCTGGTGAAAGCACACTTAAGCAGATGAATCGGCTATGATCAGAACGCACGGTATGGAAGCTCGCGATCCGTATCGTGTCGATACATGACTGGTGCAGCCTGAAGGAAAGCTACATTGCGCTGAAAAGGGGTGAGCTCCTGGATAGATTGCGCGAACGCACCTTGCTCTTCATTTCATCTGGAATGAGCTTGTATAGCTCCTCCGCGACCCTCTTGGCATGTGATTTGGCCGGAAACATGATGGACGTGAGTGTATGGTCGATAAAGCAATGAGTGGGGGTCAGAAACCAAAGAACCAAATAGCAGTGGTGACATTTTTGGCTGTAAACTGTATAGCCGACGGAGCACCGTAAGGTAATCTTCGGGACGGGCTTGTAGATCACTACTATATCCTATCTACGTCTATAGATTGCCTAGCATTCCTCGCTCGACTCTTGACTCGCTTTGCAGCAGTCTCAAAGTCGCTCACGCCAGATTCGTTTAATATCCTTTCGAGTCGCTCATCCGACATGGCTTCGTCTAGATCAAGCATGAGATCCTCGTCGGTTCCAACTGCCATATCCCTCATGACGGGTCTAGCCTTTTCAGCAGGAGCTGGAGTAGATGCGGCCGCGGCTGCCTTCTTGGATGCCTTACTTGGGGCTGAGAGAACGAGAAAGACTCCAAATACGATCGCTACAAGAATAGCGGCTGACCGAACAGAGTCAGGATGTGTCCAAGGTCCCCTGTTGTTCTTCTTCACTCACCAACAGCACGTCGGGTCTGCTCCCATTTAGCTGCTTCGATCTCTGTCCGTAGGTCACCCAGGGATATGGTAAATTTGTTGTTGATTTCCTATTCACATGAGTGACCGACCGGCCTCCGAGTGCCAGCAGAACTTACCTCGATATCCAGGTTGAAGCCTTTGAGCTCCGCTCGAGTCTCTGCTTTGCGGTTATTTGTGTCTAATTCGATACTGAACGTCAGACGGATGTTTCTAAGCTCAAGCACCTACTCATGCCTTAGCGTCTCCACGTCCTCCTTCATCTTTTGCTCCAATTGATCGACTTCTCGTCGAATCGCTCCAGACGCAGCTTTGAGCGCAAGACTGTCGTTCCTTGCCCTGACACTGAGCTCTGTCCGTAGCTCCGCCAGAGCCGCTCTGAAGAGGTATGATTGCTGAGGATCTGTCAGCGATGATCGCATTGAGACTCCTCACATTCTCCCTGTCCTCTTGACTTAACATCCTGCTCGCTGCCTGATCACCTCGTTCTACGACTAGAGACCGCACGGCTTCCATCACAGCTTCAGCCGGTGCCTGTTTGAAGGAAGCCGACTTGAGCGACTGTACGAACGCGTAAGAGTCAAATGGATGAGCGAGACCGCGACGCCGAAATGGATTGGCATGTTCAGGTGGAGAAGGGAGATTGGTCACGACAGAGATGGATCGATTAGAGGATGGTCCGGCTTCCGAGCTTGAGCTGCTGGAACCTGAATCTCCGCCTGATCCGGATAGAGATCCTGAGACTGAGCTGTTCCCCGCTGTTGAGATACCGTCAGGAGCTTCGCTTGGACCTAGAGGTGAATCGATGGACGCATAAGGATGATTTGAGCTGCTACTTGAAGCTGCTGCAAGATAGCTAAACGTAGATGGGTCCGGATGTTCAGGATCTGAAGGTGACTTCTGAATCGTGATATGACGAGTAAATCTGGCAGGGAGGACGCTGTTCGGTACACGTAAAGGTATTGATCGAGTACATCTTCGGAGCGCCAACATCACTGGCGGTGACGATGGCATGCTTTGTCGTTATGTGTGATGATCGTACAGTACGATAGAGGTCTTACAGACAATTACCAGCGGCAAGCAAGCGTTCCAATTGTACCCAAACAGCTTACCTAAGCATATATGATTTGGGTATTTCGGCGATCACCGCCTGACGTCAAGATCCCCCGATCGACGCTATAATTGCTAATTGCTGCAGTTCTTGCTCTTTCATCCTTCCAACAATAACCACAGACATCCACAGACCTCACGATCACGATGAGCTCCCTCACACGACTATTCGCGGCTCGATCCATTCGATCTCTACACACTTCTACCACCTTGCGAACTAGCACTGGATACGGTGATCCTCCCGAAGAGAAGGCACAAAACCATACACCTACCCCTTCATCGACGCCCGATCCCAAGCAGGGCAATCGTACCGGTACAACCGATCCCGAAGTCGCTCAAAAGACGGGGAATCAACCTGGTACCAGCAAGGATGGAGACGATCAGCCTAGTGGACAGACTATTCGAGAGACCAAAAAGGTCGGGGAGAAGCCCAAGAAGGAATGAAGAACCCATATGGGATGCATGGCGATGATGACATGATGATGGAGGAGAAATTATGTTCCATACAAATGCTATGAAGTCTTGGGAGTAAGGACCAGGTCGTGCGATCATGCTACATGACGATGGGACGGACGCGAATTGGTGCGAATGGGCGGGGCGCAATGATGGGCGATGCGTGACCGATAAAGTCTGCCGAGGAGGGCTATTGTCTCGCTACAGCGGCAGCTCGGCTTGCTTTGGTGAAATCCACAAATGTATGTCTAAAATCCTTTGCTTGTTGCGTCTTGAGGCTTTGAATCAGTTGATTGGCGTACTCTGGCGGGCAACCATCTTTGGGCAAGAGGTCATTGAGCATGAAATCGATTGCTTCTTGACCTCGAGCCTGAACAGTGTTTCGAATGACGATGGCGATTTCCATGACCACCTGAACATTTTCAGTTCCTTTGTTTGTTCGTGGCAGAGCTCACCTGTACTGATCCTTGGAGTCCGTTTTTGTGACCCACAGGGAAGTGAAAACACAGAGGCAAGAGTCGCGAGTAGATAAAATGCTCGTAACCTGGCAAAGCCTGCCTTGCGTCCTTCGGTATGGCATGCTGGTTGGTCGGAGCTGAAGTCCCGTTCCCCACCGCTTTGCTCTTGTCCGACATGGCACTGTCAGCAAAAACGCTTGGCGCAGACGCATTCGTGCTCCAGGCAATGACAGAACGGGAGAAGAAGGCAAAAGCAAGCCGTTGACTGGCATCGTCCTCGGGATCTTCTGCGTATCCAAGTAAAACGTTCAGGAGGTTTTCGAATTCGGGCTTGTTGCGCTCGGTGATGAAGATGCCATCCAGATTGGCGTTCATGATGCCAGAGAAGAATGCGAGACATGCAGTCTTGAGTCGATTGTGTGTGAGATGATCATCGGTGCCCGTGATGGGCGACTGTAGGACGGAAAAGATGCGGGAGAGAAGAGGAAGCAGAAGCATGTCCATGGTGGAAAATGCGTTGGACTGGGGTCAGTGTATGCTGCTCTTAGAATGCATCCCTCACCTTGAGACGATGCATGAGAAGACTGAGGAATTGGAGAAAGTCGGACAGCTCGGATGGCTCATACTCGCCGACCACACGGATGACAAAGCCAGGAACCAGCTCGGCTACCGAGGAACCAATGGCGTTGACGAATTGGGAAAAGGTGAAACGTGCCGCATCTCTGATAATTCGCCGAGTCTTCAATCGATCCAGTGTTTGGAGTAACGCCTGAGTCAACTGTTTAAAAGCAGGCTCGTAGGGAAGAGTCGATTCGTCTTGACTCGGATTGAGGATCGGGAAGCCTTTGGCAAAATGACCCAGCGCCATCAAACTATTGTGGACCTTGAGCACATTCTGAGGTGAATCGGTAGGATCGGTGAGATCGGAGACGAGAGGCGCAGCGACAGCTTCCAAAAGGGCAAGTTGCTGTGTGGGATCGCTGCGGACCAGGGAAATGAGATTACCAGCAGCTTCATAGATGTATAATTGATCCGAGAGGTAGCTTCTTCCAGTGGTGGCCTTGACGAGGACATCCTGTTCGGGAAAATCGGGAGTGGGGAGGGCCGAGTCGATGGGAAATAGGTCCTGACATCAGCGGTGGACAAGGAACCATAAACTCACTTTCAAATTGTCCAGCAGAGGGGAGACCATCTCCGTCTCTAAATCCAAACGACTCGACGCGATAAATCTGGCGAAGAGGTAGAAGCACCTCCGTCGGACGTCCAAATCAACATGATGAATGCCTCGGGTCATAGCCTCAATGACTGGCTGTACCGCACCGGGTCTCGTCTTCCAAAATTCAACGTATCGCAATGTACATTCAAAGTATTGCAGCATGACGCCAGGATGAGGATAGTTGATGATGCCTGATTCCATACATCGGAGGAGCAGCTGACCGAGAGGTGTAAGGGGATACACGGTGTAATCGATCCTCTCCTTGCCACCGTAATAGATGCCATCGATCATGCCGTCGTCCGAGGGTGTCGATCGACCCGAACTCTCGCCTAGTGATTTGTTGATACTCAGGCGGTGAGCACGATCACGACCAGCTTTGCTGAGTAAATCTGCTGGAAGATTATAGAATGCTGCACGGCTGTTGGCCTTGTTCAGTTCACCAAAAGTGTAGACGAGATGCAGTGCCAGCTCGGCTTGTTGCCACGGGACAGTTTCCGACCGAGCCAAAGCGTCGAAAGTGGAGAGAACGATACGCGCAACGATGTCTGTGTGGAGATCCTTGTCAATTTGAGCGACAGACTCGATGAACGAGCGGCAAGTAGTGCGGACCAAGCGGATCTGAGCGAGGTCGTCATCTGGATCGGGCTCGTCGGCGGTCGGGGCTTCCCAGTCAGAATCGGTGGGCCAAGCCAGCTTGCGAAGGGAAGTGTCGAGTATAGTCGACATGAGCGAGCGAGTTTCGGGGGAGAGGGGTTTGGGAGGTGGCGGCATCTGACCACGCGGAGGAGGTTTCACCACATACATGGATTTGAACTAACAATCAGGAGAGAACCTTAACTCTCACTCACCCTTCGGAGAAGCTCCGTCATACATTGAGAAACTGAGAGGAACACTTCGGGCGAGGGGTCGGACATGAATCGTAGAATGATTGGAATAGTTTTAGCGAGAAGAGGTTCAATCTTTGCTGAATCGGCGGACATGTTGATGAGTTCAGTCGCATAAGAGCCGATTAGAGTTCCAAGAGCTGCGCGAAAGTCGTCCTCTTTGGCATTTGGCTCGAGTTCGTCTACAAGGCTGGCGATATCGAGGATGCCAAAGACTTGCAGGCGTTCAGACGTATCTTGCATGCCTCGAGTGACAAGGGTGCGGAAGATGGTAGCTGTCGGGACTTTCAATGGAGTGGATTTGATGAGGCGTTGGTAGAATGCTAGAGTATCTGGAGTGAGGGAAACGGAGAGGTCGATCCAGGCTGGGTGGCGTCAGATAAGTCCTGAATACTCGAACTCACGGGTCCAGGTGGCAAGTGTACGGACAGCCTGGTCGGCAATGTCTAGCCATTCAGGCTTTTCTAAAGCCGCTTTGGCAAGGTTTATGAGTCCCTCTACGGCCTTGTTCTCATCGCCGGTTGTTCGAATGGCATCGCGAACCAATCCATCCCTATGAGATCGTTCTTTAGTGAATTCGCGAGCGGATTTGATCGTTGGATCATGGATTTCGAGCGCTATGTCACTCAAGAGATGGACGGCAAGGTGTACTGGATGACGATTGGATGAGGGAGTGAGAAGGTCGAAGAATGGGTGTAGAAAGGTCGGCAGGACGTCTGGGTACGTATCGAGGAAAAGGTAGGCGAGAGTCGAAGCGAGTTTGTTGCGAAAGACTGTGGGCGGCGGGCAAAGAGTGAGCGACCATTGAGCACAAGCTTGCTCGCTCCCACTCACAGCTCTGTCCTCCTTCGCATGGGCCCGAGACCCATTCTGTGTTGATATACTCGACGAGAGCGTTGTAGATGCTTCGCTTATCGTCAGGCGACAACGCAGTGGCTCTGATGATGTGGTGAGTTTAAATACTTAGTATGGACGTATGTGCGTTCCAAGCTCACTTCTTCGTCAAGACGTTGTCTACGACTTGTTCACAGTATATCCGCAGATCCGTATCGAGCTTTTGCTTCCCATCTCGTGAGCTCGTCGATGGCCCAGCACCTGCACCTTGGAGCCAGAGCGAGAGGCAATCCTACGAGTTTTTCCTTGTCAGGAAAGGAGCGAGCAGTGTCACGCGACAATCACTCACTTGCCAAGTCTCTTCACAGAGTTGTCTGACCTTGTCAAGGTAGTCGATAGCTTGTTGTTTGAGTGCTGGGTCAATGCTTGGATCTATGGAAGCGGCAATGGAGACTGCTTGAGGGATTTGGACGAGGTGAGAGGACATTGCTGGCTGTCCCTCCAAGAGTCCAGCTCCAGCGAGCGGTCTCGGTCGAGGAGTTGCGTGAGCAGCACTGCACCAGTGATCTGGCGACCCGATGCCTAGGCTATCAGGAGCAACACAGCCGTCAGAAGTGATGTTGACGAGAAGTTGAGTGATGATGCAGAAGAAACACAAGGAAAATGTTGTGGATTTTCAAGCCTCAACCAACATTTTTCGCGGGTGGACCGAAGGATCAATCGCCTATGACACGGGATGTCGGGAATGATGATGTATATGTTGATACAATGCATCAGGGGCAGCGAGAACATCCTAAAAGACTCCCTAAAGGACACGCCGTTGTGTTCCGACACACATTCAAAAGCCCCCAGGAGGTGTCTGGAGCCGCCGCCGCACCGGCATAGCCTACACCCTATCTTGCGTTCCTTCTTCTTCTTGTCCTTCGATACACATCTATCTCCTGTACCATCGCACGGCCTGTCTCTGCCTTCTCATCCTTCTGGACAGTTGCAGCATTCCGTACAATAGAGCCTCGGCAGTAGGTGGGCTGGATTATTGTCAGTCGGGATTTCAACCAAACCAGCGACCCACCATCCGGGGACATAAATATCAACAGGGACGATACGATCGCAGCCTCTGACGACAGAGTACGAGTAATGATAGTATCCACCACTATGACCGTCAGCAATGAGCCCTGGACTCTGAAGACTCACCCGTTCGCACACGATCCCATGGAGATTACCCATCTCGGCTCTGGCATTTGGTCATACACTAAAATCGTCAGTCGGAGCGATGCAAATCCCTTCCGCACCTTTTCTCAAGGCCGGTGCCATCTTGTTCGTCAATGTTCCAGCGACGATCATGATATCACTCTGTCTCGGACTGGCTCGAAAGACCACTCCTAGACGATCTTGATCGTATCGGGCCGCAGCCATGTGCCTAGTAGAGTGAGCGAGGATCGGGATGGCGAACGTACATCATTTCAACGGCGCAGCAAGCAAGACCGAAGGTCATGGGCCACATGGAGCCTTGCCGAGCCCAGTTGACAATCTTGTCAAGGGTCGTGAGGACGTATTCTGCTTGTCAGTCGAAAGCTGCTGCATATCAACCCACCAGCTCCATTACGTGGTGTTTCCAGACTGAGTTGATTCGAGCCCTGTTGAGCTCTGAGTGTAGCGGGGAGGGACGAAGAAGGGGAATTGTCTCGAGGAGAGATAGGAGTTGGCTTCTCCACTGGACGAGACGTGGTCAATGGTCGGAATGCTACAAGCACAAAGTCAGCGATTTGATCGAGATCGGCAAGGGACAGGTGGTTGGCTCACCGATCGTGGAGGAGGGTAGGAGTGTCGATCGAGAGACCAAAGCACCTGTACGTGTGAGCTTGATTATCTGCACCGATCATCTTACCTCTGCGGAGACCAGGAAGCATGCTCGCCATCGTGCTTGAGGTCTATGTGGTGATCCACTGTCCAATAGAGATCGCTGTATTAGGTCAGTGAGGTGGGTGAGAGGGGTGAATGAGGGACAAACGCCGGTGTGGCAGGAGTCAACCTTATCAACCGTACGTGTACAAATACCACGTCAGGTAGATATTTTGTGATAGCCGATCCGCTTTCAGGCTCGGGTCGAAATGTTCAAATACTTTGATCTTGGATCGTGTCTCGAGAGGTCACTGAGAGCTGTAGCCATGGCGTCAAGCGGCGCAGCAGCCGTTCGATATGCTCTGAGAACGTGAGTCGATACAGATCATTCCCTTGAGCTGACAGATCTAGTACGCTTGCTCCTCGGCTAGTCCACTCTTCGTCAGCTGCGACTGCAGCGTTCGTCCACCTCTCACCGAATGCTCTGGGCAAACGACCGGAAGTCTGGGTCACTGCACAACGCAGACATTTCTCATGGACTCCATGGAAGGCGTCTTCGGACACTGTAGATGCGACAGCGATAGAGACCTCGACACCCTCTGCGGCGTCCTCTAGCTCGGCAATACCCACTGCTACCTCTTCAGCGGACAATTTGAGCAATGCCATCGATAAAGCGGCCTCATCGTCGAGTCAGACCAGCATCACAGACGCAATATCAAACAATACTGGAGCAGCCGTTGATGCTGTCAACGACGCGGTCTCATCGACCGCCACGACTGCTACGACTTCCAATATAGCTTCCTCCGCCAGTGAAAGCACTTATTTACCTGGTGAAACACTTTCCACCATTATCGCCAACAACCTTGGCTCGAGCTCTAGCGCCAGCGCTGAATCTCTCAAATCCCTCCTTACGTCCCCTGAAGCCGTTGCTGCCCCTGCTACCGTCGCCGATCTCGCATCTGTCGGACTGGGGCACAAATGGTACAGTCTTTTCGGATGGGCGACTGATTTCCTCATTTCTGCTCATAATTTCACTGGTCTACCATGGTGGGCTACGATCATCGGTGTCAACATCTTCATTCGATTGATTCTCTTGCGAGTACTCATTCCGAGCATCAAACATAGTCACCGATGGGCAGCGACTATTCCTGAACAAGCGGCCCTGAGTGCCCGACAAAAGGCAGCGACAGCAGCTGGAAATCAGAAAGAAGCTATGGCTGCTCTTCTACAAATGAGGAAATTATGGAGTGAACATGATATCCACCCATTGCGATCAATCTCCTTGCCTGTCGTTCAAGGGGCGACCTTTTTCGTCTTCTTTGTGGCCATCAGGCGTATGGCGACTACCCCTTGGCCTCAATTCGTCGACGGTGGTTTCGGTTGGGTCCAGAATTTGACAATCCCCGATCCGTACTATATCCTTCCCTTGACCAGTGCTTTGGCAACTATCGCTGTCATAAGAGTAAGTTAAAATCTCACGAGGTACGACCTGCTGCCTGCTTGCTGACTATCTTCAGACCGGCGCAGACGGTGCCAATAAGTCACAAGCCAGGACAGGATTCGCGGTTCACCTGCCCAATATCTTTACCATGATGAGCCCAATCTTCTTCGTTGCCGCGAGTCAATTTCCAGCGGTGAGTCTTTCTGACCCATCCCCAACCCCTTTGCTGACAACTGTAGGCTGTCACCCTTTTCTGGTCCATCTCCAACTTTTACTCCCTCCTGCAGGCGAAGGTCCTGAAGCAACCTCGGGTCAAGTCGATTTTGGGCATTGAGACTCCAGCCCCAGCGCCGACTGCTGTACCTGCCCCGCCAATTCCGGAACCGACATTGAGAGAGTCTTTCCGAGCCGGGATCGACTATTTGATGGGTGGGAAAGCACAGATCGACAAAAGGATGGGCTACAACCAGCCTCCAAGGACTGCAGAGACTATCATTGAGCGACCTCGGAAGAGGCCCAGCAAGTAGAGCATGCACATCTCTATGATCATACATTCGGCTTGACTTCACGCGTGCCAATCTCTCCTTCATCGCCGATGCCACCGTCTCCCTCCTTTTCGTCATCAGTGAGTACCACACTGTTGCCCTCAGAGTCCACGTCGCCTGTAGGTTTGGTCTTTCTACAATGTCAGCTGGGGCTACTCCAGGACGGACATACTTTTTGACGCTCGACTTTCTGCCGTTGGTTCTCAACCCGGGAGCAGGGTTCGGAGGTCGCAGATTGTCGTGAATCGGTTCGTGCAGGCCACTGCTAGTTAGTCGGGCCCCTGAATGTCCACCTCACTATATTCTGTACAGCTCGAAAACGGCTTGTTCCTGATGTCAGAAATGCTCCAGGGGGGAACCCCTTACCTTGTCCTTTGCCTGAGGGGGTCAGTCCGATCTCAATGGCATCAGACTCACCTCAATCATCAAATCCACATCGTCTGGCAGATCAGGTGGCAGCACCTTGCACCTGTCGGCGTGCGCACGCTTCTCCATCACAGTCTCTGCGCCTGGACGAGGTTCTGACAAGTGTTGCTTCATTCTGATACCACGCCGATCCCAGATCTCCTTGATCTGAGGTATGAGCTCGCCAGGAGGTTGAGCAGAGGGATTAATCCAGTCGTGATGCTATTGTCAATGGAGTTCGTGAGAGAACAGCTCACATAGTCGAATATTCTGTGAGAGTCAGCATTGCCCGCCGCCCAGATGATCTCACATTGGTATACTAAGCTCTCGACTGATCGGCAGCAGGTCATCCACGTTGTAGCAAATCTGTCCGTCAGAATCTCTGGGCCGCACTCTGGTCCCTACCTCATCATTTTCCAACACCAATCTCGCTTTGACGGAATCACTCAGACGGGTAGTAAAATTCTCCTTAAACCTTGCCAACGTGCTCTCCTTATCCCCGTAGACGCCACCCATGTGGATACTTGATGTCAGGTGAGTGGCTCTCATCTCGACTCACATCATGACTCCGTCCTTGTCAATTCCCATCCGATCCATGATCTCACACTGATAGTCCAGTTCCCTAACCGAAGCTTTGATGACGGCTTCCTTCGGGGAACCTAACTGGGTAAACTGACCCGGATGCATCGTCAATCGATGACCGTACTTCTTCGCAAGCTCTCCCGCTTCTTTGAGCTCGGCATCGGCAAACGATAAATCATATCCGTACTTCTCGTGCGAGGCGAATGGGAACATTTCAGATGACATGCGCAGGAATCGGATTCCATTCTGCTCGTTCCACTGGACTTGTCAGCCGGAGTGCCTCAGTCAGAGTCTCACTTCAATCATGACCTTGAGATCTTTGACGTTCATCATCGCCAAGCCTTTCGGTAGTTCCATCCCTTCTTCTTCAATACTTGCTATCCGACATGTCCGCGAACAGAAGATACTGTCGGGTTTGATCGATCTCAAGACGGTATTTAGGCAAGCATAGCCAAGGCGTCCTGGGCATTTCAGCCGACGCCAAGATTCCTTTCGCTCACCTCTAAAAGTCGTTTCCTTGCGTTCGACGGGCGGAATGTCATATTCGATCTTTGGATAAACCTTTGGCTTTCGCTTCTTCTTGATGATCTCCTTACCGTCCGAATCAAACTCAGGTTCATCCTTTGCAATCCGAGACTTCTTCGGTGTCTTTACTTTTGGTTTAGACTCTGATCCTCCCGACGTATCGGGAGACGCGTCAGCTTCCTTCTTTACCGCCTTCGGTGCTGGTGTCGTCGCTTCATCTACTTCATTCTCCGCTTTTGTCCGTTTCCGCTTTGGTGTCGATGTGCTCTTGGAAGCCGCTTTTTTCCGTTTCGGCTTGATATCCTCTACAGGCTCCTCTGCCTCACTTGATAACGGCGTCAACTCATCGTGTGGGAGAGGAATGATAGGTGCAGGAGGGATATGCTCCAGAGCATGGATCATCGTTGTCGTTGTCGGGGGAGGAGCCGCCGCAACATTGTTCGACGGTGCGGCCGCCGAGGCCGCTGCCACACTCGCCCTTGTTCGTCTGGCCATGATTGGCTGAACCACAACAATTCGAACTAATGGTCTTGCCAAAGCTATCCTTATTCCTGCTCGCAAAGACATTCAAAAGAAGAGTGGATGGTCACAAACAAACCATTCTAGGATCCTACAGGAATCTTTCGGTTGCGATCGCTCTTCACCTCCGAAATCGCGGATTCAAAAATGTTCATCATCATACGTCATCAGGCTGAGAGATTCCAGCGGGCGGTCAGCCTAGAAGGTCACGTGAGAATCATGACGGGGGCTTCAGGAGGCGAAGCTTTCATGGAGAATGAGAGTTATGTCTGGATGGGTGAGCGGGTATACCATTGCGCACTGAGCTGTGCTTTGTGGCTCGAGTCTCGCAGGAATTCTATGCACAGAGTCTCGCCAGACCTAACTGTGTAAAATAGCTGGCCTCTGATTGGCTGGAGTGAAACTCGGGTACCGGTGAAACTCCGGGACGACGTGTGTGAACTCAGTTTTCGATCATCTTGATGCTATGGCAATATTTCGACTCAACAAGGACCAAAGATTGATACTGAAGACGACTATAGTCAGCCTACTCTTCATCACGCTAGCCAGCTACCTCAGGGGACATCGGAATTTGGCCGTTGTAGGCCTCATCGCCAACGTCTCATTTGGTCTGTTGGGACTTGTTTCTGAATCAGTACCTCGTGACGTTGCTAAAAACTGAATCGTCTGGTCAATTCTCTCACCATGGGCCTTCGTCGAAGTAGATCACTGCCTCTGGAGCTCAATGAGCTGGGACGAGAAGCAGACGTCAATGTCGAGCCGGAGAGACCTTCGACTTTCGAATATCTCCTGTCATGGCTTAAAATGGACAAAGCCACAATAGCAACTATACGATCGCGGCTCCAATTGATCAACCAAAAGGGCCTTCGAAAGACATATGGTCTGTCGGGAATATCCATTTTTCGATCCATTGTGATGGTCCTGTTCCTAAATCTCATCTTTGTGACTGTATACGATGGAATCAAGTCGTCTTTCCGGGAAACCCGCTTGAGACGGTTATTAGGGACGGGGGGTTCAGATAGGACATGGGTCTTTAGTCATAACGACGAGATGCACGGAACAGAGGCATTGGTGAGTCTGAATCCTCTGCGTCCCTTCCCGGGGTCGGATCTGATGGCTCTCCAGACTCTGGCGTTGGGCCTAGGTGCAGGAGCGATCGAAGCGGACGTGTGGCTAGGTCCGACGATCCCGCTATATTCTGGTCAAACTGAATGGGATCTCTTTGTCGGTCATCGTCAAGCCGATACAGCAGCACAGAGGTCTCTCAAGCAAGTCTACCTTGATCCCCTATTGGAGAAATTATCTAGTCTAAATGATACGTGGGCACCCGAAACATTGCTGCTGATAGATTTCGTGAATGATCCGAAATGACTCCACGCTCATTGCTGCTCTCAGAAACATCAGGGCGAAGCCATGTTCTCACACCTTGAGTCCGCTCTCCAGCCTCTCTTGGCACAAAACCTCCTTACAACCTATGATCCCAAGACCGCGACCTGGCATAAAAGTCGACTCCGAGTCGTTGGCACGGGTGAAACACCTCTCTCTCGAGTCATCCACCAATCACCACGATACATCTTCTACGACGCCCCTTTGACTCGCCTTTCCGAGCCTCACACTGTCCCCGCTACGTCCTATAGCCCAGAAACAATCATCGAATTCACACCTGAGATATCTCCCATCGCTTCAGACCGTCTACCCATATCCTATCACCTCGGTATATTTTTCCCTAAATGGAGGCCATTGAACCCTTTCATCGAATTACTGCAAGCATATTCAAACGAAGCTAGACGAAGAGGCATCGAACCGCGATGGTGGGGCTTCCTTACTGAACCTAGATTTATAAGGAAGAAAATGTGGCGTTTGCTCAAGGCTGGGGGATCAAACTGGATCTGCGCGGACGATGTCTTAGGTGCGACAAGGTGGTTGCAAAAGTGGGATAGGAAACAAGCGCGAATGGCCCAAATGGCCAAAGATCTAGCAGAGACTGTTTAGCACGCCAGCAGGCTATGCATCCGTTGTACAGTTAGAACAAATCGATTACTTGACAAACCATTTTGACCCTTTACCCCATTTACCGGCTTTTGGTCCCCAGCCATCTGCTACACCCCAAACATGCTTCTCACTGATCACCGGCTTGCCATCGGGCAGATCCTCAGCTCGGGGATGCAGCCTCTCAGGGCGCGAGTAGCCAGCTTCCGTGGCAAAGTCGTCGTCATTATCCGGCAAATTACGTTGATGCACGCGAATCGATTCTTTGCCACTCGCAGTTTCCCAAGTCCTGGCAGAAGCGTCTAGGGGGAGCCAATTCTCTTCAAAATAGGTCGGCGACGTGGTCATCTCATCTAGCCTGGACACGGCCCGTTTCTACAAGTCAGGCAGCATTACGGAGGTTTCACTTACGTATGCAAATCGCTCATCTTCTCCTGTCCAGATGCCCAGCACGGAAAAAGCACTTGCTTTCTCACCTTCCTGAACATCTCTCTTGTCCCTCGCTTCACGTTCACCGGCGTTATACACACTGACATTTGGATGAGCGGATGCGTGTAAAGTCTCAGATAGCGCTTCCGCAGCCATGATCGCATCATTAGAATCCGCTCCAGGAGCCTGAGCAGAAACAGCATCCGGGAAGAAAAGCTGATCGAGAGGTGTCTCGGCCATGATGTACAGCTGACACCGAGACTCATCTGAATTGTCAGCGTGTATCACTCATTGTGACTCACAGAGAGCATCCACTAAGTTGATCAAACGTCTTGCCTCATTCTTATTCTTCAGCAAGAGCACGGGAACCTTGTCCAAAAATATGGTAGAGTATCGAGAGGCAATCGTGATGTAGTCGGCGGGACCGAGCGACTGGAATTGAGCCATGCTCATTTCTCCTGTACCTACTTCTTCACACAGATCCGCAAATGAGGCTCGACAGACGCTCCCAATGGCAGCAGGAATCTTGACTTTTCTGCTGTAAACTGACAGAGTTTCGGGCGGCGTGGCTTTTGGTCAGGGATGGTCCTCAAAACTTTCCTCTTACCGTTGCCATGCGTTACGTCCTGCCATGCTCGATCGAATCCGTTCCTGTCCCGGTACCACCTGACCGCTTCTCCATCTGTCCTTCGGAAGTCTCTGCCCCCATCAACCTGAACCACCTCGCATCGCATCTTGAGGGCATCTAAGAAACCCGACATGCGCTCCTTTTGAATTCCAGCGTGATACAGAGAGTCGGGTACGCGGTTCTGTGAGATCAGCGAGAGAGAGAGACAGGCGATGATGACCACGCACCGAGCAAGTCACTATGACACCTCCCATGCGCCAGTACCACGTCAGAACATCCCGTAAGAGCGCAGCAGACGACGCATCGACCAACTGGAGCTCGTCGAAGCTTCGCAACACGTTAGCACATTTCTTCCCAAGATCCTTACTATAGGATATGATACTCCAACATCATTTCTCTCGCAACTGACGCGCGCGCTTCAGTCTCCGATTCATCAAGCGAAACTCACCGATGAACGGGATAGTCTCATCGCCTACACCTGAATCACCATCTTCCCATCTACCTCCCGCGAAAACGCTCTTCCATCCTCGCTTCGCTGCACGCTCCATGTTTTCGATTTTCTCAAGATCAGTACCATGTCTGCGCTTTTCTAGCTCTAGAAAGACCCGACGGTATAGATAGAGAGTAAAGGCGTGGTAGTGCCATCGTCGTTTGTGCTTTGTCGGGAGGAGGTCGAAGAATAGGGACAGTAGGAAGGATTTGCCCGTACCTGAGGTCAGAGCAGTACGCGAGAGCACTCTCACCAGGCGGTCCTGTCAACATGATACCCTAGGCATCAGCATCATTGCCAAGTGCTCGGCTCACCTTTGGCGTCCGCAGTGCCTCAAGCTCTTCCTGTCCACTCAAAATCCTGACCAGGCTCGTCTCGTCATCCTCAGTCGCCCTGGCCTTGCCTTTCCACCATGAAGAAGAGGAAGAGCGGGAAATGTCTCGTTGACTGATCGTTCGAGCAGGATCAAGCTTTGCCAAGAGGGAGACCGGAGGAGCATAATCACGTAGCTCTTCGAGGAGGTGCTTAAGCTGCGAGCTCAGTATTGGTGAGAAAGACAGCGACGTACTTTGACTATGCATCTTATCTGTTCATCATCCCATTCAAGCTTTCCTTGAGCGACCAAACCTCGATATACTTCGAGTAGATCGGTGGTTGAAACAGCCGATTCCGTCGAAGAGGTATAGGATCGCAGGTGGACGTGATGAGGCGCTGTGAGAGTTGCTTCCGTATGGACTCGAATCGTCGAAACTGGTTGAAGAGCATAAAAGACGCATCCTGGTCGCCTTAGAGCAGCTCTGGCTCCCTTCGTGGATCTGACGATGCCCTTCATCGTTATATACTGGTACAAGAGCCGGTTAATGACGATCGATCTGCTCAACTTCGGGCCGGAACTTTATCAGTGGGTTGTCAGATATGCCACGTCATTCTCTCCTTGATCCCTTGGCCCGCTGCAGGACCCTCCTCTCCCCATCTCAGGTGATCATTTGGGATTCTGCTATTCAACGAGCTCGATCTTGTCAGACGAGTGAACTAGAGTCGAACAAAGGGCTAATCCCGCTGCACGAATTCACATCGTGCCAGATAGTCACTCGCTGCCTCAGATCGCGTGGATCCTTCCCACCTAACACTCGTAAAAAATGGTAAGGGTCCATGCTCCATACCTTACGATGCTGGTACTCATGATACATATCTAGGCCGGCGCCATGGACAGGGCAAAGAAGGAGTTGCCAAAGGTGAGTGTGCATCACCAAGGCCCATTCGACCCCCTTGTCCGAGCTATCATCCATTCAAATCCATCTGATCCCCTTTGTCCAGGTTCGAGATGAGGAGCGAGAAAAGATGTTCGGAACGGTCTTCTCGTAAGTTGATTCTCATCGGCTGTCTGATTAGCCTTGACTGATGGGTTCCTAAGCGTCTCCGGTCCCGTCGTTATCGGAGAGAACATGAGAGGATGTGCCATGTACGAATTGGTCAGAGTGGGACATCAAGAGCTGGTCGGAGGTGGGCCGGGATCCGCTCCGATAGTTCATCTCTGATGGGACTCTCAGAGGTGATCCGAATCGAGGCGGACAGAGCATCAATTCAAGTCTACGAGGAGACATCCGGTGTGACCGTTGGAGATCCCGTTTTGAGAACGGGTAAACCGCTCAGTGTGGAACTTGGACCTGGTGGGATACTGCTTTTTGATACCGTTGCTGATGCCCAGGTTTGATGACCAATATTTATGAGCGAGTTTGCCGTCTGTTGAATGGTACAGGGGTACTGACTTCCTCTTACAGTGGAATTCAGCGTCCACTCAAAGCGATCCAGGAAAAATCGCAGAGTATCTACATTCCTCGTGCGTCACCCTAAACCGTACCAGTCCTGACCACCAGGTGGCATCAACACCCAGGCCCTGGACAGACAGATCAAATGGGACTTCAACCCTGCAAGCTTCAAAGTTGGTGACCACATCGCCGGTGGTGACATCTTCGGATCGGTGTATGAGAACTCTCTGCTCGACAACCACAAGATCATGCTGCCTCCACGTGCAATGGGAACCATCACCCGGATTGCTGAGAAGGGTAGCTATTCCGTCGAGGTGAGCTCGTAGCGTGTGATCTGGACTCAACCATTCCAGGACATCGTCCTTGAAACAGAGTTCCAGGGAAAGAAGCAAGAACACACCATGATGCAACTGTGGCCGGTCCGAGCCCCTCGACCCGTCGCAGAGAAGATGACTGCCGATTACCCATTGTTCACTGGACAACGTGTCTTGGACTCTCTGTTCCCTTGTGTCCAAGGTGGAACTACTGCCATTCCCGGAGCTTTCGGATGGTGAGTTGTACGAGCAGGGCATATCTGACGTTACAGTGGAAAGACCGTCATCGTGAGATGCGAAGCAAAGTCTAGCTAATGGGGCCAGTCTCAAGCCTTGTCCAAATTCTCAAACTCTGATATCATCATCTATGTTGGTTGCGGCGAGCGTGGAAACGGTGAGCTGACTCCATACTGGACCTCTGCTGACATACAGAAATGGCCGAAGTATTGGCAGACGTGAGCATCAGGATCTATATCCTTCGCTAAACTCCCCAGTTCCCCGAACTCACTCTCGAACGTAACGGCCGTGAGGAGCCAATCATGAAGCGAACCGCTTTGGTCGCCAATACCTCCAACATGCCTGTCGCTGCGCGAGAAGCCTCAATCTACACTGGTATCACTCTGTCCGAATATTTCCGAGATCAAGGAACAAATGTTGCTATGATGGCAGACTCCACTTCACGATGGGCCGAAGCGTTGCGAGAGCTTTCAGGTCGTCTGGCAGAGATGCCCGCCGATTCCGGATATCCCGCTTATCTCGGTGCCAAGCTCGCTGGGTTCTACGAACGAGCTGGAAAGGTCACTTGTCTCGGCAGTCCTTCTCGTCACGGTACCGTGTCGATCGTTGGAGCCGTGTCACCACCGGGAGGAGATTTCTCAGATCCTGTCACAAGTGCGACGCTCAGTATCGTCCAAGTCTTCTGGGGTTTGTCAAAGGCACTTGCTCAAAGAAAGCATTTCCCTTCGGTCGACTGGAACGTTTCGTACTCGAAATACCTTAAGATTCTCGATGCTCACTATGAGAAACACGCCGCTGGATTCATCGACCTCCGAAGTCGAGCTCGAGAGATTTTGCAGAAAGAGCAGGATCTCGCCGAAATCGTCCAGCTGGTTGGCAAGAGTGCTCTCGGTGAATCTGACAAGGTCACCCTCGAGGTTGCGCGAATGCTCAAGGTGGGTCTCAGATTGTAAACTAAGCTGACTGGCTCAGGACGACTTCCTTCAACAGAATGGTATCTCTGAATACGACCGATACTGTCCATTTTACAAGACTCACGGCATGTTGAAGAACTTTGTCTACTTCTATGACCTGTCTCAGCGAGTCATTGAGACTGGAGACGTCACATGGGCAAAGGTAAGTAGAGGGAGCAAGCGCATCTCGCTGATACATCCCTGCAGATCCGAGACTCTGCCTCTGATCCCATTTACCAATTGTCTCAAATGAAATTCGAATCTCCCAACACTCAATCCGAAGAGGATATCACTGGCAAGTTTGACAAGCTCTACAATGAGATTGGAGAGACCTTTAGGCGTATGCAAGAGTGATAGATTGGTGTGTGGGTGGTGGACTCTCGTTTCTGACATGTAGATGCAAGAGCATGTATAAGCATTTGATTAGCTGGGCGGTGGCGACAGCGGGGGCCGACGATAATGTTCAAAAATGGCGTGATGGCGCGAAAACAATTCGGAAGATGAACGATGGGAGATGCGAGTGATATTCCGGACGAGAAGGAGGATGAGGGGATGATACATTCTTCTGACTTTGCACTCAGCCCTTGAAAACCTCCTATATCAAGATGCCATCTAGGACACTTGTGACGCGGGCTCTGCACCGTTGCAAGTCTCCAGCGCCCTCTCCCACAGTGTCGCATCCAAAGCCAAAGCCACACTTGGCCAATTACTCCCTACAGCAACCTCGTCAGACACCCTCTGAAACTTCCTTCGCATCACCTCACGCGCCTCAGTTGCCGAAACCTAGACGACCAGTCTTTAGTCCAGGTGGATTTGGACTTCATTCGAGTCGATCCAAGGGAAAGCATCGTGCTGATCAAGCTGCGACCACAACATCAGAAGAGTCCGAGGCAAGCTATGAGGTGGGCGGGCGGGCGAGGCGCCGCTGCCAAGGGATCCTCGTGGATGTGGAACGTCACTGATGGGATATTTTGTCTAGCCTCCTACTGCGACATTATCATATCATTCTCCCAATTCGCTACCCTTGCTATACTCTCCTGAGCCTCTACCGCCCTATGATCTGGCGTATGAGACCTGGGGCAAGCTCAATCCCGAACGGTCCAACGCCATCCTGATCCACACTGGGTTGTCCGCCTCTTCTCACGCCGCATCAGGTGGAAATGGTGTATCTTCCAATACTTCCTCCAAATCCGGATGGTGGGAATCTTTCGTTGGTCCTGGCAAATGTATCGATACAGATCGCTTCTTCGTGATCTGTACAAACGTTTTAGGAGGTTGCTTTGGATCCACTGGACCTAGCTCTCCATACCCTCTTGGAGAAGGCAATGTCAGATGGGCCACTCGATTCCCTTTGCTCTCCATTCACGATATGATTCGGGCTCAGCTAGGTCTGTTGGATCACCTGGGCATCGAAAAGCTTTATGCGTCCATTGGCAGTAGTATGGGAGGCATGTCGACATTAAGCTTGGCTTACATGGCCCCGGAGAGGGTTGGCAAAGTGGCCAGTATCAGCGCTACGGGGCGCAGTGGATTGAATGGTGTAGGTATGAGATATGCACAACGAAGTGGTGAGTCATAGACTAGCTGGAGTCGACAATGCTGAACTGTGGCCAAGTCCTCATGGCAGATCCCAATTGGAACAGGGGCAACTATTACGATGGCGTACCTCCTCACAATGGCATGAAGCTTGCTCGACGTGAGGGAACCTGGCATATTACGAAGTAACCCTTGCTGATCTGATTGCTTCTTAGAAATAGCTACTATCACCTATCGCTCCGGGCCAGAATGGGAAGAACGATTCGGACGTCGAATGCTCTCAGAACAAGAGACCGACGAAGCGGGCCATGCGGGAATACCCAAGCTCGGTCCAGACTTTCTCATTGAGACGTACCTCGATCATCAGGTAAGCAAGTAGCATGTCCTGCAACATTGATCTGACAAATTTCTCACTCTCACAGGGTGAACGATTCTGCCTAACGTACGATGCCAACTCGATGATATATATCTCCAAGGCCATGGATCTCTTTGACATGACTGCTCCGGCTCTCACCGCGTTGGCTCAGAAGTTCTCCGAGGCATACACCGACCCCTCTGTCCCTCCCTTTCCATTCCCCAATGATCCGACCAGTATCACCGCCTCTAGACCCTCCGATCCGAGAATCCCAACGCATCATCAAGAATCTGCAGAACCCGACGAAGCAACCAAGAAGAAAAAGTTCATCCCTACTTCCAAATCGCCTCATCTTAGAGAGCTAGCAGCTGGTCTCAAGCGTCTAAAGGATATACCGATGCTTGTTCTCGGCGTTCAAAGCGACGTCCTCTTCCCGGTCGAACAGCAGAGAGAGCTAGCGGATGCTCTTACGCTTGCGGGAAATGAGCATGTCACATATTATGAGCTGGGAGGAGTCTGGGGACACGACACTTTCCTTTTAGACTTGCAAGGCGTAGGAAACGCTATTCGAGGGTTCCTAGGATCATCGTAGTGGGAGAATTGATATGCACGTGTGCACAGTGTACAACATTTCTCGAGTGATTGATCCCTACTCCAGACCCGATATGGCGCCAGCGTCGTCTGTACCCAGAAGCCTGCCGACAAATCAGCAAAGAGCCATTGCTGCCGCACTCACGCAAACTCCTTCATCAGCGAGCACTCGCCTCCGTTCTCCAGATCGATATTGTACGCTTGAAACAGCCCCTCCGAGGAGAGCACCATTATCTGAGGAACAGTACTGGAGATGATGAGCCTTGCCGTCGTGCGGCAGCGACTCACCCGGACATGGCCACCACTGTCCTGCCTTGGTTGCTTCTGAGTTTGATGTATGCAAAGTCCCTCTGTGGTTCCCACATTTCACTAACGCTCCGAGGCAGGTATCCTCCAACGCCTCCGACAAAGCTCTTCCCAATGTGATACGAGCGACGTTTGAGGGAGCTCGTCGCGGTATGACCTGAACCAGGTGGTGACGATCCTGGAACCGGCGTACTGGGTGCTTCTGACAATGTCGGCGACCTCTCTCCACCGTCATTCGAGGCATCTCCACTCCCACCACCACCGCCACCCATTGCTCCTCCCTTTGATCCTTTGCCGGGTCCAGCCAATCGGTAGATATGGATGGTTGAGGAATCCGAAGAGACTGCCAACAAGGTCGACATGAGGTTAAAATTGATACTCCAGATCCTCGCAGAAGAGCTACCTCGTCTGAACTGCCACAGCTTCTTGGCATCCGGGACTGAGAATACTCGAACCACTGTCCCCTTGTCTGAAGCAGTTGCCAACATTGTCCCCGTGGAATTGAGTGCCAAGCAGGCTATGGGCGACTTGTGTGCCTGGATGACATTCAGAGCTGAAAGGGAGATGGTGTCGAAAAGGAGGACATCGCCTGTCGTTGGCGCTGGCGGAGGACCCGGAACGGACATGGTGGAAGGCATGGGAGTGGTTGAGGCTGCAGAAGGGGAGGGATATGCAAGGTAGGAGTGTTCACTATCGGACGAAAGGGAGCAGACGGCTAGTTGAGCTCAGCATGACGATCGGAGAGCAGTCCGGAAGAGTCCACTGACCATTTGGATTCGGTCCTGTCTCAATCGTATGTAATAGCTTCATGGTTGAGATGTCGTAAATGTAGATCTCGCTCTCGAGCACTACTATCAAGCGTTTGCGGTTCATCTTGACGGAGAGTACGGAAGTAGGGAAAATGAGCTCGCAGATGGTTGACTGGCGCTGCGATCCCAAGCCTATCAGCGCTAATGCGACTCCAACCTGGGTCGGATCACTCACCTTTGTATTGACGATTTGCAACTTGCGAGGGGAATTATTGGGTTGGGTGTCAGCCGCACCGACCAATGCCACCAGAGATGTGCAGAAGAGCATTTCCACGATACCCGTTGCACCCTGATCATCTACAGAGAGAATTGTGAGCTTTTCAGTTCAGGTCGGAACTGACGAACTCTTCGAATGGACTTTGCCAAAAGGATCACAGTTCAAGATTGTGTACCCTTTCTTGTGACCGACAGCGATACATGAGAAATCCTGGTTGAAGTTACAGCTCTTTTCAGACACGTCAGCTTTGCGGACTTTTGCCAACAGCATTTTATCTCACCAGCAGCTCTGGATGCCGCTTGGTCGTGAGCTTGGACATGATGCGAAATCTGGTCAAAAGAAGGATGTACAGGATGCAGCAGCAGACATGAACAGCTGTGGCAAGGAATTCGCGCGCTGATTGATTTCCACCGGAATCTTTTGGGCCCTTTGGCCGGGTGAGATGGGACGCGGCTGATCTTTTGACGACGGGGCTATATGGGAACGACCATGCATGCAACTACCAAGGCTTCCACCATTTCTTGGGTCCATAGCCTATCTGCTTCTTCTCATTCGAAGCGAGGCCGGACGGAGCAGCGGCGGAATGTTGAGGATAAGGCCAATTTTGAAGCTGATGAGGTGGAGGGAAAGGATACGGATGATCGTATTCTGGCTGCCGTGATGGGGATGAAGTTTTGGAACGGAGGTTCCAGAGAGCAGAATTTGTCAAGATGACCAAGAATGATAAAGTGGACAATGTGAATCCCTGATTGAAGCGTCAGCATTGGCACCGACGACCCCACTCACCATCGTTTTCCAGCTTATTGGCTCGACGAAAGAGTTGATCACGCTGGCAAATGTTTCCGCGAGCACGCTGGTCCGTTGGACTTTTGTCGGGTCTCGCTTCAGACAAGCTTCCCAAGCTTTGCATGGAGCGTCCCTATGTGAAATTATGTCAGCAGAAGAACTAGGAGGCTGAAGACGAGGCTTACATGGCGGGAACCCTCAGTGCCGGATCACAACGATTTGTCAGGTACAGATGATTACACTCTGCTATCTCTTGTAAAATCTCTGCGACTGTCAGCGCATCGTCTTTCTGATTCAACTCACCCGTCGACACTTCTATCATTCTGTCATGGACATCTCGTCTGATGGCCAGCAAGAGGTGTAAAAAGAGGTACAGAACCGCAAGGACCACAGCGACATTAACGAATACCTGGACATACCTGAATATAAGGTGGGGTGTTCAGTGTGGTGTGACGTCGAGATTTGACGTACCCGATAAGCAAAGATGGGATTTCCGTATGGCGTAGACTCGGAGCATGTGTATGGAAGTTGTAATGATGTTGATGCTCGGTCCTTAGAGGTTCAGTCTGACGACTTGTCAGTCCTTCAATGGCAAAATATGGCCTTACATTCCCCTGATTTCTTTGCTGGTCCCTCTTCTTCTCTCTCCGTTTCAATTCCCTTTTCATACCTCCCTTTGCTATGGGCCTGGATCCAGAAGAATGATTCTCTTGACCTCCATCTGTACTCTTCGAGCTGCTCTTCGTCTCTGGCCTATCTGCAGTCAACGGAGGTGCCGGCGGCGGCGGGGGTGACGGTAAATTTGTCGACCGATCATCCATGACTCGTCTATCGGGACTCTCAAACATCTCCACATCCTCTGCACCCCTAGCGATTCCTCGTTGAGGTGTCGGACCATATCCTAGGTTCTGAGGCGTTATGTCCATGGCATAAATAGAGTCCCAGGATTTTGTAGGTGTCTCTGGACGATCCCGAGAGGGAAGGTAAAACATGAAGGGGACGTTGGAATCGAATCGTAGACCCTGGGTAGAGCTTGTTGAGCTTGATGGGAACGCATGGCTTGAGGGCGAGGACAGGTCATTATGTGGTCCTGAGGACTCGTGTCAGTCGTCATTTCAGGCGGCGAAACGCTCTCACGTTTTCGCGAGGGACCCTCCTCATGATCTGGTAGAGCGAATTGAGCGATCCTAGCCGATGGATCAGGTTGATCAATGTCCATAGGGCCGTATGTAGCTCGAGGCTCGTGTCGGTACATGATGAGGGTACGGTGAGGAGCAATCTGACTCCAAAGACACCTCTTATCCCCTCCGCTCGCTGCTCAAATGCTCGTTCAAGCTGACCAGAGTAGTCATCGAAAGGCAAAAAGATGGACTTTCGCGAAAACATTTCATTCAACCCAAAATATCCCATCAAGTCGACCTCTTGACACTTGACCATTGATCATCATGTCAACAGGTGAATTGAGAATCCTCGCATGAGCCTGAGATCGGAGCTGACGTTGGGGACTCAGGTGATCAATCTCTCCAGCCACCCGCGGATGGGATCTCCGCGCTTGCATTCTCAGCGGATTCACAGCGTTTATTAGTAGCTTCGTGGGATGGGGTGAGGCTCAGGCATCGGTTGGCTCGACTGACGTTTCTCTCAGAGCATCCAACTCCACGAGCTGACCATACCACCGACAGCTCCTAGAATGTGAGTCGTGTCTTGGTTTTGATCTCTTAACACGCGTCACAGCTTTACACATCCTGCTGCTGTCCTCAGCGTGACTTTCGGATCTTCATCCAATACTGCGTTTTCTGGAGGCTTGGACAAGCGCGTCAGAGAGTGAGGAGACTTGCCAACTCGAATGACCTTAACACTGATTCTTCCAGGTGGAATTTTGAGACTGGTCAATGTCGCGTGCTTGGTAAACACGATGATGCCGTTTCCTCTATCGTGTGGTGTCCCGAGAAGCGTGAGCAACCCAGGCAGGCGGTGGACCGACTGATCTGACTTTGCGTAGAGATCCTTCTGACTGGCTCATGGGATCAAACACTAAAAGTCTGGACCCCGTGAGCCCGATTTCATATACGCTAGCTGCGGACCATCGACCTGATGTGCTTCTCCAGCTCCTCTGACTCTCCTCTCACATCCTCGCACAATCTCCCCAACCGAATCTACAGTATCGCTCACAGTCCTGCTACCTCCAAAGTTCTCGTCTCAATGGCCCACAGACATGTCTGGGTCTTTGATGCGGGGGCCCTGGCCTCTGCAGCTCAAGGACAGACATTGCAGCCTGAACAACAGAGGGAGAGTGCCTTGAAATTCTTGACGAGAAGTATAGCCTTGATGGCGGATGGAAAGGGTGAGGATGGTCCTATTCGCTGATTCAAGGCTCTGAGCTGACTCTCTCTCTATCTCCAGGCTGGGCGAGTGGCAGTATCGAGGGCCGTATTGCTGTCGAATATGTGGATCCCGATCCTGCTGCTCAAGCTCAAAAGTACGCCTTTAGAGCGCACCGTCAAAATGTCGACGGCGTGGACTGCGTTTACCCGGTCAATGCTTTGGCCTATCACCCTCAGTGAGCTGGCATTGTCTGTTAGTACAATCTTGCTGTGCTAACCCAGCATATCAGATACAACACCTTTGCATCCGGCGGATCGGACGGGTTCATCTCTATCTGGGATCACTCTGCTAAGAAGAGGATGAAGTTGTACTCCAAATACCCCACTGCCATCTCCTCGCTCGCCTTTTCACCCGATGGATCGAAACTGGCCATCGGTGCGAGTTATGAGCATGACAATGCCGTAAACGAGTCGGACAGAGGTACGGTCATGCTACTGATCAAGGACACCGTCAATGTAGATTGCAAGGTGGGTCGAGCAGAAGTGTCACCAGGCTTCCATGCTGACTATGGCGTATAGCCCAAACCAAAAGCATGAGCAATGCATATTCTCCTCTGATGAGCTAGACTTTCTGGCTTTCGCGCGCTGCTATGTCTACCAGCTGTCGCCTCCTCCACCACCCCAGTCTCCACCTCCACCTCCATCTCCATCGCCCCAGAATCCACTAGATTCCTCCGATGCCCAAGGGTCTTCCATGGGCTGCTCCTCATCAGGATACCATCCTCCTTCATCGTTTCTCGGCTGCATGGATTCATCGCCGTATGGCCATTCTTGTCCCTCGGCATCTTGCTCAGACATTTGCCCTGGTTGGCGACCATAAATCATTTCGTCTTCAGTCATGTTGCCACCTTGTTGACCGTTTAGCATGCCGCTAGCTGTCCCTACCCCAGCGGCGGCCCCCACGCCACCAGCGTCGCTGGCCGCTCCGCCTGCAGCTGTACCTCCCCGCTGCATATCTGCACTGCCGTCCCCTCCACCCCACATCATGAAAGGGAAGCCCATACCCCTGTGATAGGTCAGAACGCGGTCCGGGGATTATCTCACCCAGCACCAGAATGCCTTGAGAAGTAGTCAAAGTCGACTGTGATGGAATTCAGCATTGACCGCGGGGAGTCCTAATGCGCTAGCTCACTAGATACGGCCGTGGCTAGGGTCTGGTGTCGTGAGTCAGTATGGAACCGCTAACAAAGTCTCGACAACCCACCATGGCACGCTGGTCCATTGTCAGAGAGCCATCGGGCCCAGAAGGGAGGATCAGCTTCTGACCCTGCACTTCAAACGCCGCTCCCGGAGGCATATCAAGTTCGGTGCCAGCAGCGTCGAAACGAATGACGTATTGGCCTGACGGCATAACATTAGCGATGTCACTCCAGGGCGGCGGGAGCATACCAGTATCAGTGAACAATTCTCTGCCCAGTCCCCGGAAATTTCGGTTGATAGAAGCAACGAGCTCTGTATGGTGAGTATAAGACCAGTTGAGATCACGAGCAGACTCACGGTCATCCTTGTTCTTGAGCCAGAAGTCCCAAGCCCAGAAGCCCCCGTCTATCCTTGCAAATTGGGAAAAAGTTTCTCCTCCTCTGCGTCTAAAAAGAAGCTCAATTCCTGATTCGTGACGCTCAGACTCACGTTTGAAAGACATTATACCGACGCCTCCAAGGGTGCCATTCCCTGAGGGAGTATAAGCTTCATTCAGAGCTCAGAAACCTACTGCTGCGCCTCGCCGACCAGTGGACCATTCTCTTCTCCAGCAGCTCGGACGTAGATTCTAGAATTGATGAATTGGAATGGTCGGCGGATCTGACGGGAGAAATGTTTAAGGAGCTATGCGGGGGAGTGAAGATGTATGACTGACCCATAAGATGGGATTCCCGTGTCTATCCATGATGATGGCTCGGAAAGGACGGTGTGTTCGAAGGAATTGACGAGTCATGGTAGACACGATGGACTGCTCTTCTTCCACTAGGCTGGAGAGGCGGTTGAGCTCATATCGCACCTGGTGCACACTCACAATCCGACAAGCTCCCCTTCCGTAGTTTGAATGGCGTATCGGTTAGCTTGTTCAAACTATGGACTTTCAGCCAGTATTCACAAAAGCCGAGAAAGAAGGCTCTCTCACTCCGACAAAGATGTTCAGCATTTCGATCTGCCTGGTGGGAATGTCAAATCCGAGCTAGCAAAAAGAACGTGAACCTCACCTGACAATGACGAGCGTATCATGAGCGAGCAGCTCTCTCGCTGCATGACTGTCCTGGAGGACTCCATCGGGATCCGGAGGAATGACCACGGGTCTAGAGGGGATCACTCGTCCACCTATGGGCTCTCCAGGTTCATAGTCTGGATAATCTAGGGATGGACCAGGTGAGAACCTGGATGGTGGCCTAGATCGATATCTATGTGAGGTATCATCTCGTCTCAGTGAACCTACAGAACCTGTCAGCAAGGTGATAATAGTGGAAGGGGTGATCAGAGCAAGCACACTGACGTCGTGTACCGGCATGTCGCTCGAGGGCAGGTGCAATAGTCGAGATCGGTCTACTGAGAGGTACGAGTAGGCTCCTACTTGAGCTAGCCACCAGCCTGTTGCCCGCTCGAGTCAGCATCGCTAGTTGATTTGACCGATGGATGTGGTGTCTTTGTCGTCAACAACAACAGAACATGAAATCATTTCGGCTGATCATCCTCGTCATCGACTGCCGAGTGGCGGAAGTTTGCCACAGACCACCGGACATCAGTAGATCTAGGACACTACTGTCTACCTCAGCCACCGACTCAGGTCTCAGACACGGCGTGCAGAACCGGACATGTATCTCAATGCATCTAATCTTGATACCAGACAACAGGTGACACTCTTGCCAATGCTCCCAAATGCCCAAAAACTCATCTCTCATTTCCTCTGGGTCTTGCCATCCGCGGCTTTCACACTGCCTTTCAGTGTGTCAGCCGGGGAGTGCACATCGTACGCTGTGAACTCACTGAAGTACGGCTCATCCTGGCTCTCTTTCGCCGTCAAGCGCTCTTGATGATCGTACCGCAGAAGCTTATCCAGAAACCTGATCGCCTCATTGGAGATGAGATGCTGATTGTCTGAAAGAAGCTTCAGCTGGGGTCGATCATGAGAGCTCCTTGCGTCACTCACTGGTCGTGACAAACTTGAGCCATGGTTTACGAGGGTATCGGGAAATATTCATACCTTCCAGCTCTATATTGTATCGCTCTAGACTGGGGAAGGAGGTCAGCTCAAGGGAGATGATTTGCAGAATCGAGTGCACTGACTAGATATCAAAGTCGTCTTTGCCCAGCACCTTGATGATCTTGACTAGTTGATCCGCATTGTCGCTCCCATGGAAGAACGGGTCTTTACGGAAGATCTGCGAGGAGTAAGTTACCGGTCTGACAAGGATCGAGCCATCTCACGATACTGGCAAATACACAACCCAAACTCCACATGTCCAGTGAGTAATCGTATTCTTGAAAGTCGACGAGGAGTTCCGGACCTTTATAATATCGCGTTGCGACGCGGACATTGTACTCTGTCCCCGGGTGGTAGAATTCGGCCAGACCCCAGTCAATCAATCGCAGCTGGTACCGAGGGTGGTCAGCAGTGTCACCTGGCAAGACAGCTCGTCGTTCAATCACCTGGCGCTTTTCATGATCTATCATGATGTTGTTTGGCTTGACGTCTCGGTGCATGATTCCCTTAGAATGACAATAGTCGAGCGCTTTAAGCAGCTGAAACATGTAATACCTGACGTCTTGATCCTCCAAAGTCGGATACAGCTGCTTGAAGTCGGTGCTCTGCCATGTTGTCAGTCCCCTCCGGGGTACCTCTGAGGTACCCACATTGACGTATTCAAAGACGATGGAGGTGGTTTTAGACTATAATCGAATGAGCTAATAAAGGACACCGGGTACACCCACAAGATTGTCCCCAACCACGTCCAACAGTCTAATGACATTGATACCTCCTCTCAGATTTTGCAGTATCTTGATCTCTCTCTTGATCTTTTGTCTCTTGACCGGTTTGAGAACCTTGATGACACACTTTAACTCGGACGGGAGGTGCACAGATTCAAACACCTGACAGGGAGGATAAGCCAGATCCCGAGGACAGCTAGGAGTTATCTCTCACTTCCGAATACTTCCCCCTTCCGACTTTTCGAACGATCTCATAATGGTCCTGTACGCCCCACTGGATCGAGAGCTTCTCTGCGGGACATCGTCAACGTCCTGGCCTGGCAAAAAAATTGTCCAAGCCCTCGACGACGACCCACCGTAATCGTACCATTTTTTACCCAAACCCTCATTCACGTCCGCATACACTCGAGACTAACGACGAGTGAGCAGAAGCCACATGTGAGAGCCCGCATCACTTCAATGGATACAGCAGGTGCACACTCACAATGCTGGGACCAGCATCGCTCGACATTTCACCTCGGCGACTTTATGGATTGTATTATGCTGTCCTCATGCCCGAATTGCTCTAGGCAGGGATACAAGACCAGCCGCGGGCTGCTCCGTCCGTGACGACTATGGTGCTCGCGTCTAGCTGTAGGCTGTGTCTAGTCACCTCACAATCCTGCAATGGTGTTTGCTGATTGGGGAATGCAGGCTATCATGTAATGTTACAATTCCAAAAGCTATAAATGGACTTTCGGGTCGGTCAACGCGCAGACCAGTAGTTCCGCAGATCTTCTACCCTATACTTTCATGTGAGATAAGCTCTCAAGGATTTGCGATCGTTCTTGACGAGAGATGCTCCTCATTTTCTGAGAATGGCCACAGCTGAGCACTACATGGCGCCGACGGACACGCCTCAGCTCCAAAGACACACCCCCCGCGAGCTCAATGAGATGCAGTTGCTCGGGAATCCGGAGGCATGTCGATTTGGTCTCTGGAAACCCGGCTCTGTTAGTACACATGGACATCATGAACAATCTCTCGGTATTCAATGCTGAGATCCATCACTACCTCTCTTGAGCGTTACAGACGGGTTGTAAAGTAAAATGTACAGATTGTCAAAGAAGAGCTAAAGAGGGTTTGTTGTCTTGTCGTGTAGGAGGGGTAAGATGCCGTGTCATCAAGGTAGCGATGGATGATGCAGAGAAAGTCTGAAACGAATGAACACGAATGAAAAAAGCCCCCATGCCATGCCCAGCGTGTCTAGTTCTTTCTTCGGAAAGAGCATCCTTGAGAGAGAAAGGTCAGCACCAGATATCAAGACGCATCAACGCTGTGACTTACCCTCGGTCAGCTTGGCCTTTCCTCCAGATGGTTGACACAGAACGGTGGCGCAGTTACCACATTGAACGACAGTGGAGGCGTGGGAGAAGACGGTGCTGATCAGGATCAGTATTGTGGGTCAAAGACGAGCCGATCCCGAAGGTGCTATACGACTCACGTAATTTGGAAGCATCCTGGGCACTTGACGTCCATGAAGAAGGAGTTTGGCTCAGGGACAATCTTCTTGAGCTTGTGCCTGCGGGCCTGAGTCTCGGCAGGCGGGTTCAAAAGATCGACGGCGAGAGTCTATGAAGGGGGTCAGCAGGCGGTAAAGGAGGAGAGAGAGCAGCCGGTGGTTGTCGGACACCAAGGGCATGGCAGAGAAGACAGCATGGCTCCATGAGGAGTGATTTCGATCGAAACGAAGATGGTGGAAAATTTTGTGTAAAGAAGGTGGAACTGATGTGTCGCAGATCGAAGTGAGACGAGCCGGGCCAAAGTCGATCGGCGACATGTGCAAAGCTAGCACAGCTGCTCATTGAACGACAGGTTCTCCCCCGGCCCTCATCCATGTCGCGATCCGTCCTCTTCGAGCCTGACAACAGAATTGAACCATCCAGCGGTAGGTCATACGACCCGTTCCCTCCACCTTTGCCATTTTATTTGCCCTCGATGTCCATGGGATGTCCAAACATGCAACTCACCATATTGTATGGGTGCTACTGGTGGCGTCGGGTGTCGTTGAGTCTTTGTATAGATGCTACAAGAGCTGTACGTGTGGGACTACTGAGTAGCCTTTTTAAGTGAGTGAGTGAGAGAGGAGGAGGGTAGAGAGGATGCGGGTGGTGGCAATCAAAGGTTGGAAAGCCAATAGAGAGGGCTGGCTGGGAGGGCCCGAGCTTAAAATTCATAATACCGACGATAATGCCGTGTGGCATAGAAAAGTGCCACACTCGAATTGACAAACACCGATCATGTGGCACTTTAAATCCGATAGACACGATTCATCCATGCTCGCACATCCTTCAACTCAATGATACAACACCACGCTGACCCACGGCTACGTCCGCCGCTCGCCCGTTGCTCATGACCTTGGTCCGTGTAGCCAACTGCTTGCGTCTTTCATTACTGAATGTGGCAGTATGAGCCTTCTTCTCGGCTCGACGCGCCTGTAAGGTGTCAGCGCATGTGTATTTGTCCGGTAGAGTACATATCACTCACCGATCTCTCTGCCTTGACAGCTGCTTTCCTCGCTCGACGGTCCTCGGCGGATTCCCCTTTGGGCCGGATGACCGTGACTCGAGGCTCTTCGCGCTCAGTCTCGGAGCCGCTGTCTTCGTCATCGCTCCCTTCCTCAGGGAAAGGTGCAATGGACGTCGCTATTGGCTGTGGAGCTGCTATACGCTTAGATCGGATGACTGCCGGGTGATTCTCAGTGTTGGTGTACGTGGCTGTCGCGCGTCAGCATGAGGCGTTGAGAAGGAAGACCTCTGACTCACTCAATATCGTCTCGACGTCCCAGCGTTCGGCATGCGTCTCTTCGACCTTGTCCTCTTCCTCATCATCAAACGCATGTAGCCCTCGTCCCATCCGCTCAATCTCCATGACTCGCTTTCGGTTTTTCTCCTTTTCTTCTCCGTGCTCTCCTTCGACAGCTGCCCGAAGTACCTGCAGCTTTTCGGGTCCACTAAGGCCTGTGCCTCCAAGGGCAGGTCGGAGACGTTTCCCGACCACTTCATAGTTTTCCAGAAAATCGTCAAGAATGGCGTCAAAGTCGGCTCGAGATACCTCGGGAACAGCAGAAGACGTCGACGACGAGAAAAGCGATACTTTGGACGTGCTGGACATCATGGAGGGTGCAATAGATGTCCCGTCGTCGGACAAGTATTCGTCTTCATCGTCCTCGAGCTCGTAGTCTCGCTCGATCTGCGCACTGTGTGAGCGAGGCGAATAGTTCGCCGCCGACCTACCTTGTCGAATCTTGTGTCCAAGTCACGAAGTCCTTGATTCCGGAACATGCTGGAGCTGCTCATACTCATTCCAGTAGCGTCACTCGGCCCTCGTTTGCCATGTCGCTTCTTCCCACCGCGAACGATCATATCGCCGAGGTTGGATGCCAGACTCCCGATGGTATCCGCCATTTCAGACCGTTCAATCTCTTCATCGCTATCCCCTGCACGGTCCTGATCCCTCTTGAAGGCTTTGAAGCGATCTTCCCACGTCTGTTCTTCGTCCGTAGGCGGCGGCGCTGGAGCCTCGTCTACACCCCATTCTTGAAACTCGTAATCTTCCCTCTCGTATTCGTCCGCTTCACCGCCAGCCATCAATTCACCCCAAAAGTCCTTTGGATCTTCCGCCGTTTCCTCGTCCACAAAGGCATCATCATCGAGTGCTTCCAGAACTTGTCGTAAATGCGGGTCCATATCAGGTTGCAGTCCCTGCAGCTCCATAGGGATATTCTCCTCTCGTCCGTACACCTCTTCAAGGGATACTTCATCCTTACTCGCAAAGGCTTCCGGAGGCAGGAACAAGTCTTGCTCCTTTGCCTTTCCTTTGCCTTTGCGATCCGTCTTCATGCCGCGGCCGACGCCAGATCCGCGGGGTGCAGCCAGCAGGACAGAGTCGATGCCGCCTTGAATAGGTCGCAGGTGGGACATGTAGTCGTATGACGAGTCATCGTAGGTGATTCCATAGACAGCAGCTTCGCCTTCGTTGGCTCGAAGGGAGCTCTTGTCGATAGTCGCATCGAGATCGGCCAGGGTGAAGCCCTGCGCCGGTCAGAAGGAGTGGATCCCGGGACGGCTCACCTTTTGTCTATCGTTTGCCCGCTCGACGGGTTTCAACACCCTATCACTCGCTTCGGGGTCATTGAGGAGCGGGTCCCGCAAGGACCGATGCACAAGCTGAAAGTGCTGGGCCTCGGGGCCTCGAAAGATGGACTTTTTGGGTGCCATGGTTGTAGTGATGGTGAGTAGTGTGGTATAGGTTCATTCGAGGTCTTTGTGATGGGACCAATGATGATCGATTTGAAAATTTTGATTCCGTTTTGCCGCCGCCCGAAGAGAAAAATGTAGCATATGAATGCCGAGTGTCCATCAAACTCTGTACTTTCTATCATCGATCATGGCCTCATTCTTCGGTGGTGGTGCTGCCGGCGGCGGCGGTGGGAGCGGTGTTCAGGGTGAGCTTCCGGTCAAGGCGTATTACCACCGCTGACAAGGGACTTTTCAGACCAGCAGCAACGTAAGGACCAGTTGAAGCAGCAGATTCAGGTCGAAGTGAGTTGGACAGGTTCATTGAGCTGACCTGGGTAGCTCGCCACGGCGAATGCGCAGATGCTCATCAACAAGATGAACGAGCATGTGAGTGTGGTTGGTCGGTCCTAGGTCGTCGAGAAAATCGAGTGATCCTCCGATGCTTGATTGTTGCGGGTATTAGGAGGTGTCCTGGTCAGATGGTGACGGACAAGCAACGATGTGGTGTGTTTGGTGCACATCCAGCAAGACTTGTGTGACCTGAGTCTCACTTGTCTCGCTGGTGGTCACAGTCCGCCCTGCCTCTAGATGACTGCGGCCGGTCAATGCTGGAGATCACTTCCATACGGATCTTTTTCCCTCTCGGTCTAAGCGAAGTGCAGGTCAAAATCACTGACATCCATCATCTACCAGTGTTTCGAAAAATGCGTCACCAAACCCTCTACCTCGCTCGGATCCTCCGAGCAAGCTTGCCTCTCAAGGTGTACAGCTCTTTACGCCCAGGCGTTCGACCATATCTCGCAGAAATACTATCAACGAGTGATGAAAGAGGCTAGTAGCACACCAGAGGCTTCATTGGAAGCTCAGAGACTATAGTGTTGGCATAGGAGGAGATATGTAGCATAATTGCAATAAATTCGCATGGATATCATCGCTCAGTCCCGAAGCAAGCCCCAACGAACGAGCATGGTGTGGTGTGGTCTAAATATGTCAGGCAACCCGAATGAGCATCGTGTACCACGGTCTCACATCGGGCCGCGAGTGATCACGTGGGCGTGGGGATCATTGAGATGCATAAAGTTCTTCCACGCCTGGGGAGGCTCTACCATCCTGGGATTAGTAGGGACACAACTGACGGACGAAAAGGTCGTGAAACCTCATGCCAGAGTTTGCGCGAGTAGGCTTGGATCGCCTTCACGAGTGAAATGAATACAAAATGAGATACCTACAAGCACAAAGATGCAAAAAAGATGCCATCGCAACAATGAGGCACATGGAATGAGCATCGCAAAGTCGCGGAGGTTCAAGGATACCCGAGATCATGATTGGATCTATCCGGGACCTGAGCATTGGATCGCATGGTTTAGGGTAGGGCTACGAGAAAACATGTGCCCTGAGCTGGCCCTGGGCTGGTCTCACCTTGAGGTCGCCTCTCGGCATTCCATTGAGCACGGGTGAATAAATGGACACCGAGTCAGGTGTAGGCATAATAAGTGGTACCTGCGTTTGTCGAGACAAGCGCCAAGAGCCCAGCTTGCATATGGTCGCAAACGTCGGGGGGCATTACACCGCAACACCTCCCGCAGAAAAAAGTGCCACATTCACGGTTCTCCACCAAAATATTTTCGGTGCCACTTTCGGCAATCTCGGATAATCAGATAAGATATCCCAGATCTCCCAGAAATCTCAACCTCGTCCTCTCAAATCACTTCAAGATGGCGTTGTAATCTCCCAGAAATCTCAACCTCGTCCTCTCAAATCACTTCAAGATGGCCTTTTACAACGCCAAAAAGGTGCAGGATCGATGCAAAATCGCGATGGCAGCAAAAAGACGTGCTTTCGGGGTGAATCGAACACCCGATCTTGTGCTTTCGGGAATCGAGAGATCGGTTCACCTACTAGGCACACGCAGTACCACTGTGCCACGAAAGCGATTTACCACTGAACCACCTGAGCATTCGCTCGAATCCGGGGTGGAAGAGCGGTGGCTGCAGGAGTTATCACCCTGTCAATCTTGAGATCTATACCATCGCTATCATATCTTCTGAGGATGTCCTTTGAAAATGGGCGAATCATCTTCGATCTAGCGGCTTCGGCGCTCGCCTAATGCCTGTAGAGCCCTTCTCCTGGAAAGCCTGCATCTGCCACAAAAAAGTCATGCCGGACCTTGCCTAAGATCTATGATGCGGGGCTGTTGAGGATTAGAACACCGCTCAATGCCTTGCAGCATCCTCCCCTCCCCGTCGAGCGGTGACTGCCCTTTGCCGTCTTCAAGTGGCGCCACTCGGTGCCACTCTTTTATGTCGTCCCGGTTCGGTACCCAACTAAGTTGGCATCTCAGCCTTCGGAGTCTCCCAAACTCACATCTCTTCGTATTGTAGCCAGGATCTCAGCTGGCCGGTACAGTAAGACACAGTGGCCAGGGCAAGACAAGTGGTGGGCATCGTAATGAATATTTCAAGGAAGTCGAGGGGTCGCATACTGTAAGCATCGTTGGTGGCAGCCAGGACATGAAGCCCCAACATCGACAGGGCAAGAGTCAGCAGACCTGACCATAGCATCGGTCCACCAAAAGCCTTCAATTTGGTCGGCACACGGACTGGAGCTCGATGTCGTCGGAGCATCGCTTCCACATGCCTTTTGCTGTATTCGTACCGACTGGTCAAGATGATCTTCATCACGTCTAGTTAGCTGCTGCCACATGCCAGGTGTGACAAATGTGACACTTACGATACAACCGGGAACAACGGCTACCACTGCCTGCTGTAGGGGAGCTGCTAGGGTAGTGATCCAAGGATCAAAATATCGCCGCTCAGGGCGCTTGATGGGGTCGTTTGCGGCGCTTAGGCTTGGTACCAGTTTCCCAATGATAACTGTGAGACCGAATAAGCCCGCACTTGTCGCCTGCCGTGACGATCAGGTCCATGAGAGACTGTGTGCGGGGGTATTGTATGGACTCACGAATGAGGCCAAGACCCACGCCATGATCTCGCCAAGTCTTACCCTCGCGAGCGTGTGGAACCTGCCTAAGATCGCTACGGTATATGCCATCGTTACCAGAGGAACTACAATGTTCGACTGCTCTTGCATACCCGGCAGCCAGACTAGCGCCACGGTCGCAGAGCAGCATAGCGCGTATCGTAGGACATCCGCTGTAAGTTGAAATCGTCGGGAGGATAAAAGAATGTGGTCGATGGTTGTCTTTGCGGGCAGAGACCGGATCCCAATGGCCTTGTCTGGCGGAAATACGATCATCATTACCTGGAAAGAAGAAAAAGAGACATGTTTCAGCAAGCTCTCCTCTGTATTTTGACCCGAATGATTCTCACCTCATGCAAACTGAAAGCCAAGATAAGAGGTAGCAGGACGTAGCTGAGTGTGAAAATGGCCAAAGCATGAGGGAGCCACATGGACGCAATGGACACCAATGAGACGAGATTCAACAGGCCGAGGATGTGCAATGGAGAATAGGTTCGTGTGAAGCTCTTGATGATGAGTCGCCAGCTCAGCCTGCCGCTATCTGAGTTGCGAGTATCACTTTCATCCTCAAAGTCTTCTATGAGGACTGGAAGATGAGTCTGTACAGGTATGTATTGCTAAAAGACGACGTGAGCAGAAAAAAGATAGTAGATGAGCGATCCTCACCTTGAGCCAATGTCGCGAGGCGAGATATACCCCAGCGATCGAAGCAGCGTCACGCAATAGCGCAGTGGGCAACGAGGATGCTTCGTCATTCATCCTCCACAGCCCAGATGGCCGACGTAAAGACCACAGGGTATGGAGCAAGGTCATGTTGACGGAGATGGCTATTTTTAGTCCTGAGCGGCTGGCTCGAGGATTCTCCGTGCTCACGGCACGAGGAGCCAGCGCATAGCGTGTATATCATCAGCAAGTCAGAGTATTTTGGACCACTCTAGCGGAAGGTGTCACGAATCCTGTGTTCAGCAATCAGCTTCAAGAAGTTTCGGTCAACGTTGGCCGCAGTCCAGTGACTAATGAGCAGATACTAGACCCGACAAACTCTCAAGCCGAGGTGTGGCGATCTCCAAACCCTGCCGGATACCGCCTCGCCTGAGCCATGCTCGCTTTACACGGACTTTGCACTGACGTATCGCGACGCAGAACCTTCTGAAAGATATCTCGACTTTTCACCAGCCGAAGCCGTCGTAGTGTGGTCATGCCTCACGATCATGAAATGGCGAGAGACCATCACGAGAAGCTAGGAGACTCAAGTCTCACCCAAATAAAAGGCTTGAAAGTTGTGCGTGAGCGTGAACATGGACTAGGGCATATGTATGATACGACACAACAAGATCAGCATGTAGCCAGCAGATACATGCGTAGGCGACTGGGCATCGCGGCTAATCTTCGTCATCCCCTCCTTCCTCTCGGCAGACCTTGTAAATCTTTCTCCTATTGACGTCCAGTGCGTCTTCCTGTGAGGCAGCGTGGAACAACGCTTGTAGAAGTGCTTTCCGTAGCTGTACTGACGAGGCTTTGTTGTTCCCATCGACCGAGCACTCCATGATGATATGAGCGTACATCGGTTCGTCCTTCCTCTTCTTTCGCGGACGTTCGGCTTCCTCTGGATCTGGCGAAGCAGCGTGTAGGGCGTCGAGTAGGGGCTGGAAGAGGGTGGACATCACGCGAGTATGGACAGTCTGGGTTGGTGTATGAGCGAGGAGGTCGATGTGTGGCTGTAGCAGGGATATGAGGGGACATGGTGGCTTCGGCGTAGTCAGCACAAATCTTACCTCATAGTGGAGACCCACCTGTGAGGACACTTCCGGTAACGAGAGTGTCTGGTCAAGCTCATCGAGGAACACGTCGGCCAGATGAGTGGCTATGCTGCTAGCAACGGATTTGTCCTCATACGAGATTGGCCCTTTTCCTTTACTGAGCAGAGTGTTGACGCTTTCGATTGAAGAGGATGACCACTGTTCACGAGCCAGCAGGCGAAACGTGACAATGGTATACCTTCTCAGGAGAAGATAGAATTTGTCGATCCTGAGAGTCGTCAGACGCAAGGTCAAGCGTGAACGTTCTCACCTCAAACGGTCTATGCCCTCCCACTCTCTGACGATTGCCCTCCAGAAGCCGGCGAGGAAGTCCACGGCAGCGGAAAATCTATCCTCGTCCTTCTCCGGTCGAATGAGAAGCACCAGTTCTGCTAGATCACGAGCCAGAGCCTGCTGAACTAATGGCTTGTCTGACATCCAGAAACCTGCCCAGTCGTCAGCTGAAGTTCATGGCGGAGTGCAGGACTGAATTACAGTAAAATAATCCTTTCCATAATTTGTCCATTTCCTCCACATTCAGAGGCACGTATGATCTTTCTCCTGTTCTACCGTCTTCAGAGCTTTCATTGGCATCCTCATATGGATCTGAGGGTGCCCCTCTGGACAGAAAAGCCACCAGATTCGCTATTGCACCATCTCGAACATGCTTGTCTACGATGAGGTTGGTCAGGTCGAACAGACGGCAGCGGAGTCTTGACTTACCGGTGTGAGCGAGCTGCTTCCCCAAAGGCAATGCCGCCGTGACTTTGTGCTCCTTCTCCTTACCCTTTCGCTTGCGAGAGACGGCTGTGGACATGACTGATAGTATGTGTGTCTGCGGCAAGGACAGGTGCAACATGGACGTCCAAAATATTTCAGATTGCGGCATCCCGACAAGCGAATCACGTGACCAGGAGTACTTCCCGCGTAGATGAAATGCTGCGAGTAGTATTTACATAGCGTTGTATCTATCGAGGGACGCATAACGAGGCCAACTTGAAGCGAGACTCGGTACTGTCATGCTGTCCTTTGAGTATCGATGACGAAAGAAGCGCGGGCTGTCCCACCCTTGATGCCTTTGAGCCTTGGTCCAGGTTGCAATAGCGTAAACGAGATAGGGAATCCCTGATGCTGAACCTGTTCCGAGAACTAATAATCCATTGACCGCTCTTCTCTCTCTACTCTCACCGTTTGAAACTGTCTTGACCCACTTGCTGGACCTTCTTCTGGCCTAGACATCGCTGAGATGATGTCGCAACGTCTACTCGTACAGCCTGAAGCTATCATAGGCACACTCTTCGCCCTTGTACTCGGCCGATGGCTGTACAATTACCTTCGCGTCAGACTCGTAAGTGTGCTGTGTCACGCAGCGAGCTGAAAGCGATGGCAGGAGGTGCTTGGTCTGCCTACGACTCATAGCCTTTTCGAGCTATTTGAGTCTGGCATTCGATCCAAACTACCTCAAACCCCATTCGTCTCGCCCGTTGCCTCTTTGAGTCTACAAAAACCATTCGAAAGTAAGCGCAAAATCGGCTTTCGCTGACGGGGTTCCAGAATACGCGAATGCCAAGACGGATCTTTTGGCGTTTACTCAAGCGACAACCCCTTACGCAGTGTATGCAACGGCCAATCCGTCAGTCGCGGCGTCGATATCGAATAAGCCGGCGAAGTATGTAAAGCCGGTGAGAATGTTTCGGTACCAAGCCATCAACAGGTTCGGACGACAGATTGTCTCGGCTCAGAATGGGGAAGAACATAAGCGCCACAAGGGAGTCGTGAGGGCTTGCTTTGGGAAAGAGATCATGGAAACTGGTTGGACCACAATGGTCGACGCATACCAGGTCATGTGTCGAGAAGAGGGCCTCGAGAATGGTGGGATCCTCAAAGATGTCAAGGAGGTTTTGGCCAAAGTATGTTGTTCGAAACTTCAGGCTTAGGACAACCCCTGAGCCCCTCCACAGGTAACGCTCTTGGTCATTGGCTCCGCTTCATTTGGTGTCCAATTCCCTTACAATTCTTCAACGTCTGAGGACGCACTCAGTGAGGCACTCTCAAGTCTCCAACTCACATCAGTGCCATTCAGTGATGCGATCCAGCTCGTTGAGACATCCATGATATTCCAGCTACCGCTTCCGCTTGTGGGTCAGGAAATGACATGGGTCACATTGAGCCTTTATTGGATGGCTGACATTTCCACTCAACAGTGGTTAATGACTTGGTCACCTTTTCCCTACCTTCGACGATGTGCCAAAGCTCAGCGATCCATGGTCAAGCACATAAATGAGATGATCGCTTCCCGACGAAAGCAAACCACAGCTCTGCAAGCGACACTCAGTGCAGATGAACAAGTTCTCACGCAGAGAGACATCCTCGGTGCTCTCGTCGCCAGCCAGATCCAAGTCGAAGAGGGGAAGAAAAAGAATACCGCAGGGCTGACTGCCGATGAAATCTTTGGTAACGCTTGTGAGTCCGGCTCGCCTTGGAGTACTGTGTCTTCGGGCATGGAGTGCTGAAGAGTGGCCTGCCAAATCAGTCATCTTCATTGTGTGAGTCAGATGGAGCGAATATATCAGCAAGCATTGATTCCCACAGCGCGGGTCACACCACCACAGCCCATACCCTGACATTCGCTCTGGCTCTCATGGCTTTGTATCCTCAGACCCAGGAAGATATCGTTCAAGAGTTGGCATCAGTCTGCGGCGATGAGTATCCGAGTGAGGCAATGCTATCAATACCGTCCCAATTCCTCCTAACTCCATGATCAGCATACCGTCACATGTCCAAACTCCCTCTGACTCTCGCAACAATGTACGAAGCTCTCCGACTCTGAGATGCCGTCATGTTCATCCCCAAGGTCGTTCTGGAGGACTCTCTCATCCCATACACAACATGGGACGAAGATGGTAATGTGTCGCGCCATGAAAGGTTTATCAGAGCCGGCTCTCACGTTGTGATCGATTCGCCTGCTTGTTCAGTCAATCCGTTCTACTGGGAAGACCCATTAGAATTCAGACCTAGACGACATGTGGATGAACGAGGATTACACATCAAAGAAGGATTCACTGGTTTCTCAATCGGTCAGAGAAGCTGTATCGGTGAGCGAGACATATGTCGTCCAGCCTGGCAATGTTGACGAGGGATCCCAGGCAAGCGATTCGCCGAAGTCGAGAGTGTGGCCCTTCTATCCCATCTCGTCAAAACCTACGCTTTGAAGCCCGCGCCCGTTAGACCTGGTGAGACTTTGGACGAGATGCGGGAGAGGATGGTTTGGACGGCGAGCGAGGAGCTCAATTTGACGCCAGGAAACTTTTCCCTCGGTTTCACAAAGCGGACGTAAGACTTATCCGACTCCTGTCCAGACTCTCGTTATGATATGCACATGTGACGGACCATGATCTCAAACGCCCAGCCTAGTTGTATTGAGCATACAGTGCTGTGGAAGAGAATTTGGTACCCTGTCGGATGACCTTCTCCACAGCATCCAAAAAGTCTCGCTCTGTAGCCACTTTCCTCCTCGCACGAATGGCAAACATTCCGGCCTGTGGCACGGTCGTCAGCCTTAGGCCGAAGCACACCTGAAGAAACAAGCCTGCTCACCTCTGTGGCAATCGACTTCAGCTCAGCCCCGGTAGCATTCGGACAAAGTCGAGCGATGAGGTCGTATCGGATGTCTCGTTCCACAGACATACTGCCGAGGGGCGTCAGCTCACGAAGTCCGTTCCTGCACCTAGCTGACCTCTTCCCATGAATTTTCAGAATATGCGTACGACCATCGTTGTCCGGTAAACTGAATTCAATCTTTCGATCCAGTCGACCAGGACGCAATAGAGCAGGATCAAGAGTATCAGGTCTGGTTTGGGCATGTCAATAATGATTGGAAAAAACGATATCAAGATGCCGATTCACCTGTTAGTCGCCATGATGACTTTGATATTTCCTCGGGCATCGAAACCATCCAGCTGGTTGATCAACTCCAACATTGTCCGTTGAACTTCATTGTCTCCTCCCGCTCCGTCGTCGAATCGAGCGCCTCCGATGGCATCGACTTCGTCAAAGAAGATGATACAAGCCTTTTTGGACCGTGCCATCTCGAACAGCTCTCTGACCATCCGGGCGCCTTCTCCGATGTATTTCTGGACGAGTTCAGAACCGATGACTGAGGGAAAAGCATCAGTCTGCTGCCTCAACCCGGCACCCGAGCGTATCCCGTGCCAGGTCCTGAACTCACCTCTGATGAAAGTACTGTCTGTTCGGTTGGCAACGGCTCTGGCACAGAGCGTCTTGCCAGTTCCAGGTGGACCGTATAGCAAGACACCCTTTGGTGGTTCGATACCGAGATTGGCAAATCTATCAGGCTGAGGCAGTCAAATCAGCAATGACTCGGCATCGGGACGACTCATCACTCACGTCTAGCAGCGGCAGCTCTACAACTTCTTTCAACTTCTCAATCTGTTCCTTGCATCCTCCAATATCATCGTAGGTAATAGGTGGTCTCTCCTCGACCTGGAAAAAGGTGAGCACTGTTTGACAGAGACACGGCCAAGATTGTTCACCTGCATCATGGTCACGGAGGGGTCGATCTTAGGCGGAAGGGGAATCATGATCTTGTAGTTGACTCTGTGAATTACGTGAGCTCATTTCGACCAGACCGGAGGCAGCAGCTCACGGCTGAACGCTAAAACAGTACGTGTCAGTCCAATCCAAGTTTCACACGACATCAGGCTCACCCTACTCTCATTCCCTCTTCAATATCCGTTGGAGAGACTGTATCCGCGAGTCCAACGACAAATTTGGCAACCTGCTTGATAGAAATGACATATTTATCGCCCTCTGGGTTTCCCGCACCTGCTCCATCTTGAGGATTGAGAGGTCGATCAGGCGTAGATTCAACTAATGAACGCAGCACATCAGCAAAGCTCTGCGAAGTTGAGCAGTAGAGGAACCACTCACTGCCCTTGATGATCGTCTGACATCGAGCTACCGGCAAAGCATGCGCCTTTAACCGCTCTGCATCGGCCACGACATCCCATAGATTCGCAGGTGCCAATCCTGTATCTGATTCCTGCACGCCCATCTTCTCGTTGACCCTCTTCTGGATTTCTTTGAGCTCATTCTCGATCTTCTTCAAAGCGAGGGAATACGGTCCTTGGCCCTGGATCAGGCTTCTTCAGCGTGATTCAGAGTGTATCGGAGCAATGTCAAAACCCCATCGCCCAGCAGCTTTTCGCTGAGAGCGAGCGGCATCGCGATATACAGGCCGCTGACTAACGTATGTTTTTAGGATTTGTATATCAGATTCGTCCAAAGCTAGGAATCGCGGCGCCCGTCAGCTCGAGTCCAGTCTCCCTCAAGAGCCTGCGACTCACCAACAATCTTCTCCTCCTTTTCATCTGTGAGCTTGCGATCGTCTACACACTGTCAGCGGCGAGCCCCAACCTCGGAAACGCTTACACTTCTCCCAATCCCTGTCAAGACGAAGTCAGTTCGGATCGATTCCACGACGCCGTCACTCACGCTTTGGGTGGCATCTTTCCACAATTCTGCTGCCCAAGTACTACAGCCTTGTGCTGTGGCCTGGCTGCGATCAAATGTATGAGATATCGATGATTGATGATGAATCCGATGAATGACCAGACCAAACGTTGGTGTCGCGCGTGAAGATGAACGGAATCAAATCTCAAAAGACCGATATGTCGGTAAATCTAGAGAGGACAACGGGGCGGAGGCATCAGTCGATGACCTTGGTCATTGAACAGCTATAGCAGGGAAAGGTCGGGTAGGATGGGAGTTCTGGAAGCGGTCTCCATAACAGACTAGAGAGGAGCCCATTGCCTCTCAAAATGGGGGACTTGGATCTCAGCGGGACCGGAGCCGAGTCAGCTCTTGACTATCCGGTTGGAGGCACATCTCAAGCGAAGGGCGGACGAGGGATATTTCGAGATGCAGATGACGAGCCGCTCTTGGTATGGGTAGACCTGGATGTCAATGACAGGATGAATATACTGCGAAGCCTCAGGGTGAGCTCGCTTGGGGTCGTCGCAGACCCCTTCACGTCTGGTTCAACCGGCTGAGGAATGTCTTTTCGTGCTACATGAGCAGCTGACATGACATGTAGGAGGAAGGCGCTGAAATCGCTGTTCAGCACTGGGACTCGTACTGCCATATTCTTATCATGGCTCCGGCTAGTGTCAAGATATTTGACATGTACTGTCATCCGGGCTTTATGACTTCGGCTCAATATAGACGGTATAGGAAGCAGAGGCGGAATCGGCTGGCAAATGGAGAAGAAGGGGGTAGGGAGATCTGGCAGGAGAAAGTCATGTTGAAGGAGACCTGGGTCTCGAATTGTGTGGAAAGCGGAACATTCCTGGTGAGTCCAATTTGCCATCTGGCGTGATAGAGACCTGACTCATGCTGTCCAGGGAGCCGATGATAATTGGGCAGGTCTAAGAGTCGGAGGGTGAGTTCGGGCACCAGGACTAGACGCTGATCTCCTCGAGTCCTTTACCTCCCGAGGATCAAATGAAAGTCGACTCGCCACCTGGACCTACTGCTGAGATCCCTGATGCACCCGAGATCAATATCATCCCCGCCACACAACAGGAGAGAGTTGCTTCTAGCCCGGCTCGCGAGCCAAGCGCCGAAGACGAGGATGAAGCAGCAGAGGCTCAAACGGCGTTGAAGAATGACGGACGCTCATTCACGGAAGTCGATCATGAAGTCGATCATGAACAAATGGTCACTGAGGACACGAACACTTCCGGTAGGGCCTCACGGGAGGACTTCGATTTGGAGGACGCTGTGGTAGATCAGCAGACAAGTGCGGTTGCAAGTGAACAGATCGAAGCTGGGGACGTCGTTTCCTCCTCTGATGTAGGAAAGGAGGCGGCTATGAGGAACCAACTTGAAGTGGTCCCCATCGACGACGACCTTTTGCCGATACAACTTTCACCATCACCAGAACCTCCAGATACTCCAGTGACAATCATGCGAGAACGAGATGACGGGAGATTGGAAGTAGTCAGTAGGGAAGAATCCGAGGAACCAGAGGAAACAGTTGAAGAACGGGAGCCAGAGCCACTTGCGAACAAAGCTTCGGATTCGCAGACCACAAACCACACTGGGTCCCTACTGACCCCGGCGGGTGTGAATTCTTTATCCGGTCAAGAGTACAACAGAGACGCCGAAGCTGCAGAGGAAGCAGAGGTGGAGCTGGGCACATTGATGGACGCCGATAATGGAGCCGAAGCCGCAGGGTACCCCCAAGCTGAGGTGAAGGAGTTGCTTGAGCCGGTGGCTGAGGCGACAGTACCTCTAGCGGAGTCACATGAGATGGAACAAGAGCCAGCGGAAGAAGCGCCGACCGTACCTGCCTCGAGGATCCAAACAGAGGCCTTCACTCAGTCACCGGTCCAAATTGGACAGATGAATGGACATGTCAACGCCGAAGCTGGTCCTAGTACACCGCGCCGCTCTCCAATTCATTCTGTCGTAGAACCTCGGAAGCTATTCGAAGGCTATCGATTTTGGGTGGACTTGAAACGTGGAGACCGAAAAGACATAATTAGGAGGCTCAAGGTGAGTGGCTCGCCAATTAGTGGACTGTTGACCAAGTCGTCACAGGAGGCCGGAGGTGAGATTGTCGCGGAGTATGAGCACGCCACGCATGTTCTAGTATACGATCCGAAGGGCGCGAATTGGACGTCTATCATCTATCAAGTGGTCAAGCAAGGAGTCTGGTTCATGTCGTTCCGATGGGCTCTCAATTGTCTCAACGATGGTGTACGACATCCAGAACTTGGACAACATATCCCTGGAGGAGCTCCAGTCTCCCCAAAGCGAATCACGATGCCGTCAAGCCGATCTCGCCGACCGACTCCACATCACGAGCATGGATCTTCAAGCGTGTCACCCACGAAAGCTAGAGCTGATTTATCTTCTACATCGCCCGTACAGCCCGTCGCGTCCTCCTCACGGACGCCGGACGACCCTTATGATGCCAGACAGATATCGAGGCATTTCGAAAAAGCTCACAGTCAAGCTGAGGGAGACCTTGACGAGATTGTTGGGTTCATGCAGGTGGCGGTATGTCGATGAATTCTATTCTAAATGCTTACCACCGGGACAGATGCCCAACAAGTATTCGGACGCAAAATGGTCCGGCCTGTATGCCCGCTGGAGTCGTCGCACTGGCCGATTCAGCAACATACCACGTAATCAACCCACCGAGGCGCAACTGCGACCCGTCCTAGAAGCCATCGGGACCCCAGTCACCCAAGGGATCATGACTACCCACCAGGCGTCGCAGGAGCTGCACGATGTGAGTGGCCTCAAGGTTAAAGAGTTCAGCTGAAGACGCCTTAGCACTTCCCGTCGGCATATCCTGATCTAGATTTTGGGACAGGACTTTGAGCAATTGGTTGAAGACTGGTCATGTACTACAAGCTACCCCATCAGAAGTAGATACCGCGGCATCCGTCTCGAATGATCAAGGGTCGCATGACCGGAAACGTCGTTTGGACGCTGCTGAGCTTTCTCCTGACGGCGGAACGACCACAGGAGCCCCGAGAAAAAAGGCTATCGTCAAGCAGATGAAGGTGTCGGCTGAGGATATGGGCAAGATTTTCCGCAAGTTCCTTCCGATGGTTGAAAGTGGGACTTCGGCTGCCAATATTGGTCATCGCATCTACACATTGGTTAGTCACGGGGCAGGCCGTCCTCAGGCTGATTATGCTCAGTATAAGGATTATTCTCCAGCAACTTGGAGTACCTTTTTCGGAGACTGGCGAGGTGGTCGTGGCAGATTCGCAAAGCATGGGCCTTTATACATGACCCCTAAAAATCCGGAGAAAAATGTTCAGCAGGAGGAGTCTATGGCCATATCACAGTCCTCGACTGATGTCAAGGTCGAACCGGACCCTCACAGTCTTGATGATACCCGAGCATCTCAGGCAAAGGAGGTATCGCAGTCCTACACGGAGAAAGAAACAGCGGAGATGGGCAGATATGTCGTTGATCGACTGCCTGAAAAGCTTTCGGCGAACGCTAAATGTTGGGCAAGATTCACCGCAGAGGTAAGTGTATTCGGTGCGTATGTACGACTGCCACTGCATAGTTCGGCTCGCATCGACCAGCAGACGCCTGGGCCCAGAGATTCAAGTCGTCCTTTGACGACACTCTGGCCCTAGCTGAGAAGAATGCTGAAGAGAGGGACCGAGGGGATGAGCTACGAGCCGTGTACTTTGGACCCAGAGTCAAGAATAATAATGATGATGCCACTGCCGCAACCGCCGCCACCAAGGGCAAAAAGGCTGTCGAGGTGATTGAGCTTTTGACGGATAGTGACGATGATGAGTACGTGGACATGACTGCGCTGGACAGTGACTAGACTATGCGATCATTGTAGAATCTATTTGTGTACGTCAACTCATGTAGCTACTCCTCATCTTCCCCCTTCAATATTCGATCGGGACTCCGGACGGAGGTTTGAAGAGGGTTTTACCGAAAAAGGGGAGGGAACCATCAGACCACCTTCATCTTCGTTGTCACTCACTTTGTAGATCCTTTCAACCTGTCGAATCTGTCTGTATACACGGTCCTGCGAGAGACGAAGACAGAACTGCTGAACGTCAGCTCCATACCTGTTTCCCCTTATAATCTCCTATAACGCACGGCGCGGCAAGGTACTCCAGCATTCGTCTTTTGTGAGTTTTTTAATAGGTCTGTCCGTGTCAACAAATACTGAAATGACCCACTTTCACAGGGATGCTGAATGCCTCTCCGTCTTCACCCGCAGCGAACTTCTTTGCCAAGGTGAATGGTCTGTCAGGTTCCTCAGAGGCGACTAAGGAGGATGGCGATGCTTGGACAGGCGGGCTAGGTCGGCCAAGTATTGAGACTGGAGGTGGAACAGACGAATCAGGGAGACAACCTGGGGATGTGAGGAGGGCAGTGAGCCTCCGAGTACAGGGCTCTCTGGGAGGTTTCAGACCGCTTCGAGAACCTATTGGAATGTCTTTTGGGGCTGCTGGATCCAACTTGTCCGCTTCTCCTCTCTCAACGACGACGGGGTCGACGACACTCCGCTCATCCAGTTCATCATATGCACCACCCGCAGCCTCTCGACATCCCCTGTTCTCTCATCATGCTTCCCCACCTATCAGACCATTTGAAGATCAAGACGGCATGTCGGAAGCGACGTTGAGTGGTATATCTACACCTCCATCTCCTTCTGGATCAGTCGGATCTTCAGGCTTTTCACCAGCTTCAGCCTTTCTATCTCACTTTTCCTCGTCTGGTTCTCTGAGATCCAATTCTACCGAAACGGCTATCGACGCTCAAGGCGCCCGCGTATTGGATTACACATTAGGTAAATTGATCGGTCGAGGTGGATTCTCAGCCGTCAGGAAAGCGCACCACGTCGTGACCGGCGAAGTATTCGCTTGCAAAATTGTGAAACGGGACGACCTTTCCGACTCGTCAGGCTCAGTCGAGAAATTCGAAGAGGAGATCAGGATCTGGCAGGCATTTCCAAAACATCCAAGCATCCTCCCTCTCCTCGAGATGCACCGCACACCGACAGTGACTTTTCTCATCGTCCCGTTTTTACCTGGCGGATCCCTGCTGGATGTGTTAAAACGTGAAAACGGGTCAGACAGGACGGCGAGGAAATTCTTCCCTGGAGTCGTCACGGCCGTCTCAGCGCTCCACGAGGGCTATCCAGGCTTCGAAGGCAAATTGTTGCACGGCGACTTGAAGCTGGACAATTTCCTTGTGGACCACGTCGGGAATGTCATCGTAGGAGACTTTTACACTGCAAAGTCGTTACTTCATCCGGAATCCTCGGCCACAAGCACACCTCATCCGCCTCATACGCCTCACCACTCAGCTACTGTACCTCTTCCCGCTCAACCCACTGGCTCACATTACTCCAATATCCCCCATAAATTTCGCTACGCTCGCAATTCAGAGGCTGGTCTGCCGAAAGAAATCGATGGTCTGCCTCACCCCGTGCTTCCATCCGCCTCTTTGCCCTACGCTCCGCCAGAGCTATTGCGGGCTCCTCCGTCCCCACCATCCTTAGCTCAAGATATCTGGGCAGTCGGTATCGTTCTCCATGCTCTTTTGACTGGTCGCCTCCCATTCTTTGACGCATATGATCCGCGGCTCCAAATGAAGATCCTTAAGGGGACCTATGCTGAGCCTGAACACCTCGGTAAAGAGTGGTTGGAATGTCTCAGGGGATGCCTCGATGTAAATCGTGACACTCGTTGGGATATTGCTCGGGTCAAGGACTCAGATGCTGTCATCGGATGGCAAGAAGTCCGAGCGAGACGAAGCAAGAGTCGGTCGAGATCCAGACAAAGAGTTCCCCAACATCGAGATGGCAGTGCACAGCCCATGGCTATCCGTCGAAGTCGCGCCCATTCCCGAGCATCACCTGCTCATGGCGGGTCTGACCCTCATTCGCTTGATCACACGCCTCAAAACACGCACCCCATCCCTGTCCCACAAAGTGCTCAGCATCCTCCATCGATCTCCCATTCCAGGTCACCCAATGCATCTCGAAGTCGGTCCAATGGACGAGGTGCGCAACAGGGCATCTTTGATCTCCACGATACCACTCCCCCATCGGATGACCTAGCCCACTTGTCCATCGCCAGAGGAAGACCAGGTCGACCAATTCAGAAACAGAGTTTCGAGGAATTCCCACCCATCTCTTCGCCCTCCTTCTTCCCATCCCCAGGCAGTATTGGACCGAGTAATCATCCCGTGGATGCGTTACGCGGCTATCAGCCTGGCGCTTCCAGGAACCGATCAACGAGTCGTACTGGAGATCAGAGTATATACCATCCGCCCGAACGATCTCAATCGAGAGGATACGATGCGGACCGCAGTGATCCATCCACCTCACGCTCTCGTACCAGTCTTTCACCCTCTACTTCGACGCGCGGATCTCGATCTGGATCAAGATCTCGGAACAGAAACTTCAACATGTCCCAAGGGCCCGGCGGGATGGCAAGGGATGATTCTTGGGATTCGTACGATTATGAGAATGGCTCAGGGTTACATGTGGTCAGGGAGGAGGGCAAAGGTCAGGAGGACAGAGGAAGGTCAAGAGGCAGGCTCGAGAGATGAGCAGTCCGGCGTCTGGAGTGTCATGTGCTATGTTGTTGTCTGCAATCATCTTCTCCTCTCCTTTGGGCTAAGCGTAATACGATCAATATATAACGTGTCGAGCATTGAATGCTTTGTATTGCCACAGAGCGAGCTTTTCGAGATTGGATCAAAAGTTCAACATTTCATCTTCGGATCGTCGTTCGTTCGTTCAGCACCTTTGAGTCCCAAGATGAGGCAGACAATACCTGTCAGCGCTCTCAAATCCAGCCTACGACTCGTTCGGATCCAATCGGCGACCTCTCGCTCAGCCCCATTCCCACCATGCACGTTTACCCTGCTTCGACGCTTGACTTCATCTTCCACCCGGTCAGCAGCTTATCGACCTCCCGTATTACCGGAGGCTGATCTACCCCTCGGTGCCGTCGACAGTGGACGGTCAGAACGAATAGAGAGGGTAAAAATCGGACTCAGACTGTTCGTAAGATATTGCGGGTGGGGGCTTGTCATTGTCGCTATTGGGCTCGGAGGGCTATTTGAAGGCGCTCACCTCTACGTGGAAAAGTACAAGCTTCCGCCAGTTGGAGACGTGGATTCTGGCTCTACGTCCAGGCTCAGATCATCTACCACTGGCGAGAACGTAGACGAGTCGTCATCGACGGACTATGGTTGGGAAGATGAGATGCTTTCCTGGACTGGTGGATCCACAGGAGGTACTTCACCACGGTTAGGACATCGAGCCCGTCATGCACTTCGAGCAGCATGGATGAGCACCCATTGGAATCGGACGAATCAGGCTACATTAGCTGAACAGGGATGGTTTGAACCTGATTTCATGCTTCTCAAACGACTTCAAGCGGAGGAGGCTAATGCTCCCCCGCCCATGTTGGTTGAACAGAGTGCTTTGTCCATGGATAAATACCTCAACACGGTTATCCAGATGGCAAAGTCAAATGGGTTGAGCTTTCCGCCCGAGTTATCTGTCACTCGGCCTCCTGGACCACCTGACTCGACGAAGGAAGGTAGCATGTGTGATCCCGTGGTCCGAGATCTGTTGTTACTCAAAGCTAGCAACCTCGAACGAATGGCTACCAAGACTGCTCTAGTCGACGCAAAGGAAATCTACGAGCGTGTGCTCATAGCGACTATTCCAAGGGGAACATCGACATCTCGTCAAGATGCAAGATCAATGCGATTGGCAAAGAAAGTCGGCGGGCTGTGCGAACGGATAGGAGCGGACAAGGAGGCTTCACAGTGGTTCGATTGGGGATTGACGCGAGCTGGCATACACCTCAACAGCCTCAGCAGTAGCGCTCCGTCTTCCTCCTCTTGGTTTGGGTCGAGCACGCCGAGACTGTCTTTCGACCCTTCTGGACTATCACCTGCAATGCTTCGGGCCACCATCTCCCTCTTGACTTCTGTTGAATCATATCACGCGACCCATGCTCAGCTCGAAGCCGCGTGGAACGTTCAGAGTGCAGCGCTCTCATTTTTCCCGCAGAGATGGCAGACAAACTCGGCCCTCGAGCAAGACAATGCAGCTGCTGCTTTGCACCAGTCCTGGCTACAAAGCTACCAAGCTACCCTCCAACTTCACCACGCCTCCGTCGCTCACGCGATCAAGAACAAGTCAGCATTATCCATCGCGGAGGAAGCGTCGAGTCTAGCCGAACAGAATCTGAAAGTCATGGATCCCGTACCTTCATTCTACCAACCACCCGAATCATCCGCTCTCACCGAACCAGCTCGACAATTACACCGAGATGCCTTGCTTGTAGCTGCCGAGTCCTCCTTCACCCTCGGACGCTTATTGGAGACAACACGCCAACCTGACCTCAGTAAAGTCGCTGATCTGTTCCACCGAGCGGCCGAGCTTGATGCAAAGCAATCTGGACGGACAGAGGAGACGGTCACGGGAGGTGAATGGCACAAGTACTGGCGCAATTACGTTCGCGTCAAGGCACTTATGGGAGAGACCGTGGAGCCTCCCTTCAAAGACTTCGATACTGATTTCAAGGGGCGAGACGAGATGGCCATGGATGTCATTCGGTCCGTGACCAGAAAGTTTATCAATTGGTTCGAACCTTCTAGAGAGACTGGCCAGGCGGGAGGATCTGCCAGCCAGAGTAGGGCGTGAAGAATCGCCGGCGTTCCAATCTCACATTGTTGTATTGTATTCTTAATCCCTCCCTCGGCCCATGTCGATGCAAAAGTATACATGCTCAGCGTCTCTCCATGCCGATGCTCCCTGTCGCCTACGCAGCTACTTTGCTCTTCCTAGCCTCGGCAACGGCTTTCTGGGTACCCATCTGAGCCCATCGTTGGTTACGGCGGAACTGCGAAAAGGTATCAGTATCATGGCTCGGAATGCAGCAAGCCAGTGTTGCCAAGTGAGACTGACTTTGGGGTCGACACCCTTCATAGACGAGTCTACGACACATGTCAGCAAGGCTGACACCCATCAGAATATGTGTCCACTCACATTTGTTCGTCTTGATTTTGGTGATCCCATTTCGGTGGGCTAGAGCAAATCAGCGAATCATTCCAGACTCCGTCTCGTCTTTGGTATCGCATCCGAGTTGCCAGGCAGCCGGATGGCTACTGCGCCGACCCGCAGCCAGCAACCTTCCACATCTATCCCCTGAATAATGCCGAGTTCTCATCCTTGCACTGAATACCCTCAATTCCAGCACCATCAGTCCTTCTCCAACATGATCCTCGTCCCAGCCGACAGACCAGTCCTCGCGCCCATGACCGAAACACCATCCCAAATGCTCGACTCACCCTTCTTGTTCTGGTTGTGACTGGGAAGAAAGTCAGATGCTGGTTGTTCACACCGTAGACGACCCAACGACTCACTTTGTGTGGTTCTTGGACTTGGACATTGTGGATGCTGAAGCCACAAAATCAGCAAGTGGATCCAGAAACGAGCTCCGTCGATCCCACAGACAAGACTCTCCGACACTCACTGTTGAGCTGATAAATATATGGTCAACTACCAGAAACCTCGAAATCCTCCCAACGTTGGCTGCCAGACAAATGTCCGGTGAAAGCGTCGAATCAGAGCCAAAAATCTCGAAACTCCGAAACGCCGACCATGAGACTCTGGAAGTGGCGGAAGGAGTGGCTAATCTGAAATATCTTACATAAGTGTCTCAGATCGATCGAGAGCCCCTATGCGGCGAGCTCCGCTTCGTGTACCATATCAGCTCGTTGCGAAGATGAAGAGCTTGGAGGCCATCGGTCAGAGACACAACAGCACATTGTCCGACAATCTAGAAGATACTGGATAGAATCACTCAATTCACAGATCCCCAGATGTCCGAAGGCGCTCGCGCGATAGGCATCAGTGCCTGGAACAAGAGAGTCGGCCATGAAAGGTGACAACAAGTGACGAATAAAAGTGTGCAGAGCTCCACCCCAACGGCTCATCACAGACTTGTTTGACTTACGGAAGGTTTTAACGTTCGTCATTCCTTCGGAACCTTGACGTCGACCTGACCCGCTACATAAGAATCGCAATGTCGAGTGGGAGTGAATCGACCACTCTGGGAAACGGAGCGGGGCATACAGGAGACAGGATTTCCGTTCTGAGACCTGTTAACCATGGGTCCACATCCAGAGAGGTGGATTGGGGCCTTGCAGAGAAGCTCCTGAGGCAAGCATGGGGAGCGGAGATATGGGTAGAGCCCAGTGAAAAGCCTGAGGCTCCAAGCGGGACAATCACGAGGGTGAATACGGACCCCACGGAGCCGACGGATCCCATAGAAACTCAGGGTGGCGCGACTGATGACAGCTCGAAGAGTCAGGAAGGCGGTCAGTAAAATTCACTGCGCAAATCCTGGATTCTCGATCGGCCCCAATCTTCCGATCGGATTGGAGATGGTACATTATCGTAAGCTCAGCCCATCTATCCAGTAGCTTAGGCCCCGGTCACACCAGTAACTGAGCTCCTGGGGAACTGATTATCGAATACATAACGATGTAATGAGCACATCCCCAGACAACACAGCAGACCTCCAAATATAGTCTCAGCTTGGCAACGAGCCCGCCCGTCCCCTGTCAAGACTGCCCCGGGCCTCTCGTTCTCTTCGGCTGCTGGGGTGCCGGTTTTGATTGCGCATCCCTGATGTTGAGACCACGTAATTCGCTTTCGAGCCCATCTTGCTCGTCGCGTGTCTCCGAAGGCCCAACACGAGGGTTCTGCCCGATCTGTCTCTGCGTATTTCCTGTGTTACTCTGTCGGCGGTCGGAAGACCTCCCCTTATCCCTCGGCCCAGATCGGTCCTTGTCCCTCTCCCGGTCTCCATCCTGTCTCCTGTTCATATTCCCTCTAGATCCATGACCACTCGATGGTCTGCCATCCTTGGACCTATTGCTGTTCCTAGACTCATTCGTCATTGAACGCTGATTCCGCCCCTGACCGTGAACATGGGATGAGCTGGATCCATACTCGGTGCCCATATCGTGTGACAGCGGAGAATAGGATGATCCACCCGAAAATCGGGGTCTAGACGATGAAGACGCTGGAGATCTGAGGCTTTCTATCTCAGCTTTGTATCGATCAATCTCGGCTCTTTGCGATTCGACGATATTGGCGTGTTGCTCGAGATCGGATCTGAGGGGGTTGTCAATTTCCAAATGCCTCGAGGAAACTCATAACTCACTCGAGCGATTCAATAACCTTTCTGGCATCTGAGCAGGGAAGATTGATGAGTACGCAAGTCCTACTTATACAGCGAGTTCTGCTTACTCACCAGCAATGAGTTTCTGCCACTCTTCGTCGCTGGATCGGCCTGCTTCTATGATCATCTGACCCAATTCTTCATTCTCCTGCATGAGTTCCCGAACTCTGACTACGACCTCTCCCAAGTCGACCAGGCTTCTCGATGGACCCGCATCACGTTCATTCAGCGCAGATGGATTGGAGCTGATGCCAACAAATGTATATCGTAAAGCTTCGTTGTCTCTAGTCAGATCCCGTATGTGATTACGCAGGAGGGTCAACGTCGGTAGCAACTCGTCTGGGATGGCCATGCGAGGTTGAGAGGAGGTCTGAGCTGCCAAAGAAGAAGACGAAGCACCCTCGGAGGAACGGCGTGATCGCAGATCCCTGATCTCAGCCTGCGAGAAACAGCGCCTTGTCAGAGATGCGCTCGAGAGGGATGGACACCCTCATATTCTCACCAACAAAGTATCTCTCTCATGCTCCAGCTCGAGGACCCTGCGACCGAGGCGAACTTCATTGGAAGATGGTCTGGCGGCACGAGAGCTGCTTCCACTTGCTTCTGGCTGATCTTCCATGACCACGGCACCCAAGCGTGACTCAGTGGTTATGTCGGCAACGGATAGACGAGATGCCCGTCGGGATTCTTATAACAAAGTGTGAGATCGATAAAGTAGGTTTTTCCGGTGGAATTCGGGTCCGAATCGACCATCGCTATAAGGCGTCGTCCGATGTTCCACAAGTCTACTCATGAGCTTCATACAAGGCTGGTCTCTGTTGCGAAGTGATATGAACCAGTCGAAGAGCTCGGTCCCTGCTGCAAAATGCACATGTACCTTATAGAACTGCCGGCGGTCCCGCTGCACGAGAGTGTGAGTCCCTTGCTTCAAGGCTTGTTGTTCTCTTTGGAGGCCCACAACAATTATTATTCGCTGACCCGCACCAGGTTCAACATGAGTTGGTCTCTATCCTTCCGCAAGCCTCACAAGACCAGCTTAAAAAGTACAGACTTCCGGGTGATGCTCTTCGTATGTCTCGCGCCCGCCTGGTCAATGCTGAAGCTATACAGGCTCGCTTGTGGGGCAGCTCGCGCCAATTTGGTACCTCCGAACCCAGGGACTCATAAGGCCAAATGAGAAAGCTACATTTGGACGACAAGGGAAGGGCAAACCGATGCTGGTAAGTCTGCCAAGACTGAGTCTCGTATACCGGTACTGAGGTCCCTTGGACCAGGTTGAACCACGGCTGCAACCTCCCTTAGGGTTCAACACCTCCCATGATGGGTCATTCGTCCTTCTAGGAGTGACTCGAGGTCAGAGCAGTCAAATCGGGGTAGACCTGATGAAGATACCCGATAACCCATCAGACGTTCAGGACGGTATCTCCGAGCAGGTGAGTCTGAAGTTTGAGTTTTCAGCCTAACGCGGGACCTAGTTGACCCATGATGAACGTCATTCACTTGCGATTCCAATGACGATCCACGCGCGATCAAAGCGGATCTCAACCCTTTGGACCTTCAAAGAGTGCTTCGTCAAGGCTTTAGGAGAGGGTATAGGGTTTGGACTAGAGAGGATAGCTTTGACGCTGGCACCGGATGGAACGGTCGACGGCGTATGTGTGGATGGTGAAGACGTCAGATGGGACGGGTGGAAATGGGCAGCTGGGTTTCATCGCGTGGACGAACCTATGGGCGGAAAGGAGCTGCCGGAAGAGTATGGCTGGACAGTCTTTTGGAAAAGTGACGAGCTGGATGGAGGAGGTGACTTGGTTCACATCTCGTGGGATTCCTTCCTTGGCGTGTTCTCCAACCCCGACGGCGACATTGCATCTTGAAAGAGTATGATACAATGGCAACATTAATTAGTACAACCCGGCCGCCGCTTCGAGCACCCGCAGGACATCAGCTCGCTCAACGTCGACCTTTCCATGACCATCTGGGCCAAGTTTACCGACGTGCTCATGAGCATTCGTGCCATTTAGCATCTTTTCGGCATCAGCAGCTGAGACCAAGCTCGTGTCGAGGAATCGCTGGATGCTGCCAGTCGACATTTGGTCAGTGCGCGCCACGTTGAGATGCGGAAGACGTACAAATCGCCATCAACGAATCCAGCTGTATCCTTCGTGACCAGCTCTGTTCCTCCACGTCGCCAGCTAGTACACGTCAGCGCGCTCTCGACCGACCATGCTCACGTCTTCCAATCCATCCCTCCTGGACCTTTATGATACCTAGCCATATTCCTCTGGAGATCGTTCATAGTCTGTGATGCAGCCGTCGTAAGCTCTCCGATGATTCCAATCCGTCCGTCGGCAGTGGCGAACAAGAGGTCCGGAGTCATGGTTTCCGGAGCTGACGATGGTGGCACGAGGGATCCTGCAGCACTGTCAGTTGACTTGGCTCGTTCATCGGAGCTCGACTGACCCTGTCTGAATCGCACGACATCCTCGTGAAGTCCGAATGAAGCGGCACTTTCCAAAGACTCGTCGAGACGGAAGGTTAAAAGATTAGAGTGTCCCTTAAGAAAACTTCAGCGCGACTAACGAGCTTGACACAAGCTCTGCCCACATCAGCGATAATACAGCCTTGTCCCTGATCTTTGACATTCTGTAATGCCATAACTTGATGCGTCGCCATATCCTTGTCCTCCGACCACACGGTAGCGAGGGCTAGGTCCACTTCGAGCACGCACAGACTGCGCATCCCGTCCCCGACGATCAAACGTGGAGTGCTGTGGAGTTTGGTGGGTGGGACGACGAGCAGGTGTTGAGCCACAAAGACTGACGAGAACGTATCACACACTTCGAGGAACGAGTGGTCACCAGTAGCTTTGACCGTGGTGACCTGACGAAGGATCAGATCTGTGCAATCCACTTGAAGGAAGCCGGACGACTCACCGTACTGCCCGCTGCAATAGCCAAAAAGCCATGGATGCTTGCGATGTCATTGACAGGTCCGGGAACGTCCTTCGAGTGAACAATCTTGAGTTTCCACTCGCCAGAGCTAGCATCCTGCTCAGGAGCGACGAGCAGCAGTCTCCCGCTCTGGGCGTACAATGAGGATTCATTGATGCTCAGAAGAGAATCTAGATCCTCATCGTTCGGGAGTATGGCAGTACCGACCGCGAGATAGTAATCTTCTTTGAACAGGACCTCTTGGAGACAAGTGACTTCCTCGCGATCTTTGAGCCTCAGGTCAACGTGCAGGTCCAAGGTTGTTGGATCTCGAAGCTCGATATAGCTTGATTGCAAAACGTCGCCAGTTTGAGATTCGAGAACTCGTGACACTGTCCCTAATGCCAATAGTTTTTGAGTCGTCATGCTGATGATCTTGTTCGCCGTGCGATCTCCAGTATCCATCGTCGAGACGGATAGCTTCTTGAGGGAATTCACTCTGGTGAACGACAGGCCGGTACCAGATGCCAAGGCAATGACGTGACCGAAGGCCGTTGTCGGGATGTTTGCAGCGGCGACGATGTCCTGGGAAAAAAATCAGCAATTTGCTGCGTAAAGGAATAGTTTCACCTTTCTGCTGGCTGTCGAGAAGTCGATGCGATCGCTTGACTCGAATACAACAGACATCCTTTCCGTGAGGCCCACTGCCACGATCTGATCCTCGCCCACCGCCAGTCCAGCAGTCTGACAAAGCTTCAATGGTCTATTGCCCAGACTCGCGAGACGTTTGCCCTTCATGACGATTTCTCCTTGATCACCCGATGGCTCAAGATCATATGTGATCATCGAGCCGTCGTCTGAACCCGCAATCAACTGGACGCCGCTAGTCGAGGTCAAAGTGCCCAATGAGGGCTTGAGTAGCAATGAGGTGATGACGAATGATTCGGATAGCGAGGTGACGACCGAGGCGCCAGCCTGTATTTGATCGAGAGCATAAACAAGGATCTCCTTCTCCCAAGTCGCGACCGCAATGATCGGTGATGGCAATGTTGGAAGTTGAATTACCGCTAGCGAAGCGACTTCGGCACCTGCCTCATAGGATCTGCAAAGCCATGTCAGGCGCGTGGCGCGGGATCGAGCTGCGACTCACACGAGCAATTGCAACCCGTTTGAGGAGGCACTTATGATGTCTACTTTGCCTCTGCGTCGCGCAACAGCAACGAGCGATCCGCAAATATGACCAGCAACGATTTCTTCGCCGTTGGGGACTTCCCAGTTGCCTGCCTGATTACCAGATGCCAAGTCTGACCATAAGACGACGCCACACGCGGTGATCTGTACGAGTGATGATTCCAGCACCGCTGCACTAAGAGTCGGGCGAGAAGCGATGCTGTCCGGAATGTCCACGGCGGTGATCTCTGGCTCGATCTGGAGAACGAAAGTGGATGTCGGCGTCGACCCGAGCAGAAGCGGTGACCTGCAGGGTAATCAGAATAAACAGGCGTATTGAGCATACCCATTGGATGATGCTACAGGCCATAGATCGGTGATCCCTTCGATCCCCTCGATAGTGACTAAATCTTCCAAGCCAACTCCGCTGCGGATGATACGCAGCGAGTTCGAGTTCGACACGCCAGACGCCACTACAAGATGTGACTGTACCATGTCAGCACGCCTATGCACTTCCGACCCTTACTATTCCTCCTCCTTCTTCCCGGACGACGTCAAAGTCTCTGACCGGTGCAAGATTCGTCCACCTCTCCTTGATGGACGTTAAGCCCGTTGTTGAGTCCTCCACGTCGGCGAAATCGGCGCTCTGACCGGAGGCTCTGCCTTTGCCTTTTCGGATTGGTATGCCTCTAGTCGGGCTGGCTGACGAACCGCAACTTTCTGAGCCCGAGGGAATTTGCAGATTGACGAGCGATGAATCACTGCAGCCCGATGACAGGAAAAGATATCCGTTATCCAGGTAGGTCAACGACGAAGGAGGTGCGATCTGGCAGACATTTTGAGTTTCTGGCGATCCCGATCGCAAGGGATAGTACTCACGACACCCATATCGATCTTCTTCACCGAGTAGGAAGCGCGTTGGCTGAGTCCTGGACTTTGCGAGTCTGTCGATGACTCCCACGAGATACAAGTCAAGCGACCGCACTCGTCCCCAATTAGCACACTCGCTCCGCTCGCGTGCGTCTCGAGCACAGTAGCACTGTTGAAAAGTCAATTCCATGCTGACATCCAGACAAGGAAACGCACGATAAGACAGTGCCGAATCCCTGACGTACTCGCCACAGCGGCTTCAGATTCCACCGTTCACCAACTTCTAAACCTGAGCGAGACCCAGCCGCACTAGACTTTCGCCGCTTGCCAGACCCGCCCATCATGTCATTCTGAGGACTCCGTTGAGTGTTCGCCCCGCGGGGACTTTTAGGCCCTTGACTTGAGGACAGCGAGCCGCGAGATATCTGTGGGGATTGAGGTGTGAAGCTGAGATTGTATAGACAGGTATGTTCGTCCCCGATAACGAGCATGTGCTCAGAATCGACAGGAACTACCCGCCTCGCTGCGGGGCAAGAGAGTGGAATATCGTTGAAGTCGGTGTCATCCTCCACCGAAGTCTTGCCCGTAGGCATGACAACATCGACAGCTTTCGACAGCTCGTTGAACGTTCGAGATTTCGCAGCCAGCCGGCGAGCCTGAAGATGTAGAGTCGAGTTGGAAGAGAGCCAAAGGAACGAAAGGGTGGGTTCGTTCTGAGGGCTGGAGCTCGGCAAGAAAGCCAGATGGAGCAGGTTGTGCTCGCGGAGGCTGAATCAAAGGTCAGCAGGAGGATGTTCAAAGTTCTCGCTGCTATTCACTTGATGTTGAAATTATCCTTGAAGACAAGCCTTTGCACTCGATCTGACTCGTTCAGAGCGCCAGCAGCACTTGAACGCCTACGTTTCGCCTCCTTCTCCTTCTCCACATCGATCTCGATGCAGGACACCACACCGACCCATAAGCTCACCAAAGCGGTGAAACCCTGCGATATTACACCATTGAAGAATTCAGCTCGACGAAGTGTAGGAGTGGGTGGGGAAAGTGCCAAGGAGGATGTCACTATGAGGGAAGGCGAAGGTTCAAGTTGAAAAGATAAGAGGAGCAGATGAGCGTCCGGAGGGCCCAAGAGGACTAATAGGTGAGGTTTGAGACCCTGTTATTTTCAGGTGTCAAATGAAGCGACGGGATATCTTGGGAATATTGGACTGACTGGTACCTCGGTGTTCTCGACCAGACTGATGCCCACTACGCTGCCCCATAATTCAAGATCGGCACTGAAAGTGAGACCGGCCTCATTCACATCCCATATTTCGATGCGATTTGGCTTAGCAACAACTAGAGATATACTGTCTGGCCCTGTCAAGCCCTTGACACGGAGCGTATCGAGGATCGGGGTAGGTGATAGAGCCTCGCGAAGATGGTCAGCGGGGGTGTTCGCTTATGGTATGACACTGCTCACTGAGGCGATGTACAGCATATCGTCTAGCTGTACTGCGAGCTGCGGCGTGATCGCAACCCCTTCGAGACCTTCAATGTTCGATACAGATTTGATCTGCCCTTGAGTGACTTGATGACCATCGCGAGCGAGTGGAGGTCGAGCTGGCGACGGCCGCAATCAGCCGACGCGATCACGTGACAGAGGATCGTCGTGCGCACGACTTCCTTTTTGGAATGGGGCAGTAGTTCATTGTTATTATTGACTTCAATCGTGAACACTCCCTGCTACACATGCTTTACAACGAACGTTAATTGAGAAAACTACATAACCAGGCTGAACCGCTCATCGTTCTCAACGTTTTAGCAATAGTCACGCTGCCGAACGCACACTTGGGTGAAATATGTCAACTCCGCCTTCTCCTGCAGATCCCTCTGGTTTTGTCATTTCAAGCTCAAAACAACCCAGCACACTAGCCAATATTGCTCTCAATGGCTCGTATGGAGCTTCATCATCCTCTGTACCGCTCACAAAGAAGCGCAAGCCTTCTTTGACGGGCAGTGAAAAGAGGGACTCGGCCAAGGACGAACTGCACACGGACGATGATTCCGCTTCGGTCCGACCTGGAAAAGACCACAAGAGAACTCGAGTACACTTCTCCTGTGTCGAATGCCACAGAAGAAAGCAGAAATGCGATAGGAAAGAGCCATGTTCGCAGTGTGTCGCAAGAAAGGTCCCTCATCTTTGTCGACCATTCTTAAATGGTGTAGAAGATCCAAATACGTCAGTTTGACTTTGAGTGTATCAAATGAAGGGTCGCTGAACCATTTCTCACAGTATCACTTCCGATGTCAATGCGAGACTCAACTCTATCGAGACGCTCTTGTCCCGCTTGGTCAGCGCTCTTCCGGTACAAGCTCTTCACACGTTTCCCTCCGTACATGGTGCATCAAGTCACTCTTCACCTGATGTGTCGTCCTTGACAGCGTCTGGAGAAGAAATCTTCCATCCTCAATCCAGGTCAGACAACGCTCCTCGACAAGCGCTTCCTCAGAAGCCACCTCCATCGGGATTGTTCCCTGCCAGTCTTCATGCCACCGGAGTCGGACGAAGTGGTTATGGTTGGGGACTAAGAGAAGGGAGAATGATCAACTTGACGGACGAAGAGAGCCCAGACCTCAAGACTATACTGTCGACTCTGAGGGAGAGCGGAATCTCAAAGGGCCATCTTGAATGGGTCATTGCTGGTGTCCCGGGCCGCCGAATGGCAGATGGACTGATCGAGCTGTATTTCCGGTTAGTCACCCATGATAATTCCCGAGTCACAACGTGCTGACATTGACCTAGGGATATAGAGTCAGTTTGAAGCCTCTGCCTCTCCTTCCTGCTAATATGTCATTAGCTGGACACGCTACAAGATGAATAGAAACAGCTTCATGAAGCGATATAATATCTTCTTTGATTGCCTAGCCAAGAATCCGACGGATCCAAAGATCGACGGCGACACACTGCGGTGGTTGCCATTGCTCTTCATAGTGGTGCGTAGCAGTCTCACCCCTCCCGTTTGAGTCTGAGCCCCTCCAGTTGGCTATTGCTACATTATCGGCTCCGCACGAGCTGGTCGCACGGGACGATCAACAAGACTGGTCTCGTCGGTTCTATGGATCCGCAAGGAGCGGTCTCGAATATGCTAAAGCGCTACAAAGAGACAATCTGGATGTCTTGTTCGCCGGTTTGCTAGCCTCTCGATATATGTGAGTTACCCTCTCAAGATAGGCGGTTGCGTTGGCTCACTCGTCCGTCCAGGTTGTTGACACGCCGTCCCGCAGAAGGATCGACTCCGCTTACTACTGCCTTTCAACAAGGACTATATAGGGATGGCACAGTTTTGAATCTGACAGATAAGAAGGAGATTGAGATCCGACGTCGTGCCTGGGCTCAGCTGTATCACCTTGATCGCACCATTGCGCTCTTGGTCGGTCGGCCGCCAAGCATCTCTGATGCTCACACGGACACTCGTGCACCTGCAAATTTGGATGACGACGAGCTAGAGTCGGAGTTCGACCCAGAGGGACATCCTCTTTCTCTGCCCACCCTATACACCTATGTCATTCTGCGGTGAGCCTGACATTGATAACGTTTTCACAATGCTAACGTTCTCTCAGCCACAAACTTGCCGAAATCATGGGTCGAATTGCCTACCACACCTTTGCCGTATCATTACCTGACTACACGACTGTCTTAAGCCTTGATCGCGACCTGCTGGCTTGGCGAGACTCACTGCCGGCATTCTTCGCTTTGACTAATCCCGATACCTCGATGGACAAACAGCACACATATCTTTTTGTACAGCGTCATTTGCTTGCTTGCGAATGGTACTACACGCGGATCACATTGAATCGGCAAGTTCATTATCATTAGCTTCTCTTACCCACATACAGGCCATATCTCTTGCGACGGAAACCTCAAGATGGCCGTTATGCGTACTCAAAAACTGCCGCAATCGAAAGTGCGACTGCGGATCTCTTAAATAGAAGGGCATTTGTGATGGGTAAAGGCAACTTAGTTGTCAACAGCGGCGGCTATAGAGTGTGGGTCTTCAAGAAATCGAATACTGGCTGATTTGGCAGATTAAATTCATACATGGTTCTTGGGGTAACCATCAAGCGTAATTCCGCTCCCCCCGTCAGTTTGTGACCACTGCTTACGCCAAACAGTCGATCCTCAATCTCCTCAGGCGGACGAACTACGACAACTGTTGAACGTCGTCTCTGGGAAAGCACCAGATGCCGAAGGACTTACCTCCGAGCCTCTGGTAAAGGAAGAATTGGCGATCGTTGAGTTCTTGACTGCAAAAGGCAATGCCGCCGCGGGTAAACAGCGGATCGCGGGACGGCCTACCCGTGGAGAAGACCAAACTCCTGTCGATCTGCTTCTAGGCCTCGCGAAGACTCGATCTGGTCGTCGCGCAGCTGAAGAGGAGAAACGACAACTGCGACTTCAACAACAAAGGATGGAGATGGAGGAAAGACAAGCTGCGTTACGCAGTCGCGATAACCTCGGCTCATCGAATTCTACCAGTCCTTGGGATTATGTAGCCCCATCCATGCCTGGACTAGATGTTCATCAGCCCTTTGGATCTCCCACTACCCGTCGCGAGCCCCGACCTCTGCAACCCCCGCCAGCGAAACGTTCTTCGGGTCAGAGTCAGAACCCATGGCCTGCGAACTTGTTCGAGACCCTGACCAATCAAACACCATTATCCTCGCAAAACCTGCCCATTGAGATATCAAGTCAAAAGACACCTTCCCAAAATTCTCTCTCGGTCGATCAGTACAATTTCTCAGACATACCCGATGTGTCCATGTCCATCACCCCAAATCAGTCTGTTAATCATTTCGACCAGACACTTTTGTACACTCAGGACGGACAAACTCAGTACACTCAAGGCAACTATGACGCCTTCAATTTCGGCGATTTGGGCTTCAATACAGGGCTCACACCGAGCGATACGAGCGGGTCGAATTCTTTCAACCCATTCGCGTTAGCTCAGAATCAAGGTCGTGAAGAGGGGTGAGCGAAGCACGTCCCGTGAACCTCGGTTTCTAGCTCACGTGACCGCGAATTTAGGAGCGGCTCTGAGGGTATGGGCGAGGATGAGCAGACCCAATTTCTCAATTACATCTTGACAAAAATTGCCAACAGCCAACCCGAGGTGCAATAGGGTCGGGACCTGCAGTCCGTCGATCCTTTTCGTACAGTGTCGGTCCCACCTTCCCACCCGTTAATTGTCCGTTCCTACTGTACAAATAGAATTGCCGATCACCGACTCTTCGGGTGTCCGGTAAATGTGGCGCTGGGCAAGTGACCTCGATGTGAGGATGTGGCAGAGGGATGAATGAGGTCTACCCGGCTGCAAAGCAGGATACACAGGGGCATGCTGGTGAAAGCTTGAGACATAGTCCGATATGGCAAGTGACACCTACCACTCGTCAAACATTTGCAGCACTACAGCACCGCCTAGTGCCTTTTGCGGCGTTCCGCCCCTCTGTCATCGCATAGAATGGAGGCTATCTGCCGAATGGCGAGATCGTGGATTTGGAAGATACAGAGGCATGGGTCGTGGACGAGAGGCAACAATGAAGGTGCTGGGCTTTGAAGGAAAAGTTGCGAGGACAGACATTCCAATAGAGAGGGTGGAGCTCGTGTGATTGTGACGTGGTACGCGTAGGAATAGGCACGATACAGTCGCGAAACCAATTCCGGACTGTCTTAGGCTTTCAGTCATCATATCTGATCGAGAATAACTAGCGAGTTTAGCCACCGGTCTCTTTGTACCGATATGGTCATTCTCATTGACCAGTCGGTCTCTTTTCAACTCCTCCTGTGCAGTCACGTCTCCCAAGTGGTCGGGACAGATCGGATGTCCAGTTGTAAGAGGGTCCGTCTATTTGCTTCTAGTTATACATGACTGTTTGCCCTTAACACAGACGCTGAGGGTCGCCGGACACATTTAGGAAAAAGTCAGGCGCGTTCGTTTCGTTTCTTCGTTGCCGCAGACTCCGGGATTACATAAGCGCAAATCACCGATTAAACCCTTCTGTGTTTCACCTTCTACATCACGGGCATCGACAAGGTCGGCTGTAAGCTCCGACACAGGTCTATCACCCTGTCATTTACCTACCTCTGTAGTAAGACCATCGTCTGGGGCGTATTTGTAGCTCCAAAAACCAGCCATGCCTGAAAGATAAGCGGTACCAGGCCCGCACTTCTTAAATCACGAGATGCCTTTCAGGTCATTCACTGTCGTTGCACGTCTCAGGAGACTTACAATGCTGCTCCAAGTACATAGTGTAAATTTATAGACCTTTTAAGTGGTAGCAAGCCATAGATCTTTCTCCATCTACTCTTTACGATCAGACCGACGAGATGAAACGTTGGATATCCTACCGCATTGACACGCCTACCGGTGCGGAGTTGGCCACGCTTATATTTCGGGACGCAGGTCACCGAAGGGCTGGAGAATCGTATCAGTACTATCATTGACACAAATTCTAGGTAATGCACATCTGATTCAACGTACATTGCCAGGCGTGCACCCGTCAGACGATCAGCAAGGATGAGAGTTGATCATGAGGAACTGCCACAAAGAGTCTTTGCTAGTGAGATTCTAGTCGAGGTCGCAACACGCTTACTTGTCTCAGTTACTTTCCTGGGAGTACTGTGCATTCGGTCTGTACTCCATCTTTCGCGGTTGGGATCGGCGGGGCAATCCTGCACGCAGGCGAGGCTAGTAGGGGTGAGCTGATTGGAGGGGCTATGACTAATCACAAGCAGGATGTTGGTATCTGTTGCATACAGGCCTCAGGCAACGCGGCACGTCGAAAAGGACCGGGGGTTTCAAATGTCTTGATGAGTAAGCCGGAGACCATCGTGTCTGAGACCCCAGAGCGAGCATCAACTGAAACTGATCATAGAGCATTGCTCGCCCATGCCTCCCGTCAAGTGCGCCTGACGGCCTCTACCGACAATCTCACCGATGATCTCACTTTCTTCCAAGCACTCTTGATGCTATACCCCATCTCGCCTAATACCAAGAAGGCAGCGATTGGCTCTGCTCACAGCGTAGCGTATCGACTGTCATCAGCGCTCGATCAAGCTATACTGTCCGTCAGTCCCCTGTTGTCGAGGCGCAATCATTCAGGCGTTCTGCACGACCTTGGAAGACTGCTTAGATTGTTTATCACAGCGCAAGAAGCTCAAAAGCATAATCTGCTAACATTTGGCGGCGGTATGCGGTCAACTGCTACAAATTGACGGCGCAAGGGAACAGGAACACACTTTGGACGCTTGGTAGATAATCGACCTACTCATGTCCGCCACAATACCCACGTGCATCGCCCAGTATGTACCTCCTCTGTCCTCTTCCCATCAAAATCCAACAGGACTCCCTGTAAACGCTGCAATACGTCCGGCTCAACGTGTGTGCCCACTGGGACGGGTGTATGCTGCAAGTCGTGCCAGCAGAGCAAGCGCAAGTGTTTGTGGGCGGATTGATCATACACGCAGCAATCAGCTTGGATTGTGCACTCAGGAAGGGACTTGCTGAAGGTTGCAGGCAGTATCCAAGCGCTCTACCGATTTTCAAATTCAGTCCATACGGGACATCGACGCTCTTCACAGTCCATACATATGGCATAGGTCCAACAATGCATGGTAAACAAGTAGCCTTGCAAAAACTTGCAGGCGGTTACTTGTCTCACAAAGGCTACGTTATTCAAGCCACATGTGACCATCGGCGAAGCCAGATGGCATCTCCTATCACCTCCATGATCAGCCGTACAATAGATGCTTAGGCGGGGGTTCTTGTCCGTCTATGCCAAGGCACTGTGAAGGCTGTAACAGGAAGACCGTCAGGGCACTGCTGATGACCGTGATCGCCAGGTTGAGCATTGGAAGCAGATGCACATTGCCGCAACGACAGCTGGTGTACGCCGTTGGCGCGCCGGCTTTCTTCCTTGCCGGATCAGCTACCTGCTTCAGTTCTTGGACCTGCCACAGACTCACACCAGAGTGTCCCTGCAGCAGAAGGCTTGAATGAACATACCCGTTTAGAGATTGATCGAGCCCCACGGGCGACGCGGTCATCACTCTTGGACGGCTAGTCATGGGCCTACCTTTCATCACGTGATTCTCTTCCCGAAATCAAAGTTATTGCTGATCGGTCTCGGTTGTCGACATTGGGGTCCGGAGAGGACGAAAGGGAGAGAGAGATGGAGAGATAGACGGTTGAGGTCGGAGAGAGAGAGGAAGGGAAGGAGAGAGAAAGAGAGAGAGAGAGGAAGAGAGGGAGAGAGGCCCCAGGGTCAAGGAGTTTGGGGGGGTGGAAGGAGTTGGTCAGGGCACCTCCGAGGATTGATGAGCGTCGCTTCATATCCACATCAGCGACCCTGATCTAGTTCTAAGAAGCGCTACCGGTCGGAGCAATGGTTGTCTCCATCATACTAAGGGGTCATAAGTCATCGGGGAAAAAGTAACCACCGGCCTTAGATCAAATCTCGTCAGGCGTATGCTCGCTGGGGACCTCGACAACAAGTGTGGTTGAGATCTGCCAACCACCCATGACTTCCACACGTCTTGGCGCTCAGCGTCTGTACCGAATGGTTTGACTGAGAGATGTGCATCTTGACTCGACAGTCTTGAATTGGGTGATCGGTTCAGGAGCTGACTCTCTTGACCTCAGGGGGTGATTATAAGCTTTGGAGCCGTTCCTCCAGTAGCAAAGAAGCCAGAATGCCTGGTGACAAGCACGGTGTCAAGACTCACAATGTATGCAATTGGGTCTCACCTATGCACCCCGGTCTTGACCTGACCTTCCATTCTGATTTGACTGTTACGGGCGGGCTTACCAAATAGAAGAGGGGCAAGTACCGTTTGTAATAAGCGCACCTTCTATTAGAAAGGGATAGCTTTGGTGTACGGACGGCTGGGTCTTGCAGCTGGGTGCAAGGTACAGTTGCAAGAGTAGTTGAGAGTGATAGTGATTGAGATGCAATGAGGTTGATGAGGTGAAGTGGTGAAGAAGTTGAAAGGTAACTTTACTGAGAATTGTTCTCTGAGGGAAAAGAAGACTACAAACCACCTCCTTATATAGTTTCTGGAAGGCCCTATGGACCCACAATGTAGACACTACAAGATCTGCGTGCAAGTTGCACGCTGGGAAAAGATCTACATGGGATCTGCGTGTAAGTTGCACGCTGGGAAAGATCTATCTGGGATCTGCGTGTAAGTTGCACAAAGATCTTCTTTTTCTACTTCAGGAATATTGGGAGTGTCTGGATCTGCGTGTAAGTTGCACGCTGGGAAAGTATAGTAAAGAAAGAAAAGGCTGTGTGATCACGTAAAAGATGAGCTGGTGTTAGGATACGTCTGAGCGTATCGTAATATTGACGAACGGTGTGATTCTCGATTGATAGGCACAGCAGATGTCAGCATAGCAAGCGTGAATGTAAGGAGCGACTGTGAGCTTGACAATGGTCTCGCAAGCTGGATGCAAGTTACCCACAGACTAAGTACAATGTATGAGTTGAACCGTGTTCGAGCAAAAAGCACAGGATTCTACTGTTGTTTGTGGCGACAGAGGATGGCCAATGTGGCGGTTTTCTTTTATACATCCATAAGTCATCTGAACTCCTTTGCGAAGCTGACCCCTTGCTGAGACGCGTCAGAAGCAAGTTATCGTCCACTGCTCTCACCCCTTCTCTGTCTTCCTTGGTGATGGCATAGCGCTCATGCATCATGATGCACCTTTCAGCTTGGTCTGTATTCGGAGTTCTTTAGTGTCATCCATGAACATCATCGCCTTCTTGGCTCGAAATCACATCAATTCAGTGCGCTGCATCGCTCTAGAACTTGACTTGACTATCGGACAGCAGCAGTCCTTGATTACTTCTCCATCACATTTCGGCCTCCATATCAACCAAGATCCACTACAATGGCAGCACAGGACGATTCGAGCCAGCTCGCCATGATGACCGAGGCGTTGACCGTACAGGAACGTCCCAGCTTCATCCAGCTGAGCGACTCTTATAAAAAGGTCGGCTTCGTCAAGGTTGAGATCAATCAAGACAAAGCTGACTCGGACTGGGATACATGGAGATTCGCCTTGATCCCTGACGCCGCTGACACGACGGCCGATGAAGCGGGTCGTGATGTCCTCCAAGACTTTACCGGAGAGTTCTACAGACCCAGCTTTGATAAAAGCTTTACTCAAGACCAGGTTCATCAATTCATCAGTGATCTTCACAGCGGCCGTAGCCAGGTCTTGTCTTTCGTTCATCGTTATGGAGTCAAGGATACCGATGAAGCTGATGAGGGTCCTGGATCCGTCAACATTCGGGCAGCAGAAACGGACGAAGTACAGACCACCGTCGAGGCGTTGACATCGCAAGGAGTGTCTCTGGACAGCATTTTGAGCATCTTCTTGATCAGAGAATCCAGAGAGCCCGTAAAGTTTATCAAGAAGCACCGAAGAGACTTCTCATGGAACATGACGGGACCTGGAGGGACCTTTGAGTCGAAAGATCTAGGCGCAGAAAGGGCAATATTTGGCTGGAAGCCAAATCAGAAATCGTATCCAGATATCAAGGAGTAAAAGTACTCGTCCCATAAAATCACACTTGACTTTGAAAGATACGGTAGAGGTGCATAAATGACAGCATGCAAGATTCTGATGAACAAGGTATGAGCTGGCTTGGAGCTTGTCGTTGTCAAGGCTTTCACCAACTCTGGGACCTTCCTCCGGTTGAGTATTGGCCAATGTGAGAGCGTCGTCATGAAGCGAATCACGTTGTGCTCTGTTTGGCATGGAGCCTGGTATCTAAAGCCCCTGGCCAGGACATTCTCGATTCGCCAATGATTGTCTACCTCACCTTTGTTCCTCTCACTGCTCAGTCCCGGGACACTGAATGTTACATTACTTCTCGAGTACGCATCAATACCATGACTGCGTCTTGATAGGATGAAATGGAAGCCATGCCAAAGACTGAGCTTGTGTAGGCGGCGGGGGCTGGATATCCATCCGGACGAGAAGTACGCTGACATGAACAGGATTGTGAAAGGAAATTGCGATACACATAGGTGCATATTGCCGCTTTACCATGAACTGCCCTTTTTATCGCCAGAGCTAGCAAATAGAACATGATGGTCTCTAATAAACCTCTAAGACATACCTCTCCTCTTCTTTCAGAGCATCGACGAATGACTCTGCTTCATCCCTCTTCATACCTTTTGTCTCTTGCAGACTTCCTACCAGCGCTTCAAAGACATCGGGTACAGGCCAAGTAGGTCCACAAAGGTAAAAGTAAGCTGCGTTTTCGCCCTTTGCAGTCAACATATCTGCCAGCAATGCCGCGTCCTCCTTGATCTTGTGTTGAATGTACACTTTCTTGGGGCCGTCTCGCGAGAATGCCAGTCCAGCGTGTGAGATGATCCCACTGGAGATGTACGCTTCGATCTCTTCTCCGTAGAGGTATTCCTGAGATCGGTGTCGGGATCCGAAGTAGTACAAAAGTGGTCCGACGTCGATACCTTGAGATCGCTGCCATGCTCGATGCTGCATGAAAGCGCGGAATGGAGCGGCACTAAGAGCGAAGAAGTTAGACAAGGGAGTCATCTCGAAGACGAGGTCAAACTCACCCTGTACCCAGACCAGACATGATGACGGGTTGCTTGTCAAGAGGTGGCAACTTCATAACAGAGGGCTTTATCGATACGGTAACCTTGTCTCCGGGCTTGAGTGCGGCGAGATATCGCGTGCACTGTCCGAATCGAGGGGATCCTGGCATGACATGAGCTTCAACTTGTAGCGGCTCTGAAGAGCAACTCACCCTTAGAGTTGATCCAATCAACCGTGACGATCAGAAGCTCGACCTTATCCCCAACAGCCTTTTGACTGCTGGCAATGGAGTAGTGTCGGGGCTTGATTTCTGGAATCAACCCCACCAGCTCTTCGATCGAAGGACGAGCCGTTCGGAACTTGAACAAAACGTCCGCAAAGGTCACAGTCTCCTTGTCCGCCATTCTCTTGAAAAGGTCCGCTCCTTCTGGTGCAGAGATGAATTTCAAAGTCATCGCATCGGCTTTGGATGTTGCCAGTTTGGCCAAAGATGCGTAGAAAGCTTTTCCTGGTCGACCAAAGAGGTCGAGATTCTGCTGTAGCAACTGGAAGACTGTTCGCGTCTCCATCGCCCCGGCTCGTATGGGGCTTGGGAACGAGACCAGCGAATCTGGATCAAGACCGTACCAGGAGCAGAACTCCATTACTTCTGCTGCGTCGTTCCATCCGTGGATACCTAGCGCTTCTCCAATCTCGTACTTGAGACCAGTACCCGTGGTGTCGAGCTCCAAGTGGAAGACATTTCGATCGTACGTGAGGGGCGTAAGTCGTCGATTCTCAGATACAGTAGCGAGGTATGTGCTCTCCGATTCACTAGGCCGCAAAGCGTTGATAGCGGGTCCGGCCAATGGGTCTAGAGTTGAGGGAGACTCGTCGTCAAAGGCAAATGCCTCCCTGAAGAGCAAATGTCGAGCGGCGAGATCGGCTGGACCTTGGACAGGCTTCGCATCTTGGTCAAGGGAAACAACTCCGGCTTGACCTGGCAGGGCGTCCCATTCCCAGGCTGATTTCACCTTCTCCGTTTTGCCTTCCTCCAGTTCTGGAACCTCCCACGCACTGACGTCAAGCTCTGATAGACCAGCTTGAGCATCCTCAACGTCTTCTCGGCCTAAATGCCCAGAGTGGAAAGCGTCAAGGACTTTTCGGATACCGTTAGGCAGTCTCTGAGAACCAGTATACAAGAGCAAGAACGCCACAGTCTCCTTGGTTGGCAGGGTGGATGCGCTGGGGTCCAGGTCGAGCAAGAAAACTCGGAGCTGTTTCGACTTGATCGTTTCGATTTCTCCTCGACTCAGCTTCAAAGGGACTTCTTCTTCTGTCCATGGCAGCTCAAGGACGAGGATACCTCCTTGAGCAGCGCTTGAAAGGACGTCAGTAGACTTGAGCACGTTGGCATCCGATACCCAAGTGACAAAGGCTGAGGGGTTGGACGAGACTGGATGCGGGGAGGATGTCGATGGCGAGAGACTGAGGACAGATTTCAGACCTCGAGCCGATGCCGAGCCAAACTGAGCCAGTCGGGTATGCAGTGATGGAGAGGAGAGGAAGAGTTGGGTGAGAAGCTGAGGAAGGGGTGCAAGTGGTGCGGTGTAGAACGAGACGATCTTGGCCGCAACCTCAGGATCGGGTGAGCGTGCTGGGGCGACGATAGCCTTCAGGGTGGGCCATTGGGATTTGGAGGAGCCAGAGGCGGCGTAGAGAGCTGAGAGTAGTGCAGTGCGCACAGTGTTGGTTTCTGATGTGGAGGTCCCAAGCAATGTCACAGTCTTGCCTGAGATCGCCGCAGCAAGAGCATCGGGAGAGGGGGACAAGGTGTTGAGAATCAATGATGCTTGACCGGATGAGATAGTTGCAGCGAGGCTACCGTTGAGCGCGAGTGTAATTTCCGAAGCTGACGGGTTGGAGAGCGTAAAGTCTCCGATAGTGCCAGTGGAAGGGGCGGGAAAAGTGTACGAGGCAATCTCCCGGGCAGAGTGCGCAGATTCGACAACGTGGATGATCTTGCCTTCACGACCGTAGATCTTGCCAGCGACTTCCACAGTGTCGAAAGATGAAAAGACTGTGTCCCATTCCTCTGGTAAACCCGATAAAGCTTTGACGATTTCACCAGAAAGGGAATCGCCAAGTGTCAAATCTTCCTTTGCTTCTGTAGTGGCGAGATGGACGACAACATTCCCCTGGATTAAAGACAGATTCGGCAAGAGATAAGACAGCGTGGCGGTCGTTGCAAAGACACTGAGTCGAGCGTCTGACTTTGACTTTCGAGCATATCCTGCGAGCTCGAGTCCTGCTCCTTGACGGGTCTGAACGGAATGCACAGAGGCAAGGTTCCAGGATGACAATGTCAAGCCAAATCCAACTTGAGCAGCGTCGTCGTAGACCCAAACACTATCGCTATGTTTCGCAGCGAGCGCTTCGAGCACTTGTATGGCTGATCCGTAGACTACGGTGCCTGCTTTGGTCGATGGGACAGGCGCAGAAGAAGCCAAGAGACGGGTATAGTAATCCGGCTGACCAGGTTCTATCCGAGGTAAAGACTCATCGATCGTCTCTCTAGGTGATGACCCTGGTGACGGCGGGGCAACTTTGACATGCTTGTCGTCCCCATCTTCCGAGACTGCTGTGGACGTTGCAGAATAGGGCGTGCTATCCCCCTCCAAGGAGATACCTTGGTTCTTGGTAGCTGCAGCTACAGGTGATTTCTTCACTGGCAGACCCGGAGGAGAGGTCAGGGACGACGTGAGGGCGATAGGAGCCATGGTGCGAGGACTTTCCTGTACTACACACACCCGCGCTATTCAAAGAAGACCACCGTTCGAGGTCGATGGATGGATGAATAATGGACGATGGACCTCTCGATGCTGCTTCGACCAAAATTCGGAATGGTCGATCATGGCGTGATTTGCCCCCCCCGGCTTCGGGCCGATATCAACCACGTGACAGAAAGGATGACGTGGCAGGTCCCAGAGCCAAGGTCAATTGATAAGGTTGATCGATGCTTTGAAGACGTTTGACCAACGAAGCTGAAATTCCACTCATTCAATCGATTAGGGGTACGATTGCTCGTTCTGGAATTGGAACAGGCTTGGTCAGATTGGATTGGAGAGAAAGCCTCGGAGTCTCCCAAACAGAGGTGATATATTCGCTACTTGGAATCTGTCCCTGGTCATCCCGTTGCGACTCGCACTTGGGCTCACCATGCCACCTCAAGAACTCGTCGTAGTGCCCAAAACAATCCACAATGTCCTCAACCAAATGCGTTCCAAAATCTTCATGACGGCTTACAACCCGACAGGCGCAAGGCAAGGGACAAAGTACTTACGGAAGAAACCTATGGGACAGAAGTTTCTCGAGTATTACCCCGATACCATAATTAGGCCGTCCCAGGCCAATTCCTCAAAATCTCATGCAATGTATCCCGGCTGGACGGGTCTCATACCGGGTATACCGTATGGGAAGATGCAGAAGGCGACGTTCAAAGAGAAGCCCGACACCGTGCCTGGACCGTCCAAAGCCTCTATCGCGACTTCATCCCCCGCATCTCCAGACGCCTCGGTCTCAGCTCCATCTTCTCTTGAAGGCGCGGCCGATCTATCTACCGTGGCCGAAACATCCTCGTCATCCTCATCCTCATCCTTATCGACTACTACCGTCTCGTCCGAAACCAATTCATCTGCAGCCACCACTCCTCAAACACAGGAAACACAGATTCAGAATGAGAATGCCACCGCCACACGCCAAGAGATGTTGGCCGCCCTCAAAGCAGCTGGGATTCGCCCTGATTCCATGTACTTTGGAGCGGACAACTTTTTCGGTGCTGCACCTCCTGAAGAGTATTGGCCGACAGCTTGGCAAGCGGATTGGAAGGAAAGATACAGAATCAAGAAGCTGACGAGGAGGAGACGTATTGGGAAAATTACACCAAAGAAGGGTGAGTGGATTGCGGTGTCCCGTGACAAATCGAATACTGATGTTTGTCTACAGGTGAAGGAAAGAGATCACAGCTTGGCAAGGGCAAGAAGAAGTAGAGTCTTGGTGGGCTGGACCGACGTTGTCATGTACATTCTTACTATTGCATCAATGCATTGCTCGTGGCATACAATGTTTGACCCAGGCTTCCCTTGAGGACAAGCGGTTCACACTGGCTGGCCCGACAACGGGTCCACCCATAATGTCTTCTCCCAGACATTCGCGCTTATACCGTTGATCTCTGGCCAAGGATGACATCGAACCCTCGGCGGAGGTCTGGGAAGGCGAGTGAGCTTTCCTTCTGGCCTCGTCAACGCCAAAATGGCTCACGTGGTTGACCAAGATATTGTTGCCTCTGACTCTGGCGGGACACCGTCTACCCAGCCTAATTTCTCCTGTTGCATCGCTAGATCATCCCGATTCTCTTTGGCTGGATGAATTTCGTACGCGAGCTAAAGGCCGCTCAGCGAGCGGTCTGTGCGGGAGAGCTACATGTCGCACCACACTCACCTGTACGGAGGGTACGACTTGCACTCTACCGAAGCCATTGGCCCAGAAATCCTGAGCGACGAGTGTGCATTCACTAGCTGTGCATTCGCCTTTGCTCGCATCACCTTTTCGAAACCTGACGTTGTATGGCGGCAAGAATGGCGCTGGGTCAAGGACGACTAGACCATTCCATGCAGAGTAGACTTGGAAGGGAAGTAGTGAATCGTATGCGGAACGTGTGGCGGGGGAGTTGAAGAAAAGATCGGTAGAAGGGGACCACGATGTACCTGTAATGGGATAGAAAAGATCGCCCTTGTCGATCTGATGAGTAGTCAGCGCGGAACATCTCGCGGTCGAGCACGCCAAAGGCGGACGGCAGATTGGCAATGTCGCCGGTTGAGCCTGCTGCACGATGGATGAATGCACCGTTTACTCACCGTCCTAGCCACCCATATATCGTAAAAGTAGCCCGGCCGTCTCCTCCACCAGTCCCATCCCGCCGTTAAACTCGCTTTGGAAACGACGTGTTGATGCAGCAATTCGAGCACATCTCTCGCGTGTAAAAACACATCGTTCATCATGACCACTGCTTGATAGCTCTGGCTAGAGGATGATCCTTTTGCTCCGGTTGCGGTTGACCATAATGGTGCCAAAGCTCGGTTTCGTAAATCGGCGAGAACGGCAATGCGATTATGGTTTGCGAAATCAATCTTGTCCTCACCAGTGATGAGATGCAATTGGTTCTGTGGAATTCCTAGAGACAGTAATGTAGGCCCAATGACCCGGTCAAAAGCTTGAGTTGTACAGTCGTCACTTGGTCCTTCTATGAATGAGAACGTGAGCCGCTCCGCACCGAGAAAAGTGACCAATACAATGAGGGTGTTTAAAAGGTCCGGGAGTTGATTGTGAATTTCCCTGATGGTCGATACCACGAGGATCCTCTGACGAGACGAAGTAGTAGATGGGAGGTAGGATCGCGGTGCCTTTTTCAAATGAGCATAGCGTCTTGTTTGAGAGTCTGTGAGACCTGGGTCGACGTAGACCTGTTCTAATGCTCCGTAGGACCGGCAAACCTCCAACAGGGACTGGGATGCGGCTGAAAGTTTCTGGTTCAAAAGAGGATTATTGGCGTGTGCAGCGGGTGGGTAATGGGAAGGGAGAAACCCCGGCCATTGGATAGATGATGAGGCCGGATTAGGAGTGTGGAAAATGCTATAAGCAATGACCAGGATAAAAGTCGTACCCGTGATAGCTAAGAACGGGTCTCGTCGAAAGATTGACAGGAGGATCGTACCCCGAGCGAGGGGCATGGGGAAAGTGGTGCTCTAGTCACGAGCAGCGATTCTACCTTTGCGGATGATATGTTGCCCAGCGATGTCAGATTCCCGAATCCTCGACACGCAGGTGGTCTGCTTAATGGAGTGTGTGTGGGTTAGTTGTACAATGAGCAATAACAGAAGAATACCTTCATATCGGGATATCGGGAAATCCCGAAACCCGCGGAGTTACCATGCATCTCCGTATGTTCCATGTGAGCCGAGAAGTGACGTCGAGACATATACATATATACCATCTCAACACATCTTCACCTGCAACCGTTAATCATCTCGTGTGTCGGCCGTCATGTCATTCATCAGTGCTCCCAAACCCATCAATGGTCACGTTCAACCCGAAGCAGGCATGTCATACATGGTAGCCCATGCTTCGCTCAAAGTCGCCCAAACGGCCGGGATGATTGTCCCTCCTGCTTATCTCTTGTTTGGTCTCGTCAGGCGTAATCCACTGAGCGTCTCGAGGTGGATGAGAGCGAGCGTAGGAGGAGTGGTCGCAGGAGCAGGGCTAGGCGCGGGAATGGGATACATGCGATTGAGAGGTGAAACGGCGGCAGCATTGGAAGATAGAGTTGTGAGATTGGTACGTCGATGGATTGTCGTCCGACATGGGTGCGATGGTTCCTGATCGTACCCCACGTGCAACAGAGCCACAACCCATCTCAAATACGAACAGATGACTACTCAATCATTGGCTCAGCCCTCGGCGCCCTCATCGTCCCTACTCTTCTCCTGAAGCGTTCTCGATTACCTACACTGGCGCTAGGAGGAGCAGCCATCGGTTTAGGAGCAGGCGTGTGGGTACATCTCGTCAGGATGTGGGCCCAAGGTGCAGATGTCAGACCGGAAGGAATGGTGAGTTGACACATGTGTCAAGGGTACCTTTGGGTCCTGAACGCTATGGAGCGTCATCATTGATCGCCTTCGTGTAGGTCGGTGAGATTCCCGTTGTAGGAGGTAACGACAAGAAGTGATTGGGCTCATAACCTCAATATACTCGGGAGTATAATGACATGCTGTATGCATCGTGAGCAGTCTCATTCAGAGTGTGTATGATGTGTATACCAGTACGCGCCCCTTATCGCGCCTGGCACACACGATTTGTCCTTTATTGTTCTACCTCACCTCATCGCGATCTCCCCCATCCTTCCGCCGCTCGCTTGTACGCTGTCCCTCACGTCTCATGGACACGAGGCTGGCGAGGCGATGTCGACTCAGTATTCAATCTGATCTCGTCCTCTCATCTCTGTTTCCATCTCAGCAGTACCTACTAATAATCGTACATCTCACCAGCGGTCGTGATTATCTCGCTTGCACTCACCATAGAGGTTGGACTGCCCATCGTATGACGCGGCCTTATCTCAATTGATCTCGCCACCCTCACGTCAACCTGTCGGAGTTACCCCCTCGTAAACTCCGTAAAGCAGCACCAGGTCGACCCCTGTCATTACTGACCTCTCCCGGTCTCGCCTCCGTCCCGGTACACCGCCGACCCCTGCCTCCACCCTCTGCGCTCGCAATGGCTGCTCCGTACGCTCTGTGGCCAGGTCTCACACCGGGAATACCTGCGATCCCTAATCAAGCACCGATGATGTCGATGCCTGCTGGATATGGGTATGGTATGGGAATTGGATGGGGGATCCCAGCGATCCCACCTAGCTCACAGTGAGTCTAGTGTACCATGTTGTGTTCCAAAATTGAACACCCGTCTTGCGACGTTTCTTATCTTGCGCCTGGTATCGCTGGCCTTGCCATTCGTTCAATATGGATTGGCTTTGGCTCGCTGTCGCCACCCAGTCCTATGGTCATCAACCCGGAAGGCGCCGTCCGGGATTTTACCGAACACGTTCTCTCTGGTGATCGCAAGAACATGTGTACCGAACGAGAAGCGGCGATCATTGGCGACTGGACCAAGAATGATGATTACAAGAAGATCATCATGGAAGTTGTTAAAGCTCGGATTGATCTTCCCTGGCCATACAACTACAAAGTCTTGGACCTACTCAGTGTCTGTCCCATCGGACTAGCTGTAGAGCTGTTCGACAAAGTCAAGGGTCTGGCCGAATGTGCAGCCTCCGTCGAAGGCTCAGCAGCCCTACACAAGCTTGGTAAACCCCTCGTCGAGAAGGCAGAAAAGGAGCGCACGAAGATGGAAGAGGAAGAAGCTAAAAAGCGACACGAAGCTATCATGACCATGTGGGGTGGATTATGGGCGAATGACCTACCTTACAGGGCTCCTGGTGGACTCGCTCAGGCAGGATGGGGAGGTTGGCAATACCCTTATCAGATGGTTGGACCGCCAGGCGTATCGGCTCAAGCGAATGTAGAGTGGAAAGGGAACCCTCCGACAGGTTGGAATCCGTACGTTTTGGCTCCTGTTCCTTTGTATCGCGGTCCAGTGATTGGCTGGCCAAAGATTTGAGCGAGCAAGCGGGCGAACACGAGCAGGGAGAGGAGGTGGATGAGGGGCTTTATTACAAAGCGGGTTCCCTCGCCGGAGGAGACAAGGAAAGCTGCCTGTAGTGAGCTGATACCGATACGAGGACGTTTTAACCATTTCATCCGACCCTGTTTCCACCTCGCCACATTCGCTATCACACATCATGCCCTCTGAATGCCTCATCTCATCTGAAATGTCGCCGATACCTTGTGCTCGCGCCTAACGCCCCCTGTCATCACTGCTGCTGGTGATCTCCGCCGACTCCTTGCTGGCCCGTCATTCTCAACTGCTTGCCCCCGCAATCGTCCCGCCTCGTCCCGCCACGCATTACCAATTCATACTTCCGCCACATCCCCTCCATGTCCTCATCTACAGCGCCAATATCACTCCCATCCCTCAGATCTATCCTTTCTCAAGGACAGGATACTACGCTATGATACCTGAAGATCGAAAACCTCCAGATCCACCCAAAGCAGGGACATACACTGTTTCAGTGGTTCCGGGTCAAGTGGCAGGCTCGTGAGTAGAGTCAGTTGACATGGACCTCCTCCGCGGTGCCAAAAGTCATTGACTGGCCCCGGCAGGCAAAGATCTGGGCTCAGTAAAACTCTCCCACTTGGTTTGGATGAGTTGAACGATCATTGGAATGCGCAACTTCAGGCTAGAGGGTGGTGAAGTGATTGTACACAAAGTAGAGCTGTCAGAATACCTTAATCAATAAGAGATCTTGGATTGAACCTGGACGAACTCAAATAAACTGCATATGGTAATGATCCGGTGATACTTGAGCATACAAGCGATCATTCGCCCTCGATAAGGGGCGATTCACCCCTTTCTCTATCCACGATGTATCGTGATGTGGGTTCAGGCACCCTCTCCACCCTCATCTCAACGTCCTCTTGTTCTTCTACCTCCTGATCTCCGGTCTCGCCAGTATCGGTGTGAGCGTCCACGTTCTCTTCTAGAGGAGGCGTACTTGGAGCTTCAGCAATGTCGTCAAGAGTGGTACCGCCTTCGCGATCCTGGTCTGTTTCCACTGGAATCTCGCCTTCAGGCAATACCTCGTCGTCGCCTCTGTTCTCAGGAGCATCCATTTCACCTGTCAGAGTGTCCACTGCAGCATCATCGTCGTCGTCATTCGGCCCTTCGTGCTCTGCTGCAGCCAGCTCATCGCCGTTGACTCCAGCCTCGCTTTCGTCAACTTCCATGCCGTCCCCTTCCTGGGGTTCCTCAAGCTGCTCCTCTCCATCCCCTGTCGTTTCCGGTTTTTCGCTACCAGCTCGGGTCACTACCTCTTGCTCTCCTTCATTGATTTCTCCGTCCCCTCGTTCAGGCTCATTATCCGCTGCTTCTGCTTCGTTGACCTCCGATTCCTTCAGAACCAGTCCATCTTCCCCTTCTTCATCCTCATCTTCCGCATCACCAGTTCCATTCTCCCGCTTAATTCGCGCAGCGTCCTCGGTCTCAGCATTATGACCCTCGACGCCACCATTGTCCACGACAGCTTCGTTTTTGGTTTTCGCGGCCGTTTCCCGATCCACTTCATCAGTCTCTGCTTTGCCGATCAGTCCTATGTGCCTTTTCGACGACAGTGCGCCAAAGTGGCGAAGAGATTTCTGGGAGGCGAGTCGGAGAGCCCGCCAATTGAGATTGACCTTGAGCTGCGAAGATGATCAGCCAATGACATGCCCGCACGAAGGCTGAGACTTACATTGGCAACTTCAACAGCTTCCTCAGGGTCCGCTTCTCGACCCATTGCCCTGTCATCCTCTTCTTCTGCTTCGATGGCTTTGATCTCCTCTGACAAGCTTTCGATGGTGGTTTGGCTGAAGACACGGCAGATGAGAGTCTGATCCAATCCAGGGCAAGTCTGGGAAACCGCTCACCGTTTCCAACCTTTGAGCTGATCAAGATTCGTAAAGCCCTTGTTCCAGAGCCTTGAAAGCGATCTCGAGCCGACTGGGAACGGATACCTCTGGGGCGGTTCAAGTCTCTTTTTCCAAGCTTGCGCTGCTTCGACCGCAGTCTCAGTCGACATTGGAGGGACTTCGAAGATCTTCTCCGGACAATTCTCGTTCTTCCATTGTGCCTGGACGGTGTGAGCTGAATGGCGACAATACAAGATTTGTTCAGCTCACATAGTGCCTCTCTCTGGCTATGATGGACAAGACGACTTCTTCAAATCTTACGCCGTCTCCTGGCATTCGACGTAGCTCTTCCCGGATAGAAGCGATTTTTGACTTGACCCAAGTTTCTTTCTCTGCATCGATGACAAAGTCTTTGGGCATTCCACCGGTGAAAGCTTGTTTTGACGCCGATGCTGGAGTGAGATTGAGCAGGAATTGAAAGAGGATGAAATATTGAACGAGTATCTGCCGTCTGAATGCATTGTCTGCGAGCTGTCCAAAAGGCATGAGCTCGGATTTTCACAGTTGAATTTTGGCTTACCTCGTGCTCTAACAACTTCCGACCAGTCAGATATCGAGGATGGAAGAATCGTCCTTTCTTCGACTGACTTTCATCCTGTTGCTCCTTAGCGTGTTCACGCTTTCGTTTCCGACCAGCCTCTTGCGAAATCACGCTGTCCGACTTGATCGTCGTTCCGAGCTTCTCGATGCCCATCAATTCTTTCTCCTTGACGGTCTGTTCGAAAAGCTTTGGCAAGACAAAATCTGACTTATCTTTGAAATCGTCGAAAGGGGTCTTTGACGATTCGCCATCCTTCGCGGGAGCACTCGGACCAGCAAGTAAGGGAGGGGATGCAAAGTATTGCTGGAGTGACCAAAGTGTAGAGTAAAAGTCTGGCTCGGGATCTGAAGGTACAGCTTGAGCGTTGAGATACAATCCTCTGGTAGCAAGGGATACTCACTTGTGTTTGACGGGTCCGGTTCAGCCTTCGACTCTACGTCCGCACCTTCCTTGACTACCGCTGCCGCCGCTTCCATGTCCACATCACCATCAGCTGGACCCTGTCCCGTGTCCGCTTTGACTTCCTCCTTGACAGATTCTACCTCCTCCCACGTGGTCTTCACGTCTCCATAATCTCCCCTCATATTGATGGCGCTCTTGTCCGCAATGCTGATGACAGAGCTAGCAAACTGATGTACTCTCCCTCGAAAGACCAGATCCGCCGGCGTTCTTGGGAGGAAGCGTAAGAACGCATTGATCGTCCGCAAGAGAGGTAAAGCTTTCCCCTTTGAAGCCGGCATATCGTTAGTAAATCGTTTAGAGCGAGTTTCAACGTATTGCCATAAATCACGCCATGATTCGACAGATATGAGCTCGACAAGTTCCTCGAGCAGGGGGATGAAGATCGCTCCGGGCTCCAGGGATGGGATGTCTGAGCAAGGGGGGTCATTAGCTCGAGGTTGCTCAATATCGTCAAACGGGCTCCTGACCTGGAAAGGCGGCATAGCAGAGTTCGTACAATGTAAGAACGGTATCCAACCGGTCCGACAGTGCATTCAAGAATCGAGCTCGCTCTTTAGGCTCGGAATTGATGGCCGGATCCATTACCTGGACACGAGCGAGGTGAGCTGTATTTCGGAGTGCTCATGAAACGTTCAGCTCACCTCGCCTTGGACCAAAGGTGAAATGATAATCTCTCGCCCAACGATATCCATGACATTGCGGAGGAGATCACCTCGTCGTCCAGGGGTCTGACTGCCTTCAGCCTCACCTTCTCGGAGGACCTCCGATACAGCTAGCTTATTCCATATTGGCTCGAGTTGGGATTTGAGCACATCCCGCGGTATAGGAGGTAAGAAAGGCGTCGAAGCTGATAATTCCGAGAGCTGGGATTCTCGAGCTGTGGACGTCGATGCCACGAGACTCTGCAGGTCCACCTGTAAGGATGACAGGACCTCTATCGCCATGATCAGCCGCTACGCTCGAGGTACAACGACACAGTATGCTTCTCACCGCGAGCGACCTGAAGCATTGTACTTCATGAAACTCGACGGAAGCAAATTTTCAAATTGGCTTCGATATTCAAGCTATCCAGCAACATCCTCCTCACATCTATCACATCTTCCTCACTGTGATCGCAGCGGGATTCTCCAGCGACCTCATACTTTTGAGCCTGATTTGCACGCATAATCACTACCTGACCATCGTATCTGCCACGCCGGAGCCTCCAGTTCTGACATGTCAGGCCGACGACCATCCTCACCTCAAGATGCAGATAGGCATCATGACAGAGATGAGAGGAAACACGAGCCGAGACGCTCAAGAAGTCGTAGTATGAGTCCGAGACGGGATAGAGGTGGACGTGATAGGGAAAGGTACAACGATAGAGGTGAGCTTTCTTTGTGCCGACGAGTCTTTCTCAAGCGACGAAAGACTGAAGCATACTGGATCTGATAGACCGGCGAGATCGAGATTACCCCTCTCCTGTCCGTGATAGAGACAGAGGAGACCGAGACTACAGGCGCCACGGAAGGGAGCACGATGATAGGGATCGAGGAGTACAGGATGACTACCCGTCTAGAGGTCCGAGGTCCGGAGGAGGAGAAGGGTACAGGGATGGTGGCAATGGCTATGGTAATGGGAATGGATCTGGACGAGCTGGACCCAACGGAGATTACTATGGACGAGGTGGATCCCGCGGAGGGTATGGTGGTGGTGGTGGGCGAGGAGGGGGCAATTTTGGCTACCGCGGCAGAGCGACTGCGGACGAATACATGGAGAGGGATCGACCTTTAGATAGACGAGCGATTGAAGAGGGCAGACGAAGACGTGAAGAGGAGAGAGCGAGAGGGACGACACAGCGGGAAGAAGGTAACGAAGAAGGTGAGTTCAACGAAAGCTCTGACGACAGCTGCAGTCCACAACCTCTGTCGTATGCTCTGCTCATACAATATATCTCTCAGAAACTCAAGGTGGCCCATCGCATGCATCATCCCATACCAATCGGAAGAGACTCGACGGAGAAGAAGGCGAAGAAGAGGAAGAGGAAGATGATGGAGGCTTCGCCGCCATGATGGGTTTCGGAGGCTTTGGCTCGACCAAGGTGAGTCCTACAACATGGGAGATGTACTGAAGCTTTCAGGGCAAAGAAGTCGCTGCGAATGCTGATGGAGCCGTCAAGGTCAATAAGCAGAGGACTTGGCGACAGTACATGAATCGTAGAGGAGGGTTCAACAGACCACTGGACAAGATGAAGTAGATCCAATGATGGCCGCCGGTCGCTTGCATACCGGTCACGTGATGATCAAATGACATCATTGATCATGCTTCATTCGCTGTATTTATAGATTTTATGGACCATATGGCCCACAAAGAGCTCCTCCTGAGTCACGAGTGGTTTCCCGAAAGAGGCTGCAGTCGGCTGGGGGCATCTAGAGAAAGATACTGGCGGCGGCGAAGAAGCATGCACTGTTGTACTCTGTTCTTATTCCTTGTGAACTGCGTAGTAAACACCACTCTGACCTAGAGAGAGTCATTTAGACTCTCGTTCTTTCTCACTGCGGTACCCATGTCGGACGACTCGTCAACAGACAGGCCTGTGAATGGTTACGGAGGTCAATCTGAGAGAAAGACTGAAAAGTACAATGGAAAACACCACCGCGATACAAATGTTACGGCTGGAATTGATGAAGGTCACACTGTTGGCGCTGGGCGATTGGCAGCAGTACCTTTGGAAGAGCTGATCTATCACGCCAATGAGCAGAGGAGGAAATATGATATGCACAGTATCAAGTCTGGGTGAGAAATAGTTGTTATTCTCCGCCCTTCTTTCGGGCCATGCCACCCTGTGAGTCACGCTGACCCCCCGGGCATCATCAGTGGGAAGGCACGCAATAGATGGTTCAAATTCTTTGACAATGACTTTGGACCTCAACACCCGGACAATGTCTTGATCGAGAGCAACAACCCAAATGCTCGTCTGACCCAAGCTGAGAATGAGCAAATCGCTGCCCGGGCCGAATTCGAGGCGGATAAAGCCGACGCCAGGCGCAGATTAAGAACTGCAAGTTGGGGAATGATGTTCTATCTGGTCAGTTTGAAAGCATAGCTTCATCGAGCTCGCAACACACGGCTGACACTCGCAATGTAGATCACTACGGATGTTATCGGTCCATTCAATGCTCCATACGCATTTAGCACGGTCGGCTTTGTTGGCGGTATCCTGCTATGTGCGTGGGAATAATCTCAGAGAGATTGGACTCATGCTGGCACAGATCTCACCTTTGGTGTCGCCGCCTACTACAGTTCGTTCCTGGTCTTGAACTTGTATCTGAGAGTGAGAGACATCCACTTGGACCAGTAGAGACTCTACTGATATACACAACCTCCCCAGGTCGACTCTGACCGATATCCGTGAGATCGTGGCGCTGCCACTGCCACTGCCACTGTCACTGGATCACGACTGATACTCTGACAGCGTCCAAAGCTATGGAGAGCTCATGGAATGCTTCTTCGGGGTCTGGGGCAACTACATCGTGTCGATCGTCCAAGTTGTGCAAATTCTGTTCGTCGTCGGTGAGTTTGAATTGGTCCAGCTATACCCTTGCCACGATCACTCACCCTCCCACTCAGGCTCAAATGTCATTGCCAACGCTCAAAGCATGACGGAGCTCACCCAACCTCACGGCCCTCTTTGTTTCGTTGTGTCCATCATCATCTGGACAGCTATAGGATTCATCATCTCCGTTCCATTTAGGTCGCTGGCCAAACTTTCGTTCTTGGCCTCGTTTAATGTCTTCATCAACCTTATCATCATCTTCATCTCCATGGGGTTCATCGCTCACTCAGCACCAAACTATTACAGCGCTAGTCAGGCATATGGATTTAAGCCTCCCTATGCTCCTGTCGAGCTTTCTGCCACGGGTGTGGGAGCCTTGTCGAATCAGGTGAATGGAGCGAGTGAGTGACATGCGGACGGAATCAAAGGTCCATGTACTGATCCCACTTCAGTGAACATGGTCTTTGGATGGAGTGGTAAGTGGGAGGGAGACGGCGATGATCGAGCTGTCACATGAAACGTAGACTGACGACTGATGCAGGTATCATGATATTCGTCGAATTCGTGTGTCCTGTGTCTCTTGACATGAAAGTGGACGCCCTGACACTCACATAGATGAATGAGATGCGCAAGCCGTTTGAGTTTGTCAAGTCATTCACGTTCGCCGAGATGTTGGTATTCTGCGTATATATCGTCTATGGATGCTACGTCTACGGCCTTCAAGGACAATACACTCTTCCGGTCGCGTTCCAGGGTGTTTCCAAATACTCGTGGCAGAGTGTTGGAAATGGGTAAGTTTGACCTACATCTCGTTAGAACATTCAGCTGACCAAACATCCTCTCAGTCTGTCCCTGTGGACATAGTGAGTGGTCCTACCCCGAGAGATATGGTACTTGCCTCACCACTGCGCCTCAACAGCACGATGGCTTCCGTAACGTACCTCAACATCGCCGTCAAGGTTCTCTACTGGTTCATCTTTGGCAACTTGTTCCGAGGTCCTCCTCTCATGTCGAAAATGGGCTTCATCTACTGGACTGTTGTATGTGCTGAACCCGTTATTTTGACTGGTTTCTTACCCTATACCAGCTTCAACTCGCCGCCTGGATCATTTCATTCATCATGTGAGTCTTGCGCTCCTCTGTCACCTTTTCGCTCACCCTATATTCAACTCAGCGGCACTGCCATTCCTCAAGTTCAGACCATCCAAGCCTTGGTCGGAGCCGCTTGCCTCCTCCAATTCTCTTACACCTGGCCGCCCTTGATGCAATTAGCCTACGACGTCTACGCGGACGCCTCGAAGGGTGATGGGGTCTGGCACCCACTCAACGGGCCAGCCTACAGAGACTCATGGCGATCGCTCAGTAGATGGAGACGAGGTCTCTTCACTGGGAAAGTATGGTTCAAGGCGATCAACTTTTTATACTTCCTCGCCGCATTAGCTACGTGTGGTCTAGGTATTTGGGGATCGGTAAGTCCTGCACCTCGGCGCAGAACAACATGGTTCTTTGATTGACAAAATATTTGCAGGTGTTGACTATCCAGAGCACTTTCGCGCATAGTCCAGCTACCTCGTTCGGCTGCAACGCTCCCGTGTAGTCATGCACCCAGCCTCAGCTGTTGATAATGGCTAGTTTAGTTGAATATGCTACGGTACAGCTGCCACCATGATCATCACAAAAATCTGCCACGTCGCGCGTCATCGGATGGCGGAAATGCTGAATAACTAAACCTGTTGATCTTCCAATTGTCGACCAGATGCACTCAGCAGTAGAATAGTAGTGACACTTTGGACAGTTGATGAAAGAGCCCATGGACTTGTAGTGCCATCACATCGATTAGTTTGGCTTTTGTAGTACTATCGACCCCTCAGCGTGAGAAGTGCGCAGGTCTCAGCTTCTCGGCCTCGTCGGTCACCACATTACATACCTCGCTTAATCCCCCCTCCCTCATCATGGTATCCTTATCAACCACACTCAGTGTCTTGACCCTCACTGCTTCAGTCTTGGGGGCTGGTCTCACCGGGAAGCCGTCCAAGCCAGATAGCAAGATCGCACGAAATGTGTTGGAAGGCAAATCACAAGGGTATTGTTCGGTGAGTGATCGACGTGGAGCCAAACACGATGCATCCATCTGATGCAATTCCTGTGACTATCAAGCAGCGCTGATGTCTCTGCAGCCTTCTGGCCCTATAGAGTCGACGCACTGTCTCTATGAGACTGTGGAATCCCTCAACACTGCTCTCTTTCCGAAACTTCAGAAACTCGTTCACTATCCCTTTTTCCGACATTACAAAGTCGACCTGTATAGAGAGTGCCCGTTCTGGTACGAGAATGCGTTCTGCATGAATAGAGATTGCGGTGTGGAAGCGGCGGACGAGGTGGGTGGTAGGGCTGTCCTGTCTTGACGTCAATCTGATGCCGGTGTACAGAGCGAGATACCCGAGAAATGGAGAGCGCGAGCGTTGTCTGAGGTCAGGCATTCTTCCACTACGGTGAGCACAGCGAAATAGTCACGACTACAGGCATCCGTGCACGCTGGCTGACTGATACATAGGACGGTGTGTCAGGCTGCTATTTCCGTGAACAGGACTTTTGTTACATTGAGGACGATGCGACGCAAGGTGAGAGCTGTCGGCGATTGCCATCCACCCCAAAGCTGAAAATTATGCCCTAGATGGCCAGTATATCGACCTCACGCTCAACCCTGAGCGATTTACAGGTTACGCAGGGGCTTCAGCCCATCAAGTTTGGAGAGCGATCTATGAGGAGAATTGTTTTGGACTCTCTGAAGCTGCTATGGATGCGGCTCAATCGGGATCACAACACGTCATATCTGCTTTGGCAGGTCTCAGCGCATCAGGAAATGACGCCGGAGTGGGTTTCAGCAAGCTTAGTGAAGGTTGGGGAACGGAGATGGTCAAAGGCGCTTTAAAGAATGATGATATGTGCGAGGAAAAAAAGGTGTACTACAGGGTCATTTCGGGTGAGCCATCTGCTGTGCGTGCGAAGAGGTCCTGACGCTTCACCCCCAGGTCTCCACGCATCCATCAGCATACATATCTGCCACGAGTATCTTGACCAGACGACAGGCGAATGGAGTCCGAACCTTCAATGCTTCATCAATCGCCTCGCGACTCATCCAGAACGACTCTCCAATGTGTACTTCAACGCTGTGCTTCTATTACGGGCAGTAGCGAGGGCCGGACCGTATCTGGAGAAGTACGATATCGGCACGGCTCCTAGTTTGCGATACACCGATGAAAGGAGCGTTGCTCGGCGTGCGGAGGATCATCAGGCTCGACAAACCTTGAAAGAGGTGTTGGGTCTGGCTGACGGCGAGATGGGCAAAGGGTTCGATGAGAGTGATTTCTTTGCCGGTCAGGATGCCAAGGTGGGTTTGAGGTGCATGAAGGTGTCAAATGTCGTGCTGACATTGTGAATCTAAGCTCCTGAAAGAGCAATTCAAATCGCACTTCCGAAACGTGTCTCGAATTATGGATTGCGTCGGCTGTGACAAATGTCGACTTTGGGGCAAATTGCAAGTCTCTGGATTAGGAACCGCTCTCAAGATTCTGTTCGAACTGGACGACAAGGCACTGGAGTAAGCGGGCACGGCTCATGTGAAGTCGTATATGCTGATCACCATCTAGTCCTCGGCGCAATCCTGACCTGTTGCAACGCTCCGAAGTGGTCGCCTTGTTCAACACGCTTCATCGAGTCAGCGAGAGTCTAGCGGCGGTTGAAGACTTCAGAAAGATGTACGCTGTGACTCAAGCTGAGGAAGCCAGAACATCGCGCAACCGCAAACCGAGAAGACCACTACCTGTGAGTGCTCCCGCTGTAACGCCAGCTAATTGCATATCCTTTCAGCCCCCAAAGAAGAATCTTCGCGACTACCTGTCCCCCAGTGCAGTCCTGGGCTTGGTTGTGTCTGCTTTGGAAGCTCTGCGGCGGAGTTGTCGGGGATGCCTCGAATTGTGCTGGCGTAAAATCGTTCGGGGTTTCGGATCAGATATTCTCCAGTGGTTCAGTGATCTGTTCGGCCAGGCCAGCGCCAAGGTTGATCTATGATGCATCATACCTATTCGACATCCTGGCGCCAAGAGGGCATTTTGATGATTCTTCCGGCCGAGTGGCGTGGCTCAGGTTGTTACCTTACTCTTTCGGATGATTTTCCGGCAAGTTCGGACCGGTTTGGGAGGTAACTACAAAGCCAGCTGATCGTTCAATCATTCATTCTGTTTTGAAGTCTAAACATTGTACAGCACCCGTCTTGTATCATGCCCATCGTAGAAAGAGATCTGCACGGCTGGTCGCTGGCGGGCTCTGCGAAACCTGGCGAATCACTCACATCTTTCTCCCTCAAATCCTCTTCTTCAGCCACATTCCAAGGCTTCACGTTCACCCTCTCGTTTCCTTTGGCCAATGCGTATAGAGTCTTTGTCACTGGTCCAGATAGACCTGCACCACCCCATGACAATGTCATATACAAGGGCGAACAAGATGCTGGGTGTCCGTTCACCATCCGATCCATTGACGAGCAGAAATGTCAGGCCGTCCTTGCCTTCCCCAATCAATCCCCTACGCACCTGGATGGCGCAGGTCGTGAGCGCGAACTCCATCTCGAATGGTCCGAGTCACTCCTCTTGAATGTATGGGAGACAAACCGAAATGGCAAGGTCAGATTGATCGGTGATCTCCCGGGACGTTCTTACGCCATGACGGAACACGGTATGATCCGACATTGGTGGATCGAACGAAATAACCTCCATGTGGGCCTGGGAGAACGAGCGGCTCCTCTGGACCTCACCTCGAGATCTTTCACTATGACTGGAACGGATGGTGCATGTTACGATGCATACGAAGGAGATCCATTGTACAAGCATACTCCATTCTTGATTTCGACGCCCAGGCCTGAACCTGGAGACGGACCAGAGTCCCTGCCGTCCACTTATGCCATTTATCATCCGACAAATTCAGTTGCTACGTGGGATATTGGACGATGGCATGATGATCCTTGGGGATACCACAAGACGTTCGTTCAGGACTGGGGTGGTCTTGAAGAGTGGGTTTTGGTAGGCAAGGGAGTCAAAGAGGTTGTGAGAACATTCGGGGAGCTCGTCGGCATGCCCAAGCTTGTACCGAGAGACTGGCTTGGTTACCTTGGTGAGCGGTCATACATGGAGCAATCAGACTCACAAACGCAGCATCTGGGATGGGTTTAGGAGAATCCGTCAGTGACAACTTTAATTCTCGCCGATTCTCTTGGCTGACAAGCCACAGGACAAGCCAATTGCGCAAGAGTTGCTTTCCACCTGGCCAGATCTCTGCAAGAAGCATGATATCCCTTGTTCCGCTATGCACGTGAGTGGAGAAGATTGCACACTTCTGCTTCACATTGACATCTCCTCTGCCCAGCTTTCTTCCGGTTACACTGTTGGCGAAGACGGTAACAGATACACCTTCCACATGAACACCAGGCGATACCCGGACTTCAAAGGCATGATAAAGCTCTTTCACAAAGCTGGAATCAAGATCGTGCCCAATATAAAGCCTTGTGAGTCGTCTTTATGGCTCGATGTAAGGCTCCGCTGATACACGGCGTCTTAGATATGTTGGACTCTCATGAAGCATACGACAAGCTGCATGCCGCCAATGCCTTGTTCCACGATCCTTGGACAAAGAACCCAGTCAAGACTCGTATCTGGTCCTCTGCCGTCGGTGTCACCGGTAAAGGAGGCTGGGTTGACATGACTTCTCCTGAGGGTCGGCAGTGGTGGGCCGATGGAGTTCAGAGCTTGATTGATTTGGGCTGTGATGGCATGTGGAAGTGAGTCCAACGCATTATAATCGATTCCTGGACAAATTGCTGATCGGTTCCTTTCAGCGACAATGACGAGTATCATCTCCACGACGACGCCTTCATCTGCCGGAATGACATGCCTGTGAATATGCGAAACGCCGTGAAGGGAGAAACGAACATTGGTCTGATGGGCAGAATGCTTAATGTTAGTCGCGCATCACAGAACCAACGTCTGACTCATTTTAGACCGAGATGATGGGCAAGATTAGTCATGATACACTCATTAAGAACAACCCAGATCGTCGACCGTTTATCGTCACCCGATCAGGAAACGTGGGGACGTTCAAATATGTTGCTTCGACCTGGTCAGGAGATAACGAGACGAGGTGAGTGCTGAACCCCTTTAGACTGAAGCTCGTTGAGCTAATACTCACCATAGCTGGAAAAATCTCCGAGGATCCCAAGCGATCCAATTGAATGCGGGACTCTCACTCATGCAGTCTTATGGCTCTGACATCGGAGGCTTTGGTGGGCCGTTGCCCACGCCTGAAATGTTTACTCGATGGGTCCAATTGGGAGTCACACATTCTCGATTTTGCATCCACTCGTTCAAACCGAACAAGGTGGACCCTTCGGGAGCAGGCGCCACGAATACACCCTGGATGGTGAGTAGGCCAGTATGCTCAATGGATGTCAAGCTAAATATGCGGCGCAAGTACCCTGAAGTCCTGCCTATCATTCGAGAGGCGATAAAATGGCGATACGAGTTCCTTCCATACTTGTGAGTCGGAGGCCGCCGTCTCCTTGGTCGCCATGCGTCGCTCACGGACCCCCCAGCAACTCCCTCATGTGGTCCTCTCACTTGGAAGCTGAGCCCACGAACGCTCCACTCATGTATGGAGACTTTGCCTCGGATGCGAACCTCTTCAGCGAGGAAAGCCTGAACGGCTTTGATGCCTGGATCGGAGCTGGACGCCTACTATCCGCCCCTGCCTTGTTCGAGGGTTTGCTCAGCCGTGAAGTCTACTTCCCAAAATCTTCTCCCAAGGACACGTCGCTCTACTTTGATCTACACGCGCCTTATGGATCACACGCTGCTGGCTCTCGAGCAATTGTATCAACCCCACTGGAGCACATGGGTCTGTTCGCGAGGGAAGGCAGTGTCATCCCAATTGGCAAATCCGTCAACACTGTGACTCAAACTCAAGGTCCTGCCCGAACGACACACGATGGAGTCGATGTCGTGCTCGAATCTGAAGGAGGTGTTGTAGCCCTAGACGACTGGAGAGGCGTTTTGATCTTCCCTGGTGAAGCCGGTCAATACTCTGGCGAATGGATCGAAGATGATGGAATCTCCACTAAGCCTTCTGTATCGACCATTCATGTCTCATACAGTGCCACGAAAGACAAGGTCACCGTCAAGGCTCAATGGAAGGAACATGGTTTCAAACCGCTCTGGGGAGACAAGATCCACATCATGTTGCCTTATAGAGATGAGAGAAAGGTCGAAGGCGCCGAGCAAGTCATGCGAGGCGAGCGGAAGTTGTGGTTCGTCTCTGTGAGCTGAAAGTGGCCAACGAGGCCCGTGTATGGATGAGTCTTTGTTCTGGACAAAGGGGATGTTGTCGGGCATTTCGGTCATCACAGCATCCACAAGATGCTTCAGTTACAATTCGAGCGATGCAGCGGTGACAAACGTGCTCGTACATCATGGTCAGTGAGATACCTGCATGACTCATCGCAGAATCCCTCGGAACCCTCTCGGTGACATTTTGCCGTGCAGTACCCTGATATTGCGTGCTGCATATCGAAAAATTTTATCGGCGTGCTGTTTTTAGCACTCAACCTGGTCTTGGCCGTTGCTTCGTCTGCGTCTTTATGGTCAACATGTCAAGCACCCTGATGTGCAATGCATAACAGAGGTCCCTGGAACACGAAAGGCGTCAAAGTCGGCAAGCTCGCCGTAAGCATATTGTCCCGAGAAGGCCAAGGGCTACGCAAATTGAAGCGAAAGTCGAAAAGTTTTCAAAGCGAGACCTGGTATCCCAGAATTCAGAGTCCCCAAAGAGGGCAGGCAAAACCCAATGGTCAGAAGAGACCGCATGGTGCAGACTTTAAGACGACTGATCACGCAACTTGCAAAATTGACCATACTCAAGTCGCAATACGACAGTCTGATGCTAGAGTCTCCAAATATCAAGGATGTATGAGCTATCGATTTGCTTACTCCCCTGCCACTCACACAGCTTGTCAGAGACGTCAGGAGATGGCTCAGCCGACCAAATTTGACGACATGCCCGTCGTTCCAGAGCTATCTGTAGGAACGGTGACTGATTTAGAGATCGAAGACAGGATTGATCACCTCCAACAGACCTTGCCTGAGGACGAGAAGGACAGTCACAAGAACCCCTCAGATGGCGAATCTGGCAGCATCGGCGTTAAAGAGAATGGGGATGATGATTTTGACAGCGTGATCATTCGGACTGGGGCGGACGCTTCGGAACACCTACTATCCGTAAGGGATGACGGTGATCCAGCTTTGACATTCCGAAGCATTGTGCTCGGTACGGCTGTCTCTGCATTCCAAGCAGTCATGAACCAGATTTACAACGTGAGTCCAGTCTGTAGCAGGAGATCCTAGTGTCTGACTTACCCTGTTGGATCACACAGTTTAAGCCTACTAGCGTGTCTATTGGCGGTTCATTTATCGTCTTGATCTCTTACTTCCTCGGTCGAGCTTGGGCAGCAGCATTCCCCCGAGGTGATCTCTTAGAGAAGAAGTTCCGTGAAAAGCATACCGACCACGAGCCATTGCCCCTGTATATCAAGGCCGCCAAATTCATAAACCCTTCAGATTACGGCTTGAAAGAACATGGGATCGCCTCCATCACTGCTGGAGCAGCCTCAAACGGAACAGCCGCCATCTCCGTCTTTGCGACCCAAGACCTCTTCTACCCGGGTAACACCCTCACACCGCTAACCGCCATCCTCGGTACTCTATCCATCGGGCTCTTTGGATATGGCTTGACGGGACTGTTCAGCCCCATCACTATCAACTCTCCAGAAGCAGTCTACTGGACTAACATTCCCACTTTGAGTGTCCTACAAGGTCTCCATTGGAACACGTTCAAGCAGAAGCGCATGAGAGCCTTCTGGATCGCTTTTGGTTTTATGACGCTGTACGAGGTCATTCCGGGATACATGTTTCCGTGGCTCAATTCCGTATCTATCCCTTGTCTGGCAGGTATGAATGCCACGGGTAGGGCGGCCGAAGTCATCACCAATTTGTTTGGTGGATCTTTGAGCAATGAAGGTCTTGGATTCTTGAGCTTTTCATTCGACTGGCAATACGTGAGCGAGACTTGTCAGAGAAGAGAAAGATACACGCTAATGCTGTAACAGATCACCAGTTCCGCCACTTCATTGCCTCTGATCATGCAAGTGGGTATCATCTTTCAATTGCATGCCTAGCTTGCTCATTGACCCCTCAGGCAAACCAAGCGGTCGGTATCATCATCGCGTACATTGCCATGTCTGCTGTCTACTATGGCAACGCATGGGGCGCCAAAGCGCTCCCGTTCATGTCGACTTCACTTCGACATGCCAACGGGACGCTTTATCATTCCTCTGCGGTCTTTGTCGACGGACAACTGGACCTCGATGCCTTGGAATCATATGGTCTGCCACATCTGGCTGGAACGTACGTCTGGGCCTCTATGATCGGCACTGCTGCTGTGAGTTATCTCGTGAACACTTATCGATACCCTTACTCACACATCAATGACAGATTGGCGCTCTCATTGGTCACTGCTTCTTCTTCTGGGGTGGCAATATTGTCAATCTCTTGAAGACTCTGCGTCGAGGGGAATCACCCGATCGCCACTTTGAAGCGATGCGGAAATACAAGTCCGTTCCGTGGTATTGGTTCTCCGGTCTTCTTGTCCTGTCATTCGTATTCGGCCTAGCAGTAGTCCTCAAGGATAGCATCGGTTTGACTGCTGGGGCATATGTCATCGCATTGATCATCGGTACGATCATTGCGCCATTTGTGAGTTACATGACAAGGTGACAACGGGAATGCTTCTGACCTACACGGCAGAGCACGATTCTGTACTCTCGGTTCGGTAGTGGAGTCGCTACAAACCAGTTGATGAAAATGTTGGCCGGTATCATCATTCCTGGCCGACCCCTTGGCAACCTCTACTTTACAGCTTGGTCTCATAGTGTTATCGCGCAGAGTCTCAACTTGGCCGGCGATATGAAGTTGGGAGTTTATCGTGAGCGTCCTTCGTCCATTCATCATTTGTGTGCTCATTCCATCGAAGTGAAGATCCCCCAGCGAACCATGTTCTTGACTCAGATCTGGGGAACTGTTTTTGGAGCTTTCATCAATTACGCCGTCATGATCTCCATTGTCAATTCTCGACGAGAGTTGCTGTTGAATCCCAACGGAGATTACGCCTGGAGTGGTCAAGCATTCCAGTCCCTAAACAACCAAGCTACCACATGGGCATTGGCAAAGTACTTGTACTCTGCTGGCGATCCCTACGTCCTCGTTCCAGTCGGACTCGCGATCGGTTTTGGTCTCGTCATGATCCACCGAGGGGTTTATCAATTCTTACCGCGAATCAGAGATTTCGATATCCGAGATATCAATGTCCCCATTATCGTCATGTACTCTGGTTGGATGGGATACAATCAAACTCAGACATCGCCCATCATTTCGACCTTGTTGGCTGGATTCATCGTCCAGTACTATCTTCGCAATTATCGACCGAGAATTTTCAAGAACTACTCGTACCTCGTCACTGCGGGCTTGGACGGGGGAAGTTTACTCTGCATGTTCATCCTCTCTTTCGCAGTCTTTGGAGCCGCGGGCTCACAGCATCCTTTCCCGAGCTGGTGGGGCAATCCAGCTGATGGTTATCCGGATCACTGCCCGATAGCGCAGTAGTGACGATAGACGCGAGACTCACGGGGAATGAATCACAATATATACATTAGCAAGCGTAGGACGTGCGGGCCCATCGCCGTACAGCCAAGTGACCGTTGTCAATCGGGCATCACATACATCCAAGTGACAATCCGGCTCCACTCTGCATAACCATGCTGAGGAACCTTCTGACAGCGAGTGCCCAGTTGCCCAGCTTCAGCGCCAACAAATCCTAGTCTGCCGCCACATTCGAGGCGTGTGATTTTTCGGCCACACTCGAACATGACTTTGTGGTCATTACAGACAGCTTTCAGGCTTTCACCAGCCCGTGAAGCCATCCTCCGCCTGCTTATCTCATTTGCGTCGTTGTGCTCTATGCTCCGGTCGGGCAATAAGGATGGTGGAGAAGGCCCTGCAGCAGCTCACTGTTGACGACACGGCACAGCACTCTGCCATCATACTTGAGCATGAGAAACAGCTGGAACGTTCAGATGGCAAAGAGACAGACTCAGAGGATCAAGGTGATGGAGCGACACTGGCCTTAGCAGGTACAAGCAAGTCTAAGAAGAAGAAAAAGAAGAAGAAATCGGCAGCCAAGAAAAGCTCGACGGGGATCGTGAGCCCTCCCGATTGGCATCAAGGATGAGCTTTAATACCTTTTTTTTAGGCTGTCAATCCGTTGCTCAATGCTTTTCCAGATGAACTTGGAGCTCCTGAGCAAGAGGACAGTGAAGTCAGGATCGCACGAGATGCTGAGCTGTTAGAAGAGACTAGGACGGTTAAGGCGAATCCGATGCTTCTGCTGGAGGTGAGACGACCCCCCTAGAAGGGCGAGGAGCTGAAGTAACAGTCTTCCCCAGCGGAGCTGGATATCCTGTGGACACCGTCATGTCGCTCTTTAGAGCTGCTTACACCTCGCTTGCGCCTGCGTCAATGCCAGTTAGGAGACCTGAAGATGATCACCAAGATCAAAACAGAGCCGATAGTCAACCGGACGCAATTGTGAGCTTCGCTTCGCTCCGCATCGAGTCCACGGCGTGACAAAACGTCAATACAGAGCTAACAAGATGCAGATATGGCCAGCCTCATATGTCATGGATCAAAACTGGCTTCCTGACCCGATACATAAGGTCCAGGTGCGTCCTCAGCCTTGTCGCTTGTGTGAAGGCCTCTCACGTCGTGACTAGTATTCCCCAGATCAGCGACAAGGAAAATAATGGTTGGAAGACCGACTACATCTTTGCCATCACTCTCCGGTATCCCTCCGCTCTCGAGATCGGTCCGCCAAAAGGCGTCATGCTGAGAAATAGATTGCTCGAGACTGACAAAGCGGGATACGTCGGTGAGCGCCTACAAACTCTCAGTACTCAAATCCGGGGAAAGCTGACAGTCGTCCTCAGGTAATTTTGGTCTCGAGTTACATATCGAGAAGCCGGGCATCGTTGGAATGCGCCGGAAGGGCAAGGTCCTGACTCATCCTACTTTCGCCGAGATGGACGCTGCTCGCGTATACGGCTCACTATTTTACGAAATCCATCCGCAGCTCTGGGGCAAGGGATTGATATCAGAGGCATTCACTGAAGTCCTTAGATTCGCGATAGAGGAGTGTGGATGTCCACTAGTCATCGTGAGACGACAGTCATGATGTCTCTCTCGTTTAGCTGACGCTGCGACTCAGGCAGATCCGACGAGCGGTAATGACGCATCTATCAAGCTGTGCCTAAAAAATGGCATGACTTACAAGAGCACGACGAGGGACAACCCATACAACAAGCCTCAGTTGATCCACGAGATCAAGCGTGAGGAATGGTTCAAAAGGAACAGAGGTACAAAGCCCGTGGATCGATGGGGTGGCAAGCCAGTGTGCAGGTGGTACGTTCAAATTGTCCAGGTCTGACATTTCCTCGCTTATGACTCGCCTGACTAGGTGTATGAATCCCCGCTTGTCGTCACAGACCATTCGCTGCCAGTTTTGCGATTGGGCCAGGTACTGCTCTAGAGAATGTCAAAAAGCCGACTGGGTCTACATCCGGGGCCATCGGGCGGAATGTGCGGGCAGAAATTGAGCTGTAGTTCTTCCAGGGATGCTGCTTAGATAATAGAGAGTCCGACAGAGTCAAGTTTGTAGCAGTAAGTCTTGTCATTTGCATACAACCAACTGTACTCTATTTTAATGTAATTTGGCAATAAGATCCCTCTACAGCGCGTGGTCAGCTTGAACACCGACAGATCCTCTCACTCACCAGTAATGGGGCCACTTGCTTCCTTGTCGCCTTAGCATTGCCCTGTTTCCAAACCCTGGCAACGCGAAACGAGGTGTCTAGCTCGCCGTCTTTACTGAATAGTGCGGACGTCTTGTCCCACGACTTGAGCTCAATCTCTACACTTCCCTCCAGACCTAACGTCAGGTCTTGAACCATCCTCTTGGCAGTATTGGCGTCCTTTACCGCCCCTCCAGTCCGCACGACCAGCAGCAGTTCCCTGCGGTGCTTGCCGTTCTTGTTGTTGTACGATGTCAGGACACCTTCGATGTCGAGATTTTTCTGGATCATTTCCTCGTCCACGCCCTGTAGAAGCCTGTTCCATCCACCATCACGTTCGAGCCAGGGTTTGAGCCCGAGAGGAACAGTCGACACTCCAACTTGTAGTATAGGAAAGTCACTAGACGCACTTGGAAGAGTATATTGCTTGTAATCTCTCAGGAGAAGATCGTTGGTTGACATGTCTGAGACATTGAATTTGGCGTCTTGGAGCTGCGTCGTCAAAGCTGCAATGGGTGACGCTTCGTTCAGGGTTTCTGCTGCCGTCTCTGACGAGCTTGAGGAGCTGGCCAAAGTTGACAGCGGGTACAAGAACGCAGCTGCGTCTGTATCGTTTTGAGTGGCTTTACCACCCGCTTTCAGACCCGCCGTGTCGATGAGGATGGCACTCAACAGGAACGTCGGGAGCTCCGGAGGAATGGGGGAGCCTGCCGGTCCAGCCGGTGAAGAAGATGACTTTGTCCACCATGGCTCAAAGTGACGAGTAACGAGAGAAGCGCAACTTCCAGTAGGTACGACAATCTCTCGGATGAGGGCTGAAGAATGTTGATGCTCGTCCTCGTGGTGGTCTATGATAGCCACGACGGGGTCTGTCAGATCAGGATGACTGAAAGCGGGGAGCAGTCGATTATGGTCGACCAGCGCGAATTTAGCGCCGAGCCTCACGAGGGTAGAGGGGTCCGGGATGGATTCTAGGTGAAAGAGGGTAGACAGCGGTATGCGAGCATTTTGGAATGCTAAGAGGTTCTCTGGTCTTAAGCGCATGAGGGAAGAGGGAGTGAGATTGAGAGGTATAGATCGTTCAGCTTTCAGCGTCTGCGAAAGGTAGGCGAATCCAATGGACGATGCTAGCGAGTCAAGGTCTGAACGGGTCGTAAGCTCAGGGGGGATTTGAAGACGATACACCAGACTCACCTCCAGCTTCATTACCCATGGCTATCGTCCAGCCATTCAAGTTGCTCTTGCGTAGATCATCCATGAACGCCTCCTTTTGGCTCTGTAGGAATCCAGCAAATCTCCCAGCACCAGCTTCTGCACTCGCCGGATCAACATTGCCAGATTCACCTCCAGCTCCATTGAGGATATGCGACGCCTCTCCCATCGTCTCAACAGACTCGAATCCTGCTCTAGAAGGGGCTGGTATGGAAGAGCAGGACAGAAGCCTATGACCTGAAGTTGAGATTCGCTGAAGGGAGAACGGGAGGCAAGGTCGAGAATAGGACGAAGAGAGAAAGGTTATGAGACTCAGTGTGAGCAAACCAACAGGGACAAGGAGGGCAAGAAGTAAGGAGAGAGTGACGATCCGAGGAGCCTTTTTAGGAAACAGTCGCTGATACCTGTGTCCTTGGTGCCGGCTGGTCATACAGGTTGGAGGACCGGGTAAGTACTAAGAGAGACGTCTCATGGCCAAGCACCACACCGAAATCATTGACCGGAAATTTAGGGGCGCAATTATGGCGGCAATCTTTTATCACTGCACTCTATCTGAGAGACAGGCGGTCACCCCCCGCGACACCGTTGATGGCCATGCCACACCGTCATGACATTGATTGACAGTATAAGGCTTTAACATACGAGGGGTCTAAGCGCCGTTGGTCGCCTCCGCAAGATGCTTCTTCTTCTTTCGCCTCCTCTTCTTGGCAGGCTCCTCCCCGACACCAACCCCGGTCTCCGTCCCATGTTTCTCAGTCATTGTACTGACGTTCTCTTGACCTTTGCTCGCACTCGCGGGCCCGTCTGCTTCCTCACCATCCGCACCCCTCGCCCTCTTCCTCTCATTCTTCCCCATTCGCTTGCCCTTGCGCTTGCGGTCTCCAGAGACAGGGACGAGGTCGGCACCCGAGCCCCTGGACGCCTTGTTGACATCACCCTCTTGTGGAGCAGCCTCTTCACCCCATTTACGATCCTTCAGATTCTGCTGCAGGTCTCTGATTCGCCTGTCCATCCCTATACCAGCTCTTCCAAAGCCTTTTCGCTGACGGTAGGGTGCGAGGTGTTTCATGCCCGCGATAGCGTTTAGCTCGGCATCGGTTGCGAGGAGCATTTCGACTGGTGTTAAACCAAAGTCTAGTGGAACAGAACGGGTGTACTTGAAGCGTGTGGGCATGTCACCAATCTAAGAGAAGAAATTCTGCGTTAGGTGCCGGAGATAATGCAGAGGACCGACTCACCATGTCTTCGTGGTCAAGTGCACGGTAATCCTCCATCGCCTCTTTGACCCTCTCAGCCCTCTGCGCCACTGACAACTCCTCCTGGGGTTCCTCTCTGTGTTTCTGTTTTGCCTTGTCCTTGCCTTTCTTCTTCTTCTTGACTGGTTCGATGTCGATGAAATCGGCATCCTGGCATAAGAGTTTCAGGGAAAGAAATGTACGAAAGAGGATGTACACACCATATTGATGGGACCATCCTCCATCTCGTCATCGCCATTGCCATCGTTCATTCCTGCATCTGAACCATCGTCTGGCAAATCGTTCTCTGCGTACTCCATATCGTCATCGTCGTCCCAAGCAGGCTTGACGTCGTCCTGGTTCTCGTCAGCTGCTTCTGGGATCCGTTGTTCGACACGACCAACCTCATCCTCAGCCTCCGCGAGCATATTTCCAATAACTCTCTCCCACTCGTCCTCGTCAAAATCTCCCTCCAAGACCCTCTCCACTTCTTCCCAGTTAACACGGCCTCCAAGCTCCTTTTTGAGCTCCCCCAGCTGAGTCTCCATCTCTCGCCTCTTTTCACCTTTCTTTCGCCGCGTTTTCTCCTCCGCGGCCGCCCTCTCAGCTTCCTTCCTCTCCTCTCTAGCGGCACGTTTCAGCTTGCGACTGTCGTCGGTCCGTCGAACAAGGGTATCGATGTTTCGAGGATGTGTATGGATGGTCTCGGCACCACTTAAGAAGCGTTGGCGTTAGCCGCGTCCCGCATCTAGATTGATTCGACTCACGGTTCCTCGTATCGAAAATTGTAGGCGCTTTCAAACTCTTCCGCCTTATCGTCAAACTCATCTTCCTCCAGCACACCCCACGGCTGAGAGGGTCCAGCTTCAGCATTTCGAGGCTCGTCTTCCGCGGCGTCGTCATGCAAGTCTGCTTCGGCATTCGCCACAACCTCATCGTAAGTGGGTACATGTCGATCTGAGCGGTCGATCCAGCCTCGATTCAGAATGTAGCTGAAGCGAGAGAGTTATGACCCGTTGACGAGCTAGCTGTATGACTCACTCCATCAAGAAGTTTTCGTCGGCCTCCTGCTTCGATTGCTTTGTCTTCTTAGATGTCTTCTTTCGTTTCGCTTCCTCCTGAGATTTGTTCACCAACGTTTGATCCACAACCGAATCGTCCTCGCTTTGCGCAGGTTCGGGATTCGGTTTGTCTTCTTGCAAGCCCAAGAGCTTCCTCACTTCATCCTCTCCGCCCCCCATCTCCAGAAGGAACTGCCTGTACTCTTTCGCTTCCTTCTCCTCGTCCGCGTCTGTCTTGGGTCGCTCTGTAAAGTCGAATTCGTCCTCATCATCTCCCTCATCGTTAAGCGATTTGAAAGCCTCGATGGCGTCTTGTCGAATTTTCCGTTGAGACTCGACGTACGTCGCCGGCTGGCCAGCGGTATCGTCGTTCTCCAGTTCGGCTAGCAGTTCAGCTCTACGATGCTCAGTGACAGTGACTGGCTGAAGTGGTATCAGCCTCGGATCTCCAATCGAAGATGAAAACAACAAACCTTGCTCTTAGCCTCTCGTTTCATTTTTTCGAGTCCTCCAAGACTTTTGACCCTTTCTTCGGCCTCTCTCAGCGCCTCAGCCATGACATCCTCCTGCTCGTAGACCCCTCTACCAGAGCGAATCTTCTTCAAGGTCTGGAGGATAGCAGCGTCCATAGCTGGTGTGAGCTCGTCGCCTTCCTCATCTTCCGTGACATCTTCCGATGATGAAGCAGACTCTTCGCCGCTGTCTTCACTGTCGTCAACGTCGACATTGCGTCGAGACACTGGTACCGGCACTTCAACTCTCGTCGAGCTCGGGATGAAGGGTTGCGGCTTGTAGGCCTTGCCTTTTGAACCTAAACAGTGAAATGAGCAATCATATCCTTGAAGCCCTTTTTTAGATGTCACTGACCTTTGGCCATGCTCAGATGCGCCAGAGTCGTCGCCCCCAAAGTCAACGTTCAAGTACTGAGCATCACTGTCTGTCTGCAGGTCATTCGGACCTTTGTGTCATTTCAAAATTTTGCTTCCGTTCATCGTTCATCCGTCGGGTGGTTTCGTGGAAAAGGCCTGAAATTTCGCGACATTGATCGCCATCATCATCATCCTCGACTTTGTGTGTAGCGAGGCCATCGATCAAGGCCAGAGCTGCACTTTGGCCAGGGTAGTCAGGTAGCTTATCCCTCTCTCTTGTGCTCGCCATGATTCCTCGATCCGCGCGCAGCGCAGCGTGCGCTGCTCGACTTCGTTTGCACCGATCTTCAACTCCTCCCAATCAACCCTCTCCTCATCATCGATGTCTACATTCGTCTGACCGTGGGGCGGCTGCCCAGACAGCATGGGCTGAAGCCACAGAGTCTGCACATTCGGTTCTCACCCCACCTTCTCCTTCGATGCCGAAGTCTGCATACGACCCCTTATCTGCCATTACCGAGGAGCTATCACATTTGAAATCCTCCCTCTTCAAGCTGCTGGGCTCGTCTCATCCTAGTCTCGACACTGTCGCCAAATATTACTTTCAAGCTGAAGGGAAGCATATCCGACCGCTCCTTGTACTGCTCATGGCGCAAGCGACGAACGGACTCGGAGGGCGATCCTGGCAAAAAGCTAGAGAAGATAACTGGAGGAGAGGGGTAGATGATTCGTTGACATCTCAAGGCGGGGTTCTAAACGACTGGAACCCAGAGTCCATGGGTCCCGAACCTGAAGGCAGCATGGTTTTTGCAGAGCCATTCCGATTGCCTAGCGCTTCCACTTCGACCACTTCGACCTCCACGAGCTCTGCCTCATCACATCATCCTCATGTTCGGTCACTACATCATCAACCACATATGGCTCAATCGTCCTCGTCAATAGATCCAATAGACACGATAGAAACCTCCGATCGACCTGAAATTCTCCCCACTCAAAGACGTCTCGCTAGTATCACTGAAATGATTCACGTCGCATCTCTGCTGCACGACGACGTCATTGACTCCTCACCCTTGCGCCGGGGCACACCAAGTGCACCGAATGCGTTCGGCAACAAGCTCTCGATCCTCTCTGGCGATTTTCTCCTGGGTAGAGCATCTGTTGCTCTTGCCAGACTTGGCTCCAGAGAGGTCGTTGAGCTACTGGCAACGGTTATCGCCAACCTAGTTGAAGGCGAAGTCATGCAGCTGAAAGCTACAACCGAGCCTGAAGAAGCTCCCACCAAGAAAGGATTCGAGGAGTACATGAGGAAGACCTATCTCAAAACTGCCAGTCTGATGGCAAAGTCGGCTAGAGCCGCAGTTATCCTTGGAGGCTGTGGAGGACGGGACGGAGAGTGGGTGAAAGACGTCGCGTACGGCTATGGTAGAAATCTAGGCATTGCCTTCCAGGTGAGTTGGACAATCATAATGAAGGAGTTTAAACGACTGAAGAGACTTGCTTTCAGCTCGTCGACGATGCTCTTGACTTCAACCCTGCAGCTGCGATGGGCAAACCAGGTCTAGGGGCAGATTTATCTCTTGGTCTAGCCACTGCTCCTGCACTCTTCGCATGGGAGACTCAACCGGATCTTGGACCCCTGATACGCCGGCGATTCTCGGAGCCTGGCGATGTCGAACACGCTCGTCAGCTCGTGAGCCAGAGCGATGGTATCGAAAGGACGATCGACCTGGCTAGAATGTTCGCTCGGGAGGCCAAGACTCTCGTTGGCATGTTGCCAGAGACTAAGGCTCGCGAAGCTCTTATTGGACTGGCTGATAAAGCTGTGGAGCGGCTCAAGTGATAGGCGGATCATCTTGCATGGATCACAGTGCTTCTCAGGAGCGAGTAGAACATCTTGTGATGTTTATGGTTGCAGTATTCTCCTCCAGGGTGGCCTTCAGCTTACGCTACGAATACATGTGACACCACCTGGCAGTCTTTGCGAAAAGCCTGCAGTGTGAGAACTTGTAACGATTACGTCGTCATTCTCACGCCCCTAGCCGATGCAGGCCGTGAACCCAGATCCTTTCTCGGTTCTGCCAGCTCTTGCGTCCTTCCTTACATGTCCTCGCGACCCCCAATGCAACCCCGCCCTACATAATGTGGTTGTAAGACAGAACGCCCCTCCTGAATTCCACACATTGACCACTCGCTCGCAAAATACTTAGAAGAACATCTGTACAGCGAACGGTACTGTACAGCTTCTGTAACCAAGCAAAACTCAGTCGGCCTGTTTTGAAAGGCACTGTCAAACCTGCTCTCCAGGCGCGAGTTTCTCTCAGGAAGTGTACTGACCACTGCTCGTCTGACTGTTCGAACCCTCTAGCGTACACCCCCGCTGCATTTACCTCGGCATCCGTCCTTCACACAGACCTGATGGGGCACACTGAAAATGACGGCTCGTCAAACGTCAAGGCTCAAGAAGAACCGGCGTGGCCATTTGAGTCTGGTACAGGCCATTCGGGCGACTGCGATTCTGACCAGGAGACTTTTGACACAGACCCTGGCTCAAGGAGTGATGTGGAACCCCGCACGCAGATCACAAACTACCAGGCCTTGCCCTTGAAGGATCGCGAAAAGCTTCTGGATTCCATCTGGACAGTTCTGTCAACCCGCAATGGGCCTGACACCGTAGAAGACAGGGAGAGCCTTTTAACAGTGTATCAAAATTTGAACGAGATCACAAAACGGTTGACGTCGGATTTCAAGACATCGACCCCAAACCGTCAGCCCGAAGTCTATCAAGAGCAGCTAGGATATATTGACGAGATTGGGAAACGATTGAGGAACCGTGCTGATTTTGCCAAAAACTACAGCGTCAACGCAGAGCCAATTTATGACAAGGCACAAGAGGCTCTATCCTTAGCCATGGTCCTTCACAAGTGAGTCCCGACATTTAGTAGGTGGTTTCTTCATATCCTGACTTGGAATGTTTCTCTGCAAGGCGCGATGAGGATCGGGATACATTGGGTCAATATCAGTCGGCGATCGAAAGGGATCTCGAAAGCCGTTGGAAGGCGATACATCAGGAAGGAGAGGCTGTACCGGCTCTTCCAGAGAGCTCATGGTTGAAACGCGCTCAACGTGCCATGACATTGGCTTCCCATGTCACTGAGACCGGCATTTCGACATTGCAAGGGATCGGATCGTCCGTCGCACCGGCGATAAACGGTGTTCGGTCGCGATTGCAAGCATTTCGGGAGAAGGAAACTGATCTTGAGGCCGGAGCACAAGATACATCATCTTCCGAGATCTAGTACGTTTTCTTGATTAATGGTTTGCGAGGACGAGGAAAGGAAAAAGGATTGTACTGCATGTAGCAGTTACAATTCGTCTCTCCTTTCCTCAATTTCAGGAGACATCGATGGTCCATTGAAGCTAGATTTACATGCTGTGTGCTCAATAATGACCTTCATCTCATTTCAACGACACTCCGTTCGGTAGTAGACGATGTGAATGGCCCTCGAGCCCATCTTCTCCTGCAATTTCGCAGTGATTGGGGTTTCACAATCCTTCGCTCATTGATCGATGCCTCCTCACACCCTCCTTTTTCGGGTGGCAAAGATCACTCACTCATTCTGATTTGATCAGACTCAACATGCTACAAAAAGCCGTTATGGCGAACCCCATCGCCAAGCTGACCTCCTTCCTCTATTCTCAAGCACTAGTTTACAGTACGCTCTGGAGTACTTGAAGCCTCACCTTAAGGCCGTACAATATTTCCATTGACTCCCTTGTCTGACGCAACGATATTCAAAAAGTCAGGGAAGGTCTGCCAGTGGCAATCTACACAATTTACAGCCATGTCGAGCAATAGACAGGAAGCTCATAGCTCAAAAAACAAGGTGACGACTTTAGGGCAGTGTGTCTCACGGCTGAGGAAGCTAAGGAAGCCAGGCTATAGGTCTGAAAGAAGCAAAATCACTTGGGCAACAGATCTCCCTGTGAACGAACCCACGAGTGGCGAGATTCCTGGTCAGTCGGAAGATACTGGTCATACAGAATCACCCATGATCTTTAATTATGACGGTTTCGATTCCTATACCCAGCATTGGATGATACGCGACGAGATTGGGCCTGAGATCTACCAACACCTGGTCCACAGAACATTATTCTCCGCTGATAACCTCCGTCGCGCTGGACCGATAATGGCTGCCTTTCTTCAACGAAGGGACAAGCTCATCGAGCTGACTACGGAAGAGTGCACAGCTGATAGCTATCTCGCCGGAAGGTTACTCAAACAGCTCCCGAAGGATATACACGCGATTGAAAGTTTGGCGGAGCCATCCATCCTTGGGTTTGAATCAACTGAAAATTACGAGAAAGCGAAGACTCTCATCTCTGTTCTGGCACGTCCTATGCCGTGAGTCTGAGACCTCCTTGCCTTCCTGATCTAAGAACCGCTATGCCGTGATTGAAAACTCAGGCTGACCAGAGTGTTTGTGTGTCCAAAGGGCGAAAACAGCAGACTGGCTCAGCGAGAAAAAGCAAATCAAGGATTCCTTGGGTACTGACGAGGTCACAGATTGTTCGTCGTTATACAGGAAACGAAGCGCAAGACCTGATCAAACCGGGGACGATGTAGAATGGACGGTGGTTTCCAGACCCCCATCTAGGGCGTCTGTAGATAACACAGTCGACTGATCGGATATTTGAATGGATGCATGCATGCCTCTGATGCCCAAGTCTCTCGGCCTCTGTCTTACTGTCCCAATGAACGTCCTCCTTCTCACCGATGACGCATCCATTCGAATCGACTGAGCTATGTATGCGCCCCGCTTGCGCCTACTGTAAAAAGTGGCACTTTGAAGATCATCCTTTGTTGACAGCCCTCCTTTGACCGCCACTCTTGAACTGGTGGCAAAGAGCGTTCAATGGGGAATACAGTCTCCCGCTTCGCTTTCCTGGCGACCCCCCCATATCTCGCCCTTCTGCCCCAACACGCCTGAATACATCCTACTCACTGAGGACAACAAGGTGACTCAGGACGCTCTGCAAACAATCACACGGATCCATTATGAGTATTCCTGGATCGTTTCCGGAGAGCCCGCTCATGCCTGCTCTAAGCTCATTGAAGGAGCCGGAATCTCTGACTCTGGACGAGAACGGCAAAGAGAGTAACTTAGTCTGTCGTATTAGCCCCAACCATACTCAGAAGACCATATTCACTGCTCGTGAAGATGGCGAAGCAATTCTGGAACAGGCTTACGCCTCCATTTTGCAAGATACATCCATCCGTCGCCTGCCGGGACGATCCACTGCACCCATGTGGTCCATGAAAGACTCTTTGATACAATATAGGGATCGAATGACACGACAGAAGGAGACTGAACAGTCAGTACAGGAACTCAGTGGGATGATTCAGCAGCTGTTGGAAACCTATACGAGCCTTGTCGGTGGATCCGACGGAATGGGCGTGACTCCATCAGGTGCCAGAGGGCTCAAGGTTATTGCCCTCCTCCGCGAACGAAACGAGTGAGTCAGGGCTTGTATTCGCATGTGAATACATACAGTGATTGCGCTTTTGGCTAACCCTCAACGCTACTTACATCAGGCACGAGAAAGCCAACGAGGAACTCTGCAGTATTCTTGATAATTGGGACGAATTAGTGGACAAGCCCCCAAGCCTCGACTACGTGTACTGTTCCCATGGTTCGATAAGGAAAGACTGGCAATCATCATATATACCTCGATGGGCCAATACGCTCGGTGAAACTATCGCGACTGGAGCTAAGGCCGCCGGTACACTCGCTTCGGATGTCCTTGAGACTGTCGGAAAATACGGATACGAGGGAATGCAGAAGGCTTCTGGTGTCGTCAACGAAGTTTGGAAAAGAGGTCCAACAGACTGTGCAAAGTCGACGTGGAACTGGATGGCCTCAACGCTTGGTTCAGCGTATGGCAACATTGCTTCCAGGTTCTCGAGCCATTACGGACACTGGGACAAGGCTCCTTCTACCACTTCACCACATCTCAGAACGCTGGCTAGCGAGGCCTGCTCCGACGATCGAATAGGCGACATCACCAGACGCACTGACCAGTCTGGTAAAGGGAGCAATGGGTTAAGCCTCGCCAGAGCTCAATCTTCGGTCCTTCAGAGTTTGAGGAGCCGTTTGCACGGGTCGCAACCATACTCTGTAGCCAGTGCTCTGTTGTAGAACCGTCATGGCAATTATCACGAGTGCCCTGTTCCCGCCCCACATGATCGCACCATGAACAACAAATAGATGCATCGTCAAGATGGGTCATGTCAATGATGTACAAGCTCAGGATCGAGGTTTGAGAGACGCCGCTGAATTTGACAACGGCGACGTCCATCCACCTGGCGGCCCATGAGCAATCGAATGTAGATGCTCTGCACAGCAGGAGCAAGTGTTTAGAAAAAAACGATCACACACATACGCCCTTCCTACGCCAAGATAGCCATGGACCAATCTTTGAAGTAGGCAGTCTGGTCGTATGGGGAAGCCCAACTGACATCACTTCCGCCCTGGAAGGTGTGTCAGACGACGTTACGACGTTTTCTAATGGCGTCAGTCTACTCACGAAGAAGGTCTGCGCCATGATACCGTAGATCTTCGTGCCCTCCTCCTGAGCGTAGGCCATGTTTGAGATGAGGATCTTGCTCTCTCCATTGACATACAACTCTTGTTCTCCATTGCTCTGACCAAAGTCGTTCATCTTGAACCTCTGAGAAATGGTTGTCCAAGCGCCAGTAGCAAAGGTGAAGGCGCCTCGACCGATGGAATCACCATAATCAGGGTTGCAGATCGACATGGGAGCAATAGAGCAGTAGTTGGGGTTTGCAGATGTAGCGCCTGGAGGGAGATAGTTGTAAATTTCTCCCATTCCATTGGTTCGCCACATGGTTCGAGCGGAGAAACAGGCAGACCTATCGGTTTGTCGACCTCCTGAGCACGTCTTGGAAGCTTCGAGGGAAGTTCCACCGTAGACACCTGGAAGTTTGCCACCCTTGACAAAGTCGAACCCATCGGGAAAGTAGACAGAGTAGGTGAATGAGATCTCCGAGGCACCAGTGACGTCGACTCCGTTGTGCTCAGCCTCAGAGTAGAAGCTGTATCCGCCTCCGCTCTTGAGTCCGACGATACCAGCAGGATACGTCGCGCTCATAGCTTGAGAACCATCTGGAGCGGTCGTGATGGTTGGCAAGGACCCAGCTGTTAGCGGATTGAGAGCGGCGTCGAAGGATAGGGCTCCGCTGATATCTGGGTCTGTGGTCCAGCTGGCGGATCCTGTACCCAAGGGGAAGATGGCATTCGATGAGGCATTATTGTAGGATCCGCCGCCGCCGCCACCGCTGGATGCAGAAGGAGCAGGGGAAGCGGAGACGGGGGCGACAGATGCGGCGACAGAGGCGGCCTCACTGGCAGAAGCGGAAGCGGAGACCGCGGAGTCTGCACTGATGGTAGCGGAAGGAGAGAGACTGGCGATGGCCGAAGACACCGAGTGGAAGACGGAAGGAGAAGTGACTTTGATTGGTTGAGAGCCAGTGCTTCCATTGGCGATAGTCGCGTTCGCAGCTAGATTATCGCTGTTCCCGGGTGTACAAGTTCTCCTCTTTCGAGTGACTCTCCGCTTCGCAGGCGCTTCGTGGAGATCAAAGCTGCTCTCATCATCGGGTGGTGGGAGTCCAAGGTGTCCTTTGGCACGTTGATGTGGCAAAGTGGTGATACCACGAGATTTGTGACCCGCAGCGACGGCCACCCGGCGAGCGAGCGGTTGATGATGAGTCAAGAGATCCGACACACCCCGTGGCGATGGATGCGCAGAAGTGAGGGCCAGCAGCGAGGCGAAAGTGATCAAGGTCGTAGAGTGCATGGTGAAAGGAGGGCAAAAGGAATACCTGTCTAGGATTTTTACTGTGGATTTCGCTGAGGAATGATTGGAGCGAGCAGCAGCGAGTTTTGAGAGATTGGAAACCCTGATATCTAGACCCCGTGTCCTGCGCGGTGTGCTAGATGTGATGAGAGACGAGGTTAGAGAAGATATGTGTGGATCGAAAGGAGTGAAAGATGAACGTTTCCTCGGTCACCAGCAGCTTCAACGCGGACCGTGCGAACAAAAGAGAGAGAGAAATGTCAGGGTCGACCTGGACACTCTTCTGATTCGAGACAGCGGGTTGACGCAGATGTCTTTTGGACAATGAGTGTGTGAGAGAGTGAGAGTTACAGAGAGAAGGGATGTATCCACCAGGGATGCTGCTGAGAGAGAGATAGAGAGATATGAGATGGGGTGAGTGAGTGAAAGAGAGAGAGAGAGGCAGGTGACGGAGAGAGGATAAAAGTCAAGAGGCACAGCAGCAGCAAAGGGGCGGGGGAAAAGAACACGCGACTTTTGAGATTGACAATTACTAATGTTCCCCAAGGGGTTAATGGGACACAAACCTAATCCATTAGGAAATCAATCCTAATGCCATTTTCACTGACGTATGGCCATATCAAGGTGGCTTGTTATCAACAAGAGGTCCACAATGGCGGTCGATCGATGCTATATTTACTGCACCGTATCTCACAATAGCAGCACAAAAGTTAGCACAGGTGCAATGGCTGGAAACAGGTGTGCAGCGATGGACTGATCGACACACTTCTAGAGAGAGAGAGAGATATTCTTTGTACATGGTCACGGATCATTTGAGGATTTCTGCTGAACCAGGGATGACTGGACGCGTGGCGTGAAAGAGGATCGTCACTTCCGCGCGCCGCGCTATATGGGTGCCTTTTTTTCTTTTGGGTGATCCTGGAATGTGATAGATAGGGGCAGCTAAGACGGACACGAGAATCACGATGCACATGACATTTGCAGAAGGGGGAGCATGACGACGACGACAATGATATCTTTACTGTCAACTCTTATGGCTCAAGCTTCAGTCAAGCGAGCTTGTGAATTAAATCGGACCGCTCCGTAGGGCTCTTCAAGGCTCTCGAGGTCCTTCTTATCATCGACAACGTCGTCGTATGGTCCCTGATGAATCGCTCGTCAGCTCCCCCTGGATTGCGAGACATCGTCGTGCGACTCACCCTGTTGACTCGGCCAGGTGTGAATGAGAATCCGTCGCCTCGCTAAGCAAGTGTGCGGCTCAGCATCTGCACACGCTGCGCCGCGCCGCGGAATCACGACGGCCAATACTCACCTGAACGTGCGTCTCAGTCTCGACGTCGATCTGGAGTTGAGTCTTTTGCGTCGGACGGTTTGACATGGCGAAGACTTGGCCCTGGGAGTTTCGTGTATCAGCCGGGAACAGACAGTCCTCATACACATGTGTCTGAACCCACCTGCTTGGTCTCATTGTCTCCGATGAATCGTTGTTGCAGAGTCACACGGACGTTGAGGGCGTACAGCAGTCCAACGGCGTAGAGTTTACATTGGATACCTTCGAGCATGCCTCCGAGGAGAGAGGCGGGCGTGATGACTGGCAGACGGAGGCCCGAGCTTTAGCGACGCTGACACCTAATTGTCTTGACCGGGATTGACTCACCGAACTCGATGATGAACGCTATGGCGAGGAGAGTAGGAGGGACCTGCGCTTCAAGTGTCATCCTGACTAATCGGGTGATGGTCTAGTGGGTGGAGTCAGCAGTGGGCCACAGACACCGATGGAGGTTGAGAAGAGAAACGCCACGCACCCTATCGGTATGGGACCATCCGGTCCTGGATCGGGTGAGACCATACAAGATACAAACGGTAATGATCAAATCGGCCGTCATGATGGAGCATAGCCAGACTGAAGGACGTGTGAGTCGGGAAATTGGTAACGAGGCAGCCGGAGCCACTGACTGAGCACAGGGACAGTGACGTCTGCAGCTTGAAACAGGGATTCAGCACTTCCAAACATGACCAAGTTGGCAAGTGTGGCGCCGAACCTGAGTGGATAACCCCGTCAACACATAATCAAGCTCAGTCAAAGCAGACAGAGAGACTCACGACATGACGATGAGAATACCGACGACGATGGGGATGACGATCTTGCGATTACATAGTCGGTAAGCACGATAAGCGAAGAAACTCTGGACGATTCCAGAGTTGACGGAATCAAGGACCGGGAAGCTGGTGGTCACTGTCAGCCTTCTGTGCCAAAAGATACGATCGACAAACGGGCAGGCGAGACTCACGTGGCGAGGAATCTTAACAAGGCGTCAGCGAAAGAGTCTCAATGTCGATGAGAGAACAACCTACCTGGTCTCGGCGAATGGCGCCCACAAGCCCTTGACAACCGGATCAATGGATGTGCCGCCCCATCCACAAGAATGGAACTCACAAAGTTCTCCACGAAGAGGTACTGTATAAAGTACTGCACGTGCATTGTGAGCACACAGGACCTACTCATATTCATGCTGGACTCACCCATATAAACGCAGTGACCCCTGCATTCAGTGCGGCCGTCGCAATGACGATGAATTTGATCCATCTGGCATCACCCATTTGGTACTTGAAGTATGTCCATACTTGCATTGTCAAGATTCCAGCGAGAAACGTATCTATGACGACTTCTGCGAACATCTGGAATGAGGAGATGCAGGTGTCAGTCAAATGGGTGCGGTCCGCGAGCCTGGTGAGGTCCAGGCTTGTATGACTCACACATCCTAGAGAGAATCGCTATGTAGGAGATGAAGCGTCAGCAAGAACGTCAAAGAGTCGTACGGCGCAGGGGGGTTGCAGCTCACAGCCTCTGGTGCAAAGTTGGCTGCTATCTCTGCCTCGGTACTAGGGACGGCCATGATGAGATGGACCACACAGGTAGGGAGGGGGAAGGTGACGAGGAGTCTATGTGTGTATGATCCCCAGAGTCGAGTGTGGCGGGCCAGGGGCGTGTTTAGTCGATGAGGGGGTATGCGAGGATTGAGATAAGAGAGGGACAGAGATAGTCAGTGTGAGGGATGGATGGATGGGTGGATGGATGAATGCATCAGGGCCCATCAACTATATCTCTCTTCCTCATCTTATATGCATGGACTCTGTCTCGCTGACCCCTCACGAGCCAATCGCGATGGCGGTCGACAAGTCGACGAGGAGCTGACATCTTTTTTTCCGCTTTCTCGCTTGACCCCTTGAAACTGGGACTGGGGACTTCTCACTAAATTATCTGACATACTTCAAGGCCCACTCGATGGTCCTTTCATCGATCGGGTCAGTGAAAGGTCATTGCGCTTCCTCTGGGCCTCGGTGCTTCAGTACCAGAATGGCGCGGTGAGACGGTGGATGATCAGCTCACATCAGTGAAAATATGTACATAAATCCGGCCCGCTCTTCCAGGTGCCACGCCACACAATCTCTCGTGTGAGGAGACTCGTCCGTGACACAGTCAAGTCCTCGAATGCTCGTTCGATCGAGAGAGTGTGCATCTTTTCCCTGAGAGGCCCGCGAGAAGGGTTGTGACCACACAGAGCATGCATCGAGAAAGGGAACCAAGCGCTGACGAACCAGCGACCGACGAGGTGGTGACATGTTCCCTCGCGTTTTGAACTAATAAGTCCGGCTCCATTCAATTGTGTCAGTCTAAGAAGTCGTCCGCTGGCACCGTTGAGGATGTGCCCTATGATCCATGTCTCAGCTCGAATACGAGTCAAGGTTGACACGATCCAGATTTCTTGATAAAGTACAGTCTAGATCCAACAAATTACAGTACAGTACGCAGTGCCACATTCGGCTTTCACCCCTCCCTGATCACAAAATGTTGAACGAGGTGCTGATGGGAGGCGCAATCAGTCGAGATGTGAGCAAGCGATGCAAGAATACGTGTCTATGCGTCTATCCCGATGCCACCTTTGGATGAGAATTAGATGGTCCCATTAATCCGAAAAAGGCATCCCATGCCTTTCGACCCAAATGTCTGGGAGTCCCTGACCCTCGCCTAGAGTCATTCCTGTAATTATAGGTCCTTGCCCCCTGGAAACACGCTTATCGCCCACCCTCCTTTCCATCTTGAGTCCCCTTGACGACCACTACTTCTTGCTCCACCTCTCCTTCGTCCTCGTTCACACTCGTACTCTCCGTCAATTGAGCTTCCCATAGCCGTCGATACACTCCGCCCTGGATGTGCATCAACTGATCGTGAGAACCTTGTTCAGCCACATGACCGTCTTGAAGGACGATGATGAGGTCTAAGAAACGAATGGTGTGTCAGTTCGAGTCATTGCCAACCCTTGCTGAATATGCAAACTCACCGGCATCGGAGATGGTTCTCAACCGGTGGGCTATAAATACAGACGTCTTGCCTCCTCCCAATAGCACTTCATTGATATTCCTCATCAATTCCGTTTCGGTATACACGTCCAGCGCACTGGTCGCTTCGTCAAAAAACAAGATGGGAGGATCTTTGAGCAGCAATCTAGCCATGGCGAGTCGTTGTTTCTCCCCGCCTGAAATCATCAGACCTCGTTCGCCGACTTGAGTCTGATACTTGTCTGGAAGCTTTGCAATCGTCTCATCTACTTGTGCTCGTCTGGCAGCTTCGTACACTTGCTCATCCGTCGCGTCCAGATTGCCATATCGGATATTGTGGAGTATGTCGGCGTGGAAAAGAGGCGTGTCTTGAGGTACTACACCGATGGCTTTGCGTAACGAATCGAGCGTGACGTCTTTAATATCCTGTCCGTCGACCAGTATCCGTCCAGATTGATAGTCGTAAAATCGGAATAAGAGTCGGAATACCGTACTTTTGCCACAGCCAGAGGGACCGACTATAGCGACTTTCCGTCCTGCTGGGATGGTAAAAGAGACATCTTTGAAAATGGGTCGAGAGGGATGGTAGCCAAACGAAACATTTTCAAACTTGATCTCGCCTCCTTTGAGTGAGAGAGGTTTGGTCGTGGGTTTGTCCTGACCAATCAACATTACCTCAAGAGGACGGCATTCACCTTGATCGTCGCTGACACAGATTGCAAGTTGAACATGACCTCCATATCGATCAAACTCTGCCTCAATTCTCGATACACTGTGCCCAAAAAGTTGAGAGGTAAGGACAGTTGGAATACCAGCTGATTGACCATGACGAGGTCACCAACGGTCATTGTGCCTAAAGAGCAATAATAAGTCTCATCCTCACCTCGGCTCACTCACCCTTGACCACGCCTTGAGCTGCAAGCAACATCATCATTGTCAGAGCACTCGAGAAAATGAAATTTTGACCCGAATTGAGCATCGCTAAACTCGTGGCGATCTTGACGGAAGCCTTTTCGTATGTCTTTAATGTCGCGTCGTACTGCTTGACCTCGTATGCTTCATTATTGAAGGCCTGAAGGAATCGGTCAATCCAGTCAGATGTTACAAGCTCACCTTGACCGCCTCGTAATTGATCAAAGAGTCGACAGAGACAGTGGCACCCTTGTTATCCGCTGCGTTGGCTTGCTTTCGGAACTTTGTACTGAATAACAGTCTATGAGACTTGCGACGAAAGCACGGCATTTCACTCACCGCCACGCAGTCGTCTGCACGGTGAACCATGTATATAATGCCATGGTACCAGCAGTGACCGCGGCAAAGTCCCAACCGAACTTCCAAGACTACAATGATATGTCAGCTGAGCCAGCAGGTATAGAAGGCGGTAGCTCACCAGGATGGCACAGACCATCGTGATTTCCAATGCAGTAGGAATGACATGAAAGACAACGGACGAGAGAATGAAGGAGATTCCCCTGTAAACTTCAGCTTGAGCCAATCTGAAGACGCCGGACGGACTCACTTTGTGCCTCTGTCAATGGCTCGGGTCAGACCTCCCGTCTGACGCTCAAGATGAAACTTCATGTCCATGCTCAACAAATGTTCGAATGTCTCTCGAGCGACTTTTCGAATGGCGCCTTGGGAGATGGAAGCGAAGAGCGCATTCCGAAGCTCTCCGAAGAGAGTGGTGAAGACCCTAGCGACTCCATCTGTAATCATGCGAGTCAGCAGATCATCCCTCCTCAGAGCAACAGACGGGGTCCATAACGAGGCTGCTTGACTTACATCCGGCGATGGACGCTCCTGCAAGAACCCATACAGTAGTCTCAGAAGTGATAGGGACGTTGAGACTATCCACGATCTGTTTAAAGAAGAATGGGACTTGAACATTGAGGACTTTCCCACCGATCAAAAGACCGAGAGCACCAAGTACACGAATCTTTGTGCCTGGCGAGTTCTTTGGCCATATGTTCTCAGCGAGTTTGAGGATAATCTTCCAATCGGCTTCCGCTTGAGATTTCTCAGATTTGGTAGCGCTTACGGCGTCGGGATTGAGAGTCGGAGTTGGAGTCGGAGTTGGAGAACTTCCCGGCGGAGGTGGAGCGGAGGACAAAGATGATGACGATGGGGAAGAGGGAGGTGAGGAAGAGGACGAGGCGAAGGAGGAAGGAGAAGGGGAAGCAGATGTCAGAGACGATGTGGTGAGTCTGGTAGAAGCGGGGGAGGATGGAGGAGATGGTTCGGGAATGGGTAGACGTTCATCCTGCGTTCTTGGACGATTTGGCGCAGCTATAGTGGACTCTGAACCGTCCGCATCGTGAGCCGAGGATCCAGCGCCTGCATTACCGCTTGTATTCGTGGTCCGTGCCTTGTGCGAGGCGCCTATACCTGGATCACTGTCTTGCCGACATCGTGCGCTACTAGTCCCGAAGCGCTTCCAGCTGATTGAGGCCACGGGCTCGTTCAGAGCAGCTCCGTCTGACCGTGTGGCTCGTATAACATCCTCGGTGACGGACTCTGAACAATGCCTGCGCCTGCTTATGGCTGCAGCTCCCCATCTTGATGGTCCTGCTGCTGCTGCTGCTGCCGCCGCCGTTGTAGCTTCCACCGAGATCCGAGGATGAACACAAGGGCTAGGTGAACCAGGAAGTACAGCTCGACTGAGCGCAAAGCGCATCCGGATCGAATGAGTCATAGATCAGGATGGCTGGAGACAGGCGCTTCTACACCGAGCTTGACGGTTCCTCCCCCAAGTCTCCCTATGTACAGATCGAAATGCCAAAAAAGATCTTGAGTTCCATGATTGTCTGACGCCATGGATTGAGTGTTCGCCACGTGCCATTGCCGGTCATCGGGATTTCATGCATCCGGGGAAATATCGCCACGTCACTCAAACGTTATCAAAACCCTTGCCCCCCGGCAACGTGGTCCTGCCGGGGACGACCACTTTTGGCACTCGAGATCCTGAAGAAGAGGGATCAGCAGCGCCAACCCGAATCCACAGGGCCAGAGAGTGACAGTCTCAGCCGGAGAGTACACAGGACGGGGTCTGAGAGGTAACCGTCTAGCTTTTGTTCAATCCGAACGTCAGGTGAAGTCACTTCATCTCGCCGCTCTTCGAACACACGGGTCGCATTTGACCGGAACGTCCATTGGACTGTTCCCGCCTGTAAATCCGATCGACTCCCCGGACTCCCCGGACTCCCGGATAGAGCAGGTATGAAGCGTGGATGGAACAATCAGACGTCTGGGTCCTCTTCCGCTGAGCCTTCGGATCAATCCTGGATTCAAATGCCTTCTCATCCTTATGCTTCGGCCTATTCTTCCATGACCAATCCATTCAACGATGGTACGAATTACGATAGTCTGATAGATCATCAAGAGAAGAAAGCGAGGATATCACTGGGAATGGATGGTGGAAGTGAAGGTAGCGAAATGGATGACGAGGATTTGGAGGATGAAGATGATGAAGGGGATAGCAGACCAGGAGATGCCGCTTCGGGATCTAGAGGCAAAGGTTCAAAAGGTCAGAAAGGAGATAAGCCAAAGGTCAAGTTGACCAGGGGATCAAGGTGGGCTTTTTGAATTACTATGTGCAGGGGGGCCTTATCGCTGATCGTGTGTCCTACAGGGCTTGTATTGCGTGAGTTCGACCTCGACCTCTGCTTGAAAACGGCTGTGTTTTGCTGATTCGTTCGATTCTGCAGATGTCGCAAAATCAAGATGCGTTGTATTCCTGATGAGAACGGCGGACCGTGCAAAGTGGGCTCTTCACCGCTCATATACCGAGGTCTAGCTGACAGACATGCTCCTCCCCCTTCCAGCGGTGTCGATCTGGAGGTCACGAATGTGTCTTCGAAGAGTCCAATCGAGGCAAACGGAGCACTAGGAAAAACGAAGCCTTGACACTGCGAGCGAGCAAGATGGAGGCTGCACTGAAAGGTATAGGCAAGGTGTGTGTATGCCGTTATGATCCCAAAATCTCCCGTGTCATTCTAAGCTCCATTTCTTTCTCCAGGCCCTCGCTGAACTGGACCGACACGCTCTACATACCTTCACTTCCTCGCTTCACAACGTCGTCACACAACCGGAGATCATGACGGTCATAACAAATCACGCAGCCCCTTCAGTCGCTCCGATCTTAGCAGGAACTTCAGCTCAATCTTCGAATAGAATGGATCAGCCTCTCCGAGGAGAAGATTCCTCTCACGCGCACTTGACCCAACCTCCATTATCTCCACGACTTCATTCTTTGCCCGACAACGTGCTTTCGCCACTGGGCTTACTGGCCGAAGCGAGTTTACAGAATACTTCAGGAAGAGCAGGAGCCGGCAAAGGAGTCATTAGACCAGGTCATCGACCGAGTCCTCTATCTCTAGGAGAAACTCGAGCGATGGAGGCTGCGAATGGTCGGAGTATGTCCCCCGCGAGTTGGCAAAGGGCTACGAGCGATATCAGAGGAGAGGAAGAGGTGGAGAAAACGGGTCGTGGGGTGGCTTCACATAACTACTTCAAGCCGGGTCAGTCACTGCGCCTGGTGAAAGGCGGGGGACAAGACTGACTCTTAGCACACGCAGGTGCGAGTAATTTCACTTCGATAGGACTCAAGGACGATCGCGTGAGCTATGAAACTCTCATCAATTGCGTAGGCTCACGACATCAGGTACCCGAGCTACTTACAATTGTGACTCGCGAGGATATCAATGAGCTTTTCGAAATCTTCTTCCTCCGAAGTGAGTCAAGCTAGATTCTCTCCCGGGGAGAGAGCACTGACTCGACAAAGTGGCCCCGCATGTGCCAATGTTCAACAAGGAGTTTCACACACCTGATCTGGTTCTACAGAGATCTCAATTTCTCTGCACGGTGTGAGCAGGGCCTTTGCTCCCCGCTTTCGACGTGCTGAAGACTACCTCAGTATTTGCGCGATATCCGCGCGATACTACAACAAGCGACAAGATCTGCACCCAAAGCTCTCAAGTTACGCCAAGCGTCTCGCATTTGAAGTCCCATCGAGGGGATACAAGAGTGTTGAAGTGGTTCAAGCGTATCTTCTGCTATCGCTTTGGACTCTGGGTCCGGAAAAGACGTTTGAGCAGGACCGAACGTGGATGATGCTGGGTAGGTTGAGAGACCTGTGCCGGGAATCGGAGCGCTTAATGCGATTTCCAGGTATGGCCATACGTATGGCGACGGATCTGAATCTCCATCGGAAGAGTATAACCTCTGGTCTAGATACGGAAGAGGGTCGAGCGAGAGATCTGGAAGTGAGTCTAGATGCGTGCAGAGGTTCGACCGACCGAATGACTGATTTTTAACGTTCAGGTGATCAACCGCGAACGGTGTTGGCTGCACTGTTTCGTGCTCGATCGATCCATCTCTGCACAAATGGGTAAACCTTACACCCTCCGAGAGGATTTTATCATCCGTAATGCCTGTGAAACATCATGGTATCAACAGCGATTCTGTTTACCCTCCGATAAGGCTTTATCGGCCTATGTCGTCCTTCAACAAATCATGAGTAGAGCCATCGATTCAATCTATTCGTCAACTACGACTATCTCTGGTTTGAGGCAGGACTGTGATTGTGAGTTGGCCGGCCTGTTTCCTATTGGCCGGCTGGTAGCTGACACTTTGGAAAAGATATGATGATCGTCCGGTCGGCGCATGAAGAGCTTAGAAGATGGATCACCGAGGTGTGTCTCAAGTCGTCTGCTTGCTTGGACAGCGCTCATGCAGTACACAGTGCAACAGACCTGATCCGTGCGTTTGGAATCCCCGTCACATATTCTGCGCACCATGACCAAACTGATTATCGCTATAGAGCGCTCGGCCAAGATTACGGTCCGCGAGCTCAGTTCTACTATGCTTACGACTCGCTCGTTCTGTACTCCTTCGGTCTGGAGAACGCCGTGGAGGTGGGCGAACTTTGCATGTTGTTGCAGGCCTCTGTGTCGTCCTGACGTCATGCTTAGCGCGCCAAGATGGACATCTCGTTCTTCCTGACGAATGTGTATGAAGCTGCGGTAGTGAGTCAGAGACCACTAATCATCGCGCCCATTCGCCTTACATGCCCTCCAGCGAGTCTGCAACGTTGTCAAGGAGGAGTTCCTGCCTCGAGGCTTCTTGCCTTACTTACCCGACACCAATTTTGTCATGTGCAGTTATGCGGTGAGATGGTATTATGGAAGGGTAGCGAGTGGCGTCACTGACGCAGGGACCAGCTCCTGTCTCTCTTGAAACTGCTCAAGCCCGAGTTGCGACCATTCCACGACTCGGAAGAAGCCATTTTCACTCTCGTCTCGTGAGTCGAGGTCCCCGTCGAGTTTGGAATAGCCCTGACACCCCACAGGGAGATGGCCGACATCCTGGAAGGTTGTGCCGTAGACCCATCTCACCAGCCAGCCATTTACGCCGCGTTCATCCGTGAGATTGTCCGCAAGACGAAAGAAGCTAGGGTGGCGTCGCCAAGCGTTGGGCCGACCGGTTTTGCGAGCGCTGAAAACGGGACTGAAGTCAGCGAGACGAATCTGACTACCCCCGTGGTCAATGGGATCTATGACCCGCAATTGTTGGGTGAAGCAGGTTCGGCAAGTTGGGTCTCCGGGGAGATGATGAATGGTTCGGAAGGTCCTCAGTTTGCTTTCATCCCACAAGGCGGCGATATGATGTGGGCGGCCTGTGCTCTCTCTTTCAAGGACAGAACTGACGTTTTTGCTCCAGGATCTTGCCCTCCAACGCTGGTCCTTCTCAATCTATCCAGAATTCCCCCAACACCAATATGGGTTTCACCCCTTTCCCGGGAAACTCTGGTACGACCCCGCAAGCTGGTTCTTCCTCCGGATGGGCAGAATACCTTCCTACATTCTTGTCGTCTGAAGGATTTGACGGATGGGACGGATCAATGCTCTTACCTGGCTTTGGGCGTGATCAAATCACTCTGAGTGGAGGTTTGTTGCACAGTCAATACGGAAGTGGAATCATGTGAGCTCTGTCCGATTGTCGAGGCGAGTGAACGAAGAGCTAATGATCGCTATAAGGACACCTGCGCATGAGACGCCTGCGCAAAGTCGAATTGGGAGCAGAGCGGGGACGCCGACTCCAGGACCTCCCACTCGACCCATGTGATGTGAGGCCGAGCTCGGACATGGAGAAGAAGGGAGGAAGGCGTGACGATCGAAATGATGTCAAATGTCCATCTTGTGCATTATACTTAAGATGTATACAATGGTTGCAGTCGCCTAGAGAACGCAATGATGGATTAAGATTTCGTTCTACGAGGGACCGAAGAATCAGTCTGCCTCATGCCGGTTCAATGCGCGTCTTGCTGGCTTGCCTCCCCTGGATATGGTCCGGTTGCAAATGCAACTTCAGCAGGCAGTCTAAAGGTAAGGCAGTACATGTCTTTCTTCGGAGCGACCCGACGGACGGGGTGGAGTTTGAAGTCCGCCATAGAAGGCTCGACGGTATAAGCGAGAACGGCTGACGCTCTCTGCAAAGCATGCAAAGTAATTATCGATTTGACAATTGGGTGTCATAATCTAACTTACCTCGCAGATATCTCGCTCGGCTGGAGCGGGGTCCAGCTCTCTGGTAAAGCAGTAGACGTGGACTAGCGGCAGTCCGACGGATTTGACTAACTCCTCGAATCCAGGTTCGAGAGCAAGAGGGGCGTACAGACCCCAGAAGGCGTCGAGGAATGTGAGCGCAGAATCGGGTAGATTCATGATGAAATGTTGTGGGACTTGTGGGGTGGCCAGGGTTTTGAGGACGGGAGGTGGGGTAGGCGATGGTGGATGAGTGGCGCCGGGTGGTTGTCCGGGAGCTGAGCGATTCCGCTTGGACTTGTCTTTATTCTTCGGCGCTGGATTGTACGGTTCGAACGGATGATTCCAAAAAGTCATGACAGATTGTTTGATGAATTCTCTCCCATCTGATTCGGTCACCCGCAGCGTTGCCTGGACCTGCAACAGTCAGATATCAGCTTCGCAAAATCCACAAGAGCAACTTATACCCCCACCTTGTTGTTCTCTTGATTCTTTCTCATCCACTTGACACTCTCCGGGTTCAAATCGTTCCCGAGAACATAACATCCCTTCTTGGCGAGTGGGACCGCAAACGGCCCGACACCAGCCATGACGTCTGCGACTGTCTCTCCTCTCTGAATCGACTGGATCATACGCTCGTGTTCATGCTGGAGTCGAGAGTTCCAATAGACTTTGGAAAAGTCAAACGTGAATGAACACCCAGATTCCGACTGCGTTCATCAAGCTTCAGTCAGTGAGGTATACAGTGGACGAAAGCGGGACGTTGACTCACGACTGTGGTCAGCATGTCTGGTTCCCCAGCCAATACTTCCATATCGAAGAATCTGTATGCCGCGTTGATCTGATCCAACTTGTTGACGACGGTGCGGAGTGCAGCGTTTTTCTAAGCGAAGTCAGCGAGCGTTCGCCTGCAGGGTACCCATTTGGGGGAACTCACATGGAGCATTACCTGAGCAATGAGGTATTTGTAAGGGAGCCATTCTTCTTTGAGGTTGACGTGGCCTGAATCCATAGATCAGAGGGCACACGTAAGAGAGGGCCTGAACGAACTCACCTATATGTCCCGTGAGCGTGAAACTGCTAGGTGCAAATTCGTCATTACTGTCCTTGGGCAGGATCGAGTTAAGAATTTCGGCTACAAGTAGTGAACTTTCAACGTTGTTCAAACAGGAGAGCATGGTAGCTCACACGTTGACCAATCGTCAAAACCTAGAACCAGCTCCTCGGTACTAGTTCCGTTGGCTTCGCTTTTGATCAACTCGCGAACGTCTTCCGGTAATTCGTCTAGTCGAGTAGTCAGCTTTTCGCTCTATACGCGCCCTCCCGACATCGATCTGACCTTCAGAAGAGACCTTCATCCTGACGAGCTTGCAATTTCTATCGCTAGGATCGGGAATAATAGCCTTGGCTCGTCCAATATCGAGCGTGTGCCTGGTTTTTCAATCCAAAAATCAGCAGCTCGTCCTCCGGTTGCTCGACCCCAGGTGCTCGACTAACTGCCTGAACAAGCGGTTACTGATCATCCGATTGACATTTGGGCCCTCGAGCCGTACTGTAAGAATTTTCACCCTGACATCGAACAAACTCTTATCAAGCTCTTTGCGCCCCTCGAGATTAGATATACTGATATGAGCCGGGAGGGAGAAACGGCTTGGCAGAGTCGAAGGACCAGCTTCGGCGTTGGAATGACCGGCGGCCGTGGACATGGCTCGGACAATGGCAAGGCGGTTTGCCCAACGAGACTGATAGAGCTTGAAGCTTGATCGACTATGTGCCACTCTCCAGAGCATGCGTTTTCCCTCTCGATGGAGCAAACCCTCCTTCGTCCAGGGCGTTTGAAGCAAAGATATGAATGAATGAACGAATGCTTCAGTTTCGGAATTTTGGTTGATTGAGATTATTTTTAGATTCGATCACTCCGGCTAATGATGATTTCAGACAACGACAACTCAATGAGAATCCCTAAAGTGTCAACGTCGACGCGAGGGCACACCTCATCTTGACTTTGGTGACAATCGACTTCATCCATCGTCCAGCTAGTCTGCGCAGAACATGATGACAATCTCAAGACCTAGCTCGAGACGAGCTTTGTCGAGCAAGTCTCGCTCAATGACCAGCTTGCTAGACCTACCGGGCGATGTCCAAAGTCATATAGCATCGTGAGCATCGCGGACATCCGTCATCCGTCGATTCACAGAGCATTCGCATGTACTGACTGGTATCACCTGCAAGCTTCCTGGACCTCCCAGACCAGCTCTCATTCTTGAGCTCTCATCCTGACTTTCTCTCGCTCGCAAGGACACATCTCTCCCCACTCTCATCGTCTATCCGCAGGATCTTAGATGACGGTCCACCCTATCCAAATATCCTAGCCAAGATTCCAACTCTTAACCTATTTCTACCGCTTGAAAATGGGCACCTGTTCGTCGACGTGCTCGTCAGGGCCAGACCAAGGTGGATACTGGAGCGTTTCGAGCTCGGTCGATGGCCTGAACGAGTGTGGCGAGAGGCTTTTGAGAGGAGGTTTTTGCCTTCTTGGAGGCGGTTCAAGGGAGAGAATGATACGTGGAGAGCGATCTTCCTAAGGCAAGTGTCGGCGAGCGAACCTCAAAGACTGACCCGTCCGTTGGTAGAACACTGGGGCGATTGGAGCATCGTAATCTTGGATGCACACATGAAGAATCATGGACGGTGAGTGAAGCTGGACAATCGCGCATGTCCGAAATCGATCGAATCGCTCATCTTTCTCCTCAGCGTTTCATAACGTTGAATAGGAATGGTTCTGGAAGCATCAATAGGATGTACTCAAGGCTGTTTGATCCATATGACATCTATGATGAGCTCAAGTCCGTCGCAGAGTCTCATCCTTCTCTATTGATTGATCTGACCTCCCTTTTTTCCCCATAGACACCAAAACAACTTTGCCTCTCAACCTACCCAAGTCCGAGTTGTCGTTCATCTTCAAGATGTCAGGATTCTCGCCATCGGCGTCTTACTGAGCTCCCCATCACTCTTCGTCAATCCTAATGCTCATCTCCTCCTGCATCCACCGCTTCTTCGGCAAATTCCGATGGACCTTTCCGATATCGACGACGTGGACGTACAAATGACGGTATATGACGCCGTCAGATCATCCTCTCCTCCGCAAATACGCACGAGGACTCGAGAAGCGGACTCCTCTGATTCTGAGCAACCAGTGCTCCCTATCCCTGTCAAGTCCGGCCGGGCTCGATCGCCAGTGGAAGCTTCAGGGTCCAGCCCGAGAATTCGAAATACACTTGCGGCTCTCATTCCCGGTAGGGGCAGACGATCTTCCAATGGTGCCAATGGACAGAGCTCAGGTGCCATCAATCGTCAGGTGGCCGCCCAAACAAGCACTGGTCGAAGTCTAGACAATTCCGGCGGGCCGCTCAACCGAATTCGAAGCCGTGAGACCGGAGATCAAGGTAGACGCAGGGGCTGGTCTTTGAGTCTTCCAAGAAGTCGCAATATGACAGTCGATGAGCAAGTACCAAGTGCTCAATCATCCTCGTCTTCAGAGATGATTGTCGAACAGCATATTACAGCCCTTTCAGCGAGTTTCGGTCACGTTATGACTGCCGTACCAGAGGTTCAGTCAAATCCTCCAGCGGATGCACCATCCCGCCCACGGGAAATTTCCAGTCCCCCTCGTCCACAAGCAAGATCATCCGACGCACCGTATCCGATTTTGACACATCCTCAACCTAATGGCTCGCATCGATTCTACCCAAATCACACGCCTCCCCATTTCCTCCTTGCGGACGGGATGGAGTTCATGGATAGTTCCGCACCCCCTGCTTCCGATACGCGCGCCCGCCATTCAGAGTGCGAAGATGACGGGATCGGCATGTTGTGGTCTGCAGGTGAAGCTCACTGGGGAGATGATGGATCCAAAATGGCAGAAATTGATTCCAGGACAGGATTGAGAAGCCGATGGGTGGGGCCGATGATGTGCGTGCTGGTCTCTCACGAGACCTCAATAGCGAATGAATAATGCTGATCTCATATCTTCAGTCTTGTGGCCCAACTTCACCCGTGTGATCGCTCTGCTGCACATCCATCTGGTGCCAGTCCTTATGGACCACTCGAAGGTCAGAATGTCGATTTGGGTCCAAAGGGAATGTACACAAGTATCGGGTTCGAAGATCTCGAAGTAGTCGCTCCATGGGTAGAGCTCAAAGCGGGAGGGGGAAACAGCTCAGAAGCGAGGCGTGATTTCCTCTCTTAGAGGTCGTCCTTTACAAGTTGACCTCCACGTAGAAGCGACTACAGCGCTCAAGCACACAACGAAATCCATCTCATATTATCTAGAAGGGGTATCTGTAGGATTGTATGTATATGTATGGCCACAAGGTATTTTGTACTCATAATCCGAATGCTCGCTACATGCCCCGCACACACAAGCGTTTGACGTCCTCCTCTCTGGTCTCCCTGCTCCGCCTCCTTGGACATTTCTTCCTCTCTTGCTGTTTGAATGGCTTTTCGCCCGGTCCATAGCCTGATTCCTGACCTTCAGAATTCTCCGGCTCAGAATTTGGACGGTATGAATCGACAGATGCCTGATCGGCAGGTCTTTGTTCTCCGCCGAATACCCGTCCTCCGCCCCTGCCACCTGGCCAGAAGCGGCGCATCAGTCTTGCATCGTCAATGCCGGCGACGCCTGGGTTCTCAGAACGAGCGCCTCGTAATAGTGCCACGATCCAAGTGGCGATTGACTCGGAAGGGTCGATTTGCTCAGTCTGAACAGCTATCGTGTCCGAAGTGGTCTTTGGGAATTCAGGAGTCAAGGACGATTGTGGGTCGATTTCATTTCCCTCCGAACTTGTAGAAGGCCTCAGACTCAATGAGGAAGTCGAGTGGACGACGTCCTCTGCTGGCTGTGCTGTTGGGTATGAAGGATCTGATTCGATCGGCTTTGTTGGATACTCCTTCGGTGGCGCCATGAGCAAGCCAAGAAGGTCCAAGCCACCATTGTTGTCGTTGCTTCCTCCACTACCACCTCCCCCAGGTACACTACCGGTAGGGTTGAATTGTCCGATAGTTGTTGAGCCGTCGGTAAATACAAAGGTGTCCGTGATCGTGGTTGTGGAAAGCTGTGCGGATGAAGATGTGGTGCTTTGCTGACTCCAGGTCGACGTGCTGGTCTGCACCGTGTGCTGAGATGTGCTTGGTGTCGGCGGCGGTGGAGGCGGTGGTGGGGGCGGTGGAGCAGCGGAACTCGTAGGTGGTGCTGAGAACGATTGCCTGGACGATGGAGGTGGTGCTGCACTGGATGATGCCGGAGCTTGTCGACTCCAAGAAGTGGTACTGGACTCGACCGGCTTTGAGATCCATACGCCGCTGGCAGAGGTAGAGGTGGCCGAAGTGGTGTCTTCACAATCACAATCTTCTGACTCGGTCCTTGACGTGGTGGAGGAAGCGACAGCGTGTCGTTGAGAGTCAGAAAGATGATGGTTGAAAAAGTTGCCCCACACAAAGGTTGAGAAGCTGAGATGGGGACCACTATTGCGATCTCTGGATTCGCTTGAGGAGATCGATGAAGTAGATGGTGGGATGCTGACATTTGGATCGTTTGTCGATGACGAGGGAGCAAAACTCATGCTGCTATGGTGACTGGTACTGTTGCTTGGCTGAGCATGAGCACTTGTACCGATGCTGTGGCGCTGGGTACTGATGCTGGGCTGAACGCTTGTACTGATGCTGGTGATGCTGCCCCTGCTCTGGGCTCTGCTTTTACTGATGCTGACGTCTGCATCGGAGGTGGAGGTGGAGATCACTCTCGAGGTCTGATCCACAGCTGAGGTCTCGGCCGATGTGAATGTACTGGCTGACATCGATTTGGACCCTTGTCCTTGACCAGAGGTTGACTCGGAACCTTGTATCAGAGTGATCGCAGATGTCTTGATGACCGTTTTGGTTAGAATGAGTGTAGAAGGTGCCTGTGAAGAGGTCGGAATAGGTTCATCCGACGAAGTGGACGAGGGCACTTCGATAACTCCAATGTTGCTCCTTCGTGCTGAAGACGAAGAAGCTGGTGGTGGACGTGGGGGTGGGGGTGCAGCGGAGGAAGTCGAAGGCCTAGGCGGAGGATCAGACTTAGTGGACGTGACTGGAGGTGGAGGAGGATCGGACGAAGTAGACGTTTCGATCTCGCTGATCCCTCCTCCAGCTGTCAGAGTGATAGGTGTCTCGAGATCGCCGGAACTTGGCGAAGGGAGCGTCAAGCCGGAAGGGAGGTAGTCGCTGTTGCTGACGCTGAGCGTATGGAAAAGTCAGCGAAGGGACTGGTCAAGCTGGATTCCTAAAGCCAGTCTCACTCACCAGGTCAAAGGCTGGAACGACTTGTCGTCCGCTAAGAACCCTCCTGCAGTATTATCCCATACCTGATTTGAAGCTCTCCATTCCAAATCCCTTCCAAGACAGTACATAGCCTGCATCTGCGTCAGACTCAGTACACAGCCTGGGGTCGAGGTAGATCCTTTGCTCTCTAATTGACCATAGAATACCATGCTGCTAGCACTCCCGTCTCCTCCAGTAGTCAATGGCCAATTGACGGATTTCGCACCGTCCGCAGCGCAAATGGATATCATGTCGGTCAAGACGTAGGGTGTTCCGAGAGTCGCAACTTGGCCTATGATGACGCATCCTGAGGTGGACTTGATGGTGATCGTACCGGACGATTGAGCCCATGTAAGGGGGATGATAGAGAAGAGAGAGAAGAGGAAAGTGAGTCCGAGACGATATTCAGAGTACATTGTGACGCGATGGATGAGTGTGAGGTGCCTGTGGGCGTATATGGGACAGAGTCAGGTGGCGGGCTGGAAGTGTGCAGCAGGAATGAGGGAAAAGGCTAGCTGGCGAGGAATGGGAGTCTAGAAAGAGTGCGGTAGAGGAGATGCCAAGCTGTGATGAGTAGATCAAATTAGAGTAGATGGCAGACCTGAAAGGTGGACAATTGTCCAGACCATCCGCATGAGTGATCACAGGGAACTCATTCAGTCAACGAGTTCTCACGCTCCAACGACTGACCTTCCTTCTCATCCTTCCTTTCTTTATACTTTCACGTCCCGATATTTCCACGAAAGAGCGTTCTCGGATCCATCTGGCGGGTACAGTCCGCGTGAAAGGGGGCAGCATTACCCCAGCCCGGAAGGCATGAATCAGTATCTTTTCAGGGGCAGATCGACTATTTAAAGGTAGTCAGATCAATACGACGTAGCATCAGACTAGGCGATAGGCCTCTCCAACGTTCTGCTTTCAGAAGGCGGCAAGCTTGCAGTTTGTTCGAGAGATCGCATCTCCATTGGTCTGATGCTAGAATACTTATCGTATTCCTTTGTCAGAGATAATGTAAGTGACTTAGTACATTGCAGCGGGGCTACTCGATACGCTTCGGCATGAGAGTAAAGGGAAGTCCCAATGCCTCTGACCGATGTGGTGGCCAAGATGACGAGGTTATGCGCAAGGCTTCTGGTGTCGCAGGAGATACATCTCAGGCGGCCGCACTAGAGCGATGCCACGTGTTGTTGATTCCGTTGAGCGGAGCTCAGCGAGGACCGGGATGGTCCGGTGGTCTATCAATTACTCTCATCATCCAAGTATTGAGTGACACCTCAATGACCACGAGTGGATATCTCATACACTACATCGCGCTCAGGATAGCGTAGCGATATACACATACTTAGTACTCCATCAATTTGCTCTCCTCAATCCCCCTCGATAGGTCTGAGCCTCATCCATCCGTTCCCCGCTCCTATTGCCACCACCCGCCGGCCTCAGGTGGCCTTGTGGATCTCGATACCCTGAGTGCAACCTGTTCCTTCATTCGCCATGGGACGAACGTTCCGAGTGTATCTGGCGGGCGAATATGTTTACTGCTGTAGGGTATGCGGAAATCACCTGGCAGTATCTGAGAGCGTCATATCGACTGTGAGTTCATCCTGACCTGATACCCGAAGAGGGTGTGAGGGGGGTCAGAGCTGAGTTGGGGTCTCCAGCAATTTCGTGGTCAACATGGAAAAGCAATGCTGATCCGTCATACGTGAGTCCTACGAGTGCACCTACGACACTGCGGGCGACTAAGCTGCCTCTACCATTGGCAACTTTTCGCTGATGATCCCTCTGCCAGGGTAAACGTGTACACTGGCGAACCGGGAGATCGAGAGATGAGCACAGGCAAGCATACAGTACGAGACTTGTTCTGTAAAGTGTGTCATACTACACTAGGGTGGAAATATGTGAGCGTGCTGTGTTGTACTGGAAAAGTCCTCGTTGCCTCGCGGCTGACTATCCACTGTCAGGACTTTGCCCATGACCCCGACCAGAAGTACAAAGAAGGTCGCTATATCCTGGAAAGGGAAATGATCACAGAAGTACCAGAGGGAAAACGTGAAACAGGGAGACCAAAGATTGAAGAGATATCTGTGAGAGAGCTCATGGCGAGGGTGTAATTTGGGCACCCGCAACACCAACGGACAATCTGGACTACTGTCATTCCACCGACATCACCCGATCTGTGGCCCCATGGCTCCGGTGACTTCAACAACCCCTAACCTTCCAGCATCGACCTTCACTTATTAATCTGTACCCTTCCTTTTCTCCGCGCGATATCGTTGTATACCGTTCCCTCAGGCTGTTCTCTTAATCCACCCTTGTACTCAGCTTCTCCTCTCCAGACCTCCTTCTCCCTCCCCCTTTGCACCTTTCTCAGCCCAGACCTCAATCACGAACCGAATCATACCATCTCCCTGTTGCCATTTCAATCTTTTCTCGATTTCATGTTGTGTCTTGTCCATGTATTTCCTTCGAACGCTTTCAACATCAGGCTACAAACTGTTGTGAGTCGACCACTGACCCCACTGATCAGTGCTGTGTGGACTCTCACAGACTTCGCTTAGCCTAACCTCTTACCCAGGTACACGGGACTAGGGGCCAAAGGACTAGACTGCACTGCTCAATCCTACTGGGTCGGATCAATTTGGGGCCGACGAACCCGATGAATATGTCAGCAAAGACGGGTTTGAAGATGGTAGCATATGCCTTTGGAACCGATGGTGAGAAGGAGGCAATGGCCAGGATCCCGGGTGAATTTTATTGGCCGGCTCGCTTATCAAGAATTACTGCTACCTGTTGGACAGCCCTCTCTACCGCTGATGATGAGACCGACGCCATTGAAGCCAATCAAGAATTACTGAATATCCTCAACATCGAGGCTCATCTATTTCCTCTTAACCTGGCATCTTCCCCCGCCCTTTCGATCATCAGTCAATCGTTCGTCTCGACAAGTTTCACCTTGATGCTCCTTATCATCTTCTTCCCGCTCTCACAGTCGACACCTTGGGTCATTCAACCCATTCCCTTCATTAACCCATTCCCTTCATCAACCCATTCCCTTCATCAACCCATTCCCTTCATCGATCCATCTCCTACCTTGAAAGGGGTCTCTCCAAGTCTGCTATTGATCGCTATATCCTGCAGTTCATTTTCGTTTCTCACACATCCTCGGGTCATGTACCGGGACTCACTCTCGATCTGCACGGGGCAAACAAACTCAGAGGTTTTCTTGCGATCGTCTATCGACTCACATAGACCGTGTGAAATCTCAGGCCCATTGATTCACAAGCTACTAGGTGGATGAAAGGTATTCGTTCGACTTGTGAGTCCATCCCGCCGATCGGATCAAACAGTCTCCTTTGTTGTCGCCGTGTAGACCGGGAGCTTTGAGTATTGACAAACTTATTCACGGATGTCCTGGGGAAGACGCATATTACGTTTGCTTGTTTCTGTTCGCTGACGCTTGGAAGATATCGTGAGCTCAAGTTTCTGAAGCAGAATCACAGCTCGACCTCTATATCCGACGTTCTGGACCGCCGATACAGAACTCAGGTCTTTGTAACGGCTGAGCACTATTGTCACCGGCCTCCACGGGCTGGAGTCATCCCTCTCGACCCCTCGACGACCCGCCTCGAGCATTCCGCCCCAGTAGTCGTGATCCCTTGTAGCTTCGATCACCCGTCTATCCCAGCCTCGCCATCGACAAAGGTTGGAACGCGGGGATCCCGACCACCCATAGGCCGACTCGCGAACACCTCTGAGGACTTCAAGGCCCTCATAGTCTGTCATACGACGTTTGGGACCTTTGAACCTCCTCTAGCATCATCCTCAAAGGATCAGCGACCGGGTCATCCTCGGAACTACTTGGCGTTCGAAACCTGTTTCGGACCAGGGAACATATACAAAACTGGGTCGGGATTTGCGCCTGGGGTACACAAGAATAGGATCATTTTGAGCAGAGTTTAGATCAAAAGAAGACTGTCACAACTCTTAATTACGACTTTGAGGAGAAGGCGAAATCGACAATCAAAACCTTGGTAGGGAAGGATCGACCCTCGTTCTCTGACATTCACTCTCTCTGGATCTCTCGTCAATCTTCCCACAGAGCTTGTCAACATTGGCCCGAGCGATACAAAGGTTGACACCTTCGGCTTATCCTATCCCTCGTACTGCAAACGTGTGACGCTAGATACCGTGTTTGCTCTCCCAAGCGATTACGAGACAAAGGTTGGGGAGTTGGTCATTTGAGCAAAGCTCCCACAGGATATAAAGTGGACTATCTTTCTTAGCAATTTAGTGTCATCACTTGAGAATCTACTTCAACTCACCAATATCAGGTAATCCACCCCACAGCGAGATCGTCAGCATCGACGACATCGAAACGATCTCATACTCCGCCTCACTCGTTCAACCCTCTAAACTCCTTCGCGCTCTCTCTCTCAATGACCGCTGTCCAGCCCTCGCCCACCGCTCTATACTTCCCACACAGCAGTCAAGTGCCACACCGTCGCCCGACTCTATCTTGTAAGCCTCAGTACCAGCGACGACCATCTATCCACCTCCATCAGCAGGCTCAATCTCAGCCATCAGCCCCTTGTTCACGGAACGAATCGATTTCAGCTTGGCAATCGGCGCTCCTCTCTCCGTCTCCTTCACCGCCTCTCGTCGATATCCGCTACAGTACCATGGTGCCCGTTCCGGAGGCAAGCAGGAAACCATCGGAAGACATCGTCAAACGGGAATATTTTTCACCCCCTGTCTACCGATCGCCTCCGCCGCTTCCTCGATTGGACACTGCCACACGTGTCAATGAGAGTCAGGAGACGAGGGGTCCATTCAGTAATACCAGCACTCCTCTGCGCAAAGTTCGTACTACGCCTACCAACGGACACGGATTCTATCCTACACCCGTATCTGTCACAGAGCGACCCGATGCTGCGAGAGCCTCTGGTGATTCTCGGATGGATCACGATCTGCCACTTCAATATCAATCCGCATCCTCAGCCTCGCAGAACCCAACGAGGCAAGCACAACCTCCACAGCAGCAGCAGCACCAGCAGCAGCACCCCATGTATCGAAGTCCCGCTCTCAGCCCAGATCGACCAGCCTTCTTCGATGCTCATACTCAACAAGGCTTTCCCGGAAACCTGCGATCCACCTTCTCGCCTCGTCAAACCCCCTATTTGTCCGCGCATCGAGCAGACAGTCCCGGGCCTGGACCACAGCCATACGCCACCCATCGGCCAAAGCTATCCATCCACCCTTATGCTCCGCCCGTCAATCCTGATGCTAGGTATCATTCTGCCGGTGCATCGAGGTTGGCACTGCCGTTCGGACAGCTGACTGATTTCTATGGATCACCGGGAAGTGCCATTAGCCCAGGTGGCATCAAAGCCCCTCTGAAACGGGGTGAGAGTCGCTCCTCCAGGGGATCCACGCTGTGTAGCTGACATTGACCCCCTAGCCGACGACCTGCAGCTGTCTGTCCTTATTGACGCATTCGAGAGGTCTGCGTATCCCAATACAGAGGAACGAGATGCTCTCGCCAGAGAGCTGGGGATGACCAGTCGGAGCGTTCAAATCTGGGTGGGTGTGGCGATGAATCCGGATCCAGGCATAGACTGAGACAACCCTCTCATCTGTCAGTTTCAAAATCGCAGACGAGCCGTCAAAGTCGAACAGCAATCTGCGCTTCAACGAGCAGAAGCGGAGTCTAGACAGCGGTATCGGACGAGCACTATTGCTGAACCTGCTTATCGAGCTTCCCCTTTTCACACCGTGGGGTCGCGGAATAGGCCCGATAAACTTTCCTATAGCCCCGCTTCGACCATCGCCACGAGGCCCGATCGATCCATCTTTGATCTTGTCAGTAGGCGAAGCTGGTCCAGTGGTTCTTCTCCATCTCCACCTCGAATCCCAGCCGGTCTATTCAGTCCTCGACGGGAAGTCTCTGCATCTCCCTTGGTCCCTGTCAGAGCGATTGACGAGCTGGATCTGAGAGCAGGAGAAGGACAACAGATGAGACGAGGGGACGTGATCAGCCGAAGGACGGAAGTTCAGGATGAATTTGGACAAAGGTCTTCGCCTCAATCACGTATGGGCCAATATGCTGGACTTGGCTCCACGATAAATTCCCGTTCGGTTCCGATGGACGTTGTAGGGGGTAGACAGCAGAGCAGGATGACGCTCGAGGAAATCACGGGACCCCTGACATCCACACCGATGAATACGGGACAAGGAGCAGTGGGAGGATCCTGTCTTGGTAGCAAGGAGCCCTCGACCCTATCTACAGACTCTATGGCCACGTTGTAGTTCCACATGCAGCTATGTGCTTCTTCTGTAGTCAGGCACTTCACCGCGCCCTTGCGCCACTTTGACAGGGAAGCACGAGCAACTGAACGTCAGTTCTACTCTTCAACCCCCCTCCCATCCGTATATTGTCCAGATGCGCCAATGCCAGTATGTACGAACTGTGCAGCGCCAGCAGATCATCTCTATACGACCTACAGGACGGCATCAAACATCAGATTGACGGTCTGTGTGAGTGTCATGAGAGGTTTTGCTCTCCTCATCGAGGATGGGGCATCTGAAAGCTTTGAACATCTAAATCTCTTCGCAGGCATGCATAGTCAAAGAGGCTGCTGATGATGAACTGTTAGAATCGATGTAATCGGTTTGCGGACCCTCTGATCGAGCACCCTTCGCTTATTCTCCTGCTCGACTTGATCTTGCTCAAACCTCGAGTATTCCTTCATCTTCTATTCAACCGAGGTTCTGCCCCGTTCGAAGCGGGTCATTCGAGTCAACCTCGATCAAAGCGTCCGACTGATGTCTCCTCGCCTGAGCGTCAAGCGACTCAACGCAGTGTCCAGCTGTGGGCGACTGAACTTTGGTTGGGGAGCATCATCATCGCTGCGGAAACTCTCCTCAATGTCTTGTCGACTCTAAGGGCTGTCTCTCAAAACGATCATGGTCCGCTCTCACTATTGAATCGAGAGACAACTTCCTTGATCTTCATTGCGGCATCAGGGGTTATTGTGGAGATTCTAGCTCAGCACTTGACCACTGTCGCGCTGACATTGCTTTGTCTCGCTTGGAGAGGATGGTATCCTACCAGAGGGAAGATGTCTAACGATGGACGCCGAGACAATTTCCAGTGAGCCGCAGTGTTGTTCAGAATCTTGTCACATTCCCTGAACCCTCGCTCAGACCCATCCTCGTCTCTCTCACGCTGTGCTATACTGCCGTCCTGCCTCTTCTCCTCCAGCTCTTCCTGTCTATTTGGTACAACCCTTCGTCGCATCATGAATATCTACCGACCGCATCTCCACCCGCTCTTCTCCTCCCAACCTTCATCAGGACCATCGAACAGCTTGTCCAATCTCAAATGCCGTCATCATCCGTTGACGCATGGTCTCGTTTCATACTACCTGCTCTGACGTACGTGGGAGAAGTCGAACAAGCTCTTCTGGATCTATGGTACGCCTCCGACAGGATCTGGATCGGAACTCGCCTGCTAGGCGGAATGAGCGCAGGCTTTGGATTACGGGTCTTACTTCCTACAAGTCCGTTGGAAACGACTGGGGTGGTATTGGCAGGTTGGACTGCAGGGGATCTGGGAAGGCGTCTATTAGGACTGGAGAGGCGGATCTGATTCCACCGGAAGCTTGACTCGAATTAAGGGCATATTGCAAGATGCAATGCATAGTCTGGGCATATTCTGGCTCGATGTACGAGTGGAGAGGCTGCTCTAGAGCCGCCCTCTGCCCGATGCGTGGTGCTTGGATTGGCCTATTGACGCCTTGATCAAAGGTCAAGGAGTACGCCACCACCATTCCGCGTGAGGACTCCGGAAGATCTCGGCGGGAGCCTTGAACGTCAACTTCTGGGCGTTACCCAAGGCTTTTGACGTCTACACACTGCTCCTTATCCACAGGTTTAGACTTGTGATCAGAAGGACTCTGCGCACCTCATCCCCTAAACAGACCTCACAACATCCTTTGACTGCCCTCAACGCCTGTGAGGCACGTTTGATATTCTCGTCCCTTGTGGAGGGCATTAGGGATCCTAAGGCCGGTTCGCTTCCTACTTCATTAATTACCACTCGCCATGTCTCTTCGACCTGCACTACGCCATGCTGGATCCTCTGGATCATCACCCAATGTTCTGTCGGCATCATCTCCCAGTAATGCGGACAATCCTCCGACTTCGCTCGGACCACCACCACCCGCACCATCACCTTCCACTTCTCATCAAATGTCCGCTGCCGCGTCTTCATCTCAATCATCTTCCAGATTATCATTCGCAATCGACAGGAACGATAGACCGATAGATTTGGGAGCACATCGAACATTGAGTGATCGGAGTCCTCTCAATTCACCTCCCTTGATGGCTGTTCAAAGCCAGACGATGGCTCGTGTCGGGTCTGGGGATGGAGCCCTTTCACCTAGATTCAGCGCAATGTCTTCTGGATTACCAAAGACATGGACAAATTCCAGTGGACATGAAGGGAGATACAGGCGGAAAGTTGGATTCGAGGCTTTTGAACCTGATTCAGATGCTCTATTCGCGTACACATGTCAGGTGAGTGGGAACAGCTAGCCTGTGACGTGAAAGAAGAGGTGATGTCACATTGGGGTCGGGCGGGGAACGGGTTGGGAAGCGAGTGGGGCAGCGAATGGCCTAGAGATGTCTCAACATATCAGGCGTACCCTTATGAGCTGCGAAAGCTACTACTCTACTCCTCCAAGCCTCATCTCGGCGTCCCAGTATTCCCCACACCCTTGTCCTAATGCTGATTTTCCCCTCTCCCCCCGACAGGCCAAATCAGAGGGTTACAAACGATCGCGTAACACTCGAGTCTTCGCAGTGGCCGTATCGCCAGACGAGTCGGGAGAAGATGCTCTCGACTGGCTGATGACAGAGCTGGTGGAGGATGGGGATGAAATCGTGGCCATCAGAGTGATAGACATTGACGAAGGAGGTGAGTTGGATGATGTCATACATACATCACATCGCATTGATGACCGGGTCCTGTCCATGTAGAGAAGACCGATCCGGCGCAACAGGATGAGTTTAGAGAAGAGGCTCAGACTATGCTCTCAAACATCTTGGACAAGAACAACGAAGCGGATGGTCGAAAGGTCAGTCCAGTGCCAAGCCCTGTCTGTCGATGAATGGCTAATTGACATACATCTCCTGCAGCTTTCAATCATCGTGGAAATGGTCGCTGGAGGCGTGACAAAGACTCTGTTGAAGATGATAGCGCTCTACAGACCTGATTGTGAGTGTGACATCTCAGCGCCGGGAGAAGTGTATGCTCATGTCGATACCTTCCTCAGCTATGATAGTGGGAACCAAGGGTAGTCGGACGCGTTTGCAGAAATGGGGTATGGCGATGGGCGGTGGGTGTTCCGGGCGCTCACCCCGCTGTGAGCGACTGTGCTGACTCCGCGATCCAGCGCCAGGAATGGGTTCAGTGTCTCGATACGTCGTATCTCACTCACCAGTTCCAGTCATTGTAGTCAGGTGAGTTCGGATCACATCATCTTGGCCAAACTAGCTCGCTGAGACGTCTGACCCCCAAGACCCGAACGCAAGGTCAAGAAGACCCTTGCCAAGCGCCAGAACAATCCTAAACGTGGACAATACGCTGCTCTCATCGGCCCCGATGGTGCTTTGTCGCTCTCACGAAGTAGAAGTAGAGGCAGTATAGGTGGTTTGAGTGACAGAGAATGATCGCAAACATTGGCTACGCAGTCTAGAGCACGTCTCCGCCACCTCAAGATTTGTACAACTATATGCTGCCCCTCGTGTCTCGTCCATGATTGCCTTGCCCTCCTCATGCATCCATACTCCATTCTTCATCCCCATGTCCATCAATACTCATCATCCGCCGCTGCCACAAAAAAGCCCGGTTCCTCCACACGTCGACATTCCGAAAATCCCCTGGAGGGGACATTTTGGGGCAGCTCGCATCTACCCTTGAACCTATCCATTCACTTATTAGACTCACTAGAACATCCAAAAGACACCCACAACAATCATGTTCGCTCGTCAAGTCGCTTCTCGCTCCGCTTCTCTCCTCTCCCGAAGAGCTTTCTCCAGCTCCATCGTGGCTGAGCGTAAAGTCGCGGTCCTCGGAGCTGGTGGAGGAATCGGACAACCCTTGTCGTTGCTCCTCAAGGCGGACCCATTGGTTACTTCTTTGTCATTGTATGACATCAGAGGAGCTCCAGGTGTCGCTGCGGACTGCAGCCATGTCAACACTCACTCGGAAGTTAAAGGTTTCGAGCAGGACCAGTGAGTTCTCAAACTACTTGGGCCGGCGTGGAAAGATGGCTGATGGTGTTTTTGTCCAACAGGATCAAGGAGGCTTTGACCGGTGCTGAAGTCGTCGTTATCCCCGCTGGTGTCCCCCGAAAGCCAGGAATGACGTGGGTTCAATTCATAATGATAGTCAAGGTGCTAGGCTGACAGTGCTCACGCAGCCGAGACGATCTTTTTGTCAGTGACCACCCGATGTCCACGCCATGATGGTGCTCGCTGATAAGCTCTTACAGAACACCAATGCATCCATCGTCCAGACCTTGGCTGAGGCCTGTGCTGAGCACTGCCCCAAGGCCATGATCCTCATCATCGCCAACCCTGTCAACTCGACCGTCCCCATTTGGGCCGAGGTCTACAAGCAGAAGGGAGTCTTTGACGAGAAGAGGTAGGTTTCCCAGCAGGGTATTTGGCCCCGGCTGCTCATGTCATCGTGTCACGAGCACCGCTGACATCTCTTGCGCAGAATCTTCGGAGTCACCACCCTCGACGTCGTCCGAGCTTCCCGATTCCTCGGAGAGATCAAGAATGTCGACCCCAAGAAAGTCAAGGTCACTGTCGTCGGAGGACACTCTGGAGTCACCATTGTCCCTTTGCTCAGTCAAGCACCCAAGGGTCGAGACGTCAAGGGAGAGGAGTATGATGCTCTTGTCAACCGAATTCAATTCGGTGGTGATGGTGAGTGCAGCCCATCTCGATTGGGCTCGTAATCTCTAATACGCTGCTTTAGAGGTCGTCAAGGCCAAGGCCGGCGCTGGATCTGCCACTCTCTCCATGGCATACGGTATGTCCATTACATTGCACTCTAAGTCTGTCTGACATCACCGTCCTCCACCTCAGCCGGTGCCCGATTCGCCAACTCAGTCATCCGGGCCATTAACGGTGAGGAGAAAGTAGTCGAACCCACTTTCGTCAAGTCCCCCTTGTACGAGTCTGAGGGAGTCGAGTACTTCGCCTCCAGGGTCGAACTTGGTACTGAGGGAGTCAAGACTATTCACCCCGTCGGAAAGCTCTCTGCCAAGGAGGAAGAGCTCCTCAAGGCTTGTCTCGCGGAGTGAGTGTTCTCTTTTGGAGCAAGTCGATGTGCTTACACCCTTCAAAGACTACCCAAGAACATCAAGAAGGGAGTGGACTTTGTCAACAAGGCTTAAGATGCGCTTGAGAGATTCTTCTTGACTTTACTCATTGCATGCAAAAACGAATTCATCGTGATGTGTCGCGGTGGTGGGCCGTGTTACATGCGTCTACAAAGCTCAAACGAAATACTGGCGAGGGCCAGAAACATCTATACTCGTATATGACAGCGAAGAAACAAAGGCCGAGGTGTCTATTCGCACAGCTGGAATTTGGGATCCGCTGTTATGAGGAAAGAAAGGGAGAAGGTTTGAGGCGGGGTGAAGTGACTGAGTGGGAGGCGGATGGCGCTGGCAATCTGGTATCGCCGTTGCCGGCCGCTATTGCTTGTCTTGACTGTACTGGTACTGAGGAGCGTTCTGATATTGTCCCGAAGGCATTCCACTCGAATAAGCAGGAGCGTCCTGAATCTGATATTGTGGGGAAGCGCTCCTAGCCATGATCTGTTGTCGCTGAGGGGAATTGCCACCCAACCCTTGGGGAGGTTGTTGGTATTGGTACTGTTGGTTCTGTGGACAGTGTGGGCAATTGCACAGTGGATGTGGCGGTATCTGATAGGCAGGGTATGGCTGTTGAGGAAGGGCCCCCTGGAATGATGATCCTTGCATTTGTCCTTGTTGCTGACCGTGTCTCTCGTATGTTTTCGTCAACATGTTGACGGCACCGAGCGCTGCTCCAGCTCCAATTGTGGTCTTTAGGATTCCCATGGCGTCTGATGCTATGTTGTTGTCTTTGTTATGTCTGTGGTGGCCCATATAATGATGGACGTTGAGAGATTCAAGCTAAAGGCTATGGAGTGTATCCGTGGATCTGTGGGAACGATGTGCTGTGATGGTGGGGATGAGAATGGATTCTTCTTCCACCGCACTTGAGAGCTTTATATATGCGTTATCTTGCCTTTTAGTGTGAGCGATATTTAGCATGGCGATGCGCTCTCATGGCACTACATGTACTCCCTCGCCTCCCCCCTCCCCTCTTCGTTCTCGTTGAAGGGAAGGACTTGCCTGCCACCGAGCCGCAAGATTGTTCCGAGAATCCGATGAACCGAAGCGGAAACCGAATCCGGTACCGCGGAAATACAAATGTATTCCCGACGGAAATGAAATGGAGAGATGCTATGGGCAGCAGTTCATTAAGCGGGAATAGAGTACATATCAAATGCAATGAGTTACAGCAAGTAAGCTACAGTCGCTATGGCAGTCAGTCAAAGCTTCGATACGATGCCCCTCCACTCCTTTCAGTGAGCAAGGCGCTGACATGTCTGACTCCAGATACATAGACTACCGAAAGGACGGTATCACGCCCGTCCAACCTGCACCTGTACCATTGGCTACCGGGGTCTGAGCCATCACAGCAGCCGGTGCAGCTCTTGGAATAGTGTCAGTGACATTTGAGGCATTTCCACCCCTGGGAGGATCGCCTCGATGGCCTTGTCTGCTCTTCGGAACCGGTGGCCTCGGTTCTGCGTCTGCTCCACCATGAGCTCTATGAGTCCTCATCCAAGGTACCAATGCGGCCGTCGCTGGCGTTTGAAGGGTGGCTCGGTGGTCATGACCTGTTTCAGGTCGCGATTGGCTATATGCTTCATAAACCGAGTCGTAGGTTTGATGCTCGGCTCCTATGGAAACAGGCATCGAGGCTTTGGTGGCTCTGTCGAAGCCGAACGGGTCGGACGCATTGGTCGAGGGCCGCTGTTGAGGTGAGTGACGAGTCAAGGACCGTGACAGGGATTGTTGGGTCGGAGAGGGTGGATGTCGGGAACGAGGTTCAGCGGCAATGAAAGGTAGAGTGGTTACCTGGAACGGATCCTTGGCTTCACGGAAGACATCTTGATGGTGTGTCGCCATAGAAACCGACGGATGGCCTGCCAACTCCTTCTCGAGATCTTCATCCACTCCTCGCTCAAGGTACTGAGTTCGCGTCCCCTTATCGTCCAAGAGTTGCGTATAGCCATCCCATTCATGAGAGGCAGTGCATGTCGATTCCCTAGCATCGTGCTCGCAGTCCGATTGTAGCCGAGTCTCGCGATACCTCGCATCGTGATAAGCCGTATACTGTGTCCTGGGATCGTCAAATGGATCTACGTCGTCTCCAAAAGAAGACCTGACAGTGTTGCCTGCATTGTACGTCTTCTGGAATGACGGTGATGATGGTGAGATATCGTCTGTCGATCCTGCTGCGCGTTTTGTCTTGTTCCGTCGCTGGGAGACACGTCAGCTGTATCTCGAGCCCATAGGGTAGGTAACCTCACCCATTTGTACCAGGCCAGATAAGCTCCGACAAAAGCTACCAGGATCCCGCCGACTATACCTACGATAGCGAAGGATGACAGATTGGTTTGGCCGGAGATGCTATTGACACCTCCGTTCTGTCCATCTGCCAATGCGCCGCTGTTTCCAATCGAAGAGGAACTGGAAGAAACGGATGCGGAGACGCCAGACTCTGGGCCACCTGGGACATTGATCACTGTGGATCGAGATGAAACCGTCTGTGACGATGCCAATGAGGTCTTTGAGCTTGCAGGCGCGCTCGGACGAAGGTTGCCTGCGAAGATTCAGACGAACCTCACGCCCTCGTAACTCACTGGTCGACGGTCGGCTAGAGAACAAAGTCACTGTGGTATGCACGACCGAGGAGGTATGATAGCTCATGATCACCTCGGCTTGTGTGGACATCGATTGTACTGGTGCCACGGAAGAAACCAGCAAACCTGCTGTGGATCTGACGAAGGCTTCAGACGTCGGCCGATCGTACAGGAGATCCCGCGTTGAGGTGCTGATCGTAAGACTGCTAGTACTGGTGCCGCTGGAGCTGAGGCTGAAGCTCGAGACGGGAACAACAACATGTGGCTGAGAGGAGGTCAAGACTGTGAGAGAGGTGGCCGAGGGCAGTACGAGCGGTTCAGACGAGGTCGAAGAGCTTCGTTGGGTCAAAACTGTCCGTGGAACACAACAAGGAAGATCAATGGCGCTCACCTCATGATCTCGTCGAGGTGTGACTCGATAATCGCCTGGGTTGATATAGAGGTAGATGTCATGACAATGAACAGAGGTGTAGAGGTCATGTTTTCGGATGCGACATGGCTGGCGCTCGAGCCGCTGGGAAGAGCGAGCGACGTACTGGATGGTCCGGCACCATTGTCGATCAAGGAGGAGGTCGACAGATACACAGGCTCTGATGAGGATTGCTCAGACGAGACTTGAGCAGACGATACAATCAGACTCGATATCAGACTACTCTGGACGGCATTAGCATCTGTCACTGGGACAGACGAGATCGGGTCGAGCTCCATGTTGATGTTCTGCTAAACCTTGCCTTCTCACATCTGCCGCGTCCGAGGTGACGGGATGGGGAGGCCAGAGAGGGTTCTAGTCAGTTGCAAGTGACAAGACGCACCTTTTCGTTCCAGATCCAGAGCAATTCCCATACATCCCTCCCTCCTTGTTGAAAACAGAGTTGCAACGGGTTTCGTCAGACAATAGTGGGGGGAGGGAGGGGGGAGTCAGTGATAAAGGATGTCAGTGAAAAAGGTGAGCCACGCGATTGTGTGAAAGTTAGCGTTGAGGATTCCTGACGGTATTCATTAAATGAAGATAGCGGGCTCATCATCCTCATGAGGCCACCGATGACATACGGGAGTACGTGCGGTGGTCAGAACGAGAGTCCGCCACGAAAGCGAGATGCCACATGCTGAATCGGCGTTATCGGCGTTCTCCGTCGCTTGAGGCGTTGTGGCACTTTTCCATCAAGGTTCGTGGACCGGTAATGACGAACTAATCTATCTATCTAACTATCTGTTCCATCTGTGAACACAAGATGAGTCGACCAGCCGCCATGCTCGCAAAGCGCAATGTTCTCGGAGCCGATATCAAGAGAGCAGGACTGTCAGCAAGAGCATTCTCTTCCTCTATATCTTCAAATGCGACTGCTTCTGGTCCTTCCACATCTTCAGCCGGTCCATCGAGAGCTGCCTCATCATCTTCATCTTCGACCAGTAGCGCCTCCACCGCCCCTCCTGCTGGCTCCGACAGCCTTCCCCTAACATGGACAAAGTATCTCGGATTGAGACGTCAGAGGAGATCATGGTCTACTCTTGCTACTGTTCCGACGACTTTGACTGGATTGGCACTTGGCGGGAGCTACTTTGCGAACCTGGAGGCAGATCCAACCCAGTTGATCATGGGCATTGAGCCGGCGTGAGTGTCCATAGGGAGTGACTTCCTTCTTTCAGGATGAGGGAGGGCGGTTGCTACCTGAGTTTCCGGTCGAAATGCGAAACTGACTGACATTCGCTTAGTTTCGTATATGGTGGTGCTACGTGAGTGTTGCAAAGCACTGTGTACATTGCATTGGTATTGCATGGGCGGAGACTGACGAGATCTTTCTGGACATCAGTGTGGGCTGTATGAGTGAGTTCCAGCCTCTTATTTCTGCGGTGTCACTTTGAAAATTCTGAGCTCTCTTCCTTATTGTTCTCTGAAGTTGCATGAAGCCCTGGCTGACGCTCGCCCAGTTCTCGGATACCTCATCGGCCCGACCATCGGCTCATCTCTCTTCTCCCTGACTCACCCAGCGCTCTCACGAGGTAATCCTGCGCCTCTAGAAGTCATGGATAGAGAGTTCTTCAGTAGGATAAAGAAGAATAGGGTGGATCCGAGCTTCCAAAGTGTGAACAACCCTGCACCAGACTTCTACGGCGAGAAGGTGGGTATAAAACGAATTGACTCTCCGTATGCTTCGCATCATAGCTGACCTCGATGTGTTCTCTCCCTTCAATGACTGATTTTTCCCCTCTGACCTCATCGACCTCCAAAAAACCTCCTTCGTACCGCCTGTCTCACGCCAGATTGTGTCCATAGCGAAATACAGACGGTGGCTCCGAGATCAAGCTGCTTACAAGCGCAAAGCTATGCACGGAGTGCCGACAGAGGACCAATAGGATGTTCACCATGGCGATGGTGAGGTGGCAGTCGTCCGGCTCAAAATTTGTATTATTTCATGCAACACCCCTGCGCATTTGACACTTGAGGCCTCTGTCATCTGTCTGTCACTGAGCTACTAGAGCAACATTGCACCATGATGCGAGGTGTACATGATCCTCATTGAATCGCCCATGACTTTCGCCGACACCCGGTCTGACCACAAACGTCGTTGTTCTCATTGGACGAACGACGATCGGGAAGATTCTCAACTTTTTGGAATTTATTCATTACCGGCGCCTTCCGACACTGCACACCACCGTCGTCCTCAAAGATCGTGGATCCCAACATCGAACAACTTCATCATATAGTTCTTCATCCTTACAGCTTCACATCTCATCGCATTCTGAGAGTGCAATACCTCCGATCAACCATGCTCAAGACAGCGCTCAGATCAGTCGCTAGCACCTCTAGGCAGTCCAACCTCGCCTTGAGATCCTTCACATCCTCACCGATCACTGCTTTTGCCCAGCCATCCAATGAGACTCCCACGCCTCCTCCTGGAAAAGTTCCTCAGATGAAAGAATTCAAGATCTACCGATGGGTGCGTCCACCCGTCTGTAGGCTCATAGCCGCATTTACTGATCCACACACCCTTTAGAACCCTGATCAGCCAGCTGAAAAGCCCAAACTGCAGAGTTATTCCATCGATTTGAGCCAGTGTGGTCCCATGATGCTGGATGCTTTGGTGAGTGGCGAGCGGGATCTCTCAGAGCCAAATCATGTCATCGGGACGGGTGCAGGAGGTGGAATGTGACGGCCCCGATGACGTGTTGCTGGGATTGCCAGCGACTCTCTTCAGCCATGTAGCACCTGCTGATGCTCTATCTACTCCAGATCAAGATCAAAAACGAGGTCGACCCTACTTTGACGTTTCGAAGATCTTGCCGAGAAGGAATTTGCGGGTCTTGCGCCATGAACATTGACGGAGTCAATACTCTGGCATGCCTCAGCAGGATCCCAAAGGACACAAAGCCAAGCAAGATCTATCCTCTTCCTCACAGTGAGTTGACTTATTCACTCCCCCGAATTCGAGGGGGAATCCGGAGATCGTCAGCTGATGCTCTCCAGTGTACATCGTCAAGGATCTCGTCCCTGATCTCACCAACTTTTAGTGAGTGTCCTACTTCCCTCGTTCTGTACACAGGCGCTGATTGTCCCCACAGCAAACAGTACAAATCTATCGAGCCTTACCTCAAAAACGACAATCCCCCCGCAAAGGGAGAGTTCCTCCAATCACAGGAAGACAGAAAGAAGTTGGATGGAATGTACGAGTGTATCCTGTGTGCTTGCTGCTCCACCTCTTGCCCATCAGTACGTCTCATACACGACAAGCAGGACCTCTTGTACTTACCCTGCCCGTAGTACTGGTGGAACCAGGATCAATACCTTGGCCCAGCAGTCTTGATGCAGGCTTACAGATGGATGGCAGACTCACGAGTCAGTCCATCAGAGTACCTTATGTCCTGAACTGACCCCTCACATAGGACGCATACGGCGCGCAACGAAAGGAGAAGATGCAGAACTCCATGTCCCTTTACCGATGTCACACCATTTTCAACGTGAGTCATCACACATTGCTGCGTGCTCATCCCCTTTTGCAGTGCTCGAAGACCTGCCCCAAGGGTCTGAACCCCGCCATGGCAATTGCTAAGATGAAGCTGGAGATGGCCCAAGATAAGTAGATTAGGAGAAGCTTTGTTGTATGAGTGTCTTCTGTCTTCATGCAATAGTGAGATGATCGACGTGCTAAAAATCATGTTGGGCTTGGTGATTTCTCCTGACATGTTCGCTGTTAAAATCCATCGCTGACAGGCTCGTCTACATGCAACTGGCGAGATCATTACTCTGTAGCATGCATCGGGACATACATCTATTTACATCCTCTGCTGAAAGTGCATTCCACAAGTACATGTGAGCTCAAGTATCGGGGGCTATGAATTATAGAAATGGTAAGTGCGCAAGGAAGTGCTCTAATCTCCTTTGACAACATAGGGCAGCAAGCGCTTATCCCTGACGACACTCCACCAGAACGCCTTCCAGTGCAGTATTGAGCCCTGAAACCGCTCAGGATCGGCTCTCTTCAGACATCGTTGCGTTGCTTACCTTGCCTCTACGCATTACGACCATAGTCTTCGCCTCCATTAGACTGTCGTCTCCTCTGATCTGGAACGTCCCGGCTACACTTTTCGCGCCGGCTGCCTTTTGAACCTTGACATCGGCCCCGTTGCTTCGCCGCTCTGCTGATACAGAGTTGCTGCCAAGGTCTGCTTCGAGGTAGGAAGTAAGCAGTTCGACGGCATCTGGACAGCTTATCGAGAGCCAAAATCGGGTTGTGATATTGTTGAAATCTCCACCTTGAGTCTGAGACGAGATATTAGTCACTACTGGCGACCGAGGAGCAAGGGTACAAAGTGACTGACGATGTTACCGGTAGCTCGAAGGAACTGTGATTCTTGAGGATTCAGCTGACTGGCCCATTGACTGCCACTAGCGATCCTTTGTGATCGGCTACGAGGTGTCAGTTGGACAAGGCGAGCATGAAGGCCTCAGCTTACTTGGCGGCGTAGGCTTGTGAAGCTTGAGAAGCGAAGGTCGGATCCGCGATGGTCATCATTCCTGTGGACCTCATACCCGCAGTCAGGGCGTCGCCCATCTGGGCTCTTGTCAGTTGACTGGATCTAAGCGGAAGTGAGCAAACGTCCACAAAAGTGAAGCTTCGTCCTCACGTCATACACCAGGGGTGGGCCTTGATTTGCTGCATCGTAATCCGACGTGCAGGATCTACCGTCAATAGCGCTAAGAGCATGGCTGGAGCAAGACATGAGTGACTGACGAGAGGCAAGGTACGACATACCCATTGCGGATCCTCGTATCCTTGTCCACGGCTCATACTGCAGGAGTTCGCCAGTGAGATACGCGCGAAACTCTGGGCTGTTATCTGAAGGCTCATCCCAAGGAGTGTCTGAGCAGATATTCAGAGCCTTGACGTGCTGTCAGCCGAATCCCACTTACTGCCAAACAGCATTGTATAGAGGACGACACCCATCCCCCAGATATCCACGGGCTCAGCTCGATACCCTGTTCCAGATGGTCCGCCAAGCTGTTGAGACCGATATCAGCGACTTGTATACTCCGACGGATCATATCACCCACCTCCGGCGCGACATACGGGAGACTTCCACATCGTCCACTGAGCAGTCTCGTCTTGCCTTTGTGCTTGAACACTGCGCAGAGTCCAAAGTCTGAGATCTTGAGATTCCCGTTGGCAGCTAGCAGAAGATTCTCAGGTTTGAGATCACGATGAGCGATACCCCTCTGATGGATGAATTCCTGAGGAGGGTCGTCAGCTATGTTTCTTAGAAGCTTTCTCTCACTCACTATACCGGATGCCATCTGAGCAAAGTAAAAGTTCGCCAGGTCGTCAGGGATACCAACGTCAGGAGCTACAGGTGTACGTCAGTGTATGACCTGCCTCGCCCGCTCAGCTCACCTATCTTATCGAATAGGTCACCACCAATGGCAAGTTCTAAGACCATGTATAGACCAGGGACCCAACCATCATCCTCTTTTTCTTTGACTACGACTTCGGAATGTATGAATTCCAGGATGTACTCATGCTTCGAAAGAGATTTATGAACCTGTACCTCCTTCTGGAGTTCCTTGACATTCGGCGTGCCGTATCCAATCGAAGGCGAGATAAATAGATTGACAACTTTGCAAGCTGCGACCTTGCCAGAGATGTCGTTGAAGGCTCGAAAGACTCTGTCGATGTTCAGTTCGTCCCGGGAACGAAATCGGGAGCATTGGGCTCACTTGGAAAAGCCTCCACCTCCAATCTCTTCACCTAGACGATACCCATGAACGATTGGATACCGCAATATACTTGATCCAGACATATCGTCATCATCCTGCATCGTCGCTGTCAGACACTACGTCTAAAATGCGATTCGAGTCAGAGATCAATGTCACGATGATGATGATGAATAGATGAACATTGGCTGTATTTTAATTTTTGAAATCACACGCGTGGACGCGACCGAGACAGCGAGCGAGCGATCGTTGATAGCATATGCGCTGAAGGAATATGAATACATTGATGCACAGCTGACAGCAGTGAGACTGATGTCTGAACACGAGCGAAGCAATCTATCCCTTAAGGGTCGTCAAAATTCTAGACTGGTACACATAGTCTTGGTCCGACCAGGTCCTCGTCTCACCTGGCCCTGCAGCGATCAATCAGTACTCGGTGACACGCGCAGCAGACATGCGATGCTCACCATGGTCACTATCCGCTCTCCGTCCATTATAGCAATTTCTCCCCGCAAGGGGCGATCGACGTAGAGGAATGGGAGCTTGCTCCCAAACGTGAGAGCGTCAACGTCGTGCAAGCCATAGGTGACTTCTCCATCCAGATATCCTTCTCGGACTTCGAGGAACACTCCATCATCTTCGATCGAGCGTAAGCCAGACGGGCTCCAGCCATCTTGGTCCTGGTCCTCATGAGGGAATGCAGCTCCTCTCTTTCTAATTTCCTTCAAGACCCGTAGAGGGTCAAAGTCATACAGTCGCATGAAGAGACGATCTTGAGCGGTTCTGATGATCTGGACGTATCGATTGTGGAATACGTTGCATACCCAGGCTGAGGGATGTTAACGCGAGCTCCCTTGTACTGCGAGACTCACCAGGTCGCTCAATGTCTGGTCCAAAGATCCTAACATCGTCCTGTATAGATTCCCATCGGACGACTGTGCTTGGTCGTGCAAATTCCTTTGTCAAGAGCGGACTCGTGGGGGGTGGAAGGTGCTTGGTCAAAGTCTCCTTGAGCATGCAGATGACAAAGTGAACATCAATCTCGGAGAATTCTCCAGCGTTCTGACACGTAACGTTCATGATGATCAAGCCAGTCTTGGGATCAGGGACGAAAGGCTGAATGTGCCCATCTTGAAACGTAGGGAATGTCGTTCTGGGAGGCGGGTCTGTTCGGATGTCCAGCCTTGGAGGACCGATCCCAGCCACGAGGTCATAGTAAAAGTCCGGGAGGTCGATGGTCTTGATGTGAGTCGGTGTTCTCGGCGGTGGCATCGGTTCAGACGAGTTTGCAGCGGGGACATCGGTGGAGGAGAATGGAGGGAAGGCGTAAAGTTGAATATGGTGAGTGAAGGATAGGTCGATAGGATTATTGAGCTCTCCAAGGGCACCAGAAGTCATATCGAGATGAGTCATGACAACAGGAACGGCAAATGATGTTGGCGTCAGAAGGACGAATGATTCGAATGAGACTGTCCCGGCGGATCGAAGGCTCTGTGCGATTGTCAGCTATCAGTCCAGGCCACACATAGCTCTGGTTCACGATTGCTCTCCATCCTGTCGTCCACTGCCATCCACAGAGTGTTCCAGAAGTCTCGTTGCTTTGATTCATACTCAGGACATACAAACCGTCGTCACAAATTTGAAAAGCCAGATTGACGCTCTGTCTTCCTAGAGTCCAAGGCCAATCGAGGACCGACTGACGAGCCAGTGGATGAGGCTCAAAGGTTGATAAGGACATGAGATGCAAGTGCATCGTCCAGGATCTCGACCGATTGTTACGCCATCCAGCCACTCTTGAGACAGTCGTCGTCAGTGCCAGCTTGAAACTTTTTGGACACATGATGAGGCTTACTTGACTTCAACGAGGACGAGTAGATCCTGACCTGGATCAATTGCGAATTCTGCAACATCGAACCCAAAGTCTTTCAATCGCCTGATGTTCTCCCCAAGTTCCTTCTCCGGATCGTCCATAAGCAAAGGGGTCGAATCTTCGCTCGCCTCGGCTGTAATTGGCTGCTCCCTTCCTTCTCGTCGGCTCGTAGAAGGAGACGTTTGAACCATCTCCTCGACCTCTACTTCCTCTACATCCTCCCAATCGTCCAATTTGTTCAAATCGTAGAAGGCAATGTTGCCCGATAGAGCTCTTTCGCCAGCTGTACTCCGGACGAGGTGGCCTTCAAGATATTCGTATAGTCTCCCCTCAGGTTCAACCAGACTGAAGTCTGTCTCGCTCTTGGGTGTGAAATTCCGAAGTCGAGTCAGACGCTCTCTCAAGGTCGACAAGAGCTGTGCTGATGAAGAAGGAGCATAATTTGGGTATTTGATAGACGGTCTCAGTGCATCAGAATTGAGCAGGAGATTATTGCACATGAGCGTGTAGTGCAGTGAGATGGTCGAGTTTTCCGAGAGCAAGGTATTGAGATACTTGTTAATCTGGTAGAAGACTACATCAATGACCTGCTCTCGTTATCCCCACAACTGGACTCACCCTGTAGCATTTGCTCAGAGACTGCCGGTCCAAGTGCGTGAAGATCCTCGCTAGAATCTCGTCTGGCAACTCCAAGAGTCGGGATCGATCAGCCTCGCTGGTGGTTCTGGGCTTGGCTGACATCCTACTATATCCTCTTGGGCAGGTTTGAGGAAACAGAAAGAGCTTCAAGCGAAGAGGCTCAGTGCGACTCGATCTACATCTGCCGGGTACTGAAAGAAGGTCGGTCTCAATCAGGTGATGCTCATCGAGGTGCTTCGCGGGGGTGAAAGTGGCGACGGAACCTATTCAACCCATGACCATGTCATACACCTATGTTATAATACAAGCGATACAACGGAGTGATACGGACGAAGCATGAGGGACAATCACCACTGCGACTCCATCAGCTAATGAGCACTGAATAAAGGACAGCAGCGCTCACATAGTTCTCATCACGGTAATCCACGATCGGGGGCAAGTTCTTCTCTTTCCTCCTAGCCTTCTCGACAGCCCACTTTTCAAACCTGCCACTACACTCAGCAGTGACAGACTCGCCGGCGCCTGACAGCTCACCACTTCTTCATCTTAGCCCGGCTCTTCTCATTATGAACGTTGACAGTCGCGATCATCTTCAAATTTGGACCCGGCATAGACAGCGCAAAGCACGTGAGTTCGAAGAAACTCGAATGCTCAGAGTATGGCACGCCTGGGATAAGTCAGTAGATTCAAGGGTGGCCTGAGGCTAGTCCAGACTCACCATACATCATAAATTGCTTGCAGCTTCCACGTTGAGGTTTTAGACTCGCTTCGGAGAAGCTCCTCGATTGATCACGTCGAATGACTTGATTGACATCCGGTAACATGTCTGTTCCCGCTGGAGGCGTGTACGCCCATCCGGTCGGTCTAAAGCCGAGGACACGGTCAAAGTGGGGATAGAGCCGGGCAAGGTACGGTTGTAGGCGATCGAGCTGAATATTTGAGAGGGGTACAAGGTGAACTTGACTCTGTTCCACCGCCGCTTCAGCGGTGCTTCTGTGTCATGAGGAGAGCCTTGCTTACCTCGATCGGATCAGAGGAAAGCATGGCGTGCAAGTCCGGATCCGTCTGACAGAGAAGAAGACCTTTTTTTCGGGGATCGCAGTAGATTGTCGTTCCCAATGCTCGGGCGACAGCTGGCGGAGCGATCAGCTATCCTGGCCGACACACCTGGTGCTTACCTTTCACTATGCGCTCCTTTCCAATAGAATACGTGCCCATGATCACCAATGTCCTCGCCGGTGGCTTTTCCCTTTTGACAGACACCAGTTGCTCCTCTTTCGGCTTGACGTCTTGCTCATCTTTGATCCCTCGCTCCTCATCCTGATCCATTTCCACATCATCCAGAGTCGGCTTGACATCCAGCTCCTCCTTTACTTCGTACTCTTGCTTCACATCATCTTCACTTTCTCGCTTCACCAGCCAGCCCGCCATCATAGCTTTGGACTTTTCGTCATTCTCCGCCTGTATCGCATTGATATCCGGTTTGATATCGAATTTGACCATATTTTCATCCCTGATTCCAGGTTTGATCTGATCCACAGGCAGAGCTTTGGCAGACAGTCCTAGGACTTCTTTGCGAGCTAGCATGGCGCAAGCCTCGATGACTTGAGGCTGGGGAGGGAAACAGTATCTTGGATTGAGATAAGTCGTATCGAGGTAGCATGTGTCGATGCGCGCTCGAGCGATGGCAGGGTGCAGAACCATTTTCGGACAGGCACGAAAGTCGCCACAGTGAAGATAGCGAAAGATTCGCTTGCTGCCCACGTACGGGGACTTGATCGTTGAATCACCCGCGTTAACGGTTTGTGGTCCTTCAAACAGGAAGATGGACGAACCGGGACCTGATCGATGTGTGAGCATCATTACGGGGCACGCCCTAGGATAGATCTCACAATGATTCGCCTCGATGGGGGTCACTGTGACGCCACCGGTGTTTGGCATCACAAAGGGGATGTCGTTCGGCAGGCCATGCTGGATAGTTGTCAGCATAACAGTACGAAAATATCCAGAAAGCTCACGACCCATTGCGGCTCAACGCCGAGCATATGAATGATGAGGTTCGCAGTGGTCTCTGAGCAATAGATTGGACCTTCCTTCCAGCTTTTCGACAAGTTTGTGTAATGGTCAGAGTGAGCGTGTCTGGCGGGATGAGCGATCTGACCGCTGTCCGCAGCTCACGTGAGAAGGTATGCAGTGACTTTTGGAACTGCCCCATAGCGAAAGGCATCGACAGCGACTGGCATCCCAGTCAGAACCTAGAAGAGGGTCAGTGATCGCGGCTCCAAAAATGTCAGAGACACCCCTCACTTTATAGAATGGCGCTTTTCGCCTGCCGAAAAACCTTTTGCCATCTCTTTTCAGGTCGACCTCGGCATCTTTCCACTCTTCCTTCTCCTTATGCCCGCTCATTAACACGGAAAATGCATTAGGACCCCTGGCCACCTCTTCAGGCGGTGGCGACGGTGACGAAGGCGCTGGCGAAAACATGTGATTGATTGATGTGATGGGTCGGATACGAGGACCTTTCGAGGTGGAATCAAGGCAGGTGTTGATATGGGTTTCGATGACCTGGACAGAGCGTTAAAAACGGCGTGGTTGTGGAAGCACTAAGGCTCACCGCTTGAGATTTGCCTTTCAAGGAGGTGCTGCAAATTGGACAAGATGTCACTTTGCCCTTGGGCAAATGCCTAGACCGCATAGGCGGCGTCTCCACAATTTCGGAAAATCCATCATCCCCATCTTCATCTTCGTCCATGCCCATGCCTTCGTCTTCAGGTTCATGCCAATCCATACCAAAATCAGAGAAATTATCCAATGGAGCAGTGTTGGGGGGAGGAGGTTCCTGCAGATGGTTGACTCTGATATTGGCACTGTCTTCAAAACCTGGCAGCTCTTCCACGAAATCTTCCTCCTCGATATCATCGTTCATCCCTCTTTGTGATCCGTCGGCATCGTCATGATTCTCAGTTCTGGCATCTTCATCGGGCTGGACACCGGTGTTGACAATATCTGGCCATATTGACGGCGGCTTGAACCCTGGTATGTTCGGGAATGGATCAGGTGGGGCAATAAGGGTCGGTTCTGGAGGTTTGACGATTGGAGTAGCGCGCGACGAGCCGATATGGTCCAACTCGACAGAAGACGCCTTTGGTGGAGAGGCAGACCCCACAATCTGAGACGGAGACGTACATGACCGCCTTGCTGGCGGACGAGATGGCCCAGCGGCATCTTCGTTCCGAGGCTCGTCTTCTACCCTCTGTCGCTTGCTCAAAGACGGCTCATCATCATCATCACTGATGACCACGGGGTCGATAGCGGATCCTGGAGTAGACTCTGTGGCCTTTGATTTCCCTTTCCGATCCATCACTCGACTTTCTTCTCGCGGTCTTCGCCCAGATGATCCCACGTCCTCGATCTCCGGTTTGACATCTGGGAGCTTTCGCCGCTGTGAGGATGGATCGCTCGTGGTGTCTTTCTTGAAGAAGCTCAAGATGTTGCCATGTCCACTCGTCGATTCTGATTTCTTCCTAGGCGTCGTCCTGGCCATTGTAGAGCGTTATTAGCTGCTGCTGTTGCTGTTGCTCATCATCATCATCATTGTGAATGCCTTGCAAGTCATTCGAATCCGTCGATCGGGTTGACCGGACTTTGACCGGTGCCGGCATCTGGCCACGTGGTTTAAACATTTTTCGGAACAAAGGTGCATCCCAACTTCTATCCTATGCAATATACACCATCTATCGAGTGACACTTTGAAGAGACCATGTCACAGCCATCAGCGGAGGAAGTGGAAGAGTTCATGCTATCATGTCGATATGGCGAAATAGACGAGGTGAAGATGTTCACAGACAAGTACGGAAACGCTGGGGTCGAAGCTGCCAGAGATGACAGAGGGAACACTGCGTTGCATATGTGTAGTGCCAATGGGCATATAGGTGAGATCCATGCTCCAGACTCGACACTGTGAAGGCTGATTGTCCATCTATCAAGATATACTGAACCTTCTCCTACCACTTTGCTCTGCGGCCCTGGTCTCTCAGCCGAATGACAATGGTTCTCCACCATTACATTGGGCCATCGTGAACAATCACTTGAATTGTGTGCAGGCCTTGGTGGAATTATCACCAGAGAAAGGCGGAGGGCTAAAGCTGGTCAAAGTGCGTCTGTGCTCTTGCTCTCTGCTGCTTATTATCATTGCTCACTCGTCTCGTAGCAAACCAACTCGGTCGGCAGAGATGCATTCGCCGAAGCTGTGTTCGCTGGTGAGGGTCGAGAAGAAGTTGCAGGATGGTTAGAAGGGTATCTGTATCGTGAGGAGGGTATTCCAGATGAAGAGATGGGAGATGAAGACGTGAAAGAAGAAGCGACGGACGAGATGGTAGCAGACGATGACGTCCAGGGGACAGGTGTAGGCCCGGACGCCGAAACGCAGGTACGTGTGCTGAGAAAATTCCGAGTTTCAGATGCTGATTCGATATCAGATGGTCCAGGATATACAGAAAGTCGATCTGAATCCGAGTTGATCATGCATCTCTCATCAAACGTGCATCGTCCTCTCATCTCGATTCCGCCACCAACTCTAAGCTTTGCTCCCTACCATCAGGATGACACTGCACATACATTCCCTGAGACCGACGACTACAGGGGCGCGCGCTGGTCCCTGATTACTACACTTCAATAAGACTCTGGCGCTAATGCTTGCGAAAGAAATCACGGTATGGGTCAGAGGGATCACTTCGGGATGCTTGACTCCGGCTGCTCCCCCTCGTACTTCCCATATCACTGTGAGTCATCGATCCGCCCGATACCGATGTCGAGGCTTTAGTATTCGCATTCCGTCGCCTGACCTATCGCTGACATGGCGTCTCGCCTTGCTGCTCGCTTTTTCATGTTCCTTATAAGGTCTTCTGCTGTAAGGTCATAAAAGGCCTCCGTGTCAGACCTTGCTGATGAATGCTTCGACTTTCCCTCGTCGGCCGATGTCTTTCGATCGCCATCCCTAGTCGTGGTGACCGTGTTCTTAGACTGGTTTGATCGACCTTCACTGCCATCTCGATGGGAACTCATACTGACGCCGAATTAAGTGCTTGCTAATGGATTGGAACGAGTGCGGTGAAGAGTGTGACAGTACTATCAGAACAAGTCACCGTCATTTATAGTTATCAGTGGTCTGACTGGTCAAACTCCAATCCTTTCATCGAGTAACATTGATAATCCATCTCCTCCTGATATTGAGAAATTTATGGGGAGTGACAAAGGATCATACAACTGGACGAGCTCCACACAAGCTTCGTTCGCAAAACGGGGAACCGGATGAGATATCAAAGAGAGGACGGCGTTTGAGGAGTCTTCTTTGGACATCGTCGTTTCAGTGAATTGAGGATAGAAGTCTCTTCCAAACTACCACGGAGATCAAGTGAGTGGATGGTGTGAGGGCTGCAATTCGCTGTGTGAAAGGTTGAATTGAGACCGTGACTCAGGCGACAAGCGCTCCGTCTTGGCCATAATGATGTCGGCAGCGGGTCGTTAGATCGTATGCATAGGTAACGAAGGTCCTGATCAGTCTGGTTACCATCCTTTTCGTTCACATCGCATGAAAGTACCTTGCATCAATGATCCTTGCCCTCCCGCTCTCGGACCTTGAACATGCCCCGCTTTCTCACTACATCGACCTGCTCCAGTGCCCATTGTCGACATGCGAGCAGCTCCTCGTCGGTCGTTGTCCATCGCCTTCGAGCTGATCATAGAGTTAGATGAGAGAGCATCCTGGGGTGAGCCCAGCTTCTCACCAATGATGGCCCAGCCTTTTGTAGATGGTATCCTCAAACTTTCCTTTTCCCACTCCCAGCCGCACAGTAATCCACAGTACCCAAGCCACATGATGTAAGCTTTATACCTGCTTTGTCCCTCTTCGAGACCTTCAGCAAAGTTTCCAGGTGGGCTGTGTGGATGGGCGGGAGGATTGAAATTGAGAGGATTGAAGGTGTCGTCGAGGGTGTGGAAACAACATGGAAGGGAGAGATACGGCACAGGAACCCGGGGCAGTAAAGAGAGGAGTGGTATCCACGGCTGCGAGGGGCAAGAACACGTCAGTGACAACACGCAAACCGTGTACGATAATGGTCTCACGGTGATCTCGTCTGCGTGGTTGCCGATGACGAAGCAGTCTGATACTATGGCACAAGAATCCCGCCCAGGCCACGACCCCGCCGTCCACTCTTCGACAGTCTGTGGGAACCACGAAGGGAAATCTATAGGCAGTTCGACCAGAGCAGACCTAGTCTCAGGAGGATATAAAGGCCAGGTCCTGCGAGCCCGCAGTTCGTATCCTTTGCCGCTATAGCCCTGTGAAGGCTATTCAGCACCATTTCAGTCACCATCAGGTGCTCTTACTTCCGAGGTCAAGACATGTACGAGGAGTCCATTACCCTGTCCTCGTCATTGTCAGCTCTCTGTGTATCAGCAGTGCAGCTAGGCGCTCACACAGCCAAGATCAATGAAGCCACCAGGCGGGCGGCCCCAAGAGTTCCACGGTTTTCCCTCGATAGATTTTGATGACTCCTGAGCGGGATACATGTCTCTCCACAGGAGCATGAGGAAAGCGGCGATCGCGACGTCCTGAGAACCCCAGTGAGATAGATCCGAAGACGGCAAGATAGGATCGGACGGTGAGGAGAGGTTTGAACTCTGGGCAATGTCGGCGGGCGACTCGCAAGGCATGCGGAGGACAAAAAGCCCGGGAAAGAGACGAGAGGGGGAAGGAAAAGCTCACCTTCCAGACGTGTCTCTTGACATCCTCAACTGTGGTTGACCCTGCCCTTGGAGCCCTCGAATCGAGGTGTCGATGTCGGTCTTTGAGCTCGAGATACAAGTCTTGAAATGACTCCTTCTGGACCAGGACCTAGACCGGGAGCATCAGCATTGCAATGACAGCCATGAGACTGGAGTACGCGACGAACATCGTGAGTGACTCGTTTCTGATATGGTGTGATACCGTTGTATCCGTGTTTGAAGACGCGTTCGAACAAAGCCAGCAGGGTACGATTTAGGCGATTCTGATCCACGGCACTGCTACTGGCAGTATGCATGGGCTTGGACCACCCCGGCTTGTGACTTGACGAGATCTCAGAATCCACACGAGAAGTATCAGAAGTATCGCTGGAAGTAGATTGCGAAAGGGGAGAGCGTCGTTTCGGAGGCGTCCTTCGTGCAGCCGCGAGCAGGAGATTGGGAGGTCGACTGAACTCAGCCGCTGTCGACACACCTGAGGGACCTCCGCCGTTGAGGGGTCCTGGTGGGGGTTCGCTACGCTTGGCGCTGTTCCGGGTGAAGAGTGAATGCAGAGGTAGATAAGCGACGTATATTCTGCCGCGAATAGGCAACGACGAGCCCTTCGATGTCGTCTCGCTCTCTATATGAGGGGCCAGCTCAGAGCCTTCGGCCGCGACTCGTGTCTCCTCCTCGTCCCTCTTTACGCCCTCGTACAGGAAAGCCAGCTTTGATACGACGGGGTGATAGAACGGGATTTCATCGGCCGATTTGACCTCTGGAATCATCATTACCATGCCCCATTCCGCGTCATGTCCATGATCTGCTTGGCCCGTAGTCGAGTCATGCTTTGCTGGGGAGCTTTCTGACTCGTATATCGCTATGCGTTGATCCAGCTTGCCATCCCGTTTGACTTGCTTCGGCATAAGTCGTAGGCGGAATTCCTCTCGACGACTGAGTCCGAGCCATACTGCTTCCTCATCGGAAGCACTGAATGTTTCTGCAATCGGGTTCGAGTGCACCTTCTCAGCCCCTTTCGGGTCATCCTGATTGATTTGCCGTGTCTGGGTGGCGATGGAAGGCGTTGGCTTAGGGGGTAATGGGTCCGCTCTCAATATCACCGTCGAGTTACGTTCAGGGTGCACAGCCAAGTCTTTGACGCCCGCGAAGAAGGCATGCCGAGAAAAGTGAACGTTGTGAGACAGACTAATGATCCAGGATTGGCCTGTATCTGCTTGCGAGCGAGTCAAGCGATCCGTCAGGGCTGAGTGCGGGAATGAGGAACTGGGATGGAAAGATGGACGTCGAAACGACTCCGGCTCCACCTGGAGCGAAGATGGACCAGCGCGCAAGGTAGCCACAGGGGCTAGTTGCTCATCTGGAAGTCTCGAAGGTCCTGCTATTGATGGACTTGCATGTTGCTTCATGAGTCCAAGGCAGACGGACAGAATAACAATGAAACCAGAATGGTCACTTTAAAAATTGACCTCACGTCCGGCCAGAATATAATGGCTCGTGGCTTTGAGTAGATGCATGGCAAGACATTGTCCGTGAGTCTATCAAGGGTGAGGACAGCTATGTTGTGCGACTGAGCCTCGGATACGGGTAGAAGTCGACGAGATCAGGCAGACACAGTCTTATATCATGACGCCGAAGACACCAGCGGCAGCGATGAGGAAGCCGATGAATGGGCCGGGTTTGCCGAACTGGCTAGGGGCAGCACCTTTGGTTGAGGTGACCTAGTTGAGTCAGCTCGCTGACTTCTCCCATACTATCCGCATGACTCACAGCATTGGGAATTCCTCCAGTTGCGTCTCCGGTGTATCCAGCGGGCAGGCTAGTGAGAGTGCTCTGAGAAGTACCAGTCGTCTGGACCGCGGCACCGTTTGTCAAGGTGATGGGGGGTACGCCGCTCGAGCTGGAAGGAACGGCATTGGCTACAGAGACACTGTTACTGTTGCTGCTGCTTCCTCCAGACGTGATGTTGAATTGATTTGACTGAGCCAGAATGGCGGCATTGTTTTGATCAGATGACATGAGGTTGATCTGGAATCCGTGTCCCTCTGGCCATGATCCAGATGGGTACGAGACGGTGGCTGAGTTTTGTTGGTTCGGGCTTCCAGTGTTTGTTGAGCTGGAGAGTGTCACGGGACCGTTGGGCAAGAAGCCTTGCTGCGAAGGGCGTCAGCAATGATGCAAGGAGAAAGACATATGGAGGCGGGAACAGGCAGACAGCTCCACTGAAGTGCTCTGATCCACGGATCAGGCTCTCGCGTCTCGAGGCCTGAGCAGAAAATTCTTGTTTTCTGAGGAATGTGACTCGAGCATTAGACGTGTTCGTACGACGTGTCTAGCATAGCTCAGAATCGTGACCGCGTATGTTGACACATCCATGACACTGCCAGACCCCTCGCTTCGCGATCTCACCACTTGCAACTCACCTGGTTGACGAGCTGGATCAAAAAGCTGCTAGGGTCTGTGGAGACTGCAGTCCAAGTCACGGTCTGAGATGAGGTGCCCGATTGCCATTCGGAGTATGCATTGGGAGAGTTGACCGAGATACCGTTGGCGAGGGCAGCGAGGATGATCGCAGAGATGACCGCCTGGGAGGATGAGTACATGGTGTATGACTGTGTGTTGTGGTTTGTTGAGGTGACAAAATCGACGCGTCAAGCAGGTGGTCTGTGTGGTGGTCAAAACGAGTGGACTGTGAATTGTCAGAAACGTTGAACAAAGGAGGAGAGAAGATGCTATATGACTCGAAGTATTTACCTCAGCAGATGAGCTGAACGAGATGCGATGGAGACAGTGTTCGAAGATGAGAATGCAGTGATGTTGAGAGAGAAGCAGAGCAGCGGGCGATACAGCTTTGAGGGATGGTTAGTGTGATTTTGTTATGATTTTTTTCCCTTTGACCCCTTGTTGACACACACACACACAACCCCTTTTTTAAGCCGCGCGTTTCAGATCTGCGCTGTTTCTGTCTGTGGCAGTGTGGCGATTGTTGTACAGCCACGATCAGCTCCCTAGGGCGGGGGGCAGCTTGAGCAGCAGCAGCAGTGTCAACCAGAACTCCACTGGCTCTCGCTCTCCAAGCGTTCACGCTCCTCACCTTGATCACATATCCACAGATCCAAGCCTTGGGCCGACGCGAAGGGGGGTCAAAAAGAAAAAAAAAGAAAACCTGTGATGATTGACCAACGTGGCGATGCGTGAGAATTGGAGCTCACAGGTCTTGGAGATCCGAAAATAGTTCGGACATTGAAAAATGGGGGGAAGGGAGGGGTAAAACTCCACCGCATGAGACGCGATGCTAGTCCCACTCAGAGGAGCTCTGAGATCCAACGTGGGACATGCTGTGACTCAAAAGAGTCGGTGCAAGACGCAGCGGGAGCAATTAGGCGGGCCTAGCTCCGGGCTCGCGGACCGGCTCGTGATTCGCCGAAAAGTGAAGCCGATGACTCGGACTCCCTCTAGATGGCACCTCCTTCAAGTCAAGAAGGAGTTTCAGAAGTTTGCCGATAGGTTGAAAAAGACACTCCTGACTTTGATTCTGGGAATAGGGAGCGGAAGACCTGTGTGTCAATCCCTCCTTCTCCTCTAACGAAGCTCCAATGAAGATCCGTTCTTGGAGGCAGTCAATCAGAACTTCGTATCGTAAATCGAGCTCTGATTTCGTTACATAACAAAGGACCGGTCACCGGCTTCTCCTCCGAGGTCAAAGTCGAGGGGAGATCGCCGATAATTTCTCGTTGATTGCTACAGTGCAATATACCCCGCTGTCCGTTATCCCTCCATTGACTCTTAGAACGATTGTCATTGATTGCGGGCTGACCTTTGAGACTACATAAGGTATAAAGCATCGGTGGCTACCCCACCTCATCCTCTTCTTGCGTCTGTGCCGTCACATAATATCAGATTCTAAGCTAATACAGGACTCACGGTGACACGATACAGTAGTTGAGCCTCAAGACTACTAAAGGTACCAAGATGAGCACTGCTCAGAGTGACAGAGCTGCGACCAATACTGACGCTCGAAAAATTTTGCATGGACATGAGGATCGAGACGGTCGACGACTATGCCTGAAAGCCGGTTTCCCCTACGATGAATCCGGGGAGAATTATTCTGCTAAGGGCCATATCCATGCCGGACTATGGGTTAAACCACTCAAGGACGACATCTTCGAAAGGAGTTCAACAAATTCAGGGCAGGAATTTTGGGAAGAATTGACAGGAGCTGAACTCGAGCTGCAACCAGCCGGAGAGTCCGAGACTTGGGACCTCAAGATCAAAGACTCGCCATCTGGACCAGAGATGTATACGGGGAAGGCACTTTGTTCGAACAAGGGGTTCAGATACACCTACGACTTCTTCAGCTCACTATACAACCATGACCAAGGGGTTGAAGACGCAGGCGAAAGCGACGAGGAGGACTCACAAGGAAGTCTCCTCGAGATCGCTCACAAGCTAGCAAGCGAGAATAAGGTGAAAGTCGTTGGGTAATTCGACAAATGGGAACCTTCTGTGGCAGACGACTTTACCCTGCTCACCAACGGTCCCGTCTTTTTGCAGAAAAGTACTGAGGCCAACAACACGTTCGCCAACGAGGATGGACTGGCTCTATCGCAAGCAACTGCCATCTACAAGCTTCACGTCGATCCACGAACGCTCACCGAGGCCTCAGTGCCGGATCCCGACTTGCGAGCCAAATTGTCAAACCTCACCTGGACCGCCGAGGGTAGCGCTCAAGTCAGCATGAGAGGATCTCTGGTTGATAACTAGGGAACGAATACAGACTGGAGGTGGGATGTGCTCACTTAAGCAGACTTTGACAGCCATTGTGCTTCGATTCGCTTCATTGACAACGCGGTCCTGATCAGACATGCATGAATGTTGAAAGACGGGAAATTGCAGTAATATTTGGCGGGCATGGAAGTTTGTCGGCCCTTACTGGCTCCTGCCTGTCAAGTGAGACGCCTTTGTGAGAGAAGGTGTGCGATACCCTTACAAAGACCTCAGTCCAGGTGTCCTTTTGTCTCCTTGCTACATGATCCACCATTCTGTAAATCTCGGAAGATCTACATTGAGGCATGCAACGAGATCAGGACTTCAAAACTTCGTTGTCCTAGAGTTTTTGCGGATAGACTTCGGATGGTATCTCTTTTGCTCTTCATCTTTGGCTTTGGACCCGGTGTCAGCACCACACAGTCAGAAGTATCACCACGACTCCGGGGATTGATTTTGTCGACGATTCTACCGATGGTTCCTCCATCTCGCCATCAGTATATGGCCTGGGTATCTGTCAGCATGAGACACATGAGGCTCTCACTTTCGGCCTCATGGGAAAGGATGGAAAGGATGGGCTCTGCTTTTGCTTGCGTATCACGTGCGAGACGTCGTGGCCACTCCTTTCAGAGGCCACCATTCATCCATTCTCAATTTGCCATAGCAGGGACATATTCAGAAGGCACACTGGGGAGGCAGGATAAGTCCTTCTCAGGCCTACTCTCACGCCACCACCATACTGTACCTTTCCAAGCCTCCACAGTACTGTGTAGTTCAATACAGCCTACCTGACTCTGCTTTACCAAGGCTATCAGAGGCACTCCACCAATCGTTCAGGTGATGACTTCTCAAGACTCCGTAGCTATGATTCCCAGAGAGGGCAGCAGTGACTCGTCGCCTGAGCATGAGCACCAGCAAAGAGACGACTATCAAGCATGCCTTCAACCTGGCTTTGTTTACAGCCAAACCGGGCAAGAATATTCTGCTGCAGCCCCTTACGTCCATGCGGGTTACTATCTTACGCCGGTCCCAAACGACCTCTTCGCCAAGCCGTCTGAGGAAGGTGGCCAGCACTTGTGGCAGCGAGTGATAGGGAATAATATCACTTTTCTCCCCGAGACCGATGAAGCGTGGAGCGTGGTCATAGATAATAAAGAGGCTGCTTCGAGCGGAATCTTCACTGGACGAGGGACCTGCGATAACAGGGAAATGAGATACCAGTACCATTTCTCCGCTTGGGCATGGGACAATGCAGAAGGTGGAAGCCAGCTCCAAAATGGACACACGGTCGATAATGCCGATTCCGATTTCCAAGACATGTTGGAGGACATTCATGACCTTGCCGACGAAGAGAAAGTGACGGTTGTCGGAGTGTTTGACAAGTGGGGATCAGAAGACAAAGACGATGTTTCGCTGATGACAAACAATCCTGTATTCCTGAAGAAGTGGCACGAACGCACAGGGTTATCCTCTTTCATAACTCAATCATATCTATCTAAAAGACATGCCCATTACCTGCTTAAGGTTGATTCAGCCTCGCTTACGGAGAGCTCGATACCGGACGCGGACCTGCGAAAGAAGATTTCGAGCTTTCGTTGGGGTGCAGAAGGCAAGGTCAACGTTTCCATTGAAGGGCACTTCGGGACCATCCAAGGCGATGTATGACCTTACCGGGAGACCTATGGGACAAAGTCTTGCATGCAATCCGGACACTCGGCCTCCTTGCGCAAGTACAGGATCATTACATATTCATATTCTAAATGCACTTGCGTCCGTTGCATATGTCGATTGACTTGGGGCATCCTGCAGCTTTCATGCATTTTCTACAAGGTGTGTTACAGTTACAGGAAAGAAATGCATCGATCTCGCCAGACCTGCAGTACCTCTACATACCATCCTGGATCGGTCGAAGGTCCATGCTTTATGGACATGGTGCTTATTGTTCTCCAGACCTCGCTAAGACCATCTTCGGCCGGGACAGGGCTTCTTATCCGTCCCTCATAACAAGGTGAATCACATTGCAGCTACAGCTCACAGCTCAATCGAACTCCCCTGAGATACTTTGTGAGAGGTCAGGGAGAACACTCCAGGCGATCCCCGTGAATCAAAGCGTCGGGGACAGTCTTCCGTCCTTTCTCTTCAATGCGTGGGAGGGCATTTCACATCCTTTCATGCGGTGACGCTTGAGCTCACTGAAAGGATCTCAGACCCAGTGTACCACCCCACAAACCAAATATCACACGTTCCCCATTTCGCTCTACTTGACATCGACACAGACTACTTATTTCGACCGTCTGTATTCTCCATCATTGATCGCAACGTCTCCGCAAGACATCCTACGAAACTCCTACCAGTAGCATGAGTGAAATGACACCCTTCTCGGCAGCTTCGGCCAGCCATGTGTCCATTCCAGTGACTTTGAAGGTCGATGAATCCGATCCAATAGCCGGGGCGGATGAGAACGCTCGACAGGAATTGTGCAAATCGATCTTCTTGGGAGCTGTCCCATGTACTGTGGCAACGAATCATGGCCAACAATGGTTCGTAGAAGCGACACTTCCTCAGAGTCGAACATTCCATGGAACAGACGCTGAAGCGGACGATGGGATGTTTGATTATCGATATAACTTCGGTGCCACTGTATCCGACATCTGTCATCAGACAGACAGGGCTCTCGTTGATCGTATTCATGCACTTTCGACTCAGAATAAGATCTCCGTGTACGCCAAGTTGGTGGATTTTACTCCTGCAACAGATACAGAGCCTGGATATATTCTGCCACAAGCGGACGTCAGCGTCCAGTTGAGTCAGAATGCTGATGACGAAGTGCAAATCCAATCAAGTCCTGGCCAAAGATTCATCGCCAGCAACTCAAGGTGGACCCTCAGCGTGGTTCCATCATCGATCTCAGATGATCTCGGCTTGGAGGAGGCAGACAGGGCGCGCCTCCAAGCCTTTACATGGGATGGTCTCGGCACCATCATGGTCGGCCTCGAAGGGACAGACAGAGTGCCATTGGACATGGACGTGTCTGACGCCGGATCGGCGGATCAACTGCAGAGGAAACGTCAGAGGACAGAGTGACCTAGACTGCTCTCTGCTACCAGGACATACGGAGAGATGATACGTATTACATAGACGATGATGCACCATAGAAAGACGAGAGGTTCCGAAACACAGCCGGCCTGCTGGAGCGTTCCCAACCTGAGTGTCTCATACAGTACATTACTTGCGCCACATCAGATGCCTCAGGTTCCAGAGGAGAGCCCTGTGACCTATTCAAATCCGTCATTGCCACCTGCAGTCAGATCCTCTCACCCCTGGCCCGTGGGAAGAATTTTGCACATCCTTTCATGCACCCTTCCTCTCAGTACTCGCACGACATCTCACGGCTCGCCACGGGAACTCACAGGGCATAGATAAGGCTGATAAGCTTTCCTATCTCGCCCTTCTTCCCACCCTGAGGTACATATCTTCGCCACTAGCCATTACGATATCTTATCGTAGCCTCCTAAGAAATCTCGAGTAAGTCCTGCGAACTATAATGTCGTGTTAACAGCAGAACAATGAGCGAACTAGCGGGAAGCTCCATCAACGCCACAAATGACGGTTCCCTGGCAATGCAACTATTGACTGCGAAGGACGATCCTATTGCCAGAGCCACCGAGACGCAGCGCCGAGAACTCTTGGAGACGCTCATCTTTTCAAAGCCTATTCGATGCACCTCTTCGGGACTGGACAGTGGCAGGTGGACCGTGTCGTGCACTTTCCCCGAACAAGGGACCTTAAGCGGAGCGGACGCCAGTGAGAAGTCCAACGAGTTTGAGTATCGTTATACGTTTTGTGCCACACTTGACGACGAGGAACCCGAAGACGAAGATCAGAAGAAGCGCCTGAGAGAAATTCACGATTGTCCCGAAGCACTGACCCCATCATCGTGATAGCTGAGCTGGACCCCTTCAAGAAAGAGCTTCAAGATACCTCAGTTTCACCTCGACTTAACGGAAACCTTTCTGTTCGAGCGAGGAAGCAAGATGACGCTGTCCACATTGAGTCTAGCGCAGATCAGGGACTCTTTGACACGGAGATCTTCTGGAAGCTCCGCGTGGATCCGACAGGTCCCCATGATTCATTGGACGAGACGATCGAGGAGAGCATCTTGGGGTCCGAGTGGTCGGCTCTTAGCAGCAACATCGAGACGAAGATCGAGGGTAAAGGTATCTCCATGGATGACTCAAACTCAGAGGCGGACTAGACGGAAGTCCAAGTCTATGTCAGGCTGCTGCAGTACCGACGAGCTTTTTGTGTCATGAATGAATGCAGGAATGATTTGCCGCAAGCCTAGGTTGACAACAATAAATATGCTCAAATCTCTTCTTCTTGATCATCATCCTGCTCGATGAGTTTGGCGTATTCCTCATAGCTTCCAAACACAGGCATCTCCTTTCTCTTCTTCTTCTGTTCCCTTCTTTCCTTGTTGCGCTTTCTCTTGCCTGCAGCCATACTCTCCTCTACCTCTGGCTCAGGGGACGGAGAGACCTCGAGCTCGATGTTGGGCATCTCGTCATCGGAGATAATATCGTCATCCTCATCGGCGAAGTCGGGGAACGGCGAGTCCGAATCAGAATCGTTCACATCATCCTCGGCCATGTCACCATCTGAATCGTCGTCGCCCAATTCCACAGCGGCGTCCTCATCGTCCTCATCGTCTTCGTCGGCTCCGTTGACTTCGTCCACCGAAGCAGACTCATCGTCCAAAATATCGCTGCTGTCATCGCTGAGATCCATACCGTCGTCTGCTCCTGGCATGGAAGCTTGCATGGCCTGCCAGTCGGTGTCAGCTCAGTGATGTCGCATTCTTACGAGAGTCGGACAACTGACCTTCCAGACTTCGTCCTCCTCCGCATCGCTATCCAGAGCACTTCCCATCTCGCTCTCGTCATCCTTACCCTCCGACTTGGCTGCCCTTGACCCCTCGGCCTTGGCCAACTTGGAAGCAAAGAATTGGTGGAAGAACAATTGATCCGCCGGAACGTCTTCAATCTTCTTTCTCCAGAATGCTTCCGAATTGACGAAACCAGCATCGCCGATTCGAGCACCTTTGTTCTTAACCACCAAACCAGATTTGTCAGACGCGGCGGCGGGCTGCATGATGCTGGCCCCTTTTGGTTGTAGATTCTTTTTAGGATTCCGATAGACGAATCTATCCAAAAATGAGACCAGGGTATTAAGAGAGATATCAGATGATCCAGTGATCGGCTCCGAGTTGAGGAGTTGCGATGCCTGCAGCGAGATGGAAGGGTGGAAATGATCAAGAAAAGGGAGCTGCAAAGATTGTAAGCCTTACCAGAGTGACAACAGTCGTTCCACTTACAAGCTCCCACAGACAGCTGGCATCTGCATTTGCAAATCGTGGCTCACGTTTCTTACCGTCGTATGCTCGTGAACCGGATGCTTGAGCAGGGGCACCAGTGACATCGTCCTGCGGACGATCTGCATCTACGAAGTGTTCCACTTCATCGTCTTCAGGCTCAGATAGCATGCGCCGGAGTCCAGGAACGGTGGAGAAGAGCTGAGTACGGTAAGGAGAGATCAAGAGGAGAAAAGTTCCAACTCACATCACCCAGAAGATAGAGCGCTCCGCATACGAATGGAGGCTGCTGCATACCCAACATCTGCAATAGTCTTTTGACGAACGCCATGGCCCTGGCTTGATCCGAGTCCGACTTGACGGCCTTGAAGAACAGGTTGAGGTACATCGCCTGCTTTGAAGAAGTCACTAATCTTTCATCGAAAAGCGAGTCGTACAAAGTTCGGTAAAATCGATCGACGACGGATGTTTGAGTGCGAGAGACGGTGAAGATGAGATTGAGGGCCTGAATAGAGGTATTGAAGGTGCCTCTGTGAGTGATCTTGAACAGCGTGTCCATGTATTTGGACAATCTAAAAGGTATTAGTACGGCGGATCTGTGTCGTGTCAGACTCACAAATCCTCGTCCAACTTGGCATAAGGTAGAGCTCGATTGATGCCTGTCAGAACTGCGGCTACAAGCTTGGCCTCGCCAGCATCGACCAGAGCTTCTTCCTCCAGAGCACTTTTCCGTCCACCCTTTGGCTTGGCTCCCTTTCGTCGCCCTCTCCACTTTTCGACTTTGCCTGCAACCTTTTCGATCCCGGCAGGTCCTTGCTCACCGACCGCTTGTTCGGATGCACCAAGAATCTCTCTGAATATCTCAAAGTACAATTCGACCATTCGAGCAGCCGTCTGTTGATCTTTCGAAGTAAGGGTAATTTGATTTAGGGTGATGATCCCGTAGTATCTGGCATGACTGGTACCCTCATGCTTGGCCGCTGGTGCCTTGCCTTTCTCATCGTCGAATCGTATATGAGTCTTAATCGGCTCTTGTCCGGAAGAAGGCTTAAGAATCAGAGAAGAGACCTCCCGGGCAACGACCGCCTTCATCGCTGGATGGACCTGCAAGAGCTGAAGAATGTGGTGTGAGGTTTTAGAAGCGACAGAGCGGTCCATGTCTCCAAGTTTGTTAACGCCTAGGCGAAGCAGATTTTGCTCTTGCTCCGCATTGCCAGCGAGAAGCTGGAAGATGATGTGCAGAGCCTGCGTCCGGATATACGGCAAGGTGTCGTGAGAGAGCATCTAAGAAGGACGTATTGTCAGTAATTGACAAGTAACGCGTGGACAAGACTCGCCTCGAGCACTTGCAGAAGACTGAAGAACCATTTCTTGAGGAAATCCTCGAAGGCAAAGAGGAGCAGATGGCGGTCAGAGATCTCAGGATGACCGAGCAGTGGCTGATCGGCGAAATACCTGGGTGTGACTGTCAGAAAAGAACGCATGTCATAGCCCTGCCTCCACGCTCACTTGAGTTTACCAGATTCCTTTCCGCCTCCTGAAATCCACCAATCTGCCAGAGCCTTCAATACAGCGATCCTCTGATCCTTATTCCCTCCACCTCCTAGACCATCCTCTTTCCATCCGGCCATATTTCTCAACCTGTTGAGCTCCTTGACGGCGTGCATAGGACTTTCGCGGACAAGAAGAACCAAGGCTGAGAGTTTGTCCTGGTGCGTACCCGATTGTAGGATTTGAGAGATGAAAGCAGCGTCCGAAGAAGACGAAGCACGGTTGAGGGGAGGGAGGTTATCAAGGAAGCCTTGCGCCTTTTGACGTAAAGTGTTTAGTTTTCCGAGCGGTATCGGCCCAAGGGGTTTCGTCAATGGTGGTGGAGGAGTGAATAGCGATGACCAAGATGTAGCAGCGGGAACTCTCTGGATGATGGATCAGCCTCAGTCAACGCAAAATGACTCCAGCTCACCGTCGCGGACGACTGGTCCACATCTACAGGTTTCCCCAACACACCCTTGTTACTTGACGTGACCTTCTCGACCGTAGGCGCTGCCATTTTGGGCTCGCTGACTCTGCGCTCCCTGGGAGCATTCGGTGCGAGCGCCACCATTTCGTTTTCTAGCAGGTCTTCAGCGTCTTCCTCTTCCTCCTCGTCATCATCATCATCATCCTCCTCGTCCTCATCCTCCTCTGCACTCTCAACATCATCGTCATCAGACTCATTGACGTCTGAGTCATCTTCGTCCTTGTCGGCAACTGTATCGGACACTGGCGCGACATTCGGAAGATCAAGAGTTTTCATGAACTCGCCCAACGCCTTCCGTAGCGACTTCTGAAAGGATGTCAGATTAAAAGTACCACAGGCAGAGCTTGAACATACCTCGTCTGCCGCTGCTTCCTTGCCTTGGCTCTTAGAGCTGTTGTTCACTTCAAAATCGTCCTCCTCATCGATGCCCTCGATAAGTTTCAAATCCTCTTCATCTCCTCCAAGATCCTTGACGGCCTGACGAAGTTCTGCAGAGACTTGACTTGCTTTGCCCCCCGACGAAGAAGGGGCAGGTGCCGCATCTGCCGGTCCTGAGCTCTTGACGTTTTTCCGAGCTGCCTTGTAGCCCGTGTCACCGTTCTTTCTGCCCATCCTCGGTGCGACTGTGTCCCGTCACGATAGCAAAGTCAATGTCCAAGCCATTCTCGATCACTCAATCGCTGCTCTTTTCAACTTTTTAGGATAAAATGCGCCATCAATCAGACTGGTATAAATATTCGCAGCGGCGTAACAGCTCAGTCCACGTTCAGTCCCCATCCGTTCATCACTTGACCGTTTCATCGCAAACGCATACCTCACGATGCCTCTTTCAATCAGACCCATGGTGTCAGCGCCATTAGGTGAGGACAGTTGACCAACGTCTCGATTCAATTGAGATCTGACACTCCACAGCGAGCTGTTGTACAATCTTCTCAATCTTCGGCGTGGTACTTCTTTGCGGTACGACCTTTAGTCCTCGATCACCCGCTTTCACACTGACACGTCCCGCATGCAGTCTTGGGAGCCCTCTATTCTCGCCATGTGGAAGCTCTGACAGGCTCGACGAAAGACGCGAGTGATCCCGACAAGGTTGCTAGGGCCTGCTATGGCGCGGCCATCATTTATGCAGCCTTCACCGTCTTCTGCGGAATGCAAGTGAGTCGGGCGTCGCAGTGCCGGACTGTATCTCTCGGCCTAGGAGGACTGGTCGTGCGTGTACTGACACACCTACGCAGATGATGGTCCATCAGCGTTATCCGAGAGGAGTCCAGCTATAGTGATTGTCTATGGGCTGGAGGACCCCGGACACATTCATGTACTTCTCATTGTATCTCTATTTAGACACTTAGCATGGCATCACTGCGCTTCTCGAGCAGGACAGGACTGAAAACACTAGCATACCCTACTGCACTGAGCCTTCTATGAGCTCGCACGAGACGATCGAGCTGATCATGCGGATCATGATCAGGGTTAGGGTCACGTGATTCTAACCGGCAAAAAGTTCAATATGATCTGCCGCTGAAATGCCCTTGAACATTCATTTTGTATCGACTGTACTGCCCAGCCTCATAACCTCCCAGATACTAACCCAAGATGCCTCCCCCACGACAGGTCGTTGAAGGAGGCTCAACTTTTGATAAGAGTGAGTGAGACTGGTGTTAGGTGAGCCCGCTTACTGACGTTGTGAAAGTGAAAATGGGTGCTTTGATGGGAAGTGAGCGGCTCCGGTGAAAGATGCATGGATGTGTCCTAATACTATCTAGCTGGTGTTGGTCTCACCATAGGTCTGATCTTTGGTCTGACTTCAATCATTCGGTGAGCTGCTTGTCGAGTCGCGAAAGACCATGACAGCTGACTCTGGCCGTAGCGCTGGACCGGGACCGAGGGGGACTGTCGCAACGCTCTCGCAATACATGCTTTCTTCCGCTGCTACATTTGGTTTCTTCATGTCCATCGGATCGGTGAGGTCTAACGTCAGGATGCGAACCTAACTCAATTTTTCAGGTCATCCGGACAGAATCTAAATACTCAGCTTTGCAATATGCTCAGACTCCGGCATCATTAGCCTGGGCAAGGATGGCGCAGAGGCAGAAGGTTGAGATTGAGGTCAAGGAAAAGCGAGAATGAACGAGGTATGGTCGACTTCGGATCTGTATAGTATGAGCGCTGCGCGGCAATGTCATTGCAATCCCCTGTCTGTGGTGGAACCAAGAAAGGAGACCGGTGTTAATTGATGCAGTCACACGACAAAGCCCACAAAAAAGTGGATACATAGGCAAGATCGAATATCGTCAAGTGCTCATTCAACGCAACGCAACGCAAAGTTCTATGGCGCAAGCGATGATCAACCCGCTTCCCATGCCAGACTCGTCAAATCCGCTATGGACACTCGAAGGTCTTCCCGTGCCGTATGCCAGGACGTTCCGCTCGGAGCACAGGACATCTTTTCGCCCCCTGCGTCAGCAAGAGCGACATCGGCACTCCCGATAGAGCCTGCTTTTTTTTCAATCGAAACGCTGACCGAATGACTAATGGTCTTGTCGGCTGGCGGGCTCGCCTCGTTCAAGTCCTCCTCGAGGTTGGTGATGTGCAAGATCTCCTCGTTACCCGCCGAAGACGACTGCTTCATTGACCCTGCATCGACGCTATCGTGCTCACTTGATGGAATAGAGGTGACGACTGAGCTGAGATCAAGGTCTGACATGTTTCGCATCCGCTTGAAAGCGCTCTTGAGCTCGGAGAGACTCTGTTTCATCTTCGCTGCCAAGCTTGCTGATGAGTCGGTGGATGCGAGATCTGACAACGTGCCACTGGATTCTGCGGTGGAAAGGATCGCTCTTTGTGACTCGGAGGGCGGCATCGAAGATGTCAAATGAGGATTCTTTGACTGTATTGGAGTCACCGCGGGAAGATCGAAGGGTTCCCTCAAAGCAATTGAGTGACGGATCCTGGCTTGGTCTCTCAACATTGTATCTGGAGGAGGCACAATCAATGGACTTCTACATGGATCCAGGATCGAAACGTCATCTCGGGCCGGCGAAAGAGCCACCGTCAAAGAGGAGACTGCGGCGGCAGCATTGGGCTGCACGAGGTTGGCTATCACTGCTGGGCGAGGGGGAGACGTTTCGACAGAAAGCGTTGGTGTCTTGGTGATCTCGACCGTATCTTGCACCTCGCTTAATTCCAGCACCTCCGAGTGTTTCCTGTTTGCGAGATCGGTATCGCTCATGACTGATGCGTCTTCTGGTCTCTGAAAAAGAGCAGACACCCGGATTATCGACCCATTCCTACCGGTTCCCATCTCCAAGATAGACCTCCGTGCTAGACCTGCTGAGTCTCTGCGTCCCACCGAAAACTTGCTCCTCATGCTTCTCATTTGGGGCATGGCAAATCGACTGGTCTTCCTCTCATCGCTCGCACTTCCGGCGTGAAGTTTTTGACTTATACTGTCGTCAGAAGCCTCTGAGTAGACTGCTGTCCATCGGCGGTTATCAGGCGCGACCATCTCCGAAGGCATTGACTGCTCTTGAGCAGAAGGTCTGAAGAGGCTTTGACGCGAGAGTGATCGAACGAGGTTGTCTATCGACATCTTTCGTCTGACCCGTGTTGTTCCAGCCTTGACATCCTGTGGGACCACAGGCGGCACGGATTGCGAAGGTGGAGGGGATTCCGCAGGGATGACAAGCGAACTTATGGTTCCTCGTCGGGATCGAGACTTTGAATGACTCCAGGTATCAAAGAGGGACAGAGATGTTCTCGAGATGGATCTGGGAATGCCTCTCCATGTGGATGTATTATTTTGATGGCCAACTGGCCCATCCTTGGCCGAGGACGCCTCTTTTTGGAGAGCTTCGTGGATTTGGATGGCAGATGCCAGAGTAGGTATCTCCCGTCTTGAGCTGTGAGAGCACGAGAGACCATTGGGTGTCGTAGGTTGTCGTGGGGCAGATGAATCCAACGGGTTCGCGTGGGATGAGGCGCCAATGAACTGCCCGAATTCGCCAACACCGTGAGAGGCATCTCGTCCGGGCATTCCGCTGTAATCAGAAAAAGGCAATTTGAAGGGACTGTTCCCGAAACCCATGGTCGAGAGTGATACATGAGATGGCAAGCCAGCAGTAGCAGGTGTTTCAGGGACGTGAGATCGCTCTTGAATAGGATACCGTCCATCTAATCGAGAGATGTACGTTTGAGGTTCGTAAGGGGGTATAGTACATGATGAGGTAGAAGTGGCGCCACTTGGTCCTCTGCCCAGCCTTGTAGCTGGCAGAGGTATCTCTGAGGGTTCGAGAGGAATGGGACCGGAGAGAGTGAGGTCGTGAAGAGAGTGTGAGTTTGATGTTTCTTCCTCAGCGCTAGCTGCTGGTTTGGCGAAAGGGTTGAGGAAGGAGAAGATCTTGGAGCGTCTTTCGGAACGCATGATGGGTTTCTCGGACGAAGTATAGGGAAACTGTTACCAGTTTTCGCCCAAAAAATTGACACCGTAGAAGTAACGATGTGACTGTCAAGATCAGCAATCTGATCAAAGGTTGCAGCGAGAACCTCAGCATGCATGTCGCCTCCTCAACCTCTCGCCATGTTTTGCAAGTAAGGATCGACAGGGTAGAGTCAGGAGATGGAGAGGAGGCTGCCAACAGGAACCAGCCACGATGCCACTCACATGATATAGAGCCAAAAAACAAAGGACAACGAAAAATTATACCAACCTGATAGCTGGGCTGAAGCTGAACCGCTCCCTGCTCCTCTTGTATAGACACGCTCATCCCACGCAGCGGAGCTACTGCTTTCAGTGCCTCTGTCCTGACACATTATCATCGCCTTCACCAAGTTGTTGATATCCTGCTGACGAGCTGGCTCGTTGACCAAGCAAAGGTCGGAAATGGTTCGTTGACGTGTTGTTTGCTGGCGCATCGGTCCCGTTTGGAACCGCTTGCCTCTGTTCGTTCCTGTGACGAGCTGCCTCGAGTGCTTCAGTCTCGCGTCGAGCTCGGCGGCGATCATAAAAGTAGGTCAGGAGCCAGACTAAGGGCATGATGGAACAGGTATATGGTGGTTGATGATGAGTGGACAGGTGTTCAACGGAGTGACAAAAAGGCATTGAAGTGGTCGTCAACGACGCAGACCCTCGCCCCTCAGGCTCGCTTAGCCTTTTAGTGAACATCCTTTAGGTCCACCTCTGCATGAATGCATGACCTGCTCCTCACTGCGTCGCTGCTTGACGACTGCATCATGACTAAGAGATGCTGGTTCATTATACAACTCATCCCAGTCCATCTCAAGCATCTGCATTCGTAGCTCGTTGCTGCTGGCGTGATCGATTCGTCCGCAATCTTGTCACTGCACCAAACCCTGTCAGCTTTCTTCGAGACGACATAGCGCGCTTCGACTCACTCTCACGAGACAGATCAGAGGGTGACATGTAACCTTCCGGAAAGACGGAAGTCATCTAAGAACGTGATGAGCCCTGTTCGTCGTATGGCCCACCGCTCTCACCTTTTTGTACAGTCTCGCCCGCAGAGTTTTTTCGCTAGTCTCGCTGGGCGCCTTGGCAACATTTAGCTTGAACTCTTTCCTGTAGAGCTGGTCAGCAAACTGGAAAGCGTTTTCCATGTGTTTTGGAGCACCTGGCAAGGTCCATGAAATTTCTCATCTCCGCGCAATTGTCAATCAATTGTCGGAACAACTCTTTCATCTCTGGTGTGAAATTGAATCGTTTCATGGGTTCTCGTGGCTTCTCCTCAAAATTTGCTGCTGCGTTGTCATCGTCCACGTCGACTACCGTGGGGTCAGATGCAGATGGGTTGGGTGTCTGATGAGCCTGATATAGCGTCAGTCGCATGTAAAACAGGAGACATTATATCTTACTGTATCCACTTCATTCGGGTGCTTCTCCTCTGAGCAAGGTGGTCAGCAAGAGCGCGGCATGCATGTGATGACTCACCCCATTCTTGCACATCCTCTTTCCACTTTGCCATAGCCGCTTCGTGCTTCTCAAACTCGCTCTCCTTGTTCGCTTCGACGAGCTTGCCCATTTCCCTCACGCCAAGTTCTTCACATTCTTCGAGCCATTCCCAGTATTTGGTCATACACTGCTTGTACGCGAGTTTCTGCGAATGATCAGTGTGTTTTGCATGACATTGGCTCACGTGCAGAGTGAAGTAGTTATATGGCAGCGCACTAGGGAGAGCCTTGTGGATACTATCGTCCCGTACACCAAACATGTCGTGCTTAATCGCTGCCATGCAAACAAGACGCAGCGGTTCTCGAAGGTGGTCTGGAAACTTGGTTTTGTCCCAGCTCCATGGATCTACGCAAGTTAGTTGGCTGCAGATGCATGACCCCCGAGTTCGTACGCACGCTTTAAGCTCTGCTCGCGCAACTCCATTAATCGGTGACGAACTTCATTAGGGAATCCAGGGAAAGGTGGTAGGAACTGGAATTTGTCAGCTACCATCGACACGACTGAAAATCACCTGTGGGTCCTTCGCGGCGCTCTTGAACATCGTCCGATCAATAGGAACGGGCTCCAGAGGGAATTCGGGGAGAGTAGGCGCTAGATGGTCTCAGTGGTATGGACAGCAAGGAACACAAGCAGACTGACATTTCTGAGGCTTGCCTGAGGGTCTTGACGGGCCAGCCTCGTCATCACTATCAATTTGGATCGGCGATGTCAGAGTTCCGATGCCTTGAGATGCATGATGAGGTTGCGAGGCAACGAGGGAAGAAAGCGGTGGTCTCGGGGCGGCACTAGCGACCGGTCCAGTTTTTGGGCGTTTAGGTGCCGAACGAGCAGGTCGACGGGGTGCCTCCCTGGAGAGTAGGACCGGTCAACCCAAGTCCGAGAATGAAAGTCTGTCGCACTTACTCTTCCAGAAGCTCCAGAGGTCCAGCCTGGACGAAGAAGCCTTCTTTCTTCGGTCTAGCAATATGAGTCGGAGCGTCAATCGTGAGCTCGGAGTCGTCGATGAATTCGTCTCCCAAGTCATATTTATCCAATGGTTTTCTCTTCTTGGGCTGTGTTGACTTCACTTCAGCTGAAGAAAGTTCTCGACACTTCAACAATACTCACCCTGGCCTTCTGCGTTGAAGGACCTCCATATTTTTCCTCCAACCTTCTCGCGATCTCCTCTGCATCCCCGTCCATGCTCAGGAGAGCTCCTAGACCTGAACCAGATCCAGCAATGCCTGGACCCGAGCCATTTGAAGGCGGAGGGATATCCCCTAAGCCAAGTCCAGTCGATCCTTCATTTGACTCTGCTGCTCCTGGCATCGGCGCGAGATCTCCATCGACGTCCATCCCATCACCATCTTCATCACCATCTTTCCAACCTTCAAGCATGCCCTGCTCTCTTGCGTCGTCCAAGATATTCCATTCCAAGGTCTCTCCCTCTGCCATCTTCAGTGGCCTTTCAAGTCGGATCGTCTTCATGGGGGGAGGTGGAGGTGGTAGATCCTCAGAGACAGCCCGGATCCTCACTCGCTTCTTTGGAACTAGAACATTAGTTGCTTCCCCTTCGGCTCCCGCAACTGAAGCTCCAGCGTCGCCATCCGTGCCTTCGACCTTGACATTTCCCCCGCCGTTCGCAGCTTCAGACAGATCCGCTCCAGTGATCTCAAAGTCGTTCTGAAAAGTCAGAGAGGCAACACACGATACCGACTCACCTCCTCCCCTTCAAGGTCTTCACTCTTATCGTCTCCTTCACTGTCGTCATCCTCCTCATCTTCTTCTTCCTCCTCCTCCTCTTCCTCCTCTTCTTCCTCCTCTTCTTCTCCCGCTTCCTCCTCATCTTCGCCCTCTACGACCTCTTCAACTTCGTCATCCACATCATTCTCGTCATCTTCAGGCATATCCCCTTCCACCTCTTCCATGGAAGCGTCTCCTGCAGCGCCTTGACCTGGTCGAACGGTGTTGCTAGAGCTCCCACTAGATTGCGTACTCAAGATCCCATTGACTTGAGACGCGTTGCTCGTTTGGGTGGTCATGGGTAACGTTGAGGGGCCCGCGGGACCAGAGTTCGACAGAGAAGAGATATCAATTCGTTGCCTGCTGGGAGACCCAGGATGCGATTGGGATGCCGAGTTGATGGTATCTACGCGTGTGCCAGTCATGGGCGAACGATGGGCTCTTACTGGCGAAGCGGGGCTAGGACGAAGAGGTGAGCTCTGCCTCAGAGGCGAGCCCTGTCGCAAAGCTGGAGATGGCTAGAGCATTGAGCGTCAGTACTCGTCTTCTTGCATATTCAAGTGCTTTCTCACCTTATTTGCTGAGACTTTTGGACTCGCGCGATGCTCGCTGGACGCCCCGCTCGGGAATGCCTGAGGCATAGGGAGGGGTCTAGACGATTGACCATTCATAGGGCCAGACATGCTGCCACATGAGATTGTGGTCAATCTTGTTCCGTGCGATCGCAATGAACGCGGGTGACAGTACCATACACGTTCATCAATCGATGACAATGTGTTGACCGCACCGATAGACGGATTGAACTTGAGACCCCCGACTGGTGACACACGGGCAGCTGATGGAGGTTTTCTCCAACGCAGTCAAGGCGGTGAGAGGTTCCTCAGCAGGGTCTGACTCTGACCCTGCTAATTGCAATCAAGCTGTATACAGCTCCGTCCAGGTGATGGTTGAATGCGTGCTCGCTATCACGAACGGGATGTTCGATGTCGCGACAACTGAGGGACGGAATCAAATTTTCGGATGATGACGATGAGGATGGTGATCAGTTTTAGCACGGGGTCCTAAACACTGTCATTCATCTGTCTTCAATCCCTGCTATATAGACACCTTGACCTTGCAATCATGAAGGGAAGAATAGCTGCTCTGTGGATCGCCGTGGCTCCATTCGTTCTACCTGTTGTCCTAGCTGGAGACGCATCATTTGGTCAAGCATGCGAGTGAGTCGCGTCGTCCCCAACAGCCCAGAATCTATTTTATTTCTGGCTGGAAAGAGGCTGATGTAGACTTTGCTGATCTTTCGCTGACTTGACTTGTCTCGTAGTCAATCTCACACGCATCTAGATACAAACACATGGAATCTGGTCACGGACTGTGATGCTACGACTTGGTGTGCCGACAATTCGACCTGCGCCAACAAAGGTTGTAGAAAAGATATTGTAAGCTGTGCAGGTGTTCAGGTGGGACCATGGCTCATCGTGATACCCAGTATCCATTCGGATACAACAATGTGCCTTTCGATAAACTCCCACCACTATGCCCGACAGGTCAATTGTGAGCTCTGTCCTCCATATTCTGGCGGGATCATGCTGATGCTCTGATCTTTCCAGCTGTCCCGATGAAGGCAGTTATTGTCTCCCACAAGAAGCAGTTGGAGATCCATGTCAGAAGGACAGAGATGGTCAGTCACCAGAATGACTCCAGACTCATCTCTTGCACAGACGAGTGTCAGCCTCCCCCAAACTACAAGCAGTTGGCCGGATTCTTGAACGTGAACGGATCCATTTGTCTGAACTTTACATGCTTGTGAGCATTTGATCTCGACCTGTCGTATGGGCGGGCTGACGTCGACTCAGCTACGCCAACGTGACCCTTGGCCAGAACTGTAAGATCGACAACACTGTCTACACTGCATATACCGCCGCGGGCTCCGAATACGCGTTCATCGTCTCGCGGGACAAGTGGGTCGAGGTTGAATTCAAACGCTGACGATGGTCAGCTGTGCAAACGGACTGTATTGTGATGGCACGGCGCTCAAATGCTTCAGGGCAAAGTTGGAGGGTGCTGCGTGTGCTGGAAACAAAGAGTGAGCCGGTCGACGCTTCAATTGACTGACAACCTCGGAGATGCCTGACTTACAACTGTCAAAACAATAAATGCGATCGAGCTGCGTATGAGCCTATACATCCGCCAGCATGGGTCTTCGTCGTCGTTGGTCTGGGCATAGTCGCCTGTGAGTCAGTTCCTTCTCCCAACTGTGCATTCGCTTAGCTGCTCATCAGTGATCGTCGTCACTATGGTGTCTCTTTGGTTCACGCATCGACGGACGCGACGCGAAAATCAAGTCAAGCTGGAACAATACTACAACGAGCAGATAGCATATCGGCAGAGTATCATGACAATGAGCAACGCCAAAAAGTCACTCATGAGCTTGCCAGCAGACACCGTGAGTCCTCTCATCGGCTTCGGCCCAGAAAGCTGACTCGCCGTTTCAGCCGGCCGACGTCGCTCGACGGAGTGTGTTTGGAGATGACTACAGCAGCTTCATGCCGCCGAATATGCGCCGAGAGGACTCTACCGCGGCTTGGTCATCAGCTGCGAGTGATGTCCATCTTTTGGAACCCAACACTACACGACGCAGGATATAGTCTGTGGCGTTACTGCTGAAACCGGACTGCTTTGAGGTTCTGGTATGGCCGAATCGGACAATGGCAGAGATGAGATACGAGACGACTTGGACATTTTCAGCAACGATTGTATCCATGATACCGGATGTTATGCAATGTGTGCTTTGATATAAAATGATATGCCAAGAGGAGATGGTGAAATGCTTTAACATCCGGCCGATTCTCACTGGGCAGCGGCCAACATATCCTCGACGTTGATGAACTTTTCACGCTCCTTACCGAGACGTCTACCTCTTTCCACCTCTGCCTGGTCGATCTTGTGCCACCTATCGAGTGAGATGACCGAGCCATCCCGGAGCCCTCGCTCGACAGGTTCCGGTACGCCGTGCTCGGGCAATGAATTGGCTCCTATCGTGCCAGGCATAGGAGGGACAGTTGAAGAATGTCCAAAATGATCGTCTAGAACCAAAGAAGAGAGACGGTACGCATCGTTCATAGTCGATGCAATGACCCCGACTGGACCTCGAGCGACCCAGCCCGCGGCATATAGCCCAGGTATCTGTCGGAGGTCTCAGCAGATGCCCTAAAAGCATAGCATATAGGTCTCTCACCACAGTACCTTCGTCATTTACTAGCCTGCCGGAGACGTTCCTCGCCCGACCTTTGACGACATCGAACGGTAGAACATGCTCCTCTCCGACGCCCAGGGGCTCCGACCGATAGCCAACACTTTCAATGACCAGACCGGCTGACGTCGTGACTGTACTCGTGGTTGGACGAGCAATGGGTTGAGACGGACTCGTCGGCGGAACTACACTGGTCTGACTTGAGGGAGGTGCGGGAGATGCCTCTGGAGGATCCAAAAGCTCATTGACCATCCATCCGACAGATGCAACAGCTGCGCTGCCTGTGGAATTCGCTTGAAATGCCTTCGGCGATCTGAGAAACTCCAATGAGAACTCCTTTTCGCCTTGTCCCGTGCTTCCCGTCTCCATGAGTCCCAGCAATCGCTTTCTCGGTCGATCGTGCTCAACCCCATCTCGGGCTTTGAGTAACAGATCAGGGTCTAAGCTTCCCAGTCCAGAGTATCTTACACCAGGCAACTTGAGCATTTCCCGGAACTCCTTGGTGGTGAATGCTACCTGACCAGGGCCTCGCCTACCTACGACAGAGACTCGCTTGACCTTCGACTCAGAGAGGACCTCCAGAACTGGTTCCGGGAGATCCGTCTTGGCGAGCTCCGACAAGGGTTTCAAAAGTATTCTCGCCACATCCAGAGCGACATTGCCCTGTCCAATGACCGCGACGTTTTCTGCAGCCGATGAGGAGACAATGGAGCGAACGGTCTCTGACAAGCGGGAGAATGCCGGATGCCCATTGTACCAACCCACGAGGGCTAAAGCGGGGAAAACTCCATCCAACGGTGTAAGGGATGAAGAGCTGCCGGGGACATTGCTCAGCGGATTGGACAAGGATGCGCCGTAGGTGAATATAACGGTAGAGTAGTACGGCAGTAATGATGACAGGGAGATATGCAAGGCGTGAGGGTAAGTGTAAGATGAAAGAGTAGATCGAGGGGAGATCTCAGTAGGCGATGAAGATGATTGCGATCCGACGGAAACGTTGCCAAAGTATTTGAATCGAGCATCAGACGCTAGCTCGTCGAATTTGTGCTGGCAATTCTGAGGAGCTGTGAGCGGATTGAGAAGATATAGTCAGATCTGAGCTCACCTTTACCTCTGGGTGATCTGGCGCAACACCGTATCGGACCAGGCCGTATGGTGTCGGCAGTCGCTCGTACACGTGAATCTGGACATTCTTGCCTTTATCGCTTTCTGAGGGCAGCAAGGACAAGATCCTGGAGGCCGTATAAAATCCAGATGGTCCAGCACCGATGATGGCTATCTTTAAGGGACGATTGGACTGGACCGTCGATTGAGATCGTACGAGACAGGACGGACCAGGCTCGCCGAGCTTCCAGAATCTAGGCTGGAGACCTCTTGTGAATCTGCTGCATCCCGTGCAAAGCATGTTTGTCGGTGGACAAGTCGATGAAATCCTACTATCAGAGATCGAATTAGTATTCTTCGTTTTGGATTTCGTTCGGACTTGGGATGATTCTTCGGGTATGGTCGGTCGAGAGGACGAACCTGTCAGCTCGAGAGAGTCCCCCTGAGGAGGACCTGAAGGTGCGAGTGAGAGTGATCTAGTAGCACTGTCGTGCCTGTATCCATCAGCGCACAGAGATCGCATGCAGTGTAGAGACCCGCACGATTGGCAGAGGGTCAAGATCATGCAAAAAATGATACAAAATAAGATCATCTTTACCTCTTCTTCGAGGCATGTTCCTCGTCTTCCCGTTTCTCCTCGCCAAAGTCCTCCTCAGTCATATCCTGTAGTCTTTCATAAAGCTTTGTCTGTGTGTCCACGCGCCCCGCTCCTTCCCATACAGTATCCACGAGCGTCTTTCCGATCCTCGCATTGTACCATTTCCCTATCGGTCGGAATCCGAGTCGCGCCTGAAGTCTGCGAGAAGGTGCATTGCCCTGCTCGTATCCTGCAAACACGATACCCGGCCTGTCGTGGATGTATGGACATAGCTTCATGTACTCTTGACCGGCAATCTGAGTACACATTCGATCAGCGAGGGTCCAAATGCGACTTTCATTCCTCCCCGATCTCACCGTCATCAGCCCTGTCCCTCCGAAAGCTGGGTCGATGAAGCATGACATCGTCCAGTGTGCCCCATCTCGAGATACTGGTGGATCAGATGGCCGAGCTTTTGACCAAGCCCTAGGTCTCATCTTTCGTAGCTCAAAGAAACCAATAAAGTCGGGTACAGCATCGCCCAGAGTCCGCAAAGACCTGATAACTAGGTTCCGAGGAATCCCATCAGTCTGGACAAATCTACTGACCAATCAGGTGTATGTATACGCACCGGTCAGCTCTAGAAGCACTTCTTCAGCCATCATACTTTGTTCCACAAATTGTTGTACCTCTTCCCCAGTATCGGCCTGGCCAGAGGTCGAAGCGACAGAATCCATCATCAGAACTCGACCGGCTCCTCGGACGTCAGTTGAAAGCATCGGAGAGAGACAAAATTTGTCGTGGGGTGCAGGCAGAGCGACATGAGGAATGGGGTGGATCGTGAGACTCTGGACATCTTTGAGAGTAGGATACTGGGCCATAGTGTCTAAGGGGCGAGGAGGATCTCCTATCTTGACCAATCATTTGACAGCCAACATTCCATGATGCACATTTTAGCCAGATCTCGAGATGCGGACCGAAATTCCGCCCGGCGAGGCACCAAAATTGATTCAATGGTGCACGAATGAGATAGCTGGGTTGAATCGAGAGACTATCAGTCGACATTCCGGCCCGGTGTCCTTTCTAGATAGCTCGAGTGTTTGCCGCTCTTGGACGAGTCACGACATCGAATGGTCACTACTGGATTGGTCGGTTAGAGATGTGGCTGTACGACATAAGTCGAACGGCTGTGCTCTTGGCTTTCTGAGTGGGCAGCGGCAGTCTAAACGTGGACATTCCACCGCGTTACTGACTGAATGTCAATGATCCAACCTCCACTCTTGCTCGTTGGCAATAAGAGACATGTCAGACAAATAGGAACTCCCGAGTGTGCAGCCGCCACTCCTTTTGTCTCGCAGTGTGGACAATGCCTGCGACTCCATCCCAATCGACCCAATTCAGCCATCGTCAATACATCCAGCCAAGCTACGTATTTCATCCTTGACACAACTGTGCCTTTTACCTTCTGCAGCCCATCACCCTTCCCTTACTTTGAATCTTCAGGGAGGCGCAGCCTGTCCACCCTTCGCAGCTGATCCAGAAAAGTCGTGCCATCGGGGGTTGAAAGCGACATCTGAAAATTAGCGAGAATATCAAGGCGGATGACTCACCCAGAGGTCTGCCGCCGTACATGTATCCTGTGAATTTCTCCCCGGCAGTCTGGGCTTCGGCAGTTTCCGTGAATTGAACGACACCTTCTCCCTTGGATCGGGTACCCTCGTACAAAATCTCAGCGAGGACGACCGAACCGACAGTCTCGAATAACTCGACCAGGTCTTCGTTGGACGTCGACCAAGGCAGCTAGACAGAGTGAGCTGGAGCAAACTCATAGATGCGAAAAGCTCACGTTCCGAACGAGAATCTGTTGATTAGGCTCTGCAGGTTCGCGACTCGCACCACCACCGCCAGCACCATTGCCGTTGGCTGCACCTCCTTCCGGACCGTTGTAGTCGGCGTACAGATCATTTGAGAAGTTTCGGCCGCCTCCAGCACCCATGCCTCCGCCACCTCGACCCATGCCCATGCCGTATCCTCCACCTCCGCCCATCCCGTAGCCTCCGCCACCGTAACCGCCGCGGAATCCACCTCGCATGCCTCCAGCAAAGCCTCGACCCATACCAAATCCACCTCTCATACCCATACCACCTCGACCTCGGAAGGGGCCGCCGGCGAAGCGGTCCTGTGATATACAGTGAGACGGAGGTACAGGACGAAAAACCTGACTCACCTCTCGAACTTCCAGAATGTTGCCAAACCAGTCAAAGCCGTGGAACATTTCTGTCGGGATTTAGCAATGTGCACGAGACCATTGAGCTGTACCCACCGATGGCATTTCTTGCACCCTCAGGGTCTACAAAGACGACTGTTCCGTTGCCTTTGGGGCGTCCATCCATGTGCATGCCAACGTCAGTTCGGATGACTTCCCCTGCTTGACGCATGAGATCCTTGAGATCCTGCCATGAGGCCTGAAGGGGAAGCTAGGGCGGCGGATGAGCTAGGGAAGGTCGTCTGACTAGAAGACCCGCAGCTCACATTCCCCACGAATACATTCTTGTTCTGGAGATTGGGTCCAGCATTGCCGAGGAAGTGTCGTGATTCTCCCATTGCGAGGCCAATCTTTCCAGGAATAGGCGCCACTCCGAATCTGGCCTGTTCCTCGCGATCCTGTACTTCGATCAGCGGAGGACATGCATCGTTGCCTTAACAGCTCACCTCTCGGATGAAGACGGATCGCCCCATGAAAGCTTTGTCGGCAAGGTCGACTTTTGCCTTCTTGGCGTCCTCCTCACGAGCGAATTCGACGATACTGTTCCGGCAGGGATTAGCCTCTAGCTGGAAGAAAAATGGCAGTCTCTGCTCTCACCCGCATCCTTTTGATTGACCGGCAGGAGTTACCAAAATTTCTGAAAAGATGACTTCTCCTCCAGCTATTCCGGACCATATCTGTCAACTTCTTATCCAGATCTACACAGCATCTTGGCCCGGTCAATCCCCCCCTAGCGGCTCTTCAAGCCTACATCGCAGGCGTAACGTCGTGATAGCATAAGTAGCCTTGATGACGTCCGGGCTCCTCACAGGCGTCACCGAGCTTGCGTCTGCAGCGCTGGGAGAGGAGACCGACGCCCAGCCCATCTATTCGAACCCAAATCCTTATCCTGACCCAAACCCACCTCCTTCCATGTACTTCTTGAGGTCCTTGTAATTGCAGTCATAAGCCAAATTTCCGATGTACAGCCTGTTCTCCCTCTTGCTGACTTTGGCATGAGCTTCCGCTTCTTCCTGAGGTGCGTTGATGGGACCTCCAGAGGATTTCTCCCAATCTTGACGAGGTGCGCCGTAGCGCCCTCGACCGTGCAGTGCTGGAGGTGAAATCCTGCGATGATGCCTTCGTGACGAGTGACCGTCACGATCTCGATGATCCCTGTCTCTGGAGCGGGAGCGGGAACGCGAATCCGATCGGGATCGGTGTCTTCGATGGTGCCTCCTGCCTGGAGAGCGAGATCGCGAGCGAGAGTATGATCGGTGTCGGTGCTGGAGATCCAAGTCAGCAAGAAGCAGCGTGCAGACACAGAGATGCGAGAGCACAATCTATGTGATGTGAGAGATCCCTAGTCCGTTCTCCTACAAGATCCCAATCCTAGCCCTTCTTCCGAGCCCGACGTTAAAACACTAGGAGAAACGCTAATATATGTATGGAGGGAATCGAGAAGAAGAGACGACAAGAGCGTAGACATATTATCATGCAGGGAATGAGAATCCGCCTCCCATCTGGTCCGACCGCAGAGGTCCTCACGGTAGAAAGGAGACGAGCCTGAAGGGAAAAGACTCGCAACTCACACTTCGATGTCTGTCATCGTCCCTGTCTCTATGCCTTCGTTCACGACTTCGACTCCGACTTCTATCCCTATCGTCTCTCCTGGAAGCTAGCCATCATTCCATCAGCTCATCCGTAATTGCTTTCTCTCTTCTCTCAGATTCCATTCCCCCTTCCTTGAGGCCCCTCTATGATACCCACATCTTTCTCTGTCTCTCTCTCGATCTCTATCCCGATCCCCATTCTCAGGGATCATGGCTTCGTCCACTCGCATTTCTCGATCGTCTTCCATCCTTGTATCCTTTGTGCTCGGTCGTGTGATTGCGATGAAGAGGGTGTCAAAGACTCTGAGATGACTAGAATATGAGAGTGCTTCGGCAATATCCAACGGCTAGGGCTGACAGCTTCGGGATTATCGAGACCGAAACGCCGAAAGTGGCACCTTCCGCAACAGCGGCCGGTAGGATGTGAACTTGGGCGAGTAGCCATGCATGGGGAGCATCATAGACTACGAGCTGCAGAGCCAGTCTCTTGAAGTAGCTGGGTCCAGCTCCAAACACCAAGAGCAACTGTGCCTACTGTGAAATTCGCAGACAGACAGAGTTCCATTGATACCGGCTCGGAATGTGATTTTACCATCGTCCTCAACCGACAGCGTCATATGTAGATCTCATCAAGAGCATCGTATTCAATGATTGATGGAATCCATCGCGCCATGATAGATAGGTAGCGAGGTAACAAGAGATCTCACAATGGTCGCCATAGCACCTGTCAGAGTGTCTCATAATCCCACCTCGACGAGTCTGCATCGGAAGCTCTTGTTCCCGAATCTACCAGCAACACAACCTGTGCCAGTACTGGTGCCCGGAGAAGGCAAAGACATTGAGATCTTGAATGATCGGTGAGTACGAAATCTGGAGTGTCTGAGAGGAGGAGCTGAGTTTTGTCAGTATATATAACCTTGTAGCTCTTGCTTTTCGGGCATATATCCTATCTTGGCTACCTCGCATAACAAAAGATCAATCTGTTCTCCCTCAAATCAACGAGACCATCCTCTTCCCACTCTTGCGTCCGATATGCTTTCGACTCTCAGAAGATCCCTCGTCGATTATAGAATTGCTCCTGATTGATCTGCCATCGCTCTTGGATCTACACATCACAACGTTGCACGGTGCAAAAGAGGCACTAGCTCTTGGAGGAGGAGTCAACTGGGATCAGTCGACTCTCGGCGATGCGTACCATGCTCGACTGCCTCTTATGTCAGTCATCAAGTCAGAAACCTCGGAAGACCGATATGAGACGTCTCCACTCTGGCTCACGGCCTTTGTCGAGGCTCTGCTCAAACTCAATGTGGAGGGCGAAGAATACGATTGTCTCCCGGAACGAATCATGATTCGAGAACTTATCGGAAGATTGGTACTAGGAGGGATAGCGAGGAGAATCTCTCAACCGTGGTTTTGGTGGGGCTTGGGGCTCAAACTCATTGGACCGTCGCCTGATCCGAGCATCGCATTGTCGACACAAAAGTCGGCATCCATCCTTAAGCAAGGGTCGAAATGGATCTGCAGGATCTGGAAATACCTGTTGTTGTCATGGGGATTCGTCACTTGGGTATTCGTCCTCCTAGCCGAATCTCCCCGACGACAAACAAGATATCGATACTGTGCGCTTCCGACCGTGCGCATGGTCCGGTCAATCATTGTGAACCCCTTCTGGATCTTCAGGTCAATTCTGGCGACCCTTGAACTCTTCGTGTCATTTGCCTCTCCCGTCATCGACCGGTAAGTCGAAGTGACGTTACCAGGGGCGGGTCAGACTGACTGTCGGCAGAGTCATCCCCCACTTGATCGAGAGCCGGCTCATGACTGTCAAGTCGGCGATACGTCTCGTCGATCTCCTCGAGCGTATTCTCTTCCCTCTTAACGGGTATCCAGCGCCTACTCCCGAAGATCCGACACCTGAGGAAGCTGCGAGCATGCGACGATATCTAGAGCAGAGGATCAGCGAGATTGTACCGAGTGAGCCTGTCGCTTCTAAGCACCTTGTCATGTTGACGCGAGAATGACCTCTTAGGCTTCGCTATTAAGGTTCTTCCTCCTCCTGGAACGTTTCTCGAACCATTGTCCGATGCCGACTGCAACGTCCATCTTATAGCCATGGTCTACAGTGCCGCCATAGGCGCTTTGGTCCCGGAGCTGGTGGTCGGCAGCAATGTCAAGGTCAGACCCAAAAATAGTGCATGAGAAACGAGTACTCCAAATTGAACAGTTGTATGCTCGAACGGGCATTGAGTAGACTAATGATGCGACTCTGTACTAGAGTGTATATCTATGTAATCAGATGATGACTTGGAGAGCACAGAAAAGAAGAAGAAGGTAGTTGGGTGTTCAGTACCGCACACATAGTCCATCAAAAGTCCTTCCATTCGTCATCTTGATCCCAGTCTTTTGCCTTGGTCTCTTTTTGAGTTGCCTTGCCAGTCTTCGCTGATTCAGGCTCGTGAGATCCACTGGCTCCCCATGAATTGTCATCGTCATCATCCTGGTATCCACCTCCTTGATGCTCGTAATCAGAGTACGATCCTCCAAATCCATCTTCTCCACGATCAAGCCGACCATATCCCGCTTGACTGGCCCCTCTGTTTCCTCCGCCTCCTCCGAGGTTCAGGCTTCTCAGCTTTTCATCTAGGTCCACTCCTGCATTTTGCTTCGCCAGTTGGTTTACTTGACCCCATCCTTCACCAGCTTTCTGCCCAGCCCACCCAGCGGCTGTTTTCGCTCCGTCCAGACCTTGGTCAAGATACTTTCTCCATTCCGTTTGATCCGTCTCAGATGCAAACGCTTGAGCTCGACTCATACCTGGTTGAACGATCGACGTGTTTATCTCTTTGCCGGCAGAAGCAAGTGCCGAACTGAACACTCCCCAACCTTTCGACACGGCTCCCCATGGGTTCTTTTGGAATTCATCGAGAGTAGGAGCAGAGTGAGACGAGGTCGCAAAACTGGGATGAGAAGAGGATGAGGATGTGTATTCAGGTTCGTAATTGGATCCGAAACCTGCGTATTTTCCACCTTGGGACGGAGGGAGATCATCACGTCTAGAAGCGTTTGCGGCACCCAGACGCTCAAAAAAGGCTTCATTTCCGCTTCCACCGCCAGGTCCTGAAGCTCCACCAGGTGATGCGCGTCCAGATGAAGGTGTTGGCGAGGATTGATTTCCAATGCCTCCCGCTCTGGATTTTCGAGTGGCTTGAGCGGATACAGGCCGTGACGGGACGCCCCAGCCGGGCGGAGGCGCTGACGGAGACCACGACGTGGGAGGATCAGCGCATGCCGCGGCGAGCTGAAAAGGCAAGTCGTCAGTATAGCCTTCGAGTTGTTCTAAACGATTCATGGGGACACACCTTTTCCCTGTACTGTGCTGCAGCCCAGGAATTGTATTTTTCCTGCATGCCCATGCCTTTGGTGTACCCTCCAGAAGCGGGGTACTTGTCCATGAATGTCTTGAATGCTTCATTACCTCCAAGCTGAGCGAGATGATTCATCAGGCCCGTGTGCTTCTACAGTCGGCATCACACTCACACGCATCTTCTTCAGTTGCTCCTCTGACCATTTGTCCATGGTGATGCTCCGCACGAAGGAAATGTGCACGCCAAAACCTAAGCAAGAAACATTCAGTGACATAGCCTCACGAGCTCTACAAGGAGACTCACCCCGATGTATACCTGAACATTCCAGACAGACTACGAGACGCGATATCCATCAGCCCAACTCGCCTGATTTCAGCTCGCTGTTTTGACAACTCACTGAACGTTCCAAAGCTCACACTTGCCCATTGTGGATTGTGATTTCCACAATCTACACAGACCTTGTTATCGCCAGTATTCATGAGCTCCAGCAGCTCCTTCTTCTGATACGTCTCCGCCATCTTGACGCCAGTCTGACTGAGATGCGATCCAGGAGTGAGTGATTCTGAGTGATTCGCGTCTCGACGACCAACCGAATTGGCGGGACAGGACGGAATCAAAATGGAACGGAATCAAATTCACCTCTTTTAGGTCATCTCGGCCATTTTTAATTCCGTTGGAAATCCAAGGTGAAAACAAAAAAAAAAAACGATGATGATGATGAGGCGATTCGGCTTCAACTTCGATCATTTCATTCCAATTCCATTCCATCCATCCATCCCATTCCCATTCCTGCTGCTCGTCTAGAAAGACCAGCAAACATTCAACTGGGAGCAAAGAACATCTCGTACATGCCGATGAGCTAGCCCCTCAACACAACGTCACCACTTCTGGGACTGTGAAGCATCGCCACCTCGTCGACTCGCCAGTGTGATCCTATCACATTCTCAGCAGATCGAGGCAAATTCATCAAGTCTCATTGAGCCATGCCGAAGGAGGATCCAGGGTCTTTGGACTCCATAGATTGGACCATGGACACTGCCGATGCAGCTGGAATATCTAAAGCTCCTTTAAAACGTGGTGATGCTTGCTTGTATTGTCGTAAAAGGAGAATCAAATGTTCAGCTGAAAAGCCGACCTGGTATGTCAATATAATCTCATACGGACGTCAAATCACTCGCTGACACGCTCGAAAACAGTGCCCATTGCCGTAAAGGCAAGCGAGAATGTGTGTACGATACTGGGAAACCTGTGTCCCGAGTCAAGCAGTTGGAAGAGAAGGTCGCTGAACTGGAAGGAATGTTGAAAAGCTCAATCCCGTCCAACGGAAGGTCCAGTGATACTCCTCCGGAGGACACCTCCCCTCCTTCGCGGCACGACTCCTCATCAAGCTATAATGGATTCTCCGCCTTTACAGATCCTGGTTTTGTGAACATCTCCCAATCTCAACCTTACACCGTGCCTGCCAATCCCCCCATCGACCCTTTGACCACATTTGCCGCCCAACAGCAGTCTTACTCTGTCAATGTGAACCAGCTGCCCCACAATTCATCGACTTCGAGCTTCTTGCCAACGCCTGCTCCCCCGAATCAGCAAGACTTTGGAACGTTCAACCTGCTGGGATCCACTGCCGGACCTTCTGGTGTCAGTCAACAAGCCGTGGACGAGTTCGATTTCTCCATGCTCGATCCATCCATCGTTTCGCTACTCAACACCATGGTCACGTCTGTCAATCCCTTCTCGCAGCAATCGACCGGGCACACAGACCCATTGCCCCAACCTGCCGTTCCTCCTCCTCAGCCAACAAGAGTTACTTCTGATTCCTCCCAGTCCTCCGGGCTCACCCCGTACCTGAATTTGGAAAGCACGCCGGCCACGTCCATCTCAATGGCAGAAGGTAGAGACTCTGTTCCATCCAGCTATACACCGGAAAGTGTTCCCATTCAACTTGGGGCGGAGAAGACCGAAGCGGTCTCGTATTCCGCCTACGTGACCGATCTGCCGAGTGGTTCACCTCGCAATATCGCAGAAGGATTCTTCGCCGGGAAGATGAACGGTAATACTGCTCAAGATGAACCCATGCCTGATCAAGAGCTCATGGGCGGATGGTTCGATGCTGCTGATCTGCCAAAGGTTGCGAGAGATCACCTGTGAGTGATTGACATGCTCACGACTCCACGCTTACAATCGCAAAGTCTTGACTTGTTCTTTACCAAGATGGTCTTCTTTGGACAGATGTTCCACATTCCCAGATTCTTCGCGAGGTGAGAAGTTTACGTAGCGGAGGAGGCTGATCCCTGATCTAGTTTAACTCTGCCGCCCGCCAAACGACCGCATCAATCCCTCTTATACGCCATGTACTTGATCGCTTGTAAAAACTCCACGTCGCCTTCTATCCGTGTTCTCGAGACTCATTTTGCCTCGATCGTCCTGCGCCAAATTGACGAGGCACTGTCGAAAGCCGAAAAGATGTTCGATGTGGTCCGCGCATGTGCTCTCATGGCCGTTTACCACTTTGCTTCAGCTCATTACCACGAAGGATGGATGATGACAGGAAGAGCAGCTCGGTGTGTATCAAAATAGGAGGACTGACTGATGCCTGCAGCCTTGCGATCTCATGTGGTCTCCACGCCATCCCGTCGTCCGAGTTCTCAGTCACCAAAATCGACGCTCAGTGGGATAATGATCTCACGTCGTTGATGCGGAAGCGATCTTGGGTGATCCCTCCCCCGTCAGACCCAGTTGAATTAGGCGAGCGGATTTGGGCGTTGTGAGTTGATACAATCCGCAATGAGATTGTGCTGACAGTTGTGTTCAGCTGGATGATTTACGTCACGGACCGTTGCGGTGCCATCTCCACAATGTGGGAATGTGCCATTCCCGATCATATTGTCACCACACCCTACCCACATCCACTGTACGAGTTCGAGTTAGGTCTCGTCACGAAAGCAGACGACCGAAGCACGTCTTCTATATGGTCAGAAAAGCTCAGTTTCGCCCCTCTCCCACCATACGCCGATTCGACATTGACCAATGTCAGGATGCGAAGTCTTGGCATCCTGGACCGAGCGTCCAAGCTTGTACTTCTGGACCCGGAGGAGGGGTGGGAGACACGTCTGCCCAACAGATCATCGGTCGGTTCTCCTGTGGACCCTCCAACCAATTCGCCGCCTGAATGGAGTGCTGATTGGCTTTCTCCCGAGCAATATCAGACTATTTTTGGAACTTGTCCGGCTGCTCCAGGCGATCAGGACGGACTTCCAAAGAGCGCACAGGGACCTGAGGGGGCACAAGGCCATCCAACTCAAGGTAGCGGGAAGGGCTGGATGCGAACTGCGAAGTACAGGACGCCCAAGGCCTACGAGGCGGTAAAGAGGGCTCTGGAAAGGCTGGAAGCGGATCTCATGCCGGAGTTCAAGACTGAATGGTGGACATGGGACGGTGTACCTCCGCGATGGCATGCGAGCGCAGCGTCTGGTCCGAGAAAAGCTTTGTGGAGCTTGGTGAGTGGAGTGACATGGTGAGAAGGCTCAATGCTCTCAGCACTTTGTCATTGGGTGCTCCTGGATGTTCTTGTTTGACGTCAACTCGTTCAATGAGCCCAATGACCTGGCGATTGGATGCGCAAGACGAATGGTCTGCTCCATTGCGAAAGCCGCAGAGTATATCAGTGGATCGGAGATGGACGTCTTCACCATAATGACGTGAGTACATGCCCGTTAGCTGTTGCCGGCACTTACGGGAATCCTTCACAGATGGTCCTTCATCGTCAAGACGCTGATCAGGGAAGTCAAGCGTCTGCACGGTTTGAATTTGCCACGTCGGGCAGCACCGCTGGAGACTGAGATTGAGATCATCGTCTCGAGCATGAAGACTTTTGGGAGCAGGATGAATATTGCTTCGGCTCAAGCTGAACGTTCGGAGCGATACCGGTCGTCTACGAGAGAAGAGACCAAGTTTTTAGAGGATGATGATGCCTTGGATCGGGTGGAAACCCATCTCAAGGGACCAAAGGGGCTTCATTCACTCTCTACGTGAGGAGACGAGGATCGCCCGGAGACTAGAACTGGGCTATAGATGCGTAGATGTATCCATATCAAGATCAGGGGAAGACGGCCATCGCCGGCAGGTTGATTCGGGTCATTCTCGGTAAAATGTCACCTTTTCTCCGAGGAGCATAAAAGGCCGAACCACGGCAACCATCCTTCAAGTTCTGTACATCCAATAGCTTCGAACGGCTCAAACTTCACCTCACAACGACATAGTCACGATGCCTAGTCCTCTTGTCACTGAGATTTTCACAGCGGATCCCTCTGCCCACTCGTTCAATGGCAAAATCTACGTCTACCCGTCTCACGACCGAGAGTCCAACATCCCGTTCAACGATCGTGGAGATCAATATGATATGGAAGACTACCACGTCTTGTCGATGGATGATGTCGGTGGAGAAGTGACAGACCATGGGGTGGCCCTGAAGGCTTCGGATGTTCCTTGGGTTTCGAAGCAAGTCTGGGCACCCGACTGTGCCAAGGGTCAAGATGGAAAGTACTATTTGTACTTCCCGGCGAGGGACAAAGAGGGTGAGTGAACGGGAATGGAGGGGAGCATCAAATACTGATGATGCGCTCTAGGTATCTTCCGTCTCGGTGTCGCTGTCTCGGATAAACCTGAAGGTCCATTCAAACCTCAACCGGAAGCTATCAAAGACAGTTTCTCCATTGACCCTGCCTCTTTCGTCGACGATGACGGTTCCACCTATCTCTACTTTGGTGGAATCTGGGGAGGTCAATTACAATGCTACTCTTCACCCGATGGAGGCAAATTTGATGCGTCACAAGACGGACCACACGAACCGTCTGGAAAGGGCGTCAAGGCTCTTTGCCCCAGAGTCGGGAAGATGACTTCGGACATGCTCGAGTTTGCTGAACCCGTCAAAGAGCTAGTGATCCAAGACGAGAATGGGGAACCGCTTCAAGCGGACGATCATGATCGCCGATTCTTCGAAGCCTCATGGATGCACAAGTATAATGGAAAATACTACTTTTCATACTCTACCGGAGACACCCACTTTATCGTCTACGCCATCGGGGACTCACCGTATGGACCGTTCACCTATGCTGGAAAGATCCTTGAACCCGTCAAGGGATGGACCACACACCACAGTATCGTCGAACACAAGGGGAAATGGTATCTCTTCTACCATGATTGCGAGCTGAGCAAGGGGGTCGACCACTTGAGAAGTGCCAAAGCGAGGGAGCTCAAATATGATGCGGATGGAAAGATCATCACGATGAAACCAGAGTGATCAATTCAAAGAACAAGAAGACGTGCCACCGTCCCGATGGATGTGCACTTTCGACACAGATTATGTAGCCTGCTATCTATGTATGCCATTCATCCAGAGATGAAGAGCTGAGCGAGCCCTGCTTTATTTTATAAAGTGTAGAATACCAGATACATTATGCAATTTACAAGCTGCATTATCTACGATGCCCAAGACGAAAAAGGAGGCTCAAAATAACGAGACCTACTCCTGTTGAATGAGCTCTTCGACCTTCCAGTCCTCAAAAGAGTTGTCTTCAGAAGACACCATTGTCAATCTTATTGTCCGACACGTGTGATCCCACTCACCCGGTAAATATCGCCTGATCACCAGAGGAATTTTCTGAGCTTTGAGCTCTTTTAATGCAATCTCTAACGGGTCGGTCTCGTTCTCAACAGGCACCAACACCGGCGCGTTCATACTGGAGAGTCACCAGAGTCAGCGATATGTCTCAGCGAAACAATGATCAGCCATGTGCACACTGACCTGATCTGCAGAGCTCTGGTCCCCAGCACTCTCGCCCTCTCGTACTTTGTCATGTATGGAGTCGTCACTCGGATCTCGTTCGGTTTGGCAGATTTGCCTATCCGTTGTCGCTCGTCATCACCAGGAGCATTGGATTCCTACAGTACTCCATCAGCATGTCTGAGCGTGGAGAACGGCGCAGTCTCCTTATATCGACTGCACTCACAATGATCATCTTCTCGTCTACTTCCTCACCATCCACTTGCTCTCCATCCCCTCCTTCACCATTGTTCTCTTGCTCCATCTCCAGCTCCTCGTAGCTTCTCGAGTCAGCTCTGCACGCTGCACAACGGTTCATCGACCTACTTCATCTCATCTGGGTCAAAGTCCTGCTGATAGTCGTCTCCGCCCATATCCATCCGTTCGTCGTCCGACATGCTGCTCGAAAGAGGCTTTACTCCTGACGAAGATTCTTCAAAGATCCAGGCAGAGAGTCACAGGTCAATGCTTTGGGCCTACAATGAATGCCTGTGAGCAAATGTGCAAGGTCGACAAGGATACAAAGTAATGGGCGTAGCCCAGCTGGTGCTTCTCGGAAAAATCTCACAATCGATCACGTGACTTGCCACCAACGTCGCGCGAGATGTGATCGACGAGCTTGACCTTAAAGATCACTCTCATACATCATAAGCTGTAGCAGTAGTGGGAGGTAGCGACGACCGACTCAAACACCTAGCTATCGGTGTGACCTCATCCTGTGTCTGACAGTGACGGCTCATAACACCTCTCCGAGAGAGCCGTCAACTGGTGGACACGCTGTAGACTCGCTGGCCGCTCGACTTCGACTGTGCCTTTCATCCCCTTTGCGCCATTCCCTGGCCGTCCACATGCAACTTGGGAGGTACCATGTCTCGACTCTTCAGCCAACTATAGTTCATTCTATAGATTTCTCAGAAGATGGAGAGTTGTTCGCTATAGCGTTCGAAGGAGGCTACGAAGTATGGAGAGCTTGTCCATTGGGTCTTGTAAGGCGTCGAAGTGAGTCATCGCCGCAACCACAACAAGGAAGACAAGCCTTTGGCACCACCAATCATCCCCGAGCTCTAGTATTGACACCTCTGCTCTTCTAAGGTCTCAGCGGTACCCTTGCTCGGGCCATCATCGTCCCAAAATCACCTCTGCTGGTCCTCCAAGGTGGCGGGACTTCGCCTCTTTATCCGCCAAACAAAGCGGTCATCTTTCATGATGGAGTCGGCCGCGCAATTGCGGAGCTCGAGTTCAGGTGTGTGTCAGCAAAGTATAGTAGCGCGTACGTGTATGCTGACTGGGCCGCAGCGAGAGGATCCGCGGCATCGCACTTCGAGAAGGTACCATTTGCATCGTCCTATCTCGACGGACAATGGGCTTCGAGTATGGTATCAATGTCAGCAGTGCAAAGGGCAAAGAAGTGCAATCTCAAAAACGAGGCTTTTGGATTCGAAAGTTTGGCGAATGGGAGACGGCTTCCAACGAGCATGGTGTGTTATCTTTATGGATCTTCGTTCACACTATACAGGTCTCATTGCTTTGTCCACGTCAAATGGGTCGTCGCTACTCGTACTGCCCGGTCGACAGTCAGGACACGTACAGCTGATTCATCTTTCTCATGCCTCTTCATCTCGTACAGCTCCATTCCGATCTCCCATCATCCTTGCTCATACGCATCCTTTATCGACATTGGCATGCTCCCGGGATGGAACGGAGATCATCACGACATCGGAGCGGGGTACTTTGATCCGAGTTTGGGATATTACTAGAGGGTCTCTTTCAAAAGAATTGAGACGGGGAGTCGATAGAGCGGAAATGTGGGGTGTAGGGTTTGAGCCTCGACCGGCGGAAGGTTTAGGACGAGTGGTCGGGTGGAGCGATAAAGGCACTGTACATGTCTGGGCCACAGCACCGTCAGAAATCAAATCGTGCGTCAAGGACAGAGGCAGCGCCGTCAGGGATACGTGCTCACATCCTCTTCCGTTTTCCAGAAATCCATCTCTTGCTCATATCCTCTCTCGAAATCTACCTCTACCAAAGTACTTTTCCTCTTCCGCCTCCATAGCGCAATTTCATCTACCACGCAAAAACCCACACGCCTTCAGCTCCGTTATGGGCGCTGCGGCCGATGCGGCCGGTGTACCCAGCGCAAAGCTGTCGAGCACGATGACAGGAGAAGATGAAGAATTGTCTGAAAGATTTATGGTCGGCTGGATTAGAACACCCTTAGATATGGCCGAGCAAGGATCCACTCCAGTCATCAAGGCTGCTTCGACCCTGCGCGATCAGCCTCCTCCGGGTCGAGGTCTCAGCGAAACGCGATCCTGTACCCCATTGTCCATGGGTGGAAGAGATGAACGAGCGAGTTTGGGATCCGATGGCACATCCAGGACAGCGACGCCGACTTTTTCACGCCGGGCATCTGAATTTGTCAAACACGCTCGTGGCGCATCCGAGACTCGCTTCATGGAGATTCGAGAATCTGATATCCCGAGCAAAGGGGCTACAGTCCATGACGCTGGTCTCGGCGGCTTTGAAATGCAGCTTGTGGCTATCACATACAGTGGAGACTATTATCGCTTGCGGATCCCTCAACCGGGTAGCGATGAGGACCAGGTCGAAGGGGGAGGAGATTCAAAGAAGAAATGCGAGTTGGTAGAGTACAGGCGACTCAAAGTTGGCGGTGGAGGCTGGTGAGCATAGGTCGGAGGACGGCGTGAAGCACTTGGCTGGAGCATACAGTTCATCCTCTGTGTTGTTGTTGTATCTCTTGAAGTTGATCTCATGCATCGATCGAATTACCGCACAACACAAGATTCACTCAAGATACTCCTCAACATCTGCTCCGGAAGCCTTCTCGATCCTGCCCAGAACTCTCCTAGCCATTGCCACCACATCGCTATTCTCATCTTCGAGCAGCTCTGACAAGTAATCGCCAACAGTCTCAGCAACGAAAGCCACCAATTCTTCGCCCTGAACTTCCCAAATGCCGTCCAGAGCGTGCAATGCAGCCATTCGAACCTGAGCATCGTCGTCCCGTGTCTGGAGGCAGATAGCGGTATTGAGCGCTTTGAGGACCGTTTCCGATGTCGTGCTTTCAGCCAGGGAGGCCAAACATTGAGATACAGATCGATCTGCTTGGCTCTGAATAGCCAGTCTGGTACCTGCGCCCAGTTGTGGCACGAGCGAGGGGATGATCTTGAGTACAGACCCATCCGACCAGTAGGCTCCATCGTCCACTGCGAAAGATTTGCCCATGGTCTCCAACACCAGTTGCCAGAGTCGAACGTCGGTCAGGTCGCCTGATGCGAAAGACGCCAAAAGTTCTTGGACGTGGGGCAATAAGATACCAATATACGGCGAAAGCAAGTTCTGCGGCTGTCAGTGGGGGATTCGAGTGGGCAAAAATTGACTCACTTTGAAGCGCTGAAGCAGACCGAGCATGACCTTGAACAGAACGACCTTGCGCCGGATGAGATGTTGCTCATCTTAAATGTGTCAAACAGGCAACTTAAAGAAAGCACTCACCCTGTCCTTCTAGATCAATGACTGACCAGTCGAAGAGTCTGGTGAACAGTGGTCGGAAGGTCGCTTCGTTGAGCTTAGTCACAAATTCCAGGAAGGAGGAAATCGCGGATGCTTCGATGGTGTCAATGACCTGCTACATCGTCAACTGAAGCCACTCGACGAAATACAGGTAACGCACGTCTTGATCAAATGCCTTGCTTTCCAACTTCCATGGCAAATCAAAGACCTCTAGGAATAGCGCAAAGGTCTTCTTGGTTAGAGTGGCTAGACCCGGTCGATCGGCATTCTTCAGTGCCAATCTCAAGACTTCGAAAAACGGTATCTGGAGTGTATCAGAACCACGCATTGCACAAAGCTAGAAAAATCTCACAAGTTGCGACTCCTTGACCGACTTCCACATTTCCATCATGATTGGGAATAGCGACTTTGTAGGCACTTTCTTCGCGGTGACAGACATCAGTCCAGCCATTGTCGTAGGATCCCTATTGTAATGTTCCAGACAGGTGGCGAGTACAGAGTGCATCTGCTTAGATGAGATAAAGGTCGGAACCGTACTCAACAGAGTACCCAGCACACCTGTAGTCTCCCGCATCATCGTATCGGACGAAGACTGGAGAAGTTTAAGGCCAAGATCGACAATACCCTGAATAGAAGGTATGATCCTCGAGCCGAGTTGCTTGACAAGGGCGTCGAGGAGATTAAGTGATGCGACGGTGAGATGTCTGCCCTGAAGGTTGGAGATGATTTTGAGAAGGCTCGGCACAACCTGAGCAAAGTAAACATCTTCGGAGTTGTCCTTTGCGCTGACGACCACAGCTTGAATAGCGGCAAGCGCGGAGCTGACGGTGACTGGATCTGAGAGACGCTCGCTGGCAGCTTTGACGATGTCGCCAAGGACGGAGGCGTTACGTGATCTGACTTCAGTCTTGACGAGCGGAAGCCGCTCGTTGAATACTTTGAGACCCATCTCGGAATATTGGTTGTCGTTGGACGCAATGGCGGCAAGGACAACCTTGAAAAAGTTGTCCGCTGACAGTAGCTGCATCGCAGCGGCCAGAACAGGCTCGATATGAGTGACGCCATCCCGGTCGAGTCCAGCGAGTTCGACCAGGGACGATACAATCTCCTGTACGACTGTTTGATCGCAGGACTTGCCAGCCAATCGGCTTAGAAGGGTGAGCGTGAAGGATAACATGGCGTTGATCTGCTTCGTCGTGCGATCCGCAAGATTGTCTTGGTTGTTCTGCGAAACCAAAGCGGTATCTGGCGCGTGGCATAGTCGACGAGTCTCCTTGACGACTTCTTGAAGGGCCAGCAACTGATCCTCGATGGAAAATGACGTTGTGACACTAATTGGGAGCTCCAACGCCAGAGCTGATGACTGTCCACCTCTTCCGCTCTTAGTGGTCGCTCGATCGACGAGAAGAATTGCAATGGCAGGAAGGAAGTATCCGGTATCGAGAGATTTGACGAGGTGAATGAAGAATGGCAGAGTTCGATGTCTCGGCAGTCGACCAGCCATATCCGTGAAGATGCTCATAATGGGTAGAGCCTCCTTGTATAGCTCCAACCTATCCAGATCCTTTGTCTTGAGTGAAGATATAAGGACAGGGATGATCTTGGATATGGTTTTTTCAACAACGCTGAAGCTATAGGCGTCATCTCGCTGAAAATCGCTGGCTCCCATGAAGGTGAAGATGGGCATGACGTTGTGCAGCACTGATTCAGGGATGAAACGGGCGAGCTCAGAGATGACCAAAAGAGACCGTTGAGATGTTCGCGGGTTGTTCGAGGCTGAGAAGACAGATATGAGAATCTATCTCCGGGGCTGCGTCCTACCTGACTCACCGCGGATGACCTTAATGATAACTTCGATCCCAACATGAGCTTTGTTTAGTTCCTCCGCATCGGTCAGTGCCTCCAGTAAGGACAAGATAGCCCCAAGAATCTCCTGCTCCAGGTAATCGATGCCCTTCTTGACACCTTGTCTCTTCGCCAAAAGGGATGAGAGAACGTTCATCAGTGTCGCAACGAGGGGTGCAGCGGGTCCAGGAATGGCATTCCAATCTCGAGAGTCGATGAGGACTGTGAGATCGTCCAAACTTTGTTCGCTTTTGTCAGCATGAGACCTGGTTTGTGTCAGAATCGGCTCGTCGCGCTCCAGCAACACTGACTTCGTCTCTTGCTTCTGCCTCTTTCTATTGTGCGATGTCTCCATTGCTTGACATAGGTTCTGCAATAGCTCTTGCAGCAATGGAGAGTCCATCTTTAAGGTGCGAAGTGCTTCCACGGTCTCAACGGAGTCATGCTATGGGCAGGTCAGCTCAGGAGTACAGTTCATCCTGAGCTCACCTTGTGCTCATCGTGCAAAGAATCAAGTAGGGCGGTGACGAACAACACTTTCAGATGTGAGCGGAGGCCTTCAAAGACGCCAATTTGCAGTCTCTTGAACAGCAAAGAACGCAAGACTGGAGCGAGGTCTAATGTCGTCAATATTCAGAATTTGCAGTCCACCAGTCTCGGTCTTGACCTACCACCATGCTGGGTAAGCAGATCACGCAAGCAGATCCAGCCAGCGCTCTCTTCTGTGAGCTGACTCATCGTCATTCGAGTCAATGTCTTGAAAAGGAGTCCCAAGTATCGTGCTCGACTCTCTAACGCAAGGCCAGACACCCACTCGAGCTCCTGCGAGCTAGACAGGAGTGGCAAAATCTCCTCAAAGACGGTCGTATCTGGTATATCTTCCAGACTCGAAAGCAGTGCCAATCGAGCGTTAATGCTCGACCATGCCTGAATATGCGATGCGAGAGCTGAGATGACCGCACGACGGTGACTGGTGGCTTTCAGTCATAGCCAGGGGTTAGAGATATTGGACTTACGTCGAGTTTTTGCGCGTGCTGCCATGATGTCCTCCCAGGTGTTTTGCGTGGACAACTTTCAGGTGCCCAGGATCTAGAATGATCTCTGCCGATTGGGCGGTGAGACTCTCGAGGTAGACCTTAAGATCAGACTGCCGCAGCAATTGTACTTTTTCTGTGGGGCCCACGTCAGCACGATTGCCACAGAGCGATGTGTTACAGACTGGCGCACCTGATCGGGCTCCGTAAATTGAGTTCAGGGCGTAGGTCTCCGAGCCTCCGTCCTCCACCACACCCGATACCTTCTCAAGGAGACCTACGGCGGCAGTTCTGACGTCTTTAGACTTGTCCTGCATGGCCACAAGCAAAGCCGGTATGATCAATTGGAAGTCCAGTTTCTCCCTGCCGCTGGAAGACTGAGCGTTTAGATAGCTTAGCGCATGTCTCAGCGCTGCCACTCGGGCGTGTCGAGGCCCAGCCGTCCAGACTGACGCCAGGAAGATCAAAGCATCGTCCCGTAGCTGAGTAAGAACCGATCTTAGGATAGCCTGAGAGAGCTGGACAGGCAGAATGTCCGAATTTGACAGGGCATAGAGCGACGTCGCGAACGTTTGACAAGAGATTCCCTGAAACTGAGGATTGACGATTGAGATGTCGTTTGTTTCTACTCGCTTTATAGTCGACAGAGCAGCGTATAAAGCAAGTTGCAATCGTGTCGCTGTCGTTTTGTCCCGTGGCCGCTCGCACACAGCCCGAAGGAGTAAGGGGGACATTGGGTCGGTTGACTCGCCTATATCTTGGTATTTGATATCGGTTTGAAGCCTCGAGAGGTATGACAGAGTGCGATGGCCAAGCTCCGACTCAGACGTCGTGATGATGAGGCATATCAAAATCAAGTGCGCAAGCAGCTTTGAAGGGGTATGCGATGAGCTCAATTGAGTGAACACGAAGTCGATCAGATCTCTGTGCGTCTCAGACTTGATGATGGCTCCTGCGATGTGTTAGTCGTGCTCAATGCAAAAATGGAATTCTACACACCGGAAAGCTCCTGCGCAGCTGATTGAAGGGTCTCTGGCGTGACGCTCTGCGAGAACCCATGACAAGCTCTGGCCAAGCTCAATTTTCCCCAACTTGAATTCTGTATCACGCTCCAGCAATCCTCGTCGAGCAACGCTGGTTCAGACTGAACCAGCAATGCCGGAAAGATGAGGCGTTTGAAAACGTCGATCCTGGTGTCGTTTGAGGAGCAGTATTGATTGCAGGCGAACGCTAGATGAACCCGGGCGACTCGTGCATCAGTGCGGTGTCCACTGAAGGCAGGCGCCACCGCATCAAGATATGAAGAGTCATCCTTCAAAATGGAGGACAGTCCGTCGGTGTGCTTGTAGATAGTACTCAACACTTCCGGTTCATCATATCTTAAGCGAGTAAGGATGATTTCTCGTACCGTATCCGAATCTTGCTGGTTCTGGTTCGCGAAGAGCTCGTTGACACCCCGGATACGAGCTGCGACATCGGCTCCGAAGATCTCAGTTTTTGGAACCGTAGACATCTCCTGACGATGGTTCTCGCCTTGCTGGACGGTGACAACCCTGTCGACAATCGCTGGGTACTTTTCGCGAAGCTTGCCCAGCAGATCCTCGCTCTCAGCCGATGAGTGTTTGGCGAGCCCTGTGGCAACGACCTCAACCAGCGGCGCTGATAGCTCCATATTATCGATCAACTTGTCAAGGTGAGGTGCGAAAGAATCGCTACTGCTGCTATTAGTCACAATTCGGTCAGATCCAACAAAAAACTGACTTCGAGGACATGATCCGGAGAATGGTAGCCAAAGCATTATCGAAGCCGTATCGCTGCCTGGCGCCCAGTAGGATTTCTCCGAGCTGCTTGACCCTGCCAAGTTTCTCGACGCCCTGTTCTCCAAGCTCCAAAGTCCACGCGCCCCGGTCTTCCAGAACGAACAGTAGAGTGAATACCCTTTGAGTCGGATCTGCGCCGGTATTCGGGGTCATTATGGCGTCCAACAAAACAAGAAAGACTTCATCGGCCAACCGGACCGTCCGGGTCAGGAGAATCAAAGGCGGATAAATGGATGCCTAAATAGTTAGGGACATTGTGGCGTGTTGCTCACATTGAGGTCCGGCCCACCATTCTTCATGGTCAGAATGTCCACGAAGCTCTCCACCAGAAGCTTGACTAGGCCCTCTAGCACTTTCTTCCCAGCCTGATAACGATCTAGGAGATCGACTAGCGTGCCGGACCAGAAAGTCATCAAGCCGCGGTAGAGCGCACCCTCTTTATGTGCTCGTTTGAGAAGGCTCAGAACATCCTCCAGCAACCGAAGGGAGCGATCCTTCTCTGGTGAGATGGCCGCGGCGATGTATGATCGAGGAACAGCTTGCGCATCCTTGCCCAGAGGATTGAATGGGGCGTGGTATGCTGACTGGTTTGGGATCGAAAGTATGGCAAGCATTCGAGCAAAGTTCGGCGTGGAATGATAGGGGTAGAAGACCTGCAGAACGATTTCGGCGTTCATTTCATGTACCCTGAAGGCCGTTCAGCATTCTTTACATCATAGCGTTGGGGCTGCTCACCTGAAACGTCTGACCAGCCATTCGATACACCTTCCTCCTGCCATGACACCGATCCATCTACTCAATCGCCAAAGACACCGCTCAAGGACAGCATCGAGCTTCTGGTTCTCCTCTGCGTTCAAGATCATTCGGTCTGTCCGCTTAGCCTGCTCAGAGAAGAGATCGTCCTCAAACTCCTCAAAAGAAGGGTCCAAAGCCAGCAGCTCTTCGTATCCGGAGAGTCCCAGAGCGTAGATCGTGTCCAGGTCATGATCGGCCGCTACTTTAGGAGGAAATAGGTATGACTTTGAGGTCGGAGCTCCGGTTCGTGAGGTCAGACGAGAAGCGTCCAGCGAGGCAATGCCCTGCAGTTGAGCGGCCAAGGACGACATAATGCCTGTCGATGACCACCTGTTGGATGGCGACCGAGCCGTTCACACCGTGACTAGTGGATACAGAGCGAGATGATGTGGTACAATCAGACATTTGACATTCATGCTTGGTTCTGAAAAATTCCAAAGATGAAACACGGAGATTCGCTGATCTCCGCGTCTTCCCAACGAACTGTCGCAGCTATATCCCAGTCTCCAAGAGGTATTGATGAGGAGCATCGGGTCAAGCAGCAATGAGTGATAACGCACAAAGTAGCAGCAGCTCAGCGGTTGCTAGCAGTCAGAATGGAGGATTTGTCTCGGACATCGTCAAATCAGTCTTCGAGGTGGGTATCAAGGTCACCCCCTGCAGCGCTGATACGTATAGCCAGGCGTCAATGCTTCCGTGGTGATGGGTAAGCGTTTCACGATAGTTACATGAGCTCACGTCGCTCAAAGCTATGAACATCTGTTTCTTTCTCCTTCTTGTAATACTCTTCGCTCTGGCCGTCTTGACCTCCTGGAACAAGCACGTCTTGCTGTTACTAGGAGTCACCTCCTTATTTTGGTTCTCAATGCTTTGGTTAGCTGTCTTGGCGAATCATCTTAACCACTGACGACGCCATAGGTTCATCGCGGAGATCAGCAAAGTGCAGACAAGACCGGACAACATGCCGCCAGTAGATGTGGACCCTCCAACGAGCGCAGCAGCGGAGAGCAAAAAGGACAGATGATATGCATAGATGCAAAAATGCTAGGGACCGACGACCTGGTCCCATGGACCCCAAGCTGTTGCTTCCATTCCAGCTTCCGGTGCTACTCTCAGCTCCACATTCTCACAAGCTGGTCCGCCGAAGAACCCTGTATTTCTCCATTGTTTCAGCTGGCCAACGGCGAACGGGCCTAGGATCACATCAGCCTCAACTCCACATTTACAGGACAATCCTCACCAAAAACCTCTCTTTCCACAGGTCGATTTGCTTCAGGCATAGACTGCAAATACTTCATCGAGAAGCGGTATTGGAATTGACGACTATCAGCCGGCGCTACACGCTCGATATGCTCTACTGGCATTCCATTCGAGCTCGACGAAGGCGCTGGAGGAGCAGGCAGCATTCGCTGGATTGACTCCCTTGATAGAGAGTACACGTCTAGATGTCCAATTGAGGTCAGATCCGAGACAATATTTGACAGCCGAGTGAAAGGATTGGAGTCGGCTCTGCGAGTCGATCAGTCTGTGTGGTAGAGACAACAGCACAACGCTCACTGTTTGCCGCTAGCTTTGCGTTCTTTCTGCCTCTCCGCCCAAGTCTTCTTCTTCCCGCCCGCCTCTGCCTCTTTCTTCTTCTCCTCAGCAGCATGCCTCTGCAGAGCTTCGAGTATCGTTTCTCCTCGCCCCATTAGCTCGACAGCCTCCCTCAGCAGCGTATTCTCCTTCTCCTTATTCGTGCCCTCGTTTGCTTCGGCTTCTTTCTCTTCCAGTTCTCTTTCTATCCTCTCACGCTCTTTGTGTGCTTTCCTCGCCTTCTGCATCGCTTCCTCATCTACATCTTCCAGCCACACATCGTGTTTGTCGTTGGGATCCTTTGCGTTTGCGACGTAGCTCTCTCCGTCCGCTGTGAATCTTCCTTCCTCCATCTCAGACTTCATGTTGAATGGCGTCAAGTCGATGCCCATGTCCCCGTCCAAGCCCTGTTTCCGTTTAGCCGCCATGGTCTCCTCATCATCAGAATCGTCACCGGCCGTACTAGACCCTCCTCGTCTGGTCCGATCAAATTCCTGACCTTCAATTTCATCCAGCGACATGAACTCTTTCTCCTTGTCCTTGCCTTTGCCTTTGTCTGCTTTCTCCTCTGGCTCATCGGCGAACATGTCCACATCGTCATCGTCCGCCTTGGCTCCTGGTCTCCGACTCGGTACAACACTCTCCTCGTCATTAGACGAGTCAGATCCGTACCCGTCAACGTCTTTGATCTGTTTACGAGACCTAGATTTGGCGGCCTTCGAGCCTTGTTGAAGATCCTCCTCTAACAAATCGTCGGCGATCTCTGGTGATTGTCGAGATGATTCGCCGTTTCGACCAGGTGGGGGAGATGCGAAACGAGTTCTCTTCTGCACGCTCGACGGCCCGGCATTCTGCCTCTTGGTGGACATGATCTGGTCGAGGAGCTGGAAGGGGCTAGTAAGTCGATGCAATAACACACTCAGCAAGTCGCGAGGTCTAATTTAAAAACGATGTGGCACATGCATTTCGTTCGAGGCGGGGTGCCGTCGCCCAAGGAGCCAAGCGACGTCTATGCACTCTCTTAGAGTGTTCATCTGCTTATATCTGCCGCCTCGGATGACAGCGTGTTTCTCACCCAGTGAGCTATTTCGGACTCGTGTAGAACAGCAGGCATTCCGCAGAACACATACGGAGATCCGTCTGGGGCTGCGTCGATTCCTGGCCCGAAAGTCGACTGACCAGGTCCTGGGCAACTATCGGAGCCTTTTGCAAGTCCGCCATGAGAGAAGCCTTGTGGGGGAAGTACGAGAGTGCCTGGGTTAGACTCGGTCAGATGTCCATTCACACCAGCAGTACACTGAGGACGTAATTGGTATCTTCGTCAAGATCGCGCCTTTGCACTCACCTTTCTTAAGAACCAGAGCCCACGGTCACTCATATCAGCTGTCTGATCAGCATGAATGAATGATATCCAGTCGCCTGGATAGACTGATACAGATATTGTCGAGCCCGTATCCGCAATCTCTTCCGGATTTGATCCAATCACAGCGCCAGACTTGCAAATCTCAAAGGTCTGAGGGGGGTCAAGACAGTGGTCCACGGCCTGAACTATGAGTTTGGGGATTGACAAGAGTGAGTCACCAATCGCCGAGTTCGTCATGCTGAAAGCCGAGGCACTCTCTCCGAGAGCTTGGCCGGGGAGCTCAAAGGTGAAGCAGCCGGGCCGTGCGACGAGAGCTGTAGCAGTGACAGTGTAGCAGTGACAGCTGCCGCCCCAGCAGCGATTAGCAGGGGCTTGCAGCTTCTTCGTGACCACCATTTCGAGGCATTGGAGCGAGTTCCTTCCCACCACGAAGAGGCTTTGGAGGTGGAAGCTGCGTCGCTCATGCTAGATTTGAAGAAGAATCAGTTGCCGCGGCCCCTGACGTGTGTGTTTTAGGCAGGCGAATATGTTATCTCTCAGAAGTGCAATTCAGTATTGATCCTAATGTGAGTGACCGATTCAGCGGCAAGACCAACGAGCACAACGACTTCTCTCCTTTCATGCAAGGCGAAGGAGTTGAGGCTCAAAGGTGGCGTCACAGATATTGCTCCAGTCACTTTGTGCGTCCCTCTCAGGAATGTGTCGAGACTCACGCGCCGAGTTGTGAGACCTGCGAGCAGTATTTGTTAGAGATTCTTCGGAGCCCAAGCTCCCGAGCTCCACAGTAAGTAATACTTGCCAAGCTGCTTTGTGACCTAAGAATGATCGGACTTGAGATTGGTCACCGTGACGTGACGAGTGCGATGCATGTCTCATTTCCAAGTCGTTGCTCTACTCAACGAGTCTCTTGAGTCCTCTGAGACCTTTGGTGCAGCCATGTCCTAGGCCAGATCCAGTTCTTCGCGCATCCCAGGACAACCACAGCGGAGACCATGCCGAACACGAGCTGCTGGCAGACCTTTAAGTCTTATTCCTGCGTCATACAACTTCAAGCTTTCGTGACCGGCGGACCAGCCGTGGTCGGTGCTGCTGGTGTCTGACTGTCAGTCGATGGTCGGGGAAGCTCCTCCTCTTGGTCTGGCGCACCGCTCCCCTGCTCCTGAGTGGCATCCTTTGACGGCTTGAAGAATAAGACATCATCGTACTTGCTCTTCAATTTCAACACCTTTTCTCTGCGTGGCTCGCCATCTTTGGTCCCTGTAGCGACGAGGACCATTTCTCCATCATCTCCTTCTTCCCAACGCGTTGGTCCAATGGGTAAAGTGAGCTCTTCCTGGACGGGGTCCACCAGCTTCAATAACGCGGGGTCGTAATTTGGAAGATCTCCCCATTTCCAATCTAGCTGTCCACCATACTTCTTGGGAATATTCTCCGGGTCGATATGCTCCGAGAGTTTGGCGAAGAGGTCTTTAGATGGCAGGATGAATACTTTGGAGGCCACGACAGGATCCAGCCAGTTTTTGATCCATGACCAAAGAGTGTCGAAGAATGAGGGAGCACCAATGACCTGTGGAAAGCGTGGAGCGTCAGAGGAATCACTTCAAAAGCGTAAATGACGCACAAAGATCTTGTCGAGTGTCTCTGGATAATGCTTTGTTGAAAGGGCACTGGAATCCTGGAGGTGACTCCTCAAGCTGTAAGCTTTTCGGATTCCAAGATCTGATACATCTATGATGTTGCAAGACTGAGTCATCGCCGCGGTCTTGGCATAGGGTCTGGTCGGCTCGGCCGTGCACCAGGGAGAGACGAATCCGACGAGATGCTCATATAGTGAGATGAGGCGAAGCATGTGGGCGGAAGAATCGCCGTGACCTGATTCGAATTTCCTGTACACATGATATGTCAGTCAGTTTGACAGTCTTCCCCTTGCTGGCTCCTCACTTCAAGCTCTTGGATTTGTCCGTTGCCGAGACCTCCGAGGGGTCAAGGTGGCCGACTTCAAAGACGTAGACCGGGAAACCTCTCTTGTCTCGCCGCCCTACCCATTGAGGATACTAAGGGAGCGGTCAGTCGCTTCCATGGCTTGAAAAGAGATATACTCACCAATCGGCGAGTTTCCTCATACTCATCCACGTCGATCGAGTCAAACACTTCATCGACCCGGAGGGTCTTCCTCCATTCCTCAGTCTCGCTGAACTGCTTGACCGCAGCTGGCGGGTCAAATTTGCGAGCTCGAAGGAACCGACTGAAGAGGAGCAATCAGTCTTCCATCTCCCTCTATCTCAACCTATCTCACAGCAGTATAGCATCGCTATGGGAGGGCCGCTTGCCCTCGGATGACGGGGTGTACGTGCCCTTTTCCGCCAAAAGCTGCTTGAATTTGTCCAAAGCTTGCTGTTGACTCTCTGTCAAATGGCCCAGTTGACCAGATGGATACTGCCATGTCTTGGTCGATGTTGAGGGAGGTTCTGCTTGCATCGTGAAGTGATAGTGAGAGAGACAACCTGTCGGATCGAGATAGTGGAATTCTGGTGACGGTTCAAATCAATCTGCGTCATTTTTGTTTTTGCCGATCGTCGGCCGCTCGGGGAGCGTCTAACACAAACACATCTTCAGTTGTGGCAGAGCCACAATATACCCGTTACTCAAAGCTGGCTGCACAGGCAGGGCGAGCAAAGTACGGATGGGACAGCTGTTCATGCATGTGTCCAATGATAATCTGAACGCAATCGTTCATTCTACCTCGAAGGACGTGAGAAAAGGGCTAGGCTAGCCATGAGGCCTTTCTCAATTGAGAGATCCTTCAATCTTTGCTGTACTTGGAGATAGACCGAACGGGCCCGCACGTCACAGTTCCGGAGCCAGACTTGTATACTGTTCCAGAAGTAGTAGCTCTGTCACTGACGCCACCCCTTCCCACCTTGGTGCCGTGCTCACTGCCTGAGGTCGGCAAAACGACTACCAACCAGGGGGTGAGTGGACCGGTGTGAGTGATGTGGCACTGAGGCGTTGATCAATCATGCAGCCAAGAGTCACAACACACCTCTCGGTTCGCACATCGTGACCCGTCCAATGGATCACAACTCTGGAGAACAAAAGTCTCGCCGCCTCGAAGTCTCACCGTGATTGTACGGGTGTCAATGTCAGACTTGCTACAATCACGGCATTGATCGTGGCTGGTCTTGACGACCACATGGCCACGTGGGTCCCAGATATCCCTGACAGATTCCCAGCCTTCGTGAGCAAGCTCTGCTAGAAAGCTTCGTTCGCCAGGAAGGGTTTCAAAGGTCTTGGTAGCCTGCGAGCGCCATATGTTGCGCGCGTCTGGGTGTGACGCGATGAGTAAAGCTGAAGGAACCGCAAAAAGGGCCGCTCTCCATATCCTTCCCCGTTTGGAACGCGAATCTCTTTCAACTTCGATATGACCTGTAGTCTCACTGACTATGGACTCTGCAGTCCTTCCAGCCTTCTCTTCTGCGTTTCTTTCGGTCGAGTTTGCAGAATCTCGTGTTTTCGAATCTTCTGAAGACATCGGAAATGGCTTGAAGGGAATTCCTCGTTCTGGTCTATACTGTTTAGATAATGTATGTCGGTCAGACGTGTCGGAAGGAGCTTGCTGTCTAGTGATAAGCGTGTAGACACAGAAGGAGTTATGCTATATCTCTGCTCAGCACCGTCTCGAGAGTCGAAGAAGAGAACGATCTTCCTTTGTGGAGAAATCCCCGCTCTCTGGGATCAAAGGATCAAAGTGGCGAGTCGTTCTGCAGTACAGTGAAGAACAGTCCGTACATGTCAGTTCGGAATTCTGCTAAGAGAATGACGCCGACAACAGAAAACGCGCTTTTCGGAGATAGATCCTATGGCTCACGTACTCGACAATCATATGGGGAACGTCCCGTTCATTGACGTAAATTGCATTGCAGCTCTCTCGGCAAGCTCAGACTACATGTGGAGCGATATTTTTCGGGTATTCCTCACATGATGACCGGCCGAGAGCCTCCGTGACCATGTCAAGACAAACCGCAGGCTGGCAGTGATCTGAATATGGCCGCGGCTGAGTCCAGTCGCACGGTACGAGGACTTTGTTCACTGTCTGGCCCGTTGAGAATCATGAACCATTCATGAAACAACCCACCCCGCTGTCCTGCTGATTACTGAATGTCCTGCCTGGTACTGAATCACGTACTCGCCACTGTTTGCGAAGTCTCGCTTCCCACATTCTGTCCCCAACACCATTGGTCCATTCGCTCCACATCACCCACTCGGTTGACTGGTCCATCCTTCGTGCAGGTCAGTTGGATCGTGCCAGAGCGCCAGTGTTCACCCTTTCTATCGGTGTACAGGACAGACCCTGTGGTGGTTCCCTTCGCGGGGAGCATCATTGCGGCAAATGGAGGTCCATAACCTTCGCTATGGAGCTCGCACTAGATAAGTGTGGATACGATCCATCAGCACTATCCCCCTTCAGTCTGGACAGACGATTCCGGTGGCAAGGACAACTCACATCTCTCATGTTGCATGTGGTCCCGTTTTCAACACAGACTCGAAAGTGTTCGAAAAATCCCATCTTAACCCATTTCTCGATATATCCCTGGGAGCTTGACCCTGGGCAATCGATCAGACTTGGCAGGATTCTCACTTCGGACACGGGAATTTGGTCTCTCCAATCTGGACAAGTACTTTCCGAGGGGGGCGGCGGCGTCGAGCAGTCAAGGTCACCGCCATGACCTCCAAAACGACCGATCCCGCTTTGTTGAATTGCCAATAAGCTTGTAGCTAGCCCCAGGGCACCAAGGAAAGCCTTCTTGCCACGGCTGTTTGGGAATATAGATGTGCTGCTGTATTTAGTGGTCAACTGAGATTCCTGACTTGTAACAAGGGGAGTCTGTTCTGTCATGGCTTGTCTGTGGGGCTGTATATGCTCTCAGATCAATCTGATATCACGAAGGAACAGCTGGCCGAGTGGCGAGGCAGTGGACGAGAATTATCGTAGACGGATGTATGTATTGTACTGTATTGTACTGAGGTAATTAGAAGGTTGCTTGATCTTGGGCGTCTCTGCAATCTTTATACTTTCATGGCATGAGACCACTTCTCCAAAAGAAAGGATAGGTGCTGTATGTGAGAAGTGTGCGAACGGTCTCGTCAGAAATGGTGTTTCGGTATGACCAATTCATCAAAGGATGACAGAGCCCGAACCATCCTCAGACTCGGCGGATCGGCCGTCGCATATGCCAGAATAGCAATGAGCACGACGAAAGGATACAGGAATAGAGAGCAGAAGAATGAACAAAAGAGAATTCATGTAGAACGAGAATGAGTCAATTACTTGCATGCACATCATCAATTCATCGAACGCGAACTCGGCCATCTCTCACATGGTTCTCAATCTGAGTTGAACTTGATGAGCAAGAAATTCGACCAGAGCCAAAGATATCAGGCGACACAGGTATGGCTGCGCCTACCTTCCCATATCGTGAAGGAAGCATGACCTGGCTCAGCCGAGTGGGTTCTCCATCATGATAGACGGTACACTTTCTCCCAGGTCAGCGAGAAGTCTTTAGGGCCGTCTGGTGACGTGACGTGACATAACTCACACTTCTCTTGTAAGTGCCGACTGTCCCGTCATCCTTGACGAAGGGGATCTCTGTATCGAATTTGAAGCTTGAGCCACCCCTCACCTTGGTCAGAAAGGAAGGCGGCGGTCCATCGGAACCGTCGTATAATAAGCTAGGACTCTCAAATCGATTAGGCGTGATGTAGATACTCCCTCTTGGCTGCCACAAGTCGCGAACTGTATTGGTGAGATTCTCTACGATAGACCCTCTGGTGGCCCTGTCTACTGTTGGATCACACATGGTCCAATGAGTAGGTGCAGTAGGCCGGAGGGCGAAATGCATCGCGGCCAGTCCCCCTAATGCAAGCAGCCTTTTGGTTCCAGGGGACAGCTGCGACATAGCGGACCACAATGACTGCCGATGCACAGAATTCTCTTCTCGGTCACTGTTTGGCGGCGCCACGCCGCCAGTGACATTGGTGCTTTCTGGTTCAGACTCTGTCGCTTGACTCGATCCGAGGTCATCTCCGGTTCCGGTGGTCGAGGTGTCTGTCTCTTTGCGATCGATACTGGCGTTCTCGGTGCCGGTGTCTTCCACCTGCCCTAGCTCTGACGGAGATGCAGCGTCGGTCATGTCGTCGAGAATCAGTAAATGAACGCAATTAGTAGTGATGGAAGAGATGTGAGAGGTCGAGAGACGGGTGGCAACGAAAGAAAAGGCTACATACTTCTCCTCCTCCATGGTCGATCGTGAAGCCCTTTACCTCCATTGACGTAGCTGTTTGTTTGTGAGCAATTGGGTCAAAGGATACCTCTCTTGACTTACGGACGCCACTGCAGAAAGCGAGTAAGAATAACGTTTTTCTTGAGATTAGAATCCCTTCATCGAGTCTTGACCCCGTCAACGCAGAGAGATTGTCAATCTACGGCATATCTGTGAAGGGTTCGCGCTAAGGTTATACGGTGATTGATTGAAGGTTCATATGATGAAGCACATTTCACAGCAGCGAGTTTCCATCGGTGATGATCCCAGAATATCAAGTCTTTACAGAGATTAGTCGCAGTTTGCTCAGCGCTTTGAATACTGGCCGTATCCCTCCATCAATCTTGCATGACCACGAGAACTTTGATTTACATAACAACAATCTGTTTCGGGACATAACGTTGAGTGTTGTATACGCTCTTTCCGGCCTGCAAGAAGGAGTTAATGATGGGAGCCCGCGGCCTGCACCCGGGACGGCTCACCTCCCACCCTGGAACATCACTCATGATTATCTTCTCTCTAGCCAAAGCCGCCTGTTCTCTCCTGTAGATATCCCTATCCATCTCGGCTTGAAGCAGAGGAAGAAGCCAGATCCTTGACCATTTCTTCTCCCTTTCGAGTTCTCTACGAAGCGAGAAGGCACATATCAGCTACAGGCGTCGCGGTGCTGTGAACGTTAGTGGCCCCGAGACTGACCTCTTCTCGATATTGGCTTGACCCATCTTGTAGAATCCATAACTGCAGATCAAGGCCGTGGTTCCCATGATGACTGCTCCGGATACTCCTCGTACGGGAAGATTCCGCTTGTAGGGGACATTGGCGTAACCCCCTTTTGGAGGCATATCCCTGAGATAGAGAGAAGTAGGTCAGCGACAGGCCATACGTCGTCACACGGCTTCAATCGCGGGACCATGGCTGGCAGCTGACAGCAGCGGGATCGGTGGCTCCCATGTGTGTGTCCATGAAAAGTCGCCCTAGCCTCGACTTACTGGGTGAAGCCATGAGCGGCTTTTGTGTACGTTGGTCCAGCAGAGCTCTGGCCAGACATGTCTCTCTTAGGTGTATATGACCCGTGTAAGAGAACGAATGAAGGCAGTGAGGTGAATGATAGGCGGCAGTAGATGCTCAGCCCCTGTTTGAATATATTTCTACGGTGGGAATTAACGCTTCCTATTTTATCCCGGGCTGAACTCTCTCCGGGGCTCCAGGCCGAGCCAACCAACGGTGACCCGTTTCAGCTGAGATGCCCAAATCTGATAATAACTGTTGCGTTCACCTTCGGTACCAGCTACACGACCGTTGGTATACGGCAAGCTAGAGATCCGACACGATGTATAGATCACCATGAATCGATTGACAAACGCCTTCGCCTCGTGAGTGTCCTATTTACACGTCTCCGAGCATGTTCCCGTCCATGTTCATGTCCTCACCCTTTCGTGGCGGCTGCGGCACCGCACCTCATGTGAGATCACTGGACTGATCTCGCGGAACTCTCAGGGCGACGGGTATTCCCCACCCTCCCGAAGTGCTCCCTTCCAGTTCCTCAACACCTCCCCAATCGACTCGACGCGACTCTTCTCGACATTCAAGGGTAGAGTTGAACTATGCTCAAATCTACGATGATCCCCGTCGGACCATCTTCTACGCTGCCGAGACATCCCAGAGCAGTGCGAGTTCTTTCAATGGGAATTCGAGGTCCAGTTCTTTACCTAGATCTATCGGGCGTCGAGAGAGACACCCGACTATTTGGGAAGCGGACAGGTCTCCTCGTTTGAAAGTACGATACACATTTGGTGGTTCGAAAGGAGAAGGGAAGAGAGGTTGGGGAGTATCAACTATACCGGGCAGTAGTCGGATCAACTGTATGGCTAAAGGTCCAAATGGACGATATGCCATTGGAGGAGGCCAATGTGAGTCTTTAGCCAAGCCTTACATTGGCGCTGCCCGTCTGAGACTTGTCCAGCGAGCGGTGTGCTTACAACTCGTCACAGATCTTCGAATCATCCAAGTCAAGTCATCAAAAGATCATTCACCTGAACGTATGGACGAAGTGGTCAATCTGTGGAAACCTAGCTATTTGGTCGATAAGAGCATATCAGATCTTGATTGGGGAGCTCATGGTACGTTGACGGGACGACTGATTCACAAACCCCTTTTCGCGCTGAACTCGTTTTTTCGCAGACTTGTCTAGCAAAATCTTCTCTGCTGCACCGAGCGGCAATTTTCTGATCTTTGACGTGAACAAGGGCAAGCTGGGTATGTCAGACGTGTCCGCATCGAGCTATACCTGAACCCATTCTCTCAGATCGGGAAGTTCGAGGAGGTCACTCGAGACCTATCAACGTGATTCGAGTCTGTCAATCACAATCACACAGTGGGATCATCATCACAGGCGGGACGGAGGGTCAAGCGAGAATTTTTGTGAGCCCCCATCTGCACTTTCATCCGCACTGTAGCCGTCAACTCACGCAGTATGTCAGGACATTCGACAACGTGAACCAAACACCAAGAAGCACTACAAGCATTCTGGAGCTATCACATCCCTGACGTTTGCCCCTGAATCACCACATCAGTTCCTTGTGGGATTAGACAATGGATCAATTCAGCGATACGACCTCCGAAATCAGTACAAGGCTACAGGGAGGATATGGGGTGCCCATGGCAATAAGGCAGTCATGGATCTGAAGTGGAAAGATGGGACGAGTGGGTGGTTGGCCAGTGCCGGCGAGGACAGAACGGTACAGGTATGTATGACTTCGCTCGGCGGTCACTTCATCAATTGCCCGAAGAACGCGTCGTTACTGGACTGACCCGTATGACAGATCTGGGACATGTCGCAGAGCTGGGAGCGACCCCCGACACCGACTCACACGTTGCATATCGCACAGCCAGTCCGGCGGATCGTCTGGCGGCCCAATCATCCCACGGACCTGGTGGTGATCCCTAATGCGTCCCCTCTATCGGCTATCGACCCAACAATAGCATCTATACCGCAAGGCCTGGAGTCCTACCAGACTATCGAGAATAATATTGAGATATGGGACGTCAGGCGTCATTACGTACCAAAATACGCTGTTCCTATCGTGTCCGATGGGACACCAATAGACCTCGACTGGTGGGATGATGATCGATTGGTCGGCGCTTTTCCTGGCTCATTCACCGAGATCGACATCCGGGAGAGACTTTTACCCCTTGAGAATCTGCCGAGGCAGATCATGGCTTGGTCACCGAGAGGAGAGCTCGTGTACGCCTTGGACAAATTTCAGCTGGGTGAAATACCATTTGACGATCCGTGAGCGAACGACGCATATAACAATGCTGAATTGATTCACAGACAGCCTGAACTCGCTAATCATTGGGATCGGATCGGTAAACGTCCAAAAGCTATTCAAGATACCGCATATGAACCCGTTCAAGCACTGGGCACGTTGGCTCTAGCAGACGTTGACGAGGAGGATTTCGAATTTTTGGCTCAGAACTACAGGCTTGAAGGAGGTTCAGCTGTAAATATTTGCCTTTGGAACCGTAGCGTGAGCGCGTCGAGACAGCCGTGCTGTAGAGCGACTGACCATCGCACCAGGTCGCCGAGCATTGTGGACGCCATGATGATGCTCGACTTTGGTCGTTCCTCCAAGTTTTGATAGACGAATTCACACCTCATTCCCCCACCGTCGACCCCTTCTCAGCACCAGCGATGCCCAAGTCAGATCTGCCTAGTCCTTCTCTGTCACCTCGACAGACGGCGGTCAGCGCACGGCGCTCCCCTAGCCCCATCGCACTGGAAAGAATCGATGACACGTTGGACGATATAGAAGAGCTATTGACCATTTCTTCATCTTCTTCAAGCATCGCAAACCAGGCCATTCAGCCTTCCCGTGGTATCCACCCAAGAGTATTCACTTTTGCTCCGTTCCCGTCGACACTATCGAGGACAGATAGCGAGAAACCATCTCCTCAACCACGTCCTATTGTTCCCAGTCTCCCATCTACATTTACCAGTCCTCCCATCTCTTCTGGCCGAGGTACCCCTCGACCTCTTCTCGCTCAGATTGCCGATAGGACGGGAAGACGAATGTCTGCCCAAGTCACTGCTCAACTTGACGATGGGAACGACGATGAGGATGACGATGATGATTATCCAGATCCTTACGGTGTCATGCCGTCGGCAGTGGTACCAATCCCTATACGGTCCAACTCGGTCGCCCAAAGCTATGGTCGAGGAAGCGCTTCGAGCGGATCAACAGCGAGAGCTAGTAATGCACATCAAACTCGACCGCCAAGAGGTTCCAACGACTTTCTTGATACAAGTAACAGCCAGAGAAATCTCTCCACGACCATGACATCCACGACCGACATTTCCCGACCAATCCCTACGACTCGTTCCCCTCGGTCGTCGCATAAACCTAGTCCACAGGCTGCGGCTGTCCCTCCCCCGCGTGTGGACTCACCAATCAAAAGGGTTCAGCTACCGCCCGCTTCGCTGGATCCGAATGGAATGATATCGCCCTGGGGTAAGGTCGATAGGTCGAGTGAATTCGGACAGGAGGAATGGACGGCGTACAAGAAGCAGAGAATGGCCCCGCTGTTGGCTTGGTGGTTGGCTTATGTGGACGATGTGAGTTGACTGCAGTCGGCAGGAACTAGTATTGACGCATTCGTAGGGCGAGGTGCAACTTGCCAGCACATTGCTCGTTGTGGGGAGGGAATATGTCGATTTCCCAGTAGCTCAATCGGAACGCATCGTACATGCTTACCTGGGTGAGCTGGTATGCACAAGGGACCTGAGTTCGTGACTCATTCTCGGCTCAGAATTGCTTGAGGCTCACCATCTCGCTGTGCAAGCTGCTTACGTCAAGAAGTATGCCGGCCTCGATTCCATGGAGACCCGAGCAGGGGATGACGGTGTGACCCATGTAGTTCACTGTGCATCCTGTGGCCGATCCACGGGGTCTGTGGAGATTTCTCATGAAGAAGCATCTTTCTGGTGGTGTAAGCGATGCAAGAAGAACGCTAGGTATTGTGTGGTCTGGTGAGTTGAAACGACGGTGACAGGACTGATGCCATCAGTCATCGGCCAGTCAAAGGTCTGTACCTTGGTTGCAGGCAGTGTCATCACGGAGGGCATCAGGTGAGTGGCAAGAGCGAGAGCCACAGGCGAAGGGGCGGAGAATGACAGATTACTGACGATGAATGACAGAAATGCATGAGGCTACATTATCGTGAGTGTGGCGCGCTGGCGCGTGGATTGCCAAACGTTTATCACACAGCTGATCCCAACTGTCTGTCACTCAGTCGAATCTGAACCTCGAGAATACATGTCAGTCGCTCGTGCCGGTCAAACAGACAAGTCACGGACGTCTGGTGAGACGTACAGATCCAGTGGGGATGATCTCAAACACATGTCCGATACGACTCCTCCCACCGCCATCAAGACTTGGAACCCCTGTGCCACTGGATGTGGATGCAAGTGTAGGATCACTGTAGGGTTTGCGGAAGAGTTATGAGCGGACCAAGCGGCGTAATCTGTTGCCATTTCAGTCATAATGACCTAATAATCATGACATTGTCATTGACGACGATCGCTGGAATATATCTTTTATCCCGCCGAATGTGGCACTTTCGTCAGTGGCGTAAACCTATTCCCAGGAGCAATCTGATAAAAAAGATCATATCATCGCCGGGCCTCGGCTTGGCTTCTCGGGGCGATTGCTGGTAGCAACAGCAACAGCAGCAGCAGCAACAGCAGCAGCAGCAACAGCAGCAGCAGCAGCGAGCGTCGTGACCAAAGAGGAGAGCTCAACATCGAGTGCTATCGTCTGATCTGTGTCATCCTCGCCGTCGACCCGACTCGCGTGAGACTTTGAGCCTCGAAGTTTGGCCGCAAGAGTACTAAGCCCGACGGACACTCTGTCGGAAGGGAAAAGAAAAGTTTTTTGCCACTAAAACTCCAGTGGAATGGGATGGATGGATGACATTGTGATCATTACGAGGTGAACCAGATCGAAGAGCGAATTTCACTTCACTTCTCATCCCGTTCGAGTTGGTGTGTGTCTCTCTGGGTCTATCACGGACTGGCGCTTTTATTCCCTTCCAGCGAGTCAGGTGTGCTGCTGCACAATCACACACATACCTCGGCCGAAAGGAGTGCTCTGAGCGAATTCCGTCCGAGCTCAGTACATCTCATACCCTCCCACCATCTCCATACCTTTGATGGTCTGACCCTTCTATCCCTTGGGTGACCGAACGACGACGACGACGCTGGACGACGACTTGGAATAGGAGTCTCTTGGCCGGGAAGGAAAGGGGGCTGTAATCCAATCCCCCCCAAAAAAGGTCATCTTCATTCCACCAAGCACTGAGCAGTCTGCTGCTGCTACCTCGGACTTGAGCTCGGGCAACGAAAACTGTCAGCATTCCTTTGCCGAATTCCAATTCCCTTTGGCCAACGGGCACACGGGCTCTTTCTCCCAAAGCAAACAGGATGCGATCTCGTACTTCCACTCTATCCATCCATCCACCTGCTCCTCACCACGACGAGTCTCCTCCGTCGACCTCAACAGCCTCCTCCAACCCATCCTCATCCTCATCGTCATCCTCTCAAGCAGGGCCTTCACGCTCACGTCAAGGTCAGAATCCATCCTTCCTATCTGCACCAGCTACCACTCGAAACGGTCGAAAATCATCCAAGACAATCTCCTCCTCTCGACCCTTGATCAGCATCACTTCATCCATTCCCGGTCTCCGAGCGAAATCCTATACGTCAGATAGAGCCGACTCGACACCTCGGACTGCACCTGTCCATTCCATCCCGAGCTTGTTGAGATCACCTTCATCAGGCGATGGACTTGGAATCAAATCCACGCCGGGAAACCCTCGAGGTGGATTGAAGAGGAGGTTGTCGACCCCGAGGATGGGTAAAGTGCAGTTGGATGGGACTGAAGACAAGGATGTCGATGTGGATGACCTCAATCTGGGGGGACCTATCGGCATCAAAAAGTCATCCGATAAAGCGGGCTCATCGAGCAAGTCTCAACAGACCAGAGGGAGATCCACTTCCACTTCCATGGCATTACCTGTCATCCTTCAGGAATCACCCACTGAAGCCCAACCGCCTTCCTCATACCCCCCTTCTCTTGCCTCTTTCAGGCAGCCCTCCTATTCCCCTTTCGCATCTGTGCCCTCGACAGAACCCGTCACCTCCACATCCATACTCACTTCAGCGTACAACTTTGGCGAAAACTCCGTCTTACGCCTAGCATCATGGCTTAGACAACCCACGCCACACCGGCTCGTTCGTCGTCCATCTGAGGACTCTGAGAAGGGCGTGGGCCCAGGCGAAAGCGAAGAAATCGAAATCATCGACAGTGTGGGCTCCATGCGCACTTCAACAGAATCTTTCGGACGAGATGGGCAGTATTGGATGGATGATGGGTCGACCAGGGGCTATTTTTCACTCCCCCGAACATCTTCACCAGGATACAATGATCAATACAGTCCGAGTGCTTCTTCTCTCCGGACTACCTTGCCGACACCTGCACTCTCGACAAGCAGTCTGTCCAGTAGCATTGGCCGGAAGCCTACAGCCTTGGGGTCCCCTGAGAGACACGGTTGGTGGAGTTTGGTCTACAAGATATGGGCAGGGATGATCCCTCAAACGGCCGGGGGCAAGACGGCAGAGGTGATACGTGATCTCGGATGGACAGTTGCCCTTTTGGCCGGTGTTTTCATCGCCACAGCCTCTGTGGCTCTATGGCTCATCAGGTGCATGCCAATGTGAGTCCTCAAAGTCGCCGGAGCGGGGAAGAAGGTGGCTGATGATCCGCCTCAGCACCCAGCTCAAGCACATTCCCAAGTCCACCACGGATCTGCAGCTCTTGTCTGCCGAGATTCGCTCGTACATGGCGTCAGGAGATGCTGGATGGTATCACACTGTCGGCGTGTTGCTGTTCGTTGGGTGCTGGAAGCATGCGTGGAGTGTGCCCGGAGCAGTGATATTGGTAAGTATCACGTCGCTCAGTGACGACAGGTTGCTGACTTCCTTTGGCTTTCAGAACATTCTTGTTGGATCTCTGCTCGATCCCATGCCCGCGCTGTTTCTTCTGACCATCATCACCGCCACTGGGTCTTTGTTCTCGTACCTCCTCTCCAGGCCCCTCGCACCGCTCATCGCGGTCCTTTTCCCGAAACCGCTCTCACTCGTTCGCGCCGCACTCGCACCAGATTCCCTTCCCATTCCTCCCTCCTCCGGGCGGGCCACCTTTGCTGTGCACGAACGGATCACCCCTATACAGATCTCCCATGATCCCACAGCTGAACCCCTCGGATCCTCCAACACGAGCGTCTGGCGCCGGCTCCTCATCATGCGAGCTATGGGCTTCGTCCCTTGGTCCGGGATGAACGTGGCATGTGGGGTCGTCGGAGTCGACTGGAAAGTCTTTTGGTTGACCACTGCTGCGGGTTCTGCGAGCTGGTCTTACGTCACGGCCTCTGTGGGAAATATTATCTCGCGTTTGGCGATCCCTCAGACGTCAGAGCTCGTGACTGGATTCGACGGCGATAATGTCGTGTCGTCTGCTGGAGGAGAAAGTTTGACCTCGCTGTTGAGAGATCCGGTGCTCATTACCAAGATGATCTTCCTGTCGGGATTGACACTCGTACCGGTGATTCTGAAGCGAAGATCCTCCAGTCCAAGCGTGGCTGCCGACGGTGTTCACGCCGAATCGGATCGCACGTCGATGGATCAAACCCTCCTCCTCAGCTCTGGCGTAGGACCCAAGGGGCCCGCGACTGGGATCACCAGTCTTGACCGCCTCGCTCCGCCTCCTTCTCTGAACCCTCACCGGAATCATCTTCACCCTGCCATCCCCCGACTCGACATGGAGCCTCTTACACCCAATTCGTCTGTGCCTTCTAGTCCTCTCACCGATTCCTTGAAAAAGTTCACACCCACCCCTGCGGTCTTTGATCTCTTATCGTTCGGACGCACAGCTGCACGACAGGGTCTCAGAGGTGCTCAGGGAATTGGACGCAAAGTCGCCAGTGGAATCAAGGGTGTCTCGAGGGATAGACACTAGGAGAGAGGAGATTGCGTTTTTGCGCATATGTCAGCCAGGCCCAGGAGTAATAAATACCGATCGCAAAACCTTTCGTGTGACAGCAGATCGTTGCGAGGTCCTGTAGCATAATTGCTCGAATAGCAGACGTAGCGCCCACACAATTGTCCTTTTGTACATGACGTATCACACCACACCACACATTTAATGACGACCATGCAACGCAAATAACGTTTGATTGAATACTGATCTCTTCGTCTGCATGCTGATCCTATCAAGCAAACACTATTCCATCCGATATGAGCGTTCAGACAATCACTCTACAACACAAAATCTTGATGGGATAAAATACGTATGGGATGAAAGCAGGTAAAGGAAACAGTGGGTAATGAGAAGACCGGAAACGAGACAGGAGAGAGACGCGTCTTTTTGAGAACTGAGAAAGCGAGTTGAGTAGAGCGCCAGGTGGGCCAGATAAGACCAAGTACTTTCCACCAGGCTTATGTCGATCTTCGAGAGCGATGAGTGAGGGATGTATGAAAGATCCGCTTTGGCGTCGTCTGCCTCTCTTGCAAATGACAAGCTGTCCTGCAAATGACAACACCTCGCTCAGATTTGGGCATTCCGGTACCAAGTGTTTTGGGGCTGTCGAGACTGGGGAACCATATAAGGATTTATATCTTTCAAAGGAGGCGAAACCCAGCGCGAGAACCTAGTCATGTCCGGTCTCCATGTGATGCAGGAACCGTCGCAGAGGGGGCTTGGATCCTTGCAAGTGGCTTCTGAACCCCTGCTCAAAGCGTCACATTGATACTTCCAGTATCTGCTTTGAGGTTCATCCACCCATCACCAGGTTTATACTCGATCGGTTCACCACCTGTCCAAGCTGCTCGACCGTTGAACACGCGAGGGAATCGACCTTCCACTCGATCAATGTTGATTTCTCTTCTCCTTCCTCTTCCCAACGGGTCCTTGACCTTGGTGTCCTCGCCTTCCACGCGAATAGATCCAAGTTGAGTCAGGAAACTGAAAGCCCCCTCGAATAGAGGATTGCTATGCACTGGAATCGTAAAAGAGTGAGTGGAGTGTTCACCTTTGGATAAGCATAGCATCACAAAACTTACCCCCTATGGATCCCATACTGGTCGAAACGTCTTCTTGAAGTCTCCTCGTCGGGTCTTCCCATTCGCGATGCTTGAGATCGACACTCCCGGTAGATGATTTCAGCTTGACACTGTAGGGTGTCTCCTTGAGCGCATCTTTGGCAAGAGCGAGTGTGAGATCGATTGACCCGCTGGAAGACGAAGGGCGGCGTCAGTCAATACTACCAAGAGCAATCGGCAGCCACCTTGACACTCACGTGGATAGTCGGACATCGATAGAATCAGAAATGGAGACGTGACCATTGACGGATCCACCGCTTCCTCCGATGATGATGTTCTCTGCAGAAATGTTCTTCATTCCCACACTTCCAACGGATGAATGCACGCCAAAATGACTCAACGGAGAAGTGTGTATATCTCCTACGCTGGTCGATCCGATGGGCGTGTCGATGTGCAAGGATGGCTTGGTTGCGAGTAGTCCCGCCAAGACCTGAGGACCCGTTTTGCCCATGAGGACGCTGCTGATGATTTCCAACCATGTTCGAGTGAGCGATTTCCTCACGGTCAAATTCGGGAATTTTCTCAATAGCTTCTCTAGAGCAACTCTATCGTAGTGTCCCAGTTTGACCTCTGCAATGGATCGAGGAAGGAATATGTGGATACGGAACGAGAGTCGAATGTTGTCGTCATCGTGTTCTGGGTTCTTCTCAGGTCGAGCCGTATAAATGCCGACTCCATCTCGAATGCCAAAGTCCTCCCCTATTGTCAAATTGCCAACATTCTTCTCGTCCTTGGCCATGCGACAGATATTGGACGCCTGAAGGTATCTGTATGCCAAGGATTCAGTTAAGGGTGAACCTTGAGGCACTCCGATCATACTCTCCACGGTGATTCTGGCCTTGTCACCATCGTCATGGGTGGAGACATAGACAGAACCGAGTCCGGCGGGTCCAGTGAGCCGGGTAAAGATATCGTCTCGGACGGGCACGGTGAACGTTACATCTGTGCTGAATCGATCGTAAGTCAGGTCGGCAGATAATTCAGCTTCTTCTTCCCGATCCCGATCACGATCGTGGTTGTGGTCGTTGTATGGTCTCCAGACGGTTGACGAATCAAAGTAAGCACATTCGATGGCGACACCGTCTCCAGGGAAACGGGCAGGATCAGCTTCGTCGCCTTTATGTGGTGGACCATCGGGGGGTGGTGATGGCTGTGAAGGGGGTGGTGGAGATGGTTGGGATGGGTCATTTGGTTGACCAGGGTGGTCAGGCTGACCGGGTTGTCCATCTCCTCGGTTCCTATCGTCACGTCTGGGATCTCTGTGTCGAGTGACATTGATAATGATGAGGACGATGAAGAAAACGACTGCCATCCATCGGATAATTCCTCTCCATTTTTGTCGTCGGCGATGCTTGTGTTTCCCATGAGAGAGCAAAGGATCTGATTCTCGTCCACCTCGTCTTCCCCCGCTTTCTTCATCATGATGATCGATGGAGGGCGGCAAATCATCAGATCCACTATTGGTGATGTTGTTGGCACCGACATTTGCACCGTTGAATCCAGGTGCCCAACGTGGAAGTTGAGAATAGGGGATATAGATCAGGTAACCTGGATCTCGGGGATAGGCAGAAGATCCTTCTTCTCGAGGTGAATAAGGAGGAGCGACATCACCCGCCGTCATGACTCGACCTTCACCCTCACCGCTAGAGCTTGCATTGGCGTTGGTCGAAGTGTTGGTGTTGTTGTTGGTGTTGTTGTTGTTGTCGTCCTTGTCTTTAGACTTTGGATTCAATCTTCCAAAGAGATTGTTGAAATCCAATCGGGAAGGTCCTTGGCCGTGATTCGGGTCCATAGTGAAAGTGTGAGAGAGAGAGTGACAGCGATTCTAGCCAATTGAGACTCTGATAGGAAATGAGGTTGCAGTCTCTCCGGAGATCAAGATGTCCCACGGAGAGACCCCGCCCCTCACCAAAAGCTTGGTCAAGTTGAAGATCCAGCAATTGTCCAGTGACAAGAAGGAAGTGTTGAGAACTGAAGGGAGGATTGCGTGAGCGTCCGGTCGAGGCACTGCCCGGAAAGGAAAACGGAATCAAAAATATCTTCAGATCTGATCAAGACTCTGACGTGGCATTTTTAACAAATAGAACATGAACACAGCCTGTTGACAAGTGAGCCAAAGCATGACAGTCATGGCTGAAGTATGTGTATGACACACACGGTTGGAGTTGTAGGCCATATTCCTAGGAGGATTGTCTTGATTATCATTCTCACTTCATCGCATATCCTCGAGCAACACTATTTGTGCGCAGCGCTTTCCCAATGACGTGCCACAATTGGCCGCCACGCTGAAGATCTCAAGGCAGGGCCAGCAGGCCAATCTGAGGACTGTATTGGCCAGCGGGATATGAATGAGAAGGGTGTGAAAGGTCCTTGTACACAACGAGGGCCTCAGTTCATCAGGGTCTATCGGTGAAATGCTTGGCCCGCCACGATGCTAGCTCCAGAGTCGTCCGCCTCGCAGCTCGAAACATGGGTTCATTGTCCTTCCTGCGCCTCAGGCGGATCGCGGCGCCATCATTTCAGGCGAGCACTGTCAATCAACCACATTCGATTCACCTCTGAAGCTCTGAACCGCTGCCTGTCCTGCAGATGCAGATCGAGTACAGGCTTTGACTCACCAAACCTAATGGATGCGCCCTGATTGGCTGGATTTTTCACCGAGTGCCACATTGACCATTTCGCCGCTTCGGCTCAACCTGCACCTCTCTCTCTCCGTTCATTCGATCGTCTCTACACGGTGAGATCGTGTTGTCATACATACATACAGTCGAGAGGGCTCGTTTGCGACTCTGGACACTTTGTCGATCAGGGGGCAGAAGACACACAGATCTCAGCCAGATAAAGTCCAAAACGAGTCACAGCTTGGCCCCCCTTCCATACATACAAGTCAGAAAAACCCGGCACGATGAGCAGACCCACCATGTCAGCCCTTCGATCACTCTCCCTTCTCCGATCTTCATCTACTACTACTACCCTTCCTCTCTCCTCTCGATCCTTCTCCACCGCTTGCGCACGACTCATGGCCTCCTCACCTCAAAGTGGACCTGGATCATTGCGCCCTCCACCAGCTAAAGGAGCTTCGTCTGGCGGTAATATGCTGGACGCCTCGTCCCCTCAATCGAGACATGCGAACGAGACGATGCCTGGATCAGCACCCGCCGCTAATCCTGGAGGAACGGCGGAAGATGGCGTCGTAGATTATTCGACTGGACAGAGTGCGATCGATAAGGCCGCGCATCTGTTCTTCTTAACGGAAATGGCGAGAGGTGAGTCGAGGCGAGCGAGCCAAGGCGGCACAAAGCGTGCCCCTCAGTGTAGCGAGGAGGCGTCTATCGTCCCTGTATGGGCGACGAGTCTAAGTAAGGGTTCGCTTGAAACTGGCGCGCGCCCTGTCTAGCTACTACCCAACGCAAGCATCGGTTGGATTGGTACATGCTACCATTCATTCCAATCCAGCCAGTACCCATCTTGCGCTTCGCTGTCTCGCCGATCTCAATGACCCACAATGACCTATTTGCTGACGCATTCTCTCACACGTACAGGCGCCTGGATATGTATGGAACAATTCTTCCGACAACCTTACACCATCATGTACCCTTTCGAAAAGGGACCTCTGTCACCCCGGTTCAGAGGCGAACACGCTTTGAGGAGGTACCCGAACGGAGAGGAGAGGTGTATTGGTGAGTCAAGAGTGGTTGTTATAGATCGCGGGCGTGGGATCGAGGGCATACGGAACGTCAAACAAGCTCGCTTCTTCTTCTTCTCCTTCCTCCTCCTCCTCCTCTCGTTCAATCCAACTTGATCCCCCTTGTCATTTTTGCCGCCTGCACCTTCAAGCTTCACTTCGCCTCTCCGTCTCTAGTCGAGTCACTTCCCGCTGACATCTGTCAACCCCTCCAGCATGCAAACTTTGCGAAGCCATCTGCCCAGCGCAAGCCATCACGATCGAATCAGAAGCGAGAGAAGACGGATCAAGGCGGACAACACGATATGGTGAGTCGGTCTCGTGGGGAACGCAAGTCTTGCTTCCGCCCCCTTCCGCCCACTACCCCAGATGGCGTGGTGTGGCAAGGACAGGGTTTTCCCTTACGCAGAGCAAAAACCTTTCCCAGCTGACCTTTCTGCCTCTTTCCCCAGATATCGACATGACGAAATGTATCTACTGTGGATTCTGTCAGGAAGCTTGTCCAGTCGATGCGATTGTCGAGAGTGAGTATTTCTGTTGCCGTTCTTTCTCTTTTCCCCCCTACCTCATCCTACCTACCTGCTCGTGTCGAGTCTCGTCGACGCACTTGGCGTAGATGGAAAAAAGACACATTCACTACACATGAACAATCTGCGCTCGCTCCGCTCGCTCGCTAAGGCGTAACTAACCCTGCTCAGCTCAAAACGCCGAGTTCTCCACCGAGACCCGTGAAGAACTCTTGTACAATAAGGAGAAATTATTGAGTAATGGAGATCGAGCAGAAGCAGAGATTGCTGCCAACCTTCAAGCCGACCATGTGAGTTTGGGCCCGCGGGGCCGTTCAGTCGGTATCGAGACAGACAGACGCTGACCCATGTCCTCAGTTCTACCGATAGCTCAAAAACATTTTGTTTTTCTTTTGGCATACGATTACAGGATCCCTGGTTTGTCTCATACCCATTCTCGTACAAAAGAGGAATGACATGCATGGGGTGCAGCGATACACGGTTGGTTGGTACAAGTCTTCTTTGTGTGTGCGTGGTGTGCGTGTCTTGCGAATCAGTCAGACAATGCTACTTTTCCGCTTGCTTATCTGCCAGCGGATCCTGCGCGGCTCCTGCTGCCTTTGTTTTGGGTCTCTAACTCCAGCCGTATCCTCATTTTCCTATTCCTACCTCTCTCCCTCTATAAGAGAAAAGAAGTTCCTGCTCTCGATACTTCCTGCACTGACTGCCCTCTCATGCGCTTGCTAAGTTGCTAGCTTGCTTGCTTTTCTTCCTCTTCCACTCGCGCTCCGCTCCCGGTCCCGCTCACAATCTCGCTTCTTCTACCTTGAGCGGTTCGACAGGATAAGCCGCTCTAGAAGGTATTAAACCAGCTTTGAATCGATGTATATTATCGATAAACACGTTATTCGGTCGAACGTTGACTCCATCGTCTTTGATGCCTCCCTCCTTTTCTCGGAGATCAGAGACAAGCGCACCGAGTTCGTCCGCCGCTTCAGGTCCCAATGATCCGCCCTGAACAGATTTTTGAATGGCTGATTCCGCGAATGCCTTGACGTCTTTGAGCGACGGAGAGGACGCCAAAAGAGCTTGGACGGCGTTCATATCGATAGGAATGGAATGTTTGGTGAATGCCTCGAGGAGGGGAGAGGCGGATTCAGGATCAAGGACGGTACCTTTGAATGTCGATCGCATATGGACGGAAAGCTTGGATCGAGAGGATGACGAAGGGTGAATGTATCTGTTGAACATGTCCAGCACGTGAGATTTGGTAGTGTTCTTCAGGTGATGAACGTCCGTTTGCCCTGAAGGAGTTGGGGATCAGTTTCTCTCTGGCGCGACACTGCTCAACACTTACGCTTTCCGAATTCGTAGAATTGATCTCCAATGGCTGCCCAGAATCGTCTCGTTTCTTCACCCAGGTTCTTTGGCTTTTCCTCTCGTTTGGCGATCAACGCCGCTTTCTGCTTCTCGAACTCCTCCTCTGACATTTCCTCGATGTGCCCCTTGAGCCATTCGAGGAACGCTTCGATTCGAGTCTCCACATACACCGGATCACGTTCAGATTGAACAAGAATTCGGTAAAACATGCTGCCGACATTGGCAGTTGCTTGAGAATCGGTAATGTAGCCTAGTTGCTCTTTTGTTCGGAGGCGATCAAAGGTAGGTTCCGAAGCGATCTGAGCAAACAGAGCAAGATGGGCGCGGAGGGCTGCGTCAGACCGGTCGCCGACGTAAAGAGAGTACGTGATGGCGGAATTGGATTCGGCAGAGTTTGACAGATCAATGGACCAGATGTGCTCCGAGGCTACAGGCGATGAAGTCAGCGAAAGGAGCCCCGAGATGCCGTGATATCCTTACCTGGCGGGTACGTCAAGCTTCTGACGGAATGCTTTTCACCCTCTGCCAATGCACGAGGATGCAAAACGCGCTCAAGCATGTCTTGGATCTCTTTCGCGCCCTGCAAGCGAGTCACTTCTCAGTGCCTTTCCTGGTAAATGCAGACAATCAAGCTCACCTGCTTATCCGTGTTGCCATGAACCAGCGTCTCGATGAAAAGCCTCTGCAGGACTTCCTTCGCATACGCCTTGACCTGGTCCGGTGTCACCTCTACAATAGTAGCGTCAATCGACTGGTCTCATCCATGAATTCTACAACTCACGCTCGAGCTCTTCGAGTCTCTCTTCAGGTGTCCAAACATCCTCACTGTGGACGTACGAGCCCCAATGGATGACCTGGCGGTACGGGTCGTTCAATGGAAAGTTTCGCCACGCCAAGCGGAGCTAAGCACCGATCAGCCATGTCACGTTGACCGTCGCCCCGCCCCCTGGCGTCATCCCACTCACATCCTCTACAATGCCATCGAACCTCTTTGGGTCCACTTCAAAGTCCATCATCTTCTTCAACATCGTCTCGAGCAACACGGCGAGCTTGTCGCTGAAACCTCCTGCTCCAATACCGATGAACGAGGTGGAATACTGGACATTGAAGCTCAATTCAGCCATTTCAGCGTCATAGATGTCTTCGCTGATGGAATCGCCGAACAAATCGATAAAAAGTCGAGCTAGCACATGGTTACGAGGCGTGTTGTTGAGGATGGGCCTGGGTAAAAATTGAGCTATCAAGAATTCAGGAGCGACTTACGAATGCAGCAGTACATTGACATAAGCCTTCGGGAGCCAGAACCTGTCATCCTGCTTGTGCCACAACCGAGAGACAGAGGTGTCCGTAATGAGGGTGGGTCGCAAAGCGGGCTTAGCGGGAGTATGAGATAGTACTCCACCGAAATAGAGGCGCACACACACTGACCTCTTTGACGTCAAATCTGTTCACATCCAATCGCTCAGGGATGAACAAGTTCTTGCCTGGCAGCTTGAGCTCTGGAATAGGCGCACCGCTCATTGCCTAACGGTCATCTCAGCGCAAGTCTCCGAGGTATCGTCGTCGTCGTCTCACAACACCCCCTCACCTCTTTCATGAACGCCTTGTCAAGCTTCATCATCTTGTATTCCGTTCCATAGATCGGTTCAGTGAGATTGAATGAACCCTCTACATCGGCTGGGAGTTCCCGGCCGGTGATTCCGATGACGGACGTGCGAGGATCCAAACATTGGATCGCAGCAATGATCTCGTCCTCTCTAAATTCCTCGAGACGTGCTCCACCCGATAAGATCTTGTCTCGCGGTAATGGCTTTTGCATCCAATTGGACACGGCAGTCGCGTATCTGCCATTTTTCGCCTTTTCAGCGAACCGAAAGGATATTTCAGCCATGGCTTTGATCTCGTTGAATATCTCTTCAGAAGGCCGTTGAGATCGCAACAGGTTGATGTACTTGTATATGGCAAGAGATACATCCTTCCAATGTTCTAAAGAGCATGGCTCAGTGGTATTAACGGGGCGAAAGAGACACTCACGCAATCCTGATGGAGTTAGATCCACACCAATCTTGATAAAGTCAAATCCGACCGCGGCGTGAGAAGTGCCAGCACGAAGGCCATTGACCCAGCCTTGTTTTTTGAGGTACGAAAGGAGGGAACCAGGGCCTTCATGCCCGATGAAATGGGTAAGATAGTGTGCAGGCTGGATAAGAGTCAGTCGATAGCCTAGGGTTTGTTTGTACTGGGGCTCACCTTGGACTGGTATAAATGATCAATCTCGGGGAATGGGAAGGTGATCTCTAGCCCTCTATTATCCTGCACAGGCTTTGCAAAGACGACGTGCTGTCATATAGGTCAGCGTCCAGTCCACAACGCAACCTCCTGCGATGACACTCACGCCCATCTGCTCTTCCGAGATCGGGTTGGTCTCAAAAGCGACCCGTACACCCTCTTCCCCAACGTCCGGCAGCCCCTCACTCCTCACGGGAACATCCTCGAATCGTTCCTTGACCCACTTCTCCAACGTATCTAGATCTTCTTTCCCGACAACTGCCAACTTCATCCTTCGCGCACAGTACCATTTCTCCCACCAGCTGATGAGCTGTTGTCTTGGATCACGGCCCTGGGATTTTGGTGTGGACCATAGTGAATCGTAATCGCCAGTCCCGAATTTATGGTAAGCGTGATCTTTCCGCAAGACATGTTTCTCAAGTTGGAAGAGGCGCTGGCGGGAACGAGAATGGTGTCAATCAGGAGTGCGTCGCACAGACAGGAAGAAGGCCAAAGTGAAGCTCACCCAAATGTCATTCTGGAGATTCTTCTTGTGCTCCGAATCGACCGCTTTGATCTCTCGCTCCGTGCAGTCCTGCATTACATGTGAGCGAAAAAGACAAAAGTGGAGGGGCCATGGTCAATCGCTCACCTCGTTGAACAATGGTTCCTTGAAAAAGCCTGAGAACCTATCTAGAGCACCTTCGAGCGCATCGGCGCCGACATCAAAGAAGTATACCGTGGATGTCATGGCGGTATAAGCATTGGAGTGACCATTATGAGAGGAGAGGTATTGTTGGTAGGCGTTTTCGACGGGGTACTAGATTGCAGAGCAAGGCGTGTCAGCGACGATTCGGTGTCACTTGGACGGAGGGGGTTTCAGGAAGCTTGCGATAATGATGCTCCATATTCGCTGCAGTGCCGCTAGCAGATGGCTTGGCTCACCTTTTTCGTCCCCATGAACAACAAGTGTTCACAGAAATGCGCACAACCAGGTAAATCCACTGGATCGCTCAGATGGCCTACACCTACATCCATACTTGCTGCTGATTTATCGGCTTCGGGATCTGAGATGACGATGACTTCCAGACCATTTGAAAGTGTGAAATACCGGTGAGGTCGATCTTCCGTCGGAGGGAGGATCAAGTCGATCGGTCCAGGGGCTTTCGGGATAGGTGGACAAGGGGGGAAAGGGGACCGAGAGGCCATGATGGGTGAAGGAGGGAGTGGAATAGCGGGGGAAGATGACGACGAGGTGGTATGACTGAAATGAAGGTAGAGGGTGGTGAGTAGAGGTACGAGGATTGAAAGGATCCCGATGATCATCTGGTTGTGCTGGTCGGTTGTGGGTTTCAGACAAAGGAAGGGGGGGGGGGGGGGGGGGCAAAGGGGAAGGACAGAAAGGAAGATAAGATGATGGTCCAAGAGGTCTTGGAACTGAGATCTGGAACGTAGTGCAGAGCGTAGAGGGGAAGTGGTACCAGGTGACGGGCTGTAGCACTCACGAAGTAGGCGTAGAGGGTGTCGCGCACGAGCGTCTGATATTAGGAGACAAAGTGCTAGAGAGGATTGCAGACTTTGCTCTTGGCTTTGGCAGCAATGACAATGATGAGGAAGATGAATTTCTTGTTGTTGCTGTCCTAGTCGAGAGATGTCGAGCGGTGATCAAAAGTGCAAGTGAGGACGAAGACGTAGCAAGATGACGAGGCCGAGGATGCACGAGATGCCTGAGTGAATGACCACTTGGAGACCTCAGAGAAGGGATCATGGATCGGATCGGATGGGATCAGGGCCCTCGTTTTGGAGAGAGAGAGGGTTGTAGGATCTCGAGAGACAATGAGAGAGGGAGCAAATGATTCAAAGAAGAACAATAAAGAACAGACGATGGATGCATCGATTTTTCGGGAATTTCCACCTTGGACCCCGGGCCGAATCGAAGTTTCAAGATTGCGACTTGTGGTTAGCAGGACTGATATGAGGGACGTCTTCAATGGGACCGTGTATTGCTGTGAAGCCCGCACGCTGCCCAGGAAGCGGCACTCGGGACCCCAGACCAGCGTGCAACGCATAAAAGGACTCGAATCGCCAGCGTCTTCCTTGCCACGTCCGAGCTCTGTCCGACCCATTACAACGAAAATGCATATGCAGTGTGTTGAGCCGAACCATGCTGACTCCATACAACGATGACCGATTACAAATGTGACGATATGCTCAGAAGTACAAAATAGCATGCCCTTATGCAGAGAGGCTGGTGTGTTGTTGACAACCTTGAGAGAATTATATAATAAAGCAGCTGTACAACCGGTATGGGATCGAGAATTTGGTTTGCTTGCTTTCTGTTGCTTGAGTCGTCATGACGAATGCGAGAACGACGGCGAGCGTATATGCAGTATGCTTGCTGTTGTGTGTGGGCACCCCATGATGTGTGAATGTGTCATGTGTTGGTCGTGTGTTGTGGTAGAGAGACAGTCGACGTCACACTGTCCCCGTTGAATGGTGTCTAAGCCTTGTCGGAACGTGGGGGTGAAACCCCCGCCTCGCCTTCCCCAAAACCCCTCCTTACGCCCTTTAGTTGAAATAGAATAAGCCCGCTTTCGACCTATCGATAGTCAACCCTTTAGGCAACTCGTACATTTTGCCTCCTTTAGCCTCGTGGTCTGCCCAGTTAAATCCTGATCTAGACGGCGCAGCTCCATCCGACATGGGCGTGCATCGACCCGACCCTCCCGATTGAAGACGCAATGCCGCCAGGTTTGGCATCTCCCCGAAGGAGCCGTTTGGGGCGTTCCCTGTGGCCGAGGTGGCCTGGCGGGATGGACTGGTGGACGTAAAAAAGGTTCGAGAAGGTACGCTTTGCGCCAACGCAGCGTTCAACACTCGACTCGAGGTGGGACTCTGAGAGATCGGACCGTGCCCTTTAGGAGTCGATTCACTGGGATTGGGTGAATCCAATCGGACCAGGTGAGCGGCAGGCGCTTTGACGGGGATACTGGCTGGAGGAGGCATTGAAGTTGATTTTTCGGGCGAGTTTTGGGATTTTGATCTGGAAAGGGGAGGTCGAACAGGTTGAGGGGAAGCGGTATAGATGTTTGTAGAGCTTGGTCGGCGGATAGGTTGGGCATCTTCCTCGGATGATGACGAGGTATGTGATCGAGTAGGTGAAGGCGCGTGTCGTCTGGACTTTTGCTTGATGGTCCCGCTGGAAGTCAAGGTTGGCGCGCCATACCTGACTTTCCACTTTCCATTCTCCACTTCGAGACTCTGCTTAGGTGTGATATCGGTGAATCCGGATGCTCGAGGCACGCTCAATCCACCAGCGTGATGCAGTCCCGCGTCCGAAGCATGTCGAGCAGCTCTGGCCGCACGTGCATTGTTGGCTTCGACTTCATCGAGTCCATATTGATCCCAAGTCGTAGCGGACGATTCACTCCGACGCGATTGAAGAGCAGGCATATCAAATCGGAGTTGAGGGGTCATGGAGAGTGATTCTCGACGAGATGCACTCGTACTGGAAGGCAGGACTCCCTTGTGAGATGAATAGGAGGATGAAGCTACGGTTGGCTCTCGAATAGGGAAATGCGTGGCGTAGGATTGAAGAAGTGAGAGAGTCTGATCCTGAGGGACAGATCCAGCTGGGGAGCCGCCGCTCACGAGCGATGTTTGTGACACGCCGGATCGGACGAGACTTGCGGGTGCTTGACCAGCACTGCCACGAGAAGGAATAGGGACCGAGCGTTCAGATTGGAGTGATGAGATGGATCGTCTTCCACTGCCTAGAACGCCTCGATCGTGGCCATGCGACGATTGGACTCGGGTCAAAACGTCAATGTCGGCTTCGGTCGCGGGGAGGTTCCAAAGACTCGACAGAGAATCCGATGACATGCCTCCGAATCCTGTCCCTCCGAATCCTCTGTGGACGCTGGAGTGGTTTGAGAGTTGCCTCGTCATGGGGACTGGGGCGATGGAATAGTGCATGGAGCTACGACGTTGGCGTTGATGATCTCTCCAGGCGTCATCCGGACCACCACGGGAGATGCGAAAGTATTCAAGCGCTCGGGGAGCAGAGCAAGCGGGACCTTCGGGACCACCAGCATTGGAAGAGTCGGTATCGCTTCCGCTGATGAACAGGGGAGAAGGAGGAGCGTGGGGGTCGGCATTGGCGTCGGACGCATAGTAGATACCATGTTCTTGTGCGAATGGTGGATGAGGGAGAGCGAATTCGTTGGAGAAGGTCCTGGAGAGGTGCTTGAAGGCTTCGTTTGATCGTCCAGCGTCTTGGTCTGCGCATCCTTTAGAGCAATAGATGGAGGAGTGGAAAGGGGTTTTGGATGGGTGTGATTCGGGCGATGCCACCATGCTGGAGGATTTAGAGGAAGCGGATGTAGAGAGGGTCGAGTCGTGGTGGACAGAGACAGGTTCGGCCGTTTTTGATCGAATCAAAGGGTGGTGGAGTTTGGGAGGGGGGGCGGCCGCGGCGGTGCCAGTCGTCGTTGTGGTGGTCGTCGTCGTGGTAGTGGCTGTCAACGCTGCGAGCCGATTCGCAGAACTCGTATTCCGTTTGAGACCTGGTCGAGTCGTCTTTGTGCCATTGGCAGTACGCGTGGTGGTTGAGCCGTCAGGATTTTTGACCTGTTGGGTGGGAAGTGAATATCAATCCAAGACTCTATCGTGGAGATGAGGATATTCCACTCACTCTGATCGTGCCACCCGCTGCACCTTTCTTCCTTGTCACTGTCTTTGTCTCCTGCGCCGCTGGCTCCTTGGGTGGTGTGATGAGTCTATCACATACGATGCAATAGCTGTCGAAAGAATCATCGTGAAAGAGGAGTGACGAGGATGACTCTGACGTGGGGTGAAAGGGGTGAGCCAAGGGTGGCAAGCGTGTGGGCGAGGATGAGGTCGAAGAGTAGGAGCACGAGGCGAGGGGGTCCATGGTGGTGGTGGTGGTGGTGGTGGTGGTGGTGGTGATGGTGATGGTGGTGGTGGTGGTGGTGGTGGTGGTGGTGGTGGTGATGGTAGAGGTGAGGAACGAGGAGACCCGTCAGAAGAGGCGATTCACACCGTTCATACACCAGTGGTCATAAGGGTGTGTTGATAGTGAGTGAGTGTCACAGTGAGAAATGAGTCGATGTGTCGGTTCTGCAGTGAAATGTATGCTGTTTCGCCCCGAGTCCAGACCCACAATCCAAGTTCAGAGTGATCTACACAGAGAGCACAGCACCCGCGCGGATGTGTGTGAGAATGAGAATGACGTAGAAGACTGCGTTTGCTGCTGATGGGATTATTATTAGCGTAGCGTGCGAAAGCTGTGAGTCGCAGTCAGCTGTGTGTATATATATATAGTAGCAGCACACTCACTCGCTCAGTCGACGACGACGACTGTCTGGTGGGGTAATGATGAGGACGACAAAGCAGCAGCAGCAGCAGCAGCAGCAGCAGCAGCAGCGACAACAACAACAACAGATAGGAGGTCCCAGGTCGACGCAGCAGCGACGCGAAATTTGAATTCCAAGTGAATTGAGTGCTTCTTTTCTTTTGTTGAGTGGCGTCCAATTGAAAAAAAGGCCTGGACTCTTTGGTGTCGGTTAATACCCGGATTATATTATGGTCCGGGGAGAATCGGTCCGATAGACAGATCAGGTTCTCCGGTAGAAGGTTGGTGGTGGTGATGGGCTGGGCGGCGGCGGCGGCGGCGGCGGCGGCGGCGAATGAACGAAGTGGGATGGATGGCGATGAGAGGGGAAGGTGGTAGGTCGATCCGTGCAGCAGCGAGGTGACTTGGGGATGAGTGAGTGAGTGTAGCGTGTCGAGGGGAGGGTTTGTGATCCACTGACCAGCCAAGTGTCGATCGATTGAGTGAGTGTGTGTAGATGGCTATACCTTGCCCTTTGTTCGCTTCACTCCTTTGAATCTACTAGTTCGCTGTAGGTTTGCTCTCTACTAACGATGCTGCTCCGTGCTCTCCTTTGTGATCTGTTCTAGACCTGGTTCCATGAGATGTGACAAGGGGGAAGAGAAGAAGGGGTTGGGGGAGAGTCCGTTCTCCAGGCCACGGCCCATCCAACAACAAGGGAGACAAAAAGGTTTTCAAGAACGAGCAAGAGGATAGAGATAGACTGCTGCGGCTGTAAGGAAGTTGTCCGAGAGTGTCCTTGGTAGAAGTTATGATACGAAGTGAACGCAGCATCTCCTTTCCCACCCAATCTTTGGGACAACCGAGATTCCGAACAAATCCGAATGGACCATAGCAAGGAGATCGGAGAATATCCCGAATGAGCCGGGCACCTGGATTAGAGTTTCGTGCGGCGCTCCATTTATTCAGGCAGAAAAATGGAGGAAACGCCGGACACAACTCTTTCCTCATCTGGGGAATCATGGAGCAGCAATTTAAGCGCTTCTGGGACGGTAGTCTGTTGTGGCGGGTGTCGGGGAGGGAGAGACAGAGAGACAGAGGCTTTTGTCCAGCCAAAGTAAACACAGTGTTTCTTCACCACAGGCGCCATCGCTTCCTCGCACGGATAATCCGCCCGCGCCCTCGCCGACGCCCCCGCCGCCGCCGACGAATCATCAACTCACTCACTCGGTCCGCAGTCAAGTCTCTCCAGAGTCGCAATGACTGAACCTCGCGCTCACGTCTCGCCACCCAAGCGACGCACATGCATGATATGAATATACCATTAAGATCATCCCCTCCTCGTATTAGGCACAGTTTCTTCTTTCCCTTGCACCAAACGTAACTTTCCCGATCACCGGATGCGCCTCGAACGCGCTTTTTTCGCTCGCGTCTGTTCCTGCTCCGCGTGCACGCTACCTTCTGAGCGCCGCCTGATACCTTCCCCAGTCGTCGTGACGATCCTGCTCATTCTCGGCTCCGTACTGAACCCGTTGCCCTTACCCTGACCAAACAGTAATCCCCTGCGCGCATGCACTCCCAAATCCTCTTCATCTTCTTCCACCTCCTGACCTTCAGGCACGAACTCGTCGTCTGACGTGAACAATTGACTTGGTCCGCGTAATGATTCACCATCTGACGTTGCAAACATGGGTGTAGGGATAGGTGAGGAAGGTGGAGAGGGTCGAGTGGTGGTGGGCAATCGTCGAGACCTCTGTCGGGGAGGTGTGATATTAGGATTGGGAAGAACAGACTCTTCAGTCTCAGTATCCGATCCTGATCCATCGCCAGCATGAGAATTCGCTGGTTCCGGTCCCTTTGGCCACAAAAGCCTCGGAGGGGGACACGGATCCGGTTCATAGTCTGGATGTTCTGTATCCAAATTTGATGCGCTGCCCGACTTCCTCGAACGGAGTGAATTAAACGGGTTGGCAAACTCTCTCTTGGTCCCTCTGAAAACGTATGTCACGGTATCCTTCGTTTCGTCCACTAATGAGACATGTCGATGGGCGATGCTGGAACTTTCGCCCGCTTTGACCAAGAATGGATTATCATCTTCATCTCGCATCTTTTGAATCTTCTCTCGGCGAGCTTTCTCAGCCGCTGCCGCGACTGTACGAGCCTCGTCGGCTGCCTTGAGTGCATCAGCTCGAGCGCGTCGTTCAGCCGCGGCGGCTCTCGCAACAGTCGTAGGTGATGAAGGGATAGGAGGAGGTGCCCCGAGTCGTTGGTGTGGGAAAGTAGGTGGCGGGGTGAGGAGTGAATTGGAACCGGCGGAATTCACCAGAGCAGGTGATTGGAGAGTCTGTTTCGCCATGGCAGTGTTGAGAGGGGACGAGAGAGGTCCATTGGCCGTATTGATGGCAGGTCCTTTGACGTTGGTCGTTTGCGCCAAAAAAGGACTCTCGTCCTCGATTGGCCTCTCAAGCCTTATCTTGTCCTTCTTGTGTGAGCCAGATTTGGATCCTCCCATGCCTATTCCCACACGTCCAGATGCAGAACCAGGTACCAACCCCATCTGTTGAGCGAATGTCAATCCTGGTCTTCGACGAGCTCCAGACATAGCAGCAGCGGCCGCATCACGATCACGTTCACGTGAAGCTGTACCGGAAGAGAGGAAGAACGTCGTATGACCACTCGGTGATCCCCCTTCTGGCACTGACGGTCCAGGATGCAAAGCGTGGGTGATGGATATCTTGCGAGAATGTCGAGCGAGTGTCTGAGGCGTTGGTAGCTGTTGCTGTTGAGTCGCCCGTGTGGACACCTTGGTGTCAACTCGTTTGGCGGTCCGGCGGAGTGTCTCGGGAGTTGGTAATTGAACGCGAGGCGGGGTTGGCAGGCTAAGAGCACCGCGTTCAGACATCTTTCTATCGTACCTCCGGGGGTTCTGTCCACTTACACTTCATCAGTATATCCACCCTTTCGTTTCCTTTCTACTGTTCTGGGTGCTTCCATACCGGTCCAGCCGGGTTGTGCAGTTGGCGATTGCATCCTGTATCTCGCTTGTGTGTCTCGAGCAAGCGTGGAATGAATACTCTTGATGCCCCTCCGCGGATGATGGATCGACCGACGATGGTCTACCACCTGTCTAGCAGATGATGACTTGTGATTCTCCAAGAACTATCAAATCCTTTACAAGAATCCAAGATGACGTGTCGGTCTCGATTAGACTGTTCAAGCCAAAAACGGACGCACGATCGACCAGCGATCCTATAAGCGAATCACTTCGTCAAGAAGCGATCTTTATGCCAAAGCTGAGGTGGTCCAAGGATAAGGGTTTGAGCCTGTCGAGACTTGAGGCCAAGACACACCGAAGACGCAGCGCGAGAGAGGTCTCTCCAGTCCCAATGTTGAACGGAATGAAGCGTTGAAAGCAAATCTTTGAACATTGCTGCTGCAGCAGAAACGCGCTCGCTGCTCGCCGCCACCACCTCGCGTGGCTGGTTGATGAGCCACGTGGACGGGGGAGGGTGGAGAAATGGAGATGCCGATATATCTCCGCTCTGGGATCCAATCTTTTCTTTTTTTGGTGTTGATGTGGCACTTCTATTGTCGGATCCGAGGGTCGACTTCACGACAGGACCATTCCATCTGCTGCTTTTAGCGAATAGCGAGTGATTATAGGACGATGGCGACGAGGCGAGCGTGAAGGAAAGAGGGGGGGAGAGACAGAAGATGGAGGTATGTTCATATGCGCTCAAGAGACGGCTCTATCCTGACATGCCTGTAATAGGAGTCATCGATATCGAGCGACAGTCGGTTGAACGACCGCGGGACATGGACCTCGGAACATCAGCAACATCATCAGCACCATCATACTGTTCGGGGATATGTACCTGAATATGCAGATTTTGAGGACGATGGAGGGGATATAGGAGGCTCGGGAGATATACAAGGACCCAGAGATGTCTCCATCGCGAAGCAGTCAGGAGCGAACGGAGGGAATGACGCGCCGGAGGACCCTGACAAAGAGAGATCTAAGCTCAACGAGATAGTCAGAAGCGGTGTGACGTCTGTTGAGGATCTGGACGAAATGGATATAGGCATAGGGATGGAGGAGGTCGCTATCGGTCCATCTGGAGAGTCTGCACGTGGATCTCAAGATGCACTGCAGCGGAAATCACCCCATTCTCCTATGGACAAGGTCGATCTCGACGAACCGACACCTCGACTCGCAAGTCATCCTTTTGCTGGCGAGGTCAACGATGCGTACGACGCGACAAATGTTGATCTATCTCAAAACGAGTCAGAGACTATCGATCCAGGTTCAGCCTCTTCAGCACAACAAAACGAGTCCATCTCTCCCCGAAGCGACCCCCGTCATTCTCTCGGTTCCCAATCTACTACCTCGAGCGATAATAACAACACCTTTCCTCCTTCTGCTACTGCGCCGCCGCCAGCTCGACCCCATTCAGCGCTTTCCTCTCATCGATCCACATCCCGCCCAATCATATCCCCTCAACCTCTTTCTCCGTCCCGCTATCGACCTTACGGTTCGCGCCAGACATCCGGTACAACTATCGGCAGTGGTGGTGGTGGAGGAGATGTCTCGTTCAGTGGTTCTGGATCTTCCACACCTGATTCTAGACAGGTCTCACCTTCACCCATCGTCCATGATCTGCCTCTCTCAATTCCGCCGATACACGAGCCTCAAGGGGTCAACCTTGGCTCCCATTCGACCGATCCTGAGGTCCACACCAACAGGGCCTCGTCTATTCCAGCTCCGACTAGCGAGTCCAGATCACCCAAATCGCCATCTCACATACCACCACCACGAGTCCCTATCACGCCCAATCTCAAGACGGACGGGTCTTCGCCCATTGGCGCATTCCGGTCTATTTCACCTTCCGCTTCGTCCTCTTTTTCCCCACGACATACCCAACATCCATTCACCTCTGATTCTCAGCCGACCCAAGGCCTTGGTCTTTCCGTCTTCTCCCCGGGCGATATGGCTCCTCGATCAATCTCGTTCAAACCTGCTCTCCCGACTGCTTCGTTGGCCCTCAATGGACAAGCCCACGGAGTAGACGGATCCGCCCCTTTCGAATCAATAGAGCTGGATACGGGGTCGCCGGTCGTCCAAGAGGCAAGCCTGCACTTGCCATCTGGGACTGTGGAGCCCATCGACTCGACGCATATTGGACATTTGACGGTGGACCATACTTCGACATCGAGTCATGTAGATGCTTCGGGCAAAAATATGAAGAGGCGTAGTTGGGGCGGATTCGGATTCAAGAAATCAAATCAGAAGGAACTGTCTCCTCAGCCGCCATCGAACGAGTTCACAGAACGACGTCATTCCACCTCTGAGAAGAGGAGGCCTGAAGAGCGCCCCTCGAGCAATACTCCGGCCGAGTCCGAGACAAAACCTGTGGGCGCCGCCAATGCTGAAGCTGGTCCATCTACACCTCCGCGACGACACGCTCCCCCCGCTCATCCTCATCCGTACCCTATCCCCTCTTCCCCCACATCTTACTCACCATCTCGGCGGCCTAACTCGATGCAATCGAATCGATCATCCACTCTCGAGGCGAACACCTCAGCTCCTCCAGCAGCCAAGGCGAATGTAAATATCGAAGGGACACTGAGCCACCCCTCGACCCAAGGTCTCGGGGTCAAAGGCGTCTCGGCATTTGAAAAAGTCGTGTCGCATACTCGTCCATCATGGTTACCGCCCAAACCGAAAGAAGAGGATGAAGCTCATTTACATCAATGGGCAGACATGATGAGTCAATCTCGAGAAGCAGAAGCGGCTCGACGAAAGATCCAAGAAGCCAGAAGGGTAGAAAAGGAAAAAAGGCTTGCCGCTTCGACTTCTGCTTGGGAGACGTTGGTAGGACTCGGTCCAGGAGGTTCGACCATGTCTTCGATGACGGACCATCTTCATCCTCACCCAGCGGGGAGTTCTGCAACGACTGGGACAGGGATGAACCGTAGTGCTTCGAGCTCTTCTGCAAAAGGCAAGTCATCCGCCGCCGCTGCTGGGAGTGGAAGAGCTACCCCAGAATCCGGCCACTCAGGCTTCAGCGTCGAGCGAGTCAAGACTGATCCGACGCTGAGGAAATTATGGTTCGAGGGTGTACCTAGTCATTTGAGAGGTAGGGCCTGGTCCTTGGCTATCGGCAATCCATTAGCTATCTCGCGAGGTGAGTTGCAAAAGACCACGGACAGTTCATGTCCTTGAGAAATTGACTTCCTGCCTACCTCAGACGCGTATAAGACGTATCAGAAGCGAGCGCAACGAGCTATGGATTCGGGTCGATTTCCTAAGGATATTCTTGATCGTATCGATCAAGATATGGACAAGACGTTACCTCACTTACGGCTATTTGTCGAAGGCTCGCCCATGCGTATGGATTTGAGAGATTTCGTCTGCGCTTGGGTCGTCTACCGCTCGGACTCAGGTAACGGTTATGTGAGTGTAAACCCCCATTCGTTGATCATGCAATGAAAGCAACGACGCCCTGATGGCTCCGCCCAGGCTCCATATATCACCCACTTGTCCGCCATGTTCCTCTTGACTTCTCCTCCCAGTCTAGCCTTTCATTCACTTGTCAACCTTCTCTCGCGACCCTTCCTTCACGCCTTTTACACCGAGACGAAAGATGAGATTGAAGCGTTTTATCGAGTCTTTGAGAACCTTCAAGCGGATCGATTCCCTCAGATCTTTGCCAATTGCAAAAACTTGGGACTCAAATTGCCAGAGAGTTACTTCAGGACATTGTTCCTCGAACAATTGCCTTTCGAAGCGTGTTGTCGACTTTGGGATCAGGTGGGTTCGTCAATTGGATTCCAAACGATCTATCTTTCGACCGGTTTACTGACGCCGCTCCTCCTCCTCCTACTCCTACATCATTAGATCGTTCTCGAGGGGGATTCTTACATACTCCGAGCGGCTCTGTCCATCTTCAGTTTCCTCGAACCGAGGTTATATTACCCTGACAAAGAGGAGATTGAATCGGTCCTGAATGGTCGAAATGGTGCCACAGAGTTGATCCTGGCTCGAGAGAGAGAACGAGCTAGATTGAGAGGTGAGGCTTGGGACGATACGGTCGATGGGACCTTGAGCGTCTTTGGGATCAACGAAGATTACTTGTTTGATTGGTTAGAGAGCGAAGAGTGGAAAGAGAGTAGGTTTGAGAGGTTGGTCAAGAGGGAGATGCCGGATTAACGCAGGGGGGAAGCGAGCGAAAGTGAGGCGAGACAGATGGCTGCCGCGAAACTGTAGTACAGCGACATGTCGGTCAGCCTATGTTGTACCAGTTCTGCCGTTAGAAGTAGATACAACCGCATCAAAGTGTCATATGGTGAGATCTGCCTGAGCTTCATTCACTTCGGGATTTTGTTGTTGAATCGTTAGTAGATGGATCGTATTTTGACGTTTGTACATCACCTTCAATAGCTCTTTTGTCTATGTCCTCGGCCTCGACTTCGTCGCCTTGGAAATCCTGAAGAGCCTCATGATCGTCATCTGAACCTGTACTTCAGACAGTTTGTACCGCTGCGGCTGCATCCACCCTCTCGATCATGGGCAACGCCGTCACGCGAGTCTTTGACCCGCAATCGCGTGTGGGAGGGGTGAGTGAGGATCGTGCAAATCTCCTTCTTTCGAGGAGAGAGTCCTTGCTACTGAGCGAAGGGATCTTGGGGTCAGACAGAACAGCGTGTTCTCCAGCTCTCAAAGCTATCCAGGCTCCCCCCTTTCGTACCCATCTGATGATATATTGACGGACCGGGACTTAGGGCATCGAAGTCCCCGTGGGATACACTGAACCGACTTTCCCATCACTTTACATTCCTTCGTTTCGAAACACTCAGTCAGAGGTTGGAGTGTTCATTTACGAAGCAGAGAGTGAGTACGAGTTACGGGAGTGGAGAAATTACTCGAGAGCTTGCGAAGAAGAACCTCGTCCCAAGCCCCTGCATTTTGCAATACCGAGCGAGAGCTGATGCTCGCCCTATTTGCTTCGCCCTCACCTTTGTAGCCATCTGGCACTTTACTCTCTATTGGATCTTGATCCTGTGCGGTGGAATCTTCCTACTATGCTCGGCAATCGCTTCATTCTCCCTCTTTCTATCCCTTACAGTCTTCCGAGAGGATCCTCGAGCCCCGACGAAAGGTTCGTCCACAAGCTCCGGAAATCCAAGCGTCAGCGGTCATAAGAGTGGAGGCGCAACAACGAACGGCGAGACAGCTGCAGCTCAGGGAAACGGAAAGACGACTAAACGACGTTCAAGAGCCCGTAAGAGGCCTCCATTATGGCCTCTCCTTCTCCTCCCCCTATTCTCTGTCCTCCTCGCGGCATTGGTCTCTGTCATCACGGGTACAGTCATTGGATTCGCATTGGCTGCGGTGTATTCTGCAGGAGGTTTCGTCATGTCAACGTGAGTACAGCGTGTCTATAGATCTCGATCAAGAGAGATAAAGTCTCCGTGTCCATATTCTAATTGAGCTCTTAGTTGGGTCCCGTTCCTCTGGGGACTGATCACCGTCCTGATACTGATCATCTCGTGAGTGTCGAAAGGACGACCAGTGGCCTAGAAAATCGTCGACTGAACCATTTCTTTTTTCCCTTAGGAGCTACTCCACTTTGACGTCGATCCTGTGACGTACTGTAGCTCCTCGTTTGGAGATGCATCTCGACAACGGCATATGCCAACGACTCAACATGGTCCCCGAACGACAATTTTTCAACTCGTTGTCAAGGAAAGTATATCGGTCGCCGTCTCCTTGCATGTCGACGGACCGTTCCCTTTTGTCGTCCAAGCCAACTCTGACTAGCTCATCGACTTGATCGACCAAACGTCACGCCGTCGTCATGAGCCCAACAGCGCAACCCGGAATCGTCTCATGAACCCTCACCGACCAGTCACAAGCAAACTCTAACGTCGTGGCCGACTCAAAAATGTCTCTTTTGCATCCTGGTGCCTACACTTCATCTTTGTTATCGCTTGACAATCGCTGCTGAGCAGCTCGGCTGGTCCGACGACTCTCTTTTCACCTCTTGAGACTCTATCCCTTTGGGTCCTGGCAACTCTGTAGACGATGGGCAGACTTTGCTGGAATGAATGGGGACGATTGCTCGCTCTGGTAGCGGGAACTTGTGAGCGAAATCCTACTTACTCTATCGTCCGTGATGGTGTTGACAATCCGAGCGCAGATATGACCTGGGGTTCCATCTGGGCCATTATGTATCGCAAATTCTTCTGGGATATGATGTGAGTTTCTACGGTTCTGTGCATCGAGCAAACGGGGCTGATGGTGCGCAGTGGCGGGACCCTTGGGCCAGCTGGAATCATGTAAAGTCGACCTTGCCGCCCGAGAACGTGAGCGAGCTGATGCCATCTCAGTCCAGGGAATAACACAAAATTCTTCGTGACTATCGTTGTGAACCTACCTGTGCTGCAAATCATCAATCTCTTGATCGGTCTGGTCACACTAGCACTGGAATGGCCGCTGCCGCTTGTGAGTTTCAAGTCCGAGATACCTCCCTCCCAGAAGGTAGGCAGCTCATGCTCATCTGCTCAGATCGACGGCACGGCCCTGCACCGGAGTTTAGTCTTTCGGATGGCTTTCTACTTCTTCTCTGGATTCCTTGGCATCATGGTGTACCAGGTGAGTCAGTCACTCGGCTCTCGAGTCCAAGCTAACTGCTGTCTGAGCAGACTGTGGACTGTGCGATCTATTACGTCATCGTGTCTGCGGTCTTCACTCGTGCCATGATTCTTGGCGAGAGGATCCTCTCGACGAAGGCTGTCCCGCAGAGCATCGCTTAAAGAAGCCCAGCCTGGAGCCTTCGCGCCAGCTCTCCCATCGAACACAGACTTGCATACGCTACAGATGCAGTTTCATGATGCAGTCCGAGCTCGCTCCCGCATCGCCAGAGAGTCAGAGGTATCCGTCCCCTGAATAGTCTGGACACGGATCCGCTCACGCTCGTTTCGTTTGATCAGCATCTACACCTGAAGATGATGCGTGATCAGGTCGTAACGTCAAAGTTGTCGTCACAGCACTCACCAAGACCACCAATGTTCAAGTTGATCTTCCTTCTGCATTTGAACTTGATCAATATGTGGTTGAGAGTCATCTGGCCTGTGATCAGCTTGCACCGGGACACACGTTGCCTCACATTCCGCCTTGACAGAATGTGCATAGACTGAGCTTCCCTCCATCTTCGGTCCATCGGGTATCTCTTCTTGGATCCTCGTCCACCGACCAGCTTTTCTCAACTTGCCAGGAATGACGCCTTTCCCTCCGGATTGAGCTGTAGTTTTGGAATCCACAGCCCTAGCTGGATGGATGGCCACGGACTCAGACTGACTCGACCGTGTACGAAAGTCGTACGTTGGAAGGGATCCATGAATCGACTGTTGAATCGACGAGGCTTGTTTTTGGAGTTCGCCAAGCGTCGGGATCTGTGGCAGTGTCGGTGGAGACGGGGCAAAGAGGAAAAGCGTCGAGGGAGAGAGCTTGGAAGCGAGAGTGAATGCCATGGACATGTCGACCAGCCAAAGTCTAGCACAGCGTCTGCAGCCTTCCTTCCACTGGCACCGACTGATGAACTATGATCACGATAAGAGGACTGATTTTGAGTCGTTGCTACAATAACTTGCACGTATTGCATCCAGTCCCTTCTCGTTGATGATAATATCCTTTCAGCCTCCCCTCCCTGGTGTCTGCTGTCTCGAGGAGTGCTCAAACAAAAGATAGGTGCTGATAGATCCCATACAGGTGGAACCGATGCAAAGTACGTTTCATCGGACATCCTGAGCTTCACAACTGGTACAATTAAGGCAGGCAGTATCTGAGGGATCGACAAAAATACCGGGAATGTCTGCCTTGTCCCCTTCTGAATTGATGTGGTGAGAGCTGGTCCCAGCATTGACATCGTTCTCGGAGGATATGACCTACATTGATGTTGTCTGGTCTTTGAGAGCTCAAATGGCCTCCTCTTCGTTGCCCTTCTCATCTACAAGCACGATCCGCGAAGCCCACGATGGCAGCCTCGACTATGCAAAGCTGACGCGGCGCCGCCAACACTCCTGGGATGCAGGCCATGCTGAAAGCCCTCTCACTAGCCTAGCCCGAGTGTCCTAGTCTTTCTTCTGGGACTACCTGACTCCTTCTGTCTGCTCTGGCAGGATCCGCTGTAAGGCTCGTCCTGCATATACCGCCCAATTGCGAATACGACCCACCTTTGGTTCGGGATCTGGATCTGCCACAAGCGAGGATTTTTGGGTTGTCGTACTCGATCTGCGTTTCAACCTCGCGACTTTCTTTTCGACCTAATCTTTCCATACGCAACCTCTCAACATGAAGTTATTCTTCACGCTCAGGTTGGTGCTATGGCTAGTGGTGGCAATGTCATCAGTTGTGATGGCAGATACGGAGATCTTGACTCTGCGCTTGCCCCTGGATACTGTGATCGAGCATCATGTAGAGGCACCCACCTATGCGTCAGTACAGTACTCTACTCTCTCTTCACCACCGAATCTGAACCGCTCCTGACGAGATGCAAGCTCAGACTCCAGCCATCTAATCCTCTATCAGTCAATCTGACACTCCCTTCGGACATCTATGTCAAATTGGATACCGATCTGTATGCCGCTTCAGCCTGGACTGTGCGGCTCTCTTGGCCCGGATCTGTGAGCTTCACTTCACAGACATCTTGCTGACATTAGCAGTATCCAACCCGCTTGCGAGTCGTTCCGGGGCAGGTCAAGCAGGAAACCTCAACCCTGGTCCTCGGAATCTATGCGTCTGCCTTGTCTCCAACATTTGAAGGCGTTTCAGTTTCAGAAACACCCTTGAAAATCCTATTGGAGCCGTTGGTCGCGGGGGCCCTTCCTCAAACACTATTACCGACGCTTGGAGCCTTGGCCATATTTGGGAGCATGGCCAGCCTCACAGCCAAGCCAATCATGATGCTGCTGGAATCTCAAGCTCAAAAGGAGAAACAGGCTTAGCCGAGCTGGATTCGCAGGATACCTGACATCATGGAGTCTTACCCCCTACATCATACAGCCAGCTGTCAGAGCCACTCGGATTCGACTTCTCTCATCTCCAAGGCCTCCTCTCGACTCACAGCCGGAGCTTTTTCAGGATGGCTCACGACCCAGATGTCCTCGTCCAGACCAGGAATATTTGGGACGACCAAATTACGTTTCGGTCTGAGGTCTCTGCGGTGACCGTTTGGGGAATCGTTTTCGGATCGCTTTGGAGCTTTGGCCGGAGGCTCCGATACGCGTCGACCGGGCAATGAGCTTCTTGCGGGCTTGCCAGCGTCCAGACTTTGACGTTTTGTACCTCGTGAGGATTCTCTGAGGACAGCCACACGATCAGGTACCATAAGGGGCGGCGGTGAGACGCTTGGTCCTGGCGTCATTGTCGGGGTCGGTGTCGTCCCAAGCTTGGATCTGAACACAATGCATCAGTTATTTCCGGCCTTCTCCATCCGGCGTCCGACTCACTTTCTTTGATCAGAGGGAAGTAACTGGTCATAGCGTTTCAGCACGTCTTTGCCCTCCTTCACCAGCTGTGCCCTCAGCCATTCTGGTCCCTTGTCGGCCAATTTCTGCCTTGACTTGGCGCACGTCTGCCCGCCATACCGAGATAGAACGTTGCTGATCACGGCCGCCCAGGCGTACGCCGATAGGTTGCGCAATTGCTCGACCCTCGCCCGCATCTTGTATCGTTCAAATACGAGCTTCTCCTTCTCTCTCGCCTTTTGTCGTCGCTCGAATGCCTCGTATTTTCTGTGCACGCTTTGATAGTACGCGTCAGAAGTATCCTCCAGCAACTACACCTTGATTAGCCTAGCTTGCGGCTTGGATGAAGTGCTCACCTCTGCATGTCTCAAACGCTTTGTTGGGCTTGCATAACCCACGCTGAGCTCTTCCCGAGCTTCGTCTTCGTCATCGCCCCCTCGAGAGACCATGGTCCAAGTCGGAGTTTCAATCTTCTCCTGTGCGCCCTTCGTTGGGCTATGAAATGGGATCAACGGGCTGGCGGGAAGCTTTGCACGGGTCGGAGTGAGAGTAATGGAGGGAGGAATAGGATTAGAGGAGTGTGACTGAGTTGTCGGCGGTCGAACGAGATCTAGACTGAGAGAGGTGATGTATATCGGGAGGGATTCGGGCGGAGAAGCCAAAGGCTCGCCTAAGACCACATAAGGCAAAGTTGGGCATGACACACTACGTGCTCACCGTAACGCTCCAACCAATCACAGACCATGTCCTCCAAATCCCGAACGCCGTCGGCTCCTCGACCAGCAGTTCGACGAATACGAGCTGGCAGAACGCGACGTTCAGGGACAGATCGGCTGGGTCCAGCAACGGGCTGCAATTTTGGTGTCCTATTTTTGGCGGGGGGTGTCGTGGATGATGTAGCGGTTTGATCAAGTTCAGAACCCAAACGAGATAAGCGTGGTTTCTTCGTCAATGGTGTTTTCGGATTCGTTATTCGCTGCTTGGTAGAACTGGCCAGCTTTGACCTGTCCTTCGGTTTGAGCTTCGTCTCGGGGGACGGTCCTTTCAAATTGAGGAAATCTGAAGAGACAGTTCTATCTCGATCGGGGACACGACGAGCCAGTTTTGAGGATTGAGATGTCGTTATTGAGCTCAAATTAGACACTAACTTTCCGGATGATGAAGGTGAGCCTCTTTCACTCCTGCTAGATCGACGAGAGTGAGCTGGAGGAGTACTCAAAGCCGATGTCGATGCCGATAGCATGTCCTGTGCTATCTCTCCAGTAGATATCGGAGCCTCGCCCTCGTAGACTGATGTATTTCGGCCCGCTCGGGAGTATGTCCTTGGCAAGCGCTTGCTTGCAGACGACATGGACGTGCTGCTGGGATCTGTCGTCGTCCGGCCCGTTGTTGCTCTCCGTGAGCCTTCAGGAGACGCAGACACCAAAATGGATCGCGAGCGAGGTGAAGAGTGAGAGGGACCAGACTCTTCAATAGAGATACGATCAGAGGAGATGCGAGTAGATCTCGCAGAAGGTTTGATGATTCCTCGGGTCTGACGACCAGAACTAGCGTTCGACTTTGTCACCTGGTCAGATGATTGTCGCCGGGATTGAGTCTCAGGAATCGATGTAGCATTCGCGGAGCGAGTAGAACGACTAGACCTGGCTGTCACTGGCGTAGTAGAGTCGTGAGACGCCGGCATGATGCTCAGAGCCGTCAGGAGACGCGAATGATTACAGCAATTGGTTGCATCAGTTCGGTCCTGGAAAATTGGTGACCGCGACCGGAAAGATCTCACGGAATTGTAGCCTTAGCCGATGACCAATACATGTAGGAGATTCATGTGTCTACATACAATGGGAGCGATCTCAACGAGGATATTCATACGGGCATATCAATGCAACATGTACAGCAAACCCAATCAGCGATCCTGATCCTGCTCCGCCGAGTTCTCGACCTCGTCCAGTAGTCGGCAGACGTCTTTTCCCGCCACATTTCGAACGCCCTCTTCTCTCTTTCAGACTTTCTGGTACCCTCATTCTTCACGGCTGGGTGGATGTATGCACCGCACCATGGCTGAGAATGGCTTCGACATCATCTATATCACAGCATCTGGGGACAGAGTGCCATCAGACCTGGCGCCTAGGGACTTGTCATTCGATTTGCTGCCGGATGGCTTTAGCTTTGAGACTCAAATGCCTCTTGACCTCGATCTCAACTTCGTATAGGTCAAACCGGGAGTCGAAATGTGTTCAACAATCTCACAGAGGGAAGAGGGAATCATGATATTGTTGGCGTCAGCATCGACCGAGACCACACGTCGGATATTGGCAGAAGAGGCATTAGATGCCGCAGTCTTGCGGGTCGAGTCATCGCTCACGCCACTGTATCTTCGAGACATGTATGCCATCCATATTTGCCCCAACTACTTGGTGCTGAGTATTCCTTACGTGTAGTATGTCCCTCTGCTCACCTGGCTCCTTTCAAGCAGGCCTCCTCGCACGACGTAGACTCTGGATTGATACCAAGACCTGAGGCAAGATGCTTCTGCCTCGATATCCACCCCAGGCCTACCCATGTGCTCAAGAGGCTCAAGCAAACCTTCTGAAAAGGGATGAGGGTGGATTTAAGATGGAACTCAACCTCACGCCATCGGCGTACAAGGTCGATATGTTCCACCCCAGGTCGTTATTCACTTGACCTGCGGGCATTGGGCATTGTCAGAGATGGGTAGAAAGATGTCGGACACGAACGAGCCATATTCGTACTGAGCGACTTCTGGAGCAACGATCATTGCTTTGATGCAATCTATTCGAACCTCGTGAGCCCTATACGAGTCATATACACATGCCATATGCAAGGCAAGATGGCGCACCTGAGGAAGATGGAGGAGTGCCACGCCGAGAACAGATTCCTCAATAAAATTGTCAAGTATGTTTGCAATCGCCAAGGATCGCTTCGGAGCCGTCTGAGGGCAGCTTAATAAGTTTCGGGTGACACGAGATGACTGACTCAGCTGTACTCTGATCGCTCACAATCTCAGCGGTTATGGCGTGGCGGTATGTTGGTTACCTGCCGCATGAGTCGATTATCATGTCACAGTACGCAAAACGCGCTCGATGAACCCAGTCTTCGTCTGTCCATTGCCATCTTGTGTGAGCCCTCATCCATCTCACAGATCTTGATCACGGCCGGAATGTCCACAGTAGACATGTTCGTGGTAGTCTTCAAGCTTGACAATTGGACCGTCAGCAAGCGGGGAGGCAGGAGGGACGCCCTCCCTCACACCAGCTGACATAGTATTGCCCTTAGCTCTGGCCAGCGCTGCCCGAGCTCTCCATCTAAGGATTTCCGTTCTCAACAACTCGCTCAACATGAAGCTGGGCATGGTGGCGAGGACGACACCGGACCTGAGGTGCATGTCCAATGTTGACAGTCCTCTTCAGTCCCCGATCGTTGGGATGAGTATGAGAAGCGGGATCAAAACGAAACATGCGGAGGCCCGCAGGGGTTTCAATCACGTGACGCACCGGGATCGGTCATCGAAGTTCCGGCCGGGGGCTTCAATAATATCAATTGACGCTCGCTGCTTTTGGCTCTCTTGCAGTCTTTGACATCCATCTGACTTGTGTCTTCCGGTCTGTCTCTCTTGCCGTGAAGACGCGGTAACACGAGTCGAGCAAATATGGCTCATCGCACTGGGTTGACCGGATCGCTGCGGGCCTTGCATGCTACCAGTGGACATCACATCCGCCGGGTTTATCCTGTCAGCAATGCCTCTCGGGGATGCGCATCTCAAGTTCTCGACAACTGGCGAAGACCTTACGCTTCATCTGCTAGCGAAGGAGCTGGGCCATCATCAACGTTCTCCAACCAGGACAAGCTGCCGCGTTTGCCGATTCCGGATCTAGATAAGACTCTTCAGGCATATATCAAGAGTTTACAGCCAATTATGGCGGACAAGGTGAGGACGATGACGGCTCGTCGATGAGACGAGAGTTGAAGATTCCCATCCAGTTCAGTAAATCAGATCTTCCACATGAGGTTGAGAAGAGAAGACTGTTTGCTAGGGATTTTGCGGCTCCAGGAGGGCTAGGTCGGCAATTACAAGAGAGATTGACAGGTGAGATGGAGATTCGTGACAACCTTGATACGAGCCTGACGGTGCCAAGATCTGGATCTCGTTTCGCCAAACAGCTGGCTCACAGATGCTCTATGGCTCAGTCTGGCTTATCATTCTTGGCGTGCCCCCCTCATCGTCAACTCGAATTGGGCAATGCTTTTCGGACCTGATGCCGCGGATTCAGATCACCCGAACCCGAATCCTCAGATGGAGGCTGCTTCTGGCTCACAGGGCGGTGGCGAAGAGTATTTGAGTGGCAATCCATCATTCAAGAAGGGTCAACGTTGGGATGAGCTGGTTCAACGGGAGGAAGTCACCTCGTGGCAGATCAGGAGGGCTTCGTGGCTGGTCCGGAAGTACGCAGAGCTGAGGGAGAAAGTGGCCAGGTGGGTAGCTCATCAACATTCACAGGAGCTGGGCTGATAAAACCGCAGAGAGGAGCTTCCGCCTGACGTCTCCCGGTCTGGCAAGCCATTGTGCATGCACCAATTTACTCGGTGAGCTCCACGATGACTTCGAGGCTGTCTGACATCTCTGGTAGACTTTTCAACTTTGTTCGAATACCACTTCCTGGATCTGATGCCTTCACCAATCCCGCTCCGAAAGCTACACATATCTCAGTCATGATAGACGACTTTGTCTACTCTGTCGAAGTCTTCTCTCCCGCTGGCTCTGACGGCATTCCGACACCTCTCCCAGTTGGACAGATCGAGAAGTCTTTACAGGCTGTCGTGGCGGATGCAAAGGCCAGACGGAATCACGGAGAACAAGCCGTCAAGGTCGGCGTCCTGACGGCGGATGACAGAGACGCCTGGTGTGCGGTAGGTCACATTTCGCGCTGTAGCATCGTTCAGACTGACCTTCTCATCGCGCAGAACCGCGAACGACTGATATCTCTATCCCCTAATAACCGTCATTCCCTCGACTCCATTTCCAAATCCCTCCTCTGTCTCTCGCTTGACACCTACACACTTCCATCACTTCCCACTGAAGATCCTCTTGCTCAGTCATTCGTCGACGCTCAGCTCCACAATGCTTTTGTCGGAATAAATGGTGGAACAAACAGATGGTACGATAAACCCACTGATTTGGTCGTCGAGACCAACGGCCGAGCTGGTATTTGCGGTGAACACAGTGCTACCGATGCAATCTATCACGCAGCTGCAATCGACTATATCATGCAGGAATCAGTGGATGATAAAGCCTTCTCAAGCTCGTCTCATGGTTCGACGAGTAAAGGCTGGGAGAGGATCGACTGGGTGATCGACGCTGGCTTAAAGAAAGAGATCAGTGCATGTCAGGAGAGGAACCGTAAATTGATGGCGGACACCGATGCGAGCCAGTTATGGTGGAACGAGTATGGCGTCGAGTGGATCAAAAAGCATGGTGAGGCTACAACAGGATGATGATGACTTCGCATACTGACCTCTCTCAAGCCAAGATCTCACCTGATGCGTACATTCAGCAAGCATTGCAGTTGGCCTACTTCAAGGATCAGGGAAGCGCTACTGCGACATACGAATCAGCATCTACCAGATCAACACTACACGGACGTACAGAGACCATCAGGAGTTTGACAACAGAGTCTCGGGCTTTCGTCAAGTCCATGATGGATGCTTCGCAAAGCGTGAGTGTCTAGTCTGGTGTGTTGAGGAGCTGTGACGATGCTGATGGGAAATACAGAGTGAGAAGCGTTACAAACTTTTGAGCGAAGCTTGCACGGCACACACTGCTTTGTCCAAGCTCTCCAACCAGGGTCTCGGTATCGACAGGCATTTGATGGGTCTCAAAGTCCTTCTAAGACCCGGTGAGACTCATCAACTATTTGAGGATGAAATGTTTGGCAAGAGTCAAGAATGGAAGATGTGTTCAAGTGGATTGACCGCAGGAGGCACAATGATGGGAGGTCAGTTCGGGTCTGCTTGGCCTGATGGATACAGTATATCATGTGAGCTGGTTTATGTGTGTTCTGGACGATATAAAGGCTCATCACATGCTGTAGACTTTGCTGGACCGTATCTGCTCAAATTCGGTGTGGAGGGCAAGTGGAGTGCGCAGACTACTAGCAGCGCCCGGTTCAAGCATCACCTTGTCCAGAGTCTACGGGACATGCGCAAGGTCGTGGAGGAGGCAGCGAAGTGAAAGTGGCCAGCTCATCGCTGCTGTTTCGCCCTCTATGCATTTGTGGGGTTACTCGAAGACGCTTCCAAAATCTGATTCGTCAGCAGAGACGTAACCTGCAAATTGACCTTTATTTTATACCCACTACTGAAGCTTCGCTCATCCTGCCTTGACTCGCTAATACTTGCTGATACCCTGGATCATCCCGATACGTCTGCCTCAGCCCTTGCAGCCATTCCTTGGCAGCTTTGATCGATACCTTGGTCCCGCCTCCTGTTCCAAGTAGGAGACCCCTGACCTTTTTGTACTCGTAAGCTGGACGAAGGTCCGGCCCAAAAGCAGAGCAGACTTCGATAAGAGAAGGGTAGCAGAAGCCCTTCTTGACGCATGCGGCTAAATCTGATCTTCCCAACTCCTCGTACGTGTCCTTTAAGAGCTAGCCCCAAACAGATAGTCCGCACTGCAGTATGTCATCTGTGAAGAAAACCACCGGCGCGGCAAAAGCCTCTTCTTTCGTCCTGACAATCGCCCTGAGCACGATAAGCATCAGCTATCGAAGTTCCGTACCATTCCCAGTCGATCCATGCCGCAATGCTGCCATCCGGTTCGATAAAGAGCATGTCACCTTTTGAGTCCACATGTTTCACGTAGAACTCAGTTGCAGGCTTGTCAAGTTCCTTCCATTCTTCGATGACTGCCATAAGATCCCTCAAGAGAAGGTAATTATCAATTGGATCTCCATTGAAACCGTGATGATTCAGGGCCAGATCCAATTGATGATTGATAAATGTCAACCATCTATCTCGAGGATGTGTGAAAGGCCCGTAAAAATAAGGCTTCTTCCTAAATCCAATCCACGGGTCAATCATGGGTCCGACGTAAGCGGGTCCCCCGTCTTTCCCGGGGTACAAGCTACCCATGGCTGAGAATGGTTTATGACTGATCAAGATCATCTGCTCTGCGTAGAATCGGACGACTTGCTTGGCCACTGTCAGTGACAAGCCCTTCAAACGGTCTTCCTTCATCGTCACTGGAAACACTTGCAGAGGAAGTTTTGTCGCCGTGATGTACTCGGAGAAAAAGTACATTCGCCAGCGGTGTTTCTCCGTGACTATGCAGTTTTTCTTCTCGTCAGCGAGGCGGCGAATGATCACGAGACGTCTCTTACTAGGAGCCTTGATTGTGCCAGATGGACGATAAACCTTTGGAATCTTGAGACCCGCCTCGCGCAGAAAATCCATCGTTTGGATTTCGGATTTCATGACCGCAAACAAGATGTAGTCTGACGCAGGTCGATCGGCTCGTAACCTCTTGCACCGCAGCATCCACTTGACTCCATCGTCAAAAGTCAATTGATAGTGATGATTGAAATGGCTCATACCACCGGTCTCCAAAGGCGTCCAGGACCTCCACAGCTCAGTTAGTCTGAGGTTGTCCTCGTCCGTTGTCGCCTGCTCCAACAGGAACATTCCAACGGTCCCATCTTGAGGTGCATTCAAGACACATGAATGCCCTGGTCTAAGCCTTGATGCTTCGCCCTCGATGGCTTCTCTGCTCATGCTCTCGTGCAGCATGACCCACTGGAAGGCAACTGCTGTCAGAAATGCTGTTGACGGGACAGAAAAGATCGGAGCACTTACATCTTGAATGGAGGCTGTCGCCCATAGGTCTGCCTGCTCCTTGTGGATGCCCATCAGCCTGACAATGGTCACTCCTCTGTGGATTGCTCACTTTCATAGTCGTGATGCCCGTGAGAAGTAGACACGGATGAAACTCTGGCTTGCGATGTGCCGGACAGAGAAAGGCTTCACATAGTTCCGTGCACATGGCGGCAGGCCCTCGAGTCTTCCGATCGCAGCCAGGAAAGGTACACATCTTCTGGAATGGATAGGCCATCTTGATACGATGCTTGACGTTCAGATCGAAGGGACTCACTACTGTTCGTCGTTGATTGAATTGAAATCTGAAACACAAGGGGGGGGGGGGGGGGGGCAAGGTTGTGAACCTCGTGGCGAGATTCGCCACTCAAAGCAGGACAGTACATACATAGTTACAGCAGAGCAGGCGGCAATCTCGTTGTCATCTCATGTATACATCATCGTCTTCCAAGCCTTGAGATATTGAGCAATCAAAAAGCAAGGGCCAAGGCGTCCAGGTACAGTCGACTGTGTCTAGTCTGAGTACGTCTTTCCGGCCGATCCTCAAGGACTACGCAGGCTACCGATCTCGTTGGCGGTTGTTCACAACGAAACTTATTGGCCACGCGCCGAGACCTCTCGTATGGATAGAGAGCGTGGACACAGGCGATTATGATGCATTGTTCTGTGATCCCAACGTAGTCCCTGCAGTTGGTCGTGCATTCTTCTCCAAGGGGCTTGCGGGACATGAGCGAATCACTTATGTATTCTGGCTTGATCGCCACTTTCACCGGTCCGCTTCCATTTTTCCAGGTCAAGATTCATTTTGCTGCATTTTTGTTGATGCTTTCAACATCCAAATCATACGTGACGAATACGCATGCGATGGACGCCAAGTCACTGCTCCGAGCCAAGAAGGCAGGCGCAAAGATTGAGCATCCTTATGCCTCTTACACCTCCGGCCAGCTGAAGTGCAGCATTTGTGCCGTGCCAGGTGAGTTTTATGTGTCGATCTCGGAAGCCGTTCACTGAAGATCAACCTCGAAGTGACACAATGGGACGCCCACCTTTTGACGAAGCAGCATAGGACATCCGTCGCGAGAGAGAAAGCCTCACAGGCCAAGGCGTCCGCAAAACGGCCGGCAGAGGATTCCTCCCGCTCAGATATGAAACGAGTCAAAACCGACAAAGCAGCTGAATCCTCCTCCTCCTCCTCCTCATTGCCGATAGGATTCTTTGACGCTCCTCGTTCTGGAGATGGTGGGGAAGACGAAGAAGAAGATAAGGAGGATGAGCGCCCTCAGCCCACAAGTGCTCCGCCTGCTGCGGTTGCTGTGCCCTCGAAACCAGAGCCGACTGGTGATTTGGAGCTGGACGCTTTCCTCTCATCGCTAAACGAACCGGACCCTGAGCTATCTCAACCAGCTCCAAGTTCTTCGAGGAGGGCTCGCCAGCGAGATCTATCCCCTTCGGACCTTGGCGTCGCATCATACTCTGCAGCACCTGTTCGGATCGTCCCAGAAACAGTCAAAGAGCCAGAGGAAGACGAAGAGCCTGAGCCGGAGGAGACGGAAGCTGAAAGACGCGCTCGTTTGGAGAGGGAAGAAAAGGAGGAAATCATGGAGCGACTGGAGGCGGAACAACGTGCTCAGGAAGATGCAGATAGTCGGGTCGAAGCGCTGAAAGCGAGGATGGAGATGTTAAAAGCGAGGAGGAAAGCCAGGCCTGTCAACGTGGATAAGAAGGCTGCAAAGAGCTGAAAGCAGCAGATGAAGTCTCAGCGTAATCACATGAGAAGTTTGCCATAATTGTACAATGTAGCATGAGCAATTATATCTAATTGATTGGAAAGCCGTCTGGCTTCATACCAGCCGTTCTTCCCTTCCTGGCGACGACTCCACCAGGTTGCAAATGAGTGGGTCTCCAAGGACTTACTTCGCCCAACTCCTGACTCATCTCCTGGATCCAACCACTGACGTCGTTTCCAGTGCTGTCCGCATAATGTCCGATGGATTCCATCGCTTCGAGTCGCCTCTTCTCCCGCTTCACGTGGAGCGCGATGCCGAGCTCTGCATCTTCTGCCCTCCACTTTCTCCGCTGCTCCTTGGCCTCTCTACCCTGGACTCGTCGGATTAATTGTCGGTTTGCGGCCTGGATGGCTTCTCGAGCCTTTTGCTCGTGATGTGCTCGCTCTCCCCTGATGGCCCTCTCCCAAGCTTTTTCATCCACTTCGTCAGGCTTATTTTCAGAACCTAATCGCCAACCATAAACCAAGGCGTGAGATGGTGGTTCAACCGGTTCAGGAAAATCAAGAGCCTTGCCATGCCTCTCTCGTTCCCACATCACTCTCTTTTCGCGCTGGCGATTTATCGACTCTGCCTTCAGGATCGCTTCGAGGTGCTCCTCATCATTTGCGAACGGTCGCTGTTCCATACATTTGTGGATGAGACCCTGTTCTTCCAATGAATGGAGCAGAGTAGACTTCAGGAAGCTTAGGGGCGCGTCAGCTGAAGGCGTCTGCGATGCAGAGAATAAGCTCACCTAACTGATCTGAAAGGGTGATCAGGGAATGGAGGTTGACGCGGAGGGATCCACGGCCGTCTACCTTCTCTTAGTGTTGAAACGCGCTTCATCCGTATACGTCCATCCGGTTGAAATTCAAAAGCGTCTGGGATTGGCCGTTCACGACCACCGGTGCCTTTGTTCCAGATCTCTTGGGTGTGCAAAAACCCGTGCTCCTCCAGTAACTGCTTGACAATTGCCACACCCGACTCTTGTGGGAGCACGTACTTTGCAAAAGGCCGGGCCCCGGTCGACTTTGGGAATGCGAAATCCTGCGGCGGAGGAGAGTTCAAAGGCTCGGCAGTGTGACTTGCAAAGCCGTCGAAGAATTCGTCCGGCGAGTCATCACTTGGAGACGAGGTCCCATCTTTTGTCGTACCACCGCCCTGTCTTTCGCTGTCAAGCAATTGACGAGGATCTGAATCCTGCGTCGAAAGTTCTTGATCCCCTGAAAATTCTGTAGACTCAGTCTTTGGGTGAACAGAGATTTCCGGATGAATATCTCGGCTGATAGGAGATAGGGGCTGACCATTGGCAGGAGGGAGATCGCGCCGAGAGGCGAATCTTCCCTGTCTGTCTCTCGAGCTCGAGGCGCCACCGCCAAAAGCACCTGATCGATATTGGCTCGGAGGTATGATTCGACCGTACATAGGCTGGTCGGAACCTCTTTCGGTCGCATGAATCCAAGTGTCCTCGACTTTCAAGCCTTGGTCGACTTCGGAAGTGTTTCGTATACCGAATCTTGCCTTACCACTCGACCCTCCCATAGCTGATCCTCCATGGCGCCTGTTCTCGCCGAAGTCGGGACCTCGTTGTTCAGACTGTCGCCGAAAACCGAAGTCCAAGTGAGGAGGGTGTTCGCGATCTGCATGCTCACTGCTCCACAGTGATACACCACGGGTGAGAGCTGGGGGTTCATTCCGATGTGATATAGAAGCAGCCCGCTGACAGGACAGAGAAGACGGACCTGCCGCTCGTCCCAATCTCAACGCGATGGCTCTGAGCATCGTGTCCCTCGCGATTGTTGAAAGCTGAAGATTCCAAAATTATGATCTTCGGCTCGCAAAATGCTTAGCCTACCGAGCAGCCAATTACGTAATTGTCACAATTTGAATTTGCCACCCGGCGCTGTCCCATTTTAAAACCCCGAGAAGAGGGCCCAACACGATCCTCTGCTTCATCATCATCATCATCACTTCGTCCTTCCCCCTAGTCCTGGCATCAGTCAAGTCAGACAGTCTTGGGGTTCAGGCGAGGATCTGAGAGCTGAGCCTCAGCTTTTTCCCTGCATTCCAATTTCCGCCTACCTTCCTCTGTCTCTGTGAGTCATGGCCTCCCTGATGTTGTCAGAGGATCCATGGAAGGCAAAACGAGCGACTTTATGGATGCTGATACAAATCGTGGTGATTCATCATAGCTCTCCACGCTCTTCACCCATCACCATCACCTCTTCTTTGCCCATGGCGGCAGCTGTGGTCCCTCTGCCCTCTGCATTTCAACTTGATGACATTATGAGTCGGACCATTATGCAGGATCAGATTGAGGATCCAGGAGTAGCCGCTGCCAGCAGTGCAAGCAGTGCAAACACACAGGGATCGCATGCTACTCCTCCCAAAGCTCAATTACTGAAAAGAGTCCTCTCAGGAGGCTCCTCAGGTTCAGCATCTGCTTCCACCCCTCGAGAAGCCATGGGAACACCTACTTCCAGTCAAATCCCCCTCTCGCCTGGATCCGTGGGGAATCGCACCCCCAAGGCGAAAAAGACACCTTTGATGCCAGAGAATGGAGGACCAGAAGTCTCCATCCCGAATGATGGCAAAATTCTGCCCCTAGTCACTGACATGGACGGTCTTCAAGTTCAGTCACCCATTCAAACCCATGCTCCACTCCCCTCTGGCAAATCACGGCCCCCGCCTTCCGTTCATACTCGGGCCGGATCATCATCGACTGATTCCTCATCTACTGGCAACCATCCTTATCCTCCTTCACACCTTGGATCCAGCTACGGATCTGAGGGCTTCCCTACAATACATATGGACGACGTACAGATGTCTGCGGATACAGCCAGGCGGATAGCATTCACCGATGAGGCGGTGAAATCAATAAACGGGACCAATACAGTCTATCAAGGTCACCTACCACCGGCTCCAAATCCGTACGCTATGCCCCGAACTTTCGCCAACTTTGTCAAGCCTCAATCACGGCACGACAGAACATCCGACGTCTCTCGCCAATCCTCTACGTCCAGTACCACAACCGAAGCCTCCACCTCGAGCGAAGAGTCTGACCTTTGCGTGCCCACCCTCGAATGGGTGACCACGAGCAATAAAAATCTCATGCCTCGCATGGTCAGTCCCGTCGTCCGCACTGCGTCTCCAGGTCAGATGCCACCGCCCTCCATACACAGCCGTTCTTCCCCTCGAAAATCCTCAAACTCGTACGCTCATGCAACACCAAAAACCATTCCCACCACCCTCTCCGACATCCCCAGTAGCTCTGACCAGGATGACGAAGACGATACTGCTACCGTTGGGCACGGTCGCGATCGTTCCCCTTCAGCATCTTCTCTTTCCGCCGAAAGTGGCTTGGATCTGTTGTGGAAGGCCGCCGCATCTCAAGGCGGTACTCCCACTGATTCGCCTGAAAGCCGGGGCAAGCGGAAAGCAGGTGCGGCCGAGGCTGTAGCTCAATGGAGAAACAGTGGCATTCCTAATGGACCCGAGGTTAAACCTGAACCTTCTTCATCTGGACCCCCGAAAAAGCGACGACGAAGCGAGATTGCGATGGAGAAGAAGATCGACCCAGCTTTGATGGCACCCGTCGACGAACCATTTCCCGAAACAATAGACGACGATTCGGACTCTGAACGCCCTGCAAGCGAGAATGATTCGGAATATGGGAACAAGGGCCGATCGCGAGTGGTCAGCAAAAGTGGAAGAGGAGCAGCCAAAAAGGGCAGAGGAGGGCGTGTGTCGACTGGTACAGCTGCCAGTACTGGAGGGGCTGGAAAAGGAGGGTCAGGTGGAAAGAAGAGTAAAAAAGTCGGGGATTCTCCTGGTGGCGGCGGCGGAGGTGGAAATGGGTCAGGCGCTGGAGGCGGGAGCGGCCGTAGGGGCAGCAATGCCGGGGCCGTCGCTGGCGTTCAGTGCGAGTATGTCAATCCTCTACCGGTGAGTTCAGTATCTCCTGATCCGTCCTATCGTCGCTGAAGTCGCCATTAGCCGTACAACCGCTGTAGCGATGTTTTCACTCGTAAATACGATCTCCCGCGTCACATGGCTCGACACGCTAGGCGAGAGGGCGAGTTGGTCATGGAAGGCAAGTTGAGCGAGGACAAGGCCATACTCTGGAATACTATCAAGGACAAGCCGAAAGTCACTTGTAATCAATGTGGAGAGAGCTTTACGAGGTGAGTACATTGCTCGAGGATCCCTTTGTTCATGTTGCTGACTCTGAATCTCAGAATGGATGCTCTGAAGCGCCACCAAGCAAAACAGCATCATCATCAATGAGGAGGACGATCAGCTTGTCTGAGGCTATCGGGACAGGGCAAGCAGGAGGTGGCGGTACTTGGGAGAAAGTTGTTTAGGAGTAATGTTGTTCAGCTCCACGGTTGTAATGGGTCTGTATATGACGAGTACCACGATTGTTCAACCATATGAGGGATTTGAGACTGTAGGTCTATTGGATGGCTGCAGCTCTAGGTCTTGGTGCATGAAAAGCATTCATGACCTTGGGGCTGAGAGACGACTTCGAGGAGCCAAATAAAAAATAATTTTTGACTGCTCAAATGCCCTGTGACGATCTTGCGAGCAATATAGAACCTCCTTGAGATACTTGATACCCGCCTACAAAGCTCCTCACGCTGGTGCTTACAAGGGCACTCTTCTTGGCTGAATCTTACCACTGACTCATTCATCGAACAATGACCATCGATGTCGCCCCTCGAACGCTTGATCCACTCGCTAGAACACAACAAGAAGAGGAAATCATAGCTGCTTGTCCACTTCAAGCTGGACCAGTACATACGACTCTGCGAGACTTGGCGCTGTGTAAGTGATCTCTCATCCAGCATCCATCTCTCTAGTCATCTGACCAGATCGCTACTGTCGAAACTATTGATTCGAGCTAAAGCTGATCCTGTAACGTTTCCACCCCTCCAGCGGTCGAATGGTCAGATTTGCGAGTTTTAGAATTAGCAAGTACAGGATGGGCCATCATACTAGGGCACAAGCGACGACATGTGGGTGCTTTATCATGAGACACTGTTGTGGACTGATGGTTTACAATCCGTAGGAACCTCTCCGAGCCGTTTTACCCCTCCCTCTTCACACCACTGCGTTGCGACCTTCATCCCTCCGGGCCATATTTCAAGCCCTGGAAGCATTATCAGATGATGACATTCCGCATGCTCTTCCAGATTTCGCACCGAGTGTAGAAGAGCTTCAGGAGCGAGCACAGCGAGGGAAGCAGGTTTCACAAACGGACGGCACGAGGAATGTTGGATTACCTGATCCAACTGATGGCGAGGAGAATACTCCGCCTGCTCATGGGCCAGAGGTCATCAACAAATCTTTGGATCGCGATATGATCTACGTCGCCATAGTCACTACGGACTCTACGGTCGTCTACTACAAATTGACAAAGGGAATCAAAAAACCAGCGGATATACCTGATGAATGATCGGGCAATCGGTTGTGCTAGCTCGATGATCATGATAATGATGATGATGATGATGATGATGTATGACACTATATAATGAGATCCCCTCCTACAGCTCCAAGTGACGCCCTTCAGACAGTCAGGACACCTCGCAAGATTCCCTTCTCTATGTCGCTCAAGCCTTCTATCATCTCGTGCGTCCCATTTGAGTTGGTCGCGTAGGTCTGTCTCAGCACTGAGGTGAGGTGTTCCTATGGCCAATATCAGTACTCAATTCGCCCGCTTCGGAGCTCAGCTCCTTCACTAACACCCATGTCGATCTGAGCAAGAGGATCGCTCCGGAGATCCTCGTCGTCGTCCTGTGCATCATCTCGATGACCGTTGTCATCCAGCCAAGCTGGCAAAGATGTGAGCTTGTAGTTGCGTACACCGGACAGCTAGACTCACAAGACAGATACTCGAATTCGTCCTTCTGTGGCTCATTGCCACCCAACAAATCGTCATCATCCCAATCTTCATCCTGCTCAAAGGTCAGCTTGTTATATGAAGTGGACAGATCCCCCCAAAAAATCACCCCGTCATCTTCCTCAATAGCCGCGACGTCTTCCCCCTTGCCTTTCGGACCTATCACCTGGACGTCCTTGAGTATCAATTTGAAGGCTTTAAGTGGAAAGGGTATCGATGTGTATTCGTTGGCATCTGCATGAACAATGTCAGATATTTCATCCTTTAAGTGAGCCAGTATTTCACTAACCGATCTTGGTTTTGGAGCGAGTCATGATGGCTACGGCTCTATTAGGCAATGGAGTAGAGCAGGACGTATCGTAGCTCACTATTTACATTCCGCTCCGTGATAATCAGGTCGCCCTTGACGGTGACATCCCGCAGTCTCTGATCGGTCATCATGAACAATTTGCTCATGCCCATTGAGCTTGGTGCAGAGTCAATCATGGTAGGTTGTCACGAAAGCCGCTCGACTCACCTGACGCGAATGTTCCAAGATCCAGAGATCGTCTCGCAGATATCACACCAAGCTTCCAGGACGATCAGCAGTGCAGATTTGTTCCCTGCCTCTGTCGGCACATCAAAAGATGTTAACAGCGTGATCGTGGATTCTGTATGCTCCGTTCCCAAGAGATACGCGAATGGCAGAACCAAGCTCTGGACAAAGGATGGCATCTTTGCGCTCGCAAGTCGAGTTGCGAGTACCCGCAGAAGATCGGGTAAGACGGGTCCGATCGAGCTCGTAGCTTTTCTGAACATGTGCATGATGAGTTCTCCGACAAAAATGCCACCAGATTCAGAGAATGTGGGGGCCAAGTATCGTCCAAGAAGGCCAAAGATTATCGAGATGCCATTCTGACCCTGTGAATCGTGCCATTGAACGAGTTTTTCACAGTCTTTTCGAATGACCAGCGTGAGGTGGATAACGCCGTGCTATGTCCATAAGATGCAATCTTCGAAGTGGACCAATCTTACCTGAACGATATCATTGTCATCTGTAGTTTTGAGACGTTCCAGAATTGCCGCTGTCATGCTCGATACGTACTCAGGTTCGATCGGTCCGTTCCGGGCCAGAAATGCGCTGGCCAACTGTATGCCCTCAATGGGGAGATGCAGGGTATCTTCAGTCTCTGGTTGAGTGATGACGGCTCCTAATTGAGGGCCGAGGGAGGCGACAATCTTGCTGATGACGGGGAGAGAGGCGAGATCTTCGTAAAGCTCCTCGATGATGGCGAAAACGATAGGATCTACAGATCAGCTTAAGATTGTCAATTTCGCTCACCCTCGGAGCATGACATCCACTTGGCATAAACGGCTTTGACGACTACCAAGATCGTCTCATCGTTGAGAGAGGTTTTCGTGAGACCAATGACGGATCTGATTGTCTCGAGGACAAGGTAGAGCGTCTCCTCGCTGGTTGGGCCAAGTAACACTTGCAGCACGGCCAGGATTTTGTCCGTATAAGGGTGCATCGTTTCAACAGGCAAGAATCGGCAAAAGCTGGATCCCGACTTAGTGTCACATCCATGAGGTATCAGGATAAAACGCACTTTTTGATCGTCTTGACTGCTGAAAGCTTCACGGCGAAGTTATCAGATGCCATTGCTTCAACACCAGCCGCGAGGTATTGTCCGGCAAGTTCTGGCGGTAGTGAGGATGCGAATTGAGAAGCAAAGATGAACGCCCTTCCTTGTAAGAATGGCGCATCTGGTGATGTCAGAAACAAAATCTGGGAGACGCTCACCATTCTGCTGTAGTAGACCAGGGATGACCTGATTAAAGAGATACGCCAGATCGAACGATCCCTGTCTGAGTTCTCGGATATCATCTGAGAGTCCACCGATTATTGCGAGGGACGCCTGAACAGGTTTCCACCAATCCGGATCATTCCGCGTCCGAAGGTGAACAGATTGCTCAACACGATCTTTCGTAGCCTTTTCAAGGAGCTGCGAGACCGTTCCAGACCATTTATCGGTCAACAGCTGGGCGCCTCGTCAGCGTGTTGTCGACCCGAGAGTCGCCGTGACTGACCCCCAGAAATGATTCGCACGACATGCGCAGACCCCATTCGCCAGCGTCATCATCCACATCCTCCACGAACATATTGGGCTCAGCACTCCAGTTCTCCTCCTGTTGTAAGTGTCAGTGACATACAAGTATGATGGCAGCGACACGCACATCTTCCTTAGACACCTGGGCGTAATCGAAAGCAGAATCGACGAGCTGGACCAAGATAGACTTGCCGCTGTCGGTCTTGAGAAACGTCTCGATCTTGCCAGTTTTCATGATTGGATCCAATAGCTCCAGGATGGAAATCGGCAAGTATTCAAGATCAATTTCTCCACCGACATCGGAGGTTGGTGACGGCGGCTCTTCGTCTGTGGCGGAGGAGATGTGAAAGGTGTGGAATGTGGGATAGAACTGAGAAAGACCATACAGGGAAAGTTGGAGTAGATCGACGAGATGGGCAGCGACAAGTTTGGGGAATTTTCCGCAGAGGAATGTCAGAGCCTGAGAGTATCCAGCTCAGCGGAAAGTTTAGATTAGTTTGAGATTCGGCTTACATCAAAGATTTCAGTATACAGACGGATGTTGTCCCAGTTGAGCTTTATACCCTCGGCCAGATTAGACCCCAAGATGGTTTTAAAGGTTTCGATCCAAGGTTGACCAATGATGCCCAAGGCTTCTCTCGCCGCACTCGGGTTTTCGTCCCGAATAGACTCGAGCAACTTCAACACCTCCACATATACTTTCACAGCGGACATTCTCGTTGATGGAGAATGTTTGGAAGGATCTTGTAGAATGCCAAGGAGTATCGGCAACAGCTCCTTGATCATTGGGACAATCTGATCTGCCGACAGAATATTTCTACTGAACTCCTCGACGACTTGCATGGCTCCGTGTACTGAGTCGGAAGAACCACTCTGTAAAAGTTGAACCAGGTCCCCCAACAACGAATGCCATTCGTCTGGCCAGTCATAGGTCGCTATAGTAGACACGACGGAAGCCTGAGGTCAATATCAGCCCTGTTAAGCAGAGTAGGTGATGGCGTCGCTAAACTCACACATGCTGTCCTGACTTTACGCTCTCGGTCGGACAAGCCATGAAAGACGATGGGTCGGATCTGAGTCTTGACCTGTGATCCGGGGTTCAGTCCAGTAGCAGCCCACGCTTGAGATCGCCAACTCACTTCTCTCGGTGTTGCAGGTTCGACGAAGCTTCCAGAGGCGAAAGACCAATGGTTACTTACGTACCGACGGAGGAGGACGCCAGCAGAGTAGATATGGAGTCAGTCTAGGCACTTGCGACCCAGCCAGCCCACTCATCTGTCTTTGAGAGAATGCGATGTCCGGACTCAGAAGTATCCTAGCTAATGACAGACCTCCCTCTGCATAGCCAGTCAGTTGCAAGGCATCATATCCAAAAAGCATTCAACTCGCCTGGATGTAAGAACAATTGCTCGAGCTGTTGTTCTGCATTTTTTCGGATCTCTTCAACTGGGGAAAGTGTACCTTCCAGACAATCCAAGACCTGTCTATCCATCCTCGCTGCGTCGGACCCTCTGCCTCACTATCTCATGAGTCGTCGTTGTAGTTGTTCTGAGGACAGTAGTGAAATGAATAGAATAATTTCAGTCGCGTGGTCGGCCGTCATCGTCATCATTTTCAGGTACACAGCAGCAGACATGCACTTCCTCATTCCATTCCTCTCCTGGATCATCTCATCGGTTCTGCTCACAACGATATGCCCCTCAAGGACCTCTTACGAGCTCGTAAGTCTGGTAGATGTTGGCATTATGCGTCTCTGACCCACACGATAGGCTTCACAACTGCCCTGGACGCTGTCCCGCAGGGGACATGGAAGATCCTCATCACTGACGAGCATTCCCAAAAGCTGCTGGACACAGTGTACAAGAATATCGACATTCTTCAGCGGAGCGTCACATGTGAGAAGCTTTGAGAGGTATCAGGCTCCAGTGTCTGACATGAATGTAGCCGTGGAACCCCTTCATTCACCTCGGAAGCCTCAAAGCTTGGATGCCGTCTACCTTCTCACGCCGACAGCTCAGAATGTAGATCGAGTCGTTGCAGACTTTCAGGGGCGACGGACGTACAGGTCGGCTCATATATTCTTCATTGACGGTGAGCTTGGCGGGATTCAAGGTGATCAGGCTCACTCCACGCGCTTCAGGCATCGACGACGGTCTGGCTCAAAGACTCACGCAGAGTATGCCGCCGGATATCCTCAGATCCTTTGTGGAATTGTACTGTAATTTCTGGGGTGAGATCGAATCTCTCGAACGATATGGGTAGCCCATACTGAAATGCCTGCAGCTCTCGAGGACAGAGTGTTTAGCACCAAAACCCCGCAATCGTTCTTCACGATGTTTGGCAATCCCGGCGGGTCGGCGTCTTACGAATTAGCGCTCGAGGCATTCGAAGATGACATCAAATTCACCGGAAGGAATGTAAGGAGTGTTTACTCGACACGTCCTTGGATCGTGCTTATCTCCTTGTCCAGCTGCTGAATCTCCTCGCCACCATAAATGAAAACCCCCACATTCGATACTACCAGCCTCAACATCATTCTCCGCTCGGCGCTCTTGGTCAGTCCTCAAATGCTATCAACGGGACCATTCCGATCCCTTCTCAATCCCAGCAAGGATCCTCATTACGTTGGAGATCGGCTATGGGCTCCTCTTCCCGCGGACCACAGTCTTCGCCAGAGGTTGAGCATATTAGTCGAAAACTTGCGTTTCAGTTACAATCAGATCTCGACGAATACATTGCGAATAACCCAGACTTTCAGGTGAGAGCTTCTCATCAACGCGCGAGTCCCCATGCTGAATGACCCTCAGGAGCCCAAAGGTCGCCCAAAAGCCGTGATGTTCATCACGGATCGATCTATGGACCCGAGTGCACCGTTGCTGCACGAGTTCTGGTATCAGGCAATGGTGAACGATTTATTGCCGGTCAAGGATGGCATACATTATAAGTGAGCTTTCCTCGCGATCCTTTAGCCAGTCTTTCCTTTCGAGCTCATTTTCTACCTAGATACACATACACAAACACCGTTGGCGGCAAAGAGATGAAGACGGCAGAATTGACCGAGGAAGATCCAGTCTGGGTCTCCGTTCGTCATCTGCATATGAAAGATGCTATCGATACCTTGATGAGAGATTTCGGAAAGTTTGTGAATGAGCACGCAGGATTCAATGGGCGAGTCCTACTTCGATTGCTACCAACAAGGTGCTCACCTCGGTCTCGCAGAGGGTCCAACGTCAACATTAATGATCTAAAAGACATGCTTGCCTCCTTGCCCCAATTCCAGACACAGCGAGAGCAATTCTCGCTACACTTGGATATGGCCCAAGAGTGTATGGGGACATTTGAAAAGAATCGGTTGAATCTGGCTGCAAATGTCGAGCAATGCTGCGCGACTGGTGTCACTGCAGAAGGCAAGACGCCGAAAAATGTGGTCGAGGAGATGGTACCTCTGCTGGCGGACAAGGGATTATCGTGAGCTTAATGTGGACATGGAGCCAGAATGTTGGTGCTGACGGGTCGTTTAGTGCATTTGACAAGATGAGAGTCATCGCCTTGTACATCTTGTTCCGTGATGGCGTGGAGGATGAAGATCGTCGGAGGCTGTACTCTCATGCGAGACTGTCACTGTCGGAGCAAGACGCTGTGAACAATATGATATATCTTGGCATAAAGATCATCAAGGTGGGTCGGAATTGCACCTTGGATTGACCTGATCATGATTACAGGACAAGGAGCGACCGAAACCGAAACTGAGGCAGAAATATGGCGCATCAGAGGGAGAATTTGAGCTCTCAAGGTACAAACCATTAGTCCAAATGGTCCTTGAGGACTCGCACAACAATCGCTTGGATCAGACATTCTTCCCTTTCGTTCGTGATGTTCCGCCGGAACTTAGCTCGCTTCGTCCGGGAGAACGTGGGACGAATCTTCAACCTCAATCATCACTGCGAAGTGCTCGTCCCGCGTGGCACAAGCAGCCGTCACGCATGGCAAACACTGAATCGAGACAGAGGATGATCATTTACATTGCAGGCGGTGTGACGTATTCTGAAATAAGATGCGCCTACACCGTCGGTCAAGCCCTCGGAAAGGAAATTTTCATCGGTACGTTGCGCGCGGTGCGACGCGACTAAGCTTCCAAGGCCGATACTGACCGCAGTCACAGGTTCGAGTCACCTCATCACACCTGAGAGTTATCTCAGGGATCTGAAACCTCTTGGTCGGGGAGGAGTTGGTGGAAATCCACCTGGTGGTCCACCCATCAGTCCAGAAGCACCCAGGATAAATCGATCACCTGGGTCGTCTATCCCTTACCAGAGGTTAGTTGTTGGCATTAAACACACCTTTCGCATATGCTAGCGGACCTTGTCACGGAGGCTGACGTAAGTGTATAGGATACTTGACCAGCGGTTCTGGGTGAAAGCGGTTCCTCCACCGCCACTTGGCCCACCACCTGGACAGGCTCCTCCTCCTCAGATGAGCCGCGGTACCTCCATGTCCAACATCACCAATAAAGTCGCCGACAAGGTATCTGATCTGGGAATGTCGAACCTCTCCTTAGGAGGCAGTCAGTCGCGCGATTCCAGTCTCAGCAAAAAATCTAAAGACGACGGGAAGAAGAAGGGCCTTTTGGGCAAGATGAAGTGGTAGTCGGGAGTGGAAGTGGCGACATCTAACCAGAAGAAAGGTACCCTGGATTATGTTGCATGGCTGTGAAGAATGTATCATGGGAGCCATTGTATTGCTGCGTCCTGCCCGTCTATGGCAAAACGATATACCGATGAAGTTTCTCTGGAATAGCCTCGAGCAGCCCTTTGCTCTCCAGCCAGACACGAGAGAATAATCTCGCTTGATATCTATAAGCACCATCACACAAGATAGTGACAATAGTGTGACCTGGTCCTTTACGTCTAGCCAGCTCCGCTGCTGCCCAAACATTAAGTGCCGAGGAAGCACCGACGTAGAAGCCCTCTTCGTCCAAGAGTCTGTACACCATTCGGATGCTTTCGGCATCTGGAGCATGTAGCGCTCCGTCGAGTAAGGAGATATCTTGGGCAAGATTCTGAGTGACCCGCCCTTGACCGATACCTGAATACCAATGTCATTCAATCTGTGTCCCGAACGGATGGAAGCTGACTTACCCTCTGTTATTGATCCCGTACCCGCTCTCTCGGCTTTTCCATTCTCGACCAAGTTGTACAGGACACTTCCGGGTGGGTCGGCTAACCAACATTCGACCTTTCCATCGCTCTTCTCCTTTAAGAACCGAGTGACACCCGCCAAGGTTCCACCAGTACCTGTTGCGCATATGAAAGCGTCGACTTTCCCGTTGGTCTGTTCCCAAATCTCAGGACCTGACGGCAAGATCAGCCGCGATAACCCTGGTGCTGGCCGGACCTGACTCACCGGTCGTAAGTATATGAGCTTGTCGATTGGCAATGTTGTCGAACTGGTTGGTCCAGATGGCGTTGTCTAGGGTTTTCGCATATCTCGCCGCTTGATGATTGTAGTTCTGAGGATTATCAAATGCAACAGCTATGATGGAAAGGATCTCAGCCATGGCACCCTGGGGAATGGAACGGTGACTCACCCGGAACGGGTCTAACGTCCGCTCCCAGCAGTCTCAGCAGATCAATCTTCTCTTGACTCTGAGTATCCGGCATGTAAATGACACATTTGTACCCTTTACTCCGGCACACATGAGCCAATCCTATCCCGGTGTTTCCCGCTGTCCCCTCGACGACTGTTCCTCCAGGTCTGATCTGACCTTTCTCTTCGGCGTCTTTGACCAAATAGAGTGCAGCTCGGTCTTTCACCGATCCTCCAGGAGACATGTATTCCGCTTTGGCCAAGACATTACATCCGGTCTCTTCGGACAGCTTGTGAAGCCGGATCTGTGGGGGATATGCGCATCAGCGATATTGATAAAGGTGAGCCAAATACTGAGGCAGATGCTAGAGGTCCTGGACCAAAGCCCTGATCCTATTACCCACCAGAGGAGTATTGCCCACGGCTCCGACGAAACCCTCTACCTCTCTGCCGTAACCGAGAGTTGAAGTCGCATAGCTTCTGGCCAGGGGTCGTAGCAGTGTTCGGAACGCCATACCGAAGACGTCTGAGGATGACAAGTGGTTGCCGGCGGGTGTATACGCTGAGCGATGGGGAGCAGAGGACCTCCAAGTTTCACCTGAGCGATGCACCAGTATTCAGACTGTCAGTCTACTCTCGCAACAACTGTCAGACAGTCCGGATGAGGTTCAATGGGTCTTCGATACCGGGACTTGGATGGAAAAGATTGAGATATGGCAAACTTGGAAAATGGCCATTCGGAATGCAACCGATGGTGCAATCGAACTTGTGGAGACTCCGCACAAGAGAACGGAGATCAGAAGCGGAGATCGGGAATTGATCTCCGTTTCCAGATGGTTCAGCTGGGGGGCGCAAGGGAATTTTGGTACTCGTACTACTACACCCGTCCTTGACGAAGCATTGGAGCATGAGCAGCGCAGTAGCGGGACCATCGAAAAGGTTCTGCGCGCATTGCTTGAAGGCATCATGGGCCTGTCGAGTGGCACAGAATGCCGCTAGGAGAGCGTCCATAGGCTCGACATTGCATCGAGCGAGCAGCGTGATCTCGAACATAGACAGATATCGGATGTTCTCCACCTCTCAGGTCTTGGAAGCCAAGAAGCCCAAGTTGGAAGTTGCCAAGATTGATATGGAGCAGTTTCCACCGGAGCGGATACGGTGGGCGTTCTCCAGAACTCACCGTCCCGCTAGCTAACAGCTGCCAGGAACTTTTCGATTATTGCTCATATCGACCATGGCAAGTCGACTCTAGCCGATCGACTGCTCCAGGTGAGCACAATTGAATCGGAGCACACAATTGACCTTCGTAACAGATGACGAATACTTTACCGTCCGACTCGTCTCCTCAGTTTCTCGATAAGCTGAAAGTCGAACGGGAGCGAGGAATCACAGTCAAGGCTCAAACAGTGTCCATCATACATACCCACACGGATGGACAAAAGTATTTGATCAATCTCATTGACACTCCTGGTCATGTCGACTTCAGCTATGAAGTGTCTCGCAGTCTCGGCGCTTGTGAAGGAGGTCTCTTATTGGTGGACTCGAGTCAAGGCATACAAGCCCAGACTCTATCCGTCTTTTACGTCGCCCTAGAAGCAGATCTCACCATTCTCGGAGTCATCAACAAGATAGATCTGCCTCATGCGGATGCAGAAACGGTCTCTGAGACCATGGAGACCACTCTGGGGATAGATAAAGCCGGTCACATGCGGATCAGCGCGAAAAGCGGTCTGGGAGTGGATCAGGTCCTCAATCAAGTAATTGAAGGACTGCCTCCACCCCGAAAGCGAGAAGAGAACGACGGAAAGCTCAGAGGATTGGTATTTGATACATAGTGAGTGAGCTTTGCCCTCATCATTCGGTGCTCATCCCAATCCAGCTATGACCACTTTCGAGGTGTCGTTGCTCTCATACGAATCATGTCTGGCTCTGTTCGAGTTGGTGACAGGATCAGGTTCCTCCAAGCCGACCGCAAATACGAAGTCGCGGAAATTGGGATAAACAATCCTGACGAGACGCCTGTGAATGTCTTGCAGGAAGGTCAGGTCGGATACCTGATCTGCAGCATGAAGAATTCTGAAGAGGCACACATAGGAGATACTATCTGCCACGAGTCGGCTTTGGTGGAGCCCTTACCTGGATTCAAGCCTACAAAGTCGATGGTCTTCGCTGGTGTTTTCCCGACAGACACGGCGGACTTTGACAAACTGGAAGAAGCGATAGAGCGCTTGACACTCAACGATCGAAGTGTCACCATCGCCAAAGAAACCTCAGCAGCTCTGATGCAAGGCTTTAGACTTGGTTTTCTAGGCACGCTCCACATGGATGTATTCAAACAGCGACTCGAGGATGAGTACTCCTCCGAGGTCATCATTACCGCACCTACTGTACCGTATCGAGTAACGAAAGGAGGAGTCAGCAAGACCATCTCGAATCCTTGCGAATTTCCCGAGCACACTGCCGGATATATCGTCGAAGAGCCTATGGTGCATTCGACTATCATCGTCCCGACCGATTACCTCGGGCCATTGATGGATCTATGCTCCAAGTACCGATCTCGTCAACTCGAATACAAGATTCTCGAAACAAACCGTGCTATTCTGCGTTACGCCTTTCCCCTCTCAGAAATAGTGACAGACTTTTTCTCAGCTTTGAAGAGCACCAGTTCGGGATTCGCTTCATTCGATTACGAGGAAGCCGGGTACGAGGAGAGCGACATGATCAAGGTGAACATTTTGCTCAACGGACATGCGGTGGACGCCTTGTCGATGATTGTTCACCAGTCGGCGGCTCAGCATACCGGAAAAGAATGGTGCACCAAGATGAGTGAGTCGCGGTGACACACGTGTGTATTTGTCCAGGTGACTGACCTCGATGTACAGAGGAGGTCATTCCGAGACAACAATTCGAGCTGGCAATTCAGGCATCAGCAGGTGGTAAAATCATTGCCAGGGAGACAGTGAAAGCGGTTCGCAAAGATGTCACATCAGGATTGTACGGAGGTGGGTACAGCAGCGCTTCTCCAGCCTTTCTGACGGCTTCTCCAGGTCACTATGAGCGTAAGAAGAAACATCTCGTCAAGCAGAAAGAAGGCAAAAAGCGACTGAAACGATTAGCTGGGAACATCGAAGTCCCACAGTCTGCCTTCTTCTCGGTCTTATCACGATCTTACGCTACGACTGTGCCTACTCCAGGATTGAGTCTGCGCGATCATCTTGCTCGGCAGTTGGGGAAGGAAGTCGTTGGGAACGAGGCACCATCATTGCAATTACCCAAGAGTATACCCCGCATCCAACTGCCGGAATTGACAGATCGACCTTTATCTTTACCCGTCGTTTCACCCTATTTGCGAGCCACGCACCTCTCGAGTCTCTATTCTCAGCTTAGTCCGAGTGCTCGTCCCCAACCTGGTCAGTTGATGGATACATTCTCAACTCTTCAAGACTTTTCGTCCGATACCCCTGTACTTACACACGACGAGATCCTTGAAGTCATGCAGAAGCTGTCCCAATCCATGAAACGCGAAGGGACGCCGACATACGAGGCGAGGCAGATGATGAGGGTTGCTACGAGGGCACTGGAACGACTACAAGGCCAGAACGCTGTCGGTGATCTCCTCAACATCTCCACGGGTGTAGCGATCTTTAAGCGCCCGCCACTCAAGGCAATCAACCAGCTTGAACGGCATCTGGAGAGAATCAAGGACTCTCAATCACCGGCGTTTCGAGATGCTGTCCGCCTCTTGCTCAGGCTTTGCGCAAAACGACCCGATGCAGAGCGATTCCAGAAGTGGTGGTACAAGGCTCAAGACACCGGTCTAGATGTCCAACTCTATGGATCTCGATTGATACTTCTTCAAAGCATGGGATCGACCCAGCGTATCGAGGAACTTTTCGTACAAGGAATGGAAGATCTCCAAAACGTTGAGCGAAGCGGTATCGAATTCGCCAACAAAGCTCTCGGTGTTGCCACAGAAGACGGTAATTGGCCATTTGCCGCAAAGGTCTACCACCTTTTGACGGGACAACGTATCGCGGATGTCGACGAGACTTTCTCCCTGAAAGGTGTCAGATCTAAGGGCGACCGGGTCACCTATTCCACGATGCTTGACGGACTCTGTCATCATGGTCTCCTCTCCGAGGCGTATCAAGTGCTGCTGGATATGGACAAAGCGAATCATACCCCATTTATCACTGAATACTCGTCCCTTTTTGTCGGCTTCTCACGCTACGGTGAGATCAAAGATCCAAATCATTCAACAGAGTCCCGGACGGCATACAGTCTCTTTCCTCCTTTCGAGATATTTGATGATGGATCAAGCAAGAAGAAGTCTAATCGTAGGGAGCGGAAGCAACCAAGACGTTGGAACGGCGAGGCGTACGAGTCTGATTGGAGCCGATCTGCCCTGGACGATGTGTTTGCGTCATTGATGGCCCTCAGACCCGGTATGCGACGAGTGGAGGATCTGGACAACCAATCCCTCCGGCTCGATCCGTATCGCGCGCCGAAACCTCAGACTGCCATCAATGTTCTTCTGGCTTACGCTCGAGTGACTGGTTGCGACGTTCAAGTCTTGAACCAAGTCTGGGACAAGATGGATACTAAATTTTCAGCTGGTGAATGGACGGAATGGAGAGTATCGCATGGTTCAAAAGACAGGTCTATATCGGGACCTACTCGGCACTTGAGCCAAGCGGGCGGTCAGCATGACGATCAAGAAGCGAACAAACACGGCGATTGGGTATTCTGGAAGACGAATCAGCGATTGACGCGTTTGGTTTTGGGTCTCAAGGGCATATTGGCTGGCGAGGACGTGTCGGATCAGTCATCAAAGAGGGAGACTAAGACATCCCAACATCGTCAACCGAAACATCTTGGAAACACAGGGTTCTTTTCGAATCTCATCTCAGAGCACATCAATTTGCATCGTTGATCAAAAGGATCGCATTACTCAATCGCATACGTCTTGCATGCATCGCATTTTAGTTACAGCTCGACATCCTCCTCGTCGTACGCCTCTTTGATGATCCGGTAGATGTACGAAGGTGAATGGTCTCCTCTAAAGCAGCAAGACGTCAGTGAGAAAACACGCCGCTACATCCATTCCAACTCACTCGTTGGTCACAAACAAATTGATGAGCTCTGGTCGGATGTATTCGTAATACGGCGCATTTGTCGTCACACCAGTGATTCCACCTGCACTTCCGTCCCCTTCGTAGCCCAAGACGTTTCCCGGCGATTGAAAGTCGACGGCGCCATGCTCATGATACAGGTTCCAGACGGGCGCAAATTTGAATTGACCAGTAGTCACCACGACGGGTTTACTAAATGCTTTGGCTGCAAGACATGCGCTGAGCGTTCCTGATAAGGCGAATAGTCCTCCGTTCGCTAGAATTGAGTGAGCGCCCAAAACGACTTTGGTTACTCGGGGCATGAGAGCGTGGACTGAAGAATCTGGAATGAGGATCGTAGGGATATTAGACGCGGATAGTGATTTTGCCATGGTATGGCCTAGATAGCTGAGACGTTATCAGACTCGTATGTTGACGTATACAGCGGCTAACCCTCACCTTGGGGCCGACTCGACGACGATAACAGTGAATTTTCGATCTCTATAAGCGTGCTTGATGAATGTTTCGACTGTTTTTGAGTGACCTAGCGTCATAATCACCTCACTGGGGTCGGATGGGTGAGCGATGAAAACTTTCCTAGTTGACTTGCCACTCACGCCGAATGAATGTGTTCCCGAGCTCCCTTTGCCACATCATCATGTGTCGTCTCCAGCTCTCCGATTACCTCTTCTATAGCCTGTATGAATATCGGCTTGAGTTTCGCACTCTGCCTCATAAACTCTTCATTCTCCTTCTGTATTATCTCCAAGGACGAGAAGCTTGGGTAACTCGCTATACTAGCAGCAGCTTGAGTGAGCTCTGATAATGTACTGCCTGATCTCTCCAACTGAGCTCTAGAATGACGAAAGGCCACAAAGTTGCTGAGGGATGGCGCTCGGGAAGGTACGGGCAGGGTCGATGTGCCGCCCAGATTTGGCGAATGATTTTGGGTACGAGGTGGTGTAGTCGTCATCGATAAGTCTTGAGATAGGTAATGACTTGACGGAGCATGAAGACCGGGTGTCTCAGGTCCGGAAAGTGGTGTGGAAGGTTGAGTGATCTGAGTTGCGGCGGCCGCTCTGTATTCCTCTCTGAATAGTCGTAGAATCCTCCGGACGATATTTCCAGATGCTAGCTCTGTAAGGATGATCTTAGTGGTGTGTGCGCACTGCCACCGGCCCTCCCGACGACCACTCACCTTTTGGATTCGCTTCGTTCAACCTACGTCCAATGAGCTTGAGAAGGGCGAGCAGCTCGTCTAGCGTGGAGAATTTGACCACACGGACAATGGCGTAGATCAACTGAGCAGTCTCCAGAGCGATATTGTGAGACCCGACGATTTGTCTATCGAGGTAGTCACCGGGTCAGACTTGCAAGCATCATCAGATTCGTTGGCTCACCTTCTTCTGAGACGGGTACAGACTTTCTCTACGAGCAGAGTACCTGGCTCATCTGGTTTCTGCACAAGCAAGTGTGTCAGTCCAATCACCGTTTTGGATATAGAAGACGGACCAGAAGATTTGAGTAGGCCATTTCGAGAGATCTTGGAGGACCGAGGAGCAATAGGGGAAAGCAGACACGTCGTCTTGCTGTTACACTACTAGTGCGCGGAAGTTACAAAGCTCGCAGAGTGATTGATTCAATGCTTCAGTGAATGGACAGCTGAACTCCCGATATTCCAGCCTGCCGCAGACGCAACACGTGGTTAAACTTTCACACGGTTGTAAGTTGCCTGTAGACCCCCTGCAGGGGACTCATGATGCATGCGGCAGATCTCTCGACTCTATACTCATCAGCCTCCTAGGAATCAAAGCGAAGGTAGCCATGTCATCTTCCGCAGGCTTAGGTGAGACTGTGCATCTTGACATCGGAACGTACAGCTGACTGCTCTTCAAGGCCCCATCTCCCAGCAATACGCAGCTGCAGCCACGGTCCCCTTGATCAAATCTCCCTCCCTCTATCTGCCTCGACCAGTGAGCTGGGGACATGCTTTGGTAATGAGTGCGCAAGGAGCTAATCATGACTCAGATCGAGCTTCCGAACGATATTCACCCCCTTCCAGAAGACATTACCGCCTATGTGAGCTTGCATCTGTTCAAACAACAGCTCATCAACTGTTTTCAGTTCGTTTACCCCTTCACGCTCGAAGAACATGTTCTGAGTATCAAGCCCTCTCCACACGAAGCCATAGCTGCGAAGAGGGCGCATAATGCTGAGATACTGCATCAGAGGGAAGTACAGGAAGAGCAACGAGAGTGAGCATTTTTCGGACCGCGGGGAGCCTTGTTTGAGCTGGCCAAGGAGATGATGAGAAAAGATAGCTGACTCTGGCCTACGCAGGAAAGAAGCACTTCACAAAGTCGCGCCCGGATACAATCCCACTGCAGTCCTTCTACCTACTTCATCGAGCCCTGCTCCAGGACCGAAACCCATCGTTGGTACCTCTACCTTGAACTCCAGGGTGGGGACTATCGATCGACCAGCAGCACAGACCTCTCTCGACCCTATGGACGATCTGGTGTCACAGCTAGAGTTGCTGGAAAGCAAGCGGTGAAGGTATACTTAGAGGTTGCCGCGGCTGGCTTGCTTGGTCACTGCGATGCTTGCCGGTGGTTAATAGAGCCACGCACGACGCTGATGAGGAATCACCCGCCCACACCCTACTCCTCCTCGTCAGTGAACGCAGTACCCCAAGCATCCCCCGCCTCAGCCAGTCGACTTCTTTGTGCCTGATCTTTGTTCGTCTCTCCAGCACAAGACATGTCCCTCTTCATTGCCTTTCGAACACGCTTGTCTCACGGTGACCACTCGACGCATCACAAACCCACCTTTCCGCAGAGATAATCACGTACCCGACTTTCTGCGCGCATCAAAGGGCCTTAACAAAGTAATCGATCCTTTGTCAACACTGAGGGGTGCATCATGATTGGCGATCGGTTTCAGCTTGTAGAAAGCTTGCGAATGCCAGTCTTGGTGGAGTGGACTGGCCGAACCATGGTCTTCCAACCTTTTGGTTTCGACCATCAAATCCACCTTTGACCGTCTTCGTCCGTCAACTATGCTGCTTGCCCTCTCCAGCCTTCTAAGCACTCTACTCCTCGCTGTCAGTACTTTGACCTCCGCTGTAGCAGGTGAGCAATACTAGCCGGCAGACCGTCCAGCCATTTCTGACCCCTTGTCAGCAGCACTAGTCCATGTCATCGAAACATCCGATCATCAAGCGGTCCCACATCGACCTTCCATCCCTGAGGCTCTTCTCATACCGCCTGCCCCTCCTCTACGCGACACAGAAATATACTCTCCTGAACTCGTCCGGTATCTTGAGCACATGCCTGACAAGGATCTGATCCTCCTGCAAGAGCTTCTCCAGATCTTACATCAAGCTTGGAAAAGTCAAATGGATTTGCTCGCCTGGTACAACATCGCCCTTGAGCCAACTGGTGGTGAGAATAGCCGTCAGTCTTTCAGGCAAGCGCAAGCCGCTTCCACTGGGACCGCCGATGGTGACGAGAAATCCCCTTCAGACCATGACCGGCGATCCTTCCGCTGGATGCATCCTGCTGAGAGGAAACGATGGACAGAGGATTGCCGATGGCTGATAGACGTGTCTTCAAGTGAGTACAGGACATCATTTTGTTACGCCATTGGCTTGACTGACCTTTTCTGTCAGAATTGACAGAGGCATACGGGCTCGCGGTCAACCCATTAGCGGTTTTCCCAGGTTCAGATAGTGACATATGCAGGATTCTCGAGTAGTTGAATGCAGCTCTTCGATGACCACGATATACGTGTGATGCCTCCAGCAGTAGACTATGCTTCGGGGTCTTCCTACCGAGAGTCAATGATGATAATGTTCTCGGTTGAGAGGAACCATTTTGCCGAACTGGACATCTGAAATTCGGATTTCCAGTCTACATATTCAATCCTTGACCCTCTCATTTCGATCGCTTGGAAAGCATGTCTCGAGCAATCTCGACTACCTGCGTGCTCCGTAGGACATCAACGCTCTCTCATAGGATCATCAGGCCAGTCGCAGTCCCAGATCGGGATTCAACTTCATTTCAAACGACCTCTCGGCCCAGACTCCTTTCTATATCGGCTAGACCATCGTCGTCCCGGTCGAATCGTCCATCGTGCATACCTCTCAGAGCTCTACATGTCTCATCCTCTTCAAGGTCATCGTCAGGAGGCGAAGCTTCTTCAAAGTGAGTCCCATGCCCCTTACCTTCTATTGCGTGAGCTCCTAGAGCTGATACTGTCCAGATCCTTGACGGCATCAGAATACGAGCGTATCTCCGAGCAAGATATGGACACGCTACACGATGAATTGGAAGAACTTTGTGAAGTCTACGCGCCGGAAGACTGGGAGGTAGAGTATAGCGTGAGCTTGTTTCCGAACAGGGCAAAGAGATTGACAGCGATCGAGCTGACAAGTCATCCCCAGTCTGGCGTAATGAACCTCTCTGTCCCATCTACCGGAACCTACGTGATCAATAAACAACCTCCTAATCAACAGATCTGGCTCTCCTCCCCACTCTCCGGGCCCATGCGATTCGACTATGGTCCCGATGGGGTATGGGTACATCATCGGAAATCAGACGTAACGCTAGGTAGAATTTTGGACAAGGAGCTCAGAGATTTGTTAAGTGAGACGGGGGTGGAGGAGTCGGATTGGAAGGGCGTGAGCCTGAAATGAATCATGTCGTGCTATGGCAATTCTACACCGCGTCTCTGGGCACGACGCCGCCTGATGCTTGTCTCAATCGATCAGCTGTTGATGGTCTACCGGAGGCCAGACTTCAGTGTTGTGCATGACGGACCATGCCATACATCGTCCGAGCCCTTTCTTCCATACCCTCGCCAGCTCACGCTTACACCGTGTAATCAAAAATGCGCGGTCTGCTGGCCTTACCAGTCTTAGAGGAGCTTCGAGGGAGCACAGATCCAGTTTGATTCTGTCGACCCTTTTGCACGTCTCGTGAGAACTATGATGAAACCTTTTCCCGATCTCTCAAGAACAGAATATGCATTAGATACAGTTATGAGTCTCGTCATATGTGTATATATACAGTCGTTCTGCGGTATCAAGCTCGCTCATCCATCGAGTGTCGTTCGCCGAGCGTGCAGACATCTCACTCCGGGGACGAGATGAGAGGGCGCTGGGTCATATCCCTGTGCACTGCGGAGATGGTCGAATCTCGCAAGATAGCGTTTTGGAACTGGGATTTGTCCATCGGCTTCTCTGTCCTATAGTATATGAGTCAGCGTAGAGGACTAGGAGGCCATGCAAGGACTAGGAGGCTATTATATCTAACTCACCTGATTATCCAGAATGACCATTCCTCAATTGGTCTGAGATTGAGCAGGACTTGATTGATGCGGTATGCGATGATAGTCACGAAGAGGCCGCCCACTGCGTCAAGAATGTAGTGGTTGGCCGTCGCCTGAGAAACGATAGCGTTTCATAGCAAGATTGAAGGGATGATGAGGGACAGAGTGTGGTGAAGAATAATAAAGTCATTAGCGGGTTGCTGTGCGAAAAATCACTTGGAATCACCATGATCACCAGAAGGATGAGAACGGGGTACAGTGGCGCGACCAGTCTCATGATTCTGTGAGGAGAGAAGGCCAACAAGGACATCCCACTGGTAGACGTGAGCTTCTGACCGGAAAGAAGAGTATAGCTTCAGCTCACATGACGAATGAGTATCCAAAATGCAATGACGGAAACGCAGCGAGCTGATTCTGGAACTGGTTCACAGGTAAGTACTTCTCGGCGCCTGTGTAATTGATTCACCTTGTTGGTGGTCCAAATGCTCGCGGCCTTGCCCGTGTGCAGTGTATCGACATATTCAAATTCATCGTATGGTAGCAGCCTCGGAGGCATGCAAGGCCAAGAAGAGAAAATGATAAAAGCCAGACAATTGCAAATGACCAACGTACGTCGTGTCGATTGAAAGATCTGAGGCTGAAAATAGCGATAAGAATAGCCCATGAATGCTATTGTGGCGGGAATGTGGACCATGGCGTACGTCCTGCAAGGAGCCACAAATGGTGAGTTCGCGGACAACGGCTCTGCGGCTCGCGTTACTCACTTGTTGAAGAACCATAAGAGCCAGTCATGGCGCATGACTAGTCTTTGCAGATCCAGCTCGACATCGATATGGAGCCATTTTTCCACATTGAGAATCTGCCTGGCGTGATCTTCCGAAAGCTGTCGAGTGGAGGCACCCATGGTCAACGCTTGAGCGGCACGAGCGATCTGGTAGACCCAGTATCTGCGGTTTATCAGCAAATCAGTCGTCTTCCTGGCCATGATTCCGCCCACGTCAAGAGCCAATACCACACTTCCATCAAGAATGGAAACATGGCTAGCAGTCGGGATGTAATGTTCATCCTGAACCTTGCATTATCGGGAACCTTGACGGTCCAGAAGAGGAATCGCATCTGTTTGATATGGGCACCCTGAGCAGCGGAGTGAGCGATCTTTGCTGCGCAAGACAGGCAGGGAGTTGACCCACTTGGTACGCTGGGGGTGATGTCGGGCTCTCGGCCAGCTGATTGGCCAAGACAATGTCGGATGCTTTGCGCCGATTCAACAAACAGCCCAGGGTGAGCAGCGATGCGACCACTGCAAGGAAGAACGCAGTGTGTCGAAGGCAATACCATGATGAGCAGAAAATACGTTGTGGGGACCAGGCAGAATTTCGAATTTCCAGAGCATAAGCGGGTGATGGATAGGAGCAGGGAGCCAAGAGGGATCAAGGGTGAAGATTGATGCGACATGAACATCGAAATGGTGAACCCAGGTTGCACACGAGCCATGGGAGATCAGAATGGATCGATATGAGAGCGAGAGACCGCAAATGAGGTATTGTTGCCCGCCATCGCACAAAGCCGAAGGATGTTCAAGATTCCGTTGGAAAAAATGTACGCCATGGGTCGTGTGAGGGTGATGTAGGACGATGGGTAGGTAGAAGGGCGAGAGAGACGAGGTGTGGGTTGTACAGAGTAGCCAATCATAGTAGTAGATGAACCGTTGGATGGAAGCGTCAAGACCATCAGCTCAGTCGCCACTATGGGTCCATCCTTTGGGGTTCACGGATGACCACTTACGAGCTGGTTCAAGGATGAAACTGAGCGCTGGGATCTCCTCTTTGGTGGACATGATGCCGGGCTGCGAGTGGTGAGCTAGGAGCGTGAATGTGTGTGTGTGTGTGTGTGTAGGTGCTCAGAACAGTCTGATCCAAGTGAATGTGACAAGAGCAGCAATGAGACCTAAACAATGATAGGTTAACTCGCAGCAGCAGCAGCAGCAGCAGCTCCTCGGAGTGATAATGATAATAAGCTGACATGGTTGGACTGACGTAATACAAAAAAAGAAAATGCCAAGCAAAAACTTGGAACCTCGGCTTGTCCCTGGTCCCTGATTCGGCAGAAAAGTGGCACGCACATCTCCCTACTTGGTTGGCGGTGGTGGCTTCTGTTGCTGCTGCTGTTGCTGCTGCTGCTCATCATCCCAAGCTGCAGTATCATCCAAATCATCTCCCAGGATCCAATCCACTCCACCATCCTTCAACAACTGATATATCCTCCATCTCAACCATCGTGGAGACTTGGCGAATCCCCACCAACGAGATTTGATACCCCTCTTTCTAGCTTCAGACGTGAACTCGGTCAACGTCTGAGCAGCTTGTAGAGGCGGCAAGGCGATTCCAAGATTGTACTGAATCGGCAGCTTGGAGCTGGCCATAGGCGCTAGATCGGAAGTCCATTCCGTCGTGATGGCTGGGCCGTGCTCGGAAGCGGGGATAGACAGAGGCTCCTTCAGCTTGATGAGCGGGGCATCGTGGAATAGATCCCGAGGGGATGAGTAGTAAGTACCGGCAATGGGGGCGGAGCCTCCACAGACCATGACAAGAGGTCCATATGTCCATTTGGAGCTGGCAGGGTCATAGGTAGTAAGATAACCTTTTGCGCGGAATGGCTCTACAGCGGCATCCAAGTATGGCCAAGTTGCGTAGCCGTCGGATTTCTGCACAATTCAAGTTAATGTCTAATCCACCCATATAGCTCAGACCCACCATGTCCACCAGTATCTGCACTTCCGCCTTGGGATCATCTTTGTACAGTCCGACCCAATCTCCAGCACGAACATCTCGACCTTTGTTGTTTTCGTCCAGGATTTTGAGCAGTGGATCAAGGTAGATGTCCTTAAATGTCCCGGAAATCTCGTGCTCTTCATGACCAACCGTCAAAGTCGGTGCACTGACTGCTTCCCGGCTCTGTATGCCGGCGCTGGGAGCGTGCGCTTGTTGCGGCGATGGCGCACCTCGAGGATCTTCATGTTGAGGAACCGCTGATGTTCCAGCTTGATCGCCGGTGCCAGGTTGCCGTCGTGGAGCAATAGACAACAATCTCTTCCTCTCCGTCTCATCAATGATCTCAGGGACCGGCAACCAATGTCGAGATTCGGGTACGCGACTTGCTGCGCCGGGTTCGTGAGATAACGCCCGACCTTCAGCATGTCCAGATTGATCGTACGCTGCAAGCCAAACATCCGCCTCGATGGATCCGTAACCATGACTGAGGGCGAGAGTCTACATGCAGTACTTGAGCTCCTTTTGATATGACAGTGACAGAATGACTTACGAGAGCCTTGGATCCCTGCATCTCATCGTTATGACTATGTAGCCATCGCTTCTTGATCATCGGAGCTGTCAAGCAGGATGCGTTTCAGCATCCAAATAGGTAGGCTCGCTTCTTCGCCTCACTTACCAGTGTGCTCTGCCCCGTTGCCTTCCACCGGGCCAGCCGTTCCAGACACGTTCATGGCTTTTCTGTAAATCCAATCTCTATCCCACAGAATTTCAACGCTGCAAGCGTAGAGGATGACCAGTACCGCAAGTACGGAGCCAACGATGATCATGCACCTGCCACAGGCGTAGCACTGGTGACAAGTATGGGGTCTGACTACAATCGAGTGGCTCTCTGGATCCCCTGTCAGAAGATGGAGATGGGACGAAGGAGTTGGTCGACGTTTCCAGGTGCACCGATCCAAGACAGCCTTTAGCCAAAGGAAGGTATTTGTACGATGTGCGAAGGGACTGAATTCAGTCTGATCCTCCTTCAGCTTCAGCGAAGGCCAACAAGCTTTACGATGAGACCAAACTGTAGTCTCCGCAGATTTCGAAGATAATACAGTAATCAATTTATAAATGGATCTCTTCGGACCGGGAGACTGACCACGTTCGTCGGTTGATTCCGTCGAGGGCAGGACAGCGAAAGGATTACCAGTCTTCAACACCGCTTCGGATGCAGAGGTGAGGTCGAGCTGAGCTGGTCTGACTGAAAGGTCTTGTCGCTTGACCTTCTCTGGGTTTCCCGGGCTCGAATGAGAACTCAGCACCTGATGGGCGGCTCCAAGCGGAGCAAGCGGTCTTTCCGACAGAGCGGGCCGAGCGGATGCCGACATCGGACCTGGCATATCGGATGAAGGATTCATGAGATGGTCTTTGAACTTCAACGTGCCGTCGCTCCCGTGAGATTGACCGAGCAGAGGAGTGGTGTAGTCCTGTGATTTGAGAGACGGCTCGATATCATTCGCTTCGTTTTGAAGCGTACAGGTGCTGGCTTCCACTGACCGCCACGAAGGATCGTCCGACCTCAGCGAACAGCTAGCTCCGTTGCCTGGGCTTGAATCACAATCCCCCAGCCTCAAGCCTGATGCGGTCTGTGAAAGAGTCCTTGGTCAGGGCCCAGGGGTGATCCATATCGCTCCATGCAACACATTTTTAATTGCCCTGCTTTCACGTTGCTTTCACGTTGTCAGCCCCTCCATTTTGGTGGGGACGTCAAGGGGGACCGTCAAAGGAAACGCAACCACTCACGTGCCATACATGAGCAGGATATGTCGAGGATATCGATATCGGTCGGAAGCGCTCTCGCGCCATCTTAGGTGTGACGTAGAGTAGGGCGAGGAATCCATCATGGGACCGGGTGAGGGATCCACAGGTTCAGCGGAGACGGTCCCTCGACACCGATTGCATGGGCCGAAGACCCTTGACTGAGAGCAGGGGGCTTTACAGCTTCGCGCATGACTGGTAAAGACAATCGCTGGAGGGCTATCTCCGACCAGGATGTCTGCTTCTACAGACAGCTCGTTGGTATTCTGGACCGCCAACCCCCGGCGCCACGACCATGCTGATGCTGACACATCGCAAACAGAACGCACGGATCACCGCGTTGATCATCAAAACGCGGCCAAGCAACACACACGCGCAGACGCGTCTACTCAGACTGCTACTTCCTTCCTACCTTGCTCCTGACATTCCGACTCTCTTTCCAGCTTATCCAACATGGTGTCTCCTGCGCATGGTCAAGAGCTCAACTCGCTTCCGTCCACCCCGCTCACGCCCTCTCTTTCGATCGTCGACAGTATCGAGTCGGATTCCGCGCCAAGGACACCCGCCTCAATGAACATCTTGCTCGATGCGGTCGATGTAGAGCCTCGAGCACTGAGGGATGATCGGACCGACAGTAGCAGCAATGTGTCAGGCAGCGAGCTGGGCGATGATGATACGATTCGTCTACTGGTTGATCCTCACGCCACCCCTACGCAAGAGGGTAGGTATCAGTCATCTTCCGAGGGAGTGGAGGGGGAACAAGCAGGAGCGGACGATGACATGTTCCCGTCTACGGCATCGCATGAGTCGCAGGCCACGAGACAGCGCGTCGATCAGATTCGCCCCCCACAGCCGGCTCATGACCCCTCCGAACCTGTGCGTATCACCAGCGGTCCACCGGTTGGCTGGAGATCGACTATCCCTGCTTCACCCCCCCTTTCAACGCAAGATCCATTGACGCAAACGAGAGTGTCCCCTGTCAGTGGCGAGGCACCAGCCAACGCTGGGCTGGACCAGCAACACGATCTTCGTCGATCGAGAGAGACCTTCATTCCTGGCCAAGTCAACAGTCGCCTGTCGATGACTGTCAAGGGTCGTACCGTCTCAGGAGCGATGCAGCACGCCATGCACAGGGTCGAGCAGACAGATCAAGCCTCAGACTCAGCGGGGTACAAGGGGCCTGGGGAGCGACCATCTTCATTCGACTTGCAAAGCACTACGACCTCTCAGCAAGACGAGGAGATTTGGATGTCGTACGTCAGAGATCAGCTCGCGGCGCTCTTCCCCGATTTCTTCGACCCTTCAGAGTATAGTTCAAGTCACGACGGTGGATCCTCAGCTATCATGGCCCAGGCGAGAAGCCAAGCGGAGGGAATAGCCAGAGACGAGGTGGCGCAGAGGCTCGATTCGAACCAGAGTCAAGAGAAGGGAGGTACCGCGATAGACATCGGCTGGAACGTCATCCAAGATCGGGGACATCGTCGAGCCCTGACGTCAAACCGTGTGCCTAGCGTAACCAATGTTAAGAGTGAGATAGGAGGTATGAAAGATGAGATTGAGAGGTTGTGAGAGGTTGTGAGCCGTCTGGCAGTAGGCATGCGAGATGAAAGCACATCAGTGGGGACCAACACTGGGGAGCTGGGCAATGGTAGTGAAGATGATGACGGAAGGCCCCCCACTGGAGACGACATTGATCGTGAGATCCAATCGAGGTCTGGCGATCTCTCCTCGTCTCAAATTGTGAGGTTGTCTTGCCCTCTCTAGAGTCGCTGACATCTCATCAGATGACTCCGGAAGCATTGACATTGATCCGATCTATCGACCACTTGTTTCGTGGTGAAGTACGCGAGGATGGACACATCTTCGAGTCGTCCAACCTTGTCCGTCTGAACCTGTCCGTCAGCGAGAAAATACCTGGCACATAGACACAAGTGCGATCAGGATGGGATTAACTCTGGAGAGAGCTGAAGATTTGCGTCTGTAGGCATTCCATGCATCAACTTGGCAATTATCTGCGTCTGGCTCCTGTTCCCAGGGCTCGATCACATCCACTGGGACACTTTTTTCACGCAGATACTGGTGAGTCAGTGTCAGCAGATTCATTGCTCAGCCCCATTTGCTGCCTGAGGCTCCGAAGATCTGTGTCTTCCAACATCGAGAGAACACCACGCATCATTTCCCCAGTGGTTCTCATCGTCGTTTCATCGATTTGCTCCTTCCTCTTGCAAGAGCAGATTGACCGGTATAGATGTGGTGTCGACGTCCTGCTTCTCTCCCCAGGCCACCCTGTGCTCAAAGTCCCCCGTACGTACTCAAGTGCAGGTTCGGCCTCTCTGATCACTCGCGCTGCCGCTTCAAAGTCGGGGGGATCGGACAAGGGAATCTTTACGGAGTCCAAAATTGACTTCAATTCTCTCGAAGCTAATCGTACGGTGCACGTATATGAGTGGAATTCGGGGAGATCACGACGACGCATGTGAGGGCGGAGACGTTGTGAAAGCTCGTTCGTACTGTTTTGAACCCTGCCCAACTCTCTCGTCAATTCGTCATCGTCCGTCATGAGAGAGGGTTCAAACGTGGGAGCTTGACACAGCTCGTCCATAGCATCACGTGCCTTCTTAAGGCTTGACATGATGAGTGAGCGATTGTCTTGAGTGTCTATTGAGGCATCGGCGAGCGAGTCTGGAAGAATGGGCATGTCGCTGATAATGAGAGACTGATGCGGAGACTTTGGTTCTTGATGTATGTCGCTCGACCTGACTATCAGAAGAAGCCCTTTTATATATCATGTCACAACGAGATAGCGAGCGCCATTATCCCTGGGAGGACGTTCTCGCTCTTCAATCAGAAGAAGTTGGTCCTTTGCCAGATCAATCGATCCGCCACATTCATCAACCTGAAACGCTTCGAACGAGAAATCGGGTACCCCTGGGTTGTTTCAAAGTACATTTTGGATTTCACGGATAGTGGATGATCGACGATTGGATCGTCTCGTTTCTACAACACTACATCTCTATTGTGCTTTGGACCTCAAGCGAGAGAGCTCGGCTTTGACTAATTTGTGGCTGTACACAATGCCGTCTTCACTAGTCCAAAGGGTGTCCGGTCGGCCGATCTCACTAGGAATCGACTGCGGATAGCACACAGGCTCCAATGTTGAGTGAGGGTGTCTCTTGTTCGTTGTAATCTCGAAACCATTCGACACTCGCCCCCCACCTATCATGCCATTGATCATACCGACTCTGATCTTCGCCGTGGCTCTATCTCTGCTACCTTATGTCGAAGACGACATCGTGACAACGGAGGAGGAAGATTCCACAGGGCGGAAAACGCCAGCCTATGGAGCAGGAGGTCAACTGACCGAAATAGAGGGAAGATCGCCTCAAGTGAGGAAAGAATTGAGACTGACTCAGCCTACGTGTTGCCTGACGTCACACAGAAGGCTACAGGCTCTAAGTTACTGAGTACTTCGTGATGAGCTTCGGTGAAAGACGCTGGCTAACAATCCATGTCAGTGTGTACAGAAATGCGATTACAGAACGTCACTGACTGGGAGACAGTCGAGCGGCCAATGAGAATGAGAATGAGACCGAGAACTTGACCTTCTCCTCTACCAACATGACTGGACAGATCACACCACGCACTGTAATGCAACCAAGTCGGAAAATCATTACACACCCTGAAAGAACATTGACAACAAGGTCTGGAATTCCCCATCCAGGCATCGTCAGAGGGTCTTGACCCCTCCCATCAAGGACTGTGGCCGATACCACACTGATCTGAGTGGAACTCTCAACTGACATACATCCGCACAGTTCCATCTTTGCGCTGATTCAGTAGTGTGGCTGCGCCCCTCCCGCCGTTCTCGCGATCTCTGTGCCTCGGGGTCTCTGCTCGCTTAACTCTGAGACCGGACTGCCTCTGGTGAGTATTCCGCTGGCAGAGTGCGATACGTAACTCTCGAAGGTCTGTTACGAGTCGTGCTTCGATCTTAGTTCATGCTGTTCAACATGCATCAGACATGCATATCAGAAAGCGTGGTTCATCCTCAGCCAGTCGCGGGATCTGACAAACGAGATATCTCAAGGACTTGGCTCTGACTGCCAGAGACAGTTGGTTCTACGCGTTGGAAGGCTCAGGCTCCTGGAGGAGTCGATCCCCTGTCGCGATCAGAGTTTGTGCCCACGATGGTCTGAGTCCATCGGGCCCCGTCGGCACCTCCCAACGCGGTACACCGCTCAGGTCACCATCACTTGCATTCGCAACGGCCTTAAAGTCGACGAGGTAGCGCAGCACCAATTCGTTCTGGTCCACCACGCCTTCTTCGGAAACACCATTGTCCCCGTTGGTCTGAGGGCGAAGACTGGCATCATCCAGACCGGCATGGGTGAATCGACCGGGATCAACTTTGCGAACCAAAGAAGGATCATCAAAGGCCAAGAGGTCAAGACAGTTATTGGTCAAAGCACCAAGATTCAAGATCGACCCTCTGCTGATTGAAGTTCCTGAATTGACTGTCTTCGCCACGCTCAAAACGACGTCGGCGAGTCCCCTGCTGATGTCCATGGCACTGGCTTTTGTCTGCTCAGGCGCAAGACTCGCCCAGTTTGTGACTGCCGTGTTGATCTTGTCAGTGTAAACTTGGGTGTCAATTCCATTAGAATTCAGTTCTGGCCGGAGGTCTTGAAACTCTCTGAGGATGACTGTATGATGAGTGGTTGAATCAGTAATCTCCCATGCGGTGGAGTACCAATGCAGGTGGGAAAACTCACGTTCAATCGTTTCTTGACTGGTAGCATCGGCCCCAAAAGCTTCAATGGGACTTGAGGTCTGATCTGTGCAAATGATGATCTCAGCTTGGATCATTTGTCAAGGACATGGAGATCGGCTCAGAGAGCTCGCAATCGAAAGAGACCAATGAAACCCCATAACGAGCGTGAACAGAGAAACTCTAATTCGATCCAGAGCCTACCATACGAACGCACCTGACATAGTGTTTGTAAAGGGAGATCACAAGTATCACTTGACGTGTAGGTTGACTTGTTGAGTTGATATCTGAATACGTCCCCGAGTAAGGTAAGGTTGGAGAAGGTAAGTACGGGGTCAGTCGACGCAACCCTCGGCTGTATTTATACACGTTCCGCTCTCCAGTCTTACTGCTTGGAATAATTACCGACTGGCTCACTGGCCACCTGCCTTCGGTGTATTGCATCGAGGAGTCAAAGGATCCTGCTGTCCCCGGGCATTTCGACCGGGGATGCGAGACCGACCACGGAGTGGTAAGAACAATGGACGATGAGCTTTCGTCAGTGTGGCATCTGGTATTTCCCACGATGCCCAGATCCTCCCTTGTGGAGCATCGGGGTAAGCTGAACGGATTCTGCTTGATTAGCGTATCAGGTGAATTCATGTGCGGATCCATAGGTGAAGCGAATACTGAATCTCGGCTCAACAGAGCGCATCTGCTTCGACACTGGCGATTCTCACCTCAATTCGTACATGTGACTCGTGTGGAGCTAAAATCAGCTCGAGGACCTCATTGTCGATGGTAAATCGTAACCAACATGCTTGATTGACGACCACATGCATCGAACGGAAGCCAAGAGATAGCTCATCGACAGCCCGTCAGATCGTCTCGACCGCCTTGTAGTTGATAGAAGCTTTGATGAGGCCGAGAAGACCCTTTGCTTGCGTCCACAAGCTTGGTCCATACGCGAGGTGCACCAATCCGCGTAGGAAACCCCAGTACACCGTAGCGTCCGGCAGAGGGAAGTCTAGAATCGAGCTTGTCAGATGGGGATGGGGCGCAGAAGCGGTGAGCAGCTCACCAACAGGCGCTGGGATTCTCGTCCTGATGTAGCCGAATATCCTGTCCTCCACAATAACTTTGGGATTACACAATGATCTGAGACCCTCTTCACCCCCTGTGATGGTTGTAAGCTAGTGAATCGGGGGGCCGCTTTGGTCTCACCAAATCTGCCATGTCCACTGGCTTTGAAGCCTCCAAATGGAGCCGCTTGGTTGAGGTAAAACACGCCCTACATCTCATGAGCTGGAACAGACACTCTCTGTTGCTTGGCTCACAAAGCTGCGTTGGATCGTCAGCGGAAAATTATATATCGCAAGTCGATGTCACTCACTCATTGATCGAGACCATTCCGCATTCCAGAGCATCAGCTACACGCCTACATTCCGCTTTGTCATTCCCATAGACTCCCGCGCCAAGTCCAAATCGACTCTTATTGAGCCAGGCGATAGCCTCATCGACACTGTCATACGGAACCACACTCATCACCGGAGCAAAGAGCTCTGTATTGGCGATGTCCATGTCGAATGTCACGTTGCCGACTAGAGTCGGTTCGAAGTAGCTCCCTTCCGGATACTCTGGGTGATGGTATCGCTTTCCTCCGGCTAAGACCTCTGCACCCTGCTTTTCAGCGGAGGCGACGATGTTTTCCAGCTTGTTGATAGGCATGCAGGAGAATAGAGAGCCCACATCCGTTCCTACACGCAGGGCTTTCACGCGGGGTTGGAGCATGGAGACGAGTGATGGGTAGAGGGTTCGGGGGACCATGACGAGTTCGATACCGATGCAATTTTGGCCGGCCTAGGAGATGACGATCAGCAACAGAAGCTCCGTGCGGGCCGTTGCGTACTGACCGATTGGCTTAATGACCGTCAGCAAGCGAACGACGGCACGGTGAGTGAGGCGACTCACTACACGCCTCGCATAAGATGACTCGACCATTCTTTGACATCGGCAGACGGCAATAAGAATGCTGGATCCTTTCCTCCCAGCTCGATACACGTGGGGACCATTATCTCAGCGGCCGCAGCGGAGACCTGGGCTTAGCTCGACAGCAGTCTCAAGACACAGGATATAATGGAGCGTACCTTTCTGCCCACAGGTTCACTTCCGATGACTAAATAAGGTCAGCATCGATGACCAGGCAAGGTTAGGACGTACAGGTGATATGCTTGACCCTTGGGTTTCGAGCGAGCGTATCTGCGATTTCGGGCAAGCACACGACAAGCTCGACGGCATGCTCATCCATTCCACAAGCCTTGATGCACGCCTTTATCCCGTCCATAAAGTACCGAGAGGACCACGCGACCTGTTCGGAGCACTTGACGACGATAGTGTTGCCTGCGAAGAGAGCAGCCAGGATTGGAGAGATCTATGAGACGTCAGCAATGAGCTCGTGAGGGTTCGAGCTCACCAGGTTGTGGAAGGAGTAGTTCCAAGAGACTAATGCGAGACAGAGTCCAAGTGGTTGATAGTGCACCTTGTGGATGATGAATCAGTTGGTTGTTGCGACAACTTAGATTGCCTGCTCACCTTTGAGACCTTGTGGGCCATTAAGAGATTCCCTGGTCGCTTTGAAGGCGCAAGGACGCCTTCGCCATGTTTGAGCAGCCTGTCGTCAGCTGTGAGTACGGCAGCTGCACTCACCAGTCGATTTTCGCCAGAGTGGTAAGAATCTCTCCAAATACCGCGTCGACCTCTACGATTGGGGTTAGCTGCGCCGCGCCTTTTATGGCATGCTAGGCACGACTCACTCGTCTTTCCCGTATCTCGACAAGCGACACGACAGATTCCATCCATATCTTTCAATACCCAAGCTTTGAGACTTCGCAAAAGCATTTGTCGCTGGGAGAAAGTAGTCTTGGCCCATGCAGGTGCGGCACGTTCGGCCGACTCGAGCTGCGCTGCGACTTGGTCTGCCGAAAGTAAGGGGATAGTATCGAGGTGGTACTGCGAGCGAAATCTCAGCTCCCGACCGACTTTTTGATGTATTTTGATGGATGGACTCACTCCAGTGGAAGGGTCATAACATGTCAAGAACTCGACGCCTCTCAATCCTGGACCGGAAGGCAGTAATTCAGGATGTTTGTCATGAGAAGACAAGCTAGGGTTTTCGATAACCTCTCCTTTCCATCCGTCTTTCGCGGCCTGAAACCCTGTCAGTCCATGAAGCCCATCAATGATTTAGCTGGAACTCACATCCGGAAGGGTCCACTTGAAGCTGACGACTCGTCTACTCTCTCTCCATGCCTTGAATCTCTTGACGTACTTTGGCACTTCGGGTCCAATGATGGCTGCTGCAACGATGAGATTTCGAGCATTAGGGGGGTTGTAGATTCTGGCCCAGATTTGACCCAGGGTCAAAGCGGAGAGCCAGGTGAGAAGATTGTGCCAGGCGGCGAGTATGTCGTTGATGGACATCATGGCGGATGGAATGGGCAGCTCTATCAGGTGTCTAAAGCTCCCGACAATGAGCCAACAGACTGTCTGTAAGGTAAGTATGTCAGTTGAGTGCTAACGCTCGCGTTTCGTATTTCAAGTGAATCTTTGTCCGGCTCCCTGACGTGTCGGACTCGGCTGGAATCCCGATGACCTATCTGCCTCTGCACAATGGATGGATATATGTCATGCTTGCAGATGAAGCAAGTCATCAGGTCCGGGAGATATGCACGGCAAGATATCGTCATGCATGGGAAGCGACCCAGCTCAATGCTTCTAAAAATGTGAACAGCAGACATGGATTGATCCGATGCCAGACGTCGCCGTCCAAAACTCTATTGAACATTGACAAAAGCCTCCAGCTTGCCCTTGTCCAGGAAGTCCTCATCTTCCTCTATCCTAGCTACTTCCTTTCCCTAAAGTCGAGATGTAAGCGGCGTCATCATTACCAGCATACGAAGCACTACTCACATTTTCCATCCGAATCATGGTGGGTACTCCTCGAAGTTTGTACTCTTTCCTGTATTCATTCTCTGGATCTCTCCATGTGGGCTTGTCACCGACGTATAGGATGACACCCTCTAAGCATCGATCGACAGTCAGCTCACTCTGCAGGCGCATTGATCGATAATAAAGGAAACCAACGACTCACTTGGCTTGTCGTCTCCTTCAAATACCTCCTTGACATTCTGTTCTGCGTTCCTACAGTCCTTTTAAAAACATCGTCAATCATCTTCCGATAGGATCACAGAGTCTGACAGGCTCACTGGACACCACATTTGCCCATCTACGAATGAAGAATAGAATATCAGGTAAGTGTATTTAGGTGCTGTAGGCCCATTGAGGGAGTTGAGAACGTGAGGGTAGCTGTGCGAGGTATGTAGTTCAGAAGGTAGTCACCGTATACTTGCTCTACTCACGGCGTGACATGAAGTGGCATGGTTGAGCTATTGCTGAAGAGCTATGTGATGAGGCTTAGCCATGCCTACATCATTGATCACACTGCTGCCGCTACTCCGAGAATTGCGGACATCACGTGATGATTGGGATAAAATGTTAATGCTAAAAATGCCACCCAAGATAAATATTCACTCGCGGTTGCCGTCCGCCCCCGCTTGATTCCGAGGGGTTGGTTGGGGACATTTTTGTAGCTCAAGGGCGATTTGACTGGTGATCCCATATATACCACCTTGATTCATTGCCATCGACGTCCGGACTCTAGACTTGCTCACGATGGCTTCTCGAGCAGCTTCCTCCCTCTCTCGACTCTCTCTTCGATCCACTAGTTCCTCTTCGTCCCCCGCTTCCACTTCTCTCCTCCATCTTCCCCAATCGGCCAAATTATCAACATCTACTTCCTCAAAACTCATCAGTCGGAATGCATTGGCGTCGACACCATTGGCCAGGGTCAGCAGGGCAGCTCCAAAGTACTTGGTAGGACAAGGTCAAAGGGCTGCATCGTCAGAGCAAGGCGGTGGTACAATGGTACGTCAGGATCATTCGTCTTTTCCCGGACATTTTGTGCTAATGTTTCAATCGTGGTTCCGTTTTTCCTTCTTCTTCGTGCCGTTCACGTTCTCCTTGACCATCTCAACATGCTATGGATGATCATTCACCTCGGTGTAATCTCGTTGGTAACTCTCAGACTGTTCGAGAAGCCTTGAACGCCGCTATGGAGGAAGAAATGTTGCGAGATGAGACTGTTTTCATCCTTGGAGAAGAGGTTGCCCGGTACAACGGTGCTTACAAGGTGGGTTTGGGCATAACGATCAGTCAACAATCGTTGTCTGATACACCTATCTATAGGTCACCAAGGGATTGCTAGACAAATTCGGAGAGGATCGAGTAATTGACGTGAGCTTGACGCTTTCTCCCACATCGTAGCTCTCCATTGACCGTGCTCAGACCCCCATCACCGAAGCTGGTTTCGCAGGTATCGCGGTCGGAGCCGCTTTGGCCGGTCTCAGACCAGTCTGCGAGTTCAGTGAGCTTCCATCCCACCTTCCTTGTCTCGAACAATCGCTCACGTACTCTCGCAGTGACTTGGAACTTTGCCATGCAGGCCATTGACCAAATTGTCAACTCTGGTGGAAAAACCTACTACATGTCTGGAGGAAATGTCCCTTGCCCTGTCGTCTTCCGAGGACCTAACGGAGCCGCTGCTGGTGTCGCCGCTCAACACTCACAAGACTACTGCGCTTGGTACGGCAGTGTTCCTGGACTCAAGGTCGTCAGTCCATGGAGCGCTTCAGACTGCAAGGGATTGTTGAAGAGTGCCATCAGGGATCCCAACCCAGTGAGTGATGTGCGGGGATGAATCATCGCGACGACCTTTCCGTCGTCGAACTGCCCACTGCTTATCATCTTGACTTCTGCTGACACCCTCCTGTCCAGGTCTGTGTCCTTGAAAACGAACTCATGTACGGAGTCTCCTTCCCCATGACCAAGGAGGAAATGTCGGACGACTTTTTGATCCCGATCGGCAAGGCCAAGGTCGAAAAGGAGGGAACAGACGTCACCGTCGTCGCTCACTCCAAGATGGTCACTCACGCTTTGGAAGCTGCTGAGAAGCTGGAGCAAGAGGAGGGAATCAAGGCGGAAGTTATCAACCTGAGGTGAGTGGTCTCTAGCGCGGTACGTTCCCTTTGCTCACTCCGCCAAGATCCATCCGACCACTTGACATTGAGACCATCGTCTCTTCCATCAAAAAGACCAATCACTTGGTCACTGTTGAAGGAGGTTTCCCAGGTGGGTCATACCGCAAGCAGTCGCGACTTGCCTCTAACCCGCCTCAGCTTTCGGTGTCGGATCTGAGATCCTCGCTCAAGTTTGCGAATCTCCCGCCTTCGATTACCTTGATGCTCCCCCTGAGCGAATCACCGGAGCCGATGTGCCTACTCCCGTGAGTCTCGCGCCCATGCTCGCCCTTGGATCTTGACTGATGTGGCGCAGTACGCTCTCACTCTCGAGTCCTTGGCTTTCCCTGACACTCCATTGATTGCCAAGGTCCTCAAGAGACATCTTTGTGAGTCATTTCGTGGCATTGATGCCTCCGAATACTGACCTCTATTCCCTTCAGACCGTCAATAAGCGATGGCTGCTGATATAGATACAATTTCGTTTCTCATGTAGAGCTCTGGTCATAGGGGGCGCGCGCAGTGCTACGGGGGTTCTCTCAACATTGGATGCATCCGATTCCTAGGCACAGTCTGCACCCGCTGTGTTGCATGATCACCCGTTCCATCGGAGAATGCCGGCATCCTATTTTCAGTCGGTTAGGAGCCGAGAGCGACTCATCACCCATCCGACCTTTGTCTCGCGTGTTGACTTGCACGTCGATTGACACAGTCGAGCATCATCAGTGCGCTTGGTTCGAGTCGATCGCAGTCCTTGAGAGAGGAGATCCAGGAGTATACCCTATCGCTGCTGCGAGATCGGATCGAAGAATTGTGCTTGGCGAGACACAGAGATGCGTCCAGTCATCCTTCTTGCCACTACGATCATCTTCGTCTCCAACAAGGCTTACGCATCGCTCGATCGACCCGACATTGAAAGGCAGGACGTGAAATCTGGCGTGCTGGCACCTGATGGAAACTCTCTCCGATTCTCCCCTCGAGACGAGCGCGAGACCACCTACTCATCCTCCCCTTCTGACTCCAAGTCGACGATCGAGCAGATTTGGAGAGAAGAACCGTCTCTATCGAGATCGCAGGGATGGCTCAATCGATGGTTGGCAATTGGTGGAGAGGGATCTGTCGTTATACAGGTGAGTGCTGGTGGGTCGATAGAGAGGATCGCTGGAGGAACGATCATCTTGAACCCTGTCACACCCAACCCTTCACCTACACCTTGCCTTTGGGCGCGCGATTCTTGCACCTTAACGAAAGGACTGAGCTGACGCTACTCTGTGACAGCTCGCCGGAACCCAGGACAATGTCTCACTCCCCCATAGACCATCAGCATTCCCATCGCAGCTCTTCCCACCCTTCACTCTGCCCATCTCAGGTACACTCAAACCATTCACGTCGTTCCTCGAGACTTCTGCCGAATCTGATCAGACTCCACACGCCAAGCAACAAGATCGTGGCACTCGCTCACCATCTCCCATCCAAGGCTGTGTAGCTCAGCCGCTAGGACACGATCGGCCTTCGTATGCCGATGATATCGCCCTGATAGAACGTGGTGGATGTGATTTCGCTCGCAAAGTCAGAGCGGCCCAAGTGAGAGGAGCATCAGGAGTCATTGTAGGTGATGGACCTGCTAGGGAAGGTGAAACGGATCAAGAGGGAAGATTGAGAGAGAATCTCATCACAATGTTCTCGCCAGGTACATCAACATTTTGCAAGGTGCTCAAACGTTCACTGACATCTGATCCTTCCTTACCAATAGAGGACACATACGACATTTATATCCCTTCCGTGTTCGTATCGCGCGCCTCTTACCTCTTCTTGATGGATATCTTTCAAAATCAGACCTCTCATGGCTTCTCTAAGGGAATACGCGTCGAGATCAGTGAAGGCGCCGATGAAGGGGGGTGAGGCACCGAGAGTCCTCACGATGGTATCAACACATGCTTACTTTGTCAAATTCTCAGGGCCCTTAGTAGTCTCCTGAGCTTCGCTTTGCTTATGCCGAGTTTGTTCCTCCTGGCCACCATTGCGATACACCGAATCCGAGTGGCGAGGTGAGCCGGCCCTACACTGCTCTTAACCTCTATATAGGTATGCTTACTTGTTGACCTGTCTGTAGACAACGCGAGGCTGAACGTGCTCCGCCCATGGTCGTTCTCTCTCTCCCTGAGCGTATTTGGACTCCCGATATAATCTGGGAGAAGGATAGCGATACCGAATCGACACTGTCCTCTCCATCCACTCCTACTCCTCAGAAGAGCTCTTCTCGACGTCCATTTCAACATAGTCAAGCTTCTTCAAGGTCCATCAATGCCGCAATCGTCCCTCCTCCACCACCCATCTCCTCCAGTGAAGTGGTTCCGGCTCCGCCCGAAGCGATCGATATGATTACCTCCTCTCGACCTAAACGAGCACACATATCCCCTAGTGCCATGGCCGGCTCTGGTTCTGGGTTTGGTACAGGAACGACACGAACGAAAGCGCGGACGAAGAGTGGCGTCTCGGCTAAGAAGTATTTCTCAAAGGACGAATGTGCGATTTGCATGGACTCGTTCCAGCGTGGAGAAATCGTCAGGATTTTGCCATGCGGGCACGTATTCCACAAGGACGAATGCGATGAGTGGTTGATGAAGTGGAGAAAATTGGTGAGCGTCTTGATCTACGCCCTGATGATATCATCGTATCGCGCGCTCAAAGACTGACGTGTGCTTCTCGCCCTTGCTTGTCGGTTAGTGCCCGACGTGCCGCGCGGACGTTACTGTTCCTCCTGGTGGATCTATGGATGGAACGACCATGACTCCCGTGGCGCTCCAAGATACAGACGGGAGCGCGGCAGCGGCCGCATCTAATCATCCGATAGCATCACAGACGCTCCGTGAGCGGGTATCTCATGCGCTCGCTCGCACTCGACGGTCGATATTCCGACGTAATAATGTACGCTTAGACGATGAAGAAGGTGGTAGAGGAGCAGGCGCAAGTGCAAGTGCAAGCGAACGTACACCACTCGTTCGTCGATCTGCTGAGAACTCATCGGATTGATTGATCCTTGAAAAGGCGCTTGGGCATGCTCCTCCATACGCCATCTTTAGTCTGTTTCTGTATATTCATACACATGTGTAGAGAGTTCTATAGTCTTTTTCGTTGGTTGTAGATATATGTGCGCGACGACATGTGAGATCTGACGAGTGCGACGAAACGTGGCCGTATCACCCTCAATCACAGTCCACAACGTCCCAGTCAGTGACCTGATAGACTGAGCGTTAGCTATGGTAGTCGTCTAGGTCTGCAGTCGATCTCACAAAGTATTCGTCGAGACCGTCCAGCTGACGCGAATATCAGCCCAAGGGCGCGGCAAAAGAGCTCAAACACTCACCTCTTTCATCTGCTCCGGGGATAGTTCAAAGTCAAAGATCTGAGCGTTCGATACGATCCGCTTTTGAGAAACAGATTTAGGTATAATGATGAAGCCCTGATAGAGAGGACAGCGATCATTAGCCTCATTTGTTCTGTTCGGAGTATATGGCGGGTTTTGAACGAGCTAGAACCAAAACGTATTGGTAACGGCACTTACATGCTGGAGGCCCCAACGGAGCATAATCTGAGCTGGTTCTCTCTGGTGACTTTCGGCAATCTTGATGAGGGAGGGATGGTCGAATCGCTTGGCACGGGCTAGTGGACCCCAGGCCTGTACAGGGCGATGTAGCGTCAGTATGAAATCATCGATGACTTGGAGTGGCAGCATAGCGATGAAGATACTCGGAATCTCTCGTCAGGCAGGTAGGCAGGTGAGGACCATTATGCAAGTCGTCGAAACCGTGTAAACATGGACTCATTGAGAATGTACGGCCAGGTCATGAAAACCCAAAGCAAGGAGGGGGGGGGGAGGCCTTCACTCACCTCCAACAATATTCCGAGCTTTTCACAGATTTCGACGATATCGGGATGTCGCATGAATGGATGCAAATCGATCTGATTCAAGACGGGCAATGGACTCCCTGCATCGACAAGTTCTTGAATGTGCTTGGCTCCCCAATTAGATACCTGGCGCGGGGATCAGAGGTCAGATACGGCGGGAGAAGAGAGGTCGAGGAGACGTCGTGCAATAGAGGACTCGTGTAGAGCAAGATCAGAGAGAATGAAACCGAGTTCTCTCTCCTGGCTCGCCCTCGCTGAGCTCACACGGTGCACTGACTCACCCCGATAGATTTACATAACCCTTCCTTCTGAGCATCTACCAAAGCTCTCCAAACGTTTTTCCTGATTTCTGGACCGCCAATAGCCGAGTGCATGAGGTACAGATCAAAGTACTCTACGCCGGTCGTCTTGAGGGACGTCTTCAAGTCTGCGAGAGCAGACTCATACGTTCGATTATGCATCAATTTGGAGGTAATGTAGATTTCGGATCGAGGTGTGTTGGTGGACCCTGGAGGGCAAAGATCAGGGGGGGAGGGGGGCGCGAGGTGGCCTCAAAGTCAGCCAGCGATACAAAAGAGGGCAGAGATGAAGTTCGCTGGGTGACCGTCTCACCAAGGTATTCCTTCAACGCCCGACCGACAGCCCCTTCGTTCTCGTACCTGTCGAGATCCATACGTCAGCTTGAAGATCCCGGAACATGTATTTAGCTGCCTAGCTCGCTCTGCTCGGCGTCACCCAGCCTCACCATTCAGCCGTATCGACATGCTTGTATCCTGCTTCTAGAGCCCACTTGACAGCATCATACGTCTCTTGATCATTCATCTCGTATACTCCAAGGCCAAATTGTGGAATGGTCGTGCCGTCAAGTAACTATGCCGGAGAGGGTCAGCAAACCCAAAAGATGATAGTAATCGAGCTCACTTTGACACGACCTGATAGGTCTGATACGAATGACGGGGCCATCTTGGAGGACTTGGATGACGAGTAAGACTCGACGATGGCGCGTTGAAAGCAGCACGATTTCCTTCAGTCCCAACTTTGGTCGTGGTCATGACAGCTGTGTGGCGCCCCGCATCGCATAGTGGCGTCTCATTGCGAAAAGGGTCGTCCGTTACCATCCTGTCCCACGTAGTCGCATAAGTCTCGAGGTCAGAAGTGGCCTGATTCAATAAGGATCAAATAGTTGTACGGTACGACTAAGCTGCAGGCAGATGAAACATCGATGCAAGAGAGTTTCTGGACTCCTGGGCCTCACGAGGCCGGTATAACCGACCTTCCGCCACAGTCAGCAAAGGCCAAGGTGACAGAGCCTTCCGGGGACGTATTTGAGTAAGGCTGGACGTCTCGTGAAGTCATTATCTGCGGTACAGCCATCCTTCTCCGGATCCGACGTGGATCCCTCTGCCTGCATCTTCAGCGGGCGAAACATATGGCTGAGTCTTCATCGAGTCGGCAACCCGCCTTCGGGACCGAGAACATTATTCAACGAACATTCCGAAAAATAATGGGAAAGCGAATCATTATCTCGTCGTATTCTTTGCTCCCTGACATTCTCACCAAGTCCAAACACTCGTTAACATGACAGAATCAGAAGCAGCTGCTACGTCTCGGAAAGACGTGCTCAAGGCATTCGTCTCTTTCCCTTCGCCTTATACTCAGACTCTGATCCTCCAAGCGCTCGTATCGACCTGTCCTGAAATTGCCATCTCGTTGGTCCAACCGACAGAAGACAATGTCCCGGCATTACAATGGTGAGTGACGCCCCGCCCTTCTCTCTAGACCCAGGGGAGTGAGGCACAAGGAATCTCATAAGCTGAGTATGCTATCAGGGCCGATTATGACCTATTGGAGTTTGAAAAACCTCGTTCCAACCCTTCTTCATACCTCATCTCCAGCTACATCTACCGTAAAGCCCTCATTCGGAAACATCAACTCCACCGAGTGGTCCTCGAGTACCTTGCCAAGTGTGACTATCGGCAGACGCCAAGTACGTTACAACATGCCTGGCCTAAAGGTTGGGACGTAGAAGTGCAGCACGCGGACGATCTGGACGAATTATGGATTGATGATCTGTACGAACTCGCAGTAGTGTTAGATGAGAATGAAGCCAAGGGTGAGGAGGAGAAGCGGTAGGTTGCATAGCAATTTTGCTCTTAAACGACTGGACTGACACTGGTGGCTAGGTGGTTCATCTTCAAACCTGGATTCGCGGATAGAGCACAAGGTATAAGACTATTCTCAACGAAGCAGGAATTGTGAGCTGATCTGGGCTGAGCTGAGCTGCGCCGAGCGGAACCGAGCGAAGCATAACTCGAGCCGTTCCTGACGATTTACCCAGGGAAGACATCTTCTCCGCATTCGACAACCCTGATTCGGAAGATGAAGAACCCGACCAGATTTCAAAGTATCAATCCATGAGTCAAGCTGCGGACGCTACGGTCGCTGCGATGGCGAGTAGGGAACCAAGGGACGATACTTTTGATGAGAAGTTGGAGAGGTGGAAGAGGAGGATCGAGGAGAGTAGTGACGAAGAGGACGAGGAGGATGAGCTGAAGAGAGAACCGGCGCCGAAGTTGATGGAATCGGGAGAGACAACGGGACAGGAAGAAGGACCCGTGGATGGAGTCGGAAAACTCGATCTGAACGGACGAGAAGCGATGAGACCAGGTAAAGCTGCAGAGCAGACGAAGAATGGTAGAGTGACTAGTGACGGAGATCAAGACGAAGGAGAGGATGAAAGAGACGAGGACGATGAAGACAATGAAGAAGACGACGACGACGACGATGACGACGACGAAGGCATTGTGACTTCACAGCTTCGTCACTTCCTGCTTCAAGTAAGTCCGTTCTCGCCAATCTGTCACCCATCTGACATCTCACGTGCCACTCCGATAGGAATACATCCCCTCGCCCATTCTATTCGATATCGCCCAGGAGCCCAACGTGCCAAGTACCGATCCCACAGGCTACAAAGTGAGTGAAAGTCTCTTACCTCTTTCATCTCGCATCGCGGTCTGACTTGATCCCCTCAGTTCCACCTCCGAGCCTACGTTCTCGTTACTGGCGCCTATACAGTCCACGTCTCCCGAACCGTCTTGGCATTATTCTCAGGATCCCCATATGTCCACCCTACGAGCTCTAACCTCAATCTCCAGGCGCACTTGACCAACACGTGCCTCCAGACAGACGCTTTCGGAGCATTGGCACCGCCTGAAGAACTCATCAAGCTTTATTGGGACCTAGACGGGATGTCCGCATTGAACAGGACGAATGGTGATTATGGGAATATGGGCAAGGTCGATAAGCAATGGCTAGAGGATACATTCGAACGGGTCGGCGAGGTCATTTCGGAGAGCGTGAAGGCTGGCGCAGAATGCGGATCGTTTAACCTTCAGTTCATGCCTAATGCCTTTGAGGCGAGTCCACAATGGTTGTATTCAGATGCTAACATTGCTGCAGATCTTCGGCGTCGACCTCTTACTCTCGTTCCCGCCTTCTTGGAAAACGACACAACCTGATGATCGATTACCGACGCCCTCCATCACCCTGCTTGAATTCAACGCTTCACCAGACTTTCATCAATCCGGTATGAACCTCCGTCCGAGGCTGTTGGAACTATTCAAGGGAGTGGTGGAGATTGCTATCAAGCCATTCTTCGGCGAGAACGGGCAACGATCATCTGACGATTCGATCACTGCTACAACAGAGGGCTTGCATGGCTGGCATCTGGTCGGACATCGCGATCAGCCACGCATGTAGTCTCAATTGCTCTAGGTATGGCTGGAGCTCATCCACCGACGACATCTTCGACATGATTGTGAGACGACACAACTGCAGGGGGTTACCACTTGCATTCCTTCTTCTTCTTCTTCTTCTTCCTGATTATTGCTACAAGATACTACGCCACCACGACCACTGTCCACCAGGCACAATAAAGGTTTCTCTACCACCTACTTGGATCCTCCCTTCTGTCCCTCAACGTGGGGGTCGGGGCCGTCACTGTATGTCGAAGTCAGCACAATGCCCAAGAGATAACGATCCCAACTCACGATCCACCGAATCCGTGCTCGGACGAGACTCGCTTGTCGGGAGTTCCATCCTGCTTCAATCCACCATGTTCAGTGGGCTTGTAAGCTTCTCCACCAGATCCAGCACCTCCTCCTCCGGAAGCCTTTCCTCCCTTTTGTCCTTCGACGTGAGGGTCGGGTCCGTCAGATCCTCCGAATCCGTGTTCCGAAGAGACTCGCTTGTCGGGTTCACCGGAGAGGGTCTTTCCGTCGTGCTAAGTGAGCGAGCGGGTGTCAGCGAGGAATGCAGCGAGGTAGTAGAGGCACGAGAGTGGGGGCAAGAGAGAAAAGCGGAGAGTGATATAAGGGAGGGTGGGTACGACGAAGGACGAAGACGAAGGTAGAGAGAGAGATGGTACGGAGGATGAGCAACAGGCGATGGCATGCGCCGACGTGCATCACGACATGGTTGCGAGGTGAAGTAGTGGTAACACCATCACACGACCTAGGATGTATATGGTACGTGTGTAACGACACGAGTGGATGTGGTGTATCACTCACCTCGGTGGGCTTGTAAGACATGTTGGAAGATGTTGTTGGAAGATGTTGTTGTTGTTGAGAAGATGAGATGAAGAGTTGAGATGAGAAAGAAATCGGTTAGAAATCCAAGATGGGTCAAGCTATTTATCTCTTTCCCCAGAGCTGGGGGCCGTCCAATCAACCCGTGTCAACTCGTGTCTTTGGTCCTCATTCATACATCATCATGACGTGATAATGGATGAATCGGGAGATGGGATGACCATAATTAGCGAGTCACGGGGGAGGGTGGGAATCTGGATCGATACAGCTAGCTATCATCATCATCATCATCATCGGGGGAACGCAGGGACAACCAATAAATAGGGAGCAACGATCTCGATGGCCACAGCATACCGCTAAAAATGACCCTGAAGTAAGCAGCAGCAGCAGCAGAGGAGGAGCCCCTGAAAGCGAAAAAAAACCAAATGACTTGGATGACAGGTCATCATCATCATCATTTATTGCATCGGGTTGAATATGAGAGATATCGGGCGAACTGACCAAGAGAATGTAGCGCTTTCAAGCTCATGCTAGAGCGGAAGGAGTAGTGGACTAATCCCATGGAATCTATGCGCAACCCATACCTTGTCTTGCTCCGGTCCATGTTCGTGTGCTGGGGGTGCAATCGGACCAATTGTCAGGAATGGCGACCACCGATCAACTCTAAAAGTTTAATAACCTTTGCTGGAATTGGGGGGCGTATTGAGAGACATCATCGACGATCGATTTCACAATTACCCCCCTCTCGCGATCACCATCGAGGGCATCATTGAGCATGCGGCATGACGTGTGTGGGTCGATAGTGATTAATTCAATGCAAAGTAGTGGATCAATGGGGTCCCCAATGACGATGTGTCACATGACTGGTGACCCGATGAACCAGATGATGACGTCTGGCATGAAAGGACGTGCGGTTCGGGTTGATTAGTAGCTACGGGAGCTAAGCTAATGACAGCGAAAAGAGCCACGCGATCCGATCCGAGACTGTGCATTCGCATCGAGAAAGCCAACACGAGATCTCGGGCATATCGGCCCGATTCATCGGCGTCGAGCTCTGCTCTTTGCCGGCCCTTCGCAGTCCAGCGAAATCCTTCCCATCTCCGCAAGGGGGCCCCGGTAGTCAACACGGGCGCGAATACGGATGTGTCGGCTGTGTGCAGTGGAGGAGGAGTGGAAGAGCGCTACGAAGACTTTGAGTCCCGTCGATGGGGCTATATAGCATGTGACAGATGATTCGATTTATGTTTCGAAGACGTCACGTGGTGGGCATTCTGGAGAATCGCGATTGGACGCAAGTCTGTCATGCCCTATGACAGCTTCAAGCGATTTGCAAGTACTTCCTCTCCAAACACCGCCAGAGCGGAATGTGGTGGTCTTGATTTGCGGGGTTGCATTGAGCCTGTGGACACTCCTCAGTATTGTCGCCTTTGTCGGCGAGGCAGGCGGGGAGACACATGCAAACCGGCCAATAACGTCGCCCAAAGGTGCCTGAGACGGTCCGTCAAAGATCACTTTGATGCATGATTTTGCTGCTTATCACCCTTGTAGAACTGACTACGGATCCCGGTAAACCTCTCCCACTTTCTAAGCATCCTCTCCCTCACGAAGTTGACAACGTCCACGTATCCAATATTATAATAGACCATTGTGCTGTGCATGGAGCCCTTCCTTGTACAAGCTCGCAGTGCATACGAGGAGATGCCTTGACACTATTGCGTGAGTATCTCCTCAATCACTTGCTGTATCATGCAACTCCGCTTCAAGAGGAACTGCTCAGCGACGACGTAAAAGCATGCATGCGTGTCCAGGCTGTGGGCTGCCACACAGCTCATGGAGATCCCCCCAGTTCTCCGCGCTTTCAGTCGCCACCCAAAGAAAGTCGCGTTATCCGAAAGAAGCAGAAGAAGCAAGTGACCGCGGCGAGGGAGGGGGCGAAGGGATCATTGACGATAGGCGATCACGCTCCAGGAGCATCAGATAGGAGGTGCTGAGCAGTGTCGATTGCTCTCTCTCTCTCTGTGTCTCTGTCTTTGAGAACGCGCTGCTGGTCCTCCCTCACTCTTGCTTCCAATCGACTCGGCTGTTGTCATTATTATACCTATTTATCATTTTATTATTGATCTTATTACGATTGCTCCCGGCGATCACCTCATCCATCCCAGATCATCATCGAATTCGTGTGTCGGCACCCAACCTGTCACTGCTGCGTTCTTCGTGTCTCTGTTCTCGTGTCTCCTCTCTCCCAACAGACATCCCCTCGATGTGAACCTGCCCCATCCCCTTCCTCGTTCGCTCGATGAAGGAGCAGTCGCTTGAGTAGCCTAGACGTCTCGCCGTATCTGTGATAACCACAAAGGTCCTCGTCCTCCTTCTTTCTCCCCTTTCCCCTTTCGAGATTCACATTACACACACATACACGCACGCACACGGGGTAACACAAATCAGCCTAGCCCAGCTATATGGTACAATTATCACCACCATCATAGCATCTTCACACCCCCTCGCGATAGCTCATACGACCCCGTCTCAGTGACCGACTCGCATCCCGCCACCACCACCGCCACACAACCACCATTCACACCTTTGCCCCGATCAACCCTGAACCCTTTTCGCTTAGAACACCAGGGTCTCATCTCGTCAAAAAGGAAGTTGTAAAGGTTGGCTTCCCACCCTTTGGGCGGGGCCGTTCCTTGGTCCTCCCTCGCAGTCGTCGGAAGCTCGGATCCAGACCATCCGGGGATTGATTGGTCTACACGTCAACCGTCAACTTGGACAAAGTCAATTTGTGTGATCACGACCTCGTCTTGATACCCCCGGCTCTAGCATCACACCTCCTTCACCATGGCACCTGATATCCATTCAGCTGGGACTGGAACCCCCAGGAAAGATGCCGCCGAGTCTAGCAGCGGAACTGGGACACCGCATAGACATCATCGAGATAGGATAGGACCTTATGTCGTAGACGGCGAGATCGGTAGAGGAAGCTTTGCAACAGTGTTTAAAGGTCATCGCTCAGTGAGTCAAGCTAAGCTTACAGAACCTGCCTGGTCTATCTTGCCTTCCCCAGCCATATTCGTCTCGGCCAGCACGCTTCGCTACCTCTCGCGCTTGGCATCCCCGTGACGCATTGATCAAAATGCTAACCCGCCTTCTGCGTCCTCTCAGAAATCCCGTGTACCAATCGCCATCAAAGCCGTGTCTCGACAAAAGCTCACGACAAAGCTATTGGAGAATCTAGAGAGCGAGATCAATATCCTCAAAGCGATCAATCATCGTAATATAGTAGGCATGGAGGATTGCTTCGTACGTGGTGCTAGCGGTCGCGGTCTCGAACTGTTCTGACTCACACAATCTTCCGCAGAAATCCGACACCCACATCTACCTCGTGATGGAGTTTTGCTCCGGGTCAGACCTGTCCATATACATCAAGAATCGAGGTCGACTACCGACTTTGGATTTCGTACCGCGAGGAGCTGGACCCAATGCTGAAAAGATCTTTTGGCCTCATCCTGCTGCAGGTGGAATCGACGAACGGGTCATCAGGTGTTTCCTCGGTCAACTAGGTCAGCTCAAGCTTCTCTCTTTGCCTTCACGAGCTGACATATTCCCAGCTCTCGCCCTGCAATTCCTCCGTTCGCAAGATTTGGTGCATCGAGACATCAAGCCCCAGGTGAGTCTTATCATTCACATGGCCTTTCCGTCACTGATCTTGCACAGAATCTCCTGATGCAGCCTGCGACTCCGGAGGAGCTAGCGGAGGGACACCCGCTTGGCATTCCTGTGCTCAAGGTCGCAGATTTCGGGTTCGCCCGCATATTGCCCGCTGCCGCCATGGCAGAGACCTTGTGTGGATCCCCGTGAGCTGACCTATTGTTGCCTTTGTGTCGGAAAACTGAACTCTGACTAGCCTTTACATGGCACCCGAGATTCTCAGATATGAGAAGTATGACGCCAAGGCTGACTTGTGGTCCGTTGGCGCGGTCCTCTTTGAGATGTCTGTTGGGCGACCACCCTTCCGGGCGAACAATCATGTCGAGCTCTTGCGTCGCATCGAAAAGGGTGAAGATAGGATCAAGTTCCCTGACGAATCCAGCAAGGCTCAGAACCCACCAGAAGGCGAAACTCCTCAGACTTCTCCAGTCCCTGACGATATCAAGGCGTTGATTCGAGGTCTCTTGAAACGCCAACCGGCTATGCGCATGGGATTCGAAGACTTTTTCGCCTGCGGCGTCTGGGATGGGCACATGACTGAAAGCAAGATTACGGAAGATGGAAGTGAAGGCATGAGTTACGATACGTCGACGGAAAGCTCTGCCTTAGCTGCAAGTGACCGAGTGCGAGAGATGCTGGAGAGTGAACAAGCGGCTATCGATGCTCGTCCTGTACCCACCCACGCGCCTCAACCTTTGTCTACGGACAAGGCGATGAACCCTCAGCCCGCACCCCGACCTCAGGCTCAGCCCCAATCGGCGCAGCCTCCTCAGCAGATCAGACCTCCCTTTGCTCAACTCGCGTCCGTCAGTAATCAGAGACCCAGAGTCCCACGACAGACTGAACCAAAGTATTACGTTAGCGATGAACGAGGAGTTGAGAGGGAAACAGCGACTCCTGTGCCTACTCCGCCTACTTCCGCGTCACCCCTTCCCATCATCTCTGGCGTACCGGCCACTGGGCCGCCCATTACGAATCGACGCGTGTCTCCGCGTGAGAACCGGGAGATCAGCTCTGTTGAAGACCCTCAACCGCTCACGCCGTCGTCCAACGTTGTCACCGCGCCGATACCTCGCAGGGTTGTAGGCGAGGGATCGCCCTTGGCTGCTACGCCTCCCATCACGTTCGTCACGGGCAAGGATGAGAGTGCATTGGAAGGGGAAGACTCAGTGGTCGGCAGGGAATATGTAGTGGTGGAGAAAAGGACTGTGGAAGTGAATGCGCTGGCTGATGGTGAGTGGTGGTGCATTTGGACGCAATTCACGAGCTGACAGACCTTTGCAGAGCTGGATCGCGCTTCGAAAAAGCCCGAGGGGACTATGATCCGTCGCCAGAGCTCTCGCACAAGTATCGTTACTCGACCAGTATCATCGTTCAAACCGAGCAGTACATCGCCTCACGCCGCGCCGGTCCCGCTCTCGACTACACCTCAACATGCTGCACTCACTCATGTCTCTCAATCCCCTCCTTTTTCCTTATCCTCTACTCCGCCATTCGCTGTCCCGCCCTTCGCGAGACAGCCGTCGGGACCACCCCAAGGCACCATCATATCGCCAGCTATATCCCGATCACCGTCTGTCAATCACAGTCTACCCAGTTCGTCATCCGCAAATCACGGTATCAGCTTTCCTCCAACGCAGCTGTTTGAACAATCGCGATATGGTACATCACCATCATCTCTCCAGACTGGCGCACTGGCTCGCGCGCTGACCAACACGGCTATGCGTTTGATCGGAACATCAGCAAATGCAGCTGGGAACGTGATCGCTCGGGCTACCGCTTCGAAGCGTCGACCCACGATCACTCGAACTGGGGACCTCGACGCGGAAGAAGATGATTTATTGCGATCCGTGGAAGATTGTGCGCGGAAAGCTTTCGTCCTATTCGAATTGGCAGATTCTCGCCTGTTGACGTGGCAGAGCTTGGCAAACCTCCCCAGTTCCTCAAGCTCTGCGAAACCTCGGCGTAAATCAAGTAGCTCGTCAATCAACTCTGAAGTGGCCGTCTTGCGTAAACAGGAGATTGCAGCGGGCGAAGGGGTTGTCTTATACTGCAAGGCTTTGACTTTCATCGTCCAGGGTACGAACAGAATCCAGCGATATTGGGAACGAAGAGCCAAGAATGGAGCCTATGAGACGAGTTCGGAACTGAACGAAAGTGAGTTGACCGTAGCGAAGATCGGATTTCCGTGCTGATCCCGACTTTTTCAGTGGTTCAATGGCTTCGAGCGAGATTCAACGAATGTTATGAAAAGGCTGAATGGGCAAAATCGAAGTGCGCCGAAGAACTTCCATTTGTCGATCGGCTCTCACACGACAAATCGAGAGACATGGTGAGGGATTGATTTTTGCGAGCTAAAATCTGAGAGACATGTGGTGGTGACTTGACTGACATTGTTTGCCCTAGTCTCGACTCGCTGCTCAAGCTGAACTCAATGGAGATTTCGTCTCTGCTGAAAGTGGATACGAATCCAGTCTTTGGCTTCTCCAAGCTTTGGCGGATAACCTCATGTATGACGATGGGGAACAGTTGAGACCTGAAGATCGTGCGTCGATCGAGAAGCGTGAGCGGGCGCCGTGGCCAGCATTGCGGAAATGGTACTGATGGCTCTTGGGATAGTATCTGGTATTATCCGTGCGCGACTCGAATCACTCAGGAAGAAAATGGCCGATGCGGGCGTCCCTTCGAGGACGTGAATCCAAGCATAACGCCGTCCGCCAATCCAAACTTTTGTTCGACTATTGGACCGATCATTTTGCTCGATAGACTCTTTGGACCTTTCTCAGCATCATCATCACCACCACCATCACCCTCGGCTCCCTCAAAACCTGTACCATACAATCGTCCCCTGTTGCTCCCACTCCCACTCCCATCTCAACCCGCCGTTTTCTCTCTGCATCGCTTCGATTCCGGTTGTTCTTTTGCTGCCTCTCTCTGACTCTACCCTTTCTGCTCAAGACTGTCATCCATGATCTCCACTATCAAATCTGTTGTTCATTATATATATATTCGAGAGAGAGCTGTATCTCTCAAAACGTTACCATCCAACCATCTTCAGCTAGAAAAATCCCCATATTGACTTATTATCGTGTATCCTTTACCATTCTGCAACCACACTCTGCTCTCGCTCTCTCTCTTCACATGTACGCTCTACTTCCCGTGACTTTCTTCTCTTCATATACCATATGCAAGAAATGCTGCGGTTTCGTGTACTCTATGACCTTTAGCTTCTATCCATGCATCGCATCGTCTGACTCGTTCGGAGGAGGTCTGTTCGGATTTGAGCGGTCATTTTCCGGTCCGAATTCACCGATGTGTCATGACGGAGGTGGAGGATGGTTCCAAATTACTGTCATCTGCTACCTGCAACTTTTGGTGACTGATCAGAGAGGGAGTTTGACTGAAAGGCGTTCGACCATACTACTCAGCAGGATTGCGCTTGACGAGCATCATGCTGCTATTTCGCGCTGTGCTGAGCTCGCTGCTCATTATTCCGAACGACGCGCTCGCTCTCGGTGATCCGAAATGCGTTTCATTCCCCACTTCACCTTACGCCGTACACGATTCAACCACTCTCTCAGATACCCTCCTCGCCGCTGTCAAAACATCTTGGCGTACATTACTTGGCCGACGATCTACCAATGACGTCGATTCGAGCGCGACGACGTTGCCGCCCTCACCCTTCATCATCTCTTCTCATATACCTCGTCGTCGGATCCGACATTCTCCTCCTATCCTTATTGATTCAACGGACGATGAAGCGATTCATATCGCCGCTCATTTCTTCGCGAATGATATCGAGCGTGTGACGGGACTCAAACCGGCTGTCTATAATGATACGATTCCTCGAGGTGTCGAAAGTGCCATCATCGTTGGCTCTGTGGACAGTTCACTCGTTCAGTCCTTCGAGCCCGATTGGACGGATGATATGAAAGGCAGGTGGGAAGTTTGGGACGCGAGAGTCGTCAAAAATCCGAGAGTCAAGGGAGATCTCGAAGAGGTGTTGATGCTCACTGGATCTGACAGAGTGAGTTTCGAGATAGCGTTTAAAAGCCGAGAACAGAGAGACAGAGACGAAACCCTTACTGACCGGCGACGTTTGTCCCACCCTTCAGCGGGGCACTATCTACGCCTTATACTCCATCTCGGAACAGATGGGCATCTCCCCTTGGTACTGGTGGGACGACGTGCCTACTCTCAAACACGAGACAATCGCATTTGACAGCTCTAAAATCTGCTCTCACGGTGAACCAACTATCAAATACCGTGGCCTGTTCCTCAATGATGAGTTACCTGCACTTTGGAATTGGGCAAGGGATTACTTTGAGATACCATTACCTCAATGTCCATTCCAAGTAGGGATGTACGAACGGGTGTTTGAGCTTTTGCTACGGCTCAGAGCCAATTATCTCTGGCCAGCGAGTGAGTGGACGGACAAGTTTCTGATTGAAGAGACACCACTCCAATCGAGCTGACCTTGACGTCAATTCTTGACAGTGTGGGCAGGCATGTACTACGTCGACGGTCTGAATCCCGAAGCAAATGGTCTGCCTCAACCTGCTATACCCGGTCCCAATCAGGTCCTGGCTCAACGAATGGGTATCGTCTCAGGTACATCGCACCATGAACCCATGGCGCGTAACAAGGCCGAATGGGATTTAGAGGGCAGTGGACCGTGGGACTGGACGAACAACGAGACATTGATCAAGTGGTGGGAATACGGTGCGGAACGGGCAAAAGGTCTCGAAACCATGTACACTTTGGGCATGAGGGGCGATGGAGATAGTCCTCTGATCGGAGCAAGTCCCGAACTCGTCGAAGGTGAGTCATAGATCCTCATACCGTCAGGGGACTCGCGAAAAGACTTACAGAGACGGCCATGTAGGGATCGTTGACGTTCAACGGGATATCCTGCGAAGGGTCAACAAGAGAACGGATATCTCTGATATGCCACAGACTTGGGTCATGTACAAGGAAGTCCAAGGGTTCTATCAGCAAGGTGTGAGTATGCCGAGGACTGCGTGGTAGCTGGACATCCGATCGCTGACGTCCTATTCTCTAGCTCAAAGTGCCTGAAGATGGTGAGATTAATGTTGATGGGGTCATAGAAAGCTGACCCCGCCTCGAGTCACCATCATGCTCGCGGATGACAATTGGGGTAATGTCATGGCCACACCGAGGCGAGATGTCACACACAAGGGGGGCGCCGGGCTTTACTATCATGCCGAATGTGAGCACGAAATGCGCTCTGAGGTTGAAGCTCCTAACGCGAGTCTGACAGACGTCGGTGTGCCCAGATCGTACAAGGTGAGTGAACTTCTGTTCTTTGGGTCCGTCTTGATGCTAAGCACCCGATTTCAGTGGATCAATACTATCTCCCTCGCCAAAAGTCGGACAAAGTTCTCTGTTTTGGATCATGTGCTCTTGCTGACGCTGCCCTCCAGTGTGGGAACAACTCGACATTGCACAGGCATTCGACATCAATCAAGTCTGGATTCTGAACGTCGGTGACCTCAAGCTCACTGAGATTCCCCTTGATTACTTTACCAATATTGCCTATGATTCTAGTCGATGGGGTAGGAACTCAGTGACGCCATGGATGAAGGAATGGGCCACCCGAGATTTTGGACCGGAGTACGCAGACGAAGTGGCTCACGTCCTAGGCACCTTCTCAGTCAGTACATCGGCGAGCGAGTCGCGCGTCTTTGTCTCTGGCAAACTGACTCGGATCAACAGCGCTACGTGTCCCGAGTGAAGCCTGAACTATTACATCCCCAACACTGGTCCCTTTACAATTACGAAGAGTGCGCCATGCCCTCCGCGGTGTAGTGTACAAGCCAGCTAACGTCCAGCTAGAGCCGAAAGAGCTCTTGCAGAGTGGGACGATCTCGAGTCTCGATCCGACGCCCTCTTCCATGCCATGCCCAAAGCTACTCGTACAGCTTATTTCGAACTCATACATGGCGTAGTCAGGCTAATGGCGAATCTCAATCGGCTGTATGTGGCGAGTGAGTTCAGATGCACATCGTCAACTTGAGACAAGAGGCGCTGACTGGGCGACACCGCCGCCCAGCGGGACGTAACAATGCGTACGGCGATCAAGGGAGAACGTCGACCAACATGTGGGCTGAGAAAGCTATCGAGTATTTCAAGACGGATGGTGAGATCACAAGGGAGTATCATGAACTGTATGGCGGCAAGTGGGATCAGTGAGTAGTCACAGAGGATGGGAGCGAATCGTTCTGACGCCCCCCGTCCATAGTGTTCTTGATCAAGCAGTAAGTCGAACGGATGAGTTCGTGAGGTGCTTAACCCCATCAGCATATCAACTTCAATGCACCTGTCGAAAGGCAGCGAAACTTCATGCCGCCCGTCACCTTTATCGAAACTTTCCTTCCCTCACGTCCTTCGCGCGAGGCGAAACCACCAGGCTTACCATCCTATTACAAAGTCGCAGTCGAGAATTCTCGAGGATCTTGGCCAGGAAGCGATTTTGATCGCTGTCCCGGGTGGAGCTCGGAATGTTGGAATCCTTTGCTCAAGTCAATGGACCCGTATGGCGCATCATCTCGCTGGATCGACGTCTACTCTAGTGGACCCAAAGATGTCGATTTTGTCATTGACACTAATGTTACTTGGCTCGTCCCATCCATCACGCAAGGCCATGTCAAACTTGACGGTAGTCGGGATATCCGATTCTCCGTTTCGATCGACTGGGAGAAACTCCCTTCAAAAGGAGAGATGTATTCTACCGGCGGAGGAATGACGATCCACGGCAGTGATCATACCAACGTCACTGTTAACATTCCCGTCGCTGTGCCTGCCAAGTCTGCCCTTCCGCCATCCGATTTCCACGGCTTTATCGAAGGTGATGGATATATCGTGATTGAAGCTGGTCACTATACCTCAAGTCACTCGGCCCAGGGATACGCATGGGAAGAGCACGAATGGTACGGTCGGACCGTTTCTGGCCTATCTGTCTTGCCAGTTTCAGACCAGAACCTCACTATTGGTGAAGGACCCAGCCTCACATACGAATTCTGGACTACTGCCACGACTTCGAAGGACAAGGCAGAACTCACGGTCCAGATTGGACCATCTATCAATTTCATTTATGGCAAAAAGCTGGCTCTGGGTATTCAGTGGGATGACAAGGATCCTCAGATCATCACGCCTATCCCTGATTCAGTGACTATCGAACACGGCGGCACAGTGCCTCCCGATTGGCTCGACGTGGTAGCTCAAGAAATCCGAAATGTCACCATGACCATTGACGATATTGGAAAGCCGGGCAAACACTCTGTGACCATCTGGGGAATGACCGCTGGCATAGTCGTTGAGAGAGTCCTCTTAGATTTCGGAGGTATCAGAGAGAGAGGATATAGTTATCTTGGTCCACCCGAGTCGAGAAAACTGTAAAGCATTTTGAACATCTGCATGGCGTGCGTGCTTCACTGGCACTAGCTTGGTTGAGCTTTCTTTCCCTGAGCTCATGCAGCCGTCTTGGTCTGTCCGCTTTCCCTCAATTCAATCTTCTCTCTCTCAGCTTCTTTCTTCCTTTGGGCAGCGACTTTGCGCATCTGCGATTGATTCCAATCAGCAGGCTTTCCCAGCCTCTCTTAGGAATAGATAAATACTCACCCTTTGTCTCCGACCTTTACCTCTCTTTCCAGCTGCGCTAATCTCAACATCCACGTACGCATCCCTCTTCTTCTTCGCTGCTGCTTCTGCTCTTATCTTCTCACGTTTACGATCTCGTTTCCGCATATGTGGAGCCATAGATGCTTTGAGGAGAGAGCCGTATCGAGCGTGAAATTCTGGTAGACGAGTAGCTGGTATCTGAGAGAGAGAAAGAAGGTCAGATGGTGGTACACAGTTGAAATGATCGGACTCTTTGAAGTCAGGCGGTGCAGCATTTCACCCTAAAGGGTGATCTAGATCCCCATCACCTAGCTTTTTATGTGTGTGTGTGTGCGACACACCGAGATTGAGACTCACTCTTGACGAGAACTTTGAGCCTGAACCCGTTGTACACCGTATCAATACTTGAAACTCTGGTCCATCCTCGCCATCCTCCATCGTCACGTCGTCTTCGTTCGCATCCTCGCGATCATCTGTGCAAAGTCCAGCATCAGCATCTTTACCATCCTCTCCAAGTCCCTTTCTCCAAGTGAACAAAGACGCCGTCGCTCACATCGTTTATGATTGAGCCATATGGCTCCTGACGAAGATGGGTCTGAAAAGGTGGTTTCTAACCGTTCTAAAAACTGTAAAGCAGAGGATTGGGTATCATCAGCACGATGTCTCGATGCTCAGGATCATTGCGCCTTAGCCTACCTGATCAGGCTGCAGTAGTTCTTGAGGCATGATGCGCGCTGTAGAGGGTATCGTGTGAGGTGTCGAATGCTGAAGGGTAGGTGAGGAAGTGCAAAACAGCGGGGGAATTTCGAAACAACCACCAATTCATTCAGTGCCGGAGTCCCCGGAGGTTTTATGAAGAAGGTATGATGACTTTTGTGATATCTCTACTTTGTCCTTCACGAACGGCACTTACAAAGCTAAGACGGCCGCGTCGTCTTCAAGGGCCCTGAGATCTCCCCGATGTCTTCCTCTGGCGTTGTATCTAAAAAGCTCAAGTTCAAGGGCGACAAGCCGAAGAAAAAGAAGAGGCATCATCGAGAGGTTGAGGACGAGGATGGAGACGTAGAATTTCAAGCCATGGCTTCTGCTGATCCGAAGGGTGGGTGCGGCATGGAGCCCAGGAGGTAGAGACATCGACCTCTGATGCTACAATTCTGATAGGTTGGATATTCCCTAGCGAGCCTGTGGAAGTTTCTGGACCCGCTTTCATCCTCTTGCCGACTGAACCCTTGACTTGCCTTGCTGTGAGTGACAAAGTTGTGCCAAGCATACATTGGATGGCTGATCCTGATTCTGCTCAGTACGATCCTCAGAGGCAACGGGTCATTGCTGCTCCTGTTGAGATCCCTGAAGCCCCGGAGGGAATGGACGATCTTTCGCCTTCTGAGGTTCTGGCTGTGGTTGAGCCAAGCGATATCAATCACGTCTGGGTCGCTTCTCGTCTCAGTGGAAGCGAAGAGGTCATCTCGCTACGGACCACAGCGTGTGTTGAAACCTGTATCCGGAACTTCTCTGCTGACAGTATCCATAGCGGCACATTCCTGACTGCTTCCCCGTCTGGAGTCTTGACGGCAGTCGTGGCCTCTCGTGGTCCTTTGGAGGCTTTCAAACCTATGCCGGTCAGCTCATCTTCACCATTCCCATCTTTTTCCCTCTGGACCAGCTCCGAGAAGTACATCTCTGTCACTCCTGGACCATCTCTAGGAGGCAAGATCGAGCTCAGAGCAGATTCAGAAAGTGTGGGCGAAAGGGAATCATTCAGGATCAAGTGTCAGCGAGAGTTTGTCCTCAAAGCCAAGATGGGTACAGAGGGGGAGAAGGGGAAACGGAGGATGGGAACAATTGGAGGAGGAGGAGGAGCTGCTGCTGTCGGTGGATCAGTGGAAGATGAAATCAAGCGCAAGTGAGTTGATGGACGTAAGGGACTTTGAAGGGGACGGTGCTGACTTTGCCCTTTCAGTAAACAGGCTCAGACGTGGGGTGCGGGCCGTGTCGTTGTTAGCGATCAGGATCGGAGTGAGCTCAAGCGGGCAAAGAAAGAGGGCAGATTGGCAGAGGCCATGCTGGATCGTAGGGCCGCCCTCAAGAGGTGAGAGTCAATGGGTGGCCTCCATCAATATGCACGTAGCTGATAAAGTGCTTCAGTGACCGGTATGCCAAATGAGCGACCAGTGCGGCGAGGTTTTGTACGGCGAGCATGCCCCAACACACTCTGTAATACTAGTGTAATGCATCTAAAACATTGGCTTTTCCCTAGAGATATCTGTATGTGTATACCCCCTGCCGCCCTTTTCGTGATCTGATATCAAGCTTCCACCGGCGACCGTACTCCTCATCATGTACTTGTAAATCACCAATCCGTCCAAACCGACAGGGCCACGCGCATGTGTTTTACCCGTGCTGATACCGACTTCTGTGCCTAGACCGTATCTCGTCCCATCGGCGAACCTGGTGCTGGCATTGATGAAACAATTGGCAGAATCCAAGCCTCTGCACCAGGTTGACATGGAGGCCTCTGACTGGGTGACTATAGAATCGGTATGATGAGAGGAATGAGCATTGATGTGTTGGATCGCGGCGGCTGTTGAAGGGACCGTCTTGACAGCCAGAGTTGGTCCAAGAAACTCGGTGGTATAGTCAGACGGCGTGGATGCAGTACAATTGACGGCAGCCAGCTGAATGTGCTGTAAAGCGTCAAGAGAGGAGGGATCGCATCGAAGAGCCACGTTCTTCTCCATTAATGCGACGGCGACTTTTGGCCAAACAGAACTTAAGATGGATTCATGGACCAGTAAGGTCTCTGCTGAATTACAAGCTGCCATATAGTCGATCTGGGCCAACGTCAGCTCCATTAACGGGATTTCTTCGCAGATGAACAAGCTCTCACCTTTGACTCTACGGTCACTCTTATGGCTGTCTGCTCATCCGCACTTTCGTCAAGGTAGACGGCGCAAATTCCATCTGCATGACCCATGACTGGTATGCGAGTCGAATTCTGTATGCTCTTGACGAGCTCGTTCCCTCCACGAGGCATGACAAGGTCTATATACTTGTCTTGGGCGAGCAAAGATGAGATTTGAGATCGGGTAGAGACAGATTGAATAAAGGTGGGAGGAATGGAGGTGGAAGACAAGGCTTGAGCGATGAGATTTGATAGGAGCGTAGAGGTGTGAATGGATTCCTTGCCACCTTTCAAGATGGCTGCATTGCCTAATCGAGTCTATCAGCCAGCGTCTGATACCGTTGCTGTGACTCTTGGGTGAGGAAAGCATCAACTCACCCGACTTGATCGCCAAGGCGGCAATATTCACAACGACCTCTGGTCTAGCTTCGAAGATGACCAGTAAGACTCCAATTGGACAGGTGACTCGGTGGAGCTCCAATCCTGGTCCGAGTTCTTTCGCAAACGTCACGAGACCCGTTGGAGCAGGTAAAGCAGCTACGTCCATGACGCCCTGAAGCATTGATTCGTATTTACCCGCTCTAGACAGGTCGAGACGAGAGACGAGGGTCGATGATAGTTTGCCCTGATCAACGAGAGCCGAGGCAGCCTATTTGCATTTGCAATTCGTCAGAATCATCCCTTTACTCTTCTTCTCTCTATCGTGCCCACCTCCATGTCCTTCTGGTTCGCTTCTAGCACTTCCTCTCTCCGTTCATTCAGGATCTTGTGGATTGCCCGCAGAGCTACATTTCGCTCTGCTGGATCGACCAATTGAGATTCTTCAAACGCCCTCCTCGCCGCTATGGCGATACTCTCCGCCCCAGATGATCCCGATGAGCTGGATTCCGCCATGCTGGACATCTGTCTCGTCACTCGAGGACGTCGTTGAATCAGATTCAGGATTGAACATTTCGACTCGGAATGCTAGGTGGGTGACGAATTTTCGGTGGTGGCAGAGTGGCATTCATGGGCGATGTGATTCTGTTGCCCATTGTGTGTGTATAGCGTACTGTGGCCGAGCTTGTCTTGTGAAACATGTTGGACAGCTCCGACTGATCTCTCTACAATATACAAAGATGCTAGTGGCACTGTCTGCGATGCAAGCTTGACCTGAGTAGGATAGGTCGCACTGGGGAGACCAGCACAACAGTGATATCGAGATCCAATCGCCAGCTCTTGCAAGCTGAGCAGGACTTCCTAGATGTCCAGAGCAAGGTTGTGAGGCTTAGTCCCGTCCTTGGCCGGCATGGGCTGACGAGAACATTCTATACGCGGCCTGACATGTTTCTGTCCGGGTGAAGATGACACCCGTTGAAGCGGCGCATTTACGCAAACTCTGGCCTCCTGGACCCGTCTCGTGCACCTGCCGAGGGCAGCCGCTCAGAGATGATGGATGCCCTCTCCACCATCGACAGTGGCCCTGTTTGGTCGACGTTCCCAAAGCCATCCACGTCCAAGTAACAGGCTATCTGCCACCTCTCTTTGCTGCCAGCCAAAATTTTGATTCCGCTGGTCTGTTGTTGCCACCCAGTCTGCCTGCTTCTGAATCTCAATCATCACATTCTCTGTCCACCTCTGCGACGTTGTCGACAACACCAGCACGATGGGTAGAGCAGGTGCAGGGACTCCAAAGGCTTTGGCCAATGCTATGAAAGCCAAAGGTGGAGTCTCTCCAGCTTACAGGATCAGCAGAGACTAACGTAGCATAGGCCTCGGTCGACTACGCTGGTACTGCCAGATTTGTGAGAAGCAATGTAGGGATGAAAATGGTTTTCAGGTGAGTCCCGTCTGCAGTCAGTCACAGAGGGGTACTGATAGCTACCTTCAAGGCTCATACTCGATCCGAGCCGCATATGCGGAAAATGATGATAGTCGGACCTAAAGCTGGACAGACAATCGCAGAATTCTCTCGTCAATTCCAGTACGAGTTTGTGTCGCTCCTCAGGACGAGGCATCAGACGAATCGTGTCCGCGCCAACACAGTCTACAACGAATACATCCAAGATAAGCATCATGTACATATGAATGCTACGCGATGGGTTACATTGAACGGATTCATCATGACTCTTGGTAAAGCTGGAATCGTAAAGGTCGACGAGGATGAAAAGGGACTCTGGATAACATGGGTAGATAGTAGTCCAGAAACTCTTGCGAAGCAGGTGAGAGAATTGCTTCAACCTACTGGCAACCCCCCGTTGACATGTTTCAGGCCGCTCTCCAGAAACGAGATCGTGCTCAGCTGGATGGTGAGGAACGAGAACGGGCAGAGCTCGCTGCTCAGATCGCTCGAGCCAAGGCTAAAGAGGGAGAGAAGGCTCCAGAGGAAACGGGACTGCAGAAAGCTGAGGGAGAGAAGCTCACGCTGAGCCTCTTCCCAAATCCTGATGAGGTCTCGCCAACTGCTTCATCCACCCACCCGGCATCTACGCCCGCTGCCACAGCCAGCGAGCCTACACCCACTTCATCTGGCATCAGTTTTAACATCAACGCCGAAGCAGGTCCGTCAAAACCTACCATCTCATTCGGCGGTGCCGGAGTTCAAACACCATCGGCATCTGCAACTTTGAATCCTCTCAAACGCCCGGCGTCCGGAAACGTCTTCAAATCGGCCAAATCGGCCAAGACTGAGAGTGACATGGGATCGAGTTCCAAAAAGGGCTATGTGTCAGAGGCAGAGAGATTGATGAAAGAGGATCAGGCTCGAAAAGCCAATCGACAAAAGGGTTATCAGGGTATGGGGCCGACGAGGACGGGCGATGGCGGTAGGAGGTTTGTCTTGCAGTGAACGGAGTCTGCCACGCTTAGACTTTGTCCCTCCTTGGTGACTTCTCCCCTGGATCGACGAGGCTACCCACCTTCATGGGAGGCCGGGTGGCCGTAGGCTTATCCGTTGCAATCCGAGTGTTCCGTTGATGAAGGCTTCATCGGACAACCAGAACCTCCTGCCCGGTCGAATGGAGGCTATAGTCTGTCCAACATATCTGTATCCATTGTATGCATGGTTCCCGCATAAATTGTTGAGCAGCTCGTTCACAAGTGTTCAACATCCATCTGCCTCCTCCACATTTCGGCAAAATCACAAACATTTTTTGAGCATTCGGCGACGTTAATTGCGTCAGTCACCTCGTACTTTGACCATCTTCGACCTTGAGGCAGCGTTCAGGAGACGGGGGGGCGGCATGACAAGGATCGCGTCTGTGTCCACGTCGTCACTCATTGGCGTGGCTATCGCGTGCGGAGGTAATGTCCTCATCAGTCTAGCATTGTGAGCGATTCCTGGCATTCGTCGGCCATCAAATCCGGGTAAGCAATATTGACGATGGCGCCTGTGTAGGACTGTTCAAAAGCTGGCCCATCAGCGTCAAAATGAAGAGCTTATAGCTTCAAAATCAAGCTCTGGGCGTTCCTCGCCAGATCACGATGAGCCGGACGTGGACCCTGGCCCCGATTACCAGTCCGAGAGCTCGTACCATGACGAACCGTCTCCTACGCCTTCACCGAAAGCTCGGATCGTCGAAGCTGTGCCCGTCGTCGTCGTTCCTACAACGCCGGGTGGAGAGGTCCCAAGTACCTTGATTCCGAGCAGAGCAAAGGGTCAAGAGACCAGCCGGCAGAGTCCCAGCGACCGACATGCTGAGATAGGGGAGAGCTCAAAACGACGTAGTAGCGAGGAGGCGCGGGAAACCGGCGCAAGGACGGACATCCGAAGTCTCCAGCTTGTACCTGACCCTGGACCCTCGCATCCCCGCTCCAGATTACCATCGCCAACTCCGATACGAATACCACCACGATACAAAACGGACATCGATCTCTCCTCGAATGAAGACAGCGGGCACATCAGGAAAAGCGACAACGATCCCTCCGATCGACATCGGGGTCGCAAACGATCTTCGCGCCATCAGTCTGGAGAGCAGAAAAACAAGGATGAGGACAAGCCGGAAGTGGAGGAGGGACAGTATCTCAAGAGCAAGCTCTGGTGGTTGGGCATGTGTCTCATTGCTGTTGGAGAAGGAGGCAACTTCCTCAGCTATGGCTTCGCTCCGGCTAGTGTGGTCGCTCCGCTAGGCACTGTGGTGAGTCCCCAATCGTCTGGACAGCGTCAGCTGATTGAACTTCCCGTCTTCTAGGCCCTCATTGCGAATTGCATCTTCGCTCCGTTGATCCTTAGGGAGAGATTTCACGCCAAAGAATTGATTGGAATGGGTTTAGCCATTGTCGGCGCAGTGACCGTGGTATACTCATCGAATGCGTCGAATCCGAGAGTCAGTCACACGTTGATCTTCTTTTCATCGTCGAAAGCTGATGAGACCCAAAGCTTGACCCTGATGGGCTGGTACACGCCATTCGTCAAGTCCCCTTCATTGTCTACACCTGTCTCAACTTGGTCGCCATGGTGATATTGTCTCTTCTGTCCCGCTCGCACAAATACGGGGCAAAATACATCGGGATCGACGTCGGCGTATGTGCATTGTTTGGAGGGTACACAGTGCTGTCTACCAAGGCCTTGTCAAGCTTGTTATCGACGATATTCCTGTCCGCCTTCGCTTCCTGGATCACATGGGTTCTGGTCGTGGTCTTGATAGTAACTAGCGTCCTCCAGGTCAAGTTTCTGAACCGAGCCCTCATGCGCTTTCAGAGCAAGGTGAGCGTCGCAATTTTGCTCCCAGTTGCAACCTTGTTCTCGGCCTGACCATTTATGCAGGAAGTGATCCCCACACAATTCGTCTTCTTCTCACTGGCAGCCATCATCGGATCTGCGGTGCTCTACCAGGAGTTCAGAGACATCACTCCATCCAGCTTTATCAACTTCGTCTTCGGAGTGAGCCAGACGTATCTCGAACCCGAAGAGTTGAGTGCTGAAAATTCCATACAGATCGCAACCACATTTCTCGGCGTGCACCTCCTCACTTCTTTCTCTGAAGAAGAAGAGGAACCCTCCGACGAGTCGACTCCGGATCAGTCCAGAGCTACTTCACCAACTGTGACTTATCGACCGTTGCCCAGGGCCATGCCGACTAACGCGTCGCTCAACGTCCTACTTCCATCAACGTCTCGGATCTCATCGCACTCCAACGGTCTATCGGCATCTCTCAACGAGCGAACACCGCTCCTGGTACCTATCGCATCGCCAGAGACACTCGCCAATGGACTCAGTCCGGGCGAGGGAGGTGTTGCTTCTCTTGGTCGAATCAAGCTCGTCAAAAAGACGTCAACGGGTGATTTTACTCCTACTCTAGGACTGTCATCTCAAGCAGGATTTCTTCTGATGGCTACCACGCCACCTAGTGCGCCATTGCCCGGCAACTTTGGTCGTAGAGCTAGTAACCTAAGACGACCGGATTTAGAAGAAGGTCGCGGAAGAGCACCGAGTTCAACCCGGATCCAGCGAGGAGATAGTACTGAAAGGTCTTCAACGCTCCCTGGGTGACTCAATGACCACACCTTGTCGGACAATCAATTGTAGCTTTTATACCTCTGTCATGCCAGATCACCCCATGCGATGTATGCATAGACGCAATGACTTGATAGAGCTCCTCTACGCTGAGCGTTCTTGGGTCTTTGCCCTCTCCTGTTCTACCCTTTGTCTCAATCCCTGAACCATCTTCTTCATCCCCAGACCAAACTTGCCGCTCAAAACGGTGACTTCGAGATTTTGAGCCTCGGGCAATGTCGCAACGAGATCCTTGACGCGCTCGAAACGCTCTCTCCCGACTTGCTCATCCACTTTGTCGCCCTTATTCAAGATGATGACTGTGCCTTTACTCGTCAATCCCTCCTTGTACGTGTCCAATTCGTTTCGCAACGTCATCAAGTCCGCAGCCGGATCTGGTCGGGTGATATCGAGCACGTATGCTAGGGCGAGTGATCGTTCGATTGACCTTAGGAAGCTGTGTCCCAAACCAACATTCTCAGATGCAAGGGGAAGCAATCCGGGGTTGTCGGAGATGGTGAATCTGGCCACTTCATATTTTGGCTCCATATCTTCACGCGGTGTGACCACCTCTCGATGCCCTCGAGCTGATTGATATTCTCCTTTGAGCCTTCCTTCGGCTTCCTGATCCCTCTCTTTCCATGTATCTTCGACGACTAATCGACCTTCTGGTGCGTTGGGATCACCAAACGTCCCGTCATTCCATACTCTGACGACACCGATCTGAGGGTTCAACGTCGTGAAAGAGTAATCGGCCACTTCGGCCCGTCGACCAGTCAATGCTCGAAGGATGGTGCTCTTGCCCACATTCGGAAATCCCACAAGACCCACGTCGGCCAATAGTTTCAGCTCAAATTCGTATGTCGAGGTGTAGGGGATGGTCCCACGCCCAGCAATTCGAGGCTGTCGATAGCCCGAGAAACCGAAAAAGAAGGGATTCCCCATTCCTCCATGTCCCCCTCGAGCCAATAAAATCGGGTCACCAGTGACTGGGACTTCCAAATCCAACGTCTTTGGCGGTTCCTGTTCAAACGTCGGGGGTGGTTTCTCGGCGCGTCCACCCTTCTTAAGGGCTCTCTCCGCCCGACGATATTCTGCTCTCGTGAATTCTGCTCCAGGGAACAGAACAAAAGTTCTGTCCCAAGCTTTCTTCTCCTGTTCGCTCATAGGTTGATTGTCCGCCTCATCACCCTTGTCCAACGCCTCAAAGTCCTCCTCAACCTCCAAAATATCCGCCGAGTCTTTCTTGCTAGCCAGGGGATGGGCGATCTTGAGATTTCGGGATGTTGGAAATTGGACCGATCCATTCTGCCCAGCGAATTTTGATGTGGGATCTGGTTTTCGTCTGATCTCCCTCACGACCGTACCGACAGGTACCTCAATCACAACATCTGTCCCTGGTCTTCCATGCAACGTGTCCCCTTTCCCATTGCCACCGGGTCCTCCATTGATCCGGCGCGAAATGCTGTGTAAGGACGTGAGAGTTGGTGAAGTCTTGAGGTATACCGATCCTCCTTGTCCTCCATTACCACCGGAAGCCGGTCCAAGGGTACCGCTGCTTGTCGCTGTGAATGCTGCTGCGCCATGACCACCTCGACCTGATATGGATCCAGATCAGCTGGGACTTTAAACGGGAGGACAACCGCCCCCCATTCCGTTACACTCACCCCCGCGAATCTGGACCGTTATATGATCGAGAAACCCGCCCTGTGCCGTGTTAGCTGTTATGTGTCGAATCTTGGAAGCAAAGCACACTCACTTGCTGCATTCGTTTCATCTCTGTCTTCTTCTTTCTTCTCAAAAGCTCGCTGACGACATCATCAAAGGCTTCCTCAGGTTGTGGCCTCAAATCCCAGCTCGAAGAGTGGATGACTGGCTTCTCGTCTTTTGACGATCGCTTCGACCTCGAGGCAGGTGTGCTGACCTGTCGGCTGTCCGATTCCCTCTCGTCTATATCTGCTTCCAGATCCCTGAAGAACTCGTCTTCGATTCGATCAGGCCCGTCGGTATGCTCCTGCACGCCTGGTGTGGGAGCCTCCAGTCTGGTCAGAGCTGAGGTGTGAAGGGATTGTCCTGATGCTCTAGTGCTGGCTAGCCAAGATTGTCGGGTACGCAAGGTCGAAGGACCAGCGTGCGCTGCAAAGCGTGCTGCCCTGATCCATCCATCGACGCAGAGCATGCGGACAGATGATGAAAGTATTCAACGCAAAGTGACTGCATCACTCAGAAATTTCGAGTGATCGACGAACGCTTCATCCGGGGAGGTGGCTTCGGCTCGGGAATTGGCCAGTTACAATGAGGAGACCGGGACGTTCGTCGTCAGCAGCAGAGGGGTATGCGAGTGCGTATAGCTACCACAGATGACATTGATGTGAGATCTGTGTGACCAATGATGTGCAAATCTACCTCATACTTGACACGGGATACGCCTTGCCCAGTTCGCCTAAATGTTACTACAACATTTGTGTATTCCCCTGATTCACCCTGCCCTCTGTGAGCTTGTATGATTGACTCTTAGTCCTCAAATCCTAGACAGCGGGTAGAGCATCGGGACGCCAAAAGCTTTGTGGCGCTTGCTGTTTTGCATCGCAAGAGATCCACAAGGATGAGCCGTCACCCGAACGATGACCAGGATAAAACGGGCTTCGGCTCCCGTACTTAAACTCCAGCCAGCAGTCGATCAAGCAGTGTTTCAAAGAAAGGCACATAAAGCTGGACGCCGTGTGAGTGAGACGGTCGCACAGATTGAGCAGATCGAGCCACCCGACTTACAGGAAACTCTGTTCCGCTGTGCGTCATCCAAGACATTTTCTCCCCCGGATCCGCTTCCCATTCAGCCTGAGTATGCAATGTGTCGTTCCACTGGCCAAAGATCAGCCTACTCGCAACTAGCGGCTAAGAAGCAACTCACGACGGCAAAATATTGATGGCCCAAAACATGAGCGACGGCTTGGTAGTCTCTGAGAAAGACTCCAGGGTGGAAGAGCTGGAATATCGTGAGCCAAGCGACGAAAGTCGAGTCAATTATCGGCCTCACCTCTACCAAGGTGGCCTTTTCGGTCATCCACATCTCATGTGTCAGGCCGTTTCCATGGACGCCAACCATGATCTGGAAAGAAATGCGGTCACTACCAATTGACACTCTTTCCGCTTGACTTACATCGGCATCGGCCGAGATATGAAACTGCTCAATCACCGTATGGTTCTCCCAAGCAGCATGGACAAACTTGATCTCCCCTCTCTCATGCCGGGAGCGCAAGAGCGCTACGAGCGCTTCGTGATGTTCAGCAACGAGCCTTCGATCGCTCGATTGTCGATCTACATAGACCACATTCGGTATAGTTGAGGTATGCTCGTGGAAGCCGAAATGCTTCATCAACCGCTGTCGAACGGGTGCAAAGAATTCGAATGGGTGTGGTCTCTCGAAGATGTCGACTGACATCTTGTTCCACGCTTGTGTGCCTTTATTGTACCGGTGCGCAGCCCATCGATCGACAATGATCACTGACAAGTCAGTCTTAGCCATTGTGCCCGCATGGAAGGATCGATATCACACTCACGCTGGTCGAAGAATATCCAATTGTCGTGCTCTCTCCATTTGCCCCATTGTTCAGGCTCCAGTACATCTACAGAGCGTCAGCGCTCACAGCGGCCGTCAAACCCCTGACTGACCATCGAATAGAGCATCTACCATCAAAGGATTGATACCCCACCTATCGTGCCAATTCGAATCCCAAGGAATGATTAGTCTATCGGGGACCACAGGGAGGTACGCCTGTGGTGATTCTATCCTTTCTACGCTCTCAGCGATAGAGAAAGCCGTCAGACCGCCGAGCATAGCTTCCGCTGCAAAGTGATAATAGTGCCATAGTCCACTCCATTCGTCTCCGGCCTTTTCATTAATCAGCACTTGGGTAGAATCAGCATTCATTTGATTGAAGCGCAGCGGAAGAGCGAGCTCACACGATGCGCCCTTTAGATAGACAACATGCCTGCCCTTTATCGGGATTTCTGTGTGGACGACTGCCTTGGTTCGCGGTGATAAGATCGAATCCTCCACTGGCATGGCAGCGTCCGTCGGGTCCCAGAGGTCTGTCAACGGGTTCAGCCTTCGCCAGTTCTAGAGAGGGTATAGGCCTCACGAAAAGTCTGGTTGTTATACCAAACATTGCGAAAGACATTAAATCCAGGGATTCCAGCTTCGTATATCTGACCGGAATGTTAGTGCAGAGAAGAGAACGGCTGTGGACCTTTGCTCACAGTTGGCGCGGTAGTCGGCGCGGTGAAGTGATCACTGAAGCTGTATCCTGTGAATAGCAACAGAAAGATCACCGCTGCAATGCCATCTATCCAAGTATGAGCTTGCTGCTGACTATGAGATACGCAGACCCACAAATCTGAGCATGCTTTGGTAGCTGATTTCTCCTTGATCCAAATTGCTTGTATCCATCGAGACGAGGTTGAAAGGCATATAGCCTTGACCTCGCTGCTGAAAGCACCGATTCGATGGTGAACCGTACCATGAGAGTCAATTCATGGCCTCGCAGACCGGGTTGTAGAGGTCGTCCACTGGGTTAAAATTACGTGCAATGAATGGATTGACATTCTGACTGACCTTCCGAGTATTTTTTCCATTACGTGGTGCCAAAAATGGCACTGTGGCATCCGACCCCGCTGAGTGGGCTTCTCGCTTCATCGTCCTGGTCAAGTCGTCAGGCGTCATACTAAACAGTTGAAGACCATCAGTGAGCTACTAGTCCCTGATTGGCCCCAAGACACCTGTCGACACGGGTCGATATTTCTGGCCCTTCATATCATACGCAACTATTCTGAACAATCTTTGTTGTATCGCTAAGCTAGTTTGACATGACTTGAAAGGATCAGCAGATATCAGAAGCGATGCAATCAGAAGATGATTTTCGCTCATACTCTACCACTGCCTCCTTGTCAGACTATATCGTTTCACCACGGAATGATATCAAGCGCCCCGACCACAATGCAAGCCACTAGCTATTCGCCACAAGTCTCTATTGTGACACCTCGCGACAATGCTAGCGAACGAACAGGGGTTACGTCTCAATGAGGATGAAGAGACCCTTAGATCAGACCTCAGGTGAAGTAGCGGGAGTACCGATGAAGACATCAGGACAGGGAAAGACGACATCCCCATCAGCGACCAAAGAAAGCACGATGCATCAGCGCAGATGCCCCGACGCCATGACGGGCTCTCAGGCTCAGATGTTCACATCAAGAATGAAATATCCTCAGGGGTAGCTCCCAGATTTCATGCTGAGCAGCTCACAACGAGACCTGAGGCGTCTCGACAGCCTTATCGAAGCATTACAGTCTCCGGTCTGGTCGAGCAGCATCTGAAAAATTCATGAGTGTACACAGTAAAAGCTGGGTACAATCCACATACATCAGGAAACGTCCGCTGTTGCAAAGCAGATTGAGGACAGTGTTGATACAGCAATGAATCCGTCTTAGACATCTTGAGAGATGGGCTTGAAGATCGTGGGAATCCAAGTGACAGGCTTGTTATTGACCCTGTGTTCTCTTCGTTCTGCGGACGAGCTGACCCTACGATACCAGTCAACGTTTGATCTGCTCAACTGATGCCACGGCCCGGAATCCCTCACCATATCTTAACATCTTGATCCGTAGGTTCAGAAATCTCAAAGGATCTAACCATGACGAAAATGAACGCTCGCATGAAGGCCAGAGGGTACTGGTAGACTCTACGAAAAGTTCCCATCAGTGATACTGTGATGGCTGTTGCTTGTTCGACGACTTACGGGCAGCCTCTTTGCCCGCCAGAGAAGCCAGCTGAGGAACCCCAGGTCGCGTGTATAGCCGTGCCGCCTTCGGCTCCTTTTGTGCTGCCGTCCAGGTGTCGCTCAGGCCTGAATTCTGTAGCATCGCTACCGTATAGTCTCTCATCGGCACTTAGATTCCAGATGGCTGCGGCCGTCATCAACAATCGACGCAACATGAAGGACATGGGGATACTGACGGATGGAAACGTCTGTCCCTTTGTGGACTGTGATTGAGTTCACAGTCTGACCGTTGCTGAGAGTAATCGGGTCGTGTAGAGGTACCACACATGTACGTGTGCAAGTTCGCTCGATCGTCGTATAGGCGTTATCGATTCTGACTAGTTCGTCCAGGAAGGCATCAAGATACGCCACCTTGGCCAAATCATCTCTGTGCATTCATCAGCTTCTATTATGTGGATGCGAGTCACACAGCGCCGCTTACAGGGAAGGTTCCTCGGGAAGAGCAGAAAATTCCTTTCGGAGTTTGTCCTGTATATCTCTGTGACTCGCCAGGCGATGGATGATCTCATAAATCATCATTCGTGACACGTCAAGTGTAGCAGCCATCTACAGTAGCACCTTCAATTCATCTTCATCTTGGACGTGCCACACGAGGAGCAGACTCACAGCAATGGGAACGTTGTCGGCTAAATCCTGATCGGAGATCTTCTGACTCGCTGGGATATCCTTCGACATATTGAGCCGACCTGGAGGAACCATGAGCCGTTTTGACTCGCTGGATGATCTTTGCAACCTACACCATGTACTGATGATATCGTCACCTGCCTCGAGAATATCGTCAGATTTCAGATCTTGACCGAAAGCGCGGGTAATCTTCTCCTGTTTGTCTCGTAGCAGTTTCTGCAATACTGTCATCACGAAGATCGATCGACAGGAAGGCCACACACTCACCTTCCCGACGACGGCCAACTGATCTCGACTTCGATTATATCGTCTGTATCTTGGTGTTCGGAAAAGCTGTTGCAATGTCAGTATTGCCATCCACCCATCAATGTGAAAGTGCGTAGGCTTACACTCTTTGTATCCCACCATTTCAATTCCGATCGAGCTTTATGGAAAGCCATGATGGTATCTCGAACCTCGGTACTCCTTCCTTTTGCGATATCCTCCTCGTTGAAGCCGAATAGAACGGTGCTGACGATTCCCATTTGGTATCCTACGGCATGGGTCGATGGGTTGATTGGCTTTTTGCCTGAGCGCTTTTCAGTATCGCTCTCAAGTTCTTCCATGATCTTGTCTCTAGCCTTGTAAGCCAAGTTGATGAAGCGAGGGAAGTACCCTCGCATAGCCGCGAGGGAGCAAGAGCGTTCAAACACTGCTCTAATCTTTTGTCGTTTCTCCCCCTTCGCGCAGGATATCGCGCCATGGATGCCCATGTCGACCATGGCACGACCGAGTCTTGGACTGCCTTCAAAGTCATTGACATTGGCATGTACGTATCGTACGAAGCCTGGATCGATAGTGAGGATCTCTTCCCGATGATAAGGCGCCACTCGAACCACTATGGTATTGCCGTAGGTCTTGAACCAATCTCCCCATTTTTGTCCGAAAGGAGTACTATATGTGAGAGAAGAATGATTGTGCTTTAGGGACAGGCCTGGAGGAGCTATAGAAACTGTCAGTGATGACTCCCTGAACCTGAGCGAACGACTTACAGGGGAGGTGTCGATACGGCGTTAGGATTCGGGTTCGCACCACCCATCCGATGAGGATCAACAAGGTGGATGAGGCCAGACAAATGATTCCAGCTAGACCTGGCGAGATGTTCCCGAGGAGTGATGTATAGTAAGCAATCAAGGACATGTTGGTCAGATGTCAAAGAGTTGGTAAGTGTCTCATTTCCACTTGCATTCATTCTTTATGTAGCCTCTGCCGCACAGGCTAATCCAGATATAGATATTGTAGATCCCGATCGCATCAGATCCCCCCCTTCGTAATAACGCCGAATGGACCGAGGGACAAATTGGCTCCACCCGAACATATCGCTGATACTCCATAGGGGGGAGAACAACGCACATTCGAGTGCCGGACGCGTACAGGCAGACTCCAATGCAACGATACCCGAGACAGCAGACCCACTCACAGGACTGCAAAGGCGCGCTCGTTCCTGTTACAGCCAGGACGGAGCATGCTATGAGTGGCGTAATACGTGCCATTGATCACAGGGCTTGGGGTACACAGCTCCTCAACTCAGAACCAATCCTGTACTACTCATGCCACGGATGATAGACAGTCAACTCTCTCTCCTTCAAATGCCTGAAGATACCATCTTTGGCTCCAATAGACATCGACTACATTGGTTGAGACTCATCCCTCGTCATTCCGAATGGCATCCAAAAATGATGGCGCCACACTCTTTTTTGGAGAGAAACAGGGATATTCATGAGACCATCCGAGTCATTCACCATCTTGACATACATCTTCATTCTTGATCTTCAAAAGACGCTGCTCCCTAGCATCATGGGGGTCTCTACCATTACCGTCAAGACTCCCCCAAAGTGGGTCTCATACTGGCTCGGATTCTCGACCTGTATCGTCTTGTGGGGTGAGTGGGGGAGAGCATCGGGGAAAGGGTCACATCGGCTGAATAGGCTGACTTAGACGCCGGATACTGCTTCAATCGACCTCGGAGTATGCCTGGTGGAGATCTGTCGTGGATATGGTATCCTTACAAGTGAGTCTGTAGCACTATGTCCACGGGCGGCGGGATGGCTTACGATGATACCAGCATGGTGCCGTATGCTTTGATCGATTATGTGTACGGAACGAAGATTTATGAAAATGGTGACGGATGGACCAATGCTCAAGGCAAGTTGGCTTTGATCACGGACAAAGCGACCATATCATCTCACCGCTCTCAACAGCCCTCATGAACCTCATCGAGGCGATGCTCAATGTAGAATACATCTACCTCCGACACACCTCTCCCAAAACACTCCATTTGACGAAAGGGGACGAAGGTCGACCGAGATACCATGCGCATGCGCCTCTGGTTGGCTTCGCAGCATCTTTGATGACATTGGCGAAGACTGCGCTTTACTTTCTTCAAGGTTCGCTTGTTGGTTATGACAGGTTCGTCCCAGCTGACACACTCAGACTATTATTGTGGTTGGTGTTTCTCGGGACACAACACTCGGCAGAGGTTCTGGCAATACTATGTGGCGCCGAATGTGAGTCGTCAGAAGCCTTTTGTGGTGATGATGATGCTGATGCCATATCCAGGGGTCAGTGGCCGAGCTTTTTCTGCCTCAAGTCTGACCCATTGCAGTGTCTGGCTCGTTATGCCCTTCATAACCTGCATCGTCCTCGGCATCTTCATTTCCAACGCTTTACTCCGTGATGTTTCCAATCAAGTAGCCTACGCTGAATGGAATGTCGCACCCGCCACCTCCAACGTGACCACCTCAAAGACCGAGACGGTTCCCGTGCCAGTGACTGAGTCTGTCGGACAGTCTCCTCGGGGGAAGACTCGGGCGTCCAAAGCCTCTTCATCAGGGTACGCCGTTCCCACTCCCGGTGCTGCTCTGCCCCTGACATTCAACGTCCATACTCTCCCCGTCCTCGTCATTGGCTCCAATCGACTCGCAGCCACTAGAACCTTCACGCTCCTCGAAGCTGGCGCCAACGTGTTGATCGTTTCTCCCGATCCGCTCGTCAAGGCACACGATGAAATTCAGCATAGGGTCAAGGAAAATGGTGTCAAGTACTTTCAAATTGATTTTGTGAATATCGCTCAATGGACAATGTTTATCAAGGAAAAAAAGGCGGCTTTGGTCTGTGTGACAGATACGTTGATTGGATCAGCAGAGAGGAAGGAAGCTTCAGTGGAAACGATTTCAGACGCATGCAGGAGTTTAGGAACGCCCATCAATGTCTCTGATCATCCTGGGCTCTCGACGTTTAGTTATCCGGCAACGCATCGTTTTGAAGGAGAATCTGGTCCGAGCAATCTGCAGATCAGTATATCGACGAATGGCAAAGGATGTAGGCTTGGAGGAAGGCTGAAGAGAGAGATTATATCGAAGCTGCCATCAAATGTCGGCGCTGCTGTGGACAACGTGGGCAAGCTGAGGATATTAGCGAAGGAGAAGAGCTTCAAGGGGAAGCAAATCTCGCGGGACATCTCAGAAGATGACCCTCACACGCCTTTGAACGAACCGGTGGAGCAGCTCGGTACACCATCACTCCTCACACAGGTCACTAAGGAGTTGGGCAAGGGGTATTTCCCACCGACCGATCGTGAGGACCAAAGTCAATTACGGAGAATGCGTTGGGTCCACCAGATGAGCGAGTATTATTCCATCGAGGCTCTGGCGAGGATGACAGAGACAGAGATGGAAAATGCCCTGGATACCTGGCAAGGGATCCCAACTCCATCACAGCCCGTTCTGCCACACCATGATGGTCATCCGATTCAGCAACTGGGTAAAGCTTCTTCTCGTTCTCGCAAAGGTCGAATCCTCCTGATTGGATCCGGACCAGGTCATCCTGGCCTGTTGACTGTGGCGGCACATCGAGCACTTCAATCTGCCACTCTCATACTGTCAGACAAGCTGGTCCCTGCGGAAGTCTTGTCTCTGATTCCATCCTCTACCAATCTTCACATTGCCAAGAAATTCCCAGGAAACAATGAAGGCGCACAGAACGAGCTCATGATTCAAGCTTTGGCCGCTGCTCAACAAGGCGAAACAGTCGTGCGACTCAAACAAGGTGACCCATTCGTGTATGGTCGCGGTGGAGAAGAGGTTCTTTACTTCCGCGAGCACGGCTATGAAGCGATTGTCATACCGGGAGTCACGTCGGCGATCGCTGGACCCGAAATGGTTGGCATACCCATCACTCAACGGGGCGTAGCGGAAAGTATGGTCCTATGTACTGGAGTCGGAAGAGCTGGTAAATCCATCTCCTTACCCGGATACGTCAAGCCCAGATCGTTGGTCATCTTGATGGGCGTTGCTAGAATTGGATCCATCGTGCAGACATTGGTGGATCGAGATTCAACAGGTCGAGATGGAGCCGCGTATCCCGATTACTTACCGATAGCAGTGATCGAAAGGGCCAGTTCGCCGGATCAACGGGTCATTGTCAGTACGCTGAAAGCCATCGAGGCTGGTCTACAGAGTATGGAAGAGCGGCCGCCAGGGATGATGGTCGTTGGATGGGCGGTCTTGGCATTGGAAGGGAAGGGCAGGGTGGATGTCTTGGATCGTCCGGGTGAAGAAGAGATCATATCGAACGAGTGGATGGGCGAAGACAGATGGCGAGTCGTAGATGGTCTATCAGAGGGCTTTGCAGAGTATCTAGACGAAGTAGGATTAGCATAGCAGTGCACGTGGATTTCCCACGTGTGATGCTGCGCATTACATAATCCTATTCACCCCTTTGCCCCTGCCGAGCAACCTGAAATAACCCCTTTCCTCAATTCCTTCATCATCATCATTCACGCCACCTCTGGACCATTCGCGTCAATTGGACGGACTGCCTTGTCAATCAACTATCGATGGCTGAAGAACCTGTCGGTACTGGACCTGAACCTCCCGATATACGACCGTCAGGTCGTCCATCAATCCCACATTATATCACACATTCCAGCGATGAGCACGCTCGATTCAAGGATCTAAATACTCCAAACATTACCATCGGACATGGGCGAAATTGGACGTCTGTCATACAACGTCTCACCCAAGTCTTCACTTTCGCGCCTCTCATCCTTGGATTGGTGCTGTGCTTGCTACCACTCGCAAGCGCTCAACATGTCGCTCTTGAAGACCCATACACCTCTGCCCCACCGGTGTACGACCTGTCGTCGGTCAGACATGCCAAAACTACACCCCTCTTATCCTCCTTGAAGTGGATATTCAATCATATCCTCTCCCTCGGCACATATTTTACCGGCTACGATCTGCATAGCGCAACTGAACGCGCTTGTGAACATGTCGGCCACGCTCTGCTGAATACGATTTCTATCGTCCTGGGGTACGGCCCTGCTGAATCACTTCCCCCACATGGTCTCACAAAGAGGACTAAACCGGAAATCATCGTCGAAGCAGTCATGATCCCAGTGTTGGTAGCTCTCAGTGGAATGTTTGCAGGTAAGCTCAGCTATTCAGATGTCGGAGATCCCGCTAACATTCATTGTAGGATTGACGTGAGACATATGCCCTCTAATCTGAAGGATAATTTGCTGACGCTTCTTAGGCTTGGGTAAGCCTTGATCTTAGCCCCTAATTCGTGCCGTTGTCGACATCTTACGGCGCGACATACATCATGATTCCGTTTAATGTATCGCTGAGACAAACTCTCAGGTACTTCTCCGTCGACCAGACCCAACTTCAAGTCCTCAGCATTAGTGGAACAAAGAAGCAACAGGAGCACGCTAGGAAGATTATTCCGGTCCGGTGCGTCCTCAAGATCTCATTCTTTTGACGAGTCTTACTGATCTCTTATGCCAGAAAGGACTCTCATCTGCTCCTCACGACTCTGATTCTTGGCAACATGATTGTCAATGAGGCTTTGCCCGAAGTGTCCAACGGTCCTCTAGGCGGAGGTGTTCAGGCAGTCGTTGTTTCCACTGCGCTTGTCGTTATGTGAGTCTATCATCTGACCATGATACGACGGCTGACTCGTCGACCCAGATTCGCCGAAATCATCCCTCAATCCGTCTGCTCGCGATATGGTCTCTTGATCGGCGCGACCATGGCCAAACCGGTCAGAGTGCTCATCTGGTTCTTCTTCCCTCTCGGGTGGCCAATCGCCAAATTGCTCGAGTGGATTCTTGGAGCGCATCATGGAATTATCTATCGACGATCCGAACTCCGAGAATTGATAAAATTCCACGCAGCAGGTGGAGAAGGTGGTGGCGATCTGGACTATGACACAGTGACCATGGCTCAAGGTGCTCTCGATTTGGCGGGGAAAACAGTCAGAGAAGCCATGACCCCGATTGACCAGGTCTTCGTGAGTGATCTGAGAAGTACGTCACTGTGCGCTGATTGTTTACAGATGCTTCCCATTGATGCAAAGTTGGATTACGAGACTCTGGGACTCGTCGTCAAGTCGGGTCATTCGCGAGTGCCCGTGAGTCATTGGCCGACTGAGGAGTACTAATGATATAGGTCTACCAATACGTCGAGGTACCGGATCTCAATCTCAGTGCCCCGGCGCTCAATCGACCGGCAAAGACGAAAATGGTCAGAAAGGTGCTTGGAAGTCTGCTCGTCAAGTCTTGTGTCCTTTTAGATCCAGAGGGTGAGCGGCTGTTCGTCGACAATTGTTAACGGGTATTAGATGCGACTCCACTTGCCAGCATCCCCATCAACGCCATTCCTTCGGTACCATGCGATGAGCCTTTGACGAACATGTTGAACGTGTTTCAAGAGGGTGAGTCCGTCGGCCAACGCAATAGGACTCGAGCTAAACCGGTCAGGCCGCTCTCACATGGCGATCGTGTCTCGACGACCCCGTCATCGCGATGCTGATCCGGAAGACGAAGAGTCCGTCATGACCGCAGCTGCTGGAGGTCTCCGTCAACGGATCATGCGAAAAGTAGCAACTATTACACACGGCGACAGATCTTCCTCCGATTCAAGCTCCGACGAGAATGATGTAGAGAAGAACGATCCAAAAGCCAGACAACGTAAAGCAACAAAGAAGGTCAAGCGGAAGGAGAAGGGCGATAAGGCTTCGTCGGGCACGTCCTCCAGCGGATCGCCCACAGAGCCAAATCGGCCGCTTGACAAGCCCACGAAGGCTCAAGAAGTCAAGAACCAGGTCGAAGCGGAAACGAAGAAGAAGTCTTTTGTGGAATCGGCCAGATTGACTCAACTGGAGCAGACTGTCCCTGCAGATGCTCAGATGCCGCCTCAATTGGTCGAGAAGGTGATTAGGCCGTAGAAGATTAACTGACCCCGCCTTAGTTCTTTGAGGGTCTCGAAGGCGCGCCGTTGGGAATCATCACGCTTGAGGATGTGCTGGAGGAGCTGATCGGAGAGGAGATCTATGACGAGTGAATGGAGAAGAAGCTAGCTTCCGGGCGGAGTGCTGACATCGTGCTCAGGTATGATGACAATGGAGGCCCCAACAACCCCGCATCGGCATTCATTCCACGCGAAGCAGCCATGGCAGCGCGTCAAGCTGCTCTTGACCGAGAGAAACTTTTGGCACAAAGCACTCCTCTGCCTCCGACCAACGATCAAGACATTGAGCGACCTACTGCCCCGCAGTCTGCTCCCTCTCGACGATATGTGCCGAAATTGCCTCCTTTGCCTCTTCCTCGTTTCACTCGAGGCAAGCGACCTGCTTCACAGCCTGGCAAGTCGAGGACTGTCGACGAGAAGGAATTGGCGGACCGAGCAGCCGCAGCAGAAATCGGACCCGACGGTGATCAGCCACTGGCTGTAGATCAGGCAGTTGAGGATCGCACAAAAACGACTCCAGCGATCGTCCCTGCCAATCAACAAAGCCAGGAAATTCAGCTGGATGGAGAAGATATACCTCAGGTCATGTCGCCTGCTCCGATCGAAGAATCTAGCCCAGATACAGACTACATCCAAGCCAGATCAAAGTCGGATCGCGGCACTCGTAGACAAGATCCAGCTACGACAACGCCGACCCCTGCGGCGGTGTTCACGGTCGATCCGATGACTGCAATCCCGTCTCGACTGCTTCAAGGCAATGTACCTAGCCCCATGCCTAGCTCGGGAACGCCTCCGGTCGCACCGATCAACAATGCCAACTTGCTTTCCGAAGCTTTATTGCTCGAACGAGGTCGACGACGTCTGGCAGCTCAACACGGTGTCCCTCCTGGCGCTGTCCGCATCCCCTCTGTCTCCGCGGCGGGCATGCCTAGGAGCAACGTTCCCTCGAGACAACCTACACCACCCAGCGGCGTCACAGCTTCAACCGCTGCTGCTGTGTTGGCTCAAACACCTGCCAGCACCGGAATCCCATCAACTTCGGCTACCGCCTCTGGGGTGCCAGGAGCGCCGGGAACCATTCTGAGTCCTATCCCTTTGCCCGTCAGACGGGGAACGAAATTCAAGTCTGTTCCGACGCCTATCGCTACGCCCAAAATCGGTGGTGGAGCAGAGGAACCGGCCTATCCACTTGAAAGAAAGAGCGGTGACCAGAGGGATCAATAGCTATAGGTTGTCATTTCTACACCCAGAATTTCTATTGTATTTTTAATTCTGTTGAAGCCCTTATCAAACATGTATCGGGTGAATTGGACATGTAGGGGTAGGGATATTGCTGAGAATCACAGTTGAAGTATTGCAAACTGCTCGTAAGCTTTAAAGTCAGAAAGACAATCATCCCCTATACGGTAGATCTGGCGTTCTATTCATGGACATGACATGAGGAAATAGCCGGAGCCAAAATGACTGGTTCATGTTCTCCATCTTCTTATACAATCACTCTATTGGCATCGTGTGTTCATCTCCTTTCCTTCTCCAGACAGCACTACTCTTCAGACTCCTCTCTCATACTCCCTCCTTCCTCCTCCCGTCCATCCATCATGGTCAGAATCAACTGGACGCCGACGATTGAACGGTATCACACCAAAACTGGAAAACGTGTCCTTCTCATGGCTATGCGGGAATACACCTGGCTCGAACTGTTGATCGTCATTCTCACCTACCCCATCCTGTTTTATCGATCCCTTTCACTCGGCATGAGCGAAAATGCCGCGAACGGACCCGATCCGACGTTTGTAGTTCCCTCTGGACCGTTGACGGCTGAAGGGAAGACGGCGGTCAAGAAGAGAAGTTAGGGAGGACGAGAGGATGGCTGGCGCGATGGATCGCCGATACGTGGGATATCGAGAGTCTCCGGGAAGATAGGCATAGAAGGACCGGGGGGGGGGGGGGGGGACAGTTATAAGCTATGGTCAGGTGAAGGAGGAGGATAGAAGGGTGTATGTGTGTGTGAACCCACTCTGGGACGGGGATGGCTAGGGGCTGTAGAGAGGGCGGCGAGAATTGATATCTGTACGAGTCTGCAGAGGCAGCACACTGTGGGCTTCGACTCGGATGCTCTCTTTGTGACTCACTTACCTGGAACGTCAGACTCTGTGGTCATCACCTTGTACCTTCGAGGCTTCATAGCTGCCTCTAAAATCGGCAACACCTCTGCCGATATCTTCTTCTACCCCCTGGACCCTGTGGCTGTCCGCGGGTGAAACTGGACAGATTTCAGCCCATCTACCACGACGCTGCATAGAAGAAACATCGCTATATCAGCTATAGGTACCCATGTATGACCTTAAGAGCGTCGTCGAATGCTTTGCATCGAAGTACAAGTTGGGGTAAAGGAGGGGTGGGCCATGTTGCCACAAATCAAATCTCCCCCAGTCGCGTGTGATTTCTCTTTGTTAGAAGAATTTGATTCCGCGATCCAGCCAACTAACCAACAACACATTCAAAGGGGCAACAACATTTCAACATCTTGTTAGTATACTCTACCTCGGGGAGGGAGTCTCTCATTGGACTCGGACAAGCTCAGCAGGGATCAGATTGGCTCATACAACATGGCAGCAGTGAGATCAGGTCACAGGAAATCACACTCCACTTCTGCACTCTCTTCCATCCTTGGTACGAAGGATGGCGCATCAACTTCAGTATCATCATCTTCCGGATCATCCAGTGGATCTTCAGCTCTTTCTTCAGCCGCAGCAGCGAGACGAAAGCTTCGAGCGAGTCAACATCCTTCTCTCGGAATAGTGGAGGAGAAGGACAGCGCTCTACTTGATCGATCGGCCAGTCGTCGGGATTTAAACTCTACGGTCACAAGTGCAAACCATAACCTTCGCGATGTCGGTTCCCAACCCGACAGCTCGACTTCGACGACGCACTACACAGCAGCCAAGATGTCTGAACTCCCTGGTCTGACAAGATCACGTTCAGTCATGCGTTTGCCGACGGCGGAACGAGATCAGCCAGTGCGGAAAAGCTCTACGGCAGTTCAATCAACTCGCTCAGATGCTGAAGGTACCGACACTTTCGTCTATGAAAGTGATTACGCGAGAATGAGCCCTTCGGGTCTTGGCGGTGACCATGACGAGCTCGCATCTCGACTGCAGGAGGCACTTGAGCGCTCGAGAAAGAGCATTGACGCGAGCAAGGAGAAAGCTGGTCTGCATCGGGCAAAATCGAGGAAGAGCGGAGCGAGAGAGCGTAACGAGGAGGATGTGAAAGTCTGGATGAGAGAGGTGAGCTGGATTCGGCTCGCCATTCATGGCTCTTCATGCCATACTGACCTTTTGGAACTCCAGCTCATGTCACTCCGATCGAGCGACAGGCGACGTCGAGAGGCACTGAGAGGATTGGAGCGGACGGTCTTTGCTTCCTGTCAACGGCCTACCACATCAACCTCCGAGAACGTGATAGACGTGCTGAAGCTACTGGACTTACGAGGTACGTATCGGCAACGCCATATAAGTTTCTCTTAGCTGAAACTGAATAACTGACAGTCTACGACGCACTCATCAATCTCATGGCTCGACATGCTCAGACTCTCTCCCGTCGCGGACAGTCTTTGGTTGCTGGTGATGAGATGGCAGCACATCTTGTTCCTGAGATCGCTTGCATCGTCGGGATGCTTCAAGGCTTGTCGCTCATGAGCAGATCATGTAAAGAAGTGCTGGGAGAGCCGTGGGTCATGGAGGTGAGTATCCTGCATACCGATTGCACTGACGGTGTGACAGATCATCATTGATTTGTTGCTCCTGCTGCGGCATCAGCCGGCATTGGACGCACTTGCGCCCAGTGAAGCATCGCAGTCCGTTCCTGTAGATCACTCTATACTCGAGCTACTCTGTTGCGTCCTCGTTGACTCGACTGCGAATATGCGTACCTTTGAACAATTGGGCGGTCTAGAAGCCGTCACCAGAGTCGCGAAGGGTTCGACTGTGCCGCGGGAAGTCCAGTGAGTCATTCCAAGCTAGCTCTGGATCCCGTTGACCGTCCTACAGGATGAAGTGCATCGAGTTCATCTACTTCTACCTTCAACCGGAGGCTACAATGTCCAAACGCGTAGTCTCATCTTCTTCCACGTCGTCATCCTCATCTACCGACTCGCATCCTTATCCAGGTACTCCATTCACACCAATTTTTACCTCGGACTCGGACGGGAGAATGACCCCAAGTATCGTATCGGGCTCAAAATTCCAAGATCTTGACATTCCATTCGTCCCTCAGACCCCTTCAAATCCTGCTCGACATGCTCTGGGTTACCCTACGCCTAACCACTCGCGAAAGATATCTGCCTCACACCAAGGCGTACCGTCACTTGCTCCGATTACAGGCTCACCTGTTATCATGTCTCCTGGCGGGTCGACGGATAAGCCTCGAGATTCATCCCAACACGGACATGGAGAGCGGCCCGTCTCTCAGAACAGTCGTCCAATCTCTCGAAACTCTGTGGCGTCCTCCTCTAGCAAGGACGAACGTCGGTGGTCTGCCGTGGAGATGGGGGTGTCAAATCAAGGACTAGGTCTAGGCATGACGAAGAGCGCAAGCGTTGTCAACCTCTCGGACCGAAGGAACGGTGCGAGATCTTCCCCGGCGGACCCTTTCATCGCGCATGCTTCTCCACCCAGCGGCGACTCTCGCTCATCCTCTGGCTCTTCGACTGCCGTTCCTCCGAACTTATCTATGGGTAGCAATACGCCGACATCGACTCACTTCTCCGCGCCGGTGAATCATGGCTCATCAGGGCTCGTTAGATCGAGCACCCAGCCTAACTTCACATCCGACGTGAATGCGAGTTTGATCAACGCGTCCAACGTCACCGCTCGACGACCAAGTATCAAACGACCGCAAAAGTCGTCGACGCCGTCTGCAGTGTCGTCGCCTCGGCGTGCCGAGATTTCACGAGAGCCAGTCTCTGGAGCTCAGGCATTGCCCAGACCTCCGAAAATCCGACACTCTCGCACGCAGTCTCAACTGATAGGCACGGATCGGATATCTATGCCGCCTCCCACCTCCATCCCACCTCGCAAATCCATGGAGGTCGAGGTGGATCGGCGGTCGTCCCAGACGTCTTTGACACTCACTCCAGATCCGGCGCAGCCTCTTCGCTCACCTGGCCTGCTGTCTGCAACGACAGTGGACGTGCGACCCCTTTCCCCCGGTTCGAACTCGACGATTTCAGGCAGATCGACACCTACACCTACTTCTACACCTGTACTCGAGGTCCGACCCACCCCAGCCAAGAAATCTTTCCCCAGTGGAATGACGAAAGGCTTACCACCCTCCATGTCGACTCCGAATCTCTCTGATCTGGCCCGTCAAGCGCATCCGCGGCATTCAGGCACCACAACGCCGGGTCAAGTTTCATCTGACCGGACTAGTACGTCGACGCCTGGAGGGGCGAATCTTTCTGGGACAAGTTCTACTCCTGGTGCTGGGGGTGCAAACCTATCCGTTTCGAGCATGGGAGGATCTTCAGCCAATACGTCATTATCATCCACTGGCCGATCACCATCAATCAATGGATCGTCGATGCCTCTTGGCGCTGTAAGGCGTGTGCCTAGTATTTCGGAGAAGCGGGCCAGGCCTGACCGTCGAGAACTTGGAAGCGGGTTCAGCGGTCAGCAAGGCGTTAAGTCAGTTGAAGAGAAAAAGGCAATGGTGAGTTGAGGTTGAGAAATCCAGAAAGGTAGGTATTGGATCGTAGCTTACGCTCTACAGCTCGGCGCACGGATGGGCAACGTTGATGCGTTGGTTGAGAGTGTGGAAAAGGTTGGATTCTTTGCTAGTCGTCCTGAGAGGAAATAAGCAGAGGATGAGGAGCATGAGATGTCACGGCCAGTACTCAGTTTCCTGTGTGTAGAGAGTTTTCCCATTACTATAATGACTGTGTCTTCGTGAACAGTCGGATGCATGTCATGTAGTGTTGTCATATACAACATAATAAGTGAGCTCGTTATGTGGGGTCGTATCGGCATATTTATCACCAGGAGAAGAGCTTTGGAGGACTTGCAGTTCTGAGAGACGTCCTTGATTCTGCTTGAAGGGATAGTCATTCGGGATCGTCGTTCTCTTTCTCTTGAAGACGGGAATGGTGTTTGAGCTACCTCGCAATTTGAAGTTCTATGGTCGTCTTGATATTCTTGGAAGGCATAGTCTTCACATTCTTGGTCGGGAAGTGTTACTCGGGGCTTGAAGTCTGAAACCTGCTGGTTCAGGGTGAAGTGGTTCGTTGCCGTCAAATAATCTGGGATTACTTTCCCGATGAGTTAAATGAGCTTGAGGAGGAACTGAGACAGAAAGATAGAACGATCATCGTCAGATACACTGCCGGCTTGGTATGTCGGGTAGGCTTACGAAAGATTCTGGGTCCTGGGGCTGTCCCCGGTCGAGGGACTGGGGTGTGGATACCCATTCTTGCTGCTAGACCTGGTTTAGAGAGAGCGGTAGGATACGGCGCAACAGATGCTCTGGCGTCCGAAGTGGGGATGACGGAAGAAGGTCGATTTCGAGGAATCATGCGTCGAGCGGGTGTTTCGGATCGGAAAGCGTATTGGCTTTTGGAGGGTGGTGTCAGCAATGGTAAGGGGGGAATTCGAGAATGAGGTATCCTGAGGGAATATCATTGAGAGTGCAGATGAACGCCACGAACGATGCCTATCTATTGGAGGAGAGCGCACTCACTCTGGATCCAGGGCCGGTTTACGCAACGACAGGGGATTGGAACTGCTGTATGGTAAAACGGATTTATCGTATTCGTTTCCGGGATCTTCATAGGGCTGAGGATCGTAGGTCTGCTGCGCGTAGACAGCGTCGGAAGGGATTTGAGCCAATGGAAGAGGTGAGAAGCGATCTTCTATGATCGTAGGTGGGATATTGAGATTACGAGGAGCTATGTGCCTGCACAAAAGGCCTTCAGCAAAGAGCCACTCTCTGCAGATGATCAGAGGCACAACTCACACCCTAGGTCGAGGAGTTTCAAACCTATTTCGAGCATGACCTTCATTCCCTCTGTGATCCCCTTCCATGTCGTAACCCGAGGGGAATTGATCCTCTTGTAGGCCGCCTTTGTTCCCGCTGTATCCAGTGTCCGTCCGTGGTCTCTGAGGCATATCCCCGAACTGAAAAGATGGAGCAAGAGTAGGCTCCCGATTGTCAGGGAAGAGGTTCTTGCGTTTGAGTTCTGCATTCTCTCTAGGCGCTTCTCAGTCATATGCCACGAGCCGACACTCACTGTTGCAGCAATTGGACCTGTCTCTCTAGTTCTCCAGCCCTTTTTTCAACCTTTTCGAATCCTCGGATATGTTGACCGATCTCAGCAATGTCATTCTGTCCGCTCGTCGTGAGTTCGACGTGCGGACCAAAAGAGAAACTGAACTAGCTCACCCGTTTCCGGTGAATCTCCGTCTCTAGATGTGAGATGTACCTCTTCAGCGTCTCTACTTCATACTGTGTGTCAAGTTCAGTCCTGTAGAGTCACCACCCGGGAATGAGAGATTAGGAATCTCACTTTGCTTTTCTCCGCTGCGTCCTCGATGATCCGACTAAAGCTATCGGGATTGAAGTATGCCTGTAGGTTCTCTGACATCTGAAGATGCAGTCCCAAGTCACATTGAGGCTCTACTAGACTTAGGATGCCAAGGCCTCACGCTTTTGAGCGGGTATGCTTCCACCCCTTTGGTCTTGCAGTAGGTGCAGACTCCAGCCTGGTCTGGATTGTGTAGTCAGCGGGAAGAGATAAGGTGGAGGAAGTCTCTTTTGTCGAACTCACGACCGTGCTTCTCATCACTACACAAGACATGCTTGCAAAGCGACATGATCCAGAAGAGTTTGCCTTCAACGTACGGCGTCTCGCTGGGGATCCATCGTCAGCGCATCGACGGTGAGGTTCAAGGCTTAGGGGGAGGAACACTCACCACATATGGCACGTCACATAGCTTAGCTTGCTCCTCTCTCCCACATTGCTTCCTCCCACTCCACGTACAGCTCGAGGAGTACTGCTGCTCATTCCTGCAGGAGCTCCAAAGGTAGTCGTCTGGTCATCTAATATCATCCCGCTTTTCATCTGCAAGATAGATGGTGCAGCAGGCGAGCTGTTCATGTCAAGTCTCGCGTAGAGGCGTCTCCGAAACCCCAGCTCTAGGGGTCTTTGTCACCCACCGACGATGGAGAACAACATCAAGGAATGTATGATGAAGAGGGTCACTCGAAGATCAGTCGCGGAGACGGAATCAAAAAGCTTGGTACTAATGTTCAATGGCGGCGATCGCCGACTGTCTCCATTTGATCAATTACAAGCCAAAACCCAACCTGCTGCCCATCCATCCATCTGCCCGCTCTTATCCACACTCAACTCAGAATCCAAGGGCGAAGGAGTATCAAGGTCGCTGAGACGATCTCGAGATGGACGCTCTGATACCTTTCACTACGTCTGGATCATTGGTAGATCTGGTAGATAGTGAGTGTTAGGCCGATGGGAGTTCAAGAGACAGTCTCTCGTTAGACGACTTTTGCGAGTCGCTGTACGTCAAGTCAAGCGGGCAAGAATGCTGGGGTCTCTGCTGCTGTACCCCTGTCATACCGCATGATCTGTTTACTCATTTCTTTGACCTACGTTGACACGATGTAGAAAAGGTTCTGGTCGTTCTGAGAGATGGGAGAAAGTTGATAGGCGTATTCCGGAGTTATGATCAATTCGGTGAGTGATGTGATGTGTTGTGCTGCTTTTCGTGACGTCTTTTGGCGTCTTGGTGCGAGCGGTCCTTTGAGAGAATGACGCTAATGGAACTATTCAGCCAACTTCCTGCTTGAATCTACGGTCGAGAGACTACATCATCAATTAGATTATGCGGATAAAGATATTGGTCAGTAATCCTTGCTATGCTTCGCACCCTTTTTTCGTCCATGCTGAGGGAGGTTGAAACTAGGTGTCTTACTGATACGAGGAGAGAATGTAGTAGCTTTAGGCGAAATAGTGAGTCTGTCCGCCGCTCGAAGGCCTCTTGCACTTGAAACTCGGCTTGAGACGTCGTCGCCAACTCTCTCTCTCTCCCGTAGGACTTGATAGCGGAAGATCAAGTCCCCCTGCGTCCAGTCCCGTCACAAGAAATTGAGCTCAAGATTGCACAGGAGAATGTAGGTAGTCGTCGTCCACCGTCCATCCGCTAGATTCGGGAGAATCGGGGACTTGGGCTCAATGCGCTGACGATATTCTTACTACAGGAACGACGTGATCGTGATCATGCCGTCAGAGACAGAGTATTGGAAGCGCATGGGTTCGTGGTAGATGGTAGAGAAGGAGATGCCTATTGAGTTTTTGTGGAGTTACGACTTCACTGGGTCAAGGAGACGTCAGGAACCGACAGCAGAGCGCCTCCAAGCGACGAAGTCGATCACCAGAGGTCTCTCGACTTGATGGTCTCTCGGATCTCCGGGCATGATGATCCATTTCTATCTCGATCCGACTCGACTTGTGATTCGACTAGGTTCACTCTTTCGAAGGTTCAAGCTTTTCCCGGCTCTCGTACTTTATTGAAAGAGCCCCTCCCGTTGCCTTCTCATGACATGGCATCTGGTGTAATCGGTCAGATAGGCTATAATTCACAGCGCGTTTACTGATCCCCAAGGGGGCCCAAGGGGAATTTTGACACTGACGGCCTGTACTAAGCTCACGACGACGGAAGTGAAAAGGCCAGAGAATACGTTGATGATGCTCCGCTGGCAGCTGTTCCAATTCTGACCATGTCGTACACTTCTATATTCTCTGACAGTCGAAATCTTTTCCACGAAATTAGCTGCCGCCATACCTGGGTGGATCATCGCCGAACTCGGACTCGTACTCACAAACCTTTGCGATTACGTCTTCAGTCCAAGGACTCCATTCACGGTTCTGTATCGTCCAATATCCCACGCGCTGACCGGAGAGCATCTCAAAGGGGACCCCTCGTAGTGCGCCTAAGCCAAATGCAATACAGCGATGTCTGTCTCTTCCTCAATGATTACCATCGGCTCCGCTCCAAGGCGGTAGAAACCTACATCTTACCCGACTCGCGCAGGACCACTAGATCAGGCGCTGTCGAGACGAGACGGCCATTGATCCTCTAGAGTCGCTAGAGTCGTGGACGTTCTGGGTCAAGGGCTGCCCAGCTCAGCACGAACGTACAGGAATCAAGTCAACATTGCCAAAGCTGGTCACACACACTGGCTTCGGAGACGCATCAACGCCCTTACCCCGAGTAAGATGCACCACGTTGTGGGCACGTCTACGCTGGATCTGCGATCTGACTCGTCATCACATAACATCACGATTAACAACGTATCCAGCGTCAAAGAAGCCTACAGCCATCTTCAAGAGACCAGGAAGGCCTTGACGACGAAGATCCCGGGACACAAGGTGGAATAAATGCTGGCTCTTTTCACCTCAGACGTTAGTATCTCATTCCGGGATGAGAGCCGCGTGGGGACCTCGGATTGCGAAGCGGTAGATTGAAGCGACACAATGAGCGGACACCGCGATGAGAACCACACACGAATGTACGGATTCTAGAATATGATGCATGATATCTATGTGTCTTGGTCCTCCACGATGTCAATGTCGTGGATTCGACTGGTTTCTGCCAGCCCTCCTGTCACGCAGCCAGCAAAAGGAAAATCCTCATCCTCCGCTTGACCGATCCGGACCGGGCGGGATATGCGAATCCAGATAAAAAAGAAATGATGTCTAATAAGTTACCGGAAGAGAGGTTGGAAACGAGTAAAAGGATGTCAATGAGGGAGAATCGGTTGTTAGAGGAAATAGGAGTTCGTCCAATGGGGAGAAAGCTCCGGGGTTATGCAAGAGGAGAGAGAGAGAGTTTGAAGGTAGGTATGGCACCTAGAGTCTGTCACCAGTTCCAATGGTAACGACGGTGAATCCAATCTTCTGGAGTCTCTTTCGGTCGAGCATCAATCGACCGCTGCGTGGCGTCAGTTTGTTTTGCCATCTAATAACTGAGGTGACTCACTCAAAGACAAAGGCAGGTCGGGGGCAGTTCTCGTAGACTGAGAGTATTGCATCAGCACAGAAGACATGAAATACATCGATCCCACTCACTCTTCTCCCAGTTGAGCTCTTTGAACTCATCCCATTCGGTACAGATGACAATGGCCTCTGCATTGGCACAGGCTTCCTCGGCGCTCTGGCAGACGCTGAAGTGGGGCTTGACTGGAGGGCTCGTCAGAGGTAGCTCGCATGTCCACGCTGTTGACTCACTGGGCTCGGCGGGGATGGAACCGTAGCTGACACACAGGATCAGCTAGATGCTCTCACAGATGTTCGACATCACTCACTCGGTCAAGTCGAGCCACATCTGCTCAGAAGTGACCTGAGGGTCGTAGCAGGTGATCCTGGCCTTCTCAGAGAGGAAGTGGTTGGCAATGCTAATGGCGGGAGACTCTCGGGCTGAGAAAGTCGTTAGTCGTGCCCTACAAACTATTCCGTGCAGCTCACTGTCACCGGTGTCCTTCTTGAAGGCCCATCCGAGCATGGCAATCTTCTTGCCGGTGATGCTGTGTAGGATGTCAGCTTGGTCAACGAGATAAATTTGTGTAAACTGACGTGTTGAACAAGGTGTCGACGACCTTTCGGGCGAATCGGTCCTTCTGGTGTTCGTTCTGAAAGGCTCATAAGTACTAATCTTGAGAAAGTAGAGCCATCTATCTCTACTTACCATCTCAACAACTGCACGCCAGTATCTGGCAACCTCGGGCAAGTGAAGCGACTCGGAGAGGTAGACCAAGTTGAGGATATCCTTCTGGAAACAAGATCCTCCGAAACCCTGAGCGAAGCGTTAATGGGTGTCACCTCTTTCAGCTCTTTCGCGGTGTTCACTCACAACGGACGCCTTGAGGAACTTGGGTCCGACTCGAGAGTCTCGTCCGACGGCGTAAGCGACTTCGTCAATGCTAGCTCCGGTAGCTTCGCAAATGGCGGACAAGGCGTTGACGGAAGAGATACGCTGAGCCAACATGGCGTTGGCAGCGAGCTTGGAGAGCTCAGAGGACCAAAGTCCGACGGTCAAGATTCTCTCTTTGGGGACCCAGTTGGCGTAGACGCTCATGAGGGCTTGGCAAGCGTCGAGACCGGATTGAGTCTGGAGGGATCCGATGAGGACACGGTCAGGAGCGAAGAGATCGGCAATGGCGGTTCCCTCGGCAAGGAATTCTGGATACAGGATGTGAGCGACCCTTCTTCGTCAGAGCAGGGCAACTTCGGCTTACCAGGGTTGGAGAGAATGTCAAATTTGCAGCCCTCCTTGGAGTTGGCCTCGAGGATGGTTCGCATGGCACTGGGCGATAATCTCAGCAGTGCGATAACACCTACACCTCTCGGCGCACTCACTCGGCAGTTCTGCATGGAACGGTCGACTTTTCAACGACAATCTTGGAGGAAGTGGAAACCTCGGCGATTCGTCGGGTAGCGAGTTGGAGGTAGCTAACCAAGGTGTCAGCTGATGATACTAAGGGGACCGCAGCAATGGGCTGGCTCACTTCAAGTCGGCGGCGAATCCGGCACCGATACCAGACTTCTTTGTAGGGGTGTTGACGGAGACGAAGATGAGGCTGAACAGGCGACTCAGCAAAATGTCTCAACAGTTAGATGGACAAGAGCAGGACTCACTCTGCCTCGGCGATAGCCTTGTCGACATCGGTGGAGAAGAAGAGGTTCTTGCCTCGAGCGCCCTTGACGACTTCATCGAGACCGGGCTCGTAGATGGGCAAGTGGTCAGAGTTCCAGGCGTCGATACGGGCCTTGTTGAGATCGACAATGGTGACTTCAATGTGGGGGCTGGAGGGCAAGTCAGCAGGGAGGAACGGTTGTGATGGGTGACAAGGTGAGGGTTCTCGAGGTGGAGGGGGGAGGGGGGGGGGGGGAGGGGGACAGGGAGACCTTGGGCAAGCCCTGTATCAGGTAGACACAAGGTCTCGTGCTCGAGCAGTAGCTCTTCGCCCGGACTCGCGTACGAATCATTGAGACTCAAACTCACCACTTGGCAGCACTGCAGAAGCATGTCAGCGAGATGCCAGAGATGTGAAGCTCTTTTTTACTCACATGACAGCACAGGTGGGTCCACCTATGAGTCGAGAACACCTTATTGTCAGCCCAAAGCTTATCGTACCAGAATTGACAGGATGATGGGGTGCAAACACCCATCAAACGTGCCAAAGGGGGGGAAAAGGAAAAAGTTGCGAGCTATAGATAGCTGCGAGCTGAGGTGGGGGCTGTGGGTCGAGAGGCGACGTACCGACGTATCCAGCACCGACTGAAGGAAAAGAAGAAAACAATGTCAGCGATGCAGTTCCCCCAAGAGGTGAGTGTGAGCAGAAGAGAGAGAGGGATGTGTGCAGGATGTCCATGGAATGTTGGTTGGGAAAAAAAAGGACGCTCATCTCCCAAGGTCGCGTCGTGAGGAGTCAACTCACTACAACAGATCTTCTTGACTTGGATGGGAGCCATCTTGGAGAGAGTGTCTTGTGGATGGATGGATGAGTGAGTGAGTGGTCAAGTGAGTATTTGAATGAGAGAGATGTAGAGAAGAGAGAAGAGAGAGATAGAAAGATGAGATGGGGGGAGAGATGGTTCTAAAATATACCCCGTCCCGTTCTCGAATCTTTCTCTCTTTTTTTTTTTCTGAGCTCCCCGCTTCCGGTCAAAAACGCCACAACGGGTCTGGAATTTTTGGGTGTCGCTGTCTCAGTGACCCACAATGGGTTCAGATAGCGAAGACTGACAGTGCTGGTGCTGGTGGTGTTGGTGGTGCTGGTGGTCGTGAGGAGGAGGATGGTACTGACAGTGTGTGAAGATCAGTGCATGCTATATCACCATACACACACATCCCATCTTCTGGCCAATCCATTTCCATACATGACCACAGACGCGTCTCAGTCAGTCAAATTACGTAACACATTCCCGCCGTTCCTAGCGATATTATGCCGTGATGACGGGGAAAAGCTGAAAGACAGCATCAGATACAGATTGGTAGTGGTAGCGGTAGTGGTGGTGCTGGTGAGCGGCTACGATCAGGCAGCAGCAGCAGCAGTGAGCCTTAACGCTGACCTCCCCGGGGGCGTAGATCTACCTTACTATGTCATTCCTGTTCGTCTCCCGCTTCGCCGCATTTTACAATCGGAACTTTGAGAAGCGACCCGTTCCAACATTGATAGTGACGAATGGCGTTTTGAACAGTATAGCTGATGCGATGGTGAGTGAAATTCAACGGAGATTTGAACGGTCTAGGCAAGGGAGTGGAGTGGAGTGGAGTGTAGTGAACTGCCTTCCTGCCTTCCTGCTTGCCTGCGACTGCCCAAGTCTGCTTTCTGGACCACTCTGCTGATTTGGCCTGTCCCTGCGTAGGCTCAATCCTCGACCATCCTAGCAAGTGTCTTGTCTTTGACAACCCGCTGTTGTCTAAATTAACTATCCCGCGGCACAGATGCAGACGGGTTCGGTGAAAGAAGTCGTTCAACAATATGATACCAAACGAACGCTTCGATTTTGTATTTTTGGGATGGCTATGGGCCCGGTCATCGGTAAGTTGTCCATCTATCTTTCTTCCTTCCATCACCTCGAGACCTCCGCTGACATGATGTGTGCGTGCTTCAGGCGGGTGGATGCGATTGATCGAAAGGGGAATACCGTTGAGGAAAGTAGGTGGAAATGGCATACAACTTGCAAAGCGAGTTCTGGCAGATCAAGCGATCATGTGAGTATAGCATCCAGTGTGCAATCATGTCGTGTCAAACTCTCAGTGCGCCTCTCCGAGCATTGTTCTCCCTCGTTTGATTACCCCTGACATGTCGCTGACCACCCGCCCACCACAGGGCGCCCATCGGAGTGAGCTGGCCATTGGCAACCCCCCCCCCCCCACCCCCCCTTTTTAGCCTCCATATCATCGATCTCGTCTGATATCTATCTGTCTAGCTGGTCCTCTTCGTGGGATCAATGGGAATCATGGAAGGCAAGAACACAACCCAGCTTCAAGAAAAGTATCAAGACGTCAGTACTCTTTGCTTCCTCCATCACCCGCTGTGAATATCCATGACTAATGAGCGTCTTTAGATATTCATTCGTGAGTAGTATACCGACTCCAATGTTTTCCGGCGCCTTGCTGCGCTTGATTTCCCTCGGGCGGCTCGCGATGGACTCCACTCTCAACTGTCATTCTTCTAATTTGGGGCTCGCTGACTGACGCTCGTCCACCGTGCCAGCTGCGCTCCTCGCCAATTGGAAAGTCTGGCCATTGATCCAAACGATCAACTTTAAACTCATGCCGTTGGCTTACCGAGTTCCATTCCAATCGACCTGTGGGATCGCATGGACGTTGTACTTGTCATTGTTAAATGCAAAGTGAGTGATTGAGGGTTGGAGAAAGGGCCATCGGCTCGTTCTGAGAGGGTATGGAAGGTAACAGCACCAAGGTGATGAAACGGAGGCCAGCGGATCGTAATGATGTGGCTCAGCTGTCGAAAAGATCGCTCAAAGGGGTCCAGATCGCTGACACTGGAATCTAGGGACGACGCCAAGATCGCTCGGGAGGAGATACCGGCCCTTGATTAGGTTCAAGCAGCCCATCAACAAGTCGACTACTCGCACCGCCGCTCGTATCACATTCAGTTCCCCTCACGAAGCCCCTCTAGAACCCCCCAAAGAACGTGCAGCGATCATCCTTCCACTCCGTCATTATCTATACGATCTCTACATTCCGCCTTGACGACCCCCGGAAGTGACCAATCGCTCGAACTCTCACAACTCGATTCAACACACGCTACTGAACACTCGTCCCTCGCTGGCCGGCATGACCAATCCATCCGACAGCCGCCTGCCGACTTTGACCCCGACTATCACGACTCACACTGTAGCCATAGGAACTCATAATGACCAAATTCCCAACCTATACATGCATATTGATCGTATCATGGTGAGTAGATGTGACATAAGAAGAGTTCGTTTGAGCTTCTTCCCGGGGGGGAAACATTCCCCATAACATGAGCACCAGCATGGTTGTCCGACTCAAACCGTCCAAGTCGTGCCTTCGGATCCAACAATATATACATTTTTGAAGCCAAGTCTGAATCCACCTCGTCCATCTATCATTTCCTTTATGTACATCCAATCCTCCTCATGAAGCACTCCGTCATCAAATAGTCTATAAGCAAGGATCGAAAGGAAAAATTGTCCTGTCTCGATGTTGTAACCCATCACGATGATATGATGCAAGAAATATGCTCTCGTACACTCAACCATCCCTCTGCCGACTCCGACCAAGGGTGTCCATGACTCTGTTGCCCATGGAACCAACTCGTTGGATATCACTCTGTCCCAATCCACCTTGATGCTAAGGGCTGAGCACTACGTCAAAACGTCTCCGACTCGTCCTGAACATAAAATTCCGCCTCCATAAGCCATCACACAGAATACCCGTATCTCTCCGCCACTCACATCGTGTTCATCAGATTGATCCAGGTGAGGTCGTTTGGCCGTATCAAGTTCAAGGGTGAGCTTTTTGATCGTCCTACAGTCGGTGGTAACCCGGCGTCAGCTCTTCGGCAGAAGGGGCAGAAGACGACAATGAGATCGGGGGAGTAAGACGGAGATAATGGTGTAGATGGTACGTGATAGCTTCTCTCGCTCGCTCGCTCACTCACATTTCCAGCTCTGCAACTTTGGCATTATGTGCTTCGTGCAACCTCGTCATGCTCCCTGGAGAATGCATGAAATCCGTATTCGATCCTCCGCTTGCGGAACTTGGGAGTCGACCGTGCCCTTGAGTAGAGTTGGGTGGAGAGGTAGGTGGCGTTCGAGTCATCGATTGGAGTTTGGCATTGAGAGAATTTCGGGCGACTCGTTCCTCCTGCGGGCAGCGAAGCGAAGGCGTTGGGGGGTTGGGGGAACAAGAGCGCGAAGCAGGACAGAGGGGTTAGACGCCGTACCGAACGAGAGGATGAAGCGAGCCCGGCCAGACGCGTGACGCCGGACGAAAGAGGAGTATCAAGAGGAAGGAGAAGAAGGCTTCAGCGGATGACAAAGCAGACACTAGGGGCATGAACAAGCGGGGAAAGTGAGAATCAGACCTGGGCGCCGCCTCGGCTCCATGAGGCCCCCACGGCAGAGCTTCAGCTCGGTCATGTCGTGGCTGAGAGTAGACGACGGATCACACGAGACTCGAGGCGGCCAGCTAAGCGCGCTGATCTCTTTTTCTCTTCGTTATGGCTGGCGCCATGAAAGCATTGGCGCCCCCCTTCACACCTCTCGCTTGCGCTCATTCACTCGCTCGCTCCCTCGCCCACAAACAACTCACCTCCAAATCCCCTTTCAACCTCTTCATCTCCTCTTCCATTTCCCCCATCTTGACCTTGTACTCTCTTTCCAAACCTTGCATCTCCTCGACTCGTCTCTGAGCAGCGGAGGCGAGTTCTTCGGAATGAGCCTTTTGAGCTTCTTCAAGCGAACTGGAGAAATGGACCTTGTTCAATTCGAGGACCTACGAAAAGCAAGCCAACTTGTGCGTCAGCTCGAAAGTTCGCTTCGCATCCGATCCGATCCGGCTGAGCAGAGAGAGCACTGCAAATGGCCCAGTGCAGGGGGATCGCACTTTGTCTCAAACCTTGTTCATGCCACTCACCTGCTTTGTCCCCTCAAGCTCATCCTGCATGTCATCGATGCGCTTCCTGGCAACTTTCAACTCGTCCTCCAAGTTCGACATGGCAGCAGTCGCGACCCCGCGTTCCTCTTCGCCTTGCTGAGCCTTGACCAATTGATCCTGAGCCTCTTTGAGATGCTTTTCTAGAGATCCCAATTGTCCTTTGAGTTCCTCTTCAAGCCGCGTCAGTCGCTCAATCTCCAAAGTCGCCTGTTCACCCGCTTCACCGGACGCCTTCAGCTGGTCTTCGAGGGCCGTCAACCTGGCTTTATGGGACTCTTCGAGATCGGTCAGGGATGTAGCTTGGGCGGTTCTTAGAGCCTCGAGCTCCGCAGTGTGTGACGAAGAGAGTTGAGAGGTGGTAGCATGCAGTGATTCGCGAAGTTGAGCAAGTTCAGCGGCGTGATCGGCAGAAGCAGAAGTCTAACAGAAATGTCAGTCGGTCCCATCTTACCAGTCAACCCTCGCTTGGAGACCGCCAGTGCCGGCACAGCGAGCCATACCGTGACTTGAAACACGCCAACTCACCTTGGCATCTTCGTACGCTGCATTGTACTTTGACTCAAAACCTCCACGCTCTACTTCAAATCCAGCTTGGAGCTCTGACAATCGCTATGAGTCCCAAGTCCTATCAGCGACCAAAAATACACCCGACTGTAAGTACCATGAACTTGCCTTCTCCAGATCTGCTACCTGACGCTCGGCCCTATCTCTCGCCTCATCCGACTTGTTGCTCGATTGTAAAGCGTCTTCCAGCTCTTCTTGAATCTTGTCAAAGCCTCTTCTCACGCCATCCAATTCTTTTTGCTTGTCTTCCATTGTTTTTGCATGAGATACTTCCAATGATGCGAGTTTCTCAGAAAGCGTCTTGACCTCGACACCTTTGCCTGACAGCTCTTCCATCACATCGTCTAACCGTTTTTGCAGATCGACAAGCTGAGCATCGCCTCCTTGGCTTGCTTGTTGCAGTGCCACCGTATGGTTCTCCCTGAGACTGTCAAGCGTAGATTGATGGGACGTTCCAAGTTCCTCGATGTGTTTCTGAAGAGCCAAATGAGCCTGTCTCGTTTCCTCAAGTTCTGAAAGCGTCGATCGGCGCTGCGTGTCTGATTCTTCAAGACGCGAGCTGGTAGCTTGATGGTCCTCTCGTAGGGCAGATAACTCGCCAGAGAGCTTCTCGTGCTCCGCTTGCGAAGTCGTGAGACGACCCAAGAGTTCCTCATGTTGGGCTTTCGCAGCGTCCAGCTCGGCGAGAGCTAGATCCTTGTCCGTGGTGGAAGAAGCCAATCGGTCAGATATCGACTGATGATCGGCTCGAAGTGCCTCAAGTTGAGATTGCAAGGTGGACACGGAATCGAGATGATCAGATGAGGAAGATGTAAGCGTCGCATGGGACGAGACGAGCTGCTCGTGAGCTTGTCGAAGTGCCTGAGTGAAAGCGTGTCAACGCCTACTATTCGTTCACTCTGCACATCTTTGACTGACCTCGAGCTCGTCCGTTCTGGAAGTCAACTCCTGATGTACTTTGTCCAGAGCTGCTGAATGTCCAGATTGAGTATCAACTTGATCCCTGATCTGCTTCTCAAGTTCCTATGTATGAATCAGCACCACTCTCGACATCTCTCGTTTTTGGGCCCGACCCACCTCCTTCTCATTTCGCCATGCCTCTGCGTCCTCGTCTTTGGCCCGACGCAAAGCCTCCATCTCACTGTTCAGCCCTTGTGTGGCCTGCAACTGACTCTCCATTTCTGACTTTTGATTCTGCCAATTGGAGTTGATCGAATCCATCTCTTCGACCTGTTTCTTGAGGGCCTCTCGTTCGGTCGATAAATCTTCGTGGAGGCTTTGAAGCTCTGTGTGACTCGCTCGTAGTGCCGTGAGTTGTTCGACCAGCTCCGCCTTGGCTTTCTCGACTTGTGCCATCATTTGAGAATCGCCTTCAGAGGATGATCTTAGAGTGGCTAACTCCGTTTGGAGACTCGACAGAGTCGAGGTCGAGGCGTCGACTTGCGCTTGAGCTGACGCGAGGGCCTCTCGAGCGGCTCCAAGTTCTTTATCGAGACCATCTCGGCTGGACTCGAGTCTGCGCAGGGTCATAGTCAGTCAAGGTCTCTCCTGATGATCTGTTTGTTTGGATGTGAAGAGAGATAGCCCAGACTCACGACTCGACTTGCTGGCGCAATTGGGCCTGGGTCTGAGCTGTGCTCTCGGCAAGATCATCAGCCTGAGTCTTGTGATCATGTTGCAAGGTCTCGAGCTGATGAAGGTCTCGTTAGATTCTCACCAAGTCATCATCCTAATCAGCACGACTTACGATGGCCTCCCAAGTAGCATCAGATTCCAATCCATGAGCAGTGGCAGCGCGTACTCTCGCTTCGTCGTCCCCGGTATTCCTGTCATCCAAAGAACGTCAACATGAAGGCGAGAGCCACTGGCCGACACGAAAGACTCACGCCGTCGTCGCACTGGTGGATTCTAATGACGTGACCCTCTTCTCCATCTCGTCCTTCTGAGCCGTCACGTCATTGAGCTGTGATGTAAGTGATTCGATTTGAGACTGAGAAGGTGTAGACGGGGTCAGTTTGTAGCCCAGCAAAGAGACCCTTCCATGGGTAGAGTGAGGTCGGAATGATCGATACTCACCTTGAGTTCTGCAATTTGCTCATCATTCTTCGCACTGGTCCCTGCCGAAGCTCCGGCGGTCGATCGCAATGGAGTCGCCCCGGCCCTGGAGGCTAGAGCAGTCCCTATGCGAGACGTCGCTGATCCAGATGCTCCAGCTGTACCACCAGCGCCAGCTCCTGTCCCAGCCCTCGTCGCAGTAGATCTCGGTCCAGTGCCAAGTGCAGCTTTCAAAGGTGTAGCTCCAACAGCAGGCCTCGTAGTTGCTGTTGATCCACCACAACCAGTAGTCACCGTTGCTCTGACACCAGCAGCGGCCCTCGCCGTGGCACTGGTATTTGTACTGGAAGCCAGAGATGCTCTCCCTGCCACAGCAGGTGTCGCGCCTGGTCCAGACGAACGTCCTTGAGCTGCAGCCATCACACTGTTTCTTTTCGCTTGAGCTTGAGTTTTGCCTGTAACCACGTTCGTCGATGTTTGTTCGGATGCAGCTTCTGCAGGGGTGGATGAAGAGTCCAAATCACCATTCTGACCTGGTCTCGAGGTCGTAGAAGAAGAAGCCATAGAAAGCGGTCGAGAGCGGGGTGGTACACCAGCGCCGGATGGCGTGGTGGCCGTCGTCGAACTGGTCGCTTGTCGCGCGGCGCCTGAAGCATTCGTACTGGCTCTCAAGGCAAACCCCGCACGAGCCGATGCAGATAGCCTCGATGAGGCTGGAGGTCCTGTGGCTCCTGTCCCTCGGGTGGACGATTGAGCGGAGAGTTTGGAGGCTGGAGAAGGCGGAGGGCGTGAAGCGGTCGAAAGTCTAGCGGCTGGTCCAGGGGTCAGTGAGAAGGCTTCAATTGGGTCACGACAGACTCTTCGCGATGCCGACAGAGCTTTCAGCACACACTCACTCGCTGCTGCTACTCTGCCTTGGACTCCAGGTTTCAATCCCGGAACGCCAGCTCGCGCATTCGTCGCAGGTGGACCAGAGACTGGAGCACGAGCCTTGATACCAGCAGCGGATGAGCCGTTCGACGACGGAGGTTTCAGACCCGTTCTTGGTGAGCCTGGAGACAACACGCCGATAGATTAGCTGAAGGAGAGGTCTTGCAGTACAAGCGATATTCATCTCACTCACCATTCGTCACAGCGCTCTTGAGGACTTTTCGGATACCACTCACTGCTCCGCTCTTGGACCCAGGTGTGAGGAGGGTCTTCTCACCATTTTCACTTCTCACGCCGTGCGTCTCATCGAGCCCATTGACAGAATTCAACGCGGCTTCGATTCCTTCCTCGCTTGGTTGCTCGTGCTCGTGCTGTTGCTCGTGCTCGTGCTGGTGTTCGTGCTCGTGCTCGTGGCCGTTCTCACCCAGAGGCTCCGTCATGCCTTCATGTTTGCTGCCGTACTCTGGCGTCTTCAATGCAGGATTATCAAGGTTACCATGTTGATCCTGCATAGAAGCAGGAGCTTGGACCTCGGCCATGAGGTGCTAGCCAGTGAAGAGGGGCTCAGGCGGAGGGGTAGATCTAGCAAGTTAATGCTGTGGTGTGTGGAAGCGAATAGGATGTGGTCCTAAGCTGAAATTGTCGTGGGATGTCTCTCTGAGCTCTGATATAGTTTGAGAATGTACTGTTCTCTGGTGTATATGGCTATCGATGTACGAGCTGGGTGTGGGTCCGAGCGGGAATGTGTAGAGGGTTGGATGAGGCCTCCGACTTGGGCGATTGTAGGCTTCCCCTCCGATTAGGGCGATTGATACCTGAGTCCTAGGTTCTCCCCTCTGCTCAACGCCGTCTGTGCAATCTTTTGTGTCTCTCTCTTACCAGCAAGGACAGGTCAAGAGAGGGTTTATGGGTGATAGCTATGATATACTTCGCTGAGTCTCCCAGGTCATAAGCCCCGGTTCTTATGAATGCCGTAATCCTCGACGCGGCGTAGCGTGGCGTGGCGAGTGAGATACAGATAGAGCAAGCAAACAGCGGAATGTGCCATGCCATCCCGCTCTCGTATTGCAGCAGCTGCACACTGCACACTGCAGTAGTAGCACTGCAGTAGCTGGCTCAGCTCATAAGCAGCTAATCGATAGCTAGCATGGGAGTGAGCGTGAGAAAAGAGGGGGGAAACGAATTCGAGTCCGAGTCCTGGGGTTCGCCCCCGTCCGTTTGGTCAGTCCCGAAAGGGCCAATATGAAGCTTCGCCCTGCTGTCCCTACTTTGTCTCGTGTGGCATCCTACACTTGATCCCAGATCTCTCTCGCATGTGCTCAAACAAACTGATGCTTGAATTGACAACCACTCATGCGGCTCAGACCCAAGGCTTCAAACGCCCATTGTACATCCACTTTGGAGGACACTCGTATTCATCACCAGGAAAAGAATACGAGGTTTTTATACGTAATAAGTTTGGGGGTGAAAGAGATCCTCGAAGGCTCTGCTCTGTCTACTTTGAGATCCCACTCATACTCTACATCCTGTCAGATCGACTAGTGACAATCATCTGATGATCCCAGGCAGACCAACCAGGATGCAAAGCCAAGAGAGGGAAAACAAAGCAGTTCAGAGTTAGAGAGAAGAAGGGAAATATACACCGACCGAAGTTTGTTTTAGAGTCGCGAAAGACGGGGGACGAGAAGACGGAATCGAGGGAGACTTATCGGATCAATGGGTCGTCAAAAGGGGGGAATATAAAGAGAGAAGGGGTATACAAGTGCAAAAAAAGCACTAGAGCGGGAGTATGGGTAGCAAAGCAAACCCAAGGAGCGCCAAAACGAACGAACGAGCGAGCATCAGGCGGATCTAGTGGTATTGCGAGACGGCATTGAGGTAAGTTTGACCCGATTCGCTGGAAAAGGCGCAGTGTCAGTCAGTACACACACACACAGGCGCGAGTATCGTAGTGCAAAGGTTCGACACTCACGTCAACTGCCCATTCGCATAGGGTGGCCAGACGTCACCGAGACCCATACCTTCGGACATGGAGTACGCGGCAATACGGCTGTCGCCTTCGAAAAAGTTGACGAGGTCGTTGATGTATTGGTTGATTTGACCTTGGTCAGTGGATGGGACGAAACCGTTTTGGTCGTCGACGCAGGCAAACTACAGGCGAGCAAGCGAGCGTCAGCGAGGAGGTTCTCCACGTGATCTTGGCGACTATCGCGGCTGTCGCCCTCGAGTATTGCCACGGCTTTGACTCACCTCTGTGACCCAAATCGGCTTGCCATACGTGTTCCAGTAATAATCCACGTCAGCCTGAGCGCCGGCCAAGTCCAGTTTGTTGATGTGAATCGACGTGATATCCCATTGGGCCGCACCGGCGTTTAGGAAAGGTGTCAACCAATCTTCGTTGAATTGTTTACACATTCCAGGTGAGACCAAAAGAGCGCCCTTCGCTCTCCAAGGGACGACCCAAAGGTTCCATTGCCAAGCGGCCGTGACGGGGTCGATGGAAGATGACATGGGAGGTGAACAATCAGGTTCATAGAATCCTTGAACATATTGTGGGTTCCAGTTGATCTGTTGAAATTCTTGCAATCGAGTCCAGTCTTGTCCGCCTTGGTTTCCGTTACCCCACAAGGTAGGCATGAACACGAGGTTGGAATTGGTATCGGGGTCAGGGCCATAATTCCAGAACCAAGAGACGTGGTTGCCAAAGAAGGGGATGGTGTCGGTTCCAGAGAGACCAGCTTTGATACCGTTGGGAGTGAGTGCTACGTTGGACGATCCACCACCACCGTTGTTGTTGCTGCCGCCACCGATACTGATGCCGACCTGGAAGACAAACAAAGGAGACGCGAGCCGTCAGCGTGTGTGTGGTTAGAAGGAAGCGAGAGACGGTCAGGCGAGGAGGAGAACAAGATATCTCCAAAGAGTGTAAAGAGATTCCCTTGTCCTCACTTCGCTCGGTTCGCTAGAGGGGTCAAACTCACCGAGATCTGTGCGTTCGCCGCCAGGTTGTTAGTCGAAGGGGAGGCACTCGCACTGGCTTGAGACTCTACATCCGCCTGCTCGGTAGGTGCGGTCGTAGTGGCGGTGGTCGAAGCAGGAGCCTGAGTCGTCGTGGTCGCACTGGTCGTCGCTGCGGCGGCGGTAGATGATGTCGAGCTAGCGGCGGAAGGCGAAAAGCTCGCTCCTCTGACTCTGCAACCTGATGCACCTCCTCTCTTGATTTTACGTGGTTTTTCCTTCAGAGCGACGGGTGCCTCTCGTTTGGCGACTTGGGATGCGATTCGTTCAGCTGCTCTGGCGTGGAGAGCTGCCGATTCTTCCCTCGCGATGAGCTTGGCGTGGGCATTGCGTCGTTCCAGAGGGGAGGAGTGAGAGGAGGATGAAAGGACAGGCGTGGCAAGGAGGGTGAGAAGGGGGATGAGAGTGGTGAGCTGCATCGTTGAAGCCGAGCGCAGCAGTGGTGAGAGTGTGTGTCGAGTAGAGTCGGAGGGTCGGTGGGTGGGTGGGTGGGTGTGAAATGAATGTGGGTTTGTGAATCAGCGAGTGTCTTGTTTATATGCTGTGATTGGGTTGAATTGAGGGGGGACCGGAGGCGAGGAGAAAGGGAAGGCAGCGGGGTGTGGTGGATGGTGGCGTACGTTGAAGAGAAGAAGGGGGGGGATTGAGTGATGAGCGATGAATATGGGATCGACCCAATGTTGAAGTGAGAGGATAATGAGGTCGAGTATTGAGAATCGAAGGGGAGGACGGGGGAGCGAGCCAAGTGATTTGATGAGGAGACCAAAGCGTCAGTACGAGTTCTGGCAAAAAGGGGGGGTTAGATGATGAGAGTCCAGACTCAAAGGGCAACTGGGGACAGGGGACACAGTGCGAGCGAGCGAGGGAAGAGTGCACCTTCCCCTCCTCTTATTGTCGCAGTTGGCTATGTTCCCAATGATTGAATCACGAGGACAAGGACAGCAGTAGGAATAGCAGCAGCAGCACTATTTCCTAAACATCTCCACCCTTTCCATCCATTTACTCGCTAAACCCCACAACCCCCCTTTCCCGTGTCACTCCAGCCTCAAAACACAAAGGAACCGAAGTAAACCCTCCAGTCTCTTGGGAGTGGAAAGGGAGGACCCACTCCTCTTCCCCCGAACAGTCCATGGCGCAGACCGTGCAATGGCGTTCGCAGACCCGGGTCATTTCGTGATCGTGATTTCCGATGTAGACCGTCGTCGTCGTCGTCGTCGTGGTCGTCGCCATCCTCCCTCCTCCTCCTCCATGCCGCTCCCCCAGAAATCATCCGTTCATCCATTCACCATTTGCCTTTACTCGCTGCTCGCCATCTGCACCCATCACCCAACCCTCAAAAAATCACGCGCGCCGCGGTTCTCGCAACCCCAGAATTGCCAGAGCCACAAAAAAACTCACAGTGACTGCAGTCTTACCGCTATAACCCGTCTCCAAACTCTCTCCACCCTCAACCTTTTTCTACAGAATCAATCCAAGAAGCGTGAGTGAGTAAGTGAGTGGCGAGGTGAGTGAATGGTCGAACGTTGAGAGATAGTTGGGTGGATGATGAAACAATGAAAAAAGAGTGTCACTGGTCACCCGAAAGGCAAACCCCCCCCTTTTGATTTTTGATTTTTCCCCCCTTGGCTCTGACTCTGTGTTTGGCTTGTATGTTGTCCCAGCAACAATAATGACTACTATTCTCCCCCTTGATAGATTTGTCCAGCCCACTTTCTCCGTAATAGCTCAGCTATCGCTACTAGCTTCAGTGGGTCAGCTGCTGCTGTTGCTGCTGCAGGAAAAAATGACCTGTCCGATGAGACAATAGATGGAAACCCAACCCCTGCTGCGTCTCAATGGATGGAAAGTCTAGGCTCATGCATTCAAAAGAGGGGCCAAGGGGGGTGACCCTTGTACCTGTCGGATGGGAGATACCTTACCGCTCTTCGACCACTCTCTCTCTGTGCTCTCACCACTATGCATATCAATCGATGACCCGCTGCTGCTGCCCTCCCTCCCTCCCAAACTGACATGTCACCAATGGACGCGTCGAATGAAAAGTCGAAAAAGAAAAAAAGAGGAGATTCAAGTCACAAAAATCATAAACAAAGCCACCAAAATGCTCCCCTCTCTCGCTCTCTCTCGCTCTCCTCGCTCTGCCCAGGACGTGGCGTGTATAACATTGCTGCTGCTGCTGCTGCTGGTGCTGCTGTCCAAAATGCCTCAGATCGTCACAGCAAGCACCTCAGCACGTATCTCAGTGAATCGTACACCAAATGTACACCCAAAAAATGAAGAAGTCCTTGCACACACTCCAGCTCAGATCCACCCAGTATCACACAGTTGTGCCTCCCCCCGGCCTCTAATTCTCGGATACGCCTCAGAGTCTAGACCTTTTGTACAAATGGCGGAATGAGAGCGCACGTTAGTATGAGCCCTCTTACCTCTCTTTGCCTCTGTCTGGCCTCGACTCTATGCTAGTAAAATTGATCACTTTATCGTCCCGCCGCCGCCGCCGCCGCCGCGGGGGGCGTGGTGCTGATGTGTGTCGGATAATTTATAAAATAAAAGACCAAGAGAACCCTCGAAAATCGACGAGAGCTGGATAATAATGGAAGGGGCGCAGCACAATCGGGGGAGGTGGCGAAGGAGGACACTAGGTTGCCATCGTCGGGGACGTTTTCGGGAACACCAAGCCCCGGATGGATGGAGACGGCGGGAAATGATGCCCGTAGCGTTTGGTGGGATTCCAGACTCCGTCCCATTTGGATCCAAAATGGGTGGCGGATGGAGTCGAGGTTGGCCCTTATTTTGATTCTGCCGCGCAGGTCCAAACAGGTTGGGGGGGGGGGGGGGGGTCCGTGATGATTCTGTGGCGGAAGGGCAGATAGATGACTGCTCAGCGAGCGAGTCGAAGTCTGCGCAACTGGGTCGCGAAATGAATCCATCGCAGTCGACGCAGTTTTTCCCTTGCCTGGTCGCCAGATTCAGCAAGACCAGCACCATGCAATCGTTCTACTTGAAAAGACGCCATTGTACAACCAAGGATGAGGGATACAACCAAGTAAGATACGTACCACCACCACTCACCGCCCCGCATCCTGCCACTCATCATCCCCTCCCCCACCTAACCCCCAAGAATCCTCCGCCCCTCCATATTCCTCCCACTCATCTTCGTCCTGCATCGCCAGCATCTCCACTTCTTCATCTCCGTCCTCCCTCGTACCATCCCTCTCCCCAGATAGACGTCTTGGCCTGACAGTCGGCTCATGGACGTTTTTTCTCACGATCAAAGCCTCCACACAGACCCTATCGAGAGGATGGAGCTCGTACATCTGATCCGCAAGGTAGGTCGAGGATGAACACGACGATGTATAGGAAGATGAGGATGAGGACGAGGACGAGGACGATGACACGGGGGATTCTGAGCCATGTTTGCCGTGTTCAGAGTCGTCGAGATGCGCTTGCGATGGGATCAGCCGAAGACTCGCAAACGATAAACTGAGCGTATCGAGAGGTTCATGGATGAGCTGTTCGAACAACGGGTCGTCCGTAGTAACGTTATCAGAGACGGGCATCGAGTTCCCCTCTGGCTGATCGAAAGTCTCGCGACGAGGCATCTGAGCATCCCCTATTGAACCATCTGCGCTTCGCTCCGCATCGTCGTGCACCGACTTTGGACCCACACCCGGTATCCATACCGGCCCTCTCCCATCACCTCGCAGCAAGTCCATTCGTCTGGCCGAACGTCGTGCTTCAGCTCGGCGCGCTTTAGCAGAGAGCGCCTTGTGAGGGTAGCAGCGTTGAAGACGTTCGGTCTGAGAGCCGAAAACCGGATTACCCTTGTCCCCATTCTGGTCAGAGGCAAGGGGCGTATCGAAATCTAAGGTGAATGGCATATCGTCGGCTGGATCCGTTCCTGATGGACCAAGCGAGGTTCGGGGCCGAGTATTGCTTGTCAACAAAGACATCTCATCACCGATTTGAGGATCAGATCCAGGACTCGGTCCAGTAGCGGATCTGGGACCCAAGCCATCAATGTCGTGCTCCAACTCTTCCTCGTCCGAGCTTAATCCCTCTTGACCAGCTACCAGATCCTCCGGATCGAAGACCACAAATTTTTCCTTTCCTCTCCCGTGCGTTCGTTCGTCTTTGACTTGAAGGGGTACAGTCTTGATAGACGGCTTCCTAGAAGAGAGCGATCGACCTTTGGAGCAACTCGGCGACGCGATGGGTGATGATGGCCCCTGTTGAACCTGTGAGTGCCCATCGCTCTGCGTCCAGGATGAACTGTATGTTCCGCTCCCCGCTAAAATGATTTCTTTCAGGAGGATAACTGTGGCGCCAATTTCCGCGGCCATGTTCTCAAGTGTGCGAAGTGAGGCGTCCATGTCGGATCTGGGGAGACCAACGACGGTTCCATCGTCTGGAGGGCGAGGCAAAAGCGAACGAGCGGGTGGTTGGTTCGCGTTGAGCGGTTGAGCGGTTGAAGGAAGCCGTCGAACGTCCAAACGTGGGGACACGACCGAGGCGACAGAGGCGAAGGACAAAAGCAGGTAAGAGGAACAGTGGTGAGAACAGCAAAAGGAGGGAAAACGCAATTGTCAGCTAGTTGTCAATGGGGGAAATCACGCTCGAGGGAACGCCACTGGGCTCTCGCGTCGTACACTTAAGTACTCGCTGTGATTCATCTGCGATGGTGGACTCACCAGCCAGCCCAATTTCATATATCGCCTCCCCTCTGCCTTCTTTCAATCTCCAGACCATCTGCGTGACCAACTTTTCGAATCGCTCCGCAGTGGGGTTTACGAGTTTCAGCTTGTATTCGATGTGTCCAGATTTGTCCTTCTCAGCAGAGAGTCGAAGAATTGCATCATGGCTCGAGACCATCAGATTGCCCCCTCGACCAAAGGCGGGAAAAGCATGAACGTCCTTGTTGGCTCTCGAAGGCGAATTGACACTTGGGAGAATGCTACTTGGGGATGAGCGGCCAAAATGATGCGAGGTCAAGACGAAACTAGAAGCGGGCGGGGTCGGGAGAAGATTGACAGATTCCGGAGGGGTCATGCTTTGTACCGAGATCGTTCCTGAAACCGATGAAGGTGAGACTGAGGAGGAATGAGTGAATGGAGATAAAGCTGGTGAACCCTCGACAGATGTCTTTCGACCAAGGGACGCGGATAGGGACACAGACGACGAGGTGGATGATAAGGAATGAGCGAGGTCTGACCACGGTGATGGGCGTCGCGGGATATCCATCGCTGTCGATGTTCGTGAGGTGTACGAAGTGGAGACGTTTTGGGATGATGGCGATGCCGCTAGATTGGGGAGGTCCGCAGAGTTCAGCTGGAAAGGTGGTTTCGGCTCGGGATCATCAGGGACACCGTTATGAGAAGAACTCGGCTTAAAGACAAGGTTCGAATTCGGTACAGGCGCGGGCATTGTCTGCTTCTGAAAATCTTCTGGACGAGCAATGACACCCCTGATTCACAACGAGCTGCGGTTCGCGTTGACTAACTTGCAGAATGAGGTGGCGATTTCAGTGTACCAAGGTGAGTGAGAATCCTCGAGGAGCGAATGCCTATATATCGACACTTAAAACGACAGGATCTCCTTGGTTCGTTTCTGAGCGGCAGAGGCAGCTTTCGCACACGTCGATGATATCAAGATTTGATCGTGAGACCAGCGAGATCCAAGGTCTGTTCCAATGTCGGGGTGTCTAAAATCCAGTGAATACAGCCCGTGTTATTTACATGGTGTCTTGCGGGTGATAATTGGTAGATTTTGAGATTGTGACGAGCGAGTCAGGCTCATAAACGGAGGATCATGTTGGCTATATAGGATTCTGTGTTTGGAATTTGATGATGAAGTATAGAATTGGTGTGGACCTTGAGATCGTACAGAGTGGATTATGAGAGAATGGTCGATAATAATGGATCACGGACATGATCGAGTCGCAGGTCCGACTGGGGAACCATGACGTGGCAGTCGTTATCACCTACGCGCGACTGAGATTTCCGATACGAAGCAGCGACGAGCGAGCTGCTGCTCGTCGACTCACTCATCATCAAAGAACACACAGTCAGTCACAGGCGGGTAGGCAAGGAAAAGATATAGCATGTCCAACTTGTCGGATGACACGCTTCGAAGGGTGAGTTCAGCGTTTATAGTCTGTTCCTATCCCTGTCTGCTCAAAAAAGTCCAATCTCGTTGATGCCACGATGCCACCTTGTATGTTGCTCGCTGACCTGAATGAAAAACGTACAGATCCTACAACAGATAGAAGGACAAGTAGGTCCCAAGCACGAGATTTCGCCACACAAGTCTGCCGTATATATCGGCTGCTGACGAATGTTCGTCGTCTTCTGTCATTTCTAGGCCGTCTCTGCTACTCGATCTCTCTCCGTCGTTCGAGCTCAGATTCAAAGTCGGGAACGCGAGCGAAAGATCTTGACGTTGACTCAGAGAGAACTGGCTGATGTCCCGGGGGAGTGTAAGATGTACAAGGGAGTGGGGAAGATGTGAGTGAAGCTAGCTTCCGACGCACTCGGACTGGATCTCGGCGAATTTCTACAATCATCATCCCCCACATTCCTCCCGCAAAGTCTGCGGCTGAACCAAAGCCCTGCTGCTATTCATAATCTTATTGAGCGATCTAGCTAACGTCTTGCTGCTCGTCTTATTGTCAGGTTCGTTCTGCAATCTCGTAAAGACGTCGACGGTACTCTGTCAGCACAAGAAAAGACAGTCAGTGAGGACTTGACAAACCTAGCGAAGAAGGTGAGTCTGGGCGAGACGTAAAATATTGCGATGTCTGGCGAAAGTCGAGGGCGAGAGTTCGTGTGGGATGGCAGGGGCAGGGGCAGGACCGAAGATTGGCAGCAGCCAAGCCAAGGAATCGGTCAAGCAAAGACATGCTCATGGTGCCAGCGTCCCGCTTGGCGAATCCGAATTTGAGGGGACGTTAGCCAGCGAGTGGCCGACCGATCACATCGCCAGCACAGGGGAACCGTCATCGGATTCCTGACCTGTCCCTCTCAACTATTGTTCTGTCTAGACTGGCCCAGGGATGTGCGCCGCGAATCAGACCTGGTCTCACCCCGCGATGTTCATCTCAAATTTTCCCCGTCTCCTATCTTGACTTGGGGAGTTGGATTATCTCAGCTGACCCCTCTTCGACGCAGAGCAAATACCTCCAGAAACAAGCGGACGAGGCAAACGCTCAGTTGAATGATATAGTGAGTGGATCAGCGACCCACGGGAATAAGGGGGGCTTCGAAGCTGTTGTGGACTCCAGGGACTGACGCACTGGGCAGTTCCGAAGCCAACTCAGGGCTCAGGAACAGCAGTCATAGGACTTATCCAGTATTCGGGCGGCGGACAGAAGGCGTGTGTACTTTTACTGTATCATAGATCAATCTACCCCTCATGATCATTTTCATGAAGTATTCATTAGAGCAGAGCGCGCCTCGTATCGGTCGACACCGCAGCTCGGAACGAGACTAGATGCTCACGGCAGACGGACAATCCCGTGGAGACCATGCATAGCCATGAATGGGACTTTTCCAAACCTGTGCCATTGGACGAGTCAGAGGAAGAGCTACTTCTAAACTGCCCCCTCTTCTCCTGCCAATGTCTGCTCATCACTGGTTCGGCTCTCCTAGGTTCCAACTCGCATGACTGGGAGAGAGAGAAAATCAGCAAACGTTGTCTAAACATGAGCGAATATGTATATATTCAACTCCTCGTTCGCAAGTGCGCGTCCATCCTTCCGCGCAAACGAAGACGCTCCACTGCCGAGGCATTTTTCCGCCCACAGGTGTCCATCGACAGACCCTCCCGCTCCGCTCACGCCCCTCGCTCGCTTTCGTTTTATGATGACCAATTCTCAGAGCGACTCACTAGCATTGATCAGATCTCCCTTTTCAGCTTTCAAAGCTTCTCTTGCTTTTTCTTCCGTGCATCCCGTTTGAGCCATGACGAGTTTGACTTCCTCTTCTTCAATCTTGACATCGGAATCACCGTCAGTCGCCGTACCGGAGTTGGCAGCTTTCGTCTCGCCGTCTCCAGCTCCATGGGAGTGATCGTGGTCGTGGTGATCGTGTCCGTCATCGTCACCGTGTCTGTTCGAGCGAGGCGCCAATGTCGAAAGGAAAGTGAGGTCGAGAAAAGGGGGCAGAGAAAGAGAGACAGAGAAAGAGAGAAGCACAGGGATCGTCAGCGATACGCTCAATCGAGTCAGGCACAGAATCGATTCGCGTTCAGAACTTCGCTCGAAAGCTTCGATTTACGCTACCACTCACTCGGCCATCAAATCCTCCAGACTCTTCGGTACACCATCCTTGAATCCTCCTTGCTGATGAGCCTTTTGAGCTGCTTGAGAAGACGCGGCGAGTTGAGCTTGAGCACTGAGTTGAGCAGCGGATGAAGGGTCTTCGAGTTTGGCTTCGCCGTAAACGATATAAGTGTCGGATCCAGGAGCCTAAGAAAGACATGTCAACGAGGCGCACATCAGACAACGGGCAAAGCAAGCAAAGGGGTGAAGAGCCATAATGGGAAGGCTGCGCAGGGGACGTGGCAACTGGATGGAGCGAGGAGACGCTGCGGAAGTAAGGCAGGAGGTGCTGATCATCTGACATAAGGGTATGGGCCCAAAGATTCGACATCCCAAGAGGTTCGACCGGCCAAGAGCTCGTTGCTCCAGCTCATTCTCCGTCACCCAATCCTTCTGATGATTCAAAGTACGGGGCTTGATCTCTCACGACTCGATCTACGGCGGCCACACTCACCTTGTACACCTCTGGGTTCGCCACGACCAACAGGACGTTCTTAGGTCTCCTCAATGTGACCCTTTGAATTCCTTGAACCCTCTTTAATCCAAGTCCTTCCAATGCCTTTCTAGCCTTTCTCTCGGGTCTGGACTGGATATCAATGTTGCCAACGGCTCCATCGTTGTCTTCCAATGTGAGATTTTCGAGCGACATGCTGAAGGGTGGACTCAAGTAGATTGGATGATCTGTTGCGTGGATGGTGATACCAAAGATCCTTCGAGTAATAACGAGCCTAAGAAACTCAGGCCACCCCCATTATCAACAATGCCACGTCATATCTGATAATGCCAAGCTTCGGCCTCCGTGTGTCGTTTCTCCGTCTTCCGGGTGTGTGTCTAGTAAAATTCCAAGGATTCGACCTTGTCCCCAGTCTCATCGATCACCAGGTTAGGACTCATCTCAGTGAAGCCTGTGAGGATATCCCTGTTGCTGCTACTGGAACTATAGATCAACCCACCAGTCACCATGTCATCCTTCTTCTCCCGATCATCGACCAAATCCGCCAACTCGGCGTCATCATCCCTCCATTCCAAGGCTACAACGGGGAAAGAAGCGCCCCCTCCCACACATGAAATCTATACATCTCCCTTGGAAGGTATACATCCAAGTAAGAAATGGGAATATGACGAGGAGCAGCTGCAAAAGGCGAGTTCAACGACCCCTAGTTGACAAGGGGTTTAGTTTAGACTGACGCCAACGCCCTGAATCCCCCGCGTACAGATCCACGAGCTTCAGGAATACACAGCTACGCTTCTCTTGCCTGAATCGGATCCCTACCACGTATGGGAGAAGCGATTCCTCTCTGATCCAGGGTGTCATCCGAGATATATGCGAGCTGCAAAGTGGAAGATGCACGATGCAAAGACGAGGATAAAAGGGACGATAGAGTGGAGGAGAGAGTTCAAACCGGATTTGATCAAGCCAAGTGAAGTGGGAGTCGAATCCGAGACGGGCAAGATGTGAGTAAAGAGCGAGAGATCGGAGATCTGCAGAGGACGCTATGGTCACCAGAGCAATCTTGCCTCCGGCAAAGAGCCGAGGATGTTGGACACTCCCCTGAACACCTCTCGCCCGTCGGGCATGCCCCTTCAGACCTCGACTGACATCTCTCCAGCATCCTCAGTGGATTCGATCTTGATGCTCGACCCATCCTCTACCTACGTCCCGGAAGAGAAAACACAGAAACCTCGCCGAGACAAATTCAGCACTTGATCTACATGCTGTGAATTTCACCGTTGGCGATCTAGATTGGTCTGGACCCTTTGCTGACATCCTGCAGTGAACGAGCGATAGACTTCATGCCCCCTGGACAGGAACAAGTCGCCATCATTGTCGATGTGAGCGGAGGAAGAAGGTCGTTCATCGTCTTACAGCTAAACTCTTGTCAGTACAAATCCGCCACATCCTCTTCCAATGTCTCCATTGGAACTGGTAGAAAAGTCCTCAGCATCTTACAGAATCACTACGTTGAGCGTATGTCACCATGTCATTATCTGTCTGGCCTCGCTGACCCTTTTCTCCAGGTCTTGGACGAGGTCTTGTCATCAACATGCCGTGCGTCGATCATACTTTTCCCTTTCAGGCCTCTACTCATGATGCAATAGCTGGTGGATCAATGCCTTCTTTGCTGGAATCTCACCACTCATGGACCCCATCACTCGAGACAAGGTAAGGCACACACGTCGCCTTGGCTCGGTCTGTATTCTGAAGCCATGACAGATCCGATTCAACGCCAAATTGACCGAATTGTGTCCGGAAGATCAGCTTGATTTCGAGTTCGGTGGGACTTACAATCTTGACTTTGAGTTCGATTCATACTGGAAGAAAATCACCGAGTGAGCTCGAGCCGCCCACTACATGATGGACTGTCGCTGATATCCCCGGCCCAAGGTTCTGCTGTCTCGTATGTCCTGCCTTCTATGTGCTGATTCGTCGCTGACAAAGCCTTCAGGCTCCTGACGGTACACGCGTAGATAAGAACGACAAAGCATGGATTCCACCTCTCGGGAACGGAATCCAAGCCGCAGTAGACGGTCTGGTTCCGGCAGAAGGGGCGACACAAACGGGAGAAGTCGTGCAAAAGGGCGATGCACAAGCTGGCAAATCCACATCTGCAGAGAAGAAGCAGGATCCGACACCCGCTCAGTTGTTCGCGGCTGAAGCTAGACGATCAATGGATCCTGATCGAAGAGACATGCCGGTGGTGGATGGGATGAACAACATGTCCATCTCTGGTTCCACCGATTCTGCCGGTGTTCCTGAGCCCCCGAGCACTACTACGAAACCTGGTGAACCTGTGGGCGACGGTCTCGTATTTGATCACGAGCCGAGCAAGGACGAGGTCAAGGAGGCTCTGAAGGCAGTCGAAGCATGACATGAGCGGGATCGCGCGAGTGGGGAAGATTGAAAGGGAAGGGGAGGGGAGCTCAAAGTTGGACTCTGAACAGAGGGTGAAGGAGGTCATATAGACTAGGCAGCGGAACGACTATCTTAGACGACTAATGCATGCTGAAGATCATACTATGCACGACGTACTATGCACGACCTCCAGGGGCTCTGCGTGGGGCGCAGGCATTTTTGGACTGGCTGCTCCAAACTGGCGATTCACCCGTCTACATACAATATACGGTTTGTACACTGTTTGTGGCAGTACATATTTGCGTCCTCTGATCCGCCGCCAGACCAACGAGTCTGAATCCTCTGTCTTTTAACCTCCTTTGATCCCCTCAAAGACGAAGAGACCTCCTCGAAATGGTCTCCCTGAGTACTGACGATCATGTTGTCGTTTGGACGAGTTTCTAATCCGGTTCACCGATCTAGCTCAAGCGCCGAAGACTAGACTACAGTGGTACCGATATCAAAAATCGCCGCAAGCATGCTGATGAATTCGTACGCGAGGCTTGACAGGAGCGATGATGTGACGGCAAAAGTCATGGACATGCTCTTACACCTCGCCAATACCGAGAATCCCATACGATCCATCAGAGAATCGCTCGTGTCTCTTCTTCACAGAACACAAAGTGCCACTGGATCATTGACTAACGCTAAACGTGAGCAGATACATCAACTTCTCCAACCTCCATTTGATCAAGGTGGATCCAGTCGTTTCGCAGCGATAAGTCTCGCTCGAAGCCTCGGCATCACCTTGAAATCGAAACGTTGTGAAATACCTATAGCACCTGAAGTTTGGAGGGAACGCGTGAGTTTCAGGCCGTTGAAGGAGACTGTAAACGATGCAGAATTTGTTAACGCAAAGGTGGCAGATGAGAACACGTGCATCAGACCCCCGAACGCAATTCAACAAGTTTGAGATGGATACGGTTGATCCCAGTATCGACTTGTGCACCAACCCAGTCGACCAAGATTTCGATAGCGACCCTTCGACCTGCGCAAATACACCTACACTCTGCTCGACGATACGCTGCCCCACTTGCTTTTGCGAAGGGTGTGTCACGCTTTATTCGAAGCTCGATGATACGATCAAGCCCGAAGAAGACGGAACAATGATGGATGAAGAGTCGAACACCGAAGCACTATCTGAAGGGTGGTATGACGGTAATGAAGAGACAGATGCGCAACCAGGGCTGGAGCTTGATGGTTTCACAGGGATACCTGAGATTTCGAAGGGGATGACGTAAGTCGTGCAGACTGAGCAGTCCATATCAGAAAAGCCACAACGAGAGGATCCGTTGGGTCGCTGAGTCCTTTTCTCTTTCACCCTGATGAACGTGCTGGAGATATGCAAGTACCTATGCGCTCTAGCAATGACGCGCCAGGAGACGGAATGATACAGTACGAGCGTGCAACGGCGTAGGAGTCGGGAGATCAAGATAAGCCACAGAATCAGACGTTAAGCAACGCGTATAAGGAAGCAGAGCTGCTGCAAGTCATTGTCACAACTCACATATTGAAAGTGATAGCAAAGATATCCGGTCGCCTGTATTGAGTGGACACGAGCGGAAGGTCGTGTAGCCCATGATATGTACACCGCAGAGTCGAGGTCCTTTGTCCTATTTCGCCACTGACTCTCCTTTCTCGAAGTACAGTACAGTACAGCAGCCGCTGAGTTCATCAGCGGCTCATGAACTTACTTAGCTTTCCACAGTGTCGTACAGCATTTGCTCCACATCACGGTGATTTGTATTCCATGAACACGCATAGTTTTTGGCTTCTCCATCCCAAAAGACATTTACAAGTTTGCGACCTCTTCGGACAGCCTTCCGAGCATGTCTTCCACCTCCAAATCAAGGTGGACGTCTGTATGGACGGCTTATTTACCTTCGGTGTCTTTCGACGAGCTCGTGGAGCACGCCACCGAGGGAAGCAAAACTCTTGTCAAGACGTCTCTCTACTTTGCAGGTGAGGGCACCAAAGCCGCATTTACAAGTCTCAATGAGGCCAAACGGAGAGCGGAAATCGTGGCGACAAACACAGTTCGTGATCCGTCAAGCCTAACAGCAAGATCATTCAGAGAACTCAGCAAGCAAGACTCGGTGATCGGAAATCTGGCAGGCAGAGTCGTGCAAGAATGCGACTGGGAAGAGCGGCAAACCGAGTGTCAGAACATGGTGCCAGATACAGAAGAGTGGGAGCGGCGGAAAAGGCTTTGTAGCGCCATGAGTGATGGAACAGTCAGTCCCGAGCAGCGCGTTGAAATGGAGACGCTCCTCAGCGCAGAAGGCTCGCAAGTCTTGAAAGATCTAGAGAACGGTCCTAGAACGATGACGAAATGTCGTACTAGACTTGAAGCGAATGGTGTCCCCGTCGGCTCATCGGCCTCGCGCAATGCGTGCGGCGCTTGTCAACAATTCTTTTCGAACATGGATCGCATAATTAGGGATGAATCCGACGTTTGGGAAGGACTCGAGGGTGATCATGGGACGGAGGAGAAGGGCCCTCATTCGAGGAATTTCAACGTGACCCAAGCAACATTCGAGGAAGATATCCTGATGCCTGGTCAGGAATCAAGTCACGGAGACAGTTGTCAAAGAAGAGACAAGACAGAGGGGACACCGGCCCAGATCGTTTCCTTCATTGGTCAAACAGAAGTAAGACAAAAGTCAGCGACTGATCGGTCTTGCTACGACTTTAGCTTAACCTTGAAGCCTTTGACAAAAATGCATGACGCAGACGCAGATTCTCTCCGACAGTTTTACCAAATGCTAAACTCCGCCCAAGGCATCAGCTCGAGATGGCGTCCGAAAAGTGGCGGTGGTCGTTCGAATGTTTTGGTATTGCCCAAGAAGATCGGGTCAGGAGATGATGGCAACGGAAAATGGATGGATGATCTGAGGTGTTATGCTGAGGGAAGGTCAGCAGTACCTGACAGCCGAGAAGGCTCTATGTAGACTATGCAGGAATTTCAAGAACCATCAGAAGCTTCTACCAGCAGTCTACCTCTACTGCATCAGGCAGGCATGGCGTCTGAGGGTCTTCTCACAAAGAACCCTCCATTATACCAATTCGGAGAAAGTCGTCCTTTCACGGGACTTCGCCACTCCAAGCTTGGGTCTTCAAGATTGGGGTTGAATACGACCCAGTCTCGTTTTCTTGGCTCAAGCACTCGATTGCTGTCAGAGGATGCTTGCTACAATCCATTGCTTTCAATTCACACTATCATGCAGGCTCAGAGCGACAGCAGTGACTCTTCCGCCACTGAGCCGATAGTTACTCTAGGCTGGTCAAGGCTCACCGAACAAATACCTGTAGAATGATAACCAATAGATCAGAAATGGAAACCCAAGTGAGCCATCCCTTCCCCTTCCACTGCAGAGGGCATGTACATACAGCGGTATGCGTTGACTTTCGGTCTATAGTATTCCCAGCACGTCCGTCAAGGGGTTCCAGAAGGCACAGCGCGATTAGCTTGTCGAACCAGATTTCAGTACTGTGGGAACCGTACTGATCCCCATCATCTTCCAACTTGTCCAACTTGGTCCGAGTGCCTCACTTTTTGCAACGCACATAAATGCGAAGACCAATGCCGGGTCTCAATCGCCATCGCCGAGCACTCTGCAGATTGGACCGATGAAGACCCACAACTCTCCGACTGGGACGTGATTGGCTCTCTTCACCAGGGTTCCGTTGAAAATGATACGAACACGACTGCAGCAGAAGCTGCGGAAGCCGGACGTATCGAGGAAGCTGCGGATAAGATATTGAACATGTCGCTCGGAAACCTTGCGTTGGAGTGCCGTCCACTGGGTCCCGCGGATGTTCACTCCGACTTGGCCACTGAAGATGAGCTTGACTAGGTAACGCGTATCTAGGGAATGCCTTCGCGGATTCGTGTGCTCATGCTTGTGACGTCTCTTCCACCCATGTCTCCAAGAACCCGCTGTCTTCCATGATATCGTGCCACTTTGCCACCCACTGATTGCCGGCAATCCCCGGTTACCCGGACTTGGATACGATCATCCCGTATATACAACCTCGAACCCATCTTGTCACCGACTCCTCCCAACCCAGCTTGTCTGAATCGGTAGGGAGAAGCTCAGACACCGCTGTGATACCTTGATCATGTCATCCTCGCCATTCCTCCCATCTACGCTTCCCCTTCTGCCTCTACCGCCGCCTCAAGTCTTATATCCAAATCTACAAGTCTCCGTCCCATTACCATCCGCCCAACTGGCCCTTGTTCTAAACTCCATAGCGGACAATGCAAAAACCCAGAAGGCTGAAGACAGTGGTAGGATGATAGCGGTCGTACCAGTCGTAGAGATCGAGCGCAGAGTCGGCCGATGGGCATGTGGTGAGCCGACTGTCCAGTCAGCAAGAGCACCGAGTGACTGATCCCTAACCAGCGGCTCGAGTAAAAAGAATCGAGAGGTCAACAAAGGATCAGGATACGTTCCATCTTATTCTTGAAGGTCTGGCTAGAATACGGCTTCCTCGATCACTGCCTCCCGTCTTGTCTATTTTACCGCCTATACCCCTGCACATATCGACATTCTCCCTACCCTTATCCCTGGCCTCCCCCAATCATACCGATCTTCTACCTTTGGCAAAGGCCCTCTTGCCTCCCCAACTACATGATCGAATGGAGGGTATCCCTCCATCTTTATTATCGGATCTTCTTGTGTCCGTGCTCAGTGTCGATTGGGAGAAGAGAGTCGAATTACTAGGTGTTCCCGATGTCGAGACTCGTTGCGTCAAAGTCAAGGAGATCTTAATGGATCATCTTGCCGACAAAGGTGGTCTTACACCATCGAAGAAGCTTGAGCAGTCTCGGTCGGTCCCATCTACATCCACAGCTTTGATTCGCCGGCCACCACAAGCTCGCTCAAGTCCTAGATCCCCACTGCCAGAAGATCTCCAGCTCCTGCAGAATACCCTCGATCGGCGATTTGACGAAATATCCCCTTCGGCCCTATCAGCGATCAATCGAGAGCTCGAGAGGTTGACCAAAATACCACCTCAGTCAGCTGAATATGGTGTCGGTCGGACCTATGTGGAGTGGCTTCTGTCTCTTCCCTGGAAAAAGGTCAGCGAGATTGACGACAAGCTGGACTTGAAGGTCGCTCGAGACAGATTAGACGAGGAGCACGAGGGCTTACAGGCGGTAAAGAGGAGAGTCGTGGAGTATCTGGCGGTCTATCGGTGGGTCTGACTCCAGTCTGTAATCTGCAAGCTGGCATGCTGATCGTTACAGACTGAAGAAACAACTGTTCCTGCAAGATCTGGCTGCGAGGAAGGAAGCCTCTCCTGGCCCCCATGCCTCAACAATTGTTTCTGAGGAGCCAATCGATGCGAGGGGAATCATCGGTCCAGCACCGGCCAAACCTTCCAGCCAAGCCATGGACCAAGAGGACCCTCCCAAAGATATATACAGGGATAAGGGTCCTATACTCCTGCTCGTCGGTCCGCCAGGAGTCGGCAAGACGTGAGGGTCAAACCTTCAAGATCAGTACAAGCTGATCATTTTCAGATCCATCGCTCGGTCTCTCGCCGAGTCCCTGGGTCGCAAATTCCATCGCATATCCCTCGGCGGGGTCAGGGATGAGGCGGAGATAAGAGGTCACAGGAGGACGTGAGGCGCGTTTCATGAGTCGATCTGACCTCATCTCAGCTACGTCGGAGCGTTACCCGGGCTCCTAGTTCAAGGTCTGCGGAAAGTTGGCACCTCGAATCCCCTAATATTGCTAGACGAGCTGGATAAAGGTGAGGTCACCGACCGCCAGCGCAAGAGACTCATGTGCAACAGTCGGCAGCTCGTCCTTCCACGGGGATCCCTCCGCTGCCCTACTTGAGACTTTAGATCCCGCCCAGAATTGGTCGTTTCACGATCACTACTTGGGGGACGTCCCGATCGACCTGTCTCAAGTCTTATTCATCGCTACAGCCAATACGCTCGAGACCATTTCTGCACCTCTTCTAGACCGATGCGAAGTGATCGAATGCTCCGGATATGTCGTAGAAGAGAAGCTTAAGATTGCGAAGAGGTTTCTCTTGCCAAAGCAAGCCAGAGAGAATGGTCTAGACAAGGAGAAGGTAGTGGTTGACGATCAAGTGATGCTCAAGATCGTGACTGACTACACTCGAGAGGTATGTAGGTAATGGAATGATGGGGAAGCTTATGATCATACAGGCAGGAGTTCGAAGTCTCGAAAGGGAGATTGGCAAAGTCTGTCGGTGGAAGGCTGTTCAGTGGTCTGCTGCTAGGGACAATGGCGAACAATCTATGTTTCACCCAACCGTATCCCTCAGCGACCTTGAGGATATCCTCGGGCTGGCGAAATTTGATATTGAGGTCAGAGAAGAACAACACAGACCAGGTGTCGTAAAGTGGGCGAATGCTGCTCGGTCGTACAACTTCACTGATGATTACTCTCAGCGGACTAGCATATCAAGGGTCTGGAATTGGCGGGATTCTCTTGATTGAATCTACCCTTGTCCCTGGAGGCAAAGGTCGACTCGTTACTACTGGTAGTTTGGGAGACGTCATATCCGAGTCCGCTGAGCTAGCCCTGACATGGGTTCGATCTCGAGCCAACGATCTAGGTATCACATCGGACATAGACGCAGATCCGCTCAGAGGCGTTGACATACATGTGAGTATCATTTCCTATGCTTTCTGATGGCTGCATAGATCCATTTGCCAGCCGGTGCAGTCAAGAAGGATGGACCTAGCGCAGGAGTCGGCATGGTCTTGGCGATGGTCAGTCTGTTGAGTGGTCGGAGCATCCCGTCCACAGTCGCAGTCACCGGCGAGATCACCCTTCGAGGGGCAGTGTGAGTAGTGTTATTGCCTGTCATTGCGGTAACGAGAGGTTGCTGACTACCGCAAAGCACTGCTGTTGGCGGTATCAAGGAGAAAGTTCTCGGTGCTCACCGTGCAGGCATCACGAAGTGAGTAGTCTCAAACGTTCCTTCATCGGCACACTCACTCACTCTGTGACGCAGAATCATCCTACCGAAACGCAACCTCAAAGACGTCCAGTCTGATCTACCAGAATCTGTGCGGGAAGAAATGTCCTTTGCTTTTGTGTCAACAATCCCCGAGGTTCTGGCAGAGATCTGGGGCGAAGAGGTCGTAAAGAAGGGGTCTTTCAAGGTCGAAGCAAGGCTTTGACGATTCGAGATAATGCTCTTGCTTCTCATTGTATCAGTACACACTGCCTGTTGCTTATTGTCTGTAGCCCTGCTTGCTCAACATGTAACACATATGCTCTATGTGTAACACCTATGCTCAAGATGAGCGATCATTGCCACGTGAGATGCCTCCCGCGCCTTTTGGTTCTTGGCGCGTCAAGATGATCGTCGCTCAGGTCCATGACAGCGATCGAACTGTCCAAAGACAGCACCATGAACATTCCGCAAGTCTCGCTAGACATCTATCTTAAAGATCCAGACTCTACCGAAGCTCACAACGAAGCTGTCGGAGCTGCCGAATCTCTGATCCTCACGGGTGCTGTGGTCGTTAGGGATTGTCGGGCGCCGAAAGAAGCCAACGATAGGTTCATCGATTTATTTGAGGATTACTTTGCGCAGGAGAAGGATGTGCTCAAGCAGGACGAGAGGCCTGAAATAGGTTATCAAGTGGTGAGCATGTCTCGCCCGTATGCCTAAGTTCGACTCTTGTGTGTTGCCCAGCTCTACCAATTTCATCATAGAGGCAAGCGCAGCGAAGCGTCCCACTTCGTTATGCCAGATATGTGATTGAACGACTCGCTGACTTCTCATCGGACAGGGAGTCACGTTGGAGAACACTGAGAAGCCCAAGTGTGGAAGCGATGATGAATGCCTGGCGGTGATCTCTGCTCTGAAGGAGGATCAAAGACCTTTAGATATCTCAGGCCACGGAGCAGATCCCAAGTGCCGGTGAGCAGGGTCATGGCCTTCCTCTCGCTTTGGCTTGTCTCGAAGCTCATCTGATCTGCAGATTCTTTCACCGCATGTCGATTCCGCCTCCATCAGATACGATATTCCCCGCAACAAGCGCTCCGAACGTTGTTCCTGAGGCTTTCAAGGATGACTGGACGGAAAGGGTGACAGAATGGGGAACGTTCATGAAGCAATCGTGAGTGGACCATCTCAGGTACGAACGGGAACTGACGGGTGGTCTTAGCGTGGAAGGTGTCGCGATGATGGTAGCCCAGGGACTGGGATTACATCGCAGGACATTCATCGACGCAGGCAAATATGGGTAAGGTCTCCGCGGTCGTCCTCTGAGTGAATTGATCGATCTCTTTCAGATCACATCTTCTCGCTCCAACTGCTACAGATCTGACGAAATACGGACAGCGCGATACGTGAGACTGCCGGCCAGAGGTCTTCTCAATTTCCCACGCTGATCACCTTACGCATCCTAGCATCTTTGCCGGCTTCCATACTGATCTCAACTTCTTGACCATTCACGGCCAATCGAGATACCCAGGACGTGAGACGGAAGCTTCGGAACGGCATTCTGGCGCCTCACTGATAAGCTCACAGTACACGTCTGGGCCCGTAACGTTGGCGAAAAAATCCCAGTCAAGATACCCGAAGGCTGCTTGCTCGTTCAAGCTGGCAAGCAGCTCGAGTGGATCACGGGTGGTTATATCAAGGGTAAGTTGTGTGGTAGGAGGCCGATGCAAGCTGACAAGGCATCCAGCCGGTTACCATGAAGTGGTGTGTACCGACGCGACATTGGCTGTAAGTTCTTACAGAGAGGCTGAGCTGAGTAGGAAGGCAATGAATCGTCGTAAAACTGCATTTCCTCAACGACCTCTAATCCGCATATCCTCGACCTTTGTGAGCATAGTGTTTACGCCTGCGCTCACGCGCTTGCATATCCCAGTTCTGGCACCTGTCCCCGGACCATCTACTTGTACCTATACCTGGCTTGCAAGCTTGCGCAGAGGCACAATTCGGACCCCAGAAAGATTACGGCGAGATGCTGGTTGGCAATCAGGTACTTCAGTAAGTTCAAGTTTGATTGTTGGTACCAATTGGCGTATGAACCTTTCTCATCGACAAACAGAGAACTCGGCTTGATTGCATTATTCGAAGACAAGTGATCAGTGAGACTAGAAGGCGTGTGGTCAAAGGCGACATTCTGCAGCAACAAACACTCTGGAATGTGTTTGACGTGTGCGAATAGGCACAGTGTAAATACCCCGAATCCACATGACATTCTGCTCATTTCTTCGATGCCTAGAAGAGGCCGGGGGGGACTGGCAGAGGCCCAGGCACTGAGGTGCCGGCAGTATAAATGGACGAGAGACAGTAGGGACGGGAAGGCAAGAGAGGAAAGGGGAGACGATTTTTGCTCTCAAGGTTCCCAAATCACCTGAGGGCCGATGATCAGGTGGCCTGGGGTAGACCTACAAACCTCTTCAGCCATTTTAGTGTTCCTCAGAGAGACACGTTGTGATGCATGTATATAGCTTTTTGCCTGCCATGTTTTGCAGTTGGACGTATATCTGAGTCTAGTGTCTTGTCCACTCCCTTGCTGCTAGGGGGACTGCCCAAAGCTGTACTGAACTAGTGAGCCTGAAGACACCATAATGTCGACTCCTAGCCGTTCGGCGAGATTCCCTCAATCTTCTCCTTCTTCAGCTCGACTTCGACGTCTAGCCCCGTCTCCGGTCAAGATCCCTCCCTTGACGTATTTTGTTTCGACAAGTGACCAGATCGTACGTACTCCGACCTCGTTCGACGTGTATGGAAGCTCGGATCAACGCGTTTCACCTGTAGTCTTGGACTCCATTAGTCCTGGAGTTTATCGTCTGGCTCATCAAGGGTCAACCTCAATATTATCTACTCAAGAAAGCCACACGGCTGCTAGACAGTCCAAACGCTCTGGTGGCCGATTCATCATGATAAACTCATCATCATCACATTCCACGCCTCCCATGGCTGATCCCGCAGGAGAACACTCCGCTGGGGTCAACGCCACCACGCCGTTCACGCCACAAGATGACGCGGATATCATTCCAGTCATTTTTGACTTTGCAGCAGCAGCAGCAGCAGCACCTCTTCGTCCCTCTGCTCCTCCTGTCGCTGTTGCTTTCGCATCCCTCGCGGCAAATGGGCAACGCCAACATGAATCCGGAGGGGATAGCGGATCGACCTATGAGAGGCACGCCGCGAATGAACGAGAGGGCAAAAAGATAGAGTGTACGTCCACTGCGGCTACAATTGGTCAGTCACCCGACGTTCCTGAATCTATCCGCGTTTCTTCGTCCTCTCGTCAAGTCCAACGAACCGAAGACAGATTGGGTCTAAAATGCGGATCTTCGAGCAGAGATCCAGAGGGCTCTGTTCATGCCCCGGCAGGACCATCTGCGGATCAACGCGTGTTATTGACTAGTCGTTCTGATCCATCGCAATATCGGCACGAGATGTTGCAGATTGGTGATTTCGACAATGATTCAAAAGAAGTCTTGCTGAATAAAGAGGACGCACCTCTTCTTCATCCTGCCGTGTCCAAATCAGCTCATAGGCTTCTTCCTTCGTTCAGCGTATCGACAATCGTGCCGGAACCGGGACGCTTCATCACGATGTCTCACACTTCGACTGTTCGAGACGAGAGGGAAATCTCCATTGCCGAGTCTTTTCACACATTCGGACCATCGGGTAGGCGCCCAAGTGCAGTATCCATAGAGGGTGAAGATGGTTGGTCTTACTCCCTCTCGGCCTATGGCGACCATGACGATGAAGATCCGACCCCGACGGCTGGACCTTCGCGCAAGTCCTCGAGCGACACTGCGATGAGCAGAGACTCCTTGACTAGCTTTGGTATCCCAGATTTCGTCCATTTCATTCCTCCCATGCCGATCGCTTCCGGTCAGGACAGAGAGTATGGGTCAGAGTCAACGACGGAGCTCCACACACCTCGGATGAATGACCCATTTGCGGGCCCGGACCAGATGTATGCAACCGTGAAAGGGATCAACGCGCCTTTATCTCCATCGCAGTGGATGGATCGATCAGGGTTGTTTAAGCCAAACTACTCCATTGGACCAGTGCCCCGACCTAGCATCTCGTCCGACGGATGTAACTCGGAATCGTCTACGCCCAGACAACATCTCTATTCTCAGTCCAAGACCTCGTGTGAATCCTCAGACTCAAGCCGAAGGCCACTGCTTTCTGTCAACACAATCAATGATTACGTCTACGACGAGCCATCTCCAAGGACCCGGACGAGATCAGGTACACTCAGCTCTCTCCAGGACGCAGTCGATGGGCGACACACTCCAGGACCCTTGGACCCGATTGTACCCGCCAACAACTCATCCTCCTCCACTCTCTCCGTCCCAGGATCCAGCGGCTCTTCTGCAAGCTCAACCAAGTCCGCCGATAGACGATCCCGGGCATCTAGCACTGGTTCAGATCAGAACATTCCCTCTCACGTTGCCGATGCGCTCAAGTCGATTGACAAATCGTCGACGTTGAAGTTGATAGTGGACCAAGAGGGCGCAAGAGAGGTACAGACTGTTCTCAAATACATGAAGATTCACAAGCCGCAAGTCTGGCGTGATAGAGAGCTTAAAGCGCTCGAGGAGGCGGCCCTATGGTCTGAGACTCCCACCCGACCTGAACCATTCCAGACGACAGGATGCATCGAATTTGGAATGGACCCGAAGGCGAGAGCCAAATGGGCATTTCATCATGCGGTGAGTCACCATAATTCACCGCAGCATAAAACTGTGCTGACGGTACCGAAGACACTTGAGGGACTTCCTGTCCTCCGCCGAGTCATCCTTGGCGATCAGGAGAACTATGACTACATATCCCGCAGCGCTACGCTGCAGATCCGTGATTCTGGCGTGTATGCGGTATATGGCTCAGAAGACAAGGGCAAAGTAGAATGGAAGTTTGAGTACATGGTACAGCCGAAGTTCTCTCGCACCACAGGCGAGCCCATCTCTGGGGAAAAGGTGTGCCGCTTCATCTCTTCGAGGTCTTATTGCCATCGCTAACTCTCATGCCAAAGATCGTCGTGCCACTCGGCTTCTACGTTTCCCCTAGCTTTTTCAACCCTGATCGAGCGACAAAGCTACACCTTCTTAACGTCTTCAAGAAACAATTCACACCCAATGTCGTGTCCGAGAAGGTCAAGCCTCCTCATATTGGAACACCTCCAAAGCAGGAAACTCTCCATGCTCCATTAACTCCGACTAGTTCCCAGCACTCGGCAAGCAGTACCGGGGGCGGCTTCACAAGAGCCTTGGCCAAGGTCAAGTCTAGTCGATCGAGAACTACTACTCCGACTGAGTCTCAACCATTCGGTGATCGGGATATGAATCGATCGCGGTCCCGTTCGAGACCACCGACGAGCGAAGGATATACTACGCTCGACGACGATGAAGTTGTGTCAGCTGTACCGAAGAAGCCCCTTCGTCGTCGAGCGACCTCTTTGTTTGGTCGCTCGAGGCCTTTCACACCTCCTGCCAACATAACCGAGCAGCATCCCGTACCGCCTCTTCACACCATGCGATCGGTAGCCTCTCTCCGTTCGTCTCGTCGACCCCACACTGCCCAAGCTACCATTCGCGGTGAAGTTCCACCTCCACCGCCATACACAAGGCACGATACCTCTCCCACGGCTGCACCGCTGCGTCCCTCAAGGCCATCCACCGCGAATGCGCGTGTACCTCCCGTCCCTCGCCTCACGCCCTTCGCTCACAACTCTCAAGCCTGTAAACCTCTCCCGGCATTGCCTCCTACCGTGAGATCCCATCTCGGTCAAAGACCAGCCACATCCAATTCTTCCTATCCGACGACCCCGCGAAAGAATGATCGTCCATCCACAGCCATCTCATCAACCGATACGACGCCCATTGGCGTGCGTCTCGTCACGCCTGGTAGTGGCCGACAAGCTATCAACGGTATTTATACTTCACCCATTGATCGGAATGCGAATACCAAGCGAGGTTGGAGAAATGACTGGGATCGGTTGAGTTCTGAAGAATCTGTGTCTGGTCCAGGAATGTCAGTCGGAGTGTCTCCTGCGCCCCGCAAGGTCGTCAAAGTCAGACCCTCAACCGCTCAACCTAGATTGGGTGTAGCTTTATGATAATGTATTTCGGATTCTCTCGAGCATGTGCCGTTCTCGCCATATTACAAATGCATCGATTACTCATATAACTTGACCAAAAAGCAGTAGGAGTCAGGACTGGGAGTGGCCGTACACCTACTTCCTTTTACGACGCTTGTCCTGACTGTCATCCTCGACCGCACGCCTGCCCTTGCTTTTGGCTTGAGCTTGAGGATCTACACTTTCCCGCTTTCTCTTAATCCCTCCTGCAGTCCCAACTGTAGGAGCTGCTTTCCTGCCTCTTCCCTTTGGATGGCCATTCTCACTGTCCTCTTCACTTAGACTGCTAGACCTTCCACGTCCTCCTCCACCATTTCCACCGTGACCTCCGCCTTTACGAGTACCAGCGGATGTTGACGCTTCAGTCATTGATTGACGACGGTCCACGGCGCCGCCCTTGCCTCGCTTCCTCGGCGGCTTAACCTCGACCTCAGGCTCAGGTTCGGGTTCAGGCTCAGCTTCTTCCTCTTCATCGTCCTCATCCTCATCATCGTCAGCGTTCTCGTCCGCATCATCCTCCTCTTCCTCCTCCTCTTCCTCTTCCTCCTCCTCCTCTTCCTCGTCCTCTTCCTCGTCCTCCTCCTCCTCCTCCTCATCCTCCTCCTCCTCCTCGTCTCCTTCATCTTCTACCTCCTCCTCGTCTTGCTCGTCTTCGTCTTCGTCCGGAGTATCAGGGACAACCTGCTCGGGCTTCTTTTTCCCTCTTAAGCTCGCTCTCGAACGATCAGAAACCCGTCTGCTTTCTCTTCCTGACCCTGGCTTTAATGTTGTCTCTCGAGTCTCAGGTGTCTCTCCCGTTTCGCCTTCCGCATGTTCCTGTTCGCCTGACCGCTTTGTCAATGGTTTGGTCCCGACTTTCTCCGCATCTGTTCCTTTCGCTGATCTCGAGGGAGGTCGATCAGAAGGAGTCGGGGATGCAGAAGTGAGTGGTGAAAGGGAGGCTCTGTTTTGTGTATTGCGAGATCCGCCGGTCGGCGATCCAGGTGGAGAATCATTCGATGAGGTAGCCTGGCAGGGGGAAAGTCGGGCGTCAGCCATGGTAAAGCCGGACATCTAGGTGGCAGCTCAAGGCAAGGCATTGCTACCGAACGGTTCACCGCTTTGCACTCACCATCCCGTCCAAGGCGTCCAAGTCGTAAAACTCTCCTAGCTTATCCCATATCTCTTGTGTTTCGAGTAATAGACCCGTTTTGCGTTGGATCTCGCCTTGAAGTCGTACAATGATGACATGCTTGTTCCTCCCGACTATCATGGAGATCAAACGACGTTTCAGCAATGTTCACAGACAGCTCGACGAGGATGTGATGAGGCAATCTTTATCTCACCTGGTTTGGACTCGACAATAGACCGAAGCAGGGCTATCTCACTAGAGAGAAATCCGTCAGCTCAAGCTAGCTGCGAATGATGGACAGTGTGGGCCAAGCAGAGACAGCTCAGCGGAGTCCACTCACATGTCCAGATCTGTCGCAGGTAGTGTGGAAGAGGCCCGAGCAGAAGTCGAAGTGGATGCTGGCTCCATTCCGATTTCTGCAACAGTAGATATCTTGCTGAATGACGCAGCAAGATCACGAGAAGCTAAAATTCAGGCAGCAGATCACAGTCCGAGGAGAGTATATGCTGCGATTTCGTACGAAGAAGAGGTGAGAATGATTTCAAGGTAGGATGAGCAGGAAGGAGCATTTCAGCCCGAAAAGTCGGAGTTCCTCCATCTTCTATCGTCTTTCGGAATTGCAAGCATGGCTCTGCGAGACATGGGTGAAGCTGATCAGTGGAGAGGATGGGCAGGAGTCTAGTGTATACATAAAAGGCGAATGGCGCACATCATCTGAGATGACTCTTTGAGCCGCTCTGCAAACCTAACGCATCATCTCTCTCTCAAATCTCTGATGTGCCCTCAGCTCCCTCTTCTGATGCCTGTGCAGCCTCTTCTGCATTTTCCGGTTCTCTCTTGCAGCTCGACGAGCATCGCGCTCGCTCAACTGACCATAGACTCCCGGGCCACTTTGATATCGTGAAGCCATGGTTGGGTCGTAGACTCCCTCTGGACGATTGACGAATTGTCCAGTCTGTCCGCCAAGGCTCTTTCCACCATTGAGAACAGCTCCGATCCCTCTCGTTGCTGTTCCAGTAACTCCGCCGACCACGCCTCCCACCAGACGAGCTGAGCCGCCAGTTACTCCCCCTACGATTTGCGTCGCGCCACCGAGGACTTCTCCGACGAGACCAGTGACGAGTCCTATAGGTCCACGTCCACCGAGTCCGAATCCTCCTTGGCGAGCTGGGATGAGACTTCGTAGTCCCATGGCTGGCGCTGCACTCGCACAAGCCGGCGCCATTGGGGCAGGGGCTGATCCAGTAGCTAGCTGTTGTTGACGAAACTGCTACCGTTGGCACCACCCCGATGGTCTGTCGAGAAGGAAAACTCACGTCTTGGTAGTATTCCTCAAAGTTTACGGACTCCCCCGAGTCTGATGAGCAGCTGCTGCTGGACCCTCGTCGATGCGATCGCTTGTTGTCTCCATCGAAGATTATGACGTTCCGGGATTCCTTCTCCGCTGGATAGCTCGTTGACGAGTCCACTTCGCTCGTCGCCTGGTCGTAGGAGGGAGGAGGGAATACTTCGGAATTGTTGACCTATTGGCTATCAGTCAGATGACTCTCGCACACTTATGGGCCAGATCGCTTACCTCTTGGTTGCTGGAGCTGGAGCCAGCAGGACATTTGGAGTCTGTCGCTACAAGGATCGCCTGTTTCTCAATAATATAAGCCATGTTGTTTGAAGATGAATATTGATATGAGTGACTGAAGATGAGTATGAGCTGGGATGGCCTCGATCAACAACGCCATGCATCCATTTATATATACATATCGTCTGGCCATAGCTGATCACCACCAGCAGCAGCAGCATCACCACCCACATTCGACGGTCACCGCTACCCGCTGCCCCTGATTTTTATCCTCTTTTGGTAATTTCAGGCGGTGGGGCAAACGGCCGTCGGTACCGAAGAGAGTCTAACACTTTATTGAGGCGGCTGTATAGCAGAAGCGGTACCGACGTTTTCGTGAAAAAGCGTGAATCCATACATTGCAGCGTATACAACTGGTACCGAACGCCGTCAGGGACAGATGGCAGATGGATCTAAAGACCTTAGCTGCAGAGGAGGAACCCAGGATCTATGGGATTCTCTCTGTCGATATGAAAGCTGTGTCTACCCGTGGGCCTTCCCAAGAGGTATGCAAGTTGGAAATTCTGTCGGGGGGTTTGCCTCCAGGCCATGAATGACGCCGTGGAATATCGTGTCGATGACTGACCGATCAGTGAACTCGCTGCCCTGATGCATTTCTCCCCTTGCGAGCAATGCCGCCATTCGTGAAGCCGTTCCAGACCCACAGGGGCACCTGTCTACCTTTCGAGGCGAAGTCAATAATGTCTGTTTGAGCGATGGATGCAATTTTACCCGTCGGCAAGATATCATTCCGGTGGACACGAGCAATAGCCATGACGCAAGTACAGATCTAAGGTACAGGGACTCAATCACTTTCCGACTAGCTCTCTCCCTTCAAGATGGCCTGTACATCAGGAGACCAGGCCGCCCACTGTTTAAATCTCCATTGATGTGGGACTGCCGTCTCACTCTGCGCCTCGTCTCGGTGCACCATGCTGGGATGTAATGTCAGCTGAATGGCCTTGAGACGGGGCTATACGATTCTCACCCCTCCAATATAGCCTTGTAGTGTGTCCAAGTCGTCTCACCAAGCTTCTCTCGATGTTCAGGCGAGTGGAAAGTGTCTCTACTGACGTGGTTGGTGTTGACTGGCTTTTTCACAATCTTTGAGAGATCGTGAGCCATCGAAGCAGGGGAGATGTGCTCAGTGCATGCGTGCATGTCTTTGCCTGGCGCGAAAAGGAGGTTAGCAGTCGTCAGATGAATGACTGCAGGTACATATAGCCGCTCAGGACACTCACCGGTCCATTTGTCTGGCTTATTCAGAGCCAATTTGACCCAATCTCCAGTCTGCTCCGTTGGGTATCCCGGGAACACAAAATCATCAGGCATCCTCATATTCAGCAGGAACGTTCCGTCCTCCTGTCTCTTCAAGAGATGACGATTTACAATGATCGAGAATGGTGTGGACGTGAAGAGGAAAGTGGTCGGCAGATTGGTGGTCTTGATGTATTTCGCGACTGGAGTGCACAATGTGAGTCCTTGAGAGTGTCGCTGAGCCGCGTCCAGATACTCACCTTGAGCTTTTGCATGACAGTGAGGAACGTATTCGGAATCTGGAAGATCGTCCAGTGTGGAATATACCAGATGCTTGACTTGAGCCTTGACACAGGCATCCACAAGCGCGGTTGTTAATTTGATCTCTTGATCCACTGCTTCTTTGATGTCGTCGTCCCACTTCATCACGAATGCGTCGACTGGTGTCCAATGTTAATTGACCAACGCCTCCATACATCTGCAAGACTCACATTCCACATGTACGAATACTCCATCCATGTCTTTCAGGCGATCCACGTAGCTTGATGGATCTGATAAATCCCCACGGATGATCTTCACCTGCATTCCGGCGAGCTCTGATGAGGAAATGACTCAATCAGCTCAAGCGGGCGAGTTGCCTGCCTATTCATCTGCTCACTCTGAGCCACAGGATGTGTCACATCCTCTACCAGTCCATAAATAATCCAATGACCGTCTTTGATCAACGCTTGACATACGGATGAACATTGCTCTTCCGTCGCATTCACGACCAAGACTGATTTTGGCGGTGCAGCAGTCTTAGCAGCCATGCGACTGGGATTCAGCGGACCCAGAGCCCGGTCAATGAAGCTCATACTGGCTCAGTCCACGATCTTGAGGAATGGGGTTTGTATGGCGCAGACACAAGGTAAATTGTAGATCTCAAACATCTGATGTCCGAACGATCTACGAATGTCCCAAAAATAAAATAAAATGACGACACACACAAAATAATGCTCGGCACTGACATTCTTCGGCAAGCAGCAAACACCAATGAGAAGACATCGTATGCAACGTATGCGCCTTTATAAGAATGGCATAGAGTACCCGAAGGGCTCATGTCCAGCAGCAGCAGCAGCAGAACTAGTATTACCAACAGCATTAGTAGTATCCGGTACATCCCATGCAAATGTTGCAGCGGGGTTCGCTTCCGGCGCAGCGGAGAAGAGCATAGACCTGGGCCTGTTTTCAGTCCCAGAACTTGGACCCGGGTCGCAACGCCGCGCGATCCCCACTCACCAGTACTGCTGATCATCGACTGAAGCCTGTACAGGCTCTTCCGAGACTTGCATGTACTCTTCAAGCTGGGCCATGAAATCGGGTTGAGTGCCGCCTATCCTTTCGCCGTTTCGCTTGATCAGGAGCGGATCTGATCCATCTGCATTGTTCAAGTGGCCAGGAGACCCCGCTCGAGATTCATTTCCTATGGCCGACAGTGTTCGTCGAGCGAACCGCGCGACAAATGCCGTGGCGCAATTGGTGTCCCCGTTGGAGACACGGGTGTTGTATAATAAGATGCGTTGGAGGAGGGAGATGACCAGGGATTTTTGTGGCGTCGATGTCTGTCGAAAGATCTAAAGAGATGGTCAACATCGTGATCGGACGAACGGTCAGTGGCGACCCACTTTGTGAAGGAGCACAGCCAGTGACGATGTCATACAGGACGCTGTATCTTGCAATACAGCCAAACCGCCGTTATCCGCTAGCGCAGCAATCAGGTCAACAATCTCCGATGCAACGCCGAGACACATGTCAAGTCGCAGTGGGTCCGTCGGATTGAGGTCCAAGCGCTGGCGCTGAAGAATGAGGATAAAGTCGAGAATAGACCATTTGACAGAATGCTCATTTTCCCAGTGAAAGTCGGGTGGTGGGTCTGGGCACGCCAGCGTTAAGGACAAAATCCCTACTACGTATAGACTCACTGTCTTTATTGAACCACCTCGCCAGTAGTGCGTCACACTGGCTGACGAGCAGGTCGATAGCCGACTCGACGTAACGAGGGGCTGGCGAATGTGATTGGAACAAGGCGCGCCAATGGTCTTTAAGCTTGCACAGTCTGACGACATATCAGCTCGCTGGGAGAGTCTCAAGAGCTCACTCAAAGGACAAAGCGAGATGCATGTCAACCAGTGGAGCAAAATCGAGATGTCCTCGCGCCCAGCTCTCGGCCTACTGTCGTCAGTCGGACACCCTCTGAGATTGAGATGGGATGCTGACCTCTGCAAAGTGATCAGGTCGTGTGGCAGTTGGAAGACCAAAGGTTTGACTGAGACTGCGAGGGGTTAGATATTTCCAAACAGGTCGCTCTGTAGTCACTCACCCTCTGTCGAAGCCTTCAGGATGATGCCCGTCAGTACTTGACCTAGCTCATGGTTAGATATTGCTCACAGAATAAGCCTGAAAGCTGTCAGCCGTCTGATCAAGATATTCAGGGAAAACTTACAGAACCAAGTCCGCTCAGCGTTCTTCAAGCAAATTCAGCCACCTGGTACGTAACCATTCCTTTTGGACCTACAAGGGTCTCCCTCGCAGACATCTCATCGGGCGGCAGAGGCCCAGTCCTAGGTACGTGCCAGAAGTTTTGATACCCCATGCGCAGTGCCAATCCAATCTTGATCCATGCAGTCGTGTCCTCCGGTACTTTCCAGTATGTCAGGAGCATCAAGCTCTGGACTATGCCTATATCGTGTTTGCCTGAGCACACTGCTCGATCGAGGATCGCCTGAGCGTGTGCCAGGAGGACAGGATAGAGATCTTGACGGTAGAATTTGGCCGATACGGCCAGGGCGGAAGTGAATAGGATGGAAGAGGTGCGACGGAGATAGGGTACAGTATGAACTGAGGGTAGTTCAGTCGGTGTAGCGTTGAGATCCTGCGACTCACGCTTGGCATCAAACACCGCGATTTGTGGGTTAAGGCGTTCGAGAAAACTAAGGAGCGCATGTCAATGAGTACGTTGAGTGCAGGAACGATCGACTGACATTTGTATCAACGCGTGAGCTTCGACTTCGGTCAATATCCTTAGAAGCACTGAGAGCCGCATAAGCTCATGTCATGACCTGGGCCACAGCCGTTCCGCCCACCTGGATCCATTCCATCTGCCAAGGGCAATCTCTCCGCCTCTTCATCCTCATCTGAGATGGCCTCCTCGGATAATGGCCGATCGAGGTAGAAAGGCCCTTTGGGTGCATTGTTCATGAAAACTCGCTCTCCCGGGTCAAGGTAATCCGAAACGTCGACATTGGACCCTTTGTGATGTCTTCTTCGTTCGTCTCCAGGACTCGTTGACAATTGAGTACTTGGATCCTTTCGTGGATGGAAAATGAGCATATATGACGGATGCGAAGCAAGATCTGACAACATACGGAGTACGCGGTTGGCATGTCCGTCGGATTAGAGTGTTGACCCGATGACGAAGCATGAGGCTGAGTCGGAGCAGCTCCGGCGGATAAAGGTCTCGTCCTCTTCAAGGTGGAAGGTCCAGCTCTCGCTGGAGCTTCATAGAATGGTATGGGACGGTGTAGAGGGCGAGGGAGATGATGCACAGGAGGGAGGCGAGAATCGGTAGAGGTGGTGAAAGAAGAGAAGTGGGGCAGGACGTAGGGAGCGGGAACGACAGCATCGCTGGATGGACTATTTATCAGCCATTGACAATTCCAAGATGGCCACTCACTTCGAGACCTGTTGTTGCTGCTGCTGCTTTGGAGGTCGTCCACGCCGTTTATGTATCGATGGGAGATGACAGGGGAGACCAAACCGTTCTGGTACACATGGTATATTTAGCGAGCGATCTACGCAATGATAGGGCAAAAGTGGGGCCAATACCACCAGCACGCAAACTCACGACAACGATGACATGTCGGTGCATCCGGCGTATCACGCATGCATTTGACCTTATGAGTTTAAGAGGTCAACACATGTGCCATCCCCTCAACACTTGGAAAGCCCCTCGTACCTTGTTAGCTCGACAGCACTGACAGCTGACCGCATCCGGTCAGCTCCTTTGGACGCCTACATACAAAAGACTCACGCCAATTTGGACCTGGCCGTCTTGTCGATATCTCGGTCTGGAGACATGGCTGGAGGCTCGGAGCTCATCTCATGTATGACTCAATGCTCTCTCTCTCTCTCTCTCGTAGCTTCTATCGCGATCTTCTGCTGAGCAGCAGCAGCAACTATGGCCGCCCCTCCGGGTATTTTTGGTTGTGGACCCGAAAGTGTGGAATAACAAATAATCGAGATGCGAATGGAGAAGGCTCGGGACATTTGTTGGAATTGTTTTTTTATTAAACTTGCCGAGCCGGTCAACCCGGGGACCAGCAGAGGCAGAGAGAGGGAGAGTGGCGACTTCGACGATGATGTCTAGCCTTCTACGAGGGAGCAGCTGAGCATGCGAATCATATCGAGAACTTCTGTTCAGAAGGACCAAAATGAAAGAATGGACATGTGCCGAGTTTCCTCCGTCACGGCTTTGCTCCACATTGCCCCTTCGCCATCTCTATAGGCACTGGGTTTAAAATGGTCGAGGGGAGAGGCTAGGAACAGGTGTCGCTGTCACGGTCAAGGATTTCGGGGACTCTGTGCGGGAAGCATCTTGCGGGTAGCCATTTGGGCACGCAATACGTCTCGTCGTATCATGACTGTTCTTTTTGGCTCGAGACTTCAGAGCACGGAGTAAGCAGATGTCATTCTCTCCGAGCATGACTGTTTTTAATTCTTCTCGTTGTTGCTAGCGGCTGCAGTTCTAGATTGAAAGAGGTAACGCTTGTCTCGCACGTGCTCACGCCTGAGATCTCGGCGCTGCAAACTCCCCTCTCATCACACGTCGTCGCGGTCGTCGTGAAGGATCGTTCCTAGAGTGGCTTTTCTCCCCCACTCGAAAGAGGGTCGATGACAGGCGATTCAAGGCTGTTTCCGACGGACTCGAGCGGCCATCCCAGCTGAAGACGGCAGATCGCCGATATAGATCGGCGAGGTCTACAAGGCAAGCTTCTCAAAACTCTACGCGGGAAGGGATACTTGCATCCTGCACAGACGCGAGCTTTGCCGACTCGATCTTCGACAGACCCACTTTCATCTCGGACCACCGACTACTAACTATTAAGATCAAGATAATCGCCTCCTTCACACCCCATACTGTGGCGTGTCCACACGATCCACCACGCCATTTACCTGTCAAAGATTCTGTATTCCAAGTATCGGAGCGGTGGGTAAACAATGGCTGTCGCAGCGGCACTAGAGATTAAAGAGTCAGCCACAAAGCATCACGCAATCTCGGTGTGAAGGGGATGAGACGGGGGCAAGGGGGGGGAACAAGAGGTGACGTACGACATCTCGAAGCCTAGATCTCCACCATACTCTCCAAACACTTTGCCAAGAGGACCAATGTACCACACTTGAGCCATGGACACCGCGGCGAGTCCGGCACCACAGCAGCATGCAAAGATCCCCGCGATTCCCACAGGAAGTTCAGTGATACTGTCGTAGACATCCAGATCATAGCCTTCGTCAATGATCCAAGATCGGAAAATGTAATGCTCTTCAGCCACCACAACAATGAAGAAGGCGATCCAATCTGAGCGAGGAGTCAGTTCTGTGCACATAATATGGATCTACTCACATCCAAGGATGGACAAAAAGTTGGAGAGCAAAGTGCTGAAGTGTTCTCGACCGGCGACGGCGGCAACGGCTGGAAGATGTCAGTCCAGGCAGGCATACAATCAGGTCCCGAGCGATCGTACTCACTGTAAATCACAAACATGACCACACACCATAAAGCCCTTGGGATCTTCTCGAACCAAGGGAATAAGGTTTGAGCCGACAAGGCGGCGGAATACGTGTTGGGTGTACAGTTGCAAATGATACTGAAAGCGAGGATGACAAGAATGAACTGAGAGGGATCGACTTAGCGACTGGACAAGGGAGCATGAGCCGCTTTACTCACCTTGCCTCCGCCGCCCCATGGCTCAAATACTTGGGAAAGGACAGCACCGACATCTCCATCTGCTCCGAAGGCATTCGCATACGCTGGCACCGTCATCAAAGCGGCGGACATGGTTTCAAGAAAGACGAGTGGGACCATGAGTCCGAACCAAGTCAAGAAGAAGACCTTGACACCGCTGATCCTGTGAGGCTAGACATCGCAATCAGTGACAAACACCCGGCAGAGTCCAAGAGCAACTCACAAGACGACAGCAAAAATCGGCGCAAATGGGAGCCCAACCGGCCGAAGAAGAGAAGACGATTCCCTGGACGAACAAAGTGAGCGCGCCTCCCCTGCCTTGATCTTTTGCCTGCCTCCAACACTCACGCCGAAACTCAAGAAGCCACCCGCGTAAGCGAGACCGGTTGGCTGTAGAGCTTCCTGAGCTGTGAAGTCGAAGCCTTGTTTTGCGGCCAGAGCCCAGATGCAGCAATAGAACACCATGAGCACGATCCAAGCGTAGCGTTCCCAGTAGTGCACGGCTTAGAGAAGCGCAGTCAGATCACTGTCCTGTAAAGCAATGCGCGAAACTCACCGTTGTATCCGACAAAGCAGAGGATCAGAGCGGTGAAGCCAACGAGGACGATGGAGGCTTCAAGGGGAAGTTTACCATTCGACACATTAGTCAATGTCTGTCCGCCGAGGATGACGGCAGTGCATGAGAATCCCTGTTATTTGTCAACCGGCTTGTTGCATCAATGTGTCTCATGTAAGAACCCACGAGCTGTGTCAAAATGTTGAAGATGGCAAAGATGGTGGCTCCGACGAATCCGACAGAGTACCGTGAGATGACCATTGTACGAAGACCAGTCTTAGGCCCGAGGGTGGCGATGAAACCACAGCATGCAGCTCCGATAGCAGTGAAGGTGACAATACAAGCGACCGCGGATTTGAATGAAAGACCGTAGAAGGGTTGGGCGAGAAGCTACAGGCGGGGCGCGCAGGAGTGAACGGTGGGGTTAGATCGAATCGGAAGGACAGCGACGGCGAAGATAAAGGAGGAGGGCATAGCGTCAGCCGGTGACCTGCTTGGGGATAGCACAGTTCGACTCACTCCGATAGGCACTGTGGAGACGACACTGTTGACACTCCACCAAAGGAGCAACAATCCGATCGTGTGCGTTCCATCTCGTTCTTCCTCTGGTACTCGCTCGATACCTCTAGCTTCTACACCATGATCAAAGAGTTTTCTAAAGAATCGATGGAGACCAGACTTCTCCATGATCGCATCTTCGTGATCTCCTTCAGCAGTGAATCCCTCTCTTCCTCCTCCGTAGACGCCGGTTGCGCCATTCTCGCCGGCATATGGATTAGGACTGGGATCGTAGGGGATGTACGGATCCTTTTCCTCCCATTGATAGTTTTTTGACATGATGCCCGTATAGACAACGAGGAATCAGTCTCGCAGCAGAACTTCTCAGTACCCAAGTGGTGAGAGCTATGTGGAGAGATCAGATTCAAGATCACCGGTGAAGATCTACTTTTGTGCTTGCGCTTATGGGAAAGATCCCGTCCGTTAGATAGAAGGGCGGAGGTGAAAAATTCTGCTGGCACACGAGCAGAATTTGACCTTCTGGCCCCCAAAGCCTTATCAGCCTGTCAATGTTCTAAGAATATAATTGTACCTTGGCGGCGCCTAAGCTCCAGAACGGAGGGAGCTCTGTCAGGCCCACAGATAGTTAATAAGTAGCCGGTGATAGAAATTTTCCTTTCGAGAAGCATGTGCTGCCACTTTTGGATCTTATATCCCATCAGAATGCCGTAATAGAAAGGGCAGAACATTAGGTCCGGCCGCAAGGGGTACCGTTGTTGCTCAACGTGGATCATCAATAGTAGTTGTTGCATGGGATGCGATCCAGGAATGTGATGTGATCAACCCTGGGAGTGTGCAAGCGGTCGGTTGGAGGCTATGAAGAGAAAGCGAATTGCTCGAACGATGCCAGTCCGTAGAGCTCTTCCCCTCCTCCTACTGTCCCCGCTATCTTATCCAACCATCGATGATAAGGACCGAGTCCCAGCCCGAGAACAGTGTGGACCTTGGTGAGCGTCGCATTGATATGCCCATCAGGAGTGTCGATCGTCAGATGGAGGCCCAAAGGTTCCGGATCCATCATTCTGGGAGGATACGTCGCACCGTTGCCGAATGGTCTCGCGACAACGCCTTTGCATTGCGAGACCAGGATCTTTCCATCTTTTGCCACGTATGAACTGGACCTTCCAACGCCGGCATAGTCTAATGTGTCGAAGAAGACGATTGAGTAGTCGCCGAGAGTCGCATGACCCCAATACCACGTATCGAGGCTCTTACTGAACGCCCGGTCACCCCAATTCTTATCGTGGTACCCTCTTCCTTCGATAACGAGTTGTTCCCCATTGACTGTGATGGAGGCTCGTGCAATCGCATCGGGAAACGCGTTGACCCAACCGACATGAGGCATCAGTTCTAGCGAAATGCCAGGATGAGCAGCATCGCACGGTCCATGCGGGGGAGCAGTAGAGGTGAGATGTAGAACGCCTTCGAATCCTACTTCAGGGGCGTTAAGGACGACTGAAGCGCTGGAGAGATCGCTGGCAGTGTTGAACATGGCTCGGGGACTGGGGTAAATCCCCGTGACACCATCACCGTGCATAATGAATGTCGCTTGAGACCCGTTGAGATAGGCATTATAAACGGAGCCATTTGCAAAGCCTACAGTGACTTGGATTAGGTCGACGCTTGGATTGGCGAGGGGTACAGAGGGTCCGAGGATGTCAAAGCCAGTAGTGGTGGAAGTATAGAACACTACGTCGAGAGACGTGTACTGACCATCCTTGTCGGAGATCACGTCAAAATACCACCATTCGTAGAATTGATCTTCGACGTGATCGAGTTTTGGGGCGTCCAGACTGTCCGGTCGGAGTGTCATTTCTGCTTTGGTCGGCTGCTCTGATGGATGAGGTGGCACGTTGATGATCTTGCCATTGATCCTCGAAGCCAGAATGGCAAGGAACGTAGTTATGAAGAGCTTCGGTGAGAAGGTGGCCATCGTTCACCGTTGTTGAGAAATAAAGGGGCCTGCTTCAGCCCGATCACAGAACAAGAGATGGAGAACGATAGAATGCATCTCAATCTAATCCACTTGTCCCCTATCCCCGCCATCGGATCGCTTGTGCTCGCCATCGAGAGTCTATTGTTCACCGCCAACCTAATAGCGCACCTTGAGATGATGACGTAAAAGGTGAGCGGGATCAAAATTAGTACGCCAAAACACCTCCCAGCGCGATATTGGAAAGCTGGACCTGAATACTTTCACTTCTGGTGAAGCTTCAGTGATCGGCCATGGCGTCGTCCTCAGACTGGTGGTCATCCTCGGCCTCAACTGCATCTTATCACACACCTCAAAGGCCATCTTCGGTCCCACAAATGGGCGGATCCTCATCAGCTAGACCAACAGCGCGATTTGTTGGTGATCAGTTGGACCCTCGGGATGAAGAGATGGCAGAAGGTATCAAGTTCATACCCAGCTTTGCGAGTAGTCCAGCAGGCAAGCTGGCTCTGGGTAGCAGTCCAGCTGCTGGATCGAGTCCGAAGGAAGTGAGACGAAGCCCAGTGAGGTGAGTCAGGACATCCTGTCGGTCAAAATCTACCTGCCTAGATTCCTCACGATGCCTGACATCGAGGAGACTCTCAGTCCCCTCTCAATGAGCTCTTTGTCGATGCTGATGCTCTGTGACTATCTCGCTGACACACATCTCAGCGTCTCATCCCCCCGCAATCCTCGCACATCACGAGCCACGCCCTCCATGTCCATGGCAATGGATGAAGATGCGCCTCCGACCGCCTCGCTCCATGACCTCGCAGCGACACCCACCTCGAACGCCATGCGATCATCCTCATCTCTCCCTACTGCTCAATCACCTCCATCCATGTCCTCATCCTCTTTCTCTCTGCCTGCTCCTTCATCTCTCACCGCTGGACCAAGCACCACCTCGCTGCACGTCTTTGGCCCTCCAATGGACCAACTTGGCCTTCTTCAGCCCTATTTTGAGCAGATTGGTTCCGTGCAATCGTACATTCCAGGACCAGAAGGAAGCAACTGGTACGTTGTCACCTTCCATTCGCCCACTTCGGCTCTGTACGCTTTACGACGTCATGGAGAAATCATCAATGGAAGATGGATGCTTGGGTTCAAAGTCGCTGGACCGGGGAGCACAGCGGGTTGCACACTTGTCGATGGACACGGGCCATCGAGTGGTCAGGCATCACAGAACGGTCACGGCGGCAACTCGAACGGAGAGATCATGTCGAGACCTGGACCCGGAACACCACTTAGGATCCAAAACACGTCAGTGCTGAAGCAGAAGCCTGCAGCTGTCAAGGCAAAGAGCACCGAGTCGTTCGCTTGGGACGAAAGCGAAGAATCAAAAGGTTTGGTCAACAAGGCGGCAGAGTGGCTGGTACGTCAGCAGAAATTCGGAGCTTCATGATGCTGACTCCACCTCAAGTTTGGCAGGTAGTCGTTGCTCGGACATAGTGCCATCTTATCCTATGCTCAACCCGGACACGGCTTGCACGAAACGAATGACTTGACATGTGGAGGAGAATGCATAACGATGTTCTACCAACACGTCGTCCATGGGAATGTACATGAGTATCTGGTGAATCTCGTTCAAAGCTCGAAGTCGTGAGGTGTGTGAGAATACATGGAATAGGAACCGCTTGAGTATCCACGTCTTGAGTACGAGATGGTTAAAGCAGCTTGATGTGTAGTGAAACACAAGCTACGCCATCTCTCAAGCATTTAGGCAAGCGAAGAGATATACGTGTGTCTTGCATCGAGCATATTCTTCAAGGCTTGCGTGAAAGTCTTGACGCTCTGAGAAGGCTTGAGGTGATGATTTGAGGTTTCGATATTTGGCAAGGTGTAAGGTGTAAAGGTGTGAAGGGAGGATGAGAAGCGCGAGCAAGACGCAGAATGTTGGCTTGAGGTGCGGGCATAGTTTGATGCGTTGAAAGTGAGTGAGTGATATCGCTACAAGTGAGGAAGGAAGAAGTGAGCCGAGTCAATTAGTTGGTGGGAATCTAGTTCCAGGGTGCTGTCCACGATGCCGGTCAGGCTGGAGAACTGGTCAGCGCCCTTCTCCCTTGCCGGCAACTGACTCACTCCAGACTTCAGGTCGATCCCAGATTGCCTTGATAGCTTTGAGGCCTTGTTCGTGAGCCCTGGAGAGGTGCGTTGTGCTATTTTGAGTCTTGTGTTGTTGAATGTCTGCGGATGAAGCCTTGGTGGTGTCGGTACGAGTGGTACGACTGTGCTGACTGTCGCTCAAGCTTGAAGTTAACAGATTGCCGAGGGGTTCTTCATTCTTCAAATCATCTTCATCGGCTTGACTGACGGGGCTTGAGGATGTCGCTGGCACCTGTCGAAGCTGGCTGTACGATGAGGGCACAAATGCTGAAGTGGCGGGATTCAGGTTCGACTTGATGCCATGGGACCAGTCGATCTTGGGGAATGACCGAGAAGGCGCCAACGAATGGTGACCACTAGTGACACCGATCGTGGCTCCGTGCGCTTGGACATCCCGAGTAACAGGATCCGGGAATGGACTGAACCTGGTCGGCGAAAGTCCAGCTGATCCTACTAGTGGTCGGAACAGGATGGCGGAGGTGCCGATCGTCATGGGACCCATAGCGACGACGTCTCGAGCGGTCTGAGATGTCGCAAACTTGATGATGGCGGAGCCTGTCAATCCAGGAATCATGGTCACTCGACTGATGGGACCAAAGTGTGAGAATATCTCAGAGATGGACGTAGGCGATGGAAAGGCCAGGGCATCCTGGACCTCAGTCAGTGAAGACGCGCCGGCGCTCAACCCTTCCACCCACAAGGTTGTCAACTACCACTGAGCAGTCCGCCATGGCTTCTCGGTCGCGATCGAGGTGATGAATCTGGGGCGGATGAATGACTCGATTGGACAAGAGTCCACCACCACCTTAGAGAGATCAGTACATACGAGATCGGATCTCGCGACCCACGACGCTTGATTTCGTTCGGTTTTAGCTGCTTCAGAGCCCAGGTAATGTCGATTCGGGAGCCACTGGCAATGTCAGATGGATGACCCTTCACATCACGTCGAGATTCACTGACCTGAACCACTTTCCATTGAGGGTCATCATGACATTGCTGGCTTGCGTATGAGTTTCCATCATGATGAAACCTCTTCGTCTACCCATCCCGTCGAGCTCGGACAATAGTTGCGAGTGCTCAACGGCTCCGAATGGCTCGAAGAGTGAGTGGAATTGCACACTGAGAACACATCAGGTCAGTTCCCCATTGACTCACGGGTCCATGTCGATGGGTAGGTTCAGGATGTAGAGGTTCGTAGGAAGGTTGGGACTGAAATGAGGTGGAAGGTCACGGCTGGATTCAAGCAGCGGAGGGAACGGATGCTGGGAAAGTGGGACAGATCGGAGGTTTCGACCAGTGTTGTCGATGTCTTGTCCGTAGAACGCAGGCTCAGGATTCGCAACTATCATGGAGCTGAGAGATTAAAGTCACCTTTGTACGTGAACCGTCATGCGGTCGTCTACTCACACTCCTTGGCTTTGGAGTCGAGACTTGAGCTTGAGGCATTCGTCCAGATCCGCTCCGCCTCGAAGAAGCACCGTGGCCCACTGCGTGTCACCCCGAGAGGAAGGAAAGACCTGAATTTTCAGGATCTCAGCGGGTGAGAAAGCCTTGGTGATGTCTTGAGCCGTGACTATCCGGTATGTATTGAGTTGCAATGGAAAGCACGGGGTAAGAAGAGATCAGGTCAGCGATGGCTCCAGTGTACAAGGCGTCACAGAATGCAGGCAGAGGAAGGAGGAAGAGGAAGGGGGAGCATAAACGTGTCTTGTGAGCTTTGGACATAGCTCTCGGACGGGAATGACTCACCACTTTGGCCGAGGCCATAGAGCCTCAATTGGACAGGCTCATCGGCCGAGACGGTCATGTTCCTCGCGGCGAAACGTAGCGTACTGTTGTGATGGAGGGGGAGGATGATGCCTGTGAGGGCCTGCAGACCGACTCTGGACCTCCGGACTTCGATATGGGTGAGGATGAGAGAAGAGAGAACACTGTCCAGAGCGACTGGATGCAGCGAACCTCGAAGGAAGGGTCTGAGCGCGGGGCGCCTATTTTCGCTACCGTCGGAATGCCAGACTCGCACGCCTAAGCAAGTGTTCGAGGTGGAGGCGACTCTCTGTCGCTCTCTTCATATGCCTTGAAAGTCCATTGATCATGGCGTAGGACCAGATAGCTTTGAGAGCAGATCACTCGCTCGAAGGCTGACTTCTGTATCGTGAGCTAGGTGCAACACACCATGACGACAGATATTGAGCCACCGAAATATCCTCTGGTCATTTTACAGCCATGTCCAACGCATGTACCAGATCTGACTCTCCTGAACCGGATGGTGAAGCGGATCTTGTCGACGGACGAAGAGTACAGCGTGACTTTCTCTCCCTTGGTCTGTCCAGTCGATAAAAGGTACTTATTCAGCCTGAAGCCATATTACTGGGAGGTGCATCCGGGAAACTGGGGTGAGTAGGCGAGAGACGTCTGTACGAAGCTAAAGTACCTGCAGAACCGCGGGATGGCCAGCGGAATCCATGTGAGCAAAGGTCTCCCAGCAGACGTTCTAGCTGATGTCACTTGAAGGTTGTGATCTACCTCAGGGGCAGAATCAGCTCGAAAAAATGGCCACAAACGTGTATATCTTGACGCTGGGCGTCAAACACCTGGAGAACTCGATCTCCGAAGCTTGTCTAGACAGAATCCAACATCTCTTGACGGTCTTCTTCTTGGATTCAGAGAATGGGTATGTGGTTTCTGTCAAGCACCTGGAATGACAATCCCAGAATGCTTCCTCAGGTTCCGTACGCCCAATGCGTTCCAGGAGAAGAGTCACCAAAGGGCACATTACACTTCATCATCGCCGTGAGCCTTCTCACTTCCTCTCGGAATACGGTGCATGGCTCACGCCCAAGGGTCCAGGTTCGATATCTCTTAATTGTCTCACAGATAATACAACAGGCATCCTTATCGCCACCATTGGACACCAGCCTGAGATCCTGGTTCTCTCAACATGTCGTGTGGATGAAGAATTCCGATCTTGGCAAAGCAGCTGCTACGCATTGTGATGGACCATTAGGCAATAACGTGGCCATGTGGTATCATGCAGCCGTGAGACCCCCGCTTCGCTGTTTCAATTGTTGATGCTGATATCAAAGACCTTCGCAGCTCTTCAGCCATCTTTCGTATCTCGATGTTGCAGCCTCAGTCACCCAGTCTCTGTCTCACTTCCTTCAACGCATTCTTCCTCTGCGTCCTCCCGTCTTCTTCGCTAGCGAACTAGCACGCACAAGGCCTAGACATTACACGGTTTTCATGCTCGAGCCGACGTTCATCCTAGCCGATCTGACCTCTCCTCCTGGCCAATCACCGGATCAGCGCGTCCTGACGTATCTGGATGCACTGTTAGACTTTGCGGACACTATCAAGCCTGGTCCGATTGAGGGGAAGGTGGACAATGATCAACGGTTCTTTGCCAAGCTTGCGTGGTTCAGGAAGCGCTTGTCAGTCTGGAAGGGCCACGCATCCTCTCTCCGCTTGGATGATAGTCTGTGGGAAGGAGGTTGGAACTAATTTGCTAAACTGCTCTGGAGCGCGATCTGAGATCCGAGCTCATTATAATTGTCGTGCATATGTGTTGTATTCGTAGAGATCTACCGATCTCATTGCACTCAATAGGTCCTGAACAATCTTGACCTGACCCGACCATCATTAATCACTTGGTCTCCATTCGGTGGGCGAAGAGGAAACTTTCCGGGCCGATTGATGATAACATGATCCGATTGCTCATCGGCTGGTGGATTCGCAAATCGACTCGGGGGCTCGATAGGCGGAGGGACTACGGGATCGGGTCCTCCTCGGGGTTTGTAAATGAGGATGATGATCAAGCCGACGATAATGAGGATGAGGAGAAGGATACATTTCCGACGTCCAGTGTTCGCTTGGTATCTGAGTAGAGATCAGCACATGACCACCGGGTCCATATATACCTCTGAGCGACGACCAGCTCTTCTTCGGCACCCTTAAGTTCAGTGACCGTCTGCTGAACATTGTACTCCACGCTGTCCAAGACCGTGCCTTGTTCCACTACGAGATTGCCCAAATCCCGAAAAAGATCCGCGAGCTCAGAGATCGAGGATGCGATCTGAGTGATCTCGTTGGTGCGTTGATCTAAATCCACATCCATAGCGACTTGAGCTTCAGACTGGAGCTGGGTTTTGCTCTGAAATCAACGGTCAGCATGATACTCCAACTCCCTTGCTTCTGACATCTGGATGACATTACCCACCGCATGCTCATCTTCCTGCAGATCATCGATCATGTCTGATCCTCGCAGACTGATAGCTCCACTAGCCACGAGGAGATCCTTGTTTTTGATCGCGTGGCCTTGCAGCTCTACCCCTCTCAGCAAAGTGCCATGAACCGTAACCCACTCTTCATGTATATCCGTTGTTTCTTCCTAAATTGTCCAGAAAGATCCTGTATTCGCTGTGCTAGACCTCGCTGAACATTCTTTGCCGTCGTGGTCTCCACGTTGGAGGCATTCTTCAGAGGTCGTATGGTCCCAATGAGTTTCGTACAGCGCCTCAGGTCCTTAGGTCCTTTTGTCAGCTCGATGTTGTCACCAAATGACGAAGATCTCACTCTTGTGATGTCTGTCGTCTGCCTCTCTATCTCTCGCTCCTCTGCTGACCTGTCTGTAAATCCTGGAAGAGCATGTTTGGCGTGCAACTTTTCAAGAGCATTTACTGGATAGAGAGATGGAGTGAGATGGGATCGTAGACAGGCGCGCTCACTCTTCATAGGTATACGTTCAAGAGTCTCCTCAATCTCATCTCTCGTATCTACCCTGTAGCGAAAAGTTAGACACCATTTCTTGATGCAGGGACCCCTCATGGCTCACCACTTCGGTGGCAGACCTTTGGTGTCCCTAGCTCCCAGTAGCCCTTCCTCCTCGTCTGTTGCATCCATGCGATTCCCATACTGACCCTCTGGACTCCTCTTTGGGCCTCTACGCGGTGTGATGGAGCTGTCCCGAATCGACAAGTAGAATAGTGTCCTTGATCGCGTTATACCAGTCAATGTCGATGCAGAGGAAGACGAAGCATTGGAAGTTTGACCAAAAGTGGGTGAGCTTGGAAACGTCGAGCTTGCCGTGTTGGCCGGTGAGACGGGCAAAAATGGACTTGACATGGTGAGGCCAACATTCAGTGGTCCTATGTCGCTATCTGAGTCTTCCTCGCCATCCGAGTGATCTCGCTCGTCATCAATACCCGTCGATACGCTGAAATCAACCACCGAACGCGGAATCAAAATATCCCACGTGGGACTGACTCGTGGTGTGACGCATCGAGATTTCTGTTGTCCAAGTTACTGATCATATAGTTATTGCTGATACAACCCTCAGAGTCACGGCGAGAGAGCCAGAGTTACACAGGGCACCAGAGGCCAAGTAAGCCGCTGCAATTGAGACTCAATATACTTTGGGGCGGTCGCGATGAATCACGGACGATACGATGATGATGAGGGTGAGCTATCGACCTGTTCGCCGCTTGGATTACCAACTATGCTGACTGGATCATCTCTTCGTCACTGCTCTTCTTTCACCTGCTCCCTGTCTGAAACTCTGGACCTTCCACTCTGCGTGTAAAATGAACAGACGACGAGATCGAGATCCCAGTCGCCCGTCCTCCAGCCGGTCCCAGTAACTTATTAGCTCAGCTCATGGGTGGAAGTAGAGGTTTTGGATTCGGTGGGATGGGATTCGGAGGGTATGGCATGGTACCGCCTCCCAGGTAAGCAGTCAGCCGTATCGAAGGTATTGCCGCCTTCTCACTCGTCTTTAGTGCTTTCGACGAGTATTACAAGGCGTACTCAGTGGCGGTCATGGGGGGCAACGAACGATCAGAGCTCTTGTACGGTGGAAAAAGTGGATACATCTCGGATCACCTTGACTGAGTGGAAGCTGATGCGACTCGTAGTTGTCATGCCTCCTTCTGCACTTGCCAAGCTCTGTGCGTCTTCCATCCTGTAAGGAAAGCGGCTGACGTACCCATAGCTGCAATGGAGATCCCCAGTCCCTGGACCTTTCACCTGCGCAATCCACGGAACCCGAAAGTCAATCAAACGCATGCAGGAGTCTTAGAATTCATTGCGGACGAAGGAATCGTCCACCTGCCAGCCTGGGTGAGCCGGAGGTTCCTCGACTCTTGGACGTCTATTGAGCTTATCCCTACAGATGATGAAAGCACTGGAAATCAGTGAAGGAGATCCGATTCGATTGACAGGTGCCGAGCTACCTAAAGGAAAGATGGTCAAGATTCAAGCGCAGAGTACTGCCTTCCTTGAAGTATCTGATCCAAAAGCAGTGTAAGTCGATACCTACAGCGCAGTGGACAAAGCTCATCCACTTTTCCAGGCTCGAATCTGCGCTTCGGTTCTACTCCTGCCTGACGAAAGGAGACATCATCGAGATCACATACAATTCTCTCGTCTTTGAATTCCTCATCATGGAGACCACACCGGAAGGAGCCGGTATCAGCGTCATTGACACCGATTTGGAAGTTGACTTTGCCACGCCTGTGGGATACGTCGAACCTCCTCGACCCGCTCCCGCTCCGATCCCCACGATGGCTGATAAGCTCAAGATTGACCTCGGTGGAACGACAACAGGATCTGCTGGATCCAGTCGGTCAGTCTCTCGCGCGTCTGGAGGCTCGGGAGAGAGTGGTCCTCTGGAAAGCTTCACTGGTGTTGGACAGAGTCTGAGTGGGAAGAAAGTGAAAGGCAAGGGACTGGCTAAGAAGATTGAAGAGGTGGACCCAAAGAGCAGAATCAACAGGAACGGGTAAGTGGACCAGTAAAACAAGACTCTGTCTGAGACACCTCTCAGGGGGAATCGTATCGTCACACCCGACTCTCTCACGGATGATCGCAAAGTCCCTGCTGCTCTCGTCCTCCCTGAGGGCAAATTTTTCTTTGGCTACAAATACATACCCTTCGACTCGTCCAAACAGCCGAAAAAGGTCGAGGCACCAAAGTCACCAGACCCGTTCCAGGGTCAAGGCGAGACGCTTCGAAAGACTGGTGGCATCTCACGTCCTCAGCCAGTATTGAGTGGGCAAAATGGTACTGCACCTGAATCAGTCGCAGTGCCGTCGCCGGAAGAGAAGATCGATCCCTGGGCGAAACTTGGATCTGGAAACACTCTCCGACCCAAACGACCCGCGCCATCGATGCCGACACCTGAGCCAGCTCATAATCGAGTCAGGTCGAATCAGCCTGCGGCACCTCCACCTCCATCAAACGTTATTGATGCGACTATGCTGGACGAGGATGATTTTGGCTTTGTTGACAGTGACGACGATGAGCACGAAGTCATTGAAATCGATTCGGACTGACATCGGTGAAGAGGCCAGCCTTTTAGAGAGCGAGATCGTATCACCCCCCCCCCCCCACATAAGCATGTATATATACATATCATGACATGAAACCCTTGTAGCATCGACAAGGGGATTTGTATCTCTAGAATTATCAAATTTATGCCTCGGCTCATGTCCTCTTCAGTCTCTCCTCGTAAGCCTCCCATCCAGCTCGTCTGTATTTCTCAGCCTCTGCCTCCATGGCGTCTTTCCCGCCTTTGACTCCGTATATCCCTCTTCCAACGATTATGACATCGCACCCGCTGTCCAGAATGACATCCCGAGGCGTCCGATATTGTTGACCCATCTTGTCACCTCCTTGGACCAAACCCACCCCCGGAGTGAGCATCAGCCAATCTTCCTCCTCTTCCGGATCCACACGGGACATGGCGATGAAACCAACGACAAATTCTCTCCCGGCCTCTTTGGCCATTTGCATGGTCTTCTTCGTATACTCTCCAGTTGCCAGATTGCCCTTTGAAGACATTTCACCGAGCAGAAGGAGAGCTCGACCGAGAGGTAGGCCAACAGATGACAGGCCAGTGATGATGCCAGGCCCAGGGATAGGATGAGCGTTGGTCAGATGCGCCCATGAGGCGATGGCCAGTGGTCCAGATTGGTACTGGTGCACGACAGTATTGCCTGGGTGAAAGCATAAGAATCACCTCTGTCGGACATCAGAAAACTTGGACTCACCGATATCTGCAAACTTTCTGTCCTCGAATATGATAAAGTCTAGCTCCTTTGAAAATCTGACGAGCTCGTCCGCAAAAGCTGAGGAAAAGTCAGAGATGATATCGGCGTGTGTCTAGTAGACTCATGTTCAGCTCAATTCATACAATTCCAGCGATTTTGAAAACCTACCTTGACCATGCAGACTTTCGATCCTACTCCTCTGACTATTTCCAGGACCTCCGCTGTATTGGTCACATCTATACTGACACAGAGATTGCTCTGTTTTCTCTCCATGATTTCGAGAAGGCGTTTGGCCGTGGGATTGGAATGGAGAGAGACCCTCGAGCCATAAGTCTTGAGGGTCGTAGGATGTACGGACATGATGGCGACGAGTGCTTTGGTTCGGTAATAGCCGAGACAGATGACGGATCGACAACGGGGACTGTAGTGCACAGGTGATCCAGGCCAGCCAGATCAGTTCAGGACTTCGGGCGATTTGAAAGATCACGAAGAACTGACTTGAGATTAGTGAGGACGGAGCGAGAAGGCGGACTGCTTCCAAAGGCTTTATAGTCACTCGTTCGACACTCAGATCACCTTCTAGAATGCGAAGCCGCGCAGGAGGACGAGGACGAAGTAGCAAGATGTGTCGAGTCTGGATGATAATAAGCTGAAGCGACGACGATCTCCGTAAAATATTTTTCTTTTGGGTTTTTGTGAATAACCGGGGCGCCGGCCAAAAGAATACATTGCAAAACTACTGCGTCCTGGCCCAAGATGAGATTACATGCAACACATATGAGACTACAATATGGTACCCAAAAGAATGCTACTCTTCTACCGGCGAATGGCCATCCGTTGATTCTGGTCGTTGCCAGTTGGGGTCGTACCGTGGTGGCAACAACTCAATGTTGGGTCCAGCGGATCCGGAATCTTCCTCTTGAACGACCGAAACCTGTTGCGCTCGAGCTCTACTTGAGCTGCCGGGCCTCGAGCTCAGGCTTGCTGACGTGTCTGTCTTGGCAGAGCCAAGTCGCAGATTACTCAAGGAAGACCGCAAACGAGAAGTCGGTGATGACGTATCCGTTGTACGTATCGTCGGTCTCGCGGATGCCTCGGGGGAAGACCAAGCGCTCAATGACGCGTTATGCAAAGCTTGGTCCTCGAACAGCGCAGCTTGCTTATCCCTATATCTTGAGAAATCTTCAAGCTCTGGGACAGAGTCCGAGTGATCATCCGCTGTCTTGTCAGTGACCGCAAGTTCTCAAGACACTCACCTAAGGAGGGTACACAGTCCACGGGTGTGACCGGCTCCGATGATACCCCCAGCTCCATCGTCGAGAAATTGACGGGTCTGGATGTGGTCAGATTGTCTCATGTTAGAGCACGTACTTGACTAAAGCTACTTGGCGCGACCGACGACGACGAACCAGCCAGAAGACCAGGCCGGCGAGAATGAGCAGTAGAGACAGCCCGACCTTGATAGTTAGCTCCATTGCAGGGGTGGCAAACTCACCGAAAGACCGATGATCAGGGACAGATCCGGACCGTCGTCGTAATCGGGAGAGCCCGAGCCATCATCGGAATCCGTGTATCCACTGAAGGATCAGCGATAAATCTTCCATTTGAGCCTCACTCGTCAGCCAAGAAGACCACACTGCTCAGACCGTAAATGCTCTCATCGGGACCGAGATTGGTGATTTCAAATCGATACTCCACAGTTGGGTCGAGGACGTGCACATATTGGACGACGTTGAGTCCGTACCAGGGAGAAACGCCCATCATCGGCACAAGGATCGTCTGATTCGCGGGCGGATTGTTGCTGTTCGAGGTGTTCGGGGACGAAGAACTGGACACGGAAAAATTGCCGTAGGCTGGTCCAACATTGCCGAACAGGATGATGGCTGAAGAGTTGACAGGAGCATCGAAGGAAAGAGTGGAGAAATTGGAGCCGGAAATAAGCTGTACCGGAGCCTCTGTGATGAGCAGTCAGCTACAGCACCGAATGTGAGGCCACGCACGGGTAGCGATCGATTGCAAGGACCAATCGTCACCGTCTGATCCCGAGAGATTGAAAGCAGGATTGATGGGATGCGTTGAGCTTCCATTGGTCGCCAAGTAAGTAGTGTTAAAATCGTCCTGTCTGCGTTTATAGTCAGACAGAGGTCGCAAAATGCAAAGTGATAATGACTCACATGTTCAAAGTCAAGGTGAAACCTGTAAAATACAATCTTCCGCTCCCTTCATAGTAAATTGTCGCATTGTGCCAGCCCGCGCTGACGCCGCTGATCATCCCCAATGTCCCATTGACGGGGTCGTACGACGAGACATTCTTGCCGTCAATGTTGAGTGTTGTATTTCCATACGCCAACGATGCATTGCCCTCGCCTCCGCGCGCCGTGATGTTGCCCCAGGCATAGAGCGAAATGCCTGAAAATTGCATCGATATGGAAGCATCTGTGGCCTCTGTCCAGTGAGTCGAACATCCCTGTCCTACGGGTCCACTGGTGATGTCCACGCCTGACCACGAAACCTCAGAGTATGTGATATTCCAGCTGGCCTCTTTGGTCGTCTTGTTCGTGATCCCGCTGTCGACCCATTCGGGATGGAACGACACCAGTGGTGACTGGTCCGATATAAAGATATTGGTTTGAGCCAAGATGGGACGACATAGCCAGACGCTCAGCAGCAGGTAAATCATATGAACGAAGGACATTTTGCTCCCACGCCCACTCGCACGGGGGGATGCCAGATCCCAAGCAAGCGAAAGCGAGTTCGATGAGCAGAGAAGATGGTTGATCTTGTGAGAGAGAGATCGAGAGAAGAATGGAGAAAATGGGAAAGAATGGATGGGGGACGGAGAGACAAAGTCTGAGCCACCAGATGCAGCCACGAAAGTGGGAGAAGGGAGGGCAAAGGGGGGTGTCACCTCGAAGCAGCTCCCGGGGAAGGCACGATCCGGTTGGAAGAAAACTTTTCCTAATGAGCGTTCCTGATCTTCATTACAAAAACGATGAAAACTTTTCTAATCCAATCTACAGATCTGTAATGAAAAGGTTTTCAAGGGGTGAACAATGCCCCGTTGGGTAATCTCGACTGTGTCCATTCCACCACCTTGTTCAACGGAGGGAACGTCCTGGCGACTGCTTCGTCACACTCGACGCCTATACCAGGCGCTGTGCCAGGGTATATGAACCCATTATCAGGCTCAGGCGTATTGGGAAACACTCGCTTGGTGCTATCAGCCGCTGCCGTGTACTCTTGAACCGCAGCGTTCGTCAAGAAGATGTTGAGGTGTGTGTTGACTGCCACGGCTATTCCCGTCATATCTCCTGGACCATGCCAGCCTATGCGAACGCCGAATGTCTCACAAAGGGCGCCAAGCTTGAGAGCAGGTGTGATGCCACCGATGTCAGAGATGTGACATCGTATAAAGTCGATCTGTCGATTGACAATCAAGTCTCGCCATTCGTGAGGGTGAGCAAAGAGTTCTCCCATGGCCAAAGGCACCGAGGATTGTGCCCTCAAGTTGGCGAACCATCCACTTTGCTCCGGGGAGAAGATGTCTTCGATCCAGTAGGGCCTGTACGGTTCAAGAGCCTTTGCCAATTGAATGGCTTGAGACGCCCACAGTCGCTCATGAACGTCATGAAGGAACTGAAGCCTGTAGCCATATTTCTCCCGTAAAGCCTTGAACATGGTGATGGTGTTCTCGATATACTCGTCTTGATCATAGTACGCTCCATGTGTAGGATTCTTTGTCGAGTGCATGTGTTTCGGGACACCCCCATAGATGCCAAGCTGACATCGTATATGCGTGTGACCCTGGGCAATCTTGGAATCCACGGAAGCGAAAAGCTCGTCTAAGGTGTTCCCACTGGCGTGAGTATAGACGGCTATGGCGTCTTTGGATTTCCCGCCCCATAGCTGGTACAACGGCATGCCAGCGAGCTTTCCCTTGATGTCCCAAAGGGCCATGTCCACGCCAGCTACCGCATTGTTGCCGATAGGTCCATTCCTCCAGTACGAGTTGACAGACAGCATGTGCCAGAGGTCTTCGATATTGTTCGCATCTCGGCCCTTGAGTAGAGGCAAGAGGTATTCATCCACCACGGTCTTGACAGCCAAAGCACGCTGAGTGAAGGTCGCGCAGCCCCAGCCATGCACCTCGCGATCCGTCAGGACCTTGACGACGACCAGATCGATACCGTCCGGGCACGTCAAGAAACACTGGACATCAGTGATAATTGTTGGTCGCATGGTCAGACGTCAAAGATGCCAAGAGTGGGGCGAGGCGAGGTAACGGAATCTCGGAATGCACCGGCTTTAGACGGTTCCGCAACAGCGAATCGCACTGTCCAAAAATGGCATTCGACGAGATCCCAGATCAGGTGAAGGGAGATAGCACCGACATTCATCCGGTACATATGGCACAGTTGCTACTCAGGGCTGGGTAGTGGTACAGCTTCCGATTTTGGATTGGAGTCTGTGGTCCAACTTCAGACAGATCCGGAGCCTAGCCTCTGCAATACAAATAAATAGGACCACATTCAGACAGGCCACTTCACTCTTAGAGCGCTCTAATATCCACTTTCTTGCGTGCACCTCCTCATCTCACGACCTATGCTTAGCAGGAATGCAGCTCCTCGATCACGGCGTGGCGTGGAAAAGCGCAGGATTCGCTTCTCCGCTTAAGATTTTATTACCCCACTTGCACTACGACGCCTCGCGCGGCTGAATACTGCCCCGGGCAAGGTAGTTCATGACTCCTCAAATCTCATGTCGAGCCAAGGTTCAAGGACTCGGGAGAATGAGAAGCCGATTGTGAGGTGAAGCCATATTCTATATATTGACACTAGGCTGCGATGAGACCATTCGGAACCATCACTTAGCCACGATGAACACAACTCATAATGAAAAGGACCACAAAGACCTCGAAATCTCCCACGTGGACCATGTCGTCCCTCAGACTGAGCTTGGCGACAAGGCAGCCGATATTGGCATGGCACTGTCCAAGTTGAGGTTCGATGAGCTCTCAATCCCACGCACAATCTGGGTCTTCCGCAGATCTGTCCTTGTGTGTCTCGCAGTCTATACCGATTACGTCTGCGAAGGGTTCGAGCTCGGCGCAGGTGGCAGCATTGTGGCAAACCAAGGATTCATCAAACAATTTGCGACCGTCAAGGATCAGACAGGCGTCAGAGGTCTTGATCCTACATGGCGTAAGTCATAAACATTGACTCCGCTCTGACGACAGTATCTACCTGGAGTGCTTTGCTGGTGAGTTCTGCATGGGGGGGTTCATGTTGAAAACCTAGAATGTTGGACAAATCGTCACTTTCACCCATATTTCTTGGTATGTTCTCCAGGCTTGGTCCAAGGTGCCTAGTCTCTGATTTGGATATTCAGGGTCGCAGATCGTTTCGGTAGAAAGGTATCGTTCTACCTAGCATGGGTATGGCTCGTTGTGGTACGTTGCCCGTCCCATTCTTGCTAAGTCTAGGGCTGTGTGTTCCTCAATACGGCAAAAACTCCCTCTGTCTGGGTAGGTTGTTGGATGTGTGATTCGACTGACCTCTCAGGCATTGGCCAAGCTCTGCAATGGTGCCGGTATCGGAGTTCTACAGTAAGGTCCGAAGAACCTTCCCAGCTGATTCACAGAATCACCTGCCAAGTCTACGCCATGGAGATCTGCCCAAATCGCATTCGTGGCGGAATGATCACCTTTCAAGCCGTCTGGTCTAATATCGGAGGCATTGTCGTCGCCGTCATGATGCAACAGTTGAATCAGAAGCATCCGGACGATTATCTGCTCGCTATGCGGATTCTTTGGGCGCCGATCGGCCTCATGATCGTCTTCTGGGCGTTCGTCCCGGAATCCCCTTGGTTCCATGCCAGACGGGGTGACGGTGAAAAGGCCCTTAGATCGCTGCGTCAATTATACGGTAATGTGCCTGGGTATGACTTTGAAGAGGAATACGGTATCATCCAGAGGACCATCGCCCACGAGAATCTGTTGTTGGATAACAAGCCGTCATTCAAAGATGTATTCCGTGGGCTGAACCTTGTACGTGTGGTCACAGAAGAGTGGCACTGATTGGCGGCAGAGACGCACCTTGACCGTGATGATCCTGGCCGTATGCCAACAATTCGCGTGAGTCACAAGCCATTGATTTGGTTTTGACCCGTTCTCAGAGGTCTCACTATCATCAACACCTATTCCACCTGTCAGTTTGGTGATGAGTGCTGTTACGAGGGACGGATAAGAAGCTCTGTCCCGGCCGAGGATGGTCTTGGCAAGGTCTAGAGAACAATAAGCACCAATGTCCATAAGCATGGACCTTCGACCGAGCCAGGATCGTATATAGAGGTACTGCAGGTCTAGCGAGATCGATGCATTTCTTTCCTGTAACTGTAACAAGTGCCTCGCTGAATGGTAGACTTCTTCTCCCTCGCCGGACTAGCAGATCCTTTCCTTGGAAGCGTCATTCTCTCGTGCGTCTCTCAAAGCGGTCTAGACTGACCGTCAGTTGCTGCAATCTCTTGGCGATCATGCTCTGGTCAGCCTTCACTGACAAACTCGGACGACGTCTCATCATCAATTACTGCGAGACCTTCGTCACGATCATTCTTTTAGTCGTCGGCGGGATGTATTACACCGGTGCCACACCTGGTAATGGTCAGACCGAGTCCACGAACGCTGCTGCGTCTAACGGCTTGGTGAGCGCGCTCAGATCGTCCCATCACTCATTCCATAGCTCGTCATCTGTTGCTTCTGGACTTTTGCATTCCAGACCATCGGCATGTCTTACTATCTGTACTCGGCAGAGCTTCCAACGGCTGTACTGAGGAGTGAGTTCCTCAATCGCAGTGGTCAAAGCTGACTATGTCCAGTCCGAACGGGTCCAGTGACCTTTTTCACCAACTCGATCACGGGCATCGCAAGCTGCTACGCGACGCCGCCGCTCTTGCTGGCCTTGAATGTCAGAGCCGGCTTTGTATACGGCGCGTTCTCCGTCCCATGCTGTATTGTCATGTGGTTCTTCATTCCAGAGACTAGGGCGTAGGTGTTGTGTTATAGGCTGGGCTGACGCACAGTCGTTCCGCTGCAGAGATAGACGAGCTGTACGAGAAGAGGATCCCGGCATGGCGATGGTCAAAAACCGTCACAGACGCGGAGCTGCAGATGCGGAAGGCGGTAGCAGCGAGAAGTGCCCGGGTAGCAGTGGCATGAGATGACCGCCCTCGTCTTTGTGAAGACCTTGCGTGTTGAAATGATCGATGCCGTGCCCTAAGTAGCCTTCTTGAGCCATTCGAAATGGAATAAATGACCTCGTATACGGCGAAGGTATAAGGAATAGAGGATTCCTCCAGTGACTACTGCTGCCCAGCTGACCAAGGCGGTGTATCGAAATCTATCTGGCGTCGCAATAAGGAGCGTCAAAGCATATTTGAGCAAGTCGAACATGTTGGCCAGCGAGCTCTGCAGGGCAGTCAATTGATTCCGCATGGGATGGGTATCCAGAGCAAGTTGAAGCTCCTTGAGCTGTGCAGTGTCAGCCAATTTTGGGTCTTCCACCTTACTTGGCACAGATCGAAGGAAAAAAGCCCGATGCGTGAGAGAGCAATACCTGTGTATAAGCTAAGGATCGATGCCGGAACAAACCTCCGAACAGGACCGCCGAATTCCAGAATGAACCTTTTGACCCGTACTCTGGGGCGCCGATAAAGAAGGCTAAAACCACTGGACCCAGACACGACGCCTCGAACCAGATAGACCATGCGCCAGCTCTCTCGAGACCTAGCCACGTCTCCAACAGTGGCATGATGACGGTGCCCAACAGTCCAGTCAGAACGCACAGGCCCTGTTGCGTCAGTTCGGTCAAGATGGCCGCCTACTCTCATGCCTGCGATGAAAGCATCGTCCCACCCTCTCGCAGATTTGATGTAGGCGATGAAAGTCCCGTCTAAGTATCAGCAGGATCCTTCGTCTAACATGCTCACCGTACGATAAAGTTGTGAGATACAGACAAGCGATAGACAGGGAACCTTGACGTCAGCTCGAGGCGGTATGTATGAGCTCACTCCAGAATACCGGTAGAGAGATGAAGGTAGACCAGGCTTCCATCTCTCGTGACAACCACGCCGCCCTGGAGGACTCGGTCGTGCGCTCCCGTGCATGCGTTCGCGGATGCTGAAGTATTGGGAATGCTCGATAGACCACTTGAAACCACAATAGTTCCGCTGCAAGACTGAATCCTGAGAAGCATAATAAGATCATGGTCGTCCGTTGATACCCAAGAAGAGTCGTCAAGAGAGATACTATGAGCTGGGATGTGGTTAGCGAACCTCATCAGCCAAGTCACCTACCGGTGCGCCCAGCTTGCTGCATAGATCTATCCGTCTCATCCATGCGTTTAACATTGTCAAGTGATGAGCATCGCCATTCGCGATAGTCGAGACCCTGATCGTCAATCGGATGCAACGTTTACACCTCACTCACCAGTCTCGTTCAAATGCAACGTTCAGACCGGTCTTGGCAATCGCCAGAAAGCTCGATGCACTAACGATGACAAAGATGGCGCACCAGATGATGAGGTTCGTTGACCATGTCGCTTTGAAGTGGAATGCCAGCGAGGCTACCGATTCGAGCGGTCCAAAGAGGCCTGCGGTCATCAGCTACGAACACACAGATGCTGATCACCTGCAAAGACTGTATATATGACAATATAGAGGATCTGAGCTGTCAGTCCAGTCTGAAAGAACTCCCTTACCTTTTCGGCGCCAACTATCCATTTCACGAATGTCAGACGATCAGTGGCATCAACCAGACCTCCGATCCAGCCGGATAAAGATAATCCAGTCAAGGTGGATACCAGACCGACGAGAGACGAGGGCACGAGCGTGTCCCGAAAAATCTCAATGACTGGAGGGATCAGCGATGTCAATGATCATGAGAACAAGCTCACGAAACAAGAAGCAGGAGAATTCGTACAGGCCTGTGACCACTGAACTGTGCGGGATCAGCTCAAACGACGGCGTAGTACAGACTTTGAAAGGTGTTGCAGGAAGAAGCATGCTAAGGCTCGTGCAGGAAGGATGACTGGGGAGCTATCCACAATCTGCTCCTCCAATAGCAGCGGCTCTAAATGCTCAAGCCGCTCACTGGCCTCGACATCTTCGGACAGGGGCATCTCGGTAGAGGACGAAAACTGCAAAGCTGATCTCCGAAGACTTCATCGGTCTTTCACCAGCATGCCACGTGGCATGGCCCTCCTCAACCTCAAGACACGGCATTGATCTTGATACCACCAAACAGGTCATGATCAGAACCTGAGAAGGGACTGATACCCTGGACAGTACTTAGTCAATGCATGCATGATTCCTCGGGACCAGCTGCCTCCCAATCAGCTGGAAGTCGAATTTGACTTGACCGGTTGCCATATTTATTAGCCGAGATTGGATCCTCAGATTTGGCTTTGACTCTGTGGAACCGTTCACTTCAGTACAGATAACATCCATTCCATGGCGTCGAATGAGGATGCTGGTCAGCCTCTGTTCCCAGATGCCGGCCCCTCGAACCCTCATCGGCCATCGATCTTCGAATTCCTGGGCCAAGATCAGCTGAGGGATCTTTTCCACCCTGTGATACGATACATCCTATCTGTGAGCTTGTGGGACCAGCTTTCTTTCTGACTATGCGTAGTACTTTGCTCAACGATATCCGAGATACCTTTTGAGAATACTGAATCACCATGAAGAGTTCTTCGCCTGCGTCATGTTACTGATCGAGCGTCATCATCTCAAGAAGCATAGTGAGGACGGGATATGGTAAATATTCTGATCCTCACAGATGCCTCTGTATCGGAGCACTTTCATCAACTTTACCATGTCCAGGCGACGAGATACCCTAGGACTCACTCATCTGCATTTCAGCGACCTGGAAGGCTGACGAGAAGGCAGAGATGGGGCTTGTTGGTCTTTCTGGTAATTCCCAGACTTATCGGCTACGCTTACACCCAGGTCGGAATTCCATACCTGCGAGCGAGAGCTCATAGCTACTACGAGGAACTTGGAGTCGGTGTCAACGATAGGGATAGTGAGATTTCCGTACTCCCAAGGGTAAGCCTTCCTGTTCCTCATCGCTCACACGTACAGAGAGCCAAGCTGTTCAAGGCGATATACCCCTACCTCAACCTCACGTTGGACGCTACATTCCTCGCTTACGACTTGCGCTATCTCTTTGGAGCCTCGGATGTGTACAGACCCTGGCACGCATGGCTTGGAACAAGCATACAGCGCAGGGAACAAGACGAGATAGAGGTGAGCAGAAGCCGCTTCATCGTCCAACATCACTAATCGTATCAGGGATCCGACTCAACCTGGACCAGGCTTGTGCCTCCTCTCCTGCCGCCCCTGCTCCTTGCCTTGAAGCTCAGTCAATGGTGGTATTCGCCCTCCTCTCCAAGGGATATATCCCTCAACTTTGATACAAACATTCGATCAAAAATTCATCGCGCCATTCCTCCGCCGAAACCTCTCCCGATTCTGCCTCAGAGCGGATTGCTCCCACAGCGATCGCCGCCGGGTTCACCACCTGAGATGGCAGACCCAAGCGCTACGGGGCCTGATCTCATCTACACAGTGGACGATGAGATGTACGGCAAATGCCCTTTGTGCAATAAGAACTGGCAAAATCCAGCTATCTTACCCAGCGGATGGGTCGTCTGTTGGAGATGTGGCTGGGATGCTATCGCAGGTACCGACGACGTCGATCAATCAGGCGGAACTTCTGAGAATACAAGACGTCGCGGCAAGTGCCCCTTCACAGGAATGGATGTCAGCGTTGGCCAATTGAGGCGAGTCCTCATCTGAAATCCCCATTGGTCAAGGCATCAGTATATGCATATAGTCATGAAGAATTACAACCAAGAGGTCATTCGTCAGGCGGCGAGCTTCATCATGTGGAGATCTCTGGACATCCGAGAGATGATTCTTCACTCAGAGTCGGAGAGCGCCGTTGGGGTGTCGGGAGAAGAGACGACACGAAGGATGGAAGCCTGGGGCAAAGTCAGTGACGGCGCAAAGGACGACGATCTACCTTCCATTCCTCCTTATCGCCATCCAGGTAGGTAACGGAGACGACCTCAAACTGTGGCATATCAATTGACGTTCTGGACGATGGATGCATGACGCTCCAACTCACCCTCGCATCCCGTTTGAGACTGCTCAGGAGCTCGGATGCATCGCCAGGGGGAATGGTCAAATCTCGGTCATGCAGGCGCAGATTACCTGCGGACCAGATGGAGAACGTTGTAGAGCTCTGCTACCTGTCAGCGGGGGCTCGAGAAAACAGACTGCGCCTCACCTCTTGGGCCACCAGTCGATCATGCAGGTCATCTGGAGATCTAGAGTAGGCGGAAGAAGACGAGCCTGTGGACGCGGTGGAAGAGACGGAGAGGATCTGGTGACTTTGGGAGCGACAAAAGACGCGTCAAGCGGGGTGAATGGACGGACGGTGAGTGACATGACCGGTGTTGTCGTTGTTGATGATGATAAGGATTAGTGGCGATGAGACAACGAAATGGGAGAGGAATCACCAGGTCGCAACCCCTTATATGCCTCAAGGCTTGATCTCTTTTATGCACTCATATCATTCCCATCACGCCTCCCCACTCTGCCTTGTCTTTGAGTCCCTCAATCACGCTCCGATTGCGGTATGGACACCAGGAATCCGAGGGTGCTTCATGCGCGATATTTCACGAGACATGAAGATTTCAGCTTTGCCACAGGGAAGGCGCAGAAAGAGAGAGAGTGTGTGTGTGTCTGTGTATGTGCATGTCAAGTCTAATCTCAAACCACTCTATCTCCGCTTCAGCTGGGGCGGGGGCGGCGGCGGTGGAAGAAGGGGGGCGGGGCATTAACCATATGATCCCATGCGGTCGCGCGCACCCTCAGAAATGGTTTCCGCCACACTTGGCACTCCCTCCTCTGCTGCTTGCCTCTGCGTCATCTCCCTTTCACCCTCTTTTTTTCCTTTCCTTTTTTTTAATTTGTGGCACAAGAGTTATATTTACCACAACTACTTTACCAGATCTTCGGAGAGAGCGGGGCGTGCTGGGCTTCCATAGTTGGCTGGATCATTATAATACCTTTGGAACTGGGGGAGCGGGTTCTGAGTGGAATCCCTTCACGCCGAGATACACGCAAAAGGCAACCAGGTGAAGAGCTGCTGCTGCTTGAGCTGGACTCTTGACATTTAGACACATACACCCCCCTGGACACAAAATCAACCTCTCAGAAAGGACCTGCCAATCAGTCCCTCAGTCCATTCGGCGATCCATTTGTGTGCGCTGTCGAACATAGAAGCATCGCCTTGACTCAAAGGACTCGTCAAGGACCAATAAGATCCGCCCGCTCCTTTCGCAGAGTGTATCACAACAACCACAACAATAAGGAACGTTCTGCATCGCAAAGGAGGTACCACTCGATCTCGCCCCGAATACGGACGTGGGGTAACATTGGTTCGGCGTATTGATCACCTGTACAATTGCCGTCACCTATATAGCTCGCTCCATCGCCACTGGCAGAACTGGTCCATTCTATCTCTCTGAGCACCGCGAGACAGGTAGCTAACACTACCAGCATCGCCATCGGTACCTTTCGATCTACTGGGATTCATCTCGCATCCGGTCAATCGCTCCGATAGTTACTGGTCGATAAGGGCGATAATCATCAGTCCAGACTTGCGAAATCCTTATCTTTGACTATCTCTGCAGCTGTCAAAGCGAGCCTACCTCGCAGTCAGCCCACAGATCAGCATTTCGTCCGCTCCACACGACGATCCTTCTTTCGATCTAGCGTCATTTCCTCGATCAGTCGCCTCTTTAAAGGTCATCCGATCTTCTATCTCAAAATCTACAATTCATCATGGTCTCCTCACTTGAAAAACGCATCATGCTCACCAAGCTTGCTTCCAAATGTACCAGTCCACGGAGCTGTAGGGTGGGTTGAGCCGCCATGGGCTGATCGCTAACCCGTTCAGCTCTGCCACGGTCCATTGACCTTGCCCAACCCCAACGCCCCTCCTACGCGAGCCGAATCAATTATCGGTCAGGTTGACTGCCATCCCTCTTGTCTCCCATTCGCTTGCACTGGATGCGTGCAGAAAGTAAATCGATGAGCAAATCATCCATGCATGAACTGACCCCCATACCTTCGCAGGATCGCCAGTCGTACGGTCTCTGCAACATTGCCTCTTCCGACTCACGCTGCACCCTTTGCTCTGAAGAGGCTGAAGACGGCTGGAATGGCCGATTAACCACGACCATGTCAAGGAACGCCTCTCCCCCTGCTTCGCCGACATCCTCTGCGTCGTCTTCCGATGGCGGCCTGGGACTGTACTAGCACTAGCCCTGCTAATTCACATCTCGTCTTGTATCTAAGAAAATGCTCATCTTGTACATATCAGTGTAATCAATATATAAGTCTCTATGAGGATCTGATCAATGAGCCCGGGTCATGCATAGTGGTGGTACATTCCTCTTACATGCTCGCCCGTCATCTAGTCCTGCATGCCTAGTCGCCTCTTCTCCATCTCCAGTGCCTGTTCTCTCGCTCTTATCTCTGCCTTTGCCAGTGCAGAAGCTTGCTGCTTGGAAGGCTGGTGATATAGCACTGAAATGCATCTTCAGCCCAACTCGCCTCGTATAGGCAGGCGTACTCACCGACGATATATCTCTCCATCAAGTGGAATCCATTCAAGTGTGTCAAAGCCTCCCTCGCATCGTCCGGATTCTCATATACCACGTAGGCCGTGCCTTTCGTCTTGAGATTGGTATCGGTTCCTAAACGGACTTGACGGATGGCTCCGTACTTTCCAAAGAGGTCGTATAGGTCATTCCCAGAGATGTTGAAGTTGCTGTCGCAATGGTCAGCGTGATGGGAGACAGGGTAAGCTATGAGACACGTACAGGTTCTTGATGCTATGTAACTCCGTCAGTGAACCTCACGACATCGAAAAGAGTCACTCACAACAGAGCTCGCGAGGCCAGTGGGTCATTTGGCCGCTGCATGGTGATTCAGCCGGATGCTGACCGGATGCTGGTGAGGGATGCCGAGGAGCCCACACACCCTCCGCTGCTTGAGACTGGTCAGCGAGACCACAGCTGAGTATTCCTAAGTCGATACGAAGAGTACGTGCTATGGTGGCAAGTGATGTAGAGAGTGAGGTCAGAGGTGTTCCAAGTCATCTAAATGGTCTTGGTCGCTGTTGGGATAAAGTCTATTGGCAAAAATCCAACCAAAAAATAATTAAAATTGGAGGTGATGTACAGAAATGTTCAAAATTTCAGTCAGTGGGCAGTTCAACCACTCTCACCTCCATCCACCATGGCATCGGTCGAGACACTCCCCATCACTCTGTCTGCTCTCCCCTCGGGCTGGTCAAAGCCAGCTGCGGCTGCTCCCTCGGCTCCCTCCAAACTGCAGGTTTACCCTGCTGGCCCGTCCTTCATCTCGGCCGCCAGGCGACAGATCCTCCAACGGTCATTCGCTGAAGATGATGAAGCAACTGCCGCATCTCGTGCTGCGAAAGCTAACGCCGTCAAGAACGACGGAGAAGAAAACCTGTACCCTGGCTTGGGAGAGGAAGAGGAGTCAGCCACCGTTCTTGCCTCAGACCCCAAGGAATGGAAGAAGCAGGACCACTATGCCATTCTGGGTCTCGGAGGATTGAGATACACCGCTTCCGACGATCACATCAAGGTCGCCCGTGAGTGCAATCTTTCACTGAAACTTCCTGTGGCTGACATCATCTTTAGACCGTCGAAAAGTTCTCCGACACCACCCAGACAAGAAGGCCGGCGCCAACAGTGGCACGAACGATGATGCATTCTTCAAGTGTATTCAGAAGGCCCACGAAACCCTTACCAATACCGAAAGACGCCGTCAATTCGACTCTGTCGATTGGAACATTGCCGATGATGTGCCAAATCCTAAGACTGTCCCCGCCGATCAATATTGCTCCACGTTTGCCCCAATCTTTGCTCGAGAAGCTCGATTCTCGAAAGTTCAGCCTGTTCCAGGATTCGGCGATGACAACTCCTCAAAGAAGGAGGTCGAAGGGTTCTACGACTTTTGGTACAACTTTGACTCGTGGAGGAGCTTTGAATGGTACGACAAAGAGGTCAACGAGGGAAGCGACTCGTAGGTGCACATTGTACGAAAAGCTGGATGATACGCTGACTCTCGCTCGCATCAGTCGTGACGACAAGCGATTCACAGAAAAGAAGAACAAGTCTGAACGCGCACGCAGGAAGAAGGAGGACAATGTCCGACTCCGGACTCTCGTTGATGAGGTCCTCGCCTCAGACCCTCGAATCAAGCGAATCAAGGCGGAGGAAAAAGCCGCTCGATCTGCTAAGAAGGGCGGCGCCGCCACACCTTCCAAGATGACACCCGCTGAGAAGAAGAAGGCTGAGGATGCGAAAAAGGCTGAAGAGGCCAAAAAGGCAGAGGAGGAAAAGAAAGCTGCCGAGGCCAGCAAGGCAGATCGAGAGGCTGCAAAGAAGGCCAAGGAAGCCGCGAGGAAGAATCTTAAAAAGTGGAAGAAGGTGTGTCTCCTTCTGCCGGGCCGAGGTCTGTCACTGACATTCTCGCCTAGTCCATTGCTACCGTCATCACTTCGTCCAACTACTTCTTGCCAGAGGGTACTGCTGCGCCTCCCGCCACTATCGAGAAGCAGCTTGCAGAACTCGACATGCTGGTCGAGCTCCTTGAGCCAGAGCAAGTCAAGGACTTGAAGGAAAAGGTCGATGCTGCAGGCAAAGGTGAACCTGCCAAAGACGCCATCGTCTCCGCAGTCAAGTCTGTCGGGGATGCTGGACAGGGTAAATTTGAGCAGTTCGCTTAGATTTGAAATAATGATCGTACATATGCATGAAGCATAGGTTCTTTAATAGAGCCATTATACCGCCAGCGACCGCTAGAATTCCGCTTGGGTCTTGCTCATAAGTGAAGCGTAACAAGAGACGCATTTGGACACATTTGGCCGCTTCTACTGGTATTTATCCAATGGATTCCACGTAACAGCCCCGGCCGCACCCTGATCAAGACCATCTAGAGCCTCCATGTCGGTCGTATCTAGCTCGAAATCGTATATGTCGGCATTCGACCTGATACGAGACGGGTTGACCGATTTAGGAATGACTATGAATCTGCAGGGGTAGATTGGTCGGTCAGTTGTCTCGATGGATGCGCAGTATCGCGCTCACCCTTTCTGTAAGCCCCATCTTAGAACCACTTGACCCGGCTCTTTCCCATGCTTCTTGCATAATTCCACGACGACTGGGTCATTCCATTTTCGCTCATCTGCGCGGGCCAGCGGGGAGTACGCCTCGACAGCGATGTTGTGCTGTTTGCAGTATTCGACAATGGGTCGTTGCTGGCACCAGGGGTGTAGTTCGATCTGATTGACAGCAGGAACTGGGCCCGGTAAGGTAGAGAAATGGTTGACATTGCTTCGAACGGGATAAGTCAGCATCACCGTTTAGCTTCACAGGTGCTCAGAAGACTTGCAAATTCGAAACGCCTATGTCGTGAATCCAGCCTTCCTTCTGGGCTTCAGTCAGAGCTCTCCAGTTATTTGCTCTCCCCTCAGCGCCACCATCGGCGGAATGCAACAACATCAAGTCGATATGCGGTCCCTCTATCATTCATTCGCATGATTAGCGTATCTCGACTTCAGCGGCGATTTACCTTTGGAAGGGTCGATTTTGGGCAGGGAGTGTCTAAGGACTGACAGAACATCTTTCGGCGATTTGGCTTCAGCCGTCGGTAGATACTTGGTAGTAAGGTACACGTCTGGTCTCGAGACACCACTTTCAACGACCGCTTTGCCTACGACTAGGAATGGACCCTCAGCACTCTCGACCAGAGTACCTCACTTACGCTCTTCGTTCGAATAAGCCTGAGCAGAGTCGACTGAGGATCAGGTTCAGCTTCTCATGCCAGCTCATAAGGAGCGCTCACTGTGCCTGTACCCCGCTCTGAGCGCCTCGGCGACCGCAGTCGAACATTCCTGCCCAGTTGATTTGTATACACCGAGCCCGAATCGGGGGATCTGATTACCACTAGTCAACGTAAGCGTACTGGATAAGCTGAACTTCATGGTGGTATATGACAGTCAGAGGTAGCTTGTTGAATCTCCAGTCCTCCCATCCACGCACCACCGTCTATATACCCACGTATATAGCCTATCCAGTCCCGAGGCCCGAAGACAAAACGCAGATCTCTCCAAGCTGGCCGAGCCGCGGTTGATTACGTAAAAGTATTGCCACTCGGGGTGTCATTCTCAGCTTCCCCCCGCCAGCCAGCATCAACAATGGGACAATGGCGTCGAGCACTGGTCCCACCGTGTCGAGGTCGGGGGTTTGACTGTTCGGAGAAGAAGGAGGTCGAGCTAGTATCACGAAATGGTGTCTCCTTCGATATCGAGCCCGACTTCGACAAGCAAGTCTAAACCTTCTTCTCTCCGAAACATCCCTCTATCACTTCGTCATCCGTCAATCCGGTACCCAACATCGACACATGTCTCACGGGTCTTTGCGGATACACTCGTCTCGGGAGCAGCGGATGGAGCATTGACGTCAGAAGAGACTTTGATCAGGCAATTGGATGGTGACCTTGGTGGGAGACAGATGGGTTTAAGGAGTAGACGGGGGAGTACCACGACGATCAGGACCGTGAGGACAAGAAGGGGCAGCATGTCATCGACCATGTTACAGGAGGAAGAAGGTGGTAGTCCAGTGGCTGGACCGTCTAGATCCAGCCCGCTCGACTCGACCACTCTGCCAGATGCGCTGGAGATTCACGAGACCGAGCGCAACGCGGCTACGGAAGGATCGGAGAGGTCGCGTCGTGCAGTCAATCCGAAAGTTTCTTCCTCTTGGCTAAGGTGGAATTCGCCAGCTCCCTCATTTCCTCGCAGCAAAAGTCCTTCAACAGCTGAGAAGGGCAAAGGGAAGGCTAGAACAGATGCTATTGAGCAGGTCGATTCTCAAGCTACAATCGCGCCTTTGACAGCAACCACAGGCCCTTTCCCCGATCCACCACCGCCTTCGACTACCAACATATCCGAAGATCCACCTCCCGCTGATTCCGCTCTCAAGCCACCAGATCCCGTTGCACCCGGCCCAGCCGATCCCGCTCCGTCCAAACGAGGCTGGTTCGGATGGGGAGCAACAGTCGTTCCAGAGGTAAAAGTTCATCCCGAGGCAGATGCTGGGCCAGTGGTGGACCAGGAGGGTCTGGACCTTGAAGCATCTCCCGCCGATCCTGAAGAGCCGGATGCTCCAGCTGCTGAACCTTTGGAGGATCTAGAGACAGATGCTCCCACATCGGATCAAGCCACTGGTTGGACTTCTTATCTGTGGGGATCGCTCAGGACCAAGCCGATCTCGGTTGTTCAGGAAGACGCCACTGCACCCGTCGATACCAGTAGTTTGGACAAGCCGGACCCCCCATCGACTCCGCCTCGACGAGCTCAACTGCAGACACCGCCTCCAACCGACACTGACCCTGATCCTGCCTCCGATAGCTCTGCCGATGAGCCGACTGTATCAGAAAACCCAGGCTGGGGCAGCTACTTTTATCCTTTTATCACACCGCGTCCAACGAAGCACGTCACCAGCATGACATCGTCTCCCTCATTGATTCGGCCTGCCGATGGGCCGAGTACAGAACAACCTCCTGCACCTGCTCCCCCTCCTCCTACTACTATTCCCGGACCTCTACCTAACGCCAGCCTCGCACCGCCTGCCATTCATCCCATACCTAGTCCTTCCAAACCCTCACTCGAACCCTCGACGAGTCCTTCATCGACACCTCGAGTCAGACAGAACTCAGCTGCGTCAACTTCTGGCTGGCTGAACTATCTTGCTTTTCGAGCATCTCAGAAAAGGGTCACCAATCCAAGTACGACATCGATCAAGTCTGGCAAGGAACGTAAAAGTACAGATGTGAACGAAGAAATCATGGACTTTTCCAGTGATCCAAACTTCCCGCCCTCCGGCGATGCTTCGAACGCGGCCTCAACGGTCCCAGGGAAGAAAGAAAAACCGGAAGATAAATGCCAGTCACTGGCACCGAGCAAACCCGCGCAATCTGGCCGACAACGACGGGCATCAAATACATCTACTCGTTCAGGAGCGAGCAGTCGGATTCCTGTTCCCTCCTCACCAAAAGCGCCTTCCAAAACGCCTAACGGTAAAATCGCCAAAGCCACGGTCTCTGCGGTCCCTAATCTCGTCATTCCTTCTTTCGATACCACCTTTTCGCGGCCTCCGCGTTCACTGCCACCTCTTCAACCTCAATCTGTCATCACTTCGACCACCTGGCGAGCCTTGGGAGCCGTCAGCAATTATGTCTACGGCGAATCAGGGGGCCACATAGATCCTAGAGGCAGCAGAGCAGGTCGTAGGGTAGGCAACGATTTGCCAAGAAGACTCCCTTCAGATGAGGGATGGAGAAACGTCAAGCGCATCGTCATCGTTGGTGTGCACGGTTGGTTCCCGGCGAAAATGCTCAATTCTGTCATTGGGGAACCTACTGGCACTTCGGTCAAATTTGCGAGCATGATGAACCAAGCTGTTGTCGAATTTTTTAAAGCTAGAGGTGAGAACGTCGAGGGTCTGAGGATCACGCAGATGCCATTGGAGGGTGAGGGCACCATAGAGCATCGGGTTGATCGGTAAGCTCAGCTAGTGGGAGTTTTCGACTGATACCCTAGTCTTTATAAGGCTTATCTCTCCAATCCGGCCTATATCAACGACCTCCGCCGCGCAGATGCCATTTTCTTCGCTGCTCATTCTCAAGGCTGTATTGTGACAACTCACCTGATATCTCGGATGATTGCTCAAGGTCATATTCGAACCCCGCTCAACCGTGATGCTGTCCTCCGGTGTGAATGGGCATTTGGACCTATAGGAGTCATGCCCGATACGCCTAAACGGAAGCGACAATCGGCAAGCGAAGAAGGATATCAAAAGGTCGCCATGTTGGCCATGTGTGGTGTCCATCTGGGTCCACTGTACAGTATCTCAACCTCTACAGTCATTCAGCCGTATCTGCAGTGGTTTGAGAACGCCGCTGCAAGGGAGCTCTTCGAATTCCAAGAATCATCCAGTGTGGTCAGCATGGCGTATCAAAAGGCCTTGAGCATGATTCTGGAGAACAATGTCAAGGTCGTCTTACTGGCTTCGCTCAATGACCAGGTGGTGAGTACATGTTCGACTCGGGTGCTTGCTGATGTCCTAGGTTCCTATTTATGGGGCCTCGTTCTCTACCGCCACTCATCCTCTCCTCCTCCGAGCACTCTTTGTCGATGGTGCATCCTACTCGCAGACCGACCTCATGACCCTCCTTTTGAAGTTTGCCTTCATGCTCCGCAACGCCGGTATCAGCGATCAACGGCTCGTCGAACATGTCTCAGAAGCTACTGCGGGATCTCTGACTGGCCTTGGTCATTCAGCTCCGTACGAAGAGATCGGCTGTTACTCTCTCGCCGTAGAGTACTTGTTTCTCTCTGGCCCAATACCCTCGAATCCCGGATCCATCAAGCCCACACCACTTCTTGTCGAGCCGTTTTCGGCCAAGGAAGCGAGAAACGACTACGAATTGCCGTATCTCATGCGGGCCATCGTCGACAGTCCAGAAGTCAATGATCTTTTTGCGGAAGAGCTGAAAGCGCTGAAGGATGGTATTATGGGCTGGAAGCCAATCACTAAGCCGCTCAAGGAGATGAAGAAGAGGGTGAGCGACTGACCCAGAGCGAGTCTTGACTCACCGTCCAGCTTGAGCCCATGGCAAATAGACATAGTCCACTCGCAACACAAGTCACGACATTCGAGGGGCCTTCGCCCTCGTCTTCTGGTTAGTCTGCGTCCGAGTCCTCCAGCAGACGGACAGCTGAAATCGGTGTTTAAGCAGGTCTTAAGAAGGATTGGTAATCAAACTCAAGACCTCATTCTGTGCCTGTAGATCGTCTTTCGGTCAACTCAAAACACATTCAAATTGCATCACGATAGCATAGCTCTAGCATGTAGCCCCCATGTATTCGATGACTGGATTACAGCGGCTCCTGTGTAGATTTTCGAGGTGCAGAGTGCCCTCTCCAATACTGCGTCTGTTAAACGGTTGATGAACCTGTCCCAAACCGCATGAATCAGCATTTACTGTTAAGGCCAGGGTCAACGGGTGAACGTGGACAGGTTCAGCTATGGAAGATGTCTACGGCATATATGACCCCCGAGTAGGTCTCTACTCTGCTTGCTGACGGCTGAAGGGGACATGTATCGGGGCAGTCGGATGAGCAGATGTCCGTCTTCCAGAATAGCAACGGTAACATGGAGAGTGCGACTGAGAACGGAGTGTCAAGAGCTCAAAACTTGTTGCATGATTTCATTCAAACTTTTGGGCAGGCGACTCCCTTGCTTCTCTTCACATAGACCATTGCCTTCTCTGTCGTCGCTCAGAAGCAGTCCCCTCCTTCGCAGCAGAAACCGTCAAAGCATGTCTGGTAGGGTTCACAGGAGGGTTCGCAGGGTTGTTGACGGGGGTTGATCACCGTGGCGGATCCGAAGATGCTCAAGGTGAAAGTGGCGACGAGGATGGACAAGACCTTCATGTTAGGCGGGGGAGTCTGCAGCCCTGTTAGTGCTGGAGAGGGTTTCAGAAACCTACGTGTTTGGTAAATGAGAAAACGAGGAGAGGTTTGTATGAGTTTGTGGTAGAGGGTGTGCAGCGTTGTTGATGAACTTGAGCTGACTCTTCGCTCATTTATATACCTTTGAGCTGCACGGCAATGGCATTTGTGAAAGGCAGACCAGAAACCTTGTCCTTCACAAATGCGCCGAGGTGGGGGTGCTTCCGAACAAGATGCAACGCATTATGGCTAGAGTGCTGCTACGCTCGCTCGCCGGTCGAGGTTGTCTACGAGGGCACATTCCTGAGCCCCACATAAATGCACCGAGATGGGAGGGACCCGAATAAGGCGCAAGGCGGCGAGAGAATCACTACGGCCGTCTGATCAAGCCGCAATAAGCATCATGTGGCGTTGCTAGCGTGGATCTCATCAGCCGCAGGAGACTGGGGCTGATCAAAGATCATATATAACCGTTCATTTGGACCTTTCTGCGGCAATGTGAACTCAAACCATAAAGTATTCTATATCTGGATCGGTCATTAATGGAGCGGCCGAGATCAGGGACACACAGAGTGGGGATATGCGGCAGATGCGGCGAAGGGGGCTCGCCCATCTATCAATCAGCCTGCTTTACGACGGTGGAATGAGGAGCACAGATTGTGACCCAGTCCCGCTGAGTTTTGTAGTCCTGTCTCTAGGTCTACCGTAGTGGTCACTTGTGAGCAGCAGCGGGCTAAGTGGCGCGACGTGACCTTTTGAACTTGGATACCATCATGCTGAGCGGTCGTCGCTTCTTGCCCAGGTCTGTTTCCCCGTCAATTCTGCTCCAGAACGGTATGACAGGGATATTATCTTAGCAGATCCTTGCACATATTACACTCTGTTTATCACGCTTGAGCAGCTCACACTTGGTATACCAAGTCAGAAACCCATGATGGGTTTCAATCTGACAACCGGCCCACATGATATATTCCAGTGAACATTTCGATTATACTCTCATTTCTAATAGTTATTAATGTGCCCGATCCATCTGGCAGGCGGCCGTCAGTGTTCGTTCTCATATGGCCATCATTCACTGGGAATGGGAGCAGTCAAATGGGGGCTCTTATCTCGCAAACACACATGCAGATTCGTAAAGAGCTTTGAACAAGGCCTGAGGTGACTTGTTTAAAAGCGATGCGCAAGTGTCGTAAATTTCAGGCTTTTTCCCCAGTCTGGTTATGGTAAATGATCTGCGTGGGAATTTACGCTCGTAACAGTGACCAGACAGCTCAAGCAGCACTCCGGGACCTCATGTCCGATATACACGAGCAGAATGGCTACAGAGGCTAAGCAGTCGGCTCAACGCTCCTCTATTGGAGATAGAGAGCCCCTTCCGGACCAAACAGGAAATTCCGGATCGCCCGAACCGATCCCACCGAAGGGATCTCGCTCTGGTTCACAGTCTCGAACTCAATCTGAGGACTCAGCAGCACAGGCTCATACTAATGGGGAGAAGATCGGGCATGAATCCAGCGTAAAGCACCTGACAGACGAAGCACGTGATACAGCGAACCCGGCCGTCGGCTCAATCAGCGAACAGAGTCGACGTAGCTCGCCCGCCCCTGTTGGCCACGACAACTTCAACGAGAAACATGGCGCGAGTGAGAGCGAACACGGAACGGCAGATCAGCCAGATGCCGCTAGCGTGCCTTGGCTACACAGACCTTTAGCCAGCAAAGATGGGCCATGGATCCGTCCGGAGCATGAGGCTACCGAGTGGTTGTCTCTCTTCTACGGTACGATCGGAGGAGAAGCTTCCGATTGACCATTCAGATCTCGCAGTGGTAGCCGTGCTACAAAACTTCAGTGCCGGCCATCATATCGGACAGCCGGAAGACATTCTCACATTTCTATCGTAAGTCACTGGGGAGATGCATTCTCACACACAGCTACTTTGTGATCATCTACCTTATATGGCACACGCAGACCCAATATGATATGCGCTTCCAAGGTGGGGATGGGTTGTTACTGCTCCTGACACTCGCAGGATACGATATCTTTCATCTTCTCTGCAAGTTTGTTCAGATCGGCATCTTCCTTTATCAGGGAGCTGCCGCTGGGAACTGGGATTTATCAAATATTCAGACTGCCAGCTCAGCTGGTCTCACTGGTACAGACATCACAATCGAAGGTGCGTGAAGAATCCTACCTCGACAGCGCTGACATTCTGCAGAGCAAGGTGAACGTGCCTTCGTCACAGTAGTCATTGCCTTCGTGGTGTCACGAGTTCTTCTTGCTATTCAATATGCCCACGGTGAGTGACACGTTCAGGATACGCAAGTCTGAGGTCGCAGTAATTTGGATGGGACGAAAGGTGCACCGTCCTACGGCTCATTTCTGGATCACCATGGGGTCTCTGTTTCTGACCATTGTCACTGCCGCGGTAGCTGTGGGCATACCTGCCCGTTCCGAGGGAGCAGTTGTTGCCAAGGTGAGTATAGCTCTGATCCGTCGTTCACTCCTAGCTCGTATTGCTATACTTCGGTATCGCTATCGAGGTCGTGGAGATATGTAGCGCATTTATCCTCCCAGTCCGTCCGAGGGTGCCGCTCCACGCCCTTCGCGAGCGATATGGATCATTCATTTTGATCATTCTGTGAGTGAAAAGCGGCTAAGTGCGCTCATGCTGCATAGGGGCGAAGGCTTCATCCCTCTATTGAGTGCTTTCAATGCCGCCATTTCTGCGTTGTCCGGATCCAACACGGACACTTATGTTCAAGCCGTCCTAGGTGATCATCATGTGTCTACATGCGCTCATTCCATTAGCTGTTCTCATCGAATTCTTCCTGTTCCTCCTATTATTTGGCAACTTTGGGAAAGGCTCCCGAATCAGTCACGGGCGGACGCTTGTTTGGACTCTGCTACAATTTCCTTTGGCGTTTGGCCTGCTCTTGCTTCTGTCCTCCATTGTGGTGGGTTGTTTTTTGCCTGCCGTCCGACTCATGTGCCAGAACGTCGTCACCTCGATTGCCTACCTGGACGGCCTAACAATCGTCTTGCAAAGTCTTCCGGCGATCGGCATTGATCCTATAGACGGTGGCTTCTCAACAAACGGGACTGGGTCGGTGACCAACGATTCTCTAGTCATCGTGAAGTACCTCAATAAACTCCAACTCGATACCCCCGTATTTCAAGAGTTTCAATATCTGGGCAAGCTTGTGAATAACACGGAACCGCCAGGTGCGCCCAATTGAGCATGCTGTGTCTCACTGTCCGTAGTGGATCCGCAAATTGCGAGTCGGCAATACTTCGCAGCGGTTCTTATGGGCACCATGCAGTCGTACAATGTCGAGGTCGACGATGCTGTCTACAAGCCTTACTCGGAGCTCTATTCTCTCAACTCGACTTATCTCACGGACGACGCTGCGAGGCAAACCTTGCAGGATGAAGCGTCCACTCTCGCGCAGCAATTGCTCGTCAGGTCGTATGCAGTAGTTTTGCCCGGTGTCCTTTGGCTACTCCCCACGGCGGTGAGTGCGTTCAACAGCGGATCTGCTGAGCAAGCAGGGCTGTGTTTTGTTACTTGTCACCTGTCGGTATTCCCTTTGGACACCGCTACCAAGTTCGAGGCAGGCTCCTCAGCGATTGCGTTATGTTCTCACCGTTTCGACTCAAGTGGCTCTTGGAGTCATCTTGGGCCTGCTTGGGATGCTCGCCATAGGACCCAGTTACGCCAAAATCTACTCCCTCGAGGATCCATTTGCAAAACTCAGTCCCTTATATAGCAGTTTGCTGAACAATATACCCTTGGTGATCCCCGCAGCGGCGTACTTCGGGGCATGGATAGGTCCGACATTAGCACTTCGGGCGGTGCATCTTTTACGCAAAAGAGCGAGCTGATTCAGGTGATGTATGCATGCCAATCTTGAGGGAGACGCATTGCACATAGCGGAAGATCACCAGCAAGTCTGGGTCGTCTGGTCCTTTCGCAAATCTGAACCGAGCGGACCCTATCGAGGCCCTCAGCTGTGATCGCTGAGGTATCAGCCGGGTCCATGCGATTGTGACACCGTGGCACCACAGCCGAAACGATCCGAGCGCAAGGCACATATTCTCTGCATTCAATCTGCCTGCACCATCATTTGGCTACAATAAATGCAGGATGTCACCTTAAGTGAATGTTCCCTTAGGAGGACCAAAGTACCCGACATCTGGTAGTGTTTGTAGCCTCACACATTCAACGCCATTGGGCCCGAGACCATCGCAACCCTCCCCAACAACATTGTTGCCCCACCAATTCACGCCGAGAGTACCATTGTCGGGAATCTCGAGGGCGAAGAAAATGACGATAGCCGAGATGGCGATACCACATGGCCAGGCGGCGGCAACAACGTAGTTGTACTTGACCCAGAAGGATAGATATCGCTTACGAAGCCACTGGAACGAAATCAAGACGAGGTAAACATTTCCGATATAGTAGCTCATGTTGTAAGGCGAACCCCAGGTGGAAGGTCCAGCGGTGATCATGACGGGGTGAATCTGCCTCAGGAGCTCGGATCTGGGCCACTTTTTTCGCAGAGCCCAGTGGACCAGTACCAGTACGACTCCGAGAGGGAATCCGAGCAACATTAGATTGTATCTGCGACCGGGACCAAAGAGACGCTTGGGGCTGATCGTTCCCCAGAAGACCGCTGCAGTGAAGAATGTACGTTGATTGGGGCAGGTGAATCGGAAATCAGCCTCCGGTGTACAGGCTCCCTTGAAACCCATGGCGAAGTTGAAGATACTGGAGCTGACGATACAGTAGATAAAAGTGGCAATCAATTGGGCGTAAAAGGTGTGGCGAGGAGGAATTTTGAGGTAGTGAGCCAATTTGAGATCGCCACTGAAACTCAAGGCTTGACTGGCTGTGATATAGCCATAGGTCTTGAAGTACATCAATGCGTTTGCGTTTCCGGCAACCATTGATCCGCCGATGAACTCGGCGATGACGTTCAAGGGCACAGGGATACCAGTAACGGCCTGAACATTTCAAGCCAATGTTAGCACTTCTGACATCAACACGATAGGAGAACTGTTGACTTGCCTGGATCATTCCACTAGGGATCAAGACTATGAGAGTGAAGATGATACCGAAGATAACAACGACGGGTGAGGTATTGGTCGGGTAGATCGCCAATCCAACCATTCCAAGGACGAGAGAGATGACCAAGACAATGGCGTATTCCCATTCGTGGACCTCGGGATATACCTGCATCAACCTGTAGTGAATGTCCTCGGACAGGTCGTCCTCGTTGTCTTCCAGCGGTTTCTTCATGAGCTTTCTGACACTGTTCTTGAAGCTGCGGAAAGCAGCGACAATGTCGTGTCGGTGGTAGAGCAAAACCCAAGTTATCGTCGCGGAATAAAGAGCGAAGTACCATAGATAACTGATGACGAACCCTGCCGACATCCATGGTTGGGAGTAATCCTGGAAGAGTTCGTCCTGAAACTGGTGCTTTGAGTCCAAGATCTTGGAAACGTTGTATCGTTCAGCAGTGTTGGACCAAGCGGCATTAGAGTTGATAGGAATGTAGCCAGTGTTCCAGGCATTGCTGTAATAACAAGCGAGAACCATAATCGCCCCGATGAGGATACCGAAAAACATGTTAATGATGGAGAACGTTGGGATCGTCAAGGGGGAAATCCAGATCGTCAAGTTGTTAAAATCAAATGTTGGCCAAGGATTGAGTCCCATGCCAGACTGGAATCCGGTGACAGCGGCGAGTTTGGCATTGTTGGGAGCGATCCAGGTCATCCAACTGAAGATGGACATGGCGCCAAAGATGAAACCAGGGAAGAAATAGTAGCTAGGGCGGATCAGTTCGGGGCCTATTGCGAAGATGAATAACCGACTCACAAGAACATGGCGGCAAACATGAGCAAAAAGCATTTTTCCCGAGATGCTCTGAAAGTCCAGCCGAAGGGCCCCTTGACAGGCTCATTGGTATCGGTGTGGAAAGCCTTGATCAGACTGACGGTGTTCAGGGTAGAAGGCCAGATAGCAACACTGGGGTACACAAGGAATCGTCTGGCCAGACCAGCAAGACCGTAACCAACAAAGTTGGTGCCGATGGTGTTCAAAACTTGGTATCCATGTGAGAAAGCCCAGCTCTCGTTGAAGAACATGGGCATGGCTTGCGCGGGAACGATGTAGTTGGTGTATGGGGCGCCAAAAGAGACACTAGCCATGATGGTGATGAGCATGTGTTCCTTCTTGTTGAAAGGACCATTGTTCATGGTGAACTCTCTGCCGAAGATAGTGATCTTACCTCGGGGGAGGACCCTGGCGAGGAACTTGCCTACCGGATATGCGATCAACTGAGCCACGTTGGCACCAACACTGATGGGAGGATTTCGGTAACCGAAAAGGGTATCAATGAAAGAACCGCAACAGGCGGCGACACACCCGATGACCCATACTCGGAAGGTGAAGGATGGCATGCTGGGGTCGTCGGTAGGGTCAACGTTCGCTCGGACCTCAACGTAAGGCGAGTCCTCAGTGGCCAACAATGCTTCGAGCTTCATCTCTCGCACAAGCTCCGAATGCTTCTCAGGCCTGTCCAAGACATCAGGCTCGGTCAAAAACGTAGCCATGCGGTCGAGCACAGGACCGGGAAAGTTGGGGTCGTTCTCGTGCATCACAAACAGCTGACGAACGATGCGCACAGCGCGTTCGAGCGACAGTGTGTCCAGTCGGGTCTCGAGGTCATGGAGTTCATCGCCGACGAGGGCCAAGTTACTGGCCCGATTAGACTCGAATTCTACCGCTTGCGCTCACTGCTTGGCTTCCACGTTGTTTGCCTCCACCTCTGCAGCAGAGCTGACGATGAGCTCATCGTCAGCGCCTTCGATGGCTTTGAGCTTCTCGTCTTCCAGGGTGGAGTACTGCTCCGGAGCAGACTCTGGCTGGTGATCCAAAGTCATGATGCACAAATGTGGGGAGTTGATGACCTTGCACGGTAACGTGAAGAGACGCTACTCCGCCTCATAAAGCAATCCGCTGCTATCTTTCGTGCCAAGGATCGATCATGTCGCAAGTCATACCTCACATGGGCATCTGTTTCCTTTAGGCGATCAGGTTCTAAATTTAAACAACGCTAAGAAATCAGCTGCTGAAAAAGGACATGTGGCGGTGATTGAGGCGTTTCTAACCGCATGGTTCGGGCCTTGGTCTCGCGTGGGGCAGCTTTTTGCATCGGGTAGACGGCCGTGTGGAGGGAGTACAGAGCAAACAGGACGGTCGTATGGATGATAACTAGCACGTCTCGCTACCGAGCACAGCTCTGATTGGAAAAACTCTCGGGGCACCTCGATGCTCCGATATGAACCTTAGTTGATCCAACGGAAGATGAAACGATGTCTCCGGATCATTGGCTAGCGGTCAGCACGCCGGTCATCGCGGCTACATGCCATCTGCGAGTGGATCGCGATTATCACTGGATGTGCATTGTCGGCCTTCTCTACGCAGTAAGACCCCCGTTCTCGTAACTGGCAGAACCACCCTTCTTGCCAGCCTCGACAGCCGCCTCGTGGTCTCCGCCTTGAGGAGTAGCGGTCAGCGTGTGATGTGAAGATTGGTGGAACTCACCGAAACCATGCTCAGCAGTAGTTCCTGGGATGTTTGAGCGTGGGTGATCGTCATGACTCACTCTTGTCCTGTCCTCCGTCCTTCTTTTCCCCGCCGTGCTCGGTCGGTCTGTTTTGGCAGCCAGAAGTCAGCCTAGACAGCCTACAGCGTCACGGTGACTGCCACACGCACTTGTACGTCCCCGTGTCTTCACCGGTTCCTTCGGTCACAAGCCTGGAAGTGCCGTCCCCAATCTCTTCGAAACCAGTCTGTCGACCACCTTGGTTGCCATGCTGACCCCCGCCATTCTGAACGATCAGCTGAGCTCCGATTCTCACCTCACCTCTTTGAATCGCTTGTCAGGTTCTCCGCTCTGGGTAAGATGGGTCTCCGAGTTACTGTGACCGGGTTCGGTGGACATTGTGAACGATTCAGATGTGTTTGTGGATGGAAGGAACCGATAGCTGTTGCGGCGATGCCAACATATATACCAGGTGGTTGTATCCTACGTCACTGATCACGTCGGCTGACCCTGCTGACCGAATCGAAGTGTCATCGATCACACTGTAGAGGTGAATTAGGCTTTTCAAGGGAAGATGACACGACTCTCTGTCAGCAACTCCAAGCGTCGATCCCTAGGATTTTTCACTGTATCGCTGTAACAGACTATGGGTTTAGACCAGCCATAGGTTAGATCTACTTGCTTGTACCCTCTTCACCGATATCTTCTGAAGTCGGAGCGGATCGAGGCGACATGGAGGCGTGAAGCGCAAGTAGCTGTGAGCCTTGGCGATGCATATCTCAGAAACCCCTCTCAGGCACGTAAGACACGTCATTAACGGCAATCGATGACAGGGCGGTTGATGACGATGTCAAACTCAGGTCCGATCTTAACGCTCGCCCTATTGTTTCACTTTCTCCATCTGTTTCACATTCTATGCTCAAACTAAAGTGGTTGAGAGACAGTCAGAGACGTTCAGCATTCTGGTACCCGAGGACAAGATACTTCAACACCAAACTGTATCACTCCATGGGTCCCGTGCAGCTCCGCGCACTCCCCAATCGCCGACCGAATCATATAGGTCCTGCGAGACAATCGCCAGCCGGAATCATTTTCGATGGGCCGTGTCATGACTATGACTCCGCTGGAGATGTAGTTTTTAGATCCCTGCTCGATGGTCTGGCAAGGGGCAGAAACACCTCTGCAGCCGCTTGTACCGCCTCTACTCAAACGACCGCCGCCTCCTTTCACCAAAACCCATCCTCTCGACCTTCCTAATCGGCCCGACTATTCCCGGTACCAATGCTGATGCTCATGACAAGGTCTGTGATACAATCCTGCCTGGCTGCTTAAGCTAATGGCCGGCTGGGTATCTCACCTTCGCCACATGGAGCCTCCTCACCTGCCCGGCTTTATGCGCTTTGGATGATTGAGTCCCCACCATGAAGGGATCCTGCGACCACCACCTCCCCTGGTCGCGAGCCTTGCATGGGTTTCGTCTCGATGTGGATCAGGAGAGCTTGGAAGGTCAGGTTGAGAAGCGCAAGCTACCAACACAAACACCTCGCCTACAGGCTGATATCGGCGACAACTCCAACGTAGTCGATAGAGGTCTCGCCAATGGCAGCTGAGCTAGCCTGGACTGTATGCCCACAAAGGGTGGCTTCCATCAGTGGCCAGGTTCAACGCCGAGTCGTCCTAATGGGAGAATTGGCTATCGGACACTAGAGGCTAGCACCATGTTTGATTGGACCAATTCACGTAGCAATGTGCCCAGTTTTAGATAAGACTGGGCATACATATGAGGATCTCCGGCCTTGCATCCCGGCATCACGTAATAAACTGACAGTCATCGGCAATCCCCAGGTTATGGCCATGGCTGAGTCTCAATCGAAGGAGCCACAATGCAAGAAGGAGAGCGATCACTTATCACTCGACGGCCTACATCACCCTTGTGTACCTAGATCAGCCTATCACTCGGTAAATGTGCACTTTCCGGTGATCCACGACTCCATGTCCCTTGGACGTTGCTACCCATTTCCCCACCCGTCGACCGTCTCCCGTGGGGCCCAGCTCGTCGCATGCTTCCGTCCAATGTCCGATCACGGAATTGCCAATTAGAAATCTGGTAGGCAAGTTCGCAGTCTTATCCGAAGGCTCGACAAGAAGATCCCTTCTCAATTCACACCCACAATACCCATACTGCTCCTGGAGTCATGGCAGCACAGACTGAGACCAGCAATGCTGAGGCGCAGCATGTGCTCACCAGCGGAGTGGACGAGAAAGGCGAAGTTCTAAATGCGCACAACACCGTCGGTCTGGCCGTCATGGAGCAGCAGGAGCTTATTCCCATCACCGGAGAACGAAAGGTTACGACACAGTGGGAATACTGGACATACTGTGCATTTTGTAGGTTGATGTTGTGAGCAACTGCTGATCGTGGAGATTTCTCACCCAACGGAGGAGGTCAGCCAAATCCAGCAGACACTTCCAATTGTGACTGACGTCTGCAGCGATATCCTCGAATGGCCAATCCATGATGCAGCTCCTCATCAGCCTGCAGTTTCCGGACAACATAATCCCCTGGGGAGGGAGACTGACTAACAGTGAGTCGGCGAAGTGTTCAGGAGACTGATGCACCGCAGTGAACTCGGTTCGTTGTCGCGAGACACCCTGCAGGAAAGCATGACAGCTAACCGTCGCCGCTCCTGGCTCGCAGCTGGTGAGCCCAACCCCAAAGCTTGATACTCAACGAAATAAGGTCCTTGACTTCACTGGCATCATCTTTGCAATTCAATTGGCTCTCCTTCTAATCATCGGACCATACGCCGATTACGGCAACTGGCGACCTTACATTCTTATGGGTGGGTATCTGCAGGCCATCTCATGCTCAGGGCTTCAGTCTGTCAATTGGTCCTCGTAGTTCTGGGATTTGCATTCATTGGGGTCAAAAGTCCATCTCAATGGGTGGCCGCAGAGGCGCTATACATCATTACTACTGTCGGTGAATGGCATTCCTCCGTTCGATACTGATGCTCAGCGAACAATATCGTCAACGCGTTCTACATGGCCGCCTTTCCCGGTATCGTCCAGGACCTGCCGAAGATTAGACAATCGGAACGAGAGGTCCTCGCGGGGACGAAGAGGTGAGCAAAGTGCAAAGCTGCCCTCTGACGGGCAGTCCAGAAGATCATGAGCTTTTGGACTCCTACGAGAGATCCAAGGTATGTCTGCCAGAATATTATGCTGACTGACAAGCTTAACAATCTCCTGAACGTCGTCGGATCCTCCGTCGAAGTAGTTGCCTTTTGCGTGGCAGTTGGGATCGCTGCGGGGGTTGGTTATGCTACCAACGCCGAAATCATCCGATCGTATCAGATCTTGCTCGGGTTCTTCGGTGCCTTCACCATCATTGCCACAGTCCCGTATTTCATCGCCCAGAAGCATCGACCTGGTCAACAGCTACCCGACGGTGCGAACTGGCTCACTGTCGGCTTTGTGTGAGTCACCCTGGACCCGTACCCCATTGACATGATAGGCAAATCTGGGCCGCGATCAAAGGGCTCAAGTATTTGAAGCAGTGTATGCTATACATGTTCGCGTATTTCATGATCCAGGAAAGTGGGTGGTAGCGTATTGCTCAGCTGACCAAAGCGTACGGAACGTATTCCAGTATCACTGGCATTTTGCAGAACGAGTCAGTGATCCTACAGGATAAGACTGATCTCCAGAGTCATGTCGTTTTCACCGGTGATGCTCAACGCTCTGTCCGTCATTGGTAATCTCCTGGGAGGAGGCGGCAACTTGTTCATGTATTTGCTGCAGAAGAGATTCAGATTCGCGACAAAGCCAGGTCTGTTCTATGGAGCTTGCATGACATTGGTGCCGTAAGTGGAGATTGGAGGGCTGTCCTTGACGCTCAGCAATCTCTTTGGTGCAATCGGCACGTTTACAAACGTCATTGGCTTCCATCACAGTGAGCGCTCTCGATCCATCGTCCTGATCCACTGCAGAATGGGCGTTTTGGCTGGCTCAAGCATGGAACGTAAGAGTCTCCTCTATTCAGCCGCTCATGAGACAGTTTCAAATGGCTGGCTGGAACGCATATCAAGTCGCATTCCTCTCAGAGGTCGTCCCTGCGCCCAAGGCGTATCTTTTCTTTGCCCTCTTCAACACCGTCGGTAAGACCTCGTCCTTCGTCGGGCCATTTGTCTCGTCTGCCATTTCGGCAAAAACCAATGGCAACACCAGCGCTGCTTATTGGTTCACACTTGCCATGGGTACCACTGGCACTGCCATTTTGTGGTTTGTAGACCCCAAGAAGGCGAAGCTGGACTGCGTGAAGTGTGAGTGTCCGCTACAGCATACATCTGAGTGTTCTAGTTCTTGAGGCCGAAGCCGCAGACCTCTACAACAAAGATACAGTGCCGGCTCCCGAGACCGTCGTGGTCGAGTCGGAGGATCACAAAGATGTTGTCGCTTAAATGCTCGAATGGATGGGAAGTAGTGTTGTAGAGAACGGATCGGGATCTGAAATTGTCAGTTTGTTTTGTTTCGTGAACCCTAAGCAAAAATTCCCTGAATGAAAATGACGTTGTGAGCCGCATTAACACCGCTGGCCGCTACCAAATGTGGTTTGTTGAGGGTGAATGAAAAATTCTTGCTGGTGGAGAAGAGTGAGTTTTAGAATCTCTGTTCTACTTTGGTCTGAAGCATGATATCGCCCATGGCACTGACACCGCGAGCCATGCAACGAGCTCTGCACTACCCGCAGAGCGGTGCTGAATGCAGCGTGCTCAGAAAGTTAACTGACAATTCCCAATGCTTTGGGGGCTACCCTATATATCAACAGAAGACGGGTAGTTGACTGGTGTTTTGACACTCTTTCTCAGTCTGATAAGTGACAGCAAGCAGACATAGACATGATGTTCAAGGCGCTGGCGATATCTCTGACTGTGGTGCCTCTGACCCAAGCCTACATGGGATCAAATCCAGCCGCCCGGGGCTTCCAACAACATGCGGCCACTCGCAACTTGGATGCTTTACACGAACCTCATTTTCGACGGAACGTTGGCGGTGTCTTCATAGCTACAGGTAGCCCTCCGACATCCGAGCAGACGGCGGCTCAAAGTCTCGGTGAGTCAGGTCAGCCTGTCATTGACTGAGCAATGCAGATCCCGTATACGAGTGTACACCTTACAATTATGAGCCTATCCTGAAACTAGAGCCGTCGTACCCACAGGAATGGATGACCGCCACCATACAGCCAAATGATACAGAGGCCAAGGAGGCTTTCGCTCGAATCAATGCCACGGTAGCTCAACTGCTCCCGAATGACCATATCCATCCATCTTACGGGCATCTGGGAAATTGGACTCCAGCAGCCGAGGCTTATAATTGGACAGATCCCGACTGCTGGTGGACTTGGAGTGGATGTACCAAGCCTAATCCGGCCTTGGGGATCCCCGATGATCTGATCAGCGTGCCGGAGCCTAACACCTGGGGTCTTGCGTTTGATGATGGCCCGAACTGCAGTCACAACGCTTTTTATGATTATCTGCAAGCCAACGAATTAAAGGCTACGATGTGAGTTAGTTGGTGGAGGCGGTCACTGACTTCCAGGTTCTATATCGGCTCGAACGTCTTCAACTGGCCGTTCCAAGCTATGCGAGGTCTGGACGATGGACATCACATCTGTTGTCACACTTGGTCACATCAGTCAGCATTCCGAATCCATCTGTTTGCTAATGCTCGCTCAGATACATGACTTCTTTCACCAACGAGGAGGTCTTTGCCGAGCTGTGGTACAGTCGAAAGATATTGCAAGATATCTTGAACATCACTGTCTCATGCTGGTGAGCATTGCCGCTTTGGCAGACACTGAACTCAAGGCGCCCCCCATACGGAGACGTCGACAACCGGGTCCGATTAATTGCGAAAGAGATGAACCTGACTACTTTCATGTGGGACCATGACACTGTGAGTGGGACTGGAGTGTCATGCCCACTGACTGTGTGCAGGAGGACTGGAAAGTCAACATCTCCGGTGTGACACCGCAAGACATCTACAACAATTATCAGAATGTCATTGACGGGGCGGGCAACGGGACTTATGACGATCACGGTACTATCACTTTGACCCACGAGCTAAGTGAGTTCATAAGCTCAGTGCAACGCTAACCTGAACAGCTAACTGGACGATGTCAACGTTCATTCATGAAGCACCGAACATCATGCAAGCCTTCAAGCATGTGGTACCGCTCGCATCCGCGTTCAATTGGACTCATCCATACATCGGGAGCGATATTACCTACCCAACTTTCGAGGAATTTGTATCCAAAGGACAAAGCAGCGCGAATTCAACTGTCAACACGACAAAAACTGCATCAGAATCATCCGCACCGACCCTGAAGTCGGACAAGTCTCAGACAGGAAGTGCAGGACGAACCGTTGCAATCGGAGGCTTGTGGATGATCGCCAGTTGTCTCGCGGCTCTCGTTGTGTGATCGAAGACTGACCTCAGAGGTTCCCAAGAAACGATGAGAAGGACATTTATGGTCGCTCCATACATAGAAAGTTATGTATCAATGTCGACCTCAGAATGCCACACTGCTCCGCTGCATGCGTCTCGGTGCAGAGACCCGTCGAAGCTATCGGTGCGCTGCGACTGTCCACAGCAGCCGAGCCAAGCTCGAGAAAGTGCCGACGGTGAGGCGCGCGACCGCCGAGAGCTTCATCGAGGGCACATTGACGAAGAGACTATAGACAGCTGTCTCTCCTCGTGGCGTGATTACGGAACATGCTTATTGAGTGAAAGATGCACCCCTCTTGCTTGGGGATCGTGTGTTGTCGATGAACACTCGTCTCGTTTACGCTTGTTCTCGGATCTGGCCGGAGACAGTCGACACGTCGGTCGACCAAAACTTAGCCGCAATTTGGATACCGAAATCCCGTCCTAGATCCTCCGATCTGCGCTGAATCAGAGATCAGAGGATCTAGGACGTCTATAAAGACATACAGAGGAATTGCAATAGAAGGTCGATAACACAATTATGCAACTGGTTTTGTCACTGCTCCTAGCTACTATACTGGTCCTTCTGTATTTCTGGCGTCCTAAAACTCGGAGACAGGGCATCAAGCTGCAAGGTAGTGTACTTGACTGCTCCTCCGCTGACATTCCAGGTCCCCAAGGCAAAGGCTTATTGTCCACGGCACCCTATGGCCAGCTGCAATCCGAATGGTTCGACACATATGGACACACTCTGGCCTACAGAAATGACTCCGACAAGCTTTCGATATTGACCTGCGATCCCGCTGCGGTTGCATTCATACATCGAGAGCACGACAGCATCCTTCAGCCAGCTTCCATCAAGTCTTTCGCGCTGAAGAACATGGGCCCCAGTCTCATGGGAGTTGAGGGGGCTGCTCACCGCCGTCAGAGGCGTGTCATTGCCCCAGCGTTTGGCAGCAAAGCGATCAGGGCCATGACTCCGACCTTTCTTTCCATGGCTATCGAGCTCAAGAACAAGCTGCTCTCGACAGCCGGGCAGGAAATCGATGTAACCACATCCATTCACCAGCTCACAGTCGACGCCATAGGATCCGTGGCTTTTGGATGCGAGTTCGGGGCGCTGGCTGGGGGAGGCCATGAGCTTTTGGACGTTTTTTACAGGATGACTAGCGCAGCTCAGGTGAATCAACCCGCCGCTCCCGCTAATGTATCCCAGCCAAGCGAGAAAGATCAAGCAATCGAAGCGGCTCATGTGACAATGCATCGGATCGGTTCGGTGGGCGGTTGCACCAAAGCTACGCTGACCTACAGACCCTGGTGAAACAGCGCACCGAACAGATTCTAGCCGAGACCGCCGGAGGACCTCTTGACAAAAAGAGTATCTCGGCTAACGATGTCCTCACAAACCTATGTGAGGAGTCTATGTGGACGTCATTGACCTACAGTACGCGCGAATATGGCAACGGATGTAGCTGAGGATCAACGCTTGAGTGACGAGGAGGTGGCGGCTCAGATCCCGCTCTTTGTGAGCCAAAAGGCCAAGGTTGAGCTTAATGCAGCTCTTCGCTGGCAATACCACCGTTGCAGTCACACTGGATTGGGCTTCCGCCTTACTGGCGCGATACCCTGACTGCTCGGCCCAGCTGTTCGCAGAGACTGATGAAATTGGAAGCGACAACCCTAGTTGGTGCGTCGCTTTCTATTTGCATCGCTCACGCCAGGGACACCATCAACGCTTTGCCATACCTCGACGCGTTTGTCAAGGAGGTGCTGAGACTCTACGCTCCAGCCCCAACTTTGTTCCGGGAAGTTCAAAGAGACATACAACTTCCGTTGGCGCACCCTGTGGTGGATCAGAACGGGCAAACTCTCACATCGGTCCACGTCCCTGCTGGTACCACCATCCACATCGGTGAGCCTGTTGCGCAGAGACAAGCTCAAATGTAGACTTTCATCGCATGAACATCCTAGACGCTGCTTGGGGAAACGATGCGCATGACTTCCGGCCCGACAGGCACTTGGCGGAACCCTCCCCTCCATACACGCGCATTCCGGGGGTTTGGGGAGGATCGGCGACCTTCAGTGCGGGAGATCGGCACTGCATGTGAGTACTCGCCCCGGCGCAGATCTGACACATTCAGAGGATTCCCTTTCGCGATTGCAGAAATCAAGAGCGTGCTGTTCATCTTATCGCGCTACTTGATATTTGAGGATCCCGACCCGCAAACCTCCCTAGAGCGGCAGGGAAAGTGAGTTAACACCGGGGATCTTACATTGAATCCAGGTTGGGCCTCGTGCGTCCGAGAAAGGGCGAGAAGCCAGGCATATGGTTGATTGTACGGCCCCGCAGCGAATGAAGTCAAGAAGAGACCGGATGCACCGCTGACTACTATCTGAAAGAGTGCTACAGCTTGCTGCCGTCTCCTGGGTCCGTCCTTGATAACTGACCTCCCCCACGTTAAGCCATTTGAGCTTGAGCCCATTCTTGCTTCCCCGGCCAAATCCCCGGCCTTCGCTCGGACGATAATCCTGTGCGGGTGAAATGTGCATTGGATGTTTTATTAGGTAGCATGAATGACAACGAGGACGGACAAATTAGAGTTCTCAAGGCGCACAGGTATCCGCCGTGTGATTGCCCGCAGTACCCCTTCTATATCTGGCTATCACAACTCTAAATGCCCCACCCTGATCTAACGCTTGGAGCTCCGAATTGATTTTCTACTCGTGTGGCCCAGGGGACCTCGGCTTCGCAAGTGGGGAGGATTACGGCTATGACCGGTTGTAACAGGATCCAAGATTTCACCCCATATTGCTGTGGCTTCCCCTGAGTTCTACAACCGCGCCTACCCGTCGTGGGGAACCGCACATACGGGGTCTATAATAACTACATGAATACTGGAGTCATCCCCAGACGAGCAAAGAACAGAATCGCAGAATCTGGCAAGATGTCTGATCAGTACAACAAAGATCGTGATATCACTCAGGCCGAAGACGAGAAGGATGCCAACCCTCAGCACCTGGAACATGAGGGTGGCACTTTGGAGCATGTGCTACAGAAGCACCTTCACGGCACCGGTCTGGAGGATCGTCAGACAGCTCTGGAGCTGGCCATGAATGCCGACCCCGGTCCCAACAAAATATCATGGCGATACATCCGATTGTGGCTTATCGTATTCCTGATGTGTATGAATCAGGGAGACGGCGGTGAGCAAAACTTGTACCCGTTGTTGCTAAACAGTCCTAGGTTTCGACGGAACCCTGGTTGGTTCCATCAACTCGATGGCTCAGTATCAGTCTTACTTTAATCTCGGTGGTGAAGCTTCAACCAAGGCCGGTGTGGTCTATGTGAGCGGCTCAGCCCATAGTATAAGACCCCTACTGACGGTATCTGTCAGGGAATCGGAATCGCTGGCACCATTGCCAGTTTCTTCCCCTCTTACTGGGTGCCTGATCGTTTTGGCCGTCGCAAAGCCATGTTCTTCGGTAATATTCTACCAATGTACGCTTATTTCAGGGCAAGAGAGGAAATCACTGATACTCTTCGCAGCATTGGTAACGTTCTGTCCGGTTGTGCGCACAATTACCCTACTTTGCTTGCCGCTCGTGTGCTTGGGGGAATGGGATTTGTCGGAGGAGCCCCGTGAGCTATAGACCCGAGATTGTTCTGGAATGCTTACCACCGATTAGGCAAGCTTATCTGGCCGAGATCTCGCCTCCTGCATGGCGTGGACGGATTATGGGATTCTACAACTCAAGTTACTACGTGAGCGATGAGCTGCCTGTCTGTGAATTAGAATGTTAATGACCCCGACAGATTGGTCAAATAATTGGCACTGGAATCTGTATTCCCTTTGGATTATCGCACTCCAACATGGCATGGCGCATCCCATTCGTCTTGCAAGCAGTGCCCCTTGTCATCCTCATGGCGAGCATCTTTACGATCCCCGAGTCACCTCGATGGTAAGTGAGATGTCTTCCCCAGATCCTAACTCTCCCAGGCTCTATGCTGCTGGAAGAAAGGAGGAAGCCCAGAAAGTTCTGGCATACTTCCACTCTCGTGACAACGATGTCAACTCGCCGCTCATCCAGCTTGAGATGCAGGAGATTGTGGCTCAAATCAGTCTCGATGGAGGTGACAAGAGATGGTGGGACTTTAAGCCTCTCTTCAACAGTCGGGCCAATACCTACAGATTCCTGCTTGGCTTGATGAACATGTACGGCTCACAATTCGCTGGTAACGGAGCCATCACCAGTACGTAGTCTGGTCTATAGACAGGGAATTTAAGCTGATATCGTGCTCAGACTGGCTTCCTGCGTTGTTGAAGAACGCTGGGATCACCAGTACGAACAAGCAGCGTGTATACACATTCGCCAACTCAATCACGTCTATGACCGGAGCTATGATTGGCACCTGGACGGTGGATCACATCGGTCGTAGGCCGTTGATGCTCTGGGCATCGGGCAGTTGCGGAGTCAACATGGCGATAGTTGCGGGGCTATTGAGCAAGATTAATCCCGACAATCCGGCCCGTACCAAGGCAGGGATCGCATTCCTCAGTGCGTCGAAGCTCCCGACATTTCATTCTTCAGGCTAATTCTCCGATATAGTGCTTCACATGGTGTACTTCTCCATCGGATGGACCCCTTTGCAATCGCTCTACCCCTTCGAGGTTATATCATACGAGAACCGGCAAAAAGCCAACGCCCTGCGAAATATCTGTTACATCGTTGTTAGCGCCTTCAATTCATTTGCGTGAGTTCTTCAGCGACTCGAGCTCGGACCTGGAATTTACACATTGCAGCTTGCCAGTCATCCTTAACCAAGCGCCGTGGAAACGTGAGTCTTGTGTGTAGCACTCGTCGCTGACGCATTTTAGCCTATGTCATGTTTCTTGGCTTCAACGTGATCATCTTCACCGTCATCTGGATCTGGGCTGTCGAGACGAAACAGCTGTCACTTGAGGATCTCGATGAAGTGTTTGCCTCCCCAAATCCCAAGAAGACCTCCTTGGCTCTTGTTCGAGAGGCAAAGATTATGGCTCGCAACGAGTTGGCGCATGCCTAGGGGAGATATCACGCGCAGTGCGTGACCATGCTGCGCATCGTGTCGGATGTGCTGGAATGATTGTGGCTCCGGGTTCTCTCACAAAATTTGGCTGTCCCCACTTGCTTAAAGACCGTACATGTAGTGACAGGTGCCAATGTGTTTACATGTATTTGGCTGGAGATACAAGTTATGATAGTAGGGTCGTTGCCTGAAGCCGAACCGCTTGCATCCCAGTCGACAGAAAGCGCTTGACCGCACCCGCTTGGCCAATGAAAACGCCTGGATGAGCATTCGGATGCGGACCGGTGCTCCTTCCCCACGCTCCTCGGATCAAGATGACAGTCTTGGATGTCATTGTCACACTCCCAAAGACTCCAAAGCCTCTTCCGCAGATCTCCGCCAACCAGCAACTGAATCCTTTTGCTGCGCTCGGGGGCAAACCTCTGTTAAAGCCCGGACATAGGTGACAACCTGCTGAATGGCTTCCTGAAGTGGTGTGAACTTATAGTCCACCAAGATCTGGCGCTGCTTGCATTGTCGCTCGAAATCCGCATACAGTCTAGCTTTCTCCTCCAAGCTCCTCGGACCCGCTTGACCATTCCATAAGAATGCGTGAGCGGGATTCCATCTGGCCGCTGGTACGATGTTTGAGAACTCCCAGTCCAGTACTGAGGAAATCCGCTCAGTCTCGGGGTCAAACATAATGTTTGCAAAGTGCAGATCCCGATGGGCAAGGATCAATCTTGTGTCATTCAAAGCTATCGCCCTGTCTGTGGCCATAGTGATGGTTGCCTGCAGTCTCGGTATCAGATCCCGTAGCCACCTCATCGATTCGTGCGTCTTGATCATGTGAATGTACTTCTCGAGGTGAGCGTTGCAGTAGTCGACAAAAGTGGTGAAAGGACCTTGTACGTTGAGAGTCTCCACCGATTCTGCCGGGCCCCAGAACTCGGCAATATCGCTCGTCTGCCAGAATGTCTCGTCTACGACTGGTCCGGGAACCACGGATCCGTCGTCCTGGGCCGCCAACCCCCCGATGAAGTTCCACTGGAGGGCATCAAGCTGGACAAGCACCTCAAGGAGCTGCTGCATCAGGGCATGCTTTGTGAGTTCCGATAGCGTATCATACACCTTATCGACACTGATTCCGGACGCTCGCTCCAGGATAGTGTATTCGTGACCAAGGGAATTTGAGGTCGAGGCATCGAAGTGGACGACTCGAGGTATAGGGATGGTAGTCTTCTCGCTGATAGTCTTCATCATTCCCACTTCATTCCTGGTCTTGATCTCAGGTATGTGGGCCCCTGAGACCCGCAGAATCCAGTCCGCTTTTGGCGATCGGTACGATAATATGAAGATTGCATGATACTCGGCTGTCACCTGGAGCGGCTCGATGTGGTCAGGCTGAGGCTCGCCAAGCGAGTCTAATAGTGCTGAGATTTGAGACGCCTCTATATGACGCGGCAGCATGGCCCTGTGCTCTCCCATGGTGAATTGACGATATTGTACTGCCCAACCTGGAGAGGCTCTTCCTCCTGAGGTCGCGCAGGAGCCCGACTCATTTCGGATCCGAACGGCTAATGTGACATCGGCCAATTTTCGGAGATCTCATACATGAAGGCTAATCGTGGCTTCCCCTCATCTCTATGTTCGAAAAGAAAGCCGGAGCAAAGCATCTTTGATCTCCTTGTCCCTGACAGTATATCGCAAAATGGGTTCCCACGAAGAGCCAAGGGATGGGAACGGTCTTTGTCAGCCCCTTGGAGAACATCGTGGCAACCCTTTTCAAGGTACTGCCACTCTCCGCGACTTCGAAGTGATACCGAGTGGGCTCGGCTACGATGCGGAGATGAATGGGATCTTTTGTAGATAATAATGGAGTTTTGATGATCTGAGGAGAAATGAGTGGATGCTACGTGGTCCCAGGAACTCACTTTCGGTGCCACTTCCTTGACGTCCGGAAGCTGGATGCGCAGCTCCCTGCCCATCTGTCCGTTGGTGGATTTAACACCCACGACACCGATCCGGCCAGAGTTCCACTTGCTATACCAGATAGCTACTCCCGCCTCTTCACCAGCGTTTTCCGGCGCGAAATCGAGATCAAGCTCGAAGACCGCCTTGAAAGATAATTGCTTTGTCAGGAGAATGGCCGGAGACTCATCGTTCTCCAGGGTGTAACCATTGCCGTGAATAGCGATGCTGCCGGGACGATCAGTGAGAGAGTAGAATTTGCACTGGGGGGTCCGCATTTGATACCATCCATCGAGAAAGATGTCTTATGATGATCAGCATGGAAATGCGTTTGAGCTCCGGCCTTACGCACCAGTCTCCGGACTGAATTGAAATCGTTTGGCATAGTCCGGCGGGGCAAGGGGCAGCTGTGCGGATGACAGTCCCTTGATCGATATGGGCTGGCCCGAGTTCACCACAGGCCAGCCTTCCTCATTCCACTCGAGCGGAGCCAGGAAGGTCTCCCTGCCCAGTTGGGACTCAACACAGTCTCCGTAGGTTTCCCACTGAGGCCTGACACCTAGGAAAACGGCCCACCACCTCCCATCGCCCCCGCGGGTAATATCCATGTGTCCCGTTTGGCGAATCTTGGTAGGATGTCAGAAAGAGCAGATCTAAGCAAGCTTACTTCGCGATGCGTGTCATTGAACACGAGTGGATTGATGCCCTGTCCTGAAGCGTCCTTCGCCGGCCCCACCTCCCAAGGACCATAAGGACCGCTTTGGCTACGATACACCCATTCCTGGTGCATCATTTCCGTACCACCTTCTGCAACAAAGAGGTACCAGTAATCGTCCTTCTCAATAAGATGCGGGCCCTCGGCGATCGGTACCTCTGTGGAGGACTGGCGGACGAATTCGGCCGGACGAAGAGATCGTCCTGTGATCAAGTCAATCTCGGTCGTGAAGACGCCCAAGTTGAAGCGCGCGGAATCGCTAGGATATGAACGGGCGACGGAGAGGTATGTCTTGCCGTCTGAACCAAAGCATAACTTCACAGATCAATCTTTGGTCGAGATACTCATGCTCACATCTTGATCGATACCTAGTTGGTCGTAGTAGACCGGGTCTGACCACTGGCCACCTCGCAGATCCTTGGTGGTCACATAGAAGCCTCTGGGCGAGGGTTGGGACTACATGTTGATCAGAAACAATAAGCCAGAGATTACACTCCGCTCACATCGCCTTGGACCGCGGCTCTCATGCGATGTAGTGCACATACAGTGACGTAGAACAAGCCATCATTCTGGTTGTAACGCAAGGTCGGGGCGAAGATTCCTCCACTGGGCTCACATGCCCGTAAGTGGAGCTGTGAGGGTCTTGTCAAGACATGACCTATGAGGCGCCAGGAAACTAGGTCTGTCGATTCATACACCGGAAGACCGGGAAAATACTCAAAGCTGGAGGTGATGATGAAGTACGAACCATCGTGGAAAAGAATTGTTGGATCTGGGTTGAACCCTGGCAGGATCGGATTGCGGTAGGATGACATGATGAGCGTGGTCGGACACGAAGTACCAGCGAATGCGTCTCAGCGCACTCGGCGTATTGCAACAGATTCAAAGTATATGTACAATACACCTCCACCATCAGGGCCTCTCCACCGAGATGACCTCCACTTAATTCCCCGAAATTACTGCGAGTTAGAGAAGCTGGGACCGGTTAGATCAGGGTGTAACTTGCACTGTACACTCGCATGTACCTTGAACCGCCGATTTAGACGCCTCTAGAATCCGAGACGTTGTCGCGAGATGCGTCGCCTCTTCGTCCCCACGTTGTGCCCGCATAAATACCCCATGCCATCATGGAATGCCCAATAACAAGCTCGTGAGCACGAATGACACGTGTCTACAAGCAGGTGTCAAGTTCCCAAGCGCTCCGGACGGGGCTGACTCTGCCATCACCTGGCTGCGGGAAGGATATTCAAAACTGGACACTTCTCCACAATCCCTATGGCCGACGTCTCGCTGGCATCGGCCAACCGGCCGAGCCGACACTCCCACCAAACACCCCGCGGGGTTGCCACCTTGTCCTTTGATATGTAGGGAAATTTCACTCAAACGTTGACGTGGATTACATTAGGTCCAAGCCAGGCTGCCTTTCCACGGAGAGCGAAGCGATATGCAAGGTGGGAGTGCTTACACGGGGTAGGTAGACCTTATACTTGAGCCGTCTTTTAACGTAGAAGCTCGCGGACTTGTGCGTCAGGACAGCGAGCTGCCGAAGTTATTCCGCAGTTCGCAATATACCCGTCCACCAGACATGTGCTGATAGCACAACGGTCTGTTCCGGTTGCAAGACCAACCTCCTGTAATTCGGATCCCCTCTTAAAACCCGGTGGACCGTCGCAAGGCGATTTGCACCAATTTAAGGTCGAGGTACTCAATCTGGCAATTTGATTCGATAAGGCACTTCGGGTTGATAAGGCACTTCGGGTATCATCCGAAGCGACTCTTCGAGATTGAGCCTGAATGGATCTGTGCTGACTGTGTCATGGTCCTAGACGCGGCTATTTGCGAACACTTGACAGAACGCATGTTCCGAATTTACCGAATCCACAACGACGCGCGTCCCGGGATCTACAAAGGATCTACAATGACGCGCGTCGTTCCTGATCCGGACAATATACAGTACGGTACATGTCGAGGAAGCTGTCGAGGAAGCTTCGACATGTATATTGCGAAAGCGAGTAGTCGACTTTATCGAATCCCGATATGCTAGTAGATCATATCCTGATCACAGCAGCTTCCATACTGGCTTGGGTACGAAAAAGTCCAACCATGGATCCTGATCGCAGCATTGCTCTGCACCTCACACCCACATGGTCCGATTCGCTTAAATCCATGACGGCTATAAAGGTCAAGATGACCGTCTCATGCGGACCATATGCAGCTCAGCAGCCTATCATGAAAATGGACCTTGTAAGCGGTTCAGCTCCACACATGGACTATTCGGGAAGTCGAGCGATAAGAGCCTTCGATGACGAAGGTAGTGTGCCGTTGCTTTACGAAGACCAAGTCGATGATCCTGTCAGGACCTGGAGATCTGAACGAGCGACCAAGGGAGAGTTGATCCTCAACTTCGAAGCTACTCCTCGAATTGTAGACTCGTCTGTCGGAAATTGTCCTCGCTCGGACATGAGAGAAAACTCTGGTGGAATCGTCAGCGCTGGTTCCGCCTTT